CTTTAGCTAAACATAGTTCTTATGATCTTAGACCGGAAGATGTCGGTGAGTTGGCCAGAGATCTATTTGATCCAAAGGAAGCAGGAGCTTGGTTGAGAATGGTTTGTAAGGAATTGAGAAGAAATCAGTTCACTGGAGTTCCCTTAGTTCAAGAATTCTTGAGAAGGTTCAAAAAGCTTTATTACCAACGGGGAAATCCAGAAGTTTTGGAAAAGCTCAGAAAAACCACTCAAACTCAATCACTTCAGTTATATATTGCTAAAATGGTTGATATTTTTTATTGTTTTGATAAGGCTGATCAAGACGTTTATTGGAAGCCATTTTTAGATATTGTTCGTTCTAATATGAGGGGACAGTATAGTAATGTATACGGAGGTTCGTATTTTGATAAGATTAAAACATTGGACGATCTTCAAAACTTGGAACCTTTACAGGGTGAAGATTTCAAGATGAATAATCGTGGAAACTTTAAAAGGAAAAATGAAGATAACCATAACAATGGAAATAATTCTGGAAAGTTCAAGAAACACAAGGGGAATAATCATAACAATAATTACCAAAATTCCAGATCAAATAATAATAAATCCAAGCAGGTATGTTCCTATTGCAAGAAGAAGGGACATACCATCGATAATTGTTATACTCTTCAAAGAAAGAAAGATAAAGATAATAATAATTCCAATTCCAATCATAATAATCGTAATAATAGTAACAACAACCGGAGAGATAACAGCAATCGTTCATCCTAACAACAACGCCTTTCCATTCTTTCCAACGATCCTAATACTACTAATTTAATAAAGGTCCCATTCACTTTGGCGGATAACAGCGAGAGGTACACTGCTATCTTAGATAGTGGTGCAACATCTAATTTCATTCATAGTATATACATCCCCTTAAATAAAACAATAAATAAAATTGATCCAGTGTTTTTACAAATGGGAAATGGTGATAGACCAATTGAGTTGACACAAAGTGTAGTATTAACTTGGAAGGAAACTGGGAAGGAATTGAAATTTTTCGTTTGCGATTCTCTTGTTTATGGAATTATACTTGGAAAGGAAATTTGTGAAATGTATCTTAAGTTACCACCGCAATTAGATATTTTTAATCTGGGAAACGTATCTCGGATATCTGAGGATTCCACTACTTCGAATACTATTAATCAAGAAACGGTAGAACAAATAGTGCTTTTGGAAGTGAAAGATAATGTAACTGAAGGAAAGATTGTAACTAATGATTCTAGGGAAGAATCTCAAACACTATTGAAAGTACCGGTAAGGTTTATTCAAGATCCGTATCTTACTTCCGAAGCGATTCAAGATTACAATTCGGCTGATCCATATACTGCAGATGTAAACAAAATCTTAGAAGATTATAAGATGGTCGTACTGACGCAGCCTCCATTACAAACAGCCAAGCAACTGAATTATTATCATAATATTGAATTAATACCTGGAGCTCAGTTGCCAAAATTACATCCATATCGACCACCAATTCATCTTAGGCCTGAATTTGATAGACAAATTAATGAATTGTTAGAAAGAGGATTCATCAGGAAAAGTCACTCTAACGTTAGCAGTCCTGGTTTCTTAGTAGATAAAGCTATGAATCAGAAAAGGTTGGTAGTTGATTATAGGAAATTGAATTTAGTCACTAGGAGGGACAACTATCCGATACCCAATATTGAGGATGAGTTGAACCTTATAGCCCATTCAAGTTTCTTCTCGAAGCTTGATTTGTTTAGTGGCTACCACCAAATTCCAGTAGCAAAACCCTTAAGAAGTTTAGACATATTCTACTTGGTCGACAACTTCTAATAAGAACAGATCATCAGTCACTTCAGTTCTTATTAAGGGAAAAGAAACAACCTATCGGGAGGATTGCCAGGTGGCTTTCCTTCCTTGCCGAATTTAACTTCCTGATAGAGTATATCAAGGGGGAACATAATCGTGCTGATGCTCTAAGTCGTTTACCTGAAGAACAATTTAATTCATTATCTGTTATAGATAAAAATCATTATCAACACTATCTTAGGAAGGCATCATTAGAAGCACAACAATGTAACATTATAGTTACCTTTGAAAATATTCTTGATCCAGAATTTTATAATAATGTTAAAGCGGCTTATAAAGATGATCCTTACTTTGCAGAATTGTTCGAAACACTTAAGTTAGAACAACAACCTAATAAATTAATTCGTCATCATGCCACTAATTTTACTTATAAAGATGGATTTTTATATCTCATTAACATTAATAATTTTGATAATTATGAAGAAAGGTTGTGTATACCTACTGTCAAACTCCAAAAGATGCTAATTCACAAACACCATACCTCTCCATATCTAGAGCACCCAGGTGTTTTAGTCACTTATATGGAGATGGCTCGTTATTTCTTCTGGAATAATATGAAGGAGACAATTGACAGGTATGTTAAAGCTTGTATAGAATGTCAAGTTTCTAAACATTCAACTCAATTAGCCAACGGTCTTTTACATCCCTTACCCATTCCAGACGGCCGTTGGGAACACTTAACAATGGACTTTGTAACAGGTATACCTACCACAAGTGAAGGCCATAACATGATTTTGGTGGTGGTAGATAGGTTAACAAAGCGTGCTCATTTTATACCTTGCACGAAAAATGATAATGGTCAAACCTTAGCCAGGAGGTTCATTGATAACATCATCAAGTTACATGGTGTACCTAAAACTATTACCTGTGATAAAGATGTAAGATATAAGGGTTTCTGGTCTGATTTCTTAAGGTTATGTAAAGTAAGACTTCAGCTCCTGACTCCGTTCCATCCCCAAACGGATGGCCAAACGGAGAGGACGAACCAAACCCTAAATCAAATGTTAAGAACTTCCACTATACAATTGAGGAATGAAGCTGATGCGTATAAGTTAATGCGTACACTTTTGTTAAATGCTAGTGACTATGGAAAGGAGTGGGATATGAGACTCAGCAGTCTCGAGTTTGCTTATAACAATAGGTTCAATTCCGCCATAGGTCAAACTCCATTTGAAGCAGATCTTGGATGGAATCCAACGCCACCGTATTTGTCACTACCTCATTATGATGAACCTTTCGCATTAACTCCTTATAGATACGCAAGTGCTGATGATCTTGTAATTAAATTAAAAGCAACTCAATTACAACTTCAAGATAAAATTTTGGATAATGCTGCAATAATGGAAAAATATACCAATCTTAAACGTCGTGAATTTACAGTCAAAGTTGGAGACTTCGTTCTCGTAAAACGTGAAGCGCACTCTTATGCTGGTCCATATCGAAAAATGAAACCTCTATATTTTGGTCCTTATAAGGTGATTGAAGTACCGCATGAAAACACAGCTATACTCGACATGCAACAGGATGGAGAGTTACATGCTACTCATAATGTTAAAAATCTAAGACTTTGGCAACCAGATGAAGATTTTAAGATGTACACTAAACAACCACCAAAGACCATTAGGGGATTAGTACCAAGAGTGCAGGAAATAGTTCAAATTGAAGATATTAATACTGAGACTGATAAAATAGCGTTAAGTTTTATTGATTGTCTTCCAATGCATGTGGGAGAATATTCCTTTTCAGCATATAAGGTTGATATTCCAAAGCCTGTTCAAGAAAGGCTAATGATTCAATTTATTGATAAGTTTCAAGCTAGATTTATTGACACCAAATGGTTAGAAGTATTACCTGTTAGTCAATACCCAAAAGGTTTTTCAAAAGTCAACGGAATGATTACCTTTACCCCTGAACTAGCTGAAGACACATCAATTGTCTATCACGATTAAGTATTTCGTTAACGTTAACATTTAGTATACTAACTTTTAAATATAGGATCCTATCATATCAAATTATGACTAGTCAATTCATTCATTAATCGATTAATTAATTCATTCATTTATAGTTTAAACTTTTATTTTCAAGCTTGCTTTTGTTGGAGAACATGGTTTCTTCCTTTATATTTAAGAATTGTGTCTTAAATCTGGTAGTTATTTTAGTGGGTATACTTCAGTAAGTTTCGTCTTGCTTTTTATATTTTGAAAATCATGTTTATATTCTTATGATTTATGAGTGAGTCCCACACTACCTTTTGGTGCTACCAAGAGGTGTACATAAAGTATTTTTTCTACCATACTATACTTAAATTTTTGTGAAAATTTTGTTGTTCTTTGCTGTACCATGCTTTCTTTTAAAGGAAGTTCATGGGACGAACTTCTATGGAACCGGGGATAATGCTAGGACTCGACAGTCGTCAGGCATATAAGAGTCACGAGCTTTAATCATGTGATAAGATTTTCTAAGTTGTGAAATACGAATGGTTGTTAAACCACTTTGGTTTTAAGGATTAAAGTTGGAGAAAATATAATTGTAACTAAGTTGGTCATTCATTTCTAAAAATGAAAAGAGGAGTAATCCAAAAGTCATTGTTCTTGGAAAAGTATATAAAGAACTAAATATCCCTTGAAAAGGTTTCATAAGAAGAAGTTTTTAGAACGAACGTTTTTACTGTTTTTATATCATATAATTACTTTTAATTATTTTGAATATATTGTAACAAGATAGTGAACACTATAAATTGTAATCAATCGTAAGGCTGACTTTATTCTACCACAAATTATTATTTGCAACCTATACACCACTAGTATCTCCACATCCCAAGTCAGAAGCCTTGCATGAACTCGGAAACTAGTTTGCGTCCGTAATCAATTTATATATTGCGCTACCACTTCTGACTGAAAATTTCACTTTAATCTTACTTTCTAATCATTAAATGAAGTTTGATGAGGAAGATATTTATACTAATCAGATCAAATTTTGATTTGGTAGAGGTTTACTCAAATGAAAGTACAAGAAATTATGTATAATCATGATGAATATTTTAAGCATTTTTTCTGAAATTTTCTTTACTTTTTGCAATGAATTATCAAATTTTATATTAAAAATTAATTTTTAGAATGTGGCAGTATGTTTACATGATTATATTCAAATTAACCGTTTCATTATTTATATTGAGTGGCATACATACTTAAAAAGACTATTTACTCATCCATCGAAATATCATATTCCACATTATCTTCATCATCTAAGAATTTATCAATTTCATCTAAATTGCTATTGACTTCTGATTGTTTCTGCTTTTCTTCTTCAGTCATGGATACATCTTTCTTATTTGACTCATTATCAACTTCTTCAGCTTCAGCTTCATCCTCTTCAACATCTCCATTATCCTCTATATCTTCATCTTCTTGTGGGGGTGCGTTGATCGACGTATTTGCAGCCATTATTTCACTTTGATCCAAATCTTGCTCATCACCATTATCTTCTTTCTCTTCATCATCTTTCACATCTTCCTTTAAGGGAAGGTCTTCAACGTCATCTAAGCCACCCAATATTGAATTGGATCGGCTTCTCACATTCAGTAGCTCGGCCTCTTCACGAGTTTTTGATCTTTCATATTCTAATTCAATCAATTTTTCAAAATTTTCAAAGTTCTTAAAAGTAGGTTTATCAAAATTAAATTCTGGATCTTGCTCAATTTCAACTTTTCTTGAAATTAATTCTCTAGTGGCTTTAACTGCATTCAACAATCCTAATAATACTTTCGATTCAACTTCACCTTTAATGTAGAACTTTGATAAGTTATTAATTATTATCCTCTTAATATTCTTTGGTGTCTCTTGTTCTAAAACCTGTAAAAAGTAAACCGATTGCCAAAGATGAGATGTCTGTTTCTTGATACTAGATTCACTTAAATTGACTAAATTATTTGGATCACACCAATAAATCAATTGTTGAACGATTTGAGTAGGATTCAATTTTCCTTGTAAATTTGAAAAGTCATTGACTTGAGTATTGAACATTCTATAAATACAATCCCCACTAATAGAAGCTAATCTGAATTGATGTTGTGGATGACTGAATGAATAAACAGGAATACAAAAGGCTAAGATTTGACGTAATTCAGCATTCGAAGAAGTTAAGGGATGGAAATAACTTAGCACCAAGGCTTCAAACAATTGTTTTTCACTTTCATATTCATCAAGTGCTTCTTGAGTTTCTGTAGATTCATCTGTTGGAGTTCTTGCATTGAAAATATCAGCCAAAAATAATTTACAAAGTCCCTCAGCAACTACACATTGTAGATTTGGCATTTTGAAAGATGTCAAGGACTTATAAAATAATCTTGCATACATAAACAAGACATTTCCCGTTAAGATAGAAGTACCAAAAGTGGATAAAATATCAGCAACCGCTTTAATACCTATAATTCTAGTTTCTTCATCTGCATACCTTATTTCATTGTAAAAAGTAGAAATGGCGTCTGTAGCAATAGATTTATCAATCAAAGAATATAAACCTAAACATTTCAATCCTAATAAATGAAGGGAATATTTCTCTTTAGCTGAAATGGCATAATTAACCAAACCAGAATAAATAGATCCTAACGCCAAATGAGTTTCCAATGGTTCTTCGATAAGTTGTAAAGTGTCCAGGGTAATTATTAAACATGTAACAACAATGTTATCAGGAGGAAACTTTGGATCAACCCTACGCTTTTTAGAAGAGGTTTCTGTTTCACCATCGTCATCGTCTTCGTCATCTTCCTCTTCATCTTCATCACCAAACCCTTCAATTGCAGAGTGGAATGTTTCATTTTCTTCTTCGTATGAATCTCTAATATCTGTAATGATTTCAGTCGACATTGCAATAAAATCTTTTTCATTGATAGATAATTTTCTTAAAACGTTCAACGCAACCCCAATCAAATCTTTAGTTAATTCATGTTCTGTTAAAGAATTTCTGATAATTTGTAACATTTTTCTTCTTCCCATTTCATCACTAAAATCAAACTCCTTAGCTACTAATAATAATTGATGCAAAATAAATTCCAAATCTTTTATTTCACTTTCATAATCAAGATCACGTTCAAATCCATCATTTATTTCATCAATTTGAGTTCGGGCAGACTCATATGTTTCTATGAGTTTCTTTTGTTTGATCTCAATTTTCATGGAAAGGTCAGCTAATTTCGAATGTTCATTATTTAAATGTAAGATAGAATCCTTTAACTCAACAAGTTTAACCTTTAAGTCATCAACACTTACTTCTAACATTTCATCTAGAATTTCTTTATCAATGTCGTCTGCAACTAAACCAACAGTAGATTCATCGTTTTTACTCAATTTCTTAAGTCGTTTTCTTATCATGTCCATTGCCTTTTCGTAATAGAGAACATCATCACGATTGGATTGTATGCTTTTCTTAATGTTCTCTACATCAAGATTTGCCTTTATAAGTTGATTTGAGGAATAATTCAATTCATCAGTTCTTGACTTTAAGATTTCATCATATTTTTCATATTTCTTGTGGATTGGATTATCATTGATAAAGACCTTTAATCTTAATTGAAAATATTTTTCTAAAATGTTAGCCAAATCAATTGATTCAGGGAAGTTGGGTTCTATTAAATCATATAGATTGTTTTTATTACAATGATCGTAAAACGATCTAAGCAAAAATGCTTTATCAATAGTTAGTTCTTTCCAATAATTTTCATCGAATTTTAGGGTATCAAGGATAGCAGGTTTTACTTCGAAGAATGTTTCCAATGCCAACCCAGCTACTGTACTTTCAGTAACCTTCAAAAGAGAGACCAATGATAATAAGTCCTCATTAACAGCATCAAACCACGTTGTTGTGAGCATTTTAGTTGCTGCTTGTTGTACTGATGGATCTCTATCGTTAAGACCCCATTTTAATAAGAACTCACGTTCTTCAAAATTAAGATTTCCGATACTTCCCACTTCTTTGACTATTCGAGAATAAACCAATCTTCTATTAATACCATTATTATCTCTTGCTCTTTCAAGTACAGTATCATTATTATTTTCCTTGATGACATTTAAAAGAGCTGCTCTCCTTACTTCTGCACTTTCATCATATTGTAAGGTTTCAGTTATAACGTCCTTCACATGTTGATTACTAACTTTTGCATATGTATAATCATAACCATCCAAATCGAATTCTTGAAATTTTGAAACAGCAACTATTGCTTGAATTCTTACAATAGCCTCTCTATCATTCAATCTTTTCATAAGGGATGTATATAATGCTTCAAATGAATCACGATCTATTTCACCAATATAATGAACTAAGTATGCCAAAAGCTGAACTACTCTATATCTTACCCATTTATCCTTTGATTCAATCCCACGTAATAAATGATGGACCAAATACTTGGAGAATACACCTGAATATGTTTCCTCTTCATTATCATCTTCTTCAACCTCTTCATCTTCATTTTCTTGTTTTCTCTTTATTTCATCCATGGACAAACTAGCCACAAATGCTGAACAGAATTTAGCTATTCTATCACCAGATTTCTCTCCCTTTTTCAATGGAAGAATCTTGTTAACCAATTTCGTAAAGTACAAGTTAAAATAATCACCCTTTTCCAATTCAATAGACTTTCCAAAGAGATTCTTTAAGATCATGACCAATTTACGATGACCTGCAAGTGATACTTGAGCATCTTGAAAAACATGAGCCATAGCACTTTTCAACTCTTCTACCGTAGTGATCTTCTGTATCGAAGCTACGTTAAGCTTCCCTGTCGCCCTCATCTTGATTTATATATCCATTTAGGGTTTGTAATGATTGATGATTGATAATGTTGCTATTATGGAGTTCAGATCAATTACAAAACTGAATTTCAAAATGTAAACAACGCGTGTGTGGTTCAAAAATTTATTTAGCGTTTCTGTGCGCTTTCACACATAACTCTCTATATATGTACAAGTTAACTCTATTTATCATCTATTTACAGTTATAGTTTGGATCTAGATATAATAGTAAGTTGGATTCAATCAGCAAGTTGACCTCTGTATAACTCTTTAATTATGTTCCCTTTCATAATTGTTTGTTTAACGATTCCTTGAACTCTGTCAGGAAACACTCTACCATACCATATACCATGATTATTATCAACGTCTTTGGGGAAGTATATCACATTTCCAGCATATACATGTCCTCCTATATGAGATATTAAACCTAATTCAGTATCTTGATGTAATCCTTCTTTTTGAAGTACTTTTGAAAATTCATTTTCCAAGAGAGGAGCAAGAACTCCACAACGAATATCTCTCTTTGTATGACCACAGATTAATACCAAGTTTTTGGAAATAGGATATTCAATGAAATTATGACTAGTATCCTTTACATCTTCATCTTCTATATCCTTTTGTATTTTCACCTTCTCAGCCACTTTAAATGGATTGTAAACAGCTTCAAGTTGATGGTCTGCTGGAGTCAAGTAGTGTTTGATGAATTGAACTGTCTTACTGATGTCAAACTTAACCACCTTATTATCAGGATAAATATAAACTAATTGTTCATCTTTCTTACTTTCTTCTATTCCAAATGATTTCAATATCAGATCATGTTCTTTTAATAAAATATTAGACACTAATATGGGATGATGAGCACTAACCCTACCATTCTTTAAATGATTTATAGATGAACTCAATGAGTCTGGAATAAACTCAATCTTAGAAGGCATATCGTTGAAGTCCCTAATACCATGAGATAATATCAATACATGCTTCCAAGGAGCTGTCTTGGTTGACGCCAAATTCGTGGTCATATCGATTTGTTTGCTGAAAGGAAGGGCAGGAACTTCACAAAATGTACACCCGGTATCATACTCTGGTTTTGGACAACTCGCTATAATTTTGGACCCAGTAGACTGGAATCTTCTCAATATTAAGCCCGTCATATTTATATACCCCACTACTCTAGACAATACAGCAAAGAAATCGAACTGCAAAATTTAAAACGATTTCCTGCTTTATATTTATGAAGAAATCGGTCAAACATTTTTGCCTACGAAAAATGCGGCCCGAAATTTTATCCTTATCCATAATTTTACATTTATTTATTTATGGCTATACAAAGTATTCTATTATGTCTTGAATTCATTTTTAAGAATCCATCCTTTGTTCACACCATCCCAATTAGCTATTTCTCTTAACATTGATCTAATCTCCACCATATCTCCCGAATCTTTCATTTCTATATTGACATTTTTCAAAATATTACCTGAACTACTAAAATTATCTTTTTGATCATTTAAATAGGCTACTAACTTTTTAATGATTTCTTTCTTGCTCTCAAGAACCTTGTCGACCACTTCACTTTCAGCGTTACTATTAGTAGTAGTTCCTGTCTTGGACTTATTTCCAAATAATGTTACCCTTTCCTTCTTCAATTTACCTAAAATTGAACTAGACAGAAGATTTGATGGACGATTCCCATTATGAGGGCTTTGGACAGCAATTGTAGTCCTTTTAGGTCCAAACTTCCCTGCTAATCCAAATTTACCCGTCCAAGTTGGTGTACCAACAACATTGGTTCTTGCTTGCTTTCTTGATTGTTTAAGTGCCTGTGCAGCAGCATTTGCAACTCTATTAGCTTCCTTTTCAACCAATGTAAGCTCTTGGTTACCTGAATTTATAACTTCCTCATGTTGCAAAGTACTATGAACTCCGCTATTGGAAAAAATATTCTCCATAATTCTACTATCATCGTTAGTTTTAGTTTTAGAATCATTATCATCTTCATCTGCTTCAAACTCATCTAATTTAGATACACCAGCTATACTAGCAACTTGATAGAAATCATCATCATTGCTATGCTTTTTCTTCATTAAATGAGTTGATTTTCTATTTTTATTACCACCAAAATTTTGTTCAGAACTATTAAACATATCACCAGTTTCAGTTCCTACTTCATTTTGATCTCCCAACGTAAATAAATCATGTAAATCATTAACTTTGAAAAATCTTCTTTGTTTAGGATCTTTCAAAATCTTATTGGTTAAGAAGGTTTTGAAAATTTGTCTATGATATATCTTTTCTTCTATCGAACCCGAAGTCATAAGACGGTAAATGGTAATATCCTTCTTCTGACCCAACCTCCAGGCTCTTTCTCTTGCTTGCATGTCTGTAGATGGATTCCAATCTGGATCAAAAATTATGACTCTATCAGCTCCAGTAAGATTAACACCCAAACCACCTACTTTGGTGGTTAATAAAAACACACTCAATTTAGGATCTTCATTGAATTGATCGACAAGTGCTTGACGTTTGGCAATCGGTGTAGAACCATCCATTCGCAAGTAACTGAAAAAGGAATCTCCTTCACCTTGTGTTTCAACATCTAACTTGGGTAAGTTAGCCACAAACTTTTCCAAGATATCTAACATTTGTCTTGTTTGACAAAACAATAAAGTTTTATGGTCTTGACTTTGCCATAATTGTAATAAATTCTGTAATACTTGCATCTTTCCTGATTTGACTGGATTTCCATAATTATAACCCTTCTTATACCTTAAAATATCTCGATTAACTAGATCGGGATGATTACAAATTTTTCTCAAGATATCAACTCCAAGCAATACGTTTCTTTTACCCTTTAAAATTGCACCTAATTCTTCACTACCAAGAAACTTCTCATATAAGTCTTGCTGGTCCTTAGTTAATCTTACGAATAAAACCATTTCATTCTTTTTAGGCAAATCCTTAGCGACATCGCTTTTAAGACGCCTTAACAAATAGGGAGATATTAAATCTCTCAATATGACTGCACATTTATACCCTGTTTGAACTTGAACGTTGGATGCATTAGCGTACCCACCCATATTAATTGGAATTGAGAATTGTTGTTGGAATACAGGTAATGTTCCTAATCGACCGGGAAATACAAAATCAAATAAAGACCAAAGTTCAATAAGATTATTTTGAATCGGAGTACCTGATAAGATTATTCTATTGTGAGTTTTAATTTGTTTACAAGTTAAAGATATGTCCAGATCTGGGTTTCTGATTTTATGACCCTCATCAAGAATACAATAACCCCATTGACGTCTTAATATATGCTTTGAATAAATTCTTAAACCAACGTATGTTGTAACTAAAACATGTCCCTTTTCCATGACACGGTCGATGATATCTTTAGCATTGATTTCAGTATTGATACCTTTTAATGATTTCCTTGACATTGATGGGTCACTAGTTTCAAGAAACTGTTCTAGTCTTTCTTCTGAAGCATCAGTTTTTCCCATACCTGAACCTATACTGTGAAGAATTACACATCTTAAGGGTGGCCACCATCTGTGAAACTCATTCACCCACTGATTTAGAACAGTGGCTGGTACCACTACCAATATAGGTTTCGTTAATAAACCCGAATAATGCAATCCTGCAACAAACGATATGATTTGAATGGTTTTTCCAAGACCCATTTCATCACCAATGATCCCCCCTGTCTTTTGAGAGTATAATTCCCATAACCATTGTACACACGTCTTTTGATAATCAAATAATGATGGGTAGATATCACCTGGTAATCTAAACTGATCATTTAATTTGGCATCTGAGATGGTGGGATGAGGTTTGAACCATTCTTCCTTATTTTTTTCTTCGGCACTTTCATTTTTACGTAACTTTGATCTTCTCTTAACCCAATCCTTTAATCTCGCTTGATATAAAGTTTCATTACCATCATCGATATTTCTTTGTTCGGATTTTTCATCTAGTTCATCGTCACTTTCATCTATTGCTTCTTCATCTATTATCTCATCTTTAACATCATCGTCAGCTGAGTCATCATCCACGAAATCATCATCTCCACTAAGCTTTCTTCTTTTAACAGTTGGAGCATCATCATCTGAACTAACTAAATCTTCCTCCACCTTACCAGCCTCATTTTCTTCAAGATCTTCATCGTCAACGGCAGTGAAATCTACCACTTCAGGAGTATTTTCAAAGCCTGGAGCACGTAAGTATACATGACTTTTAACTTCATCATCCTTACCTTCTTCTTTATCATCTTGATAAAATAAATTTTCATTACCAAAGGCAGTAATTTTACCTGTTCTTATTAAAAAATCCTTCTCTGTTTCATCGGGCAAACGTTCAGCACTTGTATCAGGTTTGTCACCCACTTTAGAAGTTGAATTTCTAGATTCATTCAATTGAGCCTTGTTCTCTTCTAATCTTTTCGTTATATCATTCACGTCTTCTTGTCTTTGCTTTAATTCATTTTCTTCATACCATTCAATCTCATCTTTGATCAGTTTCCTTTGACTAATCTTTGTTCTTGGATGATGTAACTTACTATTCAAAGCTCTGATTCTTAACACAGTTTTATTCAAATCCTTCTCTGCTTTCTCTAATCTTTTCTGATCTAATTCAGTATCTTTAGTAATGAGGGTCTCGTTAGCTTTCTTAGTGATAGAAGTTTCCAACTGATCCTGGTCCACTAACTTGACTCCTAATGATTCTAATGTTTCATCACTCATTATATCCTCTTCATCATACGTGTATAACGCGTTATATATGTTCCCTTCAAGAAGAATGAAACGAGTCACTTCCTTAAGCTGCTACCTGCTGCTTTTCTATGATATTTAAATTTTTCTTACAGTCATTTTTTTTGCGCCATCTTGTCTCTAGATCGTAAAATTATCTATATATATATACATTTTTATTTAAGACTTACTTGCTATGTACTTGCTTTTGTAATTCTTGTAAACAGGTCTCGTAGAGAGTCTCATCTTCAGCAGTAACTAGTTCTTTAGCAGTTACATCTATATTCTGTATTGGACTATCTCTACCGATATCTGTCATTAACTTCTTAAACCATTTAGCTTCACCCTTACCAAATAAGAAATTATAAGCATTACCATCTTGTTGAGCTCTAGCTGTTCTACCCACTCTATGAACGTATTCACGAGATGAGTTTGGTAAATCATAATTAATCACATCTGTGATTGATAGTATATCAATACCTCTGGCAATCAAATCTGTAGCGATAAGGATATGAACTTTTTGTTGACTGAAATCCTTTAAGATTTTTGTTCTGATGGCAGTCTTATTATTAGTAGAGTTTATATAGGATACTTCTATCGGTTCAGGAGATAAATGAACATACTTATTAAATAACAATTGAAGTAATTTGGCTAATCTTAAGGATGAATCGTTTGATTTGGTGAAGATTAATATGTTGGCAAGTTTTTGTTGTTGAAGTAAATATTTCGTTAAAATCAATGGTTTGATGGATGATTTTGATGAACCGAATTTTAATGAAAATTCCTTTAATTTAGATGGAACAGTATATAACTCATTAACTAATCTTTCTTCATCATTTACAATGATCAATCTTGGAATTTGAAACTTTAATGGGGTTAATTTTCCAGCATCAGTAGTTAAAGTTGCAGAAAAGATTAATTTCTTAACTCTTAATTTCCAAGTATTTGCAATATTGATATTATGATCAATTTTACTCATTAAGATAGAACACCAATTTTGAAATGATTGATTTAATAATCTATCAGCTTCATCAATAACCAAATATTCCAATGCCAGTAAATTGATAGAATTATTGGAGATATGTTCAACCAATCTACCGGGGGTTGAAATGATTATATCGGGTATATTAAGCATTAACTTATTGGATTCTTCATTAATGGAAATATCATTCTTTAAACTTGTGATTAATAAATTGGTACCTTTAGATAATTGATTCAAAGTGGTTTTAACTTGATTGATTAATGGTTTGGTTGGAACTAATATGATAGCCCTAACTCTTGGAACTATTCTTGTATGTAAACTTTCTATAATCGGGATCAGGTATGCTAAAGTTTTACCAGATCCAGTTGATGCATTGACTAATAAATCACCTTTGAAATCAGGTTGAAGTTTATTATCCTTTATATCTTTCAATAATAGGTTTAATACTGCTATTTGAACCAGAAATGCATGAGTGAAATTAAGATGTGATAAATTCTTTAACATAAATGATGATAGTTCAAAGTCTTGAAATGGTTTTGTATCTTGTGGTGACACATATATAGGAGTGGTTAACCAATTCAAGTTATTCAAATTGGCTGTATTTGATGTTAAACGTTTATCTCTTGGTAAAGCAGGTTGAGGTAATGGAGCCAAATCTTGAACTTCAATTTCTTCTTCCTCTTCTTCAGATGAGGATGAATCTTGTTTTAATTCTTGACGTTTGATGGTTTTATTAAACTTTTTGAAAATGGATTGATGCTTGGATAAGTAGTCAGGATCAAGTTCTGGAACTGAATCAATTTCCATATCATCTTTATCTTCTTCTTTAGAAGTAGTTGATTCTTGTTTTTGTGTTTCCTCTTCATCAGATTCATCATTACTAGAGTCTTCTTCACTTGATTCGTCTTCACTTGATTGGTCTTCACTTGATTCTTCATCATTTGATTCTTCCTCAATATTGTTTTCATTCTCACTTTCACTATCACTTTCACTTTCACTTTCACTTTGACTCTCTTCGTTATTATCTGATTCTATATCTTCCTCTTCTTTATCACTATCCACAGTAGCATGACTTAACCGTCTTTTCCTTATTAGTATAGGACTCTTCTTCTGGGGCTCATCATACTCCTCCTCGAACGACGAAGGATCAAATCTTGCTCCAAACATCGGTTATTCCTCTTTGAACTCAATTATTCTTATTAGTTAAACCTCAACTTGAGATGCTCTTCCTTCTTCTCTTTTAAATATATATTTTTCTTAATGAAGACTGCGAAAAATTTCACTACCAAAATATTTGATCACATGACTGACTTTTTTGGGAGAGTAGAAATTTTTCATTTAACGAAACAGAAGTGAAAGAAACCGTTAACAGGACGACTCAGACTTCAATCAAATAACAAGAACTAATATACATATATACATACCATGAAGGCATCTTTGTCACTCTTGAAGAGATCGGTATGGAAAGGTCCACATGTTGTTCCTTTACCTATAGCGGATGCCATTAAAAATAAGACTCCTATCAGAACCAATGCTAGAAGTTGTACTATATTACCACAATTTGTTGGAATAAGATTTCAAATTCATAATGGTAAAGAATATGTCGAAGTTGAAATAACGGATGATATGGTGGGATCTAAGTTAGGTGAATACGCTGCCACCAGAAGAAGATTCATGTATAAATATTCTAAGAATTAAGATATGTCTACCACGATCATAATAATAATCATGCAACTACTATATTCATAGACGTAATAAAGATTCAACCCCTACTTATCATAACTTGTACATAATACTCCTCCATTTAATAAATAAATATTTATTTCAATAAACAAACTAAAATAACTAAAACTGGTCTAAATATGACGAAATGAAAAACTATAATAACTGTAAAAATGCATATTTGAAATCATTCTCTAAACATATGGGTATATCATCCACATTCACCCACTTCTACCTCTTGGATTGAAATCATCCATTCTTGATTGTCTTAATTCACCTGTTCTATCAAGTACTGGCCATTTACCCCATCCATTTAACCTTATTACTAAACATGTAGCATTATCATCACCCCCAATATATTCTACAAATTTTATAATTTCTTCAGCACATAATTGAGGATTAGCAACTTGATGACCTCTCATATTGAAATTAACCATCACTATATCAGCAATTTCTTGATCAGTTAAGAAATTGGTTATCCCATCAGTACAAAGTACTAAAAAACTTTCATCACCTCCAATTCCATTTATAGTATAGTCTTTAATTTCATCAGGAGTTAACATTTTATGAACGGTATTAACATCACCAATGATTAATTGAATGACATCTGGTTCAGCACTAACTCCTATTTGTTTGAAATTAATATCTCCAAATGATCTTGTATTAGCTAATGAAATGAAACGTTCTTCTCCAAATGAATCAGTCATAAACATATTGGCAGCATATTTTCTTAATCTTGATGCTTCCATAGGATTAGAAGGATGATGTTCAAATGTTAATGCATTGGCTAGTCCATTCCTATCCACTAGTATGGCTTTAGTATCACCCACATGAGCAATGGTTAATTTTGATATGGTTTTTCTATTAAAGTAATAATTCTCAAATACAGGTTTAGGTTCACCACCAGGTTCAGTATAAAGGGTTTCAATGATAGCACTTGTACAGGTTGAACCGGCTGAATTATCATCTTGGTTGAAGAATTCATAATCAGTGTTTAAAAATGTTAATGGTAATCTAAATCTTAAATCATCATCAATATTAATAATTTCCCCTTTTTCATTCTTTTCTGAATTGTTAAAACGGGATAATTTGATATTATCATCTTTATTCTTCATGGTTTTAAAATTTTCTTCTTTATGTCTGAACCATCTTTTCCAATATCCTCCAATATTAGTTTCATAATTCTTAATTAATTCATTTCTTAAATTCTTATCATCCAACAATGATTGACAATTCTCGATATTTTCGGATAAATGTTGACTTAAAAAAGTTGAACATTGTTCACCACCATGTCCATCGAATATATTAAAATTGAATAATGTTCGTTCCCCAGTTTCACTTTGTAAAGTCAATACATTAGCACTATATTTATCTTCATTATACAATCGACTCATTCGACTTGTGAAATGACCCAAATGAGAGGGACTCTTCAATAACGGTACTCTTAATTTACCAATCTTATTACTCTTAATGGTCCCCATGGGAATTGAAGGAGATCTATCAATAGCTGTGAAGATAATGGTGGATGAAACATATCGCTTACTACTTCCATATCTGTTGCTATGATTATTATTATATATAGTTGATTGAAGTATGGCAGTAGACGACCAACCCAATCGAGGTTTGCATGGTGACGATAGGCTATGTCTATAAGATAATGCTAGTATGGTCGTCATCTACGCAACAGATGGAGAGAAGTAGCAACAACAACAACAGCAACAACACAACTTGATAATTGCAATCTCAATCTATAAATTGTTAAATTGTTCGATTTGAAACTTCCCTCCCCCAGAAAATTATAGAAAGCTCAAAACGCACAAGCAAAAATTAACGACACATCAAAAAAAAAGAAAGAAGTTCGGCTTAATTTTAACCACCGCCGGGATAGTACACGATTTAGGTATAGTTGATATTAATGATTTATTAAGGGTAATTCGAATAAATAAGGAGAGTGAATGGGTATAATTAGGATGGAGAATTACTCATATATATATATAATACTTATATGTACACTTTTTGGAGAGACAATCATACCACTAGATTTTCATCGGCATCATCATCATAATGAAAGTTTTCTAATGGTTCATCTCGGTATGCAACGGTTGAAGATTGATTGAAACGATTTGTGAACCCTGAAAATAATCCATTGACTCTACCCCATAAAGAGGCTGATGAAGGTTGATTTGATTGTCTTTGAGGATCTAATATAAATGGTTCTTGATCATCTTCCATGCCAAAATCAATTCTATTACTAGTATCATTGATTAATGAATCATGGAAGTTTCTTCTATTATTCTCGTAGTTCATATCAGCAACTGAAATACCATTACCATTATTAGTACCATCTAAACTAGGAGATAAGTTAAATGGTCTTAAAGTTTGTTGGTTTTGTCTCTTTTGTAATTCACGATTAACAATTCTTTTAGCTTCCACAATGATTAAATCTTTACGTTTATTAAGTAAGTTATTCTCACCATTCTCAATATCATTATGATTATCATTAGCAGAATCATCATCATCGAATAATACCCAATTATCATACATATCACCTAATCCGATTTTCTTCTTTAATTTATCATAAATATTAAACACAGTTAACAATACTGGAATTAATAATAATCGAGGTAACCAATTATTCATTAAATTGAATAAACCAGTAAGATGGATCGATTGACCAAACCAATTTTCAAAATTGGAATTTCTCGATATGAATAAAGTTATGAAATTATAAGATAATGGAATGGTTAATCTGGCAATATAAGTTGTATAAAAACAGGCTGATACTGGATCTGAACTATGAGGAACTAAATGATAAGTATTGAAAATTTTCAATTGAGTTAATGAATTTAATGATGCAAATAACATGAAACTGAAAAATATCGATGTTAAAATGACTTGAGATAATGGTGAAATAGTTAATTTTTCAAAGATGAAATTTATAATTGAAAATCGAGTTGAATGAAAGAATTCAGATTGTAAGATTATAAATGCCATAATATAATAAACCAACGAAAGAATTCTTGAACTTATAGATCTAATATAATACCAATAAATGAAATTGAATCTTGGCAGTAATAATACTCTATAATTATTAACTCTAAAGGTTAATAGAGATGAATTTGAAGTTTTTGATTCTAAAATATCTTCTAAATGAGTGATCTTTACAAATAATGATTCAAATTCGGATTCATAAGCTTGAAATTTTCTTAAATTGGAATTGAAATTAGAAGTTAATTTATACATGTATGATAAATTCAATTGTTCTCTTGAAATCTGAGCATTTAAAGTTTCATGAACATATTGTCTTTTAACTAAATCCTTTAAATGTAATGGGATAGAAGCATCTAATTTTAAAATCCAATCTCTAAATTTAAAATCTTGAGGATTATTTATGGATGTAAAATTTTCAGTTAATACTAAAACTTTTAAAATATCTTCTTTAAATTCAATTTTAACATCTTCTAAATTATCAATTAATTTAGGTAATTTTAAATAATGATGATTAAGATTATTCATGATATTACCTTCTATCCATTTATTTCTTGGAATACTAATTAAACCATGACTCATTAACCATAATGCTAAAACCAAAGAATATATATGAGATAAAGCAATAATCAATAATTTTAAATGATTTATAGTTAATCCAACTTCAAGCATAAGATAAATTATTCCTAATATTGAAATAGCCAATAGTATTAATTGAAACTTTAAATTCTTCTTAAATGAATCATACATTTTGGCTTTAAAAGTGAAATAACCTGATTTAAAGAATTCTTGTAATTGAGGTAAGATCAACCATGTTAATATAAATGTTATCCAATAATTTGATTTCCATAGTATTAATATAACATTATTTTGTAACCAATCCAAAGGAATGGAAGCATTGGATTGTACATAATCTATAGGTAAGATGAATATGATGGACAATGGCATTAGTACTGCCAAGGTGATAGGGATCAGGAGGTATAGTTTATATTTTAGAAGATTGATATGGAATTGGATCCCAAAGAGGGTCACCGCAAGGGTGACTATATAACATACAACAGGAATCACCCACATAATCACGCTTAGTCAATCAATAAGGACGAGGTGAAGTACAATCTGATCTGATTCTTAATCTCCACCAGTGACTTGACTTGGATCACACGAGTTGATGAATTGACGATAGCCCTTTGGTTTTGGTGATTTGGCAGTCAATTTGGAGTGGTATAGCCCTTTGCTCTTTTTTTGTTATTGTTTGTTGTCACCTCCCTCTTTTTTTTTGGTTTGTTGTGTGCAGGAATCAACCTGGTTTGTCATTTTTTATTTTAAGTTATGTCGAAAATTAAAAGGAATGTCGAAAAACAAAAATTGACAAATCAAATCTAAGACATACGACTCAGTGATATTAAAGTAATTTAAGCTTTATCAGTTTGACTATTTCCTTAATTTATCCGCTTTAAATTGATTTAGTCTCTTTACTTTGCTATAGTATCACTATCGTTCTCTGAGTATGGATTAAGGAATACCCAGTAGTTATTTCTACACTATCTTAAATGGTATAAATCAATTTAAATTTTGCTGTTCATCACTGCCTCCCCACAGAGAAAAATTGAACAATGAAATTGACACCACCCGTAAAAAAAAAGAAGGAAAGGGTTATCTAAAAATCATTTAATTAGATACTACTTTTTCTTGCTTTATTTCTAGTTTCTTCTCTCATTGTCAACAATGTCAGATGATAACTTGGATGAACAGTCCAATTTGATCCAACCAATTGATAGTACAACTAATCCTACCCCTGACTCTATCCCTATCGGTGATCTTAATTTAACTGATAGCTCGGAACAAAAGGCTAAGAGAAAAGTAAAGAAAAAATCAGTTGGTTTTGCTCCATTACCTGAAGAAGATTTAAAGGAACATCATGAAGCAGTACATAAGAAGGAACAAGAGAAGTTGAAATCAAATCCTTTCCATAAAATCCCTCCTGAATTACAATATTTAGAAAAGAAAAAGTCTCCTAATCCAAAACCAATCTCAACTACTATCCCTAAACCTCCTAAACCAATCCCATTGGTTACATCTCCAAACCCAATCAATTCACCCCCAACAGCTCCTACTACTTTTTCTGGACTTGGAAGATTGCAGTCATTGCCAATTAAAGATATTTCGCTTCAAAATAAACAAACTGAATTGAATTTTAATTATCCTTCTATTGACTTACCTATCCCACCCACAGGATTATTAGTTAAAATCATTTATACATCATTGAATTCTTATGATTTGAATAAAATAAATCAATATTTATTAAATGTTAGTAATGTGAAAGTTGGTTTAGGTTATGAATATGTCGGTGAAGTTCAAGAAATTGGATCTACTTTAAAGGCATCAGGGGAATTTTTCATTGGTGATAAAGTGTTAGGAATGATTGATCCTACAAATAAGAAAGGTACTTTATCCACTAGTTTATTAATCAATCCTGATCGTGATGTTGTGATTAGAATCACTAATGAGATGTTATCCCAATTACAAGATGTTGATATTGAATTATCATTTTCAAATGGATCTCGTCCACGAGTTGCTAGTAATGATAATTTTGAAATTGAATCATCATCTTCTTCTTCAACGGCATCATTGATTGATGAAACTATTTCAAATAAACAATCTGATATCCCATCCTTAGCAAAATTAACTACATTTCCAGTCTTATACAGTAAATCAAGACAAATTTTATCTCATTCTAAATTTAATTATGATTCTCCAGTTAATATTTTAATTAATGGAGCAGATACAAATATAGGGTTTACATTAATCCAGACTTTATTATCAACCACATCAAGTTATAAATTCACCAATTTGAATTTAATCTTACTTGTTAAAAAAGTAAATGAAAAGAGTTTTAAAAGTTTAATTAATAATTTTAAACAGAAATACTTCAATTTAGATCCAATTCGAATTTTAAAATTTACCATCATCACATTTGAAGCTTATAATCTTGATGATTTAATCTTAAAGAATGAGAAAGTTCCAATAGTTTATAGAGAAGTTAATGATGTTATAAATGAAGTTTTAAATGGTTTAAAAAATCCTGATATTCCGTTTGATAATGAAGATATTAATAAATTTAAATTAGATTTATTTGTCGATATAGTGGGATCGAAAAGATATTTCCAAACTAATCACTATAAAAGTAATAATCCTCATTTCCAAGTTCCTAAATCAACTTCATTCCTTCAATTGATCCTTAAACCTAAAATCCAAGGGTCAGTTGTGATATCTTGTTGTAATTTCTATGCTCCTGTTCCAACTTATGAAATTTCATCTATAACCAATACTACCTCAGATGCAAATGCTGGTTCTTCAGCATCATATGTATGGTCAAATAAATGGTCAGCTAATCTTTTAAATAATTGGACAAGTTATAATTATTTTGAAGAGATTGATTTAAAATTAAAACGAATTTGGATTGAAGAAGGATTGGAATTATTATTAAAGGATCAATTAAAATTTAAAATTGATGATAATTGTTTGGATTGGAGAATTGGTTTCAAAAATTATATTAAATTATTAAAACTGAATGATATGAAATTTATATTTAAAATTGAAGAATTTTAGTAGTTAGTCTGTCATTTATTTATTTATTTATTTTATGTTAGGTTTATTTCTTTCTTTATGTATATTAGTCTTTGCCATTTGGCAAATTATTTCAATCTATGGTTTCATTTTATAATATATTTCCTTACATATAAGCGATAGAACGATTTCAAAGCGAATTAACCGGAATTTGCGTTCTTAGTTCACGTTACATACATATTTCAGCTTGTAGCTAAAGTAGTGTTATAAAAATATGGGTGGGTCATTAATGTGTGATTTTTTTAATGCTCTGATTTTAGAGGCTGCGAAAATGCAGTTCACCGTTACAGCGTACATTATAGTCGGTTAATATAAAATCGTGTGCCTTACCCGTCATTTACCCAGGGTTACAAATTGATTGGATTGAACGGTACCGACTGTGGGATCACAAGACCATAGAAAATGACCACATATTGAGGTTTATACATTCAAACAGTTAACATCCTAAGCGTATGAAGTTCTAGAAATTCCCTTAAATTGTTGTAAATCATCAAAAAATGGAGAAATACTGTCCATATTTACAAGAATAAAAATAACTCTGATCTTTTGCTGATAAAAAAAAAAAGTGTTCCTCATATCAGACAAAAAAAAAAAGAAATTTAAGAAAAAATATTTTTTAAATGCAAAAGTTCGGATTATCTTTAAATTGTTATAGCCGTTGTTTTGGGTTTTCTTTTTCTGTTTGGTCCTTTGTGAACCAACTCTAATCAGAATAACTATAATTAATATTAGTCAGTCAACTAGTCAGTCACTTTGAATGTGTGGCTCTCTGTTTATTTCTCCTAAACAGGCACCCTAAGCTATACAATGAGTTACAATTTATATGGCTATCACTTGTAATGAATGATCTATTTCGGTTATGGTTTTTGATTCATTACAAATCATATTTGTTATATGGTTAGAGAGTATACACAGCATAGATAATATTAACAATAGATGCTATTATTTTTTAACGGTTGAATTCTCGCAAGGCTGGGTACATTGTTGAATACCCCCACTACGATAGATATAAATGTTGTTGACAGGCCGAGGGTAGGCGGGGGAGGTACTAATTGGGAAATAACCGTAATGGTTAAAATAAACTAACTAAAACAAAAAGTAAATAGTAAATATTTACATCAAATGGACTTTAGGTCATATATCGAAACAGATTATTTGAAATAGAATCATCAAGGTTCATAATATTAATTATTTTATGACAGCCTTTATTCTTTAAGTAGACCATTTGAAAGGAACAAAAACAACTTAGCGGTTAAAATCTTAAAATTTCTTTTTTCGTACTTTAATCGCTGGGGAGTCATCACTAAAAAATAAGTGTTCTACTGATCAAAAAAGAAATAAACCGTTTTGTATATTGTCCTAGAATTACTATATAGAATTAATGGATGCAATAATTTCATTAAAAAGGGGTAAAGTTAAAGTAGTATCGTAATTATGACCATTATAATTGAGATATACCGGATTTTGGAGCTTCTTATTAAGTAAATAACTTAAACTATCGATTGAATTACCATTATTATAATCATCATTCTGAGCTTGATTCAATGAAGTCAGATATGATTGAATGGTGTAAATATATTGGCCAATGGAGTTGTTTTCAGCCTCGTTGATATAGATTGTTATCGGAGTAGATTGAACTTTTGCGGGCGTGATACTATTTGTGGGCGTTAAATTAGTAATGGAGGAATTACCCTGGTATTTCGAAATTACTAAAGTATAGTCAACCCCATTCAAACTAATCTCCTTTATGATCTGCTTCATTTTGAATGGTTAATAGTCTAGCGGTATGAATTAAATATAACAATAGTAATAATAATTATTTTTGAATAATTATTTTATAATTATCATTCGATTGTAATGAAAGCAAGAAAAAATATAATGTCAAAAATTAGTTTGAACCTTATCCTGATTTCTCCTTGTTTCTCCTTTTTTTTTTCTATTTCCAACCGATTCTATATGTTTCTAGAAGAATAGTGGGATGTCAATAGATAAACAAAAAGAAATACTGTAAAAGAATATTCTATTTGATTCTATTTATCCGTATATGAATAAGTTTAGCGTGATCATTAAGATGAAGAAGTTGGCCCATCAGATTGAATCCAGTTCAATTTGATATTTTTGTTCCGAATCATTTTTAATTTTAATTTTCGACTGACTGACGGTAGTGAGCCGTGGCTAAAACACAAAAGACAGAATCAAATCTGTCTCATTGTCCATTGTCTATTTTCTTTTTTTTAGTGAGTAAAAAGTGCGTAACTTTTTAGTAAAAACTTAAAAAAATATTAATAAATTATTGAGGTGTTTGCTTACTCATAGAGGGATTTGATCATTTAATGACACTTCCCGGTTATTTTACTGGCAAAGCCCATTACTAACAATTGTATATTTTCGTATTTTCTAAATTATTATTTTCTACTCCAGCTTTGTTCTTTCCTCTTCAGTTACGGTTTGTGTGTGTATATTACTTTATTTTAGGTAATGGAAGAAATGAAGGAAGGAAGGAATGTGTGATGTGGTTGATGAGTACGGGAAATGTTTATTAATCAAACTCCTTTAACTATCATTATTAAATCAATTAATTAATTAATTAAATAAAATAATCAATCTCTCGTTAAACCGCGGGTCAGGGAAGATCGGTAAAAAAAAGTGGCATACAATCCAAAAGGCAGCTTAGAGATGGATATTTAGTGAGAGCGTTTTTTTTATATGTGACCATAATAATATTCTCATACAGGAAATTACTGACTCTAGTGACTTCTAACAGAATTTTCGGTAGCGGCAAGATTCAAAAGAAGAAACCAATCGAACAAAAAAAAAAAACTTTAAAAAAAAGAATTAAAAAAAAAAGAATAATAAAAAATAATAAAGTCTAAAAAATATTAATTTTATTTAAATACCAAACTTGAACCGATAAAATATAGATAATTTTAATTTATTCGGTTTTTACAACTTTGATCAAACTCCATTGGTATATTTCCTAGAAGATCTTCCATTCTGCCAGACCATCACTTTGTCTAAATATCCATAGATTATCCTCACTCATCATCATCTTCTTCAAAAATCATCAGAACTATAAATACAATCCCGTGTGTGTAACTATTTCTATTTTTATTTATTTTTATCTTAATATTTTTTGTCATTTTAAATCTGTGAGATCAACATCACTTAATCATAATCAATATCAAAGAGTATCAATTAGATAGTCTATTCATCTTCATCATCCTCATAGTTTCTATCAATCATATTTCAAGTTTTTGTCTTGAATTAGTGGATCGACTTACTTTTGCAATCAGACAGACAGATATTCAAAACAATCAGACAGACAGAAAATCTTTTTAGTTGATTTTTTTTTTATCTCTCATAATTTTTTTTTGTCATTTTTATTTTTCATTAGTGATTCTCATTAAAATTTCCTCACTACTCACTAAAAATTGTCGGTACCAATTAATTACCACCTTTAAAGTCCAACTAAGTCCCTGAATGGCAAAAAAAATATTCTGAATTTTTCAATTTAAATTAATCAAAATATTGATATAAACACAGGAATATCACAATATATTTGTTTTCAATTCTGTTTTTGAAAATGAGTTCTGAAGACCTACCGTCATTACCTATTGTTTCATCTGGTTCTTCTTCATCATGTTCGACTCCGTCTTTGAATCCGGCTCAAGTACAATTATTACAAACTTTAAAAGATAACTTATTTAAAATTGATAATGATCAAGAGTCGGATTCTGGAGGGGATGAAACTGGCTCTAATTCGTTTTCCTCGACCAATTCTACTTTCCCTGTCATGGTAAAGATCTTATCTGATGACATTTCTATTTTACCTCATGATTTGATCTCATTTTTTGAATTTAAGGATCAAGCCATATCTCAAACCTCAATTATACCAGTATCATTAAAATCTCAATTGGATCAATTTTTAACTAAATTAACACGTCAATTAAACATTGAATATGAATTAAATTATGATAAATTCATTAGTCATCCAGGTGTGGTGTTCATTAAAAATATTTCTCCTGACTTAATCATTGATAATAGCCAATTATCCTCATTTGAAATCGACGAAATAAATGATTCTATAACTATTACTGATAAAACCAATAAATTTATCAAGTTTTTGAATGATAATGTAAGTTTTAAATCATTTAATAACTTAAAGATCTTTAATTTTAAAAATCAACCCAATTCTTCATCATCAAATTCATCCTTAAATAGTGGTCAAAATACTTCCAATATTATCAATAATAATTATAGTTATGCGATAGTTAAATTTGATAACTATTTGGATGTAGATTATTTGCTTCAAAACTTAAACAAACCAGTTCCATCTAATCAATCCAATATTTTCAATCATAAATCAACCATTCCATTATTTGTAAATCGATACATTAATAAACGGGAAAGAAATAAACAACAACATCAACATCAACTTCATCATCATCATCATCATCATAAGACACCTCATCATAATCAAGACATGGATAATAATCAAAATTTGAATACAGCATCCTTCGATTTAATCATTGTAGAGAATTTATTCAAATTCTTGCCTAACCAAGATAAAATCACCAAACTGGAATTCCAAAGTTTTATTGATGTTTTCAAACAGTTCAACCCTCAAATTGAATTTATTCATTTTCCCATTAATAATGAAAGTAATAACATAACTGATAAGGATGCATATGAGTTAGTTTATAATTTTGGATATTTTAAATTCATTCATTCACCAAATTTAATAGAATTAACTTTGAAAATTCTTTACTATTTAAATGATTTAACTTGGGAGCAATTTATTAATTTTAAAATGAAAGACCATAAGGATTCAGATTTATTATACCATACCCCTAATTTAGAGCCAATAGAAAATGGAATCAAAATAAATATCGTTCAACATAAACATAATCATTTGCTCACTCAATCAATTTCTACTTCAACTTCGAGCAATCCTGTCACTTTATATTTGAATGATTTATCAGATCTTATCGTATCACCCTATTCTTTACCTAATTTGTCATCAGTATTACTAAGATTTATTAATTATCAAGATACTAATATATACGTAAATAATTTATCAATACTATTTAAGAATGATGATGACCTATGGAAATTATTTTGGAAAAATTTTGGATCTATAAAGTCAGCAACTATTATCAAACCTAACTTTTATAATAATAAAGATGAATCATCGTCGACGAAGTATGGTAGGATTGGGTTTATCTTTTATGAACATTTCAAGATGTCAATCAAAGCTATGTTGCTTACCAATAACAAATCAATATCAATTCAAAGTGGTTCAAGAAAACAAACTTATTTAATTCAATCATGTTTTGCAATTCAAAAACCAAATTTCAAATACAGTTCAAGTTCAAATATACATTCATCAAGTAGTGGTAATGCTTTAAACCTTTCGTCGTCGTCGTCTTCTTCTAATTCATTCCATTTTCAACAACTGCAACTGCAACTATCATCACATCAACAAGTTCAACAACAACAAGGGCAATCATCCCAACAATCAATCCAACCACCCCATCGTCGTGTATCCCAAGATCATTCACAACAACAGTTCCAATTCCAACAAAGACCCTCGTTAATAGTTGCACATCCAACTCAACAACCTCCTCCATTACCACAAGGTTATTCATATATGTATATTCCTCAATATCCTAATGCTGCTCAACCTCCTCCACCAGATCATCAATATCCTTCACTCCAACCTCCTCCTATGCCTACTTACTTCTATCAATTACCTCCATCACCTACATCTTATGCTCATAATCCAGCAGGAATGAGTAATCATTCTCCTACCTACAATTACTATCAAAACTCATATGATTACTTCTATCAACATCCATCAGAGGAGAACGAGGATAAAGATGAGGACACATTTTAGAGATGATGGACGATAAATAATAGAATAAAAGTTGTGATATTAATAGTATCAAATTCATCACCCCGTCCATCTCCACCCCCCTTAGTTATTTAAAAGACATTTTAATGATTACTTTTTTCCAAGATGGTCATTGTTTGATTTTCGAAATTATCTACCATTTTATTTTTCGATTTTTTGTGTGTCGGAGTTTCATTTTAGTCCCGCTTTTTTTTTAATTATTTTTATTTTTCATTGCGAGGTATTGCTTTTATTTTTTGTCTTTTTTTGTTTTTTTTGTCTGCCTGTCTTTTCGGTTTTGTCTGCCTTGAACAACCAATAGTTTAAGGAATTACTACATGTTAAACAGTTTTTCGTTAAGTTTTGTTTTGTTTTCATTTTATCATCCTATATTATGTTCTTTGTCAGTTCCCCTGTATGGTTTTTATTTAGATATGCTACCATAAAGTCTCCCCCATTTTGTTGAATTTTATCATTGTTTTGTATAGTCATTGTTGTTGTTTTTTACTGGCAGCTGGTAGTCGGTGATAACATTTGACTGTTTCCCCGTTTGTTTGTTTGTTTGTTTTTTTGTTCTTCTTAGTTTAGCATTTTGTTCATTATTCATGTACCATTCTCTTTGAAATATACACATCATTTATACAATTAAAAGCCCCGAACTATAATTAAATTTTTTTGGTCTATCATACAGGTCTATCGGTGTTATTACTTTTTTTGATTTTTTGAATAGGTAGATGCGCTTCTGCCACAAATTGAACTACCCCTAAAGGACAATATAATTTTTTGGTTTTCCCCCTTTATTTAACGAGTATTGATTTGTCGCATTTCGCACCCAAATTAAAGTAATTTGAGAATCCTTTTTTTTTTCTTTAAAAAAAAAAATCTGTGTCTGTCTGGACAAAAAAGAAATTAGAGAAAAGTCAGACACGAAATATTTGACAAAAAAAAAAATGATTTAGGAAGAAAAAAAAGAAATGACTTTTTGTTGAAGACATAAAAAATTACTGTCGTTAAAGTACGTCCCACAAATTTACTTATAAAATTTATGCGCCAAGTGCAAGCTGGCTTATTACAAAGGAATGAAGTTAGGGCTACTAAAATCATTGCAACAATGTGGCGGTGTTGCAGCAGACTCATCATATAAGCTATTATTTGAGCCCAATGGATAAGTAAGGCATGTCAAGTAGATCTGATTAGACTAATTGTTAGCAACAATTTTAATTTTTGCAATTCGCTTTTTTGTGAGAGAGATTAGCGTGTTTATAATATTGATCAATCCTTCATTCAAAAAATATCATACATTAACATGGGGAATTGTTTAATCTAAGCGATTATATAATAAATGTCCTCATTAAAATACTATTTACAAGCTTGGTGGGACCACATCGTTATCTCTACTTCTTGGAGTTAAACTTGCCGCTTCGAATTTAACTTCTTCTTGTTCTTGTTCTTGTGCTTGCTCTTGCTTTTCTAATTCTTCTATAGGTTCTACAGCTTGGACTTCTTCAATATAATATTTTAACATACTTTCAATACCATTTTTTAATGTAACAGAACTTGAATCACATGAACGACAAGCACCCATCAATTTTAAAAAGACAGTTCCGTCTTCTTCTCTGAATTTAACAAATTCAATATCACCTCCATCATCTTGAATAGCTGGTCTTATTCTGGTAAATATTAATTCTTTAATCATAGATACTACCTCGTCATCATCTTCATTGATCAATACATCATTACCAACTTTACTATCTTCAAGTATGATTGGGGATCCATTAGTTAAATATTCTGTTAAGATAGAAAAGATTTCTGGTTTAATTAATGACCAATCTAAGTCTTGATTACCTACTTTTTCAACTGTGATAAAGTTAGATCCTAACATAATAGACTTTATACCATCAATACTGAATAATTTAACCACCAATGGAGAACATGCGGCTTCTCTTCCACTTAAAAACTCTCGAGTTTCATTCTCATTCCCTAAGATGGTTATAGAAGGTAAGAACTTTAATGCATTTTCATTCGGTGTTTCCACAGTTTGAATAAATAAGTTTCTGAATGATGTAAGGAAAGTGGCTGAAGTTGGTTTAGCTACCAACCTAGAACTTAAAGCTCCTGAGCTTCGTATTATAGGTTGTACTAATGACTTTTTAATTAGAAACATTGTGTAAGCTAGATATGAATAAATGAAATATACTCTTCTTCAACTGGTTGCTTTTTTGAATTATAAATCAAAAGTTTACGCTCTTCGAAATTTTAAGGAATTTTACGGAATTTGAAAAAAAAAAAAATACTTTAAAGAAACTCACGTGATCTGACGGAACTATATTACCGGATACATTTCTATATATACATATACATACAAATAAAATAAAATACATGCTTTATATACGGTCCTGTTGAAATAAAAGGTTCTCAAACAATGAAGCTGTCTTCTCTTCGAACTTGGACTCCCCATTACTTTCAGTACTGATGGTTTCGTCCAATTGTAATTTATTCTCTGCCAATTGTAACATATTTTCTTCAATGGTTTTATTGACAATCAATTTATAGACAGTAACTTCTTTAGTTTGACCAACTCTATGAGCACGATCTTCTGCTTGTTTGTCATCATGAGGGTTGAATGATTGATCGAAAATAATGACATTATTGGCCGCCACTAAATTAATCCCAAACCCACCAGCTTTGGTTGACAATAAGAATACAGGAATGGTATCATCATCATAAAATTGATCAATAATATCCTGTCTTGTTTCAACACTGGTTGCCCCATCTAATCTAACAAACTTATACTTTGATAACGTCAATGTTCTTTCTAAAATGTCCAACATTTGTGTGAATAATGAAAAGATTAATACTTTTTCACCTTTATCAATGATTGTCTTTAAAAGCTTATTCAATTGAATTACTTTACCACTATTTAAGAATTTCTCATCTTCAAGCTTATAAGTTTTTAATGAATATGGAAACTTTTGACATAAATTATTCAATTCATAATCATTCATAACTTGCATATCTTCAAATATGAACGTTTCATTTGCTTCTAAATATTCAGGTTCTCTCATAATTGCCTTGGCCATTTTCTTTAGTTTAGCATCGTCATACTCAAGTCTAAATAATAATGGATGTAAAGAAATCTTTCTTAACGACATCAATGTGTTGGTTGAAGATTCAATTGGTTTAGTTCTGGCTAACTCACTTTGCTCTTTACTTGATAAAAGTTTTCTTCTTTCTCTTTCTTGTTTAGTGAATCTTGCCTTACTTAAATAATCATGATATACTTTATCTTGTAATTCAGTTAAATCACATTTAATAATTTCATGACATTTAGCTGGTAAATGTTGCAACACTTGATTCTTTCTTCTTCTTAATACAAATGGTGTCATCATGGTTTTTGCTTTACTAATGGCTTGAACTGATAATAATGGATTATAATTATTTGGCGTTGATGCTGCGGATGAATTTCCAGTTGAAGTAGATGTGACTGTTGCATTTAACTTTTGACTAAATAAACCTTGCAAATCTTCTTTCTTTTCATTAAATAATTGAGGGTAACATGAATGCTAATAAAGAAACTAATTCTCTTAAATTATTCTGTAATGGAGTACCAGTCAATAACAATCTAAACTTACCTTGTAATCTCATTAATCTATTATACCTTTCAGTATTTGAGTTCTTTAAAAGATGACCTTCATCATAAACAATAATATTAAAATTTTGACTCTTTAAAAATTTAAAATCTATTGATGAACCCGAAGCCAAAGTATATGTCGTAACCAATACATCAAAATCAGTATCCTGTAATTCATATCTTAAATCTTCACGTTCTCTAACCGAACCATAATAAGCTTGAACTTTCAAGTCAGGACAAAATTTATTAAATTCTCTCAACCAATTTTCAATAGTTGAAGCTGGAACAACAACTAAATGAGGTCCTTTCTTCTTTTCTGTTTCCTTTAAATGAGCCATGAATGATATAACTTGACAGGTCTTACCTAAACCCATTTCATCAGCCAATATACAAGATAATTTATTTTGATATAATAAATTCAACCAGTTGACACCAACCTGTTGATAATTGTTTAAAGTGATATCATCAGCTAATAAACTTGGCTTATGTTTGATATATCTTAATCCTTTCTTTTTATGATGCGTAATAACGACATCTTCTTCGTCTTCATTTCCATAATCTTTATCTTTATCATTGGTCTTGCTCTCTTCTTCTTCTTCATTATCTAAATCAATTACTTCATTGACTTCACCTTCATTCAATGGATCAAGTTCTACAAGGTCTAATTCACCTTCCCCGGTTACTTTAACACCCCAAGATTTCATTTGATTAGAAATGGATTCCCCATATTGTGAACAGGTTTTAATTAACGAGTCAACGGCTTTATAACCCTTCAAACTATGTTCAGTATTTTCAACAATTCTCAACCCAATAGTCTTTTTCTTTCTATTATTCTTGGCTTTCTTAGTTTTATCATCTTCATCAGGTAAGATAAATGGATTTTCAGAAACATCATAAATAGTTTCAAATGGACGTTGAGAAGCTACAAATTCAGCAATAGGTGGTTCTATAACACAAATTTCAATTAAATCTTGCACAGAAGCATTATTAATAAACTCCAAAATTTGAGCGTCAATTGTAGTAAGTCCTCCATTATAATTTGCTTCATCATCTTCTTCAGACATATCATCACTGACATCATCTTCTTCTAGTTCATCATCACTAATTGCAATAACTGCTTCACTCTTTTTAAGTTTAGCTGCCTTTTTATTCTCCTTTATCTTTTCCTCTAATCTGTCCAAATCATCATCAGAAACAATCATCTCATTTATATCATCGTCTTGAGCATATTCATTACGATCAGTCTTTTTACTATTAAGGTGAGCTTCATAAGTCACAGCTGATAATTTTGGAATAATCATTGGAGAATCATATTTAGGAGGAATTATTGGTGGTGGGCTGGCACTAGGAGTTATATCTTCTAAAGCTGATCCACGAACAAGTTTTCTCTTCTTAATAATAGGTTCTCCACTTCCACCAAATACATCCAATGTAGTTTGAACTTTTGGTTTGAATTTGTATTTATCGAGAATCGATATCTTTGGCTTATTAGTTGTGACTTTAGTAGAAATTATATTATCTTGTCCTTCTGGTTTTACTGGAGAACTATCATGTTTGACTTTAGCTCTTCCTCTTACTTTTATTTTAACAGGGGATTGATCTTCATCGTCATGGGGTTCATCACTCATAACATCCTCATCTTCACTAATGTCATTATCATCATCTTCCTCGAGATCATCGTCTTCGTCAAAATCATTTTTTAATTGCTTTTGCTTTCTTATATATGCTTGTCTTTCTTCGTATTCACGTTTCATTCTATCTTCTAAAGTCTTTTGCTTGATTCTTGCTTCCTCTTCAATTCGTCTTTTCTTCTCTAATTGTTCTCGATGTAAGATGTCATGTTCATTAAAGTTATCGGATAACCATTGAGTAATCTCTCTTAAATTTCCTTTACCTTTGACGAAACCTTTAAAAATATCACTTTCCTTTAAATAATGAAAACGTTTCCTTATAATGGGAAAATCCTTATGTTGTCTTATCGCTTGTCTCTTGGCTTCTAATTGACGTTCTTTAGCTTCATCAATGGTAGGTTTCATGCTAGTTGGAATGATGGCAGCCAGTTGCTGATTTGGTGATGATTTGACGTTTATAGGTGATGATGATGGCACTTGAATGTAACTTGGTTTCTTCGGAGTAGCATTTCCTGCTCTATCCTCTTCATCCTTCATAATATCAGGATTATTCTTCTTATACCAACTCATCTTCGTAAGTATGATATCAATAGAATTACTACTGTTTAAGCTGTCAGATCGTAATGAAATTTTTGTTAGAGATGAACAAAATCAAAAATCGCGTGTAAAGCTAATTTTTTTTTTAAATTACGCGCTTACTTCCATCTTGTCAATGGTTGCAAATAGAAAACATTAACATTTTATTCATTATAAACATTTTGAGAAGAATTGTGCTATATACGGAAGGAGTGGTGGGTAGGTTTACTTCTTAATCAAGTCATACTTATCTTGAAGATAAGTTTCATCATTCAAATACTTTAAATCTTCAACTGGTCTTTCACCTTGAGGACTAATTCTGAAAGCATGTCTAAGGACTGGAGTTTCCCAATCAATAACAGCCGAATGGATTGTTCTTCTGTTATCCCATAAAACAACAGTGTTGGGTTCCCATTTGGCTCTTAATTGTAAATCGTGAGCCAGCTCAACATGATTAAACAAAAATTCTAATAATTGGTCGGATTCAGATTCCTTTAATTCAACAATCTTTCTACCAAATTCTCTATTTAAAAATAAGAATTTCTCCTTGGTAACAGGATGTTGTCTTACTAAAGGATGGATATTAGACACCGCTTTTCTTCTTACGATTCCACCCGCTTCTTGATTGATATTAGCTTGATCTTCGGCGGTATGTAAAACATGTAATCCTTCTAATCTTGCTTGGAAAGCAGGACTTAATCTCTTATAAGCTTCAACTGTATCAGCAAAAATAGTATCTCCACCAGCTTCTGGTCCTTCTAATACACTGAAAAAGGTGATTTGAGGAGGATTCAATTCATAAGATACATCGGAATGCCATCCTATATTGTTGGTTCTTGTAGCAAAGGCACTTTCTAATTCCTTCTTAGAAGCTCCTCTGAAAGTGATATGTAATTGAGGAAAACCTTCTGGTGAACCTGAAGTTGGATGAACATGTAATGGACCAAAGTATTTACCATAATTAACAGCGAATTCAGGACCATATGAACTAAAATCTTGATCTCTAAAGATAGCAACACCTCTTTGGGCCAAGAACAAAGCTAATTCATTCTTACCTTCGTCATTTAATTGAGATAATTGAATACCATTGATTTCAGATCCTAACTTTGGAGTAACACTTTTCACTTTATGATCGATATCTTTAGGAAATAAATTAGGAAATTCAGGATCAGCTAATAAGCCTTTATCATGAAATTCAAAGAATTTCAAAGGAGGGAACTTTTGATTTGGATCCCAAGTGGGTAAGAAATCAGGGTTTTTAGATTGTTGTTTATTTTCCTTACTAATAGTGAAAGCACCACTTTCAGTCCTAGAATTATGTTCTGGATTGAATTGTGATGGGTCGTATCTTGTAGCAGCTGGTACTGGAGCCATTTTTGTTTTGATTGTATGTACTTGGATATGAACAAATGAAGAAGTATAGACTACTCTAGGTCTCTTTATATACCCAGCTCTAGATCTATATGGTACGATATTTTCATGGTTTAAATATCGGTTCGGAAATGACTATAATTAGAGCCACAGTTCAGATTTTGCAGTAAAAATCGTGATATGTCTTGATAGCGAGCCGCTGGTGAAAGTGGACTGAGGTACGGAGGTAAATCGCGTAACTACCAACTCCACTCAGTGACAACTGTAGAAAGCTAAAAGCTACCATCTATCAATATAAACATCCAATTTTGTATTTAAAGTTAATATTTGTCTATTCTTCGTGATGATTATGAATTGGTACTTTTCTTGATTCGAATCGTTAGATAAAACCCTTGTTGAAAGATTATGATATCATTTGTTACGAGGGTATCTAGGTAGTTTACATAGTTATGCCTTTACTCTATTGCTAGCGAAAAAAAAATTAATTTAGCGATAAAACGAAATACATCTACCATAATAGCAACGAGCTAGCCATTATCATATTTATGACATATACGTTATTAGCTTGTGGATCTAATGGGAATTATCAATTGGGAATCAACAATGATATAGATCAAAACACCTTACAACCATGTTTATTCGAACTACCTCATAATAACAAACCAACTTCAATATTAACCAAGTCGAAACCGATCAAAATATCATGTGGAGGTAATCATACTCTAATATTATTTGATAATGGAGATATTTACTCGTGTGGTGATAATTCATTTGGTCAATGTGGACATCCTTTAAGTCAATCCTCATATCCTGTATTCACTAAAATAGGTACCCAGTCTAATTGGAAGGATATATCTTGTGGGTGGGAGTTCTCAATGTTAATCAATCGAGATAACCAAGTTTATGTTTGTGGGCGTGGATTGAAAGGTGAATTGGGATTGGGGAATAAGATAACTCAGTCTGAATTATGTCTATTGGGTTTGGACTTTGATATAGAAGAAATCGTTGATGTGAAGTCATCGCTTGATGCAACTATATTACGAATTCAAAATAATCAATTATTGGGATGGGGTAATTGTCGTAAGGGACAGTTGGGTAAACAACTAATCATGTCGAATAATAAACCAGAACCAATAATATGGAATCCTCGGAAGTTAGATTTTGGATTGGAGGCTGCTACTAATTTTCAATTTTCATTAGGTAGAGAGTTTTCTGTATTCTATTTAGGTGGTGGAGTAAAGATTCATGGTAAATCGATTGGGTTAGAACAAGCTTCCGTTAGTAATAATCTATCTGAAGTCATTGATATCAAGACCATGTGGTCATCGGTTCATCAAATAGTAAGAGATAAATTGAATCATCTTCAAATTGAGTCTTATGGAAATAATAGTCATGGACAATTATTCCCAGAGGTGCAATCAGAATCAATCACAGATATTGTAAACTATGCTATTGGCAGTGAACATGGTTTAATAAGCACTCCTGATAGTATAGTTTATTCATGGGGTTGGGGAGAACATGGTAATTGCGGTATACAACAGCAGACAAAGGATGCTGAGGATGTTACTTTTGATTATTTGAATTTATTATACAAAGCTGGTAATGATGAGAAAATAATACTCCTAAGTGGAGGATGTGCTACTAGTTGGATTCTTATAGAAACCTCTACTTAAATAGAAAACCAATCTATAAATAAAGAGGAATGTCACGAATTATCTTTCCCATATTCATCTATTGCACGGGATGAATAAGATCATCATGCTCAAAGATGGAAAATATGTCAGACGTAGTTATTATAGGATGATTGTATCGATAATCAGTACATTTGCTTTTTTCTAAACGTTTCATCTTAATTCTAATACTCTCTATGATCGTGAAACCATAAAGAAAAGAAACATGTAACGAAGAAACCAAAAACTTTAATCAATTACCTTCTTTGATCACCCATAAAAAGAAAAAGAATTAAAAATAGAAATATGAAATTGTCAAACGACAATCTGAAGTCCATATCATAAGCTAACAACACTTTATTAACTTACCATATCAACCAGTTGGTCATACTATCTCTCAATAACCTTTTGCTTAAAGGAAAGAAAACTCATACAAATAATTTTCATTTAAGAAGAGGGAAAACTTTTTTTTATTTGTGTGCTGCTAAAATGGTTTAGGCGGGTAACTCAACGAGCATCACCAAAATTAAACTCAAACCAAATTGACAACCACCACCACCACCATCACCACGTTAATCATAAACAAATCATACCTACAACAATCATTACTGTATAGAGGTATAAACTTCAATTGTCATATTTGGAAAAAGCATGTTTGGTGTAGTTTGTTCGGGAAGACCAATTGAATTGGCTAATCAAGTTGAATCAAATAAATATGTTGCTACTATAGCGAATGCATCACATATATCATTTATTACAGTATTCTTATTACCCAATTCAAATTTCACTGATACCAATTATACTGCCTTGATTTATTTCCAATTACCTAATTCTCAAGAGTTTAAATTATTAGGAGGATTGAATCCCTTAAAACCATCAGCCATTTATAAAATTAATAACAATAGTAAGAAGAATGATTTGGAAGATACTGATATGACTATTGATGATTCATCAATTGCCATCAATGCTAATGATTCCGTTAGTATTAATATTGGGATTTCAATTGAAACCACTCAACAGGCTGAGATCTTATTAAGACAAGAGAGTGAAAAGAATAAATTAGCTCAGAATAATAGTAATAATGGTAATAGTCAAGCATTAGTAACCACAAAATCAACTACTAATTTAGGACCAAATGATACAGCTGTCTTGGCTAATAAAATTGTGGGACATGCATATAACTTTCTTGCTAGTTTCATTGATGATTCAGGAAAGGTTCCTATTAAAGCATTTGATAATTGGTGGGATAAATTTAAAGCAAAATTATCTAATAATCCTAAATTTTTAGATGAATTACAAGAATAGTAAAAGTATGTGCGTGTGTATATACAAATCAAAATCAAATGTACTTTACTCGCTTTAAACATAATCAAACCCCGTATGTACGCTCAATAATAAAAGTTATTAATCATTAGTTCTAAGCATAGGTTATAACTGATATATGAAAATCCCCATTTTAAAATTTGCAACCACCTGATAAAATTATGATCTGATAAAGTTGACTCAAAATAAATTTTACTAGTTATATCAGATAGAGCACGGGATATTAGGTGATTGATTGATGGTTTTATTTGTTGTATAGAGAGGTTAAGCTTTCCCATACAAACCATCCTTTCTTTCTTTTTTGATTTGAAACATGAATGGCGATTTCGACATATGATAATTATTATATTTGCTTCCATTAATGATGACGGTCATGATTAATAATTGTCTCATTAAGAGCACTTACCGGAAGTTAAAGTCCAGTCACGTGTCGATTTCTAAGCAGCAAACAAAAATAAAAAGAAATTTTTTTTATGTTTGAACGGCAAAAGAAACGCCACAGTTTCCACATAGTTAATGGGGATCTTTTTACCTTAAAAAGGCGGTTGTTACATGCAGGATGTTTACCACCACACATCGCGCCCTATCAAAAATAAAAATAAAAATTTTTTGCCCTACCATATAGTAAGCAGAATATTTATAATTGGCATTCACATTTGGTATAAATCTATTATAATTCCACATTAGTTTTTTGATTGGGGTTTTTTTAATTCTTCTTCTTCTTCTGCTTGTTTCGTTAAGCTTTTAAACATCTTAGTTTTCCATCAAGAACTTTATAGACACGTTTGTTTCTTCCAATTTGAAAAGTCCAACCTTTCCAAATCTTAGTTTAATCTATAATAGACGATAATCCAACTTATCCGATTTCCATATCAAAGACACCACAGTTTTTTTAAATATAATAATGACTATTGAAAGCACTCCTAAATTAGGTTTCGGTACCAGAGCTATCCATGTTGGTGCTCCAATTGATCCATCTACTGGTGCTGTTATTGAAGCTGTTTCTTTATCCACCACTTTTGCTCAATCTGAACCTGCCAAGCCTCTTGGTATTTATGAATATTCAAGATCTTCCAATCCAAATAGAGATAATTTCGAACAAGCTGTTGCTTCTTTAGAAAATGCTAAACATGCTATTGCTTTAGGTTCTGGTTCTGCCACTACTGCTTTAGTTATTCAATCATTACCAATCAATTCTCATATTATTTCTGGTGGTGATGTTTATGGTGGTACTTATAGATATTTCACCAAAGTTGCTAATACTCATGGTGTTAATGCTACTTTTGTTGGAGGTAATTTAGCTGATGAATTACAATCTAATATTCAACCAAATACTAAATTAGTTTGGTTAGAAACTCCATCAAATCCAACTTTATCAATTACTGATATTGCTAAAGTTGCTCAAATTTTAAAAGATAATGAAGCTAAAACTGGTAATAAGATTTTATTAGTGGTTGATAATACTTTCTTATCTCCATATATTTCAAATCCTCTTACTCTTGGTGCTGATGTTGTGGTTCATTCCGTTACTAAATATATTAATGGTCATTCTGATGTTGTTATGGGTGTTTTAGCTACTAATGATTCTGAATTACATGAACAATTTAGATTCTTACAAAATGCCATTGGTTCAATTCCATCTCCATTTGATTCATGGTTAGCTCATAGAGGTTTAAAAACTTTACATTTAAGAGTTAGACAAGCTGCTACTTCAGCTCAAAAAATTGCTGAATTTTTAGTTCAACATCCATCAGTAGTTAAAGTTAATTATCCAGGTTTAAAATCTCATCTTCATCATGATGTTGTTGTTAGACAACATAGAGATGGTTTAGGTGGTGGTATGATTTCCTTCAGAATTGCCGGTGGTGCCAAAGGTGCTGCTTTGTTCACGTCCGCTACTAAATTATTCACTTTAGCTGAATCCTTAGGTGGTATTGAATCATTAGTTGAAGTTCCAGCTGTTATGACTCATGGTGGTATTCCAAAGGCTGAAAGAGAAGCTAATGGTGTTTATGATGATTTAGTTAGAGTCTCAGTTGGTATTGAAGATACTGAAGATTTAATTAATGATATTGAACAAGCTTTACAAAAGGCTACTGCTGCTGCTGTTTAAAATATTTAATGATATATTAACTTATATTGTTTACATACGTTTGATTTTTTTCAATTTTTTTGCTTTTTTTGAACCTTTTTTTTTGTATATTATAGCATGATAGAGTTTGTATGTATATGCTACTAACATAGCATATATATATGTAAATAGATTTCCAAGTATATTTTGTCTTATTTTATTATAAATCTTTACTTATTGTAGTTTCCAAATTGCTGCTAAAAAAGAAAATAGTGAGTGTCGCATTTTGATGATATTGTGGCAAGACTTTTTTTATGACGTGTGAACAATGTAAAACAAAAATCAACTCTATTTCTATCAATCATCTAGATCATCTACCACCACCACCACCACCAACTATCCTATACATAACTGGCAAATGAAGTTTCCAGTATTAGCAGCACTTGGGTTTATAATAGTACTTACTGTCGGTCAAATCGTCGATACCGAAGAAGAATTAATCTGTAATCCATCCAATCCTAAAGATTGTTATCCTAAATTATTCAATCCAACCAAAGAGTGGCAAAACATTCGTGAAGGTCAAAACATCCCTGCGGGCTTACACGTTCGTTTGAATATAGATACGTCACAACGAGAAGCTAAATTAATGGATGAATCATCAGAACAAGTTCAACCACCCCAACCTCATGATATTGTGGTGGTTGATACCCCAGTTGATGCAGCAAGTAAAGAAGAAAAATTAAAGAGAAAACAAGTTAAGAATATAGTTGAGAAATATAATTCTGGTAATGAAAAGGGGAAAGTTAATTTTGAAGATTTGAATAATTTCGATCAAGCTATTTATGAAATTGAAACTTTTAATGATCAACCAAATGATCAAAAGGATGTGGCAAGAGTTTCAAAAGCATTAGATATCTTGAGTGAATTAAGTCATGATATTAAATTTGGAGTTACTTTGACTTCTGATAAAGCTATTTTTGAAAATCTTGTTGATATTGCAACTTTTAAAAATGATAAGATTAGTGAAAAGGCATATAGAATTATGGGATCAAGTTTAAGAAATAATCCTGAAGCTATTAATAATGTCTTAAAGAATTCAAATGCTTTATTCGTGGAGAATTTATTCAAGAGTTTGAATTATGAATCTGATATTGTTCAAAAAAGAATCTTGGGTATAATCCATGCATTAACTCAAAATAATCATTTCAATTCTCAATATTTTAGTTCATCAAATAACCAAGGTATTAAAAGTTTAATCTCGGTATTCCCTAGTTTAGGAGAAGAATCAAAGCAAAGGTTTGTCAATATCTTTGAAGATTTGAATTTACTTGATTCTAATAATATTGAAAAGAGATCAGAAGCCAATAGTGAACCCGATTTTGAAATCTCATCATATTTACAATCTACTTTAAGTAAAGATCAATTTGATTCATCAAGTGAGTTAAAGCTTTACTTTGAGAAATTAGTTGACATTCATCAACTTAATAAAACTTTAAAACCATCTAAACCATTTTTAGAATGGTTATCTCAACAAGTTGAAACTAGAAAGGAAAATAGAAAGAGAGATAATTACAGTGTGTCAGATAAAGAATTCGATGAGTTCATTATAAATGCTAGACATGTTGTGTTTGGCAATCCTCATGGATTAAGAAAAGCCCTTGCTGATGAATTATGATGTTTATAGAATCTGACAATGAATATTATGTTTGTAAATGAGTTTATAAAATAAAAGTTTATTTATTTATTTGTTTTTTGTATTTTTCTATTATTATACAATAAAAAGCATTAGCGTCAGTAATCAGAGTTATAAGTTGATTATAGAAGAAAGTATGATGTTATATATATATGACTTTGGTGATGATATTTTCTTTTGAGATAAAATAAATAATATATTATTGAATCTAATCGAATAAACCGAAACCCATATCGTCATCGGATTCTTCTTTTTCTTCTTCAGCTTCTTCTTCAGCAGCTTCTTCAGTGGCAGCAGCACCAGAAGCAGCACCACCAGCTGGAGCAGCACCACCGGTTGGAACAGAAGATAATTTTTCGTTACCTTCAGCAATTAATTCTTCAGCGTTTTTACCTTCAACTTCTTCTAATAATTTAGAGATTTTGTCTTCTTCGACTTCAATGTCAACTGATTCTAAAACAGCTTTGACATCAGCAACTGATGGGGTAGTGTTACCGGCGTTAACTAATAATAAGTAAGCAGCTAAGTATTTCACTAAAAGATTTAAGTTAGTATTTATGATTTCGTATAATTGATAAGTTTTACGAGGTAAGATAGTTAATGAGATTGTCTGAATTACGATGAATGAATAGTTTACAATGATATATGATAGTTGTGTTTGTTTGTTTCTTCTTTTGATCTATTCTTGTTAAAATGATTTAATTATCTTATATGATGTATCTATTAAGGGATCTCTTAGATCTTATCTGTAAATCGAGTACAACTCTGATAAAATTGACGTTAAATCATTTTCAAATGACTATTCTCTATCATGATACTATCTGATATGAATTATCTTTACTTTAATGACTACTTTCGTTAATGTTCATATTTTTATATCATTTGATGAATTGAATTGGTAAACTCTCTCAAATATTGTCTATGATATCCCCACAGAACCCAAATTTTGAGCAATGGTGGATAAATTCATATAAATCTCTATTAATTATCACTCTCTATCCAACATTTGAACATACTTTTGGCTTTAATATATGATAATTATCTATATCTATAATGGTATCGTACTATTAACTAGATTTTTCAATTTTTAATGTTCACACTTTGAGAGCAGCAACAGAGCAGAAAAAATGTGAGTTATCACGGACTGTATATAAAGCATGCTAGGGTTGTAACCCTTTATCACGTGTGATTGGATATAATGATGAAATAACAAGGTATTGTATTTATAATTACATTATTTGGATATAGTTGATGATAAGATATCACCAAATGGGCTTAATATCTTTGAAGTAAATTTAAACATATTAATTAAGTTATCTGATACTCTCTGTGTCTGATCAATTACTGCAAAAAAATCACATCTAAATTATTTATAGTCTAAGTTCAGAATAAGTTATATGTATCTATTAGTCACGTAGTTGATTTGAAAAGTAATTATGTCTATGATGTTATATGGTTCATATTGATATCATAGAGTATACCTTTGTATCAAGTAATGGTTCGTATTGTTTACAGTAGGATTAATTTACCTTAAATGGATATACTTAAGGAAAACTCTGCTTATTAAGTTATTACGTAATCAAAATGAGATTATGGCGTATCAGACTTGATTATGCCATAATTGATTGATCAATATAGAACCGTTGACCATTTGATAAACCAACGCTTCGATTCCACACAATTGCAAGATTTGATCTCCTTTTAATAACTCAATTCAAATCTAATCATGTCACCAAAGGATTTCCCCTCATTGAGTGAATCTCAAATTGGTGAATTGAAAGAATCATTGTTACAATGGAGTTTAGGAAATGGGTTAGTAATGTATCCACCAAATTTTGAACCATATAGTGCTAATGCAGCTCCTATTACCTTATTTCCAACTCCTTTACCAAAATCAAGTTTCATCGATGCTCAAAATGTTCAAAAAATATTCAATGAATTATATATTAATTTAGTTACCAAACAGAAATCTTGGCTATTACCTATTTTAGAAAACTTATCTAACCATGATAAAGAATTCACAGGGAAATTATATGAAACTTATACTAGAGCCATTGATGAAAGTCCCGATAAGAAACTTTTACAACCATTATCATTAGGATTATTCAGATCTGATTATATGGTCCATCAAGATACTAATGAAATCAAACAAATTGAATTTAATACAGTTAGTGTTTCATTTGGAGGTTTATCAACTAAGATTGGTCAATTGCATAATTATTTAAATAAAAGTGGATTATATGATAGCAGTTATTCTTATAAATACTATGAAGATGAAGAAATCCCTATTTCTGATTCATCTGATAAATTAGCTAAAGGTTTAGCTGAAGCAAATACTCATTATAAATCATCATCTAATTCAGTTATATTATTCATAGTTCAACCAAAGGAAAGAAATTCATTCGATCAAAGACATATTGAATATGCATTACTTAATAATCATGATATTAAATCTTATAGATTAACCTTGGAAGAAGTAACTTCAAAAACCACTATTAAGAATCATAAATTATACATAAAATCAACCATGGATGAAGTTTCAGTGGTATATTATCGTTCAGGTTATGCTCCAACAGATTATGAAGTTAATCCTGAAAAAACATGGGAAGCTAGACTTTTATTAGAAAAATCAACCGCTATTAAATGTCCATCAGTTTTAACTCAACTTTCAGGTGCAAAAAAAATTCAACAAATTTTAACTACTTCAGAAATCATCAAAAAGGTGTTACCAACCATTACGGAAACCGAATTAACTTTATTATTATCAACTTTTGTTGCGATTTATCCCTTGGATGATACTGAATTAGGTAAAAAGGCCAAAAAATTAGCGTTTGAACAACCTCAAAATTTCGTTTTAAAACCTCAAAGAGAAGGTGGAGGGAATAATATTTATAAAGAAAGTATCCCATCATTTTTAAAATCAATTGATGAAAAGGAATGGGAAGCTTATATCTTAATGGAAATCATTAATCCTCCCAACCATCATAATAAAATCATTAGAAATAATGATATCTATACTGAAGATATCATATCTGAATTAGGGATATTTGGAACCATTTTATTTAATGAAGAAAATGGAGAAATCTTAAGTAATGAAAATGCAGGTTGGTTATTAAGATCTAAATTCAGCTCAAGTAATGAAGGAGGGGTTGCCGCTGGTTTCGGTTGCGTTGATAATATTTATTTATATGAATAGATTAAATATGAATAGATTAGAATTAATTAGTTAGCTAAACAAAAAAATTAGAGCAAATAAATAATAAACAAAAAGACATTAATAAAATTTAGGCATTATTTGAGTCTCTTTTATTTGAATTAATCTTCTTTCTTGGGATCATATAATGAAGCATTAGCTTCAATAATCTCAACATTAGTAGGAGATCTTAATGTGGCAGTCTCATTTAATAAATTTGCAGCCTCTTTCTTTTCTCTTTGTTCAATCGTAACTGCCCATAATGCTGAACCAAGAGTATCAGTAAACATAAAGAGTAATCCAATGATAGGAGTTTGTTCCAATAATACAGCAATGGCACCGAAACCTAAGTATGAACCTCTATTAGCTACATAAATGGCATGAATTTGTCTTTTATCAAATCCTTTTAAGGTAAAATATCTTGAATGAGCTTGTAAACCCTTAGATGGCGCTTGTAAACAAAGTGATAAAATCAATCCCACAAATGGAATAGGAATTAAAAGAACTAAATAAATAAGAATCAATTTGGCAATCAAATAAGGTAAAACCCATAAATAAGGAATGATCCAAAAGATTCTACCACATTTAACTAAAAATGGAACTTTGGCAATTCTTCTAAGTTTACCTAATAATACAACATCATCAGAAAATTCTCTACTCATAACAGCATCAAAGGCGACTTTTTGAACAATGGGTAATAAGGCATAAGTAACGATGAAAATAGAAGTGGTTGCTGATCCAACCCAGATAGTTAACCATGCTGAGGCTATACCAAGTGGTCCTTGAAACACTGAATAATACACTGTCAAAAATGGGAAAAACATAATAAACATGACAATATAGATACTCAAAGTCATGGCCAATTGAGGAATCAAAACAGTAAGATAGAATGCCCAAAGCTCTGGATATATTCCAAAATAATACATCCCCTAAACTCATGATGTCAGTATTTGAATTCACTTCATTTGCAACAGGAACAAAAATATAATACATACATAGAATGGATAGATATAAGTACCTGACTCAATGATATCCTTTGGAAGGTTTGCGATGTTTGACATTTTCAAATTGATATTCTTTGATAAACTATCGATGAATAATGACATGTCTGATGGGTATTTGAAAAGGCAGCCAAATTTTAAAATCCAACTTTTTAAAAATTTAAGGAATTCAAAAATCACCAAAAAAAATTAGAATTTCGTGCTGCAAAAAAAAAAGGGATCATCAGAATTTGAAGAATCTGTTTCTGGAAGCAGTTGAACAAACACATTCAATGAACTATTGATACATATCATTAGAGTCTATATAATCTGGAGATGTTCCTGTTTGCAACCATTATAAATAAACATGTTTCTTTTTTATTCATTAAAGTGGAATACATTCATTCAAAATTGATGTAACTTTTTGCCAAATCAGTCCAGATCTTTTTTTTTCAAAACTTTTCCTTTTCCTATCATAGCTCTACCAAAAACCAACCAAATCAAACATAAATAATCTTAAAATGTAGATAATTATATTGGAATCTTCATTATTACCATTATCAAATCATTAATTTCCTGGTTTTAGATTTGTTTTTTTTTTTTTTTGTATATTATCTATACCCGAAGAGAAATACTATTTACGTACAAAAAACAGATTTTTTTGACAAAATAATTTTGGTGGTGTTTGACATCTTCCGATAAACATTTCCAATTTTCTTAAACATGAAAAGGTCCCTTGGCCCAGTTGGTTAAGGCGTGGTGCTAATAACGCCAAGATCAGCAGTTCGATCCTGCTAGGGACCATTTCTCTCAATTCTACACAGGGCGTGTGGCGTAGTTGGTAGCGCGTTCGCTTAGCATGCGAAAGGTCTCGGGTTCGACTCCTGACTCGTCCATTTCTTTTTTAAATCGACTTTAAAGTAGTTAAATTACTTATTTTTTGACTAATGTTTATATCTAACCACTTTTTAAGTAGTTTAAAGTGATTATTTTTGGTAAAGTTGTGTAGTTTTGTTGATCTATGAATAAATTCAATGCTTGCGAAAAATTATAATATGCTGTTTTACTCTGTCTGTCATTAAAAATATGTATTCGTCTAATTAGCATAAATACGACTATATATACAAGGTGGTAGGTGTGTATGCTTACTAAATTACTTCTCGTTTCAATAGAAAGCACCTATTTATATGATATGCAAAGGGAAAAATGTATACAAATACATTTGGAAAAGTAAATAAACCAAATCATATACGGAATCTTTCAAGTTTATTCAATTTCTTAGCGGTATTAGCATTGTTTCTAGTACCTTGACCACGAACAGGTAAACCAAGAGCATGTCTTGTACCAGCAAAAGAGCCAACATCTCTTTTCAATTTAATATCATTATTAATCTTTTGTTTCAATTGACCTTCAACTAACATGTTTGAAATTTCTTTATTTAAATCCATGATTTGTGGTTCGGTTAATTGATTCATTCTCATTTGAGGATATATTCCTATCTTAGCACATATTCTTTCTGCTGTGTTGTATCCAATACCAAATATGGCTTTTGATAAACCAATCTATAAAAGTAATTCAGTTAGTATTAATTCACCATTCAAGAAAGCATTCACTGCATTTTATAAAAATAAAAGATTCAAATATACATACGCGAACCAAGTAATTATGTTTTATGGATTTACCAAAGATATGTACACCCATGTTTATGATTTATACTAATCTATAGTTTGATTACCAGTTTGAATTGATTAATGATTTCATTCTTCAATTTTCAAAAATTTTTATTTTCCAGTGAGATTTAACCCAATTTTACAGGTTACACAATTATTACAGTTTAAAACGAGATAACATGCAAAAAAATAAAGATTATCTTTTTCAAAAGATTACCACTCAAAATAGGAATTTTAACCCTTGATCTGATAGATTTATAGATTTATTCAAGAAAGTATAGATAATTATGAGTTTGTTTATGCCTCATGGGTCTAACCCACAGACCTCGCAGTTCACATGTAATACTTGCGGTATAAGATTTGCTTCGGCAGAGTTACAAAGACAACATATGAAAACTGACTGGCACAGATATAATTTAAAGAGAAGAGTGGCCGAATTGCCTTCGATATCTTCTGAAATGTTTGCTGAAAAAATATTAAATCTGAAACAATTATATGATGTTGGTCATAATGATAGTGATGAGGATGAATATGGATTTCATGTTAATAAACGGAAATCGAAACCGAGTGAAAATAGGCAATTAACTAAAAAGTTTATTAAACGACATGAAAGATTAGGTAAATTAAGAGGAAGAAGAGATCTTCAAGAAACTCAACCAGTTGTATTTGTAAGAGATGATAGTCCCTCACTTTCAGTTACTTCAGAATTTTCCCAATTTTCATTAGGTGATCATATTCAACATGAGATTGAATCATTAGCTGAAACAGCTTCAGTATCGGAGCATATCTATTCTACAGAATCTGATGGATTTTTAGACGAATATGAAGATTCTGAAGATGATGAAGATGAAGCTGAGACTGGGGATTCAGATTCAGATATTGATTTAGATTCTATTCCTATTGATCATTGTTTTTATTGTGGACAAGATAATCAAGAAATTGAGAATAATGTGAAACATATGTTTAATAAGCATGGTTTATATATCCCCGAAAGATCTTTTCTTACTAACATCGAAGGATTATTGCATTACATAAGTGATATAATATCTATTGATAATGCATGTTTGGTATGTGGGTTTGAAGGTAAGAATTTGGAAAGTATCAGACAACATATTTATTCAAAAGGTCATTGTAAGATACCGTATGAAAGTAAGGATCAAAAGGCTGCTATCGCTGAATTTTATACATTTTACAGTGATGAACCAATTGAAATAAATAAGAAGACTAAGTCAAGTAGAAAAGTTATGTTCACCGAAGAATCAGAAGACATTGAAGATGAAAGAGATGATTTAGATGACTATGACTTGGATGAAGATATGAATGTCGATGTAGAAGAGGATGAAGATTCAAGTGATAATGATAATGGTATCAATGATAACTATGCTTTAGTTCAAATTGATAGATCGGGAGTGGAATTAACATTGCCAACTGGTTCCAGAATTGGACATAGATCCATGACAAGATATTATCGTCAAAATATCACCACGCCACAAGAATTAAGAGAATCTCAAAGAACTGTTGCTGTTGTGGATAGAAGGTTTGCCTCTGGATTAACTTATAATCAAGTCACTAAAGAACAAAGAGAAGTCAGAAAGATTGAAGAAAGGGCTAAGAATAATTATCATAGAAGAACCAAGCCAAGTAGAGTGAATTACCAAAAACACTTTAGAGATGAGCTTTTGGGTCCAATGTAGACAGTTATCTTATCTTACCTTATTCCTATATATTTTTAATGACATTTATGATATCCCCCCTTTTAAATACATACATATAAATTAAATTTTGCAATTTGTTTTGTACTTCGCACTACTTTCTAAATTAAAACGGCGTAGAAACTTATCGAAAATTCTTTGCAATTCTAAAATAATGATCTATCAATTAATAATTGAAACTTATTAATAACCATCTTGAAACAAGATACTTACGATATATATTATAACTTGACTACTTCCTAGAGTTAGAGGAGACAATTAAGCCATCAAATAAAGTCAAATATTCAATTATTCCCTTTAAAACTACAAAATTCCTTAATTTTTGCGATAGAGATAACACACAAACTTATGCTTGCCTAGTATAATGCCACTAGAAACACACCTATACGATATATTACTGGTATTACCAACCGCTACCAGTGATGAGATATCGAAATCATATCGGAAACTCGCTTTGAAATGTCATCCAGATAAAACCAATCGAGATCCTCAATTAACAGAACAATTCAAAGAATTAACCCGAGCATATGAAGTACTTAGAGATGATAGTAAACGGAAAATGTATGATAGCTATGGAGAAATAGCATTAGACAGTTCATTTTTGCCACCTTCTGCACAACAGGTACCGACAAGAGGTCCATCACAACCACAACCACAATCACAACCACCTCCATTTCCTAATGCTAATGATATATTTTCACAAGTCTTTAATGATATTAATAGTATGTTTTCCCAAGCACCAGCTTTCCAATTTGGTAGAAATTTTATGGCCACAGGTCCACCTAATCAAAATAACATGAAGAAAATTGTCGAGCCGGCAGGATCACCACTAGATCAACAAGTTCTTATATCGGGACAAGATATTCATCATACTTGCAGTATTGAATTGGGTGATTTATATTTTGGAAAAACCATAAGGTTGAAATTACCCAAAAACTGTAAATGTCAAAACTGTGAAGGTTATGGTGGATTTAATCCTCGTACTTGTCGAGTTTGTAGAGGATCTGGTAAGGTTATTGTTACTTTTTATAATCAATTTTCTCATTTCAGACAATCGGGAGCTTGTGAAACATGTAATGGTACTGGTACTTTTGTTTCACCCATGGATAAATGTCAAGTCTGTAGTGGAGTTGGTTACAAGAAAGATTCTAAGATTTTAAATATTGATATCTTACCAGGAACTAAAGATGGTGATACTATTGTGTTAAAGGGTGAAGCTGATGAAGGGAGAAAAATCATACCTGGGAATGTTAATATTCATATAAAGGAAATTCCTCATCCATTCTTAGTGAGAAAGTTTAATGATTTGTATATGGAACATACAATTGATTTAAAAACTGCATTATTAGGTGGTCAAATTTTAATTCCAAACTATTTGAAACCAGATCATTCCCTTCGAGTATTTATAAACGTACATGGGTACAATAGTATTAATAATTCAATTAATCCTTCACTTCAATCAGGAGAAGTTGTTGGAACTATTAACACAGGTGAACCAAAGATTGTGAAAGGAGTAGGCATGCCAATTAATAACTATTTAAAAAGTAATGTATATCTCCAGAATTTCATGGAAGATATTAATGATAAGAAAATTAAACAAAACCCTAATAGCTATAACAAGGGCAATTTATTTATAAATTTCAATGTTAAACTACCTACTATTAATGATTTTGCTAATGGGGAAGCAGACCTATCCATATTGAATAGTATCTTACCCAATACTAATCTACCAACCAATGAAAACTCAAACGATGAAGAGATTATAGAATCTCATTTAGCTAATATATCATTTGAAAGTCCAACCAAGGCAAATGTGGACACCAACATGGAATACAGAGGCAGTTCTTCTACGTCGATAGAGGCAGAAGATTCTTTCAATTTTGATGATAATGCAAGATCCAAGAAGAGAAGAAATAATTTCGATAATCCACTACAATTTTAAAGCTTCTCTCTGTGAACCAACCCCAATTTACGATAATGAACCTTACGAACAACTACCAAGCTTAATCAGTTGCATATGTAGAGTTATTTAGCAATGATGCCAAGCTTAGCCATCTTTACCTTATTTAGACCTAGCTTATAGATATTTGTAATGTAATAAATAAATTGTATCACTATATATTTTACGCGCCCTTATCCCCCCCCCTCGTTTAAAAGTGAATCAAATCAAATTTATTTTTTTCTGTTTGATAAACATACATCGAATCCAACTTTAATATCATTGATAGTTAAAGTCAATTGTGCCAAACTAATATGAGTGACAATCATATATTGGATCAATCCATCATCAAGGATTTGTCTAATCAAATCTACGAAAAACGTAAGGCAACTGCGTTTCAGATTGAGAGTTTGATCAAGCCGGCAGTTGCCAACATTGATAGTCAAACCATTTACAAAATCATTCTTGAATTAACCGAATTGACAACAGAAGGGACGACTAATACTAAGATGGGAGCCATCACTGCATTGGGAAGTGTTTCAATCGCTTTAGGTACTCATTTTATTGCGTACTTTCTTGACGCCATCATTAAGCCCATATTTTCAACCTTTCGCGATACTGATGGAAGAGTAAGATATTATGCTTGTGAATCTCTTTATAATATAGCTAAGATTGCTCGTGGAGAAATCTTGTTATATTTCAATGAAGTGTTTGACATTTTATGTATATTGGTGACTGATAACGAATCGGCTGTTAAGAATGCTGCTGATATTCTTGATAGATTAGTTAAGGATATTGTTAGTTCCAAATCAACTGATTATGTTTCCATTTTACATCAAAGAGATAGTTTAAGTGATATACGAACCCATTTGGTTGATGCTGATGGTGTTGCCATTCAAATGAATCAAGTTCAAGAATCTGAAAAGGCATTTTCATTGCCTAAGTTTTTACCAACTTTATTAGAAAGGATGTACACTATTGATCCATTTGCTAAGAAGTTTTTAATTGGTTGGATTGAATTATTTGATGCTATCCCATCATTGGAATTAATTACTTTCTTACCTAATTTCTTGGAACCATTGATTAAATTTATAAGAAATTCACCACCCGATGTTAGATTGGATACTGAAAATTTATTAAATATATTCTTAAAGGAAATCAAAACTATTCATAAAGTAAAAGTTGTGGTTAAGAGAAAGCAGTTGCTTAAGGACAGACAGAAAAAAATAGCATTACAATCAATTGCAGAAAAAGAGAAAGAGTCAGATGATAAAGAATCAGAATTAGGAGATAAGGAAGTGACTCCTGATACCACAGTAATTGACGATGATGAATCTATAAGATCAGAAAGTACAACTATTATACGTAAACCTCAATCTCAAAGTACTCGTCTGGATTCTAAGCCTACCGATGCTAACGAAAAAGAAGATACTGATCTAGGTGACAATGAAGAGGAAGAAGAAGAATACCTTAATGGTCAAGATATATTTGTTGATTATCCAAAACTAATTGATATCACATTATCTTTCTTAAGAAGCTCTGAACGTAAAAATCATCAAAAGTGGAATGATTTATCAACTGATCCTCATGATGTGTATTTAGAAATTCAGTTTATCTCATTGAAGTGGCTTGTTGAGATCTTAGAAATATCACCCGTGAGTTTCTTAAAATTCTTACCAGATTGTATTGCTATCAATCTTGAAAGTATAGCCATAACCGATGAAAACAAGGACTTTGATTTAAGAAATGGGTTCTTAAACTTCAATTTATCATTACAAGACTTTTTAGTTAAATTAAACGGTAGCAGGATTGTGGATCCAAATGATCTGACTCAAGAAATAGATGATAATCTAATTTATGGATTAAATAAGGATGTTTATGACGAATTTGTTGAATTTCAATTACCATCTATATTAGAATCTATCACTAACGAATTTTCTACTTCATCAAATGAATTAGCTAGAATTGCTTCATTAGAGTGGTTGATCTTCTTATATACCAATTATGAACAAGGATTCTTTAAGTTTATTGAAGATGGTCTGCATAAATTTGATTTAGCAGATTTATTAAAATCTTCTAAAGAGAATAGTAATGAAGTGATTTATAAGGTTTTACAATTGGTATCTAAAATATCCGAATCTAACAAGGATTTATTCCGTGATTTCGTTATCAATTTAGTTTCATTTTTTGAACAAGAGTCAAAAGATAAATCGAATACCCAAGCAGTCTCCAGATCTAAAATTGAATTTATTATAAGAAAATTATGTCTTACTTTGAGTTCAGAGAAAATCTTTAAGGCATTCTCGGAAGTTTTGATTTCGGTCGATGATATTGAATTCTTAAATAGTATGATTGTGACGTTAAATAATATATTGTTAACTACTCAAGAATTATCAAGTTTCAGAAAGAAATTAAAAAATTTAGATTCTTATAAACCAGAGGATTGGTCATTATTTTCATCCTTATTTCAAAGTTGGTGTCATAATGCTCCAAGTGCTTTATCTTTATGTTTATTAACATCGAATTATGAATTGGCTTACTTGATTATTAAAAACATATCAGAGTTAGAAGTAACATTCCAATTATTAACCCAATTAGACGTGTTGGTACAATTACTTGAATCTCCAATATTCATGAAGTTAAGATTGCAACTTTTAGAACCAGATAAATATCCATACTTATACAAGACATTATACGGGTTATTAATGATACTACCACAATCATCAACATTCAATACTCTTAAGAATAGATTGGGATCTGTGGCTCAAGTGAATAACACTAATGTTCTTAATCAAACTGCTGCACCAATTGCACCATCAGTTGCAACACCAGGAGCTACTAGCAATACTGCGGGAGCAACCAGTACTCAATTATCGATGCGTAAAAAGAGAGTGTATGAAATGTTAGAGAGATTCTCTAAAGTTCAAGATATTCATGAAGAAGTTATCCTTGAAAAGAGATTTCGTGATCCATCACTTTTCAAAGATTCATCCCATGAAAGTAGTAGTATTAATACTGCTAATAATAGTATTATTCATAAAACCAATGAACGAATTACGAGTCAAGGTTCTACATATCCCGAAAACAATGGTAACAAAAAAGATTATTTTGCTATCCATACTACTAGTGACGATAAAATAATCAGTAAAAGATCAAGTAGTAGTAGATTAGGTTTAAATAGATAAGAATAAATATAATGTTTAGTTAGCCCATATTTTTTTTTTTATCTCCCATACTAAGAAAATTATCAATTCATTATCAATTTACAGTTTAGTAGTGCGCAACCAACAAATTTTTTCTCCTGGTTGGTTAAAGTGTAATCCAACCCTGTTTTCAGAATTTTTTGTTGTTTACGTTTTTTATCAACTCAATTTTTGCACGTTAGCTCTAGAATCAGTGTTATACCTCGTATTGGTGTACTTATGTCTAATAGTGATAGTATGAGGAAGTCCTTTCAGGCTCAGGTTGATAAACAACGTGCAGCTGAAGCATTGAGAATTGCCACTCACGGTAACCAACATTTACACCATCAACAACATCTTCATAATCAAGGTTCTGATGATCACCACCATCAACAATTGTTAATGCAACAACAACAACAGCAGCAACAGCAGCAGCAACAACAACAACAACATCAGCACCAACAGCAACAACAACAACAGCAGCAACAACAACAACAGCAACATAATCAGCAACAACATAATCAACAACAATCTCAACAAGATCCGTATTTGTTATCAAAGACCGACCTTGATTTAACTGAATTTGATTTAAAGTCTAGAGATTCTAAATATAGAAGATGGACTCCTAAGATGGATCAATTTTTAGTTAAATTACTTTCTGATGTTGTTCATAGTTATCCAAAGGGTGCTGATTCCGAAATGACAAAGAAAGCTTGGGCTTATGTATGTGGACAATTAAGATATGCTAATCCTGAGACTGTTTATTCGACCTATACCAAATATTCAGTTCAACAACATTTAGTCAATGTCAATCATCATAGATATAAAATTTGGTTTGTATTAATGCTTCATCAAAAAAATAATCCTAATGCATCCGGTTATTCATATAGATGGAATCCTGATTTAGGTAGATTTCAAATTCTTGATAATAATACAGGTTCATTAATACTTGAAGATCGTCAAGTAAAATCTTTATTATACAGCGAATCTTTATCCTTACCTTCATTAGCTGCTTTCAATAAGGGTAATTTAATAATCAATGACTTTTTTTTGAGTGATAATTTAAAGTATATGTCAGTCTATCATAATGAAGTATTACCTTTATTGATAAGGTTAGATGGTCGCTACGCAGAAGGATTAGGTGATATATATAGTGAGATTCCAAGATTTGATTATCAAGAAGCTAGTCTTGAATATTTCAAACCTTTGATGCCAAGTGGTCGTAAATATAAATATCAAATCGATCCTCAATCATCATCCAAACCCAAAAAGAGAACCCATTCCGATTCAAGTGCTAATCCATCAGATATTTCATTACCATTTTCCAAGGGCTTAGCATCTATGGGAAGTGATGTTACTGATAGTGAAGTGGGTGTTCCTTCCGGTCCAGGTCCTGAAGATGTATCAGTAGATCCTGCTCTTAAAAGAAACAGAACCTTACAAGATACTACTGCTTCTGGCATTGACTTTGAAAATGCTTTGGCCAGTGCTGCTATGGCTGCAATAAACACTCCACCAGTAACAAATGGTCGTGATCAAACTCCATTTTATATTAAGGATCGTAAATGGTTTAATAAATTGGTTAGTTTACATGATTCAGGACATCTTGGATCTGATGAAGTATTATCAGTTTGTGAAGGTGTAAGGGATGGTAAAATCCCATTATTTATGTTGAATGTGTTAGATCAGAATTATTATCCTACCAGATCAAGTATAACAGAAGATTTATCGGATGAAGAAATTGCCAAAAGAATAAGAATATTTGTACTTCCGATGGTGTTTAATACTTGAAATAGAGGAAAAGTTAGATAGAAAGAAAGTGACTGGGGATATTTTATTCAGATTCTGTGTTATTTTTGCTGATTTTTTTGTTTTGTAATTGATTATTGTAGTTTTAGTTTGTGCCATTTAGTTCTTATTTTCTATTATTATTGTATTTTTTATCTTTTAAATTATTTTATTGTTCCCACATATATTGTAAATCATTCTATATATATCTATTTAGTCTTATATAAAAAACTTTATAGTTATCAATATTAAAAAAAAACCACTTTAGTTTAACGAGTTGAACTTCCATCAGTAGAATCACTATAACTTAAATCTTTTTTATGTGAACTCATGACAGATCGGGTAGAATTACTATCATTTCTTCTCATGATATTACTACTTCGACTATGAAGTTTATTTGGACTTAAACTTCTTACATTCTGACTTGAAGAAGGGACTTGTAAATTCTCAGTAATGGTATTTAATTCATTATCAGCTTTAGTTGGACTTATAGAAGGAGCATTTGATTGGGCATAATCTGAAGGGGATACTACTGAAATAGATCCTTTCAAGGACTTGATATCATACAATGACATGGTATTTTGAATGGCGTTCTTTGAATTAGATACGTTTGGACCTGGATTTATTTGCATTTGGGGTTCTCTAGTATTTGAAGCCATATGACTAAGCATTTGTAAATTTGAATGGGTGGTTGAAGTATCAGGTAAAGTTGTGATGATTTTTGGAAGAACCGTTGAAGTTTGTGGAGGAGCTGGAGCTGATTTCTTTTTATGATTGGTAGTGTTATTATCATCATCATGAATAAATGAAGATAATTCACTTGATAAATCTTCCAAATTTTGAAATACTGAAGTATTGGTGGTTGAATTAGATGGTCTCTTACCTGAAGAAGTTGTAGTGTTGGGATCTTTAGTAGATGATGAAGATTTTGTACTCATATCAGTAGCTTTATGTTGAAATTCTTGATTATGAGGTGGGGTTGTGAGTTTATGAACATAAGGTAATGAATCAGATGATAATAATGTGGTAACTGATCTATTTATAGGTTTCAATTGATATACTTTGGAATTGAATAATGCACTTTCAACATCATCAATATTATTATATTTTTGGTGATACGATTTATTGAAATTATTGATGTATAATGATTCTTGAGATATCGGTTTATTCAATTTGGGTGAATTTGATGAATGAATTTTATATGGATCCAAAGTACTGGTTGTTGTCTTTATACTTTTATGATCTTGTGAATTAGTTTTATTTGAGTTATATCCACTTTTTGGAGAATCAAAATTAATACTACCAAATATATCAGATGTATAACTGATTTGAGGTGAAGGTAATAATTCAGAAAAGAGCGATTGATTCTGTTGCATTAATTCATCAGTATTGATTGATTCTCTTGATCCATTAGTTGATTCTTTATCTTCTTCTAAACCTGGATTACCTTGACCTTGTTTTGTCCTTGTATTTCCATCACCACTTCTACTATTAGAAGATGAATTCTCTGAAGAATATCTTGAGGAAGTGGTTTCATCATCAATATATTTATCGAATCCACCTTGAAGTAATCTATATTCTATCTTTGCCGCTACTGTTCTTCTTAATAAAACTTCAAATAAAAGTTTTTGATTGATTTGGTCAATTTCTTGTTTCTTTAATAAATGTAAATCATCAGGATAAATTTCTTCAAATCGAGGTACTCTTCTTAATTTATTGGCAAATACGGCAGATTTATACTTTTGATATACGATTTCTTTAAATTGAATATTACTATAATGACGACTATGACTTGTTTGAGTATGTTTTTGAATAGGAGCTGAAATTAATTTGGGATTGATTTTTAATAGTCCAAATTCGTTATCTTTGGACATATCAAAAATTTCATGAACAGATTGTAATCGTGGATGAATACTGACTAATTGATTATATCTGAATAATTGCATTCTTTTGGGTAATAATTCTCGAACTAAATCTTCAGCATTACAACTTTTAAGAAATTTTTGTAATTGTTCATTACTTTGGAAATCAGGACTTGAAACTTTAGGATGATGATGTTGTTGAGGTAATTTGGTATATTTTAAGGATGTCTTTCTTTTAACCGGGAATCTAAACATTAAACGATCTCTTTTTCTTCTTCTAGTTGAAGTTAAATCATCATCTTCTGTATACAAATCTTTAGCTTCAACTGTTGTATTTCTACTTTTTATTTTATTTCTATTTCGTAACGTGGCTTCTCTTGAAATTATGGATCCAGATCTCTTCAAAGAAGAATCATCAACTATGGTAACAACTGGAGGAGTATGACGTCTTGGACCAGTTCCTTTAAGATTAGGTGGAGTCATTTTACCTTGATGAAAGTTTCTTTCTATTTGAAAATAGGTTGAATGTTGAACATTTGGATCTCCAAATATATCTTCACTTGATGATCTTGCTGATTCTCTTATAGTTGAAGGTTGTACCGTTGTCCCACCATAGATGGCACCGAAAGGATTGACTTGTCTTGAATTATATTGCTGGGGCTGTTGTTGTGATTGGACATGATAATTTGGAGATGGTCTTTGTCCTCGCTGTTGGAGTTGATGTTGATGAAATCTATTTACATGACCTGAACTTGCTGGCGAAGAACTTGATGATCTGTTCTGTATCATATGAGGGGGTGGTAATGGTATATGATGGGGAAGAGATTGATTTGATGAAGAAAATTCATTCCGAGCCGTGGTGAATGATTCTTGGGTTGAAGTATTGAACAAGGTAGCCATATTGCCAACCTGTCTTCTTCTACCACTGGTATATAAATAGGTAAATAGACACTTTTGAAATTATTGAAGTTAAACGAAAGAAAGAGAATTCTAATGAAGAAATTGATTAAAATTAAATACTAAGAATTTAAACAATAGTTAGAAATCAGAGGCCAAAAACTTTTTTAATAATATAAAAGAAATTTAAATTACAATTGTTAATGATCGCTTGAGGTACACTCATGCAGCAGCTGCAATCAATTAAATTTCAAATCAATCAATATTCTCTTAGTCTAAACTAAGTTTAAAAGGGTGCTCGTACTATTGATGACGATATGTAGAAATTTATAGGGCGTTGAACATGGCTGGCTGAGAAAAAATTGTATACATTGTTCCTAATTAGGCAATTCGGATTTTGTGTTACTTTAATGTGTTGTATACAGGAGAGGTTAAATATAGTAGTATTTACTATATATTATTAGTATGATTAATAGAGGTATAAGTAGAGGTTTAAATGGTATAAAGAGATTACAGATAGTCTCATCCATTAACTTATGTGAAGACATTAGATATCGTTCTTTATATGCTGATGTAGCCCTAACTATTCGTATAGTTATCATATTAGGATCAAAAGAGGTGACGTCAACTCATAGTAAGAATACAATATAGACAAGTTAAACTAGATAAATCAACTTATTTGACTAACTCTAACAACAACTAATCAATATTAGATATTCATTTATTATCCATGCCTATCAAATTGACATTAATCGTATAAAATAAAGTTAGACACTGTAAAGGCCCAAAATAAATTACGACCTTTCCTGTATATAAATCATGCTTTTTGACGAGTGTTTTTATTTTTGGTGACAGGGAGGAAAAAAAGTCATGAACAAGTTTATATAAGATCAAATCACAACACGTAGTTTCTTGATTCTATTTATAAATCAATTATACACTCACTATAATCATCAATCATGGATAAACTTAAAGAAGTATGTATACGATGATGTGATCAATGGCTTATTGATGGATCAATTGGATTTTCTGGGACTCAATTGTGGAAGAATTGGGGGTTATACTCCGCCTGTGTGCTGCCATTTTTACAAACACTTCACCCATGTGAGAATATGTTGTAAAAACGGCCCCAGGCTCCCTTTTGATCCCATAACTCAATTAAATCAATCATGAATTGGGTTTATATTCAGACTATAGATGAATGACATTATACTAACTATCATCAACTTTTAGAAAATCAACAACTTGAAGTTAGATGCTGAAAAATGGCAAGAAAAATCTGATGATTTAGCTGTTAAGATTAAAGAATTAGAACAAGAAAACTTAGATAAAGATCATCAAATTCAAGCTTTAACTAGAAAGAATCAAGTTTTAGAAGAACAAGTTGAAAAATTAGAAACTGATTTAGGTACTGTTAAACAAACTGCTGATGAATCTCATTCTTTAAAGACAACCAATGAAAATTATTCTAAAAAGAATCAAGTCTTGGAAGATGAATTAGAAGAAGCTGATAAGAATTTAAAGGAAACAACTGAAAAATTAAGAGAAACTGATATTAAAGCTGAGCAATTAGAAAGAAAAGTTACTTCATTAGAATCTGAAAAGGATGAATGGGAAAAGAAATTTGAAGAATTAACTGAGAAATATAATACTGCAAAGGCTGAATTAGATGAAATTAGTCAACAATTAGAAGCTATCTAAGTGTCCTTTAATTGATACCACCTCAATTTAAAACGTGAGAGAATGTGACACATCTCTCTGATAAATAATATATATATATACCTATAAGTTTATTGTTTTTATAATAATAAAAATAAGCTTATCTATCTATTTTTATACCTATTTTTTACTGCTTGGCTTTTGTTTTCGTTTTTATCAAAAATTGCCACATTCTTCCCTAAATCAAAATCAAAAAGGGATATCTCTTAATATAAATAAATGGAATTACGATAATTATACTTATTATATAGATAAAACAAGATGTAAATTGGTTATGAATTGTCATAATTGTCATAAAGTGTAACCATTATAAATTCGATTGTTCTAGATGTGTGGTGGTGATTCAAAATATTTTTTTTTTTTTTAAGAATTATTTTTTTCTTTGATAAACTTAGAAAAGTTATAGATATAATTAGAACAGAAGATAACCTACTGTATTGAGTTTGAAGGAGTCATAGTTATAGAGAGACCCTTTCCCATCAAAGGATCATCCATCCATCAATCATCAAATAAAAGTGTATGACAGAAGATGACGGTATTGGAACAACTTCGAAAAAGATTCACTAGTAATCTTGAATCTCATCAGATTGATGAGGATTATACAGTACCAGTTCGTCATAATTCATCTACAACTTCTATAAACCTTCATGCCAATAATAATAATAATGGGAATAATGGAAATCATATCCATCGAAGTAGTATGGGAGATAATGAAATATATAATTCTCAACATTTTGATCCTGATGAATCAGTTCCATCCTATGAAACATCACAATTTTTACATCAACATCAATATACATCAACTAATTCTATGCCTCAATCGGCCAATTTATCGAGAAATAGTTCATTGATCTCAACTGATACCATGTTTCATGCCATGCATTATAATTCAGTACCTATACCCCCATCATTAATCCCATCCATATCAGCTGCATCAACGATTGGAATTTCATCTTCCCATCAACCGCCCCCACCCCCACCACCTACACAACATTTACCACCTCCTTTACCATCAAGTTCAGCCACTATAGTAGCTAATTCTCGAAAAGCAGAATTGAAAAAATCATCCTTAAAACAATTGGGTTTGAAATTCCTTAATGCAAGACAACATTTCGCATTAGCATTATCAAGAGATGTATCATTATTACCACCATTAATTGGTTTAGTTCAATCATGGTCCCGAATGATCGATCATTCAGAAGAACCCATCGATGCCACCAATCTAGAATTAATCAAATCATTAACTAGTGCAAGAGTAAGTGAACATTTCTTAACTGGATTATGGTGTATTGTAGCAGCATATTTATCATATTCGGTGTTAGATGGATTAATTATTCGTTGGATTGTGATTTATCTGACTCCAGCTGCTATTGTAAGAGTATTATCTATGTCTGCTATTATCATTACGGCAGAAAGATATTTAGTGTCGACCTTTTCAGCTGATGGATATCGATATGGATTACATATTTGGATTTTAATAAGTTGTTGTTTAACTTTAACTTATATTGGACAAAATTTCGTTACATCAAATTTAGAATTAAAAAAGTCCAATCCTCTATCAGAGCAGAATTCACCTATCACAATGTCATCAAATAATAATGCATTATCATACAATCAAACATCGTCATCATCATCATCATCACAGCAACAACAACCCCAAGTACAAAAGACAAGAGCAAGATTTTTTGACTTTTATAATATCGTCGTATTTGCCGTGGTACCGGTTGGATTAGCAAGTTTTATTACTATGATAGGATTATTACGATCATTATTGATCTTAAGAATCGATATTGATCAAAGTTTCGGTAGTGGATCTTATTTTTAATGAATCATGAAAGTTGATCTTTCCTCATTGCTTTTTAATTTATTTTATATTCTTTCATTTCTTTCAATGACACTGGTATAAATGTGTCATCCAGCATCCTTTAATAATCTTTCCTTTTTTCCTTAATTACTTCATTCTGCTCTATAAATTTGCTATATTAGCTTTTTACTTAGCTTATCCCATTATTTATTCGAATAGATATTCAAATTATAGTTTTTGCAATCGAAGTTCAATACTGTAACCAAATAGCTGAAAAACTCCGGGTAACCCTAATATTTCCCTCACACTCTTCCCATTACTATAAAAGAAAAAATTGATGGTAAAATTTTTTAATTATTAGTTTTACCCTTCTTTTCCCTTTTCTTTAATCAAAAAGTATTAAATTACTGGGAATATTTGCCACGGCGAGATAATGTATATTGTCAAGTTATACTCGTTGCCATTTAACAATAAATGTATTTTTAATTTTCCCCAGAGTGAGCTTTTCCCTGTTAGGAAGTTTGATTTCCTATGGGTCTCTTTAGTGAGGCGATGGATTTTGAATGTCGATATTTTATGGGATACAGATTGTAAGAATAAGTTAGTATTATATAAAGTAAATGAATTAATGAGCTGAATGTGAGCGAGTAAGGTTGACGTTTCAATATCATGGTTTAAGACGTTGTTTTGAACTGATAATGTTAGTGTAATTCTATGATCTATGCGATAGGCCATATCGTACAACTTTTCAGAGTTCAACCCATTTGAACTCATATGTTATGGACCCCAAATCTACTGCCTCTCGAAACATCACACCCTTACAAGACCCAGATTCAATAACTTCACCAACAACTACACGGTTCAAACTATAATAGTTTTTAAAATATATATATTAAGTCATTATATAACAACTTTAAAATTTTTTATATGTAATTTATTTATTTATTACCAAAAAGCATCTTAAAAAGAACACTTTTAATGAATTAAAAACCTCTAATTTAATTTAAAAGATAATTAATTGATTTTTTTGATGATATGATGATTAGATACCCATTAATGAACAATTTTTATTTATTTATGATACACAAATTTAATATGAATTATGAAAATTTTATAAATTGTTTAACGGTATTTGGTGAAACCAATATCAGCAGCTTTTTCTCTGAAACATTGACGACATAAATCAATACCGTATTTTCTGATTAAACCAGAGTGGGAAGAACAATGACGACATTGTCTTGAACCTTTACCGAATTTTCTTGGGTGGGAGAACCAAACACTTTCGTGAGCCATATTGCTAAAAAGAAGTTAGTTAGTATTTAAAGTTAAGGGGAGAAGGTGTAAATGAAGTTGAGTTGAGTTGAGTTGAGTTGAGTGGAGTAGAGTAGATCTAAGTAGAGTTTATATGAACGTTGTGTGGATGGAAGAAACATAATATGATTTTTGATAGGACAAGTATTATGATAAATATTTCAATCTATACTGATTCTACGAACATTATTTGAGACGAGTAGAAAGTCTCTTTCCTATTAACAAATGATATAAACCTTTAAAGGTCTTTGGTGTGAGTTTCATAAAATGGTTGACTTGTTTGATTGAATTACATATTTTTTCACTTAATTATCTGATAACATTTAATGATTGAATTTATAGGTCTGACACACGGTTAACTCGATTGAAAATGATATAAATGGATCTATTAACATATTGAACATTGATTTGATATATTAGTTACTCTGATTGATTGGTGTTTCATTCTATTCATTCCACATATATTGATATACTTCTTTTGGTACTCTTTAATCTTTCATTCATATGATGGATGGATAGGTTCCACTTTATTAGATGACACTCTTGAATATTCTGCTCTCTTCTCATTCCACAACTCATGGCTTCGTTATGATCGTATTATTACATACAATTATTTATAAGTTCGTTGAATGTATGATAACAAAAGGATTATAATTAAACTGATTCAAATTTAAATTTTGTATTTGATAGAATTTTTTTCAAACTGTTTGGTGAACTCAATTTGTTAGTGCGTGGATGTACATAGTTAATTTTCTGTGGAAGGGAACAGTCCTGTATTTTAAAGATTGTCCCAAAACGGACAGGGTTCAAGCCCCCGACAAACACACGTGAGATGCGCGTGATCTCTGAAAAATTAAAAAATGTATAAACCTCATCTCAATAAATAATTATAATAGTTAACGGTAACTATAATTAGATCAAAATATACTATCATTATCATCCTACTACTCATTACTTAAATATGGCTAAAGGTGGCCATTCACATAGGTCTACTTTGAAGAATGAACATAAACCTTTCAAATCAAAGCATGCCAGTAAAGGTCAATTAAAGAATTTGGTTAAAGGTAAAGTTGAGAAATCAACTGGATCAACTAATAATAAAGCAAATAAAGTGTTAACTAAACTTGAAAGAAAGAATTTAGCTAAACAATTAAAGGGTAATAAGATCTTAGAAACTAAAATATCAAGAAAATTATTCGAAGGATCTCATGGTGTTGAAAAAATCATTACTATCATATCTTTAACTAATGATATATCCCCCGTTGATATTGCAAATCAATTATTTAATACTATTCTTAATCAAGATGAAAAGAAACCTATTGATTTCACTTATCCTTCCGTCAATAGTTTCACTGTAGATAGATTCAAATCAAATGTTAAAGTCATCATCCCCAATCAAGATAATTTCCTTAAAATCTTAGATGCTGCAAAAGTATCTGATTTTGTTTTATTCGGTATATCAGCTACTAAAGAAGTTGAAACTGAATATGGAGAACAATTACTTAGAAGTTTAACTGCTCAAGGTATTGCTTCTGTCATTGGAGTCTTACCAAATTTAATCACTGCATATCCAAAAAGAAATTTACAATTAGATATAAGACAATCATTACAATCATTCTTTACTCATTTCTTCCCTAATGATGAAAAATTATTCGCTTTAGAATCAGAATCAGAAAATTTAAATTGTTTAAGAACTTTATGTCAAAAATTCCCCAAATCAATCACTTGGAGAGATACTAGAGGATGGTTAATTGCTGATTCCGCAATTCATTCTCAAGAAAATGGTACAGATCAAATAATTATAGAAGGTATCGTAAGAGGAGCAGGATTCAATGCTAATAGATTAATTCATATTCCAGGTCAAGGAGATTTCCAAATCAATAGAATTGAAAAAATCCCTAAATTAAATCGTGGTGATGTGGATTTAGATATTCCAAGTTATACTCCTGATGAAAATCAAGATACTTTAGAAGATTTAAATCCAGAAGAAATCGATATGGATGATTTTGAAGATGAAGATATTTATGATGATGATAATATTGGGATTAGAATGGATGGTAAGAATTATTTCGATGATGAAGGAACCAGAAAAATCGCCAATAGAACAAGATTACCAAAGGGTACTTCTGAATATCAAGGTAGATGGTTTGTGGATGACGTATTAGAAGGTGCATCTGATATAGAAAGTGAAGATGACGATGAAGATATAATAGGTCAAGCTGAAGATGAAGAAGATATCCAAATTGATAATGAACGATCATCATCTTCTGTGAAATTTGCTGAAACCAATACTGAATATGCCCCAACTGAATTTGATTCTGAAATGCATGTTGACTTATCTCCTGAAGAAGAAGAAGCTCAATTACGTAGATTTAGAGAAATCGCCAGAGAAGATTTGGAATTCCCTGATGAAGTTGAATTATTACCAAATGAATCAGGTAAAGAAAGATTAAGTGCTTTCAGAGGTATAAAATCATTATCTAATTGTGATTGGGATTGTGATGAAGAAGATATTGAAAGTCCATCTATTTGGAATCGTTTATTAAGAATTTCAAATTATAAAATCACCAAGAATAAAATTAATAAAGATCATATTAAAAATACTCAAATCCCAATTGGAAATAAAATAAGGATATATTTAAATGCTCCATCCTTAATTTTAGAAAGATTCAATCCTTCTAAAGAACCATTCCCAATTTATGAATTATTACAACATGAACATAAATTAGCCGTATGTAATTTCTCCTTTGAATCATGGGAAGATTATGAAGAACCAGTTCCATCAAGAGAAACCATGATTGTTCAATATGGACCAAGAAGACAAGTGATAAGACCAATTTTCAATCAAAATTCAAATAATCCAAATAATGTTCATAAATATGAAAACTTCACTCATTTAGGAGCATCAACCATCGCTACTGCCATTGCCCCAGTATTATTCAATAACGCTCCTATAATTTATTTCAAACCGGGTCAAACTGATGGATCATTAGAGTTTATCGGTCAAGGTACATTCTTAAATTGTGATCATACTAGAATAACTGCTCAAAGAAATGTCTTGACCGGTCATCCAGTTAAGATTCATAAATCAGTAGTTACGGTTCGTTATATGTTTTTCAATTCTGAAGATATTCATTGGTTTAAAGCTGTTCCATTATTTACAAAATCAGGTAGAAGTGGATTCATTAAAGAAAGTCTTGGTACTCATGGTTATTTCAAAGCTACTTTTGATGGTAAATTAACTTCTCAAGATACTGTTGCCATGAGTTTATATAAGAGAGTTTGGCCTGAAATTTCAAGTTCATGGACTGAATAAAGTCATTTTTAGTAGTTATGTTTAGCATTATTTTTAGTTTCTTAATAGGCATTTAAAATGTACATTAGTTTTAATTTTTTGGTGATTTTTTTAATTTTGTATATTAAGAATTATGAAACAAATAGTAAGGGTTTAAATTATATAAATGTAGGTATAGCACAATAAAGAAGCAAATAAAGTAGACTTTTCAAGTTATTTTTGACACAGAAATGAAATACAAAAAAGAATGAATAAAAGAAGATGAATAAAGAAAGTAAAAAGAAATGACAATAAAGAACTAATGATAAAAAAGTAATAAGGTAGAAACAAAGAAATGACGACAGGGGAATGCAAAAGAAGTAGTAATGAAAATGATCTTTCATACTTAAAGTAAAAGACCAACAGCAAGAGCAGCAGCACCTAATAAAGTACCTTCAAGTAAATGACCTGGAACAGCACCACCTTCACTAATGACATTAACTGAAGTGGTGTTATGAGCAACTGATTGAGCAGCAACAGTTGTATGAATAGTGGTAGAGTTACCATAGTAAATGTATGCATTTGAAACAGTAGTGGTTGGACTAACAGTTGTAGATGGTAAAATAGTTGAGGTTGGAGCAGTAGTAAGAATGGTAGTTCCAGTTGGAGCAACAGTTGAACTTTCAAATACAGCAGTAAGAGAAATTGGAATACCACCTTCTGGAGAAGCATCAACATCTTTCACGACAGCTAATGCAAATTTAGAATAATCATATGGATCACTAATGTTACCTAATGCATAAAATCCAGCAGTTGAACCTTCATAAGCTAAATAACCATTTTCAAAAGTAACACCACTATAATCACCAACAATTAATTCAACGACAGAAATACCATTTTGAGTATTAGTAAAAGTTGAGAAACCTTGTTTGATTTGAGGAGTTGACCACCAATATAAGGATTCAGCAACAGTATCATAAACTAATGGAACAGTATTAGCAGTGGCAAAGTATCCACCATCAGTTCCAATGAAAAGGTATCCAATACCTGCACCTTCATGAGGAGCAGAGACACCACTACCGTTAAGAGTTTTATCATCAGATGCAACAAATAATGAAACGTTTTGTAAAGCAGCTAAAGTGGTTGAAGCTAATAAAGCTAATGAAGAAATAGTTGTTGAAGCTTTCATTTTATATTTATTTGTTAGATTTAGCGAGTGACTGATTGTTTGACTAATGAGTTAGATAGTTTATAGAATTAAAGTTTTGGAATACATGGAACAATTCAATCAGTATTTATACATCAGGAATCATCAAATGATTTGTAAAATGATTTAAAAACTGATGATTAAAAATCAAATTGGTAACTAATAATAGACGCAATTAATGGCTGCAACGGCTTCATAATAACAATATTTTTTTTTACAGTCATGGAAAGCGCAAACAAAAAAAAATAATAAACAATAATAATTACAGTGGTAAACCCCAAATCCCCCCACTGGAAAAACTTCTATAATTAGAAAGAATTTTTTTAATCAAAGTTTATAGTTATCCGGTAGAAGAGTTATAAGTTGTGAGATTGACATTACAATTAATTATCTAATTGTTAATTACTCCTCAATTCAATGCATTCTGATCAATACTTCATGTATGGTTGTTGATTCAGTTTCTATACAATTTAGAAGCCATTTGAACAAAGTAAAAGTATCTCAAACTTCTATACGGCTCACTTATACCCTCTGTTTGATCAAATACGTTGATTCTAGTATGAAAAAGACGTAATTATTCCGTTACTAATCAGGAAGGAAGGCAGAAAAAGAAAAAAAAAATTTAAACTACCCGTAAAAAAAAAAAAGAAAATCTGAACGCACGTAATTAAAAAAAAAGAAATGCTAAATATAGGAATTATTTTTAAATTTCCCCGTAATTAGTAAACAAATCAAATAATAATAATAAAATTGTATAATTAATATGGAAAGATTATATTTTTGAGCCTCACCAAAGCCAATAAATGATGTAATCAATTCGAATGGTTCCTCATAACAATCTCCACTGTAGTTAATTTATTTTATTTTATTCGTTTTTATGATTATTATTAGGATATTCCGCTTACTTAATTATTCAATTATTATTATTTAGATTTATAATTGTAACATGATATTTCGAAATCTACAACCCCATGTCTTTGTATGAAGTTTGTATTGGTTGAATGATATACGGAAAGGGGATTCCTACAATCCTTTTCCGACAGCAGCCATGGCAATAGTCAATGAAAATAAATCACGATACTATTCCCAAACGAACGAAAAAACAAGCTACATCGTGTTTCATATACCCCTTCCCTCCTTCCCACTTCTAACAGTTTAGCCCCTATCGGATTTTCCTATGGCTCATCATGGCAATATGTGCTACTTCATCTAACTCTTCTTTTGTAACCTCTTCCCCCTTAATTTACCATGCAGATAAGATGGTGACTGAAAACTTTAATCAAAACAAACTTTTTCTATAGAAGTTCTATAAATAGCCTGACGATCAACCCGCTATATTGATGCCCCAAAATTTGAAATTAAATTTATTCAAGAACATCTCGGTTCAAGATGCACAAAACTTTGAATTTAAAATTTTAAATTTTTTTTCTCATTTTTTAGTGTAAACACAATTGCGCAGGAGAAATTGCCCGTTTGGGATGCAAAAAATTTGTATGTGACAGTTACACACTTTTACAACATGTTGTAACCTTCTTATGGAAGTAACCTATGTGTATGTTGTAATTCAACTTCTATTTTATCTAGGTAAACACAATTTAAACAATATACGAAAGAATGATGGTTGTGATTAATCCATGGCGTAAAGATGGCTTTTACCATATACTTTTATGGAACAGTTATAAATCAATGATGTAACCGCTGAAGACTTCAATGAACATTTTTTCACTTTCTACATGATAAAACTACACCAATGACGTCAGAAATAATAAAAATTAAATATTAAACTTAACATAAGCTAAAAAGAAAACAAAATTAATAGGGTAATAGTAAAATAGAATTAAAGATATACTTTTCATGAGAGATACAAAAGTTAAAACAAAGTTGAATTACATTAATAATCCTGCAACAAGAGCAGCAGCACCTAAGAAGGTTCCTGGAACAACAGAACCAGCAGCATCATCTGAAGAAACAACGGCGACAGTAGTAGATGATTCAGTTGCAGAAGTACTTGAAGCAGAGGTGCTTGAAGTTTCAGTGGCAACAGTGATACTTATAGTAGTACTTGGAGTAATAGTTGTAGATGGTAAAATAGTGTAAGTTGGAGCAGTAGTAAGAATAGTAGATTCAACTGGAGCAGGCTGAGTAGCACTTCCACTTTCAAATACAGCAGTAAGAGAAATAGGAATACCACCTTCTGGTGAAGCATTAACATCTCTGACGATAGCTAAAGCAACATTAGAATAATCATATGGATCACTAATATTACCTAAAGCATAGAAACCTGAAGTTGAACCTTCATAAGCTAAGAATCCATTTTCAAAGGTAACACTACTATAATCACCAACAATTAATTCAACGACAGTAATACCATTTTGAGTATTAGTAAAAGTTGAAAATCCTTGTTTAATAGTTGGAGTTGACCACCAATTTAATTGTTGTTCATCACTATCGTAAATAAATGGAACAGTATTAGCAGTAGCAAAGTATCCACCATCATTTCCAACGAAAAGGTATCCAATACCAGCACCTTCATGAGGAGCAGAGACACCACTACCATTAATTGTTTGATCATCAGATGAAACAAATAAGTTAACGTTCAGCAAAGTAGCTAATGCGGAAGAAGATAATAAAGCGAGGGAGGAAATAGTAGTTAAAACTTTCATTTTGAGTTAATAGAGCGATTGACTGATTGGATTGATGGAATATTATTCAATCAAATTCAGAACATTAAAGAACAAATTGTTCGGTATTTATAGTACAAGAATGAACATTGAACATTAGAAAAATCCTTCAATCCAAACTGGGGTAAAATCCATAATAGGAAAATGTCCATAATTGAAAAAATATCGGATACACTGTTCGGGAAGGTATATTCGAAATCCGCTGCCACTTGTATCATTTTAATATACATTTTGAGAATTTTGATGCAAGTTATATTTCGCAGGAAGAAAATTTCTAAATATAGCATTTTGATCCCCCATAATTTGTCAACAAATGTATGATTTTAATTCCAATTATGTAGATATTTACAAATCAGATGACAATGATTTACATCATTGTAAATGTTGGCTTTTGTCACTCTTCAATTGAAATGAACTGCTTACTTTGTACTCCAATTCTTTCATGTATGTTGTTTACTAAAGAGTTACTAATTCAATTTAATTTTTCTTCTATCAAATTCCATCGTTATGACTACCAACATAATCGTTTATTTTTATAAACTTCGTGTTTGGCTAACATTAAAGTTTGGAATTTATATAATATACGAATTAAAAAATGGCTTATATTGTTAAGACCATGCTTGAAAGACAACTTTAATAGGAAAAACGGCTATGACATACCACATTTTAATGAAACTGAAACATTAAACATAACCTAACCCAAACTAAAAGAAAAAGAAAATGGGGTAATAGAAAGAATAGAATTGAAGTTATACTTTTCACGAGAGATACAAAAGTTGGAACAAATTAAAAGTTGAATTAAATCAATAATCCAGCGACAAGAGCAACAGCACCTAAGAAAGTACCTGGAACAACAGCACCGACAGCATTACCTTCAGAAATAACAGCCACAGTAATAGTCGACTCAACAGATGTGGTTGAAGTTTCAATGGCAAGAGTGGCACTTGAAGTAGTAACTGGAGTTTCAGATGAAGCTATGGATGAAGCAGCAGTGGCAGAAGCATTTCCAATCACAGCGGTAAGAGAAATTGGAATACCACCTTCTGGGGATGCACTGAGATCTCTGACGATAGCCAATTGAGATTTAGAATAATTGTATGGATCACTGATATTATAAAGAGCATAGAAACCTTCGGTTGAACCATCATAAGCCAAGTAACCATTTTCAAAGGTAACACCAGTTCCAGACACAGCAACAGTTAATTGAGCAACATCATAACCATGACCAGCATCAGCAACACCAAAATATTCATTAAATCCAGGTTCTAATTGCCAGTATAATCCTTGAGAGGTTGTATTGTAAACTAATGGGGTAGTAGTAGCAGTACCGAAATTACCACCATCATTACCAATAAAAAGGTAATTGATACCAGCACCTTCATGTGGAGCACCAAGACCACTACCACTGATGGAAGTATCGTCCGAGGAAACGAACAATGAAACGTTTTGTAAATCAGCTAAAGCTGAAGAAGAGATTAAAGCGAGGGAAGAAATAGTAGTTAAAACTTTCATTTTGAGTTAGTGCAGCGAATGACTAATTAGTTGATAATATATTTATTCAATAAAAGATTAAATTTGCAAAAAAGATTAAAATTAAAGAACTAATTCATTGATATTTATAAAAAAAATTATAGTTCAAGTATCAAGTTTCCTTCCTACTAATTTTTAAACATCGATGGTGCAAAATATGATTGCAATAGATTAGGCAGTCTTAGAAACCATTGAACAATAACGATATCCTATTTAAGTTGTGTTAAAGCTGGAAAACTTCTATAATTAGAAACTCTCGGATATTATACTATTTGGGCAGGTGAAATATAATAATTAAAGCCGCCATTTATATTAAATTCATTAAATATTTTAATCAATGGGATATACAAAGTTATTCAATTTAGAATTTATCTCCGAGAAGCTTGCATTTATCCAGTTGCTAAATTTAGCATTTGACCCCATAAACAGATGAAGGAAGCTTACAAATCAGATGAAATAGATTAAAAAGATTTAAAATGGTGCCTTCTAACACCGAAATAACTTACTTTAAATAATCGGGGATACTAAAGAGTTAACATGTCTTTAATGACGTCAGAACAAATAAATATTAAACAGAAACTAACCTAAACTAAAATAAAACAAAAACATTAGGATAATAAATACAACAGAATTAACAAAATACATAATTTTTGAAGAAGATGCAAAATTAAAAGCAAGTTGAAAGCTGAATTACATTAATAATCCAGCAACAAGAGCAGCAGCGCCTAAGAAGGTTCCTGGAATAACAGCACCAGCAGCATCACCTGAAGAAATAACAGCAACAGTAGTGGTAGATTCGACAGCAGAGGTAGTTGAGGTTTCAGTGGCAACAGTGGTGGTTGGAGCTGATGAAGTAGTGGATGAAGCAGCAGTAGCAGAAGCACTTCCAAATACAGCAGTAAGAGAAATTGGAATACCACCTTCTGGGGATGCACTGAGATCTCTGACGATAGCCAATTGAGATTTAGAATAATTGTATGGATCACTGATATTATAAAGAGCATAGAAACCTTCGGTTGAACCATCATAAGCCAAGTAACCATTTTCAAAGGTAACACCAGTTCCAGACACAGCCACACTTAATTGAGCAACAGCTCCAGAGACACCAAAATACTCAATAATTCCGGGTTCTAATTGCCAATATAATCCTTGAGAAGTTGTATTGTAAACCAATGCTATGGTATTGGCAGTACCAAAATTGCCACCATTACTACCAATAAAAAGGTAATTGATACCAGCACCTTCATGTGGAGCACCAAGACCACTACCATTGATGGAAGTATCGTCCGAGGAAACGAACAATGAAACGTTTTGTAAATCAGCTAAAGCTGACGAAACTAATAAAGCGAGGGAAGAAATAGTAGTTGAAACTTTCATTTCAAACTAATAGAGCGAGTGAATGATTGATCGTCGAATGTTATATTATTTATTGAAAGAAGGAAATTTGAAAATATCTTGAAGAGTATCTATATTTCAGAATAAAGCTGCACTTACAATAGTTTTTTAACATTGATGATTTAAAATGTGGGTGAAATAGGCTTAACAAATAAATTAAAGTTATCTGGGGTAAATTCATAAAACTTCTAAAATTAGAAAGAATATTTTGTTGTTCGGGGATATAAAATCCGCCCTTTTACTTTGCATATGAGAGTTTTGAATACAGGTATAAAGTTGTCGGAAAAACTTTTTTGCATTTTAAGCGAAGAAAACAGTTGCTAAAATAGGATTTGACCCATTTGAAGAAAGTAATTCCAAACATGGAGAGAGCGTATATTAGATTTGGTAGTTGTACAGAATATCCCAAATACAACTACGACACAAATCTTAATGACGTCAAAAAATTAAACATTAAACTTAACCTAACCTAAACTAAAAGAAAACTAAAACATTAGGATAATAAATACAACAGAATTAACAAAATATGTACATCTTACGAATTATGTCGAAGAAATAACAAAATCACATTAACAACCCAGCAACAAGAGCAGCAGCACCTAAGAAAGTACCTGGGACAATAGCACCATCAGCGTTACCTTTATATATAACAGCAACTGTAGTAGTAGATTTAGCTGCAGATGTGGTTATAGTTTGTGTGGCAACAGTTGAAACTAGAGCTGGAGCTTTAGTAGATGACGGAACTGGAGCTTTAGTTGATGGTGGAGCTGGAGGAGCAGAAGATGCACCTCCAAATACAGCAGTCAAAGAAATTGGAATACCTCCTTTTGGTGAAGCATCAAGATCTCTAACAATGGCTAAACTTCCCTTCGAATAATTATATGGATCACTAATATTACCTAAAGCGTAGAAACCTTTAGTTGAACCTTCATAAGCCAAGAACCCATTTTTGAAGGTAACACCAGTTCCAGAAACTGCTATACTTAATTGAGCAATACCATAACCAGCTGAACCATCAGCAGAAACACCGAAATATTGACTTAAATCAGGTTGTGATTTCCAGAATAATCCTTGATAAGTAGTATTATAGACTAATGGGATTGTATTAGCATTTACAAATTTACTACCATCACTAGCATCGAAAAGATAATTGATACCAGCACCTTCATGCGGGGCACGGACACCACTTCCATTGATAGAAGGGTTATCAGAAGTAACAAATAATGAAACTTCTTGTAAAGCAGCTAAAGCTGAAGAAGCTAATAAAGAAAGGGGTGCAACAAGTCTCATTTTTATATTTTTACTATAGCGAATGAATCGATCGATGGTATAACATTGAATAAAACATTACAATTGAACAACAAGTTAATCTGTATATATACTTGAAGAGGAGTCAGCCAAAAACTCTAATTTAATTATCCCTTAAACATCGTTAAACCATCACTCATTCTTTAAACGTTGAACTCGATGTTGGTGGTGGTGTAATACTGTTTAAAGCATAGATGGTGTAACACTATTTAAAAAAGATGCTGGTATAACAAGGTAAAAATGGCTGCAAAGGGATTATTCTTAGGCTTAACAACTATCGAGCAATAGAGGTATCGTACAATCCAATCTGAGTTAAGTGGGGAAAACTTCTATAATTAGAAAGTATCAGATGCTTTAGACTATTAAGGGAGCAAATTTACAGATACCGCCATTTACATTAAGCTTCTTACTTACAGAATATGGTATACTTAAAGTTATAAAGAATCGAATCTGAGGATTTTGATGAATTAACGTTTTGAATTTTAATTCGGAGAAAACTCCTTTCCAACCGCAAAACGAAGAAAATTGCTAAATATAGTATTTGTCCCTCCCCATAATTTGTTTGTACACAAAACAAAGAAGTTAATTTCAATTATGGAGAGATTTATAAATCTGATGACAATAGATTAAATATTTTAAAAACGGCTTTGACACTCCTCAATTAAAGTAACTTACTTTATGCTATTTCCTTTATATATTACATTTAATTCAGAGGTGGTAACTTGAAAATAAATAATGCTCTCGTGAAATCTACAACTCAACTTTTCCAACTTGTATGAAGTGAATGGAGTGAAAATCACCAATACAACTAACCGTAATATGAATAATCCAAAATAGTCATATTAATTACAAAGACAGTAATAAGGTCATGTATGAAAAGTGCGTCGAGTTTCATTTACCCCTTTCCAATATTAATCTTGGCTTCTATCTTAATTTCATTGTCATTACTACCAACATCATTGTCTACTCCACCAACTTCTTGGTTATACCATCAATTCCTCCTCTCATTTCTTATGCTATCTGCAATTAAGACTAAGTAAGAATTCTGTATAAACAGTTGAGCAGTAACATGCTTAAATCAAGAGCAATTAAAACATCAGTTTAGAATCTTCGGCTTAAGATGCATAAAACTTGTTTCTCTTTTGTGATCAGATATTTTTTTATTTTCCCATACGAGCGAAAACCCCTAAAAAATATCGGCAAATAAAAATTTTTGGGTTCAAGGAGTCAGTTACACACTTACACATGGTAGTACTTTAAAGGGCCTCTTTACTAGAGATTGTTGAATGGTCCAACTCGACTTATATCTTGTCAAATACGCGAATGAGCTGTAATATAAGAATTCAATAGGGCGTCTATGCTTTAATATTGGCTCTAATAGGAATAATACAGTTTGAGATTAAGGTAAATTTGATATAAAATAGCCCTAAATACAACAACTACAGCAAATATTTTTAATGACATTAAAATTAAATATTAAACATAAACATAAACAAATTAATAAGCTAAGGTATAAAGAATCAATTCAATTGAACTTTTAAAAGGTATACTCTCATAAGAGATGAAAAAAGGCAAACAACTTATAAGCTAAATTACATTAACAATCCAGCAACAAGAGCAGCAGCGCCTAAGAAGGTACCTGGAATAACAGCACCAGCAGCATCACCTGAAGAAATAACAGCAACAGTAGTGGTAGATTCGACAGCAGAGGTAGTTGAGGTTTCAGTGGCAACAGTAGTGGTTGGAGCTGATGAAGTAGTGGATGAAGCAGCAGTAGCAGAAGCACTTCCAAATACAGCAGTAAGAGAAATTGGAATACCACCTTCTGGGGATGCACTGAGATCTCTGACGATAGCCAATTGAGATTTAGAATAATTGTATGGATCACTGATATTATAAAGAGCATAGAAACCTTCGGTTGAACCATCATAAGCTAAATAGCCATTTTCAAAAGTAACACCAGTTCCAGAAACAGCCACACTCAATTGAACAATACCATAACCAGCTGGACCAGCTGGAGACACACCGAAATATTGGTTAAAGTTTGGTTGAGATTGCCAAAATAATCCTTGGTAAGTAGTGTTATAAATTAATGGAGTAGTATTGGCAGTACCAAAGTATCCACCGTCATTACCAACGAAAAGATAATTGATACCAGCACCTTCATGTGGGGCACTAATACCACTTCCATTAATTGAAGTATCATCAGAAGTAACGAATAATGAAACGTTTTGTAAATCAGCTAAAGCTGAAGAAGCCAATAAAGCGAGGGAGGAAATAGTGGATGAAATTCTCATGTTGTAGATATAACGAATGATACTAGCGAATGTAATTGATAGTTATAATTAATAAATTCAGAAAGAAAAATAAATAGAAAAATGAAAGGCATTTAATTTGAAGAATTACTGAACTATTTATAATCAAAGATTCTTACATCATAAGAATCTATGGCTTTTATTGACCGAATTATTTGAATTAAATTGAAATAGGGAATCCTTTCATGCAATTACTAAGAAACCGTGTGCCATAATAAATAACCAACAATTGTGTGGAGATACATCATACTACACCGGTTAGAATAGTACTTAATGAAAAAAAATAAGCTGTATCCACACACCCCTATACGGACTAAAACCAAATAAATGTAATTAAAAATGGACAAAGAACATACATATTAGGTAATTATTACCAAAAAAGTCTTCCTTCCACAAAAACTAATATAGTCGTAAATAGGAAGCTTATGAACGAATTATAACAAAAATTGACTCCGCTTTATCATCCGAGCCTGAAATAAAATTTAACATGCATGTAATTGAAGTACACAAAACCATGTTTCTATTTTTAGCCATTGTGAGCCCCACTGAAGCCAAACCCCATCAGACAAATAAACAACTGGCCACAAATTTTGTGTGGCCTTGGTACATATAAACACTTCCGTTGCAGTGTGGATGTGTGGTATATATCCACGATTCCTTATTTTGGAAATAACCATTGAATGTAAATATTTACACTATAAAATAGTTTTAAATTTCAGCTTATTCATTACGACACAATGCAATTGATTGACCAGATAATATTACAATGTCTTCATATTATTAGTTTTAATATTAATGTTCTAATTTACAAACTTTTTATTTACTTAGATCTACTCTAATATTCACTAGCTTTATATTGAATGAATCTGCCAAGATTCATCAATGTTTCAGTACCTTTTGCTTTTGAACTTGGATACTTGTTCTTATCAATTTTCTTGGTAAACTCCTTAAATTTTCTTTCAATTGATGTTAATCTTTGAAGATAATTTTGTTGAACAAAGATCTCATTATCATATTCAAAATCTTTATCACCAAAAATATCAAATATTAAATTAATACTTTCATTTACAATCTCAATGCTTAATCCTTCATTATCTTTTTTAATGGTTCCTGATGTGAGTATTTCAATGGTTGCCAATAAGAATTCAGATATTTTAAATGTCTTTTCAGTATTACCAATGATTGGAGCTAAGTTACCTAAGAATCCAACACTTGATAACAAGAATTCCCAATCATCGTCAGCATTTGATTGTTGTTCCTTTTCTTGTTGGTTTTTCACAATGCTATTACATTTATTTAATAATTCTTCGATCATACCATCTTGGATCTTTGGTTGAACTTGTGGGCCCAATGCTTTTGTCAAACTCCAAAACATATTTAAACAATTCTTTTGTAAATTCTTGTCTTCAGTTTTAGAACTTATCTTAACAGTTAAATCCCATAATTGTAAACTCTTTTCAAACCATTCAATAGGTAAATTTTCATTACTTAACATTAACCATGATAAATTAATAAGACTGACTAATAATTTTTCAATCAATGATAAGATAAATTCATTATCCAATTCGAAATTAATTAATTCAACTAAACTTGGATATATCTTGTTTAATAATATTTCTAATAATCCATTAGATAATGTAATTGGTTCTTCAATATTTTCTTCATTAATGGATAAATATTCAATAATGGAAGTGATCAAATCAAGAGAAATTTCTAAAGAACTTAAATCGACCTTTAATTGTTTCTTAACATCTTGATCTTTGGTTAATTCAGTTTCCATAACAGTCGATGATCCTTCACCCTTTTGAATAGGTTGTTGAGAATTGTCAGGCTGATTAATAGATTGTAAAGTTTCTTTTAGTTCATCTAAATCAATTTCAATGATTAAATTGAAAATAGTAAGAAGAATTTCTTCACTGACAAGACTTTTATTGATGACTCTTTGGGTTTGTTCGATTTCTAAGTTATTGAATTTGATACCAATAAGGTAAATCTTAGTCAATCTATTGAATGAATCTTTACTTTCGACATATTGAGCTGTGGCATCTATATTGAATTCAGGAATAGCATTAATCTTTTGAATGAAATCAATTGATTCAGTGGATAATTCATAGATAAATTCTAATAATGAATTAAACATCGCATTTGAAAATTTGAATTCTCTTTGATTTAATAATTTAATAACTAATGTTAAAACAGGATCAATCTTATCAAATACAGATTCAAATAAATCGGTTGATCCTTCACTTAAAGTAACAATTAACGACAAGATATTTTCAGTAAAATCATATAACAATTGAACTTTTGATTTATCATTCTTATTAGTATGGTTTTCAATCAAATATTGAAATGATTTTTCAATCTTTCCCAATGCACCCTCAATACTAGTCCATATTCCTGATCTCCAATAATGTTTAAGTACATCATAACCTTCTTCAATACCAATGTTTCTCAATAATCCAAATGATTCAACCACAATCTCATCGTTAGAATCATTCAAACATTGTTCCATGATGATACTGACAAGTTTTTCCTTTAATAACATCTTTCTCATTCTTGAGTCTTCACATAAAACAGTAATTGCTGCAAGGGCCATTGATCTATCATTAGGAATACTGGATTGCAATTTGTTCAATAACGGTAAGATCTTGGATTGTCTAGTACTTTCATCCTTTTTCCCATCTCCATTTTCCTTCGCAGATTTAGGATTGGATCCAAGTGGATTCTGTCTTGATTTGTTATTCTTTCTATTCCTCTTAAGTTTCCCCATCCTTTCCACTGACTGGTTGATTCGTTTGGTTGTAAGTAAATCATAGTCATAAATTTTGATTTTACAGAATTTTTTTTGTACTAGTGATGGACATCACTACCGCAGTACTTTACTGAAAATATATAGTGGGCTCCTACAAATATCAGATGGTTTTAATTTAATCATGTCTATTGATGATAATATCTCTATGTACAGTATAACATCTATTAGAAAAGCATATTCAAAAATCAATCGAATCAATCTTTGGCAGTTCCATCAATTTGATCTCGTAGTTTTTCAAATTCAGTTGTGTTCTTAAGTTCTTGTTCTTGAACATACTTATCCTTTAACTCAGGATGTAAAGCAATCTTGATTTGAGTTTTAATATCTTGGATACTGGTTGGTATATTGTTATCATCCTCTGGGATATCTATATCATCTCTTAAATTACCTTCTTCCTTTAACTTGGCCCTATAATTATTAGTTAGTACTTTTGTCAATATCAAAGGTAATGATGGCGAGTGGTGATACTTACACAATGATTGGTTTCCAGAATTTAAGACCACAATACCAACTGGCAACAGATACACCTACTATAGTAAGTGCCAGAACAGCTCTACTCAGCATTATATATATATATGTGGTGGATTTAAGTTGAACTGTTGACTTCAACAGTGTGGTCTGAACAGTATCAGTTTTTTTTGAGTTCAATTTCAATGCGAATTTTAAAATTTGGGTGCAATTAATTCTACAATTATCAAAATGATATAAACACAAAGGATATATGAATTTAATATAACTAGAGAACTGAAACATTTTAGAACTTAAAAAATAATAACAAATAATATAACTGAAATAAAAATAAAAAATAAAATCCGTAACAAATAACCAAAAATAATAAAAAAACTCACTCAATTTTTAACCAAATCAATCAATCAATCAATTTCAGGAGGTAAAGCTCCATCCAAATTGTCAAGATCACTTTCGTATTCACTGTCTTCATTGTCATCTTCATCATCATCATCGTCTTCTTCCTCGTCTTCTTCTTCACTACTGGCTTCATCGTCAACAGCATCATCACTGGTCCTCTTTTCATCAGGGTTACAACCAACTACACCCCATTTAATACTAGTGACAACTTCAAGACGTTCTAAGATTTCACACATTGGAGTGAATAATCCAAATTGTTTGAATTCACCATCATAAGAATGTAACATACCAACTACACCTAAACCTTTAGAATACTTACTATTTTCAACATCTTCTAATTTAGTTAAAATCCATGATCCACTATCACCTCCAGAGGCAAAAGCGCTATTGGTTTCAATTGCATTAACGATGAATTCCGAAGAATGAATAGCACCATCTAACCAATAAACTAATTTTACACCATTTAAATTACCCTTGGTGAATTTGGTAGTTGAACCATATTTAAATACTGGTAAACCACTATAATTAGATGATCCAGTTGAATTAGATGAAATATCAGAATCTACTTCATCAATATTTAAATCAATAGTACGGGGAGAGTATCTTCTTAAATCAATAACTTCTCTCACATAAAGATTATCAAACATTAAAGCAGGATCAAATTCATTAAATGATATATCATCACCCAAGTAATTTTGATCACAAATTAAATTCTTATTCACTTTAATAATAGCAAGATCAGAAAGACGTTTTTCAATCTTAGAATCTTTGGGATCCTTTTCTTTATCTTCTTTATTATTGACACTGATTAAAGTTCTTTCACCCCAAATAATTTGACCAAATCTATTTCTAGGTAAATTTCTAGTTTCATATCTTTCTTGTTTAGTCTTTGCATCGACAATTTTAACTCGTTTCAAGGGGAACATTTCTTCTAATTGATTCAAGACTGCACCATAAGCTACTTTAGATTCAGCAATGAAATCATCTGTATTATCAATCTTATGATATTGAGCCAATAATGCTTGTTTATATAATGAAATTAACACTGATGATGGTGCTGAAACATGAGGATATTCAGTAGCAGTTGAATTAGTATTGTCAAGACAAACATGACCACATGAAATGGCGAATTTTGAATTGGCGTATGATTGTAAATGTTTTTGCTTTTTGACGTCAATGATTGGATATATATAACCACCAACAGTACCTGAAGTACGAGAAGAGTTTTCTATTGATAAAGAAAGTGATATAGGAGGTTTATTAACATCAGTTGGGATTCTGAATGGTAATTTAAACTTTTGAACTAATGGATGATGAATTAAAGGTTGATCATGTAAACTTTGCTGATAAGCACTCATTTCACTAACCTTTTGAGATTCAACTTGACCACTGGCTAATTCTATTTTATTTTTCATAACAAGAATGTGAATATCATCATATAAATCATGAAGACTTCTGGTTAACTTATGATGATAATCTGATGGTTCAGGATAACCGAAATATAAACATAAGATTTTTAAATCTTTACTTATACCACGAGTTATAGGGGCTATAAATGAACCATTCTGTTCTTTTACTGAGATAGATGTTTTAGCTATTTTATCAATGATTCTTACTAATATGTCCTCATTTGGTAATGATGTACCGTTATTATTCCCAATAGAAAAGTTTTGAGGTTTTATCATAGTTTGTGGTATTTGATTTGAATTATTTGAATTCAAAGTTTGGGAAAAGTCATTGAAGTTTTTTACTAATAATAATTTCAACTTGATATAAACATCTTCCACTAATAAGTTATCGTAAAAGTTAAGATATATCTTTAAAATTTTTCTTAATGAAGAGTTATTATACGTAGTGAAATTCCATCCTAATGATTTTGGATTATGTAAATTTTGATCAACAAAAACTATGAATTTCTTAAAACAATCGATGGAATTTATAACAGCAGTGGTTAAATTAATCATTGAGTTATTAAACTGATTCAAAATAAACCCCAAATCATCAGATAATTGTCGAAGCTTTTCTGAAATAATTTCATACGGAGTTTTTGAACTTTCATTATTTTCTTCGAGGATATCTAAAATCTGTAATGGTTGACCAACTGTGAATGAGTCCTTCTTATTGCTAGTGAAGCCACTACCTGTACTCTTATATGATGATTGTTTAGTTGAAAATGACTTTCTACTTTGAGAAAAGATTGATTTGTCAACATATTCCGAATCCTTAGTGAATACAGATGCAGATTTAGTGTTCAGAATGGAAGGATTCAAGTTCAAACTGAGATCGTTGTTGAAGTTGAATGATATTTCTTTCTTATCCTGCTTATTTTGACTATCCATCTTTGACTTATTACTATCAAACATTGGTTGAAGATCTTTTACTGAATCATGGGATTCACTGGTACTATTACTCTTGCTAGGAGCCAAGCTTAACGAGGATGATGGAGGAGGAGGAGCGGTTTCCTTGTCGGCATCCGACTTACGAGATCTATTCAAGAATCTTTTCATCGACATGATGGCCTTCTGATGGTATCCCGTTGGATGTTGTCTTGTTCTTGTGGTTGTTCTTGTACTACCTTCGTAACTGTTATCTCTCTCCTCATTATGACCAAATTTTTCTGTTTGTTAAATTTCGTGTACGTGTGAAAACCAATTGCTAGAAAATGTCGTGTTGGAATAGGAGAAAATCGGACGACATTATTGACCCGCTTTTTAAATTATATCACACGACATTTCCCCATAAACCCCAAAAATTGAAAAAGCGAAGAACAGTTGTCATGATGGGCTACAACTTTTACTTATTAGGTTGATTTCAATTAATAACGATCATAATTGTATATAGTATCAGTTATAACTACTTTGATTAGATAGTGGATTTGATTTATATTGAAAAATACCAGTTTTCTGCTGTTTGTTACTGTTCAAATTGATTGTATTCTTTGAAACAACATTTATCATTTTCATTAAATTAGATTCTCCGCATTTCCATTATTGGTTGTACAAGTTGATATTTTAGTTATTTAAGGTAGTTTAAAGCACCCAGAGTTGTCATAATACTATTTGAAACTATTCTATTGATATAATTTTTAAGTTTATAAGACCAAGATGCCAGTATACTCGATTTCGCACGTTGAAAACGTTCGAGTATGTGTTGTGATGGTTGGTTTGCCAGCTAGAGGGAAATCATTAATAGCTCAAAAGATAGTAAGATATCTCTCATGGTTATCTATCAATTCAAAATGTTTTAATGTGGGTAATTATCGTCGTCAACTTGCCGGCACTGAAGATATTAATGCTGCTTTTTTTGATTCGAATAATGCCGAGGGGTTGAAATATAGAAGAGAAGCAATTGATAATGCCGTTACTGATATGATGAAGTGGTTTCTGGATGAAAATGGAGTAGTGGGTATTTTAGATGCTACTAACTCAACTAGAGAAAGACGTGATAGAATATTGAAATTATGTAGAGAAAACTTGATTGAACCAATGTTTTTAGAAAGCTTTTGTGACGATGATGAATTAATTTTACAAAATATTTTAGATGTTAAGACTACATCCCCTGATTATGTGGATAAAGATAATGAATTTGCAACCCAAGATTTTTTACAAAGAATCAAATTTTATGAAGAAATTTACGAAACTATGGATCAAGCTACTGATTCAGATTTAACATTTATTAAATTAGTCAATGTTAATTCTCAGATTATCTTGAATAGAATTGAAAGTTACTTAGAAAGTCGTATTGTTTATTACGTTATGAATTTACATATTAAACCAAGATGTATTTGGTTATCAAGACATGGTGAATCAGAATACAATTTGACAGGTCAAATTGGTGGTGATTCAAACTTATCAGATAGAGGAATGAGATATGCTAAAAAGTTGCCTGACTTAGTTTTAAAATCGTTAGGAGAAGAAAACAAACATACCAATTTAACAGTATGGACTTCAACTTTAAAGAGAACTCAACAAACAGCTTCTTTTTTGCCATATAAAAAGAAGTTGCAATGGAAAGCATTAGATGAATTAGATGCTGGTGAATGTGATGGTATGACTTACGAAGAGATTGAAAATAAATTTCCTGAAGATTTCAAAGCTAGAGATGATGATAAATATGAATATAGATATAAAGGAGGTGAATCATATCGTGATATCGTTATAAGATTAGAACCTATCATTATGGAATTAGAACGTCAAGAAAACATTTTAATTATAACTCATCAAGCGGTACTAAGATGTCTTTATGCCTATTTCATGAATGTGCCTCAAGAAGAAAGTCCATGGATGTCAATTCCATTGCATACCTTAATTAAGTTAGAACCAAGAGCATACCTGACTCTTGTAAGTAGGATAAAAGCAGATATTCCTGCCGTCAGTACCTATAAAGAAAAAGGAACTTCTCAATTAGGTGAAGCATCAGGTCCAAATATTTCGAAGAGTAGAGATCTTATCAAAGATAGTGATGTCGTTTAGAAAGTCTTTTTTTTAGCATAGAAAAATACACATACTATATTTATTATACCATACTTAATGAAATGTAATTCATTATTATTGTTAACGATAAATAGCCTATTATATTATTATACAGAATTATACAGTCTAAATAAGCTATCAAATATGGGTTAGAAGTATAGTAAAGGTAAAAGCAAAAGCAAAAGAAAATCGAGTAGCGTTGTATCATATCATATATCTCTATAAAGAAACACCACCCATTTTCTTCTAGATTCATTAAATAATGCAAAGAGTTTAGAAAGGAACAAGTGAGAAATGACATTGATTTGATAGACTAACTGCTATCCGCATTAGCATACTTTTTAGCTTGTTCTCTAACCTTCTTTTCATATAAGGATCTATCTTTACTGAAAGCTTTCCAAGCTGGTTCTTGTGCTGGAGAATCTGGATTTGGAGAATCTAATAATTCTTGAACTCCCAATACTATTTGTTTTAAAGTTATAGCAGGTCTCCAATCTTGTTCTTCATTTAAAATAGAAAGACAAATAGTACCACTTGGATAAACATTTGGATGATAGAACCCAGCAGGGAATTTGACCTTTGGAGGCTTTGAAGGATATTCATCTGGGAATGTAATATTAATAGGATAAACGGCATCTTGCCACAATGTTGTAGCCTTTCCTGGTATACCTGCATTCCATATTTTTAAATTAAGGGAGCCATCCAGGTCCTTGACAGGTTTAGCATAAAATCCAAAAGGATGATCTTTCCTCCACTGTTTTCTTTCTTCTTGTAACCTAGTATTACAAAGTGACATCTTATACTCCACAACTCTGTCTTTGACTAATAAAAAGCAAGCAAAACCTGATTATTGATTTCAATATGCTCTTCAAAACTTAGAGTTCGTAAGACATCTTTGGGTTACCGCTCTTTTGATATACAATCAAAAAAATCAAAATTGAACCTTGTACACGACCAGGATTTTTCATACGTTTAAACATCAAAGAGTGTCAGAATTCTATATAGATGGAATCAAATATATATTAATTTCGATTGATTTGACCACACCATAATAGATGACTACCGAAATAGTGGATCAAATTGAAATTCTGGATCTCATTATAGACCCATATACAAAGACATCATATGTTAAGCCAGAATCAAAGAACAATTCCTTCATAAATGAAATATTAGAACCATCAAACGAATTATCTTGGGATATATTAGACTTGGTTCAACAAGTTCCTGAAGTCAATAAACTAAAGTTATATGAAGAACTCTTAGCTGTGCCGCAAAGTATCAGTCGTACTTCTTATAGATTCAAAAGATCTGGATTGAATGGAGATGTGACGCGATGTACAGAAGAAATTCAACTCAGTGAAGTTGAAAATGCCAATTCCAGTAATTCTTTATCAATTAATAGAAAATATACCGCTAAGGGTGATCTGTTATCAGGAAAGTCTACATTTTTACCATTCCAACCCGGTGGGATTGTAACGCTGTCAACAAAGAAAGATGCTACAGAGTTTTTGCATAGAAATGAAGTAGGATTATTTGACTGGCCTCAAGGTCTTTCTAGAGGACTTCATATTCCAGAGCTGAAAAACAGTGATACATCAGTGATAGAACTTGGCCAAGCTCAAGAAGCTGGCGATGAAGGAAGTGACGATAAACTTGTATCAGAGTGGGATTTGCAAAAAGAGACAAAGGACAACGGAAGCAAAGTAGTTGGAACTTTGCCATATGATTCTTCAGAGATAGATGGATTGGTACCGTTGGATTATTCCAGCATAAAAAATGAATCAAATGAAGATAAGGAAAAAGATAATAAATCATGGGCCCATGTTGTGGAATTAGATCATAAGATTGAGAATTTCAATGAACTTGTGCCAAATATGGCCAGAGAATGGCCTTTCGAACTTGATACTTTCCAAAAGGAAGCTGTATATCATTTGGAACAAGGTGATTCTGTTTTCGTGGCTGCTCATACTTCAGCTGGTAAGACTGTGGTTGCTGAATATGCTATAGCGATGGCCAATAGAAATATGACGAAGACCATTTATACATCCCCAATCAAAGCTTTATCAAATCAAAAGTTTAGAGATTTCAAAGAAACCTTCAAAGATGCTGACGTGGGTTTAATCACAGGTGATGTTCAAATCAACCCTGAAGCAAATTGTCTTATTATGACCACTGAAATTCTTAGGTCAATGTTGTATAGAGGTGCTGATTTAATTAGAGATGTCGAATTTGTGATCTTTGATGAAGTGCATTATGTTAATGATATTGATAGAGGTGTTGTCTGGGAAGAAGTTATTATTATGTTGCCAGATCACGTTAAATTCATCTTGTTATCCGCCACTGTTCCTAATACATTCGAATTTGCCAATTGGATTGGTAGAACTAAAAGAAAGGATATTTATGTCATTTCAACTCACAAACGTCCAGTTCCATTAGAAATCTTCATAGGTGCAAAAGATCAATTATTCAAGGTTGTAAATGCACAAAGACAGTTTGTGGAATCAGAATTCAAGAAGCATAAGGATCTTTTAGAGAAGAAGAAGGAAGGTCCACCCAATGCAGTAATGGGATCTGGAAGTCGTGGAGGACCAGGAGGTAGCGCTAGAGGAGGAAATAGAGGTGGTGCTGGAAGAGGAAATGCTAGGGGTGGACAAGGTAGAGGTGGACAAGTTGCAACCAGAGGTAGAGGGAACTTCCAGGGTAAACCCCGTTTTGGTCAAGATGGACCTAATAAAAATACATGGATATCCTTGGTGCAATACTTAAAGAAGGAGAACTTGTTGCCTGCTGTTGTGTTCGTGTTTTCTAAAAAGAAGTGCGAAGACTACGCCGATTCCTTAAAAGGTGTTGATTTCTGTAACGCCAGAGATAAATCTGAAATCCATATGTTTATTGATAGGGCTGTTGCTAGATTAAAGAAGGAAGATAGAGAGCTTCCTCAAATTATAAAAGTAAGAGAAATGCTTAGTAGAGGTATAGCGGTTCATCATGGTGGTTTATTACCAATTGTCAAAGAATGTATTGAAATTCTTTTTTCAAAAACATTAGTCAAAGTATTATTTGCTACTGAAACATTTGCTATGGGTTTAAATTTACCAACCAGAACAGTTGTTTTCAGTTCTACAAGAAAGCATGATGGTAGAAGTTTTAGAAACTTACTTCCTGGTGAGTTCACCCAAATGTCAGGTAGAGCTGGTAGAAGAGGATTGGATCCTACTGGTACTGTTATTGTCATGGCATATAATGATCCTATTTCCCAATTAGACTTCAAAGAGATTGCATTAGGAATGCCTACAAAGTTACTGTCTCAATTTAGATTAACATATAATATGATTTTGAATTTATTGAGAATTGAAGCTCTTAAGGTGGAAGAAATGATAAAACATTCATTCAGTGAAAACTCAGCTCAAGTGTTACTTCCTGAAAATCAAAAGAAAGTTGAAAAATTATCAATTCAATTAAAAGACATAGAGAAACCGAAATGCTTCAATTGTAAACTTGAAAGTATGATGGAAGTCTATGATTTGGTTACGAAATATGAAAAATTATATGGAGAATCTGTCATTGAAATCCATAAACTGGCTACCTTAAAGACTCAAATTCTTAAAATTGGGCGTGCTACAGTATTCAGAGATAAGTCAGACTGTGTGAAGTTAGGATTTGTTGTCAGATCTGATTCTGCTAACAGTGCTGTTTTGTTATTAACTTTCAATCATGGTGCAGAATATGAAAATGATGTAGAGAAATTCAAACAACCATTTATTCCACATAAGACTTACTTGAAAAATAATTTTAAAAAGATAAAGTATAGCGGAAATTTGAGAGTTGAATCTGTTCCTTATAATAAAGTGGTTTTCATATGTAGATATGGATTGAAATCTTCCATATCTGACATTTTAAGAAATGATACTGAGGTCGTTAATGAGGCGGTGAACCATATAAAGGTTTTACTTAAATTCCAATTCCAATGGGAAGAGCTTGAGCTTGGAAAGAGTGCTCTGATTAATCTACACAATACAGTAATAGAGAAGAACAATATTTTGACAAAGCTTGATATAACCTTAGCTTTCTATTGTGCCGAATTTAAGGAGCATTATCAAATTATCCATAAGATAGATACTTTACAAACAGAAATTGACCATTTGAATCGATTAATTTCTGATGAGAATTTAGATTTATTACCCGATTATGAGCAACGTTTACAAGTATTAGGAGAGTTAGGATTCATTGACGAACAACAGAATGTCGTCTTGAAGGGAAGAGTAGCATGTGAGATTAATTCTGGTTGGGAGCTTATTATCACTGAATTAGTATTGGATAATTTCTTAGGTGACTTTGAAGCTGAGGAAATAGTGGCGTTACTTTCATGTTTTGTTTATGAAGGTAGAACTAATGAAGACGAACCACCATGTATCACTCCAAGATTAGAAAAGGGAAAGACCAGAATCCTTGAAATCGCAAAGAAGATGATTGGAGTATATTCTGAAAAGCAAGTTATATTAACTTCAGAAGAAGAAGAATTCCTTGAAAGAAAAAGATTTGCTTTAATGAATGTTGTATATGAATGGGCAAGAGGTCTTTCCTTCAATGAAATCATGGAAATGAGTGTTGAAGCTGAAGGTACCATTGTTCGTGTTATAACAAGATTAGATGAAATTTGTCGTGAAGTGAAGAACGCTGCATTAATCGTCGGTGATTCAACTTTACATGCTAAAATGAGTGAAGCTCAAGAAAGAATTAAAAGAGATATTGTTTTCTGTGCTTCTTTATATTTATAAGCATAACTATGTACATATTCTAATATTACAGACTTAGACGTAGTATATATATATACGTTTAAGATTTATCTTTATACAATTCCACTGCCAATTGAATGAGACCCAAATTTCCATTTATAATTTTACCCATTAGTATTTCCTCTTGAATGTCTTCTTTTTTGAATTTTTTGCAAAGTAATCCCACCATTGTATAGAAACTTCCAACCGATGTAGCATCTAAGATCTTCTCTCGCATGTCACCGAATTGCATTCTGTATCTTGGACCTAACCTACTAACACCCTTAAAAGGTAACACTGCTTTGTATAATAAGTTTCGCTTCATGAATTCGGTAACTACGATATCTGAATTGTGAAATAAATCGAGTTCTTCAGCCAAGTCACCCGATGGAGATGAAAGGTACCTTTCATCCATATAAACTGTTTGAAGTTTTACATTCAATGAAATGAAAGATCGTCCAAGGACCCTAAGCGTATCGGTTTCGTAACTAACTTTCGAAGTGGAGAAATTATTCTGTCGAGAACTTGTTTCATCACCATTATCGAAATCGAGTTCCAAATTTGTTAATCCACACATAATACTTAACTTTTCATTCAACAGAAGTGGGAATTTATCTCCTAAAAAGGACTGAATCGGATCTGTTCTCTTATTCAAGAATTCTTCAAAGTCTGGATCTTCCTCTAACACTTGTAAAATATGTTTGCTATTACCTAAACCTTTTCTGTCTATAAATTGTGAATTGAAGTCTATCAGGGAATGACTATAAAACGATGGTTTCATACCATCATAGGTAACTCTTGCCTTAGAGTTTGCCTTGGTGTTGCAAAGGTAGAGATCAGCCAGCAGTACTTCAGGGACCATTGATATGGAAGTAGATAATGAACGAGACGGGCATCTTCGTATGACTCTTAGCAGCTGACCATTTAGTCGTAGTAGCATATCAATATATGAATTATGAAGTTGGTTGGATGGATATGGCATGCAATAGAGGTTCGTTACAGTCTTTTTTAGATGTCAGATATTTGAGTACTGAAAATGAAAATTTATTTTTTGTTTACCATCTCGCATCTCTAATGGGTAATTTTTTAAATAGTATATAGCTAGCTGTGAAATCATTAAAGCTATCAATTAACCACAAACAGCAATGTCGTCGAAGACTTCGAGCTCAAAGAAGAAGGCAGGAACACCAGTTCCTACAGATTCAAGTCCAGCTAAGAAAGTAAAGATCCCTAAAAGTTTCATAGTGAGGCCTTCGCTTAAGTCAGACAATAAGAGTTTGGTAAAGGTGTATATACAATCAGAAATACTTCAAGCATTAGAGATACAAACTGGAGGGTTTGTATACTTATCGAAATCAGATAGTGGACTTCCAGGAGTTTTAGCAACCATTCATAACGATGATGATATATTGGATAAGAATATAATCTTAATATCATCCAATTTAAGAGCCTTAGGAGGTCTTCTATTAGGTGATAGAATCAACATCATAAAGTATAGTAAACAACCCGCATATGCCAATTCACTTGCTGTGAGGTTAGGTTCAGATGATGAGAATGTGTATGAGCTCACTACTGAAATGAAGCAAGTTGTTGACAAAGCTTTGAATGACATAGGGCTAGTTTCCCCAGGTTTGACTATTGATGTGGAAATATCGGTAGATGATAACAAAGAGAAAGTACAACTACAAATAATAGACATAAATGAAGAAGAATCAGTCGAACAAGCATTGCAAAAGCTTTCTATCAGCGATGAAAGCGGAGCAGTGATCAGTGAAACAGTATCCCCCACCTATCTTTACAACAAATCAAAAGTAAATCTCAATAAGAGCGATTTATCAGGTCCATCAAAGAGCAAATTCCCTCAATTACCAAATTTATCAAATTATTCAGAAGTTGGTGGATTATCAAAACAGATTGAATTATTAAAATCAAGTATAAACTTACCATTGCACAATCCTACATTATTTTCTGATTTTGGAATATCACCTCCTAGAGGAGTATTATTACACGGTCCACCAGGTACAGGTAAGACCATGCTTTTGAGATGTGTGGCCAATGAAGCAAATGCCCATGTTCTTACCGTTAACGGACCATCTATTGTCTCCAAGTATTTAGGAGAAACTGAAGAAGCTATTAGAGATATATTTATCGAAGCACGAAAATTCCAACCATCAATAATTTTCATGGATGAAATTGATTCATTAGTCCCTAGTCGTAATTCTGATGATAGTGGAGAAACAGAATCAAGAGTAGTAGCAACTATGTTGACCATGATGGATGGATTAGGTGAAAGTGGTAGAATCGTAGTAGTTGGAGCTACCAATCGTCCTAACTCCATTGATGCTGCCTTAAGAAGACCAGGTAGATTCGATCAAGAAGTTGAAATCGGTATACCGGATGCCGATGCAAGATTGGAGATTTTAATTAAATTATTTGAAAAGATGAATTCTTCAAAATGTGCATTATCTAAAGAGGATATAGCATTAGCCGCTTCAAAGACTCATGGGTATGTTGGAGCTGATTTAACTGCATTATGTAGAGAAGCAGTCATGAAAGCCATTAATAGAGGATTAAAATTGAGTATACCTCAACTGGAGATTAAAGTTAATATAGATGATGTTTTAGAAGCACTTCCAGAAATAAGACCATCAGCCATGAGAGAAATATTCTTAGAAATGCCAAAAGTATATTGGTCTGATATTGGGGGACAAGAGGAATTAAAGAAAAAACTTATTGAAGTGGTGCAATTACCACTTGAAGCATCGAAATCATTCCAGAACTTAGGTGTACTGGCACCTAAGGGTGTATTACTTTATGGTCCACCTGGTTGTTCAAAGACTTTAACGGCCAAGGCATTAGCCACAGAATCAGGATTAAACTTCTTGGCAGTTAAAGGTCCGGAAATCTTTAATAAATATGTGGGTGAATCAGAAAGAACGATTAGAGAAATATTCAGAAAGGCTAGAACTGCATCACCTTCTATTATATTCTTTGATGAAATTGATGCTATATCTGGTGATAGAGATTCAAGTACTACATCTGCATCTCTGAATGTATTAACATCATTATTAAATGAAATAGATGGAGTCGAGGAATTGAAAGGGGTTGTCATAGTTGCCGCTACCAATAAACCCACCGAAATTGATCCTGCTTTATTAAGACCAGGACGACTTGATCGTCATATATATATTGCTCCACCTGATTATGAAGCACGTTTACAAATATTATCTAAAGGTTGTTCAAAATTCAATTTAGATAAGGATGAGATCCAACTTGAAACATACGCTCACTTAACTGATGGATGTTCTGGAGCTGAAGTGGCTTTATTATGTCAAGAAGCTGGATTAGCCGCTATCATGGAAGATAAAGAAGCTAATCAAGTTGTAAAAAGACATTTTGACCATGCTATAAGCGGCATTTCTAAAGGTATTACAGCAGAAATGTTGGATTATTATCAAGAATTTTCCAAAAGAAGTGGTTTAAATGTATGAAGCGAAAGTATATATACATTATATTTATTTATAGTTGTAATAGAAAGTATTATTATTAAGCAAAAAGGGAGATAATATATAAACAAGTTATAGAGGAAATAATAATAAATAACAAGGGAAACAAGGAGATCATTGTTGTTTACAACCTTCTTCTAATTCTTTTTCGAAATTTGGAGGTAAATCCTTTGAATCGAAATTAAATGGATCATCACCACCAGCACCAGCACCAGCTTTTCCACCTCCTAATCCACCTAATCCACCAAATCCTGGAAAATCATTGGAATCACCGACTAACTCAGTTGGAGGTTGACCTAATTCTTGTAATGATTCTAATAAAGTATTGACTTTATCTCTTTGTTCTTTGTTTTCATCATCAAATGTTGAATTATCAAATACGGCTAATATTTGATTAGTTATATCATATTGTTTACTATAATTGGTATATTGAGATTCTGAGATTTTATCTTTATTTTCTTTTAAATAATCAGGGAATTTAGTATTAAGATCCTTTATTGGTTCGTATAAGACTTCTTTAGAAGATAATTGTTCTAACATATCCACTAATAATTTAGACATATCAAAATCTCCAGATGGACCCCCTGAAGGGCCACCACCGAATCCAGCTAATAATTGAGATAACATATCTTCAGGATTAGCACTGGATGGATCATTTTTTATCTTTTCATCGACGGTTTCACCTGATTTCTTTAATCTTTCCATGGTCTCCTTCATAACGTATTCGAAATTATGAGGTTTCTTTTCTTCTTGTTCAACTTCTTCTCTATGATTTAATTCAAATTGTTTAACTAAACTTTCGAATTGTCCTTTAGTTTCATCATCTTCTATATTTAAATCTTTCATTAATTCTTCAATTCCAGATTTAAATTCATCAGTAGGTGGCTCAGCACCACCAGTAACTGGGATAGTGATGCTTTTATTAGCATCATCTTTAGCTTCCAATGCTGATCCCGGAGGTTTATTCAACACATCGTCAGCGAAGTCATCTAAAAGATCATCTAAATCATCTAAATCATCATCATTTGCACGAGTAGCTCCAGATTCAACGGTAGCTGTGACAGTGGTAGTTGTAGTTTCCTTAACGGAAATACCTTCTGAACCAGTCGTTGTTTCAGGCTTAACTTCCGAGGAGACAACACTTTCCTTCTTTATGTCTTGAGTATCTATACCTGAAGTCGACATTGATGTAATTTTCAATCTATATGGTTAATAATTCTTTAAAGAGAGAGATCAAAATTATCAATTCAATTTCTAAATTGGTCAACTTTAAATTCTCATATGCTCGGTTCAAAAACATTTTTCCATTTTTTGATGTGTGGGGCAAATCGCTTCATCCTTACAGAACTAAAGAAAATTACCATTATCTAAATTTGGCAAAAGTAGGAATACGGAATAAGAATCTAGGTATTTTTTATGTTATATAAATAAGATATATGTCAATGACTTAAACGAACCATTAACATGTGAATAGATATAATAAAAAAAGAAACTGTAAGAGTGATGACGATAAATAAAGAGTATGTTTTGACTATATATGTAAGTTTTATGAGATTACGAGATTATAATTTTGGCTTAGAAGCAGCTGGACCACCAGCCGTGGCATCAGCATTGATTTCTAATTTTCCTTGTTCATTTTCACCAGTTTGACCATCACCAAAAAACACCACCGTGACAGTTAAATCATCTCTATATCTTCTTGATACAGGGTTTGGAATTGAAATTAACATCGTGGTTTGTTCACGAGATCCACCATTTGATAATGCATTTCTAATTAAATGAGTCGATACATTCTTATCTTCCAATAAGAAAGCACCAGTTGAAGGTTTTGTCTTTCTGATCGGCTTCTTTGATGATTTATCATTAGTAACATCAGAAACTTCAGGTAATTTATTTTCAGTTGATCCAAAGATATTCCAAAATGATGTTTGAGGTTTAATTAATTTTTCCTTTTCCATCCATTTAACTACTAAACCAACAATTTCTTCATTAGTTAACATTTCATATAATCCATCAGAAGCCATCACTAAGAAATCATTATTTTCAGGATTAATCTTGGTAGTAGTTATAACCGGTTCAGCTGTAACATAAGGAGGAGATTGTAAATGATTTGGTAATCTTTTTCCAAAGAATTGTTTATAAATACGTTCTTGAATTCCAGCCGGTAATTTATATCTACAATCACCAAAGGCTCTTGTAGGTTCTAAACTTCCTAATACTCTACCATTTCTAATAACTTTTGGTTCATCAGGATGTTCACTAATGATTCTTGCTACTTCAGTTGGATTTGATCCAGTCTGATCAATACTTAATTGTCTTACTGTCCAATGATTATCTTTAAATGACCCCAATAAAGCTCTTGAATCACCTGTTACGGCCACTTTTAATAATTTTGAATTGGTATCATAAAATGAAAGTAAAGCACATGAACCTGATAATGCCGGCATTAATAATTCAGCAGCTTTAGCTTTATTATTATCATTTAATAATTTTTCAATGTTTTTATTAACGATTTCATGATCTAATTTTAAAAATCCATTCTTAATTGCTTGATCTATGGTTGCACTATTAGGAACAAATCTTAAATTTTCTTCATTTGGAGCCGGTTTGAAAATGGTTCCTAATTCATGAATGATATAAGTAATTAATTGATCTCTTAATTTACTACTAGTAGTCCAACCTCCATGACCATCGAAAATTCCAAAAAACATCCAATCGGTAGAAGTTTTGATATTATTATCTTGTAAAATAGGTACTTGAACAATTTCTTCGGCTCTATCATCTTCAATAGGAGAATTCGATGCGACTTGACAAATATCATATCTTGTTATCCCTTTACCACGATTAACAAAGTAACTTTCTTCAAATTGTCTTAATTTTGAACTCACTTGTTCTTCATTCAATAAAAACACTCCTTCTTTATGTTGTTGATGACTTATACCATCCTTTTGATGCATGGATGATGTAGAGGTGGAGAAATATTTGGCATCATTAATGGCATTGGGTGAATGAATTAATTTCGAATTAGGGGTACTAAATGGTGAAGTTCCATTTGGACCCGTATTAGTTCCATAAGGAGGTAACGTATCTAAATTATAATAATTGGATTGATTGAAGGTGATATAGGACCCTACTATTATGATGCCAGATACCAAAGCTACATTTTTCTTTCTAAATAGTTTGTTGTTGCTACCTGTACTTTGTTGTTGATATTGATGTTGTTGTTGATTATGTGTAGATGATGTTGGATTGGCAGTGACAGTAGAGCTATTAGCACTACTACTACTGCTGCTACTGCGTCTTATCTTGGTGTTACCAATTAAACCATTTCTATTCCCTTTCAATAACCTTGTAGATTGGTTTGATGCTGAAGTTACCAATCTTCGATTTATGGATTGTAATTGCTTATTAGTCACATATAAAAGTCGGGATCTAACAGCCAAAACGTAAACCATGATAGATAGATAGATGGATTGAACCTGATGATAAGATGTTATTCTTCTTGTTCTTCAACCTCTAGTTCTAGTTCAATGACAGGAATATGGTATATGAGTTTTACAGTAAGGGTTATCAATTATCCATCCATCCCCAATTTTAGATTTAATGGAGACGACGCACAGGAGAGGGGTCGTGTACTTTTGACCAAAAGTTATCACTAAATTTAGAGTTAACTATCTTGGGTTACATTTTATATAGAAAGTAATAATAGTTTAGTATGAATGAACCGTAACATATGTATTAATTAAAGGTAAATATATATGAATAAAGTAAATATACAGTAATAAAAACAACTATCAATATCAAAAATCATCCACGAGTAAACATAATACAAATTAATAATCAATATAGTAGACAATAAATTTAATTTCAGGTATTTATAATTTTTCATTCCATTTCTTTTAAAAACTTATAACATAATGAATCTTATTATACCAAAACCTGATAGCTGGCACCTTCAACGTCTGTACATTAACTAAAATGTACGGTACGCCTAGAGCTTTTGGACATAATGTCTCTTCTAATAAAAAATAAAGAATGATAATTGAAAAAATAGTATAAAAAAGAATAATTATTGATCTATGATTGATAATGAGTAAAATTTGAATATGAAGACCGTAAATGAATGATGATGAATGATAGGAGTGATTAAAGGTAGACCATTTTAGAAGTTTGAGTGGTTAACCTGCTTAAGCAGCAATGGTAACTTCAACATCCACACCTGGTTCGATGGTGATTTGAGTAATTCTCTTAACAATGGTAGCTGGAGCTTGTAAATCAATAACTCTCTTGTGGATTCTCATTTCATAAGTATCCCAGGTCTTAGAACCTTCACCATTTGGAGTTTTTCTGGTGGTGATCTTTAAGACTTTAGTTGGCATTCTAACAGGACCCTTTTTAACAATATCGTTTTGTTTAGCATTTTTAATAATGTTGGCAGAAACGTTTTCTAATTGTTTAACTTTGGTGGAAGTTAAAGTGATTCTAATCTTGTGGATTTGTTCTTGTTCTTGTTCGACCTTTTCCTTGTTGATTGGAGTAGACATCTTGGATTATAGTTATTGACGTTGATACTTTCTTTAAAACCAGTTGATAATAAAATTATGATATAATTAAATTTTCAAAAATTGTTTCGCGATACCTCCAACTGGTAAGAAAAAAAAAATTACTATGAGAAATCTGATCATTTATGATCACGTGGATATTTGTTAAGTCAAGGGTTAAAGCCCTAGTTACCAAAATGGTGAATCACCGCACTCATAGATAATCATATACTAATTCTACAACAACACGACTACAATAGTACCACATATATGACTTTATCATAATTAAAGTAGTAAACAATCTATAATTAGTTAGTATTTATGATTCAATAAACAGAATTCAATTATCAAATAATCAATATGAAAGACAGTTAACTTAACAAGATCAGATATCAATTATAAGTGTTTTTCTCCATGAGTTTATTTTGGATTGTCAGAGAGATTCCCAATTGAAAAGTTCATCATTATCATTGTTATATCTTTTGATTGATTATGAATGTGATTCAAAACATACCATTTGTAAGTTATTATCTATAATAATTCATTGTATTATTACTGATTGAATTAGATAATTGTATAGTGAAAGAGTTTAAGTATATGGTAAATTATTCAATTTTTTCGTTTACGATGATGGGCCACAGAAGAAATTTGGGTGGTGGTGGTGTAATGCGGGTAACTCAAGGCTGCAAAACTTACAACTACTTCAATTCATATCCCTTTATATATTGAACTTCTCTTTCTATGTACAAGATATATCTATTCATTCAACTTTGTCAGTCTTAACTTGATCAACTTCTTCAATATCTAATTCCTTTTCTAATCTTTCAAGACACATCCATAAAAACTCTAATTCTTCGTCATTGGCTTTACCACTGGTACACCATCTAATCTTTCCATCTTCATCAATAACATAAATGTATCCGGCACACATGTTATCACACATCAATTCTTCTCTCACTTTATATGGAAGTTCTTGTAATGGTAATATAAAATAATTTCCATACCTTTCCTTAGGTAATCTCTTTAAAATAGATTTCTTAGATTGATTTAAAAAGTATCCTTCATACCATCTATAAGGTAAATTAATATCAATGATTTGTGATCTATTGAACTTTGTTAAAAATTCATTATAATCTTTCCCTGCTAAATCTTTCCCATCAATTTCAAAATATGATTTAACACAATCAAACGCAGATTGCTTTGAATAAACTCTCACCACATTCACTTTCCCCTTTAAAAGATCATAAAAGTTAATATCTGGTTCAATCAATCTATGACCCTTGAAATTGGCAAAATATCTTGATTTCTCCTTCTTAAAATATGATATGGGTGGAGTGAAAATCTTCCCCTTCGTATTTAAAAATGATTTACTTTCATATAAAATAGAATGTTTGAGATCATAATTCAACAGTTCTCTTCGTTTATCTCTACCTTCACTACTGAAGATCTCCTTAAAGAGATTGCCCATACTAAGTGATCCAGCATGTTTATTTATAATCGTTGGTTCTGGTAATCCAATTGGTCTTTTAATCGGTATTGATTCTCTAATCGGTGATTTGGTAGCTTCTGATATCGTCTTTACAAATGGTAAATTGAAAGCAGGTTTCTTCTCATTAAGAAGTGTTCTACCACAAGACAATGTTCGTATTATATTCTTATTCATCATGATATAACTGGTAATTGTACTTCCTTACTTAGTTAGAATAGATTTGATCTATTTAGCTTGATTTTTTAGTATGGGCAGAATATTTTGTGTTACCCGCACTTTGAACCCATTCCATACCCATAAAAATATGAATCAACAATCAATCTATATCCAAAGAGGACCAATCCAAATATTACGCTTACAACCACACATTCAATCATCATCAATCATATCATATTCATATCATGTCCATACAGTTGCGTGATGGGTTAGCGAATTCATCGCTAGATCTAGCCGTAGAGGATTTACTCGTGAGGTTTTTAGTCAATGTTCCACCGGAAGATTTATCATCGATTGAAAGAGTATTCTTTCAAGTTGAAGAAGCTCAATGGTTTTATACTGATTTCTTAAGACAATTAAACCCTCTGTTACCCAGTATGAAGATGAAAGGGTTCTGTTCCGCCTTCTTAACTAAATGTCCTTTGATTTGGAAATGGGGTGATCCATCTGAAGCGATTTCAAGATTTGGGAAATATAAATCAATCATCCCTGTAAGAGGAATTGCTCTTTTTAATAAAGATTTAACTAAAGCGATTTTGGTGAAAGGAACAGAATCAAATACTTGGTCATTTCCAAGAGGAAAAATATCAAAAGATGAACAAGATCTAGATTGTGCCATAAGAGAAGTTAAAGAAGAAACAAGCTTTGATGCTACTGATTATGTTAATGAAAATGATGTTATAGAACGTACTATTCATGGAAAGAATTTTAAGATTTATTTAGCAAGAAATGTTCCTGAAGATTTTGATTTCCAACCTTTAGTAAGAAATGAAATTAGAGAAATTAAATGGCATGATATTCAATCATTATCAAAAAGTATTAAAGTTAAACCAAATAATTATTTCGTAGTATCGTCCATTATAAAACCATTAACTAAATGGATTAATAAGAATAGAGGTGTATTCAATGAAGAAGAATTAATGTTAAAGGCCGAAGTTGGTTTGAAACAATTATTAGGCATTACGGATAATGCCTCTCAAACTAATGCTGATTTAGGAAGAGAATTATTAAATATCTTACAACATGTTAAACCAAAGGAAGATGGTGAATCTCAAGATGTAGTACCTATCCCAGGTGGTATACCTCCTCCCCAACAAAATTTCGTTCAATTTGCTCTTCCTCAACATGTTCAAAATCAAATTCCATTTTTTGTCCCTCCTCCAAATTATCAATTCTATAACCCTGGTCCTATGCTTCCTCCAATGGGAGGTATGTATCCTCCATTCCCACCTATCATTACTCCAATCCCAACTCCAGCTCAAATGATCCCTCTTAATGAAGTCACTCCAAATGCCAATTATGTTTCTCAACAACCAAATCCAAGTTCGTTACAAAAACCTAGGGAAATAGGTAAATCATCCGAATCAAATCCAAGAGAATTATTATCCCTTCTTAATTCCAAAACTAAGGAAAAACCGGAACCAACTTCTAGTTCGAGTGTTCCTTCTTCCGCAGGTAAAGATATCATGGGTCTTTTATCTAAACCTAGTTCTAAACCTGAAGCTGATAGTCGAAGCATCCTTAATATTTTAAATAAGAAGAGTTCCTCATCAAGTGAAGGTAATGGTATTTTAAATACGATTAATGGTCACGGTTCGTCAATTCCTCTGAATGAACTCGAACAATCTCAAAGGGATTCTTCAAGTATACAACAACCATCCTCATCAGGGAAGAAAATTACTATTTTAAAAAGATCTTCTGATCAACCTCCACCATCCCAATCACAACCCTCTAAAAATCATTTATTGAGTTTGATAGGTAATCCTCAATCTAAAAAAGTCGAACCTCCAAAACAGACTCAACCTGAAATTAATCATACTAATGCTGCTCCTTCACAACATTCGAAGAATCTCCTTGACTTATTAAAACCAAGTCCTCAACCAAGTAATACAACTACTGCTGCTCCTTCTACTACTTCCATAACCACCGCTACAACTGTTCCAGTAGCGCCAAAAGCTATTGATGTGAATAACGCCTCCAAGGATCTTCTCGGCATGTTGCATAAGACTACTTCATCAGCAGTATCAACACCAGTTGTTCCACTTCTTCCATCTCAAAATTCTGAGGGTTCTCAACATGGAAAGAATTTATTATCATTATTACATAAGACTAAATCATCAGAAGTTCCAGTGGCTGAATCAAATTCACCAAATCAATTCCTTAATTTACTTTCACTGAAACGAACTTCAGTATCTCAAGTACCTAATGATAATTCAAAACCTCAAAGTCCAAATAAGCATTCTACTCAATTATTAGGATTATTAAGTAAACCTACTTCAGCACCAATTCCAGCTCCAGCTTCAGTGCCAGCTCCAGTGCCAGTACCGGTCGTTGAAGATAATCAAGTTGAATTTGAAGATTTTGAGGATTTTGAAGATTTTAACGACTTTGACGCCTTAAATAAAGAAATATTAGGAAAATCTAGTTTCCGTAGTTTTGATATCGAAAGTGATGAAGAAGATGTTGATCATTTAATCGATTCATATGTTCCTAAAAGTAATACCACTCAAGAAATAGGATATACTCAACCAAGAGATTTTTTCATCGAATCAAAAGTTGAACCCAAAGGTGGAAAAGTAAGACTTTTGAAACCTGGTGAATCATTAAATGGACTTTTCAGTTCACCAGATAAGAATAATCTCACTAATACTGGTTCAACTGCTGCTTCCAAACTGAATTCTCAAGGTCAAAATTTATTAGCATTATTAAACAATAAGAATGGTGGTTCAGGTAATCAATCATCTTCCAATAAACCTTCACAATCAGGTGGATTTCAATCTATTTATTCATCAGAAGTGAATTCACCATCTCCTATTTCCCTAGGAAAACCAGGACTGAGTATTAATAATCAAGATGGTAATAAAATTTTAAAAGATTTACTTTGGAAAAGGGATCCATAAAAAAAAAGAATTTCATCGTATAGTATTGTATACTACTCTTAATTTTTGCATTTCATTAATATATATTGTACATTAGTTTCATTAAAAAGAGTTAATTACGTTAATTATAGAGCAAAGAAGCTTTTAATATTTGGCTTTATTAAGCGCTTAACAAGTTTTCTCTTGGTAGGTACAGTCAGTACATTTTCTTTATCAGGAATTTGTTCTTGTTTAACTTCAGTCTTCATGATAGGTTTTTTGACCTCTACCTTGTGTAAATTTGCATCCTTGATATATAAGTATCCTCTTGAATTGTTGTTTTTCCGTTGAATATCTTTCCAGGCCAGGGTCATATACTCTTTATTTGCAACATGATTACTAGGCGTGAAATTCCCTCTACCGATGTGAAAGTCTAGGATTGCTGTTTTATTGGAATGACCATACTTTTCAAACTTACTTTCAGTACGTGTCTTAATTCCGTCATTAACGATCGATTTGGAACTATGACTATAAAACGCTTTCATTCCTAGAGGTAAGGTTGATAGATGATTCTGGCCAGGAAAACTCCTCCAGTACGTCGTTGGATTGACTAAGTGAAAGTCACTTTCTATGAGCCTTAAAGAACATCCTACCACACCTTCATCAATAAGGTCCTGTAATGCCTTTAACGCGGCTATAGTTACCTTTGGACAACCATTAAGTAAAACAGCCTTCAAATTCAAAAGTTTTGATCGTTTGATTGTTGAACAAAGATTAAGTATGAAATTATCATCAATAACTTCATTATTTGAAAGGTCTATTGCTATTAAATTGGGGATATTAAAGATCATGAAATAATCATCATAAGTGAATTGATTAGGATTCATTTGTGATAGATTAAGTAACACGTATTTTGTAAATTGACATTCCTTGATTCTTTTAACAAAACTAGTAAGATTCACATTTGAAAGCATGACTTCAACTCTGTAATATGTAGCATTGATGGGTCTGATCGTATTAATCGTATCTCTTCTTAATCGTTGTAAGTCATACTTATTATGTTCCAGGTAAAAGTCATGAGACGTATAACCTTCCACGCGAGTTTCACTAAACCTATTGGCAAACATGGTGTATACCAGAAATGAATCATTATTCAACTCTAAGATTCTATTCCATATCACTAAGCATAGACTTTCGGGAACTTGATCTAGATTAGATGCATCAAGCAGGTCAACTTCAGTTGCAATTTTATCAGCACATATTTGTTTCAAGGTTAACATCAGCAGAACACGTTCATTCGAATTCAATTTCATCAGGGGATGAACATCTGTCCATGGATATGGCAATGTTGCTGTGGTATCAGAATAGAATAAATCATTCTTTGTAGTATCAAGTTTCAGCATACCTTCAAGGATATCTGTATTCTGCACCTGTACTTTCTCCTTTCGCCTAGCTTTAAAAGAATTTCTAGGTCTAAGACTCTTTTGGCGTCGCCTACTTCTTCCCAGTTTCCTTATCGTCCTCCTCTTAAACATCTCTGGTGAATGCCACTTCGTGTCAATAATCACTTGATCTCTGTTTGTTTACGTTTTTGATTTCGCAGTTTAAATTTGACTATCGCAGGAACCAAACCCAAGTTGAAAAAAAAAAATCAAAAGTGAAGAGCATCTCAATTTTTTTCATCTAAAGTGGTTATAGCCAAGTAACATATCCATAAAACAATAACACAACAATGAAGTTAGATACATCTCATATGAGGTATTTGACCTCTGATGATTTCAAAGTACTTCAAGCTTTGGAATTAGGGACTAGAAACCACGAATTAGTTCCAACCACTTTGATTCATACTTTAGGTGGATTAAGATCAGTAACTGGTACCAATCGATCTATTGGGGATTTAGCCAAATTAAAACTTGTTTCAAGATTAAGAAATGCCAAATATGATGGTTTCAGATTGACTTACTCTGGGTATGATTACCTTGCTTTAAAATCAATGTTAAATAGAGAAACTTTATATTCTGTGGGGACTACTATTGGGGTGGGTAAAGAATCAGATATTTATTCAGTAAGTGATCCAGAAGGAGTTGCTAAAGTTTTAAAGATTCATAGATTAGGAAGAACCTCATTCAAAACAGTTAAGAACAATAGAGATTATTTAAAGAATAAACATACATCAAATTGGATGTATTTATCAAGATTAGCAGCCGAAAAGGAATTTGAATTCATGACTATATTATATCAAAATGATTTCACTGTCCCTCAACCTTTCGATTATTCAAGACATTGTGTGATGATGGAATGGATTAAAGGAATGCCTATGAAACATTTACGTAAACATAAGAACCATCAAAGATTATATTCTGATTTAATGAATTTCATTGTTAAATTAGCTAATCATGGTTTAATTCATTGTGATTTTAATGAATTTAATATTATAATAAGAGATGATGAAAGTGTTAAAGATCATGAGTTTGATTTCGTGGTTATTGATTTCCCTCAATGTGTGTCTATTGAACATGTAGATGCCAAACAATACTTTGATAGAGATGTGGAAGGTATAAGATCATTTTTTGAAAAGAAATTCAGATATAAACCAACCCAAGACCCTACCATGTTAGATACTGAAGGTTATGGTGATGGTTATAAATACGCATATCCAGACTTTGAACGTGATATTCAAAGAGTAAAGAGTTTAGATGTTGAAGTTAAAGCTTCAGGTTATGCAAAGAAGAGAACTGGGGTAAGAGAAGATAAGGATTTGGAACAAGCCGTTATGAGTATGAGATTGAATACTGGTGAAGATGAAGATGAAGGTGAACTCGATGACGAAGAAGATGATGATGAAGATGAAGAAGATGACGACGAAGACTCAAATGAATATGATCTTGAAGACGAAGACGAAGGCGATGAAGAAGAAGAAGAAAATTTACATCAAGAAAATGAAAAGATTATCGAAGCATTACAAAGTGGAGTTAAAAATCTTAAAATGGATAAATTGGGTAATTATATTATAGATGACGAAGATGAAACTTAATAGTTGTACATATTAAAATAGATAGATATAAATAAATGATATTTTTTATTTTCAAATTATCGTAATGATATGTATTTATGAAGCCCGGAAAATTATAAAAAAAGAATGAAAAATATATGATAGACAAAAAATATGAAAAAATATACAGTAGAATTAATTAATTTTTAGTTAAGTACAATTTTTTTCTATTTTTTTAATTTTAACGGGTGGCCATACCTTTGGTAACAGCTCTCTTTAAGGTTAATTCAGCCTTTCTGTAATCATCAGCAGATGAGTCTTCAATTTCTAAAGTTTGTAAAGCATCAGATAAAGCAGATTCAATCTTTTCTTTAGCTGATCTCTTTAATTTAGCAGATAAGACTGGGTCAGTAACAGTAGATTCAACAGAAGAAACATAAGCTTCTAATTTTTGTTTTTGTTCATGTCTCTTGGCGAAAGCATCATCGGATGATTTGAATTTTTCAGCATCATTGATCATCTTTTCAATTTCATCAGATGATAATCTACCAATAGAGTTAGAGATGGTAATGTTAGCAGATCTACCAGTTGATTTTTCAACAGCAGTGACCTTTAAGATACCATTAGCATCAACTTCAAAGATAGCTTCTAAGACTGGTTCACCAGCTTGCATTGGTGGAATGTTCTTTAAATCGAATTCACCTAATAAAGTGTTTTCAGTACAGTTAACACGTTCACCTTGGTAAACTGGGAATTGAACGGTGGTTTGGTGATCAGCAACAGTGGTGAAAGTTCTTCTCTTGATGGTTGGAACAGTGGTGTTTCTTGGAACAACTGGAGCGAAAACATTACCTTGCATGGCAACACCTAAAGATAATGGAATAACATCTAATAATAATAAATCTTTGGTATCTTCAGAGGTAGATTGACCAGTTAAAATAGCACCTTGGACAGCAGCACCGTAAGCAACAGCTTCATCAGGGTTAATAGATTTTTCTAATTGTTTACCGTCAAAGAAATCAGATAATAATTTTTGAACCTTTGGAATTCTGGTAGAACCACCAACTAAAACAACCTCATCAACTTGATTTTTTGGAATTTTAGCATCTTTTAAGACTTGTTCAACTGGGTCTAAAGTAGATTTGAATAAAGCAGAGTTAATATCTTCAAATCTAGCTCTGGTAATGTTAGCAGTGAAATCTTCACCATCGAATAAAGAATCAATTTCAACAGTGGTTTGAGTACCAGAAGATAAGGATCTCTTAGCACGTTCACAAGCAGTTCTTAATCTTCTTAAAGCTCTAGCATCATCAGAAATATCTGAACCAGTCTTCTTTTGGAATTCTTTTTTGAAATGTTCTAATAAGTTGGTATCAAAATCTTGACCACCTAAATGGGTGTCACCAGCAGTAGCTTTAACGGTGAAAACACCACCAGTAATGTTTAATAAGGAAACATCGAAAGTACCACCACCTAAATCGAAAATTAAAACATGTCTTTCTTTTTCAGATTTACCGGCACCTAAACCATAAGCAATGGCAGCAGCGGTTGGTTCATTGATAATACGTAAAACGTTTAAACCAGCAATGGCACCAGCATCCTTGGTAGCTTGTCTTTGAGCATCATTGAAATAAGCTGGGACAGTGACAACAGCTTTTTCAACTTTTTTACCAATTTTAGCTTCAGCAATTTCCTTCATTTTGGTTAAAACCATGGAAGAAATTTCTTGAGGAGAGAAGGTTTTAGTTTCTTCTAAATATTCAACTTCAATTAATGGGTTACCGTTAGAATCGATAACTTTGAATGGCCAAGATTTAATATCTTTTTGAACGGATTCATCTTCGAAACCACGACCAATTAAACGTTTAGCATCGAAAACAGTGTTCTTTGGGTTTAAAGCAGCTTGATTTTTAGCAGCATCACCAATTAATCTTTCTTCACTAGTGAAAGCGACGAAAGAAGGAGTAACTCTGTTACCTTGTTCATTGGCAATAATTTCGACTGCTGAGTCGTAAGTAGCAACACATGAGTAGGTAGTACCTAAATCGATACCAATAGCACCTTGGAAAACACCGTCAGCCATTTTAATTATACTAGTCTTTAATATAGATAGTTTCTAAAGAAAAGAATTTCAGAAAAGAAGGAAAGGGAAAAAGAATTAAAAGAGAAAATTTTATTCAGAAGAGGATCTTTCAAACCAAAAAAAAAATTCACCATACAAAAAAAAAATTTTTCACTTTTTTTTTTGGCTTTAGTGATCCCTCACTTCATCATCTTATGTTAATTATTGCAGTTTGGATGTTATGGCCATTTGATGGTACATGATTAAAAATTCTATGACAGTCTCAAATTTACTATGGGATGGGAGATTTACCCGGCAATTGACCCCATGTTAATTTTGCAATCAAATAAATTTTGAATCACTATTTCGATAATTTACAATGATATTTTGAATTGATTTCAAAGCATGATCAACGTTGGATTGATAACCTCTGATGAGTATAGATTGAAGGATATCTCTTCTTGAAATGGATAAAGTTGTGGTGGTTACTCTTTGAAAATTTGGGGTGGCAGTGGTTGTAAGAGCTGTAACGGTTGAATTTGAATCTAAAGATGCGATAGGTAACACTTTTATCAAACATTTCGACTCGTAACGCAAGGCATTTAATCTATCACCATTTTTACCAATCAAACAACTTACTTCCCTTTGTTTTAAGGACACTCTGGAAGTAACCACTTTGAAAGCAGGCTCTGCATTCATTATTCCATCATCATTTTCATCATTACCATACCCATAACCATTGCCATTTGTGATAGATCTATTAATACCAAATCTATAAGGTGGTGCAGGTTTTGAATGTCTTAACTTATCGATAGAAATTAAATCAGTTTGGAAAGAATTTAATCTGGGAGAGAAACTAAACTGTTGAGATTTGATTTGACAAATCTTATTCATAACCGACAGATAATCAATCTCAGATTGTTGATTTAATAAATCCAATTCATATGATACCCAACAATCACCCACGATACGGATTAAATTATTATTAAATAAATTGATTGATAAATTAAACATTGATTGTAAATTAAATTCTGAACCTAATATATCTAATGACCACATTTGATAATTAATCAACTTTTCACATAAAATGTAGATACAATTAGATGGTTCCAACATATCTAATTCATCAACTTTCTCTAATTGATATTGATTGGCTTCTAATTGATCGATTAATTGAATTAAAGTATCGGTTGCCATTTCAAATTTTAAATTATTTGAACTTGGATAAGTTGTAGAAACGGTTGTAACTCCACTACTTAAATCATCTTTAAAGCTTTCATGATCAACTCTAATGATCAATCTATCATTTAATACTAACAAGGAAGTGATTTCAAACATGATTAATGGTTATTAATATGATAGATCAAGAAGAAAGAAATGTGTTGTAAATAAAAATGTGGGAATCCTTATTATCACCCACCACAGATAGAAATCTCACACAAAATTTTGATTTTTTTGCAACACTCACCATACAAAAGTACTACAATTTTAAAACAACAAATCATGACGATATTAAAGTGAATATATTAAAAAGCAAACGTATTAAGAGGGGGGGGTGCAGAGAGAAGATATTCATTAATTATTAGGGATATTAACTATTAGGGAGATATTAAAAATATTAGGAGGGATAAGAGACAGATCTATGAAGTTGAATTGATCTGTTTATATAATTTAATGACAGTATCATATAAAAAGATATATTGATGAATGGTTTGAACCATCATCATTCTATAATGTCTTAAGGTTGAGACAGTATTAAGAATTAAATCATCAGATGGATTATAAGGACCGAATTGATTTGGATCTATATTTTCTGATTTGAATAATTGAGGATTTTTAAAGAAATAATCCAAGGCGATAAATGTACCTGATCTACCGACTCCAGCTGAACAATGAACTATAGGGATGATTTTTCCAGTAGTTTCATTATCATGTTCATGAATATGACTTGATAAGATTTGTAATGATTCAGATGAAGGAGGAGTTCTGGCATCAGCCCATTTATAATAATAATAATGATATACTTTTTTAACTTTTGTTGCTGATTTTAATTCTAATTCAGTTAAAGAAAAATCCCCTTCTTTATTATAAGATTTCTTTAAGAATTTAACTCGTAATGAACCTATATCGATTTTATCTTCTCTTAAGAGAGAATTTAATTTCATTTCATTAGGGGCAGTTGATTTATCTGAAGAAGAAGATGACATAGATGAAGCATCCGAATTAACTTCATTTATATCGTTTGGCCAATATTGAATACATTTGAAGATACCATCTTCTACCAATGAAGTTAACATGACAATAACTATGGTATCAGTATTATTCAATTCACTTTCATTAAAACACATGGCCCAGAAATGATGAATGGTTGATTCAATTGGACCTTGAGTAACGATATATTTTGATTCCTCATCAATTTGAACTCTTGATGCATTTATATAATCATTTTTCTTTGTACAAGGTAATTTAACTCGATTATGATTAAAAGGGAATACATTTGAATATCGATTTCGACGTTTTGGAGCTTTAATTCTACCATCACTTACAGACCATGGTGATGAACTATTTGTGATCCCTTCTTTTAAATTGGCAGCTTCTATATCATTCAATTGATCAAAGTTTTTCCGTTGTTGGATGGAATCGATGGTTAAATAAGTGGGCCATACCAATTTATTTTCAGTCATTAATATGGATGATAGATGAGGTAAAGATAAGGAAGGTAATGAACGTGATAGTTTCTTGACCAGAGAAAGGAAACTGGTGAGTTTTGATAAATCCAATTGATAAACACTGTATTTTTGAATCATTTTGAAATTGAATTTGGTGTGTGTAATCAAAAAAAAAAAAAATAGAATTAATAATAATAATAAACGTGAGAAAAAGGAAAATGACGAGTTAATAAATATATACACAGATAACAATGAATGGATATCAACAACAACAAATAAAGGAAATGATAATAGATATATATCTAAAGTTGATCAATAAAGAGAGAAAGAGAGAATAGATTTTCGATTATAATCTTTCCGATATTTATAATTATATATATATCTCTATATCTGATTCATAATTATGTTAACAGATTAAATGATTCATACGGGATCCTGCATGAAAACACATATAACCACAGCATAAACTAACAACAAAAACCCGAAATCGAATCATGTTTTGAAAAAGTAAAGTTATAGCTTATGAATGAATGAATGGTAGACAATGAGATAATTATTTTTATAAAGACATCCATTGTAGAATAACCATGCCGATTGTTCCTTTGAGCCTTTCCTTTTTTTTGCAATCACACACAAATTGAATGATCTCTCCTCTCCCCCACAAAACATCCAAACATCCAGTTTTGTCATAACTTATGTCGCAAAATATAGAAATGTCATAAACTCAGTTTATGACATACCAAAACTTCACCCCTTTTCAAATTGAGTGAGTGATACACACCAAACCAAAAAGATAAACTAAAAAAAACTATCATCACATTCACACAGGACCTTTTCTATCTTTAATCAAATCATATCATCATATTATATTCTTGTTATTACTTCAGTTATAATAGATATACATCATTCATTTGAATAGTATTTATACATTTGTTCTATTCACTTTCCATTCTCCCATACCCTATCCCCCCTAGCTTCAAATTAGCTCCTTGTCAACCACAATCACAGTCGTCTCATACTTTGCTATTTTGCCATTCAATTTATTGGTCGTTTAAAATAGGTCATAATCTGCATCAATCACATTTTTTCAAATCCATATCATCTCCTTATTCACATATACCCCCCCCCCCCCCCCCCCCACATAGAAGTTTTATATATCTAAAATCATCATGAGTTTCCCAAATCCAACTACATCGGTTAAATTAGTGTTACTTGGTGAAGCAGCCGTTGGTAAATCATCATTAGTATTAAGATTCGTAAGTAATGAATTCCAGGAAAATAAAGAACCAACTATTGGGGCTGCGTTTTTAACTCAAAAATGTACTATTGGATCGAAAGTTATAAAATATGAAATTTGGGATACTGCCGGTCAAGAAAGATTTGCTTCATTAGCTCCAATGTATTATAGAAATGCTCAAGCTGCTATTGTGGTTTATGATATTACTAAACCTGCTTCTTTTATTAAAGCCAGACATTGGGTTAAAGAATTACATGAACAAGCTTCAAAAGATATAACTATAGCCTTAGTTGGTAATAAATATGATTTAGTTAAAAATGATAGTGGTGAAGAAGATGATAGTGAAAATAGTTTAAGAAAAGTTAGTATTGAAGAAGGTCAAAATTTAGCTGATGAAGAAGGAATTTTATTCTTTGAAACAAGTGCCAAAGATGGGTTTAATGTTAATGAAGTGTTTATTGGTATAGGTAATCATATTCCAGAATCAAATAATAATTCTAATAATCCTCTTGGTGGTAATTCAAATGGAAATAATGAAGGTAGAATCGATTTAACTTCAAATGCAAATAATATTAATAGAAGTGGTGGTGGTGAATGTGCTTGTTAGTTATGTTACTTGATAGTTTTCACCTTTTCCTCTTTACACATTATTACCTCTTGCATCTCTTTTTTCATTATCTTTATCTATTTCTATTTGAAAGGTGACGTACATATGGAATACACTAGCATCTTCGACTCCACTACAATCATTCATTAATTTATATACCTTTTATTTATCATCATCATTATCATTATAATTAATACCACTATTACTTTTACTTTGGGAAGTCTTCTTTCATGACAAATTTTTTGAAGTTGAAATTTCAAAGATGGTTATTTATGTGTTCATCTATATGCTTCCTTTCTTTTCCTTTTATTTACCTACTTTTATTTTGTTAGTTGTTTTATGGTTTAGAAGATGGGTTTATGTCTTTTTTACTATTATTTTTTATTTTATATATTACTTACTTTTGTTGTCTTCTTCCTTTATATATACTTAATTGTTTTTTACTATTATAGTCATTTTAGTTTATTTAATTTTCTTCAATATACTATCATTCATGTTATGTTAATCTATTGTAGAACAATTTATAGTTGCAAATTCCTTCGTTCCCTTCCACCAATGACGTTATTTCTCCATTATTACCGACAAAAGTGAGGGTCTCCAACAAACAAAAATTCACATCCACAAATTTTTCAGAAATTACAAATCCAAAATTACGTAAAATAAACCATATACTTCTATTTATCCAATTGATAATCATGAGTTCAATTACTACATTAAGGGTAGCCTATATCCCAGAACACTTCTCAACTCCTTTATTCCTTGCCAAACAAAAGGGATATTATGAACAAAACAATTTAAACATTGAATTCGTTAAAGTTCTCGAAGGAACTGGTCGTTTAGTCAAATTATTAAACGATGGTGAAGTTGATATTGCCATTGGATTAACTGAAGGGTTCGTAGCTGATTTAGCTAGTGATAAGAATCAAGGTAATTATAAATTAATCGATACTTATGTTAATTCTCCCTTGTTATGGTCTATTTCAACAGGGAGTCAAAGAGATGAATTAAAGGAAGTTACTGATTTAAATAGTGATAGTTCAATTGGGGTTAGTAGAATTGGTAGTGGATCTTATGTTATGTCATTTGTGTTAAGTCATGATTTGAAATATACTAAATCATTTTCTAAATTTCCAATTTTATCCAATTTTAAAAATTTAAGAGATTCAGTAAATCATAAATTATCAAATGATGAGAATTCCGATGCCTTCATGTGGGAATATTTCACATCAAAGAAATATTATGATAATAATGAAATCAAACCAATTGGTCAAATCTATACTCCATGGCCATCCTGGGTTATAACCGTTAGTTCTAAACAAGTTGAAACTAACCCTGAACCAATTAAGAAATTCTTAAATGCAATTAATCAAGGTATACAATATTTCAATCATCATCAAGATGAAGCTATAGAATATATCTATACCAATTTAGATTATTCTAAAGAAGATGCTAGTGAATGGATTAAGACTGTTAAATTCAATACTGACTTGGGATTATTTAAATTAAATAGAGATGCAGTGGTGGAAAAGACAAGTCAAATTTTAAAATTAGCTGGAGTATTAAAAGATAATGATGAAACTATTAATTCAAGATTAACGGGTAGTGTCATTGTTAAAGAAATCTAGATTAAAGCTAATTAGATATCCATGGGATAAGTATATAGGTAGCCAAAGACAAACACACACAAAATGAATATAGAAAAGAGATAATAAAAATAAGAATGACTCTTGCGTATATACCAGTGATAGCTTGTAGATATCTATATCGGAGAAAAGGAAGTAACTGATAAACGGCTGGCAAAGATTATAATATATGTGACATGATGAAATTATGAACTGATTCAAAAAAAAAAGTCTGGAGTCTATCAGAATCTGTCGCTGTAGTTTGCCATAATTGTTTTTCTTAGCTACCAGTCGGACTCGGACTTTGACTCACAGAAACAAATTTAACCATAACTTTATCTTAACTTACCGTACCACTTTTAATGCTTAATTCTTTCTTACCAGATCTATTTTGTAAGTCTCTTTACTCGTTTTAAAACTCCTATAGTTGTTTGTAAAAGTTATGGTTGTGGAGTTTTCGGAGTGGCAATCATACCAAGGAAACTCCGAATTACGCTCCGGATATTGAGTCAAATACGATAAGAAAAATAAAACTAAAATGACCGGGACTTTAGAAGAAGGCCGCAAAAATATTTTGAGTAACGGTTTTTTTTTCGTGTTTTGTGATTTTTGACTCCGAATTCAACTGTTTGAGATATCTGGAACTTTCCGGGGATATTTGATAACTGGTTGACCAAATCAGAACTTTAAAGAGTTGGGTATGATCAGGTTTAGGTCTAACGGATTAGTCTTGGTTTATGGTCAGAGTCATTTTAAGATGACTCTGATGGAGTTGTACCTTTATCTGTAACTATGGTTATCTCTCTTTCTCTTACGATTCACGTCGTACAATAAACAGTTTAGTCAAAACCTCTTCTCATCTAGACTTATTTTTTGATATCCCCCAATCGCCAGATATCCTTGATGGATTTATTTTTAAACTATAAATAATGACCCTAATCTCCCTTACCCCTAGTTCAATTAATTATTATTATTATAACGTATTACTGTTTTACATTCAACTACAACTGTAATGACAATTTCAAGTAAACCAATTTATTCACCTCTTGAAGGGGTTGAAGTTTTAGCACCCATTCAATCAAATGCGGAATATTTACCATTATCCAATACTACTCAAGCTGATATCTTAACTAAATCATCCTTATCATTCATTGTCTTATTACATCGTACATTTAATGAAACTAGAAAACAATTATTAGCCAATAGAGAAATATTCCAATCTAAATTAAACGCTGGTACCGCTAAATTAGAATTTTTAAAAGATGAAGTTTCTCAAAAACTTCAACAAGATCCAACTTGGCAAGGTGCTTTACCAAGTTATGGTTTAATTGATAGACGTACAGAAATCACCGGTCCTCCAGAACGTAAAATGATCATTAATGCTTTAAATACTCCTGTCAAAACTTATATGAGTGATTTTGAAGATAGTTCAAGTCCAACTTGGTCTAATGTCTTAAATGGTCAATTAAACTTATATGATGCTATAAGACATCAAGTTGATTTTAAAAATTTAGATAATAATAAAGATTATAAAGTTAATTATGATAGTGGTAAACCTTTACCAACCATAATTGTTAGACCAAGAGGTTGGCATATGGTTGAAAAACATATTTTAGTAGATGGTGAACCTATAAGTGCATCTATAGTTGATTTTGGTCTTTACTTTTATCATAACGCTAAAGAATTGATTAATCAAGGTTATGGTCCTTATTTCTACTTACCTAAAATGGAACATCATTTAGAAGCAAAATTATGGAATGATATATTTAATGTGTCTCAAGATATATTTTCCATTAAAAGAGGTACAATTAGAGCTACAGTCTTAATTGAAACTTTACCAGCTGCTTATCAAATGGAAGAAATCATTTATCAATTAAGAAACCATACTTCGGGTTTGAATTGTGGTAGATGGGATTATATATTTTCCACCATAAAAACCCTTGTTAAAGATCAAACTAAACTTTTACCAAATAGGGATCAAATCACCATGACAGTCCCCTTCATGAGTTCTTATTGTAAGCGTTTGATTCATATTTGTCATAATCGCCAAGTTCATGCCATGGGAGGAATGGCAGCTCAAATCCCGATTAAAAATGATGAAGTTGCCAATACAGTCGCTATGGATAAAGTCTTCAATGATAAGTTAAGAGAAGTTAAAATGGGTTATGATGGAACTTGGGTGGCTCATCCTGCTTTATCTGTCATTGCTAATGGTGTTTTCAATCAACATATGCCTACTCCAAATCAATTATTCAAACTGAATGAAGATCCTCATGTTACTGAACAAGATTTATCTAATACCGCCATTGAGAATGGTGTTATAACAACTGATGGTATTAGACAGAATATTTATATTGCTTTATGTTATGTTGAATCATGGATTAGAGGTATTGGTTGTGTACCTATTAACAATCTTATGGAAGATGCTGCCACTGCAGAAGTTTCAAGATTACAATTATATTCATGGCGTTATCATAATGTCGAATTAGATGATTTGAAAGTTAAATTATCTTCATCAATAGTCGAACAATTATTACAAGAAGAATTGGATAAATTATTAATTCAATTCCCTTCTTCAAAGAATTATAAATTTGAAATTGCTGCTAGATATTTAAAACCTGAAATGACAGGTAAATCATGTTCAAACTTTTTAACTACTTTAATTTATGATGAAATAGTAGAAGCTGGCCAACCAATTGATTTAAACTTACTCAAATAGATATAACGCTGTTTTTTCTTATTTAATTATAAATATATATAATCTTATTTATACTTTTCTACAAACCCAATATTCACAATCATAAATATATGTTCCAAGTGATTTTTTATCTCCACAATAAGTAGTTTTGAAATTTGATTCATGTTTTTCAAATTTAAATCCCATATTTTTAATTAATTCAATCAAATCATCCTTTGATAATTCAAGTCCCTTCATAATAGTTGGAATTGGCTTACCATTAGCATCTTTCTTATCGGTAAATTCCATATTCTCATCATCTTCAAAATGCCATAATAATGGTCCAAAATTAATCCAAACCCCGTCTTTCTTCAAACTATAGTAGATCGTCTTAAGATAATCTATGATATTATTGGCCGTATCGATAAAGAAACAAGTGATTAAGACATCGAAATTTTCTTGATTATTGACTCTAAACTCATTGGCAATTGAATCATTCGTATAAGTATCCGATAGTTTCAAATCATTTGGTCCGTATAAATCAATGAAAGAACCAGCAGTCATTGACATTAACTCATCGTATGGGATCTTTGGGTTTGATTTCATTAATTCATGGATCAAATTCGGATTCAAATCAGGGAAATAAACTGGTCTTAATTGAAATGCTCGTTTAACAATATTGTATGATTTATGTAAAAAGGGGAAAATAGAATGTTCATTTTCATAAGAACAATGATTTAAAATGAAATTGGATGCTAATAACATATGATAACTGAATTCATTACCTTGAGTCCAAAATCCTAATGTCACTAATTCCATTACTAATCTACCTAATCCACAACCGGGGTTTAATATTTTAATATTTTGACGTTCAATTTCATCAGGGTATAATGTTTTCAATTCATCAAGGATCTTATTGAAACCAATTTCTCGTTCCACTTTCCCTTCATCACTCCATTCCTTTGATATTTGTAAAAGTGTCGACTTGACTTTATCAAACTCCTTATCAGTAGCAACGGACCATTGCAGAGGATCAGACGATACACCCCAGTCTTGAGCTATATTAACCGCAAGGGCCTGAGTGAACAATTTATTCAAATTAATGATCGATTCAATATCTTGCAAGTATTTGGGAAACCATGGTAATAAATCTTGTTCTTGTTTGGTTAATGAATTGTATTTGATGGTTTTGGGAGTTAGGATCTGTTGAGTTTGATAATTATAAAAATTATAGAATGACGTTAATGTAGCTGTCAAAGCTTCATATTCTTCACGTTCAGCCTTATCTGACATAAGTTGATATACTTCTCAATTAATTGAATGTGTCTATATATCTATGCGTTAGAGACCAGGGCTTTGGAAAAGGGAGATTATGAAATATTTTTGACATTTTTGTTGATAATCCAAAAATTCGCACACAAAAAAGTTTAGTACTAAAGAAATATATTTAGGATTATTATAGATCAACTATGAAATTAATGCTCCCCATTCGTCAAATCTTTGCAGACGGTATTTTTCATTCTCAATTGCAAAATTGAGTGGTCCTTTTGAAATGTGAACCTTATATTTCATAAATTGATAACTGTTCGAACGTTGATGATATGGCATAAATGGCACTACTGTTGTTTCAATTCCAATTGATTTGAAATAATCGATCTCGAAATCAAATACAGAGGGCATTTTCGGTTCAATTGTAGAAATCAGGCAAACAAATTTTTTGAAATTCTTGTGTTCCTCAAAGCCATCTGTACCAATAGCAAATCTAAATCCATGGATGTGAATTTCTTTAAGAGATATCTTTGAAAGTTTCCAGAAATCTTCTGACGGAGTATAAGCCTGTGCAATCAGTACCATCTTTTCTAAAGCTTTAAGACACTCGAATTTTCTGAATCCCAGACCTCTTAATGTTAAACACCGGAGAACTTCTCCATGCTTTTCAATGAAGATTTCAAAATTGTGCATTGTAATAAAATCATAACATTCAACTCCAAGAGTTGTTAACTTGGGAAACTTCTTTTCGACAAAGGTTTCTTCATTTACTCTTATTTTTTGTCCCAAATGTAATTCTTCAAGTTCTTCTCCTAACCAGTCAATCATTATGGGAATGTGATACACGACTTTTTCAAAATAATCAATTCTAGCCTCTTCAAATCGAAAACTATCATTCTCATAGTCTACGGATGGGATTACATCAGTATCAAATCGGAAACCAATGCATTTCAATTTTGTAAAGTATTGTAATGGTGGCATTATAAACTTATCCTTTTTCTTATCTGCTATTATTTTGAAGATATACACTTTGAATATGAAGTATCCTAATCGAGTAAGGAAATTGACCCTCAATAATAAATCATTCATTGATGTTCCATCATCTTCAAGACCTAATTTGAATTGTAATGTGATAGTTAATGGATTGTTTGGGTCATCAAATTTATGAGCTTGATCAAATAAGAATTGGGAGGTTTCTTCATATTCAATATCTTCCTTATCATGGTATAGGATTTGACCCTCTGTTGGAATAGGTTGGATGATTAGATCATCTAAATTGTCATTAGAAGTAGTATCGACAAGAAGAACTATATTTTTGATTCCTGCTAGTTTATCAGGTAATGGACGATGATCAACTTTGTTTATGTTTTGGAACGAATAAATCGAAGTTTCTTGAGAATCTAGGCCCTTCAATCATGATGATGCTGTAGAAAAGTAACTGAATTAGATGAAATAAATTAATGAATAAGAATTTATAGACTTTATTTTGGAGAATTGCAGAATTAATTTAAAGTTGTTATGTACATTTTATTGGTATAGTGACTCAATTAATTTGCAAATCCATTTTAGGAAATAAAGAATGATTTAGTGTGCCGCAAATTATGTGCAGAAAAATAAATTATTTTTTTTTTTCTTTCTACACAAACAAAATAACCACAAAGACGTTTATGATCTATCAGATTCAAGGATAAGTAATATAATAGAACAGATTATCTAAATATAGATTAGTAGCAATGTGCAACAGAGTAGTTTAGAACGATGTGGGATTTTTGTTGATAATTGATTGGCTGTTACACTCCCAACTAATGTGGTTGTTCAGCGGTAATATATAAATACAGTAAATTTTCTCTTGAAAAAGTTTTTATCTAGATAAATTATTCTTGTTTGATACAATAAGCCCAACATGAGTTCTTCGATTGATATTCAAACTACACGTTCCATTAATCTTCAAAGAATCATCGATAACATCAATCAAGATATTAAGAAACGTCATGGTAATAGCTTAAATGAATATGAACGAAAATTAGAAGTGTCTAGGTTAGTAATTGGTGTAAATGCAAAATTAAACGATTTAACTCCATTAGTCAATGAGACTCCAATTGCTGATGACGTATTTAATGGAATTGTGGCCGCCTTGAATCATTATGAAAGTGAAGAACAAGTCACAGAAGAAGAATTAACAAAAGCAGAAAGTAGGAGAAGACAAGCATTAGGGGAACAAGGTAAATATGAAGTTAAGAATGAAAATAGATCTCCCGAGGAAGTATCAAATGATATTTTTGACAACATTGACTTATTTTTACAAGAATATAATGAAATTCCGAGAGAAGAAAAAGTCTACTTCATTTGTATATACAGAAATTATCATACTGAAAAGCTGTTAAATAAATTTGGCCCTCCCGTTACAAAGAAAATGATTAATTTAAATAATTCAATCAAACAACTAGAAGATTCTAATCATTTATATCAAATTTATTTAAATTCAGCATACAGTGATGTCAGAAGAGTAATTAACTACATGATTGTGTTGAAGGTAATCAGAGCTTTATCCTGAATACTTACATTTATTTTTATATAATTAGTTACAAGTATTTATTTATGTCTATAGTGCTTGAAATGTTTATCGATTGCAATTATATAGTTACTTCGCTTAGTTATTAATTATAGTAATTTAAAATGAAAATTGTTACATAGTCTGCTTAAGGACAACAAAATAAAATCAACACAATCCAATCTTATAGATCCATAAATAACGATTATCTTTAACATTAGCATCAACAAATCAGTGAAATGATAGCTAATTTGAGTGGCAATACACTACATATGTACTACAATGACTAATTTTCAAAAGATATAAATGTATATTAAGTTTAAAAAAATTTAAAATATAGTTAGTAATGATGTATATCCTATTCCTATAATTAATTATGAAAGCTAACAAAAACAAATATATACTACTACTAGATGTAGTGTGAGATTGTTACACTAGAATTTATCGTAGCTATCTAACTATAGCTGAATTTATTGCCATGTTAAGGTTAATACAAGCTTTAACATGATAATTTATATTTATTTTATTAAATACATTTATTTTGCTTTATATATTATATAAATATTGTAGCTAGGACGAAAATTTAATGTAGTCTACTCTATGCGATATTTATACCCTATTACATATTACAATTCGCCACTCAAAATTTTATCTTTTTTCAATTACCCCTTGAAAATACTATTTATAGATCAATAACTACAATCTAATTCTTGCGTATTAACGTTGATCTTATCTTAGCCGTTCGGGATAACAAAGGGGGGATCTATTTATGCGACTTACGCAAGAAGCGATCTTTGCATGATAATGAGCCACAAAATGTCCAATTGAACTTCGTAAATAATTTTATGAATTGATTTATTATATGGAACAATCGATGAGATTCGAATATTAAGATTAACCATAAAAGTCTCTGCAGATTCCAAAATTTATCTTGATGTGTATTTTTTCAATTCAATATTTGCTAATAAGAGTACAAACACGACAGCCGCTTGCTTAAAAAATATATTATTGTAGAGTCTACCAATATATAACTATTTGCATCATGAAATAACTTGAAGATCATATTAGGCTGTTATGTTGAATTACCTAAATTGTTAAATTCGTTACGACGCAATTTTTCGTTGTCAATATCAAAATTGAGTAGCACAGGAATTTTTGTCACTACTGTTTTCAAAAAGTGAAACATGTCAGCCACTTTATGATAGGGTAAGAATGGAACTTCTATTGTTTCAATTCCTTTAGATTTTAAGAGTTCGATTTCATCTTCTTCTAAGGAATGTATTTGATATTCCTCCTCATAAAAAATCAGGTAAAAGAATTTTTTCAAGTTTTTCTCTTTTACAAAAGTTGTTTCAGTAACTGGAAACCTAAATCCATACATGTGTATCTCTTTGAGTGAATCTGTGGTAAATTTATTACAACTTGCCGATGCTTCCCCCGCATGATGAGCTATTAAAATAAACCTTTCTATGCTCTTAAGATATTGGAATTGTCTAAACATCAGATCTCTTAAGGTTAAATTACGAATAATATCACCATGATTTTTAAGCAAGATTTCAAAATTGTGCATTGTGATGATATCATAACATTCAACTCCAAGAGTTGTTAACTTAGGAAACCTCCTGTTGCAAAATTTCTCGTTGCTAACTCTTAGCTTTTGTCCCAAATGTAATTCTTCAAGTTCTTCTCCTAACCAGTCAATATTTAGGGGCATATGATTGCAGACTTTGTCAAAGTAATCTGCCACCATCTCATCGAATCTAAGATACTCTGGTATCAGATATTCTATAACTGGGAAGATATCTGTATCAAACCTGAAACCTACACATTTCAATTGTGTAAAATAGTGTAAAGGTGGCATTATAAATTTATCCTTTTTCTTATCTGTCATTACTTTGAAGATATACACTTTGAATTTGAAGAATCCTAATCGAGTAAGGAAATTGGCCCGCAATAATAAATCATTCATTGATGTTCCATCATCTTCAAGACCTAATTTGAATTGTAATGTGATAGTCAATGGATTGGAAGCGTCATCGAACTTATGACCTTGTTCAAATAAGAATTGGGAGGTTTCTTCATACTCAATGCCTTTCTTATCATGAATAGGATTTGACCTTCAGTTGGAATAGGTTGAATGATTAGATCATCTAAATTGTCATTAGAAGTAGTATCGACAAGAAGGACTATATTTTTGATTCCTACTAGTTTATCTGGTAATGGATGATGATCAACTTTGTTTATATTCTGGAACGAATATTGCGCAGCAATAGTCTCTAAGTCGAAGTTTCTTGAGAATCTAGAACCTTCAATCATAATGATGATGATGTAACCAAGAAAGATCTATTAGATTAGATATATTTATTTTGACTAATTATTTAAAGGATGTTACGCTTAAGAGTATATTGGTGTACTTACCTTATTTTAAATACAAAGCGCATTTGATATAAAAATAAATTGCGAATCCCTTTTAGGAAATTAAAATAGATTTAGAGTTGCAAATTGAAAGTTCCCTAAGGGGTCGCGCTAAAATGTCGATTATATACCGGATGGTCTTGTAGCCTTAATTATTATGAAGTAGAAAATCGTATTTTTACATATTTAATATGGCTTCTTCTTTTGAATTTCGAACCTACTATCTTGGCGTCTATCTAATTCTTAACATATAATGTCAAACTTTCTTACGAGCAATAAGATGACGGAAGAACAGAGCCATTTTAAATTCCAAGTTGACAGAACACAGGTGAAGAAGGATCTATATAAAGAGGTTGAAAACTCATTCCGCCGCCCTTCCAATTCCAATTATGAATTCAATTTATGCATTTCAATGTATGTTATCGGAGCTTCTTGTGATCAAAATAGAATTTCAAACTTTTATAATTACAAATTAGAAAAAGAATTAGCTGAAGATATAAATCAAATCATTAGACAACTGTCTATCAAACAGAAAGTCGTTAGAAAGTATGATAATATAACAAAAGATCCAAGAAATATATCAATTAACTTCGCTCCATTCGATAAACAAGAGTTCATTAAAATGAAATGCTTCCTCTTAGACTACAATGAATTGACTGATGTTTTAAAGGTCAAATTCTGTGAATCATTGATTAGAAATTGGGATTATAACTTGGGTGAAACTGATATTATGAATGCTCGAAAATCATTTACAAGCTTATTAGAAGCTATTTCGTTGGGCGATCATGGTTCTTACCTCTTTAGAATCAATGTTCATTTTAGACATAAAGCTGGTGCTGATATTGGTAGATTTATTGGTATTTTAGAAACTATTCAAAATTTTATGAAATAGTTAATGGTTTAATGGTTATTACAATTGCGTTATATATAGATTATTATATAGATTATTTTATTTAAAAAATTGTTTATTTCTTATTATGAGAGGATAATATAAATACAAGAAAAGTTCATGTAAACAAATTAAATATTATTTTCTACCTTGAAAGTTTCCCACATATGATTTAATGCAATGAAAACACCATTACATACCAATTGAGTTTTAATATCATCTTTAGCTTGAACTTGGGTTTTATCAGGATGAATAGTTGAGATGATTTTTAAATAATTGAGTTTAACTTTATTATTTAAAACTATATCACTTTGTTGAACCTTTTTAACTTTAATTTTATCAGGAATGATTTGATCTATAGTGATTAAAACTTCACGGAAGTTCTTACCTTGTAACCATGATTTAATTTTAATATCAATTTGTTCTTTTAATAATGGATCAACTTCATCATCTTGGATTTTCTTAACAGGCCTTGATGACAATGATGATGGAGGTCTTGATTGAACAGGAGGTGATGGTGTAGATTTAGATGGTGGTGGTCTATTGCTGATACTTGAAGATGGTCTTGAGACTTGGGGATTGACGATTCTATCTAATCTATTCTTAGCATCAATAATCTTTTTATCGTGGATATTTAAGGATAATAAAATCTTATAATTATCTAAACTTGATTCAAACTTCTCTAATAATTCAAGAATCTCAGCTTTAATCAATATTAACTTCATAAACCAATATTTAATAGGTTTACCATCGATTTCAAATTGATTAGAGTTAACTTCTTTAATATCAATTAAAATCAATCCAGATTCAACACTTTCTAAACTTTTCTTCAATGATCCAAGTAATTTATAAACATTACCTAAGTTAGAATAGATAATCACTCTATTCTCATGCTTTTCAGGTAAGCTATTGATACATTTACTATAAAATTCTAATGCTTTATCATAATCACCTGATTTGAATGCTTCAGTAGCAGTGGTTTTTGAAGTGGTATAATCAACAGCTTGGAATTGATTTAATGGAGTAGCACTTCTCAATGACGGATTAGGAGAAGAAGTTGCTGCAGATGATGATAATCCTAATAAATCAACTTCTTTTGGAGGTTGAACTTGAATTTTAGGAGCAGGTGGCTGAACTTTAGGAGTAGTTGGAGTTCTTTCGCTGTCAGTATTTCTGGTAGGAATATCTTGAGGACGCTTTAATGGAGAAGAACGTCTTGGTACTTCAGGTATAATTGGTTTTGGTTGTTGTGGTGCGGTTTGTGGCTGACGTTGTGGTCTTCTTTGAGGTAACCTTGGTTCAGGTGGAGCAGGGGAACTTTCTTTAGGAGAACCAGTTGCTTTATTATAGGCATTTTCCAATCTTGTTCTTCTTCTCTCTTTATCCTTTTCACGTTGTAATCTCATGAATTGATCAATATCATCTTGATTAATATTATCCGCATCAGATCCATAATCTTCAGTACCATCAAATTTCTTCTCAATAGCATCTGCTTTATATTTATCTTGATCTTTCATCCACTGTGGTATATTTGAACCGGATCCTGAGCTTGATCCACCATTACCATTCTGTAATTGTTTCCCAATATTATGAATGACTGATTTTTTAAGTTTATTTGCTTTATTAAATAAATCTTGACCAATACCATTGAAATTGATCCCAGCATAGTCTTCAGCATATTGTTGTCTACTAGGCAATTGATGATTAGTTTTAATTGGAGCAGGTGCAGGAGAATTTCTTTGACTGTTAGGTTTAGAATTTTTATTCATGATATAATTTACACATAATTGTAAATCAGGACCCATTTCTCGAATGGCTTCATTGGCATCATCAATGGAAAATCCAATATCGATCAATTCAGCAATAACACCATCCTTTTTAGCAGTGGCTGATGTTGGTCTTTCTGGAATTGGTCTTCTTGGTTGAGGAGGGGTGACTGGTGTAGGTGGTTTGACTTGTTTTGGAGGTGGGGCTGGTTCAAATGCATCTGTGAAATCATCATCCAACAATGAGATGTTGTTAAAGTCATTCACAACTTTATTCGCCACAGGCTTCTGTTGTGTTGGTTGTGATGGTGATTGAACATTGCTTTTATTATCATTCTTAAAGAAGATATCAAATGGATCATTATCAATACTTGGAGGATGAATTGGTTGATTTGAACCTATGGAAGAAGTAGAAGATGCAAATGACGAAGGAGAATTGAAGTTAGATATATTAGTTCTAGGATTCAAAGTGGTGGCTGATGTTGGTATGATTGGTTTCGTATTTATTGATGGGGCTGGAGAGGAAATTCTTGAATTGGATGATGACAATATATCTAGGTTAGAATATGATGACGTGTTGTTTTGATAATGATATCCATTACCATTGCCATTCCCTGATTGTAACTTTTGTCTTTCTTGCATTGACAAGGTATTCACTTTAGGAGTACCACTTGTGGTGGTGGCTGATTGAAATAGATCAGCAAATGCATCTTTCTTGGGAGGAGCCATTGTTAGTTGATATGCTGCCCTATGGTGATTTAATTTGATGGATACCTAATGCTAATGCTGGTTTTATTAATCTATAATGGTATATCTTTGATAATGTATGATGTAGGGGATGCAAATTAACCATGAACTGGTTTGAACTATATTTAACCTTAATTAATTTGGAAGTGATCTATCTGTTCAAAGTAGTTTCTTTTGTTGTCAAAAAAATATTTGGCCTGGAAAGTGAGATCCACAAAACACAATTTACATAACCAGTTCATATGACCATAACCATCAATTGAAGTGGTATCTTAGTTATTAAATAGAGTAATTCTGATGAAATTGTATGAATGAAGTAGTAACAGATTCAAAAAGTTGAAGGATTGATCTCTATGGTTACCAAATTGTAAAATAAGAAGTGGTCACGTGATTTTTGATAAATAGAATTTTACTAAATAAGACCTATCTAAGATATGAATCAATCTATGGTTGGTGGTAGATGTATCAGTCTGTATCAGAGATTAAATTGATGAATCTAATTCCACCATAAATGGTGATATTTTAACTTTTAACGATTTGGAATAGATTTGTAGTTGAATATAACTATCTTTAATCTATTTTTGCTGCCAAAATGATAAAGAATGAAAAATAATGGACAATCAACTTGATTTTTAGTAGGAATCACTATACTCACAGGATAATTCCAGAATATCATCATGATTGTCCACCCTTTCAATAACATCTAATGATTTATTTCCTTTGATATAGGTATATTCACCCACCCCATACTATTACTAGTTACCATCACACTATATAAAATGTGGTCGTGTGAACTTTACCAAAAATATAGGTGTAAAGACATCTCATTCAATAAAAGAAAAAAAATTTCATTTATATGTTAAAGGGAAGAACCATATATATATATCATTACATAAATATAACTTAAGTCAAGATGCATTTAATGTATACCACCGGTGCCGATGGCAAAAGAATCTATACCTTAAAGAAATTAACTGAAGAAGGTGAAATCACCAAATCTGCTCATCCAGCTAGATTTTCTCCAGATGATAAATATTCAAGACAAAGAGTTACTTTAAAGAAGAGATATGGTTTATTACCAACTCAAAACTAAGGAAATGGGAATAATGTATGATTGAGTAGAGAAGAGGGTGTTATTATTAGAAGAGGTTTTTATCATTATGATTATTATGTTTATTTATTACTATGGTACAGAATATTTAAAGAATAAGATACTTTTCATCTATGAATTATTAGACTATTAATGTTTGTGATTGGTCTTTTCAAATGTTAATATTATCCCAAACCCATCTTTGAAATCAATCAGAATCAAAGTTATAGCATGTGTACAATATATTATATAAAATATTTTTCAATTTAATATAAAAAAATAGGATAAAAGTGATATTATGAATGTAGACTCAGCTAATGAATGTGAATATGGTGACAATTTGAGTAATAGAGAGTAGACTTCCAGAGCTACTCCCTTGTATCACCTAAGGATCTCCAACACTTGTAGTTAATAGTATCTTATCGGTGAATGATATGAAATAGTCACTTATAATGGATCTTTTTTTTGACCGGTAGTTTCTAAATTGAATTCAGCATTTCTTAAATAACTTTCCCACATTTGAGATAAGATCTCCGTATCTAAGTTATTTCGATTAACTTCCTGTAAACATTTATTTATGGTAACTACTGATTCATTTAAATTTTCCTATAATTATATGTTAGTATTCTTAATTTCATACTCTAACTTTCATTTTGAACGAGTACATACCATATTGTTTATTATTCTTGATAACAAAGCATTCTGAGCTTGTTCATGAGGATTCTCCATCTTGTGTTAATACCTAATTGAAGCAATGAATAAAGAGAGGTAATAGTTGTTATTTGTTTATAGTTTATCGTCTCTGATTTTTTTTAATGTGTACAAAAAAGGATCACACCCTTACCGCAATAATTAAGCCAATCTTAACAGATCAACCAACTGTCTCAACACCTAACGAAAAATTTAATAAGGCCATAATTGGTATTTTAAACGATAGTCCTTAAGGTTGTTCTTTCTACTATCAAACCATGGATTTCATACAAGTAGTTATATTGACTCTTGTAGGAGGGTTGGTATTAACTCTTTTATTATTCCAATATCAATCCAATGGATTTGCATTTCATAAATCATTAATCCCAAGTGGATTATCATCTTCAAGTTCTTCACCATATAATAAACCTACATTTTTAATCTTAGGAGCCAATAATAGTGGTAAGACCAGTTTATATTATAAATTAATCAGAGCTTCTAAGAATCGTCATCTTGATGATGATGAGAAAGTAAATGAAGGGATGACTCCCACTGTTTCAAGTATGGAATTGAATGCTACCAGTATTGAATTACCATTTTCAAATACGGCTATCACGAAGAATTATCAATTGATTGATTATCCTGGTCATTTAAAATATCAAGAATTATTATATAAATTAATGATTGATGATATTAAATTACAAAAAATTAGAGGGATTGTATATGTATTAGATTCATCATCCATATCTATAAATTCAGAAAATTTAATTGAATTAAAAATTGCTAAATTTTTATATCAAATTTTTTCTATCACTGAAAGAATGCATAATGGAATTGATTTCTTATTTGCTGTGAATAAGAGTGATTTATTTGATAGTTTACCAGTTCATAAACTTAAAGGATTATTAGAATCAGAATTAAATAAATTAATCACTGATGAATTGAATTCGGTGAATAAAAGTTCTGGAATTGATAATGCTAATGATGATGATAAAGATGATAATGGAGATGGGAAAAAACCATCTCAAGAATCATTACGTGAATTCTGGTTGAGTGTGATTGGATCAAGAAACAAGGAATTCACTTTTGATAAATTAGAAGGGAATATGGATTTCGTAACTGGTTCTGTACTTCGTAATAAAATTGAAGGGTGGGAAAATTGGTTTGATGAAAAAGTTGTAAATAATTAAGAAAAAATCATTTTCATCTTGTCTTGTTTTTTTTATTCAATTTTATTGTTTGGAACTGTGGGAAAGAATGATGGATCCAGTTGAATCTTTTTATGTCTAATTTTATTATATAACGCTTTATTATAATTTAATATTCTTAATTTATAAATTTCATTATTCAATTTATATCGTTTAAATTTAAATTCATTAATCTTTTCATTCAATGTAACTAATTCTTTATTCAATTCTTTAATTTGATTCTGTAAGGTTTTATATTTATCATCACTGGCCCCATCTTTACTTTTATCACCATCATCACCTTCTTTCTTCTTTTTGGGTAAATAATCACTAATCAATTGATTTATTAAATATGGTTTAATAGCTTCAGCTTGAACCGTCAATTCCTCAACTTTCTTAGTCTTATCCAGTTTATCTTTCGTTAAACTATCATAATCAGGATCTTCTAAATGATCACTGAAATTAGAATCTTTTAAATGACCAGGACAAATATATAAAAAATCAATCTTGGTATCATTTAATAACACTGTACTAGTTAATTTATAACAAATCGAACATGATTTAGAATCTGTAGATGCAACTTGTTTGACATGATATATATTAGGAAATGGAGGTTGATTAGAACTCATAATAGTAAAAGGGTTTTATAGCTGCAAAAAAAAAAGAAAAAGTATTGAAAACTATATTTAGTATTATACTATTTTCAAATTTCTATCTTCTGATATCTCTCTCCCTGTTGTGGATTCCAAATTAGGCAAGGATAAATCACGTGATTGATTCATAACTTAAAATTGTGATTCACAATTTTGTGGAGAACATCAACTAGCATTAACAGATTTTACATTATATTAGAATAATACATTTGCAGCTCGTTTCAATTTAGAAAATACGATTAAATGGTTAATGTCGTTCTAGAACAGTTAAAGGCTAAGTTGGTTTAATTATTTTCTCAGTTAGTCATTCGTTTTTGATCGATCTATTTTGATTTAATTATTTACTTTTCTCCCGGGTTATGTTAATATGTATAGAAGTATGTTTGGAATGGTTCATTTACATGACTTGATTCTATATCAAGACTGTTAAACCAACAAAAATGAATGACTATCAAATTTAGAATGAACCAAAATAGTAGTAATTAAAATGAAACGTTACCAAAAATAATCGTGCTGTTAGCGCTTATACTTTTTGAATTAATCCAAATCAGGCAAATTCCGGGTGTGACGGGTCACCATGGATTCATGTTTTTTTACAGGTTAAGCTCGTTTTAAATGTTTGTGTTTTGTCGTGTAGTTTTTGACTAGTAATTGGACCGTCATTTTACAATTGATCGGTTAAAAATCTGTTTGTTATGAGTAGATGTTACAAGGCTTGGACTAGAGATAGATAGCAGTTTATAATGAAAGAAAGTAGAGTAAATATTATTAGTTGCTGTTGCTGTTGTTTATGTTGTTGTGGTCAAGAATATATTACTATGATTTAATACGACTAATATTCAAATTCGGGGGCATTTTTTCTTCTCATTTTCACCCTTAAAATCAGGAAATTTGGCTTTTTATGACAAAAAGAGGAAAATGTAAAATGTAAAATGTAAAATGGACAATTATCAGGACGTGTCAGTGAAATTTGGTGCCATCCCTCATAAATTAATATAGGCAGAGAGACACAACAACTGATACACTTTAGACTTATATCTAAATAATCTAGACTGAATATTTTAGTAATTTGATTAAAAATAATAATCGATATCGTAAATTATTACTTTGTAAGTAATAATTTGAGTTATATTAGTCTTTAACCATTGATTCCTATCATTTATACTGTATAGCAATAATCATGGGTACTATCTGAACAGACAGACACTGAATTAATTAATTATGTGTTCAGTTCAAATGTGTTTAGAATTTGTCTTATTTCGAAACTTAAACTGTAAAAAGCAAAAAAAAAACGACAGTGCACACACCTCTCATATCCCATCCAGTCAGACAAATTGTCCATGTTTTAAATCTAATTTGGGCTAATTTTAAAAATTTGTCTGTTTTTTTAGTTTTTTTTGTTTTTTTCCCTCATTTTCATTTTCTCCCATTTCACATTTTTTTTTCTTCTTCGTTCTTTTTGCTTCATCATCCTCCTCCTCCTGTTAATAACTAATCAACAAAAAATTAAAATTTGTTGTTAGGTTTTCAAATAATTCTATATATCCCCTTTCTTAGCATTCATTTTGTTACCATCATCGTTTTCAATCCATCTCATCGGTCTATCCATCCATCAAGAGATATACACGTCCTATCCTTTCCTACCCATCATCGAGATCGTATTATACTCCATTCCTCCATCTCACACATCCCCATTTTAGCACCAGATCTCAATTTCTCCCTCCTTCCCTCCCTCCCTTAATTTTTTCTTAATTTAGCTCGTCTGTAACATTGCCATCCACCAACAAAGTTCAACAACAACACACATCGTATCGTACTTTGCCCTTCCCCCTTAATACAAACAGCATATACATATACACATACATATACACATATAATATAACTTCATCATGTCCACAACCGATCATCAAGAAGCTGATATCGATTCCATAGTTGATAGATTATTAGAAGTTAGAGGTTCAAGACCTGGTAAACAAGTAACATTATTAGAACATGAAATTAGATACTTATGTACTAGAGCCAGAGAAATTTTCATTCGACAACCAATTTTATTAGAATTGGAAGCTCCAATTAAGATTTGTGGTGATATTCATGGTCAATATTATGATTTATTAAGATTATTTGAATATGGTGGGTTCCCTCCTGAAGCAAATTATTTATTCTTAGGTGATTATGTTGATAGAGGTAAACAATCTTTAGAAACCATTTGTTTATTATTAGCTTATAAAATCAAATATCCTGAAAATTTCTTTATTCTTAGAGGTAATCATGAATGTGCTTCAATTAATAGAATTTATGGATTTTATGATGAATGTAAAAGAAGATATAATATTAAATTATGGAAAACTTTTACTGATTGTTTTAATTGTTTACCAATTGCTGCTATCATTGATGAAAAAATATTTACCATGCATGGTGGTTTATCCCCTGATTTAAATTCTATGGAACAAATTAGAAGAGTTATGAGACCAACTGATATTCCTGATGTTGGATTATTATGTGATTTATTATGGTCTGATCCTGATAAAGATATTAGTGGTTGGAGTGAAAATGATAGAGGTGTTTCATTTACATTTGGTCCTGATGTTGTATCAAGATTTTTACAAAAACATGATATGGATTTAATTTGTCGAGCTCATCAAGTGGTTGAAGATGGTTATGAATTTTTTTCAAAACGTCAATTAGTTACCCTTTTTTCAGCTCCAAATTATTGTGGTGAATTTGATAATGCCGGTGCCATGATGAGTGTTGATGAAAGTTTATTATGTTCATTTCAAATTTTAAAACCCGCTGAAAAGAAACCAAGATATCCTCCAGCAAATGCTCCAAGAACTGGTACTACCCCAAGAAAACCAAAAAAGGCCACCAAATAATCTAATTAGACTCTTTAATTAGATTGATTCAATCCATTCACTTTCAACCTCAATTATTGCATAACCTTCCTCCATCAATTGAATCAAACCATTTAACCTTTTTTATCTTATCAGTTTTTATCTTCAACCTCACCCTTCCCAACCATATCTTATCCCTTCAACTTTTTTCAACTTATGTATATTAGTATTATTATTTTATCAAATCAAATCAATCAATCCATTCAATCTATTAAATTATTAACTTTTAAGAAATTCAATGATTTAAAGAAGAGAAATTACTTTGGAATTCAATATTTTTTTCATTTTCCTTTGAAAGGAAAATAAATTCATCTTACATCGATCGATCTCCATGCATATATCAACTACTAAAATTCCAAAGACTCATGATGCTTCTTCTTTTTTAATCTTGAAAATATTTGAAAATAATCGTTTTATAAAAAAACATGAAATATATCATTAAGTAAGATTTATCAATATTATTACAAACTTATAACGACCCCCTACACCACACGCCATCCCATCGATCATTCATTTTATAATCATCTCATAGAACTACATTTTTTTACGTTTTTTTTTTTTTTGGAAATAATCTTTATTTTTCAACTTTCATCAAAACTTATCATCATCAACTTGATTTAAACTCAATAATGACTTCACATTCATACTTATGATGCTTACGATTCTTATTATTCTTATTATTATTATTATTACAATTTTAACATTTACATTATTATTTCAATTACAATTACAGTTATATATCTATTTGTCTGCATTTATATAGAAAGTAATCCTGCCCCCCCATTCATTCACTCATTGGTTAGGTTATTATTGTTTTTGTTGATGATTTAAGGTTTATTGCTATCTATCGTATTATCAACTCGTAAAATATTATTGTAAATGGTAAAGAAGAGTTGATAATTTAAATTGTATATATATAGAATGTGTATATTAAAAATTTAGTCGTATGGTAAATTGTAAAACCAAGAAAAAGAAAGTAATGAAAAAGAAAAAGAAAGATTTATTTTTATATTAATTTGTGGTTCTTAAGAATCTACCTTTGTCTAGGGTATGATGATGTTGCTGATGTTATTGATGGTGATTATATCGTGTATGTTATTTTTTGTATATCTTTCATAGTTTGTTTATATTTATTTTTTAGATTTCGTATATTTTTGTTATCTGATCTCAATTTATTGAGTGAATGATGATACTTGATTTGATATTATTATTCCTTATTATTGCTTACTGAGGTTGAAATCAGTTGGAAATTGAGGATATGTGTTAGGCTACTCCCCTCCTCCTTTTTTTATATAGTTTGATTTAGTCTTTATAGTTTGTACCTTACCTTATATTATCCCTTATTATTATTACTTAAAAATTGCAATTGATTTATTATTGTTAGAGATCGTTGCTGCAAAAAAAAAAATACTTATTCCAATTTAGAAAACCTACAAAATCCAAAAAAAAGTGAAGATAATCAAAAGGTATTGTTACTCGTCGTTCCTATTTTATATAGTTTTATAGTGTATAACTTTAACATCATCATTATAGTATCTTATCAAGAAGTGTGTGCTTCAAAAGTTCTAGGTTAGCCTAGTTCTATACATTTTTACTACTATACTATGATTGATGTTATATCTCTCCATCTGTGATATTAATATTGTTTTTTATTAAGATTATTATTATTGTTTCCCCCTTTCATTTCGTGCTTAATCACAGATGGTGTTATATCATTATTAGTTTATTCATTTATTATATTATTAAATATATATTCATAAAAATTCAATCAATTAACTTATGGTAATACTAATAGTGAAAAATCAATCACATGACCAAATCTCACACCCACGTGAAAGCCCTACAGAGCCCTAGAGACCTGCATACACCCCTCTGCCATAATTAAAATATTTCACCCCTCCTTTTTTCTATTGACATTACTACAATGGGTATGGTGCGACATGCGACATGAAAAATGAGAAAATGAAGAGACATTTTATATATACTATTCTTAATTATAGAGAGAGAGAGTAACACTGTGAGTGAGAAAGGTCTAAACAGTTCTGCGTGAGGGAGTGAAAAAAAAAAAGAGAGAAAAATTTTGTTTAACATTTCTTTTAAAAGTTAATACATAAAGAACATACTAAAGTAGTGACAATATGGTATGTAAAATGAATGAATTAGATCAGCTCAGATGAAGATGGATCATCATCACCTTCATTGGAATGTTTAGAGTATCATCAACGATTAGATTTTGATTGTGTGGGATATAATCCCTGGAAATGAAATTAGATTCAAATTAACGATTGAAAGATTGGAAATAGAAGGATTGAAAAAGATTGATTCATGGAAATATCAAAGTGTAATATATCATAATAGATCAGATCATATCATTAGGATCAAGTTGACTAGTTTCATATCAGTTTAAATCATTAAAATCAAGTTTGATTCAATGAAATATATTATCATACGTATAAAGTCTAAATTTAGACCTTTCATCAATAACTATCATCATCAACCAACAAATACAGTCCACACAACTCCATCAATCTTGAGATACTCCTACATTGATCATATCACTTATCTTACGAACCAATTTACTAACATACATTTCTATTATAGGTTTTAGTTCAAGATTTATTAAACCCATCTCCAGCTTCTGAAGCTCAAAAACATAAATTAAAGACCTTAGTTCAAGGACCAAGATCTTTTTTCATGGATGTTAAATGTCAAGGTTGTTTAACCATCACCACTGTTTTCTCCCATGCTCAAACTGCTGTTACTTGTGATTCATGTTCCACTGTTTTATGTACTCCAACTGGTGGTAAAGCTAAATTAACTGAAGGTTGTTCATTCAGAAGAAAGTAAATTAATTAATCTTTAGTTTTCCTTTCCAATTAATGCATTTTTATCCTATCATTTTATCATAGCACATATAACTTTCACCTCCATACCTTAATTCCCTTATACTATACTACGACGAGACAAAAAATTTCTATCATATATAATAATAATAAAGAAACATGTCAAAATCATATCAAATTCAACCATGATTGTATTAGTAGAATCATCCCAACTACAACAATAACTACGGTTACACCCCCACTAAGTCCTTAAAAATTCTTTTATTCGTCTTTATATATCATATCTTTTTTTGTATAATTCTAAAAGAAAACTTTTAATAAAAATTTAAAAGTATAAATTTAACCAACTTGTTAACCTTGTAGAGACTTTACTCGAAGTGACTTTTTAATAATGATTGAAAGTATATATATTTAACATTAATCTATGGTAATACTAGTAAAGTGATAAAAAGAGAGAGTAGATAGACAAAAATATATAGGAATACACAAAATTTACAAATAAACTTATAATTTTGATTTAGCATAAAATCTAACAACTTCATCAAAGGCATTAGCCACTTTTTTAACATTATGATCATTCAAACCTGCTACACTTGCTCTACCTGAACTTACTAAATAAATAGCATGAACAGATTCTAATCTTGCCACCATTTCAGATGATAACCCAGTGAATGAAAACATACCAGTTTGAGATTTAATATGTTCCCAATTTCCAGGAGTTTTTAATTCATGAGTTAAAAGATTAAATAATTCAATTCTCATTTTATTAATTCTGGAACTCATAGTGATTAAATCCTTTTCCCATTGTTGTTTTAAATTTGGATCATTAAGAATAGTTGAAACAATTTTTGAACCATAAGCAGGTGGATTTGAAATTTCTGATCTAATGATTTTATTAAATTGAGATTTAATAGCTCCAAGAGTAGCAGTTGAATTTATTGGATTTATAATATGAATAGCTCCAACTCTTTCACCATACATACCACAATTCTTAGCAAATGATTGACAAATAATAATCGGAGTTTTAATAATATCTTGATCAATAGAATATCTAATGGCAAAGGCATCTTTTTCTAAATCACCACTAGCAAAACCTTGATAAGCACTATCAAAGATAATTAAATGATTTTTAGCTTCTAATTCATATAAAATTTGTTTCCATTGTTCACTTGAAGGATCTAAACCAGTTGGATTATGGGCACAAGCATGTAAAAGGAAAATCGAACCTTCAGGAGCTGATTTAATCGAAGATAAAAATCCGGTTAAATCAAGTGATTTACTATCATTATTCCAATATGGATAAGTTTCAACATTTAATCCTAAATTACGGAAAATTTGTTGATGATTAGCCCAAGTTGGAGATGATAAATAAATTGATTTTGATCCTCCATAATAAAATTCTTTTAAAAATACACCAGCAACATGTAAAGCACCAGTACCACTTAAAGATTGTTGACTTACCACTCTATTTTCTTTAATAGCTTTGGATTCAGTACCTAAAATGATTTTAGCTGCTTCTTTTAAAAATGGTTCAAATCCACTAATCGATAAATATTCATGATTATAATCATCACTAGTAATCAATTTGATTTCAGCTTGTTTGACAGCAGGTAAAATCCATGGTTTACCATTGTTATCTCTATAAGCACCAATCCCTAAATCAACTTTATCCAGTCTTGAATCAGCATTATATCTTGCTTTTAAACCGAATAAAGGATCAGGTGGTAATTCTTTAATAGTGGGGAAAAATGACATGTTGTCCTAAGGGGATGTTACTACTGTTTAGTTAGTTAATATGTTGATGATGATGATGATGATGTACCTGACACACACACACACACACAGCGATTTCTATCTATATAAATTGTATAAAATGAACAAAGTGATGATGATGGTTGATGGACAGTACTTATAATCAATCCTTAATAGTCGTATTGTCTTATGATGTTTGTACCTTCCTTTAATGCGAGGCATTTTACTCTTTTTTTTTTTAATTTCTTTTTTGGGTGGAGGTGGAGGAAGAGGGGTAAGTCACATGAACACAAATATTAATTTAATATACCCGAAAATTATAACGACGACGACGATATAGTTCTTAAACCCTTTAAAGCTATAACAATCCTATGGATGGATAACCGCTAATTTTTAAATAACTCAAACTATAACAATTACCCCAGACTATAAACTAACATATACGGATAGAATAGGAATTGAAAGGATTTAAGATTTATGTATGTGTATGTGTATATGTATATGTAATATTATGGGGGGTTTATAAAAGCTATATATGATATGATTTAAATTGAATTACTTTGAAGTTTTAAATTAACGTAACTTAATCAATCCAAGCTAAAGCTTGAATTGACTCTAGACAACTGATTTAACTTCAAAAAATCTCTTTAAATAATAAATTTGAAATACTGAATTTACAGCAACAACAATAATTTGAAATACTGACCACCATTTAACTCTTGAATTAGTTGATTCAGCAGTATTTCTATGAGTTCTTTCTCTTATAACTAAATAACCTTGTTCAGCTTTAACATCATTAGTTAATTGACTTAATCTTTGAATAGCATAATCTAAAGTATCTGATTTTGGATCATTAATATCAACATAAACAACTCCATGAATATTAAATGAAACATCAACATCAACCCTATTAGTTCTTTCATTTGAAAAACAATAAATATATTTCCCATTAACTGGAGCTTTAACACTTTCATCACCATGATCTAATGCTTGCTTCTTTAATAAAATTTGTCCACTTGGAGAAATAATATTAAAATCAATATTATATTGTTCATGATTATGAGGATTTCTACTTCCAACTTGGAAACTAATAGCCAATTCATCATTCTTCTTTAAATGTTCAAAAAAGCATTGTTTACCATATGGAGCTAATAATACATTATGACAACTTATCAATTGAATAAAACATAAAAGGAAAACTGAAACACTTTGAATAGTTATCTTCATCTTGGAACAATTATCTATTACTTTATGATGATGATATAATGATTTCAATTCAAGTTAATGAACCTTCAAAACACAGTCTATATAGATCAAATCAATCAATCAACAGTTTTAAAGTTAGGTGTTCAATTTTTTTTTCATGTTCCACTCCCTCCCTCAATGAATGAACTGTTTTGATTTTTTTGGTTTGGTTTGTACGCGTTTTGATTTTGAGAGAATGGACACGACCCATTTTTTTAAACTCTAATTATATTTACAACATGGTATGATCAATGACTACAAAGTTAATCAATCAATTAATTATTATGAAGAGTTGTTGTTAGGATAAAGGGGGATTAGTCGTGGGATTGTTAGACATATCATCAACTTTTTAAGTGAATTGATCCACCTGTTACACTAATATGATCAATGTTAGTACTTGTGCTGCAAATAATTCAAATCATGGCTGCCTTTTACTTAACCCATGATAACGAATCAACAAATATCCACTACACTATTAATAAAACTTTCATGATATAAATTAACATAATTCTATAACTATTTACTAACTATAATGATGATGATAAACTAAATTACCTTATTCATCATCATCTTCTTCTTCTCTTACTAATACTGATCCTGATTCTCTAGCCTTTTGAATTAATAATTGATCCACTAATACTAAAGCAGCCATGGCTTCCACAATAGGAACAGCTCTTGGAGTAACACTTGGATCATGTCTACCTCTAGCAGCCAATACACCTCCCTTACCATCATAAGTAGCAGTTTCTTGTTCTTGACTTATAGTAGCAGCCGATTTAAATGCCACTGAAAAATAAATATCTTCACCATTAGTTATACCACCTTGAACTCCACCACTATTATTAGTCTTGGTTCTTAATCTATTTAAATCTTCATCATAATAAAATGCATCATTATGTTTGGAACCGGGAATTTGTGTACCTAAAAATCCTGATCCAAATTCAAATCCTTTAGTAGCAGGTAATGATAACATAGCATGAGCTAATTTAGCTTCTAATTTATCAAAACATGGTTCACCTAATCCAATTGGACAATTTCTAATCACACAAGTAACAATACCACCAATTGAATCCTTTGAATCTCTATAATATTCAATTTCTTTCATCATATTTTCTCTTAATTTAGCATCAGGACATCTAACTGGAGCAGCTTCATCAACTTGTTCACGAGTAATGGTTTTTAAAGTTTGTTGGAAATCTTCATCTAAAGGATTTCTATTCATTGAAATTGATCCAATTGATGAAACAAATGCAACAATTTCAACTTTATTAGCTTTATATAAAATCTTTTCTGCAATGGCTCCTGCTGCAACTCTACCAATAGTTTCTCTAGCTGATGATCTACCTCCTCCACTCGAACTCTTAGTACCATATTTTTGTATATAAGTCCAATCAGCATGACTTGGTCTTGGATAAAGATCAGTTTCACTATAATCATGAGGTCTATGATCTTCATTCTTAACAATCATAGCAATAGGTGATCCTAAAGTTATCCCTTGTTCAGTACCACTTTGAATCTCAACTTTATCCTTTTCATTTCTTGGAGTTGAAATCTTACTTTGTCCCGGTCTTCTTCTTGTTAATTGAGGTTGAATATCAGTTTCAGTTAATTTTAATCCAGGTGGACATCCATCAACTATACATCCTACTGATTTACAATGGGATTCTCCATAAGTAGTGACACGGAATAAAGTACCGAAAGTAGACATAATGTGATAAATGATATGTGTTATATATATATACCTATGTACTTAATCGATTGATTGATTAGGATTATAAATTCGTGGTAGGTTTTAAATTTTTCAGCTTAAAGGAAAGAAAAAAAATTAAAAAGAAATGAGTCGACAGGGCCGGAATTTTTAAAATGAGTAATAATAGTCACGTGAATGATTTTTCATTTTTGGATGCAAAAATATAACTACAAGTTATGCTTCATTATTAAACCACAAACCAGCTATCTGTTTGTTACCAAGAAAATATTATATAAACAAAGTTCTAAAAACTAACTATAGAGCTGAGAACGCTTGCCTGTAGAGTAGGATCATGATATACTAGGTACGGAACTTCAATTATTTTAATCAGATAATTTTTCAAATTACGTTTTATAGATTCACACATATCTGACAATGATTAATCAGGAATGATGTGGCACTTTGAGTTGTGGAAGAGTCATAGCAGTATATGTTTCAAATATAGGATTCTTCTTTGGAAGTTTTGTTTATTTAATTTAATTTGCTAACTTAACTATAATTCTCCAAAGGAATCACTAAACCACAAAAGTTCAAGGTGTATATGACTATTTTATGGTTATCAAGGTAACTAAATTTCTCCCTCTTCTTGCTGTACTACTTTAAACAAAGATGGATAATCACGATTTTGATAGTATTAGGGATAGAACTCCTTTGTAGCAGGAAAGGCATCACATATGTATAAGGCTTGGTCTTCATCTCTATTTCCCACATAACTGGTATCAATTTTGAAACTCATGTGTGGGAAACCTTCAAGATATTCTGTAGGAGGCATTTTGAAATTCTGACACAGTACCATTTTTAAAATATAGATTTCAAAATTGAAATTTTTTGTCCAATAGTGGTGGAAGAATGTGATTACGGGTAGAATGCTGGAGCCACAATCATCAAGACCTAATCTGAAATGTAAAGTGATATGTTTAAGACCAAGTCTATGAAGCTTTTCAATATTCTTTACCAAGTAATCCCAATCTTCATTCTGGGAATAATCATTATCATTGTAGGCAGGTTGTTCTTCACGGTTGTAGTGAATAATTAGACCATGTAAAGGAAGAGGAGGAATTATAGACGTTGAAATGTTACCTAATTTAGTGGTATTCACCGAAACCACTAAACTTGAGATTTGGTTGCAAGTTGATTCTTCAGCATCGATATTGAGGTTTCCCAATTCATTTGATAACGATTCAGCCATGACAGGTATATTTGTTGTTATAAGAAGGATATATCTTAATTAAAGCTGCGAAGAAGATTTATATCGCGTTTTAATAATGTTTTTAAATAAACTAAAACGTAATAAACTACCAGAACATCGTACCAGAACATCGTAGCAGAACATCGTTGAAAATTTTAAATGTTATGTTTAGCTTAATCAACCATTTTTGGGAAAGCTGAGGTTCAGAAATCTATACTATTGGGAAATTTCTTTCACTAATGGCTGCTGATGATGTGGAAATTAATTATTAGATAAATCAACCATATGAATGAATTCGCTTTCTATAACCCGTGAGACAAAAAAATATTTCCCCTTAATTCTTTGATAGAATTGATTTTTAGTTCCAACGGAATAACTAAGTCACTTTTAAGTTCGATAGTAATTCTTCATAGTGAGAGAGCACTCTTCTCTTTATAGCACTATTACGTTGATTTCATACACTATATATATATTAATTAATTTGTTTTCATATTTAATCTATCTATAAGATTTCCATCCAAGTTTGCCTAATAAAATTCAGCTAATTCAGCTAATTTTGACAATCTAATCTTTTCATTAACTTCATTTGTCGTCATTCTTTTAAATTGATCGAATACCTCTTTTGGTTTTGGTGTTTTCAAATAATGAGGTTGAAATGTATGATATATAAAATTGATTCCACATTTATGAAGTGAATTGGTCAATGACGTCTGTTGTTGTTGGGTTAAATCAGGATTGGTCAGAAAATGAAGACGAATCATTTTCTTATCCAATGATGCAATATTTATATGGAATTTAGGATTCGAAATTCCAAGCCACATCACCACTGGCACACTCAAGGTGTCATGAAGTTGCACAACGTTTGAGCCTACTCCTATCAATTGGATTGATTTTAGTCTAGTTAGGTTACGGAACTCTGAAAAATCAGAGTCCCTGAGAACAACCTTTTCAAGCGTATCTTTATGACGATTTAAGAAATGATATACCTTATATTGACTTGATATATCGTACGATTCGAATCTTGCATATCTTAAACATGGTAAATGCAACCACAAGATAGTGTCAGTTATTTTAATTTTTTGTCCAACACTGACATATTGTGCCAGATCACCCAAAAAACTGAGTGAAATTTCCAAGTGAGTATTGATCCATTTCTTATAGGTATTAATATCCTCATAGCTTTCTGTAATTAAATCGGTGTCAATTTCAAACCCAACAAATCCAAATCTTTTTAAGTCACTTGGTAATTTAAAGGAATTCAGATCACCATTTTGGATTTTGAATATTTTCAAAACAAGATTAAAGGTACCCCCCAATTGTTTCAATTTAAACGCTTTATTGAGCAAGTCATTCATCTCACTACCGCTAGCATTTGCACCTAAAATAAATTGGAAAATAATTGTTACTGGTAAATAGGATGGATATAAGGATGCTATATTAAAAAAATTCAGCAGTGGATTTGAAATATTGGTTCTATTATGAACCAAGGTTGTTCCCTCATTCTTGAATGGAGTGTATCTTAAGTTATTCAAATCAGATGGTATTGTATAATTATCAACTATTGTAATAACAGATCTAAGTATGGTTGGAATCTGATCGATATGACCGGCATATGGAAGAATTGGATCTGGTACTATTCTAATGACAGCGGACATCTTATTGGACGATTCCGCCATTTTTGACGATCAAGTGTGTTCTATTTTATAGTTTGTGTTAGATCAAAGTGTTGTTGTAAATAATTTGTGCTGTAAAAAAAAAAGAGGATCTCAGATCCTTTTTATAGTTTTTTTATTTTTTGACAGCCAAATTCGGTTTTTGTTGTAAATATAATTTATATATATATAAATATACATCAATAAACATATAATCATATATACACCATCATTTAAAGTTTTGAAGTTGTTCTTGAATTTGATTCAAATTCATCAATAGCTTCAGTTGCCAAACTTGCCAAGTATGGATATAATGCAGCATAACCGCTGGCATTACCACTACTGGCATTACCTTGTTTAACCCTCATAGCAATCCCCTGAGAAATAACACATAATCTTAAAAGACCAAATGCAAAACCAATTAACCAAAGATTTATTGGATTATTAGTAGGATCTCTTGTATCCCAAGTACATTTGTCATTATAGTTATTTAACTGTTCATAAATGAATTGAATTGATCCTTTGTTTTCCTTCCCCATATCTGTCTTTTGTGGTTTGTAAAGTAATAAGTTGAGCTTATTTGGTAAGTTGAATGGCTGGAAAAAGTTGGATAAATCGAATAATGGATGACCAATGGTACATAATTCCCAATCTAAGACTCCTTTAACTGATTTGGTGTGGGGATCAAATAAGACATTATCAATTTTTAAATCTCCATGAATTAAACTTAGATGTTCTGGATCTTTAGGACTTAATCTTAAGATATCTTCACATAATTGATCAAAATTAGGAATTCTTTTGACGAAAGTGGATTGTTTGGCTTCAATTGCTTTCAATGTCTTGATCTGTCTTTGAAAATATGATGAATTCTTTAATTTATCAAGGTTTTGGAATTGAGGGAAATGACTAGCAGGTAAATGACTGATTAATTTCACTGCATCTAAGGTATGTATAGCCGTCATAGTATTAATTAATGATTTCCAATATTGATGTTGATCATCAAGGGGTATACCAGGCATAGCAGGATTTTTAATTTGAATCCCATTGACGTATTCCATGACATAAAACACATAACCAATAATGCTTTCATCTTCACAAAGGATATAAACTTGAGGAATAGGAACTCGTCTTGTTATATCTTGTTGATCGTTATTTAAGATATTTATTCCTCTTAACATGAAGAATTCACGTTCAATAGCATGAGCTGATCTGGAGATTAATTTGGCATTTGGTGATGGTTTCTTTCTCAATACGAAGACTTTCCCAGTATCCTTATCTTTGATGTAATAAGTTGGATTCGACTGACCAAAGGAAAATTGTTTAATATCAATATTTTTAAGTTGATTTAAATAAGTTGGTACATTAGGTCCTAACGTAGTTCCTTCGGTGGTGGAAGTAACTGATGTTAAATATTTGACAAGTCTATCTTGATCAATAGGATGTCTCACCTCAGTGACGTCTGGTTCAGTAGCCATACTAAGATCTTATAACTATTGTAATTGTAATTATAAAGTTATCTATCTATCGATCGATCGATCCTTTTAGTTAATCTTGTCGGTATATATATTTATGCTCGAAAATTTATGTGGGGTAAAAAAAGCAACTTTTGAATTACCGCATTTGGCAATCACCCTCGGGATAAAAACATTGACAGAATAAAAACGGATTTATACGAATGATTTAAAATCGAAAAGTATATACAGATAGCTCTAGTTCATTTATTTGAAATATGTGTATTCGTTAATTCGTTATTATAAATAATATATGTAATATGTAATTCTATCTAATTTTTAAGCGCTCATCTCTTTCACTTGAGCTGTAAGTAAAGTGTTTTCTCTCTCTCTCTCTCTCTCTCTCTCTCTCTCACTTGATATTTAATGAGTAATAATTATAAATTCCTCTTTGACTAAATTCCACTGGCCAAACTTCTTCTTCATAGTATTTTGATTTATACTTATTCAAATTGAAATATCCAATTGAACAATTAACTTTTCGAGAAGCATACTTCAAAAACTCTGGTTTTCTAATCATAGTAGTGATTTTATTTCCTGTTTCTAAATCATAATACACTAAATTCGACATCATATTAGGAACCGATCTCTTTCGATTATTATCCTTCCCATTAAGGATTGATTTATATTCCGGATCACGTTCATCCAATTTATAAATCCATGATCTTCTTCCTTCATTATCGTAGAATTTCCAAATTTGAGGTTGAGAATATGTTTCGATGAATGAGGTTTGGATTGGAGAGATATTAATATATTCCCCATTGGAAGTTAATTCATAAAGGATTTTATAATCGAATTCAATCGCCATTAAGGATGAATGGAAACATTTCTGTAAAAGACTTATGATATTCCATTTCGTGATTTCCTTTATGCCTGTTAAATCAAGATATTTTAAATTTGGATTGGGATTAAGTTTTGTACTTGATACATTCAAATAATCATATAAATCAACTAAACTGATATTTGTATGACTTAATGAAAGACTTTCTAATTGTGGGAAATTCTGTTTAATCACCAATAAAATCAATTTATTAACTGGTAATCCACCAAGATTTAAATATTTCAAATTTGATGCTTGTAAATGTTTAAGGGTGAATAATAAATAAACATCACTCAAGGGAGTCACCACATTTGAATCAACTTGTAAGTTTAACCATTGTAAGGAATTTTGAGTTACGGATGGATGAGTAGTTAAGAATGCAATAAGATCTTTGGTAGTTAATTTTGAACATCTTGATAATGATAAATGAGTTAATTTACAACTAGTAGGTAAATGTTGTAATAAAGTAGTGGAAGTGATTGAAGTATGATTTAAATCTAATCTTTTTAAATTAATTAAATGAGGTAAGATTTTCACAAATACATCATTTGATAAATTTGAACAATCATGAAATGAAAGTTTAATTAAATTTGATAAATTCTGATTTTGTACTTGATAAGAATAAGATCTTAAGGTTGACATATCATCAATCATCATTCTATCTTCATCTTGTTGTTGTTGTTGAGTTTGAATATCAGGTATAATCAATTCATCGAAAGCACGAGCAAAACTTTCACTACTGGCTCCACAAAAATCCAAGGCTTTAATTCTATTTAATCCATTAAAAAGATAATCCAATACATTGACATCCAAATCATCTTGAATATTTTCACTAGCTAAGAATTCTAAAAGATTAGGTGTAAGACTTAATGCTTTGGAAATAGTCTTGCTTGTCACCATTTGAATTTCTTGATTCATTCTCCCAGTTCTACCTAATCCAATTGAAGTGAATTGTTGAAAATCCATAAATTCGACAAAATTCCCAATTTGATTGTTTTTATTTAAATTAGTAAGGAATTTATCAAATGAATGAGGACGATTGAATATAGCATATTTATAAAGAAAACATAATGATAATTGATGAAACATTCTTGATAATAAAGGAACTGTTCTGGAGAAATTTTCTAAATTAGAATTAATTGAATTATAATTATGATCATCATAATAGGCGATTTCAACGATTCTATAAAGGATTTCTAAAGGTAAGGATAATAAAGGACTGAATTGTTCTTTTTCTTCATAAATTTCTTCATCCTGTGGTTCCACTTTTTCATCATGTTGAGGAGGTTCAACAAGAGGAGTTGATGAATTGATGATTTGATTTGGTTTATCATCCAATAAAATATCATCATCACTAGTGGCTTGAGTGAAATTTGAATCATGAGATGTGATGGGAGATAAGAAGAATGTTGAAGGATATAAATGTTTATTATCATCAGAAGGAGATGTTGTAGGATAAATCGTGGTGAACTCAGATGCAGAAGGAGGTAAGGCTAAAGAATGTTCAAGATGATCAACATCAGCATTCTCATCATAGTCTTGTTCATCTTCTTGTTGTTGTTGTTGTTGATTCGATGCTATGGATGATGATTCTTCTTGATTCTTTCTATGATTATAAAAGAAGGGGTTCTTACCATATTTCTTTCTAAATTTAACTGTATTGGCAACATAACTATCATGAGAGATGGAATGCTCCGGTTTAGGAGATTGTGATCGAGAGGAAAGATGCAGGTAATTTTGACCCATTAAATCAGTATATGAATTTGAGAATGTATGTTTTATTAAATGGTGGGGAGGATGAGAATCAGTATGAGAATCAGATTTTGAATGATGTAAAAGAAATGAATGATGATTTGATTCAAGATCTGTTGCTGGTGATGACGATTGGAAGTATTCTTGTTGTATTTGATTGTTTAGAAGTTCAGAAGATGGTGTACAACTTGTGGTTGTATCTTCATGATGAAGATGATTCCTTATAAAATTTGAGATCATTTATTTAAATTTTCCCTGTCTCTGAATGGTAAGCGTAACGAAAAATGGCTGTTAAAAATAAATAGGAGTGAAGCCGGACTTTGAATTTGAGGGAAGGTATAGTACAAGTAAATATATGATATGAAGTGATATGATATGCTGATGGAAAGGTAGAGATTAGTACAGAGAGTATATATAATATATAGAAATATCTGGTAATTTAAGTCTATATATAAATAATAATTAAACAACTTAGATGTAACCAAAAACCAAAAGGCATTTTCCACAAAAATATATAGTTAGTGACTATAACTATAACTATAACCCACCCACTCATATAAAAAATGTAGCCAGTTAACAAACGGTGGGTTCTAAATAAATAAATAACTAAGTAAATTTACGGTGGTACAATAAAAAGTATGGTTTTAGTTACTTTTTAAAGTTGGTACGGCACCGCTTGTGGTTTCTAATTACAGACGGCAAATTTCGTCACTCACTAAATGATTTTCTCCACCATCCACCGCTAATTGTCAGTAGAGTTCCCACTGACCACCGCTGCCGAGAATAATTTTTAGCGAGTAAGAAATTATGGCGCGGTGCAAAAAATAATTTTTCTGTGGTGGTGGTGGAGATCCTCCCCCTCCGAAAGTCGGATCAGAAAATGATCAAACCCAAAACAAACTATGGTAGATCAGATTTATGTTGTATAATTTTAGAGCTAGAGCCAATTATAGAATTGTGATGATGGTAGTTTGACATTATCAGTGGAAGATACTATTGTCATCGGTTATCTCTAGGTAGCATGTAATCTTGCAGTATAGTTTAATCTATATCCAATGACTAAGTACCTGTTGCTAAATCTTATGGTCTAAGTTGGTTTCATAAACCGTTATTTTCCATTTTAGTATATTTATTATTTATTTGCTTGTTTTATGTTATGACGGTTGTAATGATAATACTCCTCTCTCTTACCCCAACCCAGCCCAACTTCATCATCATCATCATCTTCACTTCTTGGTTCCACCGCCCATTGCCGCTAAAAAAAAAAGAATGAGCTAAACTTTTTGTTTGTAAACCTGTAAATTTGTACCATATAATCTGTAAAAAATCATCACATTTTACAAGTTACAACTCAACAAATTTACAGTTTAAATGACGAGTTCCAAAAATGCCGTTAATAATTTCTGCAATTGAAATAACCCCACAGTTTCCATTTCATGAAATGGATTAGAACTAATTATATATATAGTTATATAGGTATAATTCAATTACGTTTAATCTATGGAACGTCAAATACGTCAAAATTTTAAAAAATGTAAACAAAGATCAAAATTAAAGGGGAAGAGAAGGGAGACCAAGAATATTCTTGATATGATGTATAGAAGGATATTATAATTGCATACCCTGCATACCTACCCTCTTTTATTCTATCAATAACTAGTAGCTTTCCATAATTCATTTTATTAATTAACCTATTTATATATACCATGTGTTATGGCTTTATAGTTGTTTAATTAGACGTAAAATTGTATTTTTAGTGTGTGTTCTATATACAGGAGCTCATTCCCCCTGCTCCTTCGCAGGGAATAGTCCGTTCCCCCGCCAATAATCATAAAACGAGGTGAAGGAAGGAAAGGTTAAAATTTCATGTTTCGTCCACCTTTAATTGGTAAATTAAAGGAACGATCTTATATCAATTGACTTGATAAATACGTAATAACAATCCCAATTGGACAATACTACTAGTAACTACAATGTCTGAATCACCAATTTATGGTTCCGATGAGGAATCCCAAGAAATTGAAAGATTAGAATCAACTTTACCCCCATCATTACAAAGATCAGCTTCATCATTATTTGAAACTTTACATAGTTCAACTTCAATTCATCATAGTTCATCTCAACATCTGGCTAATTTAATCACTTCTCCTCAACCAAATCGTGATAGTCATCGTGAAAATCATTTCAATTCAGTTTATCTTAGTAGTAATCATCATTCTAGAACTCCAAGTCAACATCGTGGTGCTACTGCTGCTGCTCTTAATGTCCCCACTTCCATTAATGCTCCTCAACCTCAACATCCTGCCAATAAACAATTCAAAAACCTTTTAATCTCCAAATTATCAAAATCAGAAAATGGTCGTGAATCATCTCCAATCCCCATGCCAAAACCAAAATTCAATGAAGATTATTTTAAACCTGCTATGAATACTAAACAATCTTCTACTGGGGTATTATGGGTTACTGAAAGAGCTTCTGAATATGGATATGATTCAGAACATGTCGGTGATTGGGCTAATTTAGGTCAAGGTGCTCCGGAACATGGTGATACTATTCCTGGTTCATTCCCAAGACCAAAGACTATTCCTGTTACTGATGAATCAAAAGAATATGCTCCAACTGCTGGTATTAAACCGTTAAGAGAAGCTGTGGCCAATTATTATAATGAAACTTATCGTCAAAATAAATCTTCCAAATATACTTATAAAAATGTTTGTATTGTTCCTGGTGGAAGAGCAGGATTAACTAGAATTGCCTCGATTATTCTGGATTGTTATTTAAGTTTCTTTTTACCTGATTATACTGCTTATGCTGAAATGTTATCCTTATTTAAGAATTTCTCCCCAATCCCTGTCCCATTAAATGAAAGTGATAATTATGATATTCATTTAGAAATGATTAAACAAGAATTAACTAGAGGGGTTAGTGCTCTTCTTACATCTAATCCAAGAAATCCAACTGGAAGATGTATGAAACGTGATCAATTGAAACAATTACATGATTTATGTAGAGAGAAATGTCTTTTAATCATGGATGAATTCTATTCTCATTATTATTATGATGATAATTGTTCTGGTTCATCAATTTCATCAGCTGAATATATTGATAATGTAAATCATGATCCTGTTTTAATTCTTAATGGGTTAACTAAAGCTTTTAGATTACCAGGATGGAGAATTTGTTGGATTTTAGGTCCTGAAGAATATATTAGTGCTTTAAGTAGTGCCGGATCATTCTTAGATGGTGGATCAAATTCTCCTTTCCAATTTGCGGCTGTTGATTTCTTGAAGCCTTTAAGTGTAAAACAAGAAATGAAAGCTTTACAAGTTCATTTTAAAATGAAACGTGATTACATTGTGGGTAGATTAGTTAAAATGGGATTCAATTTGAATGAAAAAAATATCCCCAATTCAACCTTCTATTTATGGTTAAATTTATCTCATTTACCTCATAAATTAAGTAATTGTTTAGGTTTCTTTCATGAATGTTTACATGAAAAAGTGATTGTGGTGCCTGGATTTTTCTTCTTGATTAATCCTCAGAATTTATCAAGATTAGAAGATGTTATTTGGTATCATTACGTTAGAATCAGTTATGGTCCTGAATTACATCATTTAGAAAAGGGTATGGATGGGATTGAAAATATCTTGTACAGATTTGGTTGTCTTCCTTATGAACTTAAAAAGTGATCTTTTGTTTATTTTCTTTTTTTATACGACATTTATTTTATTTCAGTTTAGTCTTAGTTTGTTTTCTTTATACCTCCTCCTTCTTATTTATTATCAATACCATTAAGTTAAGTTTATATGTCGATGGATGCAAAATTTGCATATGTAAATTATTTCTCATTTTTGTGGTCCACCAAACTTACTCTAAAATATTTATAGTGTGCGTGCGTGGGTCAGTCTAAATTATATTCTCCACCTCCTCCCCAGATTAACAGCAAGGGTGATATAATTGCTGAACAAATAGCTTATAAATCGATAACTGAAGTGATCTGAAATGGAGTTGTCGTTTCTGTCGATCACATTGCCATCATTACCATCAATCTCCCTCATCATAGAGTCTATACCAACTATATCGTCATTACCATCACCAACTACTTCATTGGCTGATTCAATCATAACTACATCCATATCATCATCATTATCATCTACAAATGTCCTACCGTCAGCTCGTGAATACACTTCATTGCCATTCCTAAGTGCATTCATCTGGTTTTGTCTGTGGTTATTCTTTAAAATCATGAATTTGATTGTTCTTTATATCCCCAGTAAGATCTTAAAACTTCTATCCACTGATTTTGAAATCACTTTAAATCTTTCCACTATATTATTATCCTTAACTTTGATCTTAGGGGTGGGGTTCTTGATTGTGAGGTATAAGTACTTATCTGGTTATTCAGAAGATATCAAGGGGGAAACTAATAAATTAAAAAATGTATCATCTGGAGGACCTAAATTGAAAAACTCCAAATCAAATATTGATCTCTTTGATAATCAAAAGAAAAAGTTCAAAAAGTCAACTTCAAATTACTTAGATGAATTCTTAAGTGCTATTAAAGTATTTGGATATTTAGAAAAATCAGTGTTTCATGAATTAACTAAAAATATGACAACTCAAAAATTATCTCATGATGAGATCTTATACCTTGATGAAAAACTTGGATTTTCAATTGTGGTAGAAGGGGTCATTCAAGTGTACACTAGAATTACAAATGAAACATCATTACCCATCGATGCTGATGATGATGATGGTGATGTGAATTATGAGAAGGGAGATATGTTGATATTAGGTAATCAACGGTATCAGTTATTAAATGAAGTTAAAAGTGGATCTCCATTAAGTTCATTGATAAGTACTTTGGATTTATTTAAACCGATTTATTATGAAGATGAATTATCATCGAATTTAACTAATTATAATATATCCACTGATTCATTCTCCACCTCTAAAAATATGCATTCAAATCCATTGGATCCAAATGTATCACCATTTGATAATATCATGAATGATTCAACCACCGCAGCTGATTCATCTCCTCGTGTGCCTCATATTCATAATGGATCGGAGTATCCTGAAATAGTAGCCCGACCAAAACCAATTCAACATCAACATCATCATACAAAACAAGGTCGTCATCATCATCGTCGTCATACTCATGAACCACAAGGAGCAACCATTGCTATCATTCCATACCTGGCGTTCCAACGTTTACAATCAAAATATCCTAAAGCTACTTCTCATATGGTCACTATGGTACTTACTCGATTATATAAAGTTACCATGAATACGATTCATAATTATCTTGGATTAACGAAAGAAATCATCGAGAGTGAAATAAGATTAAATGATATAAAAAGTACCCCCACAGCAAACTTACCCCGGTATCTTTATGATGGGTTACTTGATAAAATGTATAACAAAGGTAATGTCACTTCATCGAATAATACGAGTAATGATACCAGCAATGATCATGAATTAGATATTCCAGAATCGATTTCAGAACATCTTTCTCATCCTGCGATTCCACATAAACTGCATTTTTCAAATGGTTCTTCTTCACGTTACGTCGTACTTGATTCACGTTTGAAATCAACTCATCCCGGTGATTTACTTTCATCAGTTCCATTATCTCGTAAATCGGAATATTATCAAACTCATAGTGGTGAAAACCCACCCCCTCCAACTTTAACACCATCTGAAAGTAGGAAAAATGTTAGAGTTGCATCTACCAGTGCTGTTACTATCGCTTCATTAACTCCAGATACGTCAACTATCAAGGGAAGTACATCATCCAAATTAAAATTAGAAGGATTTTCTGATGATTATTCAGAAGAAACCGAAGAAAAATCATTACGGATTGCCATTATTGAAAATATGTTTAAATTATTAGGTATTAGTGAACAATCCACTCTTTTATTTTCCAAAATTAATGATCTCAATTCGGGTCAAACTTCTCGATCATCTTCGATCGTAGGGTTATCAAATCTCATGCATCATCATAATGGAAGTAGTCAAGGAAGTTCATATGGTGGTAATGTCGGCAACACACCATCAAGTCGTTATTATGATCCCTTAACTGGCAGATTCAGATTTGATACCTTATCAAATTATTCATCAAGCCCAATCAGTGGAAATTCAACTCCAATCAAAGTTTATAATACCTTGAATCAATCTCAATTAATGAAAATGAATGATAGTAGCGCTACAGAATTAAGTGTTAATTTTAATCGTAAAAGCGTTAATGGTTCAAATTCAAGTCATGGAAATGAAACTAATTTAAATACAGTCAAACATGAATTTTCAAAAGTATTACATATCAAATATTATGGTCCTAATACTACGATTGTTGAACAAGGATATTTCAATTCAGGGTTATTCTATGTGATTGATGGATCTTTAGATATATTGTATAGCCCAAAGAAGACATCTGATTTTAGTGCTCATAATTCCCAATCAACTACTAAGAAATTATACACTGTCAAGCCGGGTGGATTAGCTGGCTATTTAACTTCGATTGTGGGGTTCAGATCATTAGTATCTATAAGAACATCTCGTAATAAAGGTGCTATCGTGGCGCATATTTCTAAATCTGATTATTCAAAATTAATGGATCAATTTTATTTCTTACAATTACCTGTGGCTACGAAATTAAAGACATTATTATCGAAACAAATCTTAACGATTGATTATGCCTTAGAATGGTGTCATATCCCCGCCGGGAATGTACTTTGTTCCCAAGGTGATTTAGCTAATGGATTCCATATTGTTTTAAGTGGTAGATTTAGAGCCTTGAGGAATAATAAATTTGAACCACGATTATCACATAATGAAGATGAGGAATTCGATGTCGAAGTTGATGAAGATGATGATGAAGATTCAGATAATCATGATAATTTAAATGATGAATCCAATAATACAAGAGTGAGTAATGATGATGTTGAAGTGTTAGGTGAATATGGTCATGCTGAAGCTATAGGTGAAGTTGAAGTTTTAACGGCTTCAAGAAGAACTAATTCAATTATTGCCGTTAGAGATTCTGAAACAGCTAGAATTCCAAGAACTTTATTTGAATTACTTTCATTACAAGATCCATCCGTCATGATTAAAGTATCAAGAGTGGTTGCTAATAAAGCTTTGAGTAAAGTCAATGCCCTCTATCAACTACTGCCTGGTGGTAGATCAGGTTCAATTTCTTCATCTACTGTTCCTCATATCTCCAATGAATATAAAACTATTACAATCCTTCCTACTGTTGTTGGTTTACCAGTTCGTGAATTTGCCGATAAGTTAGTTCATGCCCTTAAAGCAATTGGCCGTAGAGTGATTTCGTTAGATCAAGCTTCTACTTTAACTCATTTAGGAAGACATGCATTTGATGAAAGATTAGCTCAATTGAAATTATCCGGTTATTTCGCATACTTGGAAGAAGAATACGAAACTATTGTTTATGTTTGTGATACACCTTTAAAATCAAATTGGACTTCAACTTGTATTTCTCAAGGAGATTGTATTTTATTATTAGCTGATGCTGACGATGATGTGGTTGCCACTGGAGTTGGTGATTATGAACGTTTATTAATGAAACTTAAAACAACTGCCAGAACCGACTTATGTTTAATGCATCCTGAGAAATATGTTGAACCTGGATCTACCAGTATTTGGTTGAAGAATAGATTATGGGTTCAAGGTCATCATCATATCCATATGCAAGTATCGAAAGTAAGTGTCAAGGAAAGAGGAACTAAACGTGCTAACATAATCAGTGATTTGGCGGCTAAAATAAGTAGTAAAACTAATCCAAGTATAAAATTAAGTTTTGAAAATGTTAAGACAAGAGCGTTTTCATCATTTGTCAAATTGAATACCGCATTTTATCGTGATGACAATAAGGTTGTTCAAAGTCATAAGAATGATTTCTTAAGATTAGCTAGAATCTTATCGAATGAAGGGGTTGGTTTAGTTTTAGGAGGAGGTGGATCTCGTGGTATTTCTCATGTTGGAGTTGTAACTGCTTTAGAAAGACATGGTATCCCGATTGATTTAATTGGTGGAACTTCGATTGGATCATTTGTTGGAGGTTTATATGCTAAGGAATATAATATTGTTTCAATTTATGGATGGTCAAAGAAATTCTCTAAAAGAGTGGCGTCACTTTGGAGATCTGCTTTGGATCTAACTTATCCTGTTACATCTTATATAACTGGTTATGAATTCAATAGAGGGATTTGGAAAGTATTTGGGTTTACTGAAATTGAAGATTTTTGGATCAAATACTATTGTAATTCAACCAATCTTACTAATTCCACCATGGATATTCACGAAACAGGATACCTGTGGAGATTCATTAGAGCTTCGATGTCATTAGCTGGTCTTTTACCTCCAATCGCATATAATGGATGTATGTTAATGGACGGAGGGTACCTTGATAATTTACCTGTCCTGGAAATGAAGAAAAAAGGAGCCAAATATATTATTGCAGTTGATGTAGGTTCGGTGGATGATAAGTCACCCATGACTTATGGTGATACCTTATCTGGATTCTGGGTTTTATTCAATAGATGGAATCCATTTTCAAAACATCCAAATGTTCCAACCATGACAGATATCCAATTACGTTTAGCATATGTTGCCAGTGTTAATGCTTTAGAACTTGCTAAAAAGACACCAGGAGTGATCTATTTAAGACCTCCTATTGAAGATTATGCCACTTTAGATTTTGCTAAATTTGATGAGATTTATCATGTTGGGTTAGATTATGCCGACAAACTCTTTACCAACTTGGAAAAAACAGGCAAATTACCGCCTATAGCAGGTATGGTGAGTAAAGACAAAACAGAGAATGGAGAACAAAGTAGAACATTATATAGACGTAACTCTATTTAGAAAAGTAACGAAGAAAGCATCGTATAATATAAAATATCATTTTCAGTATCACCAAATAATTTTGCACTCTTTTTTTTTTGCACTCTTTGGATCATCACAATATCAATACATGAAAAAAAATAAATATATCATTAAACGAAATGAACTTACTTCTATCAACTCAAAAACATAAGCCCAAAACCAATATATATATGAGGCTAATACCGATACTGACATATAATGCCCTAAGGGTGATACAACGACAACACTTAATACCAAGATACTTGTCCACTGGGTCAAGATTCTTCCAACAACATCAAACATTCAAGAAACCAAGAACTGAAGAAAAGCCAATTGCATTAAAGTATGATCCTTCAGGAGATGGTGATTTCTTAAGTTATGGGATATTACCATTCTTACAGGGGACTTTGAATAAGGTTTTACTTCTTCAAAGTGAAATAAAAGGAGCAAGACCAGAACATAATGCTGTCCCCACATCAGAACAGAGAAAGTTATTATCAGTTTTAAATTCAAATCATAGTTTAATATTAAAAGGGAATTATGAACAGGGGAAAACATTAGGATTAATGACATATGTGTTGAATAAGGCATTATCTCGAGTTCCTAGTTATGGACCTTTGAAAAATGTTGGAGTGGAATCCATAATTATACTTCCTACTGATGAACTTATTGAAAAATATCAATTACATTTCATGTCATTACTTGAAGGTATTCCTGAAGATTGTTGTCCAGGTGAATTAACTCCAAGATCAACTGAAGATGGTAATGTGGAATATGATCTTTCAAGAAAACCTTTAAAAATAGAATTTTTGGCAAGTAATAAAAGTCCTCAAATATTACAAACTGGACCTACTGATCCTAATACCCCTCCACAAATTTTAATCACAAGATTATCTAAATTAGAAGATATATTAGACTTGAAGTATAAAAATGCCCATCCAGCCACTAACATTCGTCATTTGAAATCAGTGGAATTCATAGCTGTAGATGAATTTGATTATCTTTTAAAGACAACTGGTATTAAATCTGATGAAATAATCGAACCAGTTTATCCAAAGGGAAAATATAAGAATAATCTTGAATTAACCATAAGAGATATCCAAGATTTTGCTATGAAATCATATCAAGATTCTATCAAGAAAATCTTATCTCCAGAAACTGTTGAACCAAATGAAGATGAAGAACCATTTGAAGATCAAACTACATTTTCCATATCTGATTTGAAACATAAAAGAGAAGATCAAACTAAAATTACTGATGAAAATATGTATAAGAGAATAGAAAAGGAAGCCAAGAAGTTGGTTTATAAGCCAATTCAATATTGTTTCCTTGGTCATACTGAACATCCTCATAAAGAAGTATTAGCTATGAAAGTCAATCTTGCAGAAAATGGAGATACAACCAATGCCTATGCCGATGCTTCTAACTCACCAACATCAGCACTGATTGAAAAGTTAAATAGTGGTATAAATGAACAAAAAGCCAAAGAAAATATGAAACGAGTAACTGATATTCATACTGCATTTGTGGAGAAAATGATAAGATTCAATGATGATCAGAGACAAGTTAGATTAAAGGAAAGACCTCTTATTTCAGTTCAAGAAACATTCGCATGGCCTGAAAATGGTCAAATACCAGATGAAGAATCAGAACAACGAGCCGTGAATGCATACTTCATTTATGGTATTCCTAATAAAGCAGAGGGAAATAAGGTTGCAAGAAGTTATCAAATATGTGATATAGATGCTACTAATTTACCTGATAATGATGTCAATGACATCATGGACGAACACATTGGGTTTGCCAGACATTTCCAAGACAGTTTCAAAGAAAATGAAAGAGAATTTCTAAAATTCGTCACTGCTAGTAGAACTGAAAAATTGGGTTCAACCCATACCGCTCAAATTATTGCTGCAACAGTGAAAAGATACAGAAAAGAAACAGGTAGTGAGGATACATTATGTGTAGTTGTTCCTGCCGATAGTAATATTAATGGAATCACTCATAAATTAAGAGTGAAGAAGAAGACAGATAGATATTTCCTTGGAGAAAGATTCCAACCCCTTGATTATAAAAATGATTTGTTTTTAAAGCATGATGATCAAGATGTATTGGTGGAAAGAAGTATCCCCATTAAGAGAAGAAAAATCAATCTTGTTGTTGATCCCACTCAATTCCTTGGTTTAGAATACAAGGGTCTCACTGATGTCTTGGTTATTGGTTTAAATACTTTAGTACCCCAATCAGCATTTACTCGTGTAAATACTCAATTAGAAAAAATCAATGGGGTTCAAGATGCATATGGTGATTTGATGCCTCTTTTGGTATCTAAATTTTTAAAATCCCCAACTTTCCGTCCTAAGAACATCTTATTCTACGTGGGAACTAAAAAGCGAAAAAATGATGATTTAGATTTTAAAATCAAGAGATTCAGTATGATGGTGGCATATAATCGATTATTAGATTTGATGAATGCTAGATATCTTAGGCCAGATAAGCCTGTTAAACAACGACTTTCAGTTTATTTAAATGAAGACTCCAACAATATTTTAGAACGTGGAATTGACAGTAATAGAAAGGTTAAAAGAACTTTTGTATATAGACCTTGGAAAAAGAGAGATTAGATATTAGTTAATTATTGTATAAAGTAGAAAATCCTAATCTTTGTGTACTTGAAAATATTTGTACATTTATAATTTATGTATATACATGAAAAAACTATTTGAATAAACTAGTTATTTATAAATTGTAGAAAAAGAACCGCCCCTCTATGAAATGTTATTTGAAGCAACTGGTTTCCCTCTAAAAAATTCATTAATTCTAGATTGACCTGAGTTCTTCACCACTGTTGCTTTACCGCTATCATCTCCACCTACACTTCTTAATGTTTTATAAAATTCAACAACTCTTGAATGTGCTCTAACTTTAGATTCATCAAAATTAAGAACTTGTAACCCCTCTCTTGAAACTGCTCTTGATAAAGCAACATAAGCTTGTCCATCTTCAAACACTTTTCTCAAATCAACTTTCACTTTAGGTAAGGTTTGTCCTTGAGATTTATGAATTGATAATGACCATGCTAACATCAATGGAATTTGAACTCTTGAAACCAATACAGTTTCTTTATCATCTTCAAGTGACCATTGCTCAGGTTCAACTAAAATAGTTCTAGTTTCACCACTAGGCAGTAAAAATTTCACTAATGGATATTTCTTATTATTGGTTTTTTGACTAAATTCTTCTCTGATTTGCTGTTTTCTTTGTAAATTATCAAGTTCTTCTTTAGATAGATTAGCACTCATTTCAGAAGTTGATCTATCAAAAATATAATCTGATGAATCATTTCCTTCCTCATAATTTATATCACCCTGTTCTTGAGCTTTCATATATGTATCTCTATCCATAAAGTCTATAACTTGACCTAAAGATCCATTGACAATGGTAGAATCTATATTTTTGATACACATAACTTGAGCATCTTTCTTTAAAAGTAATTCTGCTGGAGCTAAGAAATTTGATAAAACATTTTGCTTTTGAGGATTTTCTAATACACCACCATCTATAGATTTGAAAACTAAAGGTGTCCCTTTAAGTTTACCTAATCGGAAATTATTTGCCCTTTCAACTTCATTCCTAGTAGCATAAATTTCAGCTGGAGTTATACCGGGTGGACAAACCAAATCTCTTTTTAATTTCAAAAATTCATTACAAGTTCTTTCTGAAACTCTACCATCTCGTAATTCATTTAACATATCAATAAAAGTTTGATCACCCTTTTGACGGAAAACTTCCTTTAAGATGATGGTTTCTCTTATAGTTTCTAACCATGATCTACATTCAAATGCAAATAATACTTCTTTCCTTTGTGCAAATTCTTTCCCATCATTACCTATATTCTTTACCACCGGTGGTAACTGATAAAAATCACCACATATAACCATTTGAATACCACCAAATGGAGCATCACATTTTCGTACTGCTCGAGCTATTTGATCCAATTTATCGAAAAATACACCATCAACCATTGAAATTTCATCAATAATTAATACCTTGGCGCTTCTCCATTTATTCAGAGAAGTTTTATGTCTTCTAACTTTGTCGATTAACTTTTCAACCTCAAGTGCACCTAACCCGACCCCAGCAAAACTATGAAGTGTAGTTCCTCCTATATTACATGCTGCTAATCCAGTGGAAGCAGTAACAAAAACACCTTCTGAATATTTCCGTCTTAATTCTTTGATGATGTGACGTAAAAGAACTGATTTACCAGTACCAGCTGAACCAGTATAGAATAAACTAGCACCGTCCATGACTCTACTTAGGACATATTGTTGCTCAGCGGATAAGATGATAGGTTTGACAGTTTTACCAGCGGTTTCTAAACCTTCAAGATTTATCTTATCTCCTTCTGGCAAAGTTGGATTTTGAGTGGATAATAACAATGTAGCATATTTTGGTTTTTCAATTTTTGGCTTTGTTTTGGCTGGTGGTATATTGGTTGGTTCATTTTTAACCTTATAGTCTTTTTGAGGTATGGTAGAAGTTGAAAAATATCGTATGGGTTGTAATGATGGTTTCTTTATTATAGGACTACTGGTAATGAATTGGTCCTGACTAAATGAAGGTAATTTAATCATACTTTTTTGACGACTAAAATCATCATCATTTTCAATATCAGATCCATCAAATTCAACAAATTGAAATTTATTAGATTCTACAGCTCTTGCTTGTTTGAGGATATTACCAAGTAAATCACTTGATTGTCTCTTAAGTCGTATACTTGAACCTGAAGTATTCACGTTTGAAGGTGGCATAACCCTATTCGACTTTTTCCTGCTAAAGCTTTCGGCTGCCTTTAAGATTTCCAAGTCATCATCTTCATCACCAAACTCAAATGAATCAAATTGTTTGACCAACCCTTCATTGTGTTCTTTCTTCACATCAGTACTCTTCGTCCAACTCTTATCTTGAGATTGAGTTGAATCAAAGTCAGAATCAAAATCAATTTCACTTAATATCTGTATCACATGAGGATCAGTCTCTATTCTATGTTTAGTGGGTGATTGTATCACCTTGACGCGTGACGATGACGTCATTAACTTTGGTATTTGTCTTGATTGAATGATTGATTGATGTTTCTTGTCTTGATTACTATGATTATGGTTGTTTTTAAATTTTGATACTGTTAGTATCCACCGTCTGGCTGATTGATTATAGCACCTACTGTAACTCACACGATACATATAACAATCAAAGCTATTCCTTCTTTTAAGTTTCTTTTCAATACACTTGGTGCTTCCGTAGTTGATCTATAGTCACCTCTGATTCATTTACCAACTGTTAGTTCAGTATAATCCTTGCTTTCAAAAGGTTGTTATCAATCATAAAAACCGTTTTATGAAATTTTTAAATTTTTGAAGTTTACGCGACTTGATCAGAAAATGTCAAAATTTTTTGATTTACGACATGACAAATATTTATGACAAAAGTTATGACATATCATAAACATATTAACTTTATACATATACTAAATATTACGAAGATCAATGATGTTGATTAGCTCCAATGGCCCAACCTAAACCAGAAACAAAAAGATTAGATATCTTTTCACTAGCATTATTAGTGGTAGCTGTAGCATCAAGGATAATTTCATTAGCTAAATTACCTATATTCTCTTTAACATCAGTCAAAGTTCTTAATTGATTACTAGTTTGGGATTGTTTCAAGTTATCAAGTCTAGATTGACTATAATATTCTTCTATTTGTTCATTGATTCTATCCCATTGACTTAAGATAACTTTACTATTATCTGAACTTGAATCAGAGTGGTAGGTAAACTCTAAAGTTCTAGAAAGTAATTCTCGTTGTTGTAACCAAATCTTCACTTTTTCTGTCTCTTTCTTATCACTTATATCATCTTCATACCATGATGGGGATATATATTTACCCACTTGATAAAACGTTAACCAGATATCATTCAAATCATCATCATTCTTTTGATAATGTTGTAATAATTCCAAACATTTCTCATAAGCAAAAGTGAAATTATTATCAATCAATGATGATTCAATACATGCTGATTTTAATTTATTGAAATAATAAGTTGAATTTTTACTAGTATCAATATCGAAATAAATTAATAAATCATTTAAAATTCGGTATAATTTCTCAAATGCCACATAAGACTTTGGATTTTGTTCAAGAATGATATTTATAAGATGAAGGGTTTGAATTTGATCTGTATTGGATTCAGACGGACCAAAATTATTAACAAGTTGATATGGAGTGAATGGCTTATTCTTTTCCACTGCAATTCTAAAATTCTTCATATTAGCCATAGCTTTGAATAAATGTTTGAAACGAATTATCAAATGTTTATTAACTTGACTTAAATCAGATCGATTTGAAACTTTATCAAGAATTTCAACACATTTAGCTGCATCATGGAGTTTACCAATCTTTTCATTAAAATTACTAGCATTATTAAATGAATCCCAATATTTCTCTAATACTAATTCAAAATACTCATTAGCTTCGATTTTGGAACTATATCGTGATTCAACTAAATCAAAGAAATTAGAAAATAATAATCTCCCAATGATAAGTTTATTGATTTTGGTGCTTTCTTTCGGTTCATTGATGAAATTACTTATGAATGAATCCACTGAAGTTAACAATTGAGAACTATTATTGGAATTTATACCACTAAATATTTGTAATACTTCCTTCTCTTTCATTGGTTCAGCTGAATATTTCAAATGTAAATATTTCGATATTGTTAATCTATTAATTGGATATAATTCTTGACATGTAGTGACAATTTCTTTTAAGGTAGCTATAGAACTACCATTTGGTTCGATAAATAATGGTCGTATAGGATTAGTATTTGATTCAATAAACTCTTGCAAGGAGTCGTACACAGGGAACAAATCTTTAAATGAATTACTTGATAATTCAATGTGCTTCTTCTCAGTAGTTATTAAGTCCAAAGTTTCAATTATAGTATCATAAATCTTAGTTAATTCCACTGAGGATACTTTCTTTTCATCATTTTCGAAATAAACTGCAAAATAATAACATGATGCTAAATAATATTCAATTATAATCTTGAAATTATCAAATTGTAAATAAGGAGTTTGAACAATCGATTGAATAGTATGTTTCCAAACTTGATACTTCTTAGATGGATGAATTCCTGATAAATGATCAGGATTTAAGAATAACCATGAATGTAAAGGTTCGAAATCATCTCCATAATAATGTATAAGGGGTAAAATAACATGAGTATTCCAATTCTCTATTGATAATTTGTTACTGGTATATGAATGATGGATGACGGGATAGATTAATATTGTGAAATGATCTTGTAATGATTGTAAGTTTAAAAAGTCTTTGAATAGTACAACTTGATTATTATCATCATTTAAGGATCCATAATTGTCCCAATAATATATATACAGTTGGACCAAACCATTATACCATAGTTTGAATGGTTCATAGTTTTGTAATGGTTTAAACAAACTTTGGAAAGATTTGGCATCATGATAATAATGAGAAAGTCTTAATACTTTGGCCTTAACAAATTTAAATATGATTTCTTGTTTGGTATCGTGTTTACTCAAAATGAATGAAAGATGTTGACATTGAGCTGTTGTATCAGTCAATATAGCTGATGCCGTCTTTAATATTGATTTATCATGATTTGGAATATCAATCGATTTAGTACTTAACCAATTTTTAATCTCTTCTAAATCATTAAACTCAGATGAAGGTAACTCTTCCTTGGTTAAAGTTTCCACAAACTTGATCACTGAATCCAATGAATAACTTGATGGATCAGCATAGATCAATACCAATTCAAGTATATGAATCACAGAAGTATATTGAACATTGAAAGTTGATTGATTCAACTGCACACGTAAGTCATTTATGATCTGAATGATCTCAGAAGCAGACAAATTCTGAGTCAATGCCAGCACAAGACCAATATAGATTGTAGCATCAACCACTGTACTGTCATCAACCAGAGCTATCATGATCGTTTTATTAAGGTGTTGTAGTGTTGATTTGGTCAATTGATCAAAAGTGTTGCCAAAACCTTCTTGTTATGATCAGAATTTTGATTTGTGCTGCCAATTCAATTTTTCTGAACTCTCAAAACTTTTTTTGAACTTTTTCAATATGTGGGAAGTTATAAGTAACAGGTAAAGGATTCAGTTGAACCAAACAACAAGTAGTTGAACTGATACATTGAAGAGAAGGAGTTACATAGGAGATGTCTACATATTTGAATACGAAGCAACAACGGTTGATTGAAGAGTATACCAAAAACCATGTTAAATATTATGATAAAATCTCTGGTCAATACTTGAAAACAAGACAAGATATATTACAATTAAACTCTAGTATAATACAAGATATCAAACTAAAGCAAGAGGTATCGAATAGTAATAAGATCAAACTTTATGAATTACAATTTGAATTGGATAAAAACTTGGAAGCCTACAAACATCACATCAATGATTTAAGTCAACATATATCGATAAAGATTGAATTAAAAAGTCCATATCAAGATGATATCAATCAACAACATCAGAAGTTGATTGAAAGAAGATCGAAATTAAATGATAAGATTATAGATATTGAACAAGTTCAAAAACCAAAATTGGATAAAATGAAGTTATTAGTCAAAAGTTTTGATCTTAATTCAAAATCATCAACTACAAAAGCATATATTCAAGCCAGAAAGGAAGGTGAAAGTGAAAATAGTACTGAGATTGATCTTCAAAGTCTTAGATTCACTCGAGATGAGATTCAATTTCTTTTTGAAGATGTTTATGTTGATTTACATGCTAAATATAAGGATGATCCAAAATTTGATCAAGCATTTAATTTAAATCAAAGTATTGAAGAACAATTAAAGAATGGTAAACCATTCGTTAGATTAGAAAATAAAGAAGATCCAAAGAATCCCATATATCAATATAAAATCGATAAATCTACTTTACAACTGTTGGATAGATATACTACTATAGATGATTATGATAAATTAATTAAAAGTACTTTAACTAGTATAGAACTGTTGGTTCAACAAGGTATAGAATCAAAGGAGAGTTGGACTAATAATGCTAGAAAGATCGAAATCATTAAAGAATCATTAGATAAACATGATGATCAAAATAAAGATATTGACATGATTGAATAGAAGTAATATAAATATATAGTATTAACTTTATATGGATGTATATTAGTTTGTTTGTATATAAAATGTGTTTAGAAAATAAAGTTGATAAATACGAATTAAATTATATGGTACACCGTTGCATTGCGTTATGTTGCTTTTGAACTATTTATACATGATGAATTGGCATGATGAATGCAATAAAACTTTGGATTAATGATATTGATTATTAAATGGTTTAATTTATTCTGTGGTTGGACTCACTAAAATGACAGAATCTCCTCTAACAAACACCATTTCAGTCTTTTTAACTATAGGCTCACTATCAGTTTCATTGAATATAAACTCTTGAGCTTCACTTAACACCATATTACAATGGGAATCATACCCTTGAAGTCTACCTTTCATTTCTCTAGCTCCTCTTAACTTCACCAAAACAAATTCGTCTAATTGGAAACGAATCAAATCAAGTGGCTCTTGCAGTTGTTGTCCTGTTCTTAAAGTTGACATTATTACGTATGACTTATTCCTATAATGATATTCTTATCAACTTGTTTGATGATATTTCTACTATATCACCTCTGAACTTTTGAACTGGTCCTTTCAAACTGTTCTGGAAAATTTATGCTATGAAATGTCGTCAACTCAAATGTCTTTTTTTAATGTCGTGATATTTTTTTTTTTTTCATCCTTTCAAAATATTTTTCAATTCTGTTCAATATAGAAAAGGTAACCTGAATATCCTTAAATATAGTTAGGCCAGGATGAGTTTACGTACGGCAGCAAGAAGATACTTGCTGAGCTCAGTGATAAGAGCCAATATACAAGAAAGTACCATTACAACTGGAAGATCAAAACCATTAAAATTCGGCAATTTAAAGTCAATCAAATTAAGAGAACCAATTGCACCAACCAGGAAAAACTTTGATTTATCAGGAGATCATCCATTATGGCAATTTTTCGCTGATGGGAATGCCTCTGCCACAGCTGATCGTGTTGATACTGAAGTTAATACCGAATCAAGAGAATGGACCTTTGCTGAGTTACGTCGAAAATCATTTGATGATTTACATAAATTATGGTATATAATATTGAAAGAACGTAATGTCTTAGCTAGAGAAGCTTATGTTGCTGAAGGTCCATTTGGAGGTCAAGGAACTACTGCTCATGATTTGGTTGATGCTAAATTGGTTTCAGTTCAAAAAAAGATAAAACAAGTATTATTAGAAAGACAGGTTAGTTATGAAAGAGCTCAAACTTTAGTGGAAAGACAACAACAATATCTTGATGATTTTGCTGAAAGATATATAAATTCCAGTAATGATGATTTATCATTATTTAATGAAAAATTAGTAAGATTACAATATGCCTTTTATGGTATTCATCCCCGTCTTGAAGATTATGATTTATCAAGTGATATTAATGTCAAATTCGTAGAAGGATTAGAATATGTTTCAAAGGTTAAACTTGCAAGATACTTCCAACAAAATCCATCCGAAAAGGAATCATTTGGTGAATTGAATGGAGTAATGGAACAATTACCATTTTTAATCAGAGATGTTTCAGAAGCCATTGAAGAAATTAAACAATTAAGAGAAGCAGGTGAATCAGTTAAATTAGATAAGATTGATGTATTACCATTCCTTAGAAAGGCTCTTGCTTACGTTATTGAAAATGAACAATCTTGAAGTTAGCTAATCAGTAATAGTCTAACGAAACTTAATTTTCATGCATATAGATTTTATAAAATCAATTTCTTTTACAACTGTACATATTTAACAATATCATATTATTTCTCCTTTATTGATTTCAGCCTTTTAAATGTAGTTTAGTAGGTAATTACTTGTAGATTGCTTGGTATATATTGTTATTTGCAACATTGAATTGGGTTATAGAACGACATTAATACGACATTTAAAATGTCGCTATATAAAGGTTGAAATATTTTTACCAATCAGATTCAGTTTGTGTACATCCAAATATCACTAACCATCAACCACCAACAACCAACTACTATCAACAACAATAACAATTACAACAATGGGAGGTAGAATACATGGATTCTTAGGAGGTGTACTCTTAACCTCAGCATTTACATACTATACTGGAGAATATTTCCAAAAAAATGCTACTTTCATATCTCAACAATTAAAAACCAGTGATAATATTATAAATCATAGAATCTTAACTGATAGAGATTTAGTAGCTGAATCGATTCCAAAATCATCTCATAGTAATAAGACCGATCGTATAAGTTTTGTGGAAACTTCAAAAGATATTTGGAATGATGAGATTATAACTATGGTTAATTGGGTATATTCTATAAATTGGTATAGTTGGGGTCTTTCATTAGATAAAAAGGTTAATACTTTGATTGATAGAGTTGTGACTGAAGCTAAAGAGAAGAAGTAAAGATAGAGTATTTAATCATTACTGTATATTAATAACATATATTATTGCATATTTATAACAATCTATAAACATTGTAGTTTATTCATTAAGACGTTGAAGTTAATCTTTTTTTTTTGAATCAGTTGAAGCATCTTTCTTTTCAAAGAAGGCAATGATATCTCTATATACAACCCAATTAGCTAACGGAGCAATAATCAGAAATATAAAACTAATTAAAATTTGAAAAATTGACCAATTTCGAGGTAAAACCCCTAATACAGAGCATCCCAATACCCAACCAATGAAATCAGTAGTAACTGTATCATATCCTTTACTTAATTGATCAAGAATCAATTCAGCACATTCTTCACCTGGAATAGCTACACTTGAGCCTTCAATGGTCTTTGTGATTTCAGGTTTAGTCTTTTGTTCTTCTTCATACCCTTCTGATTGTAAATTTCCAGGAAATACACATGAGATTCTGAAATTATATGGACCTAATTCTTGACGAAGAATGATTGATAAGGATTGTACAGCTGCCTTTAAAGGAGCATATTGAACATAACCTATAAATGGATAAAAACTAACCACAGATGAAAAAAATATAATATGTCTTGATTTGAAATCTTTACGAGCAACTTTTGAATTAGAAGCTAAGATTTGTTTAAAAGCTGTATGAGTAGCATTAACACATGTATTATAGTTAATGGATATCCCAGCTGATATATCATTACCTGTTAAATCTTCAAATAATTTTGGAATTGATGAACCAGCACAACAAAAGATAAAATCAGGATCTAATTTTCGATTAATAATGATTTCTTGCCAGAGTTTAACGGTATCTTCATATTTAGAAACATCACAAGGAAGACAAACCAATTTACAAGTCTTTGAATGACCCACTGTTTGTTTTATCCTAGTAGCTTGGTTTTGTAAATTACGCATAGTTCTAGCTACTAATACCACTGAACAATTTTGAGAATATAATTTAAGAGCTAAATCAGCTCCAACCCCTTGAGATCCACCAATTATAACAGCGACTTTCCCATCTGGTTTGAAATGTGATTTGGAAAAGTACATCTTTCTTGTCTATTCTGTATTATCTGATGTATGAATTGAAAGTGATGATGATGATATATGATAATTTATATTTATATTTACGGTTACCGTAATTAAATTTTGAATTTTTGTTTACGCGCACATCCAAAATTGTTTACTCCTAATGACGATGCTGCAAAAATATATCTCCTTTAACAAACTCTATATAAAGATTTTTATTATAAAGAAAAGTACTGTTCTAGGGCTTAAAAAGGTCATTCCAACTACAATAAAGTGGGTAATATATTCCCTTTTTCTTCGACTTCATATATTAGATTAATAATAAAAAAAAAAACATACAACTATTTAACTTTTTAATTTTTTCTTCTTCCTAGTTGGACTCTCCTGAATCTCATCATCAAAATCCTCAGAACTTGGAACCATAGGATATGCATCAGATAATTTTTGCAAATCTCTTTTCATTGACTTGTCATCAGGTTGACTTATATTTTTCCTTTTTGATAAACCGAAGTCTATCAAATACACCCGTTTTCGGGACTCCGAATATAATATGTTATCTCGTTTTATATCCCCATGAATCATATTATGGTCTTGGTGTATTTTTTTTAAAGCTTTAAATGCTTCCTTATACTTAACTGCATCTTCCACTGTATTTGAATCATCTATATACTCCAACAACAAATAAAACCCCACAAGTTTAGAATCAGTGTTAAAATTACACCAACCGTATTGAAACAAGTATGGTAGATAATTAATTGAATCATCACTTGGGGGTCTATCTGAATCTATTCCTGTTGGCTCATGATTTCTAAGTTTCATATAAGAATCTACCTCTGTTAGGAACATACTGACAATGAATGAATATATCTTATAAAATTCAGTTCTGTCAATAGAACCATTTTCAATATAGTCACATGGGTTATAGACTTTTAAAATCAATGGAGACTTCACTTTACTGCTTGCCTTAATATAATTCACCAATCTAACCTGCAGAAAATATCCACTTCCTGGCTTACTTTTAGGTCTAAATTCTCTAGGATGAATAATAAAATCTTCCTCCAAAAGATCAGGGAAATCAAATCTCATGTTTTCAACCGCTGCATAACATTCGTTTGGAATGGATACAAGTGGATATTCTTCTTTGATATATTTGTTACCAGATTTTTGAAAATTCAGAAATTGTGTGGTGAAGTCCTGTGACATTAAATTAATTTGCCAGTCTCTATAAAGATCTCTGTCGGAATCATCAATCTGTAACTTGTTCATAATCATGTCGACATTTTTCAGACCTTCTTCGCTAACTAGACTCAAATTATGAATCATACTCCCTAATACTAACGCGACTATATTGAAATCACTAGAACTATATTCAAACAACTTGCATTTAAATGCTAATTGAATTTCAAATGACTCGTTAATGAGTCTTGGTGCTGTAGCTTCTTCATCTAGATGAATAAATAACACACAATTGGTATCAAACGCATAAGCAACTCTACTCTTTGTAGTGAGAATTTGAAAAAGTAGTTGATTACAAAATTCGCCCCAGGCTGATTTCTTGGAGTCGGTATGATTATTGTATGTTTCCGAAATCCTGTCAAATTTGATTTGCACTGGTATTTGAAATGTACCATTTTTAGTGAATTTGAATTCAGGAATTACTTTTCCGGTTGTTGAGCTTTGCGAATTGAGAATTATCAGATCACTGGAGCTTTTTATAAGAAATTCTAGGATCGGATTTAGCAAGTAATCTTTGAGCATATAAGACAATTCCTGTTCATTTGTTTTCGATCCTTTAGTGATCTTTATTTCTGTAGAATCAAATTTCTCCAATAGAGCTTTGTCAATCATAATCGAACTATATCGCATTTCAAAATAATGTGTGTCTAATTCTTGAAAATCAGAAGCAATCTGTAGATTATCTTTAAACAACGAACGGAATTTATATTGGTAACTTGGCCCTGATTGAGATTGATCTCTGACCCATGATGATGTATTTTTTGGTGATGATTGATCCGAAACTTTATTTGGAGATGAATCAGGTAGTGATGTTTTATGTTTGCTAGATGTAATTGAAATATTTGGTGATTTTGGTCGTTGAGCTATTAACCTAGTAGACCTACGTAATGGTTTTAAAAAAGTACCAGATTTATGTGAAGACTTAGCAGGCAAATCCTCAGCAGACTCATTAGGCAAAACCTCAGCAGGTTCATTAGCCAAAGCCTCTTTAGTTAAAGACTTTGGTTTTGGTAGAAGCCGAGGACAAGGAGTAGAGAACCAAAACGAGATCTTAAAAAGGTTGATGCATCCTGTGCGTACTAAGTCGAGTACATGCACAGATTCATTTTCATGTTGTTCTCTCAACACATTTCGAAAATCGTCATCTACTCCACCAAAGAAGTATTCGGCTGATTTCATGAGATGAGTGAGATCACCTTGACAATATTCCCCACTAATATATTCTATGTCAAAATCCTTGTAAGGATTTTGAATACTAATAACATGATAATTAAATGACCAAAACACAAGTCTCGTACGGTTTCTTTCAAGTAGAGATAGTTCAATAGTATCCTTCTTGACCTTCCTCCACTCATTATTCCAATCTTCGTAAGTTTCTGCATTGTTAAAGTAATTATAGTTAGCATCATTATATAGTTTATCGATGACAAATCTTGAAGATTTAGCAAGGATATTAAAATCAATAAAGTTTTGCATGATTTATTGATATAATTTAAAGTTTTTTGAATGAAATCAGCACTTTATTTAAATAGAGATATTAGGAGAACTGGTAACGAAAACCTTGTCGGCTTATCAAGGATACTTTGGTCAAGAAATTCATCCATTATTGATTTGGTTGGATCCAATTGGTGTGAGTTTTAAGTGAATTCAATAAGTAATTGAATGTGATGTTATGCATAACAAGTTGCAAATATCATGGGTTGGCTGTGTGCAGGATTTGCCATATAATACTACAATTTAGCATAATATTGTTTAACTATGTAAAATTTAAATTAATGCTATATACAATTAAATGAAGAAATGGAGGTATATAATATATATATATATGTGAAATGAAAGTATGTATGTATGTGCGTGTGTTAGATGATTTGGATGACTTATTTATAGGGTATGTGCATCTGTGTGAAGAAGGATGAAGAATGGATGATTATTTGATTAAGCACTTTCAGTTAAGAAAGGAGATTTTGGTAATTCATAAGTTTCTTGTTTTGAAGGTCTTGGTTCAGTCTTATATTTCTTCGATACTACTACTTTACCAGATAATTCACCACCATAATATTCCAAATTTGATGGTAAATTCTTTAAATTTTCTTTCATTTCATTATCAGTGACGGTATCAGTTTCGGGATCATATTTAAAGAATTCAATCTTACATACTTCAACAGCATTTCTAAATTCTTGTTCACCATTGTTTCTAAATGCTACTAATTTTGAAACATTATGAGCAGTAGTATCATCCAATTTTAATTTTTGTAATTCCAAACGTGCAACAATCTTAGCCACAAACCAGAATTGTAATTCATATGCAGAATCAACTAATTCCAATACAGCCATCGGAGCTTTATCTTCACCTAATCTTGGTTCTAATTTAATTAATCTTGTGAATCCAGCAACTCTTTTAGGATATCTTTTTGATAATTCTTTAATCACTTTCCCTCCAATTTCATTACGATCAGGAGGTTGTAAATAATCAAATGCTTTATTATTTCTGAATTTGAATTCAAAAGAATCATCTTTATTCTTAGAAAGTTCTTTATTAATCTTTAATGATCGTGATAAAAATGATTCAATTTTAGATTGTGATCGTTTAGCTTTGGTTCTGGTAGTTAAGATTGCTTCATGACGAATTAAATTGGCACATAAGTTCTTATCCATCATGTTCACATGACGTGCCACATTGGCATGAAACTTTTGTATTGAAGGCATGATGATTCTATTGATATCTTCTTGACTATCTGTCTTAAACTAAGTTCTTTCAGTTTATACTCTGTTCAACTTTTTCATTTTTGAAAAATTTTGTGACGACATTTATAAAGGTCAGGTGCGGTGTCGCACACAAATATATTTACAAACATTATTTACGAGTATAATAAACAATATCACGACATTTCATACAATTAAAATTCTTTTTCTATAAAAACAAACTAATGTAAACTATATGTATATTTGGGAAAAGTATTATTAAAGATATACTAATAAGGAGGGGGAGGGGGAGGAAGAAGATTAGAAGTTAATGGTTTTATCGAACGTACCTAAGGCAGCTTCTTTGAATGCTTCTGATAAAGTTGGATGAGCATGACAAGTTCTAGCGATATCTTCAGTTGAAGCACCATATTCTAAGGCTAAACCAGCTTCAGCAATCATTTCACCGGCATTTGCTCCAATGATATGAACACCTAATACTCTTTGAGTTTCTTCATCAGCAATGAATTTAACAAAACCATCAGTATCTAAATTAGTTTTAGCTCTTGAATTGGCAATGAATGGGAATTTACCCACTCTATATTTAATACCTTGTTCTTTTAATTGTTCTTCATTAAGACCAACCCAAGCAACTTCAGGATGAGTATACATGACAGATGGAATATTAGCATAATTAACATGACCATGACCATGTTTAATATATTCAGCAGCAGCAATACCTTCTTCTTCAGCTTTATGGGCTAACATTGGACCAAAAGTAACATCACCAATAACTCTAATATGATCATGTTTGGATCTATATTGATCATCAATGATTAATCTTCCTTTATTATCAGCTTCTAACCCAGCAGCTTCTAAGTTTAATCCTTCAGTATATGGTCTTCTACCAATAGCAACTAATAAAACATCAGCTTCTAAATCTTCCTTTTTACCTGATTTAACATCTTCAACTTCAATTTTAACTACTTCACCATCTCTAACTCCAGAAACAACCTTCGTACCTAATTTGAATTTTAATCCTTGTTTGGCTAATAATTTTTGAGTAGTTTTGGCAACTTCAGCATCCATACCAGCACCAATAGCACCTTGGAATTCAATGACAGTAACTTCGGTACCTATTCTTGAATATACAGAAGCCATTTCTAAACCAATGATACCACCACCAATGATGGATAATCTTTTTGGAATTTCTTTTAATGATAAAATACCAGTTGAACTAACAATTCTTTCTTCATCGATTTGAATACCAGGGAAAGGAGTTGGTTCAGAACCAGTAGCAACGATGAAATGATCAGCTTCGATTTCTTGAGGTTCAGATCCATCGATTGGTTTTACACTTACATTTTTAGAATCAATAAATGAACCTTCACCTTTAATATAAGTGACTTTATTTTTTTTAAATAACATTTCAATACCTCCAGTTAAAGTCTTAACAGCTTTATCTTTAGCACCCATTAATTTATCAAAATCAACAGTAACATCACCATTAATAGCAATACCTCTATGATCAGAATCATGTTTAATAGTATGATATAAATGAGAATTATTTAAAAGGGATTTAGATGGAATACAACCAACATTAAGACAAGTACCACCTAAGGCTCCTCTTTTTTCAATACAAGCGGTATTGAAACCTAATTGAGCAGCCTTAATGGCAGCAACATAACCACCTGGTCCTCCACCAATGACTACAACATCATATTTTGTAGAAGCAAATCTGACAAATTGATGTAAAGTTTTGACGGATTGAATTGATTTAGATGAAGTTCTTAACATTATGACTAGTAGGAGTAGTAGCTGAACTATTCAATTGGGGATTGATGAAGTATACCTTTGAAAGTATATAGATAAGATCAATTGAAGGAACTATATGATAATTGGGTGAATATCGTTTAGTAATTTTGATGGATTTATTTTTTTTCCAAACAGAGCACTGAAGAGAATGAGACCGGGGCCAATTAAAATTTGTTGACTTTGTTCCCGTTACTGCCCTTTTTTTAAGTGGTAGTTGTATGCAGGATCTATAATTAACTTTTCGCACAATAAAATCCGAGAGATTTATATAGTGTTATCAAGAATGAATGAATGAATGAATATAACAACAATAAGAGGATGGGGGATACTATTTATATAGTTAATAGGATAACGGAGATATAACCTACATCTATGAATGGTGACTAAACCCGTTGTCATCATATATAAATATAAAAGTAGAAGGAATATATGGAATGAACCATTCATCTCCATTGAATGACTATTAATCAGATTCAAACTCCGGGTTAATTATGAGAGGTAACCTATATAATTTATAATCAAAAAGGATTAAATAATGTAACCAGGATATGAATCAGTTGAATGACATGGCGTGTACATTATATATCATGTCATGTAAAATAATGAAGTATAATGAAATGGTATCATTTAATTTATATCTAATCCATTCATTCAATTGATTCCTAAATTCTACGGGGAGGGAGATTACTAATTTGGTAGCACCCCGAGACTGAAAATCAACACGTGCACAAGTTCACATGACATCTCACATGACTGAAAATCATTCTTCATTCTAAATTTAGCATAATAAAGCCTAAAGTAAACAAACCCACACAAATAAATTTTAGGTTTAGTTGGATTAACAAGAAAACTTAACTTTACATATAAGACACTAAATTGAATAGTGTTATGTGGTAACAACAGTATTATTAAATGAGGCAAGCAAGAAAATTTTAATTTCATCTGATTATTATTCTTAATAACATGATTTTATCATAACAACCATATGAATGAATGGGTACTGTACTATTGTTTAGTAATATAAGCATAATTTAATGAGGTATTTTTTCATTTAATCTATGTATTTCTTCACCACCTTAGCTATATAAGTTTCACCGACATTGAATACTATAAACCACCCATATAATGCCATGCCATGCCATGCCATACCATAGTACCATACTATAATCTATCTTTAAAAATTGAACCAAACAAAAAATTCCCTCAATAAGCCTCTTTAAATTTTTATCCATAGTTAACTCTCCTGTATACAAGCTCAACCTTAAAATAAAAATAAAAACTTTTTTTTTTTTTTTTGATTGCAAACAGAAAAATCATCATCATCAAAATTTATAAATTCTAAAATTCATCTTATTAATCATTCATCATCCATCATCCATCATCTTCATCCATCAATATATCTATCGAACCATCCATCCATCCAACTACCTACCTACCATCCAACATCACTCAGTTTGTGTGTCCCCCAACCCTTTCTTGAACCAAGAGTTTATCGCTATTATTATCCAAGCTTTTGTACACTTTAAACATTTTTTTTTTTTTTGGTTTTGCTAAATTTTTGAACTCGTTGTTGTGTTTGCTTTAAACGGTTTCTTAACAAGTGGCAACATCATCAATCATCAATCGTCTCAAGTAGTTCACTTATATACTCTTCATCCCCATCGTTTTGATAACGGATCACATTATCATATTCGATCAAGTCAGGTTTTCCATATCTTTGATTTTTTAACCTTATTTTTTTTTTGGTTGGGGTATATATCCTTGTTTACGTCATATAATTAAACGAATTAGTAATTTCAACAAATGGTGGAATCAAAATCAAAGAAGACATTCACGAAATTAGGGAAGTTGTTTGGGGTCCTGTCATCAAATGTTCAAGTCAATCAACAATCAGACCATATCAAACATAATCATCCTCAATCACCTTCTTCTCATGAGGGATTATCTTCTCCTTCCTTACTTTCTTCACCATCTCCACCGATTTCAAATTTAATCATTCATGATAATGTTAAAACCATCACTAGTAATGATCAGAAATCAACAAATAAACCGGAATCAACCTTTGATGATGATAAAATACTATCTCAAGAAAATGATGATTTATTATTACCATTACCTGATCATACCATTAATAATAATAACAATACTCATACAGTATCAACAGCTAATACCACTACTTCTTCATCGCCAAAATTATCCGATTCAAGATCAAATACTCCTACAAATCTTCATCCTGTAAGTTCAACCACAACATCTCCATTATCATTAGTTTCATCCAAAGACTTTAATCATCCTCATAAACCATCAACCGCTACTACGTCTAATGAAAATGTTGATCATTCAAATGGTATTCATAAAATTCAACAACCTCAACCTTATCATAGTCTTTCTCCATCAAATTTAAGTAAATTAAATGGTGGTGGTGGTAATACTTCCTCTGCAAATTCGAAAAATTCAGTATCAAGATCTTCTTCAACTAATTTACCTCGAAAACATGCCAATACAGTATCAGCCCATACCAATAATACTAATGGTCATCATGGTCCAAATGGTAGATCTAATTCAGTTTCAAGAGCTTCTTCAACGAAAGTACAATCGGGTCATGGTATAACTAGTGCTCATCCTTCTAATATTAGTATGACAAATCTTACAACTCCAATCTCATCTCCAACTCCAAGTAGTATGGGAGGAACTGTTCAAGCTCCAAGATTTAGAATCCTTGAGAATGGAAATCATGAACATAATTTAAAATCTGCTAAACGTCAAGAGAAATTATCTAATATGTTGAAAGATCTCCTTGGTGCAAAGAAATTAAGAGATGAAGCTAAAAGTGCTGTTCCTGGTAATCTTCAGAATCTTGTCCAATTACATCAACAACAACAAGGAATCGTGGCCAATAATCATAATAATAAGGATAAACCTCCTACATTATTGAATTCTTTAGTGACTCATATTAAAAATAATACCAATCCTTATGATGGTACCCCTAATCAACAAACCAATAAAGATTTAAGAACAGATGGAGAGATTAATATTAATTCACCTTTATCAATCGTTAATTTGAAAACTTCCCCTGAAGGAGAGAAACCTACCATACCGAGTGTAACTCCTCATGCTCAACCTACTGATGGTAGATCATTCGTGGAGAAATATGGTAGATGTCAAGAAGTTATTGGTCGTGGTGCATTTGGAGTGGTTCGAGTGTCGCATAAGAAAGTATTAACGAAAACCAGTTCAAATGATACCATTGTCAGTAAAAACAACAACAATATGGCGATTAATGAAGAAGGTGATTATGAGATTTTATATGCTGTGAAGGAATTCAAACGGAAATCAAATGAATCAGATAAGAAATATACTCATCGACTCACGGCTGAATTCTGTATTTCATCATGTTTAAAAAACATTAATATCATTGATACTCTTGATCTTTTAAAAGATGCCAAGGGAGATTATTGTGAAGTTATGGAATTTTGTTCGGGAGGTGATTTATATACGTTGATTATTGCTCTGGGGAAATTAGAATATGCTGAGGCCGATTGTTTCTTTAAACAATTAATCAGAGGAGTTAATTATATTCATGATATGGGAGTAAGTCATCGAGATTTAAAACCAGAAAATCTTTTACTTACTCAAAATGGGATTTTAAAAATCACTGATTTTGGAAATAGTGAATGTTTTAAAATGGCATGGGAAGATGATATTCAATTAAGTGAAGGTATTTGTGGTTCATCTCCTTATATTGCTCCTGAAGAATTCACGCAATATAATTTTGATCCAAGAGGAGTGGATATTTGGTCATGTGGAGTTATTTATATGGCTATGCGTACTGGTAGACAATTATGGAAATTAGCTGATCCTAAAAAGGATGAATTCTTTGAAGAATATTTATTAAAGAGAAAGGATTTAACAGGTTATGAACCAATTGAAAATTTAAAAAGAGCAAGATGTCGTAATGTAATTTATTCAATCTTAGATCCCAAACCAGAAAGAAGAATTACCGGTAAACAAATTTTAAATAGTGAATGGGGGAGAGAAATTAAAGTTTGTGAAGCTGGTGAAGGTCATTAATTCAAATAGAGAGAGAGAGAGAGACTTAGTTTATGTTTATGTTTATTTATGATAATATAGGTTTAACGGTATCGTGTAATTATAATTGTAGATGAAAAGACGCGTTCAACATGGTGTTATAAATATTAGTTGTGTGTTGTTTTGCAACCCTTCTTGATAGATCTTGGCACCTTTTGAACAAGATAATAGAAGGTCCAAGTGTTTACCTCTCACGTTTAGTTAACTTACACAATGATATCATCATACCTAGTATAACTATGACTCCTTCCAATGTTCCATTCCATTTAGAATCCTCCCTTCCCTCTCATCCTCCCCTCCTTCATTCTTCCTTTGTAAAATTTCATATACAGTCGCCTTGTTCTCTTTTTTTTTGGATTGTTCCATTTTGGGATTTCAGTGACAAAAAAATAAAAATAAAAATTTTGACGATTTTGGATGTTTTGATTTCAACCAAACAATAACTGTCAATCCAAATCTCCATTTCATCATCATTCCAAGTTTCATCAGATCATTTACACTATACTTGATCGTATCGTATCCCATCATCCATCAACTACGTACATCAGATCATCATCATTATTTGATAGTGTTTATCTCATTTGATCTATCTCATTTACACGCCTCACTCACCCCTGACACGTATTATCGTTGATAGAATCATAAATAAATTATCCAGCATCCAAAATTTCATCATCTCATAGAATAAAAAGCATATAATCATCATCATTATCACATCTACATCATCATGGTTGAATTAACTGATTTCCAACGTCAAGAAAAAGTAGGAGAAGGTACTTATGGTGTGGTCTATAAAGCCTTAGATACAAGACATAATAATCGAGTGGTTGCTCTTAAAAAGATTCGATTAGAATCTGAAGATGAAGGTGTACCATCAACTGCTATAAGAGAAATCTCTCTTTTAAAAGAAATGAAAGATGATAATATAGTAAGACTTTATGATATAATACATTCTGATTCTCATAAATTATATCTTGTATTTGAATTTTTAGATTTAGATTTAAAAAAATATATGGAATCAATTCCTCAAGGAGTTGGTTTAGGGGCTAATATGGTTAAAAGATTTATGAATCAATTAGTTAAAGGTATTAAACATTGTCATAGTCATCGTGTATTACATCGAGATTTAAAACCTCAAAATTTATTAATTAATAAAGAAGGTAATTTAAAATTAGCTGATTTTGGTTTAGCAAGAGCATTTGGTGTTCCATTAAGAGCTTATACTCATGAAGTTGTAACATTATGGTATAGAGCTCCTGAGATTTTATTAGGAGGGAAACAATATTCAACTGGAGTTGATATGTGGTCAGTGGGATGTATATTTGCTGAAATGTGTAATAGAAAGCCATTATTTCCAGGAGATTCTGAAATTGATGAAATTTTTAGAATTTTTAGAATTTTAGGTACTCCAACTGAAGAAATTTGGCCTGATGTTAATTATTTACCTGATTTTAAATCAACCTTTCCAAAATGGTCTAAAAAGGATTTAGCCGATTTTGTTCCAAGTTTAGATTCTGATGGTATTGATTTATTAGAACAAATGTTAGTTTATGATCCAAGTGGTAGAATTAGTGCTAAGAGAGCTTTAATTCATCCATATTTCCAAGAAGATGAACTGGAAAATACAACTCCAAGTACAGTAGCATCTAATCCTGCTGGTCTTGCTGTTGGTGGTGGTGGTGATAATTATGATAATTATCCTAGATCAGTAAACATGGGTTAATCAGTGTTGTGCCTTTATTCAATTTATTTTAGTTTATCCTTTTATTTTTATCCTTTACTTTTTTAAGTTTCACTTCTTCTATTTTTTATATTTGATTAGTTCATTCTTATATATATATAATTTCATCGTTAAATACATAATTGTGGTTTTTTTTTTATTATTATGATAAATTTTTTGTATATTATATTATGGGAACCGTATATAAATAAATAAATTAAGAATTAAGAATTAGTTAAATGAGATATGAGAAATAAATAAATATTATTAAAAGCCGTAAATTACTAAAATGCAAAGTAAAATTGAAAAAAATATGATATAAGTGAATTGAATTTCGTTAGGTTGTTGTTTGTTATTATGATTAATGGTTGTAGTTTCAGTTGTTGTTTGGAATGGGTTAGATACTTTTGAATCTGGTGGTGTTGAGCTTATGCCTGAGTTTTCTACTTTCATGACGGAGGTTGAGGTTGGGATATTGTGGAATACTAATGATTTATTCATGATTGGTTCTGATTTGAATTTGATGGGTCTACCATTATACTTGCCTATCAGTCTTCGTTTAGGCCTTGGTGATAAGGTTAATCGATTATAGATTTGTAAATCATTGTCATTCAAAGTTGATTGAATTATACTTGATGTAATGATATCTTTATTCACTTTCGATAAACTTGATTTATTCGATATGGATGGAGTAGCTGGTTTATATATTTGAGAATTAATAAACTTTATCCTATTATTTAACTCATTACTTTTGGTGATTAAGCCGTTTAAATAATCGAAATCAAGTTTATTCTGAGATTTAAGTACTTCAACATCATGATCCATTAATTCAAATTTTGATGATACACCCTGATGGATATTAATCAAGGTTGATAAAACTTTCCTAAGTTGATACTTATCATCATCATCGTCTTCTTCTCCCTCTCCCTCATCTTCAAGATCAGTACCTTCATCAAATTTAATTTCTTCATGTCGAATATCAGAATATAACTTATCATCAAAAGTCAATACATTATCATTATCATGAGGTTGAAGTTTGCCCATTTCATGATGATCAATATCCAAGATCGAAGGAGAACTGAAATATCGTTTATGTAATTGAGTTGATTCCATTAATGAAGCAGTATCATCATAATCATCAATATCAAGTTCATCATCTTCACTTTGAGAAATGATTGAATTCCGATGATTCATCATCTCATGTTTGACTTGTAAGAACTCTCCTATATGATCATGAGTAATAGTAGATCTATTCGAACTGACAGGTATCAGCTGGTATGATGATGAAACTGGTGGTGGTGGGGATGGTACATGGATGTTAGGCTTTGACATGTGAAGGTTCTAGAATTTAGACCTGCTGCTAAAAAAAAAAAGACCAACAAAAAAGAGGGTGGTGATCACTATAATTACCACACCAAAAGCTTGTTAAACCGTGAAAAAATGGGAGTAAAGCGTGGTTGGTATGCTTGGTATGTGCTAGGATATACTTTTGACTTAGTACAAGTTGGGTTTGGTATAACTATCAGTTGATGAAACAACTTCTAAAGGGTAAATTGAAATCGGTTGGGTGTTAAAAATTTCAAAAATATCTGAAAAAAGAGATCATTTAAATTTTTGTTATTGAATTGAGAATGGTACACGACTTTGATTGCCTAATTAGGAAGTCTTATTAAAACCTGTAAACCACAGCAAAAGTTTACAGATTATACTTGTAAAATCTGTAAACTTCAATAATTTACAGTTTGGTCTATTTTTTCCTCTGTCTGTTATGGAAAAAAATATATATATAAATACCATTATATAACAAATATCTACTATCTTCAATATCATATAACTTATACTATGTCAGATTCTGCAGGCTCAGGATCTGGAAATGGATCAGGTGCTGGAGGAGGTAATGGTGATAGTGGAAGTGGAAATGGCTATTACAACAACGGATATAATGATTCATATTACCTGAATAACAACTATAGAGGTTCTTATAGAGGTGGTTCAAGAGGTGGATACAGAGGTAGAGGAGGTTATGACGGGTATAATAATTCATATAACTCATATCGAGGCGCTAGTAGAGGTGGATATCGTGGTGGTCATTATTCGGGTGGCGGAGGTAGAAATACTTCAACTTATATTGGATCTGGAAGTAGAACTGAAAATGATAAAGGTGATACCAATGATGAAGAAGTGAATACTGATAATCCTCATTCTGCTGCTGCTGCTCCAAATGGCGATGATTATAATAATAACTATGATGATGGGTATTCCTATAATGATTCTTATAGAGGTGGAGGATATCGTGGTAATAATTATCGTGGAAGTGGTAGAGGTAGAGGAGGATATCGTGGAGGATATCATAATCATAATTCAAGTCATCATGATACATATAGTGTGGATAGTAATTCTTCAAGTGGTACACCAGTTCATACTCGAGATAGAATTCATAATCCAAGTGAATCAAGTCCATCTACTAAACCATCAACAAGAGGATTTAATAATCCTTGGATTGGGATATTACAAATCGATTCTGAAAAAGTTCAAGATACTTTAGAATCAAATTATAATGATCTTACCAATGTTAATAAAGAAATATTAGAACTTCAAAAATCAAGAATAAAATTAGAAAATTCAATGGTATATCTGGAAAATCAATTAGAAAGAGAAGCTTTGAATGTACAGTTAACCAATGAGAAGTTAGAAGAATATACTTATTTGTGAATGAATAAGTCAATCAAATGGGAAAGACTCCTATTCGTTGATATATCGTTACAACTGCATTCATTGACATACTCAACCCACCATTACTGATACACATCAACAATCAACTATTTTTGTAATTCTAATTCTGTATATAGGAACCATGTAATATTATAACAACTTAATTCATTTAAACATATAGATATCTATAATATCAATGTAGTTGTTTGAGTAGTATATCCTACATGGTAGTGCTTTCTTTCTTTGGTGGGGTTTCCAGCTCCAACGCGTTGTTCCAAAGGGAAAAAAAGGGCAATTTGTTGAAAAACTTTCAAACTCTTCATACTTTGCTATTAACTACTAACTAATTTAAACTATTCCCATTATGTCATTAAATCAATTGATATCTTCAATCAAAGATTGTGATGTTTCACAATTCTTGATTTATGGGGTCTTATTAGTGGGTGTATTTAAAGTTACCTTTTTAACTTTAAACACCGCATCATTACTTTTTGATTTATTCATTTTACCATCAGTTAATTATAAGAAATATGGTGCTAAACAAGGTAATTGGGCTGTGGTTACAGGTGCATCTGATGGAATTGGTAAAGAATATGCCTTACAATTGGCTTCCAAGGGGTTAAATATTGTTTTAATTTCAAGAACTCAATCTAAATTAGAATTAATTGCTACTGATATTGAAACTAAATATAAAGTTGAAACTAAAATCATTGCCTTTGATGTTTCAACTGATGAATCCACCAATTATGACCGTATTGCTGAAACTATTAAAGATTTACCTGTCACTATCTTGATTAATAATGTAGGACAATCCCATTCAATTCCAGTTCCATTCTTAGAAACTGAAGATAAAGAATTAAGAGATATTATTACCATTAACAATACTGCTACATTGAAAATCACTCAAGTTGTAGCTCCAATAATTGCTTCAACTGTTGCTAAACAATCTAAAAAGATTAGAGGTTTGATTTTAACTATGGGATCATTTGGTGGATTATTACCAACTCCATATTTAGCTACTTATTCTGGTTCAAAAGCTTTCTTACAAGCATGGTCATCTGCTTTAGCTGGAGAATTAAAACCTCAAGGTATTGATGTTGAATTGATTATTTCTTATTTGGTTACATCTGCCATGTCTAAGATTAGAAGAACTTCATTATTGATTCCAAATCCAAAACAATTTGTTAAAGCAACTTTAAATGGAGTTGGTCGTCGTAATGGTGCTCAAGAAAGATATGCTACCAATACTCCATATTGGACTCATGCCTTTATGCATTTTGGTATTGAACAAGCTGTTGGTGTCTATTCTAAACTTGCCAATACCCTTAATTATGATATGCATAAAAGTATTCGTACGAGAGCATTAAAGAAAGCTGCCCGTTTAGCTGCTGAAAAGAAAGATTAGTTAGTTTAGTTAGTTAGTTCATAGGGTTGAATCCATAGTCTATAGGTTCTAATAATAATTACTGTCTTAAGACTATACTTGATTTTACAGTCACGTGCGTGGAAAATTCTAGAAGTATCGCGAAATTTCCTGATTTTGAAACTTTTCGATGGAAACGGTTTAAACAGATAAAGATAGAATCATCCAAGATAGCAACCACATATCATTCATTTATTTATTTATTTGTATTTAGTTATAGAATTTTTTCAACCCATATATAGTATCATTTACCAAATATCAATTGATATATATTTGCTAATCTTTTCAGATAGTTTTCATTCTTAACTTTCAATCGCATATATCTAACTTATTACAGATAATATATAATGGTCAAAGAAAAGAAACTTTATGATATATTAGGTGTATCACCTACAGCTGATGAAAATGAAATTAAAAAAGGTTATAGAAAAGCAGCTTTGAAATATCATCCTGATAAACCTACTGGTAATACTGAGAAATTCAAAGAAGTCTCAGAAGCATTTGATATTTTATCAGATTCAAATAAAAGACAAGTGTATGATGATTATGGATTAGAAGCTGCTAGAGGTAATGCTCCTGCTGGTGGTAATCCTTTCGAAGGAGCAGGTGGTGGTCATCCATTTGGTGGTCAAGGTGGTGGATTCCACAGTGGTGGATTCTCCAATGCTGATGCATTCAATATATTCTCTCAAATGGGAGGATTTGGTATGAATGATGGTTTTGGTGGAAATGGTGGGTTTGGAGGTGGTGCCAGTCCATTTGGTAATGGTGGATTTGGTGGTAGTAGTGGATATGGTGGAGGTATGCCAGGTGGGTTCGGTGGAAGTCAATTCCAACAACAACAAAGTCGTCGTAAACCAGAAACTATTACAAAGCCATTACCTGTATCATTAGAAGATTTATATAATGGAAACCTTAAAAAGATAAGGTTAACCACTACTGGACGTGGAGGTGCCAAAGAAAGTGAAGTGGTTGAAATACAACTTAAACCAGGTTGGAAAGCAGGTACAAAACTTACATTTGATAATGTAGGTGATTATCAAGAAGATGCTGGAGCAAGACAAAGTATACAATTTGTTTTAGAAGAAAAACCTCATCCAACATTTAAAAGAGAAGGTGATAATTTAAAAATGGAATTACCTTTAACTTTCAGAGAAGCATTATGTGGATTTGATCGTGAAATAACAACTATAGATGGTAGAAAACTTCCATATTCAAGATCAACTCCAGTCCAACCAAATTCTTCAACTACATACCCAGGTTTAGGTATGCCAATTAGTAAACAACCAGGTTCAAGAGGTGATTTAGAAATTGTATTCAAGATCAATTTCCCAACTTCTTTAACTCAAGAGCAAAAATTATTTATCATGCAAAACTTTTAAGTTTAAAAAAGCCAGCCTTTTCCCATAATTAATAATTCAAAACCAAAAAAAAAATCACTTTAATGAGTTTAATAGATATGCATTTCCATTTCCAATCCCATTCACACGGTTTTATTTACAATTAGTTTGTATATATAGTTATATATATCGTCATTTTATACATAGTTTAACCAAATAATAGAGAAATAGTTAAATTTTTTAAGTATGCGTAGAATTCGGTGTGCGATACCGAAAATGAAGAAAAGATCAAAATTGACCACAAGAGAAATATCAAGAAACCCATTTCCCATCAAACCTCCAATCCATCAAATTCAAAGTACAATTATATCCCCATCATGTCAGTCATATTAGCATCAGCAGGATATGATCATACCATACGGTTTTGGGATGCATTGACAGGAGTCTGTTCTCGTACCATTCAACATACCGATTCTCAAGTTAATCGATTAGAAATAACATCAGATAAACGATTCTTAGCAGCGGCAGGGAATTTATACGTCAGATTGTATGATATACGACAAGCTGGTAGTACGGGGAATGCCACTGCTCAAGCTTCTGCTACCAACAATGGATCCACCAATGGAGCTACTCATACCACTAATAATGGTAGTAATAATGGTACAAATAGTAATAATAATAATAACAATCCAGCCATGACATTTGAAGGTCATACAAATAATGTCACATCATTAGCATTTCAAGTGGAAAATAAATGGATGGTAACATCTCTGGAAGATGGTACTGTCAAAGTATGGGATGTTCGTGCTCCATCAGTTCAAAGATCTTATAAACATCATTCACCTGTAAATGAAGTGGTAATCCATCCAAATCAAGGTGAATTAATAAGTTGTGATCAAGATGGAAATATTAGAATCTGGGATTTAGGTGAAAATCAATGTACTCATCATTTAATTCCTGAAGATGATGTCCCTTTAAATTCATTATCAGTAGCAAGTGATGGTTCAATGTTAGTGGCAGGAAATAATAAAGGGAATTGTTACGTTTGGAAAATGCAAAGTCAAAGAGATATAACTTCTTTAACTCCAGTTACAAAATTTAGATCTCATCTGAAATATATTACTAGAGTTTTACTCCTGACTGATATTAAACATCTTGCAACTTGTTCTGCTGATCATACCGCAAGAATATGGTCAACCGAAAATAATTTTAATCTAGAAACAACTTTACAAGGTCATCAAAGATGGGTATGGGATTGTGCTTTTAGTGCTGATAGTGCATATTTAGTAACTGCTTGTTCTGATCATTATGTTAGATTATGGGATTTATCAAATAGTGAAACCGTAAGACAATATAATGGTCATCATAAAGGTGCAGTATGTGTAGCATTAAATGATGTTTAAACGATGGAAAATCTTACTTCTGTATTTATATATATGTATATTATAGCAAAAAAAAATATTAATCTACAAATTATTGAATTTCTTGTAAAGACTTACTTTTAAGATCTTTCACATTCTTGAATAAATCAATTCGACTTCCATTAGCAAGATTGATCTTGATTTTAACTTGATCATTACCCTTATGAAAATAAATTTTATGATCAACTTCACCATATTGAAATAATTGCTTTAATGAACATGAAAAGGTTTCATCACTAAATGATTTTGTTTTCCAGACCAATGGATTTGAAGCAAGATTATTAATGGTTTTTAATTGATATATAGCATTAGTCAATTCTTCGACTGTTTTTTTAGAATATTTTAAATAACTATCAATAGCTTGCAAATAAAAACATAATGCACATCTAATAAGTGTATTAATTAAATCAATCCCATTTAACCAATCGGATAATAAATCAGGCACATTTGAAGGTTCCCCATCATAATATAAAGCAACTAAAACATTCATAATAGCATGACCAATATCAACATATAATGAATTACAAACTTTCATTTGACCTGAAATATCAGAAGGAATAGAAGCAAGAAATTTCTTTCTTAATTCGAATTTTAAATGTAAACATCTAAAACCAATGGTTTTAGATTCTGATTCTGGCATAAAATGAGATACATCAAAACTATCAATATATAAATTTAATGGAAAACAATATCCTGGAATTATGTTATAACTAACCAATTTATCAATGATTTGTTTGAATAATACTGCTCGTTTGGAATTCATAGTGTAAAAATGTGCTTTATCTAAATATAATGCAGTTAATCCTTCTGTTGTAATTGGCTTATCTCTTAAAGTTTCAAGTAATGGGATCATTATTTCTTTAAGTTGTTCGATATTTTCAATTTCAACATCATCATCATCACAAGTTATAATCATAGCTAGTAATAATTTATGCCATAATTCACATTCTTTAAATTTCTCGATATTAATCTCATGTTGACAACTTTGACATGTTATAGGAAGTAAATCAGGAAGAATTGCATCAAAACAGTTGGACATATTCATAGTATGAATTATAGTTTCACATTTTGGACAAATATAGGCAAAGAAATAATCAATAATTTTTGAACATAAATTACATTTGCAGTCAAAGAAAAATCTTCTTTTTAAATCCAATTTTCTAATTTCTTGAGGGAAATTTGTAAAACAATAATTAGTCTTTAATTCAACGCCTTTGGTTAGAACTCTGGTAGTAATCAATTGAAGAGTTTTATCATCGTCACAAGCTATTAAAACTGTATTGGGTTTACAGCTATGATTAATTAATGAAAAGGTAGGATCAAAACTAATACCAATAGGTTCTTGAAGTCTATTATTTAAAACATTAAAATTGACCGCACAAATACTAGCCAAGTTAAATAAATCTTCCTTTAATTTGACAAATATAATAGTAATACGATCATTAACTGGAATTATTGAAAGTATAGTTAAGGCTAATTCTTCACAACTATCTAATAAATGATTACTTTCCTTCTGTGCTCTAATTTCTGAGTTATGACTTGTTAAATTATGAACTTGAAATCTATAAGATTCTGATATTAAACAATTCAGAAGTACTCTAATCAAGAGAATGAAGAATTCATCAACAGGTAACTTTGAATCAGGGTATTTAAGTTTAAATATGGCCAATATCAAGCTTTCGAAGTTATGGGATAAAAGTGATTGATTGATTATACTTTGTTTCAAGTTCTTATCCTGATTCTTTTCAATATAATTTGATTGATCACTTGATTCAAACTTGTATACTCTTGAAATAGGTAAAAACTCAACTAATACTCCATGAGCAGAAATGCCTCTCAAACATGTGATTCCTCTCTTCATTGGTATATTTTTGGTATTAGAAACATGAAGTCTTCCATCTGATTCAATCGTGTCATAAAATTTGGCAACAGCTTCATCATCTGTTTTTTGCTTTAAGTAAGCCTGAAGTTTAGACCAAAACTGAGAAACAACACCTTCAGACAGATTGATTACTGACTGAGATTGATTGAGCTTCACAAGGGTCTCAGTCAGCATTGTTGGGGATGATTTACTGAAAGGAAGCTTATTTGCAACAGATTTATTGCCAGCGTTAATTCTCCTCCTTTTTTAAGTGATTTGTTGTTGTTTTTTACTGTTTAGATTTTTTTTTGCAGTTTTTACATTATGTTTTGGTGTGGTAGCGCTAGACATTTATTTAAAGAAAAAAATGAGGAACGGGATGATAGATTTATTTTTAGAACAACTACTTATCTACGTCGAAAGTTTGAATACAAGAGAAGATGGTTAAAGAAACAGTATTATATGAGATTTTAGGAGTTGAATGCGATGCAAGTGTTGATGAAATTAGTGATGCTGCCATTGATGGTTTTCAGAAATACCACCCTGATAAGAAAAATGGTAATCTTGTCAAATTTCAACAAGTTCAAGAAGCAAAAGCTATTTTAACTAATATAAAGTATAGGGGCAACTATGATAAATTCGGCTACCAAGGAACTTTGGATTGTATTCTTAATTTTAAAAAACTTAAATTAGAAGAAAAGAAAAAAGAAAAAGCCAATGGAAATGGAAATGGAAATAGTAGTACTAATGAAGATAATCGTAACAATCAAAGTCGAAGCTCTACGGCTAATAGTGATACTAGCACTAATGGAGATTACCACAAGAACCAAGGTAGTAGTTCAAGAACCAATGGAAAAAGAAGCTCTGCTGAAAATTTATTGAAAATAAATAAGCCAGGTCATAAGAATGAAAGAGCTAAGAGTCCTGAGATATATATGGACATAACCGTCACTTTGGGGCACTTATATCAAGGATATAGAACTTTGAAACTTACTAGGAAAGGCAAAAATTCTCAAAAAGATCAATATGAATGTAAAGTAGTCCTTAAACCAGGTATAACTAGTGGGGAAATAGTTACTGTAAAGGATGCTGGTGATTACTTGGAAGCTACAAATCTGTATCAATCAATAAATTTTAAAATCACAATTGCACCCCACAAAGATTATAGAAAACAAGGATTTGATGTAATTAGAGTGGTTGGTATAAGTTTTCAACAATCTTTATGTGGATTTGAAATTAATATAAAGGATCTTGAAGGTGCTACCATTCCCATAAATATTCTACAACCAATTGAGCCAGGTTATGAAAAAACATATTATGGGAAAGGTTTGATAAAACTTAATGGTGCAAGAGGTGATTTAAAGGTAATTTTTGATATAAACTATCCTAAATCCTTAACTACGAGACAAAGAACTGCTTTAAATAGATGGTTTGAAGATTATTATACTGATTGAACTTTAATTGGCCTTGTCTGGTAATATTTATATTTGTATAATCTTTTACTAAATTAATTGATCATTATACTGATTCTCTCTTTACATGTAGGGGCTTTTGGGTGTTAGATCAGATTTATGAACCAATTGGCACAAGAGGTAATATAAGTTAACATTAGATAAGTAGAATTCGCAAATTTTCTATAAATATAATAAAGGGGGTTTCTATTTGAACTATGATACTACAAAGAAAAGCTAAAAGAAGAGGTTAGTCCTAAAATTAAAATGCAATTGACATTGTATACAACTCTGATCTTGATTATTTATCATGTCGATAGATATATTCAACTCTTAATAGTCAAACGAAATGATTGGCATAGACCATACCGTACTAAAAATAGATTACTTCAATTTTTTTCCAATATATTTTTGGTTTCGCAAAAGTTCTATAAATAGAATCTATGTCGTGTTAGGGGGAAATAAATTCGAGATGATTTAAATTCATTATTTTCGTAAGGCGTTTGTTATTTAAAACTATTTTTGATTAAATTTACTCTATACTTTAGATAAACAGAGTAAGCCCAGTCAATATGCCTAGGGATACAAAGCTTTATGATGTATTAGGGGTAAAGCCTGGTGCTACAATGGAAGAGATTGATGATGCATATACAGAAGCTAAGAGAGTGTACCATCCCGATAAGAAGACAGGGAGTAATGAGAAATTCTATGCTGCCAAAGATACCTATGATGTTTTATCAAATGCCGGGAGAAGACTGCAATACGATGATCGCGGGTTTGAGTACCTAGGTTTCACTTGGGAACCTTTTCAAAGAACTAATTCAACATCGTCAACAAATAGTGGAAATAGCATTCCTATTAATCGTACTACAAGTTCTTCAAGTACTAATTCCCAATCAAACAATCCACCAAACTTCACTAGAAATGATAGCACTAGTTCCCAAAATGCCAATAATAATCATAACACTTATTCCAATGGCAATGCACCTTATAAAAACGGTAACAATAACAGTACCACTAATTATAACCAAAGAACCAATCAAGAATGGCTTAGCAGTAGTTATAAGGCTAATAACTTCAACGGAACTCCCAATAGTCCCAATTTTGTTGAAGATGAAGAGCTGAAAGTCTTTTTGAGAATTGAAAACAATAATTCTAAAGCTTCCCAAGATAGTAACAATGACGACAGATCTGTAACAACTTCAGTAAATGGGACTAAAAAGGAACCTAAGATGGAAACAGTGGTGAATATTAGAGTGACTTTAGAAAACTTGTTAGAAGGGTTTAAGATTGTACCTATGCAGATAAAAAATGAGTATGGAGACCAAGTAAGACTGTCAGTAAGAGTTCCTCTTCAAGGAAATGCAAAATCGGGAGATGTAGTGAAGGTAGAAGGTTGTGGTCATTATATAAAGACTTCCGGTACCAATCAGACCATATTATTTAGATTAAAAGTACAGGAACATGAAAGATTTACCAGAAATGAAAATAATCTATGTAATTTGATTTTAAAGCAGAAGATAAGATTATCGTTTAAACAATCAATAATTGGATTCACCGTTTCATTTATAAGTCTTGATGGGACTATAGTGAGTATTGATAAACTGCAGCCACTTTTGAATGGTCAGAAAATGATTGTTAAAAACCATGGATTACCACAGAAAAATGCAACAGACCATAATGGTACAGTTGAAGTTGCTTTTGCGGTCGAATATCCTAACTTAGATGAATTTCAAAAGAAGGAGCTTGCTAAGAAGCTTGACAAACTTGGTATTAGATAAGTATAGGTTCTTCCATTCAAAATTGGTGCTAATTCATTAGAGTTGTGTATAAAGTCACTTGGTGTGTATTGTTCATTTAATTCTTTACTAAATTGGTGATTTTTTTTCTTTCTCGGGGGTTTGCTAATCATATGCCTCCTAATTAATATATGGCATTGGAAAGTATGTCCAATAAGATGAACTACCTAAACTGGTGGTTAGTTGAATTTAGCTGTAATTCAGATTAAACGTTTATATAAAATTATATAACATATTTAAAGCGTTATAGGAGATTGATATCCTGCTAATAGGAGCCAGTGCTAGTTTTTTTGCAACTGAGCCTCCTATCTAACGGATTAAACGGTTATCATAATCCTAATATCAATATTAATAATAATAACTATAATCTACATTAAAGTATTTCAATAGAACTAGGCTGTGTAGACAGTAGAACCTCTAATAATTAGAATTATTTTAAACATGGGGTTACTTTTGGATTGTTCTCTTTTTCTCATATAATCTATAATTAGTAAATTAATTTTTAAAAATAACAACAAAATTTTAAGGGCTTTATTTTTTTAACGAATATAAATAAGCTCACATTCTATGTCAATTTAGATTAGATTAGATAGGAATATGAGAAGTATTAATTGGGACATATGATGACGATGGTGAAAGATACAAAACTTTATGAGTTATTGGACTTATCTTCTGATGCTAGCCAATATAACATCAACACTAATTTCAAACGTGTTTATGAGAAACATCAAACTGATCTGAATGACATAGAGGCAAATAAATCTTTATTTGCAGTTTTAATTATATCTGACATTGATAAGAGAAAAATTTATGATTTAGGAGGTTTAGAAGCGGTTAAAGGTGATTTAGATGCAAAACTGATATATGCAGATGGTTTTGAACTTGAAGAAAAAGAACAACAGCATCAGCAAATATTGCTACAGCAGCAAAAGCAAGAACAAGAATTAGAGCAGAAGTATAAGCTTCAGCAACAAAATAAGCTTGAAATACAACGTAAACTTGAGCAACAGCAACAGCAACAGCAACAGCAACAGCAACAACCAGAGTTTAGTTTGAAAGAAAACCAACAATTCCAAGTTCATAAGGTTGAACATCAACAAACGAAAGTTTTAGTCAATTCCAATATTGTTGATCAAAATAATGAAATAAGACCACCACTGCCAACTCAACAGAAGTTAAAAACAAGAACTGGAACTAACCAAGTTCCTAGAACTAACTCTCAGAATTCTGATGAAAACCGTTCCCTTTCTGTTTCGCCACTAAAACTAACATCATATCGAGAACATAAAGCTATTTCTCAGGAAAAACCTATTAGTCAATCTATTATTTCTATTTTGCTGAATTTGAATAGATTTGCTGCAAGAAGAAGAAATACTCCAAACAATGTTCATATTGATAGGGATAACAACGGTAAAGAAAGAGAGAGATCTATCATCACCAATCAAGAGAAGACAACAGTAAAACAGCCAAATAATAATATAAAGCAGTTCTTGATTTATGAGGTTAGTTTAGAAGAATTATGCAAAGGATGTAAACTCCCTTATCTAATTGAAAGGTTAGATAGCTCAAGAGAAAAAGAAATTACCTATGCAAAACTAACAATTGAAAAGGGTGCAAAATTAGATACAAAATACGCATTTGATGAAAAAGGCGACTTTAATCCATCAACCGGTAAGAGACAAGACGTTGTTATTACATTAGCCGATAAAAAGAATGAAAGGTTCACAAGAACAGGAGACGAACGTGATCTTTATATGACACTTCCATTAACATTTAATGAATCAATGCTTGGATTTGAGAAGACTATAACTGTACCAGATGGTCGAAAACTTGAAATTAAAAAATTCACACCCGTTCCACCAGGATCTGTTCAGCTTTTTAAAGGTTATGGTATGCCAATTAGTGAAGCTAGTAAATTAACGGGCGACTTAACTGTTACATACCTAGTAGATTATCCAAATAGTTTAACTGAAGAACAAAAGATGTTCTTTAGAATAAATACATTTGATGGTTAAGTTTTAATGGCGTTTAAAAGATAAATATGCAAAATTTTTATTATTGTTATATATATATATATATATATTAATGAGAGTTAGGATAACATATCCTCAACGTTAGTTTCGTATTTTAAAATGATTTCATTTGTAGCAGCTGCCACGGCAGAAGTATGATTTGAAACTTGTTCCTGATCAATATCTTCATTACCATAATTTCCATCTAATAAATCAACAGGTCCAAATGAAATATTTGGATCTAAAGTACCTAAATCAAAATTGGCACCTGTTGAAGATTGATCTAAATTTTCTGAACCACTAGCACCACCAACACCCGGTAAATTACCTCCAAAAGTAGATGATCCAGGTCTAATGGCCCCAGTATCTTCTAAATCACTAGATGAACTAGTGGAGCTTGAGATGAATTCAGTTTGTAAGAATCCTCCTAATTCTAAACACCAGGCAAGATATTCATCAACCCAACATCTTAAAATCCACCATGCTCCAAATCCTTTACCACTACTTAAACTGATTTCTCTTAAACAAGTAGTTAATAGATTACAAGTTAATAGAATGATTAAACGAGGATTTGTACCGGGGAATTTACCAGGAAATTCAGCAATATAATTGCTAAATTTAATCATGATCAGATCCAAATTTGATTTATTATCATCGTCGCCAGATTCACCTTCATTCTTATTCTCGGCATCGCCATTGAATTCCAATAAGGTAAGGAAATCTTCTGATAAGACTGTTAACAACTTAGATATATTTCGATCATTACATGGTAATTCATGATAAACGATTTCTTCAATATCCAAGTTTTTCCAATCACCAATCATAGCTGCTTTTTCAATAGGATCGATTAATATCCGAGATGCAGATTGACCAGTTTCAATGATTTTAATTAATCGATTTAAAAGATTAACGAAATGTTTAGCTAATTTTAATTTCATAAGGACAAATGTTTTACTTGGTTTTAAATTCATTAAATTATTAGTTAAAGTTCTCATATAACCTGAAGATATTTGTCGTAATTGACTGATAACATCTTGAGGCATCAGGAATTGTAATTGCAATTTCGCCAACATTCGAATCATTCTTTTATACATGATTATATCACATTGCTTAACCCATTCCATTACTGAATCACTGGTATATAATTTCAAAACTGGAGTGGTTAAAATACTATTAAAACTATTAAAACTGGAGAAGAATTTCCGTAATTGCATGAACCGAAGTGATTCAAATAAAGTATTAATATGAACTTTATATAATGAAAATAAAGTATCGGCAAGATCATAATCTGCATCAGGTTTTAAATAAGGATAAATTTCAGGTAATTGTAATGGTAAATTTGGATTTGAATTACTTGGATAATTCCCATTATTAATAAGATTAAATAAATTAGGAATATATTTCAAATGACTAACCAGAGGTAATTGATGGCCAATGGATACCGAATGACTAATTGATGGTGAATTAATCGGAGTATACGATGGAGTACGTAAATGAGATGAAGGTAATGGAGACTCTTCATATGAAACGGATGAATTCGAGGATGAACCAGGTGATGTTTGTTGTTGACGGGAACTCCCACCCGTAAATGAAAAATCAAATGAAGATGAAGAATGTTTATGACGATGTAAGATATGTTGAGGTTGTGGAGAGTGAGGAGTATTATCGAAATTTTGATCATTATTTAATTTAATTCCACAATAATGATACTTTGATTGACCTCTCATCCCTAATCTTCTAGTCTTTAAACCAGGAAATAAAATTCTTACCAATTTACCAAAACTAGCAGGTGATAAAGGTATAATACTATTATCGGCACACATTCCACTATATCTTGCATAAATTCTATTTCTAGGAACTACCGCCGTTGGGGATGATTCACAAGATTTTAATAACCAAACCATACCTAAAAGTTGACGTTGACGTTCTTTATTTTCTTTAACTTTTTGAACTTCAACTTTACTATGGGGTGCATTGGCAGGAGGGGTAATCGCTTCTTCATTTTCTAATTGTCTAATTCTAAAGGCTAAATCTACCAATGGTATCGAAAGATTATTAATAGCCAATTGTTTTAATTCATTATCACCTTTATCACCAGGTACACCATGATCAGCTTTTCTTGCTCGTTTACGTTTTTGTTGAGGACTTTCGGAAGTAGGTGAAGAGTCATGTGCTTGACTAGGAACCAGTTCACTCACTAATGGCAAAGCTGAGACATAATATGGCTGTTGTTGCTGTTGCTGAGGAGCTGGTGGGCTATATGCTTGACTTTGAGAGGAACTTCCTTCTTGAAATAAATGATATTGTTGTGGAACAGCTTGAGTTTGGGAACTGTAGCGTTCATGCAGAGATTGTTGTTGTTGTTGTTGTTGTGGGGGTGGATTATTATAATCATATTGGTAATATTGTTGCTTTGATTGTTGTTGTTGTTGTTGAGGTGATGGTTGCAAATGCAGTTGTTGAATTGGAGTGTGGTGCAGATGCGCTACCTGTTGTTGAGATTGATCTTGAGGTTGTTGTTGAGATAGTAGTATACGTTGCTGTTGTTGCTGCTGTTGATTATATGGATAACCTTGTTGAGGACCTCCATAATAAGCGGTATCAACCTCTTGTTTAATATATGGTGAACCTTGTAAATGTTGAGGTTGAGATTGAGAAGGAAGTTGCTGCGAAATAAATGGTGTCACATTTGGATCTTGAGTTGAACTTAACAAGAATTCATCTGATGATCTCAGTTGAACATGATCATGATTAGGAGATCTTGAAGACGATGATTGTTGTCGTTGTTGTTGTTGATTAGGATCCATCTGGAGTAAATAAGTTTTTAAAAAATTATATATATAAAAGTACCTTTATTAATTAAAAATGTCTGTGTTTTTGTTTTTTGATTATCCCACTTGTATAAATTGTTATTTTGTTTTTGTAGTATAGTATTATAAATATGACCAAAATACTAATTAAAAACCCCTTTTTCTTTGATGATAATAATGAAAGAATGAAATAAGTAAAAGTTTATGCTGATTTTCCACCGAAATAATAAATAGTTATAGTATGTGTTAAAAAAAAGTTGTTAAAGATATATACCCACCAGTCTATAAATATTGATAATAAAAAAAAAGTAACCTTTGATCTTTTTTGGATATAATAAAAGATAGTAAAAATAAATGACTTAGAAAGACTCTATAAAGTTGATTGTCTGATTTCTTTTCTGAACGATTACGGAAAGGAGGGAGGGTATAAAGAATGAATTAACGTACGAATGAATGAAGAATACTAGTCACAAAAAAGGGTATGGAAAAAAAAAGACCACCAAATATAAAAAATGACTTATAGTTTTTAGATATAAAAAAAGGTAGATTGTCCCAATGATAAAGTAATTTCAGTTGACTGTTTGGATGGTTTTAGACAGTAGGAAAAGGGGTATAAGGTTATAGATCTATTCTTCTTGTTAAATTACTGGGTATTTCGGAGTGTTTTTGATTTTTTTTAGGTACTTTTTATTTGGGGTATAAAAGGGTATAATGATGATTTAAGGATGATTATTTTGATAGTTGATTATGAATTATTTGATGGATCTTGACACATATGGGAATAAATAATGGATATAACTGTTCAAAGGAGATAGTTAGACGTTAAAAACAGTGTAGATCACTTCAATCAATCAGTTAACTCGTAAACAAACCCTATCACGAAAATTTAGTGGTACAAAAAAAAAAGTTTAGCGATGGCTGCTTTTTTTCAGTTAGTTAGGGTATAGACTTTGTGATTAATCCAACTTGACAAATGACTAATCAGAATCAAAATGGTATCAATTGACAAAGTGACGATACGATAACAAGAGTAGTTCAAGTCCAACTTGGTTACTGAGTTGATGTATTGGTTGATTCCCCACTTAAACCACAGTAGTTGCTGTCTAATTTTGACTGTAAAAAAAGACGTAATTTTTTAGTGAGACCGAAGGAAAGGAAGGAAAATGCAAGGAACAGGAATCGAATCGAATCGGAATCAAATCAAGACACAGTCTAACACACACACAGGGTCTGACTTATTAGGATGATTAGTCTGATGATTAACTGATGAAGTTATGATCCTTTAACCAGATGATGATGATAACTATTAGTTGAGAATAAGTATCAAAGTTTTTTACAAATAAAATTTTAAAGGAAAAGAGAACCAGAAAAAAAAAAAAAAAAAAAGAATTAAATTTTTGGGTATAACAATAAAATTTATTTTTAAATGTGTGATTTTTCTGTAAACAATTAGGGTTGATTGTATACAGGACCATAGTTAAGACCAATTTTATCCATAGCCATTTTTTTAATATGTAATGATAATGTAATGAGTTGATAAATAAATAAATAAATAAATACAATGAACCAACACGAGACTGGAACTTTTACATTCTGGCCTATTTAGGATGTTATTATTCCAAATTGGTTTACAACAGGTTTTTATATTTAAGGAGGTTTTCTATTGGTTCTTTACTTACAAGATACTACCTTTCATATCTACGCTAACTCAAAAAAAAACTTCTTTGTAATTTTATCTATCATTATAATCATACAATATCAAACTACTATTAACAAATCATAAGCTGATTCTAATCCTGTTCATTCACGTCAGGTTTCTGTTTCTTTTTTTTTCACAACAAGCTCGAACCCACATTAATCTACTTTTGTACAATTATTGCAAATCGGCCTGTCTGTTGCTGCAGCGAGAAGTGGGAAGCAGCATCTCGCAAGGAATCTGCTGCACGCTAATTGCCAACTTAGTTAAATAAAAATAATTATATAATAAAAAAAATAACAGATCCTTAGACGAATGGAATTGGAATATGTTTTATTAAAAATAAAAATTTCAGTTTGGGAAATAACTGAAAGAACCGAAATTTTAGAGAAAAGAAAAAGGGGGCAAGGTGGGGACGGCGGGATGTCATGATACGATAGGGAGGGAGAGTGGCAGGGAGAACTAAAAAAAAGAAATTATTACTGTTACTACATAAAATCGTATGCAATTCATATAGCTTAAACAGTTAATTTAACCTGAAGACAATAGTAGACAATAGAAGATGATAAAGTTGATTTCTTCTCAAGCATTACTTGTAAATGGTGGACCAGCCACAACAGTTAATTCATCAACCGCCATTGTCTAGTGCTATGGGAGTGAGTGAATTTATTATTTTTATTTCTATTTTTATTTTTAGTGGGGGATTGTCCTTAACTCACAAATTTTAAGGGGGTAGACCTGTTAGTGAGAACAAACAAAACAAACAAAAAAATTCTAGGCAGAAAGTCAGAGACAGAGGCGGAGGGGAAGATTGAGGATGGTTTAGCGAGAGGTCTAATTAATTAAAATTAAGTTTAGTCATTATTGATCTTGGTACACGTCCTATTACAATTAATTAATCAGTAAATCTTATTCACCGTAACTTATCTACGAAGTTAAATCTTTGTTAATGATCAATAAACTTTATTGATTTCATATTACTCACCCACACACCTACCCACGCAGACTAATTATTAATCAATCAATCCTATTAAGACGAGGGTGCGTATCACTTGAGTAATTACTCCGTCAAGTTATTTTCACAATACCAAGTGTAGATCTAGCTGGTAGATAAGACTACCATTAAATAATAAGGGCTTATATATATATATATTATTTGCTGTTTAAACTGAAAAATTACCAGTAACTACTGTCTTCGTGATACACAAAAATCATGTGTGTGGTTCTTGAACATCTAATTTTCATGGCATGAAAAATAACACACACAAGACATTACACAAATCACAAATCATGAAATCTCATTTGGCCATATCAACACTTATCACATATCATCAATAACTATTACCCACACCGTTAATAACTTATATTACCTCTTTTTGATACCCATATTATAAATAAATTGCACCCATTTACACTACCTTAAACCTCTTTTTTTTTATTATTAGGATCACAACTTCCTAATTGGGATGCGATTATATACAGGAAACTCATCTAAGAATTTTTTTTTTTTTTGATTGATGCTTTTGAAGTTTTTTAAGAAGAGCATATAGTATATAGTTAATAAATCAATCTATCAACCAATATCATATAGAATATAATATATCATCATATCCCATAATGGCTATATTAAACTCCAACCCTGAGATTCTTTTACGTAAGAGAAAGAATGCTGATCGTAAGAGAATTGAAAAGCAAGAACAAGCCCATGAAAAATTATTAAAACAAAAGAGACAACGTAAAACTCAACAAAAGAATAAATTCATTAGAGCTGAAACTTTGGTAAGTAATAATAAATCAAATGCTCTTGAAAAGAAAAGAATCAGAAACTTGACCAAGAAACAACAACAAGAACAAGCTGACAGTGTATCCCAATCAAAAGAAGATGATGATGATGAAAATAAATTATTATTCATCATTAGAATACCAAATCATACTAAAGGGTTAAGAATCCCAAATAAAGCTTCCAAGATATTGAATGTTTTAAAATTAACTCAAACCAATACTGGTGTGTTTGTTAAGGCTACTCCAACCACTTTCAGTTTATTAAATTTGATTGCTCCATATATCATTGTGGGTAAACCATCATTAGCATCGATTCGTAAATTATTTCAAAAGAGAGCATGTATATTAACTCAAGTTCAAGAAGATGATGAAGAAATCCCAGTTAAAAAGATTATAAAATTAGATAATAATCAATTAGTTGAAGATCAATTTGGTGAAGATTTAGGATTAATCTGTATTGAAGATTTAATTTATGAATTAACTAATTTAAGTGACAATTTTGTTTCAATTACAAATTGGTTATTACCATTTAAATTAAATCCTCCTATAAATGGTTGGGGTCCTCAAGCTAAATTAGCTAAATTAATTTATAAAAATGATGAAACTTTAAAACCGGTCATTAGTTTAAGTCAAGATTTTAAATTATCTGAAGTTGAAGATATTGATAAGATTATTGATCAACAAAATTAATCATCATCATCATCATATAATAATAATAGTAAGATAATAATTAATTATTTTTTCACATTGTTAATGCTTTGTTAGGGTCATTCTATATTTTGTATAATAGATAAAGTTAAATAATAATATATACATCAATATATTTATTAGATTGTTATTTCATTTCATGTAGATGGGTCATTGAATACGAATCAATCAGTCAATCAGACACAAACAATTCGGATATATGTAGGTGAGAAAATGTCTGAATCTAATTAACTTGAAATACCGATATCTTCTTATCGATATTTCATAAATCATGAGATCATCGTATCAAGATCATAATTGGATATGATCAGATATACATTCAGACAAAAAAAACCATTTATGAAACTGATGAAATGAAATGATAAACCCGTTCTAAACAATAAATCTTAAAAATGATGAGATCTATGGTTGCTGATTGGTAGTCTCTGTAAGCAGTTAATGTAAGAAAAATCAGGCGTGTTTAAGAGTTTATTAGGGAATGATAAATAAAATCTACCAGAAACAGCAAGCAAACATTTCAAAAATGGAATGTGAGATCATAACGCCGCCGCTAACGGTATCAAGATCATAAAAAGCCAAGCTTAAGTTTAAACAGCAACAATAATTTTCAGGGATTTGAATGGTGAATGTTTACTATTAACTAATTATAAAATAATAGAACAATTTACAAAAGACGCAATCGCAAACAACCAAACCCTGTCGTTATAAAATAAATTAAAACACAGCAATCATCATAAAAAATTGCAAACAGTAATTATAACCTTGAAATAATATTGAATTCAAAACCTCTCGGCTTCAAGCATTGATTTCGTATCAGTGCATGAGCAAAATAATAGTTTCTTGTCCTTCCTTCCTTCCCTCCTTCCAGCTGGTTCATATTATTATTATTCGTATGTGGTTATATATTATTTTTTGTTACTTTTGTCACTCTATTATTATTATTATTATTATTATTATTATTTTCCTTCTTATTGTTGTTTGTATTTTTTATGGCCCGAGGCAATTAGAAAATTTCAGAAATATAAAAACAAAACTTGAAATAAAAAAAATATCCAAACCCTAAGGTCTACCTCATCTCATCAAAGCCTATCCCATCCTATGGCTCGTTAGTTCGCTCGCTCACCTTTACTCTGATTCCATGTTTCAATGAATTCATTCATTCGTTCACTGTTGTTTTTTTAGGCGTCACTTTTCTTTTTTCATTTGATGTCATATTTCGAGATCTCAGTTCTACGAAAATAAATCTTTCCATACAATGATGTTACATTATATCGAAAGTTTAAAAGTTTAAAAAAATTGAAATCTAAAGGATCTAGATGTTAATCTCTAAAGGCTGGCTTACTTACGTAACTTTGCCACTGTAGTCCATACCACTTGATGAAAATAATTCAGATATTATGTTATATTATATTATAAACTTTTACCGAAGATCAAAACCAGATGATGTTGAGATGATCCAACGAAGAAATGAAAAATAATAATAATAATAATAATAATAAAACAATATAAATAAAAAAAAAAAATTCAGTTATGACCAACTGCTGGTGTAGAGAAGAGATGCGCTTTTCCTGTAATAGGTGAATGTACTATACTAGCCGAGAGCATGGAAGGAAATCGATATAAGCCCAACCAATTATTATTATTATTATTATTATTAATATTATTATTTTGCAAACTATAGCGAGATAGAAGGGAACAGGGCGCCATTACGAAATGGAATTAAGAACGTTCGTTATTATATGTCTCATTCAGTAAGTTATTAATTTACGGTATTTTAGTAAAGAAGTTTAGCACTGATTGAAATATTTTTTTTTGTCATTTTGCAATTCAAATGGGTCGATTTACAAATTAAAAAAAAAAATTAATTAAATTAAATTAAATTAGATTTAGCAAAAGAAAAAAAATAAAAAAAAAAAAAGAAAAGGAAAAGTAACAAAAAAGAAATTTTTTTTAAGTTTTTTAGTTTCTTTTTATTTTTATTTTTTTTATTATTTTTTTTTTATTTTTCGACATGTAATTATGATTTTGTTATACATTTTAAAACCTTAATCAGAGTTAGAGTTAGGGGGTGTTTTACTGTCAACTTAAAAAAACGGATTTCCATCAAAAATAGAATTTTTGATAAACTTAAACTTAAGGAAAAGCTAAGGAGAAAAGGAAATCTAAAATAAGAATTTTTAATAATGGAAGGAAAGAAGGAAGTACGTTTCATGTTAAATAAATTATTATTTGAACAACTCATCAGTAGAGAAGGTTCTAAAATAGCTGGAATTATAAATTATACATGAGCAGGTACGTATCTCCATTGAGTAGTGCTCGACTGATTTTAATCGAATCCCACACAATAATGATAATAAAAAAAAAAATAAAAATAAAAATAAAAAATTCAACAGTGACAGCGAAGTCTCAAAATTCATTGTCATTGTAGTTATAACACGATCATGAATTTTAGTTAAATAACGGACGTTTTGTGAAACTTAAGTGGTTTATCATTTTATATGTAGTAGATCGTATGTAACTGTATTATGTCATAACGGAAAAGCGAACGAGAAGGAAGAACAAAAATTTAACTTTTAGTTCATTTTGTCTCTTCCGTTCCCTTGTGATGTTCCCCAAGGTAACATTTTATTCTTTATGGAACACGGAATTATAAGCATTAGTTATGAGTGTTTATTATATATTTATATATATTAATATTATTTTATGGGAGTATGATTATTATTGTCAATGGATGATGTTGATGGCTCGATAATAAGTTTATTGTTGTAAATCACCTATAGTCGAATTGGCTTATCGTCATCGGTAAAAACACTAATTTGATGTGAATGATAAAAAATAACTTCATTGGATATACTACTAATAATAATATTAAACAGATAACAATGATAATGATAATAAACACAATAAAACTGTTGAAATAACCTTCATTCAGCCTTAACTTGAAACTCGATTTGGAATTAGAATGCGATGGTTAACAATTCTACTTACAGTAAAAATATATGGTCTATCTCTGTCTGATTAATAATTGGAATGAGGGGTTAAGCCAGGTGCAGAAGCAGAAGCAGCAGACAAACAAACAAACAAACAACAAACAAACAAACAAAAAATAAAAATAAAAAAATGTCCTCAAGGTGGGATTCCGTTATGTTTTTTTTTTTCTCTTTTTTATTTTTTTTTTTGTCTGGGACCAAACAAAAAAACAGTTAGACAAAAAAAAAAAATACAAATTATATAAAAAATAACATGATTAAAAAATATTATCTGACTGGGTTAAACAAAAAAAAAGCCCGGAAGTCTGCGATGAAACGTAAATCATAGTAGGTATCACAACTACTATTGCAGATTTAGTATTATTATTATTGTTCTCATACTTTTAAACTAGAGTTTATGAAAAGTAAGGAGTAAAAATAAAACTGTAATGGAACACAAATAATAAAATATTAAAATTTTAGATAGTGGAAAGAACAATTAAACAGCAAAAAAAAAAGAAGTTGGTCTAACGCCGGATTAAACTTTGGGGGGGGAGGGGGGGGGTCTATGACTTTAAGTTTGATGTACTCGAGGGGTGTTAATCTGCTTCTTTAATTGGTTATGGTCGTTATCATACATGAATGATTTTGAAATGAAAAGACTGTGATTTTCATGGACCATAGACATTGTAGAGTGCAAAAATTCATTTAGTTTTATATATGAGTGAGATTTGGGAAATGGTTTTGTGGTTTCACAAATCCATGCGGAAAAATGACCTATCTAAATCCATGCTTTTAGTATGGAAGAGTGTCTGATTGTTCTGGATATTTTTTTTTGTCAGTTTTGTCGTTTTTTTTTTTTATTTATTTACTTTTTTTGGCTTCAGGTTCAAAATCAGCTCTCAATTTATTTTTATTCCACTTTTCCATTTCATGGCTCACTATATAAATCTAACTATATGTCGTTTAGTGTTGTTTTTTTCCCTTTTTTCCCGCTAACTCGCCCACTAAACTCATCGCTAGTGTCTCCCCATAACTAAATCTCTTGCGATGGAAATTTACCACTACGAGCGAGGGGCAGATTCATAAAAGGAGGAGGAGGTAATCGTTTTTTTTGCTGTTAAAAATAATAATATTTAAAAATACAATAAAAACATAACACCGATGATGAACTAATGGGGATTTAGTAGTTTTAGCTATCATTCACTACAATGCAATGAAACTAAAAAAACTTAACCACGTACCGTAACTTTATATAGGTTACAAAGGATTGAAATCATATACTAAAAAAAGTATTAAGGTTCTGATCTTTAGTGGGTGGGTAATATAGGGGATTTTAAGGAGTACAAAAATAAAGTTGTAATAAATTAATTAATAAAAAAAAAATCAAATTTTAGCTTTCTAAGGGTATATACGTATTAATTAATTAAAGTACAATGTGTGTACCTAAACTTTGAATCATAAAATCACAATCATAAAATCACAATGAGTTAATTTTGACGCTAATTTTAATTTTAATTTTAAAAATAATTTAATTTATGATAACCATTTGATATTATTTTTAAACTTAACAAATTGGGTAGGGGTACGTAAAATCATTCGTCATAACTTAATTCGCCCCCTCTTACCCTTCGTCGTCATAGAATACTTTGGTTTCAGTTTAAACTTTTTTTAAACTATAACTTAATAGTTTAAATTATTTGGAAACCTTAAAATTTAGTATAAGGAAAACTGGAATATGGTTAAGGTTTTATAAAGTACGGAATTCTTTTTAGCGCTAAAAGATGAAAAGAGAATATGAAAATTATTTTAAGAAAGGGAGCAGAAGCGGCAGCAGAAGCATAAACAGTAGTTGCATAACTAAGTTTAAAACTAGAAGTTGTAGCAGATGAACCAGTGGCAGTAATTGGTAGGTAAATTGAAAGATATAAAAATAAAACATTTCACAAAATGCATCTTCGCCGTCGCCAACAGTATCAGCTGAAATGAATGGTCTCGAACTGACATCCATAGCGAAGTTAAATGGGTCGGGGGGTGGAAGGGTGATGATGAAAGAGATTTCGTAATTGTTTTTGAAACAGATGAAAATAAAAATAATAATAACATGGGCGACCCCCTCTCACAGATATTTCACTTTCTTTACTTATAGGTATGCTGTAGAGATCATCTACAACTGTCTTTCGCTCTGTTCTCAGCCATCCATTCAGTGTCTTACTCCTCATCTCATTATGTGTAACTAATAAATCATTGTTTTCTGATTTAGCTATGCTGATACATTCATATAATACTACCAAAAATTAACCACAAATACTAAATATTAATAATATTAATAATAATAAATATAAGAAAAAAATAGATAAAATAAATAAATAAAAAAAAGTAAAAGTGAAACTGTTTTGTGTCTGTATTGAAGTTTTAGTAGTTAGTTTAGCTGGTACATTTCCGAGTGACTGATTGACTGACAGACATTGAGTGAGTGAGTGAGTGAATTTATGTCTGTCTGAATTCGTCATGCATTCCCTCAACAAAAAATAAAAAAACAATCAAGAAAAAAGAAAAATAAAGACGTACATTTATATAATTACAAAAAAAGAATTGTTTACGTCAAAATAGATATCCAGTTATTATTAGAATGTACGTAAGAATTGAATAGATGAATTTTTATTTTTGTCTTGACTTTACACTTTTTTGTCTTATATCCAATCCAATTATCGCTATTGAAGATGCCATTAAACCGGTAGCTTTTTAGGATTAACGTTACAGGTACAGAAAAAGATTCACAGGCTTATAGGGATGCAGTATGTGCAATAGATAATAAAATGAACGATCGAAGTGTAATCAAATGTATAAGGGAATTAAAGATGATAGGCGACGTGTTACTTCAATTACTTGGAACAGACCTAATAGAACCAGAGAAGAAACAGGAAACAATGAACAACAACTTGAAATAATAATAAATGATTAACATAGTCTTCAAACCATTACATAATTGCAAATCTCATAAAGAATAAAAAATCGATAACCCCAACCAAAACAAAAAGTTCGTCCCACTTTTTCTGTATGGTATTTATTTTTCCACATATTTATAAGGGTACAACAGCTAAAATAAGTAAAGAAAATCACCTTTTTCCGCTGTTCATTTTCCATTTTCCATTTCTCGTAGTACTGAACAGCACCAAAAAAGAAATAAAATAAAATAAAATAAAAAAAAAATAAATAAATAAAAAAAAAACTTTATTCAAATAAAAAAATAATATTATTTTTTTAGAAGTAATCAGGAATTAAACAAAAAAAAATGGTCTAAAAACGAAAAAAAAAATAATAAAAAAAATAAAATAAAACCCTGTTAATATTTTTTGGTTTGTTCCCAGGTGATTCATAATTTTTTCATCATCATAACCCATATGTACGTATATACGTATGATAAGGGCTAGACAATTCATTTACATGAGCGCATCCCTCATGCTTGCTTCTTTGCAATGATGAGGTAGACACAGTCCAGGCCAAATAATTTTACTTTCCAAAAGTTTCTTTTTTTATTTGGACTTGATGATATATATAAACTGATTTCTGCAACTTCACTTTTTACTTGTTATTTGAAAATGTTCTATACGTTGATCTAAACTCCATTTCGAACTTATTTTTGTTTTTCTCCCACATTTAGTTAATTCTTTTTTTTGTTTCTCGTTGTTGTCCTTTGAAGAGACAGAAAAAAAAAAAGAAATACAAAAGAAGACATTTTTTTAGTTTGTTAGTTCAAACTTTGTTTTTTTTTTTTAATTTTATTTTATTGCATTTAATTTTTTTTTTTTTTTTTTTTTTTTTTTAGGTGAGTGGTCTCTTTTAAGGTCGTTAAATTCAAAAATTTGCATTTACTGAGATTTTTTTTTATATTTAATATTGTGACATTATCATACAATTAATATTAAATTTAAAAATTACGAACTTCCTCCTTATTGCCCACTTCCTTCAACATAATAGTCATCATCATTCATTCCTTCATTATCATCATAGTCCCTTCCATATAGGTCTATTATACCTCCCACCACCACCACCCCATTATGTTTGGTATCCATAGCATACTAAATGGTGAGGATGATAATAAAAATAATGATAGCCCAGTAAGGTACGAGAATAATAATAATACCGAAGATTCTACAACTATACCAAATTCAACAGATACCGCCTTGAGTCCTAAAAAATCATCAGAAGTTATACTATCAACCTCAACCACTCCAACCATCTTATATTCCTCGTCAAATGATTCTCGGTCCAATTCAAGTGCCTCATCTTCTCATACTTCAACCTCATTACCTCTTAAGCCCGCGTCTTTACCAACCACTTCGAGTTCAAGTTTAGATTCAGTTTCTATATCTGTTCCCATCCCAATTTCAAATATACCCATTAAAAATTCATCTACAACTACAACTACTACTAGTCCAACTCATAATCATAATCATAATCATAATCATGGAAATAATCATTCATTAAATCATTTACCGAGATCAAAAATTAATAAACGATATTTAAAAGATAAAAAATTTGTAAAATTAGCCATACGAAGAAAATCAATTTCAAAAAAATTGGGCGGTAATAGTAATTCATTAATGGAACTGTCAATCAATAATGATCTTTATCAAGGTTCAAATAAACGTTTAACTTCATCTTCAAATCCAAATTTATTGGGATCACCTCCATTGTCTGATCCTTCAACTATCGCATCAAATATAAATAGTCCAATTACAAGTCATTCAAAATTACATATAAAATCTTTAGAAGCAGGATTAAGAGTTAAATTAACTATAGCGGATAATTTAATCTCATTATATCATTCATTAATCCCATTCACTAGTAAAAAGGAAATTCAATCAATATTTGAAAATTCAAAAATTTCCTCGGTATCTCCTGCTTCATCATCAACTTCTTCATCCACACCATCAACCACCAGTTCATCACCAATGTTTGCCAATAATCCAAAATTTGCCAGAAAGACGTTACTTTCCAAATCAGTTCAATTGATTGATAATAATTTAGTTAACCTTTCTGAATATTCCAATAAAATCCTTCAACAATTCAATTTATATAATTCTAACAATGGTAACAAAGATTCTTCATCTGTTCCTGTTCCAACCCCAGCTTCATCCATTCCAACCTTTAATAACTTAAACACTGCCGTCAGTTCATTATTCAATATCAAAGATTATTCATTAATCAGAGTATCAAGATCAACTACCGATGATAATGATGGATCAATCATATTAAAGTTAGAAACTTGTAAACCAGGAGATTTGAAATTAATTGATGATTCAGAATATTTAGATGAAATGCTTTATAGTTTAGGAAAACTTGGAGAATCACCATCGAATTTATTTATTAAAAAGATCATTGCAAGACCAAGATACAAGAGTGATATGAAAATATATCTTATCCCTAATTCTACTAATGATTATTCATTATATACAGATGAAAGAATGTTTGAAAGAGATTTATATAATGGAATTATTGATATTGAATTTGATGATGAAAGTAGTGAAGTTAAAGCTTTAAAATCAAGTAATCGTGATATTCTTGTTACATTTCCATTTCAAAATATCTTGACTGAATATAAACGTTTAGTGGATTTATCAAGAAGAGAAGCTGATGAAGATTCAATTGAAGAAGAACCTGAAGATTTTGAACAACAAGAACAAAAACAACAAAAGGAACTTGAACAAAAGCAATCATTAAAAGTTGATACTAAACTTGAACAATCATCAAGTAAAATAGCCACTCATCAAATTGCTACTCCAATTCCATCTCATATAATGCCAACTGCTCCTCCTAATTCGGCTTATACCACATTAGCACCAAATAATCATCATCAACATCAACATATTCAACAACAACATCCTCAAGATCAATATCAAATTCAAAATCGTGGTATCACTTTACCTCCTATAGGTCAACATTTGCTTTCAAGTAATATTTCTTCACCTACTACTCCAGTTATGGTTCAACCTCAACAACAATCACCAGTACCTCCTCAAGTTTATGCTTCTCGTGCTGCCCCTCAAGTTCAAATAGCTTCACATCCATTTTCGCAACAACCTCTTCCACCACCAATGCAACATCAACAACAACAGCAGGCAATGATATATCAACCTCAACCTCAACCTCAACCTCAAATTCAACAACATCAACAATTTGCACCCCATCCACTTGGTCATCCACATCAACAACAGCAATTCCAACCCCATCCACATCATCATCATCAACAACAACAACAACAACAACAACAACAACCATATCCTCCTTATCCATACTACCAGCAACAGCAACAACCATCCCCAACTCGCGCCCCTCAGCCATATGCACAAAACCCACATCCTCATTATCAACAACAATAGCATTAATAGGAACTTTCCAAAAACTAAAAAAAACTCCCCCTTCCTTGTATTATAGAAAACTTTTACACTTATCATGTTATATCAATTCACTTTTTGCATTTTTCCTACTATTATTTATTATTTATTGTTTTTGTACCAATCAATCTATCTATCTATCTGACTACTTATTTATTTATTGTGTCTATTTTTATTATCTTAATTATTAATTGATTTATCCAGGTGGCGGATGATCATATTATCATGAAATCGTTATTATTTAACACACACCCCCTCCCATATTATATGAGTTTGAGATTATCTCGAATCTACGTTTGCATTTTTCCCCATTTTTATTTTCCATTCATTCAATTATTACTTTTATGTTATCTTAACTTATTTATTTTGGTGGTTGGAGTATTATAAAGCATAAACTATATATAATTCATATATATTGTTGTTTATTTATTTATTATTATTAGTATATTTATTTATTTTTCCTTTTTGTATTCTCTCCTGTTGTATAATACACATGTTTAACGAATTAGAATGTCAGAATTAGAAAGAGTGTAGTCGTATCTGTACGAGTGTGTGAAAGATGAGGTTATCTGGTAGGGATTAAATTTAAATCGCACAAATTCATCCCAATTAGGAAGGGTTGATCCCATCTATCACCAAAATTAAGAACAATACAAATCATCTTCTTTTACTAGCATGATTCAACCTATATTAGTTCATTAATTCAGATTATAACAAATCAATAATTATCTATATTTATCTATTTGGGAATTCCACTAACTTCTAGTTTGAATTTAAGTTAGATGACCTGAAAAGTTGAAAATTGCTTGACAGGCTATCTCAAGTACTTGTACTAAGTTTGAATAATTTGATTTATAGCAATGTCATAGTTCTTATACTTAATTATCATTCTGATATAGATAGGATATCTAATACTAATTGATTTAGGATACTTTTGGGATTCATAATTTACCACTTCTCCTTTGTAATACACGTAATCTATATATTATCTTTATCATTTATATTGTAGAATATATCTCTATAACTCATCCTAATTAGGAAGTGTGTGATTTAACTTAATCTAAAAATAATTTCTGAAACATCACCACTTTCAACTTTTATCTCTTACTCCATCATAGCAGGAATTAGGTACATCACAATTAGTTTAATCAACATTCATATTTCTAATTATCTTGAATCTATTTAGGAATCATCCATTAGTACTAACTTCTAGGTCTATTAATTTTGATCATTTAAGTTAAGGAGTGCAAATAATTTTGAAATAAACAATTTTGAATTCCAATTTAGACGTATACGGATATGAATAAGGTTTTTTAGAGAATTTGGTTTCTTTTATCCTTTTATTTGAATATTCTAATCGTTTTACAATACGTTTTACGAATAAAATGATTCACCAATTTATATATATATATGATTATTTAATACTAACTAATTTAGATCACTATCAAGTGATACCCTTCTTTAAATATATGATTTATATATTATCAGTATGTTTTAACGTTGTAGAATCGATGTAGTTATATTACAACTCTTAACATTTAATGGGGTACTCACAAACTATTTCACCAACTCAAACTTGAATCTCAAAAGTGAATGAGTTATTAAATATATGATTTATATACTATCTTTATCAATATACTGCAGAATCGATGTAATTTCTTACATAATGTTAGAATCATGTTTCTCTAAACAAAATCATTTTTAATGGAACTATACAAAACAAAAACTCAAACTATATATTATAACTAAAATCAAAAACCTAAACACTTAATGAAACAGTTTCATCATTAATATGTTGTTTAAAAGGTTCTAAAGCCTTTGCTACATCATTTTTAATGAATTTTTCAGTTTGTTGAGGAGCTCTACCTACAAAAGTTTTTGGATCTAATAATTGATCTAATTCTCCCCATATAGGTTTGAAATATTCAGTATTTTTAACTCTTTCAATTAAATCATTATCTCCACCTTCTTGTTTTACAACAGCTGAAGCTTGATGACTTAATACTCTAATTTCTTCATGACAATCTTGTCTTGAACCACCTTTTTCAACCATGGCCATAATGATATTTTCAGTTGCCATGAATGGTAATTCAGAATTAATTCTTCTTTCAATAACTTTTGGATATACAACTAATCCACTTGTAATATTTTGCATGGTAGATAATAAAATATCAGCAGTTAAAAAGGCAGAAGGTAAAGAGATTCTTCTAATGGCAGAATCATCTAAAGTTCTTTCAAACCATTGAACAGAAGCAGTTTGAACAGCATCACTGAATAAACCACCTAAATGTCTAGCTAATGAACAAACTCTTTCACATCTCATTGGATTTCTCTTATAAGCCATGGCAGATGAACCAATTTGAGATTTTTCAAATGGTTCTTCGACTTCTTTTAAATTGGCTAATAATCTAATATCAGTAGCAAATTTATGAGCAGTAGCACCAAATGAAGCTAATGGAGATAAAACATCAATATCGATTTTTCTTGAATAAGTTTGACCAGTAACAGGATAAACATGTTCAAAACCTAATAATTCAACCACTCTTTGATCTAATTGTTCAACTTTATCATGATCACCATGGAATAAAGATAAGAATGAAGCTTGAGTACCAGTTGTACCTTTAACTCCTCTTAATCCAATATCATTTCTAGCTCTTTCCATATTTCTTAAATCCCATAATAATTCTTGAATCCATAAAGTAGCTCTTTTACCCACGGTAGTTAATTGAGCAGGTTGGAAATGAGTCCATCCTAAAACAGGTAAATCTTTATGTTCCAAAGCAAATTGACTTAATCTATTAATAACATTAACTAATTTTGGAATAATCACATCATAAGCATCTCTTAAAAAGATAAGATCAGCATTATCAGTGACGAAGCAACTGGTAGCACCTAAATGAATAATACCAGAAGCACTTGGACAAACATTACCAAAAACATGAACATGAGCCATAACATCATGTCTAACGATAGCTTCTTCTTTGGAAGCAGCTTCGATTTCTTCATCAGTGATTTCCAAATGATTTTTCATTTGTTCAATGGCTTCATCACTAATAATGGATAACCCAACTTCCTTTTCAGCAATGGCTAAGTTATACCATAATTTTCTCCAAGTTGAAAATCTATTTCTTAAGGAGAAGATTTGGGACATCTCTTTTGATGCGTATCTAGAAGATAATGGGGTACTATAAGAATCGTAACTCATGATGAATAGTTGTTGTAGTTGTTGTTGTGGTGATGGTGATAGTGAAAGTGATTGAAGTTATACACAGTATAGAACACCTTCAATTGAATCTAAAATCAAATTAGAGATTTAAAGAAAGAGATAGTTTGGTGATATAATTTTTCAACCATATATATATATTATAGTGTAATTAAATTATTTAATATAGAGCCATGATGAGATTGACTCTGAACTGGTTTTGTGCTCTTTCCCAGTTTTAGTGAGGTGATTCTTTTTTTTTTGACTTCTTATGGGATCCACACCGCTGAATCCTTACCGCCAAGTGTTTCTTCTTCCCGTCTGTGCCCCAGAAATAAACATAACCCTTCAAACTATAACTATAAATAGACTTTTTTATAATATCAAAGTTACAATTCTTTAAACTAAAACTATTATACAACATGTCTGATACAAGTAGAATCGAGCAATTGGAAGCTAAAATCGAACACTTAAGTGCTATCATTGATAAACAACTGAAAATCATTGCTAAAACTGGAGAGAAATTACTAACTTTAGAATTAAAAGATATTAAAGCTAAATTAAATTCCAGTAATACACCTCAATCCACTACGAAATTGGATTTAGATGATTATGTAACTAATGAAGATGTGGTCCAATTGGTTACGGAATTACAAGGTCAATTGGATCAAATTGAAGATCGATCTGTGATTCGTTTATTTAATAATAGTGCAGTGAATGAAGATAATGATACCTTAGAAATCTTAAGTAATAAAGATGGAGAAATTCCTGATTTTGAAGGAGTTCCAACTACTTTAGGTGAATTCAAACAATTGAGTAATGTTGATTTAATTCAATTAGGATTATTTTATGAAGTTATCTTCATTCCTCAAGAAAATCAACCATCTCAAGATCCTGATCAAATTGTTCAACAATCAAAACCAGGTTCAAAAGAATTGAAAAATCATATTGATCAAATCTTAACAAACTTCTCTAATGAAGATTATATAACCTTGTTTGATGATTTAGCAAGATACTTTGGTTTAAAATATAGAAAAGGTGGGATTTAAAAAATTTGGATAACTTAATAAAACTTAATCAGAAAACAAATTTAATATATAAAGTACTTAGTACTACCGTGTTTACTTAATATCTTCTAAATCCTCCATATGTTTCTAGAAGTCAATTGTAGTTACTTTACCTTACTTTAATATGCTTCTTACCTTTAAGCATTATAAAGTTTGACAATTTCCTGTATACAAGTATCACCACTGAAAAGGGCAAAAAAAAATTGTGTTGACGTGTGCTACTGAAAATTGGCAACAGCATAATACACACTTCATAGTTGATCTACCACACTTTTATTAGTATCAAGGACCATCATGGCAGATAATTCAACTAATTCAACGTTTACTTCCACTGAGGAACTTCCTCCTCCTGTTAAAATCTCAGTTTTAACTCCTTTAATCTATACTTTTATTTTATTATCTATATTTATCACATTTTCCATTTTATATCGTCGAAATAGAGTGAAACAATTATCTAAAATCGAACCAATCTTTGGTGAAAACCATCCTAAGAGAATATATGAGTTCTTGAAACAACAAGTTATCGATCAACCTGATAATAAACCTCATGAAAAAGTATTGAAGGCTGCCTTATTAAGAAGAAGTGTTGAAGCAGTTAGAAGAACCATGAAATTAAAAGAAAATCAACCTATTTTTAATAAATTATATCAAGATGGTTTAATTGGGGATGATGTTTATAAACAATTTGAAATTGAAATGAAATTACAAGAATTGGAATTTAGAGAAATCTTGACTGAATGTGAAACATTTAAAAAGGGTTGGGTTCAAACTTTCATACCTTTAAGTCATGAAATTTGTTTTAATGAAGCTTTAAGAAGAAGATTATATAGTATGGATGATAGATCTGAAAGTTTGATTGAAATGTGGGAATATTTTGGTGAAAAATTAGGTGGTGAATCAGAAAAGAAAGAAGTTAAACCAATCGAAGCTGCTACTGATGAAGTATCAGAATCAACTAATGAAAAGAGTACTGCTGCAAAGAAGAAGAAAGCTACTAAGTCTGGAAAGAAGTAATCAACCGTCTTCATTCTTCCCCATTGCATTAATAAAAATTGTATTTATATATATATTTCTGTAAGTACCCTATTTATTAGATAAATCATCATTTATCAATAATACAACTTAATATTTGATAACTTTACATATGTAACAATCCCAGACTTCAATTGTATACAAGCTGAAGACTCTTCTTACAACATACTTGATCAATATATTCATAAGAATTATAATTGTGGTCAACGCATAACAAACAAACAAACGACAAAAAAAGGTACCAGAAAAAAAGAATGAAAACAAACTTGATTCAAACATTCCCAGTCAAATTATATTGGATAGTCCACCATCTTCATGGATTAGATCAATTCGTTACATTGATCCATCGCTATATCATAATCGCTAGTATAGTCTTCTTCAGCGTAATTGATTATCATGAAAAGAACCATATTGCCGAACAACAATGGACAGCCTCCTCCTCCTCCACCACCACAACAACGATATATACAAACTCAACCACAACAACAACAAAGAGGGATTGGCAATGGTGCTGGTAGACCACAGATTGGCGCTCCTACTTCTATGTTGAATGTGGGTGGTGTCCCACGTCAACAAATTCCTGTTCCAGTACAGGGTATGCCTCTTTCAAGACAACAACAACAACAACAAACTGGACCACCACAACATGCGCAACCAAGATTTCAATCCATGGATCCCATGCAACAACGACAACTTGTGGCGGACAAATTGATGAAGGATTGTCACTCTAAAACTCATTTAGATCAAAGGAATAATAGAACCGTCATTGAAACCTCATATCAAACCCATTTAATGGTTAAAGAATTTTCATCATATCCTGATAAAGCTCCTCCTCCCAATGTACCCCTTGGATCAATAAAGACAAGAGTATTGGTACTTTGTATGAAATATAGTGGAAGAGTGTTATTACAAAAGGGGAAGTTGAATGAAGAACGGAATCTTTATCAAATTGGAAGAACTTGGGATTTAGATGAATTAAAATCAGTTACGAAATTAGCTAATAATGGATTTATATTATCGTTAAATAAAGTTTATTTCTGGGAAGCTAGTGAAAATCCTGATTTAGTGTTTAAATTCCTTAGATCATTAGTGGAAAGTTTTGGTCAATTTACCGGTAAATATCCTCAATTAGTAGGGTTAACTCCTGAAAGTTTACAATTACCTCCATTAAGAAATGGTAGAAATGGAAGTACTCTGAGTCCTTTACAACAACCTCAAGCACCATTACAACTGACACCAGTTCAAGCTCCTCAACAACCGGCCCAACAAGCTCGAGCAGGGTCTAAAGTTGAAGATCCTTATAAAGATTATGATTTCACATCTAATGGTAAATTACCTATGAAACCAATGAAAGTATTACTGGTGGATAGAACAAATGCTAGTCCTTCTACTTCAAGCTATGATCTATCAAAAACTACTCCAAGAACTTCAACTGGTTCAAGTCATCCTTATCGTAATAATTCATTATATGAACAATCAAATACAAGTCAAACCAGTAGTGATGCTCATAGTTTTGTGTTTGGTGAGGCTCCATCTCAATCACAATCATCAATTCCTAATTCAATAAGAGAAGAATCTCCCGAACGTAAAATTCATGAATATGCTAAACAAGCTAGTAACTCTCCGTTAAGAAAATACAAATCATTGATTGATCCACAACCATCAAGGACATCATCTCAATCACATGAAAATGAAAATCTCGAATCTGCTGCTGCATTAGGTTTGAAATTACAACAGCATTTAGAATCAGGTGAAGATCTTCCTATTATCAAGAAGACTACCTCTCAACAAAAACAACTACAAGAGAATCAATTTGTGAAAGATTTTGCTCATACTATTCCTGAAACTCAACCATTAAATAAATCAGCTAGAAGTTCCTTAATTGGTAAATCACCCGATTTTGGTATTGAAGAAATAACAGATGAAAGTGATACTGAAGAAACAAAATTAGCCAAATCAGCTTCAACTTCTTCAAAAATTAAACCATTATCAAGATCAAATTCTCAAAAATTATTAAACTCAAGAATCGTTCCTCCAAAAATAAGACAACAATCTATTGATAAAGGATTAGGTATAAATGCCAGCAATAGTAATAATAGTGTCATTCCTGATGATCCACTTAATGCATCTATGCAAGAATTACAAAACATGCTTGATAACCAATTGAATTTCAATAAAGTTAAAGATATACCAGTGGTAGACGATGATGATGATGATGATGATTTAAATAAAGTCCCATCTCAATTCCCTCCTGTTCATAAAAGAGATTTTTCTTATGATGAAGCTTATCCAGATTCTCATGAACAAGAACCATCATTAAACGTGGCTAAGAAAGATGGTAGTGTCATTCCATTAACCAATGAACTGTTGATAAAAATTGATAAAGATAATGATGCTGAAGATTTCTTTGATGATGCCAATTGGTCCATAACTGATAACAGTGATTCTATTATTAAAAAGTTAACTAAGGAATTGAATAAGGTTAAAATGCAAAATGTTGATGTATTGATGGATATAAATTTCGGTAATAGTACCATTGCCAAGGATGCCAATACTGCTATGAGTGAAGTACAAAATTTAAGTCATATTTTTAAGAAATTAGAAATTGATTTTAGTAAAATTACTCCTGAAATCAATGCTATTGAAACTGATTCTCAAGGTTTACAAGTTAAATCAATTAATAAAAAGATTTTATATAATGATTTAAAGAGTATTTTACAAAAAGTTAAGATTGATCCTCAAGATTTGAAATTCATTGCTTCATTTGAAGAATTTGATAGATTACCTAAAGTTGAAGTTCTTGAATCTAAATTATTAGAACTTTATAATGCATCCAGTACCATTAAAGATGATGAAGAAAATGAAAGTTTAAGTTCAATTAAAGCGCTTAAACAATATCAATCCAATTATGAAGTGGTTGGAAAGAAATTTATCAAACATGCTCTTGGATATCTTTCTATTCAATTTAAAAATATTGTCGATAAATTCAGTGCTAATTTGGATCGTTTCACTGCTCATTTATTATTACGAGAATTAAGTGGGTTAACCGTTTATTCTGGTATAACGTATTTCATTAAAGAAATTGGATCAGTTGAATTCTTAGAATTTAATCAATTGGTAAATTCATTATTTTCTCGATTCTTTGATCAATTCATTAATAATAAATTAAGAAATCATGGTAGTCTTACTTATTCATCTACATCAACTACCGCCAGTCTTAATCTTTCTCAATCATTGGATGAAACTGTTCCATTAAAACAATCAAGAACATTAAGATTATCTAAAAAGATGAGTAAATTTAGTGGAATTGGTCATGATCAAGTTGAAGAAAAGAATGAACAAAAACTTGAATCATTAAGAAGAAGTGCCTCTATGAAATTAGGTCATGGTATTGAAGATCCAAAGTTTGTTATTCAAGTGATTGAAGAATCAAAAGATTTAATTGCTTTGGTACAATATTTCATTATGGTATTTTTCCATATTGATAAAGATTCAGTCGATTTCACCGATTATTTACATGTTCATTCTTATGATGAAAGAATGAGATTGGCTGATGAATTACCTAGTAAATCGATAGAATCATTAGAAGACGGAAAGATTCATTCATCAATTGAATTGATTCAGAATTTAACTTCACTTTTTGGTCTGTACATTAATATCCATATTAAGAAACTTAATCCCGTTGATCTTAATGTGCCGGTTATTTTACTTTATTTGGAAAATGTAGGTAATGGATTACAAAATTCAAATCAAGTTTATCTTAAGAATAATTTCATTGATAAATTTAAAACTAAAATATTGGATGATTGGAATAAATTCATTCAAACTCAAATTGATCTGTTGAATAATTCAATTATTGTGGCTAAAAGTGGAATTTTACAACCAGTTAAGAATATCAATCAATTATTATTAATCACTGAAGCTTCATTAGAAAGTCATCAGTATGAATTAAGAGGTAGTAAAGTAAGAGAATTGGTTGATACATCATATAAACAAATTACTGATGCTTTAGTTCATTTATTTATGAGAGATGATCCATTACTTAAAAAGAATGAACTTGATGATAAAGAAAGAGAACATAGAAATGTCACTATACTTCAAAACTTGTATTATATATTAGAAGAATTAACATCTATTTCAAGATCCAATTCTACTAAGACTATGAAACTGAGATTAGATACGATCTTTAATAATGTGGAAGAAAGTTATTTCCAAAGATTATTGCATAAAAATATTGGTAAATTAATTGAATTTGTTACCAATTATGAATCATTAGAAAAGATGAGTAGTGGATCAAGTAATAAGAAGTATAATAAAAAGTATGTCAAATCATTATTAACTAATTATACCTCAAAAGAACTTCAAGTTAAAGCAGGAGAAATTTATCATAAATTAGAGAAACATTTCATTACAGGTGGAGATATGTTTGAAAAGGACTTGTTAGAAAAATTATGGCAAGACATGGAACAAGAATTCATTGATTATATTACAAGATTAAACAAAATCATTAGAAATGATTTTGATAGAGATATTGATTATGGTATTGGTAGACAAGAAATCCATGTTATATTTAAATCTATTCATTAAGAGAAATTCTAATAATAAGCACCCCGACCTGAATATTCCTTTTCAGTGGTGGTTGAAGTAGTTGATCCATTTTTAAATGGATCATAAGGTTCAATGTTTGATACTGGGATTTTACTTCCTAAAGGCCATTTTGAATCATGATTAATATCGGTCCAATCGACTACTTTATCAAACTTTAAATTATTATTTTCCTTTTCAAACTTTAAATTCAATTTGATCAATTGATCAAATAAATAAGACATATCATTTAACGTTATTTGACTCGAATTAAAAATCAGTTTATTAATATCTAATGTGGACAATGAATTTAATTTATTTAATAAATTATCATTTCTTTTATTCAAGATTTTATTCTTTAATTTATTGGTAGATTCATCAACTCTTTTACTTTGTAAACTTAATAAACTAAAATGGACCAATCCAATAGCATGACCTAATTTATCTTGTTGATAATTTTCAATCGATAAGAATAACCCAGTATAAGCTTGAGAATACTTTTCAATGATATTCAAATATTCAATCCAATGACTTGAATCAAGTTGGATATTATTACTGGCTTGTAATTCAACTATCATATTCTTTAGACTTCTTATTTCATTATTAACATAAACAGCAACTCTAGCCAAGGTTCCATTATTGGTAGTTTGAAATGCTTCATTCTCATTGAATTGACCTCGATTTATCCATGATGATTTAGATAAGATCGACATCTGTATACATACTTCTGCTACTTTATTGACAAAAGTGTATAAGGTTGCATTATGAGATTTTAGTGATATACCAAATAGACTATACGATATTGATGTTTTGAATAAGTTGACCACTTGTTTCCATTTTTCATTTGATTCTTGTTGATTAGAATATTCCTCATCTATGATCTCATTAGTTAATTCAGATCCAACTTTGATATATATGAAAGCAATTGAAATTAAGACAAGTTCAATTTCATTCAATAGAGTCCATCTGATGTTATGTATCGACTCAGTTGTATCATTTGATCCTGGTCTTTTGATAGTTAGTTTCTTCTTTAAATCTTGTATCTTATCCTTAACAGGACCAATATGGACATGAGACCACGGTATGGATCCACTTGCAATTGGAAGCTTGGCAGCAAACATTTTAACCCCCATCAAGTCATCCTTTCCACTCTCTGTCCTGGCAAACTGTAATATCTCTTCCAAATATTGTTCTATACTGATTGCAAATCTTACAGATTCATTATAATTGGTGATAGATGTGTTGTTCAATGAAGCTCTCAAAGATATGAGATGAGCAGGAAAATCATTGGATGATGCCTTCAATGATATGGGCAACGGTGGGGTATCAGGAAACACTATCATGTTGATTAGTATCAAATTTGTTTCAGTCTTTCTAAAGAGATCTGGTGATACTTTATATCTCTCTATATCCCCACACCCATATCATTTTTGGCGTATCACACTTTGAACGCGAAATTGTTTGTTGCGACAAAAGACAGCACAAACAAATTTTAAATAGTGAAGACGATCTTGTTATGAATCAAGAAGAGGTCAGGTTAAGTAACACCATGGACGAACGAGACAATGGCAAGAGCTCATCTGGTGACTCTGGTGATTATAAGTATGGGATTGTGATTGACTCTGGTTCATCAGGATCTCGTATCCAGATCTATAGCTGGGAAGATCCTGCCAAAACATTGAAATCATCATCTCAAGATGATAAGGTTACCTTGTTATCACCACCAAAGATCATCCAGAAGAAAGATTGGTCAATGAAGATTAGTCCTGGTATATCATCATTCCATTCCACCACTAAGAAAATATGGTCTCAACATTATTCCAAGTTAATGAAGTTTGCTCAAGATATAATCCCGGTGGAAAGACATGCGGACACACCTATATTTGTGTTATCAACTGCTGGTATGAGATTAGTAGAACCAAAGCAACAAAAGAAGATTCTTGAAGAAACATGTAGTTCAATTCAAAAGAATACTCAGTTCTATTTACCCAATTGTAAGGAATTTGTGCAAATCATTGATGGGGAAACTGAAGGAGTTTATGGATGGTTAGGATTGAATTATCTTATGGGTCAATTCAATAAATATGATCCTCAATCAAATGAACATGAATCAATTGGGTTTATGGATATGGGAGGTGCTTCTACTCAAATTGCATTTGTCCCTTCATCTGCTGAAGAAGTTAAAAAACATAAAGAAGATTTATCAACTGTTACATTAAGAAATATTGATGGTACAACTCAAGAATGGAATGTATTTGTTGAAACATGGTTAGGATTCGGAGCCAATGAAGCCAGAAAAAGATATTTGGAACAACTTATAAACCTTTCTCATATTAATCCTCTGGTGGGGAATGAAATTAGTGATCCATGTTTACCAAAGGGAGCTAAATTGAATTATGAATTTGAATCAAAGACTTATAAAGTTAATGGTATTGGTAATTATCAACAATGTGTGAGAACTATGTATCCTTTATTATTAAAGAATATCCCTTGTAAAGATGAACCATGTTTCTTTAATGGTATTCATGGTCCAAAACTTAATTTTGATAAAGATAAATTTGTTGGGATTTCAGAATATTGGTATACTGCCAATGATATTTTTCAAAGTGGAGGAGAATATAATTTTCATGGTTTTAATGAAAAAGTACGAGATTATTGTGAAAGTGATTGGGAATCGATTTTATCTAGATCAAAATATGGAGAATTTTCAAATCTTGATCCCGATAAGTTTTTAAAAGATGCTTGTTTTAAGGCTAGTTGGGTTATGAATATTTTACATGAAGGGTTTGAATTACCTCGTTTAGGACTTGATATTCCTGATGATGATAATTCTGAAGGTGATGAATCAAGAAAAGAAATCGCTAATGTTCATGTCCCTTTCAAATCTGCTGATTCTATTAATGGTGAAGAATTATCTTGGACATTAGGTAAGATCTCATTAGTTGCATCATCTCAAATTAAATCATCAGAGAAAAATTCTAAATATAATATTGGTATTTATCCCAGTAAGATTTCTGGTAAATCTTTTGTATCGGGAAGTGGAATTCATTCTGGAAAAGCAAGTGGTTATGGTTCTGACGATGATGATGGTGAAGATATAAGTCCTAAATCAGTATTTTCAATTTTACTTGTATTATTATTACTTTACTTTATCTATCATTATGGAAAAGCTCATTTTGGTACTTTACAACATAAATTTAGAAGATTTCAACTTCCTTATCCTATTAAAAGAGCTATAGTTACTACTACATCAAAGATTCCTGGCTTGAAAAATGTCATTAATGATTATCAATTCTTTAGAAATGAAGATAATCTTGATGAAAGTATTTTACCCATGACATCAACCACCACTAATCGTAATGTATCAGGAGTATCATCCCCAGCATTACCACCTTTACCATCACTTTCAGATCAAAACTCCAAACAATATGCTTCCGTATTAAGAACTAGACTGAATATAAACCTTACTGATGAAGATCAACAAGAGAGAACAGGAAGTCCATTCACATCCCCTGAACCACAATCACAACAATCACAACAAACCAAAAATTTAAATACATTTATAAATAAACCATTTGTGGTTCCAAAGAGAAGTGGTGTCTATCATCATTTAAGTGAAACCAATAGTAAAGATACCTTAAATCGTATTCCTAGTGCTAGTTCTATAAACAGAGGTAAAACTCCTAATTAGCCATAAACCATATATATTCTTAATAGACAATTTATTTAAAAAAAATGCGTAAACTCTTTTGCGGCATAAATTCAACTTAACTCTTTTTTTGGATATTTCTTTTTTATATATATACCATCTACTTTTCTCTAAGACCACAATGAAGGCTATATTGATATTATTAGTTGGTTTAGCCTGTATATCATATTCATCACCGATTCCAAGAAGAGAACTGATTGAAATTATAGTTACACCTCAAGATTTAAAAAATGCCGCTGAGTACGCTGTGGTTAAAATTCCTGAATTAAAGGATAATTTTAAAACATTGGTTAAACAAAAGTTATTGAATAGAATTATATCTAAAGATTTTCAACAATTGATTACAGAAGTTGATCCAATAACTGGTAAAGTATCATTGTCAAGACTGCCAATGCCGCAACAATCTCAACAGCCGCTAACAATTTCAAATGGTGGTGGTGGTGGTGCAACTCTGGAAAAAAGCGCTGGTAATGTTCCTTCTCAAGATATTCGAATCCAATTACCTAAAGATCCAGGTTTAGTTACTACTATTTTAAAAGGTGTTGAAGAAGCTGATGATAATACAACTATGGGGTCAAAAGATACATTTGAAACTGATTGTACTGATGATGAATCTGCTGGTGAAGAAAATGAACATGTGGGATATAACCGTCCTTATAAAACCAAGACCAATCATAAAGATATGGGAATCAAAGGAGGTAAGCTAGATCCACCTGATCCATTTGATGATAATGAAGATGAAGATTAGAATTATTGATTGTTCTTTTAATTCATTTGGTATACTGTTTTCTCATAAACTTTGATCAAAATCAACAATTATTTAACTTATATGCCTTTTAGTCATATACATTATTTTCCAACTGATTCTACAAATATATATACTTTATAGTTATTACTATATATAATCAATAGTAAGTTATATGTATTTTGGTAGCAAATAAATGCTGCAAATATATTTTTTTTCTTTTTTTTATTATGGGAGTCGTTGTATGCAGTCCGGTGTCATCTCTTCTCACATTTTTTTTTCTTCAGAAGGTATAACTATTGAAAATAAACTTATGTATATACAATTTATATTAAATTTGATATATAGTTAAAGCAAGTAGTCATCATGAGAGTCAAGAAGCCTACATCCAAGAGAACCACTACCCGTATGAGGGAGGGTATCAAGAAGAAAGCAGCAGCTCAAAACAGAAAGAACAGAAAGAATGCTAAGAAGGATGTTACTTGGAAATCAAGAGTTAATAAAGATCCTGGTATTCCAGCTAGTTTCCCTTATAAACATAGAATTCTTGAAGAATTAGAAGAACAAAGAAGAGTTGAACGTGAGAAGAGAGAAGCTTTGAAATTACAAAAACAACAGGAACGTGCTGAAGCCTTGGCTAGAGGTGAATTAGTGGATGATGCCATGGATCAAGATGATGATGAAGATGATGAAGAAGATGATGGTCAAGGTGGATTAGCTGCTTTGTTAGAATCTGCTCAACAAGCTGCTAAGAAATATGATGGTGATGATGATGATGAAGATGAAGAAGATATGGAAGATGAAGAAGATGATGTTCAATATGATCTTGATATCACTGTTGATGAAGATGATCAAGATCATAGTGAAGTTGATAAATCTCGTAGAGCTTACGATAAAATTTTCAAAACTGTGGTTGAAGCTGCTGATGTTATATTATATGTCTTAGATGCTAGAGATCCTGAATCTACCAGATCAAGAAAAGTTGAACAAGCTGTATTACAAAATCCTGGTAAAAGATTAATCTTAGTATTAAATAAAGTTGATTTAATTCCAACCAATGTCTTAAATCAATGGTTAAATTTCTTAAAATCATCATTCCCAACTATTCCAATCAAAGCATCCCCAGGATCAACTGGTTCAAATTCATTTAATAAGAATTTAACTTCAGCCATGACATCTCAAGCTTTATTACAAGCTTTAAAGAGTTATGCAGCTAAATCAAATTTAAAAAGATCAATAATAGTAGGTGTAATTGGATATCCTAATGTGGGTAAATCATCTATAATAAATGCTTTAACCAATAGACATGGAAATAATTCTAAAGCATGTCCAGTAGGAAATCAAGCTGGTATTACAACTGCTATGAGAGAAGTTAAAATTGATAATAAATTAAAAGTCTTAGATTCACCAGGTATAGTTTTCCCTGATGAAATCATTAATACTAAGAAATTATCTAAAGTTCAACAAGAAGCAAAATTAGCTTTATTATCTGCTCTTCCACCTAAACAAATCATAGATCCAATTCCAGCTGTACAATTATTATTAAGAAAACTTGCTAAAGATAATGAAATGGCTGATGGTTTAAAAGCATATTATCAATTACCTGCTCTTCCATCCGCTGATTTAGAAGAATTTTCCAAACAATTTTTAATTCATGTTGCAAGAAGTAGAGGTAGATTAGGTAAAGGTGGTATTCCAAACTTAGGTGCTGCTGCTTTATCTGTGTTAGCTGATTGGAGAGATGGTAGAATCATTGGTTGGACCTTACCAAAATCATCCAAAGCTACTGCTGATAAAGCTTTAGAAGATTATAATCCTGATGCCCCAAAGAGTTCATTAAGAGGAGATAAAGAACCACCAAAAGTTGAACAAACTACTATTGTTAGTGGTTGGGCTAAAGAATTTGATCTTGATGGATTATTAGGCGATAATTTTGGACTTGAAGCTTAGATTAAAATTTTAGTTAAACAAATCTCATGTATATTATTATTATTATATATTTTTTATAAAAAAAAATTTCAATTCAAACTATTTAGATTTATTTATTGTAAACCTATTGAGCAAGGTAATATTCAATATATTCTTTGTTATTAGCAGCTGCCCAAGGTTTAATATAGAAATCAGTATGATGTTTAAGATCTAATGTTGGTTCCCAATCAAGTAATGCTCTAGCTCTTTTATTATTAACAATAATTGAAGTATTAAACCCATTAAGAAAGATGTTTTCTTCAGCGGTTGGTTCACCCAAAAAATTGATGTTTCCTTTAAACCCTAAATCTTTAGCTGATTGAGTAACAAATTCTGGAGCTGAGAATGATTCATGAGTGACATCAAAGATTGGTAAATCAAAGGTAGAAGAATTATATAATTCAAATTTTTGAATAACTTTAGTAAGGAAACGTCCTAAATCAGTTACATGAATCCAACTTGTTACTAAATCTTTATTAATAGGAAGATTAATATCGGTAGAATCATTTTTAATTACAGCTTGTACCACTTGAGAGAAAAACACTGCTAAAATTGGAGAATTCTTACCGTATAATAAACCAGGTCTAACAATAATAGTGGGTAAATCATCCTTATAAGATAAAAGTTGTTGTTCAAGAGCAGGTCTCCAACTGACTAATGGTTTAACTTGACCATCCTTAGCGAAATGATGTTCATCCACAGTATTAACATTATCATTACCATGAACCCAAGCACCACTAATATAAATAAATCCTACTTGATAACCAGTTGATGTTTTAATGGCCACTAATTTTTGAGCAATTTGAGGGGTACTAGTTGGAGTACCTGATAAATCAATAACATGAGTGATGTTCAAAGTAACGATAGAATCAAGATAATTCATATCACTGGTGGTATGTAAAATTGGAATGATTTCATCTTTTAATAACAATTGAGCTTTTTCAGTTGATCTGGCCAAACCATAAACAATGAAATTTTGTTGACGTAAGATGATAGCAGCTTCATGACCAATGAATCCAGTAGCACCAATCAATAAGACCTTTTTATTATCAGTAGTAGACATGTTTGTATTTGTATTTGTTGTTGTTGTTGTTGTGATAGTACTTCGAAATGGGATGATGATGATATGAAAGGAATTGTGGATGTATTTATACCCAATTAATTGTTTGCAGACTTGACTTTCCCAATGAAGTTAATAGCCGCAACACCTTCCTATTTGGGACTGTGGATCCTAATTAGGATAATGGCCGTCAAAATGAAATGTCATTCATTTTTTTAAACAGATTATCACCGATTTATTGATGATAGTTTGATTCTGAACTCGGTGATACTGATCTGAGATATATAAGCACTAGCAGATAGTATAATCATTTTAAATGACATAACTTAAAAATCCTATTTACGATGTGATATAATCTTCTATGGGGAAAGTTGATTAACTATATTATAATATGCAGGAAAAGTGGAAAATTTAAAGAAGCGCTTACCAATACTTTATCTCCTTTTAAATCCATAATACAATTAGCTATCATCGGTTAGCAACCCTTGATTTAATCCAATTCCACCAGAAATCTCCCAACCCCAGAGCTATACTTCTCCTTAGTTAAGTTGAGCCTCATATGGGGGCGAATTACTATTGGATTAACATACTTTTCATAATATTTAATTGTTGTTAGAGTAAGAATATATAACAAATTTGGAAAAAAAAAAAAGATCACAGTGAGTTCTTTAATTGCATTATTTTTATGATGATTGATAATAATATCCTAAGGCATATCTTGCAGTTACAATGATAAAACCCAGACAGACGGAGTTAAGTAGAGGGATGTTTGCATGCTTAGTTATTTAAAATCAAGCTATGTAACTGTAGTTTGACTCCTTGGAAAAGTTAAAAATATGTAGGGATATTTCAAGTATCTTCGAGAATTTGATTTGGAACTTATCTCAAAATAAAAGATTGTAAAGTTGGTTAATTCTTCATCTTCTTCTTCTTCGTCTTCTAATGACTAAAGTTTCAATTTCAATTATCGGTCTCAGTGGCCTTTTAGGACCTCCAGTTTTAGAAGCTATTAATTCTGGCTTATTTGATAATAAAATTAAATTCCCCGTTAAAGCATTATCAAGAAAACATCAAACTTCCACTGAAAAAGTGGAATACATTCAAACTGAATTGACTAATGATGTCATTCCATTCATTGTTGAATCCTTAACTGGGGTTGATGTTATCATTGAATTAGTGACTCCAATTCCAACTTTATTAAACACTCTTGAACAAATTGTTGAAAAAGTTGCCCCTAAGATTTATATTCCTTCTCAATTTGGAGTTGATATTGGACAAGTTGCGACTTATTCTCCTGGATTTTTATCAAACAAATCCAAACATGCTAATGCTATTAAAAATCCAAACGTTAAGACTATTGATGTTGTTACGTCATTATTCGCTCATGAAGGTAGTTTCTTATATGAATATGTTGGTCTTGTTGGTATCAATACTGAAGATAAAACCATTGTTCAAAGAGGTTCTCCATCAACTAAATTTTCCATTACCAAGGTTAGAGACATTGGATTTTCATTAGTTTCAATTGCTACTTTACCAGTAGAAACTATTCCAACTCCATTTAGAATCCTGAGTGATATTATCACTTATCAAGATGTTATTGATAGATATGAAGCTAGTCATAACGTAAAATTAAGTACCGTTAAAACTCTCACTAAGGAGGAAACATTACAAGAATTGAACCTGAATTTCACCAAAGACTTTAACTTTACTGATAGTGATTTCACCATGGATAAATTCGTATTATATGTTAATGATATTATTGCTCAAGGGTTTAATAAGGGTGCTGATTTCACTAATATTCATAATGAATTAATCAATCCAAAGGAATCGTTATGGAAATGGAGTAAATATTAGTGTTGGTTTGTATATGATTATGCTAACATCGATCAAATCTATGGTTGATTTCAAAATAATAAATTATGTTGCAAAATATATATATGTAAAAAAAATTCTAAATATAATTTGCGCATCCAAAATATTTTCAAATTCCGATCGGCTCATGTTTGCGGTGGTTCCAGAACTTTAAACAGAAAAAATTCAAACTATGAAGAGAACACGAAAGTAATTACTTGGATCAAACCATTCATCCAAACTGACAATTATAGAGTCAATTACATCAAGATGATTCCAGTGCTATTGAATGCTCTCGAACAATTTGATACTTATTCAACCCAACTCTTAGCATCCAATCGTTTGACTTCATCCTTAATTATAACTCCCTTAAGTAAATTCATAACTCAATTCTTAATTATATCATTCATTGGTCTTATAAGTTATGAAACTTTATATTGGAGTGGGATTTATTTGAATGTATGGGAGTATCATGCTAAGGATATCTTTAAAGAAATCCCTATTCATTGTGCTCATGTTTATGTTCGATTGAATTTAATTGATCAAGCTGATGAAGATAAATTAAATCAATATTATCAATTGAAAAGAAAATATCATATTTTAAAACTATTAGATTTAAATCATTGGAATAACTTAAATCAAACAAGTCAAGAATTATTTAAATTAAATCGATTCGTAAAGTATCATTTTGAATTTAGTCCTGAAGATTTCGAAATGAATCAAGATCCCGAATATGGTTCAAATATTGGTCATTTAAGACAAAAAGTTTTAAATTTATTTAATGAATCAGATATTTATAATGCCTATAAACCAAAAGATCAAAAATTAATCAATACAAATCATGTATTAATCTTTAATAATATAAATGATCAAGTTCCATTTGATCAGGATTTACAATATTTAAGTAAATGTAACATTGAAACTGGTAATATCATAGATTGTATAATTTGTTTATAAAAAGTGATTATAACTCATCATTTAATGAATATCTTTTTTGTTTAATAATATTCAAATCTAATAATCGTTGTTCAGTTATAGTCCATAATTTGATGATTCGTTCTAATTTGGATTCTAAACTTAAACTTTGTAATTTACTTAATTCTTCATCTATATTCTCTCGATTAATATTGGTTCCATTCCCATTATTATTATTATCATCATCTTGAGTTAAATCATTAGCTGACATGAATTGACTAAGAGTTTTATCATATTCAATATTATATTCAATATCTTCCACACCCCCATAGTCTTCACCATCTACCTCGTCATCATCCTCCTCGTCATCCTCCTCTCCCTCTCCTTCATCTTCATCATCCACATCATTAAACATGAAATTATTTAAATCATATTCAATAAATTTAGGTCCTTTATAAATAGGACTATTCGATAATTCCAGTTTATTAAACATACCATGACCTGCATTAGTATCATCTTGAGAACTACTTCCACCTCCAGCTTGATTTATGAAGTTATATTCATTTTCATTATCATCTCCATTACTACCATTATCATTCAAATTATTATTAGTAGTATTATTATTATTATTACTATAAAGACTTAAGATTGATTTATTAACCAATCTATAACATTGATTCCGTAATGATAGATCAAATAATAATCGTAATTCATCCGGTAAATCCTTTTGATCTTCAATATTCTTCAATGTGGGATCGAAATTAAAACATAATAAACTCATAGTGATTTCTAATTCTTTCAATAATTTAAATGAATTCGATACTTTATTAATCAAATTCTCTCGTACAAATCCCAAAATATTATTAAGGAATATACTTTCATCATCATTATCTTTCAAATTAGCATTTAATTTATGATCTCTAATCATTTCAATCAAATTTAATCGTAATAATTTAAAATGTAAAAGATTATTAGTATCTAAGATTGTAGGGAAATATTCACTTATTTTTTTAATGGCTTCAGTAATTGATCCTTTTAAAATCAATAATTTAATCTCTTTCCTTTGTTTGATAGTAGAGTATCCTGAAGTTAGATTGGTTTTAAAATAAGGTAAATTATATTGATTAGAATTATTCTTGGATAAAGGTTGAGATCGATCATGATCATCAAAATAATGTTCAACCATATTAGTGAATTCATTATTGTTTAATGAGTTCATATTGCGAATGAATTGAATCGATCGATCATTGACATTTATGTTAGATTGATGTTGATGATTAGGATGATGGTGTTGGTTGTCATCATAGGGTAAGGATTTATAGACATCGATATTCAATTCTTTTGAGAAACTAATGGCTGCTTCTTGATATCCTTCTTGAATGAAGTAGTTCAAGATCAAATTGTTGATCTTCTCTTTGGGAATACTTGCCATGGCCCCTTAATGATTGATTCTGATCTTGTTGCCTTTATCTCATATCTATTTAATTATGGGCTGCCATTTTTTTGGATTGTGTGGTTTCAGTCATAATTTTGTGGGGCTTACATAATTTGTTAGTCATCTTGATTTCTCCCCCTACTTTACTTACAGCCAAATCTCTTTATTTATTTGCAACACCATTCATGACATGTAATCAATCATCATCATGTCATCAAAGAAAGGGAATAAATCAATAGTTGAAGCTGTGGAAGCTGAAACTATGGTTCGCGATTACTTACGTGATCAATATCGTCCATATTCAATTACAGATTTAGTGCTTAATTTACATAATCAAATCACCAGATCTGATATGAGTATAATCTTACAAACCTTAATTGAATCAGGAGATATTATAAGTAAGACGTTTGGGAAATTCACATTCTATTTATATAAGGAAAGAGAAGGTGAAGAGGTTGAGATTGATTCTAATCAATTGATCAAATTATCAACTGATGTGAATATGATCAATAGTCAACTTAATCAAGTTAAACAAGGTATGACATATATATATATATAATAAAGAGTAATCCATCATTAATACTAACTAACATAGATTATCAAAGGCTTTTACAAGCACCCAATGAACAAACTTTGAAACAAGAGATTAGAAATAAGCAATTATCCATAAGAGAATTAGAATCGAAGATTGTTCATTATCAATCTCATTTAAGTAAACAAAAGACAACTTCAACTTCATCATCCCTTGAAATGATTAAATCTCATTATAACAAGTTGATAACTATTAATAATGATCGTAAAAAGATTGTATGTATAGTCATCTACTCTAAACTATACCATATCAGAACTCTCTACTAACAACTCTCTACAGTTAATTAACTTTTTGGATATGTTTAGTGAGAATTCACCTGAAACAGATATGGTTAAACTTTTAGTAAGTTCTACATCTAATTAACAATTATAATTAATGATACATATACGTACTATACTAACTATTCTTTAGAATGATATAGGGATTGATAATGAAGAATTCAATCACTGTAAACAACAACTGAATTTTGAAAAGTATTGAACTCCGTTGAACTTAATTCCCTATTGTTTGATACTGTTTGATACCGCCTCTCTTTTTTTAAGTATGATATCATCAGTTTAAAGTGCCAGCAGAATCATACAGCAACAGAAAAAAAAAAAGAAGGATAACATTCTTTTGAAACAAAAAGCTTAATTCAACTTCAAGATATACAGTTACTAACCACCACAATCAGGGTTCAATTAGATCTCCATAGCCCTATTACTAACTATTGCCAAGACAGTTTTACTACTTGAAAAGAATAAGATCGTTCCGTCATCTCATCATCAGCATATAACAGTAAAAGTAATAGTAAGAAAGTGAAATTCTTTTTTTTAAAATTTTTTGATTTTCAATTTACGAGGCCTTTCCTTAAGCCTTTCCAAACAAAAAAAAACATACAGCACATAGATTAGAATAATCAGATACGTCACACTTCTTTCATTCAATCTATTCCAATCATCTATTCATCTACTTCAACGACATATACTGGGGTTCAGTCCATCTACCTCCCTTGAATCCACATACACATACTATCATCTTCAAATCAAATCATCCTCAATTATCACCTCCCTCATAATCATCCTTATCCATACACACCAATATGATATTCGCCATACTGCCTGTAATTAAAAAAGTATTCGTACTATTGTCATGTACATTCTTTGGGCTCAGTTGTGGAACTCTATATCTATATTCATCATATAGTCCACAATTGGCAAAACAACTACATTATACCGTGTCTGATTCTTCAACTATAGCCCTTGTTGGGAATTTCGGAGCTTCTGTAAGTGGTCCATTAGCAGGTTTAGTAGTGGATAGAAAAGGTTATTCAACTTCTTTATCCATAGGAGGTACCTTCATTGCATTCGGTTACTTTGGATTGAAACAACAATTTGATAATGAATATAATAATGTCCATTTATCTGCTCTATTATTATTATTAGTAGGTTCAGGATCAACGTTTATAAATTATGCATGTTTAAAATGTTGTGCTATAAGTTTCCCAAGTATAAGAGGAGTAGCAACTTCATTACCTTTATCATTATATGGTTTAAGTGCTTTATTTTATTCCGTAATTGCATCATTATTTTTCCCTGGTGATACATCATCATTCCTTGGGTTTTTAGCTTATTCTTCCATTGTCATATTTGCTATATGTGCTCCTGCTATAATGTTATGTGATGTCGAACATAATCCAAGAAGATCAAATCTTTTAAATAAATCTCAGCCTGATCAACATCATCATCGTAATCGAGAAATGAGATCTCCTTCTCCTGAACTAACAAATATCACCGGTATAAGATTATTTAATTCTTATAAATTCTGGTTAATCTTTTTCACTACTGGTTCGTTGGCTTCATTGGGTCAAATGTATATATATTCAGTAGGATATATGGTGAAAGCATTAATAAGTTTTAAATTATTAGGACTTGAAATCAATAATGATATTATTATTCAACGTGATCAACAATATCAAGTCGGTTTAATATCAATAGCAAATTGTATAGGAAGAATCTTAAGTGGGATCTTAGGTGATATCATAACTCAATCATTTGGAAAACCAAGATCGTTATTATTATTCTTTCCTACTGTTGGATTATTCATAACTCAATTATTGGGATTGAATATTCAAAATGATAGTGTATTACCCTTTGAATCATTCTTTACTGGTTTATTTTATGGATTCATATTTTGTATTATGCCAATTATAGTAGGTGATAGTTTTGGTATGGAGAATTATTCATCAAATTGGGGGATAGTTTCATTAGCTCCAATATTACCTAGTATTTATTTCACTAGTTTATTTGGAAAGATTTATGATTCAAATTCAACATTAGATCCCATAAACAAAGGTTTGAAGTGTGAATTAGGTTATCATTGTTATAATTCAATTTTCAGCTTAACTATTATCGTCAGTATTATATCGATTGTGGTGGTTACGTTATTGAATTTCGATAATGAAATCCCCGATTTCTTTGTGGTTATGAAATCTAAAATATCATCAAATCCAACTTTACCAATAGCTCATGATATGAAAGAGAAAGATTCTAATGAAAAAGTGAATTAAATAACTAATATTTTTGTATAATAAAGTTTTGATAAATAAATAAATAAATATATATAGAAAGAGTAATTGTATGTGTAGAAAACTATTTTTTTTTATTTAACGTCTTCCCGAATTAAATCTCCCTAATTTTGAAAGTGATGGACTATGCATTAATCTGGATGGAGTTGAACTAATTCTCTTTTGTTGTTGTCTTGGATGAGAATGTCTTTCAGTATGTTCATAAAGATCATCATTCATTTTTCTAATTGATTCAAATGGTTGTTCTAATTGATCAGATTGATTACTATTAGTAGTAGTATTACCATTATCAAATGATAATTCATCCACATTTCGATCAATTAAATATCTTAATGCATTAAACCAAATATTATGTCTTTGTCTCGTTGGACAAGTGATTTTAATCTTTCTATCCGTAGAATGAATGATAATACTCTTATAATATAATCCAGTAGGTAAAGGATTATTATCATCCACACTTTCAACTTTAAGAATAGCAGCACCTCTAGTTTTAACTTGAGATGGATTAGATAATATTGGATTAGATTCACTCCAATAAAGAGTTAATGAATATGGATGAACCCAAAAATATCTTTCATGACGATTTTCCGTAACGGAATTAATTCCTAATCTACGGAAATATTTGAATAAATATTCTCCAATCACAACTTGAGTAATAGCAGGAATCATTGATTTATCAGTTAAAGAAACATTAGTAGCCATGGAAAATATAGCCGCTGAAGCAATTGAATCATGAATACTTGGGGCAGCACGAGAATAATGTGACATATTAGAATTAATCGATATAGATTGAGGAATTGCAGGACTAGGATTTGAGAAGTTACTTGGTGGTGGTGTTGGAGTAACTTTTGCTTCCTTACTTTTAGTTCGAGGTGGTGTACTCATGAAATTAGGTACATTTGGTGATGGTAAATCTCTTAATGCTTCTAAATCTTCAGGAATATTCTCTTTATTGAAATAACCTCTCTTTTCAGCATGTTTCTTAAATACTTCATCGGACACTTTTTCAATAGACAATCCTTTATATCTTATTAATTGATTGAAATAAGTTGAAGGGATGACTTTAACATTATTAGAAGTTGCTACTGGGGTAGTAGTAGTTCCCACAAAGTTTGAATTTGGAATCACTAATAATCCTTTTGATTTACCAACTTCCACAAGCTTATCATTATTATCAATAGCATCACTTAATGCACGAAGTTGTTTAAGTTTATCTTCAAGAATGAGACTATATCCTAATCCGGATGCCTTTTCACGTAATTGTTCTTCGGTTAATACAGGTGGCTTTTCAGCTCTCTTCGAAAGAACAGTTAACTTTTGATAGAAATCTTTATCAAGGACAACCATATCCATTCCTGACAGCATTTCCAAAAGAGATTCTTTAGTAATTGGTTTTGGTTCTCTTAATTTGTATAATTCAGCTTCCTTCTCAGTTAAAAGTTGTTGAGTATTTAATAACTCGGTTTGGTATTGTTCCTTGTCTAATAATATCATATCTAACTTATCGGCTCTAACTCGTAATTCGTCTTTATTAATGACAAATGAATCTTCAGCATCTTGGAAATCTTCAGTAGTTTGATTATTTTGTTCAGCTGTGGTTTCTTCTAATGATTTCTTAAGTTCCTCGTATTCGGATCGCTTGATTAAAACATTTCCTTCACTTGCAGCTCGTTCATCTAATGGTTTTTGTAATTGTTCTAATTCATCTTTAAGAACTAAAGAGTAACCATTTTCATTTGCTTTTTCCTTAATATCATCCACAGAAGGTTTATGAGCCTTGATTAATAAACTATCGTATTCATCGGCTTTCAATACTTTAACACCAGCAGTTTCTGCCTTATCTTCAAGTGATTCATTGGCTTTGGCCTTCAAATCTGTTAATTCATCTTTTCCAATCATTGCGAAATTATTATTTTCGACATGAGCGGTTAATCTATCAATTGATGGAGTAACTAACGATTGATATTCACTATCTGAAATGACCTTCATGTTTTCTTTTGCTGCTCTTTCAGGAAGAGGAATCTTGGATGAATTCACCAAATCGTTATGGATATCCTTTGCAATAACAACACTACCTAAGCCAGCTGCTAATCCAACAATCTTCTCAAGACTTGGAGTTAATAACTCTTTATGTTCAGATTCAGTAAGAATGACCATGTTCTGTTTCTTGGCTTTAATAGCAAGATCTTCATTTAATTCATCTTCAAGGGATTTGTATTTAGCCGACTCAGTAACAGCGTAACCAAGTGAAGCAGATTTTTCTTTCAAATGTTCGATACTTGGACTTGTTGCTTGTTCTTGTATGGAGTTAAAGTCTGCAAGATCAACAACAACTTTTCCTTCTTTAGATGCTTTCTCTTCAATCAGTTCAGATGCCTTTTGGTTTAATGAACTGAGTTCATCATTAGGAATCAAATTACATCCATTCTTTTCGGCCAAGCTCTTAACATGATCCAAAGATGGACTTTCAGCAAGTTGTTTAAGTTGTTCTATTTCAGCAGCCAGAATAGCCACCATTCCTGCTTCTTTGGCGACTTCGTCAACACTTCTACTGGATTTACTTTGAAGTTCGGAGAACTCATCTTTTGAGACGACGGTCTTATTTAAAGCTTCAGCTTTCGATGTTAAGTAATCAATTGATGGATTCTTATGCAGTTCAACAATTTCGGAATATTCTTTTTCGTCTACCAAAACTTTTCCAGCTGATAACTCCTTATGTTCAAGATACTTATCAGAATTGTCTTTCAAAGCTTGATGTTCATCTTGACTAAGAACAACAGAATTTTGATTTACTGCTTTTTCTTCTAATGTTTCATTCGCAGTTTGGATTAATTTTTCGTGATCATCAACTGGAATAATGGCTTGATTATGATTCATAGCCTTTGATTTAAGGTAATCTAAATCTGGATTATCAATAGATTCAAGTAACTTTTCATGTGCATCTTTTGTAATAAGTATTTGATTCAATCCAGAAGCTTGCGATTGTAAGTGATCTAATGAAGGAGAATCCACAAGATTTTGTAAATCAGCTAATTCAGATTTTGAAATTACTGACATACCTTGTTCTTCTGCTAAATCTTGAATTGACTTGTTTTTATTAGCAGTAAGTAACTTCAAATCATCCTTATGTATAACGGAATAACCCAACACAGCAGCTCTAGCTTCAATCCTTTCAAGAGGAGGAGTCTCAGCGTTAATCATTAATTGTTTGTATTCTTCAGCAGTAAGCAACTTAAGATTAAAATCTTTAGCTCTCTTTTCAATTGGTGTATTAGCTTCGGCTTTTATGGATTTCATTTTACCAATAGTTACTACTTCTAAACCCAATGCACCAGCTTTTTCTTTCATATATTCTGCTGAAGGACTTTCAATTTGTTTTTTATAATTTGAAAGTTGCAGAGGTAAAATTAATTCATATCCTGATTCCTTTGCAATCTCATCAATTGGTTTATTTGCCTTGGCGCTTAAATCTTCAAAGCTTCCTTTTGAAATTAACATATGATCATGACCATCACTAAGAGTTTTAAGTCTTTCCAATGATGGCGTGTCAGCATTCTTTTGTAACTCGTTGTATAATTCTGTTCCAACTACTGATAATCCTAAGGCACCAGCAACCGTAGTCAAGTGAGATTTATCTGGCTTATGGGCAAGCGCTTGAAGCTCTTGTAAATCACGATCTGGAATTGTAGAAAGACCTAACGCAGCAGATTTTTCCTTAAGGTAAGACTCAGATGGTGAGGAAATGTTCTCGTGTAAACGATCGAATTCGGTATTCAGAATCAAAGCCATATTCTGTTTGCCAGCATGTTCTTCCAAGAATTCAATGCTTGGATGCTCAACTTGATCAACCAAAGAATTGTAATTTGATTTGTCAACAACTTTGAATCCCAATCTTTCTCCATGTTTAGTAATAGTTTCAGCATTAGGATCTTTTAATTCATCAAACTCTTGTTGATCAACCACAACCAATTTATTTACAGCAGCCTTTTCCTTGATAAAGTCAATACTTGGAGCTTTTAATTGTGAAGTAATATCATTATACTCGTCATCGGGAACAATAGTGTGACCAAGCGCCAATGATTTCTCTTTTAAGAATGTTAATGGAGGATTTTCAACTGTAGACTGTAAATGATGAAGTTCATTAGTAGGAACCACTGAAGAATCAATATGAGAAGCCATCTTTTGTAATTTCTCTAAATTAATAGTATCATGATCTTTCAAATCTGATACCAACTTAGAATACTCTTTTCTTTCAACTAATTCAAATCCTTTAGTATCGGCTGATCTGACAAGATAATCCAAACTTGGTTGGTTTAAGCTATTTACCATGGTTTCATATTCATCTTGGTTAATAAGAACTGAGTTTTGTTCACGAGATTTATCTTGTAAATAATCCAATGAAGGAGATTTGATTGAATTCTGAAGTGAAACATACTCTTCAGAAGGTAAAATAACTTGACCAAGTGCATACGCCTTGGATTTCAAATATTCCATAGTTGGACTATCGACATTTGAAACGAGCAGCTCATGCTTATGTATAGGAATTGCGACTAATCCAAGTTTGGCGGCTTTTTCCATAATATGATCTTGAGTTGGTTCATGAGCTTTAGCCAATATCTCATTATATTCTTTATTTGACAAAGTTGATAATCCATGTTTCTTAGAATGATCTTCAATGAATTCTTTAGTTGGGTATTCTATTTGTTGTTTCAAATCCTTTAATTCAGAATCATCAATGACAACAGCACCAAATTTCTGGGCAAGATTCTTCACATCATCTTTTGATGGATTTTGTAATTTGCTCAATTCTTCAACGCCGATAACAGCCAAACCTAAACCTTTCGCCTTTTCAGTTAAATGGAATTTAGTTGGTTCATTAGCTAACGTCTTAAGATTTTGGAACTCATCATCTTCCAAAATACTATATCTCTTATTTGAGGCTGATCTTCTTATTTGATCAATAGATGGATTACGAGCCATATTCTCAAGTTCTTCAAACTTAGGCTTTTCAATAATAGTAAATCCGGCTTTAGTAGCATGATTCTTGATTTGATAAGTTGTTGGATTATGAGCAGAATTGTTTAATTCATTATATTCTTCCTCGCTTAATACCACACTTCCTAATTCCTTCGCATGTTTAGAAATATAATCAGCAGAAGGAGATTCAATCGATTTGATCATTTCCTGGTACTCATCTTGTGGAACCATTTCATACCCAATATTGGTAACAAGCTGTCTGATGTGTTCTCTATTAGGATTTTCAGCCTTTTCCAGGAGATAAATATAATCAGGTACAGAAATGATTTCATAGCCTAATGCTGAAGCTTTTGATTTAAGATGTTCAACACTTGGAGTATTGGCATTATTTGATAAGGTTGAGAATTCATCATTTGAAATCGTAGTTAAATTCTTCTTTTCTGCTGATTTAATTACAAATTCATCAGAAGGTGATTCTTCCAATGTTTGCAACCTTTGTAATTCGTCAGCTTCAATAATACTATGGAATAATGATTCTGCCTTTTGTTTAAGGAAATCCATAGGTGGATTATTTGCGGTTTGATCTAAGGTTGCGTATTTTTCTTTCGGAATAGCAACTAAACCAGCTTCATCGCCCTTAGCAATAATATGATCAGTTGGAGGAGAATGCGCTAATGTCTTTAATGATTCTAATTCAGCATTAGGAATTATGGTAGAATCCATACTTGAAAGAACTTGTTTCACAACTTCAATACTAGGATGTTGTGTCTTATTATTTAAATCATCAAGGGTAGAATTTGGAACAATGACTGAATCGAAAACTTTAACTTTATCAGCAAGGTATTCTTGAGTTGGATTTTGAACATTTTCTTTCAATGCTTCAAGTTCTTGTTCGGCAATTAAAGCAAATCCAGCACTCTTTGCCTTGGTATTAAGATGTTCATGAGATGGATTATCAGAATTGACCCTTAAAGTTTCAATATCATGATTATCAACAACTTCACAATTCATCTTAGATGCAAGATTAACGAGATGTTTACGGCTAGGATTATATGCAAGTTCTTTCAAATCACCAAGATCATTGGTGGGTATAACTTGCATATCATAATTATTAGCTTTATTTATTATATGATTAACATCAGGTTCATTAGCAAGTTTAGTTAATGTTGATAATTCTTTCTTATCAATGACATCATAATTTAAAGCATCAGCATATCCTCTAATTTCATCAATAGTAGGTGAAGTACATAAATGAACTAATCTGTTATATTCGTTGGTATCGACAACAGTATGATCTAATTGACCAGCAGTAGATCTGACTTGATCCAAACTTGGATTATGTGCTAAAGTATTAAGATTCTCATAGTCTGAATTTGAAAGTAACGTATGATTTTGTTCAGCCGCCTTCTGTTTTATATGATCTACAGAAGGTTCATTGGCCAAAGTATGTAAGGCTTGATAATCTTCCACTGGGACAAGTTTATGGTGGAATTTATCTGCCATTGAAGTTAAATGTTCCAACGGTGGAGACGAAGTTAATTGTTTGAGTTTTTCATGTTCATCGAATGGAACTATAACATGGTTCATATCCTTTGCTTTTGATTCAAGATGAGATAATGATGGATTAGTTAATTGATTATAATCATTATCTGCAATAAGAGTATATCCCAACGCTTTAGCTTTCGATTGAAGATGTCTTTCGGTAGGATTAATAGCCAATTCAGAGAGAGAACTTAAATCTGAAGATTTCATGATTTGATATCCTTTACTGTTGGCATTAGCTTTGATTTGATCGATAGTTGGTTCATTTGATGATTTATATAAATCAGTATATTCCTTCTTGGATAAAGTAACCAAATCTAATCTATCGGCATGAACTTTAACTTCATTCAAATTTGGATTATTGGCTAGTCTATTCAAATTATCAAATTCATGATGATCTATCGTGGTATATCCTAAACCTTCAGCCTTGGACTTGATATGTTCGATAGAAGGTTGATTTATCGTTTTCAATAATTCATCATGATAATCCTTTGGACTTAAGATTAATCCTAATTCATTGGCCTTTGATGTTAAATATTGTTTGGATGGTTTTTCATGATCGATGAGTAAACTTTGATATTGATCATATTCATCCTTGGGCATAGTTTGTAAGTTTAATTTATCAATTTTATTAAATAAATAATCTTCGGATGGATTTTGATAATTCTTTGACATCTTTGTTAAATTCGAAAGCTCATCATTATTAATCAATGTGAATGATTTTAATTCCGAATGTTGTTTTAAATAATCAAGGGATGGATTTTGATATGATTGAGATATATTTTTAAGTTCTTGTACTTCATCTATAGGTAATGAAACTAAACCATTTGATTCTAATTTCTTTTGCATTTCATTATCATCAATTAAATCTTGGTATTCCTGTTGACCAAGAATGACAAATCCTTTACTTTCAGCTAATTGTTTCAATTCAGATTCTTTAATAGAATGGATACTATGTTCATTCAAAGTATCATATTGAGTTGAAGTTAATAATACTAAATTATTTTCCTTAACATAATCATCAAGATCTTGTTTTGAAGGTTTAACATTGCTTAATAATTCCTTTGATAAAACTGAAATCTTTCTAGTTGGAGATAATTGATCATCAGTTTCATTTTCAGAATCAGATGATGAATTAATTAATTGAGGAAGTATACGTTGACTACCAATTTTTGATTTAGAGGGAGTTGTAGAAGGATTATTAGGGAATATATGTTTATTGATATTAAGACTGTCACCAATGAAATCTTCCCATTCTTCATTTTCTTCACTAATACCGGTAGTGTCATCATGGGAAATTAAAAGTGTGGAATTTCTCTTTGAAGGTGATATGATTGAATTTCTTTGGGATGAATTGGTTAATGATCTTGAAGTTAATTTTCTTGCTTTTAAAGGTTGAAGTTTTAATGGAGTTGTAGTTCTAATATTATCCGTTGGATTATTTGATTCAACTTCTTTTCTTAATTTTAATAAAGCTGATCTTAATTTAGCGATAGTTCTATTAGAATGATTTAAAGTTGCTCTTAAAGTTTCAGATTCTAATTGAGGATTTTTAGGATCAATAGTAGGAAGATGATTATTGACTTGAGATTTCAAAAGAATATCATCAAGATCCAAAGTTTCATCTTCATCTTCATCATTATCTTGTTCATCTTCTGAAGAAAGGGCACGAAGATTAGTTATATCTTTTAAAGCATGAGATGAAGAAGTAGTATCTTGAGATAATTTTAAATGTAACTCATCATTTTCATCATTAAGTTGATCTATCCTACCATTTAATTCATTTAATTCTTCAGTAGTATTAGTCTTTAAAATATTAAATTCATTTGATAACTTATCATTTTTCAAATGTAATAAATCATTTTCCTTTTGAAGTTCAACGAATTTCACTTGTAAATCTTGATTTAATTGATGTAGTTTATCCTTACTAATAGTCAAAGTATTAACATGATCATTAAGATTGTCAAGATTAGTTTCTAATTGCCAATTTTTATCCTTCAAATTCAGTTCTTGATTTAATTGATTTGATCTTGAACTTTTTAATTGAGATATTTCATGTTTAATCATTTCCATTTCATCTAAGGAAGCTTTTAATTTTGATTTATATTTTTGATTCTCAACTGTTAATCGACGACATTCCCCTAATAAATTTTCACTTAATCCAACTACAAAATTCATATCATTACCTTTTGATTCTGGTCCTAAATTAGCACTAAGGGGCCTAGACGATGATGATTGAGAGGGGCCTCCAAGTAAAGGTAAATGACTATGATTGCGAGTTCCACTACTACTACTTCCACCCAGGATTGAGGTGGATCGTTTGGTTGATAAGCCTGGAGGTGAGATATTCTCTTGATCTTCATCATCATACGATCTTGATTGATTGGTAACCCCACCATGATTATTACTCGTCAAAGAAGATTGAGATTTCTTATTAAAGAGACGTCGTTGGAAATCAGATAATTGACTCCTGATGTCTTCTTTCTGAGATTGATTAGACATGATGATGATGCTGATAAGGTCTAAGAACGAAAGAAGAATGACTTATTGGTTGGCTGTAAATATAAATTGGTTACATGTAACACGATACCAAACAGAAGAAAAAAAAATTGTCTGATTCAAAATGTAAACAAAAAGAGAAATTTGCAGTTTAATTTTATTTTTTAAACTATAAATTTTAAATGATAAATTTTTGCAGTTTACCTTCATTTTTTTTACGTGTCTGCAAAAAAATGAGGCATCATAACACCATATCACCTTAATGTAAGGAAGGGATCTACAATGAAATTATACGGTTTAAGATAAGAATTAAACTTATATATATTAAAGATACTTATCTACTTAAAGACTACGTTCTTCTCTTTCATGCTGTAACAATCCTACCGTGATAGAATTCGATCTATAATAATTAGGTCGATGTTCATTATGTTTCTGAGTGGTAGCTTTCACTAACGCATCTTTATCATTATCAAGATGAATAGCAGTAGGGAATGGGGAATAAATCGGATCTTTCTTATAATGATTATTGAATTGATTATTAAAGATGTTTTCTCGTAATCCTAAATTATGTTTCTTCTTAAAGGTAGTACCCGTTGCAACTGATGAAGAATTGGCTATCACAGTAGCTTTAGCAGTAGTAGTAGATATTGTAGTGGTTGGGGTGGTGGCATGAACTGGAATACTCAATGGTGATGAGACTCTAACTTGTTTGCTGATTCTTTCCGTTATTGCCGATGGTAATTGTATTGGTTGTGGTGATCCAACTGATTGGGAATGAACAAGAGGTGATGATGGTAAATCAGGACTTAAAATACGAGCAGGAAGATTAGTATAATCAGCTCCTTGTAAAGTGGTAGTTGATCCATTACTAGTAGTTAATGAATCAGATGGAACCATTAATCTTGCTCCAGCAGCAACAGCAATACTAGGTCTATGAACATTAGTCATTAAATCCTCTGGTAAATCTTCAAATTCAGGTTCATTACCTTGATGTTGGAATATAAATGGAACTTCATAAGTTGGAGGTGGTTGATTTGTTTGATGGCCTAAACCATGTAAATTAGATTCATGAGATCTTGCTCTATGATCCAAAGTAAATAATTTAGGTCTTGATAAAGGAGTCACTTTTGAACTGAATGCTAACGTTAAATCACCTTCTTCTTCATCATCCTCTTCATCGTCATCATCATCATCATCTTTTCCATCACATTCAACATCCCCATCGGCACATGCACTAGAGGATGATCTTGTCGAACTATATGATGAATAAGATGAACTCGATTCAAATTTAGTCAATGGTATCGATGATTTTGGATCATTTTCATCCTCATCTTCATCTTCATGACCATGACCAGCGATTAAATTTTCATCAATCAACCCAGGAGATTTCATCAGTGAACCTAAATCAAAACTCTTAAATTTCTCCGAAAGTTCAATATCATCAGGATGAGTGAAAACCTTCGTATCAGAATGAGTATGATTATGAGATACTTTTGGTGCCACTCCTTCATTACGACTATTCTTAAGTTCTTGACGACTCTTGGTATATTCTTGATATTTCAAACAAAGATAATCATCATTAATACTATCCAATGATGCAAAACTTCCATTAGAAGGTAATGACATCACGGATGATGGTCTTCGTTCTGAATCCTCTAAAATACTGATTGGTCCAACTCTTAATTGACTTGTATATTTCGGAACTCCACCGCCATTAGGTAAGAAATCTGTGTTTGATGTGATGGAAGATTTTCCGGAATTAGCAGGAACAGGTATAGGAGCAGCAATACCACTATTATTAGAAGATTGACGTGATGCTAATTTAGTGGATTCCATTTGTGAAGCAATTGAATTCTTAGCAGTTGAAGGATTTGAATTAGTACTGGATAATAATGATGATTTTCTTCTATTTTTATCATCTTGTTGTTGAATATCTTTAAATGTTTCCACTACAGATTGATTTCTCAAATATAAATCACCACCCACATTTCTCTTCGTTTCAATTCTAGGAGCTTCAACGATCCCTACTGAACTACCTCTTCTACTGGATGGATTACTACCACCCGCATGCAGTTCAATCATATCATGTAAGATTGATCTTCCTTCTCTAATGCCAGCAATAGATAATGATGAAGATCTTGATAATGTAGATTGTTGAGATTGAGTAGGAGTAGCTTGTAAACTTGTTTGTTGGGATAAAGTCGATGGAACATGAGGAGCAGATGATGTATGACTTGAATTATCATGTTTTAAAACACTAGTAGCCGTCGAAAGGGGTAGAGTTGGACCCATTTGAAATCCTTCTGATAAAATAAATGAATGATTATTATTATCATTTCTTAATAAACCATTGGTTAATCTAGTTGAAGAATTATGTTGAGAATTACTACCTGATGAATCATCACTTGAAGTACTTCTTGAATGTTCAATTTGTAAAGCAGCAAATTTATTCTTAATTTCTGAATCCTTTAACCCACCGGCTTTAATGGCTTTAACTAAACTTCTGGTAATTCTTGATCCAATTCCAATCACCGCATTATTTATATCTTGAGATGTAATGTTTTGGGATATAAGATCGAAATTTAAATCATATATTTCATCTTCATCGGCATTTAAATGTAATAATTCATGTAATCCTTCAATATCATCTTCTAAATCCATTAATGTGAAAGGATGAGCTTTTATATCTTTAATTTCAATTCTGGTAGTACTATCTTTATCTAATAATTTTGATAATAAATCCTTAGCATAATCAAATTCTAAATCAGTAACTTGAGCAGGAGAATTGAATGAATCTTTATGATCAGGGAACTTTAATGATTCATTTACAATCACTTGAAATAATTCAAATTCAGAATCAGCGTTGAAAGGAACTTTCCCAAATAAAAGACAATATAATGTGATTCCCAAAGCCCAAATATCAATTTTATAATCAATTTTAGGTAAACTAGGACTTGTAGATGAAGTTGATGAGAAATTAGTTTGACATAATTCAGGGGCAAAAAATGCTGGTGTACCAGCAGTCTTAGCTAAATCATATTCATTAACAAGATAACCATCATCAGTTTCATTTAATGATGAAGCAAATGATACTCCAAAATCACTAATTTTAACAATATTATCCAGACTAACTAATAAATTAGCCGGTTTAATATCACGATGAACTATACCTTGAATATGTAAATATTCCAACCCTAATAATACATTTCTAAAGATTTTTCTTGATTGTTTGAAGGTTAAATTAGGGGAGAATTCATCCGAAAGAAGATTTTCATCTTCATGACTGATTGATCTTCGATGATGATTATGATGATGTTGGAATAAAACATGTTGTTGATTACTTCCACAACATGGGATTTCATCTGGATGAGATGAAGGAATGATTGTGGTGGAATCTTCTGGTATAGTTATATTGATAGGAGGATCTGATTTTAATCGTTTCCATTTGATTTCTCCTTTTTCTAAATATTCCAATACTAAATAAATCTTATAAGAATTTAAATCATCAAGGACTTCTCTTAATTTAACGATATATTTATGATTACATTTTTTCATAATGGCGATTTCTCGTTTAATTTTTAATTCATAATCATTTAAAGGTTTTAATGAAGATCTTAAATTGGAAGCTTTATCACGTTTTGATTTTCTATTTACAATTTTAATAGCCACTAATTCATTATTAATTAAATCTTTGGCTAATTTAACTTTACCATGTTCACCTCTACCAATTTCTTTTAAAATTTCAAACGTATTTAAAACTTTACGTTTAGTTATAGGATCAAATTCTAAAAACACTCGATTGGTTTCTTTAACGGGTGATGCAGAATGAGATGATCTTAATGAGTTAATATAATGATGATTTAGACTTGTTATAGTTGAAGTTGAAGAAACGGATGGATCGGAGGATGGAGATTTAAAAGGTAAAGATTTTAAAGTTAAATTTGAATCTTCATTACTTGAAGATGGATTAGTGATAGTATTATCATCTAAAGTTGAAGTTATGGAATTTTCTCTTGATCTTGTTACTGATTTTTGTAGTAATGAAGATAAGAAATTATTATGATGTCTTGTATTATTTGATGATGAAGAAGTTGGACTGAAACGACCTCCGCCACTTGATACTGGACCAGCCAGACTATTAGTGGATGATGAATCACCGTTATTGTTTTCTTGATTGGTGAACGGAGGGGAAGTTGATATCACAGGGGGTGATGGTGGGATGGTTGATGGCATGATTAATATAGTAGTAGTAGTAGTAGCAATAATAAAGGAAGGAAGGTATGTATACTACTAAATGAGATGAAAGGTTGGGATTTAATCGTGGCCAATATAGTCAAACATTTGATGAAAATAAGAGCAAAACTAAAGTAGATTCAAACCAATGTAGATGAGGGTAGATGATTTTATAGAGGTTGGTTGTAAACTTGATAATTAAGGTTAAGTGAGGGGGGGGGGCAAGGTCAGGCCAGACAAATGATTTGATAATGATCTGATTTTGAATCAGGTAAAGTTAACTTGGGATGATGATGGTTTGATTGATCCAAGTAGTAGTAGTATCTAGTAGTATCTATTGATTAACTATCTGATTATGGTATTGATTGATTAATGTATAAATAAATAAAGAAAGGGTAAAGTGTTTGTTCCCTGCTGTAAATAAATAAATTTTGTTCTTCTGTTCTTTTGTTCTGGTCTGTTCTGGTCTGTTTTGGTCTGTTTTGGGCCTTAACTATGGAGATTTATGAGTTAACTATGGAGGTTGCTAGTTAAACTGTGAGAGAGTGAGAATTTTTTTTCTGGTTCTGGTTTAAGAGTCGTGTGAAGTTACTAAGAGTGGTTTATATACAGGATGGTCTCATTCTCACTTTAAATTCTTAATTGATCCCAAAGACTGTTCCATCCATTGTTATCTCATCATCACTAATTTAATTAATATTGATCTAGAGATAACAATAGATACCCTTAATTTTAATTAATTAATTAATATATTATTTCCTACATATGATAAATATCATATGATAAAACTTGAACTGAACTGTGGCATTATTAATCACTCATTATTTATCAGTATAATAACTCCCATTCTGTTTCCCTTAAATTATGTCCATTATAATGTTAAGTACTGCGGTGTGGATGTTTGTATCCTTAATTTTACCCTAACTAGAAGTAAATATCAGTACTATACTATCAACATAAATATTACATCAGGGAATTAAATAATTTAACACAAATCAAGGAGATTTGATAATTCTCATGATTCTTGGTATTACTATAAAACAGTTAACCATACCTATGAAGAACCACCGAATAATCTTGTCTCTTTCTTGAATTTTGCCCTTTTTTATTTTTTTATTTTTTTATTTACATATTTTCAGTGCTACCATTTTACAATTTCCTTATTTTTCTTGTTATGCGACATTTATAACGGCAAAAAATTGTAAATAATGTAAATAATGTATATAAATATACAAATTATTAATTTATACTCTACTCTATCTTTGGAATTTTTTGAAAAACACCAATTCTTAGAAATACATGATTTGATAAAGGTAAATATGGGTCGTCTTGAAGAGTTACTTAGTTTGAAACACTTAGTAAAATTCTACATTGAAAATCAAAACAAATCAATTAATCTATTTTCTGTGTTAGAAGATGATGAAGTAGGTAATCAATATATTAATGGGCTACGAGATTTAGAATCATTCCTAAACAATATGGAACCTAACTCAATTTCAAAAGCAGAATTGCTTAAATTTGTTCAAGAGGATGATATTGACAACTTCAAGCCGGTATTAATTTTACTTTATAAACTAATCAATCTGTTCTATGTTATAAATGATATTTCAACAGAAGAGTATGAAACTGCCATAAATTATCAAGGAAGTCTTATTTCTATTTTAATTGATGGAATTGCTCAAACTGGTTTAGATTTCGAAAAAATTAAGAGATTTACTTCATATACCATTACATTAAAGTTCTTTAGAACTATATTTCAATTTCAATCCGAAGAACAAGTTCAACAAGTCCAGAATGATCACTTGATTAATTTGAATACTACATCAATAATTCCTAAAAATACCTTCAATTCTTATAGATCAGATTTCAAGTACGACATCCATAATAGCTTTTTTGGATTGCATGGATTTTACTATCCAAAATCCACTTTAACTAAAAGTAGTTTTTTGCAAAAGAATTTATCTTTGTTTAATATCACCCCTAACAAAATCCAATTAAAATCATTACCTAGAAAGCTTTCAGATTTCGATGAACCTTCCTCTGAAAGATTGTTAGAAGACTATATGTTGCAATATATGCGTTCTGTGAAGGATTTATTTTTCGATTATAAAGTGAAGGTTACTAAAAAACCGGCGAATATTATATTTGATGAGAATAATTCAGCAAGGTGTATTCCAGATATAAAAGTGATTATCAACAATCAGTTGATTGTCCCTATAGAGTTGAAAAAAGGGGGAGTTAGGGAAAAATTTGAAATGTTTCAGTGTTTGAGAGATAAGGGTGTTTATGGATGCAAAGCTTTTGTGGAATTATTCCTGCAAGGTTTTTTGCAGGCAATAACTTGTACGTCGGGATGTTTTATCCTCTCTGATTATGATTTTTCAATCGGGGTGGTCCTTGATCTAGAACCTTTGGAAAATTCAAGCTTATCTGGATTACGTGGAGTCAGTCGTGAGCTAATACCATTTGATCCCATTAGGGAGAAACTTTCCATACCAATTTTCTTTATGGCTTTCATCATTAAATACTGTAAAAAGCTTGATGATGATAAGTTTAAATTATTTAAAAATTCTATAGCTCTTAGTCTTGATGAAAAGAACTCTCTTACCAAGCAAAGGTATCAAAAATTAAGCTTGTTTCACAAAATGCTTTCAAAAGTCCCACCTGCTAATATTGGACTTGATCCCAATGATATATTGACACTGACAGCAAACATGCCTCCATCAGCTAAATCCGAAGAAGTATATAATAATAATTTGGTATCTGACTGTAATACCGGTGACTCACTTGGAGGTATTGCTATTGATCTGGAATTTATTGAAAGGTTTTATCTGTTTTACAGCCAAGAATATATTGAAGATGATGATGATACTGATGAATATGAATATGAATATGAAGATGAAGATGAAGATGAAGATGGAAATGATTATTCCTTATTTGAAATTGAAAACTACGACAATAAGTTAAAATTCCTTGAGGGTAAATTCTTCAAAGAATTTGATGAAGATATCTCATTGGTTAAATTTTCAAAATTAATTAAGAACCATACTTTCAAAAGATTGGATATTAGTTCTATAAAGATAAAATCTTTTCTTAGTGGGGATACCATATACAAGAACTATTCAACTATTATTGAGGACGAGGATAACTTTTTATATAAAGTGTTTGATCCAATTAGAGATCGATTGGTTGCAAGCAATTCTTTTAATAGTTTCGGTAATTGTATTAACAAAAGTTTTGCGAGCTTCGTCAGAGAAGCTAGTAGTTACTCATTACTACAAGGTAAAAACGTCCCCATACCTAAATTTGTTGAAATTGGATACATTGAAAATAAAAATAGAGGCTTTATGCAGAAGTTAGAACCCTTAAAAGAAATAAGTCTTAGTGGATGCTATATCAAACTCAGTAAGGAAGAAGGCTTAACATTAGATAAAATATCTTTAACTGATGAAATTGAACAAAAGGTATTAAATGTCATTAAACGTCTTCATGCACGTAACATAAGTCATGGAGACGTTCATTTAGGGAACTTCTTATATAATGAAAAGCTTAAGTCTATAGTAGTGATCGATTTTGGAAAATCCCACCAAGCCTTCAACAGAGGCTACAATAATCTTGAAGAAAGTGAAAGTGAACGTCAACGTGAAAAGGATAGATTTGAACAAAGAGTCAAATGGGATTTGGCTAATGTTAAATCAATATTTATTGGAAAAAGCAAAAAACGTAGCTTTGTTGAATAGTAGTTAGTAATTAAATATATAAAATTACCTATTACGTCTTCCAGGTAGCTGATTTAATGAATCAACTTCAAATCAAGCCTACCACTCCATTGACGAATCTCAACCAACTCTTTCTCAAACCATTTTTCATAACCTTAAGAATTTAACTCTTTTATTAATCCTCTCATGATCGGAATTAAAGGATTCTCAAGGGTATTCAGACACTTTATAATGTTGCAATATTTGTATTTTAGGATCATTATTTTACGTATGAAGGGTTGTACTAGCCCACTGTTTCTTCTTGTAGAGTCTGACTCAGCTTTAATTACTTCTATCAGTAGAATCTTGATGGTGACATGTTGAGTTTGCTTGCCATCTTTTAATAGACAACGACAAAATTAGTATAAACTGGTACAACGGGATATATATTGTTTCAAAGATTCAGATAAAAATCAGGGCTAATTCCTCCATACCTCGATCATCAGCATTTGGTATTCATTGATGTCTATTTTGATCTTGAAACTTTGTTGGGTTGGTGGTGGTGTTTCTATGATGAATCAAAAGTCTTTATCCATTACTTCTATAGTGGTAAAGAAATTCCATTGATTATAAAACTTCTCAGATTCTTCAATTAAAATATCATGCCGTCTTGGTCTTTTTTAAATTTTTATTTGATGAATCACAAATCCAGTTAACTAATGCTCTTCTAACGGAATCACTTAAATTCGTGATATTCTAACCATAACCCATATCATCATATTCGTTATACATTTCGTACCAAACCATAAATTACAAATGAGCATTCAATAACTAAGGCTGTATCATCTTTTTGAACTAGATCTTCATGATTAACATATTCCCCCATTAAAGAATAAAACTTTTCTACCATTGAAATATGGGATTTCCCTTTAGTTTAAAAATGAAAACATTCATTCCGATACTCCATCGAATTCAACATCCATGACGCAATAGTAAATATTGTGAAACCTCTGCCGCACTACTTTAACATAACCACAAATACAGATCAAACGGTAAAGGTAAACATCAATTACTTATCAAATTACATGCAACTTATATGACACAATTTCGATTATATGATCGAATATCAACCATTGATGATGATATTGGGACTATCAAATTCGTTGGCTATTTCCCTCCTGATCATAATTGGAAAAATACGTTAATTTATGGTATTGAATGGGATAATCCTGACAGAGGGAAGAATAATGGTAATATTGATGATAAATCTTATTTCAAAGTTGATGTTCCTTTAAGTGGATCATTTATAAAGTTTAATAACAAAAAGATTTGTCATGATCGATTTAATTTCATCGAGGTGTTCATAAGAGAGTATTATAATGTTGATAATTATCATGAACGGAATATTAAATTTGGGACTAAATTAGTGGAAGAACTCGGATTTGAAAAGTTGAATCGAATTCAATCTGAGTTTAAGAATCTATCATCGGTGAGTTTGAATGGGAAGGGGATTGTTGATGCCTTTGATAATGATGAAGAAGCGGTCGTGTTTAAAGATTTACAAAATATAACTTATCTTGATTTAAGTTTTAATCTTTTTAATAATTTATCATCAATATATAAGATCATTTCTCATTTGAACAATTTATCAAATTTGAACTTGAATGGGAATAAATTTCCTGATACATCCCTTGATCTGACTTTATCCTCCTTAAATCATGAATCATTAACCATTTTAAAGTTAAATTCCACCAATATATCTATAAATCAAGTAAATCTCATATTGAAAAGTTTCCCAAATTTATCTCAAATCCATCTATCAAATAATAACTACACTGATACTGATCTCACCCAATTGAACTTACCTCCCCATGTGAAATTCATTGATTTATCATTTAATAAACTTTCAAAATTATATTTAAGTTCATTCCCGCATATTGAAACATTATTAATCTCAGATAATCACATAACAACCATATCTGACCTCATCATCAACAAGAGTATCCAACAATTAGATATACGATATAATCAAGTGAATGAATGGACATTCATTGATCAATTGTCAATCCAACTTCCCAATCTCCAAAACTTACGAATCAATAATAATCCTGTTTTCGAAATAGTTGGAGCAGGAGATCAAACAGAAGATCAAATGGTGGAAAAGATGTTTATCCAATTAATCGCTCGATTCGAATGTGAAGATCATAAACGAGGTAAAGGGGTCAGATTATCGATGATTAATGGTAGTCCATTATTAGAATCTGAAATTCGAAATGCAGAATTATATTTCATCTCAAAGTATAAATCAACGATTAATCAACCCGAGTATGTGATATCTAATAAGATCAGATGGGAGATATTATTACAAAAGTATAATGTTGATGATAAGGTTGATTCCACCATTCACCAGGCATCAAATAAAGTTCAATTAAAAATTAATAATGAAAATGAGATATTCACGAAAACGATATTATTAAATCTAACCATTCTTAAATTAAAAGGAATCATATCTCGTCTGATTATGAATAACTCATCAATCTTAAACTTTCACATCTACTATTATCAAAATGATTTAAAAGAATACCTTGATACAAATGTATTCTCTCAAATTAATGAATTTAATTTATCTAATAATCAAACCATTTATATTGAAAATGCATTAAGATAAAACGTTATATATAACAAATGTACATACTATATACAATCCTCCCTATTCGGTAAGATTCCATAAACCATCACCTAAATAATGTAATAATTCAATACCAATACCTTTATTTATGGATTTAATATCATCAGTACTCATGGTTAATTTCCCAATGGCCAATGCATGTTCTTTACCTTCAGCATAGATGGTAACTATAGAATCAACTGGAATATTCTCTTCGGGTAATTTAGCTCCAGCAGATGTTAAACCAGGACACATGATATTAGCACCTGATAAAACGAATTTAATAGCACCTCTATCAACTTGAACTCTTGGGAAACTTTGAGGGAATTTATGAACCACTTTTAAATGAGGAATTAAATCATCAAATGATTGAAAGAATACTACTTCTTCATTCATGGAATATAATTGGATTTTTTCTTCACATTTTATTAAAATGATTTGTGATTTCTTCGGTATGATTAATTCAACTACTTCTTCAACATCAGGAAATTGATCAATGAATCTACTTTTCAATCCTCTTTGAGCAGAGGATTTGATATTGGAACGAGAATGGATCTCTTCTTTGGTGAATCTTTTAAACATATTGATGATATAGTTAAACGTCTAACGATTGAATGTACCAAAGACAGCTCTGGAGTTGAAAGATGGGTGCTCAATTTTTTTTTTCATCTCAATTTTTTTTTACTGCCAATTTTTGTTTGTGGGTGGCTCATACAAAAATAAACATCGGTGAAGCAAACATAGTAACCAATGACGAAGTAATTCACATCATATAAGCTCATACTACAGACTACATTAGAGGAGAAGTTACAAGAATGTAAAGATTAATAATTACAATACCACCATCCAATCTCTCGAAAGAAACCTTGGTGTTATCGTACTCAAAGTAAATCTAAATAAAGTTTTCTCTAGCCCATTACATGAATCATACCATAAACATAGTTTATGTTTAGATTGTATCCAGCTCAAGATCTAAGGGGTGAACACTAGACCGAGCGAGGCACAAGGCAAAAATAAAATAATGATCAATTGATCAATCAGATGTATATAGAATATATTGTTGTATCTACTCCCTCACACTCTTATCCAATTTTCATATTAGACTAATGTCCTCATGATTCCAACGTGAAAAGGGTTGAATAAGTGGTAAAGTAAGCAGTAAGAAATTGAATGAATAACCTTTAAAATAAAGTGTCATTCGATTCGATTCATTCATCTCCATAATCCATCTTCTTCTTCATCTTTAATCAATCAAATGATAAACGGTATTCCAAAAATTCCCCTAATATTCGTAACACAAGGATACAATATCAAGGAGTTGTCAGGTTATAGTTTTCAACCAGCAAAAACATGATCTCAGAGTAACTCTTCACCGATACACGTAATGCCCCTGCATAAAGATAAAGAAGAAAGAAGAGTATAAACAGTTTAAAAAAGTTTTTAACATTTGTTTTTTTTATGTCGCCCTGTTTGGTGATAGTTTGAAAAAAATGCTGAAGAAAGTACGTGTCCGGGTAAATTCTACCCGAAAGTGTTATACTATTATTTTGCATCCTATTTTAATGTTGTTCCCATTGTTTCTAAACCTATATACAAAAGTCTGACTACTCTATAAATTATTCTCTCTCTTCAATAATTACCATATCTCTGATATCACTTACATCAGGATTACGTTTCTTACTTCTTCTCTTATACTCTTCTATCTTTGCATCAGCATCTGCCAGTTTTACTTCATTTGCAATCTTAATCATGGTTATCAATTGATTCGATTTCTTACTATGACCAATATTACCCCGACTATTCACACCTAAATTTGGATCAAATGATTTCTGTTGATCATCACCGTCTAAATTAAAATAATAATAAGTATATAACTCCAACTTATCATCTTCATTAAGAAATCCATCATTTGGCTTGAAATCAAGGGGGAAATCTTTATCCATGATAATATCTGGCTCTAATGTCGGTTCTCTCAATTCAATACTTGTCTTGGTGGGTAATCGGAGTAATTCGTCATCTAAACTATCATCAAACTCATCATTATCAAACTCGTCTTCTTCTTCGTCATCAAGGTTAATACTGTGGTGATTGGAATTTTGTTTCTCTTCTATTAATGTACTATTTGCATCCAAATGACCCGAGTTTCCTATTGAGCTTAAGGGAAGATCTTCATCTTCTTTATCATCTTCATCGTCATCTATTACGATAGTCACTTCAGGTGATGAAGTCTTGATGATTTTATTGGATTGTCGTTGTAATTGTCCTAATATATCATTTTGAATCCGTGGTCTTTTCACTCCAAGCGTCTTCTTCTTAGATGTTGTACTCGTATTTGGAGTAATGATAGGTTCTTGAATATATGATCTTTTCATTTGTGGAGTTGGTATTATTCCTCTTTCCACTGCTGGCGATGGTGAAGATATATTATTACGAATAATAGAAGGTTCTGGAGCATAAGATCTTTTTATTTGTGGCATTGGAATTATTCCTCTTTCAATAGGCGGTGGTGGTGATGAAGAAGATGATCTATGTGGTAACTTTTTATTCAACTTTGTGCTTGCAAGTGGTATCAGATCATCATCTTCACTACTATGATCAGATAGCTCATAAAATGTAGATGAATTATCATTAGTGGTACCTCCCACACTAGTATCAGTCTTCTTGGAATTACTAATACTTTCATTTCGCTTACCAATAGGAAGATCATCATCACTATCAAAATCAACAATAGTATCAAGGAAATCTCGAGGCCTTGAAGATTCATGATCACTAGCTTCATCATCATCATCATTATCATCAATTCTACGAACCATAGTATTGGCACTCTTAAATCCAGTTTCAACGTTTTCAGGCATAAAGAATTGTTTCTGTTTCTTCTCCGCTTTACCATTCTTTTTGGTAGTTTTCTTCTTCTTAGAACTACCAATCATATATTCAGTAGCAATTCTAATAATCTCATCCGCATCATCTTCAACTTTTAATTCTTTATTTTCATCTGGAATTTCAATGAACTTCTTTTCAACTTTAGGTTCATACTCCTTAGGGATAATTCTATTCTGAGGTTGTAATCGAATTAACTCCCCTTTTTGAATATGTTGTTGAATATATTCATATCCATCCATAGCTTTATTGAATTTAGTTTCTTCATTACCAGAAAATAATAATACCACTTTCCCATCTCGTTTACGACCCGTTCTACCCATTCTTTGAACATTTTTAATCGGAGAACTAGTCGAATCATAACATATAATTAAATCAACTTCACCAATATCTAACCCTTCTTCACCAATGGAAGTAGCAACTAATATATTAAACGTACCAGCTTTGAATTTTTTAATGATTTCCTTTTGTAATTTTTGATTCATCCCTGTTATTTGAGCATTTTCAGAGCTGGTTCTCTCTGACGATCGATTATCAACTTTCTTCTTGCCCTTTTTATTCTTATTTGTACCTATTTCAGAATCATCATCAACTTTATCCTTCTCTTTAGATTGACCAATAAAGATATGAGGTTTTAAATTCTTACCGATTTTTTCAATCGATTGAACTATTTCTAAGGCTGATTCTCTAAATTCAGTGAATATAATAACTCTTGAATCATCTTTACCTTCGCCAAAGAATAAATCTAATTCATCAACTAAGGCTTGAATCTTAGGATGACTGAATTCTGTATCATCATTAAGGATTTCTTCCGATCGTTTAAGTAAATCCTTAATAGCTGGATGAAAATAAAAATCTGTGGCTAATTTCGATTTTTTATTCTTGGGATTATTAAATTTAGCTTCAAACTCTTTATACTTTTCAATGAAATAACTATGAAATGATCGAACCCCATAAATATTCAATCGTTTAAAACATTGACCCACCACTCCAATTATCAGAAGAAGATGTATATTACCCCATTTGAATCCTGATGCCATCGATGTATTCATCATTACTCTTCTTGATGCTTCCATACAAGTAAAGAAATTAATATATTTGGGATTAGTAACATCATAAATACCTTTCGCATTTGCCTCTTTTAACATGGGAGCTATAGCGATACATAAGAAATCAACACATTCATTAATATCATCTGATTGTTGAATTATTCTTCGTACGATTTTCTTTCGTTTCATATGTTTTATAATATCAATACTTTGTTCAGTACGAACTTCAACTTTCGATATTTTTAAATTATCAATAATCTCTTGAACTCCATCCACAGTAGAAGCTGGAGTAGCAGTTAAGGCTAATACTCGATAAGATCGATTAAATCGTTCTAAATATTTAACCACATTATTATAAGCATAATTCCCCTTTGATCTATGAGCTTCATCAATAACCAATAATGAAATAGATTTAGGATCAATTAAACTTGATGATAAATCATTTTCAACCACTTGAGGAGTAGTGAAAAACACTTGTTTCGAATCCCAAATCTCCCCTCTATTCTTTCTGGTTTTATCTAATAAAATAGCAACTTTATTAGTCAGGATCCCCGTTATAGAACAAAAAGCTTTAATTTGTTGTGCTACTAAAGGTTTAGTAGGAGCCATGAATATAATTTTCGAATCAGGAAACCATCGTAGGAAATTTAACATAACAGTTGATGCAATGAATGTTTTACCTAAACCAGTAGGTAATGCCACTAATAAATTATCATAAAAGGCTCTTCGTACAATATTGAATTGATAGTCTCTAACTTCAAAGTTGGTAGGATATATATAAGTGGCTAAGCTATAATAATCTATAGCGTGATGGTTGATAGCTCCTGGTATGGGTTGAATAATTTCTTCATATTGAGGTTTTGACTTTTGTTTAGGTCTGGATTGTGGTGGTGGTTTAGAAATAATTGGGACATTAACACCATTAGTGACAATGGCTTCTAATTCTGAATCATCATCATCAAAGGCAGAATCATCTGAAAATGACATACCCCCTTTCACTTATGATCAAACCAATTCAAAGGTTGTTCTATGAGATCAGATCGTTATATTTTAATACGCGGACTTTGAAGCGCGTCTTGAAATATTTGTGGTTTGTAAAATTTATGATTTTGGTGATACTATTTATTATAAGTACCAGCCAAAAGGGAAGTATACTGACGACGAAAGTGGATAATGGATAAGTCGATTGAATCAAATGATCCGTATAAGTTATTAACTGAGGGTATTAATAAAATGAGTGATCCATTGAATCGTTTACTTGAGACTCATAGTGAATTCTTAGTACAGAACTTAAATATCATGAATAATACTTCAACTATCCCAAAAGTTACAGAGACAATTGAAACTAGTTTGAAAGAGAAAGAGAAGAAGTAAGTAATTGAATTGAAGTAATCTTTACAGGAAAGAAGTGAAAGCATGGAAATCACCTATTTGTGTCCATATCAGAATCAGACTCAACATCAAGACATACATCAAGGATAGCCACTAAAGAACCACGAATGAAATATTACTCCGTAAGTTATGTAAATAGCAAGAAGAGTCAAGCAAGAGAGTCTACAGTCCAAGGCTGGCTTTGCCAGTATCATTTAAACTGGTCTGACTGGAATCAGAATCAATGGACATCTAAGCTATGATAGAATACGTCCAATATCACCATTCAAAGTATCAAATGCTGGTCATACACCGTCACTTACAATAACTTCCATCAACGTATAATATCTTCTATATAAGTTTAGTAGATCATACAGTTAAATATACATAGCCTTTTCCCCCATATTTAAATCTATAAATAGGTACGCGATACTCTATAAAAAAAAATGACACACCAAATCAATTTTTCAATTTCTATTTATACCACCACCCTCCATAACTGATATTCAATCATCCAATGGACGCAATCGACGACTATTTCCAAGACTATGAGGATCAACTGTCTTGGATGTATGGTCCTTGGTTATACTGGTTAATTGGGTTTTATTTATGTTTACCCATTACAGCTTATGTCATCTTACCATATATCAGATCCAAAGGTACTTATTCAGGGAATCGAAAATCAATTGCCATTATAGTGTTAGGAGATTTAGGTCATTCACCCAGGATATGTTATCAAGCTAAATCATTTTCCAATTTCGATTATTATGTTACTCTTTGTGGATACCTTGAATCAGAACCTCCTATGGATGTCATTGATGATATTAATATTGATATTAATGAAATTAAACCTATTAAGAATTCCTTCCATTTACCGTATTTATTATTTGCAGGAGAGAAAGTTTGTTTACAATTAGTTCAATTATTCAAATTATTACTTGGATTTAGAGGCACTGATTATATCTTATTACAAAATCCCCCTTCAATTCCGATTTTATTACTTGTGATTATATTTAAAAAGATATTTAGTCCATCAACGTTTATCATTGTTGATTGGCATAATTTGAATTATACAATCTTGAATTTAAAATTCCAAAATGAAAATCATCCTGTTATAAGAGCAGTTCGATTTTATGAACAATTCTTAGGTAAACATTTTGTTGATTTAAATATGACAGTTACGAAAATGATGAAAACGTTTTTGGTTAAAGAGTTTCAATTTACAGCAAAGAAAGTAATTACATTATATGATAGACCAAGTAATAATTTTCAACCTTTGACATCGACGAAAGAAAAACAAGAAATTATTGAATCCATTGATGTGTTTAATGATATTCCAAATATAAATAATTATAAAATCCTAATTAGTTCAACTTCATTCACTCCGGATGAAGATTTCAATGTGTTATTAACCGCATTAGAGAAATACCATACTCAAATTGAAACTACTAAAAACTTACCACCCATACTATTAATCGTCACCGGAAAGGGACCACTCAAGAATGATTTCCTTACTAAAGTCAAACAATTAGATTTCAATCCTTCAAAAATCATTATAAAATCAACTTGGCTTGCTATCGAAGATTATCCTAAAGTATTATCCGTGGCAGATCTTAGTGTATCCTTACATACCTCATCTAGTGGGATTGATTTACCCATGAAGATTGTTGATTTCTTTGGGTCTGGTATCCCGGTTATTTCATTGAATTTCCCTGCTATAAATGAATTGGTCAAACATGGTATAAATGGATTAGTTACAAGTAATAAACCTGAAGTCAAGGCTTCCGATGAGATTTATAGATTATTATTTGAAGTATTTACTAATGATGAATTATTATCTACATTAAAGGAAGGGGCATTGGAAGAAAGTAAATTAAGATGGGATGAAAATTGGAATAATACCTTAGGTAAATTCTTTGATTATTAAGTAGTATGTATATTTAATAAATGATCTTGTAAAGTTTGTATATATTCATCAGTATTCTCATCTTTCATCTTTTTAGGTTGGGAATTTGTTAAGGTCCAGAATTGGAAACTATCCTTTTCATAAGCATCAAGATATGGATGTTCAGGAATGATATCATATGATTCATCATTTTGTAAGACTTTTTGAGTTATGTGAGTCCAACATTTAGCAGTTTCAGTATGATTATACCCACCTCCACCTAAGATCAAAGTTGGTATATGATTAATTTCATCCAAAATATAATCGATAGTGTTACCTATCCCTCGTATAGATAAATTCCATTCATTATGTTCATCCGTAGAAAGACCATCACAACCGGATTGAATAATAAGAACTTGAGGATCGAAATGTTTCATAATTGGCATGACGATAGTTTTGATAATCTTCATCATACTGATATCGTTTAATCCTCTTTTGGTTGGTATATTGATCATTTTGGGAGTTGAACTTTCTAAAGATCCCGTACCGGGATAAAATCCAATATCATATCGATGAATTGAACAAGTAAATACATTCTTAGATAATTTATAAGCATTTTCAACTCCATTTCCATGATGTAAATCTAAATCAAGATAAAAAATCTTTGAAAATGAATGTTTTCGAAATAATTGAATAGATAATATGATATCATTTATGTAACAGAATCCTGCAACTTTAGATTTATGACAATGATGTCGACCTCCATACCAATTGATTACTATATTATGAGATTGAGGTTGTGATTGTTTAAGTTGGATTAAAGTTCGGGCTGATGATAATGTTGAACCCGCTATGAGTTTAACGTATTCTGACATGAATGGGAAGGGATAACAATCATGTAAAAGACCATACTTTTGTAATTGTTCCGTTGAATCTTCTTCTTCATCATCCTCAGCTTGTTCCACATCTTCTTTATCATGTATGGTTATAATTCCATTATCCAATTTATAAACAGGTAAATGAACCAATGATTTAATTTCATTATAATTCTCCAAACTTTGATCCACATCAATTCTCCTTTTCAATAAGAAACTAATAAACTCTTTATCGTGATAAGTCTCTAAATCTCTCTTAGTGGCCTTTACCACTGGGACAATGCCTTGACATTTAGATGGTAAATCATAAGCTTCAATCAATGAAGTTATTAATGATTGTCTGCCGATATTCGATGGTAATAAATCAGATATTTTTGATAATTGAGGTGATAAAACTAACCAAACATGTCTTTCAATTGTATTATTTTCAACTTCATCATCATCCAGGGTCATTTATATGATACGTAACACATTCTTGGATCTATCAATAGGCTGATTTTGGAAATGTTATAAACTGCAAAACACACACAAGGATTGATTTTCCAAATCGGAATAATTTTATCTTTTTTTTTACAGGTTAAAAAAGATCTTGTTACTGGTCGCAAAATGATCCCTCAAATTATGAACTATTTAAAGCATTAAGTATATCCTCTTTTTCTCAAATTTTCTTTTCTGTTCTGTTTTATGGAATTTCAATTGGATCGTCTTCAATTACTTGATCTGCTTAATGTTGTGTTTGTTGTCGTGTGGACTAATTGATTTTAAGTTCGTTTGGATCTTCAATTGTACGATTGGTCTCCCCAATTCTAAACTAAACTAATTATGAATATTTAGGATATCTAGTGACAAGTCTTCTTTTTGAAGTTCCTTTGGTTTTCTTTTAGATTATTAATTCTGGATCCATAGTTAATCAGTATATAAAACGGTACGTATATAATTTATAGTTATATTACCATTGAAATATATATTATAATATCTATTAATATCATATAAGTAGTTGATTAACCCCTTTATCATTCTTTTAGTATAGTAGAAGTGGTGATCTTTTTTTAAATACAGATGTAAATTTCCCTCTTTCAAATTTATTTGTTAGTTTTTTATTTCTTCATACTGAAATCTTAGTAAGTAATATGTTTCAGAAATACTAACTAACATATTCAAAATAGTCTATTTTTGATAACTTTATTAGATTTACAGGAATATGATTATTCATTTTATTTATCTATTTAGGTTTAAATATTTTTAACTAATCCTTTGCAAAGTCTGAAGTCCTGTTACTGTTATTTGTTTGGAAGGTTCTTTAAACTAATTGATATCAATGTTTATATTATCATTGATTTGATCTGTAGTATTGTAGTAACATATAAATTGACCCTGAAAACTCATGTAAATTCTGGGATTGTAAACATCATCAATCTTAAATGATCTCTAACTTTTAATTTTTTTAGTTTCCCAACTCAACTTCTTCTTTTCTTCTACGTTTTATTAATCTATCAAGACAATCAACTATATATCTAGGTCAATCTATTAACTACTTTCATTTGCTTTTATTGTTTAAGGTTTTTTGGCTAATCACACGTTTTGTTATTATTTGATGTCATTTGGATTAAGGCCGTAGGATTATAACGCCTTTTTCACTTTACTAACTAACCAACCAGTTTAGTTAGACTGTTGATCTATCTAGGTTTATACTTAACTAGTGATATCTTCAATTGAACTGTTATTAAGTTGAACTTTTTGTTAATATAAATTATGTTATATCTTTTACTTAATTGAATTTGTAGTTAATGTCCATATCCTAAATATCTAATTCATACTTTACTCTACTCTAAAGTCGTTTGATTCTTATTATAAATCAATTATTCAATTTAATGATTCAAATTCAATAAGCGTGAGATCTATTTGTGGTTGTAAATTTGATCAAAGGCGCTCTCCAAATCATCAACTACTACATAATAAATGTTCGATAGCAATCAACTAACCATTAATAAAATGAATAAATAAATTGGTTATGATAGATTCAATGAATTAATTGAACTTTGTAGATCATGATGAACCTGAAATCTCCCCCTTCTCATTTCTGAGGGCTAAACATAAATTACACAATTCACACATTAAAATAATTTATTTAATTTCCTTCTCCTACTTTTCTTTTCTTTAGATTTAACTAGGCCTATTTCTAAATAATCGAAATCAATTCGTTTTCATAACTCTATCTAGGAATATTAATACTAACATGATTTCGCCAAAATGTGTTTAATATAGAACTAGTCTATTTGCTTTCATAAATTATATCAAATTAACATGGAGTTGTACTTACCATTATATTCGTGGAGAGTATTAATAAAAGCCTGCTAATAGTATATATATATCCTGATTATAGTACATATATTAACTTTACAATTGTTTATTTAGGTCTAGGTTTTATCATTTCTTATAGTTATAGTTGTATCAGTGTCAGATTTATCTATTTTATATACTTTATATATACATTTGTGTTTTGTTATATTATATTATATTATAATTCAATGTATTTGATATTAATTTATTCTATATCTTAAAGGTTAAAAAAAGATCTTGTTACTGGTAGCAAAAATTGGCCCCCTTAAATTATGACCCTATTTAAGAATATTTTCATTTTTTTAAAGATTTTATCTTTCTTCATCTTTTTCTTCTTCTACAACAGCTTGTCTTACTAATTCTTCCCCGTGAAAACACTTTTAAGATACTAACTGATTATAAATATTTAGGATATCTAACTAATTAATGTGTCTTTTTACCATTCTTGTGTATTCTTGTGCGTATTTGTGCAATATATATTCATTATGGAAGTGTACGTTTTAAGTTTTCAATTATATTAACTATGTAATATAAATTATTATATCTTTTTAATATCATATGGTAGACTTTATGTAGATGATTAATCCCTTTTGTTATCTTTTAGTATAGGAGAATTCTTCTATATGTGATCTTAAATATTATCATTTATAATTTTCTATTATGTGTGTGCTGTAAAAAAATTAAAAAACTATAAATAAATCAAATTTCCCTCCCTCTTTTTTTATTTATTTATTTGTTAATTTTGCTTATTTCTTTATCTCCATAGACTGGGTAAGTAATACCATTAAATTATTGTTTATTTATCAAGTTTACAACGTTTACTAACCTATCTTTGAACCAGGTTATATACTTTTAATACAGGATCTGTACTCCCTAATTGCATTATTCACATTTTTATCTATTTAGGTTTAAATATTTTTAACTTATCATAGTCTAACTAACAATAGCAACTTAATTAAACAATTTATAAGAACACATGTATATTTATATTATTATTATTAATGATTTGATCTGTAGTATTGTAGTAAGATATAAATTGACCCTGAAAACTCATGTAAATTCTGGGATTGTAAACATCATCAATCTTAAATGATCCTTAATTCTTACTTTTTTTTTACTTTTACAACCCTCTACTTCTTTTCTTCTACGTTTTATTAATCTATCAAAATAATTAACTAATTTATTCATATATCTAGGTTAATAGATTAACTACTAACAGATATTCAATTATTGCAATTAACGTTCTGAGATTTGAACCGTTCCAAAATACTTCGTCATATAGAAATTTCTTGTCTTAGTGAATCTATACATTTACGTGTACGTGAGCTTACACTTGAGTTAGTTAAAGTTGTACCAGTTGTTAAGAGTGTCATTTGCTTGGATTATGAGGTTCGATCATTGGGTGGGTTTGGACTCCATTTGTGGAGTTTCCATCATTAGGTGGGTTTGGTCTTCATTTTTTATAACTACCTTCATTCTAGTCTACTACTAACTATCTTATAGGAACTAATTTTTTTATCTAGAAGCCAATCGATGTTGAATTAATATTATGTTATATGTTTTACTTAATTGTTTTTGTAGTTGAAGTCTATATCCTAAACTTTTAATTTATTATCTACCTCTACTCCAAATTTCATTGAAACTTTTTCTAAATCGAATCGATGATTCAATTGATTGATCTAAGATCAATTAAATATAGGATATATTTGTGGTTGTAAATTTAGGATCCTATCTACCACGCCGTAAAAATCGCCAACTACATATTAAATGTTCATATATATTAAGGAATATCAATTAACTACTCATAGACATGATATGAATTGATGAATAGATTTATTAAATACCGTTGATTAAAGTGATTAAAAAAAGGGACTCGTAACAAACTCCCACATTTCTTTCTAATTATCTATCTAGGTTTAGGATGGTTATATTTTGATACCTATTACTAACATTATCTAAGTTAAACCTTGCCAGTTTTCTAATCGATTATAGTTCATACAGTTATAATACATAATTATCTACTTTAAACTAATCATTACATGTTTGTAATTGTTATGAATCTCTATAAATATTGTAAAATACTAACTCTTATGATGTATAACTAAATCTAAAATATAAATCATCCCTACCGCAATATTAACCCATTATTCTATTTGTGTCACACTAAAAAGGAGTAAAAAATCAAGTGATCTTTCCTCCACCAAAGCCCTTTCGAAGAATTTCAAAATTTATATAATAAACACTAACTGTTTCTTCTTTCTTTCTTTCTTTCTTTCTTTAGCACAAGCCCATCTTTAACGATGTGGCATGATGCACCAGAGTCAAAATGAAATATACACCTATTTATACTAATGATTTAAATTATTTAGCATAACGCTGCAAACTTTTGCGGTTTGTTATGGTTAATTATTAACCAAATTTTCTAGTGTTGATGAGTATCATTCCTATAGATTGGCGAGTCGAATTAAATGTTGTAAGACTAGCCTCTTCTTGTACTATAACCCTTCTATTGCCCTCGATCACGGCGTCTGGCTATCCTTATCGATGTACTTGTGTTTAACTTCCTACTGAAGCGCTTATTAAGTTCTAGTCTACAACTCGCCAATCTATTGGGATTTGGGAGCTGACTTTTGTTAGAATGTCTGCTGGCATATCATGTGTATTAGTTTAATGAAAAAGTCTTCTAAGATATTTGGTATAATATGTTCTAGTAGAACGATTTTGGATTTTATATATTAACTTATAATGATTTATTTAGGATTAACAATTTACTAACCATTTTTATGTTAGTTATTTAGTAAATGTATTTTCAAGTGTTTTCACTTATTATATTACTCCAATTGATATTGATTTCTTGTAGACTTTCTATTTGTAGAGATTTCTGAACTTTCCTAAAATGGAATAACACCCTCACCGCAATATAAAACAGAATTTGACTAAATGTCCTAATAACACTCTATCCATAGAAGTTATCAACATGAACTCCATACTAAATATACTCAAAATTAGCGAAATTCGTTAGTTCAGGTACTTTGGGAAGTTTCGAAATAAGCAAATTTTACCTACTCTAACAAATTAAAAATGGATTTTTAACTATGCGACTATAAATAGGGTAAAAATCCTCAATTTTAGAGATCTCGAATTTTTTTTACATGACCAGAATTAGTTTCTTTCTGATATGTGATAGTTGTACCAAGGTGAAAGGTACCAACCACTCACAATAATCATTGTAATAGTCGGTGTAACAGTCTTACAAAGGTGTATATTCATGAAGTCTATATAGCCGCCGACTACTGGAGTGGTTCTTGTAGATTATTATCCTTACTATATACTGTGACATGTTTAACGGGCCATAAAAGAGGTACACCAATCTTAAGTAACTTCTTCTATTGAACTCCTTTCCATGGTATCATTCTTCAAAGTTAATTGGCAATTAAACTCTGTCGATGTATTTGTCAATGTAGCTGTCAATATATTCTAGTAGAATTGATTTATTTAGAATCATTTCACCTCCATCTTGAACACAAACATTGGTGTTTCTTTCTGTGGCAGCAGCATTGATTAAGTCTCTTTCTATTCTATTAGGTCCATGTAATTGTAGTTTTATTTACTAAGTTCATATCATAATGATCATTCCATACCTGAAATGATTTTGAAATTTGAACAACTCAGTTGACCCTATTGACATTAGTTAAATCAAATAGATCAAACTCCTAATTGTTCAGATATTAGGACTTTCCTAAAATGGTATAACACCCTCACCGCAATACAAATTTTGTTTTGGCTAAATGTTCTAATAACATTCTATCCATAGAAGTTATCAATAAGAGCCCCATACTAATTATACTCAAATTTATAGAAATTACTTAGTACAGGTACTTTGGAAAGTTTACAATCAATGAAATTTTATCTACTCTAACAAATTTTTTAACTAGAAGGCTATAAATAGGGTCAAAATCCTCAATTTTAGATATCAAAAAAAATTTTTTACATGACCGGAATTAGTTTCTTTCTGATATTGAATGGTAGAACCAAAGGTGAACCGTATCAACTACCAACTATAAAATCTCTGAAACAGACTTACAAAGGTGTATATTCATGAAATCTACGTAGCCGCCGACTACTGGAGTGTTTCTTGTAGATTATTATCCTTACTATACTGTATTATGACATGTTTAATGGGCAATAATGAGGTATACCAATCCTTAATACCTTCTTCAATTGAACTTCTTTCCACACTATCATTGACTTCAAAGTTAATATTTTCAGCAATTAAAACTCTTTCGATATATTCAAGTAATATCAAGCATTTTGTAAGGTTTTTCTGATCTAATAATAGCATAATATACTCTTTTAACGCATTGATATCTTCTTCATGGGGTCCTTGTTGAGGTATAGAAGTTTGAATCCAAGATTTAAGATCTCGTTTAATCTCGATGATATTCGTTATCGGATCTTGGTTTATGAATATTGGGGATGGATTTATTGATTTACATTGTTTTATAAATTCAAAATTAATCAGTTTAATCTTAACTTCTGATTTTTCAATCTTAGTATTGAATTTTTGTCGTAATGGTTTTAAATCAAATTTTTTAATCTTCTTCTTATATTCTAAATCCTTTAATACATCTTCTCTTATAGAACTTGGTAATTCTCGTAATATTGATGAATCATAACTACCTTCACTCTCATCTTGAAAACTAACTTGCTTCGGTGGTGGATCTTTCTGGGGCAGAGGTGATTTCAATTTAAGTCGCTTTCTAGTAGGTGATACTCCCTTATCTATCACTCTCACATATTTTGGAGCAGCTCCAAGTTGACTTGGTAATAATTGTTGCATATAAGCTTTAGTTATTCCATTCCCCTTAATCGGACTCAGACTTCTTGATTTCTTTACTGGTGAATATGATACTAATCCTCTTGATTGTAATTCCTGTTTGATTTCTTGTTTTAAACTTAATGGTAAGGAATCAAACACTTCCCAATCTATATTATTCACATCTTCAAGGAATGATACTTTCGGTTGTTTTTGTCTTTTACTAGGACTTAAATTGAATAAAGTGGTAGTGGCCGTATTCTTCGTAGGAGATAGTTTCGTGATAGGTTGAATCTTAACCTTTTCAACTTTAGAAAATTCTTGTCTTTGATTCTGCTTTTGATCATCTAATTTAATTTGATTAAATGGTAATCTCATTTGTCGATTACTGTTCTTCAATCCTTCAATATCTTGTAATTTAGTTAATGTAACGGATACACCTCTTAATTCATGAACGGGAACAGTAACCATTCTAAACAATGCTTTTAATTCAGATCCAATAACTCCCCAATCATTCGTAGGAACTCCTAATCTTGATGATTTATTAACGTACGTACAATATCCCATACCAAGATATTTAGGAGGATATACTGGAGCATTTGGTGCTCTTCTAGCTAATCTTAGAGTTATATTGGTTCCACAAATACCTAATGATACCAATCTTGAATATAATTCCTTTGCTAATCTCATTAAAAAATCATCAACATGATCAAAAGTTTCAAATCGAATCCCATAATTAACATCAACTGAAACTGATTTCCTTCCTAATACAGCTTCAGGATTAGAATAATCAATTTGAATCGATGTATCATCTATACCTCGGGCGAATTGATATAACTTCGTTCCTGTTTTATCCCCGAATTCAGTTATTAATCTTGATTTTGAAAATGATAAAATATCTTCAATTAATATACGATCTGATTTTTGTAACATGGTGGATAATTTCTCCATTATACTTCCTCCAATACCAGGTAAATCTTTAATTGAAAATGATTTAATGGATTCTTCAATATTATCATGTAAGAAATAATATCCATCAGGTTTGGCCTTTTTAATAGCTAATTTGGCAAGTAATACATTATATGACACTCCAATACTTACTGTACACTTAGTTAATTGGAAAATATCTCTTCTAATAGTAGTACATAAATCAGCAATTAAAGTTTGTAAATCATCATCATCATGATCTTCACAATAACTGGTGATATCAACCAAAACTTCATCAATTGAAACGGGGAAAATAGTATCGAATTTATCATTATAAGTAGATAAATAATTATAAAATTCATTGGAATATTTCTCATAATTGACGAAATCATAATCTAATTTAATCAAGTTCGGACAAAGCTTTAATGCCCCTGTAACCCACATCCCATTTTTAACTCCAAATTTCCGTGCCACATAATTACAACTTGCAATATCTGAAGTTCTTAAACCATGAGTTACGGCTATTGGGTCTTTATTAATATCTAATTTAGGATGATTCAAACATGAAGCAGTTGCAAAAAAACAATCGAAATCAATATGCATGATGATTGAACGTTTATTGTTCTTCTTAGTATTATGTTTCAGAGTCATGGAGTTTGATTGATCTTTAATGATTTTTCGTAAGAATTTCAATCTTAAATCTGCTTTCCAAACACTTAAATGATGTAATCTTGAATTAGCGAAGAAATGTTTTAAGAAATCAGGATGTTTAGCATCAACACTTTTTGAATTTGAATTTTCAAATACCTTTTCCATATCCTTTTGTTCTTCTTCGTTGATGTCTTGTAAGGAGAATTGAGAATTGGGTTCTTTTTCCTCATCGGGTTGAGTTAATGGTAACATTTGATTTTCATCAACCTCATCTGAATCACTATCATTAACCACTTGTTGACCGGGAAGAATTGGGTCGTCGTTGGAATCCTGTGTAATGACTTTATTCTCCAGCAGTTGATTATCTGTTCCATCTTCAGTATCTTCAGCCACTCTCTGTCCTGGTTGAATTGATACGTCTGATTGGTCTTGAGATTGAGACTCAGATACGACTTCATTATTGATTTCTCCCACATCATCATCATTATTATTAAAATTCAATCTCTTTTGACCATAATCAATATCTTCAATAATTCGATACAATTTCCAATCTAATAATTTCCCTTGATTTATACAATCGACAATCCATTCTGGTTTAACAATTTTATAATTTCTAAATTCAATTTTCTTTCTGGGAGTTAATCTTGAACAAATTATATGAGTTGCAGCTGATTTCTTAGTTAAATAACTTATGAATTTTCCTCCATTTAAAATCACTAATCGATGGATTTCATTGATGGATGGATTAGTATGACCATTGACAAAGATTATACATGATTCAAATATAGTTGATGATAATACCGTATTGGAAGTGGTGGATAAATTTAACGTTTTTCTTCGTTCTGCATCCCAATTTATATATTCTTGATCTAATTTTTGTTGTTTGAGATGTTTATTATGGAAATAAGTGGCATAATCACCAAATCCATGTAATGATCCCACGGTATTATCTTTTTCATCTTCATTGTCTTCTTCTTCGGGTTCATCTTCATTGGCAGGTACGCGTACTGATATATCATTCTCATCAATCACAAATGGATTGTTATCGACAAAAGCAACATCAACATTATCATTAATTTCATGATCCTTATCTATATCCTCCTGTTTGTTATCATCTTTTAAATTTAATAAAACCTCATCTAAATCATCATTAAATGGATCAGAGCTTATTAATGACGCGTTCTGACTAGTATCTCTCTTATGATTAGATCTTTTTATAGGTGTGGAAGTGATTCCCTCTGATTCAAGGGTAGTTGGACCAATAATTTGTTGACGACTACTAGCAAGAACAGGTGGAAGTTGTGATGATTGTGATTGACTTAAACTATTAATATATTGAATTAATTCACTATTATCCAATGATCTTAAAAATGACAGATATTGATCACGATCATTTCCCATTTGAGTAGTATCATTATGGTTAACATTATTGGATGGATGATTAGAGGTCTCCTTCATTTATCCTAATGATATATTCATGATTGTTGGAGATGAAATGAATGGTTTGAATAATAGTCTTTAACTCTATGGTTCCTACTTAAAGTGCTGTAAAAATATATTTGTAATTATAATTCAGTACCTTTTTTTCCCTGTGGTCTCTTCTCCAAAACAAAGATTTTGACACCTTTTTAACCGAATTAATGAATTCTGACCCTATACTTAATTATAGAATGATATTAAAGTGATTCTTCCTGTTGGGATGATCAAGTGTTAGTAATGTCATTGATATTATTGATTAGTTTAATTGGGCATTAATAGAATTTTACTTTATTAATAAATTTGCATCCAATTTACAATAATCAATTTAGTGTTATTCTAAATTCAATTGACTAAAATCATACAACAATAAATATTTTTAGCTTTATTTCCAAAATAAACTATCTAAATCATCAATTACCCTTCACTAATTACCAAACCTTCTTCTATAGTACCAATATTAACTGTTTTGGACTGATTTAAATCCTCCAAAATTGGATCACATGATCACATTCTCAAAAAAATGGAACGGCTGAATTTATGCCAATTTCAATTTCAATTTCAGGTCTATTTTTGACAGAAAGTTAAAATTTCATCTATCAATTGAATTATAATTGCTACGAGAAAGATTAATCCAGGGGATATAATAATAACATTAGATAATGGTATGTGAAGTATAATATCCAATTATGAATAAATTACAGTACTAACTATCTTTAGTCATCATCACAACTACAGAATCAATCATTATCTTCGGAACAAATTAATAAATATCGAGATGTTTTTCGATTATTTGATAAGAATAACGATGGAACCATTGATCAAAATGAATTGAAAACAGTGATGAGAGCATTAAATCATGATCCAACTCAGACGGAAATCGAAGAATTAATCGATCATGTTGATATTAATAAAGATGGTAAAATTGATTTTCGAGAATTTATATTAATCTTAGCTAAACATTTAAAAGATACTGATGAAGAATTAGAATTAATTGAAGTATTTAAAATATTTGATCAAGATGGAGATGGCAAAATAAATTCAAATGAATTAAAATATATTTTGTTTACTATTGGTGAACAATTACAAGATTCTCAAATTAATGAAATGATCGAAGAAGCAGATCTTAATAAAGATGGTGTCATTGATATTGATGAGTTCAGGGAATTACTCCAATCATGTCAATATAAAGTGTGATCTTGATAATCAAATCAACCAAGTGGTTGTACCACCTCTGGCCTATCATTATATTTATTTATTCTTTATTTATTAGAGGGATTGCTTTATTCATTGCTTTCCACCACACCACTTTTAATCACCTCACTTATGAATTATCTCTTTATGTATATCATAATTGAATACGATATATGTATTGATTCTTTACTGAAATATTGTAGATTGATATGATGAATTTTGCAGCTGAATCAAACTTGAGGTAACTTTATATCCATATCTCCTAGTATTCTTCTAAGTTATTCCCAATGATCATAATTAGTATGACATATATATCCCCATATCATAAAATGAATCTCTGATTAATCTTTGTTGACTTCATAACCTTTCAATATTCATCTCCACTTAATTTTTATGTTAACTATTGAAGTTTGGATTTTGCGTCTTGTTCTCAGTCTCTCACCAGTCAGCAAACCAAAACCAAAAAAAAAAATTAATTTTTTTTTGAAAGAAGATTCGATGAAATATATCAAAACTTGATAAAGGAGGACCAAGTTGTATCACTAATCATGGATAACAGGAGGGTGTTCAATTCTTATCGAAATAGAATCAACAATTCCACTAATCTGAATGCCAGATCAAGAGGAAGTATACTTTCTAAAGTAAAGGGATTCTTCAATAATGCATCAGCAAATTCATCATTGAATGAAATAGCAAATACCACAACAACAACTGAACAACAAACTACTCATAATAATCATAATCAATTCAAAATACCTGGTGGATTCGATACGTCTTTTGCCAATGAAACTGTGATTAATGCTCCTCCTTCTAATGATAATGATGTCCAATCTTCTCCAAGTAAGCTTTTATCGGACTTTTTTAAAGAAAAGGGTGATAAACCATTAACTAAAATAGAATATGAAGGGGTGTTATCATTAATTGCTAAGACTAAGAATACCAAACCAGAAGATAAAACCATAAACAATAACGATAGTGATTTCACTAATTTATTAAATGATAAAAGTTTATTAATCCATCCATCTAATACCACCCAAAATAATCTGATCTTACTTGATTCTCCCAAACAAAGATATTTAAAACGGAATAATCCAGATGCTACAAGTATGATAGATACTCCTGAATATACTCCTGTTTATCATACATTTGCCAATAATAGTTTTAATAATAGTTTCAGTACTGCTAATAAAACTATGCCATCTATAAAGAGAGTATATCAATTTTCAGGATTACCATCTCCATATAGAACAAGAATCAGAGTTCCATCAGCTTCATCTTCAGGATTAAGACCATCCGTAAAGAGACATAAGAAAAAGACTACAGCAAATACTACTGAGAAGGAAGATATATCACTTGCTAATACCACATTTCAAGAAAAGAATTATAAACCATATAAACCAAGAAGTGAAGCAGCTAATACTTTATTATCGATCTTAGATGGGAAATTAACTTATACTCAGAAGGAAGATATCATTGAACCTAAAATTGATGTCGAACCTAAGATTGAGGAGGTGAAAGTACCTATAATAAAAGAATCAAGTACTACTACAACTACTAAAAACAATCAAAATAATAATAATAATACTAATGGTATATCTATAACAGCTAAGGATATTGCCAAAACCATCTTGTTTGATAAATCTGAACCATTAGCGTTTGAAAAGACTGATAAAATAGAGAAGAAGGATAATTCTATTCTTAATGGTACGACTTCATCTAATGCATTTAACTTTTCATCTAATTCAGGTAATTTTTCATTTAATGCTAAACCTACAGTGGAATCAAATACTAAGATAGAACCACCACAACCAATCATACCCCCACCAAAGATTGAAAATACCAAACCAATTCCTGAAGTCAAAGTTGGATCATCATTTAATTTCCAACCACCCCCTACAGTCAAACAAACCAATAATAATTTTGGATTTGGTATAACTAATTCAAATACCAATTCATCAATTACTAAACCTGATAATAATAATGATTTTGGATCATATTATAAATTTCCTGATGTTGAAATTGTAAATGTTCAATTGGATGGGTCTAAGGTTGATAAGTATAAGAACTTATTTGAGTTTTAAATAGCATTTATAGATGTATATGAAAATATATAAAGTGATAGGATATATTACTATAGAGTAGTACGCGCTAATAATTGTGTGGTGTCTCGTATATTTTATTTCCATTTTTTTTTAAACGAGACAGAAAATTTGGAAATTTGTTTAAACAGATCATATAACAACATCAACAACGATAGATAATAGATACACATATATATAATGTCACAAGAGTTAAAGTCGGTGCTTTTGATAGGAGGTGCTGGATTCTTAGGTCTTCATTTAATTGAACAATTCTCCAAATTAAGTCCTAACACTAAGATCCATGTCTTTGATGTTAGACCATTACCTGAAAAATTATCCACTTATTTTACATTCAATCCAGAAGAGATTAAATTTTATAAAGGAGATTTAACATCAGCTCAAGATGTCACTGATGCCATTATAGATTCACAATGTCAAGTCGTGGTTCATTCAGCTTCTCCAATGCATGGATTACCTCAAGAAATTTATGAAAAAGTAAATGTAAATGGTACTAATAATGTTATTGAAGTTTCAAAGAAAAATTCTCATATTGTTAAAGCATTAGTATATACTTCCTCAGCCGGGGTTATATTCAATGGTCAAGATGTTAAAAATGCCGATGAAAGATGGCCATATCCTGAGGTTCATATGGATGGATATAATGAAACCAAAGCCATTGCTGAAACTGCCGTTTTAAATGCTAATTCTCCTCAATTATTAACCGTATGTTTAAGACCAGCTGGTATTTTTGGACCTGGAGATCGTCAAGTTGTCCCTGGGTTTAGAGCAAGTGCAAAATTAGGTCAATCAAAATATCAATTAGGGGATAATAATAATTTATTCGATTGGAGTTATGTTGGTAATGTAGCTGATGCTCATGTATTAGCAGCTCAAAAAAGTTTAATTCCAGAATATGCTAATAAAATCGGTGGTGAAACTTTCTTTGTCACCAATGATGCTCCATTATATTTTTGGACTTTAGCAAGAACAGTCTGGAAAGCAGATGGTTATGTTGATAGTTATTATATTAAATTAAGTAGATCATTAGGTATTGCATTGGGATACTTATCAGAAGCATTCTCCACTCTTGCCGGTAAAGAAGCAGGTCTTACTCCATTCAGAGTTAAAATCGCTTGTGCTCATCGTTATCATAATATTTCAAAAGCTAAAGAAATCCTTGGTTATAAACCAAACGTCGATATAGAATCAGGTATAAAGTATACTTTAGATTGGATGAATGAATCACTCTAAGTTACCTAAATATATATATTGTATACTTGTCTATATAAAAATTTATTGATTTTATAATAAATAAAAAAAAGTACGTTTCCATTCTTTTGTAAAGCTCACAATCTAAGTAAAAGCAGCAACTATAGTGATAATAACAGTAATGAAAACTGAATATACAATTGATTTGGTAGAATATTGATTTGTACCAGAAGTAGTTTCATCATTATTATTACAACCAGAAGCATTAAAATAAGTTGATTCATTTAATGAAGAATTTAAACTTGGAACTTGATCTAATGTTGAATTTAAACTTGATTTAGAAATTATGACGTCTTCATCTTCAAGATTAACTTGATCAATATCATTATGGACTAGATTAATAAAATCTTTATCATCGTCATCTTCTTCATCATTATTATTATTTTCATGATGTTCTAAAATTAATTTAATCTTTGATTTGGCTGATAAACTTTCTTCATTTCCATTAATAAAATTAGGACTTAATTTATCAACAACTTTAGATTTAATGGTGACTGAATTTTGATTATTATTATTAGTATTATCTGATCTAAATTTATGAACTTTGGCTTTAATAAATGATTTTTGAGTTCCAATTTGATCATCTTTTTTAAATGGAATAGCACAAGCATTAATATCCTTCATACCGGAACAATCTTCCACCAACACACTTAAGAATTTAGCTGATGGATTACTTGGACAAAGATGATAACATTCTTGTTTTATACTTTGTAAAGCACAACATTCACAAGCCAAATCATCAGCTTTACAATCATCTAATTTTGTTAAAACCACATTACAACAACTATTTAAAGTTATGGTATCCGTTGGAGGACAAGCTTCATAGGGTCTTGGATTAGGATTAACATAAGAACCGAATTCATTATTGTTATGACTATTGGATCTAATATTAAGTGAATTAACCAAATTGATATGAGCGGCTAAACTAAATAAAATGATTAAACCATGAAACAACATTATGGAATGAATGAAAAGAAAATTTTAAACCTAATTGAATTAATTATATGATTTCTATCTATCTATGATTGATGATAATTAAGTTTTAAGCTTTAGTTAACCAAATATAAGATTATCAAAGTCTGATAGATCTTAAAGAAAGTTGATTAAAATTTCCTCATAATTTTGGTGGCTCAAAATGGTTTGGGCGCAAAAAAAGAACATTAAAACTTTGTGAGAGTGCAACACCTTAAACTGATACAAATCATTAAGTATAGGTGCAACCTAACAAAATAAGATATTATTCTATCTTTTCATTATTTACTGAATGAATCAGAGAAAGAACTGTAAGAGTTTATGCTTATATAATACCATATGTCTATTAATAGAAACAATCTCACTATTTTCCAAATTTTACCTTATTAAGAAAGAGAAAGACAAACAGAAACAGGAAGAGAACAACAAGAATAAAGAATAAGATTATGAGCATTCACACGACAATCGAAAGGGAACAAAGTACATGTCTTGTTTTAAACAGTTATTTTTGAAATGATTTATATATTGTTCTGAAATCTAATCAGTTCATTACAATGAATAGTCGAGAAGTCGTGTCAACATTCATATGAAATAGTATATATATATATATATATAGCTGAATCTCATCCTAATGGAACTTGCTTCATATAACTAACAATCTAACTAACGATGAAAACAGCCTTTCCTAACAAGAAGGATGCTCATTTATATTGCGTAACCCTTTAAATCTGGAAAAAAGGGGACACCTAAAATTCCCGAAAGAGCAAAAATGTCGAACAGAAAAAAAAGAAAAAAATAAAATTTATTTTTGTGATTGATAATTGCCCCAAAAAAAGAAAAAAGTAGCAACAATTAAATAGTTTGTTTAAACACTAAATTCTATTTTATAACTTATGATCTAATGTTAATATTAACTTAGATGAATATGTGAAAAATTTCTTACCATTTCACACTATTATTCTTTTGTGTATTCTTATTATCATCCTTATAGCCTCTTTTTTCTCTCATTATTAACTGTAATAGTAGTTATATTGTAACATTACGTATGATTGCGTTGTTTCACTTTTCATCTGGATTTCTTTATTTTTTGTTTACTTATTTATCATTTCTTTGTTTATTAAAAACTTTTAACGTGTTTGAAGCTTTAGCTTAACCGTGTATTTATATATAACATGTTATCCAAAACTGTTATAAATACCTAAATTAGTCTTCTTCTTAACATCAATTTCTCTCAAAAATCTTCTTATTCAATCGCTTTTTCATCTTAGATCACTTTCGTTATATTTCCCAAGATGTTAAATTTCAAGTTTGCCCCTTTATTGGCAATATTTGCTTTCTTCATTCAATCATCATTATGCTCAACTAATACTTCAGATTTAACTCCTCCAGTAGAAGTTGTCGGTAATAAATTTTATTTCTCCAATAATGGATCACAATTCTTAATGAGAGGTATTGCTTATCAACAGAATACTGCTAATGATTCATCTCTTAGTTTTCAAGATCCTTTGGCTGATGAAAGTACTTGTCAAAGAGATGTCAAATATTTTCAAGAATTAAATACTAATGTCTTAAGAGTTTATGCTGTGAATACAAGTTTAAATCATGATGCTTGTATGAATATCTTTGCCAATGCTGGTATTTATATTATTGCTGATTTATCAGAACCTGATCTTTCTATTAATAGAGATTCCCCAGAATGGAATTTGAATTTGTATCAAAGATATACTGATGTGGTTGATATGTTTCAAAATTATACCAATGTGTTAGGTTTTTTTGCTGGTAATGAAGTTACCAATAATGTTACTAATACTGATGCTTCTGCATTTGTAAAAGCAGCCGTTAGAGATGTTAAAAAGTATATTAGTGATAAAAACTATAGAACTATTCCTGTGGGTTATTCATCAAATGATGATGAAGAAACAAGAGTTGCTATTGCTGATTATTTCTCATGTGGAGAATCTTCTGAAAAGGCAGATTTCTTTGGTATAAACATGTATGAATGGTGTGGTAATGCAACTTTCCAATCTTCAGGTTATGAAGCTAGAACTGAAGAATTCCAAAATTTAACTATCCCTATCTTCTTCTCTGAATATGGGTGTAATGCAGATCTTCCAAGAAGATTTACTGAGGTTGCAACCATTTTCAGTACTGAAATGACTGATGTTTGGTCCGGTGGTATTGTTTATATGTATTTCCAAGAAGAAAATGATTATGGTTTAGTTTCAGTCAATGGTAATTCAGTTCTGACCATGGCTGATTTCCAATATTATTCTTCTGAAATTAATAACATTTCTCCTTCATATGCCAATCTGGCAAGTGCTTCAGCTGCAGCTACTCAAACTTTAGCTTGTCCAGCTATAGCTGCAACTTGGGCTGCCTCTGAAAACTTACCTCCAACTCCAGATGAAAGTTACTGTAATTGCCTTTCAAGTGGGTTCAAATGTGTGGTTTCTGATAATGTGGATTCCTCAGATTATGGTGATTTATTTGGTTCAGTTTGTGCTGATGTTGATTGTTCCGATATTTCTGCTAATGGTACTAGTGGACAATACGGTAAGGTTTCCTTCTGTTCCGATAAAGATAAATTATCTTATGTATTAAATGCTTATTACGAACAAGAAAATGAAAACTCTTCAGCTTGTAACTTTAGTGGTTCTGCTTCTATCAATAGTGGTGCCCTGAGTTCATCTTGTTCCTCAAATTATACTCCAAGTGGTGGTAGCTCATCTAATTCTAGTGGTGGTAATTCAAGTAGTAGTAGCAGTAAATCTACTTCTTCTTCAACTTCAACCAAGAAATCTTCAGGATCTTACAGTGCTAGACAAATTTCTAAAGTTGAAATTTTAGCAATTACAACCATTGTCACTGGATTCATGTGTGGTATCTCTTTTGTCATTTTTGATTAAAATCTTATAGACCAATTCTCTACTTGTACTTCAAAATAAATATTTCTTATTGCCTTTATTATTATATATTAAAGGATGCTAATAATGCCAATGTATATAAAATATTATCTCTATCATATTTAGTTTGTAACCATAAAAATTTCATTAAGTGCTTTCTCATCCATTACAGATGCTCTCTTTTGTTTGATCCATCTTGACCTTACTGCTAATCTTGTTGAAATTGCTCTATGTTCTGTTACGACTGGTTGTAAATCTGATTCAGATTTATCCTTCTTTGACTTTTTCTCCTTCTTTTCTTTCTTCTCTTTCTTTTCCTTCTTCTCCTTCTTCTCAGTTTTATCTTTCTTTACTTTCTTTTCCTTTTTATCTTTCTTTTCTTTCTTCTCTTTCGTCACTTTCTTTTCTTTCTTGTCTTTTTTACTTTTCTTATCTTTCTTTGATCTCTTAACATCTTCATCATTATCGCCATCATCTTCTAATTTTCTCTTCTTAGATTTCTTACTTGAATCAGAAGCCGTTATTGATTTTGATTCTTTATCCCAGGTACTTTGTAAAACTTCTCCTTTAATAAAATGAATCCCCAATTTCCCCATTATCTTCTCTTTTCTTTGTCTATCTAATTCATTATTTATTTTATCTTCTTTACCATTTAATCTTCCTAAGATTCTTTGAAATACATCAAGATGAACACTATCACCTTCTTCAAGATCATCTTTCTTTTGCTTTTTGGCTAATCTTGCTCCAAGACCTACATTGTCATCTTTTAAGGAAACTTTAATATGAGTGGTAGTAGCATGTTCTACTAATCCAAGACCTTTACCTGGTTTCCATCCTAATTTCTCAAGATACAGATGTCCAAATCTCGAAGTATCGTTGGACCATTTAGTGTTTCTTGGATCATTTCCAAATCTTTGCTTTATCTTAGTACCTGCTAAACCCATGCTTTGTTTCGAATTCTTCTTTTGATTTGGTTGTAATCAAAGTATATGATAAGACCATTAAATCATTAAAATAAAAATAAATAAAAAAAAAAAGTAATTAAAAAAAATTTCGATGAGTGTGCACATAAAAAAAATTGATAGCCTTAATAAAATATAATTAAACAAAATAATAATAATACATTTTTATATATTTACAAGCCTAAAATACCATACCATGAACTATTTACCCAATATGAATCATGATCACCTCTACCTATACAATGTGAATCAACCAACCAATTAACAACCGCTTTGAAATCTTCACAACCTAAAACAGACAGTAATTTATTATGGATCGCATAACTTGTAATACCAGGTCTGAAATGGATATAATACAAAATAGCAATTATAATCTTGATCCAAAGTTGTTCATTGATATTTCCATTCAAATCTAACCATACATGAGAACATGCTTTACCTGTGGGGACTGGAACTTTAACAATGTCTGGAGCTGTGATGTTTGATGAATCCTTAAACACAACTATATCACATGCTAACTTATCTTTATCAATTAATCTTGATTCATACCCTTCAAATTTATAAGCTTTATCAATATGAGCTAAAGAAACTTCTTTATCTGATAAAAGGGCTAATAAAGATGACATTTGACCATTCAGAATACCTTGGGATAAAATCAATCCTTTGGAAGCTTCAGATATTGATTCAATATTTGATTTAAAATTTGCAGCTTGCTTAAAGAATTTTGATGTTGTTTTCACTGTAAGTGAGTTTGTTACTTTATCAGTTAAAACAAATCTATGAGATGAATCATCCGATTTAAAATATGACATTTCTCTATCTCGAATAAGTGCAGTTGAAGCTTGAAACGTAACATCTTCCCCAAATTCAGATAATATTTGTGTAGCTCTTGAACTTGAAAAATTCTCTTCTGTGGTAGAAAATATAGCTTTTAATACCGTTCGAATATGATCATTTTCTTTTGGTTTAATGTCTTGAATTGGGTTTTCAAAAAATGTAACACCAGAAAGGGTTAATTCCTTTTGTCTCATGGAATTATCTTCCAATAATTCATATAAATCTTGTTGAGCTTCACCAGTTTCAATTTTATTATATGAATTCAAGTTTTCTTCCACCGAGACATATAATGGTGTCTTATCAGCAATTTCTATAGTTGATCCATCAGCATCTTTCCATAAATCCAAGAAGAATTGGAATTTGACATTTTCTAAATCTTCAGCTGATACCAATTCATCATCAATACCTTTCATAACCACTCGTTCAAAATCTTCAGTGCCTTTAGTAACTGCAGCTAAACCACCAACCAGTCTACGAACAACAGTCCATTTTTGTTTGACGCTTCTTGCATCCATATCTTCAAAGAGATCAGCAATCTCGGCAAAGTTGATGGTACCTCTTTTAAGAGTTTTCGATATGACAATGGATCTGAAAAGAGTCGTAGCATCCGATTTATCAAATTTAGCCACTTTAACTCTTCTACCTGATCTACTAGAGCCACCCTTTTTACCTTTGGTCTTCTTTGCTGGTCTTGATTTACCTCTATGTTTTTTGGATACCAAGTTGGGAATAGTATCACTAACAACTTCAGGAGTTGCATTCTTAACATCTTCAATTTCTTCCTCTTCTTCTTCAATGATTTTTTCCTTCTTTCTTGATCTCTTAACTGGAGTATCTTTATCACCCAATGATTGTAATCTGGATCCTCTTCTTCTTGAAGTTGGACGTTCCATATTGTAAAATGTAACTTCTCCTTCCACGACTCGATGCAGTTTAGTTTTTTCGTTATCACCATTATCCAAGATACATTTATTCTTGGCTTCTTCTATTTGAGCAGGAGTTGGCCTATACTTTTCATTTGTCAAAATTAAGATCTTTCTAGTAATTGATTGACCAGTCCTAACAAATTTAACTTCTTCTACATCTAATTCACCTCCTGCTATGAGAACTGAAATATCTCTAGCAAGAGTTTTCACATCTAATGTACTTGATGAATCTCCCAATGCATCATTTACCATTCTTCTTAAACTGGCGGTAGTATAAGTTACACCTCCTAATTGTTTGATAATATCAAGTAAAGTAGAACGTCTCTTTGAACTTCTTATTGTTGTTCCTTTGTGTACTCTTTCACCCAATTGGATCTTTTTATGAGAAACACTTTCAATATCTATTGTGATTGGTTTGATATCTTTGACTTCTATCACTTCTAACTCATCGTCAGCCTCTTCAGCTTCATTTTGTTTTGATTCAATATATTCTGGTTCGGCATCTTCTGTAATTTCCTTTGTAGGATTTTCATCATCGTCCATGTCAGCATAATTAACTTTAGTAGCTGCTCTTCTTCTTGATTTTTTAGCTAACTTCGGTTCAACCACAACATCAGTCATATCAAGATCAATATCTAAATCTTTAACTTTCTTCTTTTTCTTTTTAGGTGCTTCAGGAGTTTCTTCTAATGATCTTTTCTTCATGGATAAGAAATCACCTCTTGATACTTTTTCCAACGCAATATATTCTTTCGTATTCAATTGGGCTAAAGTTTTATTTAAAATAGGTTGTTTCTTGGGAGGTTTACCCGTATGTGCCTTTTCAATACCTTGTACATAAGGCTTACCAAAATATCGATAAAATTTATACTTTGCATCACTATCCAAGGTTTTAACCAAAGATTGTTCATTATATTCATCAGGATATTTCTTTAATGGATTGAAAGTTTTACCATCAAAGGTATAACTGGTGATATTATCTAATAATCTTGCTAATGGTCTATATCCAGCTACACCACTTATATTTCTCATTAGATCTGTACTTATTATACCATTAGCACCAGTTTTAAAGGCTAAATTATGAATTTGATTAGCATTGGGGAAAAATAAATTATATAATGGTTTATCTGAATTTATAAATTCAGTGGCTAATTCTCCACGATCATCTTCATCTTCATTAGTATTGGCATTAAAATTCTCCACATAATCTTCAAGATCATAGGGATCTTTAGGTAAATCCTTGATATATTTAATGGCATAGATCAGTCTACCATCTTCAGGAGATTTCACCATAACTCTTTCCACATATTTATTATTATGTAAAGATTGAACAATGGCTCTAAAGAATTTACTTGATGATTTATTTTTATGAAGGTTTAATTCTTGTTTTAAATCTTGGAAACTTCTTAAATTATTAGGAGCATTTTTAACTGATTGGACGATATATTGTCTTGCTTTAAACGCATTTCTATATGTTTGTTCTTCAGAAGTTGTTTCTTTAGCTTTTTTAGTTCCTTTTGCAAAACTTGAATGGATACATAAACTTGTATGTTGACGAATTTTAGGATCATAAACATAATTCCTTATGATAAACCCTGATTCTTCTAATTTTTTAAATCTAGGAGGCATTGATCTTGGATCTTGATTTGTGGCTCTACATAAATCGGGTGACGTTATACCTTGAGGACCACTTCTTGCAATTTCACAAAGTAATTCAAATGGTTTATCACCTAATTGAGCTCTTGCCTTTTTAGTAGATTCTAATCCTGTTAACATTCTCCATTGAGTATCAGCTGTGGGGAGGATTCTAATATTACCTTTATGATAATCTTCATTATATTTAGAAACAAAATCTTTATAATTAGGTAAAATAGGTAAAGGAGTTTTATTAAGGATAACATATAATTTAACCATATTACCCTCTTCTTCACTGAAGAATAACCATTGCCAAATGATTTGTTCTTGGAATGAATCTATTTTATTCAGATCCAATTTGGTTCTGATTGATTCCCACATCTCCAGGAGGGTTAAACCATTCTGACCTGAGAAAGAGAGTTTCTCTAGGACAAAAGAAACCAACTCCGATGGAGTACAATTGAACAGCATAACGATTTGTTCAAAGTCTGTATGAATTGAATTGATTTAATTAATTGAATTGTTATGATTGACCGTCATAACATATAATAGAGACTTAACTTATATGTAAACATTTGTTTATCTGAGAGGTTTAGATTTGTTTTGGTGCGACAATGTCGCATTCTCAAAAGGTCGCGCATCAATTTAAGGGTATTAAAATTTTTTTGAAACTATTAGAGATGATGATGGGTTTATTACTCATTAAAGCAAAGATGGATTCTGATGATGAACCTATTACATTGTCAGCGCATGCATTAGCGGCCTTAATGGAATTTAAAAAGGAAGAAAATGATAGAATAGAAAGATTTGAATCTTTACAGAAAGCCGCTCAAGATCGATTTGAAAAGCAACAAAAAATATCAATTGATGAATTTAAAGAAGATTGGCAACTTTCCCAATTTTGGTATACTGATGAAACCGCTGCTATACTAGGAAAGGCCCTTCTTGAAGGAGCTGATGAAGATACTGTGATTGCTATTGCTAGTGCTCCATCAGTTTATGCGGCCATTATAAATTTCCCTCCTGAAGAAATTCCAACAAAACATATATATTTACTTGAATATGATACTAGATTTGAAGTATTAGGAGGAGATCATTTTAGTTTTTATGATTATAATGAACCAAGTAAAGTTCCAGTTCATCTTCAACATAAATGTCATCGACTTTTAATTGATCCACCATTTTTAGAAGAAGAATGTCAAACCAAATCAGCTCAAGCTGCAAAAAATCTTTTAGTAGAAGATCATAATGAAAAGACTAAGAAAGGTGATTTAAAGTTTAAAATCATATCATCAACCGGAGAAAGGATGCGTGAAGTTGTTAAAAAGAATTATCCTGATACAACTTTAACTAGTTTCTTACCTCAACATAAGAATGGATTAAGTAATGAATTCAGATGTTATGCAAGTTTTGAATGTTCTCATTGGAAATTTGAATAGACCATTTTGGTTATATAATTAAATATAATGTAATATATTACATATAATATAAGATATATATACATAATGTATAATGAATAGAAAAACCCAATTCAATTTATTTGCAACAAGAAAAATGATAATTACCCGGATATAACATCGCATTCATAGTAAATTATATACTGCTAAGGGTAAATTCTGAAACCACATAGTTAATAAAGTTAACTATGTGAGAATAAAGTGTGATTCACGTTGTTGTAACAAGATCGAAAAATTTTCTTTTTCATTTAAGAAAAAAAAGTGTCGATTCTTTTTTATAAATATATTGATTTATTTCAATCCTTTTTTAAGTGAATTAATTATCTTTTCAAGTAATTATTACGATCAATTCCATACAATATGTCTTACTCAGACTTCTCAAAGGTTGAAACCGTCAAAGCTTTAAACGAATTCTTAGCTGATAAGTCTTACGTTGATGGGTATGTGTCTTCTTTTCATTTTTTTTTATTCTAAACAGCTCATCATCAACATTGTTGAAATTTTTTTTTTCGATTTTTGGCAACATCATTTGAATTGGGTGTCCTCCACTTCAAATATTATCATTCTTCTAATGGGATTATCAACTTGGTCATTGATTGAATACCATTGGTATTCAATTGATTGATCAATTTTTTTTTGGTTTGTTGATCCCATGTTTTCTGGAAGTATTGATGATTCAATTACGTGTTATATTATTAAAATGATGATCATAATCTTTGGTCCGTGTTTATGAGGTGGATTCAAGACCCACCGCATGAGTGAAAAAGAAGATTTAAATAAATCGACCTGATATTAAATATATACTACAACTGGATTGTTGGTAATTGGTATGACTATTCATAGTAATACCTTTTTTATGGACCCCCAAATAATCATTTGATGTTGTTTGCTTGTTTTTATGGTTTTTTCTTTATTGAAATTATAATACTAACTTTTATATATTATAGTACTGCTGCTACCCAAGCTGATGTTACCGTTTACAAGGCTTTCCAACAAGAATATCCACAATTTACCAGATGGTTCAATCACATTGCTTCTTTCACTGAAGAATTTGATGATTTACCAGCCGGTACTGCTCCAGCTGCTGCTTCTAAAGAAGTTGCTGCTGAAGAAGATGACGATGATGTCGATTTATTCGGTTCTGATGATGAAGAAGTTGATGAAGAAGCTGAAAAATTAAAACAACAAAGATTAGCTGAATACGCTGCCAAGAAAGCTTCTAAAGGTCCAAAACCAGCTGCTAAATCTCTTGTTACCTTAGATGTTAAACCATGGGATGATGAAACTGATTTAGAAGAATTATTAGCCAATGTTAAAGCCATTGAAATTGATGGTTTAGTTTGGGGTTCTCATCAATTTATCCCAGTTGGTTTCGGTATTAAGAAATTACAAATTAACTTGGTTGTTGAAGATTCTAAAGTCAGTTTAGAAGATTTACAAAATCAAATAGAAGAAGATGAAGACCATGTCCAATCTACTGATATTGCTGCTATGTCAAAATTATAATCTCGTTATTAGTACTATTGTATAGAACTTTTTGAATTGATTATTATGTAATGCTTTTGAATTTTTTTTTTTTACCTATTATGTAATGAAAAATACATTCCGAACCCTTTTTTAATAGAATATATCTATTACACATTGTATCTCTCTATTCTAAATAAGCTTCTATAATCACTCTCTATAAAGGTAAATAATCAACTCCACTATCAAGCCATTGTTTTAAAAATTCTTCTTGAGAAATTTGCAAAGCCCAAACTTGTTGAACAATTTCTTTTAATGAAAATAATGTCCCCATTTGAGCATTACGATATAAAGTTTCCATAAATGTCATTAAACTAGCTCTTTCTTCTGCAGTTTTACATTCACATCCAATCGCATATACTGGCCATACCATTTGCGTAACCATGGGTGAAATAGGTTCCATAGATCCATAAATACTTATGAATTCATGAACAAGCTTTCGAATATTGATTTCATAATTAAACGGCCTTATCACTCTTTCTAACGTTATCCAAACTGCTATAGACCAACATTGGGCACATTTCAATCGTATAGCATATTCTTCATCACCATCTTCAAATAATACATAATCTCGATAATTTACTAATAATTGTTTAACATTCTGATAATCAGTTAACATTTGAGGAGTAGTATTATCAGCTCCATTATAAACATCATGTCTCAAATAACATACTTTGGACATAGCTTTAAAGATTTGACCTGGACATCCCATCATCTTCGATGTTGAAATATTATCACTAGATGATCCATACCAACTAGGTAAACAATAAGGTAATCTGCAATCGGGAGAAACTATAGCACTAACAGTATCATACCATGATAAAACTACCGAAAGAGATCTTTGTTTCTCATTCGTTATTAAAAGACCATAAAAATCTTGATCTTGACATATTGATGCAAATACTTTAAAGAAAAATCTTGATAATGAACTTTTACCCTTTTCCAATACTGCAAATAATATATGAACATTGATTAATACAAGTATCACTAATGAATGGATTTGTTTCTTTTTTTCATCTTCAGCTGTCAGCAAATTATCTGTACTTATGAATCGAATTAAATGATCCATAGTATTATTAATATGGGCAACTCCCTTTTGATAATATTCATTCCCCCCTTTTCTACTTTCATACATATGGATACAGGCCAATGATATAAAACAACTTCGAGCAATATCAAAATCACAATACTTCAAGGCTAAATCAGGCCAAGGTGAATTAGGATGAGCATCTAATAACGGTAGAAGTTTCTTAAAAAAATGCTTCAACATCATATTTTCTTCTTGATATGACATTGAATATAATGATATTTCAGTTGGACCTCTTTTCTCAAGTAGTTTCTCAGCACTTTCTTCTTCTGGTAATACATTTGATTTATCAATGAATCCTATAATCTCCTTACCAAGATTTAAAGAAATATTCTCTCTCATCTCCGAAGCTGCAGCGAAATTGGCTGCCAGCATACTATTTGTTATCCTATTAGAAGCAGATTCATCAGAAAATATACTCAGATCAGGAGACTTTAATAATGATTCAAGATCTTCAAACAATTCCGAACTGAATTGTTCTAAATTAGCACTAGAAGCTCTCATTCCTAGAAATCTTGGGGAATTAAACATAATATCTTTTGAAGGCACGTCACCATTAAAATTCTCATCTGTAAGTCCATTAGTCGGTCTATTTGGAGGTGCTATTATCGATGATGGTGTATTTGAATTTGTAGAATCATCGTGTAATTGATCTTTAGATAGTTCTCCTCCACCTCCTGTTGAATTCTGTCGACCTGTTGTTTTCAAATGTGCTTTAGCTCTTGGCTTCCCAACAAATCCACCCTTCATAAAACCGGATTTATCCTGACGGGTCTTATTCCTACTATCATCTACATCGAATGATAGCCGTATTCCATACCCTTCACATTCTCTATTGCTTTTAATACAATTATTACAAAACGGCTTATGTTCATCACATTTCCGGTGTCTTTAATTATTGATTAAGTTAGTATTTTCCATGATTTCAAAACCCAAATTACAAATTCAATCAACTTACCTTCTCTTACAAGTCCAACAACCTGTTCGTACCCTAGTAATTTTACTCATTGTTATCTTGTTTACCACCTCTTCAATGATATCGGATGTCTATATTTTTGAAATTTAAAATTTCTAATCCATCTTTCAATTTTACCGCGATTAAAAAAACAACAAAGTCCCAAGCCTCGTAATTTTAAAAAAGAAAAATAAATAACATTTCAAAATATTTATACTGAAATAATATTATAAAATGTCAAATCAAACTTAGATTTCTTCAACAGTCCATTCTTTTAACCGCTTGCCTATGTCTATATAGATTTAGCGTATATTGATATCAATTGCTCGAAGAAAGTACAATTTGGTTGACTGTAAATCATTATAGTTATTATTACACCAATTAAGTTGCAATCATAGATCAAGCATATTAAAACTTTAGCAGCTATTATAAGCGCCAGTTCATGAAATACAATAACACATAGAAGAAGAAGATCACATACCTTACTATGTCTCAGAAGTTTCGTGAAATACTATCAAAGTGTAAGATAGATTCACTTAATCAATTAGCACTCATCAGCGGTATACCAATTGGCGGTACTAACAAACAAGGTAGAATTGAATCTCTTATCAATGGTTTAAATATTCAAAAACGATTACCCGAAAGAAATATTAGTATACTATCAATAGATATTGGGATCAAAAATTTTTCTTATTGTCAAATGAATGATGTGAATGTACAATCAGATACTGCCAATATTGTCAACAACTGGACCAAGATCGATCTTAATCAAATTTATGGATCGCTGTATGTTCCTATAGTGTCACTGCTGTCGATGATAGATTCAAAAAGATATTTAAATTATTGTTGTCAAAATTTAGTTAAAGATATAACAACTGCCAAAAAGCCAGATTTAGTTATTATGGAAACTCAGAGAACAAGGTCTAATAATAATGCTATAACAATTCCAAATGTTCTATTAAATTATACATTTGAGAATATTTTTTACTCCAATCTTTATAATAAGTATCCTGACTTGCTTATTGTTCCAATGTCATCCACAAGTATGATTCACTTTTGGTTTAATAGATTTGTAAATAAAAAATCTTTAAAAAATCTTTCAACTGCAAAAAAACTGAGAGCCAATTTATTCTTTCACTGGTTGGAAATGAATAAATTATTCACAATTCCAGGCTATAAAGTTGATGCAGATTTATCAATTCCTAAAAAATCACAATCTTTACTCAACCATTTAGATCTAATAAAAGGAGATAAAGTTGATGATTTAATTGATAGTTTATTTTATAATCTAACTATCAAAGCTCATGTACATAATCAGAAGGAGCTATATAATTTATTGCAACAAGAAGATGCTGATCTTAATTATTATATAATCAAACATAATATCACACAATTGCTGTTGGTTCTTGACATTATTCAACAATTTGATATGGAATTAGCTCCCGAATTCAGTCGCTACTTTGATTTCTTTGGTCCACTAATTAATCCTCAAGACATAGAGTATAATAAAATTCAAGAATTTGCGAAAATTAGTAAAATGTAAATAGTTAAAACTAATTATAAGTAAGCAAATCTGGCTCAAAATAGGTCCTAATATACCTTTCCATTCTTCATCTATACTTGTCAATGACACTTTACTGCTTCCTGATGCTATTCTGACCACACGATATCTATTCATTGTCTTTAAGTTATTCCTACGACGACAAAATCTGGAGGTTAATACTGCTTTAACCCCCACCCGTTTGAATCACTGGATATCGTACCTAACTTTTGCTTAAATAAATCTTACTGATTTATTAATATAACGGTCTTGTTTGACCTTCTATTCCTTCTAATCTATAAATAGAGTTTTTACATTATGTTTCTCTATTCCACTCCATTTATATTTCTAAATTTATAGAATATTAAATAAATGTATATTTCGAAAAAAAAAAATTAATACCAATACATAAACTTCACCATATAGATATAAATTTTGAGATAAAGTAGTAAGGGTTCTAGTATTATCTCAATAATTATTTATAATCGTGAACATTGTTTAAACACTTAACTTTCTTTAAGCTTAAATTTCCTATTTGGAAAAATATTTACAATTATAATAAAATATATGATCAATTAAGTAAAACAAAGTTAAAATTCATAATCTTCTGTAACTCAAAGCTATCAATTGAATTATGAAAGTTGACGTTCGTTCTGCTCATACTTAAAATCCTAATAAGCCATTTGATCAAGTGGCATGAAATCAATGTTGTTTTAGATTTGTTTAATAAAGTTTGCGCTTTTAAACGCGTCATGTTTTTGCCACTTTCGCTTTCTTTCATATTTGCAATTAGCCTTTCTCCAATAGAATGCCAAGATACCGATGAGACAATTATCACACGCCTTCTCAAAGTTAAGCTTAATCAGGTTTTTGAACTGAATTATGAATGAAAGGGGAAATTCTATTTTAATTCATACAAATAAAATGCTATCTACTTGACAATTATTTTTAGGCGTTCATGCTTTAGAGTTCCGTCGTTTATGGTTAATTAAAGACACAATTTGTAACTTCCCCTCGAAAGTACTTATATAAATATCCTTGACATTCTTGTAAATTAACTATTTTATTAACTACTGCTATTTGTTCTATTTGTATTAAATCTCCAATCGTGCCTAGCAGCTGTTCAGATTTCCCATAATCTAAAAAATCAACAATTTGAAGATCGAGGTATTTCACCAGACAAGAAAATTGAATATGCACTCCAACTACTGAATATGCCTACTACAGATTCTGCTGTTGGTGTCATAGAGTGTAAGGCTGATAATTTAACTTATCTTTCTCATGAAAACGTATCAGTGAGCCTACAACATAAAACAATAAGAAACAAATTAGAGAAAAATGATAAAGATATAATCAATACTAACAACAAACTACGAATCATTGGCCACTTATTACGTCAAAATAGTTAAAGAGAATGACGAAAACAAAATAGTTGGTATCGTCGAAATAATAGATAGTAATGTTTTGTTCACACAACTGAGAATTTATGATTTAGCATTAGATGTCTGTGAATTACATTTAACAGATGCTGTGACTATCAATGACATCATTGAAATCGTTGATAAACAAGGAGTTGTAAGTGCAATTTTGACAATACTTCCATAATAAAATTGAAAAATAAAAAAACAACCTGCTAGCGGTTTCTTTCTTTTTTTTTTTTTTTTTTTCCAGATTTGTTATATATTCTTACTCTAAAATACTATAAAACTATAGAATTTATATAAAGAGAAAGTATATAACTAGTTGAGGGAGAGAAAGATTAAAAATAAGAATTATTTTAAACTTAAAACTCTCTTGATTTGATGATAAAGTAGCTATTTTGTAAGATTTAATTGAAAATTGAAGATCAATCTAATGGTTTATTTAAAGATTATGAATGTAGAACGATACCCATGATGAAATAAAAGAAGAGTTGAGCGGTAAAGCTGGAACCTTCTTTTTGTAAGATATATCGTCAGAACTATAGAATTTATATAAAGAGAAAAAAAGTTCTTATTGTTTTGGAAGGTCTAAAGGCATATAGTATAAAATGTATGAATTAATATTAACTTTATATACGACAAAATAAATTCAAATAATTCTCATTTTGCAACTTGATTTTTTTTTTCCAAATTTGTTATATATTCTTACTCCTAAACACTATAAAACTATAGAATTTATATAAAGAGAAAGTATATAACTAGTTGAGGGAGAGAAAGATTAAAAATAAGAATTATTTTAAACTTAAAACTCTCTTGAGTAGATGATAAAGTAGTCATTTTGTGAGATTTAATTGAAGATCAATCTAATGATTTAACTTGATCCATTTCTCTTTTTACAAATTTGTCATATATTCACTTTCTGGTAAACATTATAAACAATAGAATTTATATATAGAGAAAATACACAACTATTTGAGGGGGAGAGAGGTTAAAAATTAGGATTATTTTAAACTTAAAACTGCTCTTGAATAGATGATGATAAAGTAGAATTTTGTAAGACTTAATCGAAGATCAATTGATTTATCTAAAATCAGCACCAGTAAAACCAACCAAACCGAGTAAATCTTTGAACCAACAGCAACATGCAATATTTATAACAGATCAACTCAAGCTCAAAATAAACTCATAAACATTACAACGACACAATTGCCATAGATAATTTTAGAAGATCAAAATCGATAGAATAAATTGGATATACAACGGGCGCTACCAATCACAATGTAGTATAAACTCAAAAAATTAATTCTCTTTAAAACTACAAAATTGTGCGAAAACATTAGTTAAATTCACCAATTCAAGCTTTTAACATATATATTTGAAATTTTCCCCAACTTCTAATTACAAAACTCTAAACGGGAACTCAGAAAACCTAATGAATCATGAAATAAATGATGATCTAGTTGAACCAACTCCAAAATTAAACCAACTTTTTTTCTTTTTTCAAACTAACACTAAAATATTATTGTGTACATCAACAAAAGAGATGAAATAGTATATCCCTACAACAAATTCTAAGAATTTAACTTTCAAATAATAAAATCTCCAATTAATTTGGTTAATATAATCAAAATGTATCCAAATAAACATTAATTCATCGGGAAATAAGCAAAAATGAACTTTTTTATCTCCGAATTGGTAGAATTTTGGACAAATTTTTTTCCAAATTTGTTATATCGTAATTTATAAAGAGGTATCGATTGAGAGCTATTAATTGGTTTTTATCCAATTCTGGATTGGCTATTATAATTTCCCAGGCTAATGGAAGTGTGATTCCCATTTTGGTCCATATTTGGCGACTTACGGAACATTCCAAGTATAGATGATCTGAGTAAGTAATCGATACCGGTTGATCACAAAGTTCACAATTACCTGATGATGGTAGCTGTAGGTGTATTCGGTGTCCTAGATTCACTCTATGTATCTGAAATATTCATCTTTGGTGAGGTGATTCTTGAGTGAACCTCGATTCTTGTGTTGAATATTATTACCTATTAGCACTCGATACCATGGAATAATATATCGTTTACCTGATTGGTGATGAGGGACATGAGGTACTTCTATCAGGTTGTTGATATATTTTTGTAGTTTATCTCTTAGGACCACATTCATTAAATGATGAGAACCCGTTAGCATTAGATAGATGGATTTTGCTCTTCTACCAGAAAGTTGAACTCCTATATCTTGAAGCCCATACCCACCCTGGTTGCCCAAGGCGGTTAGGTTTTCAGAGGATATATATCGGAAATAGTTTTTTACTAATTGCAGTAGTATATAAGAAATTTGGAAAAAATAAAAAGATGATGGTTCGGTACCAGGACAATTTAGGACATCACTGCTACTCATTTAATCAATTCAATGCCAAGGCATTCCCCTGGTGGAAAATTAGTTGTACCATTTACCGAATGGCATCGAACTCTACCTGGTTATGATTTCTGTTGAGATTTAGCCTTAAACCTGATAGCGTAGTCATCAATGTCAACCTTTGAAATGAATATAGAAGACATATTTGTATGTATTATACTTGTTATTCTATATATCTATACACTTAAAACAAAGGAAGGGAATATCTAGGTCTATTTATACTAATTCCATATGGGATAAATAGCCACTATTACCCTTATTACTAATTCAGTTTAGTACATAATTAATTTCTTTTTATAATAGTTATTTGGTTTATGAGTGACCATTTTCAATGAATCACTCCATTCATGATTTATGAGTGACCTCTTTGTATAAATCACTCCATTTATTTCTTTTGCAATGGCATGATAATTCGCAACTATTTGCTCCTTATATCCATTTACAACAATTTCTAAGGATTTTTGGCTGCTGTACGTATGCAATTGTTCCCACTCAGCATCGTGGATCTAAATTTCAACCTACATCTAGACAGTCAGTCATGCTCGGTTATGATTTCTCTTGAAAAGCATACAGGTTATATGATTTAACTACGCATAAAATCTATATATAACAAATTAGGAAAAAAAAAATTGCAGCTACCCAAGTCAAGTTTCTTGAAACGGAATTCCCATGTTAATTTCAGAATATAATCTAATATCATTGACAATGTGGCAAGATGCCGCAGAGTCATAGTGAAAGACACAACCCAAGGCTGAATCAGTCACTTGATATACCAGGTCAACGACATAAAGACTAAGTGGACCCAAGGAACTTTCGGAGGGGCAGTGGAGGTAGTTGAACCATCTGGATTGTAACCCCTTTTTGGACACTTGCTCCTCTTGTGTCCTTCCTGGTGGCAGTGGAAACAACAGATAACTTTATCTGGTCTGCCACTATTTCTAATGCCAATCAAAGCATTATCTAAAACAGTATTAGTTGAAATAGTAAATGGCTGACTACTAATATTGATACCTAATCTTGTCGAAATACTTTTGATATTATGAACATCAAATTCTAATTGTGGCTTCAAAAAGCCTTCCTGGTTTGGAATTCAGTTTGGATTTCTTTCCACTTAGTGTCTGGCAGAGTTGCAAAATATAATAACCTAGCGCAAATAAGACCTGAGAATTGAGCAAAAACATTTTCTCCAATCATTTTCAATGTATTTTCAATGTCCTTATCTGAAACAGCAGTGAACCAATCTTTCTTAATAAGTCTAGCAGTGTCGAAATAAGTCATTGTACCATAATCACGACAAATCAAAACATAAGATTGATGACCATCTAATTTGTTTTCCAAATTTGCTATATAATATATAACAAATTATAATTTAAATTCTATAGTTTTATAGTGTTTAGGAGTAAGAATATATATTGTTATGATTTGGAAAAAAAAAAAAACCAATTCGGAGATAAAAAAGTTCATTTTTGCTTATTTCCCGATGAATTAATGTTTATTTGGATACATTTTGATTATATTAACCAAATTAATTGGAGATTTTATTATTTGAAAGTTAAATTCTTAGAATTTGTTGTAGGGATATACTATTTCATCTCTTTTGTTGATGTACACAATAATATTTTAGTGTTAGTTTGAAAAAAGAAAAAAAGTTGGTTTAATTTTGGAGTTGGTTCAACTAGATCATCATTTATTTCATGATTCATTAGGTTTTCTGAGTTCCCGTTTAGAGTTTTGTAATTAGAAGTTGGGGATAATTTCAAATATATATGTTAAAAGCTTGAATTGGTGAATTTAACTAATGTTTTCGCACAATTTTGTAGTTTTAAAGAGAATTAATTTTTTGAGTTTATACTACATTGTGATTGGTAGCGCCCGTTGTATATCCAATTTATTCTATCGATTTTGATCTTCTAAAATTATCTATGGCAATTGTGTCGTTGTAATGTTTATGAGTTTATTTTGAGCTTGAGTTGATCTGTTATAAATATTGCATGTTGCTGTTGGTTCAAAGATTTACTCGGTTTGGTTGGTTTTACTGGTGCTGATTTTAGATAAATCAATTGATCTTCGATTAAGTCTTACAAAATTCTACTTTATCATCATCTATTCAAGAGCAGTTTTAAGTTTAAAATAATCCTAATTTTTAACCTCTCTCCCCCTCAAATAGTTGTGTATTTTCTCTATATATAAATTCTATTGTTTATAATGTTTACCAGAAAGTGAATATACTTTCTCTTTATATAAGTTCTATAGCTTTATTGTCTTCAGGAGTAAGAATATATAACAAATTTGTAAAAAAGAGAATAGAACAGTCTTGTTTAGTAACAAATATACCCCCATTTGTTGTTGCTTGAATTAATATACAAATAGATTTGAAAACAATTCTACCGGGATTCTTTAGATTGATCTTCAATTTTCAATTAAATCTTACAAAATAGCTACTTTATCATCTAATCAAGAGAGTTTTAAGTTTAAAATAATTCTTATTTTTAACCTTTCTCTCCCTCAACTAGTTATATACTTTCTCTTTATATAAATTCTATATATAAATTCTATAGATTTATAGTGTTTTAGAGTAAGAATATATAACAAATTTAAAAAAAAAAAAATTTATTCATGTTCTATAAGTCGTAATATTTAGCCAATTTTATTGTCTCGTATCATGTTTGAGTTAGCTATTATAACAACGATAGGCAATCATCAAGTTAACTTCTATTTATATAATTTTGGAAGTGCTGTACGATGTGGGCCCTTTATGGATAGTTCGTCAGTTCAGGATTTGGGCGAAATAATTTCGAAGAGAAATAACTCTGGTAGCGTTACAATTTAGTGCGTTAACATATTTGACTTTAGTAATTAATTGAATATACAGAAATTGCATAAATTGACTATATAATAAATAATTAATAAATTAGAGTTTATATTAATACAAAAAGCAATCAAAATAAAATAATGAGAAAAAGTCATAGCATATGGGATTGAAATTGAAAGCTATAATCTTCATCCTTGGAAGATACAAAATAAGGCAAGAAATTGAAATAAAAATATGAAATAATAATAATGACAATGATAATAATAATATAAAGGAAGAAATAAATTTTAAATGACTAATGGTTTCTTTTCTCTTAGTAGGAAAGTTAAATTATACAGTGGATTTTTCAATTGTAGTTTTTTCTCGTATCTTTTGATGTGTTGATGTACTCGTTTTATTCTTCAGCTGCATGGTTTTCTGCTATAGCTTTTGCTAACTCTCTTCTAGAATCTTCAAAATATTTTAAACGAATCTTAACTTCTTCGATTGGAAGTTTTGTAAAATTCCATTGCGCTTCCAGAGCTCTGAAATAAGCCTGTAAAGGAACGGTTAAATTAAAATCAAAACTAAACATTCCAATATCGTAGTTAAACTCTTTAATGATGGTAGTCGGATCGTATTCAGCGTTCTTAAGACGTTCATGTTGATTTTCATTTTCAGTCTCAATCATTTCCTTATAAGAACCATACTCCTTGACGTTAAAGTCATTACGTTCATGAGCTAAACTTGGCAATAATGGATAATTCCACAATCCAATGGCATTTTCAACGTTAAAATTGGTCATCATAACTTCTGTTAAATTTGAAAATTTCGGAACATTGAATTGTAAAATATCACCACCATGGAATTGGACTCTATCATGTTGTGGTTTAACAGCTGATAAATATGGAGAATCCTTCAAAATTGTTTTATTTGATAAATAATATGAAACCAACTCAACTCTATTATTGAAGAACTTGATGATTCTGATCAATTTAGTCGAAAGCTTGGCTAAATGAGTGTATTGAGCAGCATTAGGGCAATCTTCAACGCCAAATTTATATGTTACACAATCTAGACCAACAATTGGAACAATAACATGGAGAGCATCAACTAACATAACACTTCTGAGAGGCGTTACAACATGACTCATAGCCTTACCAACAGCATTAAAAAATAAATAGAACGTTTTTTGCAATGGAGTCATTCTTGAGCCTATGGAAATAGCTTCACTAGGAAATATTCTAAACCAACGAGTCAATAAATCAAATAACAATGAAGGAGATGTAAAGATTATATTGTCTGATTTATCTGTAATATTGTTTGACTTTTTATAAAAGTTATTAACGTATAACATTTTTGGATATAACTCTTCGATTAAATCTTTTAAGAAATCTTCTAATTCAACAAAAGTATTCAAGATAATACCATTATTCTTAGTTGTTAATTCTTGATTATGAATAATAAATGTTTTAAATTCTAAGAAATCCTCATACAATTCTTTAATGATATCAAATTTGTAATCGGGAACTACTGAATAACTAATATGATTATTATAATTTTGAATTGATGCTTGTAACGTAGGAGTTATCTCTTCAACTTTATTTAAATCTTGAACGTAATTATTAAATAATGATGCTGTACCTGTATGCATTAATGCAATTGTATCAACTGAGGCATGTAAATGTAAATATGTGGTCCAACCTGAATACATAGAAATCTTAATTGGATATTCAATATGTATTTTGGTTAAAGATTCTCTCAATTCTTTAATTAACACACCATAATAGTTATATGATTTTTTTGTTAACACGCTTAAATCCTCGGCAGTGAATGTAGTTGGGTTACTTTCTGCATTGACTGCTTTATTAACAACCTTAATCAAAACGTTTAAAGCTCTGTCCATAAAGAAGGAAAAGTAAACATCAAGGACTATACTTTTATTGAAAACAGCAGTCCAAAATATATCCATATTTTCGAATCTCCAAACAGGAGAATAAAGGCTGAAGAAAGATACATTATTTATGTCGAGAACTGTTTGTCCTGAAACAAGTTCATGCTTACGTTTATACGTCTTTACCAATTTTGAACAAATAAATGGCATACTGATTGCATTGTTTAAAGGAGTACCTGGATGTGATGGTGGATGTGACGGTGGAGAATAATTATGAACGATATTATTGTTCAAAGTGAATAAATACTGTTGAGGAGTATCTGTTTTTCTTGGAAATTGAAAGGGAGCATTATTATGATCTTCTGGTATATCATCCAAATGCAAATGCTTTGAAATCTCTGAAACGTTTGGATCAAGGGAATGAATATGACGATTATAATTTTGAGTTGAATTTTCAAAACTATGACTACTTAAATTATCATCTTCATTAGAAGTACTGTAACTCCCTGAAAAAAACTCGTCTTGAGGACTTTGTTGTAAGGCTTGTTGTTGAGTTATTTGTTGTCCTTGGCTGATATATTGTTGAGGTGGTATAAATGGCTGCTGTGGAGATTGAAATTGTTGCTGATCATTTGAAAGCTGATGATGATGTCGGCGATGATGATGATGTGTCGAGTTGTTATTCTGTTGCTGATGTTGTTGTTGCTGATTCTGATCCTCGAAACCAAACTTTAACTGGTCAAGTTGCTGACGTTGTAAAGGATGGGGCCATTGAGCTTCATTTGATCCTAATTTAAACAACGAATCTTTATATAATGCTACTCTTAATTCATCCTTTGATATATAGAAATCTGAAGGGTCAACATTCTGAGGAGATGCTGCAGCATGAGCAAAAATATCGTTTGGTGGTGGAGCATTAGGGTCAGCAAATAGTAAATTATTGTTATTATTATAGTGATTGTCATTATATGAGATATGAAGATGATAATTTGCTGGTGATGAAGGATTAGTTATGGAACTACCTGTTACACTATTATCAATAATAGTGCCATTATGGTTACTACTATGAATACTATCGGGATAAGGAATGCCAGAATTTGAATTAACATTTGATAATGGCGTGAATGGTTGAATATTGGATGGTGAGCCTTTAGTAATAGGGGTATTATTTAAGGATGAATTATCAGGAGAAAAGTTAGGCTGATGTTGATGATGTTGAAGATGAAGATGCGATGAAAGACTATCATTTAGAGTATTGGTTTGTGAAGGTGTAAGGTTGGTTGACGCCAATAATTGATTATCATTATATTGAGATATATCACGATTTCTCTTATCATTTTTCTTTCTTAAATGTTCCAATTTTTCAGGAGGAAAGTCTAGATAACCACAACGATAATTCTTCTTAATACAATTGGAACATGAAGGTAATTCTTCTGAACATTTTATTCTTTTGGCTTTACAATTGGGGCAACCGTCTCTTGAATTTTTATGAGTTCTTCGGCTTTTTCTCTCCGCCACTAGTCTAGGGAAAGGTTGAGACGGATACGACATTAGAAAATGCTATTGAATGAAGATATCATATAAGATGTAATGCTTGTAGGGGATGAGGTAATGGAAATGATTGACTTGAAATTGACTATAGCGGTTAACCAATGATTAAAGGTTGGTGATATATTTCAAATTCAGGTGAATGTTTTTTTTTGTATAATTAAATTATTTTTCTTCACTAATTTTTTCCCCTGTCATTCACAAGCTGGGGGTGGAACGAGTAAAAAAATTAAAGATTAAAGAAGGTGGGGTGGGGTAGACAATATGCTATTAGGCGTAAGTCTCCTTTGATGGACTAGTACAATGATAAACCAAAAATAATTGGAAAGACTATATCGTATATAGTTAAGAAACGGTTAAAAACTAGTTTAACCACATCATTATTTTGATTTATATATATATATTAAGTGGTGTTATAGCATATGAAAGAAGATAAGCCAAAAGAGGTGAAAAAAAAATTGCAGGTAAAAAAAAAAAAATTTGTAAAAAAAAATTGTGAATTATTTTTGGTTTTGTTTGTTCAGACAGCAATTTCAACTTAGAGTTAAAAAATAAAAAATATTATTTTGCAAATCAATAAGGTGCAGAAAAAAATAAAACCATATTAGAAAATATTCTTTTTTTTTTTAGATTTTATTTTTTTTCAAGTTGTCTACAATGCAATTATATAAGGTTAATGTGAGATTGATTTATATATGTAAATGATGGTAATGGTGATTAGACCTTCATTTAGGAGAAAAATAAAGAACTCCATTCGATTTGATGTTTAGTTCTGGTCTTGCTCAAGTCCTTATGCTTGACTTGCATATCACAGGCTCTTTTTATGGTTAGTGAGGGAAATATCGGCATATTCTGGAGTTCCAAGAGTAGTTATTGTTGTCGATCAGCCTTTTTGTTTATGGATTTATTTTTGGATTTTGTTTTATGAGGTGACCAATCTGTTGTCGATTGTTTGATGAGGCTTTGTTGTTTATTTTTATAGAAGTTTTATAAATCATTCTGGGTTATCTGGATATGGTACGGTGAGTAAATCAGGAACCATTCTAGAAGGAAAAGTTAATCAATAATGATATTACGGAGCAAGCCAGGATCAAAGTAAACAAATAATTACGTTTATGTTTATTTTTCTTTTTCTTTTCAGATGGAGCAATATTTCACCATAATCGAATCCGTTTTAGCCATACGACTAATAATAGAACATAGAACTTAATAATAATAATAATATATGTAGCGGTTGTAATCAATCAATATTGCGATACTAAACTCCGGAAACCGGAATTGCCAAGAACTCGTTTGATTGAAACCTGGTTCTCTAAACGAGATATTTCAGTTAGGAGTACATAAATTTATCAAAGCTTTGGGTTAATTTGTATGCAAGTATTTGTGTAAGATTTACTTTTTAGTAGATAAATAACTGTGATTTTTAATTTTACTCACTACATAATATTACTTTTTAACCTTTTTTAGAAATTGGCGAAAACAATATAGATGTAAAAGAATACATAGAAGCAAGATACTACATTTAAATGGGAAATGATAAAATAATAAATCATAAAATAAAAATTTGTTACCCATAAATTAAAAATAATAATGAAAAAAATATATTAAGGAGCTGCTGTAATGTAGGCAAGCGATTAATTGGCATTATACTTGTCTACATGGCATGATCAACCAACTTCTAGAATAGAAACATTGTCAATGTTTCTAATATTCTAGAGGCAGAAACAGATTCACCAATCAAATATATTTTGATATTAGGTTCACTAATAATGATTGGCATTACTAACATCAGTTGCCGATCAGCGAAAAGAAATTTTTAAATCCCAATTGAATGAAAAAAAAAAGAAAAAAGTTGAAATAAAAAATAAAAATCTGTGAGCTTAAAAAATAATTTACTTGTACATAAATTAATCTAATAATAAAGTACAACCTGCTGACATAAGTTCTTAGTAAGCGGCCGTTGATTATAAATTTGTGCTGATATTTTATTTAGGGGGAGAGGGGTAGATTTAATGTGAAAATTATTTGGTGAAGTCCAAAGTAAAATGGAAATGTGGAGGAGGGGAAGCGAAGTTTTGATTTAGAAATAGCACTTTTTTGCATAAACTAACCATGGACAAGAGGTGGTGGGGTGGAAGGTCAGGTCTAACACTATTTTATTTTATTTTATTCTGTCATATTTATTTGTTCTTGGATTTTATACATTACTTGTTTAAGAATGCAAATATTTAATGCTAAATCTAACCGGTTGAAGATGACATTTTTAACATCATCATTCCTAATTAAAAATTACATTCTATTATGTTTAAGATTTATTATTTAGAACACCTTCACATACTATTGTGTTCTATGAGATAAGGGAAAAATAGTGCAAAAGGGGAATAAATTAAACGGGAGAGGAACCTTATGGAAGAATGCTTCGATGGGACTCCGCATCTTCTTCTGTGACAGATAAGAAAAACTTCTTTCGGAACTTTCGTACATGGAAGTAAAGGGATAAATAGGGAACAACGGCTAGTGATTGAATATCATCGATGGACCTAAAAACTACCAATTGACAAGACAAAGGGGAGTGATGGGTTTAAAAAATTAAATTATTTTCTTTCAAAATGGAACACTTAAAAATAGTTTCGAAGACCATACTTCTATATGTAGAACACCATTATTTTTAAATATATGAAAGGAGAGAAGAATGTTAAAAAATCTTGGAAATTTTTAACAATTGCCAGGCTCAGGTTGATTGTTAATCATTTTATTGTTATGATTACAAAATAATTTTTGACAAATTTGGTGTTAAGAAAGAGAAGATGACTATCTCTCGTGTTAATAAACTATTTAGTTCTGCACCAAAACTGTTGAGATTTGTAAGTAATATCGGCTTATGCATATAGCACAATTGAAGAATACATTGTAGGTGTTAAAGACCAATCAGGATATTGATCACTTGCAAATGTACAGACAAAAAAATGTACATACAAATTGAAAAAGAAAAAAAAAGCGTCTTTGCTCTGAAATATTTTCCCCTTTGGGACAGAAAAGGGCGCCCTAATGCTTAATGCCTGTTGCATTCTAATGCCTTTGAACCCAATATTAAAGGCGATATTCATTAATAGCACAGGTAAGTCATTGAAGTCAGACTAATTTTCAACAACGATTTAGGGGAGTAAAAAATAATTCTAATCCATGCATAGTTTCATCTTGCTTTATAGAAAATAAGTAGGTTATAATAAATAAACTTTTAAGATAAAATATCAGTTACTACTATTATTAAATTATGATATTAATTTTCTGGTATTTTAAAATATATTTATATATTTATATATGTATTCAATCAAGTTTGCATTATTATTTATCCTAAATATTTTGCAATTGTACAAAATACCATATAGAAGTAGTAAGCTTAATTCTGTTCACCTTATTTCTAGTTATGAATCCCGACAATCAAAATAGTAATAGAAAGACCATACCACCAAATTAATGTGGTTAAGCCATAATTTCATTCACATTTTATGCTTTTAGCATGTAACCCTGTAATAAGATATCATTTATCAAAATTCGTGTAGGTTTAGTTTTCTTTTCTTTTGTTTTTTTTTTATTTGTTATTCGATTCTAAACTTTGTCTTTCAAAATTTTTAATGCAATAGATTATTATTTATGCGCTATATGCACCATAAAATTTATTTTCATGCACAGAGTTGTAATTTTTTTTTATAATTTTCTATTTGTTTATAGTTTCGAGTTTAAGCTGTGTAACTAGCTAAAGTTTGGCTCCTTTTTTTTTTAATCTATATATATATATACAGTTAAAAACGGTGTTGTAAATAGTGGAATTATCACATCACAGACGAATAAACCCAACACTTTAAAAAGCTTTTAAAACCTGGTATAAATCATATTTCAGAATCTCTTTCTTTTTGGTTTTCTCTCCGTTTTATTCGTCCTGTTTTTGGACATGGTTTAATTGCTCACATATAGATAAAAGTAAAGTTTAATACCAAATTCTAATTTAATCATTTGTTTTTTTGTAATTTTATTTTTTTTTCATATCTTGTAGGTATTTTATTTGAAAAGTAGAAAACAAATTATATTTTTTTACGAATTTTTGTTTTATTTTCATTTTCATTTCCATATTTTCCTTTTAAACGATATTGTCTTAAATTACATTTCCAGTATATTCCCCATCGTTGCCACGACCATCATCACACTTGTTTAAATATAACCACATCTTTTTACTTCTCCTCCACCTCTTCCACCTTTCAACTCTATACAATTCAAAAGCTATTATTATTTATTTTGGTTATTTTTAATCTAATTCTGTTATTATATATGCATTAATCAACAATAACAAGCAAGCCCTTCCGTTTGTATATTTGCATAACCTTGCCGCTGATCTAAACTAATATTTCTCCTTACAATAGATAAAATTGATATTATTTAATTTATTATTATTATTGATTATAAGAAGTCACTTTAGCATTTATATACAGATGCATAACATCCGCTCAGGAGCAGTCCATGTTACCACTTCCCTTGTTTTCCTCGTTCTCTGCCTTTTCATTTTTCCTGTTCATTTTTATTATTTAAATTTCAAAAAAAATTTCATCTATGCTTCTAGAAGGTAAATCAACTAATAAAAAATTTTCTTTTATCCATTTGTGGATAAATGTATTTACCCGATGAAACAAAAAATAGATCGTGACATACATAAGCAAAACAAACACATGCATAGTCATATTGAAACCTACTCACCACTATCTTTTAAACATATAGATTAATATGAGTGAAAATGATTTACTGTGCATTCCTTTTTTTTAAATCATACATTAACAATAAAAAAAAGTTACATATTTCTATTCATTTATACAAGAAAAAGGATTTTAGTCCATAACCCAGTGCTCTAGAACCTCCACATTATTTACCTTTCTTGTCCATTTATGTACTTTGACTCTATTTTTTTTTTATTTTATCCTAGCATAGACCCCCACTTTATCCCGAGGAAGTTTCAAGTAGTTTTCTTTTTTTTTTTGCAGCTTTTAAACACACAGAGATTACTATAATTCATAATCTTTTAAATTTAATTTCCAATTATTTAATTCAATTAAATGTCTCATTGTTGGTCTACCATGTGGACAATTCCATGGCTTATCTAAAGTATTCAAATTTTTAATAATTTGATTCATTCTTGATTTATGTAAACTTTGGCCAATCATAATACTTGATCGACATGCTTTCAGAGCTAATATATTTCTAATTTTTGAACATTTAATTGATTTATTATTAGGATTTAAATTAATTAAATTTAATAATTCAAAAAAATCATTTAAATTAAATAAAATTCCTTTAAAAATTGGTAATGTTTTTAATTCAATTCTAAATCCTGGCTTATTATCTTCATTAATAATAAATTTAAACCCATTTAATTCAAATACTTTTTGATGTTCAATAATTAATAATTCATCAATTATATTAATTTCAAGTTTAATAGATTGAATTAAATTTTGATAATTAATTTTAATTTCATTTTGTAATCTTTCAAAATTAAATTTTTCATCACTAGCATGTTGATCAATTATAAATAAATTCTTTTGATCATTTAATGAAACTAATATAAATCCAAGATTAAATTGTCCAATTAATTTCATATTTAAAAAATCTTGTTTTGATATAATATAAGATAATTTTTCTTCTTGATTTTCTTCAATATTATCAATTTTAATATCATTGGAAGTATCTTTTGATTGTTGTTCATTAATTAAATTTAATGATTTGAATTGTTTTAATGAATCATGAATATCTTCAACATCTAATTTATAAGTTAAATTATAAATATCATCAGTTTTTAATTTCTTAATTGGTGGTTCTTCTATAATTTTATCACCTATTTTGATTTCAACTTTATCATCATCAGTTTCAATTGGATAAAAATTCTTTCCATAATTATCATCATCGTCTTTATTATGATCATGATTACATTCAATTTTATCATGTTCATGTAAGGTTGGGGGTGATGAATTTCTGGCACTACTTGGTGGGGTTCTGTGAGATATTCTTGAAATATCTCTACTTGAGACTTGAATATCATCATTTTCAAATGTGATTTCTTCGACTTGGAATACTTCAGATAGTTTTCGTTTATTATTAGTTTGATCAAACGGTAAAGTTTCGTTGTCATTGCTATTGCTATTGTCATTGTCATTATTCTCATTAATTTCGGCTTCAACATCCTCTAGTTCAGATTCATCATCCTCTTGTTCAGCAGATTCTTCGACCTCTACCTCATTATTGTCTTCCTGGTCATCAGCCTCTTCTCTAACTTCTTCCTCATCTTCTTCTTCATATGCTTCTTCATGTTCTGTCTCTTTTGGTTCCTGTTTAGTCACAGCAAGCTCCTTTTTCGTCCTTATGGTCTCAACTTTCTTATCAATTTGATCAAATTCAGTATCTTTCATTAACAGTTTATTCTTTGGAATTAAATTATTTTGATTTTCAAAAAATTGGGATAATTTCTCTCTAATTAATTCAAATATTTCTAATTCATTATGAATTAAAATCATGGTTTTATCAGGAACTAAATTAATATCTAATTCATTAGGATCAATAATTAAATTAATCATAAATATTGGAAATTGTAAAAAATTAAATGATTTATAAATTTCATTAATTAATTTTATAAATTTTTTATTTATAATTGGTCTTGAATTTATAAATATAAATTGTTTATCATTATTTGCCATGGCTAATCCACTTCCAATTGAACTTGATGATATATATCCTTGTAATTTTAAATGATCATTGATAATTAAATCATTTAAAGGTAATAAATTTTTAAATTGTAAATTAAGATTATTTCCAAATATATTAATTAGATTATCAATGGATGAATTATTTAAACCGCCTTTTGTATTTAAAATTAGATTCTTTTTTGAATTAACCACATTAAATATAGTAAATTTAATATGAGGATAGATTAAAAGATAATTAATTAAGAATTTAATACATTTATTAAATTCTAATTTTAAATTCTTTTCAAAATTTTTAAATCGTACTGGTAAATTTTGAAATAATTGATGTAATATAATAGTTGTACCTGATTTAATTGATGTTGGTTTCTTTGATGATTTAATTAATTCTCCTAATTGATTATATTCTAATTCAAATTGATAAATTGATGATTTAAATTTAGTATTAATTTCTAATGATGATTTACAAATTGAACAAATTGAATTTAAAGCTTCACCTCTAAATCCTAAACTAGTTAATGAATGTAAATCATTAAATTCAATTAATTTAGATGTATGAGATCTTAAACATAATTGATGGAAATTTTCTTCTTCAATTCCATTCCCATTATCATTAATTTGAATTGATTCAAGTCCATAATTATGAAATATAATTTCAATATTTGAACTATTAGCATCAATTGAATTTTCCACCAATTCTTTAATAATTGATTTCAAATCAATAATCACTTGACCTGAAGTTAACTTAGTGATATCATTATGATTGATTTGTTTAATTGATGCCATAGTTTTGATGGTGAATATGTTGTAATATAAAAAAGGCAGCCAAAAATGTAAATATCAAAATAAAATCTTTTTGTAGACGCGCTCTCGCGTTGCTTCCTCAAAGTTTAAAGGAAAATCCCTTTAACCAACTCAATTATCAATTAATTACAAGAATCTACTATCACGATAAACTACAACCTACAAACAAGCATGAATGAAGATAACAGTTAAAAAACTTATACTAACATTCAAAGAATTTTTAATTGTTTGGATTAATCAAATCTTATATTATAATCATATTTATCCTCATGAAATATTTGAACAATTTAAATCATTTAATTTAATTATATATAAGATAAAGAATCCAAATTTTAAAACTTATATAAATGATTTGATTAAAGAATTAATAAAACATTTAATTATCAATCGTTCAACTCAATTATTAGAATTAAATGTGATAATCTTCAATCAAAAATCAAATAAACTTATAAAGAGTTATATTATTAATTTCAATGATATTTTAGCAATTGGATTGAATGATTTAATTGTTCTAAATGATGATGAACTTAATAATGATTATAATGAGGAACATAATGATGATGATGATGATGAAGATGTTGACGATGGATCTGCTATATTGAATGAACCTAATTTATCATGGCATGATATTTATTTACAATTTAATACATTATTATATGATCATATTAATGAATTAAAACGAAATCAAATTAATCAAGAAATTAATGATTTATTCTTTAAAGTTATTGTAAATGTTCCTAAATCAAATCATTTAAATACATTAAATTGGGTTAGATTAAATAATGATAAACAAGATAATCAAAATCAAAAATCAAATAAAAACCAAAATCTTAAACCACTTCAACCTATACGATTTAAACCCATTGGACAAATTAATCTTTATTTATTTAATTTTGATATCCATAATGAATATTCATGATTTCTAAAAAATATCTATATACAATAATAATAAAATAATAATAAATGAATAACAAATATATAAATAAATAATAATGACATAAAACATAACATGTAATGAAAAAAAAACTTAAATTAAACATTTCTAGTTGAATTTAAACCAAATATATTTTTTAAATTTTCATACATGTAATAAGTTATGGAAATTGCAGGAGCAGCTTTAGCTAAATTTGGAACTAAACCTTTAAATAAACCAGGTAAACCTTCTCTTTGAATAGTTTGTTTTAAAACATCTTGAAATCCATTATAAGTATAAGGATGAGCAAAAGTTCCTTGAGCTTGTAATCTTGTTCTTAATAAATTTATAGGATAAACTAATGTTGCACCAAATGTTCCTGATAAAGCTCCTAATGATAAAACAATATAACTTGACAATTTAACTTCATCTTCTCTTATACCTAAAAGTTTACTTTCTCGTTTAACTAAATAATTCTTTATAGTTGTAAAAGTACCTAAATCTAAAGCAGCATAAGGAAATATACCACTTAAACCAACACTTAAACCACGATAAAATATTTTAAACCCTCCTTTTTGATACATTTCTTTGGCGGTTAATAATAATAATTCATTACCTTTTATAGATGAATCTAAATTTGAACATTGAACTCTAAATTTTAAAGTATCAATAGGATAAGTTGTAAATTGGGCACAAACCCCACCAATACCACCACTTAAATAATTAGATAATTTGGATAATTTTGAAGTATCATCAACTCCTTCAACTCTGGCTAAGAATCTTTTTGTAGCTTCAAATGAACCAAATTTCATAGCTGCTTCAGGGAAAACTTTTAAAACATTTAAACCATTTCCTACATAAAAACTTTTTACACCACCTTGTTTATATAAAGTTCTAGCAGCTTGAATTATGGGAGAACGAATAGTTTTATGAGGACTATTATTATGAATATGTTGTTCATGAGCTGCTTGTTTTTCAATATGAGCTAATCTTTCTCTTGCTTCTTCAATTAATTTTACTGATACACCATTTTCAATTTGTTTTGCAATTTCTTGTCTTGAATGTAAAATTGTTGAAGATAAATCGGTTCTAGCAATTAAAAATACTTTAATTCTATCAAATGGAGCTGTACAAGTTCTTGATACTACTCCAGAAAGTCCACCTGCTAAAAAGAATCCAAAACCATTTAAAAATTGATTAATTAAAGTAACTTCACCATCAGGAGATAAATCGAATTCTTCAGCAATGAAATTAAATGCAGTTCTAATTCTTGAACCATGTAATCTTGGCATTAATAATAAGAAATCTCTAAATTCATCATAAGTTATATAACCATCATTTTTATAATCAATTTGATTAAATAATAAATCAATATCATAATTTGATGGAGATAAATTTAACGATTTTTTTAAATAATGAATAAAATCACTTTTATTTAATTTTCCATCATTATCTTGATCAATTTTATTGAAACCTTGTAAAATTTGATCATCAGTACTTGAAAGATATAATTTAAAATCATTAAAATCAATAATTTTATCATGATTTGAATCAAATGAGTTAAAAATAAATTGAATCATTTCAGGATTTTCACTTATAGGATGATTTAATTGTTTTAAAGCCCGTTTAAAATCTTTTAATGTTATTTCACCATTATGTTCAATATCTAATCGTTTAAATAAATCTTCATAATCATTTGGTTTAGAAGGTACGATAATAACTTCATTTTGACCATCATGATCATCTTCTTGAGTGGTATATGAAGATAAGGTGGTAATGATGGAGCTATGAGGAGGTTGAGGAGACATTTAATGAATGTAAGAAATGCAATGCAATTGAATTGAATGACTATATTGTATATGTGTATGTTTTTTTTTGGGTATATGATATATTATATTAGGACTAACTGATTCATAAGGTAGATTGGATGATAAGGTATAAGATCAAGTTAGAATATGAATAGATGGGCGTCGACAGTTAGTTAGTTGGTTGGCTGGTTAGTAGTAAGACTGTGACTGTGACTGTATGTCTGTACGATGGTATGAATGGTAGATATAGTTACAAGGTATGAAGGATTGATGAATGATGATGGGTTGTAAATAGTGTTGTAAATATGTTTTTAGGTTCTGATGGCTGTCTGTTTTCAATATTTTTTTTTTTCTGTTTCTCTTTTTTTTTACGACTCCAAATTTTCTTTTTCTTGTCCGGGATTATATTACCATGTTATAATTAGTATTATTATACTATATTTGATAGTATTAATATTAATTATAATTGAATGATATGAATGAGTTGACTTACCTGATATCTCTATAATGTAATTAAATTATGGTATAACTAAGAGTTATGGGGTATAATGTATTTATAGTATCTACCTTACGTGTTGCGGTGTGGATGTTTTTTCGCTTATGATAACTCTTTTTTTATTTAAAGTGCTTAAATATAAATTGAATTGGATTGGTTGCAAATTATTTATATAATTAATGGTATGATTATTAATTTATATTGATTTTATTAAAGAGTATCTTGGTTAATGAGGTATCTAGTGTAGTTATTAGTGATTTTTAAGAAAATTAATCCATTTATTGTCATTATGTAACTAGTATATCTTAATTTTATTATATTTATTAGTCAATTTAACAAGAATCTACCATGTTTAAAATATTAATATTTTAATTTAAAATCATCTAAAAATGATTTCAACAGGATTTAACCACTCATATACAATTTAATCTACTTTTTCTATACATAACCCTATTCAATCATTATCAAATGATTTCAATTGAAGAATTACAAGTAATAATCCTATTAATTACATAGTAAACTTATAGTTATAAACGATAAATTGACCATCTCACACGACCATTTTAATTTTCAACGACCAAAAAAAAAAAACATAAATTTTTTAACAAAGATCAAAAACACGTAAAAATTTAATATGATCAAAAAATTAGTTATTATCAACCATACCAATCTTTCATTGTCCTATCCAATCATACTCATAGATCGATCGATTCCATCTATCCATCCATCCATTAACTCGACGTAATCTCAATCATGTCAGTTCAAATCTTTGGAGATCAAGCCACTGAAGAAAGAGCTGAGAATGCTCGTATGTCAGCCTTTGTTGGTGCCATTGCCGTTGGAGATTTAGTTAAATCAACTTTAGGTCCAAAAGGGATGGATAAATTATTACAAAGTTCATCAAATCCTGATTCTGCATTGATTACTAATGATGGTGCCACCATTTTAAAGTCTATCCCATTTGATAATCCTGCTGCTAAAGTATTAGTTAATATTTCCAAAGTTCAAGATGATGAAATTGGTGATGGTACAACATCAGTAACTGTATTAGCAGCTGAATTATTAAGAGAAGCCGAAAAATTAATTAATGAAAAGAAAATTCATCCTCAAACTATTATTGAAGGTTTTAGAATTGCAAAAACTATTGCTTTAGAAGCTTTAGAAAAAAATTCTACTAATAATGGTTTAAATCCTGAATTATTTAAACAAGATTTAACTAATATTGCTAAGACGACATTATCATCTAAAATTTTATCTCAAGATAAAGAATTATTTTCAAATTTAGCAGTAGATGCTATATTAAGATTAAAAGGTTCAACTAATTTAAATCATATTCAAATTATTAAAAAAATTGGAGGTAAATTACTGGATTCTTATTTAGATGAAGGTTTTATATTAGAAAAAAAATTTGGAATAAATCAACCTAAAAAAATTAAAAATGTTAAAATTTTAATTTCAAATACTTCAATGGATACTGATAAAGTTAAAATTTTTGGAGCTAAATTTAAAGTTAATTCAACTTCAAAATTAGCTGATTTAGAAAAAGCTGAAAAATTAAAGATGAAAACTAAAATTGAAAAGATTAAAAAATTTGGCATAACTTTATTTATTAATAGACAATTAATTTATGATTATCCTGAATCTTTATTAACTGATGCTAAAATTAATTCAATTGAACATGCTGATTTTGATGGTATTGAAAGATTAGCTTTAGTTACTGGTGGTGAAGTAGTATCAACTTTTGATGCACCTGAACAAGTAAGATTAGGTCATTGTGATACCGTTGAAGAAATTTTAATTGGTGAAGATTCATTTATAAAATTTTCTGGTGTATCTCAAGGTGAAGCATGTACTATTGTTTTAAGAGGTGCTACTGATCAAGTTTTAGATGAAGCTGAAAGATCTTTACATGATGCATTATCAGTGTTATCTCAAACTACTAGAGAAACAAGAACTGTTTTAGGTGGAGGATGTTCTGAAATGTTAATGTCAAAAGCAGTTGATCAATATGCTGCTAATGAAATTGGTAAGAAATCTTTGGCTATTGAAGCTTTTGCTAAAGCTTTAAAACAATTACCAACTATTTTAGCTGATAATGCAGGTTTTGATTCTTCCGAATTAATTACAAAATTAAGATCAGCTATTTATAATGGTATAACAACTTCAGGATTAAATTTAAATAATGGTACTATTGCTGATATGAAAGAATTAGGAATTATTGAATCTTATAAATTAAAAAGAGCTGTTGTTTCTTCAGCTACTGAAGCTGCAGAAGTATTATTAAGAGTTGATAATATTTTAAGAGCAAAAGCTCGTACTGCTGATAGAAATCATTAATCAAATGTATACCCAAATATAATTAGTTAATTTTAATAGACATAACGCAATTTGTATATATATAATTAAAATTATTACTACAGTGTAATCTTGATATTGCGGTCCAAATTAGGAAGTCCCCTCTTTTTTTCTTTTCTTCTAAAGAAAAAAAAATTTTAGTGGGTGTCAAAAGGTAAGGACCCTAAAAATTTAGGACAGTTACAATCAATTGATAAGGATATGTAAAGGTTATCAGCAACATGATTTGCCAGTAAGACGCGTCAACAGACGTAGGAATTCTCTGGATCAACGTATACACCTTTTATCCTTTTTATTAACAATTTCAAATGTCCATGTAAGTGCATTTTATCTCCTCCTCTCTCCCTTGTACATAAAAAAGCTTAATCTTGAATTAATAGTGTAAATGATAAGTTACGTAATGATTTAGAAGGGATGATGAACTTAAATTAGTTAATTCGATTGGCCTGGCCTGGCCTGGACCTACTTACTTTGCCACTTTAATCCTTATTGTTTATCATTATTAACTTCATAGTAGAAACTCTGTATTATGTTGAATTATTTAAATCAACTAACTAACTAACTAACTAAATCAATTATTTCCCTATGAAGAATTTAAAAACAATCAGTTATCGAACCGAAGATGAAACGAATACGAAACGATTAACAAAACTGAAATTTTGCCAAAAACTCAAAAATCCCAAAATCTGAATCTTTAAATTTTATGGTTTTGGTTTTGGTGGTGGTGGTGGATCATTTTCATTTTGAGCAAATCGTGGAGAAAAAATCAAACACATACCTTCCATATCCGGAGACACAAAGTCACCTTTTAAATCAGGATTATGATGACGTTGAGAAAAAAAATGGGAGTGAACAGAGAATGAACGTGGGTACATCCACCTGTGCTATCGAGATTTCACATCCCTTTACAATCAGGATGATGAGACCAATAATAAATTACTGATAAACTATTCTATCTATAGTGATTTGAGATGAGTGTTCAATTGGGGGAGGAGTTAAGAAGGTGTATGATTATGATGTGAGACCTCAATTGACCTCAATTGACGTCATATCGAGTACTAGTTCTATAAAGTAAAATGATGAAAGATTACAGTATTAAAATGTTCTACAAACCAAATATAAAATCGATGGCAAAAGAAGATTCAAATTCAAGTTAAATTCAAAATAAAATAAAATAAAATAAAATAAAAAAAAAAAAAAAAAAGGGGCAGAGTAGCAGCAGCAGCAGCTAAAAAAAGGGGAATCAATGAATTTTTCAAACATTGAATGTTGATACTCTCTGTAGAGTAGTAGTTTGGCAGGTTTCGCCCATTGAAAAAGAAGAATTGAATTGAATTGAATAGAATAGAATAGAATAGAATGGAATGGAATTGGAATTAAGGTGAAGTGAATTAAAGGTTAATGCAAAATTCACAGTAATTTGAAGCTAATGACGACAATTTACATAATAGCAATCTTAACCCTGTTTCTACACGATCAATTACCCACTTGATATTACATTGACAATGAAATTTTTAAAATAATAATAATAATAATAATAATAATAATAATAATAATAATAATAATAACCAACCATAAATGATTAATCAATATAAATTTAACCGCTTATGGAAAATAGATCAAAACTTGCGAAAACAACAATCAAAATAGTACAAATTCAAAATGTTCAACATAATTCATTTTTCCCCATTGTAGTTTATCCCACCCCTCTCTTATTCTATTCTATATCATCTAAATGATTAAATTGAGGCTTTATTAAAGTTTCTAAACCAAAATGGAATAATAACAATTTGGTAATAGAGAATACTTGTGAATAAAGAACCAGAAAAAGAAATAAAAAATATAGTTGATCATGGGGTGGTTCGTCGTGTACGTTAAAGTACAGGTATAACTTTATTGGGATTGGGTTGTGTGGAGGATGAGAGGATGAGGATGAGGATGAGGAGGAGGAGGAGGAGGAGGAAACCAAAAACCTCCCCTCGTATTCGTCGTCATCTTTTATTCGTTGTCGTCCCTTTATCCAATCGCATCTCATCGCTATTTCTCCTATTAATCATTATTCATAGTAATATTATTGATTGATCGATGACATTCTCATAAATCATAATAAAGACACAGAATCAAATTCCATCTTTCTTCACCTCAATTGACGTCTACACAACCACCCACACTTTTGACACTAACAAGTCAATGGTTGCTACAGTGGAGTGTACCCATTTTAAATTTTGCATACTGTAAACACACCCTAGACCGCTGAAGAGACACCACACCTTTTCCTATTTCTCCTTCACTTCCCTGTTTGATTGTAGTGTATATGCTATTGTGTATTGTTTATTTTTTTTTTTATTTTTATTTTTTTTTATTGCTTTTGTTTTGTTCGGTACAGCACAGCACAGCATACAATTACTATTACTGAAATTTTCTGATTTCACCTTAATCTCCATATTTTATTAAATCTGGGTTTATGTCACTTTTTCAATTTTATATCCCATTTATCCCCAAGTTTCATGTTTTATTTGTGGTTTGAAATTTTACAATTAAAACTCAATTAACGTGTGGGTGCTGCGTGTGGTGTCTATTTACATATGCCTGTAGGTAGGTAGGTGTGTTCTATTTTATTTATTTTATTTAATAGCAATTGTTCAATTTTTAATTTCGTCAAACTATATAAATAGTATTATTGATCCCCCCCTTTCTTCGAAGTGTTGATTTATTTCATTTTCTTCTTTCCTCTTTTTCTTTCTTTTTCCTTTTTAATTATTGTGTATTTTCATATATATAATTACAACAACTACAACTAACTAAGCAACAATGGTTTTCGGATTCGGTGACGACAAAAAAGATCAAAACAAGGGTGGTAACTCTGACTCTTACGGTAACCAAGGTGGTAACTCTGATTCTTATGGTTCAGGTAACCAAGGTGGTGACTCTTATGGTAACCAAGGTGGAAACCAAGGTGGTTTTGGTGGTTCCGGTAATGATGATTCCTATGGTAACCAAGGTGGAAACCAAGGTGGATTTGGTGGAAACCAAGGTGGTGACTCTTATGGTAACCAAGGTGGAAACCAAGGTGGTTTTGGTGGAAACCAAGGTGGTGATTCTTATGGTAATCAAGGTGGAAACCAAGATGATTCCTACGGTAACCAAGGTGGAAACCAAGGTGGATTTGGTGGAAACCAAGGTGGTGACTCTTATGGTAACCAAGGTGGTAACAACAATGACAACTATTAAGTCAATTGATGTTTTTACGTGTTTATGTGAGGGAAGAAGATTACTTGTTCAAGCTAGTTCTTGGATGAGAAATAATGATATCCCTAGAATGCTCTACCAAAAAATTTGATTTATCACTATTAGTCCTTTCTATAGTTTTTTCTATTTACTAAAAAATATAAGATATTGTATATCTGTTCTATAAAACTGATAATTGTAAGTCAATTGAATGAATTGAAGTATATTGCCACAATTTAAGGATGGGGGGTCTTTATTGTTGCAAATGAGAGCCTAGATTTTTCTTAACTATTGCGAAAAAATATTAGTACAGCACTGTTAATGCGTTGACGCTGAAGTCAACCCAATTTACGAACTACAATTAATAAAAAACAAACGATTGAATACTCTAAATTATTTTCATAAATATAATTATAAATGTTTGTATGTATGTATGTATGGTAAGTAAGTAAGTATATAATATAATATATAGATCTCTTTCATTCTTTATTTCTATCCCAATTGAGGTAATGGAGCATATAACACTTGAGTTACATATTTTCTTTTATATCTTACAATAGAAGCTACTGCTAAAGTATGATTCTTTATAGATGTTGTAGTTAAATGATTTAAAACAACATGATTTGGAATTGGTAATGCACCACCATTATTATCTCGATCTAAAGAATTATAATTATTTAAAATTACATTTTCTAAATGAGGAGGTAATTGAGGTGGATGTAACCATGCTTGTTGTTGACCATTTGAATTCTTTGATTGTTTATCAATCGCCATATAATATTGTTCCATTACTTTTGGATCAGTAAAAATTGGTGGTATATCATTAATATATTGGAATTGTTTATTATTTAAAGGATTTTCTTCATCTTCTTCATGATATCTTGAATATCCATTACCCATATCATCATCATCATTAATTAACCCCCACATAGAATCACGTCTTGCAGGACCTGAAACTGATGAACGACGAGATTGAGCTTGAGATTGAGATTGTCTAGTATCAGCATCATTATCTTGAGATGGTAATGCTGATCCACCTTCTTGTTGTAATAAATGAGCTTGAATATGTTCAGGAGTAACTTCAACATAATTTACAAAATTACCCATTTGATCAGTAGCAGTTGGTAAAAAATCTGAAAATCTTAATTCATTATCAATAACAAATCTAAATCGATGAGTTCCAACTGGTAATCCTAAAGTAATTAAAAATGAAGTATCAGCTTGTTTAGTTAATCCAATCATTTTTCTCCAACCGGTAAATGAACCAGTAACATAAACTTTCTCACCACCTTGAACCCATTTAATATCAACTGGAACGGCTATATTTGGATCTGGTACAGCTGGTGGTGCTTGACCTTGTGAATTTTGTTGTGTTTGTTGTTGTTGGGTTTGTTGAGATTGTTGATTGAGTTGAGTTGATGATGGATCAATATGCATTTGATCACCTGGATTCACATTATTATCCGAATCTGATTCATTGTTATTATTATTATTGTTGTTATTATTATTCTTGTTTAAATTTATTTTATCTAAATCGATATCATCAGTTAAGATTAAAGTTGATTTTCTTCTTAGAGGTTGAGTTGGTTCTTGTGGTGGTTGATCAGAAGAAGTAATATTTGATTGATTTGATGATTGTTGTGGTTCTTGTTGTTGAGATGATGCATTGGATACATCAACCATGGATACATCTTTTGGATCTGGTTGTTGACCTGGATTTGGCGGACTGTACATTATATGAATCTAATTTGAAATGATGTGAATTGAAAAGTGATAGAATTAGATGTTCTTATTATGATTTCAAAAAGTAATGCCGAATACAATTAGAATTAGGAAATAGTGATAGGCAGTATAGGGGGATGACCGTGGGAAGTGAAATATAAAATGACAAGATGAAATGATGATGATTAGAAGAAGAATAAAAAAGGAATGATAAACTGTAAATACAAACTAAAGTAAAGTCAAGGATGTGATGATTCTGATATTGAATGATTTAATCAAATGATCAGATTGGATTGATAGATTGAATTGAAAGTGATATAGACGTTGATAATGAGTTAAGTTGAGTTAAGTTGTTGATATATTTTGACGTTTTCTGTTTGTCCTTTTTCTGCTCGTTCGTTCTAGTCCTTTTTTTTTGAGTTGTTCACTTCTTTTTTTGTTTTTTAATGACTCAAAATATGAATGATGATGAAATAGATATTTATAATTAGATGTGATAATGGATCAAACGGAGAGAAATGATAAACAGATGAAATGAATTAACTAGCAGATCATATCCATTAAGTTTATCATTAATATTTATCAAATTAATGTAATATATAAAGTTTAGAGTTAATTATCGACATTGTTCCGAATAAAATTTAGTCACATGATTGATCATGTGATCAAGTTTCCTAAAATAGTAATAACTAATAGTATATAGCTCTTAACTCTACTTGATAGGCTATGAATTATGACTATTTCTATTTTTATATATATTTAAGGATATGATATGTATCTATCTATCTATTTATTGGTACTTTGCTATGCTTTGCCATGATCACTATTATTTTATGATAACCTTTATTCATATATGAGTACCCACAAAATGGAACACCTCATACCTTCAACAACGCTAATAATACACCCAACAACAACCTGAATGACTTCAACTTATAACCAACTACTCTTCGTTCTTTCTCTCTCTCTTTTTATATAAACTATTCAATCTAACATTATTATGTTATCAAATGGATATACCTGCTTTACTGTTTATTTAAATGTTTAACATTAGTTGATATAGCATGATAAATTAATATTAACACAACCGATGCAATTCCAAACGATATGGCTATAGTATTCAATTGACCATCAGTAATCATCCTGTATGTATATGTTTATTATGATATGGTTGATCTAATAATGATTAGGTTTGAAACAAATGAATTAAACGTTTAGTTAATAAATCAATATCAATAAAATCGTGTTCTATTCTATTCTGCTTGTGTTTTGCTGAACAAAACAAACAAAAAATTTGGAAAATCTAATCACATGACAAGTCACATGATCAAAACATCGTAATTTTTTTTAGTAACATTTTTTTTCATAGTAATTTTTCTTAATTAATCCTTGTATAATAACTGAATACAGATAAAGATTAATAAAAGGTGTCAAGTATAGATGAGTTGGTAATGATTAGAAACTTATTCTGTCTGTCTCATAATGTACGAAGACTACCGTTACAACTGCATCCATTTATAATACCGAAATCATCATCAAATTCTGCATCATTAATCTCATCCCATCAATTTATAACTCAAAATCAATCCTTTTCATCATCATCCATAATTCATAATAATTCAAAGGTGAAAGATTCTTCACCAATAATAATACAACAAGATAAGAAATCCCGATTTAAAGAACAATCAGAACCAAGAGAAAAACCATTATGGGAGAAAAGAAATGAATCATTAAAAGCTCGATATCCGATATGGAATCCAACTAAGAAATTATCAAGACTGGTAATGGAAGATATTAAAACTTTAAAGGATAAAATCCCTCATTTGAAGACGATTGATTTAGCTAATCATTTTCAAATCTCACCTGAATCAATCCGAAGAATACTTCGATCTAAATGGGTCCCTACTGAACAAGAACAAAAATCAATCATGGAAAGACATCAAAGAAGAAAAGAGAATGTTAAATCATTAAGAGATGCTCAAAAGGAAGAATTAATCCAACAACAGAAGAGAATGAAATTAGGGAAAAGTATTGGTATAAATGATGTGGTTATAAATAATCCTGATCCATTATCATCAAAATCGAAACCGAAACCAAAACCATATAATTATAAACAAAATTTCACTTCAGATAATGGTAAAGTTAAATTCAATAGTGATGTTAATCATGGATATTATAATAAACGAGGTAGAAAGAAACATAATATGATTAATAAACCATTCACTGATAGTGTGGCTGATATGTTGGATTAATCCTTTTAATAATAACGAACTCTTGAAACTTTTAATGACTCCCTTATATACTTGCATTCATATACCCTTGTAAATAGAATCCACATCTCAATAGTAGATAATGTACATATAAAATACCATCGTTGATATAGAGAAAGTGTATAGAAACTTTACCTGACTGCAAAATGAACAGGTCGTGTGCGATTGACAAATTACAATTTTTTTTACCGAGGAGATTATAAAGTCAAATCTCCACAAATTGATGATGGAAAGGTTTCAACATAAAGCTATTCCTAATCATCAACAACTATTCAATATGGCCATCGTACCCATACTCACCATTCCTGAACTTGCATTCGACCCAACAGGAGCCACTACAGTGAGAAAGAAATCTGCATTATTGAATTATTTATTTTATCTTACCAATGGATCATCTATATTCTTAATTATAATTTATCTTGTGGGAGTATTTGGATTAAAACCATTATTAAATTTAAAAAATGAAAGAAGATTACAATTATTTGATTCTTATCGGATTAAATTAATGGAATTCTATTTAAAATTGATTACAAAAGTAAGTTATATTCCGATTGTATCTAAGAAATTAAAAAAAGTCAATAAAGATGGTGTTGAAGAAGAAATTGATGGTAAATTATATAACGATATGGTTATCCAAACTGATGATTCATATTTAGAGAAATCCAATGCTTCCAAGAAGAAACTGAAAGTTAGTTTTGCCAATGATGATCAAGATGATGAAGGCGAAGATGATGATAAATTATATCAAAATAAATTAATTAATAAATTAACTAAATTAAATGAAAAATTAAATAAAGTTGAATCATATCTGATTTTAAAACTTTCAAATTTTAAAATCACTGCTTTTTCCATAAAGGATTTTCAAAATAAAGCTGATTTAATTTATTTTGATTATAATAATTATTTCACAAATAAAGATGTGGTAACTAATTTACTTGATAAGAAAGGTGGTGGAAGTACTGAGAAAGATGTTAAGGATCCTACTACGTTTTCAGGGTATAAGAAACATAAGAACTTGGCAGTTGAAACCAAGACTGAGATTAGAAATATAAAAGGTTTATATATGAGTGGTCAATATTGAGTTTATTTAATGAAATGTACATATAACTAATGAATCATCTGTAATAATTGTAGTTGTAGTTGTAGAGTTGTAGTGGTTGATATTTGGTGAGAGCCAAAAAAAAAAAAAGGCAGGCACGTAAAAATTCATGCTGAACAAAATCAATTTGACTTTCCATAACAGATAGCATAATACAACACATCATAGGGCAATGGCTCCTCCACCACCTACTATAAACGATAGCGACGATGATTCAAGTGATTTGGATACTTCAATGTTAAATAGTACCAGAATTGAAGATGATGAAGAGGAAGAAGATGATGAAGAAGAGGATCAAGAGGAAGAAGAAGTAGAGGAGGATGACGAGGATGAAGAAGAAGAAGGGGGGGAACAAGAAGATGAAGATGCCAATCAATACGATTCAGAAGCTTTATCAGATGTAAGTGATGCTCCTGAAGAAGAACAAGAAGTGGAAGGTGAAGTTGAAGAAGAAGAAGATGATGATGAAGATCCAGCTTGTAGTGAATTAGAAGAAGTGAATCAAGTACAAAATGAAGAGGAAGTAGAGGATGAAGAAGAAGGTGAAGTTGAAGAAGAAGAAGAAGGAGATGAAGAAGGCGATGAAGAAGGCGATGAAGAAGATGAAGATGAAGATGAAGAAGAGGAAGAGGAAGAGGAGGAAGAAGAAATCATTAGTGAAGATGAAGATAACTATAAACTTGAAGATCCCGATGAAATAGATGAAGATTTAGAACTTCGAGATGAAGAAGAAGAAGAAGTAGTAGTGGTCAAACCAAAGCCAACCCCTAAAAAGATAAGTATAACAGTGAAACCACCCACTAGAGAGAGATCGACGAAATCAATTGAAACACCACAGAAAGAATCATCCCAACCAGTACGAGAAACAAGAAAAAGGCAATTAACATATTATGAAGAAGATGATGAAGTTGATGAAGATGAAGAAGATGATGAGGACGACGAAGATGATGATGATGATGAAGAGACAGTTACTTATAAACCCGTTAAAAAAGTGAATCGTCATCCCGAAAGAGTGGTACAACCTCAAGAATTAGATGAAGATTTAATTTTAACAGATGAAGAACAAGAATATAATCCTCATGCTAATCCTGATTTATCTAAAATGACAGAAAGGCAACGAGCAAGATATTTAGAAGAAGAAAATGATACTGCTGAAGAATCCTCCAATAAGAAATTCATTGAATTAGATAACCATTATTCAAGTTTAAAGAAAGTTAAACCAAAGAAGACTGAAACTGAAGAAGAAGTAGCGTTAAGAAAAGCTGAAAATGCTAGAAAGAGACAAGATTATAAAATGAAAGTATTAGAAGAAGAAAAAAGAGATACTCTTAATAAATTATTAAAAAGAAGAGCTACAAAGACCAGAGAAGTTCAAGATAAAGATGGGGTAATTGATTCAATTCAAGTTTCATCAAATTCAAAACCAAGAAGACCAAATGTTAGTCATCCTGCTCTTATAAGGTATGTTAATAATACTACTAATCTTGAAGGGAATGCAGTTTTGGCTCTTAATACATTGTAATATAGTAAATAGTTGTATAAAATTATTAGTATAATATATAACTTTTGGATGATAATTAGTTGCAAAATTTGTAAAGCGCAAAATAGATTTGGTTGATATGATACCGTTTAGCTTATTGATTCTGATATTGCTTATTTATCAATGTAGCGAGACCATGGTCAAATAGATTATCAGAATACTACCATAGTGGTATCCATAAATAAAATGTAAAACAAGTACCCACATAAATTATAGCGGATATACATATTTAATCTGCAAACTGATAAGACATGCACCCTACATGTACACTTACTAACTAACTAACTATTAGACTCGTGTCTTTCACTCCCACTCCAGTAAAATCTCATATCATTACACCCCAGTTACAATTGAAACATACAAGTTTGAATTTCATATATATAAGTTTTACGTTAAATGTGAAATCAAAATTTCTTTTTTTTTTCTTCCGCTTTTTTTTTTTTTTTTTATTTTTTCGAATTCGCTTTTTTTCGAATTTAAAAAAATTAAAGCAGAATAGAGAGAGAGAGAGAGGGACAATCCCTGTTTATAGTATTTATTATTACTTCAACTATCTATAATCCCACTCCACCTCTTAAAGACAAACACTTGTATTTGTGTGGTAGAATGAATGGGAATCTAAATATGAATGGGATGAATATGGCCACAGGAATGATGAACCAGAATATGAATGGGTTGAATAATAACCAGCAAGCAATGGTTGCCTTAATGCAAAATCCCGCTTTTAACAATAGAATGCTTCAACAACAACAGCAGCAGCAACAACAACAGCAACAACAGCAAAATGCTCAAGGTGCTAATGCAGCTGCTGGTGGACACCAGTCACCGGTGCCCCAACAACAACAGATACCGGCTCAACAGATGTTTAACCAAAATGGTCCAATGCCATTCCAACAACAACAACAGCAGCAGCAACAGCAGCAACAGCAGCAACAACAGCAACAGCAGCAACAACAACAACAACAACAACAACAACAACAACAACAACAACAACAACAACAACATAGACTAAGTATCAATTCCAATGCAGCAGCAGCAGCAGCAGCTGGTCATATGAATGTCATGCCTCAACAATTGAATCAACATCAAATGCTTGGCCATCCTCAACAACAACCACCACCACCACCACCACAACAGGTTAATGCCAATCAATTAGTAGGGGGAGGTATACAAAGAAATCAACAATTACTCTCCACAGGAGCCCAACCTGCCAAGAACAATCAATTCAATGCAAATGGACCTCCAGCTTCAAACACCATCCCTCAAACCTCAACTTCGGCTGGAAATTCTCAAGGTCATACTCCTCAAATGGGTAATAGAACTCAACCAGGACAATTCAATCCCCAAGTTCAAGCACAACAAGCACAAGCCCAGGCTCAAGCGCAAGCTCAAGCTCAAGCTCAAGCTCAAGCCCAACAACAAGCCGCCAAAGTAAATGGTGGTACTTTACCAAATACTGTAACCCCTGTAATGCCTCAACAACAACAACCAACTCCTCAAAGTCAACCAAGACCAACTAATGCATATCAATCTCCATCAGCTATAAACTCAGCTCCAGCATCACAAGCCAATCGTCAACGTAAACCAGTGGCTCCAACTGTTAATGCTCCAACATCTGCCCCAACTATTTCCACATCATCTCCTTCCCAAAAACAACCAAATGCAGTAGGTACTGCAAACCCCGCTGTACCTAATCCAACTACTAATCCTACTAATGTGACTACTAATCCACAAGCTCAAGCTCAAGAACAATTACAAAATGAAATTAATGCTCGAATAATGAAACGAAATATGGGAAATGCTGCTGTCATAAGAGTATTGGATTTAATTGAACAAATTTCTAATGAATCAACCGCATATTTATCTAATATAGATTATTGGAATAGAGTCATACAAGCATATTTCTTAGTGAATTCAGTATTAAGAGTTAATATAATACCAGGTCCAACTCCAAAATTTGATAATAATAGTAAAGCAGGTGATAATAATAATACGAATTTACCTAAACAATTTGAATTAACTACTACTATTGCCCCTAGATTCTTTGTGGCTAATGTTCTTGTGGGTAATATTGCAAAATTTATGATTACATTACCAGGATTAAAATTTCAAATTATAAATAATGGATCGGTATTTATATTTGCCAAATTATCAATGCAATATTATTATAATGATGGATCTAATTCATCAGTTAATGGTCATATAAAGATATTATTAAATCGAGAATTAAGAATAGATTGGATAGATGTTAGTTTCTTAAATTATCAAAGTTCAGTGAATTTCATTGCTTTAGAAAGAAGATGGAAACATTATGTCGATCAACAACAACAACTGCAACAGCAACAAAATAGTAAATCAAAAGCTAAGGAAAATGTTAATCCAAGTGAATTTTTCAATCAAATATTTGATAATTCAGAAGCAGTTAAAAATACTCCAAATTCAGGTATTCATGATGATGCAATGAGAGTTTTACAAGTGGGTGATATTATGTCAAATCTTCGATCATTAATGGGATTTGCTATATTTAATAATGTTAATTCTCCCTTAAAGGCTTTGGAATTATTTATGAATTCAAATAATCAATTAATGGCTCAACAACAATCACAGTTAGCTGCTAAGGCACAAGCTCAAATGGCGTTATTAAATCAACAAGCTCAACAAGCTCAAGCTGCACAACAAGCCCAAGCCCAAGCTGCTGCAGGTACTCAAGCGCAGGGTTCATCACCATCTCCGCATACGGCTAATGCAGATGATCCTAAGGGATTAAAGAAAAGAAAACTAAGTGTTAGTGCGGGAAGCCCATTGGCTATTGATTCAACTGGTAGCAAACGAAGAAAGTAAATCCTTAATCCTTAGGAACTTTATTATATTTTTTCAATTTTCGTCATTATAATTCTATTATTATTAGTATTTCGTTTTTTTCTTCAATTCCATTTAATTCCTGACTTGTATCAATCAAGTTGAAAGTATTTTAATCATATTCTTCATCATTATTCTTAAGGACGCTTTTACTGCATTTTTCTTATGTATATATTCATTATATAAAAATGACAATATAAATAATATTTTTTGTGTATACCCGTAAAAAAAAAAATCATGTAAAAAATCAAATCAAAATTCACGTCTTTGAAAGATAACTGATATTGATAATTCAACAGATATCATGACGATGAGATGACCAATGAAGGTAATAATGATAAACTACACGAACGACTCCTATTGCCGTTAGCAGAAGCCATACGGCCTCAAAGTTTGACAGAGTATATTGGACAACTGGGTCTTATCAATACTACCAATGGAGAAATTTGGAATTTTATAAGGTTGGGATATTTACCTTCCATGATCCTTTATGGACCGCCAGGAGTTGGTAAAACCACTATAGCTTCCTTGATTGCTGAGAAATGTGGATACATATTTACAGAATTATCAGCTACTGATACTACTATTGCTGAATTGAAAGATTTACTGATAACTATTGAACGAGAAAATGCCAAACGATTAGATTCAAAAGACGGACAATTATTAAAGATTGTTATATTCATTGATGAGATTCATCGATTTTCAACTAAACAACAGGATTTCTTATTACCTTATGTTGAAAGTGGGAATTTTGTATTTATAGGAGCTACTACTATAAATCCTCATAAAAGAATACGACGAGCCATATTATCAAGATGTCAAATATTTCAATTAAATTTATTAACATCAGATGAAATCATGCAAATTTTGAAAAGAGCTATGTTATTTGAAAATATTAGACGAAAACATTTACATAAATTACGATTTTTAAGTTATGATGATGATTGTTTAAACTTAATTATCAATTATGCTCAAGGTGATACGCGTATTGGGATTGGATTAATTGAATTAATCAGTACTAAATTTGCAACTGATGTGTATAAATATAGTGGAGGAAGTGAACCAGTGAGTTTGAATGTGATTGAATTGAAGGATTCCATAAAGAGTTTAAGATATTCATTACAAGGTTTACAAGATGAATCCAATTTAAAGATATTTAAGAGTTTATTTGATGCATTACGTTGTATAATTCCATCTGAGGAGTTTAAACAAGATATTACTGATGATGGCAAACTGTCAGACAAACCCACTGCGAAGGCAACAAAAGATAAGAAGGATGAAGAGGTTACTCTTGATTACTTTCTTGATGATTTTAAAAGTAGATATATCGATCCTGATGATAAAGATTATGAATATTTACATCAAATGCAAGTATCTGATGATAGTGATATTGAAGAAGGAGGTGATATTTATGGTTGTTCCACTAGTGAAGTAAAACTTATCGATCCATCTAAATCATCTACATTAGAACACTTCCAATTATCAGCTGTCTTCTATACTCAATTACTATTAAAAAGAGGAGAATCACCTATATTTATTGGAAAGCAATTGATCTTATTCACTATCTTATATGTTAAAACAGATGTGTTTTCATTAAGAAAAATATTGAATGCTTTAAAAGCTGTCAAATATTCGAATGCAAATGTTGATATAGTCTTATCCAATTGTGTGGAATGGTTAACCAAACAACCTAAATTGATCCTAGATTCCAGTAATGATATCAAAAGACAATTACAATGGATAAAGAGATTCCATAAACGTCAATCAAATCTGGCTGTAAATAATGATGATGATACTTTGGTACAAAATATTCTGTTCGATATAGATTATGATTCTGATACCATTGATCGATTGCTACATGATGTGCCTAATGATGTGGAAGGTGTTGATCAGAATCCAGGGTTTGTAGTTAAGAGTTTTGATGAATTTAAAGATGATGATGATTTTAATATTGGTAAGGATTTTTAAATAGTGAATACACATCATCATCAACACAATCCCTCTCTCACTCTCCCTCTTTTTTTTTAGCCGCCAAAATTAATTTGTAGAAGTCTTCTTTGGCTGTAAATAATAGTCTTTTTATCAAATACATCAGTTACAATCATGAATCAAACTAGTAACGGTAATGATGGCAATGCCAATGCCTCACAATTGACTTTGATTGGTTCTACAATTGATCCCGACCACAAGCAATCGCCATTTCATAATTATCCCTTTATGAAGAATATTGCAGCCTTCAACTCCAATGGATTATCAATCTTGATTAACTTTGTCTTACAATTATATGTCAATCTTATTATCTTTGAAGTAATCCTTGTGTTTAAAATTAGAAGATATATTGATTCTTATTATAAAACGATCATTTATTTTCATTTATATTTACTTGAATTAGGTATGCTTGGTAATTTATTAATTTTAAATTGGCTCTACACTTCTACTGGAACTAATCCATCAATTGAAGATCCTGAACATGTTGAAGAATATAATAATAGAGGTTGGTTAAAAGTTTCATCCATTCATAAGGCTTATTGGAAGAATTTAGAAATTGAATTTAAGAGAAGATATAGTTCTAAGAAAAGTAATACTTTTCTTGCTCCTTTAACTATATTTGTTGATATTAATTATCCAGATTCTTATAATAATGATGGTGAAAAAGATGAATTTAGTGAAGTTTTATGTGCTTCTGTTAGACCAATCATTGAAGATAAGATTTCAACTTTTGTTGAAGCTATGGCGGTTGATCCTCCTCCAAGTGTGATTTATGGTGGTCCACTGCAAAATGTTTTTAATGAAGAACAACCACCACCTATTATTCCATCTCAAGATGAAAGTCCAAAACGCCTTTTTTCATTACATCATAGAAAACCAAAGAAAACAGGTAATGATGCAGCTTCTACATTTACAGTTGAATCTGAAGAGATAAAATCTAATCCTGATAATAATAGTGATGAAGTTAAGTATAAAAAAGTTTCTTCATTCTTTTATCCACCCAAATAATTAAAAGAATAAAGATTTATTTGCTACATGATTTAAAAAATGGTTTATAATATAAACAAAATATGTTATTAGAATAGAAAATAGTATATAAATAAAAAATAAAAAAGATAGACGTGAATAGAATAGAGTTCATGCTATATTGTACAGATTCGTTTTTGATTTGTAAAAAATTATGCAATAAATGACAAGATGTATTTTTGAAAAAGTATTAACCTTTTGTTTTTATATTTATTCTTCAGTTTCTTCTCCAGCTTCTGGTTCAACTTCAGCTTCAACTTCAGCTTCACCTTCGGCTTCAACTTCATGTTCATTATTATCATCATCATCATCTCCTCCTAAAGCTGCAAATCTATTTATATGGGTTGATTCTGATCTTTTGGAGGATTCTCTTTGAATGTCAGCACTAGAATTACTTGTGTTTGGACCATTGGAAGGACTTCTTTGACTAATGAATGAAGGTGATTTTCTGATATTATTCAATAAAGTAGAACTATTTCCAGCGGCAAGATTGGTACTACTACTGTTATGATTGTTGTTATTATTGTTATTATTATTGTTATTATTGTTATTGTTATTATTCCAACCAGATCCAGTTCTTGAAGAATTAGATCTACCTTCATTATATCTTTTTTGTCTCTTTTCATTACTAGCTTTATTTTCTTGCATCTTTTTAATTTCTGCATCTCTATGAATTTCTTGAATAGTCTTTGGACCATCATCATTCTTAGATATGGCAGCCCATTTACTTTTTCTTAAATCTTGTAAATCAACCAATTTATAATAAACTCTTGAAGATAATTTGATTTCCTTATTAGCCAATATCTTATCTATATTTTCAAATACAATTTTTAATATAGCTTTTGTTCTATCATCAGAGTCTAATTTTGGTCCAACAGTCATAACTAATTGAACCAAATTTTCTAAACTATCTTCAGATGGATCAACCACATTCTTGGATTGATCTCTTAAACACATAAATATAACTTGATCATTCAACATATTCAAATTATATAAATGACCAATGAATTTAACTAAACCAAGACCTCTTCTTTTAGCAGCAGCCATAACATAATATTCATCAGACATCATTTCTGGTTCTAATGGAGTACCATCTTCATTAGTTGGTAATTTATCAGTCCAACCTTTTTCATATTCAGCTTGACAAGTAGTTAATAATAATCTTCTGGCTAATGCACCTCCTGATGGATGAGTACCATCTTTAAGAGTTTGAGTTTCATCAGTAACATCACTAAGAATATTAGTACATAATTTAGCACAGAATTTAGCATACACTTCTGACCAGAATGGTTCATCACAAGCTTTAGCAAAAGTTAAAGAAATAATTTCTTTAACAGTTTTAGCATCTTTTTCCCATTTAGATTGTTCAGCTAATTTTAATACATCATTAGTAATGGCTTCAAACATTTCTAATGTTAATTTATTTAATAATGATTTAGTCTTTCTTTCAATTTCTTCACTTGGGAAGATTTCAGAACCATCTTCAGCAACAACAACTTCAGCTTTAGCAGCTCTTGATCTTGGTACCCATCTATTAGCAGATTTTTCTAATGGTTTAACTTCTTCAACTGGTTTAGGAGGTTCATCATTTTCATCATTTCTTTCTCTTTCTCTTCTCTTTGATTTATTCTTTGGAGTAGATTTAGAACGTTCATTTCCTCCTGGACCTCTTCTTTTAGATCCAGTTCTTGAAGCTTGTCTTGGATCACTATAAGAACCTCTGTTTTGTAATGGATATCTTTGACCACCAGAATTACCACCTGGTTGACCAAATTTATTTCTTGAAGCATTATTATTTGGACCATTCTTTTTATTGGAAGCATCAATATCAACTTTTTCCAATTTAGCATTGAATTCAGCATCCATTGGATATTGAATAACACTACGGAATTGCATTAAAAATTGAGGATCATATCTGTATTTTTTGGATGGAATTTGTTTAGTGGAATCAATACCAGTAATATTTTCAGGGTATTTGGTAGTTAATAAATCTTCAACACCTTCAACAGTTTCTATTCTTGATAAGAAATTAGATATAGTGAATGAAGGTTCTTCAACTTCAGCTTCAGCCTCAGCTTCAACTTCAGCATCTTCTGGTTCTGAATCCTTTTGTGATACTTCTTCTCCATCTACAGTAGCAGTTGGAACAGGGGAAGTGATTTCTTCTTCCTTAGTAGTTTCCGTTTGTGATTGTTCAGATTTTACTTCATCAACAACAACAGGCGATGAAACTTCTTGTTCAACTGGAGCAGGAGTAGATTCTTCTTTCACTGGTTCTGGAACTGATTTTGGTTCCGGAGTGACAACAGCAATAGGTTCTACAGCTGGAGTTGGTTCTTTAGGAGCTTCAACTTGAGCATCAGGCTCTGGAACAACTACCTTTTCAGCCACAGGTTCTTCTACCTTTGGTACAGCAACTTCTTCTTCCTTTGGTTTTTCTTCCACTGGAGCAGCAGCAACAACAGGAGTAGTAGTAGCAGCAGCAGCAACTGGAGCTGGGGCAGGAGTAGAGGTAGCTGCAGGAGCAGTACCAGCAGCAGCAGCGGCAGCAGCTTCCTTTTCTTTTTGAGCAGCAGCAGCTCTTTCTCTCACCTTTCTCATGAATTCTTCAGCAGCTGAAGAAGCTGGTTTGGCAGCAGCAGCAACAGGAGCAACAGCAGCCACAGGTGCAACAGCAGGAGTTGGAGCTGTAGTAACAGCAGCAGCAATTTTTGGAGTTGCATTAGCAGATGGAGTAGTTGAAGTACTTAAATCTTTATTAACGGATATTGGAGATTTTATAGATACAGCAGGAGAAATTATACTATTGGCAGGGGAAGAAACTGGAGAAACAGATGAAGCAGCGGCAGCAACTTTCTTTTTCTTTTCCTCTAAATCAATTGGAATACCATCTTTGGTAGTGAATTTAACTTTAGTTGGAGGAGGAGTATGAATTATTGGTTGGGATTGAGGTTGAGGTTGAGGTGGAGGAGAAATTACATATTGTTGACCAGGTACCCCATAAGAGGCCATGACTGGATAACCGGCAGCATAATTAGGGATATAACCATAGGCAGCATACATTTGATTTGGGTTAACATTATAATAAGCTTGAGCATTATTATGTTGATTTACCTTTTGAGGATTATAGGAACTCTTTCTGTATGTCTGTTGACCTGGAGTCTGTTGTTGTTGCTGTTGTGATTGATGATGTTGCTGTTGTGATTGAGTTTGTTGTTGTCTTCCTTGATTGTTGCCACTAGAATTACCACTTCCATTATTATAATTTTGTCTACCACTATAATTTTTATTATAATGTTTATTATTGTAGGTATTTGGATTACCGCTAGTAGAATTGGCATTACCATAACTATTGTTAGGATAGTAAATGTTGTGTCCACCGTGTTGTTGTTGTTGTTGGTAGTATTGTTGTTGTTGTTGTTGTTGTTGTTGGTGATGAGGGGTGGTGGTGGTGGTGGAGGTATTGTTGGCACCTCCATATGATGATGGTGATGCAGATGATGCAGGTTGATGATGGTTGGTTGAACCATCATTGACTGATTCTGAGCTCGAACTAGGAGCTGAGCCAGCAGCTGGCTCTACAGTTGGCTTATTATCAGACATGATAGATGAATGATAATAAGAACTAATGTATTCTGATTAAGAATTGATTTCTTTATAAAAGGTTTTTACAGCAGTTGAACATTTTTCTCTTTCATTTTTTCCTTTTCGATTTTAGTTCATTGAAAATTTTTTTTATTTTTGTGTGAGATCAGAGAGGGGGTAGTGTAATTATCAAAAAAGGTCCTCTCTACCATCATCATCATTTATCAACAAACCATTAAACAAGACGTGTATTTCAAAGATATAGTGCTATATTTAGATATAATAAAGGTGTGATTGTTAATTTGGATGATATATTGTTTCAATTGTGATTATAGTTTGCAATTGACTCCTATCAATGGCTCTGCTAACTTGTATTACGGCTAAATCGCGTTATAGCTAAGGGGAGATAGTCCGACCAAAGAAAGTTTCTAATTTAAGACAAGTAAGTTTAACCCCCTTGGTCATTTATTTTTTTTTGGAATATATTTTATTCCGTTATTATATAGTTTAGAATCTCATTAGCCACTAGTAAAATGATGCTTAATTCATGGTGAATTCGGTCTTATGCAAGATTTTACTCTTCCTACGTATTACGTATTACTCCGATAGATCTGTAATTTCTCCATACATAATAAAATTATTTTAAAATCAGATCTAATAATCAATTTTGATTTAAAAACCCTTATATTTACTTCCACTCTTAAGTAACTAACAACTATCTTCTTAAAATTTCACTTCTAATTTTTGATATTCGCATTGGAACCTTCCGATTGCAAAAAAACCTCAAAGCGATGATCGTTAAAATATCACAAATACTTTTAAAGTACAGCATCAAGTCTTGATTGTTGACTTAAAGGAATATATGTGAAACTCAGTAAACTTCTTGGCCAAAGATTATCTGATGTAAAGTTAGCTATTCTATTTTGAAGAGTGAATCGACATAAATTTTGTGGTAAAATATTCCCCATTAAATTTTTAATTTGAGAACCAGTTATAATTAATTCATTCAAATTTGAAATTGGTGCTAACAATTTGGTTAAGATAGATTCATTTAAATGAGGAATATCTAATTTAAGATAATCTAATCCATCCGGAATAGGAAATTTCTTGATTTCATTGTCATTGTAAGTTACAGTTGTAGAAGTATACATCATGTGTGTTCCGAACATGTATATGTATTTGATTGGAGTTGGAGAAGCAACTATAACTGTTAAACGTTTTAATGTTCTTGGAAAAGTGAATTCTGACCAATGTTTAAATTTAACATTATTGAATTCAATATCATTCAACTTATTAAAGTGACTTAACTTTAAAAAATTAACATTTGTTAAATCCATATTATTAAATGAAACCTTGGATAAACGCATGAATGAAAGTAAAATATCTAAACTAGTTTGATCATGACAAGTTCCACAACAAAATCTGTATTCTAATATTTTAACTTTACCCATAAAGAACAATTTGAATTCAAACAAGAATTTTACAAGTGAACTTAAATTATCATCGGTTACACCATTTTGTTGATTCTTAATATCTTCAACATGATAAACTATTATGGCTCTTTTAATGTTTTTTAAATTACCATTAACAGAATTGACTTTTATGAACTTACGGGCATTATCATATCCAAAAATAGTTCTCCCGCTCATATATGGTTCAGACTCTTTTTCAGGTGCAAGAATACCAATAGCAAATTGTAAGGTCTCGTTATCAGTTACCTCTTCACACACGGTATTGCAAGGAGTCCAAATATCTTGCTCTTCTTCTTCATGAACTGTTAAGTTTCCAAAGATTGATGTAATAGAATCCATTTTGATTAACTAATTGAATATTAATAATGAGATTAGTTTAATATCATATACGTATAGAGTGATGAGAATTGTTTAAATGACTTATTCAATTAAATGTGATAGTCAGTGCATAACATGTTTCTGTGTAAGTAATTACAATAATAAGATTAGCGTAACATAATTCATTTAACCGGTCATAAAAGCAATTGAAGATTTATAACCATGTAATTATAAAAAATATGACATAACTAAATCTCGATTGCAAATTAATGAGCGTTAAAGAAATTCATGTCTCAACAAAATATCAATATCATTCTTCAATATTGTAGGATATATGAATTTGTCCATCTAATGTAGCAGGTAAACAATAATCTGTATCAAAATGTTCATAAGTTTCAATTACCAATTTAGTTAAATTCAGTGGTAAAATCCATCCCTTTAAGAATCTAATTCTTGAATGCGTTATTACTAATTCACTTAAACTTGTAATTGGACTTAACAAGAGTTCTAACAAGGATTCATCTAGATCTGGGATATCTAATTTAAGATAATCTAATCCATCAGGAATAGGAAATTGTTTAAATTGATTTTTACTGTATCTAATGCTTTTGTCAGTGAACATAAGATAGTTTCTTCCACGATCGGTACATTTAACGGGGGTTGGATTAACTACATCTACCGTTAATCTTTTTAAACTGGGAGGAAATCTAAACTTTGACCAATCTGCCAATTGAACTTTATTAAAATTAATTTCACATAATGAATTACACTCTAAATTTTCAAAATCAACCCAAGTTAAATCCATATAACTAAATGTGAGGTTTGTTAAATTAGGTAATTGTAATATAACATCTAAATTATCTTGATTTTCACAAATTCCACAACAAAATCTAATATCGATATGTTCAATTTGAGAATAAAAGAATCTACCATAGTCATTGATAAGATCAACAAGTAAACCTAAATTACTCTCTCCATTCTCTTGAGTAGCATAGCCTTCAATATGGAACATTATTATAAGTCTATCAACTCGTCTCAGACTAATAAATTCAGATTCTATCAATTGACAAATTTCTTCATAATCAATGGCAATTTTAGGTTCAATGAAAGAAGTTATTTCTATTTCTGATCTAGGAAATCCAAGGATAAATTGGATGGTATCGTTATCAGTAATAAGTCCAGGAACACTTTTGCAACGAGTTGGAACCGAATTATCTGGAATAAATCGGACATGTCGATAAAAATGATCCATTTTTGATCTCTACCTGGATTAAAAGAGACAGTAGTGTTAATTTGATATCTCTTTTTTAAATTGTGTATGTGATATGCTGCAGCGATAATTTTGGTATGTTATGCTAACACTCATCACCTCTATTACGATTGCCTTTAATGATACTTATATAAAATAACATACGTAACGTGTGTATTTATTAAACATATATACTAGTAAAATCCACCATATTATACTTTCTACCTATATACTCCTCGGTTGACTGCAAAACAAAAAAAAAAGAAGGATGAAAATAGTTGCAACACTAATTTTTTTACATACTTAAAAAGTAGGTAGTATCTAGAATTCCAGGGAAAACTCATCATTTTTCATCTTACGCTCATTAATAATGTTTAACTTGGTTAATTTCTTTGGTAAAATCTTTGCAGTTATGAAACTAATACGAGTGTTGGTTATCACTAACTCACGTAATTCTGAAAGTTGTGGTAACAATCTACCCAACCCAGTTTTTCCTAAATCATCTACGTCTAAATGAAGATATTCTAATTCTCTATTAAGCTTAAGATCTCCAATGGACTCATATTTGAACAAATACAATATACAAGTACCCTCGACAGGAATAATTTTTTTAATTGGTTCTGTGGAGATAAAGGATAACGTTAACCTCTTTAAAGATGGTGGGAACATTAAGAAAGACCAATAACTAAACTTGGCTTTATTAAAATGAACTTCTTCTAATCCATAACATGATTGCAATTCTGAAAGGTGAACATTTCTTAAATCTATATCATTAAAAGAAATTTTTGTTAAGTAAGACAATGAAAGGATGAGATCTAAGCTATCTTCGTCATGGCAAATACCACCATATAAGTTAAATTCTAAATATTTAACATTACAACAAAAAAGAAGTTTGAAATTAAGAATTAAGTTAACTAAAGATTTTAAATTGTCTATCTTTGCTTCAGGATATTTGCTATTATTTTTGATTTGAAAGTACACGATTACTCTATCGGTATCCTTTAAACAATTGACAATTTTGCTTAAATATTTGTAGATGTTGTCATACCCGACCACGGTTCTAACATCTAGAATAGAGTTTGAGCGAGGTTTATAGTTAAATGTGTGTTTATCACACATAACTAATTCCAAAACCTTTTCATTTTGGGTCTTTTCGACAAGCTGACTTTGGTTGAAATCAAGCTCGATCAAATCTCTTGAAACTTTAGGAAATAACATCGTGTAAAGATTGATTAAGTAAAGAAAAGAAACAGGTTCAGATAAATTACCAAGAAGACCAACATTGTATAACTTATACTTTGCTGTCATTCTACAAATCGCACTTTATCTCAAATTATGTTATGCTAAGATATATATACATTTTATTTTTCTTTACTCTATAAATTATAATTGCCTGAAAAGATAAGTCTTATATAGGGAATAACCCAATAAACCAACTATAATGGCAAGGAATAAATATATTATAAAGGCATCTTTAGTAGATTCAGTTTGGAAACAACTAATGATAATATTATTTTCCACCTCCGATCTCTCATCATCTTCATAATCACCTATAACGCTTACTTTACCACCATCATCTTTTGAAGCACATATCTTACTATCTTGTTCTAGACAGAAATCCTTCGTACACAAACCACATTTCTCTATAGCTGTGATAATTGAATTTGAATTACATTCACATTTACAATATTGTTGGTAGGCTGCAATATACGGCACTATGAAACATAGAAACACTATGAAAATCAGTATAATTCGACCATTGGTGATATTTCTTAGTACTCTCATCTATATTGAACTCTTATAAACCCCGATATAATGGTATGATCCCTTTCAATTAAATACTTTGATATATATCTTAAACCTTCCCTGATCGAATACGTAATTAGTTTTTGGTGATACTTCAATTTTTTGTTAGCAGAAATTATATACAGGAAATTTGAATTTTTGTTGATTGAACAAAAAGTTGAAGGCAAATTCAAATTCGTAAGATCGATTAGCAACAACTAGATCATCAAACAACAACACATCTATAGCATAACAATTACATTAGACAATGGCAGTGGTATCAATAAGCAAACCATATGTTCATGAAGGTGGGATAAGACCATATTTTGAACAACAGATTGAAACCACTGAGATCAAGATCCAACAAACCGCTCAAAATTTAAGAAGATTAGAAGCTCAACGTAATAAATTAAATAATAAAGTTCGACAATTAAAGGATGAATTAAGATTATTACAAGAACCAGGATCATATGTTGGAGAAGTGGTTAAAGTGATGGGATTAAAAAAAGTCTTAGTTAAGATTCATCCTGAAGGGAAATATATTGTTAATATTAGTCCTGATATTGATATTAAGAAATTAACTCCATCTATTAGAGTTTGTTTAAAAGCTGATTCATATGATTTACATAAAATCTTACCTAATAAAATTGATCCATTAGTATCATTAATGATGGTGGAAAAAGTTCCTGATTCAACTTATGATATGGTTGGTGGATTAGATAAACAAATTAAAGAAATTAAAGAAGTTATAGAATTACCAGTAAAACATCCTGAATTGTTTGAAAGTTTGGGTATAGCTCAACCTAAAGGGGTTATACTTTATGGACCACCAGGTACTGGTAAAACCTTATTAGCCAGAGCAGTTGCTCATCATACTGAATGTAAATTTATTAGAGTTTCCGGTTCAGAATTAGTTCAAAAATATATTGGTGAAGGGTCAAGAATGGTTAGAGAATTATTCGTCATGGCAAGAGAACATGCTCCATCTATTATATTCATGGATGAAATTGATTCTATTGGTTCATCAAGAGTGGAAGGTTCCAGTGGTGGAGATTCCGAAGTTCAAAGAACCATGTTGGAATTATTAAATCAATTGGATGGGTTTGAAAGTTCTAAAGATATTAAAATCATTATGGCCACCAATAGATTGGATATTTTAGATCCAGCTTTATTAAGACCAGGTAGAATTGATAGAAAAATTGAATTCCCTGCTCCAACCGTGGCTGCCAGAACCGATATTTTAAAGATTCATTCCAGATCGATGAATTTAACCAGAGGTATCGATTTACGTAAGATTGCTGATAAGATGAATGGATGTAGTGGTGCTGATGTCAAAGGGGTTTGTACTGAAGCAGGTATGTATGCTTTAAGAGAAAGAAGAATCCATGTTACTCAAGAAGATTTCGAATTAGCTGTGGCTAAGATTATGTCTAAGAATGATGAAGGTGCTGTGTCATTAGCTAAGTTATTTAAGTAGTTGACTATTTACAATTAACCAAAATATATACACAAACAATAGTAAAGAGTTGATCTAGTTGTAGTTTCTCTGTATAAGATAACGGCAATTGAAGTGAAAAATCTAAGACACCGAGCATAACATATTTTTTTGCTATGCCAAAAAAGAACACGCAAATGAAAATTGAAAATTGATTTTTGATATTTATCATTTTACAACAGAATCACAACCACTACTACCACCAAAGTTAAACATAAGGGTGACATATATAGACGGATTTGATAGAGTATAAGTATCAAACATGATCATTATACAATTTTTCATTCTTTTCTTCACATGTTTCAATGTGATAATATGTTCTGCTGCCAACCATGACGTGTTGTTAAAACGAATTCAACAAGCGAATCAACAATTCTCCAGTGAAGGTCCTTCTTCTGGAGTCTTACTAGAGTATCAAAAGATTGTGAGTGATATAGAAAGTAGTATTGCGGAAAAGGAAGGAAATCATGATCAAATTAAAGATCAATTACCTCAAATCCATTTCAAAAAGGCATTGATTGAAATCAATCTTAATAAAGAACTTGAAGCTATCAATGATTTAAAACAAGTTTTAAAGTATGATAAGTCGATGAAGATAGCTAAGACCAAGTTGATTGATTTATTGACTGAAAGAGGTGATTTCCAAGCTTTACAACCTTACTTGGATCAAGTTCAAGATAAGGATATTATTGAAAGAATTCGAAAATGGGAAAATGATTTAAACGTGGTTTTTCAATTAATAGGTAATCATGATTATGAGAATTCAGTTAATGTTATCAATAATGATTTATTACCTGTATCATCCCAAAATTTCACTCTTTATGAATTGCATTATAATTCAATGATCCAAATTTTAAAGAACTATCAAACATTCAATGCGAAGATTGATGATACATCCCTTAATAAGATTATCATTCAAGATCTAATTAAAATACTCCGAATCCAACCTATTTCAAACTTGGCTAATTATGAACAATTATCGGAATACATGTTTTATACTGAATTACAATTTGAAAAATCAAAGAGTAATATTAAAAATTGTTTAAGAATTAATAATGAATTTAAACCATGTGGAACTATTTCGAAATTTTTTACTAAATTCCAAGATTTCTTTAAAGTTTTAGAGAATTATTCGATTTTATTAGGTCATTATTATGCTTCTATGGAAGGTGATAATCTCCGTAATAATGATGAAGATTTAAATGGAGATGATGAACTGGTCTTTAATTATAGATTCATAAATGATTTCTTATTTAAACAAGATTTAAAAGTTTCAAGGATTGAAAAGAAGGATATTCCAGCTCATATTAAGACTAATTATGATTATTTGATGTATAAAGTTGAATTATTCTTAAAGGAAAATGGATTGACTGGTCTTAATACTAAAGAAGTTAAATTAGTTCAAGATTTGAATAAATTAAGTTGTGAATCATTTATAAGATTAGGTGATTTAAGAGGTTCGGTTCCTTATTGTGCTAAAGTTGACGATTTATTCTTACCTAAGGAATTATCCACCATTGATCAATTGTTAAAAGAGAATAGATTTGGTGAAGCCAAAGGATTATTAGATCAATTCAATAATAATATCAAACAAACCAATATGTTTAGAGAAAGATATGTTAAAATCGAAGAGTATATGCATCAACAACAGCAACAACAACATCAACAGCAACAGCAAAGACAACAACAACATTTCCGTCAACAACAACAACAAAGACAACAGCAACAACAACATCATCAACAAAGACAAAAACCTGCTAATGATTATTATAAAATCTTAGATATACCTCGTGATGCTGATGAAAAGACAATTAAAAAAGGTTACAGAAGTCAAACTTTAAAATACCATCCTGATAAATATAAAGGTTCAGATTTAACTCCTGAACAGATTGAAAATAAGATGCAAGATATAAATCAAGCTTACGAGGTCTTATCATCAAAGGATTTAAAGGAAAGATACGATAGAGGAGATGATCCCGCCGATCCCCATAATCAAAGCCAACATCAACAACAACAACATTACCAACAACAAGGAGGAAATGGATTCTTCCAACAGTTCTTCCAAGGAGGTCATGATCCATTTGGGGGTAATAATGGTGGCTTCAGATTCCAATATGGTGATGGAGGAAGACAACAACAACAACAACGTCAAAGGGTTCACATTAAAAGAAATAAGAAGACTTAATCCATATATATCTAGTATTATATATATTTATAGAATTTGTATTACTATTATCATTACATATTTGATACCATTTAAACTGAGCTATCCCAATTAGGTCAAATGGCGATTGTAAATGGAATTGATCGTGTGCGGTGCGCGGCGCCTTTCCGTTTTGGGAAGGATGGGAGTACCCGAAGAAGATAAATGAGAGCCACAAATAGATATGGAAATGAGTAATTACAAAAAACCCCTATCCATCCATCAACCATATCTATCTTCTTTTGAACGCCATCAGGAGTATTCACCATTACAAGTTATAATTAATATGAAATTACATTCCTTTACGTTAATTGCTACATTGGCTATCTTCAATGTTGTCAATTCACTTCCTGTTGATGAACAAGCCATTTTAAATCTTAATAATCCAGCATCTAAAGATGGTATCATTCCTTATGTCAATGAATATGGTCATGATCATAAAGGAGAAGAAGATAACGATGAACAAATCGATATCATGAGTGAAGTTGAATACAATCAATTACCATTGGTTGAAACTGAAGCATTGCAAGCCTTAATTAATGAACCAGGATTAAAATCAAGAGCTCATAGTTTATTTGATATTGCTCAACGTTCTGTTAAGAAATATGGTCATCCAACTAGAGTCATTGGTTCTAAAGGTCATTGGGGTACTATTGATTATATCAAATCGGAAATTTATAGATTAAGAGGTTATTATACTGTCAAGACCCAAGCTTTTAGTGCTATTGATGGTAAAGTTAATTCTTATAGTTTATTAATTGATGGTATTAAACCAAAGAGTTTAGAAGCTTTAAGTTTAACTCCACCTACTCCAAATGGTAAGCCAGTTCATGGTAATTTAGTGTTAATTGATGGATTTGGTTGTTCATTATCTGATTATCCTGCCAATTTAACCGCAGGAAACATTGCCTTAGTTAAAAGAGGTGAATGTGCATTTGGAGATAAATCTATCAATGCTGGTAAGTCAGGGGCTGTTGGGGCTATTATTTTTGATAATTTACCATTACATGGTACTTTAGGTACTCCAACTGGTGATGAAGTTCCAACTGTTTCAATTACTGAAAAGGATGCTTTAGATTATATTAAAAAATTAACTGAAGATCCAAGTTATAAATTTGAAACTACTTTATATGTTGATTCAGTGATTACTAACATCACTACTTTAAATGTGATTGCTGAAACTAGATTTGGGGATCATGATAATGTGGTTTCATTAGGAGCTCATTCAGACTCTGTCACTGAAGGTCCAGGTATAAATGATGATGGATCAGGTACTATTTCATTATTAGAAGTTGCTAAAGAATTAACTAAATTTAAAGTTAAGAATGCCGTTAGATTCGCTTGGTGGGCTGCTGAAGAAGAAGGATTATTAGGATCTGATTATTATGCTAATTCCTTAAATGAAGAAGAAAATAGTAAAGTTCGTTTATTTATGGATTATGATATGATGGCATCACCAAATTATGAATATGAAGTTTATGATGCTAATAATGAAGATCATCCAAATGGTTCAGGTACCTTAAAGGATCTTTATATTGATTGGTATACATCCCATGGATTAAATTATACTTTAGTTCCATTTGATGGTAGATCAGATTATGTTGGATTTATAGATAATGGAATTCCAGCTGGTGGAATTGCTACAGGAGCAGAAGGAGTTAAAACTAAAGAAGGAGAAGAAAAATTCGGTGGTAAAGCAGGTGATTGGTTTGATCCATGTTATCATCAATTATGTGATGATTTATCTAATCCAGATTATGAAGCTTGGGTAATTAATACTAAATTAATTGCTCATTCTGTGGCAACTTATGCTGAATCATTTGATGGATTCCCAATTAGAGAAAAATCAACCACTATTTCTACCAATGAACAATCTCCTAAGAAGGTTAATAACTTTAAGTATCATGGTTCAAGATTAATCATTTAGTTAGATAATTAGTTTAGAATAATCTAAATAGATTTGACTATTAAAAAAAATATAGATATTTTGAAAATAAGAAGACCATAGAAGCATTTTGTAAACTGTAAAAGCGTAAGGGTGAGTCAATATGATTCAAAAATTGAGTCAAAATGTCGTTACACTTCAAAAATGTCCTAAACTGTAAAAATAAAGAGAGGAGGGGAATGATTTCACCGGAATCGTAAAGAATTACTTAAAATTGCGAACAGTGGAAAAAACAAAATGGAGGGCTGGAAATTTTTACCTCATTTTGTGGCGGTTTTAGGTAGTCCCTCCACTATGATTAAGTGATAATTGATAGGTAAATCCCCCAAAAAATAAACACCTATATAATTGCATCAAAATCTACCTTTTGATGGAAGATAAAGTTTTTCAACAATTGGATAGAGTTCCTCGAGTTATAACAATCTTATCATCATCATCATGACTTCTGCTACATCTGCTTTAAAGCCAAAAGTTTTACGATTAGGTAGAATTGATTATGGACTTTCTAAATGGGCTGAGATTGCCAAATATGCTACTGTATTAGATTGTGAATCAAAAACGAGAGAAGAATTTTTTAATGATTTAAAGGGTAAATATAAAGATATCACCAATATAAGTCGTACTTATCAGTCAGTCCATCAAACTGGTAGATTTGATGCAGAATTAGCAACTCATTTACCAACTACTGTTAAATCAATCAGTCATACTGGAGCAGGATATGATCAAATTGATCCTGATCCATTTACCAAATTAGGGATTCAAATTTCGAATATAACTGTTCCAGTTGAAGGTCCAACTGCTGATACTGCAGTTTATTTATTATTAGGAACTTTAAGAAATTTTCAAGAAGGTCATAATTTAACTATTCAAGGTGAATGGAAAAAAGGTAAAAAAGCTGCTGGTGCTAAATTAGGTGCAACACCTCATTCTAAAGTAGTTGGGATCTTAGGTATGGGAGGTATTGGTAGACAAATTAGAGATAGATTGGTTCCATTTCAATTCAAAGATATTATCTATTATAATCGTAAGAGATTAACTCCTGAATTAGAACAATCTTCGAAATATGTTTCATTTGAAGAATTGATTAAACAATCTGACATTTTAGTGATTAGTGTTCCATTGAATCCTAAGACTAGACATTTGATAAGTAAGGAAGTTTTAGCTGATTTAAAACCAGGATCAATTATTATTAATACTGCCAGAGGTGCTGTTATTGATGAAGCTGCGTTATTAGAATCATTAAAATCAGGTCATTTAGGAGGATTTGGATCTGATGTGTTTGAATTTGAACCTCAAGTTCCTCAAGAATTATTAGATTTACCAAATGTTGTCAGTTTACCTCATATGGGAACTCATGCTTGGGATGCTATTGAATATATGGAAGAATGGGTGGCTGAAAATGTTGAAAGTTATATCTTCACTGGTAAAGTGAAAAGTATTATTCCTGATCAATATGATATGGTGATTGATCCAAAGCCATTATTAAAGAGGGAATAGATGATATATATATATAATATGTATGTAATAAGAACAGATTATTTCTGTGTAATAGAATAAATAAATAAATAAATAAATAAATAAATAAATAAATAAATAAATAAATAAATAAATAAATAAATAAATAAATAAATATAAAAAATAAATGCCATACAAAAAAAAGTAACAGTACTGCTAAGGTAGTGTAAACATACATACCATCTGATGATGAGGCAAATGTAATCATAATCGCAATGACAATGTTTAATTGTCGTAATCGTAAATAATTAATGATGTAAACTTAAATTGTGGTGGAGTGTCATTAAAATCGAATCACACGCTCAACTCAAAGTTTTTTTTTTTGCAGTATAAATGTGAGAAGTCTAGTCCGTTTATCGGGTTAGTCATCCTTAAATAGGCTAAAATGTTTCATCGCTAGACAAGGTTTATAATGACAAATATATGTCTAGGTTATAGAATCATTTGATGTGTAGAGTAAGGTCAGGTCATTCATTAAGTGATTTACCTTTACATATATATATAAGGTTGGAAATATATTTATTCTATATTTATAATTTATTCGATCTGGGGAGCGTACCACAAGGTCTATCTATTATCATAAGAAAAGTTTCATCTTATCAAGATCACTAAAATAGTAACAAGTATTGTGCTAGTTCGAGATATAAGATAACTACCATTTAACCCAAATATAAATCATATCCAATACTATTCCAGCCAATTACTCATCGGTGTAAGACTCGGCCAGAAGATTTCTAGCTATTCATAAGCATTTTTAGTGAAGTGTTTAAGAAAAATCAAAATTTAGTGAGCGACGGGCGGCCCTTAAATTTTTAGCTTAACACAGTAATTTTAATCAGACAGAGAGACAGACAAAAATTTAAAATTTTTCAACGAGGCACTTTTTTGGTCAATTTCTTTTTTTTTTCAACATCATCATCGTTTATTGATTAATTCGATAATTTTTAATCAATCCAATCCCTATTCATTCCATCTTTTGCTTTAGTTCTTCGATCAATTCCTTACAGAAAAGACTAGTTTGTATCATAACGTACTCATCAACTACTTAAGTCTTTAGTTCAATCTCCCCGGTATAGCATTATAGAATCATCACGTTTTATCTATCTTTCTATCTAATCAATAAATCCGTCAATCGAATTTTACATATTTACCCAATTTTCAAAATCATAATCATCTACAATCAATATGGAACAACATCAGATCCAATTCTTACCGAAAGATACGGTTGAAATAGATTATGAAGCCTTACCGGAAGATGCTTCCCTCGTTGCTCATTTAACTGCGGGGGCATTTGCTGGTATTATGGAACATACTGTAATGTATCCTATTGATTCATTAAAAACAAGAATGCAAATTTCAAATTCTCCTCAAGAGTTTTCTAAATCAGTTATAGCCACTATAAATAAAATCAGTTCAAGTGAAGGAGCTTATTCTCTTTGGAGAGGAGTTTCATCTGTGGTTTTAGGAGCTGGACCTGCTCATGCGGTTTACTTTTCCGTTTTTGAAGCTACCAAGACTTTATTAGTTAATAGATTCATCACCAACACCAATAATAATAATAATCATAATCATAATCATAATAATTCATCATCAACGTCATCTAAATTCGTTACTGATGAAAATCATCCTTTAATTGCTTCAATGGCAGGTATAGCTGCTACCATTGCTAGTGATGCATTAATGACTCCATTTGATGTTTTGAAACAAAGAATGCAAGCGACAACCATCACATCTGCCGCTGAAAATAAAGCAGCTGCTGCCAAAGCAACGGCTGAAGGTATTACTGTTCCTTTCAAACCTAAATCAAATACAGTTAAATTACTTCATACTGCATCAACCATTTATAAACATGAAGGTTTAAGTGCATTCTATATATCATATCCAACCACATTATTCACCAATATACCATTTGCAGCTTTGAATTTTGGATTCTATGAATATAGTTCATTATTATTAAATCCTAATAATAATTATAATCCATATTTACATTGTGTAAGTGGGGGTATAGCTGGTGGGATTGCTGCTGCATTAACTAATCCATTTGATTGTATTAAAACTGCCTTACAAACAAGAGGAATCTCCACTAATGCAAATTTAAGAAATATTGATGGATTTAAAACTGCTTCAAGAGCCATATATAAAGAATTTGGAATTAAAGGATTTTTAAAAGGGTTAAAACCAAGAATTATCTTTAATGTTCCAAGTACTGCTATTAGTTGGACAGCTTATGAAATGGCTAAAGAACTTTTATTAAAGTGATTTTGTCATTTCCACATTACATACATACATACATACATTCATTCACTTAGACATCACTCACCTTATACATAGTACTGAATTCATATATTATTATCACGAATGCTCTTTATTAAAAAACTTATCTCAACCTTATCTTTTTATATTTTATCTTTCTTTTACTTTACTTATACTTCTTTGTCTAGCATTATCAAAAATTTTTATTAGGATCCTTAACTTTCTTTTTTTTGGCTTTTTTTTTCTTTTACGACTTTATTTATTTTACATAGACTACAGACATGATTTGAATCGAGTTTGGATAGATTGAATAGACATTGGCTATTAATTGAATGATGTTGTATTAATTGTATGCATTGAGCTATAGAACTCTATATATTTGGTCGTTACGTTCGTTCACTTGGAAAATGTTATGTGGTAGTGGTTGTAGTCACACAGGGTGTTGCACATATACAGACTTCGTCTATGTATGAGGTTATGTTTGAATAGCGTGAATCAAAGCATTAGCACGAGCTATATGATTCAATTCTCTTAAATTATTCTGACTTAATTTTTGAGCCATGAATGAAAATATAACACAACTACCTAAGAATCCCAATAAATTAAAGAATGCTTTTCTAGAATATAATCGTTCTTCTTCTTCAGTTCTGAATGAAGCAAATATCCTTCGAATTGATGCTACTATCATCTTATATATTTTCATTGATTCGATTGATTAAATGTGTGTGATGAAATGATTGAATTGATCGATGAAGGTTAATGGTATCTATCAATTTTGATCTCAACTTTTTCTGATCTCCAGGGTTGAGTTTGTGATCGATTTTCTTTTTTTTAATTTAGTGACAGTTGTCGCTAATTTCCCGCTAGAAGATTCGAACCCACGGTTATACACCCCTACACACTTAATCCCTCCACCAAACATGATTGAAAACGATCTTACTGATCATAACTAACTATTGGATATATAAAAAGATAATGACCTAACTTATAATGTTGATCGGTATCGGGTACTTTAACTAGGTTAAAGTTCACATATTGCACTCAATAGTCCTCCCTAATTACTTAGCGAGAACCAACCATTCGTAATGCCTTTCCCATAACAGTTTTTCTCCCTAAGGAAAGAAAACCATTTTGATTTCTGATGGCCTTACCTCAAACGTTTCCACGCTGAGAGCTCTCAAGAGCAGTCTCCCTAGAAATAGAGAGATTTATGAAGGTGAATGGAGAGAACCACCGAATTTCCCACCCATTTTTGATTTTTTACTGAGAATTCCTCCCTAACAAGTTAGGGAAGAAATCTCCTTTTGTTCATGGGTAAATGTGAATTCTTCATTACAAGAAAAGTCATTAACAACTATACTACTTGAAAGTATTATAGTAACACAAAGTCATTAAAATTTTACCATATTAATTTAATATATGGTTGATCCTTTTTTTCTGCGGTATGGATGTTTGGGCCAAAAAAAGGAAATTATATTCAGAAATTTCCAAAAGTTTTCACCCAAGAACAATCAAAGGATCTCAATGATAGAATTACTCAAGATGAATTATATTCCATAGTTAAGCATTCTTCAAATCAATCTACTCCTGGCGAGGATGGAATTCCATTTATCGTATGTCAGTTACATGTTTCACATACGTATAAATATTCTTAAGTAACCAACATTCATTATATTTAGGCCCTTTAATTACTTACTATAATCATTTTTAGGATTTAAGTTCAATGAGATTAATAAATATTCTTCATCAATCAAAGTATATTCAAGAACGTCTGTTCGATTTAATTCAGGTTTCGTGACTTAGATTAAATTATTATTATATTTAATATATATATTTTATATCGTTAACCACTACTTCTACCCATACAAATTACAAACTATAAGTTATTATGATTAATGATATGGAGTTAAATGAAGATTGTAGAATTTAATCTCTTTTAAGCGTGCATGTTAATGTCTACTTAAAAGCATTGCTTTACTACACTACTTCTTACAATCTGCTAATTGTGATTAATCTGATAAACAAGAATGTAGATGTCTTATAGTAGTAGAGAGTATAAGCCTTTCTGATACTCTTGATCTAATTCCTTAAATCGCATATGTCAAGCGTATCTACCATACAAACAATAAACTGTCACCTAAGTGAGGCAATTCGTATTGGTTATACTGGTTATATACTGACTATATACACTTCCATCTACTATATGAGCAAATTTTCTATGTTTGTGGTTTATTTCCAAACAAGAGGTGAGATACGATTTAATTCACTCACTTGGCCATCCATCCATCCATCCATCCAATATACGCCAAGATAACTGCAAGTGATAGAAATTAGTAGAGTTAATTTTAATTTATTTTTCTTTGTTTTTAGTTTTAGTTTAACGGAAGTTAATCTCCCCCTCTCCTTCCATCGCACATAATGTTACCTATAACCATTGACATTGACCCTGAACGAATTTCAGGTGAATTTATTAACCAGTATAGATTTAAAGGTGTAGATGGAATAGATAATCTTTTTTTTTCCTATTTAACGAGACATGAGAAAAAAAAAATATTTCAATTTATGTCTGTCTGTAAACATATCTTTCAATTCAATTTGTAATTAGATGTACATTCTAACAGTACAAAGTATACTAGATATGTATAGGTACGTAAACCAGGGAAATTAGAGTAGTATGCAAAAAGTTTAAATATCAGATGGATGAATATTCGGTAAAACAATATGATCGTATCTCTTCATTAATTGGGCAGCAAAGATTTCTTTTTTTCATGTAAGAAAAAAAAATTGTTTAATTTTAAATCAGACAAAAAAAATTTTAGAGCTTATTTCATCTAATCAATCTGATCAGTAAAATTTTAAAAAAGAGTATACAGAGGACGACGATGGGTATTCACAACCATTTGTTTCTTTCTTGTTAGTCCTCAGTCAATTATTATTTTTTGTCTGATTTCTTCTTTCCTCCTTCTGTGGCATTTTAATTTTTGGTCTTGGTCCTCTTCTCTTTACTTTCACTTCATCGTTATTATAGTTCCTGTTAGTTCCTTCTGTGCTTCATTGTCATTTTGTCTGATTTTTTTGTTTTTGTTTTCCATTTCCTCCTGTCTGTCTATTGGTTTTGTTACATTGTTGCAACCTACATCATTTCCCGTATTTCATTCCCAATTTAATATAAATACAGACTAAATTATCCTCATCCAAGAGGGCTTTTTCAAATATTATCTTTTTAATCTTCAATAATAATTCATCCCTCATACAATGTCAGGAGAAAGTTTTCAAGAAAAAATATCAAATTCAGATATTAATTCATCCGAACAACCATTAAATTCTTCATTTGAAGAAGAAGAAAAATCAATTGGAGTTGAAAAAGCTGAATTATTAGCTGCAACTTGGGATAACAATATCTATTATAAATTAGTCCTTTTATTTTCTTCCTTCATCGTTGGTTATGGGTATGGTTTAGATGGTCAAACCAGATACGTTTATACTGGTTATGCCACTGAAAGTTATGCTGAACATTCTTTATTAAGTACCGTTAATGTTATTACTGGGGTTGCTGCTGCTGCCTCTCAACCAGTTTATGCTAGATTAAGTGATGTGTTTGGTAGAATGGAATTATTCATTGTTTCCGTTGTATTTTATGTTGTTGGTACCATCATTGAAAGTCAAGCTACTGATGTACAAAAATATGCTGGAGGGGCCATTTTATATCAAATTGGTTATTCGGGTGTTATTTTAGTATTATTATTAATTCTTTCTGATTTCTCTTCTTTAAGATGGAGATTATTCTTTACTTTTGTCCCAACTTTCCCATTCATTATTAATACTTGGATTTCAGGTAATGTTACTGCTGCCATTGGTATGAATTGGTCTTGGGGTGTTGGGATGTGGGCATTTATTTTCCCATTATGTTGTTTACCATTACTTGGATGTATGATTCATATGAGATATTTAGCTGGTAAGACTCCAGAATGGAAAGTTTTTAAACAACGTAAAACTAAATATCAAGAATTTGGTCCATTGGGATTCTTTAATTATTTATTCTGGAAATTAGATATTATCGGATTATTATTATTAACCGTTAGTCTTTCATGTTTATTAGTTCCATTAACTTTAGCTGGTGGGGTTAAAGATACTTGGGAAAAGGCTCATATCATCGTTCCAATTGTGTTCGGTGTTGTTTTATTACCAGTATTTGTGGTTTGGGAAACTTATGGGGCTAGATATCCTTTAGCTCCTTGGAGATTATTAGCTGATAGAGGTATTTGGTCAGCATTAATTATTTCTTTCTTATTAGATTTCATTTCATCGATTGAAAGTTCTTATCTTTATACTGTTTTAATGGTTGCTGTTAATGAATCTCAATTATCCGCCACTAGAATCACTTCTATTAGTTCATTTGTATCGGTTATTGGTGGTGTATTCTTTGGTCTTGCTATTGTTAAATTCAGAAGATTAAAAGGATTTATTGTTCTTGGTTGTTCATTATGGTTAGTTGCATTTGGTATAATGTATTACTATAGAGGTAATTTAGATGCTCATGCGGGTATTATTGGTGGTTTAGTGGTTCTTGGGGTTGGTACTACTTTTTTCTCCTATCCTATTAATGTTAGTGTTCAAAGTTGTGTAACTCATGAACATATGGCTACTGTTTCATCATTAGTTTATACTACTTATAGAATTGGTTATGCAGTTGGATCATCAATTGCTGGTGCCATTTGGACTCAAAGTTTGTATACAAGATTATTAAAGCAATTAGGTGATGTTGAATTAGCTACTAGTGTTTATACTCAACCATATATTTTCATTACAGAATATGCATGGGGTACTCCAGTTAGAGCAGCCGTGGTTCAAGTTTATCGTGAAATGCAAAGAATTTTAATGATTGCATGTATGTGTTTCACTATTCCAATGATCATTGCTGCTTTATTCTTAAGAGATCATAAATTAGGTAAACTGCAATCCAATGATCTTGAAGAATTAAAAGGTAATGAAGCCATTACTGATTTCTTTAAAATTAAGAGAATAGATAATTCTAATGATGATGAAAAGAAAGCTATTGAAGCTTAAGCATTTTTCATCGTTTCCATTCTTTTCTTCTATCTTTATGTATATATATACTTTGTTTACTAATCTTTTAATACAAATTTAATTTAATAATTTATGTTCAGCTATTACTATCATATGTAAAAATTGAGTAAATTATGAAAAGAAGAACGTTGATAAAATCCACTTTAAGGTGAAGATTCTACATGGTTACACTTTTGATTGTTAAAATTGATATAGAGTCAACTCGCAACCAGTTCAATCTGACAACACTAAGCATGTCATAAATTAAATCAGACACTTTTTCCAAATTAAACAAACATGAAATTAAACCAAAAATAAAAAGTGTCTGCATATTTTTGTCATCTTTCCAATACCGAAAATCGGAAATCATCACTTTTTGAGAAATTTTTTTTAATCGCGATGGCTTAAACTTTTTTATCTGATTGATCAAATCTGATAAAAAAAAATGTTTTAAAGTGCCGTACGAAAAAATGCCTAAATACGATTCTTTGAAATATTTTAGTAAAATTAACTAAGTAAGTAATTATAAAATTCATAACGATTATTTTTTAAGTTGTTTCCAATTGACATTTCTTGGAAGGGATGGGATGTGTTCATGTGAATTAATTGACACCGCATATTTGAAAGGATATTGTTTTTTTTAACTTGCTTTCTTAGGTGGGAAGTATGTACCCACTTTAATATAAGTTGATACCAAGAATCTTTTATTGTTTCTCTTTGTCGTCAAAGTTATGGGTGCGTCTCAATAATCATATAATCTAACCATGTTAATGTTACGGCTGTAGGTCTTAACAATCATATGAACCTATTCTATAAACCGCCTTGACATCAATTGAAGTCAACTTCAGTCTTAATCGGTTGTTTATTGATTGTCCTTTGAAAATATCTTGACAATTCACTTGTCAAAGTAAGTCAGAATGATTTTAATAAAGAAGTTGCAAAACTCAAAAGTACATATTTCACTGTTGCATTATGAATCTGAATAAACTTTTCATCATCCCATTACAGAAAGATCTCTTTCAGGATGAACTTTGAGGTCATTGTTGCCAAGATTATTGGGATAGTTTTTTTTAGACAGCTACCATACGGTTAAATTTCAAACAATCATGATAATAGTAGAATTAAGGTACACTTTTATTAACTCAACAAAAATAGCTACTTAAATCAACTAACATACATACTAAATTAGACTTACGGTTTTGAATTCATATATGGTTCATATTTATTTCTAGTATATTCGAGATATTCATCATCAACTTCACCCGTTGTCCAGAAGTCTAAGACTGATTCCAAAGCAGGTTTGGTATATTTCACATAACTTGGAATTAAATGAAGCCAAGTACAAGAAGCTCTATTATAAGCATAAGCCGCTGCTCTAATACCTGGTATTTGATGTTTAACTGTATCATATTCTAAATCTTGCCATTTTTTAAACCATGATGCAGGTGGGACTTGTTGTTTAATATCATCAGGAATTAAAACAGGAAAAAAGATAAGTTCATCATCATCAAGGATTCGTACATTACCATCTTGAAAGGCAAATCTTCCAAAGACGGTGTCAAGAATTGATCCATTTGAAACAGATAAGAAACATAAAGTAATGATAAGGTGAATTGATTTTGGATTCATTATTGTGGATATTGATAGTTGATGATTTTTGATAATAATTTCAAATGGGTTGGTTGAATTATTCATCTCTATTTATATTACATTTTCAAAGATATTCATAAGAACAACTTGTTCGTTCCAAGTTTAATCTATTTTTAAAACTATTATAGTTGTTCATATATTTGATTGTTTGAACATACCTGGTTAAATAGGATAACTTGTCATTTTGCAGCTGTAATAAACCCGGCTCGAAACTTTATTTTGACAAGTGATTAACAGTGCACATAATTTGACCGTCCTTGAAACCTTAGTTTATGATTCAGACACGAGTATATACCAATGAAAGACTATAATTACTATAGTATGAGTTTAATCAGTATATAGTAGTATTCGGTCAAATGCGATGATACTTTGCATTAATATTAGTATAAGACATTCGGTTATTAATACTATAGAAAGTTCAAATAGGTATTAGTATACTGTAATAGCAATAAAGTTTATTTAAAGTTAACGGTCCGATTTGAATAAATAAATATAATACTATTAAATCCATGTGGGAATTCTTTAAGATTACCATAAGCCGGGGTTGTACTCTCTCATATTCCCGTTTAGGTCTATAGCCCTCGCTCACTGGCTTAATCACGTGTAAACATTACCAACCTGTATATAAACAATTTAAATTTTCTGACCATTTTACACGCCTTAAGTGAATTTTCTGGTTAATTACGAAGCGCGTAGTTTTCTGTTAACTATGGTTAACTATGGAGATAGTTATATACAGTCCACATACATACCATTACCACTAAGTAAAGTACTATCACTGAGTTTGAACTGAGTTTGACTGAGAGAGGAAAAAAAAAATTGATGAAAATTTAAAGTAACCAAAAGGTTTTTAATAATATACTTATATTCTTTTAGTATTACTTTAGTCTTAATAGTATATCATATTTAGAAGTTAATCATGCTTATTCCAAAGGAAGATAGAAAGAAGATCCACCAATACCTCTTCCAAGGTATGTTTTAATCCATAGAATGAAAGAATAGGACCTGTCCTTATAGAACAAGAGAGAATGATCAATCAATAAGATTAATGAAATGAAAGGTGAAATAAGTCAATGTAAATGAATCAAATCATTAAAGTCCATCAATAAGAGTAATGTCAATAGTTATCAATCATGAATCAATAGTTTTATTATCAATCAAAATGAAGGAATCTAATCATACTATCGGTAATTTATTGGAATTACCAGATTTATCAATCATCCATATACCCATTTGTCTGTAGTCATGACAAATGAAATCATCAAACTATCAGGTTAATCTATCTACTACAGTCCTATATTAAACATCCATGTTCATTTTCCCTTCACTGTTGATTAGATCAGTCCAATATATCAACTCCTTCATTTAAAGAAATTTTTCACCCCTCATATCAATTTATCCTTCATTCATCTACATATCAATCCATCATGGTTAAATCACTCCATTCCATATAGACTCATCCACATCAACTTCCCATTTTACTTCATTCACTTAATTTCAATCTTGTTCTATTGTAGACACTATTCTTATACTTTACAAAGTTTTTTAAAAACTTGATTTACTAACACATTTTATAGAAGGTGTTGTCGTTGCCAAAAAGGATTACAACCAACCAAAACATGATGAAATCGATACTAGAAATTTATTTGTCATTAAAGCTTTACAATCCTTAACTTCTAAAGGATTTGTTAAAACTCAATTTTCATGGCAATATTATTACTACACCTTAACTGATGAAGGTGTAGAATTCTTAAGAACCGAATTAAACATCCCAGAAGGTATCTTACCTTTAACCAGATTAAAGAATGCTCCAGCTGAAAGACCAAGACCTTCAAGAGGTGGTCCAAGAAGAGAAGGTGGTGAATACAGAAGAAGAGCTAGAGATTAAATTATTATTCATTAATAGTTCTATTAATCTCTCATTTCCATTTTCTTATGTAATAAATATCTCATATAAAATAAAAACAACTTTTAAATATATATAACATAATCTTATCTAATTAAGACATGTAGTGTAGTAATTTGACTTCTTACCAATACTATCTTTCTAAGTGGTTTAAAAGAAATGGGATATAGTGTGATGTTTGGATGTTTTCAACTGAGGATGAAACATCCATACCACCACTTAAATAAATAAAAAAAAAACACCAAAAAAGGCAAAAAACCATAAAAGAAAAAAAAAAAAGAATGATTCGTTTATGGTAACTGAGAGCTTGTGCTATTTATAGTGAATTTGGCATAATCCATTTTTGTTAAGCTTATCATAATAGTTTATCAAGATTAGATCATACTGATTGGAGAGAATAGAAACAAGGGATCGCTCATAGTTCGATACGGTCGTTGATCCACTTATTTATTCTGCTTATTCTTATTATTGTTATTATTCTTAAACTGGGGATTGATTGATTGCATTCACCTATCAAACTTATTTCATAGATATCATACCATACCATTTCAATATGCCGATAAATGATTTACCAATGTATCCTACACCGCAACAAGCGGCTTATAGGATGGATCAACCTAAAAAGAATAGTCCAAAGATAAGGAATACTTCTTCTTCATCAGGTCAACATCATCATCAATCTCAACCACAACAACAACAACAACAATATAATGGAAGTGCCAATGCTAATGGGAATGTGGTTTATCGACCTGCAGCTCCTAAAGCTAACCCTTCTTATGGTTATCAACCACAGCAGGCTCCACCTCCACCTCAACCTCAATACCAAGTTCAACCTCAATATTCTCCACAACCTCCTCCGCCTCAACAACAATATTATCAACCTCAACCTCAATATCAAGTACAACAACCTCAGTATCAAGTTCAACAACCACCTCAACCACAACCACAACCTCCTCCAACTCAATATCCCCGTCAACCAAACCCTCAATACTATGTTCCTCCTGCTCCTCAACAAGTTGCTCCACCCCCACAACAATTCACTCAACCTCCACCGCCACCAACCCATCCCGAACAACAACAAAGATATCATTCTCAAGAATATTCACAGCCACCTCCCCAACAACAACAGAAACAACAACATTCCGGTGCAGCCCCTTCATCTTCAAGGAAACCACCTCCCGATACACGTCAACAACAACAATCGCAATACGCTAAAAATAATAGATCAAAAGAATCTCTAGGTGAACCATCATCATCAAAGATACTGAAAGATGAATTACGAGCATTATTCGAAAGAACAGACACGAATCGAAGTGGAAGAATCTCTGCTCGTGAATTAACGGCATTATTAAGTAATCTTGATAATACTAAATTCAATGATCATACCGTTGTATTATTAATTAAATTATTTAATCAAAAGGGAAGTGCGTCAAGTTCCCCCACTACCAACTCTAGTACTTCTCAACATCATATTAATATCAATAGTGCTAGTTTGACATTTGAACAGTTTTGTTCATTATGGAAGTATATTCATGATTATCGAAAATTATTCAAACAAGCTGATGTCGATAATAGTGGAGATATCACATTTGGAGAATTTCAAGAGATCTTATTGAAGATTGGTTATAAGTTGAATATCGATTTGATATTGAATATCTTTACCCGATTCAGTTATAAAGAAATTAATCAATTTGATTATAATAATTCCAGTAATCTCATTGGGAAATTGAAATTCGATTCATTTATTGAATTATTGGCATATTTAAGTACTTTAACCGATATTTTTAAAAAATATGATAAAGGAATGGTAGGAGTTGCCAATATAAAATATTCTGATTTCTTACAAGAGATTATAAATATTCCATAAACCCTTTTTTAATTCGTCATTTATTATTATTATTAGTAGTAGTAGTAGTAGTAGTATATTTTTCCGTAATATATATATATATAAAAAAATGTATACACATCCATCTATAAAACAAAATGTATTTGTAATTAAATGAAATAACTTCTCCATAATACTCCTTCTAAATCTTGGATTTGCTCTTCATTAAATACTTTACTATCAATATGCCATGTATCTTGTCTATCCTTTTTGAATTTACTTAAGGCTTCCTTGGCAGTTCTACCGACAAGACCAGGAATTCCACAACATTTATTAGCTAAAATAGTTAAGATTTGAGGAACCCATTTTGGTGGGGGTGATGCAAATGAAAAAGCATGAATTAAAGCTCCTAACCCTAATGTCACACCATGTAATTTAATATTATCTTCATTATTGAAATGATGATCTTTATTCTTTCTTCTGATTCGTTCTAAATCTTTTATAAATAATTTAGTATAAGTATTTATAATTGATTCAATTTCATCCGGTGGTGACATATGAACTAATCCAGCAAATGTTCTTGATCCAGTTTCTCGAACTTCATTATGTTCATTAAATAACAGTGAATAAGTTATATTGAAAATTTCATGTCTTTGAATTTTAGTAAATTTAAAAAAATTCTTAAAATAAAACATTTCCGTAAATAATCCCATTAATAATATAGAATGAACTTTTAATTTCTTATCTTTACTATACCCTTTAATCATAAGGATGATTTCATCAAGATGATCTTTGGAATAACTCAATTGTCCAATCTTTCTTAATACACCAGTAGGATTAACATTACCTAATTGACAAACTTCTTTCTTATTAAGTAAATCTAATAAAAATGGCATAATATATTTGGAAATAAAAGATTGAAATAATATTGATGAACTTGGACTTAAGATTTGTTTTAACCACGTTAAAATTGTAGTTGAACTATAAAAATAATCTGATTTAATCACTTCTTGAGGGGATAAATCTTCCACTTGTAATTTCCAAGTATTATTTTGTTCAAAGATTTGACTTACCATTCCTTCAATCTTATATTTAAAGTCATAGAAATTTAATCCTTCTTCATTATTACATTTTTGGACAAATTCTTCACTATTAGCTACTGATTCAGTCACTTTGATTAAGGATAACACAGCTAATAAAGCTCCAATTTGATTTCGAACTGCTTGATATCTATGATTCATATTATTCAAACATAAGTCTAATAATTCTTCAGGATTTGATAAATCAGTGTTTAACGTAGTAGCATATGCTCTAACAAAACTTAATCTTGTTGATTCTTTAAACGAAGAATCAGAATTAATATCTAATTTAAAATTAGTAATTTCTTTCATCACCACGGGGAATCTTCTCACATCAATATGGGAAGGTATCCACCATGCAAATGTATGCCAAATGTATTTATTATCTTGAGATAAATCTTGATTGAAAATCTTATTCAAAAATTGGGAAATGAATTCATCACGTTGTTGAGCAATTTCTGCATTAATATATTTAGATGCCATCAACATACCGGCAAATAATTCACAAACAACTATATGAGTACTCTTATCTTCACTATCATAAACTTCATCAATAATACTTATCAAATCACCTAAAGTGAAATCTTGAATATATCCACTTGAAATTAAATGAAGTAAATCAGCTGTAATGTAAACATCTGTAGATTGAAATGCCACTGTAACATCATTATCATTGATCCATAATTTAACAATATTCTTTACCCATTCTTTAGATACACAACCACCAAATGCTCTTAATGACAGTTCATCAGTAGCTGATAATGATAATTGTGTGATTGGACTACTTATGGATACTTGTAATTTATCACCCCAATATAACCAACCTGGGGCATCTTTTTGATCAATAAAGAATTCAGGACTTTCAATATTGGCAAATTTTTGTTTAAATATTTCTCTAAAAGATTTACCCTCTTGTGGTTTAGTATCAATAAATTTAAATCCTTTAAATTGAAAGTCGTTCCTATAACCATCCTCGATATTATACTTTACACTATCCAAAAGACATAATTTACTCACCATTCTTGTAATACCTTTTAAGGCAAGACGAGATAACACTGGATGATCATTTGATGCAGTCTTGGCTAATAATTGGAAAACATCATTACTGGTAGGGATCACCAAATGCATTTGAATATTGATTAATAAAGTTAAATTAAGAGATGTAGTCTTCCAATGTGAATTGGTCTTTTCATGAACTAAAACACTTTCTTCAACATCATGAATCTTATTCATTAAGACTTTTCTTTTCCTTTCCTTAGCTAATGTAACCGCTTTAATTTCAAGATCAATGAATTCATCTGGTGGTCTAATAGAATCAATTTCTTTCAAGTCAATGATACAAATATCGGATGGAGGAGCAATATTTCTATAAACCCCCTTAAATAAACTTTGGGCTATAGTGTAAACTTCAATATTATCAACATCTAAACAACGGTGCAATAATTCAATATATTTTTCCACATGGTAGAAATCATTTTGAATTCTGGCTTTAACCTTTCTAAGTGAGAAAATACTTAATCCACTCTTGATTTGATGTGCATTATCTTTTTCTAATGATTTTGAAAGGTATTTGAATGATGATTTAATGATAGTCGTATAAGATCCATTAACCCTTTTCATAACATCTACTAAAAGTGATTGGGCAGGACGAGCAATTGCAGTATAAGTAGATACCGCCAATTTAACAGCATCCTCAATTAATAATTTATCCAAATCAGTTTGAGTTCTCGAAGTGGCATGTAATGCAACACGAATATTATGATATTTCTCTAATCTGGCACCAACAGTTAATCTGGTGAAAGTTTTACGTAATCCATTGATTTGTTGTAAGTGAGAAAGATATTCATAATGAATGTTAGCTTGAGTATCACCAAGTAATCTTTCTCTTCCAACATCAGCAAACCAAAAGTTTAACACTAAAAGGAAATGTTTGAAAACCTTTGGATTATCAGGGAAATTCTTCATTAAAAATTTACTAATAAGATGTAAACTCTTACCAACAAGTCTATAAGTTTTATGTAATCTTAAATATAATGGATTTGCTTTTCTTTGTTCCATACTATCTCCAAAAAAGTAATTGGAAGTATACAATTGTCTTTCTCTGAACGTAATAGCAGGATTCATACTTGACATATCTATTCCTTCGATTTGTGGAGTTGCTCTTAAAGATTCATCCACCGATGGAGCAAGAGATTCCGATTTAGACATGGCTGCAAATATATGTTCACGAACATTATATGAGCTATCATTCCCATTATCACGCTTCCCATTGTCAGACTGTATAGATATCAGAGGAAGTTGATCACTACTTCTGTTGTTATTGTTATCATCATGATCATCAACGTCATTCAGTATTAAATCATTTACAACTTCAGGATCAACCATATAAGTAAGTAAATCATCATTACCAAGATTTTCAATTATTCTTTGCAAATTGTCATTTATGCTGTCAGGATTAAACTCTTCTTTACCGTTGGTTAAACTTTCCATTTCTCTAATCTTCTTTAGCAAGAATAATCTTTGTTGAATCGATTCAGTTTGATGATTCAAATTAGGAATATCCTCTTCAAAAGAAGGATCTAAAAGATTGGAAACACCACTTAAAGCATAACCCAAGTAATAAAGGTACACTCTTAATTCATCTGTACGCTTGACAGAACTATTTGCATCTTTATGGATATCCGCATCATGATCTTTAATCAATGCTTGAATAAGCCCCAAGATCTTAGTAACATGGTCTGTGAATGTTTCAACCGCAAACAGCACTTCTTTTTCACTTGGAATATACCAATCAAAAGTGGTGATTTCTTTCAGGAATCTATCTTTATCAAATTGGAAAGCACCCCAACATTTCTCATCAATACCATGAGCTTCTTTGTATGCGGGAGCGATTAATCTATTTTCCTTTAATCTAATCTTAGTAACAGATTGAAGCATAGAATGTAAAAGATATGAACTTGCAAAAGTAGTTGGACCTCGAACATGTTCCATCAAAAAGAAAGATAGTTTATTTAATTCATCAGCAATGTCAACCACATAACTGTGAGCATTGGCAACACATTCATTTAAGATTAACAAGTTCCAATGTAATCCTTGATCACGAGGAACCACTTCATCACCAGTTCTTACCAAACCAGCTCCATTTTCTTCAATTTCTTCTTTTATTCGATCTATTAATAGTCTTGCATATTTCTTGAATGACTTAGGATTTCTTTTAATTAACCCACCACAAATTTCAGCGGCAATACTGGCGATAGGATGAATTTGATTATTAAGTACGAATTCAAAGAAGTCACTTCTAAAAGACTTAAAAAGTTCTTCTGATAATGATTCATTTAAGACGTATAAAAGTTTAGGTAATACCAGAGCCAAATCAGACTCTAATCCATCACTTTGTTTAGGATCAGTAAGATTTTCTAATAATTCAATCACACGTTGTGATAAAGTTTTCATAATAGTGACGAAAGCAGCACTAGATGATTTTAATGCCCTTAATTCAGTTTCTTCATCTACTTCAAAGGCTTCATATTCTCCTGAATCTTGACCATACACTTTTCGATTAAGATACTCTAAATGAGTATTGGTAAATTCAAATGCAAAAGATGGATCACCATCACCATGAGTAAGATCTTCAAATGGGACAAAGGTTGCAAATGCGGAGATACAATTTAAGGTATCTAAAGTCTTATCCAAATCATTTGTATCCAAACCGGGTAAGATTAACAGAATCAATCTTGTAACATGTACTCTATATATTGGAGTTGAAACAAGGTATCTGGCTAACACTTCAATTTCTTGAATGGCTGTGTTGACTCTATGAGTGGAAATAACACCTTCAATCGATTCATAAATATCAAGTAAAAAGAACTCCAACACCATTTCTGGTTCTAAATGAGTAATATATTGCAATGCTAATAAATAGTCTTCCATTACAGTGGTGTCTTTTGCTTGAATACCAGTTTTAATTATTGGAATGAAGATAGATACAAATTCTTTAACCACTTCTTTTGTTAATTTATATTCTTCAGGGATATTGTAAAAGTCACTGTGTTCTTCTCTTTCCATATTATAACGTCCATAGAATTGTCTGATGAAGGAAAGAACCATTAATGAAATCAGTCTTGACCATTCTCCTGAATTTGAAGGATGGACATAACTTTCAATAGCATTTAAGATTGTCTTTAAATAATTCATGATGCTTACTTCACCTAAACCTGAATTTTGATTTATAGAGTAAATTAAAATTAAAGCAAATCCTGGGAAAAATTTTGATTTTATAGATCCATATTTCTCCACCATTATACCCAAACTATTTAATAAAATATTAACCACATACTCCATTTGATCGTCAGTGAATATACCGAATTTACCTAAATTAAGATATGTGGCAGCTTCAGGGTTCTTATCTAATTCAGATAATGCGGCTTGAGCAAAATATCCCAATCTATGAGTGATTTGTTCTTCAAAACTGGCTGATCGTCCAAGATTTAACCACATATAGAAGAGTGAAGATAAATAATGACGAATATCATTAGGATCATCCACACCACCAGCTGTGAAATTGACTGGTAATAATCCAAAAGATGATACCACAAGATTTGCACTAGCAGGATTGAAATGAGCAGATAACTTTGAGTATATTTCCGGGAGATCAGATTTATCAAAAAAGTATGAAACCGCTGAGATAATGGGAAGTAATTGTTTTGTATCTTTTGTTTCAAATCTTTTTGCTGCTGCATCAACGGGATGGAATAAGTAAACAAACTCTTCAGCTAATGGCTTCCAGTCTAATACTAAACCTTGTTCCTTTAACAAAGGTTTATCCTTTGTTAATTCATTCAACAAACGAACGTATAACTTTAAATTAAGATGTTGACCTCTTGAAAGACAAAGAGCATAATAAACTCTAGTAAGGCAAATTTTCAATTTGATGGGCATGTCATATTTCATACTTATCCATACTAATAATTCTTGAGTCCAAGTTCTTACTCCTACCACAGCAGCTGATTTAGGAGATTTTTTATATTGATGAACATTATCGGTCAGATCCGCTCCCGCATCTTCTTGATCATCTTCTTCGTTTTCACTTTCAGTCTCATTGGCTGAAAGATCATCATCTTCATATCCATGATCCTCACTACCTAATTCAAATAAGTTAGTTTCCAAGGCTAAATCAATATCGGATAAACCACTTTCATTTTTAAGAGCAGCTAAATCTTTAGCACTAACTGGTAAAAATCCTCTTAGATCAAGAGTCTTAATAGCAATATATAAATGAGATACGATATGACTTAAGAACTTGGCTTGATCTTTCCGACTTTCTGTCTTATAAGGTAATAATTTAGGTAAATTCAAAGTTCTCTTTCTTGATCTTGCAAAAAATCGAGATGTGGGGTCCAATTGAACTTTTTCAACTTCATCATCATCATCAGGGAAATCAAGGTTATAACCTGATTCTCTACTTACTTCGATAGTACTATATGAAGGTCTTCTATGAGCATTTCTAAATTTTAAATTCTGAACTGTTGATGGAGTGAAAGATCTCAATGCAACTTCAGACTCAAAATTACTAAATTGGAGGGGAGACTTTGCTCTCTTATCAGGATGAGCTTTGATTGGAATTGGTGCAAGCATGTCACGAGGGGAGTACCCTTCGTCATTACTTGATTGACCCATTCCTCTACCAATTGACTATATAAATCAATTGAATACAGCAAAAAGGATCTGGTTATACCATAGGAAAGTATCTAACTATATATAAGTTTTGAGTGCTGCTGCCTAAAAATCTTTTGAGCGTTTGCCCTCGCCACTCACAAAATTATTTACAGCCAAGACAGGAGGAGGGGAGGAAAGGGAAGGGACGACGAAACGGATCAAAATTTTGTACGGAAATGAACATGATGATTTGAGTGATCTATGCTATCTATTTTACATGATTTCCATCTGTTTCTTCAATTCGAATTAAGGAAATCAATTGATTAAAATCTACATTAGCGGTCAGAAGGGGGAGATACAAGATCGAATATCCTGTATATAATCTGATCAGTTTCATCACGTGTTTTGGTGATGCGTCTTAACATAAAATAAAAAAAAGTTTTTCAAAATGGAATCTTCTAGTTACGAATGGAACCTTTTTGATAGGACTATTCAATAATTAGAAATTGCCAACATGTCTGTATCTGCTTCTAAGGCTAAGAGAGAACAAAAGCGTTTGGAAAGAGAGGCCAAGAAAGAAGCCTCTGGTAAAACCACCAAAAAGACCAAGAAGCAAGCTGCCAAAGATGCTGAAGAAGATGAAGTTGATGATGCTGAAGCTCAAATTGCTAAATTAAAATTACAACAAGATGAATATGGTCTTTCTGATAGAGTCACCACTGGTGTTTTAGAATCATTGAAGACTTCCAGAGATATCAAGCTTTCTTCTGTTTCCTTATTGTTCCATGGGAAAGTTTTATTACAAGATTGTATTTTTGAATTAAATTATGGTCGTAGATATGGTTTATTAGGAGAAAATGGTTGTGGTAAATCAACTTTCTTAAAATCTCTTGCTGCTAGAGAATATCCAATTCCAGAACATATTGATATTTATTTATTAAATGAACCAGCTGAACCAACTTCATTCTCTGCTTTAGAATATGTGGTTAGAGAAGCTGAACATGAAATGAAAAGATTAGAAGATTTAGTTGAAGATATCATTATTCAAGAAGGTCCTGAATCTCCATCTTTAGAACCATTATATGAAAAAATCGATGAAATGGATCCATCTACTTTTGAAGCTAGAGCTGCTGTTATCTTAACCGGTTTAGGTTTTAATCCAATTACTATTAAAAAACAAACTAAAGATATGTCAGGGGGTTGGAGAATGAGAGTTGCTTTAGCTAAAGCATTATTCGTTAAACCAACATTATTATTATTAGATGATCCAACTGCCCATTTGGATTTAGCTGCCTGTGTTTGGTTAGAAGAATATTTAAAGAGATTTGATAGAATTTTAATCTTAGTTTCTCATTCTCAAGATTTCTTAAATGGTGTTTGTTCAAATATGATTGATATGAGACAAAAGCAATTGATGTTCTTTGGTGGTAATTACGATTCCTACGTTAAAACTAGATCAGAATTAGAAACCAATCAAATGAAACAATATGCTAAACAACAAGAAGAAATTGTTCATATTAAAAAGTTCATTGCATCTGCCGGTACTTATGCTAATTTAGTCAAACAAGCTAAATCAAGACAAAAGATTTTAGATAAAATGGAAGCTGATGGTTTAATTCAACCAGTTATACCTGATAAAGTTTTCACTTTTAGATTCCCTGAAGTTGAAAAATTACCTCCTCCAGTTTTGGCTTTTGATGATATGTCATTCTCTTATTCCGGTAAACCAGAAGATAACTTATATGAACATTTAGATATTGGTATCGATATGGATTCAAGAGTGGCCTTAGTTGGTCCAAATGGGGTTGGTAAATCTACTTTATTAAAATTATTCCAAGGTCAATTAGAACCTCAAACTGGTAGAGTTATTAAACATACTCATATTAAATTAGGTGTTTATTCACAACATTCAGCTGATCAATTAGATTTAACTAAAACTCCATTAGATTTCGTCCGTGATAAATTCTCCCATATTTCTCAAGATTATCAATATTGGAGATCTCAATTAGGTCGTTATGGTTTAACTGGTGAAGGTCAAACTTCCCAAATGGCCACTTTATCAGAAGGTCAAAGATCAAGAGTTGTTTTTGCATTATTAGCTATTGAAGCTCCAAACTTGATTTTATTGGATGAACCTACAAATGGTTTAGATTTATCTACCATTGATTCTTTAGCTGATGCCATTAATGACTTTAATGGAGGTGTTGTTGTCGTCTCCCATGATTTCAGATTATTAGATAAAGTTGCTAAAGACATTTTCGTTATTGAAGATAAAACCGCTACCAGATGGGAAGGTTCTATCTTAGACTATAAGAAGAAATTAGCTGATAAGGTTGTTATTTAAGCAGTTTACAATTGGGTATTTATATAGTTATAGTTATAGTTTTAGTAATGGTTTTCCACTGTCTCCTTTCATTTATAATATTCTTTCTCTCATATGTATATTATTTTTAATGTCAAATTCGCACATATAAATAAATAAATAAATTTGATAACTTTCATTAAAGCTTGGCATTCAAAATTTTAATAATTGAGTTTCTATATGAAAAGACATTTTGTATATTAATCTATAAGCGAAATTTTGTGTTACAAAATATAATAGTGTAGTCTCATTCCCAATAAAAATTGCAAAATATGATAATTGCAAAATTCCAAATTTATGTGATGAACAATACTTTTCAACAACAAGTATATGATATAACGCCATACCATTATTATCATTTATAATTTTATATACACGAAAGGTTTTCATATATATTCATTTTTTTGGAATTAACATCTCCAGAGGAGTAAGATCAGAAGTAAATGTAGATTTTAATGATTCATTTTTAAAACAAAAACGATTTATCATCTGGATTTTTGGAAGCATAAAAATTAGTAGTAGTAGTAGCAGAAATTATGATAGAATTTTTTATTTAATTGGAAATTTCCAATTGGCCACCATTTCAACCGGAATTTGAAAAGTTGAAACAGAAAAGTAAAAGGCACTTAAAACAAACAACACAACTGCACGGATAAGAGGATGTGAATGGCATCCGAAGCCATTTCTATATTGAAAAATATCTCTCCATGTTGCACATATGTACAATCCTGATAACAACATAATTACACCATTGGCAATTGAACTTGAACCATAAAGGCGTGAATAGTCACTAACTGGACTTTTATCGGGAATTACAATGGTTGTCGAATTTGAGAAAGTAGTTGTAACAGAGGTATCATTGCTAAAATTTTGCTGGATTGAATTTGAATTACTCATGAGATTTGTTGTTGTTGAATTTGATGGTCTACTTGCTAAGTTTTCATCTAATCTATGATTTAGAGTAGGAACTCCTAAACCAAGCACCAAACCAAGAAGCACGCCATTAATGAATAAAAAGAACCAAAAATTCATATGAAACTTATCTTCATTGTTTATCATTTGCCAATGAAATACATCCTTCCAACCATCCCAATCCTTCCAATTCACACCTTCTGTTTTGTCTTCATCATCTTTCTTTTCCTTTTCCTGTTCCTGTTCCTGTTCCTGTTCCTGTTCCTGTTCCTGTTCCTGTTCCTGTTCCTGTTCCTGTTCCTGTTCCTGTTCCTGTTCCTGTTCCCTTTGAAATGATTGAAATAAAAGATCAAATCTATCCATGTCAGTGATATCTTGTTGTTCTTGATCTGGTTGTGGTTGAATATCAGTAGTTGAAGAACGAAGCATTCTTAAATTAGATTGATTAGGACAATAAAGAGATAAGAAAGGGATAAACTTAAAATCAAGTTTGGCAGCACTGGCACAAAATTTTTATAAAAATTGAGATTACTACTAAATCTACAGATTTACTAAGCGCCAAATAATAAAGTGTTAGGTAAATAATTACAATGAAACATGAAAACCGATTATATTGAATACTTGAAGTAACCTTGTAAGATTGATGTTCTTTATTGAAGAGTGGTCACATTTATTACACCACTTGAAAAGTGGATCAGAATCAGATATTTAATCTCATTTACATATTGAAAATAATCTGTCCAAAGTTCTGAATATATATAATGATATAATGTTTATATCGATCAATTGATCATTTTATCAGTCAACCTACCAATCATCCCATCAGTGATCTGATTAATCGTTGCTATTTCAATTCATAAAGGGATTAGTAGTTGCCTCTTTGCTTATTTTTCTAGATCTAAAATCTATAGTGTTTATGAAGTAGTGTATTTTTACCACAAAAAATAGAGTGAGTAAAATAATGAGGGGCTTCTTCAAGTCTATTTGACAGAATACTACTATCCTTGTTGGTTGTTTAATAACAAAAGTTTGAAAACATAATATATATTATATCTAATTGAAAGATGAATGTTATTCCATCTAATGTCAAAGGCTATTAACTTAAAAATTTGGTGAAACAAAGTTATCCAATGTAATGATTCACAGGTTTAATATCAAATAACTTACCGATTAATACTTATTACTTTCATGGAGATCGAAAAAATCACAATCAGTCCTAAAAACAAAATAAATAAGCTTGTACTTGCACTTCGACATTGATCACAAGCAAAATCAAACTTTGAAATATCTTTGCCTGATCTGTCTTGGTTCTTAATTTCATCATTTAACCTTTCAAAACTGTTTAGTGTCTTTTGAATAGACATGAGGAGTAACAGGAGTTCATCTTGTTGTCCTTTGGAAATAGTTCCTGACCTGCTTAAATTCTGCATTTCAATTCCTGTATCTCTACAACTTCTCTCTGAAGAATCATATGTTGGAGGTGTTGCCATTTTGTGTGTAATGAATATCCTTAAATTAAATTTCTCAAAAGGAATTTACAGTTCTTAAATATGCTGCGAAAGTTTTTATTATGCTACAATCTTAAATATTATTTATAATCATAATTTTGATCACACAATTTAAATCTAAAAGTTTCTCTTACTATCAACTAGTTAATTAAATAATCTCCCACTATTACGATGTCCGATCATTACGTTCTTGGGGCCGGTGCAGCATCATCACATTCGAATTCAGTTGACTTAGCTCACATGTCAACAAGCATTCAACATATTACCAAAAACTATGCTTATGTTAAAACCAGAATAACATTTCCAAACACAGGAGATGATCTATTATATCCTCACTGTAGTTATTGTGTGCCGATTTTTTTTTTTAGGGTGATTGTTTATGGCCTTTATTTGCTTTATTTTGTCTTAGTTTACTGTCTTCATTTTAAGAAAAGTACATAGGCTGATAAGTCAATAGTGAGAATATTACTGTATTTGTTTACTCTTTGATAACGTATCTTTTGACTAATTTATAACTTTAAATACATAATAGTTTTATCTAAGTAGAATAAAATTTATTATTGGTAGAAAAAAATATACAGACAACTTTATAGCACTCGTTTTCTTCAAGTTCAACCGTAATTAACCATTGTTTCGAAACCTATTACAGATCAGATTAGATCCATGACATGAAAACCAAAAACAGGACAAGTATTCCTATAAGCATAATAACTGAACTTATCTGTCCATTTTTACAAAAATCACAAAAATATGTAAACTTTGAAATACCTATGTCTAATCTGTCTTTCTTCTCAAATTCATCAACTAAACTTTTAATAATGATTTCTGTCCTTTGAATAGACTTGAGAAGTAGGAGGAGTTCTTGTAGTTGTATAGAGAGTCATATTTTAAATAGAGTGAAGAGGCTGGATCTAAAAAATTTTAGACCTCAATTTGAACGTTATATTTTGATATCATGCGGAACTCAAATTCAATCGACAAATTCATATAACAGGGCGTGTGGCGTAGTTGGTAGCGCGTTCGCTTAGCATGCGAAAGGTCTCGGGTTCGACTCCTGACTCGTCCATTATTTTTTACTTTTTTGATATATGTTTGCTCTTTCCAAATAGATATATTAATTATCTAATCATATAAACTTTAAAAATAGAAATTGATCAACTTTTGGTCAAATTATGGATATTTAAAATGAGGGCATATTTTTCAGTTTTAAACAACGATCAGCAAAAAAAAATAAAAAATTGTTGCAAAAAAAAGAAATTATGGACGAGTCAGGAGTCGAACCCGAGACCTTTCGCATGCTAAGCGAACGCGCTACCAACTACGCCACACGCCCTGTGAAATTTGGGAGAAAATGGTCCCTAGCAGGATCGAACTGCTGATCTTGGCGTTATTAGCACCACGCCTTAACCAACTGGGCCAAGGGACCATTTCATATTTGAAAAAAATGTGAATGTAATATTTAACAAGTTGAATTCTAAGAAAATTTTATTTTTAAATTTTTCCATCAACTTGGCTAGTATTTACTAGTTATTGATTGTATAATTTAGTTTATTTGTTTTTCTTCTACTCTAGCCTAGTTTGAAGTAGTTTTATATCTTTCATGGTTGTGATTTTGTTGATTTTCTAATATTTTTGAAAAACCAGGTGCTACCATATTGAAGAAAAAATAGTTTGATTTGGTATTTCTTGCGAAAATTAATAATAAAGGAAGATAATCCAGTTAACTTAACTAATAAAAGTAGAAAAATATAAAGAGATGGGTAGATTCTAAGAAGCATAAGTTTCTACAATGAATCTAATCAAAGTTATGCCTTTTTACTCTTGTTTTAGTGAATTGGGAGTGATATTATTGAATACAATTTCTCATTTATGGAGTGGGTAAAGTAGTCTAAATTTCACCATTTCACTTGTGAATGATAGAAGAGAAATTGAAACGGTTAAAATAACCTAATTAATTAGATATTTTATAACTTTTAACTTTTAACTATGGACAATGGCTATGTACAATTTCTGTTGCTAATAGACTCAAAAAAAAAGTCTGAACAATCCAACTGGTAGCTCGCACAAAAATTCATGAGATATGCTAAACCACACGAAAAATGAAAACTGATTTAAAAATTGTTAACACATAATTCATTGTTTGATCAACTGTTTCAACCAGCTGCTGAATGGAATTCTCAGATCCATTACCGTTAATCCGACTACCAAATAGAGAAGAGGATGAAAATGAAGATATAGAAGATTATGACTTGATTTCAACCTATGGTTATTTGATTATCATAGCGAGTTGGTTAATATTCATCATATCCATAAATACAATATTCAAATTATGGAGCTTTATCATCTATCCCTTATCAACCAATCAGAGTACAGTTCATATTTATGAGACACTACGGATAGTATTTGAAACCATAGATAAATATATATTAAGTTTATGGTGTATCTACGTGATAGCCTGGTGGTGGTCTTTTGTATCATGGATTGGATTAAAATTGTTTCGTCATTCTAAAGGAATTCAAACTTAAGAGGCACCGTCTTCACCCCTTTGTTTTGTCCATTCGACACTTCCTGTTTGTCTTCCTTGGGGTATGGTGGTATTAGTTGTTGGTGTTGGTGTTTGATGTAATTCATGTAATGACTTTAGTTCTTGATTTAATGGTAGTATAGTATTATTATATAATTTTAATAAAATTTCTTTCGATTCAAGTTTATTGCCTCTATGTGTAATTGATAACTTTTGATATTCATTGACTAGTTTTATAGCATTGATTTTTGTTATAATGTCTTTTAAATAAGTTAAGTTTGGAACAATGGTTGTCTTTTCAATTTGTTTATCTTTGGTTATATATTTATCACTTAAATCAATCATATAAGTAGCATTGAACCCTAGCACAAAACTCATCTTTTTACCCCAATTATTACAATATAAATGAGGTTCATCAAATACTGCTTCACAAGGATCTAAATGAATCCAACGTTTTAAAGAGTATGAATAATATTCACACCATACATGATCTTCATAATTCCAAACATATCTTAATCGATCTTCATCTCCACCAAGTAATGCTTGTAATATTAATAAAAAGCAATTGACCCATTCGCCACACCTTCCTCTCTTAGTCATTAATAAAGTTACTGGATTATTAATACGAGGAAATTCAATAGTTGCATTACATTTTAAACATTTATATCTTTCAACACGAGTTGCTCCATTCCCATCCACCTGATGATCTGGAACTACAACTGTACCAAGTGGTTGTATAGTAGATTCATCAATATTCAGGCAACTTTCACAAGGCGGTTTGTTGACCCATTTAAAGAAATCATGTTTAAAATATCGAAGTAATTCTTGAACTAAATAATCATCGTATTGTAATTGTGGTTTATCATCATCATCTTTTGATTCTGATGCTTCTTTTTGTTTAAGGTCGACATTGGCATATATAGTTTCCAAATCAAGTACTTCAAATACAACTTCAATGCCTTGATTTTCTCTATATTTCAGCATTGCATCTTGCAATTGAGTAATTGAGGCTAGAAGTGGGAAATTGTGAACTTTGGATGAAGCTTTCTTGGCTGATAATTTAATATATTCACTGGTATATATTTGAATTAGCTTATTGGCAAGATTGTCATAATCTTCCTTCACTGACATGTTGAATAATGATCTCTACTTCTAAGTTGCTGATCAGTAGATACGTAGATTTATCAAGTTTGAATCGTGTTTGATATTTACAATTTTGATGGCGGGTTATCGTTATATGCAGTCTTAATTTTTTTTGTGGTAATACCGATCTAGGAATATGAACCCCTTTGGACTAGATTACCTGCTAGGTACAGATATTAGAGGTTTACACAATTTCATTGTGGAGACCAGATTATTACAATACTCACAAGAGTCTTATATATATGCATTTAGATCATTTATTTACAACTATTTCTATTCTATAAGGTTGGGATCAGCTCTTACTTTTCTTCATTTGCAGCCTCTTCATCGTTATCTTCATCATCATCGTCTTCTTCCTCCTCTTCATCATCATTTTCTTCATCTTTATCATCTTGAGCTTCCTTTTGTGGTTCAATTGAATTTTCAGTTTCAACTTTAGTAATCTTCTTTCTTGGTGGTAAAACGTCATTGAAAGCTTTTTCCCAATCGCCATTATTCTCAAACCATTTACAACATAATTCATAAACATGAGATGTAGCAAGAACATGTCTACCATTAAGCTCAATATATTTGTCAATAGGCAATTTACCTACTTTTAAACCTAGCTTATTAGCCTTATTAAGACATAATTGTTTATGTCTATTTTTATCCACAATACCTCCAATTATATAAGTTTTATTAGATTCAATGGTTTCAATGACTTCTTCAGTATCAGGAGTAAGATAAACATAATTCGATAAATCTTGTTTATCTAAAAGTTCTTCCAAAGTATCATTGGTCTTAAATTCAATACTTTTATTCCATAATTTATATTGACCAACACTATTATCAAATCTTGATTTTAAACTCTTATTAAATGATGAAATTATAATAGGTAATGAATATTGACAATGTCTCATGGCAGAGTAACTTCTGGTTATTTGATTTGACATACTAACTATTTCTTTTTGATTCATTAATTCATCAAATTCACAATCAAATATGATTTTAACATTAGTTTCAATTTGGGAGGTTGGTAATGCTGCCTTTTTAGCAGTATGATAATTATTATCGTCATCACTTACATCTTCATGTTTTCTCTTACGAGCAGCTTTCTTCTTTTCTCGCTTCACTTGACGATATACTTCTTTAGTTTCTTCCCATTTCTTTTGCTTTTGAATACGTTTCCATTCATTTTTTGACATCCCATCTGGTTTTGATATCTGTTGTTTAGCTTGTCTTAATTGTTCAATTTCTTCAGCTGAAGGAGGAGGTTTTCTAACTTTTTTATGAGGAAGTTTGATAGACTTGGATAATTCATCATTATCTCCACTACTCGCCACTATAATATTCTTATCACTCATGATTAACTCAATTTGATACGTATAATATGATTTGTAAATCACTTACCAATTTGAAAAATTTAAAATTTTTTTGAGTGTATATAAAATATTTCGATGGTCCTGCACATTGATATCATCTTGGTGATTTTACGATTAAGTTGTTACTAAAAAGTGACTTAAATTAGTTTCAATCAGTTCGTTAGCTCAAGTAGTTCAAATAAGTTATTAAAACAGGTTGTGAAGGTAATCAAATCACTTAAGTTAAATAAACTACAAAATAGCCTTATAAAAATTAACATAGATGATAACAATCCTGATAATAGAGCCTTTTTAAACTGCAAAAAATACAAGCCAAGCCAATGTGCAGGAAGCAGTAACTGATTACATGTTACGGGAACAAAAAGACATATGCGATTGTAATTTTTCATTTTCTACTTAACGACATTTTTTATCATACAGCGCAAAAAATTTTATATGTGGGGAAAAATGCAAAACTGCATAATGTTGTAGATCAATTTTGACACTTCCTACAATTTTTTTTCTCTTCTTCGAAGATAAGTTTTTTAAAAAGGCAAATTAAAAATAATTATATTAAGATAGCTAAGAAATAAATAAGCATATTTACGGATAAAGAATTGAAATCAACGATAAAATTCAAGAACTAAATCTAATTCTTTTCAATAGAATCACTTTCATCTGATTCTAAATCTTCTTCAATATCATTTTCTTTCAAACCGAAATGACCAGTCCAACCGTGTTCAACTAAGTAATTTTTGAATTTAACATCTTCTTCCATTAAATCAGCAGCAGTTAAATGTGGAACGAAGAAAAAGGTAACTAAAACACCGGCTAAACCACAACAAGCGGCAATGATAAAAGTCCATCTATCACCTAAATGAACTTGAATTGGAGTGAAAGTTTTAGTACCAACAACGGCACCAACTTTACCAATAGCAGCAGATAAACCGTAGAAAGTACCTCTGATTGGAGTAGCATAAGATTCAGAAGAAATTAAACCCATACCATCACCTGGACCCATGTTACCACATGACATCATTAAACCATAAAGAATAATGAAACCAGCAGTGTGGTGAATAATTTTGTCATAAGCTAAACCAACAGCTAAACCGAAAACGATATAACCAGAGAAACCAAGCATAATGGTATATTTTCTACCAATGACATCATTTAAGTAAGCACCAATAAAGACACCTGGTAAAGCAATAACACCAATTAATAAATTCCATTCAGCAATTAATTCTAAATTAGAACCTTCAGATTTTGGAATAACATTAGAAATAATACCAGCAGAGAAAATACCATTTGGAAAGGTAACGAAATCATAAAGGAACCAAGCAACAGTGGTACCAATAATTCTTCTCCAGTAATGTCTAACAGCTAATGAATAGTAGAAAACCATATCTTTGATAGGAACTTTACTGACGGCAGATTTTTTATATAAGACTGAGGTAACCATTTTCCATCTGAAATAGAAAACAGATAATGGCCAGAAACAACCAATGGCGAACATAGTTCTCCAAAGAGCATCATAATGCTTACCAGTGATTCTGTTAACAATTAAAAAGATGATTAAAGCGAATGGACCACCGAAAGATAATGGTAAATTGGTACATAAGATAAAAGCACCACCTCTTCTTTTAACAGATTCGTTAGCAGCTTCAGAAGCAGTAAGGGAAGAAGATGGATATTCAGCACCAATACCGAAACCAGTAATACCTCTACAGATAGTTAACATCCAGAAAAAACCGTTAACAGTGGTACCATGAGAAGCAGCACATAAAATAGAACCAATGATAAGGAATAAAGTAGCAGTAACAATAGACCATTTTCTACCCATATAATCAGCAGCTACACCAATAACAACTTGACCAATAATGGTACCAACTAAAGAAGCATTTGAAACTTGAGTTGACATATCAGCAGTATAGGCTTTTGGAAATTCTAAAGCTAATACTTTATTTGTCATAGACATAACGTTATTTTGATAACCATCTGAGATTAAAGCGAAACCAGCACAAAGAATCATAAGAATATCTCTGAATTTAGCACCACCAGCTAATCTTTCAGCTCTAGCTTCGGCATCATATTTGAATTTTCTGACACCATTGGCGTGGTGAGTAGTATGATATTCTTCTTCATTAACTTGTTCGACCTTAGAACTAGCTAAGTGCTTGTTATCAGTAACTTCAATAGTAGACATTTTCAATTGACTAAGACGATTGGACTATACTATCGATTGATGAAGAATGACAATTGTGAAGAGTAGTGAATAAAAAAGGGAATGAAAAAGATTTAAAAACATATCATTGTCTTTCAAAACGGGGAAAATTCAAATGGTTTATATAGGTAAAAGTTCATATCAGGAAGTATAAAAAAAAGACCCAGGAATCAAAAAGTTAAAATAAAAAATAAAAAAAATAAAAAAAGCGAAATTGAAAATTAAAAAATAAAAAAAGTAAAAAAAATATTTAAAAAAAATAAAAATAAATTAAAATTTCAATAAACATAAAATAAAAAAAAAGCTAAAGGGAATGCATAATACCACCAAGTAGAGCTAAAACGGTATAATTTTGTTTATAAACTATACTTTTGCTTCTCCTCTTAGAATTCCAATTATTTTATGCATTACATGATTTAAACAGCGAAGTATATAATAGAGTAGTGTAATTACTGTTTATAGATACAAAATGGTGAAAAGGATGTAAAATAAAAAGTTAAAATAAGGGAATGAAATTGAAATTGATTCGATTAATATTTTTACGAGTAATCATTTGAAGATAGAACCCATTATGTGAACAATATATCTTGTAATTTTTTTTGGTTTGTTAACGATATAGATCAATAAAAATAAAAACTTACAATGAAAGAAAAATAATTAAATAATTAGCTGGTCACAAGTCTTAAAGTTGCAACGAGAGGAATCATGATAATAAGAGGTATACGGGAAGATAAAACCGAATTCACAATATCCAAAACGTTTTATTTCTTTCTTCCTATTTCGCCTTAATTAAAATATAAATGAAAAAGCCTAAAGCCAAGGCAATCATAATACTACAGGGCAACAAAAGCTAAAAATAAAAGGAAACGAAAAGGAATGAAAGGAAACGATTTAACAAAGAAACGTATGTTTAAAGATCGAAAACGTGCTTTCGAAACAATCAACCTTAATTCAATTCAATTAGATTTACTGTATAGGTTTATAATTATTATGTAAGTATCTATGTATGAATTCTTCACCCTTGCCGGTCAATGAATTAAAAAGACACGACATCTACGAAGGAAGTGAGCGCACTAACCGTTGCAGTTTCCTTTACTATCTGATCCATAATTAACATAAAATATTTGAATCCCTTAAAAACTGGAAATTTATATGTGCCTCCTGCCTGCATACAGCTGCTGCTTAAGCTGCTAAAAAAAGGCAAAAAAAAAAGTAAAAGCGCTAAAGCCACGCAAAAAATATGTCTAAAATCAAGCAACACGTGGATGGGTCCCAAATCAAAAAATTACTATGTGAATGTCTCTTAGATATTTTATTTTTCATAAGCAATTCAATATTTAAACTTTTGACATGTTTAAAGAAGGGGTAAGAAGTATTAGATGGAAGAGAGGGGAATGATAAGAGACTTATTGAAGAGGTGGAGAAGACAACATCCCACAAGACAATATGATATCATATAAAATAATTTTATCAATCAACTACATTGACTTTTGAAGGTGATCATTTTGTTAAATGGGGTAACTGTAAGTTTGTTTCGAGTACAATTAGGAGATATGGTTTCAAATCGAAACTTGTATTGAAATAAAATAAAATAAAAAATAAAGAAATGGATATTAATGGAAACAGTCCGCTCATTGAATTACCCAATTAGGAAATTGTATACTGTGATGTAACTACTTCAAAATATTTTAGACATACGGCTCTGAACTCGATCAGAGAATTACCCGAGTCAAAATCACAAAATAACCAATACAAAGACTATAGATATTTAGTACTCAGTATATGTTGTCAAGTATTATTTTGACAAACCAAAAAAATAATAAAATAATAAAGTAAAGTAAAGTAAAATAAAATAAAAATTGTTATTGGGCTGAAAAATATTTTCATGCAGTACTGTTTAACTTTAAGGCCCACACCCCCTAAAAAATTCCAAATCATACTTAATCCCAGGAGGTTCTAAATATAAAAAATATAACCGCTCAGAAATTGAGCAAAAAATCAGCAAATCCTGGTTGACAATCTCAATTGCCAATTCAAAAGCCTTCCTTTGGTGGTATTTATTTTATATAAACTTAGTTTAAACCCAATTGATTTGACCTCATGGGCTCAAGGTAAATCTCGTACACACCCGAGCTACAAAAGATTACCTAACTTAAGGAATATAATTATTATTATTATTATTATGTTTTTTTCTTTTGCTTTTCCACAAATAAAAGCGATAATATTTAATATATTTCTATGCCCCCTTAAATTTGTCAAACCATATTATCAAGTTATAATGATACTACGTACAATCAGAATTACTACCTCGAAGTAGCTTATGTTGTAAATAGGGCTTGGCTCTACGTTCTAATCACTAATACTCGTAGACGTAAGCGATTGACCAGAAAAAAAAGATGAAGGCGTTAGTGTAAGTCAAGTAAAACAAATGGAATAATTGTGCTTCAAGGACAAACGAACTAGAAAATCGAAATTATCATTATAGATTCCAAACCTAATATATCAAAAATTGTATTGTATAAAAATAAAAAAAAAACTGAAAAAAAAAAATAAAATAAAAGGAAAAAAAAATAAAACAAACCGAACGGAAAACGTTGTGATTATTATTATTCTTGTCATTTGTGTAAGTAAAGAGCCATGTACCAGTTTTCTTTGAACAACGATGCTAAGCATGTGGACCTTTAAACTCTGTAAATAGTTTGCATGTATTAAACACGAACTAACACAATACTAAAATGATTAGAAAACTAGTATTAGCCAGATGGTAACGTTCGCAAAATTCGTTATAACAAACTTTATCAAAAAAATATGAAAAAGCCACTTTCATTTTTCACTTCTTCGTGTATTTTTGAATTTTATTAGTGATATTTATTATTAAAGTTATTTTCGTTGTAGAGTAAGATGTGGGTATTAGTAGAGCCAATGATGAACGATTTAACTCTCGTTTAAAACAACAACAACTAGTTGTTGTTATTATTATTCCTTTCCTTCATATTTACTAAGCGTTATGAATCAGTTCTCAACGTTTTTATCAATCTGATAAAAAATCTTATCAAATCTTCGATATAGCTAATATTTCAATTGATGAGGTTTAACTGAGCTTAGATCTTGGATTAATATTTTTTAACTCTTTTGAGTTTATTTCCCATTAACTTTAAGATTTTAATCAAACTTTTTTTTTATGATTCATGAGACCCCTAACAATGGTGTTTACCTTCTCCTCAATCAGCATCATCTTGAATCCCCGTACATCGACTCCCGCTTCTTTAATTTCATATGTTCACTCCACTTTATCAAGCTACTACAAATAATATACTTAAAAAGAACAATACAATGTAAATGTACAACTAATAACGTAATGATCGGATTTGTTGATATATTTTGTAGCAAGTATTATTTTTTATGATATAGAAAAATTCATTGCGCTCCCTACTCGCAAAGGCAAAAAAACAAAAAAAAAAGAATTGAATTAACCGCCGCCACGAACAAAAACAAATAAGTAAAAATACGAATAATTTAAGTTAATTTAAATTTACATTGAAAGCAATAAATATCGGCGGTACATTCTCTTTTCGGTGCATTTTGTATACGACTAGACCAAATAAGAAGCACGATGTATTACTAAAAACCCGAATGAAATGAAATAACTAAACAATGGCTTGAAGTAATCTACGGGGACTCGGCGGCTATGCATCGTTTCGTGCCGAACGTGATTTATACAATAAATATAGTTAAGACTAAACAGCAGTAACTGTAATCATTAGATGCCGATATGACCTTAATTTTTGGGGATCAGGACCTTTGTAAAAACTTATGATTTTAAGTTTATTTATTAACGTAAGGCAATTTTTCAGTTGACACCCCCCGTGTATGCGAATTGTATCAACGCCTTTATTTTAAAAATAGATTGGTGATAAAAATCATCATAAAGGTTTTGAATCTACTTCATGAAGTGACAAGATAAATGTTCATGATATACATCGATGTTTTTTTCTTATAAGTTAGAATATTCTTAAAACATTTCAATTTAGCAAGACCAATACTAATTGAAAAAATATCTCAATCAAGCATCATCTAACTACCTTGCTTTTTTTTTAGACTTGGCAAAATAGTAGCGTTTTGTTTGCAACCAAACTAAATTAAATATCAGAAATTTCTTGTCTTGACCTATTTAATTCCTTTTCTTGTCTTATCTGGACAAGTTTTGTCGAAATTTAAGTTAGAATTGTCATGTTATGTCTTAGCTGACTTATTTTGTGCACTGTACCCAATTTATAAATTGCCGCTCTAATTTACTTTTTTCGATAATCATTTAGAAAGCCTCCATAGTAACCGCAAAACCGTTTCAGTTTACTAGCACTCTGTATCCCCACACTTTTCTGATATGTGAGTTTAACTATTTATATACTTTCACGACATATTGACTTTGGAATATAGATATGAAAATTCGTTAGTGGATTACTTTCCATCGATAATGATCATATTGAATGCCCTTTACAGTGTTTGAAGTTGCAGCTTTTTGAACTCATATGAGACAACTCAACAAATAAGGGAGATTTTTCATCCCATTCATTAACCGCTGTAAAATTAACTTGACCATATTTCAACTTGTGGCAACTATAAAAAGTAGACATTCGGATAGAAGAGACTTCTGAACCTGCAAAAAAGAATTAGTTGAAATATGTGCAGGAAACATGTAAAAGTACGATCGGGGGTAGTTACCGACGACCTTTTGTTTAGCGATGATTAGTGTTTTCTAACTGCATGCCAATAACTAAAAATAAGGAAGGTTGCAAAAAATGAATTCGTTAATCTTCATTTTTAATAAAATCAATTCGTAAAATCCTGTTAGGTTTAGATTACACCTCATCTTTAAAATAAAAAAGCAACTTAAATATATTTATATTATAAAACTAAAGCAATATATACCCATAAAGAATTGAAATCAAAGAGAAAACAAACGGTTAAACTTAAATTTTATCAATTGAATCACTTTCATCAGATTCGAAATCTTCTTCACTATCATTTTCTTTCAAACCAAAGTGACCGGTCCAGCCATGTTCAATTAAGAAATTTTTGAATTTAACATCTTCTTCCATTAAATCATCATCAGTTAAATGAGGAACAAAGAAAAAGGTAACTAAAACACCGGCTAAACCACAACAAGCAGCAATGATGAAAGTCCATCTGTCACCTAAATGAACTTGAATTGGAGTGAAGGACTTTGTACCAGCAATAGCACCGACTTTACCAATAGCAGCAGATAAACCGTAGAAAGTACCTCTGATAGGTGTTGGGTAAGATTCAGAAGAAATTAAACCTAAACCATCACCTGGACCCATGTTACCACATGCAGTCATTAAGCCGTAAAGAACAATGAATAAGGCAGTCTTATTAACAATTTTGTCATATGATAAACCAACAGCTAAACCGAAAACGATATAACCAGAGAAACCAAGCATCATAGTATATTTTCTACCAATAACATCATTTAAGTAAGCACCAATAAAGACACCTGGTAAGGCAACGGTATTAATTAATAAATTCCATTCAGCAATTAATTCTAAATTAGAACCTTCAGATTTTGGAATAACATTAGTGATAATAGTAGCGGAGAAAATACCATTTGGGAAAATAACGAAATCATAAAGGAACCAAGCTACACAGGTACCGATAATTCTTCTCCAGTATTTTCTAACAGCCAAAGAATAGTACCAAACCATATCTTTGAATGGAACTCTACTAACAGCAGATTTTTTATATAACACAGAAGTAACCATTTTCCATCTGAAATAGAAAACAGACATTGGCCAGAAACAACCAATGGCGAACATAGTTCTCCAAAGAGCATTATAATGATTACCAGTAATTCTGTTAACAACTAAAAAGATGATTAAAGCGAATGGACCACCAAGAGCTAATGGGAAATTGGTACACATAATAAAGGCACCACCTCTTCTTTTAACGGATTCATTAGCAGCTTCAGAAGCAGTAACTGAAGAAGATGGATATTCAGCACCAATACCGAAACCAGTAACACCTCTTGCAACAGTTAACATCCAGAACATACCAGTAATGGTGTTACCATGAGAAGCAGCACACATAATAGAACCAAAAATAAGGAAACATGTGGCGGTAACAATAGACCATTTTCTTCCCATATAATCAGAAGCAATACCAATAATGAATTGACCAAAAATAGTACCCACAATAGCAGCATTGGAAACTTGAGTTGACATTGGTCCAGTATATTCTTCTGGATATTCTAAGGCAAAGACTTTATTTAACATAGCCATAAGATTATTTTGATAACCATCTGAGATTAAAGCGAAACCAGCACAAAGAATCATAAGGATATCTCTTAATTTAGCCCCACCAGCTAATCTTTCAGCTCTGGCTACACCATCATATTTGAATTTTCTTGGACCGGCATCAACTGGACGACTGTCATATTCTTCTTCATTGATTTGTTTAACATCAACCGTGGCCAAATGCTTACTACTATTGATTTCGTAAGTAGACATCTTTTCAACTGATTAGAGAACGATTGGACTGACGATGTCAATTGTGAAGATTGGTAAAAGAAGAAAATCAAAAAGGAATGAAGAAAAGATCCATTGAAAGGGGATACTAAAACCTATCATCATGGGGAAATTCAATTGGTTTTATATGTTTTGAAATCATGATATCAGAAAGTAAAGCCTGAGAGGGATCAAACTCAATTAAAGCCAAACCAAAAAAAAAAATTAAAATAATAAAAAAAAAATCCACTAAAAAATAATTTACGAGTAATAACATAATTTACAGCTAATAATAGTAAATTGTTTTGTTATTGCAATTGGGGTTAAGTTATACATACTTCAGCCAACGAGGATACAATGAGATTATCAAGAATGATAGATAATTTAGTTAGTTTAGTTAGTTTAAAGCCATAAATGTTAGTAGGGAGATAGACATTAGCTAGGAGATCGAAAGATAAATAGCTTAAATTTTTCTTTTTTTTTTAGCGGTGAATCATAATAATTACTGGCAAAACTAAAACGTTTTTAACGACTACAATTAATAACTATATTCAAGGCAATTCTAATTCTTTGTTTATCCAAGGGGGCAAAGTCATCAAATTCAAGGGAAACAAACATAATGGAATCGTAATACAAAGAAAACACAAATGTTTTTAATGAAAAACGTGTTGTGGGTGCAACAGTTTGAATTTGAATTTGAATTGCATTCAATTCAATTTGATTTTAACCCTTATAGGATATTTAAATTATTAGCGTGTATGTGTGTAAGTAAAGTAAGTAAAGTAAGTAAAGTAAGTAAAGTAAATAATTGGTGGGTGATGAGTTAAGTAGCGTATGTGTGTGTGTGTGTGTGTGGGAGGGTGTGTGTGTCTAGCCTTGCCATAGCACACCCCCCGTTGAACTGTATTGCAACAATTGAATGGGATAGCATGGAATTGTATCGAATTAAAACGTTAAATTACACCCCCCCCCTCCCCCCCCCTCTAAGGATATTAAAATTCAATTCCCGCTATAAAATTTATATTCCGCTGTCTAGGGGGTTAGATTTATGTTGGGTGAAGGGAGTGGGAGTAGGAGTGGATCCAATGTAACTACGTAAGTATGTAATTAAATATTATTATCTTTAAACGGTATCTCATACCTGCATATTGGGCATTATCCTTAGTTGCTGCTAAAAGAATCAGTTATAAACTGTACAGAAAATATGTCTATAATTAGCACGTGTATGTGGTATTGATCTATTTGTATTAGAGTTACGAAGAAATAAAATGGTGATTAGGTTGTTTTAAACATAAGAACATGGATTGAAGTGAGAAATGATGAAAGAAGGATGGAGAAGAGAAGAGAAGAGAAGCGAAGTGAATGGGGAAGGAGAATTATTTGAAACTAGAAGCACGATGGAGAAGATAACGTTTTACAATCCAATTATAATGTGATAATTTGAATTCATTTAGTATTTTCAGATTTAGCAATCAAATCGCTAGGATCATACTTCATAGTACATACGTCATACTATGGATAATTGGAGTATAAGGATTAATGAGAAGAATACATTCTACAATGTAAGAGAATTGACCAATGTACCTAATCGAATTTAATGATGATCTTCTAGAATGGGGTAATAACTTTTTAATTGGAAGTATAACCAAATATAGAATTCTTTCATATGAATCAATCAATTCACTCAAGTTCCCTGATAAGGTAATTGTATACTATGTAACCAGTAAGAAGTAAAACAGAAAATCTCAATAACTGCGCCCACACCCCCTAAAATCCCATCCATAAACTCCTCGTTACAGTGAAAAATAAATAACATAAAATATTCATAAGCCAATTGTTTATCTAGTATTATTATGAAAAGCCTCACTGTTGATAGGTATTTATTTTATATCAATTGAGTCTTAACATCAATCGAGTCTTGCCCATGAGGTCTAATGAACACACTCCAATAATCACCGACCCCGAGCGGAAATAAAGTTAAATTTGTCTCCTTAACGACGATTATTACCACGATCATGGTTGCTGTCATTATTGTTTGTTTAGATTTATGTAGGTAGATAAGGATCGATCAACTACCTTGATGGATGAGTGTGGACCATTAAAATTGTAAATAGGCTTTTAGCCAACATAATTTTACTTTGTATAATGACACTATAAATAGATCGAACTCAATTTATTCTTAATTAAAAATACGATTAGAATTAGATTAAGCCACTATTACTTAGGTCTTTCACTATAGTTTATATTCTACTATTACAAAATGTGTGGGATAGAGAGATTAAAGATCAAAGTCTGAACTTTTTAAATCAACATTTGGCTATTGCACACGTGAATCATAGCCGCAAAGGATTCTATTAGTAAATTGAATTAGTTACTGATAACATTATCAACGGATTTATTTATATATTTTCTAATATTGATATTTATCAGTTCATAAAAATTTGATTACGCGCCCAATAAAAATAACTAACCACAAACACATTTGGACATGTCAACTTTGAATGCATGGTAGACTAGACTACATGAGAGATACCGTAACAAGAAAGAGATATAATGGGTCAAAAATAACAATTAGAAACTGAGATTAAATCGATGATTATAAACCGTCTACGAAAGAATCGACTAGTGTACTAAATTTGAATTCTATGTAACATATGTACATAATATGTTTACAATAAACTATTGTAACCACCACTAAACTATTATTGTCAGACCAATAATAATTACGAAACCCACGTCAAACAAAGTATCATCCAATACTTCAAATTGAAAATTTAAATAACCTTGGCAAAATTGTCAAACGTCTAAAATTCATTTGCAACCAATTATAAATTCTTGTCAAAAGTGAAAGGAATTTTAAGTTTTTTGAAAGCTCAAAGTTCATTTTGTGTACAGTATAAAAATAGTGGGCCCGCTTCAATTTCCGTTTTTAGAGCCCTGGCTAAATATGTATGATAGCCACCTCAAAATTCAGTTACTCCCTTCCTCCCCACACTTCATTTGTTGATTATTATAAGTGACCATAATTAGTTATAATCAAAGTTTCAAGATCGACACTGTTGGGGGATAGAAGATATCTTCTATTGTTTTTACAGAGAAAGATCTCGAGACTATTATTTTTGTTGTTGAATTTAACCAACGGCCATTAATTAGAAAATAATTATCAATTAGTGATGATCAAATGTCATCATGTCAATGACATTCCCGAACTTAGCGACTACCGTCTTTCAACGGTCAACTAAAAAAACAAACTGTCTATCCATGACCATAATATATAAACGCATACATTGTAACTGTTGTCCCCCACTTTTTACCTCAATTTGGATGATGATGGTTTGATGATGGCTTGACGATCTGATGTTTTTTTTTTATTTATTTTATTTCTAGTCATGTGATCACAAGAACGTGATTTTCACAAACAAAAAAAAAATTTAAAAGCGCCATACTAAAGAATGAGAGAGGAAAGGGTTTGGCTTTAATTACTAATTTTAATTAAATAATTCGTAGTTTACATAAATATATTTGCCACTTTTATTTCGAATATCACAACCTTTTCATTTGTCAGTATTACCCCTTACCATTCTTCCAGGTACTGGAACTACCCTATCTTATTTGCTGGATCAATCAATATCGTTTAAAGCTATATTCGTTGTTGTTATTGCCTTTACCAGAGATTAAGGAGAAGGAAAAACAAAAAATAAAAAGAGCTAATCTCCCCTCTTGATAGTTAATTTTGTATTTACAACACAGATCAATAATAAACAGCAACCCAACCCATCATCATCATCATCATCATATCATCAAGCATAGATCATCAATCAATCAATCAATCAATCACTCAACTATATAATCTTTACATTAGACTTTCAGTTCATTTCAACCGTTTACCATTTTTTTTAGACATACTTTTATTTTACCCTTTTTTGTTAGGATCATTCCATCCTTTGTTTATATCATAAATTGAATGTCCAATGTTATTAATTAATCGGAGTGCCAATACAAGTACCAACACTACTTCGACTACTAATACCAATACAGAAGAGGTTAGTCCCTCTGTATCCCTTAATGATGACGATGATAATCTTCATCATGATCCACAATCACAATCTCAATCTCAATTATTGGATCCTTTAGTAGATGATGATAATCAACAACCACAACTGTCAGACCTGCTTCCACCTAAGAAAAATAAACTATTCAGTGGGTTCTTTAAGAAACTACCTATTATATCCACTAATTCATCTACTAATACTACCAATAGTAATACGCAAAGTCAAAATAATAGTAATATACATAGTAATACAACTTCAACCATTGATTTACCAACTACATCTACATCCAATAAAGTCACCCCTTCAAATATATTAAATGATTCAAATCATATAACTATCATACAGAGTAAATATGAAGACGATGAAGATGATAATGATATATTACATGATGATGAAGAAGTAAATTCCCTCCTTGTTTCAACTCCTGATATCAATAGATTATCAATTCCAAATAGTCATACTAGAAGTAATCATAATCATAATGCTTCCATAACTAATTCATCTAATAATTATGGTCATCTAGTAAATGATCAAGAAAGGTATACTTCATTCACTGCTGAATGTATATCATTACAAAATAGTGAAATGACTTCATATTTTGAAAATGAAAGTTATGTTGATCAACATTCAAATGTCAATAAGAATGATCTGATCATCCATCATCACTCTGATCAACTTCAAATTCATACTCCATCCACTGCTGGTCTTGCTCCACCACCTCCAACTGTAGTTTCTGTTCCTGTGATACCAACAAATGCGCCTGCTCCCCCACCTCAACAACAACAACCACCACCACAAAAGAGAAACTTAAGAAATTTATTAAGAATAGCTTCGTTCTCAAGTATAAACAATATTCATAGTAATAATCCTCATAATGGTGGTGCTGATATTACCAATCCACATCCATACCAACATACTCCAAATCATCAACATTATCCTCATTCAAATCGTCAATCTCCTGAACCATTAGAAACCATTACTGATAATGATTCATCGTCAAACAACCTTATAACTGATAATCAATTTCAATTTGATGAGGTTCAAGATTTAACGGCTTATTTATCTGATCTGGAATCAGATTTAAATTTTGATCCTAAAAATGAAGAAAATGAATTTGATTATAAAATTGGTGGTTATCATCCTGTTTCTAAAGGAGAGATTTATTATTCTAAAAATTTTCCTAATCGTGAATATATAATCTTGAGAAAATTAGGATGGGGACATTTTTCTACGGTCTGGTTGGCTAAATCAAGATTTAATCCAACTTTACATATAACGGATACTGAATCATCCAGTGAGGAAATAGTTGATACCTCAGAGTATTATGTGGCGATTAAATTTGTTAAATCGAATAAGAATTATTTAGAAGCTGCTGAAGATGAAATTAAAATCCTTAAAGCTTTACATGATCCTATAAATTTCAGTCATTTATCAGAGCATGATAAACAATATTGGCAACATATTAAACCACCTATGCATCCTGGTTATAAACATATTATGAAATTATTGGATAATTTCCAAATTATAGGTCCAAATGGTAATCATATCTGTATGGTGTTTGAGATCTTAGGTGAAAATGTATTGAATTTGATTTATAAGTATAAACAATTTTATTCAACTTTAAATCATGAAATCATTGTTAAACAAGATCATGAATCAAAATCGAAATCAAAGTCCAAGTCTCAATCTAAATCAAAATCGAAATCTAAATCCAAAAGTAAATGTGAATCTCAAGATGATGGTATTTCAACAAGAGCAACTACTATTAATACTAATACTACTCCTCCTCCTCATTGTAAACAATCATTGATGATGAGTACTCCAGCTGCTTCTACAAACACCACTACTAGTACAACCACCAGCAATAATAACACCACAACAACCACTACCACCACCACTAATATTAATGGTACAACTACTACTACAACTGCATCGGCTAATAATATGAAATTTAGTAAATGGGATACCAAATATTTAAAGAAGAATACAAAATCAATGTTGAGTTTAGGATTAACTAAGAAAACTTCTTCTAAACATAGAAATTCAAATTCTCCGACTTCAAATACCATCACTCCTAGTGTTTCTATTGGTGAAAATCAACCCCAATTACAATTACAACCTCCAGCCATTGTATCTTCATCTGCATCTTCAATCGTTTCAAAAGATGGTGATAATGAAGTTGGTGATGAATATCATGCTCATAAACATAAGGACTCAACCACTTCAACTTCAACTTCAGTTGCTGCTGAGGAAGATTTTGATAAGAAATTAAAGAATTTGAATTCTGATTCTTTATTAAGATTATTAAAGAAATCTCGTTATTCAGGTGGTATACCGTTGAATTTGGTAAGACTAATTGTTAAACAATTATTCTTAGCTTTAGATTATATGCATCATAGTGGAATAATTCATACTGATTTAAAACCAGAAAATATATTAATTGAAATTAAAGAAATTAATAAATTAATTAAAATCATTGAATTAGAAAAAGTTTCAAAATTATCTTCTCCAATGAATCCATCTATATCAACTGGTACAAATAATTCAAATGTCAATACTACTCCTCATTCAGGTAAACCCCCTGGTTTAATTTCATTGTTTACTAGAAAGGGGTCATCTAATCTGATTAAAAAGAGACAGCCTACTTCAACTTCATTATCCAATTCACGTAATCATTCCATAGCATCGGTTAATTCAGTAAGCTCATTCCATTATAAGAAATCAAAGAATTCAGTAGCTTTAGGAGGAACTCCAATTAGAAGTTCAAAACCATTAAGTTCATCAATGAGTCAAGAAGTATTATTTAAAGATATTGATTATCATGATCATGATAATGATGTTGGAGTTGATCAAGATCATACTCCTGTATTTAGTAATCTTAATCCTGATTCCATTCATCGTGCATCCATATCTAAAATCAGTCCTCGTACTCATATCAATAGTAGTGCTGGTTTATTGGGACAAAAACCAACTGTTGGAAATGGTGCTGTTTCTTTAACCTCTATGAAAGAAGAAACTGAAGAAGAAACAAATTCAAGAATTAATAGTGTGGATCATTTGGAAGAACCCGATATATCAATAAAGATTGCTGATTTAGGTAATGCTACTTTTACAAATTTACATTTCACTAATCAAATTCAAACTCGTCAATATAGATCACCTGAAATCTTATTAAAATATAAGTCATGGGGTTCATCAACTGATTTATGGTCAGTAGGTTGTATTATCTTTGAATTAATTACTGGTGACTATTTATTTGATCCTCATGATGGACAATATTTTGATAAAGATGAAGACCATCTTGCTCAAATCATTGAATTATTAGGTGAATTTCCATCTGATGAATATTTGTTGGATTGTAAATTAACATCAAAGTTTTTTAAATTAAATCCATTAAATAATGAAATCATCTTTAAGAATATTTATAATTTGAAATATTGGGGTTTAAGAGATGTCTTGATTGAAAAATATAAATTCAAAAAGGATGATATTCAAGTTAAATTAATCAGTGATTTAATTTTGAAATGTTTAAGGTTTAGTCTTTCAGATAGATACGATGCAGGATCATTATTAAATCATCCATGGTTACAAGATGATATCAAATTTGATGAAATACCATTTGATGATGAAACAATCGATGGTTGGTTAAAAAATATGGAGAATAATAATCACCATTTACCTGGATTTACAAAACTTTCAAGATAAACCAACCCACACATACACATATATATACATAAACACACAAACAAACAATTTTGTTTCATACTTTCATTTCAGACTGTTTAAGTCTTTATTTTTTTATTCTTTTAATTTTAGGCGGCGGGTTTTATAAATATTTCTTTAATAGTTTTTAATATTAATTCAACATGAATGTGATGCTCAAGAAGGTTTCTATATTGTAGTCTAGCGCTACCACAATGCGAAATTACATTATTATATGGCGATTAAATTTATATATTACAGTTTCTATACTTTTAGTCATTAGTCATTATTATTAAGATGAATCTTCTTCGTCATCTTCTTCTTCATCGTCATCGTCATCATCTTCACCATCTTCACCATCTTCGTCTTCATCGTCTTCATCTTCATCTGAGGTTAAGTCAAGGTTTTCATCATAATCTGAATCGACAGCTGGATCACGAGGAATATCTTTTGGATGAATTTTATGCATTTTCTGATGTGATATGATTCCATTATCATCTTCGTCGTCTACCTCTTCCTCCTCATGCACATCATCATTCACACCCCCTTTGTAATGATCTTTAAGATCTACTTCAGATTTCTTCTGTACAACTTCATACCCATTACCTTCTAGATCATTTGAGTCTTTTTCTACTTCATCAGATTTATCTTTAAACGATTGATCTCCCTCTTTGTTAACAACACTTTTTGTTTGCTTTTTCAACAATTCATGAGCAGATTTCATTTTGAATTTTTTTGAATCTATAACTTCTACATCTTCTCCTTCATCATCATAACTCATTTGAACACTACTGATCTTTGCTTTTTTCTTTTTAACTGGCTCTATAGCTTCCACTAAATGCTTCAGCTTCTCCTCTTTGGGCAAATCATCGAAATATTTATCAATAAAATCAATACTTTCAATTTTAACAGGATACAATGGCTTACCAGTACTTTCTTCTATCACATCCTTATTATTTTGATTGATTTGATTAATGACATATATGGAATCACCAATTATTTTCCCGAATAGATTATATTTATTATTAAAACTTGATATTTCACCTTCTGCTGTAGTTATCATAAATGAATCCAATGATTGATTATTTTTGAATGTTTCACTTTCTTTCACGGGACAAATCATGAATTTGGCATTGAATCGTATACGAGAATGAAACTCGTCCTTTAAATCATACACAATGTCATCATCATCACCTTCACTGACTAACAAATTATGATCAGTTGATGAGGTTAACACTTGACCATCATATTTATGATTTACACAATTGGTTAAGAATTGTTTGGTGGTTTTTGTAATTTCTTTCGCCCATAAGTCAACTTCAATGGGACCCTTACTGGTATTTATCCTGACCTTAGCCGTTGTCTTAGGTTCTAATGATGCCATTGATTTACTGTGTGTACCATATCAACCTTAAAGTTATACATCTGATATTAGTTACTTATTTCTTCATACAATTTCAAACATTGTCCGGGTAAATTTAGCCACCTGCATATAAACCAAGCCAATCAATTTTAATCAGAAAAATGAAAAGTAATCACAGAAAAATAAAGCAGCACCAAAGACTATCAAAAGTAGAAGATATTCAATTGAATAATTAGATAGATAACGAAGTAGTATTCCAAGTTATTGAGTCATACGTTCATATCCAGACAATTAATTACTCCCTGTCATTCTTTGAAGTGGTCAATTTACGTTAATTTTACGTTACATATCACATATTTAATTCATTTTTGCATCACCAGCACCACAAAACATTTATCCATATTCACATCATGTTATCATCATCATCTAGAATAAGTCTTAGACGTTTAGCATTTGTCAGATTCACTTCCACTGTCATTGTCCCAAGACCAACCAAAACATCCACTGGATTAAGTAAAGAAGAATTGGAACAAAATGAATTAGTTTCAAATCAAGCTCCAAATAGACAAGCTACTTGGTCTCCAACTCAAGAATCAAGATTGAATATAGTTAGCAAGAATGCTGCCAGATTCGTACAAAGAGATTTAGATCAACAACCAAGACCATATGCTGCTATAGATTTAATTGCTAAAGAACCAGTCAGATATTTAACTCATGAAGAAGGTAATGTTGCCGTATGTGATGGTAATAAAGGTAATACTTTACATGGTCATCCTAAAGTTTTCATTAATTTGGATCCTGCTAGGGCTCATGCATGTGGTTATTGTGGATTAAGATATGCTAAAGAAGAATTTAAAGAAGTTATTGAAGCTCAAGAAGCTTCAGCTTAGGTAGTTCACTTTCTTTCAAGTCATTATTTCATTTCATTAATTCATAAACCATATTTCATATAGCACTTTTGTATATCTAGACCTTTGTATATATATTCTTAATAAAATAGGAGAATATTATAGGTTTTAATAATGTAAACTACGGAGCCAGATTTTGAATTTAAAAAAACAATGTTATATATTATCAAGCTATATAATATTTAAAAAAAAGATGTTTTTAAGAGATTTTATTTGATTTTCTAGTTTTTTTGGAGTTTTTATATTATTTTCTTATAGCAAGCAAGTAGATAGTTAGGTATTACTTTTGTAATAATCTATTAACTCCCTTTTGAACAAATTCATTTTGATCAACTGAGTTATACCATTGGTTGAAAAGAGGATACTTTTCTAATTCAATATCATTTGGTTTTAAAAATCTTGACCATCCATAAACTGAAGCATCAACAGCTGATAAATGATCACCAACCAAGTATAGACCATTATGTTTATTTCTATTCAAGATTTCATCAAACACACCCACAATTCTATTAACATCTTTGAAATAACGATCAATAGCATATTCGTCTTTACATGGAGCAAGATGTTTGAAATGATATAATTGTCCAGTAATTGGACCTTGTTCAGCCACAGAAAAGATTAAATATTCCAATTGTTTATAATATTCCTTACTACCATATTTGAAAGATAATTTATGGTTTGGATCATAAGTATCAGCAAGATATTGTAAGACAGCACCACTTTGACTGACAGTAACACCATGGGTTGAGTCAATTAAAGTTGGAATTCTACCATTAGGATTGAGTTTAAGAAACCAAGGTTCCTTTTGTTCACCTTTACTGATATCAAGAATTTGAAGATCATATTTAAGACCAAGAAGTTCTAAAAAGGTAGTGATTTTGAAACCATTTGGAGCAGCAGCAGCGTAAAGTTTTAATGGAGCAGACATTGTAATATGAGTGTATTTATTGTTGTTTTGATTAGTTAATTGATTTAAAAAATGGAATAAAAGATCAATTTAGACTCATATTTATAGTTGAATTGGCAGCAATTGACCAACTGTCTCTCAACTAGCGCTTACAATTAAAGCAACACTATTACAAATAGAGTTACATACTGATTTTGCATCCAATAAAACGTTTGTCTTAAAATTGCAAATGATTTGTTATTTGCAACTGGAACTCCAACCCACTTGTTCAAAAAAGTTGTTAAAAAATAAAAATGGTTACGAGCCCTGCTGACAAATTCATAAATTACAATAATTCAAATTTCAAACTCCACATATTCAAAACCCAACAATTCACTTTTGCAGCTTTTAACAAGTAAGTTATCAATCAAGATTACAAATAATTAGTAAAATCACTATTGACTATACCATGCCATGCTATATGTTGAGCCGCTTATGTTGCTATCGTCTCATTTTGCAATCTTTTTCATTGACTGAGCATTATTGATTTGCAATCATTTTTTTGTTGCGTTACAAATCGATTTCAAACCCCACATAGAGTATCTTATTAAACAATACGATTTTAATACAGGCCAGTTTCCGTCTTAAACCCAATTCCATATTATTCTCCGTTTATCACATAGCCGAAATATCAATTCTATCAATTTCATGTTCATGTGTTGCTAGTACAATCGTACCCACTTAGCTAAATTTTATTTCGTTATTTTACTTTCATTTACATATCTGATCTGAAATTTAAAAAACCTTCATTTATTAAAGCTAAATCAAATAATATCTAACAATAGAGGTAAAAAAAAGTGTTTTAGTTTTTTTTAAGAAATTTTAATAGTTTCTTAAATAGTCCCATATATCCAATTGGTTTAATTATGTAATAATCTAGTTACCCCTCTTTGTACAGTTTCATCTTGATCAAAATTATCATACCATTGTTTAAACAATTTAAATTGAGTGACATCAATTTCATTCATAGCTAGATATCTTGACCATCCATAAATTGAAGCATCAACGATCGAATAATGATCACCAATGAAATACAATCCACTCTTTGTATTCTTACTTAACAACTGTTCGAACACAGAAATGATTCTATTAACTTCATTTGAAAGATGAGTAATTGCAAATTCATCATTCGTGCCGGCCATACGTTTGAAGAAGAATAATTGTGAATTGATGGCTGCGAATTCAGACACCGATAAATTAATATATTCTAATTGTTTATAATACTCTTCACTACCATATTTGAAAGATACTTTATGATCTGGATCATATGTATCAACAAGATATTGAGCAACAGCAGCAGTTTGTGTAATGGTAAACCCAGTATTTGGATCAACTAAAGTTGGTATTTTACCATTTGGGTTTAAATCAAGATACCATTGTTCCTTTTGTTCTTTAGCTTTGAGATTAACAGTTTGAATTTTATATTCTAATCCAAGAAACTCTAAAATTGTGGCAACTCTAAATCCACTAGGGGAAGCAGCTGCATATAATTTTAATGGAAGTAATTCTGAAGATTTACTTGTTGATCTTGTCTTTGGCATGATTGATTGTATTTGTTTGATTTTTGTTTGAGTTCAATTGATTTAGAAGTCCATTAAAAGGGCCAAATAGAAGCATATTTATACCCTTTCTACGCTATCCAATTCATTATCCATGGAACTTAAAAGTGGATTGATTACAAATCCAAAATAAATCTAATACGTATAATTGGTTAGAAAATATAAACCAATCCTTAAATTTGTATTAACACCCCATTTTCAAAATAATAATAATTGTTGAAATTGGTAGCCTTCGTTTCTACCTGATGCCGCATCGATATTTGGGAAAAAAAAATAAAATTATTAATTGGTAGCCTGCTGACAAATTACTTTTATATTTTTACATTAATTGATACGGTTTACAACTTCCCGCTAATTAAAGTTTGAAATAAAGATAACAATGGATTGTGACTAATAGTAGTTACTTGTAATCAGTGTAAATACATAATCATACTAAAGCTGCTGTATCCAATGTACATGTTTCCATACTATTAGTTGCAACCATTTCTTAAATGTTTGTGGTCGGTATATTCCTTCCCATGATTTCTAAACCTCTTTTGTAATAACAGAAACAAATTCTCTACTTTTTAAATATGATTTGTCCTTTTTTCTTTTATATATTGGTTAATCTTTATTTTGGGGTATATTTTCTTAATTTGGGTTGCTACCAAATGAATCAATAGTCGCCTCATTATCTTGGCAACAATTCCTATAATGAGTCAGATTTTAGCCAATAATTAAGCCATATAAAAACGTTGCTAATGAATATTGCACCAACTAAGATAGCATAAGTTACTATAAATGGTAACATCTTACGTATTAGACCATGTTAGAGACTATCGTCGACATCCGGTGTTTAGCCCATCATACTATAAAACAATGACCGCTGGATGGATCATGTGATTGTGTCATAAAAAATAATTTTAAATTTTGATGACTTTGAATCATCATCACCAAATGGGCTAAGTAATAGTATCAGTTGTTATAGTATTGATCCCAATGTATACTACTTTACGTGTTTGTATTCTGATCATGAATCATGTGAATACATATTTGTGGTTTCGGAATATCATGATATTTCCCTTTATACGCCTATCTCAAAGGGTATACCATTTTGGTAATACTAATGATGAATCTTATCTATAATAACCAGTTCACTATAGTTCATTCATAGTTAATAAACAATTTTGAATATCAGTTTGACCATCTACCTCATCACAAGACCTTATCACATGAGATAATATAACTAAGTAAAAAATTCGCTGAACAAAATCTCTTGGTAGCATCAGCCCGGATATCGATCGGAGTGGAAAAAAAAATGGATGTACGAATTTATACGTCATTTGATGACTCTGATTTGATACATTTGACTCCTATTTATAGAAGTTTTCTTATCAATTATATAAATATCAAGTTATTTCCTATTTCAGTCAAAGGGTATATCGGATCAGACTTTATTAGAATCTAACATTCGTTGCCAATTTATTAAGAGTTCAACTAACTAACTCATATCAATCGCTTTCAAAAAAAACTATTATAACCTGAAAAATCTAAATTAGTGCTGCCCCTCCCCCACAAAATTCAAATTTTAAATTCACTAAACATGTCAACTAGTCAGATAGAACTAGATCATATACAGTTACCCATGAGTGATAATGTTCATATAGACCAAGGACTGTCCATAGGCTCAAGCTTAGCTATCGAACAACAATCTCAAACTGATCCCGAGGATCAACCATCATCAAATAATGGAATCATAGCTTTCTGGAAAGATATCACTCCGGGTGAACTTGGTAAAGGGATAATGTATGGATTATGGTATTCCAAAGATTACGTCTATCATTCATATATCCTTATTCTTATAGGAATGCTAATACTTTTCACCATCCTTTATGGATTAAATATCCTTTTAACCAATGTCATTCGATTCAAATTCCCAGCTTCGGTATTGATGATGTTGGTAAATTTAATATTCTTAGTGGTATTGAATTTCCTTGCTACTTTACCTAATCATAAACAAAATAAATTTATCCATAATATAAGTTCAGGTAGTTCATGGATTTTAACTCATTATTTAACCTTAACTAAACCATGTATGAATTTCTCCTTAAAATGGATCAATGTATATTTCATTCCAAGTTTCGTGGTATTACCTTTAAGTCAACCTATTACATTCGTGGAATGTATGAAAATCGCTGGTGTTTTCGTGGTGGGGTTCTTAGCCCTTATGTTTTTTGATATATATTTCATAAGATTATTGAAATTCATCTTAAATCATTTTGGATTACATACTGATGATACCAAGATGCATGTAACTAATTCAGATGATATTAAAGAAGATGATGAAGAAGCCAATGTTGGATCTGAAGATGATAGATCGGTTTCAGAAGATGAAGATGACGAAGGTCTTGAAATGAGATCATTAAATAGTCGTCATTTATTCTCTTCTATGAGAGATGATATTACTACTATTGACATTCAAAGTTTAAAATCAACTAATCGTGAATTAAATAATTCTCAATCAACTACAAATTCAAAACCTCGTACATTCTCCATTAATGAAAATCCTTTTAATATAAGTCTTAATCAATCCAATAATATCAGTGTTGTTTCTGAAGGTTCAATCTTACCTCCTCAAGTTCCTCAACAAGTTCATCAAAAATTACGTCATGATGGTTCTAATCCAAATTTCCATAAACCAACTCCATCATCAACTTCCTTACCTTCATTAATGATAACTCCAAGTCGTCAACGTACAGAAGAAATCGAATCAGATAATGAATCTCAAATTGCATCTGACCTTAGTCCAAAATCTCAAGTAATAGTCTTATTCATCACCAAATATTTCGATTGGTTATTCTACGGATTAATGTTAATCGTCTCTATCCCCTTCTACTATATCTCATCAATTCATTTATTTTTACCTTATCATTTAAGTATCACCGTATCAGCATTTTATATCGCTTTATCAATTCCTCAAAAATGGCAATCAACCAAGAAATTCGCTCATCCAATCTTAATCCTGACATTCCTCATCTTACTCATCTGTTCCATTGGTTCATTAATCTATCATCAAGGTGATCCTCAAGGGTTCTTATTAGATTTAGAATATTATCGTACGGGTAGAACATACTTAAACCTTTTCAGTTCAAAATTAATGTATAACAACGGTCAAACTGATTTAATGCCTCCTCATGATGCTACTTTATTATATAAATGGCCAGGGTGTGGTGATGTTCTCGTATCATTATTAGATATTTCCATTGTTTCGTTAAGTTTACCCATGTTTACTCATAGAAGAGATTTCGTGAATAATTTCTGGGTCGTCATGGTGCCTACTACTGCATCCATGGCTTTATCATTCTTTGTCTATCCTATCGTTTGTCATAGTATTGGGATTGAAGCTACTAGATCCATTGGTTTCATTGGTAGATCCATCACTTTAGCTTTAGGTACACCATTAATGCTAGCCCTTGGTGGTTCCGTATCATTAATGGCAGTGTGTACTATCTTAAGTGGAATCTGTGGTGTTCTTATTGGAGACTTGGTGTTTAAATTAACTAGAGTTGCAAAAAATGATTATGTTACAAGAGGAGTTACATTAGGAATTAATAGTGGTGCTATTGCTACTGCACATTTATTAAACGTTGATCCAAGAGCTGCATCCATGAGTTCATTGAGTTTCAGTGTGTTTGGAACTATCATGATCATCTTATCCAGTATAGATGCCGTGGTAACCGTCATAAGATCCATGGTGGGATTGGTATAAATTTGACGCGTCTTAAATTTTTCAACCCACCAACCCTCCACAAATATAAAATTTTGGTGATACTTTTTGAGATCGTAAATATTTACATATGTATATATATATATATAACATCCTTTATTTAATAGAAGTACTAATATTTAATATGTTGATTGATAACAGTAGTAGGATCATATTGTTCCCTAATGAGGCACAAGATCAGAACCAATCATTTAAAGTGATACGATTACCAATTGCTAAGAATCTTAGTGAGACCAAACCATATTTACTTACTGACGATAATATCTATGAATTAAATGAAATCAAAGGAGTGAATCCTTACGATGGGAATAAAGAGAATTTACCATTCTTGAAGAATGGAGATCCTGTCAAATCATATATTTTTGAAAATGGCGATGAACAAGGAGGGATCTTACAATCTAGTTCATTGATTGTAAGTAACAAGTTCAATGTGATATATTTATTACTCTCCATCATCCTTAAATATGAATCATCATTCACTAAGAACTATATCACCATCCATGATTTCATCGATAAAGTTTCAAGTTTATTTCCTGACATACCGTTTGAATCGATTCCTATAAGGTTATATACCAATGCATTACTTCTCATAAGTGAAGAGATTGAAGAGAATGATGAATTCTTTTATAAATTTGATAAATCAAAAGCATTGGAATATATCAATAATAAAGTCAAAGCCTTACATGAATATATATCCAACGATAAGTCTTCTACTTCGATAGTTACTCATTTAAAGGGGAAATTATTTGATCATAATAACGCATTACCTATTCAAAATATCATTAATCTTTTAAGTTTACATTATGCCATTGATTTCATAATTGATTCATATTTGAATGATGAGAAGGATCAATTCAAACAGACTTTGATCGACCAGTTTAAATACGACTTCAAACCATTGAATGATTATTTACAAACGTTATCTTCTAATCAAAAGAATTTAAAAGTCATTGAAGATAATTTACAATCTATAGTACAATCAACTCATAATGCTTCTACTAATACCAAGAAACCAGCCACCACAGCAGCATCTAAAAAGAAACCAGTTAAGAAAGTGGCCATTGGTAAGGGGGCATTAGATGGATTCTTTAAACGGGCATCATAGGCCACTTTTATATTTTTTTAAATATATATACACATTTATTTACTCAACAATTTACTTACTTTTTAGAAGCATTTTCAAAAGTCTTATTCAATCCTTTGTAAATTGATAATCCTGAAGCCATCAAACTTCCAAGATCACCCAAGTTAGAAGGAACCACCACTGTATTTGTCTTTTGAGCGATATTACCAAACTCTTTAATATATTCTTGAGCAACTTGTAAACTGACAGCTTGTTCACCACCTGGAGTTTCATTTATAGCTTTAGCGATTTTTCTAATCCCTTCAGCAGTAGCTTCTGATTTTAATAAGATAGCTTGAGCTTCAGCATTGGCTCTATTTATTTGATCTTGTCTTTGACCTTCAGAATTTAAAATTACTGATTGTTTTTCCCCTTCACTGATATTAATTTTAGATTGTCTTGTACCTTCAGATTCTAAAATCTCAGCTCTTTTAGATCTTTCAGCTGATACTTGTCTATGCATGGCATCCAATACATTTTGAGGAGGATGAATATCTCTAATTTCATATCTTAAACATTCTACTCCCCAATTATCTCTAGCTGCTTCATTTATAACTTGATTAATATTAATGTTTAATGATTGTCTTTCCTTTAATACTGAATCTAAAGTCATAGACCCAATTTCAGATCTCATGGTAGTTTGAGCTAATTGACTTATAGCGAATTTAAAATCTTCAACTCCATAACTTGCTTTATAAGCATCAATCACTTTAATATATAAGATTCCATCCAATTCTAAGGAAACGTTATCACTAGTAATAGCGTTTTGACTTGGGATTTCAATGGCTGATTCCTTTAATGATTGAACATAAGAAACTTTATCTAAAAATGGAATTAAAAAAGTTAAACCAGGAGGCAAGATTCTATGGAATTTCCCCATTCTTTCCACAATCCAAGCAGTTTGTTGAGGAACAAAACGAATAATAGTATTAGTGGGTAATTGTTCTCTTTGAAAGAAGTTTAAAGTGGATGGAACATAATTATTGAATCCTCCATTCCCACTACCTGAATTATTGCCACTACCAAATGATTGATTAGTGAAGCTTCTTACTGATGTATTTATAATTAATGGTAACAAACGTCTGGCCACCACCACACTTGGTGCCACTGAACTTGATGCCACCACTGTCGATAACATTGTCTATCTTTATCTGTTGTATCTGTAGTTTGATGAAGGATAGAGTTATAACGTCATTTAAAGTTGAAAATATTTGGCCACTGGTTGTAATCCAAAATATTTTGGTGATGCATTATATGCAGGCAGTAGCAAAAATTATTTTTAAGAGCAGAAAATGAAAAATATCAGAGATGGATGGGATTCAGATACCAGAGAGATAGAGGTAGCAAATAACAATCCAGGATGTCAAGGAAGATAGAGATAACAACCAACGAGAAGACATACTTCATAGAGGCACTTAAGAATGGGATTCGATTGAATGGAAGACAGTTCAATGAAATGAGAACCCCCAGTAATATCTTTTTAAGTAAGGATGAATATGGATATATTGAATTAGAATGGGGGTTAACTAAAATCAGTTGTCGTGTATCTAGTTTCATTAGGAAACCATTTGAAGATCGACCATTTGAAGGGATATTCAATATTAATTGTGAGATCAACTCTATGGCTCTGAAACAATTTGAAAATGGAAAGAATTCAGATGAAGAAGTACTTATAAGTCGAATTATTGAAAAATCAATCCGTCGATCTAATTCCCTTGATTTAGAAAGTTTATGTATTATAAGTGGAGAGAAAGTATGGTCGATTACGGTTGATTTAAATTTTTTAAATTTTGATGGGAATTTCATTGATATTGGATGTTTTGGAGTTATGTTAGCATTATCTCATTTTAAAAAGCCAGATATAACCATCATTAATGGGGGTAAAGATATAATCATTCATGATATTAATGAACGAGAACCTCAACCCTTAAGTATCTTACATATTCCAATCTGTTTAACTTATTCATTTTATAATACAAGTCAAAATGTGGAAGAAAACATTAAGGGAGAAAGTGATGAAGATGCGATTTATTTATTAGATTGTGATTATAAAGAAGATTTATTAAAGGATGGATCAATTATTATAACGTTGAATAAAAATAGAGAGATTATACAATTAAGTAAGAATGGAGGTATACCGATTGATGTGAATATATTATTGGATTTATCTTTAAATTCAATTAAATTTGTTAATGAATTAACTGATTTAATTAAAACTTTAATTAAAGATCATGAACAACAAAGATTTACTGAATTAAATTTAAAATTATTACAAGTTGGAGCTGATCGTTAAAATGAGTGTATTATATTAAGATTATTAAAGTTGTATGTATGTATAAAATATAAAGTAAACGAAAGACATCATCAAATAAATAAATAAAAATAAACTCTATACTATATTATCATTATTTTTTGATATGTAAGTTTCACCATCATCACTTGGGTTTGAAGTATCATCATTATCATCATTAAAAGTTGTATTAGGAGAATTTGAAGTTGGAGAAGAATCAGAATCTGGGATTTCATAATCGACATCATTTAATTTTTCTAAATTTACTAAATTTATAGGTAAATTAGAATCTTTTCTTGATCTTCTTTTAATGAAATTTTGTTGTTTCTTTGAAAAGAATGAAAGAATAAGGGAAGGTTTATCATTATTATTATTATCATTATTATTATTAGTATTGAATTTAACTTGAGAATCTGAAGTTTCAAGGGGTTGATATTTATGTAATGGAGAGAATAATTTTAACAATGAAGATGATAAAAAGTAACAGAAACTTGAAATTTTTATAATCATTTTTTTGAAATTATTGGAGATAACCCAACTATAGAATAAATATTCAATATAGAATATTAATCCTGCAATGACAAAACCAACAAATACCGCTAAACCAATATGATTAGCTAAAGATTTTATAAATTTAGCATCATCCAAATGCCATGAAGAACCAGGAGCAATGGCGAAAAATGATAATGTGGAAGTTTTATAATCATTAGGCATTAAAATACGAACTTTCCCAGCTTCAGGAACTCCCCACCGTTTATATTGTTTCCAAATTACTGAAAGGAAAAGTGGTCCAGTGGAATACATAATGGTTATATAAGGAACTAACCAATTTCTTTGATAATTTTGTAAGGAATCTAAAACTTTTAAAAAGAATGGATGTCTTGGTACAGCTCCCATTACATCATTTGAAATCCCAGTAGGGATAGTTTTTCTTACAAAAGCAGGAACAGTTAATAACGGATCTAATTTCCGTTCACAACCATCATCTAAATCAATATAAACTCCACCATAATGGACCAAAGCGAAATATCTTATGGCATCAGCTCTTTCAATGGGATAAGGATACAGATCCCAAGTCTTTAAAAACCAAGGGAATTCTTCACTAATGAAATCTCGAGCCATTTGATCTGTCCAAAGGATATATTGATAATCAGGATGTAAATCAACACAAGCTTGTTGGCCAGCTTTCCAAACCTCAGGGATTTCGGTAGTTTTATAAGTTTGATGAATGAATTTTGGAATGATTAATGGTTTATCTAAGATTCCATCCGCTGGATTTAATTCAACATCTAATAAGGCATCACTGAATGAATCATCATGAAGTAAAGTTATCAAGTCAAAAGTAAGGTAAACGAGGTATAGTATGAGTAATAGGTGAGCCCCTATGATATATTTCAATTCTTTTCTCATTGTAATATGGTTGTAGGTAATGCAAATGAATTAGGTTAGATGACTAGGAAATGAATGAATGAATGAATGAACGAAAAGGATGAATGAGATATACTGGAAATGATGATTAATACAATGAATGAAAGTATGAATGAATATTAAACAGGATGAATAAGGAAATGAAGGGAAATGAAGTAATTAGAAAGATGGTTGTTGTAAATGCAATATGATAGATAGATAGGTACAAGGAGAAGAGGACTGAAAAATAAATGATATGAAAGGATAAGATATAAAAAGGAGGGAACAAGGTTTAACGAATGAAGGAAAGACTCTTTTTGAATGGGAAAGTCTATCAGACGTGTGTGAATGTGGTAGTGGTGGTAATTGTGGTAGGTCGTAGTTGGAAGGTGTAGTTGTAGTTGTTGATAGTTGAGATGGTTGTTGTTACCCCTATCTTTTTTTGTCTGACAATTTTTTTTTTTCTCTTTAGTAACTTTGTGTCTGAAGTGTCTGAACTGAACTGAACTGAAGTGTCTGTCTGAGGAACAATTAATGTCTGTCTGTCTGATTAAATACTATAGCACTTGGGAACTAATAGATAATTTAAATAACTATAGATAGATAGATATAAAATAAAAATTTCTATAAAACTGTAATAATTATTTCATCAGGTACTTATATCAAAAACTTTTACTTTGCCTACTTTTATTTATCACTATGTGATGGAACTTGAACAAGAAGAAGAGTAATTGCTGAATTCTAAAATTTTGATAGAACAAAGCCCTCTGTTTTACAGATTAACTTTACAGGTTGCATATTGTTTAATAGGGGTTTATAGCCATAACCATAACCTGTAAAATATATATATATATAGGACTAACTAACTACCAGTAACTAACTATGGCCTACTTACAACCATCAGCCGACATTTACCCATTTACCCCTATATATTAAACTATACTATTAGATATATTATATTTGTATTCGTACAAGGGAATGGCCATATTTTATAGTTTTGCCTAGACGATGGTACAGTGTGTCTCCATCCCCATTACAATTAGTGGTAGTCATTTAAACTTAATTACAATTATATCGTACTACCCTTTCCCACTCCCCCAGGATCATCTGGTTTTTTAAAATTTAAATTTAAACTACTCAGTTTTTACAGTTTAGACACGTTTCTTTTTTTTTTTTTTTTCTTTTTATGATCATTTCTTTCCAGTTTGTCAATTCTTATGTCATTTTTGGTTTTCGAGTCTGCTCGAATTTTACGTCATAGCTTTTCGACAAATCGCCAAGTCAACAACTAATTAAACTTGCTCTTACCTAACATAGGAAGTTAAACTTATGTCAATGGTTAATAGTAACCTTGCTAAGCTTTATCCATGAACCTAGCTGTTACCTGTCAAACTTATAATTCTTACAGTTTAATCCTTACTTTGTGTATTTGTTATTGTTGATGTCAAAATATTTCTCTTCACGAATTTTGTTTCGGTATACTGATTACATAATCGTTTATTAAATTTTTGATATACGTTGCTACCAATTATAACTTTATTCATTTTTATTAATAATTATACAAACTTTTTTAATATATAGTGTTCTCTAACTATGATTTTGTCCCCTTTTCTCCTTTTCCTACAACTTTGTTTGTAATTCATACACATCACGATTAAATCTCTTATCAATAATATCAATCACATAATTTAAATTAACTTCATTATTAATCAAATTAACATCCGATGTTTGTCCTTCCCTTTTATTCAATAATTGTAATAAGAATTGATTCAAGATATTCAAATCTCGACTATTTAAGATCTTCACATATGCTTTTGTTTTTTGTTTATTCTTGAATATTGAAATCAACTGTAAATTGAAAATATAATATAAATTATTAACAAGATACTGTTTGTTGATCGATTCAAGGGAATAAATATGGGAGAAGGTATTGTTTTCTTTATTTTGATGTTTGGTAATGATATATTTGAGTAATCCTTTCGTATCCGGATATTTCAAATCATCTCCATCAACATCATGAGGGATAACTGATGGTAATTTCGATGTTTTTTCATTAGTTAAGGCAATGATATTTTCAATTAATAAATTATATGATTCTAAGAATGGGATAATCAAATTCGAAAATATATTTAAATTTGTCTCATCTTTAATCACATACTCTCCATCATTGTCTCCATCTGCAATAAGATTCAATGATTTAAAATCATTCAAGATAAATGTTAAATCATTTCTTTTATTCGTATTATAATCAAATAAAAATTCCGTCTTTAAAAATCCCATAATGATATAGAATAATTTAGTAATGTATACGTAATTCAACAGATTTGATCCACTCTTACCCAAATATAAAATAATAAAACTAACAATACATCTTTGAATAATAAGATGAATCGATAAATTCTTATAATATAATAATTCAATTGGATTTAAAATCTTTATAACGTCATTGGTTTTATGAACTTGAATATATTTAAAGAATTGTAATACTTGATCTCGGAAAACTTCCACCACTTGATGATCTTGTAATTGAATTAAATTTTCTAATAACGTGATATTAGTGATTGATTTTGACGTTAGATTTTCATTATAAAGTACTAAACTTACTAATCGGAATATCGGAATTAAATCTTTAATCTTAATTGAAATAGGTTTGGAATGAGTGGAAGATGAATTAATATCACAATAATGGAAATAATAATAAATTTGTAAACTTAATCCCACAATTGAAACTTCAGGTACATAACTGATACGATTGACTTCATGTAAGATCTTGAACCCTAATTTTTTTAAATTGACATGATTAGAATCAGTGATTTGGAAATTTGTATTGGTTTTAAGATGAGATAAGAATTTGGGATCCAGTTCTTGATTTATAAAATCACTTAATAAGAAATTATTTCCTAATTTAAAAAATATTTTCCCATTTAATAATTTGGAAAAATTATCATTAAAATTATCATTACCCCATACCACTTTCCTAGCTTCTTCTGAATTAGCTAATAAATTCGATATACCATTCTGTAAGATATTCAATCCTGATTCTTGTTGTTTATCACTTCCCACTAATTCCTTTAAATATCCATCTGTTTCATACACTCGTTCATAAGTAAGTGAAACCGGTTGGAATATCAAATCAAAATCTTGATTCTTTTCATCATATTTTTGTTTTAAATAAATATTAGTAAGAGTTTTTAAAATCCCATATTTGGGTAATAATAATTTCCCATCTCTTGATCTTGTTCCCTCGATGAATACTTCGAAATTGATTTTATTTAATAATAAAAATTCAATCACATTATTAAGATTTCTTTCGGTATATAATTCATTATTAAATGATCTCTTGATGAATATAGCTCCTAAATTCTTTAAAAATGTTCCAAATACAGCTACATTTAAATTCTCTCCTGCTACTACCGCAGGAGTAGCTAAATTAAATCTCACACAGATTAAATGTAAGATAATATAATCAATATGACTTTGATGACTTGGTAAGAATACAATTGATTGAGGATCTTTCACATATTTATGATATAAATCAGTGAAATCCTTTCTTGAACACCAAATACCCTTAGGGAACATCTTTTTAAATAATGTCATGACGGTTAAATAGGCAGTTCTCATGAATTCAATTGATTTGAACGTGGGTAATCTGGTTTTATTTTCTTGTTTATAATATTCCACCATGAATTTTTTAACTTCTCCAAATCGTTTATGAAAATCCTTACCATCAATCAAATTCAAATTCAATTCTTGATTAACTAATTGATAAATCAATTCATCCAATAACTTATCTTCTCTTTCTAATTTGTTATTCATGTAATTTTCAAACTTTTTATGAAAATCATCATGATGTTTATGAATGGAGTATTGATATTCTGCTTTACTATAGATATCTTCAACTGGGATACCCGTGAAAAACTTGACGGCACTATGTAACAAGTTGAAACTGTTAATCACTTTGGCATTCCCATCAAGTTTGACATAAGTATCTTGATCAGTAGGTAAAGGGTAAGTTAATTCAATACTTGGTTTTGAAAATACATTGTCTAATATGTTGACGTCAAAATCACTATTTGAAATATCATGCTGTTGTGAAGCCTCAGACATGATGGATGGATGACTATTGATGGATGATGATGAAAAAGTATCAGATCAGATCAAATTGCTCAAACTGGTTGTGAACACAATTGATGATATTTATATTAAAAGTGCTGCCAAATTCAAATCTCAGCTATCACAGTTTGCCCAACAAAATTAAAATTTAAAGGAGAGTGCGAAATTTTTTAATTATTTTTTAGTGCTGTTTTAAAAGAGGTTTAATGATCGGAATTGGCCTTTGGAATGCCAATGGGTGTTTGATAGTTAGTATGATGGTGGTTTATAGTACCCGACTTATGACTGATGGGTATGATCTATAGTTATATTCTATTAATGTTCAACAACATCATGAATGACACGTCTATCTTGGAGTGATCTACTTCACTTTACCCCACCCTTCACTGATATTACTCTCCCCATTAACCCTTTCATCCCTACCACACCATACACACATATTAACAAACTTGAAGAAGATAATGCCCCCTTCTCCTTTTTGTATACTAATAATAAAGTGCAAAGACCACGGTAATCCTATTGTGGTAGTTTATTTCATAACTCTCAAATAATTACCCATTACCTTTCCTAATTAGGGAATTATTTTTGTTGCTGGTTACACTTGGTAGCGCCAGATGTATATCCGTGGTTCTGTCAACTAATTTTAATGTCTAAATATTATTAAACCTTCGTGCGTTATTCCTTTCCTTCTTTCCTCGATAAATCATGTCATGTCATTGTATAACTATATCAGTTTCTCGAAAAGTTTAAACTGATGCTTCTCCTTCTTTCCTTTAGTTTAGCTTGTGCTTATATATTAGTTAGCGCAACTTTATTTTTCGGTTGATGAATCCGAGGCATATCCTCCTTATCATGAATCCTAGATTAATTAAAAATTATCTATATTATATTATATGTTATCTCTCCCATTTTTAGACCACATTGCTGGATCAAAGATTAGTTTTACCTTGCTGCAACTCTATAAGTTCGAAACGATTACTTTAAACATTATCTCCTTCACTTGCATATCGTTGCTTTAATTACATTTCATCTACCATTGTTCAATTCCTTTTTATTACAAGTAATCGCCTTAATTTTTATATTATTGCTCATTAACTATGTCGTTTCTTATCTGTACAATTATATTTCTACATACTCTTGCTTCATTCAAATTTATACTTATCAACCTTTACTATACAACTAGAGACGGAAATTTCTTTTTTTAAGTGGGGTATAAAATGGGGTAGTCCTGTACATAATGAGACACATTCTTTCTCTGGCTGCAAATATCAAAGCTCGTCTATATATACGACTACAACTACAATTACAACTAATACTTGAAAGGATTGATATAAATATTATAATTAAAACAATTAAAAATAAGAAATGATAAATAAAAAACTCTAATAAACTTCTAAAATATATCTACCTTCTTCCTTCATATCTTCAACAATCTTAGCAACATCTTTAACTACTTTACCTTCCTTCTTAGCTCCATTACGAATAATATCTTCTAAACAAGCAGTGATATCTGGAACAGGCCAAGTAGGTCCACATAAATAGAATGAACCTTGTTTAGCACAAACAGCATCAGTTAAATCTTCAATACTTTCTCTAATCTTATCTTGAATATAAATCTTTTGAGGTTGATCTCTAGAGAAAGCAGCTCCAATATGAGTTAAAATTCCGGCTTCTTTATAAGCTTCCCATAATTCTCCATAAAGATATTCTTCTTTCTTATGTCTTGAACCTAAATAAAGATAAATTTCACCAATTTCAAATCCTTGTTCTAATTGCCAAATCTTTTCTTCAATAAAAGCTTTGAATGGAGCTAAACCAGTACCTAAACCACTCATAATGATTGGTTGAGTAGTTAATTTTGGTAATTTCATAACGGATGGTTTAACACTAACCACTAATTCTTGACCAATTTTCAAATCAGAAAGATATTTGGAACATTGACCATATCTGATTCTACCTCTTGAATCGACCCAATCAACCACAACAATTAATAAATGAATGGCTCTGGTATGAATCTTTTGTGATGAAGCAATCGAATATTCTCTTCTCTTTAATGGATTAATGATTTTAATTAATTCTTCAAAGGATGGACGGGCAGATTTGAATTCGGTTAAGATATCAACATAAGTATCAAAATCAACTTCTTGTCTTTTCTTTAATTCTTCTAATCCTTCAGCACTACTTAATTTTAATAAATGTTCTTTTTCCTTTTCATTAGTAGCAAATGATGACAAGCTTTCATAAAATTTCTTTCCTGGTTTACCTAAGAAATCTAAATTATCTAATAAGATTTGTTTGACTGATTTGATTTCTAAAATCTTGGCATCATCTTTATTATTAGTTTCAATTAAGGCATCACCATCTAAATTATAGAATTCCAAGAATTGATCAACATCTTCTTCATTGTTTCTACCATGAATACCTAATGCTTCACCAATATCATAAGTTAATCCACTATCACCAATATCGAATTCAATATGGAAGATATTACGAGAATATTCTTGAGGAGTTAAACGTTTGTTTTCTTGAACTTTAACCACGAAATTCTTAACTGGTAAATCTGGTCTTAATTCTTTTTTCACACCATAAGCTTCTGCAAAAGTGAATTTAGTAGCTAATTCCTTGTATCCAATTAGATTATTTTCGACATTTTCAGAATCAACAACACCTTCACGAGGATTTGGGAAGAATGAAGTTTCAACTGGGAAGAATGGTAAGACAACTGGTTCTTCAATGTCTTCATCAAGGATTTCATCACCATCTTGATCTTTCTTTTCTTCATCAACTGGAGCAACTTCTAAACTAGCCCATTCAGGTGAGACTTCAATCGATTTCAAACCATTGTTTTCATCAATAATTTGAATAAATTTATCCAAGACAACAGCTAATAATTCAAATCCATTTCCATTGGCTTGTAATAATTTATTAACGATGAATGATTTCAAATCAGGTAAAGTTGATCTCCAGAATGCTAATTGAATTAAAAATTCTTCAGAGAACCCTTTAGTGGATTGATTTAATTCATCTAATTCCTTTAAGATAGTTAAATCAATAATAACTAATTTATTTTGATTCTTAACTAAAGAAACTTTAAAATCAACTGGTAATTTCTTTTCGACAAATTCATTGACGTCATCAATCTTTCCAACGGAATTAATTAATAAAATAGTTGATTCTGGTTTGGAAGTAGCTAATACATCATAACTATTCAAAATTGATAAATCTTCTAAAATGATTAAATCAGCCGAATCAATAGTTTCACCTCCTGAAATAGCATTTTCAGAAGAAATGATTTGAGATTGGAAAATACCTCCATTAGAAGAAGTATCAAATTTATTTCTAATGGATACGACTTTAGAATCATCTAATGATAAAGAAAGAGCTAATTTATCAGCAGTCTTAACTAAAATACCATTATCTTTACCCCATAGTAAGTATTTACCAACTGGAGAAGAATTAGCAGTTAATGGACCATCAACAAATCTAGTTTCAATACTTGAGGATAAAATATCATCTTCAGATAATGAATCAACGAAATTAACTAAAATCTTACTGATAGTGATTGGAGTCCATTCGAAATTCAAAGGATAATTGAATTCTTCAATCTTCAAATTATGATATAAACCATTTAAGAATAAAGTTGAAGTAATATCACTGATTAATCCTGTACCATTAGTATTTTCATCATTAACCTTTTGATCTAAGATGATAATTTTTTTAGTGGATTTAGGTAAAGTAGCAATGAATTTTTGTTGATTGAATGGGACAGGGACTCTAATTTTAACTAATCCAATGGATTTAATACCGGATTTTTTAATCAAGTTGGATAATTGAGTAGTTTCAAAAGTACCATAACTAATTAAAACAGTATCAGCATTAGCATCACCAATATATTCGAATTGAGAATAGTTTTCACCAGTTAAAGCATTTAAATTTTGGAAAGCAATATCAATAGCTTCATCTAAATTAGTTGGGATTTGATCAGATTTATTTAATAAACTTTGATATAAAGTACCTAATTCTTCAACACTTAATAAATTTGAAAATTTACTATAGTATTTAATGAAATTTGGACCATCGAATAAGTTTAAAGATGGTTGACCAATTAAAGATACTAAATAATGATTCAATAAAGTAGTATGTTGAATTTCAACTCCATTATTGAAATCTAAAGGAGTGAAAATTGAATAACCTAATGATCTAGCAATATTTAATGGAGCAGAATAATTTGAAACCAAAGAATCAGAATTAAAATCAAAATCAATAGCACTAACATTGAAAGCTAATGGTAAAGAAGGAGAATCACCAGAAGTATTGGTTGAAGAGGATAAGGTTGGTCTCATATAAGTTAAGGCATTTGAGCCACTAATTATTGATAATGGTTGACCATTAGTACCATTCTTTTTAAAATAACCTAAGATAGCATTGGAAGCACCTGATCTAACTTCGAATTTATTATAAAATGGTTTAATACCAAATGAATTAACTCTATCAAAGGTATTATTCCAATTATCGATATTTGAATCTAATAAATTATCAATTCCAACACTACTATAACTGAAGATCTTGGAAGAGATTGAATAAATAGTTTGATTAACAATAGTTAAAGGGGAGGTATAGATCGTACCTTTGATTAATTCAGGATGAGCAGTTGAACCAAATGGATTAGAAAGATGTTCATCAAGGAATTGCTGTTGTTCGTTGAAACTAGCAGATGATGAACTACCTTTACTGTCAACAGTTAACGCATGAGGTGCCATCGTTCCTGTTTGATGAATGAATATCAGATGAAGTGAATGAAAGGAAAGAAAGAAGAAATAAGAAAGGAACTGGTTATATCCAATTGCAACACGGCCTTTGAAATTTTTCAATTTTAAAAAAGTTTTTGATATTTGATGTTGCACGTGATATGTTCTAATCGAAAAAAAAGATTTAAAATTTAATTTCTTTTTTTGGGTTTTGTCGAAAACCGATTATCGATTTGTCGCAAAAGTTTACATTCTTATTTTTGCGACATGACTTTGCGACAAAGGGATTTTTATCGGTCCTATTACGCAATTTGGTTAAAAGTTCATTTTTCAATAATGGATATCGATCAGAGCCACAGATTGGTTTGACACTTTCGATTATTGTTAAAACTCATTTGTCAGATTATTTAACCAGTGTTATAGTATATTCTTTCTTTTCAACTTTTTCAACTCTATCTTTATAGTTTTATTCATTATAGATTAGTTAGTTGAATAGAGGACAATAACTAATATGTGGGGTTCTAATTTAAAGAAGAATTTAATTTCTCGGAGAAGTTTAACCTTCACCAGACTTCAATCTACTGGGAAGTCGTCACCAACTATTCCAGCACCACCCTTACCTCCTAAGGCCAAGTCAAGTTCATTGGGATACGCTTTAGTCGGTTTGTTATTCTTAGGTGGGGGTATCTACCTTGGATCACAATATAATTCGATATTCACCACTGCACCACTTAAATCGTCCACCACTACCATTGAATCATTACCTCCATTAATATATGCTGATGATAATCAATTCCAACAAGGTATATCTGAAATCAAAGCGATTTTAACCCCCGATCAATTCAATTATGATGAAGAAGTTATCAAATCCCAAAGTGATTCATTCTTCTCTACTCATCATCCTCCCAAACCTCAAGATCAAAAACCAAAAGTGATAATTTCTCCTAATAATACTCAAGAAGTAAGTGATATTTTAAAAATCGCCAATAAATATCATATTCCTATCGTCGCCAATTCAGGATTAACCTCTTTAGAAGGTCAAACCATGCATACGAGAGGTCCTAACAGTATTGCATTAAGTTTCAGTCATTTGAATAATATAGTTGAATTCCATCCTGATGATTTGGATATTGTGGTTCAACCGGGTGTAGGCTGGTCTGAATTAGATGATTATCTTAAATCTCATCCTTTAGGATCTCATTTATTATTCCCAGTTGATCCAGGTTTAGGTGCTACGATTGCCGGTATGGTAGCTACATCTGCTAGTGGGACCAATGCGTACAAGTATGGAACTATGAAAGAGAATGTGGTTAATTTGACAGTAGTATTGGCTGATGGGTCAATAATTAAGACTAAACAACGTCCGAGAAAATCATCGGCAGGATATGATTTAACGAGATTGTTTATTGGTAGTGAAGGGACATTAGGGATTATAACTGAAATCACAATTAAATTACATGTTAGACCTAAGAGAGAATTAGTTTCGATTGCTTCATTCCCTACGATTAAGGATGCTTCTGCTACTGCTCAAGAAATCATTAATAAAAGTGGATTACAATTGAATGCGATTGAAATCTTGGATGAGACTACGGTATCATTTGTTAATGATGGCAGTTCAAAGGATAAGAAATTTGATGAAAAGCCAACTTTATTCTTCAAGATTGGTGGACCATCGGATCAATCTATTAATGAACAAGTGAAAGTCATAAAGGAAATCGCCAATCGTAATCATTTGATTAAATTCCAAAACAGTCATAATGAAGAAGAAAACGCTGTTTTATGGAGTGCAAGAAGACAAGGATTATGGTCTACTTTTGAATATGGAAACAAAGTATTACCCGACCCCAATGATGTTCAAATCTGGACGACCGATATCGCGGTCCCATTATCGAAAGTAAGTCAAGTTATTACTGAAACCAATGATGATTTGAATAATAGTGGATTCAAGGGTAAATTCAGTGTCATGGGTCATATTGGAGATGGAAATTGTCATTTCTTATTATTATATAATTCTCCCGATTATCATAAGACCAAGACATTAGTTGATCGTATGGTTGAACGAGCTTTGAAATATGAAGGTACCTCCACCGGTGAACATGGTGTCGGTGTAGGGAAGAGAAAATATTTAGAAAAGGAGTTCAGTCCAAGTTCATTAGATCTTATGAGACATATTAAACTTTCATTAGATCCTCATCGGATCTTGAACCCCGATAAGATATTCATTATTGATAAAGATGATAATTTAGATGAATTATTAGAAGCAGGCCATATCCAATCGGTTAATAAACATGATTGTTGTCATTAAATTCGTTCTATAAGATGTATATAATTATATAATTATGAATTGAATTAATCATTAAATTGTATGGTTTGTTGTGTATGGTGTAAGTTAAAGTTAAGATCTTATCGTCGTCATTGTTGACTAGTGTTTTCTTACATAATTTAACAAGTTCATTAGATATGTCGTAGCTTAGTGATGTGAGTGGTTCATCATCATCATCATCATCTTCATTTAATAAATTATCAATGGATCCAATGATACCAAATTTGACTCGAGATAGGATTAATATACTATTAATAGTAGTTATATGATTATAATATTGAAGACCTTGTTTGAACGTAGTGATGGTTGAAGAAGGTAGTATAGGAGTATGAGTTATTGTAGTTGTCATGATGTGATTATATGTTATTTTTGCCATGAAATGGTTGTGAAATGCAACCAAATTATCAAAATAATTGATACTGTTATGATTTATGGAGAAAAAAATGGGTCGTGTGGATGATACCAAATCCAACCCTCTACCTAATTGGGAAAATGTGACACAAAGACATTCATTTTCAGTAAATAAATGACCTAATTAAGAATCGGTACTTTTGTCTAATAATAGAAATAGGTAAATTAAATATTGAGTGGGGGAGGGGAATGGTAGATGATACAACTAGTTAGAATGATCAATATTATGTCATGGAGATTTTTTTTTATTTTAGCGGATAGGTTGGAAATAGTGAAAGTTAGTGACATTGTATGAATGGACAATAGTGGAGAGCGAAAGACATATAGATAGAGAAATGGTAACAACGGTTAATTATACTGAGAATGGAGGAGCAGTTAAACAGCCGGTTAATACTGGTAAAAGATCGAGGTTCAATCTGAAAAATTTCAACCACTAATAGACTATAGTTTAGGGGGGGAAGTATAAGGAGGGGACGTTAGCGGAGTGGAAATATAACTTAGAGGGGGTGGGGTGGGGGGCGAGGTTATTTGAAAAGCTTAAAAGACATTGCAAAAAAATAGAACTAAGTTTCCCCTAAATAAAAAATATAACCCAATTAATTGAAAGTGGTAAAGTAAAGTAAATTAAAATGGAATGATTGGCAATTCAACTAAAATTTCATGAAGTAGAGTGAGTGATGAAAACGTCATAAGTTTAACAATTGTTGTGTTTACGAATAATAGTTAGTTAGTAGCGACTCCTATTTATCTTACTGTTTGAAAGAGTAAGTATACTAAATATAGGGTTTGTTTATATATGTATAACATTCCCCATTATCTCTGACATGTATATATATACTTAATATAAACTGTATAAGTTGAGATAACATAAAACTAAAACGGTAATTCAATTCAGATAGATTATCCAGATTAGTTGTTAAGCAATTCCATTTCAGTCAGTCACGAAAAGTTTAGTGTCTGTCTGAAAAAAAAACGCGTGTTGTGGAAATTTTCAGTGCGCTAAAACTTTAAGTTTAGGGAGAGAGAAAGGCTGGTGATTCCAACAAAAAAAAAAAGAGTCATAAGAAATCTTAAAATTCACAAAACAGACAGACAAAAATTCAGTCAGACAAAATTTCAAATTGAGTGACACTTTTGATTTACCAAGGTTTATTATATATCTATAGTGGTATTTGACTTTTATACTAGTTGTTGTTGCTACTACTACTTCTTCAGTATCCCATCAGTATAACTATCATATATCAAATTGAATAAAATCATATAAACAATAACCGTCGGATAAAGACTATAATCAAATCTTACCGATACCTCCACTAAATAAATTAAAAAGATCTCACTATTTACTGGCTCGGTGTCAGTCACTAAAAATAAATTTGAAAATTTCCACTGACCCCGTAATTTTTTATTTTTATTTTTTTTTCCCTAATTAAGAAGATAAGAAATTTTGAAACGTTCAGCTTAAACTGTGTGGTGGGTAAAATAAAATAAATTGAGTGCGTGTGTGAGTGAGTGTTCTGAAAAATACCACAAAATATAAACACAACCAATCCAATCCAATTCAATCTTATATCAGATTGACAACAACAACTATCATCTATTATCAAGTATCAACTGGTATCATCAAGTGTTAAGCAAGTCAGACCATCCATCAGTTCATTCAACAAATCCATTCCAATCCATCAACTACGAAACTACAACCCACCCACCCATTCACTTACTGACTATCTTATCATAAATCGCAACTTTATCAGTTATCATTCCCTAACTTATCATTTATCAAATTTCACTTATTTCACTTACTCCAACAATCACCTTTTTCAATCATTTTATCTAATTCAAGTATATATCACCAGATATAACATCCAATCCCTCCTTATATATTCATTATATCCATCCATCCTACTCCAAACTAGGATATGTCAACTGCTGCTATGACTAATATTCATAATTTGATAAACGCTCCCACTCCTCCTCCCCCTCCTCCCATTCCACCTACTCAACAATCACTCCCATCAGTTCATATATTATCTTCATCAAACTCTCCTCCGTTGAATTACCTTCCTCCTCCATTATCAACTTCTCATACCTCCCCGATTAATCATACCATCTCCTCCTCCTCCGCCTCCTCCTCCCATATCCAACCAAACCACTCCTCCAATACTTCTTTTGATGATGACGAAGATGATCACCACACATCCAAACAAACTAATAAGAAACTCTTATCAACCTCATCTCCAGAAGGGATCCAAGTCGCATCAAAAATAACTCCAACAAGATTAGCCAATCTTTTAATTAGAAAAGGTCCCTTACCAATCCGTCATATCACCCATCAATTATCATTAGAAGTAGGTAGTTTCGATCAATTATCCTTATCCAAACAACGGAGATTGATCATGGCCGCCATGGAACAAACTGATTTGATTAATAATGTCGTGTTTGAGAAAATTGGATGGGGTCAATGGGCTGTTCGGAAAGTTAATAGTGATTATATCGTTACTGAAGGTACTGAAACTTCAAATGGTGGATCAAATGATCTCCCTAATGGTGGTCATAATGGATCTATTAATAGTATTCTTGATGATGGAAATAATGAAAAATTGATTAATGTTAATGATTTAAGAAATAAAACTAATTTGAAATTAGGATGGTCAAAGAAACAAAATCAATCTAATACGTCTACAAGTACGAATACTGGAGCCACTTCTTTAACTAAGAAAGATAGAAGAGAATCAATCACCAATAATAATAAAAACTTACATAATATAAAATTACCGAAAGAACCAAAGAATTCAAATGCTATTGCGAGTGATTCAGATGATGAAAATGATATTGATTTGGAAAATGTCATGGAAGATGATGATGATGAAGATGATGATGAAATGTTAGAGTCAACCGCATCATCATCAGAAGAAGATGATGATGATGATGAAGATGACGATGCATTATTCCCCTTTGATAATGACGATAAAAAGAGAAATCAAATCTCATCCATTAATCCATCTACAAGTACAACCACCACTAATAAATCTACAACTTCTCCACCTCCTATCAAATTCGCTAAACGTGTTCCAATCAAAATAAGTCCTCCTCCATCATCAACTTCAGGTGAAAGAAGAAGAAAATCTTCAAGTTCAGTCATATCAAAACCAACTAGTTCTCATCGATATCAAATTTTTAATCGTTCAAGATTAGCTTCTTTCGATGGTGGTTTAGATAATTATATCGTATCATCGGCTAAGAACTCTAGTGTATCGATTAACTCTCCCCCTCCTTTAACATCCTCATCTCCATTGAATTCATGGTCTGGTACCACTCCTGATTTAATCAATCTTAATTCAACATCTAATACTACTACTTCTACTACCACTAATAATAATAATTATATTCATGATAATAATTCATCATCATTTATTATTGAAAAAGTCGAAGGTGGAGGTAGAAGAAAATCATCATTTAATGAATCTCATATAAGATCGACATTATCTTCATCCTTATCTCATTCTCATCCAAATGCTCCAAAAGTAACATCCACTCAATCTACCAATACGACCACTACTTCTACCACACCTTATGAAAATGCTCAGTTTGCCAAATCTACTCCAAGTTCAATCCATTCGAAATTAGAAGATTCTCATCATCGTACCCACCATCACCATAATCATCATCGTTATTCTCATCGTAATCACAACGATCAAAGTGAAGAAGATACAGATGAAGAAGATTGGGCTACTATTGGTCCCGAATCATTACGCAAGAACAGTATCACTTCAAATTCATCTATAACAAGTGGTGGTGGTAAGAAAAAAATCAATTCAAGTACGAACACTCCTAGATCAATCTCAAGACAAGGGAAGTATCCATCATCATCCACTGCTGCCCGATCAAGATCAGGGGAAAGAGTTAAAGTCGAATCAAATACTCTGTCACCTCTGGTTCAACCCCAATTGGAGAATAACATCGATACGATGATGGATGTTGATGTCGATGATGAACAACGGTCTGCAGCTTTTGCCTTGGTAGATTTAAGGAATTAGTTCATGTGTGTGCATTTTTTAAAGGGATATTTCTATTATTATTATTATTGTTTATTTTGTTTGTTTGGTTTATGATTACATTGTATGTTTTATATCATTAGGTTTCTATTTCTAATCTGCTAGTGCTTTTTTTTTTGTTTACTTCACTATTTAAAAAGACATAATCTACAAGACACTGTTTAATTCAATTTATTTTTTTCCCATTTACTTCCTACCTACCTACCCCTCCTGTGTATCAGTGTTACGTTATGTTATGTTATTTATTCTATTATTGTTATTAGATATATATGATTAGGTCTATATATATCCTCTTTTTTTTTGTGTCTTTTCTTGTTGTTAGTGTATAGATAATTTATTCAAGTTTATTTTTAAATTGACTTTAACTCTCTTTCTACATTTGTTCTGGTAATATATGTATTATTATTGATAATTAGGTGTAAAAGTTGTTGTAGTTGTAAAATCGTTGTATATTTTTTTAATATAGTGTTGAACACGTGATCTACTCGGTCTGCATATAAAGTGCAATATTGCCTAATTAGGAAATATAATTACAAACGCGTCCAGCATTCATCAAAATTGAAAAATTATCAATCAACTCCTTGCAACATCCCATTGATTAGATTCATTCAATTATAACTGTTTTCTTGTTTTTTATTTTATTTTGAGTTAGATCGTTACTATCAAGTCAATTCCATTCATTTACATCAAGTCAAGTCAATACTAATTCAATATGTCGACTACTACGGCTACGGTGTTACCTTCTATCCAATTAAAAGTCAATTATAATGAAATTAAAGATATTGTAAAGGACTTCTTACAATCATTCAAAGATTCCACCATCGATATTGATGATTTAGATCTTGATGATGAAACTCCATTACATGGTGCCAAATATATGAATATACTTCAAAAAGTAGCTAATCGTGATGAAACTTCTGTTTTAATTGAATTTGATGATTTAAAAAGTTATCTTTCTAATTATGAACCAAGTGGTAATTCAAGTTCTCAATATTCAACTACTTCTCATACTTTATTATCAACGATTTTGAATAATACTTATAGATATAATGAATTGTTCTCCAAGATTATCGATGATATCATGCCTGAACCAACTAAAGATATAAGTTATAAAGATGATGTATTAGATGTTATTTTACATCAAAGAAAATTAAGAAATTTAAGATTACAACAAGAATCAAATGATGAATTCAATCATTTAAGAGAAGGATTATCCAATCCTGATGATAATACGTTTGGTAATTCAAGTCAAGTTCCTCAAGATCCTTCAAATGGATTCCCAGCTAAATTAACTCGTCGTTATAATCTTTATTTCAAACCTTTATCCTATGACAATGGAAATACTAAACCAGCTTTATCAGTAAGACTAATCAAAGGTGCTCATGTGGGTCATTATATCACTGTAAGAGGGATCGTCACTAGAGTTTCTGATGTTAAACCAAATATTTTAGTCAATGCTTATACTTGTGATAAATGTGGTTATGAAATTTTTCAAGAGGTAAATTCAAAGACTTTTACTCCATTGTCTGAATGTGATTCTGCTGCTTGTAAAACTAATAACAACAAGGGACAATTATTCATGTCCACCAGGGCTTCGAAATTCTCGAGTTTTCAGGAAGTTAAGATTCAAGAACTCCTGAATCAAGTCCCTGTTGGTAATATTCCTCGTACTTTAACCATTCATGTTAATGGAGATTTAGTTCGTGCTTTAAAACCAGGTGATACTGCTGATATTTCAGGTATTTTCATGCCTTCTCCATATACCGGATTCAGAGCTTTAAAAGCAGGGTTATTGACTGAAACTTATTTAGAAGCTCAATACATTCATCAATTTAAAAAACAATATGATCCAAAACATATCTCCAATGAATTCCAACGTGAAATTGATCAATTATGTGATCAAGGTGATGTTTATAATAAATTAGCTAAATCTATTGCCCCTGAAATTTATGGTCATTTAGATATTAAAAAAATCTTATTATTATTACTTTGTGGAGGGGTCACCAAAGAAATTGGTGATGGTTTGAAAATTAGAGGTGATATAAATGTTTGTCTTATGGGGGATCCAGGGGTGGCTAAATCTCAATTATTAAAAGCCATTAGTAAAATCGCTCCAAGATGTGTTTATACTACTGGTAGAGGTTCATCTGGTGTTGGTTTGACTGCAGCTGTCATGAGAGATCCAATCACTGATGAAATGGTTTTAGAAGGTGGTGCTTTGGTTCTTGCTGATAATGGTATTTGTTGTATTGATGAATTCGATAAAATGGATGAAAGTGATAGAACTGCCATTCATGAAGTTATGGAACAACAAACCATTTCTATTTCTAAAGCTGGTATAACTACTACTTTAAATGCTAGAACATCAATCTTAGCTGCTGCTAATCCTTTATATGGTAGATATAATACCAGATTATCTCCTCATGAAAATATTAATTTACCTGCTGCTTTATTATCAAGATTTGATATCATGTTCCTTATTTTGGATCAACCATCTCGTGATAATGATGAAAGATTAGCTAACCATGTGGCTTATGTCCATATGCATAATAAACAACCAGATATGGATTTCGAACCATTGAATTCCGCCACTATAAGAGAATATATTTCAAGAGCTAGAAGTTTTAGACCAACTGTTCCAAAGGAAGTAGGTGATTATGTGGTTCAATCTTATATTAATATGAGAAAAGAATCTCATAGAAATGAAGATTCTATTAAGAAATTCAGTCATATTACTCCAAGAACTTTATTAGGTATATTACGTATGGCTCAAGCTTCTGCTAGATTAAGATTTGATGATGTGGTAACAATGGATGATGTTGATGAAGCACTTCGTTTAATTCAAGTATCAAAATCTTCCTTATATAATGAAGAAGAAAGAATTCGTGAAGATGAATCTGCCACTACAAAGATTTATCAATTAATTAAATCAATTGCTGAAAATAATGGTAGAGGTTTCCAAAGATCATTACAATTATCAGAACTTAAGGATAGAGTCATCGGGAAGGGGTTCAGTATTGATCAATACGCCGATTGTTTGCAAGAGTACCAAAACATTGGTATATGGCAAACTATTGATAATGATCTGACCTTGCTTTTCCTTATGGCTGATGATGAAGATAATTTTGATGATAGTGATGAAAATATGGAATAGATTATATGATCTACATCATTCTTCTCCTCTATTTGTAATTGTATATTAACTTTGTAAAATTTGTAATATTTAATAAATTTTTATCTAACTATACAAAATTTAATTACATTCTATAAATAACCTATAAATATGAGAAGCAATTATGCTGGGGTAGCATTGAATCTTACTCTTAACACTTCTAATATGAGCCTGCGTTCTTCTTCATTTCTTGCAACCTTCGTGAAATAGGATTGTTGAGTAACTTTAGAGCGATATCGGTTCATAATTGAGAGAAAGATGGCGCATTTGACTCTCACATTTTCATTTTGGAATGACAAATCACGAAAATTATCGAGGTGCACAACTGCTTGATCAAAAACTCGATTTGTCAAGATACGTGCAAAATCGGTTATTGTTGGTTGAGAAGGTGAAGTTTGAACTTGTTGTTGTGGTGGTGGTGGTGCTACTTCTTGGGCTGGTGCTGCTGTTGGTGCTGCTGTTGGTGCTGCTGTTGGTGCTGCTGTTGGTGCTGCTTCTGTTGGCGGTGCTGGTGATGATGCTGATGGACCAGAATTTATTCTGAAATTTGATTCATCGAAGTGATATCCGTAAAATTGTTGTGGTGGTGGTGATGGCGGTGGTGGTGGTGCTGCTGCTGATGCTGCTGCTGCTGGTAGAGCGTATGAAGAAATTTCCATTGGGATGAATATCCCTTCAATTCCGTCTAACCTTACGAATTTAATTGTTCCTCTTACGGAAGCTAATATTAACTCCCCACTATTTCTATTATTAGACATAGCGAAAGCTGGTGTATGATTTAATAATTCCAGTTATTTACTTTAAAGAGGTTTTAAGTGATGAATCTTTAATCACTTTTTGCAATTTGCGATTGTGATTTATATGTAGGATAATTCACCTAAGAGACCGACAATAGTTGCCAAATTAAAAATTAAAAATTTGCTTAACCTTAAATAAAGAAGTAACAGGAAATAGTATTCCCAACTAGATCAATCAGATTTGAATCTACCCTTAAATTGATTGATTGATTTCTTACTAGAGATCTTAATATTGTAAAATAATGATGATATTTAACCGATAGGAAATTAGACAAAACTTAACTTAATAAAGCACCAATCTTGATTGTTAATCAAGAATAAATGTATAATAAAAAACAATTCAAATAAGCTTAATACGCTACTATACTCAGTTGGAGGATAGATTGATAGATTAATTAATCAATTAATCTATTCTAGGTATCGAATTGGTGTGTGTTGCCAATGCTGCCAATGCTGCCAATGCTTCCAATACTGCCAAAAATTTCAACCTTTGACCACCAATCAATCTAATATTGATATCAAATTGATTATTTCTCTCCAACCTTATCTATGTATGACTATTTCTTATACTTGCTAGTACTATTGGATTGTTATTTAGTTGTACACTTAAAATATATGAAGGCAAAATGAACTAAAAGGTAATTGCCCCTTATATATAGAGAGACAACTACAAATAATTTGTTACGCGGCTGACTTATTAGGAAGAGGTATGGAGGCAGGAAATTATGTTTATTAGTTAGACGCGGGTCATACAATTTTTGGAGTCTAGCTATGCTAATGGAATGCTGACTTTTCAAAGACAAATAGAGAGTTCCCATTAGTGAACACTTTTCTTCCAAGCTTTATTATTAATATCTAAAGCATTCGAGTAAAATGCAGTTAAATAGAGAATGGAGTACACCTCTGTGATTTTTATCTTACTGCTGATACTAATTTTTAATTACTCAAGTTCTGAAATATGAGTTCGCAGACTAGAATTTAATCCATACAAATTAACTATGGGAATACCTAACAAACTACTTCTGCATATTTATAAATTTATTGATCTTGACTTCAATGGACTTAACCACAATAATTTAATTCAAGCACAGACAAATTTGTTAATCAACGGGAGTAAATTAATGAACATCCTGCTACGAAATGTAAATTCACTTCTTAGTGCTAGCTATTCTTTATTAGAGAGATTGCTACACACATTTGTATTCCCCTCTGATTTTGGGCAGGTGCATAATTTTTATAACTTGAGAATGGATGCAAAATTCTGCATGTAATTTTTTCCTTCTACAGAGGTTGTCCTTAAAGTTTCCACTTAAATATTTAGTGACCCTTTTGAAAAACAATAAATCAAGCAGACACATCCAATTCAATAAGTTCTTTTCACAGGCAAATTTTCAAGTTTAGATAATTTTCAATAAGTTAGAGTATCCAATTAATTATTAAATCCAAATCTATTCAATGAATCAACGGTGTTTTTCATATGATGACTTTTTCATTGCAACCTTTTTTAACAATATATTTCCCAAGTTTCCATATGATTCAATTGTCGGAATATTAAGATTATTATCTATTCCAGAAATTGTTATACTACAAACATTGATTAACGACGACTATGTGAAAGGGATTAGAATAGATCAAATAACAAAACAAAGACTTACTGTCCGTTATAGAGACAGTAAAAAGGGAATGGATCCATGCCTTTTAAGGTCAATATTTCAAGAAAAGTTTAAAATTAAAACATTATTTCATACTATAACAGATTTAACTAAATTTGAACACATTAATCCTATCCCAGTAGAATTTAACTTCCAAAGTACTAAATCATTTCCAATTCTATATTTGGATGAATTCATACGAAACTCAAACAGCTTTGATATTGCTTTAAACTTTTTTATGCTAAAATATTCCCAATTTAAGAAATTAGAAAACTGTAAAAAGGCTATGTGTGTCAGCATCATACGAATAAGTGACATTGTGGGAAAGGGAAACCAATCTGTAGATTTGGATCTATCAAAGTATTCAAATTTAAAAGTTTTTGAATGTAGATATTGTTTGAACTTTAAAAGCTTGAGATTAGATTCAGCCTTCAATACGTTGACGAAGTTAATAATACCTGATGTATGTGATCAAGACTATTTATCAAAATTTATTAATCTAAAATATCTTGATATCAACTTTAAAGAAGAATTTGTGATTAAAAAAGTACCCAGAACCATTGTCACTTTGTGCTTGATTAGCTATAATGAAAACAGTGAAATAATAATCCAATCACAAGATGATTGGCCCAAAGGTCTAGAGTCAGTTGAATTTAATGTGTTTCGTAAAGCATTCGAAGGTGTCATTATTGGGTTGCCATTTTACTTAAAAAAGCTAACAATTATGTATAGAGATAACTCTGAATTTACAGTTAACTTACCATCTTTACCAGCTTCACTAATCGAATTTGATATTGCAACTCTTGGAGACTATACATATATGGATCTGACTATTGTCAGTATTCAGGGTGACAATCTTAAAAAACTAGAGTTCTTCCGTATATGTCTACTAGATGATAGTACCAAACCAGTTTATATTGCACCAGGTATAGAAGAATTTAAATTTAGACTGGGCAAATGTCTGTTTGATTTGAATGATCTTAATTTTGAATATGCTAAATTGAGTTTAAAGAAGTTGGAGATATGTTTCATGGAGAAACATGTTTTCACTCAACTAGATTTTGAGGAATTTCTGAAATTGGAATCTGTCATTCTAGAAAGCTGCATTATTGAAAACTTAAATAACTTAAAATTGCCTTTAAGTTTAAGACTGTTGAGATTTCGTTTAAATCATTTTATATCAGTTGACCATTCATGTCCATTATTCGGTGATCCAATGAAATATCCCAACTTAGTTCTGCTTTCTTTCATGAACTGTGATATAGATTATATTTCAACTGAAATACAATTACCAAAATATCTTCAAATTCTAGAAGTACCACTCAGTAATAATAAACAATTATTTTCAAAGATTCTTAACCATGAATGCTTAACCTATTTAAGAATATTTCCATTAACTTCTTTAGAATACTTTGACAAGTTTAAAGATTTTAGCATTTCAAACTCCCACAATAATAGTAAAATCAGAAGATTAGAATGCATTTTGCCTTACCCTGCTTCTGATACAGATCTTACGGTTAAAGTTTATAAGAGTATTGAGAAGGCCTTTGGAAAGATAATTGAAAGAAAATGGTTTCGCTCTAATACTTTCCATTTTGTTCTTGGGCTGACCTAGTTTGTTTAATTGTTAAGGGGTAACTTTTGCACCAATTCTATGTAGAAAAAGTACAAGTTCGATTGATGTTAAACATCTTTGTACAATAAATAAGTATTTAGATATTATAATTAACATCTTTAAGGGAATAATCACTCTGCTGATACTATATCTAATTATATACCTATTGAAATAAATAAACAATACAAGTCAAAAAATAAAAAACTATAAAAAATCTGTACCCAAATATGTATATGCCATGAATAACAACTTGCGGAAAGGTTAAAATAACCAAAAATCAAATTCTTGGTATGTTTTCTAACTTTACCTTTCCAGATTCAATCCAATATGGATCAATTAATTTTTCTTTCTCTTTACATTACTCTGTAGGATGTTTTAATAGTACCATCCCTCACTATCTAAAGGTCGCGCACATCAAATTGCAAAAGCAACCCGATTTGGAATGACTTTTTGCATAACAGACTTTTAAAGGTGGATCCAAGCTTCAAAATTTATTCAAGATATTTTCTCTCCTGGAATCCAGAAATAGTTGTATCACATCTTGCTAACTAAGAGAAGTTGAGTGAAAATGAGTGATATAAGTATATCATTCTATGATGATACTTACATTGAAACCTTTTTTAACAAAATATTCCCCAAGTTTCCTTATGATTTAATTGTTAATATTCTCCAGTTTTTGTCTATTCCAGAAATTCTTGTTTTACAATCATTGATAGAAGACAATTATGTTAAAAGAATAAGAATAAATCAAATTAAAAAACATAGATTGTCGATTATTTGTGATTCTATTGATTTTGACGAGGAAATAGATAAAAAATTTCTTCAAATAAAACAAATGTTTCAAACGATTGTACGACTTACTAAAAGTGATCCTCATAATATCATTCCAGTTGATATTACTTTTTTCTGTGAATCAATGGTGATTGATTGTTTAGATGATTGGTTAGATAATGCAACCAATTTTGATATCGTTCTAATACTTTACAGATGCCACTGTTTTGAGCTACAGAACTATAAAAAATCATCTATGATAACTAAAATTTACGTAGAACATTCTGCTTGTGAATCTAGTCAAGATTTTAGATTAGACTTTTCCATTTATTCAAATTTAAAAGAAATCGAATACTGTTGTGGTTACTTAAAGAGCTTGAATTTAGATTCATCATTTGAGACATTAACCAGTCTAGCTATACCTGACATATATAGTCAAGAATATTTATCAAGATTTATCAATTTGAAACATCTCAAGATTGAGTTCCAAGAGGATTTTCACATTAAAAAATTGCCTAGAAATATTCTAACTTTATGGTTAGAAGGCCTCTATGTAAATAGTGATATCATAATTCAGTCAAGTGATGATTGGCCCAAAAATTTAAATTCACTTAGTATAATTATGGGAGCTAATTTTCGACTGGAATCTATAAGTCTGTATAAATTACCATCAAATTTAGAAAGTCTAACCATAAATAGTGTTGAAGTAAGCAATATTTTCCCCGAATTTCCAAGTTTGTTAAGAGATCTTGAACTTCAGAGTCATTCCAAGAATCCTTTATATTTCTCTAGTATTCTTGAAATGGGTTATCGTAAACTCGTTCTAGATGGTTTTATTCCAGTCGATGATTCGATTAGTTCTTTAAAAGTAGCCCAAGGGTTGGAAGAGTTGCTGTTCGTTTTTCCCAGTTGTTCATTTTCATTAGATTCCATTGATTTTGAAGGTGCAAAATCAACATTACGGTCTTTGTCTTTAGCCTTCAAAAACTACCAATGTTCTTTTACAAGAGTCAATTTTGGTGAATTTCTGAAATTAAAATCTATTAAACTAGAAGGTTGTAACATAGAATTAGAAAATTTGATATTACCAACATGTCTAAATGAGTTGGAGATCGAATTCGACCATTTCACATCTATAGATGATAATTGTCCTTTATTTTCCAATCCATATATTTATTCCAGATTACAATCTCTAAAATTTTCTTCATGTCAGGTTGGTTTTATTTCGCCCAACGTAAGTTTACCAATAAATCTAAGGACTCTTTTTATTCCACACTGCAATGATGTCCGCTTTCTTTCTAATGTTATCAATCATACATCTTTAAATCACTTCGGGATTTGGAAATTAACAAGTTTTGAAATTTTTGATGACCTTGAAATTTTCAACACAGAAGGTTCTTCAAACTTTACGACAAACATCAACAAGTTAGAGTTCGAGATTTATTGTACACCATTCACAGACTCTATCATAGAAAATTTCTATAACCAAATTGAATCTACCTTCAGAAAGAAAATTGCAAACAGGAAAGTTTGTGAAAAATTACGATCATACCAAATCCTTGATTTAGTTCCAAAATTTGATTGATAAATGCCTATTCTCTTTATATTAGGCAAACAGAAACTACTGCTAGAAAGGACACTTACTAAATGTAGATAAATCATAAAGTAATCATTATGCTAATCATTAAGCATATTTAAAATAGTAAACACTATATTGATACTATATCTACTTATATACCTATTGAAATAAATAAACAATACAAGTCAAAAAATAAAAAACTATAAAAAATCTGTACCCAAATATGTATATGCCATGAATAATAACTTGCGGAAAGGTTAAAATAACCAAAAATCAACTTCTTGGTATGTTTTCTAACTTTACCTTTCCAGATTCAATCCAATATGGATCAATTAATTTTTCTTTCTCTTCATACATTACTCTGTATGATGTTTTAATAGTACCATCACTCACTCCAGTCTTATCACTAATTTTGGCTGGTGGCAAGTATACACCAAAGACCAAAGCTGCCATATATATAACAGTTGCAGCAATTGTAGTAGGAGATCTACCTGCCAACACTCCAACCTCTTTGCAACGTCTTGCTATATGTTCAGCACCATTTGTAACTTGAGTATTTAAACCCAAATGAGAACAAAATCTTCTGATTAAATCAGCAGCTGAAGTTTGTGTAGTTTGTTCATTATCTTGAATCATATAAGATGCATTAGGATTAGAAGCATTCTTTTCTTGCATCACCGTCTTCATAATTTTAAACACTTTACCAATTTCCTTACGAGGAACGTTTGTCAAGGCCCAAATTTCTTTAAAGGATCTAGCAACTTTTGCCTTACGACATCCAATAAAAATAGAAGCAGCCATAATGGACTCTTGTGATTTCCCTCTTAACGATTTCTCGTCATATACTAACTTATAAACTTCTTTGGCACCATCTTGAACAATCTTAGGTAATTGATAACCATCACACATTTGAGATATCTTTGCATATGCGGCTGCAAGTGCATTATCTTTCTTATCAACTAATGACTTGGATTGTGCACGGTTCAAATCTCTACCAGTTCTACCTGCTTCTGGCGAGAAAGAGATGGCTGTGGATAAATCCTCGGTATCAAATAATGGATTACCTGCATCTCCTACACGACTTGGATCATCTCCATTTTGATCATCATTGCTGAATGTTCTCCATTCAGATCTAGTGTCGACAATACGATCACTAAGCACCAACCCACAACTCCCACAGACGATATCCCCTTCGCTGAATCTTTCGATTAGATCGGGAGGAAATATTTTACATTCTGGACAAGTTAAAGTAACATTAAGGTTTGGTCCTAAGAATGGTTGAGCTTCATCATCAGAAACCTTTGAACTTGGAGGTACAACAGCAGTACTAGTAGCTGTTGACATGGTAATTGATGGATTCGACTTGTATAGGCTTGAAATTGATAGATTACTCAACTCTATGATAGGTAAACACAAATTAGTAATCGAAATAAATATAATTTGAAATCAGTTGTGTTTAGACCACAAGATATGAACAAAATCGCAAAGCAGTTATACCAGATATATTTGAAAACCAATAACCTCTATGACCAATAGCTACAATACTCGAATTAACGGTACAGTAGTAGATAGATGGAGAAAGTTCTGAAGAAACAAGTTTCTATACATTCAAAATCAATTTTAGAATTTTTTTCATATCGGGGTTGGTTAAATATTTAAGTGAATAGTCGTGTGCATTGGTCAAAATGATGATAATTTTTATTTTGCATGACGCTACCAATATTAATCCGACTTTCTATTACTAATTATAAATAGCTATTAAATTAAGAATAGTTCTATTTATGCATAATTATGCTACACTATACACACAGCATACTTAGCACTGAGGATTATATGTTCTCTTCTGCAACAAACAAAGGCTCTTAGACTTGTATTTATAAGATGTGCCACTTTAAACCAGATCATCATGGACAAACCAATTAGGATCAGTTAACTTGTCTTGTTCAGCTTTTATTATTTTATAAGCAACTTTAAGAGTACCTTGTCCAATCGCACTCTTTATGCATATCGATTGTATTGGCGTACCAGCTTGGTATACCAACGTTGCCATATATATCCCAGCACCTGCAATTGTATTTGGAGATCTTCCTGTCAAAATATCTTCCTCTTTGCATCGTTGAGCTATATATTCAGCAGCAATCGTGACTTTATTGTTTAATCCCAACGAAGAACAAATTCTTCTAATTAAATCAGTTAATGAAGTTTGAGAGTTATTAGCTGCTTCTTCAAGGTAGAAATTAGAATGGGGATCAGAATTGACCTTGTGCTGAACTATTTTAGAAACAATTTTCACCATCTTTCCTATATCTTCAGCTTTAATACTTGTCAATGCTGAGATTTCTCCAAAATTTCTAGACATATTAGCTTTGCGACATCCTATAAATACTGAAGCTGCCATAATGGACTCTTGTGATTTCCCTCTTAACGATTTCTCGTCATATACTAACTTATAAACTTCTTTGGCACCATCTTGAACAATCTTAGGTAATTGATAACCATCACACATTTGAGATATCTTTGCATATGCGGCTGCAAGTGCATTATCTTTCTTATCAACTAATGACTTGGATTGTGCACGGTTCAAATCTCTACCAGTTCTACCTGCTTCTGGCGAGAAAGAGATGGCTGTGGATAAATCCTCGGTATCAAATAATGGATTACCCGCATCTCCCACACGACTTGGATCATCTCCATTTTGATCATCATTGCTGAATGTTCTCCATTCAGATCTAGTGTCGACAATACGATCACTAAGCACCAACCCACAACTCCCACAGACGATATCCCCTTCGCTGAATCTTTCGATTAGATCGGGAGGAAATGTTTTACAGTCTGGACAAATGATCCTAACATTAAGGTTTGGTCCTGACAAACCATTATTATTCGACATAGCAGTTGAGGAATTAGATTTGTATAAGTGTGGAATTGATAGATTAGGATATTATATGACAAAGGAACCTTGTAATCAAACTAATAATTGAAATCAGTTGTATTTAACCTACAATACAGGTATAAAATCGAAAATAGGTTATACCAAATATATTGAAAACCTATAAACTCTATGAACCAACAGCCACAATACTCGAATTAACGGTACAGTAGTAGATAGATGGAGAGAATCTCTGAAGAAACAAGCTTCTATAATTCCAAATCTAATTTTAGAATTCATTTCTTATCAAGCCAATTGCAATAGTCGTGTATTTAGGCCAAAACAATGAAAAACGCTACCATTATAATTTTATTACTACAAATGCAATTATAAGGATTATTCAGTAATATATGTGTATTATTATGGTACTCTATAAATTCAGACTTGATAATTAAGGCTGAAACTAAGACTTAACTAACCAATTTGAATCTATTAACTTATCTTCTTCAGCTTTTATTATTGTGCAAGCTGATTTGATAGCACCAGGTCCAATACCACCTTTGAGGCATAATGATTGCATTGGGATACGAACTTGGTATACCACTGTGGCCATATAGATAGAAGCACCTGCAATTGTATTTGGAGATCTTCCTGTCAAAATATCTTCCTCTTTGCATCTTTGAGCAATATGTTCAGCAGCAATCGTGACTTTATTGTTTAGCCCCAAAGAAGAACAAATTCTTCTAATTAAATCAGTTAATGAGGTTTGAGAATTATTAGTTGTTTCTTCAGGGTAACAATTATTGTAAGGATCAGAATCAGTCTTGTTTTGCATTATTTTGGAAATGATTTTATAAACTTTTCCAATGTCTTTAGATTGAACATTTGTCAATGCAGAGATTTCCTTGAATGTTCTAGACATGTTAGCTTTACGACATCCAAGGAAGATAGAAGAAGCAATAACAGCATCTTGTGATTTACCTCTTAAGGAATTATCATCACAAACAAGTTGATAAACTTCTTTAGCACTGTCATGAACAACTCTTGGTAACTGATATCCGTCACAATAGGCTGAAATTTTGGTAAAAGCAGCAGCTAATGCACTGTCTTTTTTACCATTTAACCTATCTTGTGCGTGCATTAATTCTTTCCCTTTTCTACCAATAGTAGCATTATAAGAGATTGAAGTAGATAAAGCAGTAGTTTCAAATGAATTACCAACATAACCTACTCTATTAGGATCAACGTCAGAATCAGTATCATTAGCAAAAGTTCTCCATTCAGCTCTTGTATCAACAATTCCTTCTTGGATTGCAAAACCACAATCACCACAGACACAAAAACCTTCACTAGTATCAACCAAGTTTGGAGGTGATACTTTGCAATCTTTGCAAATCAAATGGACACTTAAGTTTGGTTTGAATGGTTGGATTTGGGTTTTGTGAGTTGAAGCATTCTGAAAGTTGTAGTCCATTTCTGTTTCGACTGACAATAGTTAATTATCAGATGATATAACAGATGGAGTGATAGCTAACAGAACTATTTTGAAAAGAAAAACATGAAAATTGAAAATATCAAAAGCATGAAACTTTAATCATTTATCATCTGTGAAACGTAACATTTTTGATTTTTGGTATGTTTTAAGGAAGTTCTAAGATTGTAGCTGTAAACTTATATGGAAAAAATTTTGATCTGGAACCGCTAAAATTACCCCAAAAATTGCAAAACCAATTATTACTAATCGGGAAAGTATAAGTACATGAAATATAGGTCAGCTGTTTTAATTTTTTATATATTAAACATTCCTATAAACATCTATATGATCTTATTAGTCCAAAGTTACTGGATCATCAAAGCTTCCTTCACCCTTACCGGAAGAGTAATTGTCGCTTTTTTTGGCGCTTAGATTTGGTCGATATGCCGTAAAAATACCAATTGATAATAATTCATCATCTAAACCATCATCAAGCTCATTAAAGCTTTGAGTATATAGATCCTTGAGCGGTATATCTTCATTAAATTCTTGTGGTTGTCTCCTTTCAGTCTTAACATAATCTTGATTTTTATTAGTTTTGGATTTTGAAGATGACTTATGTTTACTTTTACTAGGAGTTACTTGCGCTTCTTCTTGATCATCATCATCATCAGATAGTATAATTATCTCTTCCTCGACTACTTCTGAACTTCCTCTTTTACTATAAGAATTACTATTAGAGTCATCTAATATTCGGTATAACCTCATTTCAAACAATTCAATTCTTTCTGTATCTTTCGGAGTAGACTTGACGAAATAATTATAACTATCACTAATGGATAGTTCTGGTAACGAGAATTTAGTATCACATAATGGACATTTAAATGGTTTATGAGGAGGGGGTGGAGGTGGAGGTGGTACTGGATGATAATAGGGATAAACTGTATTTGGAGGATGATTGACTCTAGTAGAGTACAGTTCGAAAGTATTTGTAGTTATAAATGGCAAGTATTGAGGCATTGGATTTTCAATCACTCGAACGTAATCAATGTTATTGTTATTATTAAAGTTTATATTATTATTGTAATTGAATTGATTATTATTTTGAGATTGGCCACGATTGGGCGGTACAGGATGATGCTGTCGTTGAACTTGTGGTGGAGTTGGTAATTGTAATGGGGTATTGGATGTGGTTGTGTTTGTGTTTGTGGTAGGAGTAGTATTGATCTTATTCTTATTAAGATTAGATTGTTCCTTTTTCATTAAAAAGTTCTTTCTTGATAAATCATGTTTTAAAACACTTTGAACTTGACTTGAGATTTTATTAAACAAGCAGAATGTTTCAAAATCGAAACATTCGAAATGTATACATGAACTAGATTTTACGGGTAGTTTAATCTTAGTTGCACTTAATGGATCCTTTAATGAAAATATTAATTTCTCCGCCACCATAATTTCATCTGGGTTTTGACTCTGTGTAGCATCATCAAAGGAGTTTAACTTGTTTAGCTCGTATTGTAGTATTGGAGCTATGTTTGACGGTACTGGTTTGTATCCGGACAATTCAGGACCCTGCAGTACTGGCTTTTTAACTGGAGATGATGGTAGTTGAGAAGGTATCTTTGTAGTTGATTGGGTTGAAGTGGCAATAGGTTTCGGATCAGTTGATGGAGTTGAGAGTGATACTTTGGAAGATAATGCTTTGTTGATTTGACTTTCCATTAAATACATTTCATCATCTGAAGAGAAAGGATCTTCCGAGATTTCATCAGCTTCTTCTTCATCTATATCCTTGGAAATCTTAGGGATGGAATTTTGATTATGTATCACCACTGTATCATCATCAGAATCATCATAATCGTTTCCCAAGTCCTCATTCTTATTATTATTTACATTGATTGTCTTTGGGGTTAGATTTGAATGATCATACTTCTGTAAATCTATATCTCTTAAATCAGTTGGAGTTTGACTTGACCGTACCAAACTATCGAATTCATTCTTTAGACTTATGAATTTAAGTATAGAAGGTTGTAATTTAATCGAAACTTTCAAGGATGGTATATTTTCTCTTTGAATCGTAACCAAATTAGTATCATTTATAGATGAAAGATCGGACTCTTGAGATGATGATGTTTGAGACGATCGTAATTTTCGTGACATTGTGATGGTTGTTTGTCTTCTTATAGTGGGTTGGTTATCATTAAAGTCTTTGGATCATTCTAATTATTAGTTCTGACTTTGTATAATTATCAGTAGCATAAATCTTAATAATCCAGATCCTCCTCCTCCCTATAATTTCTTTTTTTTTTAACCCATTTTTTTTTCAATTTCCCCTTTCGGAAGATTGTCATTTTTTATGTCGAAAATAAGTTTATGACAAAATTATGTCGCAACAAATACTACTACACAGTAAAGATTAATCAATTTAAGATATAAAGTATTTGTATTAGATAAAATAAAAGTAATAATATATAATATAGAAGTAGAATTAAAATATGGAGAATATATAAAATAATGCCGAATAATATGAAAGTTGTAAGTTTGTTTGAATTGAACTGAAAGACATTATCTTCATGAATTGTTTTTTTGGTAATAATCGTTATCGTTATCGTTATCGTAATCGTAATCGTAATTGTAAATAATAAGAAGGTGGATAGGATTAACATCTTCTACCCATACGACCCATTCTTCTACCCATCATCATACCACCACCCATCATTAATGGAGCACCCATCATCATTCTTCTTCTACCCATCATTGAACCCATTAAGAGACCAGCACCACCGGCAGCAATAGCAGTTCCCATATCGGAACCACCACGATGGTTGCATGATTGATGTTGATGATTGCATACAGATTGTTGTTGTTGTTGTTGTTGTTGTTGTTGAGCTGGTTGGGTGGTATAACTTTGTTGATCGTATCTTGGTGGGTTAGCAGATACTCTTGGAACTTCCCATTGAGATTCACCAGTAGCAGTATTGACATAATAGTAACATTGATATTCTTCATCCCATTGAGCTAACCAACCTTGGGGTAAACCTGGTGGAGGTGGACGAGATGGTCTTGATCTTGGACTTGAAGTTGAAGTTGAACTTGTCTTTGTTGATTGAGCCATGTTTGAGTTAATTGAGTTTGTAAGTGTAATTGTAAGTGTATAAGTTAATAAATATAATAATTATTTGATGATTTATAAAAGAGATTGTAACCCATAAATTGAAAACTTAAACGGAATATCATAACTATTTATATATCAACATAGATTTATCAAACGATGGTTGATGATTGATGGTTGATGGCTGAGATTATTACATCACCAATTTTGGTCAGATGATCACTTTCTTTTTTTGCAGTCAGAGAGATGACATGGCTGTGTGCAGGAAATTGTCAACTGTGCCTCTTTAAACTATGACTGTAATCAAAGTGACATAATTAACTTAATCATTGAAGTTTTATATTTAACTTTAAATTAGTATGGGGATAAATCATTCATAAATGATGGTTAAATGATGGTTGGTTGCAAGTAATGATATATCTTTTTTGATTCCGTAGTTCGTTCCGTCGTACATATCCGTATGAGTCTTAATTAGAGTTTTACTAAAGATCGACACATTTAAACTTTAACTATCATCTGACTAGTTTTTAGTAGTCGGCCCCCTTCGTATATAGTTGTTATTCATGATATTGTTCTTTCATTCTACATCTTCTCCTGTCAACTTTAAAGATGACATTGAAAATCATTCTCATTTTTTTTTGAAGTGACAGGAAAGACTGAGCCGCACCATTTCCTAAAACGGGGTTTGGTATAATATTCAATTCATTTAATTAACGTATATTCATTCACACAAACTATCAACAGGACTATGTACAATATTATGGATGATGTAGATGATAAACCTCTTCTATGCTTCAATTGCTTGAAACTCAAATTGAGTTTCTAATGCACTTGATATTTCATCTTGTAATAAATCAGTTAATGAAGTTTCATCTCTTAAAGTAACCCATCTACCACCAATTAAATCATAACGTTTTGGTCCACTTACAGGACTACTTAACCATATTTGTTTATTAGGAGGTTGTTTATTAATCACATAACTTCCATGAGGTGGTAAAGAAACTGTTAAAACTCCTTGATTCAATTCACTATCAATTTGAGGATATTGTTCACTTAATTCTTCTAATTCATCAGCTAAGGTTTCTAAATATTGATTACTGATTTGACTATATTGTTGATCCGTCAAATGATCAATCTTACTTTCGATATTCTCTCCTGCTGTATTTATATAACTATTGAATCTAATGGTTGTGATTGGTTTTGATGATAACTGTGGCATTGATCTAGTCAACACACCAGAACTGACCCAACGACCATTGAATAATGATTTCACACCTGGCGATGATGATATTCTCTTTCCCACACTTCTAAACATCTTGAAATGGACCTTTGATACTATAGTTACTCTTTCTAAACCTGAGTTGCTTACGTCAAATACCACGGACCGATGATTCAAAAAAAACCACTCAACTTTTTTTTTTTTTCACTCATGAAAAATAAAAAAATGACTTCACCAAATCAAATTTAATCAATATATAATCATCATAGATTGGTGTTTTAGAGATATATCAGTGCTGGTGAAAGATAAGTAAATATCTGTCATTGGATCAAAGAAGAAGTATATGCCGAGATGTTCTTTACTATACTATTCATTGCTGTCATATTCGTGGGTTTAGTAGTGGCATTGCCATACTTTTCCGGCTTAACTACTTTAGAAGTTGATAAAAAGACAAGACAACAACAAAAGAACTTGGAAAAGAAACAACAGCAGCAACAGCAACATCAACAACAAAGTTATGGGTACGTGCCACCTGATGAACAAAGACGTTTGGAAGAAGAACAAAAACAAGCTCATTCATTGAAAGCTAGAGCTTCGGCATTCAAAGATAAAATCAATGTTACATCAGAAGATATTCCTATTAAGATTAAATTGAATTCATTAAATAATCCAACTTCAACGTTAAGAAACAGACATAAAGAGAAATTGGATATTGACAACGATCCAAATAATTATGATTATGATTTAGATGAATTGATTGAAGAAGAAACTAATCAAGCTAAAGTAGATCAAGAAACTGAGTTTTATAAACATGAAACCATTGGAAAGGATAAAGAAGAAATGGTTTAATCATTTAGGTTACTATATAGAATATCATATACCTTACAGTACAGAACAGTATAATCTTTTTAATTGATAAAATTTTTCATAATTTGAATGTTAAATGAACATAACTTGTAGTAACAGATATCTATAAAACAAAGTGTTTCAAAGTCCACTTCTCATTGAACGAAATAGTAGTAATATCACTCTATTTCATGGTAATTGATACTTTAAAGTTTACTCTATATTGATTTTGGAATGTCTCCATACAAAATTGATAAATCGTACAAAGACCAATCTTGCAAAGACCAATTATTGTTCAACTTCTACTTCAAAAATGAAAAAGTGAAACAGAGAGAAAGATATGATGAACCCACGTACTTATTATTAACCATGGAGGTTGATAAGTATTCGGTCTTCCTTTAGTGACGCATTGAGATATGCAGCTTTAATGTCCATCTGACGAATTACTAACTATCGGCCTGGATCATGTTCATATTATTTAGGAATAGATATTAACTCTTCGGATATAACATCTTTTAGAGTTGAAGTTTTTAACTTCTTTTTTGATTGCAGTTTTCCATTATATATGGCTTGTTTGTAGGCTTTGGGTACTATTAATATAAAATATATTTAGGCTTTTCATAATACTAACCGTATTCTTATAGACTTCGTTGCTAAAGGATGCCCTACTTCCAGCTTTACGTGGCTATTTAGTTTTAATTTATAATATTTTATGTTATAACAACGATCAATGTAGTTGAATTGGAGTGAATATCTAATTTAACTCTCGCGCTACCACACTCTTTGACCACAAAAAAATTATTTTGGAATTAAAAGCTTTTGCAATAATCTATTTCACTATTGATTTTATAGCGGTTAACTAATATTCAGTTTTTATATTCATTATACTAGTTAAATATTCCTTATAGTTTGCTACAATAATACCTACTAATCATGAGTCACACCCTTAATCATCTTCTTGAAACTATAAGAATATTTTATATCACAATTTCCATTCAATTAAATCTAATTGAAAAGTATATTTATCTAATTTTACAAAGTTATTTAACATTTTGGAGTTCCCCCTGGTTGAATTTAATCAATTTCATCATCTTATTGTTGATTATTTGGATCATTTTAGATTATAATGGATTCCAACGTCCTGAACCTATTGAAAACATTATTCAAATTCCAGGTTATCCAATTGTGGGAAATTTATTTCAAATCTTATTAAATCCAGCTCAAACTTACCTTAGATGGTCTCAAGAATATAATACTCCAATTTTCCAAATTAGATTAGGTATAAAAAATGTGATTATTGTTAATTCATTTAAAGATGTTTATAGTTTATGGATAAAGCATTCTTGTGCAAATAATTCTCGTCCAACTTCATATACTTTCCATGGTATTGTTTCAAGTACACAAGGTTTTACAGTGGGTTCAACTCCAGCTGGTTCATCCTATAAAGTTAAAAAGAAGGTGATTGCTCAATATTTACATCATAAAGCTATTGATGAAGTGAAATGGTTGATTGATGATGAATCAAAATATATGATAAGAAAAGTTATTGGTAATAATTATGAAATTAGTGGTCCTCCCTCAAGTTATATGCATGGACATATGAGATCTGAATTAAGTGATATTGATCTAATGGAACCATTACAATTGTTTGATTTAAGAAGTTCAATCATATTAGCTTATGGGATTACTTTGGATTGTTATAATAATGATAAAGAATTTTCAGATGAAATAATTGATGTTGAAAATCAAATTATTCAATTAAGATCTCCAGTAGGAAATTTACAAGATTTCTTACCTATATTAAGATATTTACCATTCAAGAATAACTTAGCCGCTCAGTTAAGACAAAGGAGAGATAAATATATGAATAAGTTAATGTCGATATTAGAACTGAAATTAAAAGATGGTGATCCCACAGCTATTGAAAGTATTGTTGGTAGAATCAAATTAAATCAAGATTTAGTTCCTGTTAATGAAGAACAATTACATAGTATCTGTTTAACCTTAGTTAGTGCTGGTCTTGATAATACTCCCTTAAACTTTAATCACTTAATAGGTCATTTTTCACAACCAGGTTATGGTCAAGCTTTACAAGAGAAGGCTTATAATAAGATATTAGAATTAAGTAATAATGATTTATTATTAGCTTGGAATGAAGCTGTTGATACTAAATGTGATTATTTAATGGCATTGATCCATGAAAGTTTAAGATTCTTTACTGTTTTACCGTTAGCCTTGCCCAGAATTACTACCAAGCCAATCAATTATAATCAAGGAGAAATTATTATCCCTCCCAATACGATCTTATTTATGAATGCTTATGCTGCTAATCATGATCCAAAACAATTTGAAGATCCATACAAGTTTGAACCTGAAAGGTGGTTAGATCCTAATGGTAAACTTAAAATCACTAATGAATTATCTCATTTTGCCTTTGGCGCCGGTTCAAGAATGTGTTCAGGTAATGTATTAGCTATTCAAGGTATTTATACTTTAATGTGTCGAATGATATTATATTTTAAGATTAAACCACCTATTAAGGATTTAATGGAACTTGATCCATTTAAGAATAATCTGAATCCAAGAGCTACATCTTTTGAACCAAAGGTTTTCAAAATAAGATTGGAGCCAAGAAATCATATGGATCAAGATAAATTATATCAAAAGATAATGTCATAAGAGATACTTTATTTACAATCTTTTAATGAAAACATTAAAATCGTATGGATATATTTGTATAAATTTTTATATAGATAATAATAATACCTCCTTTATTCTTAACTTTAACTTATATATGGAAAGAAGTTTCAATCGAAGGAGACTACTGAGTTTCTGACTCCTCGTTGATAGCGAAATTTTGCTCTAAATCAATGGTGAACTGTTTATTATAAACTCTGTTTGGAATTTTCCTTCTGGTAATACTTTCAATATTGTCATAGAACAGGTCTATGATGGTCCTATTGAACAGGGTCTTTAAGCTGAATCTCAACCTATCGAAGTTTGAATTATTCTCTCTGTCGCCAAATTCATCAGAAAGTGTAACAATATAACTTTCATCATAAACTTTAGCTTTCATTAGAGACTTATTATTAAAAATCTTAATAAAGAGCTGTTTGGAATCAAAACATGGCATTGCAAGAGTTCTCAAGTTTATTGGTAATTTAATTCGGCAGCAAGTGTAGCCTTTTCTGCATAACAATTGTAGGTTTTGAAGATTGAAATACTTATGGGGATCTTTAAATAAAACAGTCATTTTATCTATCGATAACAGCTCATCTCTCACTTTCAACAGTTTTAAAGATATGGGGAGTTTTAGATTATGTAAACTAATCTTACAACCATCTAGTGTTATTTCTTCTAATGTAGAAAAATCTTCAAAATTCAAATTGTTAAAGGGAATATCATTTGCTATTCGTTCAATGTGTAGAGTCTTTAATGATGCTTTAGTATTATTGAAGATCAAGCCATCTAATAAAAATGGACAATATGGAATCGACCAATGGAATTCGCTTAATCCTTGTGGAAGAAATATCTCCATGTATGGTTCATTTAATGGTATGACTTTTATCTCAATTTTACGAAGTCCTTTGTGAAGTAGGTTATCCATACACTTTTCAGCGTAGTCAGACTTGATGATTAATTCGGTTATTGAATGTGGTAACTGTGGAAAATAAGTAGAATGTTCAGAGTTATATTCTATTTGAAAACTCTTCAAGGTTTCTGGCAAATTACTTCCAACATCTCCAAAAGCTCGATCAGAAATTAATAACGATAATGTTGTTAAACTGGGAGGCCAATCATCTTTTGATTCTATCTTTATTTCATTCCCATTATCTTCGAAGTCGATAAATAATGATATGATTGATCTGGGTAGCTTTTTTATATACAAGTCCTTTCCATAACAGATTGAAAGACTTTTTAAATTGGTAAATTTTGAAAGATCTTCATTATCAATTATGCTAGTTGTGGTTAAATCTGTCAATGTTTGGAATGATGAATCAAGACTTAACTTCTTCACATTGGATGAATAAGGAGTTTTCAAGGTTTCAAGCTTCAGATAATTTGAAATATCCAATTCAATATTACAAGGTTCTTGTATATCGATTCCAATCTCTTTTTTAAATGACATTTTGATAACATTACCTGCAAGTTGAAAACATTTAAACTTCTCAATTTCAATATACTTCAACAGGCCCAATTCTAATTCTAATACAATATTCTTTGCGTTTCCTAAAACATAATCTAATGTTTTTATTGGACATAAGCTACTTTCTGAAAAATCAAAGTTAATTTGGAAATTGTTATTTGAAATAGTTTTTGACAATTTAACAACTCTCTTTGTTAATTGATTAGTTTTGATAATTTCGTCATTGATTCTCATTTTGTCTTCGAAGTTCATAGGAAAAGTATCATGTGGGTATTTGATACACCATGGTAATTTGGTGATTTGTTTAATTCTGATTAACTTGACAAAATCATCATTAATCAAAGACTGCAAAAGGATTATTTTCGGTATAGGTAACAAGCTCAAGATTATAATCAATATATCATACGGAAATTTAGGAAAGCAATGCTTAAAGAACTTTAAAATATATTCATCATTATTGAATGAAAGTCTTCTTCTCTTCACTTGAGTCATCTTTCCCCTTGGTTTAACTATATATTTAGAAAGTAAAGTGTAGTAAAATGTAAAATTCTTTTATATAACTGGCTTGTAATTTATAGTGATGAAAATATATATTACGCTTAATTCTGACTAATTAATAAAATGTAATATGAAACTAGGATATCAAGTTTCAAGTATTATACATTTTATATAGATTACATATATATAGACATATATTGAGAATATTGGAGTTCCTTTTGAGTTTCATTATTAACCCAAAAATACACATTTATCAATTTAATTATCATGTATACATGTCTCTTTTATTGCAATATAGGCTGTTATGTACCCCCTATTTTTTTTGACTGCGAAAATCACTCTTCTAAAAGACTGCTAAACTAGAGTAAGATATAAACACGTATAATAATTATATTCACGAGTCTTGATCCTTTTTCCAAACACTGCCTCGATTTTATCATAAAACTTAGTTAACTCTATCTTGCTATAATTCATTTTCAAATGTAGATTTAACTGATTGAAATGTGTTGTCTTCTCTTTACCTGTTCTTCTTTTAGGAACAAATTCATCAAATATATTTAGATTAGACAAACATTTTTCTAAATTAAATGATGTCAAAGTTTTATGTTTGATAATATGTCTAAGAACTTGTTTGGTGCCATAATGTGGTAGTGATAATTTTTTTAGATTTGTAGGTAGATTGATTCTGGGAGATATGTAATCTACATCACAGCTTTTTAGCAATAGTACTTGCAAATGTGGATATCGATATGACTTGTTAAATAGAGGACTTGTGCTATCTATCGATTTAAAATGATTTTTCTTAATTATTAGCAACTTTAGATATGGAGGCAAAAAGAAAGAATTCAAATTGTCAATGTTACAACCACTTAAGTAAATCAAACTTAATTTCGAAAACTGACTAAAATCTAAATTTGAAAGCAGAAATTTGTAATCATTAATACTGATAGATAAGGTCTTTAGTGAGAGTTTGGCTCTTTCAAAACTAATTCTATCCATTGAAAAAAGACATTCCGTTACATAAAGTTTTAGCTTTTCTAGCTTGTATGAAACATGAATTTGGTTTTCAGATTGGCAAATTAGACCCAATGATCTTACGTCTATAGTCTGAAGTTGATTTGAAAATACTTCTTCAACACATATGTATCCATGAGAACCTTCATCGTGTGCAGAATAGTATTCTTCATATTCATCGGATTCTTCCTCGGATTCTTCATCTTCTTCATCTACATCATCAAAATATTCATCAGCAATATAATCAATTAAATTTGAACCATCGTCGTCAAAATTGAGGAATAATTCACTTAAATAATAACAAAATTGTGGTAGAGAATTTTCTATCTTGGTCAAATAATTAATTTCAAGTTTTACCAAGTAAGGTGGTAGTTTGTGTCTTACGGCATTGAATGCACTATCTGAAATAGTGAAAGATAACGATCTCAAATTTTGGGGCCAATCACTAGTTGAGTCAATGAAAATTTCACTGATCTCATAGAGTGGTATTAGATATAATGAAATGATATTTCTTGGTAATTTTCGAATATTCAAATTCTTTTGAAATTCAAGACAAAGAGTCTTTAAATTGATAAACTTAGCTAAATAATCTTCATGAAATATATCACGAATTGATAAAAAAGTTAAACTCTCAAACGATCCATCCAACCTTAAACTTCTTACGTTAATAAATTCTTGAACTTCAAATGTTTTTAAATTTGCATAGTTTGAAAAGTTCAAATCAACATAAGTTGGAAATCTTCTATCGACTAATGTCACAGTATCAATACTTATTCTTGTGACATTTGAAGACCCTTTATACCCTTCTAACTTTTTACATTGAGGATAATTTAATTCATCAAATTCTAGAGCGATGTCATAATTTTCTAACTTTCGTAATAACTCATTTATCGACCCAATTGGAAATTTATTAAAAAAATTGAAGTAAATAGGAACAATATTATCAGGATAAGATTTTATCAATGTCAAAATATCTTGGAAGATCTTTCTCCTTTTTCTTTCACTTATTCTAAACTCTTCTGGGGTAAAACCACTACAGCTGAAATGTTCTATATATAGTCTTCGTTTTGTAATTTGATTGATCTTGATCCTTTTGATGTATTCATCATTAACTAACGATTGGATTAAAAGTATTTTAGGAATGGTTAAATACAGTAAAGTTTGAACAATTAAGTCATAAGAGAACTTTGGGAATAATAGTTTATAAAATCTTGAAATGTATTCATCACTGTAAAATGATTCCTTTTGTTGTTTCATCTTGCTTTGACATTTTCAAAAGGTGATTCAAAAGTGTAAATTAAGTTGGAGGTCTTATAGATTTATATCTATCCGATCATTGTTATGCTTATATTGTCTTATGCTAAAAAGGTCCTTTCTGCTAATTATTATTTTCCCATTGGGATAATCAAAAGATTCTATATATGTACAATCATTTCTAGTCACAAGTATTATGTCTTGAAATCATGTATAATATCAAGTCTTGTAGTTGAGCAAAGTAATTTTGCATCCATAAATTATTCTCGCGTATAAAAATAAAAAATTTCGTTATATTCAAAATAGATGATAATATATATAATATGCTATATAAATAATATAACTTAATCAGATTTATCTTTCTCGTTATTTGCTTCATTAATATATGTGAATTGAGTTGGATCAATGAACCCAGTTTTATCAACAACCACAGATTTGGTATTCTTACCAATGGACATTGGTAAATTATATTTCAATAAACCTCTCACCACTAAATCGAATGGATTCTTACTAATGATTTCCCATTTCTTGGAATTATCAGGATCTGTTGAATTACCATCATCTTTATTTTTCTTTTCTTTATCTTTCTTGTTTGCTAATGCAAGAATATTAGTCAAGTTCTTACCTGGTGAGAATAATTTGATTTCTCCAGATTGATATATTGGGTCTCGATTGAAAAACCCACCTCTAAAACTCATAGGAGATTCTAAAGTAAGCACTGATCCTAATAAGACTGTGACGACATTACTTGCTAACAGTTCCATATCTTCTTGTTCAGCAACAAGAGAATCTGGTAAATATCCACTCTTGGCAAAAATATCCAATTCGACATCTTCAATGTCGACAGTAAACCAACCTGGATTGAAGGCTTGAACCACAATATTGAAGATTAATTCATCCTGACTCACTACTGCATTTTCAATCGAAGTGATGGAAACGTTAGTTAAATCCTTTGTGGTAGCTAATACAAATCCCATTATGAATCCAATTGATAAAATACTAACAATACTAATCAAAGTGTAAATGAATGATTTAATACAATTAACTCTGTAATTATCAAATTCACCAGATTGCTTTCTAGGTAAGAAGAAATGTTGACTACTGTATAAACCATTTTTACCATTATTTCTTCCTCCTCCTAAGTTAACTCTGAAATCTTCATTACCTTCTTCATCATATTCATCGAAATCATAATAATAATTAGGTTGGGATTGATCTTGATATGGGAAGGGATAAACTTCGTTATTAGGAGCATTAGGAGAAGCTGTTCCTCCATTATCTGGAACTAAAGGTTGACCGGTTGATAGATATCTTTTATTCTTTAATGTGGATGCTTCTTTCTTAGAACCGGGGAAATTCAAATTTAATGATCTATAATGGGGTAATCTATGTTGTTGAGGTTGATGTGGTTGATTCATTAATGGAGTGGTTTCATGTAAATTATTAGTACTACCATTATATGGAAATCTAATATTATTATCATAATAGATTAATTCATCATCAAAATCCTCAATATCAATATCATCAGGGATGATGCTATATCTTCTAGGTTGAGAACCTTTTTTATCGAATAATTTAGAAGTAGTAGATCTTAATTTTGAAGATGAAGTAGAAGATTTATAATTCTTTTTACTACCAGCTTTACTTGAAACAGATTGTGCAGCATTTGAAACCACAGATTGTTGAAGATGTTGTTGTTGAGATGATTGTTGCTGTGGTTGTGATTGAGATGGTTGAGATTGATGGGATTGTGGTTGAGGTTGGGTATGAATACCACTTGCATTAGTTAAAGTTGCATTGTTTGACTTTTGACCTGTGAAATAGTCACCATCGGTTGACATTTCATCATCGATCAAGTTCTCGTCATCATCATCAACTTCATTATAAGAAAAATTATCATCATTATATCCATCACTTATACTACGAGCAATTTGGGAATTAGTAGTACTTTGATATCTCTTGGTAGGAACGGCAATCTCATTAATAGGAGGACCGTCAATATATGGAGAATGATTATTAGATGATCTTTCACTAGGGAACTGATTTTTACCAGCAACATCATCATGAGAATAGGATGAAAATGATTGTTGACGTGCCACTGGTCTTTTATCTCTTGAACTGTTATTACCACTCAATACTCCAATACTTTCGATATAGTGATTACTACTAAATGAGTTTGTGATTGATGGAGGTCTATTAGATGGAGGTTGAAGTGGTTGGGTGGCTGTATTATTGATGGGAGATGCTTTTGGAACTTTATCTTCATTTTGATCTTGAGGAACGGTTAAAGCCGAAATTTGAACCGGATTAGTCATGATACTTCCATGAATACTATTTGTATCACCAAAATTCCCTGGGACATTAATATTTTCAAAATCATTCAGATTATTATTTTCATAAACAAAAGTTTCATCACTATCACTACTTTCAACTTCATCCACAGCAGTAGCTAATTTAGCAGCAAAGAAATCAGTTCTGGTAGATGGTTGTTTGGGAATCTTTTTCCGTTTAGCTTTAGCAGCATCCGGTTTCTTTTGAGTGGTTTGATTCGATTCACCAATCGGAAGTTCACTATTTTGAGAAACATTGGATATATTTGGATTGATATTACCTGATATGGAATGATTTAAATTCAAAGCTGAATTATTTGGATTTAATAATATGGGGGCTGAACTTGATGGAGGTTGAGGGGGTAATACATTTGCTGTACTAGATGGATTTATTATAGGTTTTGAAGTTCCTGTACTAGTAGTATTATTTTCATGAGCTTTATTGATGGTAGTATCTATAGTTTCCACATCATGACTACCAATATTGACGGATGATATATTATTAGGGAATATTGAAGTTTGAGGTGAAGTAGTTAAAGAATCTGATATTAAACTGACAGGAGTCTTTAAGGGTTCTCTTGAATTAATCACTTTTTGTTTTGCTTTTAAGGATTTATTGATATTATTAATGGTAGTTTTATTAAGGATGGCTTGAGATGGAGGTATAGTTGAAGAAGTTGCTGCTGGTACAGCGGGAGACGCTATTACCGATGGAGCATTACTTGAATTATTACTATTAGTTTGGGAAGCAACAGTGGCTGATGATGAGGTGATGATGGGTTCTGTTGGTACTGGAGTTTTGGTTTGTTCTTTAGATTCAGGAACAGGAGTAGGAACCAATATCTTCTTAGGAACCTTAAATACCACAGGATTAACCACTGGAATTGTATTATCGGTTGCTGGGGTTATATCATTTGATGGTGTTACACTTTTATTGCTATTAGGATTAATAGCAACATTCAAATCAATTGGTGCGGCTACATTGGTTGACGATGGATGAGTAGTATGCTTATCTGATGACGATGATGGAGTTGAAATAGATAGATTCTTGACATTCTTAGACGGACTAGAGCCTGATGGGCTCTCTTGGAAGTTGGTATCTGACATTATAACTTGTCTTGGTGGTACTATTGGATGACAGTGATGATCAGCAACAAAAGACGAGTTCACACCACTATAAATCCTGTTGTAATAATGCTAAATCAAATCAAAAAACGGGACAATCGAAAGCGGAGGAGTGACACATACAAGGTCAACAAGTATAAAGCGATGGGAGATGGATTGTGTTCTGTGATGAACAAGAATGAATAAGGTTAAACTGCTATCTATCGACTGTTTAAAATAGCTTTGGCTGCCTAATTTTTTCTTTTTATGGCTGTTTTTAAAAATTTAAATTTTGTGACACATTTTTAAAAATTTGGGATTTTTTTTTTTTTTGTTGTTTTTTTTTCGTCTGTTAGGAACTCGCATAATATCATTGTTTAACAGGAATACGAGTTTAAAGTGAACAATAACAGTTTCCATTGTATGGGCTTATAAGTTAGTTATGATAATTTTAATCAGGTTAGTACTGTAAGATGTAGTGGTGGGTAAACGTTATCATATGCATTAATTAAATAATTAGCTCGAGGCTTTGGCTTTGGGGTGTCGTCGTCTATGACTTCTCTATATACTTTGTATGTGTAGAGTATCAATATATAAAAAATTTGAATATATGTAGCTTCTAAGAAGGATTGAAAGGGATAATACCAAACCCTCCACCCCACGCATCATATACGGATCCAGGGGGAGGTGGATTCTGGTTTTGTGATGGTTGTCCTTCCGGTATAACTGACCCTTCTTTTGTATAAACATTATAGAATAAACCATAAGAATTGGCAATTTCTGGATCTATACCTTCAATTTCTTCTTCTTCGTCATCTTCAACTTCATCTTCTTCCTCCTCTTCATCCTCTTCATCTTGATCATCATCATCATTGTTGTTTCTTGCTTCAGCCGTATTCTCTCTCGAGTTATTACCACTAGCAAAATAATGTTGAGGATGGAATTGAGATGTTGATTTAACAACAGTCGAACTTTGTTGAAGTTGTGGTGGTTGTGATACTCTTTCAATAAGTTGTGGTCCTTGATTAGTAGGAACATCCGTCAAATTCCTCATTGTTTCCCAGAAATCTAATCCTTCTTCATCAGGTAAATCATATTTCGATTTTGATTTCTTATTAGTAGTAGTATGAAGAATATCTTCCGCATTTCTTTTCTTATTATTCTCTTCAGCAGCAGCAACCATCTCAACCGCTTGAGTCAATGGCGTTAGTGGATCCGCTTGTGGTGTCTTCTCTCGTATATGACTAATCGTTTGATTGTTATTATTATTCGTACTACTTCTCGATGCTTCATTTTGATTCAAAATCTTAAGTAAATCAGATTCCTTAGTTAGATTATTATCCATTTCAGAATAACTTCTAGATGATGATGATGTTTTTCTCACATTTGTCATACGTGTAGAACTATGATGATGGTGATGATGGTGGTGATGATGATGATGTTGAGTGTTACCTTCTGCAGCAGTAGTAGCAGCATCGTTGGTTCCCTTTGTACTAGTTGGTGGTGAAGTATTGGATACTAATTTTGGAACTTCTGTTAATGGAGGTAAATAATTAAAATGTTGGATTCTAGTTAATTGAGTTTCAGGTTCAGCATAGAATGCCAGATTAGTTTGAGGGCTACCTGATGCATTGCTACCAGGGCTTGGTTTATGGCCGGGATCGGCATTTCCAACAATATTCAATGGGGATGTACTTGATTGATAATTATATCCATCAGCAGGAAATTGAGGTTGAGGAGGAGAATAATGATGATGAATATGTTGATGGACGGTGATTTCTAAATCATTCTCTGATGCGTATGATATTAAACTCTTAACTAATTCTTGATTTCTAATAACTCCTCCATTCTCACTATCGAATAATCGATTATGAGGTAAATCTTCATTACCATCACTTAAAGTGTATCTCCATTCTACATGAGTATTAGCAGCGGGTGGGAACGTTATAGCACGTTTCATGGTTTCTTGTGGATGTGATGATGGTTTTGTTGTTTGAAATGATGAACGTGATGATTCTGGTTGTTGAATTGAATCTAAATCAGGATGATCGGGTCTAGATGAAGCTTTCAGTTTTTTCCGTTGAACAGTTTTATCACTCTTTGGTGATGAAGTTGATTTCTTAGTAACTGGTTTAGCTGATCCTGATGCTATATTTCCATTAGTTAACTCTTCTTGCTGTTTACCAATCACATCAATGATTTCAGTTTTACCATCAGTAGCAAATTGAACTTCTTGTTTAATTAAATCATTGGCTTTACCTCTTACTACATCAGTTAAAATCTTTCTCCATCTATTACGACAAGTCAATGAAGGTCTACCACTAATAGAAGTTGATATGGTCCTCCATTTGGTTCCATGTTCTTTAACGGCTCGAATCAATTGTAAATCTTCTTCTTGAGTCCATGGTTTTAAACGATCTTTAGTACTTGGATCCAATACTTCTAAATATCTCTTAGCACATTGATCATCAGTTCTACCTTCAATTACAGCAGATACTTTTTGCCATGATGGACCAAATTTAGCATATGCTTCTCTTAATCTATCATCTTCTTCATCAGACCATCTACCCTTTTTCAAATTAGGATCAAGAGAATTTGACCATCTTTTACGACAATCAGTTGATTTTCTAACCCCATCAGGAGATAAAATCTCAGCAATCTTATCCCATTGAACTTCTTCCACATCTAGTTGAGTATACTTATAAGGATAAGCTTCCTTAATGATATGAAGTAAATAAGCATCTTCTTCTTTGGTCCATGCCTTTCTTGATTCACGACGAAAGATTTGAAACCCAAGTGATTCAGTTATAGCTAATGCATCTATAGGCACAACTCTTTTCTTAGGACCTGAACTTGGTTTTGAACTGGTGGCAACTGTATTATCAGTATCCATATGGGTTGATATATGATTCTTCTTCTTTTTCTTTCTATAATAATAATGTACAATATATTGAAATAAAAATGTAGATCTATAGAGATGATGGTTAAAGAATATACACCCAGATTCTTCTATCTCTCTCTATATCGTGATACCCCTATCTATTATATATATATGATGATTTCTCCTTTGCCTGTTATAATTTTTTGATATTGAAAGTGTCTTTCCTTTAATTCCTGAAAGATGAATCCAATCCTGGAACTTGAATTGCAAAAAACACAATAATTTGCTGATTCACCAACTTGTAAGTTAGTAATTATAATTATCAAATACTGTTTAGTTATCTTTGGTAAGAGTCATTTCATCATGTCTCTTCTCACTCCTTTTTTGGAGAGAAAATTTTTTTGACTCCTTGGTAGACCTGTACATAAGGGCACACATACAAAGCTCTGAAAACAACAACAACAACAACAACAATAACAACAATATCTAATCATAACCTTCATTAACTTCCTTTTCTAATCTGATATTCTTATTATCAATTAATCTTAATAAGTTTCTTAATAACATTGAAATAGTAACTTTACCAATGGATGGAACGTATAAACCAGCTTTTAATTTAACATCTTCATTGAAATTCTTATGACTTGAAAAATTGATAACCACAGTACCATTAGATATATATTCTACTGGGAATTTATAATTATCACTAGGTACTCCAGTAATTATAACATCACATAAAGGTGCGACTTTCTCTAAAGTATACTCTTCTTTATTAAGATCAACCACTTTATGTCTATGGGCTGATAAATCATCACCTCTTGTAAATTGTTGAATATTATTTATATCTAAGGAGTAAACGGTAGCTCCATCATTGGCTAATAAAGCCGCTAATGGTCTTCCCACTATTTCAGATCGATTGACCACTAAGATCTTCTTCCCATATAATCTATTCCCATAATGTAAGATCTTATTATAGACACCTAAGTATTCCAAGATTTTAACCATTGCTAAAGGAGTACATGGTATAAGTGACTTTTGTTCATTAGTAGGAGCATCTAAGAATCTAACATTATGATATAAGTTTTGATAATAGATGAAATTTAATCCTTCCACATCTTTTTCTGGTGAAATCAATTGTTGTAAATATTGATCTTGATTATCACCAAACACAGGGAAATAAACCATGATACCATTGACATCATCATCATTGTTGGCTTTAATAAGGACTGATTCCAAATCATTCTTATTAATCTTGATTAATTCATAAGTGAAACCTAATGAATCACAAGTTTTAGCGGTCCAATTAGCATACATTTCAGCAGCTGGATCATCATTGGCCAAGAACCCAACCAATTTAGGCTTGAAAGTTAACTTATTCAAACCTGAAGTGACTTCTTCGATGAATGGTTTAGCGATTGTTGAAGCTAAAATGGTTCTACCGGCTGGTTTACCTTGAACAGGAATTGATGAAGTTTTGGAATCCATTATAAATTGTTGAAAAGTTAAATGGAAAATGTAAAGACAAAATTCAGGTTATGAATAGGGTCAACTTAAAAGATGAATAGATAAAAGTATAGATGTGTATATCCAAAAATATAATAAGTTCAACAATTAATTGAAAGAAGAACAATTGATAATGTTTAAATATAATTTAGTGTTGCATCCATCATCTCCCATCTCATTCTCACACTCACCCATTGAGAGAAGTCAAAATTTAAATTTTTGGTGCTAGCGCGAAAGTTCCCCATACTTTTTTAAAAAAAGTTTGATTGCAATTTAATTGCAAAAATAACTCTGAATCAAAAACGCAACACGAATCAAAATTACTGCTAAAACCTCTTGGAATGATTAAAAAATAATGTATTAGTATATTAGTAATAGATAAAGGTAGTATGCTTGAGTATATAATTACTTTAGGTTCTATAAATTGTCCTTATTTCAAATGAGCACTGGCATTTTTATAGAGACTTTGCCATATGAAAGCTTCACTAAGCATCAATTCAATATCTTTTTCTTTCCAATATGTGGTTGGAGGGCTTTGTAAGAATAATAAGATTTCTTGGAAATCTCGTTCTTTAAGATCACTACTGAATTTAATTAAGAATGCGGCACATACATAGACATGGAAATTATTAAATCCTAATGGGACTTCACTAAGATAAGTATCCCACATTCTGATGATTAATGGCATCGATAATTCTCTCATTAATAAACAATTCATCCAACGGAATGAAAATTGAATGAATTCAACTCCTTCACTTTCCAAATGATTTAATAATTCAAGATCAATCTTGGAAATTAAATTACGTAAATCACCCACTTGTCTTATAATACCAGGTTGTTGATGAATATAATTATCTGTGATATTTTCTAATAATCTGGAAAGACACCAATACGTATCAGCTTCAATAATGGCATATACTCGAGAAGAAATTAAATTGGTAGGGATATTATCCAAGGTATAAGTCATCAATTTAGGATCGTTCAATAACACTTGCTCTTTTTCATCATTGTTTTCTGTATCCAATAACCCTGGAATAAATAATTGTGAATCTTCTTGTAGTGAATTTTCATGTTCACTATATTTTGTTCGTTGTAATTGCCATATGTAATGACTTAAGAATATTTGGAAAAATGGGGTAACTAAATCATTAATACCTTGAACATACCCACTTGCAGGATGTCTTACTGCCCATAAATATAAGATTTTTCTTAATGAAGTTTGAATTTCACCATTACTATATAATTTAATAGTGGGATGAGTTCTCTTTACATCAATATTAATTTGATGGTAAATTTGTTTGTCACGATTATTATTGGCTAATGAAACTGATGAGTTATTGGCAGAGGTACCAGTACCACCATTATTACTACTATCTTCATCGAAATCAATGGTTGTAATACCCGATATGCCTTCCACATATTCTTGTCTTTTCCGTTTTAAAGTTGAACCTTGTCTAGTTTTATTTGTCGGCAAGTAACCCAATAATATTTGCCATGCTATAGCTCTTAACTCATTTGGGATCCCATTCCAAGATAATTTCCTTAATTCATTAAGATTTAGATTATTATCTGATGTTAATACTTTTGTAAATTTGGCATACTTGGTATTTAATTGATTAAGTTTAGTGATTTCTAATTTCATTTGATAATCTTCATCATCTAAGGATTCCTTCGATGCTCTACTTTTATATTGAGGTGAACTTGATCTTGATCTACCTTCAGTTCCTGATAAAGGAATCATTAAATCGGGATACATTGAATCAACTACAGGCAGAGGTTGTAAATTTGGAGAATTACCCATTTTAGCCACTCTTGCTAAGGTTTTATTTTCAAGGATTTTTGATTTACTAACTTCTTCAAACCCTGCATCCCAATCATCATCATTATCAGCATATCTTGTAGTAGAATGAGATCGACGATGAGTACCTTTAAGTAGTAGACTTGAACCTGTCCCATGATTATTTGAATAGGGGGATGTACTTGATCTTTCATTGGATGGAGCAATATTAGGATTGGCATGAGAAAAGGTTGATCCCACACTTACAGATCTTTGATTAGGTGTTGTTCTTCTCCCTATAATATCACCACCATCATAAGCATTGCTCTTAGGAGTACCATAACTTAATGATCCATAGATAGTACTATTTATATCATTGTAATCACCATGATTAGTACCGCTGCTACCAATACTATTGCTAGCAGATGTTACTGATGATGAAGTACTTGGAGTAGTTGAACTTGTTAATGATAAATTCTTAAGGAACGATGATAAATGTTTACCCTTTCCACCATTTTCCCCAAAGATAAATTCATTTTTGGAATTGCTATACACTTGGGACATGTCTGGTTTCTTCTTCCCCATGGTGTAGATATGGTTCTTGTTCTGGTAGAAACCCTATTGGTGTTCAATCTTCTGATGCTGCCAAAATGGAAATGTGCTGCTTAAACGACAGCACTTTATGATTTTGTCGTTATGGGATTTTTTTTTGGAGAGATCAGTTTTTTCTGCGAACCAGCATATTTACAATGTGTGCGGCTTTTACATTTAGAGTGTAAATTTATTCTATACATATATATAACTTATTTGATCGTATGAGTGAAAATGATGGGTGTTGATTGTTTAAGCAGAAGCAGGATGAACTTCTCCTTTAACGGCAACTGAACCTTGTTTCAATTCTCTTCCAGAGAAATGTAACACACCATTTTGAGTAATATTAACAGTAACTTCTAATTTTGAGTTTGCTTTTAAATCTTTTAAGGATAAAGTAGCTAATTTATCACCAGCTTCATATACTAATTCTTTAACGATTTCAGGTTCATCATCTGAATAATCATCATCTTCTTCATCTTCTTCGTCTTTAACTGGTTCAATGACAGTTTCCTTTACGGTTCTTTTACCTTCATATAATTCAATTATAACTGATGATGATTCACCATTGGTAACTTCTATGGATTTTTTAATTGGATAAGCAGTTTCAGCTACTAATATAGATTGGAAATTACCTTCGGCATCTTTAATACCAATTGGTTTGGCAATATGTTGAGTGTTAACCACAATTGGTTGTAATGATTCATCGACTTCTTCTTCATCAAATGATTCAATTAAAGCAGCTTGTAAAGCAGCACCTCTTGCTACTAATTCAGATGGATCAATGGCTTTTGGATCTAATGATGGAGCAACGACAGTAGTTGATTCTGGGAAAAGGAATTGAATATTAGAAGCTAATTTTGGAGTATTTGAAACACCACCAACTAATAAAACTTCATTAATATCTAAAGCATCTAAACCAGCTTTGGCAACCACTTTTTCAACAAAACCAGCCATTTCAGATAATGGTTGTCTAGCAGTTAATTCATATCTTAATCTATTTATAGTAGTATGGAAATCTAAACCTTCAGCTAAAGATTCAATAGAACAAGTTGAAGTTTGAACATTTGATAAAGTCTTTTTAACCACAATAGATTCAGCTTTTAATTTAGCTAATGATCTAGCATTTGATCTTGGATTAGCTTTATATTTCTTTTCAAATTCTTTAGCGAAAAATTCAGCTAAAGCACCATCAAATTTATCTCCACCTAAACCGTGTTCATGAGCAGTTGCTAAAATAGTTAAAATACCACCTCTAACTGAAATAACAGCAGCATCAGATCTAATACCACCGAAATCAGCCACCACGTAGATTTTATCTTGTAAGAAACGTTCACCATCATCAGCAGATAAATGAGCTAATAAAGCAGCAGTTGGTTCATTAATTAATTGTAAAACTTTTAAACCAGCAGCATTTGAAATTTTAACTAATTCTTGTCTTTGATGTTCATTAAAATCAGTTGGAACAGTTAAAACAACTCCTTCAATATCTTTACCAATGAAATCTTCAGCTGCTAATTTCATTTTCTTAAAATGTCTAATACTAACTTCATCAACACTAATAATTTCAACTTTATCATTTCTAGTAATTTCATAAGCAACTTCACCTTTAGAACCTTTAACGGCTTTAGCACCAACTTGATAAGAATCATCAACTTTAACATCATCGAATTGTTTACCGATGAAATCTCTGAAATTGATAATAGTATTCTTTGGATTTCTAACTAATTGTGATTCAGCTTGAACTCCATGATATTCATCTTCACCAACATATGATAATGCAGATGGAATAGATCTATCACCATCAGGATTGGCGATGACATCGACTTTTCCTTCAGATGAAGCAACAGCAATGGATGAAGATGTGTTACCAAAGGTAATACCAATAACAGCAGACATGTCTAACTTTGATAATTGTTCGTAATATGGTCTTAAATCAATTGATATCACTTAAACCATTTGAAAAAAAAACTGCTGAAAAAAAAAATTTTGTTGATGAGAGTTTAAAATCCTGCACATAATTGAGATACACCACAGAGATTTCAATTTAACCACGTTATCTATCCATGTTAAACTGTTACAATAATCATTTGTAGTAGTTGGAGTATATTCTAAGGTATGAAATAACAAGGTCTATCGTAATGGAATTAAAAAAATAAAGTAATAAAAATGTAAAAAAGTAGGTCGTACCCGGATTCGAACCGGGGTTGTTCGGATCAAAACCGAAAGTGATAACCACTACACTATACAACCATAAGTTGTTAACGAAAAAAATGCTTGCTTTGTGGGACCAAGTCGAAATATAAGAAAATGAAATTTGAAAAATTTGGTTTTAAATGGTCGGATTTGATCATTTAGAAGGTATTAATAAGTTCTCTGGATATTAATTGATGATATAACTAAATTTAAATAGTGTTTATCTTACAAAAAGTGGTGAAAATATGAGGTGTTTGAATTTCTGATTTTTTCCAAAAATTGCAACAATAATTGACCAAATATTATTTTAACTATTAATCATTAGGTTAATTTCATAATGTTGATATTTATAAAGTTTCAAATCAAATCAAGTACAATACACTCTACTATTACTTATACACATATTATAACTACTATACCTTGTTACAAGACCATAATTTAACGACTGCAAATATCTGTTTTAGTTTACAATTTTAATTTAGATTGCGGTGTGCATATAAAACCAAAATTATGATCTCACTCACCTCACCCACGCGAACCTTACATACATAATAAAAAATAACACATATAAATTATTAGAGTTTATAACCCCCTGGAATATACGTTATTTGATGGGTAATCTAGTGACAATTCTTGATCAACCAAACATGACTAGACGGTCTGGAGCTAAACGGAAGAAGTTGGTGATAATTGCGTCCATTGTGGGGTTAGTCATTTTATTGACGGTGCTTTTCACTACTTCCAATCAAAGACTCTCTCTAAAGCAATTTGGAGTACCTCATGATTCAATTATATATTCAGAAGATGCAGGTCAAGATTATGAAGAGAATATTAATGGAAGTGGAAGTGGAAATGGAAGTGGATCTAAATTCCAACTGACAGATGAAATTGAAGATCTTGAAAATGAAGCCAAAGAACATAATCGTGGTGATGTTAAAGAAGATTTAAGAAAATGGAAACAACAGAAAATGGATCAAGAATTACAAAAGGGTAGTACAAGTGGTAGTAAATCTGGTAGTACTACTGGTAAAAGTGGTAGTGGTAGTGGTAACTCAGCTGGTAAAAGTGGTACTGGCAGTGTTGCAGGTGCAGATACCGGTAGTAGTACTACCAATAAAAATGGTAGAAAGAAACCATTACCAATCTCAGATGAAGTTCCATCTATAGAACAACAAAAGGATGTTCCAAAAACAAAAAAACTTAAACCATTCCAAAAAGGTAGTAATAAAATAGAAGAAGAAGAAGATGAATATCCTATAAGTAAGAATCCTAATGGTTTCTTAGGTGATATTGATGAATTGGATCCTGATGAAAAGGAAATTGTGGGTGATATATATGATAAATCATCAACATCAGCCGATCGTCAAATTGTAGAAATTCCAGAAGGAATTCCACCTCCAGGTCAAAAATTCGATAAAGTATCTATTGATGTGGTTGAATATCCATCCGGATCTATTCCATCAGATTTTTATAGAATTAAAATCAAACCGTTCAATTTCAGAATTTATAGTCATAATATTAAAAATGGAGCTGATAAAAAATTAAATCCGGGTGAAGAGATTTGGGCTACTAGATTCAGAATGATTGCTGCTTCGATTAAGTTCAATTGTCAATTCAATTGTGTGGTTGCCTTACAAGAAGCTTATAAATTCCAATTGAATGATATCTTAAAAGAATTAAATCGTTATGAAGAACCAAATACTTGGAGTTATTATGGTGTGGGTAGAATTGATGGTAAAGTTTTAGGTGAACATGTTCCTATTATTTATAAAACTACTGAATTTGAACTTATTTATGGTGATAGTTTTTGGCTTAATGAAGTAAATCCTCGTGTTTCAACAGTTGGATGGGATTCAGCTTATCCAAAAATAGCTTCATACGTGACTTTAAAACATAAAGATAGTGAAAATTATATAAATGTATTTAATACTCATTATGATTCCAATGGTGATGTTGCTAAAATTCAAGCTTCAAAACTAATTATGGAAAAAATGGATACTATAAATGAATGGCCATCATTTTTAGTAGGTGATTTAAATGCCGAATCGAATCATAAAGCTTATAAATTTATTATTCAATCATATAATGATGTGGCTAAATTAGCTACTCCATTCAATACTTATGGTCATGAACGTTCATCAGTGACAGGATTTGAAGGTGAAGTTCTCTTAAATGGAGGTCGTAATATAGATTATATCTTTGCTCCATCCTATACTACCAAAGTGGATGATAAACCAGTTTGTGATACTATAGAGCCTAATACTGCATCTAACAAGATATCGTTACGTTTACAAAGTTGGGGAATGCTACATTCTAAGTTTAATGGAAAATATATGAGTAATCATCGACCATTGGTGGCTGAATTTTCCATGGGTGGGAAGTGTTGAACCATGAACAAAACAACATAGACGCACATACATAAATACATTCTTTCTATATATAGGTGAGTACATTATACAAATGATATTAGGACTAACTGGAATGAATGACAAGAAATCAAGTAGTGGCTGTGAAATTAAGTGATGATTGATTAACTCACTAAAATTAGTGATCACACTAAAACAACATCTTTTTGTGCGGCGCTCATTTCTGACAGTTTGTCTGACACCAAAAGGGAAAAAAGAGGAAAGGGGGAGACAGTCAAAATGATTAGATCAGATTAGATCAAAATATCATCTTTGAAGTGATTTTTGTTATATAGAATAGTTGAATCCATCAATCAACCCATTGGATTGTTACTTGCCGTATCGAATTGTACATATACCGTTTTTTTTAGCCAATTTCATCATCGTTCTTGACCAGTTTGAATCAAGTTTTTTTTACAACAGCATAGGGGTTCTTTCAAGAAATAAATGAAGTGATAGTTAGAGTGTTTCATCCATCTCCCAAATGTATAATACATCAAAGGTCTCGCATCAGCATCAGCATCAGCATCACCAGCATCATCATCATCAACATCAGAAGCAGATCCATCACCGTTCACATACGTTCGCAGAATCTGAAACTCCATCTAATCCACAAATACCAAGTTCATCAAATGGATTTTTACCGTTGGATCATCAACGGAATGAAGTCAAATACTATTACACTAAGCTCATCAATGAAGAATTCAGAAGTCTCCAACTTGATAAGGAGTTGAACAAGAAGACTCTCTTTGATCTCATTGATTATTGTGAAATGTTATACGAATCAGCATCATCATCCATATCGAAAACTTCCATCTCATCATCATCTACCAATGCATTGATTTCTCCAAATGATTTAATCGGGGTTCAGGATTATATAAAGGGGTTTTTAATCTTTAATTACTTTATAAATAGTTTCATCATGTTGCATTTTAAAGGGTTTGATACGTTTATTAAATCAAATGAACAAGATTTCATCATTTATTTAAACGTTTTTGCATTCTATAATACAGATGAATTAATCAATAATGGTCCCTTTTCAATATCATTAGCTGATTTAAGACTGTTTATAAAACAATATTTGGTAGAAAAGGAATTATTGAAATTCAATGTCGATGAATTATATAATTGGTTATATGAATATATCAACTATTTAAAGGAAAAGGATAGAATATTAACTGAAGAAAGTAATTCAAATAAAGAAGATGATTCAGATTCTTCATCTTCAAGTGATAATGATGAACTTAAATCTCAACAATTACCAGAAGATGAAATCATTAATGGTAAAGATTTACAAAATTTACAAATTCAAGTCCCAGCCGTTGATGATTATTATTATAAATCAGATTCATCAACCGTACCGCCATCCAACAACGACAATCATTTCTATGCATCAGATCCTAAAAAGAGTTTTAATTTAAATCCTTTATTATCCAGAAATGATTATAATAACACCATAAGTAGTAATGATACTGGTAATCTTGGTGAAACTGATTCATTAGTAGAATTTAAAAATAGATTCCCATCCATGAGTAAAATTGGTTCAAATAATAGTTCTATAAAGGAAGAAACTATCCCAGTAAATATGAATCGTCATCATTTAGCAGTGGCTCCAAATCTTGGTCCACCACCAATTGCATCGAATGCTCCATCACCTGTTCCATCACCTGTACCACAAGTTGATCCACCTCCAATTCCTTTAACTCAAAAGGCTCAAACTTTACCAATAATGCAAAGTCCCCCACCTTTTAATCATCAAAAATCATTACCAGAAGTACCTTATGCTTTAGAACCAAATCGTTCAACTGAAGATTTATATTTCCAAGATCGAATTAGTAATAATGCAAATCAACGTTATAAGAATGGTTATACTCGTCCTCCTTCATCATTACCAAGAGGACCATTAGTGGCAGCTGCAGAACCTACCCATGTTCATGTCCATTCTTCAAATGGATCATCATTTCAAAATGGAAATCTGTATCCTTCTCAACCTCCACAAGCCCCTCCACCTCAATTTATACCCCCTGTTCAATATTATGGAAATGGACAAATGATGATGCCTAATGTTGTTTATTATGATAACCAACAACAACAGCAGCAAAAATTTAGTTTTAACCATCATCCTAATAATCCACAACAAGTTCCAGCATATACATCTACAATTATACCTGAACATGTAAGATTGCAACAAAGTCAAATCAAATCACAAAAGCTTCATTATCTGAAGGAATATGCCGTATGTGGATTAAGAAATTTTGGATCATCATGTTATATTAATCTGACAATTCAAGTTATGTTTGGAATTTATAAATTTAAATTATTATTTACTAATGGAGAATATCAAAAATTTATCAAGAATCCTAAATATTTACAATTAATGAAAAATGCCAAATCTAATCCTCATAGTAAGAGTTCTGTATTATTATCAGAAGCAGTTAGTGGATTATTGAGAACTTTTGTTCAAAATGGAAGTAATTCAATTGCTCCTACTAAATTTATTCGAGTTTCATCATTATTAAAACCTGATTTTAATATACCTTATGAACAACAAGATGCTCAAGAATTCTTATTATTTGTATTAGATCGATTACATGAAGAATTGGCCGATAAACAAACGTTTGATAATCCAATTGAAATTGAAAATTATATGAGGAAGTGGAATATTAATATCAATATGAATGATAAAGGTGAATATGTTAAATGGTATACTACAGTTTTAAAACATGAAGGCAGTTCACCAATTCATGATTTATTCCAAGGTCATTTACAAAATAAATTAATTTGTAATAAATGTGGTTATGAATCTATCAGTTATTCTCAATTTAGTATTTTATCCTTACCAATTCCAAGAAGTATTCATGGAAATGTGGTTAATTTATCTGACTGTTTGAAATATTATACTGAAGAAGAAGTTTTAAGTGGTGAAAACGCCTGGAATTGTCCAAAATGTTCTAAAAATGGTTCAACAACTGATGAAGTTCCTACTGCTACTTTAGATACTGGTAAAAGAAGTGGTATTTTTAAATTGGGTAAACGAAGTAAATCTCCATCATCAATAAAATCATCAGGTAATGCAAGTACTCATTCATTATCAAGTTCAATTAAAACTTTAAATTTCATTAAATTACCTCAAGTTTTATTGATTCATTTATCAAGATTTTCAATGTATAATTTAACTGATAAATTAGAAACAAGTATTCAATATCCTTTAGTATTGAAGTTTAATAATAATGATCATGAGATTGCTTATAAATTAACTGGATTAATTAATCATAAGGGTAATTTAAAGAGTGGACATTATACTTCATTAGTCAATAAGTCCACTACCAATCAAGCTTATTCCAATAATTTTGATAATTTAAAACATCCATATTGGTGTTTATTTGATGATGATAACGTGAGATATAATTTACAACATGGGAATATTAATCAACCAAACTTTGATCAATTGAAATCAAAGGATGTTTATGTGTTATGTTATGAACGTATTTAGACTATATTTTATTTCGAATATTATATTTACCTATCTATATATATGAATCTATGAATGAATATGACTTTTTATTGTTCTTCTTCATCATCATCGTCACTATTATCAAATGGCGTTGATGATCGTATTTTCGTTATTGGCTTTTTCTGTAATTTACTCTTAAGCGATAATTTTATAGGTCCCACATTGGTCGGTAATGTTATTGGAGGTTGAGATTCTGGTTCTTGACTTTGTAATTTACCTCTTTTGATTTGTTCATTGATAAGTTTCATAGATAATCCTTCATCACTCTTTAAAGACTTTGATGATTTATCTTGTTGATTCTTTTCATAATCTGATTTATGATCGATTAATCGTATTGATAAATTAAACTCATCATCATTACCTCCACTTGCATTATCACTTTCAACTCTGACTGAACCAGTCTGACCAAGATGTTTGATGAATGATGTCAAACTATTCCATTTCGTGGTATTCATATGAACATGATCCTTATCATTCAAAATATATTCTTGATAGAACTTATTAGCATTTATCTTCTTGATCCCATGATTCACCTTTAATAATCGTAAGAAATCAGTTTCGAATTGAGTTGAATAATCTTGAATGGTAGATGACGTGACATTAGAGACCTTTCCCAAATGACTTGGTGATGATAAATGATTCTTGAATCCATTCTCATCTCGACATTGTTTGGGACATATTTGACAATAGAACTTTAACTTCTGAAGCCCTGAAGCTTTTAATTTCTTAGATTGATATTTGGCTGTGCCTATTTCCGCTCGTGCCATCCCATACAGTTGATATGATGTGATACAGTTGTGGTTGTTGTGGATGACTTGTGTTTGTGGATGTTGCAAATTGGAGTTGGTTATTTTTTTTGGTGATGCTTCCTCGAGAGTTTGAAAAATATCAGAATCAGAATCATCACTTACAAAATAAACAGAACAACTATATCAACAATGATAAGTATACGAAGGGTCCAACCTATATCATTCTTATCTAGGAGTACACTTCTAGTAAGGCCATCTGCAACCAGCATATTCAAATATTCAACCACTGCCGTACCACCTAGGAAATCATATAAGGCAAACACCACTGGTTTAAAGTTATTCTGGAACAGTACCATTCCTGTCAATGTCAAGTATTTCGGAGTGATAGGAATATCAGCATATAGTTTCATTCATGTTCATCCTGATATTTTGATAACTGTATTACCACCATTATTCATTGGATCATATTTGGGGTATAAGTATTATTATAAGAAAGTTGCTCAAACTGAGATCAATAAGGTATTAAGGACTTATAATAAAGAGGGAGAGAGATTAACGAATGGGGATAAGATACAAGTAAAAAAATATGATGAGAGTGATGTTTGGAATGTGTTACACGGGATAGAAAATGAATTTGATCACTTTAAAATCCAATTGATTGATGTTATAGAACAACGAATTTTAAATTATATCATAAAGAGTAAAGATGAAGGTCATGATCAATACATGATAAGGAAGTTATTTATAGATCAAGAGAATGATGATCAATTCCTGATTAATATCCATGAGAATGAGGTTGAAACTTGGATAATGACAAAGATTTCAATTGATCCTAATGCTGATCCATATGATGATAAGATTGAATTTATTAAATTTTCATTACCATTTTATTCCAGTAAAGATAAAACCATAAGACAAAGATTAGGTACGATTGAAACTTATTTATTAGAAGTTCCAACTGATGAAGTTAATGAGTTTAAAGAGTATAAAATAGGGATTGAAATCACTCCTTATGGATTCCTTTCCACCAAAGAAACCATCTTCATATCATCTATAGATAATGAAGGTATCACCAAAAGTAAAATCTTATCCCAAGGACAAAAGACAACAGAAGACGAAGAGGAAATAACATTGTAAATAGTTTATGTACATACATTCATTGATATATATAGTTGTCTAGATATACATTTTTTTCAACGATTAAAGAAATTCTTACTAAAATCAGAGAATTTACCAAATTGATATTCATAACATCCACTTGATTCCTTTAAATGTTCTAATTCAGGTAACCAATGTTGAATATCATGAATTCTCTTTTCAGTTTGAGGGTGAGTGGAAAAGAATTGTAATAATTTTGAATCACCCATTCCATTAAAACTTTGTTCAGCTTGATGCATACGTTCCCAAAATTTAACAGATTCAGTTAGATTAAAACACAGTTTTGCCATTAATTCCAATCCAATTCGATCAGCTTCTGATTCCATTTCTCTTGAAGCTGGCATTTCTAAAACTCCTTTAATTAAAAGATCATTAATTCTTGAAATCCCAGTGATCGAATAAAGTATGGTGGATAATAAGATATAAAAAGGTTGTTTTGATAATTGTTCACTTGAATGATGAGCCAATTGATGGGATAATTCATGAGATAATACAGTAGCTAAACCATCATCATTCTTACAAATATCAAGAATCGAACTAAAGATAAAGATCTTCCCATTAGGTAATATGAAAGCATTTGGAGGATATTTATCATTATCAACTTTAATGATATTTATCGACCAATGAAGATTTTTTAAATGTTGACGTTGTGATTCATTATCATTATGTTCAATCGCTACCGTCAAGAGTTTATTCATGATATTCCCAATTCTAGCATATAATGGATTCGAATGAGGTATAATTTGATCTTGATATTGTGAAAGGATTTGTCGATAAGAATAATCCCCAATTTTAGATTCTAACCAATATGGAATCCATATGAATCTATATCGATGAGTTACAGGGGCTTCATGTAAGTTGTAAACATAGAATCCAAGACATCCACCGGCAAAGTAAAGTGTTCTTCTATTCGTTAGGAGGTTTAAATAATTGAATTGAGTTGAACGTGATGAGCCATTATCGTTAAATCGTTTATAAGTTGCATAATTGCGGAGTGATGATGATCTAAGGGGAGGTAGTTGATGAAAGGTGTTTCTGGTAGATACCCTAGGAATGGTCATACGAGATGGTATGAGCAGAGCATACCTTCTGGTAAGCATAGATCTGAACATTGGTGTTACTGATGGTGTGTTGTACCTATCTGATTGATGGATGGTGCTGCCTTTTTGATTGCAATAAATTTAAACATTTTTTTGGTACGCCACCACTCAAATTTTCTAGAAGTATCTACAAAACAAATTTACAGTCAAAACACGATTTAACCAATTGATGTTTAAGATTTTGAAAAGGAATATAAATAGATGAAAATGCACGTATATAAAGGATACTAAGACTGAATTATATTAATAGAGAATAGATTAAATTATAGAAACAATCTAAAAAAAGGGAGTACCCAAAGGCAAAACAGTAATTTGATAATAATAGTGAAATTGAACTGAAGGAATATTGATGTTTTGAATTAAAGGGATTGTGTGATGATTAATTTACTCTATAATGATGTTGGATACCGACTGATAAGATTCATATGATGATGCAATGCTTTTTTTTTTATTTAATCTCTTCCATTTTGTTCATTAGAAAGATTATGAGATCTTAAAGATTTTTGACGAATTATAGCAGCAATAGTTTGACCTTCATCTTGTGGAGTTGATTGATTATCGTTGAATTGAGGGGATGGATAAGTTGATTCAGGTTCAAAAGTATAATGATCATTAATAGCGGCTGCTTCATCACCAACTAATTTATTAACTAATAAATCTGAGCTTGAATTATTATTTGATTTTTGTAATTGTTTTTGTAAACTTAATTGAGGTGGAGCAGCTCTAGATGGTAATTTTTCAAAGAACGTTGGTGAATTCAATTGTTTGGCAAAGCTTTCAAGGGTTGACGCTGGTGGTTGTTGTTGTTGTTGTTGTTGTTGTTGACCTTGTGATTGGATGAAACTTGCATTAGATGATGAATTGGCTGATTGTTGATCAAGTTGAGAAGATGAGTGTCGTATCGAAGTTGGTCTATGGAATGAAGGAGGAGTATTTGGATGATTAGGGAAAGCGGATGAGTTATTATTAGTATGATTAATGGCATTAATTATATCAGTTTGAGATGAACTATGATGTTGAGATGATGGTAATACAGGAATAAAAGTTTCATAAAAATCATAAGCTGATGGCGATTTTTGATGAATTTTACTTGGAGTTTGAGGTCTTTGAGGTGGTTGATAGAATGAAGGAGGAGTATTTGGTAAAATTTGTTGAGATGATGGAACATTTGGAAGTGGTGGTGGAGGTGTTGAAGATGATTGATTAGTATGATTTACATTTGTATTATCACTAGTTGAAGAAATTGATGATGAACCATTAAATAATTTTTCATTATTTGAACTTGATTCAATTTGAGTAGTAGTTGAATAAGATTTATTTTGATCATTATCTAAATCACCTTCTGAACCATTTCCACCAATTGGAGGTTTTAAAAATTGTTTTTTACGATGTAATTCTTCTTGAAATTGATTAAATGATTGATCATCTCTTAATTCCAAATCAATTTCTTTATTTAAATTATCTTCTCTATTTTGTTTTTGTTGATTTCTATACCATAAAAATAAAGTAATAGTGATTATTAGAAATGAAGGTATACCAACTGCTAAACCAACAGCAAGTGATTGATTATTTGCCATGATAAATGGTTAATATGTGTGAGTATGTTTATATGGGGACGATTCTCCTAATATGAATGATAATCAAAAGGATGAATAAAGTTGGAATGATGAATATAAAGCGAATGATCCGAGGAAATGAGTTAATATCGGAATAATGAACGAGTGATAATGATGTGAGTTCAAGTCAAGTGATGATGGGATAACTGGGTTGATAACAGTTTCTTTGATTTTCCTGTTGGGAAGAGGAGGAAACAAACTTTTTGGGGTTGAAGAACACACACACAAGCGTAGAAGAAAGATAGTACGAGTAACGATAGATGAAGATATCAAACAACAGTTTCCAACAAGGAATGAATACAACAGAATAAGAATACAAATCAGTTTAAATGAAACACAGCAAAAGATGAATAGCGAATATCAGAAAAGCACCGCCAAAATTTCTTAACAATCAATCCCAAAAAAAAAAAGACAAAAAAACAAAAAATAACTGAAATCGAACAAAATAAAAAAAAAAAAGTGCTGGGCCTTTTTTGTCGTTTTTTTGTCTTTTAATGGCTGGCACAGACAATTTATTATTGCAGACAAAATAATATCAATTTACACACACACCACAGCAATAGGGAGAGAGAGTGGGAGAGAGAGAGTTATAGTTTAGTAGTTTGCTATTTATTGATTAAATGGGTATGATGAGCGATTGTCAGGTATCATTAGCTAGATAATATAGATTGAAATCAAACAGATTATAAAATAGCAAACAAATGATTTAACGGTGAAACTCTGATTTAAATTCTGTTATATAACTAAAATAAATAAATAAAATAAACAGACAGACAGAAAGTCAGGACAGACAGACAGACAAAACAATTCTAATGATATCAGACATTATAAAATAATATAATAAAGATAGATTGTGTAATACTGCTTTTAGCTTTCAAGTTTACTACATCCTACTTTACAACAGGAATTCTATAATGAGGAGGACCCCCCCTATCCCTTCTCATAAACTTTTATTTGAAATGAAGATCGTGTGGTGATTTCACAACTTTCATTCATAGTTAATTTAAAAGTGCTATTTTTAATGAGGCAAAAATATAAATAAATAAATACAAAAAAAGAAATTTAAACTTTTTTTTTTGTGTCTGGTGGTGGAATTGAAACTATTACTATTTTGGGAAGTGGGATCAATGGGAAGAGAGAGCTAAATCAAATCGAAAATGGCTATGTGTCTCTTCTCTTCTGTTCGTTCTATAAACCATTGCCATCAAACATTCACTGGATCAAAGCCATCATTTAACTAATTACGTTTCATCGATATTAAAAACTTGGCTATAATTATGTGTAGTTCCGTAAATTCTTACATACATACATACATCTCGTATGAGATCAAATTACTTATCACTACTTGTTCACGCTACTATTAATTCTTCTTCATTTACACTGACCTACTTTACAACAAACCATGAAGAAACTAACATGAATCTACATTTCCCTTTTGTACCCGTATCAACTAGTTTTTTCATCGATGAAATCACATTAAATCAAACCTGGTTAGAGATCAAAGCCATAGCTTATTTGTGTCTCCCCCTTTTTTTTTTTTGTCTGTCTGCTTTTGCACTTGTTTGTTCCTGTTCGGGAATATTCCCTTCCCAAAACGGGGTCCTCATTATAGATTTTTTTTGAACTCATGTCTGACACGTGTAAGATCACATGCACGATCACGATATTAAAATCACATGACCGTTATCTTTCAATTATAACTACAAAACTACAAAGTTCAACTCTTCAATCATTATACTTATATTTGATTTGATTTTATCTATAATATTTACATTGTTATTTTTAATATCTCTCGTATTTACAAAATTGACTAATCTTGAATTAAGTTGTTTAAAACCCAAATTCTAATCCATCATCATTACTTAAATCATATTCTGATGAATTCCCATATTCATCTTTAACCACTAATTTAAAATCATGAATTTTAAATGGTTCTAATTTAGATGCTCTTGTAGCTCTTAATTTAATAACCCCATACTGGAAATCATCTTTACCTTCTTCATTTACCTTTTTATTTCCTTTAATATCAAATGAAATATTAATATCTCCTTGAACCACATTCAAAGGTCCACTAATCCATGGCCAATTATAAGCATAATTAATATCTTCTCCAAGAATTTGTTTGGCTTTAGGTGATCTTCTTAAATAATAAAGGGTAGATGTTAAGATTGGTGAACCGGTCTTTTCATAATTAAAAATAATAACACATGATACAATCACACCAATACCATATACCACGAAATAAATACGATTTTGTTTCTTACCAATGAATGGATCAGGTAAATCCTTTTCCACTGAGATTACTCGTTTCCCTAATCTAGTATTGATAATATTGCTATTGTTGTTGGTTGAAGTGGTGGTTGCATTGGTTGTAGTGCTGGTGGAGGTACTGTTGAATTTGATGAAACGAGGAGAAATCGCACCTGCAAATCTAGTAAGCACAGTTTGATTCAATTGTCTGATCCCAACACCTCGTGTAACCATCATCTTTGATTCAAATAATTTATAGTAATATATCTTTTACTTTCAATCAGTCCATATATTATAATCATCAGATTCTGTTCAGTTTTTTCCACTGTGATCAAATTTCGCTATGAAAATCCTGCACACAACATACACACTAAATAATTGAAAAAAAGCTTTTGAAAAGCAGCATAAACTGATTTTTATATACTGAATCATTTGATATCAATTGATGATCAATAATTAGGATGGATATTGTATCAGGAGCATGTTCGGTGGATAAAGTGGCGGGGATGATACATATTCGAGAGGATTTGACGCCTCTGATGCTTGAATGGAAAGCTATAGATCAAGATAAGATGATTGGGTTCCCATTAAATACGATAACCAATTTACAAGCTACTAAAGAAGATTCACCTAAAATGATCTTAAAATTGTTTTATAAACCAAATATAGAAGAAGTTGGTGATGGTGAAGAAGTTAAGAATGTTAGATTCACGTTCAATAATCGTCCAACCATGAATAATATTAAAGATTCCTTACAAACTATTGTAGCGAGACTGAGAACTGTAATTAAAGATCAAGGAGGCGAGTCTAATGCTAGTACTCCTAATATGACACCTACTCCAGGTCCAGGTCAAGGTCAAGGTCCAAACTCATCAGGATCATCAACTACTGCTTCCATCTCCACTGGTTCAAGTATATCATCCACGTCATCTCAGATTGAATTATCTGATTCAGCATTATTAAAGAATTTACAATTACAACAGAAATTATTATTAGAAGATAAACAATTAAGAAACATCTTCACTCAATCAGTCATGCATTTTAAATTATCTCCTACTATATTCTGGTCTACTAGATTAAATCAATTACGTACCTTTGCCCTTACTATAAGTCAACATAAAGGTCCTTATAATGTCTTATCTACGATTAAACCAGTGGCGACATCTGATAATCAAGTGATTGTGAATGTTTCTAGAGAAGTTATTAATGAAATCTTTGATACTTATCCTATTATAAGAAAAGCTTATCAAGATTTAGTGCCTGCCAAATTCCAAGAAGGTGAATTTTGGTCAAGATTCTTTAATTCAAAGTTGTTTAGAAGATTAAGAGGGGATAAGATTAATAATATTACTAGTAGAGGCGATGTGGTCTTGGATAAGTATTTATATATTGATCTGAAATTCATTGAACGTGAAGAACAAGAGAAAGAGAAAGAGAAAGAACAAGAAGAACAAGATAAAGAAAAACTTGATAAGGAAACTGATGCATCACCTCAAAAGAAGAAATCAGTCATACGATTACCTACTCCTGAAGCTCCAGAAGATACGATTCATATTAATAAATTTCTTGATTTATTAGGGAATGAAGAAGATAATTCCCAAAAATTGGGTAATAAGCCTGATTTAACCATGAGATTTGAAGATAATTTTGATAGTGATACTCATAAGAGATTAACTGGAAATAAAGAGAATGAAATGATTATTTTAATGAAGAATATGAATAAGTTAAGTTCTAAAATGATGAATATGACGAATGATAGTAAGAAAGATGATACTCCTGTTGATCCTATTCAAAATGAATTAAATGAATATGAAGAAGAATTTAATTTACATGATTTACAAGAATCTGAACCAGTTAGTTATATTACAATTCAAATCGATACTAATAAGGATATGAAAGAACAAGCTCTTCATGATAATCATCATGAATTATCACAACTTTCTCAACAACAATTAAGTGAATTTTTATTAGCCGATGATAATTGTATTAATAATGAAGTTGATTTATCTCTGACTTATAAAGATAAGAATGATGAGATTCAGAAATCTAATGTGGAGATTAATAATTTAATTCGTCAAAATTTCAGGACGTTTAAATTGATTTCAAAAGATGAATCACAACAATCTCAAGAAAACAATTTAACAAATTTAATCCCAAATTCAGTAAATCAAGAAATCATTAAATATAACATCACTATCGTTGAATTCTTATCCCATTTTTGGAAATTATTCCTTTCACCAGGTAATTCAAAAGAGTTGAAAAGGATATTCACCAGTTTAAAGAATTGTCAAAATAATTTACAATCCTTAAAGGAAAGATTCATAAAACAATTTAATGAAATGGAAATCGTCCAGAATAATGAAAAATTACGAGATAAGATCATTAAAGATTTCCAAAATTCAATCGATCCAATGGAAATAAGTTTAAATCATGCTTGTAATGAATATATGAATGCGATTCGATCCGCCACCTCTGCTGGCAATTCTAATGGGTTTGTTAATGGTAATGGTCGTGATTTAACAGGTACTCCTGATGAAGGTGGTGAAGTTCATATAAACGGGAATGGGAAAAGACTCCTACAATCTTGAATTCATAATAATATCGAGGGGGACATTATTTATTTCGTACATACATATATATATATAGGGTTGATCATAATTGACATGAACATAGTATCCATTGTCTAGTATCTAGATCATTTGCGAATAGTTGATCATTAACATTAACTTGGAAATCAAAGATTTGATGGAATTTTTTTAACAAAAATTTGAATTCTGCATCATGTTGTTCTTTCTTTATGAAATAATAAACTTCTTTAATATTTAAACCCTCGTCTAAATAATCATGTAACTCAGCATAAAACCGGGCTTGTAATGGTAATCCCACTTGGTATGAGGATTGGTCTAGCACTATATATGCCTTCTGTTTATTAGTGATAAAACCCTTTAATTCCACCAGTTTGGAATGAATGGTAAAGAATTTAACGGTATGTTTAAGATATTTACCTATATCCTCAGTAGTATAATTTCTGAATAAGGCATTATACAATAAATAATCATCTGAATCGAATTCAGGGACTTTAGATTGAATTGCGTAGTCAAAAACACCACTCCAGCGTCTTAGCCAGAGAAGTAGAACTAATAGTTGATATTGGTTTTATAGATCTATGAGATACAGTGAATTTTGAAGTTGACTTTTGATATGGTTGATGTACCACAGTAGTGGAAGATTCTAAAATAGGCATTATTAAGGATAATATTGGATAAGTAGGTATAAGTTTAACTTGATATAATCAGTTACAATGATTCAAAATATGATTTCTTGTTCAATTTCATTCAAACTTGGATGGTTTACATCATTTGACTGGAGATTATGACCAACGCATCAGTCCTTCCCAATTAGGAAGGCAGATTGCGCAACCCTTTTTTCTGGAACCGGTCAAAAAAAAAAAAATTAAAAATAAAATTTAACAAGATGAGTTCGGTTGCACAGATTGATTCATTTGGGGTAATTTGATTCAAATTCAACTTATTTATAGAACAGGATATTAATATCTATTATCATAGAACATGGCTAAAAAAAGTATGTTATCATTCTTATTATGTTTAGGTGAACTTCTCTTTTGAAGTTTTATCATTTATGGTTCCATTATACTAACTTTTCATTATAGTTTCAAAACGTAGTAGAGCTGCAAGAAGAGGTGAAATTGCAGATGAAGGTGAAGCCAAAGAATTAAGTAATATTGCTAAACCAGAAAGTAATGATGTTAGAAAGTCTATTATCAGAACCACTATTAAGAATGAAAATTTATTAATGAAGAAAATGGAAGACCTGAAAATCAGAAAGGCAGCCAACAGTAATAAGAAGAAATCAAATGCATTAAGATCTAAAGTGGAAAGAAATGACAAATTGAGTGGAGTGTTAGCAGGAAAGATTGAACAAAGTATAGCTAGAGCCAAGTATGTTCAAACCACTAGAAAGTCAGGATGGGAGAGAATAAATAAAAGTATCACTATTGCCAGTGAAATATCCATAATAGATACAGCAAGCAAAGATGATAAAGAAGATGATGATGTGGCCAGAGAAAAGACGGCCGAAGAAATTGAAAAAGAAGCAGAAGATGCTTACGTCAGAGATTTCTATGGAGAAGATAAACCAGAAGGAAAAGAAGAAGAAGAAGAATCCGTGCCTATTGTTTCATTGAGTAATAACAGATTTGCATTATTAGAAGAAACTGAAAGTTAGTCAGGTAGATATATTCTTGTGTACATTAATCCACCCCATTATTTAACAGGTTCAATTTTGATATTATATGTAGTGTAGAGAGGTAAACTGTAATATTGATGAACAAGATAATAAAAGATGGACTAGAAGAACTACTTAATGTGATTTGATTTGATTTGAATAAATCTTTTTATTTGGAACTATGTTCTAAGCTATAAACTGAGATGATAATCATATTGTTCCCGGTCATCCATTTTAGAGATCGTTGTAGAACCACCAGATCAAAGGTATTTGACGATCGCAATTGACAAATCCTTTCCCACAACAACACAGCGCAAAACTAGAATGATTAATATCGGCCTTTAGCAAATGTGTCAATCAGGATTTTCAGTAAATGAACTAATTACAAAAATTCGTTAATTCTTGTACTTATATATATTTCTTAACTTCTTTGATCGTCGCAACACCATTTCCCAATTAGGAAAGAGGTGAAGAGACCTAAAATCATAGAAGCGCAAATTTTGTTGGAATAAGTGATTTGATAGAATAAAATCGTAATAATGAATTAACTAGACTAAACATATATAGCTAACAAAATGAAGAATTGAAGGTTAAAACATGATAATAAATAAAAAATACCGAGAATAGAATCTTTTGTTATAACTAAATTAAAATGATAATTAAATAAAATTTGAGAATTGAATATTAAACTAGTTAAACATTTTCTTTAACTTCTTCCTTAATTTCTTCGTTATGTTTGAAATCAGGTTTGTTTTGATCGATAGATGCATCATCTAAGTCATCAATACCTTCTTCACAATAATAATCATCTCTTTCCATACCTAAATCAGCATCTTTGTTTTCTGGACCCAAGAATACAATTAAAATAAGATAAACAGTAACAGCAGCCATGAAAATAGCCATAGTTTTACCATAATTATAAACACCTTTTGCACCTGGGATTGGGAATCGTTCACCAATAGTGGCCTCGATAGTAGATGAGGCAGAAGATACCAAATTACCTAATTGATAAGAAGTACCAACCACTAAAGTACGGAATTGGGGAGGAGATAATTCCGATAAATGAATTGGAGCAATACCCCAAGCACCTTGAACACCCATTTGGAAAACAAATACAGTACCAGCATTTGGAATAAAACCCCATGGATAAATCATAGCCCCAGTTAAAACTGCAGCACAAATAATACCAAATCTTCTACCAATAAAAGTTGACATATGACCAAAGAAAATACCACCTACCAAAGCACCTAAATTAGCTGAAACATTGGCAACAGTTGATTTATTAGCACCAAAATGATATTGAGTACTGATCATAGTTGGATATAAATCTTGAGAACCATGAGATGAGAAATTGAAACCTGCCATCATTAAAACACAATAAATCATAATTAACCAATATTGTTTCAAAGCTTTTCTAGCTTGAGATTGGAATTCTTTAATTTTTGTCTTTCTATCAGTTTGAGCTTCAGAATCGATTCTTTGTTGTTGTTTTATAAAAGAATCAGTTTCTGGAGTGAAAAGTCTCCAAACGATAAAGATAACTGAAACACCAGCACTGAAAAACATAATATCTTGCCATTTACCGGTATTATCAACAATAGCTCTTTGGAAAACAACGGCTAAAAGATAACCAAAGGCATAACCTTCTTGGAAAATACCAGACATAATACCTCTTGCATTAACTGGAGCATCAGATAAAGCTTCAGCAGCACAAATACCATAAAGACCACCCATAGCAATACCAAAAAGTGATCTGACGGCTAAGAATTGACTTTTAGTTTTAACAAATCCAGTACCAATTTGAATAATAGATAATAATAAAAGATTAATTATATAAGGCCATTTTCTACCTTTTGTATCCCCAATTAAACCGAAAATAATAGCACCCACAGATCTGAACATTAATACTAAAGTAATACCCCAAGTAACTTCTTTAACACTAACATTTAAATCTTTAGCAATATTTGAAACATTTAAAGAGATAGTGAAATAATCGAAGGCATCCCAAGTCCAAGCCCAGAACCCAATGAAGAAGAAATTCCATTGTTTTAAAGAAACTTCTCTTAAGGCTTTGAAAGGATTATATACATCACTCCATTCATAATGAGCCAATTCTGCTTTGGTTGGAATTAAAGTGGTTGGTCTTGTTAAAAAATAACGAGTAATGGCTTGGGAAGTAAACTTTGGTGGCTTTATAATATGAGCATTATGTTCTTTAATTTCGGACTTTAAAGTCTCAATAGTATGAACTGATCTTGCACCACCCATCTTATATGATTATATTTAAATGAATAATTTGGATTGGATTGAATTAATGAGAAGAAATAAGTGAAAGGGGAATTACAAAAAAAATAGTTGAAATAAGATTGGAATAGGTCAATCTATTTATAACAAAAAAAACATCAATGGACTCATACGATTAAAAACTTTTTAATAAAAACAATAAGATCCTAAACGGAACTGTAAAAAATTTCTGGTTATAGTGATTAAATTAGTGTTGTTTTTCTCTTTTTTTTAATTAGTTTAATTTATTAATTTCAACCATTTAGGTAACTTCATTTTAAAAGTTTGCTACCAAAAATATTTTTTTTATTTTTCCTGTGCTGTATAACCATACTCATTGAGCGTTAAAAATATTTATTATTTTTGTGGGGGAAATAAGAGGATAATCCCAATTTTAAAATTACATTTGATTAGAGTTACACTATGAAATATCCTGTATTATCTCGTCATTTACCCCGATTGGAAACCCATTAGAATCTTCCATCCTGATATCTCCTGCTGTAAACCCATTCCGATCCCTGTTGATTACAACCTAGATAACAAACGCATTTGCAGTAGGCACAACAAAAAAAAAGAAAAGAAAGTAAGAATTTACCTACCCCACCACGGGATCTATATAAGGTTTGTATTACCTAACACTCTTTAACTGGGGAGGTCCCGGACTTGGGAATTCATTGCGGTTACAAAGTCTCAAATTTGGTATTATATATGCTATTATGTCAAAACTTTTATTTGCCTTCTTTTTAAATTTCTTTTCTTGTTTTATTTTTTAAGTAGGACAAATTATTTTTTAATTTAAAAAAAGTGGTTTTTTTTTTTTCTTGGGTGAAGGTCAGTTCTAGTTTGGTTGTTCCATGAATTTATGCGAAAGAAGAGGGGGGGGGGGAAAATTAATGGAGGGTAATGGAGGGTAAGGGAATGGAAAAAGTACCGCGCGCTAAACTGTAAATATAAAAAATGGCTAATCAAAGAAAATAATTTTATTTTTGGGGGAAGGGACGGCGTTACAGCCTTTCAGAGTGTTTAGCCTAGGTTATTGGTTGTTCAACATTTGAATTAACTACAGAAATAGTTAGTGAGTTTCCATGGAAAGTGGAGCAACAAGTATAACTTTCACCGTTACGATTATATGAAGATTGTTTAAAATAAAGTCAAAAATCCATTTCGGAGTGTCAAAAGCTTATTTGATTCGAGTACTTACTAACTAACACTGAAATGATTTCATTAAACAGCAAGTGCGGGGCAAGTAAAGTATCTAGAGAAGAATGTATTGTTACAGCATAGCACAGTACTAAGAATAAACAGTTAAATTCTCGCTACTCTATACCATCATTTATATCGTGTTGTCATTATTACCTTTCATTTCATTGACTGTGAAACACGCCTCAATCATAATTTGAATTTTGTGTAGCTGTAATTTAGTATAAATATTCCACATTTCAAATCCTATGCAAAACCTTAATTGATTAATGATGAAGAGGGCTCATATTGATTTCCACTTTTGTGAGATGAAAAGGGATTATATACAGGTACGCGGCGTAATAATTTATTTTAGGGCCATTTTTCAGTTAAGTTCTTCGATGATAAACTAAAATAATGATCCAATAAACTTTCGTTAATTTTTAAAGTTATGGGAACCATCCTTGAACTTAATGAATCTTAAATTAAGATTAGCAAGATTATCCCCAATTATTATGGTTACACTAGGAGTCAAAGTTTACAAAAGTATACCGGCCCTGAGTTTAAGCTTTTCCATTGTCTGGGTGTTCCTTTGTTTAGGTTGCACATTTTATTTTTATTTATTGTTACTGTTATATTGCAAGTAATTGTGATGGTGATGTGGTAAAACCCCACATTCTGAGATCAAGAATCAATCATTTGATAGAATAAGAAAATACTGGTTTTGCTTAGAACCATACCCCCGAATGCCTAGATAATTTGTCCTCCACATACTGTCTCAAATATTCTTGACTATGAATGGAGTTGTCCGAAGTTACCATGTCAAATATTACCTAGACTTAATTCAATTCATCATTTGCAACAACCCCACAATTTAACTTGAAAATCAAGAAGCAAAAAAAAACAAGCTATATTAAATAATAATTACGAATTCTAACCTGTAGAAATGTTACACACATTTACTCCAACATAATTGTTGAGTTCTTCGTCATACATATAACCATTATCTTTATACGGACAAAATCGGTACAAGTGAAAATCAAAATTAAAGTTAGAATGGAAATAGAAATAAATTCCTTTTTAGATTTTCTTTCGGTTGTTATTGTTCTTCAGGTCTAGTCCTGGACCTGGATTATACTAAAAAACGTTAGATGATTTTTCATTGTGTAGCAACATAGCATTATCGTGAAAAAACCATTTATCAGCTCATGTTTAAGGCATAGATCTAGTATATTTTGTTATCAGGGTTATAATTCCATTTCATAACAAATGAGTGAAAACAGAAATTTCATAAACTATAATTAAACAACACCTGATTCTTAGCTTGTAAATCGTTGTAAATCAACGAGATATACGGGTATCAATGAGTACTTTACGATCCTGAATGATGGAATTTCTTTACACCATCACTGAACCATATCAAACTTGATCTTGGTAACTTGAATTTTTCAATAATCAACCAAGCTTTCTCATTACATAGCTAATAAAAAAACATGGTAGACGAACTAATGAATGGAGTTATGAACCCTACCAATGTATCAGTTTATTATTTTTTAAAGCAATGTTATTATTCACCCATAAAATGTTAGTCCGGGACTGTTGAAACTCTGATATGTAACTATTTTTCAATTATACAGGTATTCTTGCAGCTTAGGTGTTCATTCCAATTCGTATTCTTTCTTTTGTGTACATACTACATTCTATCTATTATCTGTTTGTTAAATTGCATCTTCCCCATGTCTTCACACCTTCCGGTTTCTTCCTAAGATAAGATTTATACAAGTTAAATATAACTATGTCTGCCCCTCTTTTGCGGAGTTTCTTTAAATAAACGTCTTACATCCCCCATCCCCACCTTTTTTACATTTTTACATTTTCACCCCTAGTAAATTTTCGCTACCATTTTGCTTTTCCACTTTCCCAATTAGGAAAACTAAAACGAATGATTCGTACCAACAGAAGTGTATATATTAAATATAAGTACAAATATCAGATATTACTTCAATATCAGAAGACAAACTAAGATGAATGAAGTGAAGTAAGGCAGGCTTTGAAATTAGGAATTTAGGGATAGCTTAGTACAAAGAAGGAGGAGTAAATATCTACAACCAGAATCGGAGCTGAAGCGCTTGCTTTGAGAAACGCAAAAAAATGTCAGACAATTTACCCTGAATAAGCCACTATATTGCTCCAAACAAAGAGAAGTATGACATTCGTACAGGGTGAATACCAATTTGTGAATAAAGCATATTCATTAGCTCATTACTCTTTGGGAATGTCTATCCACGATCAATATTCACTACATTTCGTTAGTGAAGGAGGTCGAAGCTTAACTATGTACTTTCACAGAGGCTTATAATTTGCCAGTCTTGTGGTGAGTTATTTTTAATGTACAGTTCGCTCAAAGTTGACAATTTTGAGAATTAATACTTCCGACTCCAACCTACTATACAACAAATAAACTATACCAAACATAAAAAGTGCTTTTATTCAAATTTAACTATTAACTACTTTTAAAAACTTTTTTTATAAACGAACTATTCAAGTAGCCTCCGTGATAAGCACAATTACTACACACAAAACGGTTACTTAGATTGGATACAGGACACGTCGTATACTGTTTAAAGGGACTAGATTGATAATATACCCATTAAAGAAATAGACAAGCTGTCATTTATTCCATTTCATGACCAAATAATCTTGTTCTAGATATATCATAAGTAGCAACCACTGGTCTATGATCTGAAAAGTAAAATCCTTTAAAGAAATTATGTAAAATTCCAAAATGTTTTATAATAATTTTATAATATTCATGATGATCTGAACTATAGTAATTTGAAATTGAAAAATCATTATCATTATCATCATCTTTATCCTTTGATACAGTGAAATAAGGTGACCAAATATAATCAATAACTGAATGTTTAACTTCATTATCCTTATCAAAACCGGTAAAAGTTGATTCTTCTCCGTACGAGAAATCTTGAGGAATAACTAATCTGCTATCTTTAAATCCAGCTTTAGTTAAAACAGCATATGGCTGATCACTTGGCTCAGTATTGAAATCTCCACATAAAAATGAAGGATTATTATTATAATTTTCCATTTTATCAACAATCAATTGAGCTGATCTCTTTCTGGCTAATTTCCCCTTATGATCAAAATGAGTATTGAAAACATTAATCTTAATAAGAGGATTAAATCTGGATTGTAATGTAACCATAGTAACGATTCTTTCTAATGCTGCATCCCAACCTCTACTTGGTTTCCATGGAGTTTCACTTAACCAAAAAGTTTCATTTTCTAAAAGAATCCAATCATGATGTTTATATAATATAGGAGAAAATTCTCCCGCAATAATACCATCATCTCTACCGATACCATAATAAGTCCAATTTTGAGATTTCTGAATTGAATTATCATTCAATCCATCCAAAATATCACCTAGTTGATGATACAACACTTCTTGTAAACAAACCACATTAGCATCTCCTAAACTAGTATGGAAATCAATTGAATTTATAACTTGTTTACTACGATGCTTAGTCCATGATTTCTCTCCTTTATCGGGATAATAAACATTATCAAATCGAATATTATTAGTATAGATTCGTAATTGTAATGGTTTCACGAGGAATGAAGGTAAGTTCGATATGAAATTATTATTATCATCAGAACCATTAATGAGAATTGACCCCACGTATATCAATAAAATAACAAGGATAGTGGAGGGGACCACAATGAATGTGAGATATTTCTTTGAAAGATTTCTTCCCAACTTAGGAAGCAAAGGAGTCGTTTCCAGCATGGTAAGTTAACCCGGCTGATACGTTTCCTTTAGGGATTTATAGTCCGAATAAGGATCTAAATTTGACTATTTCATGATACTTGTCTTAAAAGGGGCGTGGGGTAAAAAAAAATTAACATCCAAACATCACAAGAATGCAAAAAATGACATATATATACGATTAAAACATATATTATTGATATTCTATGAACTCCTATTAAAAATTTGTGCCCGTTTTAAGCCTTTCTCCTTCTTGGTTTGGCTTCAGCTGTAAAAGCTCCAGTGGCTGAACTGATATCATCGCTGTCTTTCAATTCAATAATCCTTGGCTCTTCTCTTTCTTCCCAATTCGATGGATGTTCAATGACTACTCCATCTTCGTCATCGTACTTAGCATCATCATCATCATCATCTTCAATTTTAGTCTTTGACCTCGTCTCTTTTTCGTAAACGGGATTGGCTTGACCTCCTCCTGTAATTAAAAACAATAATACAGCTCCCAATCCACATATAAATGTAAAAAATGTCACAAAAATCATGCAATATAAAACAAATTTAATCGGTTGATTAGTGATTAAATTTAAAGGATCTCTTAAGAATTCATAATAAAAGTCAACAATATCTAAGAATTGTTTTAATAAAAAGAATTTAATAAAGACTAAGAATTGAATAAATCCATAAACTTTATTATCATTAATGATTTCATCAAATGTTGGTGGAGGTTTTATAGGTTCATTCTTAATATTAACTTTATGATTTTGTTTATATTCAAACTCTAATTCAAGTTTAGGAGCATATGTTTCATTACCAATTAATTCAGCTTCCTTTATAGAATGACCCAAATAAATATTATTGAACATAATATTATTATCCATACTCCATAATTCAAATCCTAAACCTCCAACTAATCCAATATTACTTGGATTAGTATCATTATGGAAATCAGGATTCGGAATTTGTTTAGGTTTAAATGGTCCCTTATAGTTTGGATTTGGAATATTACGAGGTATAAATGGACCTTTATAAAGAGGATTCTTAATTAATGGAGGTGACCATGGACCACAACCTGTTTCATCACATTGTGGATTACGAATATGAGGTGGTGTCCATTCACCATCTTCTTCATCATCCCAATCTTGAGGTTTTTCAGATTCCAAATCAGGGATAGTTAAAGGCTCATTTTCATCCCATTCTTCTGGTTTCACCGCTTTCAAATCAGGGATTTTTTCCCATAAATGCTTCAATTCATAATCTTCAGGTAACTCAGCATTGGGATCAGGAACCAAAACATCATCATCCCAATCAAATGGTTTTATATCATTAGGATCATCAATTAAAGCTGGATTGGGATATAATGGAGGAGATAATAGATTGACATTACTATGTAAATTACCAGCTTTTGCAACTTCACCATTAACTCTAATTTCAAAATCTTGATTTTTAGTAAGAATTAAAGTATATAAATTTGATAAATCATTAATTTTAGCCATTGGTGGAGCTCTTAAATGTTTTTCTTCCACTTTACCTGTAATTGGATTTGGTCTATTTATAATGAAATGAATTTTATTATTTGATCCACATTTATCTGGTCCAAACATGATTTGATAAGGGGTTTGTCCATTGAATCCTCTATAATCTTCAGATTGATCCAATAACTTAATATAAGCTCCTCCACAATTTAAACCTGATTGTAGTTTCAATTCATATTGTAATACTAAATCTTGATCTGTGTTGTCAAATGGAGTTGGTAATTTATAGTAAACCGCATGACGTGCAGCTACAGTCTTTAAAACCAATCCTTTATCATCTGATCCATATGCTGGATTCTTAAACGAGGGCTCGATATTCCATTTCCCTGTATAGCGTACGAATTCCTTTTTATCATTATCCCAAGCTTTACCCTTTGATGGCAACCAAGGACTTGAAGGAAAGTCCTTATAAAGGAATTGTTCAAAGATTGAAGACTTATCTAACCTGGTCGTATCAAATGGTATGTAGTCATTGCATGCCACGATACTGCTAAGTGCTAACAACGACGTTAACAACTTAATCATTGTTGATATGATCCCACTAGTTGTTGATGATTACACGGTGTAAAATCAATTTTTAAATTTTTTTTGGTTGTAAATTTTTTTGTTGGTCGCTCAAGCTACACAAAAGTAAGCAAAACCGTTAGAAGGTTTAAAGTTGGCCCAGTTTTGACTAAATTCATATCTACAAAGAGGGTATATCTGGTTTAGGAAATGTATACATCATTTGACATTATAACTATAAAATAACATATTTAAACAATAACTAATACAAAAGAATTATGGGGAATGGAAACAGTAATTATGGTACACAAACAGCTTAAGTATTACGCTTTCTGTAACGTAAAACTCGCTTAAATAAATCATCTTCATCTAATTCGATTTCAGTAATGAATTCTTCTAAGATCAGCTTATCATGGATATATCTATCACAAAGATTAGCCATTCTAAATCTATCTTCTTTAGCTTCAGTAGCTAATCTATCCACAAATTTAACAATTGACCTACGATCTAAGAATGCTTCATGATCAATTTCATCTTTGATCCAATATTCTCCCCAGTTTCTTAATCTATATTCAATAGATGGAGCAACAACATACCATTCTTCAACAATTTCATAAACAGTAAAAATATCATGATTCATATCTAAAATTGGAGAACGGACTGGTTGCTGATACGCTTGTCCTTGTGCAGGTGCTTGTTGTTGGGGTGGTGGTGATTGTTGTTGTACTAGTGGTGCTTGTTGAACTATCTGTTGTTGGTGTGGTGGAACGTACACTTCAACTGGCATAAAACCACTCTTACTAGGTAACTTAAAGCATTGTTCAAGGAAACCATGATAATGCTCTAAGCTTCTATTTACTTGTTGATATAAGAATCCATAATTGTTAGCAATATCTTGCATATTTAATTGAGGAATTTGATTTATATTTTGAGCTGCATCAGCAATGTGCTTAAGAATTTCTGCACGCGTATCGGTAAATTGATTCTTAACACGATGAATGGTTTCTTTTCTAAATGGTGTTCTACGTCTTTCACTTTTACTTCTTGAAGATTTAGACGACTTTTGCTGCTGATGTTGAGATGATGTTTGTATTGGTTGCGGTTGATGATGAGGTGGGAGAGGAGAATGTTGTTGCACCGACATCATAGGTGTTACCGGAACAGGAACAGGAACAGGAACAGGTATTGAAACTTGTTGCTGTTGGATAGTAGGAGGGATGGTAACTGGTGGAAGTACTGTAGTTTGAATCTGACTTGGTGGTTGTGGAGCAATCGGAGGAATATGTTGCATATGATGATGATGTGGCTGTTGTAGTTGCTGCTGTTGATGTCCTGGAGTAAATCCTTCTTCTTCAAGAACTCTATGAGGATACGCAATAACCCTTGGACCATTTTTGTCGTTAGCACTACTTAACTTAGGAGGTTTCATTTCTGGAGATGGATGAATACTTGAACTGGCAGAATTTGAATCAACATTTATGTGGATTTGACTCTCTGGGGCCTTACTTTGAATACTTTCCAAGTTGGCTTCAGGGGTTTCAGACACACTTTCAACTTTAGTTTCATCACCATTGGTGAAACCAGATTCAGTAACTAATAAATAGTTAAAAGCAACTTGACGATTTGGAATTTCTTTAAAAGGTAATTTATAAACCAAATAATTAATTTCTTGTAATTTACTAAAAGCAGGGTCCATTTTTCTTAATCTGATAATTGGATTATTACTTGAACTTTTTGAGAATTGTTCTTCATAAAATTGTTTCATTAATTCACCTGTAACAAAAAAATTCTCTAAATTTTTTGAACAACAAAATCTCATATAATGTTTAAAAGTTGTAATATATCTTTTTCTAGTTTCAAATCCTAATGATAATAATAATTGCTTAGCTTCAGGATTAGTTAATACTTCATTATCAAATTTCTTAAACATTTTTATAACTTGATGTGTATCTTTACTCATAATTCTTTTATTAATCTTAATATTATCACGATCAATATTATACTTTTTCCTTACTCTTGGAATCGAGTCACCAGACTCTCCTATGGTAGGAAAGTCATTTTCATCTATTCTTTGTGAAATAATAGATGTAACAGTTGAATGTCTAGCTCTTGGCTTAGAACGAGGAGCTGTAGTACGGGGAGCTGTAGATGTTGATTTTATTTTAGATGGTAAGGTAGTGGAAGAAGTTGCAGACGATGATGGTGCAGGAGTTGAAATTGGTGATTCATCTGGTATAGTTATAGTGGTTGATATAGGAGAGAGTGGAGGTGTAGTGATTGTGGTGTTAGTTGATTTTGAACTTGATTCATGATCAATTTGAATAACCTGTTTTCTTTTTCTACCTCTTGGATCTTTTCTATTGAGAGGTAATATATCTAAATATTTCGGTTGTGCTGGTTCTGGCTTGGTTTCTTCAATTGGCTTTGATTTGGGTTGTGGTTGCGGTGGTGGTGGTGATGGTTGTGATTGTGATTCTTTTTCTTGGTGATGTTTTGACTTAGTTTCGGTACTAGTAATTTCCGATTTAGGAGGGGATGGAGCAGACTTAGGTACTTCAGGAACGGTAATTTTTCTCTTTCTCCCTCTTGTTTCTGGTTTAACAATCTTAAAAGTGGTGTTCACAGGCGTAGGAGCTATACTCTTCTCTTTAGCAGGAACAACATTCTTTTCTTTAGTTATAGTGACAGTTTCAATGGTGGCAGGTTTAGGGATTGATTTTTCAATGTCTGCCTTTAATTTTTTGGCTGCCGATTTTACTGGTTTTGGTTTATTTGGACGACCCCTAATACCACCTTTTTTAATCTTGACCACTCTTTTAAGTGATTTTCCGTTTTCGGCCAATTCAACAGCGGGAGCCCTGACGTTGGAAGATCTGGTGGATACCATGATTGATTGATCGATTGATTGATACTAGTAAAATGACTTTTGATAGTACTTTATTTGAAATGGACGTAAAAAAAAAAGTATCAACATTTAAATATAAACAGAGGAAGAAAAAAAATCTATTCATAGTCCTTTTTTTTGAGAATTTCTTGAGGGGGAAGGGGGCAACTAGTTTTTTCTATTTAGGGGCGGTGGACAAACAACATATAAAATAGGTGTTGGAGGCAAGGCTGAACACGCATAAATCGTAAAGGGCAAAAGTTCCACTAAAATAGAGGAGAATCCTACAGAGAGATGATAGTTACTGAGATACCATACTATAAGCATTTTATCATTTATTAGTGGTTGAATAAGTAGAAATTGACAATTGCGAAATGAATTTAGGGAGGGAGAAGTGAAATATACCTCTCAACGGAAAAAAAAATTAAAAAAAAGAACTAAAATAAAAAAAAGACAAAAAAAAAAGACAAAAAATCATCATTTCCATCTAAAAAAAAATTTTAATGAGAAAAAAAAAGATTGGACAACTTTATAGTAATTCTCACCCCCTTTTTCTTGAATAAATATACAAGTTTACTTCACTACAATAAAGCCACCTTTACGAGAACTAACGGTTATCGAAACTATAAACCTGAGATTAAGCTTATTTTTTGATCTATAATAGATATGTAAAAACTGTCTAGAGTTGTGAAAGTAGGAATTGACCCATCTAATTTGAAGATCCCAAACAGACGAGAGACAAATACTCTCTTTTTATTTTATAATTTTTTTTTAACCCAAGAAAAAAAAATATCAGTTTAATTTTCAAATTTAGGAGTTGCAAGAATTTTAGAATTTACCACAACTAGCCCTGTGGTATATGAATCTGATCATAATTTTGTGTATTATGTAACATTCTAAAGCTGAATCCCAGAAGACCATGGTTAGAATTAACGAGTCTGACTTGAGCGGTAAGAATGTCCAATTTAATATTCGTGAATAGTTGGCAAGAGGAAGTTATAGAATCGACAATTAGTTAAATTGATGACAACGAACTGGTTTATAAAAATACGATCATAAATTAAAGATTATTAACAAAGTAATAATGTCTAGATTAGATAAAAAAAATAAAATAAGCTATTAACGCAAATTATTTATATTTATTTATCGTATAAATATATTATAAAAGCTGTTTTCATTGTATGATATATTCACTTATGGATCAAACAAAGGCGGCTACGTTATTGTCCACAAAACAAGACAATTACTGAAAAAAGGTTTCGCGTACCTATCTTACCACATAAACCCCATCCACTCCATTCATACATGACTGAAAAGTAATATCTACATCTATATGAGCTTAAATAGTTTACAGTTCATCGAACTCAAAGGTTTGATGAAATGAAATTCGGAGCTGATGGACGTAAAATCAAGTGATAATGAATTTAAGGATAATCAATACTTTTTATTTTTTTTTCCCATCCCTCTCCTTCAGACTCTGATATTTTTTTTTACCAGTCACACGCGTCAAAAGCCAATACCGATTTCTTTAGTGGCATTTCATGTTTATTTTAATGGTAATTTCTTTGCATTATTAATTATTGGGATATGGCTTGGTAAAGCACGTATCCTATCGGAGATCGCATGGTTTTGAAATCCGATCTTTGACAAGATGTTCAGGTCATTGTGGAAGGCGGTATATTTATCGTTGATGATGTTGTTTTCTTCGATGGATGCTTTTTTTGGTTTGATTATTTTATAGTTGGGGGTATTTATTTTTATCTAAAATTTTAAAAAAGATGAATTTTTGATCTTTTTTTATATTTTATATTTTTTATTTTTTATTTTTATTTTTATTTTTTTTTTAATTTTTTTGTGTCTGATTTTCATTTATGTCGGGTTTTAAGTCTTATTTTGATCTTTGACCGAAATGCACTACTCCCCTCAATGTTTCCAAATTAGGTATGACAGGGTATGATTTTATGTCAATTTTAAAATTGCAAAATCTGTCAGTCTTGATATAGTGATAATTATATATAAGTAATGACTAGTTATTGGTATTTCTGGCAATTCTAATTGTCTCACTACTACCACAAGAATATATATATAGAGTTTTGAAATACATGACTTTGCAAGTTTACTTACACCATTTGGGAATTTATAGTTCATAATAACATACTAAAATTTACGAAAAGAAGAACCTAAAAATGATTAACTATCTAACGTCAATCCCATTCATACTAGAACTAACCCCTGAAATCTACTAAATATCAAATAAACGATAACGTCAAATTATAATCATAATAATATACATCTAGAACCTAGATATAAACCATATATCTATATAAAGAAATTCTAATATAATGAGATAATATAATATACAATAGTGATGAAATAAAGAGAGGGTTTAATAGATGATATAAAAAAACAAATACAACGATTTTGTATTCCCAGAACACATTTTTTAGATTAGTTAGCTATTAGCCTGATTTTTGAATAATTTTTGCTTTTGAATTCGGTAAACGAATTATAAGAAAGAAGTGAAAGTGAAAGTGAAAGTGAAAGTGAAAGTGAAAGTGAAAGTGAAATTATTTTAATTTAATCTAATTTAATTTTGCTCTTTCACGTAATAATTTCAATTCATTATCTGATTTTTGACTTCCCTTTTCAATAATCAAATTTCTTAATAATTTATTCTCCATTTCTAATTGTTGAATTTTAATTTCAAATTCTTTAATTAATTCATTTAAAGAGAATATACGATGTTCCATTTGTTTTTCTTTTAATTTCTTTTTAATTCTAAATCTGGCACTAGCAGCCGTATTGCGACGGCGTTTATCAACTTCAGCTGTCATACCACCAAATTCATTCCTTGATAATAATTCATCTGATGATGGAGTTCTCATGGTTAAACTTGGGGAAGCTTGTAAAGTAGTTGAAGAAGAAGTCATTGAAATAGGACTATCATCAAAATTAATTCCCTCACCACTATTATTATTATTACTGGAAAGACTACTACTACTTGCCACTACTCCTTCATCAGTACTACTAAAAGATTGTAATTGATTATGTTGTCTTACAGGAGAATTGAAATTTTGACTTGGTAAATGAGGGAAATCAGCAGTAGTACTACTATTATTTGGTACTGGATTACCTAATCTTGTTTGATGTTGAGCAATCAAAGCACTTAATAAATCAATTTGATTTTGTGATAAACCAGCCGATACCAAAGAACTCTTGGCTCCAGGTGGGACGGGGAATTTAGGTAATTTCGATATATTAATATCATCAAGTATACTATCTTGATTACTATTATTATTGGTATTACCATTACTGTTGGTGAAAGTATTAGCAAGGACTAATTGAGAAGGGTTATGAAGATGATTAGATTGATAGTTTGGTGAACTATCAGTTGAAGAAGCAAAATTACTTGATAATAAAGGATCTTCAGCTTCTGACTTTATATGACGTTGACCGTTATTATTATTGTTACTGTTATTGTTATGGTTGTTATTATTATTATTATGATTTATATGATGAAGATTATCTAAATCCATATCATCATCGTCATCATCATGATGATGGCCTTTACCATTATGATTTTTTGGTTTATCTTCATCAGGGAATATGAAGGAATCATCGGCAAAAGCAGCTAAATCGATTGATAATTGACCATCAATATCTAAATTAGGAGTCAAATCACCGGTTGAACCACCGCTATTATTATTCATAAAGGTATCGATATACACCAATTGTTCTAATAAGGCAGCTGAAGTATGTTGTTGTTGATGTTGATTGGATGAACCAATATTTAGATCACTCATGTTTAGGGATTAATTAAGACTGTAACGAAAGTTATATGTGTTGTAGTTGTAGATGAGAAAGGCTATTAACCATTTAGATGTTGTTTGTAGTTGTTTGTAGTGTTGGATTGATTGATTAGACTGTCACCCCCCTTAAGCTTATTTTTTCTGAAACACTATGATATGATATTATATATCACCAAGTTTTCTTTTTTCTTTGTTTAATATATTTCACTTTATCAATACTGTTTATACTATTTTCAATAAAACAGGATAAGATAAAAACAGATGGAATAACAGGGAAAGAAACTATGAATAAAGGATTCTTTCTAAGATATAAATTTTTCAAATTTAAATTAAACAAACTTAAAAATTTCAAACCTTTACAAAGGATAAAACATACATCAAAGTATACCCAATTACTTATATATATATATATATATATATAATAAGTAAATCGATTTTGATATTAGCTTTCAAAAGGAAAAAAAAACTACAAATTAAAAAAAAAAAAACAATAAATAAATAAATAACAGAAAAGTATCCACACTATAGCCACAACAGACATAAGTATACACCAAACTAAAATACTACAATTTATATTGTATTTATATAATTATGAAAATACCATAATAATAATAATATACAACACAAATGACTGTTCATAGTAACTAACTATATTTTAAAGTTAAGTGATGTGATAATTTATATAACAAGATAACACAATGACACGTGACTTTCTTTAATTTTTTTTTATAACACAATTTCCTAATTGGGATTATGTATGCGCTGCTGCTATAAAAAGTTGTTTTGCGCTTAAACTTTTGACCTTATGCTTATTTGGTAGTATCAATTAGCAACAACCACTACTTTGCTTATGAAGGGGGTTTGATCCATTGTAATCAAGTTGTCATTGTAAACATTGTAAGTTTGAATCATTAATTTTGATTTGATTCGGGAGTGATTAAAGGATTTACTATGATGTGAAAATTAACACATATCCTTACCCCAGGTGGGTAAAGGAATATGAGTAAGCGGGTTGAGGTGAAGATGTGAGTGAGCGAGTTATGGAAGAGGAGGAGAAGGGGGGGGGGGGGGTGTGACATTAGGTTTTCAAACTTATTCCCTATAATTTGGATAACAACGGATCGATAAATTGTTGATTGAAATTGCGAAATTTTTTTAAGGGGGATAATACTAATTATAAAGTTTAATTAATAAGCAAACAAGTTTGGGTATAGGTTGATTTATGGGGTATATTTCTTAGGTGTTATTGTCATGCTAAACATTGCCTGTTAATTTTTGATATCTTTCACGAATCAAATTAATTGATTGATTAAGTGAATTTTCAGTTTAAAATATCACGTTACACAAATTATTATCTCAAATCGGACAATAATAATCATCATGTGAATAAACGAGGTATATATATTTAAAGTTATATACTATTAGAATACATCAAAATTGAATTGAATTGAATTGAAAGAGAGAAAAGAAACCATTACATCTATAAAATCATTAACATTATAATAACCTATGAGACTAATAACAATCAAATTATAGTCTATATTAGATGATCTATCATCATAGTTATTATTACACACATACTCATTAACCGCCAAACCATTTTATTTATTTTTAAACACACAATCGTAATTTTTTTTATAACCTTTTAGAAACATTGTATTAGACATTATACATTAGTTAAGAGGGAAGGAAGGAAGGAAGGAAGGAATTAATAAGTTTGATTTAAGTTTGAGTTGGAGTAGTACGAACACTAATATAATCTTTAGCTCTAACTTTTAAAGGAGATTGATTACTAACTTTCAATCTATATTCGGCAAAGGATCTGAATGAATCACCATTACTTGGTTTCCATTTAATTTGAGTTGGTTCATTCGAATTTCTGGAGGATTCAAGTTTTGGTTTAACTAATTTAGCAGCATTTGCTGAAGAATAATAAAGATTTAAAATTGATCTTGATTCGAATTGAATTCTTGAAATAGTTGAAAATGATCTAATTGAATTCATTTTAAGTTGTAAGAAATTGGATATGAGATAGTTACTATATGATAAGTAAGAATATGCTATACACAGCTATCTTTTCTACAGAATTATAATTAAGGATATCCCTATGCATACTTATAGTAAAAAATTTTCACAAAAAAAAAAAAAATAAATTTCTAATCGCGATTTATCAGGAGGAGGAGGAGGAAGAAGCAGGAAGCAGGAAGGAAAGGTAATAAGGAGATTAAATTTTAGGTTAAGAAAAAGTTATAATCTCCTGTATATAAAAGATGATATCAGTCCACAACTATTAACTACTAACTACAACTTAGTACTATTAATTAATTAACAACCGATTAAAGTACTATGTTATACCGATGGATCGACTAGTAATAATTAACTACAGTGTGATGCAATATTATAAATATATGATCTCATGAGATGATCATATATTTTCAGTAATTGTATAGTTGTATGATGTTAACTTTATACTGATAAGTAGGTTTACAGTAGCAATGGATACAATGGATGAGATGGGTTAAAGGGATAGATAAGAACTTGAAAGGTGTTAAGCATCGTTGTTGTTGGTATCCCCTCCTCTTCTTCATAGTGATTATCGTATAACCTGAACTGACTGTATATAAACCATCTGGACTTTAATCACCGACCCTTTTTATAACGGACTTGGATTTCCATATTAACGAGGGGTGTGTGTGTGAGAGACAAAGAAAAAAAAAATTGACAAAATTTCTATCTTTGTTTATATACAGGAGCCATGGAAAAATAGTACCATCAGCCGAGGCCATCAAGACATTTTAGTTTAGGGAAGTACCTAACTAATCTTTAATGTACAGTACTTACTCATTAGTGATATCGGCCCGTTAGTAGTACTATGATTATTATATGTAGTTATTATTATATGGAGTAATGAATCATATTTTTGTAACCTAACCTCCTTACCTCTAACCAACCAAACCTTCATACTTTATTTTAAGGCAGGAAGGTGAATTGGTCTTTACCTTTAGGTACATATTGAATTGAATCATGTGGTCTAATTCTAATTAATTTTATATCAATTTAGTTTTAAACAATGACAATTTAGATAACTAATTCATTCAGGGGTTAATCAATACATATATAGTAGATATGTATCATTAATAAATTTCATATGATAAACATAGATAAGTAATCTAATTAAACAGTTTTCAAAACTAATTTTAAATTAAATTGAAATTGAAAAAAGTTTATTTTATTGTCCCAATATAAAATATTGGTGATATCAGTCTGTCTACAGAGACATTATGAACAAAGTGGGAGACATTTTACTACTACCAAGAATTAATATAAAATCAGACAGACAGTGCACTCAACTCCGAAATGTCTCTCCACAAATGACTCAAACAAATCAAAAAAAAATAATAAATAAATAAAAAAAAATTAAAAAAAAAATAATAAATAAAAAAAAAAAAAAAAAAAACCATCTAATTTTAATGTCTGTCTGATTTTTTATCCAATTAATTAATTTGCTTACTTTATAAAATTACCTCTTAACAGAAACAACAAAAATTTTCATTCTATATCCTTTTGTTTAATTACATTTTGACTCATTAGTTTAATCAAGCCTCGTTTATTCTCCAGTCTTAATTCTATTCTACCGATTCAGCAATATTAAAAGAAATGAATTGAATTAAAATTTAAATTAATTTAATTTCCCTTTCCCTTTCTTTGCGTTTTCGGTGTCGGAGTACATTCATTTCCGCTGGATTCAGTTATTTTTGTGTGCAATAAATAATTAATTATAGTTATTATTATTGTTTATATTACTGGTAATACCATTTATGAATCATCATCACATCATATCTCCTAAATTCTATAGGATATACTTTATCAATTTATTTAATTTAATTAAAATAAATAAATATCTAAAAAAAATAAAATAAAATAAAATAAAAATTTTATTAATGGGTTATATTGGACTTATACTTCCTTCTCTGAAATATTATTTCTTGTAATGATTCTATTTTTTTTTTAATGGACTGGTTTGTAGATCTTCTGGTCGACTAAATACTATAAATACTACTTAATTCCTTCTACTCAATTGAGTTCTCTTCTTCATATCAATTGCTTCTGATAATCAGTATCTATTTTGTTCACTAGATTCTTTCTTTCTTTCCTTCACTCATTAATTGTCACTAATTAATTAATTTTTAGTGAGAAACAAACAGCGACAGAAAAAAAAAAAAAAGCTCAATTAATTAATTGATTTTTTTTCCCTTCTTCCTCATTCTGCTGCTCATTATTTTAATCTTTGAAAATCCCCTCCTTTTATCTTTTCCAAATCAATTTCAATTAATTTATTTTAATTTATTTTTATTTTAATATCCCTATTCCTTCTTTTTCTTTTTCATCAATTGACATTTGCCATCGATCCCATCCGTCCATCAATCATCACAATCGACAATGGCATCAATCGTCAATATCAATCCTCCTGCCGATGATATCACAGAAGCTACCCGTCTTCAACAAATGAGAAGAGATTCAACCGTCCTTGGACCCATGAATAAAATCCTTGTGGCCAATCGTGGTGAAATCCCTATCAGAATCTTTAGAACTGCTCATGAATTATCAATGCAAACCGTGGCTATCTATTCTCATGAAGATAGATTGTCAATGCATCGTTTAAAAGCTGATGAATCTTATGTCATTGGTAAAAAGGGTCAATTCACTCCTGTTGGAGCTTATTTACAAATTGATGAAATTATAAGTATCGCAAAACATCATAATGTTAATATGATTCATCCTGGTTATGGATTCCTTTCTGAAAATTCCGAATTTGCTAGAAAAGTTGAAGAAGCTGGTATAGTTTGGATTGGTCCAAGTTATAAAACTATCGATGCAGTAGGTGATAAAGTTAGTGCCAGAAATTTAGCTCTTGCTAATGATGTTCCTGTTGTCCCAGGTACTCCTGGTCCAATTGAAACTGTTGAAGAAGCTGAAAAATTCGTTGAAAAATATGGTTATCCTGTCATTATAAAAGCTGCTTTTGGTGGTGGTGGTAGAGGTATGAGAGTGGTGCGTGAAGGTGATGATATCGGTGATGCCTTTAATAGAGCCACTTCAGAAGCTAAAACTTCATTTGGTAATGGTACTTGTTTTATTGAAAGATTCTTAGACAAACCAAAACATATTGAAGTTCAATTATTAGCTGATAATTATGGTAATGTCATTCATCTTTTTGAAAGAGATTGTTCAGTTCAAAGAAGACATCAAAAAGTGGTTGAAATCGCTCCTGCTAAAAACTTACCAAAAGAAGTTCGTGATGCCATTTTAACTGATGCGGTTAAATTAGCTAAATCGGCTAATTATAGAAATGCAGGTACTGCTGAATTCTTAGTTGATGAACAAAATAGACATTATTTTATTGAAATTAATCCAAGAATTCAAGTTGAACATACTATCACTGAAGAAATCACTGGGGTTGATATCGTTGCTGCTCAAATTCAAATTGCTGCTGGTGCTTCATTACAACAATTAGGACTTTTACAAGATAAAATTAATACTAGAGGTTTCGCTATTCAATGTAGAATCACTACTGAAGATCCAGCCAAAAGTTTTCAACCTGATACTGGTAAGATTGAAGTGTATAGATCTGCTGGTGGTAATGGTATTAGATTGGATGGTGGTAATGGTTTTGCTGGGTCCATCATTAGTCCTCATTATGATTCTATGTTGGTTAAATGTAGTTGTTCTGGTTCAACTTTTGAAATTGCTAGAAGAAAAATGTTAAGAGCTTTAATTGAATTTAGAATTAGAGGTGTTAAAACTAATATTCCTTTCTTATTAGCTTTATTAACTAATGAAACTTTTATTGTCGGTAATTGTTGGACTACTTTCATTGATGATACTCCTTCATTATTCCAAATGATAACTTCTCAAAATAGAGCTACTAAAATGTTAGGTTACTTAGCTGATTTAGTGGTTAATGGTTCATCTATTAAAGGTCAAGTTGGTGTGCCAAAATTAGATGATGAAGCTGAAATTCCAGTCATTCATGATCCAAAAACTGGTATTGCTATTGATGTTGAAAATACTCCAATTCCAAGAGGTTGGAGACAAGTTTTATTAGAAGAAGGTCCAGAAGTTTTCACTAAGAAAGTTCGTGAATTCAAAGGTACTCTTATAACTGATACTACTTGGAGAGATGCTCATCAATCTTTATTAGCTACCAGAGTTCGTACTATTGATTTATTAAATATTGCTCCAACTACTGCTTTTGCTCTTAATGGTGCCTTTTCCTTAGAATGTTGGGGTGGTGCTACTTTTGACGTCTGTATGAGATTCCTTTACGAAGATCCATGGGCTAGATTAAAGAAATTAAGAGCTGCTGTTCCAAATATTCCATTTCAAATGTTATTAAGAGGTGCTAATGGGGTTGCTTATTCTTCATTACCTGATAATGCTATTGATCATTTCGTTAAAGAAGCTAAAGATAATGGTGTTGATATCTTCAGAGTTTTCGATGCTTTAAACGATTTAGATCAATTAAAAGTTGGTATTGATGCTGTTAAGAAAGCTGGTGGTGTAGTTGAAGCTACTGTTTGTTATTCCGGTGATATGTTACAACCAGGTAAGAAATATAACTTAGAATACTACTTAGATGTGGTTGATAAGATCGTTGCTATGGGTACTCATTTCTTAGGTCTTAAAGATATGGCTGGTACTTTAAAACCAAAAGCTGCAACTATTTTAATTACTGCAATCAGAGCTAAATATCCTGATTTAGCCATTCATGTTCATACTCATGATTCAGCTGGTACCGGTGTTGCATCTATGACTGCTGCTGCCAAAGCTGGTGCTGACGTGGTTGATGCTGCTTCCAATTCCATGTCTGGTATGACTTCTCAACCTTCCATCAGTGCTATTTTAGCCTCATTAGAAGGTGATATTGAAACTGGTTTAGAAGATTCATTAGTTCGTGAAATTGATAATTATTGGGCTCAAATGAGATTATTATATTCATGTTTCGAAGCTGACTTGAAAGGTCCAGATCCAGAAGTTTATCAACATGAAATTCCAGGTGGTCAATTAACTAATTTATTATTCCAAGCCCAACAATTAGGTTTAGGTTCTAAATGGGTTCAAACTAAAGAAACTTATAAAATCGCTAATAAATTATTAGGTGATGTGGTTAAAGTTACTCCAACTTCAAAAGTGGTTGGTGATTTAGCTCAATTTATGGTTTCAAATAATTTATCCGAAGAAGATGTTTATAAATTAGCTGGTGAATTAGATTTCCCTGATTCTGTTTTAGATTTCATGGAAGGTTTAATGGGAACACCATATGGAGGATTCCCAGAACCATTAAGAACTAATATGTTAGGTACTAAGAGACAAAAATTATCCAGTAGACCTGGATTGAACTTAACTCCTGTTGATTTTGATTCTATTAAACAAGAATTAGTATCAAGATATGGACCAACCATTAAAGAAAGTGATGTTGCTTCTTACGTCATGTATCCAAAAGTTTTTGAAAGTTATAAGAAACAAGTTGAAAAATATGGTATTTTATCAGTATTACCAACTAGATATTTCCTTAAACCATGTAGAATTGGTCAAGAATTAACCGTTGACATTGAACAGGGTAAGACTTTAATCATTAAATTATTAGCTATTGGTGAAATCAGTCAACAAACTGGTACTAGAGAAGTTTTCTTTGAATTAAATGGTGAAATGAGATCTGTTACTGTTGATGATAAGACTGTGTCCATTGAAACCAAGACTAGACCAAAGGCTTCTGAACCAAATGATGTTGGTGCACCAATGGCTGGTGTTGTTATTGAAGTTAGAACCAAACCAGGTACTGAAGTTAAAAAGGGTGATCCAGTTGCTGTTTTATCTGCCATGAAGATGGAAATGGTGATTAGTGCTCCAGTCTCTGGTATAGTGGGAGATATCTTAATCAAAGAAGGTGATTCTGTTGATGCTAATGATTTAATCACCAGTATTCATAAATAAATCAATACTTAAAATTAAAATCCTAAAATATTCCCTTCTACGATAAGTTCAATTCACACTCCCCAATAGAAAGAAACGACAAAACATTACAGTTAGATGCAACATTTACTGATTTTTTATATCTGTTTTCTTTTTGTTATTTGCTTTTATAGCTTTAGTTTAGCTTTCCCATTTTTTGTCTCTCTAGTTTTCACGTTTATGAAATTTTAGTCTTTCAAGTTCATTATAAAATAAATACATACATTTACATATTTAAAAAGAAATTCTATTGTACATTATACTTCTAACGAGCACCTCTTATTCTTTTAGCAGGTGTACCCACAGTTCTATATCTTGGATTATTACCAGCTTGAGAAAGTCCTAGTTCTCGTCTTCGTTTATTATTCAAATCTGTATCACGATTAAGTTGATTACTCCTCTCATAATCCTTTGATTCAATTCGTTGTTCAAGTTTATCATTCTCTGCATCAAATGATTGTAATTGTTTTAATAATTCTTGTTCTAATTGTAACTTATCGTCAAAATCATCATCTTCTTCATCATCATCTCCGTCGTCATCTTCTCCATCTATACCTTCTGTGTCACCCTTTGGTGTAACTCCCTTCCATACCTTATCATTTATAACATCATGAGTGAAATTGGTCTGGGATAGTATTCTAATCCATTGATCCAACAACGTATGTGTACTCTCACTAGCATCATTCAATTTATTTATATTATTATTGGTGAACTTTATCGTTTGAATAAGATTAGCAATAGTTGAATTGATTCGATTCAATTGAGCTAATTCTCTTTCCAACGCCAATTGTCTGGAGGTTGAGTTGATACCACTGCCTATTATAGGAGCTCCTCCACGCGTACTTGAACTTGGAGTGTTACTTTTTATATGATCTGACATGGTTTGATATAGTGTGGATAAGCCTATCTGTCTGAACACTATCAAACGATTGATATATATAAACAGCTTTGTTTACAAAAATCATAACAAATTAAAAAAAGTCCTGTATATAAAACAGTGATTAATTTTTGGAGTACACAATTTTTTTCAAGACCAGTTTTGAAAGTAACAATTGACCATTGACAGCTTTGTATAATTGGTATACCAAGAACAATACAGTTGAGGAATACCGTTACGATATATATAACAATGGCTACAGTAGAGGAAAAGAGTATAGAGCCAGTGATACCTCCTACGGATGGAAACGGTGCTGTTGAACCACAAGATGCTGCTAATAATGAGATGAATAAAATGATAAGTTCATTACCAACACGATGGGAAATTGAATTAGAATTCGTTCAATCATTAAGTAATATCCAATATTTGAACTTCTTAGCTCAAAATAACTATTTACAAGATGTTAATTTCATAAATTATTTGAATTACTTACAATATTGGAATCAACCTCAATATTCAAAATATTTGGTATACCCTAATTGTTTACATATTTTAACCTTGTTGCAAGATAAGAAATTCCGGACTAATATCGTTAATCCAGAATTCATGAATAATTTAATGAATGATATGGTTAAAAGATGGCAAGATGCTGATACTACTTTAATGACTCCTCCAAGTGCTCCTCATACAAGTAATAGTAATGGTAATGGTAATGGTAATGGTAATGGTAATGGTAATGCAAGTATATCTCACAATAGCAATGTCACCAGTAATGATATCAGGGATAGCAGTATTAATGAAGAGGATGAAAAGGTGGAAGAAACGAGTTAATGTTTAAATTATATCATAGTAGACCGGTGCTACAAACCGTAACAAGCCATGCTTTCTTCCATAAGATAAAGGACCTTGAGGCATTCAAGACCCTAGATAAGGAAGTATATAACTTAATCTGATACCATTATGGATATAGGATTCGGAATCGGATCACTTAATTTAATCCAACCTTATTATAGTTAATAAAATAACAACGGTTTTTATTTTTAGTATACCCCTAAAACAGTAAACTGCGAGGCTGTATTTGGAATTATATAGAGAGGGAATAAGCGGATCTAATATCTAAAAATAGCATCCTGCGAAATTCAACAACTTTAAGCTATTTCATGACAATTAACTGATTCTGCACTGCCCTGGATTAACTAACACTTGTATTTTTATACTAAGTAGTTACACCATTTAATATAGAATACTAATAAATGTATATTTCGAAAAAAATAATATACTTCTTCCTGTTTATTCCTAGGAGATAACAGGCTTTATCTCTCGGAAATAATGCCTTAAGTCCAGCAGTATTCATCTACTAACTGAAATGAACCTAGTATTATCTAACGAATATCATTTAGAAACATCAAATATCTTATCAGAACATAAGGTAAGGTAATCAGTTAGCATCAAACACGAGGTTTCCCCTCGAATTCTAACTGTGATTTGATAACTAAACCATAGTCAGTGCTCTATAGCTCAGAGAGGGCTGAATCAGCCAAATGAACTTTAAATTTTTCCTCCTCCCATCTCTCACTCACTCTCACTCACTAAATTTTTTCCCTCTGCATTGTTTTGAGATAGGCCCATAGCCTGGTGATATATAAATACAGTAAAAGTAACTAATCTATAATTTTGGATGAAATTTGATAAGAGTCAGATAATAATATTACTATTTCTGATTATTATACTTCATTTCTTATTCTTGTCAATAGTTTTATCTTGTTAGGATTCACATTATAAATGTTATACTAGAGAAAACCCCCCTAAGTATGTCTGACTCCACCCCCTCCAAATTCCCATTTTTTTTAAGTGCAAAAGCGCAAAATATGCTCAAATCATTATATATCCCAAAGTGGACCATATTAATTTCAAACTTCGCTATAGTTATATATGATATCATATTCAATGTGTTGGACTTGACATTGTGTCTTTATTACACCCATACCAAAGCATCTCAAACTGTACCATATTCATTAGGATCATTGATAATAGGTGTTGTTATATTAATACACTTTTTAGCTGAAAGACTTAGTGTTGGAGATACAGTCCTTTCTAGATCCAAACAATGGAAAAAGTATATGGAATTAACTAAATATTCGAAGTTTGGGTCATGGATTTTCTTTTTCTTAATCACAGTTTTAAAAGTTCAAGCTTTGTCTTCAGGCAAAGTTCAAGAAACATTATCTGATGATAGCAGTACATTCCCATTCTCAGCAAATTTAGCATATATTATCCTTAACTGTATTTCAGTAGCATTCGATTCTATCTTATTATCAGTCTGGTGGGAAAAAAGCTTGAAATCAATTTATATACTTTTTAGAGGTTGTCAAATGATTCAAATTTTATTCTCTATAGCCATTATTCAAGCAAATATTAATGTCATAAACACAGATAATATAATAGTTATGAAAAGAGTCCATAATTTATTTATTTGTACTGCTACTTTCTTTATAACTCAATCCGGAAATGGCTTAGGTATAAGTTTCATCGTTAACAAAGGGAATCGATTAAATGATATCACTGGAAAATTTTTAGCATTTTTTAATTTATTTGCCAGTTGTTTATTATTAGTGGTGATTGCATGTTTTATCATGAGTATTTATTATTTCAATACTTCGGAAAATAATGAAGGAGATATTTCCATCAGTGTTCCTATTTTATTTGGATGTAATATATTCTTTGATTTCGTTTCAATTTATTGTACTCGACATATCAGGGCTAAGAAACCATTAATTGATTTATTAGTCGAAGAATATGATTTACTGGCATTAACCAATCAACAAAAGGCAGGATGGTCAAAATTAATTAATCTTAATAGTAGATATAATGGAGGTATAAGTGGTGATAGAATGATTTCATTAATGGAAAATTATGCTGAAAATAAGACTTTATCAGGAGTTAAATTTAAAGTTTTGAGAGTGTACAAGAAGGCACCATCTCCATTGAAGAATCAAAAACAGAATAATAATAATAAGGATAAAGATTTAGAGAAAATGGACCCAAAAGAGAATAAAATAACAAAACTAACATCTAGTGTAAGCTCTTCAGATCAAAGCAGTGACAATGATGATTCAACTGCTTGGGATCCATTTGATAAAGAATCATTAGTATTTTCAAGTGAAAATTCTAGAAACATGACATCCGATCAAACCCTTGATGAATTCAAACCATTATCTAAAAATCAATTAAAAAAATTAGCTAAAAAGAAATCCAAACAACAATCAATGGAAGAATTAGAAACAATTCAAAGAAATCTGGAAAAATTCTATGATGAATTAAGATGTACAGAAGCATTAGTATTATTAACGATTATTGATTCATTTGATTTAACTGAACGTATACCCGGAAAATTTGGTAAGAAATTATCCCAATGGTTTGGTAAAGATTCAAAGCTTCCATTATTATGCATTAAATTTGGATTAGTAGGATTTCATTGGCCATTTAAGAGATCAACGGTATACTGCAGTTCAACCAAAAAACCAGTAGCACGTAGTGCCGCTATCATGTATGCCATGGCGAAATGGAATAAATCAAATGAAAAATGTACCGTTTTATTAGATCCAACTTATAAGGATGATTTTGCTGAACCTGGAATTAGATTAGGCGGATGGTATAAAGTGATATTACCTAATTCCCATGTGATTGATTTAAGACCATTTATGAATAAAACCATTGATCAATATTATAAGGCTGTTAAGTATAGAAATCATGATAATGTCTTTTTACAAGAAAATGGTCAAGTTATTGAAACCTTTGATTTTAATGAAGAAAATTGTTCTAATATTATCAAATTAACCGAATTAATCTCTGATTCAAGACAAAATTCTGGCCGTTCAGATACTTTATTAAAACCTACTACTGAATTCATATCTCATTTTGGTAATTTTGCTAATGAAAATAACTTCCGTTCATTAGTATTCTTAAAAGTGAATGATGAATTGGTAGCATCATGTGTGATATTTAGATTAGGTGATACTATAACATCAGATATTCAAGGGTTAAACCATGAAATAAGTAAGAAATATAGAGCTTACTTTGTAATGATGCAAGAAGTCATTAAAATAGCTCTCAGGGAGAAAGTATCATTCGTTGATTTTGGACCCACCACAGAAAATGCTAAAGTTGATATTGGTTGTAAAGTCGTACCTTTAGTTGGATCTTTATCAGCCAGAAACCCATTATTATCACCTCTCTTACAATTTGCTGCTTCCAAAGTAAATGTATAGCTTAGTTTAGTTTATAGTAGTATGTTGCAAATAGAACGTCATGGAATAATCAAAATAATTCACCATTTTACACGACTGGTTTACAGTCTGGGGCAAACAAAAAAACACCCAACCAAAAAAATTGAGAGTGGATCTGAAAAAGGTGCCACCTATGTAAGGGTTGATATCGATTGATGGTCAACTATAGAGGGGTAGATGTCATCTAATACAATATATGATAAACATTTTGAAATGGTAAAGGGCTTTTCAACTAAGTTGTACCATGATTACAAAGTGTCATTATTGGAAGTGATATATTTATCATCATTTCTCATTAATTTTGCACTTGGAAAGATAGTTCATTTGTTATCACCTGATGAAGAAGTTTACAATTATTATAATAACAAGAAGAATATACTCAATCAGTTGTTCGTTAAGAAAGGATGGGGGTGGACTACTTTGTTCATTGCATTGTTTTATATCTGTTTGAATTATCAACGTCATAATAGATTGAATTTTAAAACGATTCAAGCCGTGATTATACGATATGGGTTAGTTACGATCTGGTGGATATTCTTTACTCAATGGTGTTTTGGCTTACCTATTATGGATAAGATATTTATCTTAACTGGAGGGAAATGTGTTATCAATGATAAGCAAAGTATTCCTAAAGCATTATCACATTTGATTGAATTTTTTGAAGAAATTGGATTTGAAAGTGAAGGTGGCGATTTAGAAGCTAATATATTAAAATTAGAATCATCGATTGTTTCATCTTATTCATGTCGTCGTTTAAGAGGATCATGGGAAGGAGGTCATGATCCTTCAGGTCATGTGTTTTTATTAATTCATTCATCATTATACTTATTTTTAGAAGCATTACCATATTGGCAATCATGGACAGTGTTATTAGATAATATAAGGGCATTCCTGAGAGAGGTTAGGAGTAATAATAAAACCATTCAACAAAGAGGCATCATTTTATCTCAATTCATTATTGGCAATCCACATATTTTAATTATTTTATTGATATCATTATGGTGGTTTATGTTATTCATGACTAATATCTATTTCCATTCCATAGCAGAAAAGTTGGTAGGATTAATATTTGGATATGTTGGGGTTTTAGCCATTTATTATATTCCTCGTATAATGAGTATTAATAAAGACAACACCCTGAAAAAGGTTATGTAACGATATAAGAATGCATATAGTAAAACATTTAATAAACTAATAATTATAATCACAAACTAAGAATCAGTTCAGAATTTTGAGTTATGTAACAACTGTATGTATATAGGTATGTATCAGAGCTCAAAGGAGACCAAAATGAACCTAATTCAGTAGACGAGAAGACATTCCACATTCCACACGCCAAAAAACCTGTCGACACTACTTAACCACCAAAAATATCATCACATATCAACTCTCCTAATATGTAAGTAATCTACCTAACCTGTCTGACTAGACGAAAACTGTAATACTCATAGAAATCAACTTATCAATTCACGTCTGCAACCTTATTCATTCAAAACGCGAAACGCGTAAAATTTAAATTTAAATTTTAAGACTTTTTTGGTGACACAAAATATTGATGCAAAAATAAACAGACGAAACAAAACAAACATCAAACCTCCTTATCCCACATTTCGTGTTGTAAAACTATGGGATGTAAGGCTTTACCCTTCATTTTATCTCGATTGGGAAATGTAAGTTTCAAGTATTTATTATTATTAGGGTTATTTTTTTTTATTCTGTAAACAGGAAGGGGTAATGGAACACCAAATTGCTAAAAAAATAACAATACACTATCAATCTCTTCTACAATTATTATTTTCTCATCACTAATAGCTGCCATCACCCTTTGGTTGAGAAGTACCGTCCTTCTATCTTGTTGAATTTCCTTTTCAGTTTGTAATAAGTTTTTTCCTTTTTCTTCATCTTTTTATTTTAGTTGTAACTATCTTTCTTCTTGGGATAATATCTTGTTTTAACCAATAGTCCATTCCTTTATACTTGTTGTACCCCTATCAACTCATCCTAAGAAGTTGTCTTATATCATCATAAGCAAAAGCAGCTTTTAAAAAATACTTCCCATCTTACATTCCTTCATTTTATCATCATCATCAACCACAACAAATACCCCTAGCATCTTCATTCATAGTCATCGTAGACTTTACTCCTCAGCATTAGCATACATAACAAGACATCTACAACCATGTTGTTTATCCTAATATTCCAAATATTATGCCACTTGTTAATAGTACGGGCTCAAGTTTATATTGGTTTTCCCTTTGATGAACAATTACCAAACGTTGCAAGAATAAATCAAACTTATTCTTTCACTTTGGCCAATATAACTTATAAATCAACCAATGATGCCACTATTCAATACTCTGCTTCTAATTTACCAACCTGGTTATCATTTGATGGTTCTTCAAGAACTTTCAGTGGCTTACCAAGTGCTGATGACGTATCTCAATTCCAAATTACTTTAACTGGTACAGATCCATCCGATAACTCAGTCAGTTCCAATAACTATTCCATGATTGTATCTAATGATACTGGTTTACATTTAAGTTCAGATGATGTTATGTTTACTCAAATCGCTCAATATGGTCAAACCAATGGAGCTGATGGTTTAGTTGTAACTCAAGGTCAAAATATTAATATCAAATTTGCCGAATCTGTTTTCCAATCTTATCCTAATTCAAATAGACCAATCATCGCTTATTATGGTAGATCCGCTGATAGATCATCTTTACCACCTTGGCTTGAATTCAATTCAGATGATTTATCTTTCTCAGGTACAGTTCCATATGTTGTTTCTGATATAGCTCCTTCTTATGAATACTCATTTGCCTTTATTGGATCTGATTATTATGGATTCGCAGGAGCAACTGGGATTTTCAATCTTATTGTGGGTGCTCATCAATTGAGTACATCTTTAAATGAAACCATCAAAGTAAATGGTACATTTGGAGCTTCATTTGAAATTCAAATTCCAGTTTTATCCGATGTTTTCTTAGATGGATCTCCAATCAATCAAGCTAATATCTCAACTGTTACTGCTACTGATTTACCAAGTTTTATTCAATTTGACAATCAGAAATTTACTTTAAGTGGGACATTTCCAAACTCTTCAACATTTGATAATTTCTCAATTGTAGTAGAAGATGTTTTCCAAAACAGTGTCCAATTACCATTTTCATTTGATTCAATTGATTCTTTATTCACCATTCAATCATTCCCAAACATTAATGCTACAAAAGGGGAATTTTTCCAATATCAATTATTACAATCTGATTTCACTGATTTTAATGACACTAAGATTTCCGTTGATTTCAATTCTTCATCAAATTGGTTAACTTTTACTCAATCTAATTTGACATTCACTGGTCAAGCTCCAAGTGATTTCGATCAACTACAAGTTAATATCAATGCTCAATCTGATTCAGATAATGATACTAAGAATTTCAATATTGTTGGTGTAAGTAAACAAATCACAACTTCATCATCATCCAGTTCATCATCCAGCTCATCAGCTACATCTACTGCTTCAAGCAGCTCTTCTTCAAGTTCTACTGCCACTGCTTCCACAAGCAGCTCACCAGACCATCAATCAAAATCATCTAAAAACCATAAAGCCTTAATTATTGGTCTTGCAGCAGGTATTCCAGCCTTTGTGTTAGCAATTGCAGCTATTTTCCTTATCTGCTGTTGTGTTAGAAGAAGAAGAAGAAATGATAAAGCTGATAATGAAAAGGGTAATCCACCAACTAGTCCAGAATTAACTGGTCCAGGATTTGGTACAACCATCAATAAAGATGATCGTGATGAAAATGCTAAGCAATTAGCTTCATTGAATGCATTGAAATTAAATAGTTATGAGAATGATGATGCTAGAAGTACTTCATCATCCTTGACTCAAGTTGATAGTAATGATTCTCGTTATGTTGATGCCGATGAAAAACCAATCAAATCTTGGAGAGCAAAGGATGGATCTGATAATAAGAATACTGCCATTAGAAATTCAAATGCTTCAGTTAGTACTGTCAATACTGAACAATTATTTTCAGTTAGATTAGTTGATGATGGATCATATAGAAATTCAAATCAATCATCATTATCACGTAATTTCCTCAGTAATAATTCATTAAATGGTCTTTTGGCGAGAGAATATTCTTCAGGTAATATACAAAGATTAGATAGTGATGGTAATATTGTTGATAATGAAAACCTGGTTGCAAATGGTAATAATAGAAATTCAAGTCCAAGAAAAGGGTTATCAAGAGATCCATCTAATTTAGATGTATTATTAGAAGAAAATACTCGTGATTTTAGTAGTAATACCATCTATCATAACGCTAAAAATTATCAAGATCAATCCGATGGTGACCATCCTACAAGAGAAAATACTGAAGGAAGTATCAGTAACTTGTTACATAAATTTAATGATAATTCACATTCTGGTAGTGAACATGATATGACTCAATATAATGATGATGATGCAAATTCTTCTTATTTAGATGATGAATTTAAAGCTACCAAAGCTTCGGATGGTCAATTCAAATGGACTACAAATAATAGTAGGACAAATTTAATATCACCCAGTAGTGATCATTTTGATTTAAATAATAATGATACCCCTACCACAAAAGTTAATACATCACCCACCATGAAGAATTCTAATTTTTCAGCTTTATCAGTTAATTCAAATAATTCTGATAACCTTTTACTTCATGAAGATTCAGCCAAACAAATGTCAACAGCAACTTTGAAAGCAACCATTAGTCCTACTAAGGCTAAATTAGTGGACTTTACTAGAAAGGGAAGTTTAAGAGAATCAGCTTATGAACCTGATTATAAATTTCAAGAAGAAGTTGGTCAAATTCATTACAATGATAGTGACTAATACTACTACTTTTAAAAAAGTTGTTCATTTTGCATATTTCATAGTTTGGCTTTATTTTATTTAATGGGAGTTTCTTTATATTACTAGTTTCTTTTTAATTTACCTTTTACTTTATACATTTTTATCATTTTGTTTCAAAAATTTATTTCTTTATCGTTGTCAAAGACATTTAATCTAATCTTTTTATTATTTTTATATATATATATAATTGTAATAGTATTTCAATTTTCTAATTTGTTAAATAACAATATAATAATTTTGTCTTAAAATGTCACGATACATACATGTAAGAGCAATTACAGTGGAAACTTGACTTGAGATGTTCAAATATTTTTATTCTTCTTTAAGTATTTTATAAACCTATATATTAATCTGTCCATCGCTACCATGTATATTCAAATTCAGCTAACTTATATGGCCTTGTTAAATATGAAAAACATTCACTCGCACTTCTAATAGGGCATTCATGTTCAGGCAAGAAAGGAACTTTTACAACTTTAATCAGGTACTTTGTTTCCAATTTTTCCAATAGTTCGAGTGTATAGTTTATTTCATACAAAGGGAAAGCAGGGTTGCACAGATAGTATATAGTCTCTGTCGCAATAGGGTGTTTTTTAATATTGCTTTCATGTATATCAAGCATGAAATTAGAACCATAGAGATGAATTTCTTTAGCTTGCCATAAGTATTTTACCGTTTCAGAGAAATGAACTGGAGTATGAGAGCCTATAATCGTAACTTTTTCCACTAACAACCAACTAGACTCAAGGAAATACCTGCATTGAAAGTCTCTTAAAATTAGAGTTTTTTTGACATTTTTATTATTTTTAACGAACGAACACCAATTTTGACTTGTAACGAGATCATAACATTCGAAACCAAGATGAGTTAACTTTGGAAATACTAGATCGACAAATCTAGAATCGCTCAATCTAACCTTTTGACCCAAATGCAACTCTTGAAGGTCATCTCTCAACCACAGAATTGAGATTGGAATATGATAATTTACTGTACGATGGTAATATTTTCTTTTGGCATTGTCAAACTTCAAAACATGTTTAGGAATAATATCAGTATCAAATCTAAATCCAATACAATCTAAGAATTGGAAATATCCTAATGCAGGCATTACGAAAGGATCAGGACATTGATGGGTTACTATTTTAAAAATATAAAACTTGAATTTGAAACATCCTATTTGTTGGATGAAATTAGCTTTTAATAATAAATCATTCATTGAACTTCCATCATCATGGAGTCCAAGTTTGAATTGCAATGTTATATTTATAGTGTAAGGAGAGCCTTTAAACCTACGAACATTGTCAAAGAAGAATTTCAGAGATTCTTTATAGTCAATATTGTCATTATTATGGTATAATATTTGACCTACAGTAGGAATATCAGGAATAATAAAGTCCTTTAAATTATCGTTTTCAGTTGTATCAACAAGTAATACCAAATCAGTTATTGATTTAAATTGTTTTGGCAATGGACTTGAACTCATTTTTATATAGTCTTGAAATGTTTGAATAGATTCCTTTTCTAAGTAATTAATGGAATATGGATTCTTCAATTATTATGTTTATTTTATAATTTATTAACTATTTAAAGGAGATACAACATAGTATAATCAAAAGAGTATTTAGCATACGCCTTCAGGGAAGAAATTATTATTTCTTATTTTATTCAAGCATAACATAAACAGCATATACCGAAATAATACTAGCATATTGCAGCTATGTTTTGCATCCAGAATTAAAAGAAATTTGAGTGGAAGTGCTTTTAAAAATATATAATCCTATTACCACTTATATTAAAATTCTGTTACACTGAGCAGATTTCTGAAGCAATCACTTTGATAACTTATACTCTTAACTGCGCATTGATGTTTTGGCAAAAGTGGAACTTCAACTATCTTAACCAGATAATTATTTTTCAATTTTTGAAGTAGTTCGAATGTATGGTTAGTCTTCCACAATGGCCAACCGGGATCACACAGATAGTATATAGTTTCAGTAACAATAGGGAACTGTTCAATGTAATCTTTATTTAAATCAACTTCGAAACTAGTACCATAGAGATGAATTTCTTTTGCTTGCCATAAGTATTTTGACATTTCATCTGGAAAAACAGAATTTCGATAACCTATAAGAATAATCCTGTTTAATAACAAGAAAGTAGTTTGAATAAGAAGTAGGGATTGAAAATCCCTTAAGATTAGGTTCATCTTTCTATTATTATTTTTCAAGAAGAAACTCCAATTTTGACAAGAAATTAAATCATAACATTCGAAACCGATATTAACTAAGTTTGGAAACTTAAGATGGATGACTTCGGATCCTAATAATCTTACCTTTTGACCCAAATGCAATTCTTGAAGTCCTTCTCTCAACCATAGAATTGAGATTGGAATATGATAATTTACTGTATGCTTGTAGTATTTCATATTGGATATTTCATTCTCACTCACACGTTTAGGAATAACATCAGTATCAAATCTAAATCCAATGCAATCTAAGAATTGGAAATATCCTAATGCAGGCATTACGAAAGGATCAGGACATTGATGGGTTACTATTTTAAAAATATAAAACTTGAATTTGAAACATCCTATTTGTTGGATGAAATTAGCTTTTAATAATAAATCATTCATTGAACTTCCATCATCATGGAGTCCAAGTTTGAATTGCAATGTTATATTTATAGTGTAAGGAGAGCCTTTAAACCTACGAACATTGTCAAAGAAGAATTTCAGAGATTCTTTATAGTTAACATTATGATTATTATGGTCTAATATTTGACCTACAGTTGGGATATCAGGAATAATAATTTTATCCAAATCATCATTCCCAGTTGTATCAACAAGTAATACCAAATCAGTTATTCCTTTAAATTTATCAGGTAATGGACTTAAACTCATCTTGCAGGGGTCTTGAAATGAATATTGAAATTTACCTTCGTCCAAATTAAGATTTGCTGATCCTTCAATTATTTTTGTGATATAAATATTACAAAGAAACCAGATTTTCTACAGTTCCTAAATACTTATAGTAGATTACATGTAATACATATCTTTTGCAACTTGTTATGCTAACTATTTTTTTTTTGAGCAACTATAATTTTTACTGAGTAAATAAATAAGAGCGCAGCTACTAATGAATACCTATACTAATTTTATTCCAATCTTATAATTTCAATATTTTATTAACTAGAGAATTATTTAACTAATAACAACTGTCTACTTACCTGTTATGTTCATCTTCAATCTTAATAATTTCCTATTTAGGCGACGCAATAATTTCCCCAAAATGGCTTTGATCTGACTGTTTGAGGTGCGAAAAAGCCGTTATTTTTTTATTTTTAGATCTTCATTGAAATTTTTTCTTTGAATGGACGACAACTAATTTGATTACCTGTAATCAAACTTAAATATTTCAGTTACCTGTTTTATAATTAGAATTAGAACCACATAAACTAATTCGGATATGTTATATATTTCACATGAGTCGTTAGTATTTTGTTGGGGGTAACACTATTTCCAGTTTTGTGACTGAAGATAGTTATATACTGAAGTATCCCTAAAATTTAACACATTTTTAAATAAGTACACATCATACTCCCTAGCAACCATACTCAGGAATTAATAATATTATTTTGTAGTAATAAGCTTCTCCTCATTCTCCTTATTAACTGTGATTCACACATCTTATTATCTCCTTATTCTCTATTTGATAATCGGATTTACCCCCTAATGACCCCACCGTGATACGATCGTTGAAATCAGAGATTTGAATCCCCCCCCTGAAAATTTTCTATATAACTAGCTGAAATTACTGAATTAAATTTTTATAATATTTCTTTCTTTCTTTCTATATCTTCTATTAAATTGAATTCATTAAAGTCAATATTCACTTTTTTCCATTTTCATTTCAAGTCATACCAAATGAGTCAAGAACCTCAACTTGCTACATTAGTTTCCAAGTATTATCCTTCTGTTACCAATACTTGGAACATAAAAGAGAAGAAGATTTTAATCCTTTGTTCAGCTTTATTGGTAAACAAAGAACAAATCAATCCTACTAATATTCCAGAAATTGAATTAGATGCCATTTATAAACATATTAAGGAGTTAACTAGCGGAGGGATTGAAGTTGAAAAATCCAAGGCAGTACCACAATCACAAGGTTTAATCGTTTCTAATTCTAGAATCGACTTCATCTCTCCAGATTTGGATAACAAATTATTAGTATTTATTAAAGCTTACCTTGGATTAAAAAATATTAACCATAAAAATGAAGTTAAACAGATATTATCAACATATATCGAGTCCAATCTCGTCATGGAATCTGAAGTTGATGAAATCAAATACATCTTTAACTATTATAAAGAATTGGATGATATTCTTATGGCTGGTAATACAAGACAAATAATCAGGGTTGTTAGAGATTTGGTTGATAGAAAATTGGGTATCTCTGATTATATCGGCTTATTAAAGAGAATTGCTCAATTAGATTAATTATGGTTTTGTTCCAAAATATTATTAGCTAATTATATAATTATATAGGATTAATGAGTATAAATAAATATATATATGAAACTTATATTATGTATTTATATATTTTAATCAACCGCAAAGCGACTTGTAATGCTTCTCACTAATCTATTCACACTATTTTTGGCGCATAGTAATGGACTGTAGTGCGACAAGAAAATATTTTCATACAAAATTTGTTAATGTCTTTTTTGTCTCATAGTGACAGACATATAGGGGAATATTAAAAATAACTATTTAACAAGATGCAAACTGAATTACTAAATTCGGTTTGATTTATAAATAATATTCCGGAAAGGTAACATTATGGCATAGAAACGATGTATTATGGTTACTAAGATGAAACTATAAATATAGTAGGAAAGTCGAGCATATTACGTATTTAGGAAGATATAGAAATTACGCAAATAGGAATATTATTTAAAGGAAAAAAATTAGTTAACAGACTAGTTTCAGCTATTTCATCAACTGCGATTGGACTTAAGAAGGTCAGATATAGCATCATCAGGAAAAGGCACCAAAAGTTGGAAAGTAAAGATACTTAAATTAAATGCCAACCAATCAGTCTTGCGAGTAAGAGAAATGCTTCCACTACTAAATATGTAAGATCGAAATAAACGTATATTAAATGTAAATCAATGTGACCATAACCTAATCATTTTATCCTTTCCACCACTAGCTACTCTATTACCGTCAAGACTCCAATCGACAGCATAGACTTCATCGGAATGTCCTGGAAGATCGACACTAAGTTTAAGGGATCTGATGTCCCAAACTTTTAAAGTCGTATCCTTGGAGCAGCTAACCAATAATCTCTCATCGGCAGACCATGCAGTCTGGTAAACAGGAGCCACATGACCCCTGAATGTTCCGACGAAAGATCCATTGTAGCCGCTCCATAACTTGATCGAGTTATCAAACGAGCTTGATGTTACATATCTACCATTAGGTGAAAATGATACATGATTGACTAATTTCTGATGACCTGTCATTCGAGTAATTGGTTTAGAAGACTTTAATGGTTCCCAAAAATACATTGTAAAGTCATCACTAGCAGTTACTAATCTTTCACTTATAGTAGAATTCAATTTGGCCACTTTTTCATATTGATCTTTAGCTTTTTGAATCAATTCATCCATTGATTGCTTTTTAGATGAAGCTTTAGTTGAAGTATGATCGAACCCACCTCTTCTTAACACGTAATCAGTAGATAATGCAAGATGATTCACCCAATGAGCATGACTCTTTAATGTTTGAATACATTTACCATTGGCACTAATATCCCAAGCTTTGATGGTTTTATCATGTGATGCACTATAAATGATATTTGATCCTGACCATTTAGTACATGATACAGAATTAGTATGACCATTCATTGTAAATGAACAATTTCTAGTTGTGGTATCCCAAACTTTAACAGATCCATCTTTTGAACCTGAAGCTAATCTTGGTATTTGTCCAGATTTAACTAAATGTAATGGCTCCCAAGTTAATGATGAAATCCATTTAGTATGACCAACTAATGGATTACCTATTGGTTTACCAGTATCGGCATCCCATAATCTTATAGTATTATCCATTGAACCAGTGGCAATCATTGTACCACAAGGAGAATAAGCCACACATAAAACCCAATTAGAATGACCTGATAAAGTATATAAAGGAGTTTGAGTATTACAATCCCATACTCTTGCTGTTGAATCTCCAGCACCCGAACACATTCTACCGGAATCATTAGGAGCAAATTGACAACATAAAATAGTTGAACCATGACCTGCTATAGCAGCATTAGATCTTGTTATGGCTCTTACTTTGAAAACAGCTCGAGGAGTATAGACCAAGGTTAAGAAATCTTCAGTGGTCTTTATACCTGGTTTTAAAACTGATGAATATAAATTATCTTTAATATCAATTAATTTTTGATCATTATTCTTCTTGTCATCATCAGAAGTATTTAATAAGGAGAAAGTATATGGAACAGGTTCAGCAGTTTCACCATGTAATTGATTCAAAAGTTCTTCTAATTGCTTTTCAGTGATTCCACCTGGAACTCTTATTGATCCACCAATTGATTCCCCAGAATCAGATGCTTGAAATTTGATAAGAACATTAGGCAAATCCTTGGGCACGAGATCCACTTCTCTTACTTGTTGTGCTTCCTTCTTTTGTTTCTTCGAGGGAGGCGGTATAACGGTAGCCATGATATATGTTTATTCTATTTCTATTTCAAATGTAACTTCTAGTTAATAGATGTTTATATATTTCAGTCTCGAGGTGAAAAAAAAAAATTAAATTTTTGGTGATGAGAAGCTCATTGCAATATTATTTTTTTGGTTATATGCAGAATTTTTATCTATGTAAATTTTAAAGGCTGCGAAAATGTATTTATCTATAAATTATCTATATACCATTAATAGGTAATAATACCGATCCAAGGACTTCATTATCTGATTCTTCAACAAACAGGTCATCATCTGGGATGGATGTGGTGTTATTTCCCAAGATTTGGATTTGATTATCGATGGGACTGGTGGATATGGTCAGATTTTGAATATTTGATATATTTGGTGAAGAAGGAATCATTGAACTGGTTCTTATACTTGGGATTCTTGATATTTGAGATGAAGGTAATCTAGATGACGGTGTAGGCGTTGATGTTGATGTTGAAGTTGATCTTAATTTGAATTTCTCGAGTTCAAGTCGATTCTTATCTTTATACTCATCTCCAGTCTTCTTTGATAAATCAATTAATTTGAATGAAACTCCATATGACTCTTCATATTCATCGGAATTATCATCATCCAAATGATAGTAGATATTATCATAATCGAAATGAATAATGGGAGATGATTTATCACCACTATGTATATGAGTAACTTTCACGGCATTCACAAACCGTACATCCAATTGTTTTAATGTGATATGATCCACTTCTGATATATTAGGATGGTTTAAATGGAAATCATCAGTCTTATGATACCAATCCTTATAGAAAACAAGTCTTGCTGTGATGAATGAATCGAACGATTTAGCATTTCGTTTGTGGGTCGTGGTATTACTCATGAATGGCGCAAGTACAAGTCTACCACTACTAGAACCACCACTATTTGAATTGAATGATACATTGGGTAATGGAACACTTTGAGATCGAGTGAATGATTGTGATGATGTAGACAGGAATGAAGTGGAATGATTGTTTGAACTATAATTTTCATATTTTGAATCCAAATGACCTAACAATAGACATATCAGACCCGACCGGAAACATAAAATCGATATTATATTTAATAAACTGAATAGATGAGATTCAAATTTACTTATGGCACTAGTAGTTAATAAATCTGATTGAGATGGAATATCAATTATGGAAGTTTTAGTCCCCACCAGTTCAAATTGGTCTTGATTAGTTAAGACAGTTTCATAAGCTTCAAGATGATTCTTTAAGACATATTCTTCATATATGGCGGATAGTTCATATTTATAGATATCGATAGTTTCATGAAAATCATTGATGATGATAATAGTTGAATCTTTCTTTATATCAGAATCTAATTTTCCTAATGCAAATATTGCCAATAGTTTTGAAAATGTATCACATGTATACCCTATTATCTGACCTTTATCTATCCATTGAGGATCATATTGAGGATGATTAGTGATTAAATGCCAGGGGAACTTCGACAACGTATCGATGATGATAATTCTATGATGATTTGATTTTGAAATATGAGATATTAATAATGATACACAGATAGTATATTGAAAAGAACATCCTGCAGCCGCTTGGAAATCATAAATTTTATTCCTGATACCTAAATGGGAGTTTATGAACGTTTCATCAAGACTCAGTATACCTGTTGTTAGATGATTATATCGAATTTGATTATTTTCAATTTCTAATAATGATTGTCCCATGGTTTAGACGCGTTTGTGTTAGAGTGAACTTATGCTATATCATGAGAAAAATTGATGATACTGGAAATGAATGATACCTTGATGATGGATTAAGGTTGATGGGAAACGAATGAATGATGATATATGATGTGGTTGATATAGATCAATCTGTTAGATGGTTTAACCGTAGTTTAAATTGATTTATGATATTTCAAAAAAAAATGAATCTTTAAAATCTCGTGACTGTATATAACTTATCGGTGTTTGAACATTATTAGTAATATGTAATTATGATGATGGATCATTAATTGTATACTGGTATCATTGTATGAATGTGTAAGTGGAAAGAGATCATCCGTAAGTCCTTGATCAATTCGATTTTCATTCATCAAATACTGCAGAAGAAGAATGTATCTTCTTCCTTATTGTTATCAGTTATTTATAGTAACAAATAGATAAAGACATTTAATCTTCAATTAGTCCATTTAAAAAGCTTATTTCGATATGATCTAATACAATGAATCGTATATCCCTTAGATCATCACCATTGTCATGATCTACAAATAGTACACGTCTGTTATAACCTTCTTTCCAATTTCCATTGAGTCATAATTGACACAAAAGATTCATTCAAAAGAGGGGGAGGAGGAGGAGGGGGATCAGAGAAGTGTGTGTGTGTGTATTTAAGAAAAAGGGGTATAACAAGGAAGGGGAACAACCACAAATTTCAGGGGTGTTATCCCCTCGAGATCGATCTACATCGTACCTAGTTACTCTAATCCTATCCATCCAGATCTACCTATAATATCCACTACATATACTATAATTATTCCTATTAATTAACTAATTTAAAAAGGGAGTGGACAAAATCAAAAAAAAGGTGAGAGAAGGAAACGAAAAAATTCTTTATCAGTTGAGAAGAGAGACAGTTTACGTATCGGGATTTTATCACTTTTAATCATTGAATAGACAACACAGTTCATCCACTTGTTATTTACAAACCTATCCTTTCTAGCCATATCCTTCAGTTTCATCACATATCTTCATCATATCCCTTCATCAACACATAGGTTATGGTCTGTTTGTTTCCCAGTATATAAATCATCCAAAATGATCCCGTTCATGTCAGCGAATTTTATCGCGAACAATGATACATCAACCTTCTCATCATCATTGTTATCATCTTCACTTGCATTTCAAAGTTCTAGTTCATCTTATATCATTAGTAACATCACATTATCACCCAATGAACAAGTCATCAGTTCCATATCGAAAATATCAGGGATCTTATCGTTATCAGTATGGTTATTTGCTCAATTGCCGCAAATCATTGAAAACCATTTAAATGAATCGGTTGAAGGTGTGTCTCTAGCATTCTTATGTTGTTGGATTGGTGGTGATACCACCAATCTTATTGGATGTATCTTAACCAAAGCTTTACCCTTCCAAACTTTATTAGCCACTTATTATTGTTTCATTGATTGTATATTAAGTTTACAATTCTGGTATTACACTAGAATTTATCCAAAACAAAAAATTCATCATAATTTATTACAGAGTCCCAATATGTTAAGACCAGTAGGGTCACGAAAAAGTAATTCAAATTCAAAACATGTACATACTAGAAGAAATCGATTTGAACAAGATATTACTCGATCTCCTATGGAAATTACAAATTCTCATTATAATGTCGTTAAACAAAATAAAGGCAGTTTTATTCAACGAATCTTAGCGGCTTCATTTGTCGGTAGTAGTCTTACTAAACCGGTCAATGGTATGCCCATTCATCAACAACCTACTTCATCAGGATCTAATAAAGTCACGTCTGATTTAGTCATGAGAATAAAACAATTATTTGTCGTCATCGGATCAATTTCCATTCATAAATTCAAATTCTCATCTCTGGATATCGGTCAATTATCAGCCTGGATATGTTCAATCCTTTATTTAAGTTCAAGATCTCCTCAAATTGTTAAGAACTATAAATCAAAATCAACAAAGGGTATATCAGCTTATTTGTTCTTATTCGCCATGTTAGGGAATTTATTCTATACCATATCGATCGTGGCAGATTTATATTTACTTTCATTCCATAGAACTTATTTCGAAGGTGATGGTTCCGAAGATACCAAATTCCATCAAGTTTTAACTGATCAATTACCTTTTATTGTGGGAAGTTCAGGTACAGTCATTTTTGATTGTATTATTTTATTTCAATGTTGGTATTATTTGGAGAATTCCGTATCGAGAAATTCATCAGTCACGCAATATCATGATTCATACGGATATGGATCCTTATACGATGAAGAAGAAACTGACCCTCACCACCACCACCATCACCATCATCATCATAAATCTAAATTAAGATCTCAAAGTCGAAAAAAATCAAAAAGAAGAGTAAGAAAAAATTCATCATCAAATAGAAGTAACTCCCCCGGTCATTTCCAAAAACCAGATTGGTATACTAATACAGAACCTAATTTCCCATCAATCTATGAAACTGCTGCATTTGGTAATGGTTCAAACCATGCCAACAATCAACCCAACACCTCCAATATTCTTAATAATAAAATCCCTAATACCCCTGGTGGAGCAGCTGGTGGAATTTCAGCTCAATCATATGATTATTTAATTCGAACTCCACCTCCTTCCCATTACATAGCCGCATCACAGGGAAGATCCATCACTAATCAACCTAATCAAGATCATCAAAATGGTCTTATATCAACCACTTTAAATGCCATTACGAAATCATTATCGTATAAGAATGAAAATCCATATTGGCATATTATAAAATCACCTCATTCATCAAATTCAGGAAGTTATGATCATGGAGGTGTGCCAGGAGGTGGTAGTGGTGGTATAACTGCATCTTCACCCTTGACTACATCTTTAATCCCATCCATTATAGGGAATTATTCATCTGTGTCCAAGAAAATGTCTCATGATTCAAAAATCCCATTTTCTCCCATTGATTTCTTGACTGATGAATTCCATCGTCCGGTTGAAGGTTCTTATAGTGGTGGTGGAAGCAGTTTCCATTTAAATAATCATAATCACGAATAATCAATAACAATACATACCTTAATTACTTAATAACTATTTATTTCATATTTCTTTTTACAATATAAAAGTTAATTCTAGATTGAATATTCGTTTATTCTATATTTGTAGCCTATGAATTTTATTTTATTTATTTATTGACTCTCCATGCACTATTGGGTAAACTTTGTAAATAAGTTGTCTTCTTCTTAACCCATATTAAGATTATAACACCAAGGATTACACATATGGCATTTGTATAATAATAACCATCTCTTAATACTATCACTTTCCCACCTGCTTTAAGACATTGTTCTTTAACTGTTTCTGAGGTAATTTCAGTAGTTCCTCCTCCACTCAATTCACAATTTGATATGGTTAATTTATCAATAAGATAAAATAAAATTAATCTGGGCCATGTACCTCCATAATTTGATAAAGTATTTAAAGTTGTCATATAAGTTCCTCCAATAGCAGGATCAGCAATTTTAGTATGGAAAGCACAAAGTGAAACAAATTGAATGGTCGACATGAATGAACTTAATAAATGTTGTAAAATAATTAAACAGAAATAAAATGCTCCAACTTTACCATCTTCAGGAAAGAAATAAACCACTAATTGAGCAAAAGCTGCTGCCACTAATCTACCGGCAAATCCAAAAATCCAAGGTCTTAATGGAGCTTTACCTGATGACCATCTACCGGCATAGTAACCAAATATCATTTCAAATGGGAAATCAATTAATACAGTGATAGACAAATCTTCCTTGGATAATCCTTTTTCTAATAATTTCAAATTGGTAGCCGCTTCATTCACTTGAAATCCTAATTTTGAAATCAATAAAATAACCACAAATGTTTGAACATTAGGTAATTGTAATACCTTATACATTGAACTGTAGACATGAATAAGATCAGCATATATGGCTTTATCTTTATTATAAACCAGTTCAAGTTTTACTTTTTCATTAGCTAATTTAGCTTGATTTACCTTAGCTAAATGAGCAGGATCTTCTGGAACGAAATAAAGGAATCCTGTCACTAATAAATACATGAACCCCCAGAATCTGAGATATTGGCCTAATGAAAATAATCCTTCATCGATTGGAGTATCACGTAAATATTTATTAGCAAAATCAGGTGAACTTAAAGCTAAAAAGATAGTGAATGATGAAAAATAACCGGTATTGATACCAATGGTTTGAGCAGTTGAAGCATATGATAAACTATCAGGTGAAAGACAAGTTAAAGCCCAACCATCAACTGCAATATCTTGAGTAGCACAGAAGAATACTAATAAAAAGAAACAAGCAGTTATCATGGGTAGATTCTTTTGAGGATCATTTAAAAGGATATCAATTCCCAGTCCAAGATATATTAAAGTTAATCCTGAAATAGTTTGAATTGGAATAATCCATGATCTTCTTCTTCCAATCTTGGGGAAATAAAACGCATCAACAATAGGTGACCAAATTAATTTTAATGAATATGGATAAGCAGCTAATGAAAAGATACCCACTTGAGAATAGGATAATTTAGACTTTAAAATGAATGGAATTGATCCAAAGGCTAAACCAACAGGAACTCCTTGTAATAAATATAATATCACCAATACGAAGAACGCTGGTCTATCGATAGGTCTTAACACTGAATCTTTAGCGTTTGAATCTGGTGGTGGTTGGTTCAGACTGCTCGGTATGAAGTTGTTCCCCTTTTCCTTTAAATCATGATGGGTCATAGGCAAGAGTCCATCATTGACTTCATCGAATGCAGCATGACTATAGTTTAATTCATTGGTTGTCGATGAATATGGTTCAGCTGATAGGGTCCTTTTATGAATAGAACTATCATGTGACATACTGTACTATTTTTTTCAATTTGTTAGTTTCAACTGACAGCTATCCTTTCAACGATACTTCTCTATATATCACAATACGTTGAATCCCTTATTAGTCGAAGTCAATGGCTGAATTACACTGTAAAGATCGTGTGAAATTTCAACTACTGATTATCGATTTTGATCCTTCAAAAAAACACGACTACGCAAAAAAAAAAAAAATATACCAGACAGGGCCACCACAAATGTGTAAGGTGGGGGAGCAACTACAACTACAATTAACTACAACAATCAAGGATTACAAATGTTTTTTTAAACTTATTATTGAACGGAGTGTGTGTATATATATACAATTTAAATATATAATAATAATGAAAATCTCTAATAAATTAGGGCCTTGGATTCATGAAATCATTATAATTTAGAAGTTATTATTATGTTTTGAATTGCTCGAAATGGATAAAAGATTTTTGTGATTTTGATTAATGAAAATCTATGGATTAATTTAAATGCACAGGGATGGATGGATGGATGGATGGATGAATATGATAATGATAAAGGGTAAATGTTTGATAGAATGCTAAAGATAATAGGTTAAGTTATTTATAAACCTAAGACTTTTCTAGCAGCTCTAACCACAGTTGGTTCATCTGGGAAAGCAAAATCTTCTAATTCTTGAGCATATGGAGTTGGAACTTCACAACCAGTGACTCTTTCAACTGGAGCATCTAAGTAATCGAAAGCTTCAGATTCCATAATTTGAGCAACAATTTCAGAACCAACACCGAAAGCTGGGAAACCAGCTTCAGCAGTAACTAAATGACCAGTTTTTTTAACTGATTCAACAATGGTTGGAACATCTAATGGTTTAATAGATCTTAAATTGATAACTTCAGCTTTAACACCATATTGTTTTTCTAAAGTAGCAGCAGCTTCAACACAGAATTTAACAGTTCTTGAATGAGCAACTAAAGTAATATCAGTACCTTCAATTTCAACTTTAGCTTTACCAATTGGTAAAACAAAATCAGATGATAAAGCTTCTTCAGAGATTTCAAAAGTTTCACCATAAGCAATTTCATTTTCTAAGAAAACAACTGGATTTGGATCTCTAATAGCAGCTTTAATTAAACCTTTATAATCTTCAGCAGAATATGGAGAAACAACTTTCAAACCTGGAATTGAACCATACCAAGCAGCATAACATTGAGAATGTTGAGCACCGACACCAGCAGCAGCCCCATTTGGACCACGGAAAGTAATATTACATGGTTGTTTACCACCAGACATATAATAAGTTTTAGCAGCAGAATTAACAATTTGATCAATGGCTTGCATAGCGAAATTAAAAGTCATAAATTCCAAAACTGGTTTTAAACCATGTAAAGCAGCACCAACAGCTAAACCGGTGAAACCCATTTCAGTAATTGGAGTATCAATAACTCTTCTTTCACCAAATCTATCTAATAAACCTCTGGAAACTTTATAAGCACCATTATATTGAGCAACTTCTTCACCCATTAAAAACACATCATCATCACGGTCCAATTCTTCAGCAAGACCGGCGTTCAAGGCATCTCTGACAGTAATGGTTTTCTTTTCAGCAGTAGAAGAGGCAGCACGAGCACCATCCATCATTCTTAAAGCTTGGAATTGACCTGATTGTCTCAAGGTTCTAGTGACAGCATTGTTGTTTCTTAAAGCTGAGGCGGCTAATTGAGCAGTCTTAGCGACAGATGATAACTTTGGTGCCATATTGAATTAGATTAGATATAGGAAGACAGAGTTAAATACACTTAATTAGAATTGACCGTCAGTTTTCTGATATCAGATTTTTTTTAGTTTTGAATCTATTTTTTTTTTCCTTTCCCTTTGGCTCCCTTCAAGTTTGGAGGCTGCCATACAAAAACGGCAAACGGACAGATGAGGACCGTCTTGAACAAACATTCGGAAATATTTGTCCATAATACAGGTTACAGTTGCTCATTTACATTTTAACTTTTATTTGCATGTTAAATCGATCTTATTACAGTTTATACCTGTTGACCCGGAACAATTAGGCTTTTAACTTTTTGTTAAAAAAAATTTGGGCAACGCGGTAATTTACGGATAATACGTTCAACAATTTTTTTTGGATGGGAATGGAAATTGTTGCAAAAGTGGATATATATATATGTGGAAGTTTTTATGGGTATGTGGTTTTTCCACCCCTCCTTTGGCAACCTATCGTAACCAAATAAGTTCACCCCTCCTCTGGTAAACACAAGTGTTATGATGATTCATAGTCTCGGGTGTTGGGAGGTAATCCCTTTCCAAGAACTCAACCAAACATCTGTTGTGTTTAGAACGACCGGAGCTGTCGCGTGACTTGTGCGATGTTCTGGCCCGGAACTAGCTTGAAATTGTACGTGCAGATCACGAGCGTGTTAAAAGTCATTTCAAATGTGCGATAGAACAAAAAATATAACTCATATCCTTCGATTAACCCCTCCTTTTCTAAATTTTAAATGGGCCAATGGTATAAATATAGTTTCTAATCTTCAATTTTTCCATTAAACATCCTTTTTAATTTCAAATTGAAAAACATACGTCTTCAATTGTCAGTAAATATTAATAATCATCATGCTTAAAACTATTATAAGATCAAGACCTTATAATGGTCTTCGTATAACATCATCGATATCAAGAAATGTTAACCTTACTAGATTCAATTCAACTAATCAAGCTAATTTTCATAGATATGATTCAGCTGGATCTGATGATGCGTCAGATGCGGCTGATGCTGCAGCTACAGTATTAGCTGATTTAAGAGATATCCAAAGACTGCCCAATAAAGCTACTTGGGTTGATGCCTTAAATGAACGTGAAAAACAATTAAAAGAAGGTAAGATTCTTGATAGTTATAGTTACGTCAATCCAAAAACTACTGAAATAGGTGATAAAACAAGAGCTGATTCATTCACTTATTTAACCCTCCCATTCAAAGAAGATAAATGGTTATGTGATGCTTATATTAATGCTTATGGAAGATTAAGAGCAGGTCAATTGTTTCAAGATTTAGATGCTTTAGCCGGTAGAATTGCTTACAGACATTGTTCACCTGCTGAACCAGTTAATGTTACTGCTAGTGTGGATAGAATTTATATGGTTAAGAAAGTTGATGAAATTAATCATTATAATTTCGTTTTAGCTGGATCGGTGACTTGGACAGGTAGATCATCAATGGAAATTACAGTTAGAGGTTATGCTTTTGAAGATTCTATACCTGAAAATATAACTGAAGCTTCCTTACCAAAAGAAAATATCTTCTTAACTGCTAATTTCACTTTTGTCGCTCGTAATCCTTTAACTCATAAATCATTTGCCATTAATAGATTATTACCAGTTCAAGAACAAGAATGGTTAGATTATAGAAGAGCTGAATCTCATAATGCTAAAAAGAAACTTGCAGGAAAGAAATCATCTGAAGTTGAACCAACTGATGAAGAAAATAGATTAATTTATGATATGTGGAGATCATCTAAAAGTTTTGTTGGTACCGAAAGACCTAAAGGTGTTAGTTTCATGAAAGATACTTCAATTTCATCCACCATTTTCATGCAACCACAATATAGAAATAGACACTCCTACATGATATTCGGCGGTTATTTATTACGCCAGTCATTCGAGTTGGCCTACTGTTGTGCAGCTGGTTTTTCATCAAGTGGTCCTAGATTTGTATCATTAGATTCAACTACATTCAAAGCTCCAGTTCCAGTAGGTTCGGTCTGTTCTATGGAAGCCACTGTTAGTTATACTGAACATATTCATGATGGTCCTGAAGATGTTGATGCTGATTCTCCTTTTAATTTTAGATTACCTGCTACCAATAAAATTTCTAAAAATGCTGATGCTTTTCTTTCGGAACAAGGTACATTGATCCAAGTTAAAGTAGATACTTCAATTAAAGATATTGATTCTGGTATAGATAAAGAATCAGGTACATTTATTTATTCATTCTTTGTTCCTAAAGATTCTTATGGAGGTAAAAAGCCAGGTTATAGTGCTGTTATTCCCCAAACTTACTCAGAAATGATGACTTATGTGGCAGGTAGAAGAAGAGCTCAAGATACTGCTTATTATGTCGAAACTTTACCAAAGCTTGAACAATAGATCTCATGCAATCTATAATTATTATTTATTTTCTTTAATTAAAACTGGCCTAATTAATAATATTATCAATTTATATTTATGTTTAAGAATTTGTGTTATTCTTGAGAGATACTAACTGTAATACAAACAATTATCATTGCAGCTTAGTTTGTGTAGTCATCTATTAGGCTCTATATATATAGAATGTATCGAGATACCTATTAATCCATTTAAAATGAAGATTTATTGATATTAAAGGACGCTTTTTACATCTTTCATTAAAAGGTAGCCAGAATTTTGGAGTTACTATATCTCTTATGTTTCTACATAAATGATCTAAACTAGTGCTTGTAACGATCTTGACCATTTACTACAATCTATAACTTTATAGATGGATTGGTTAAAGTTTGTCTTGGATCTTACCTTCTTAGGATTGGTAGTAGTTATTAAGGGATCTGTGATCTACAACTAAAAATTGATCAATTGAATTTTCTTGAACAAAACACGACAATTCAAAAATAATTGTAAACGACTGATAAAAAATAGATTATACGAAGGAGAGAGAAGAAGGATCTAAAATCGGGGAACGGCTTTCGCACCTTCTTAAGACAAAACCTAAATCCATTTTGGGAAATGTTTTGCGTCGACTAAATAGGAAATAATATATAAAAAAGTAAGGAAATAACAATAATACTGTCTTCGTATAATTATTTTATGCTTCAGATAAATAAAAGATAATTGAAGTTACCCTAGAAAAAGTATGGAAATAATATACAACATTCTTTTTATATAATTCTTAATATGCTGTATACTTTTTTTATACTTGTTATGCTCTATTCACACTTAGTATAAATAGAGGATAATTCATAACATTTTTAAGATTTTATTACACTAGTAACATAAGCATAATGAACGAAGAAAACTTACCCTCTGGAAAAAACTCTGCTGAACTTGCAAAAGCTCATTCTAGTCAAGACCCTCAGAAGGCAGACCAAAGCCTTCAACCTGAAAATCTTAAAGACATTTCAGATTTGGTTCTTCTTGTTGATACAACCTCAAACGATGAGTTAGAAAGTCTTTTGATTCCTGATATTGCAACGGTGGGACAAGTGTTATATCACAATAATGCTTTGACTTATGAAGATTCCTTGAAATGTTTCTTTGATAATGCTCACAAATTTAACAACCCATTGAATATTACTTTAAAATTTAAACTTGGACTTCAAGATGATGGAAGTTCTATGAATGATTTATTATTGAAGGCAAATGGTATCAAATCAAAGGGTAATTTCAAATTTAAAATCCATATCTTTAAAGTTGTAACTCATCAAACACCCGATAGTTTCAAAATGCCTCCATTGGAACTTTTCAAAGATTTGAATTGTATTAGCTTCAGATTTGATACTGATCTTATTCCACGAGTTCCATTTAAATCAAGAACAGAACAAGCTATTGCTTATCACAAGAACGTTGACCATCATATACCAATCTCAATTTCTTGGTTAGGAGAAGATCTTGAAGAATTACACTTGGGCCAAAAAGTTAGATTGTTGGGTAAAAGTTATGTGGATCTTGTATTTCCAAAGTTGGTTAATGTTGGTTTTGAATGTTACGATCTTGTTAGTAGTCATAATTTTTCACTGTTCTTATTAAAAAACAAACGAAAGGACAAGCAGAAGAACTTAATTTTACGAGACTTTCAATCGGGACCCCTTTTCGTCAAAACTTTCTTATATTTTAACAATGTTTTTCTTGTAGGGTTTGAAAACCCCTTGGATACTGCTCATATGGTCGGTTTGTTATGGCTGGCTAAAGAAATACACCTCTATGGAACAGCAATAGAGTATTATTTTGATTGGGCAAAAACGGATGAATTACCTGTCACTACTAAAACAATCTACTATCTGTGTAATGCAGAATGGCCTTCAGAAATTGCCCAAGATTCACTTGAAAAATTAAGAGAGATATCTAAGTTATATCTGATTGATCTAATTGAAGTTCCTTTCTTACCCGAACATCAAACTGCTTCGAAGAATAATCAACTTCGTTTTCATCTTTTGAATTATACTAAAATTGTTGATTTTGATGATGTAGAATAAAAAGTATTCACTCATTGAATAAATACATATTGAAATATATATTGAACTTTTTAGATTATAGCTTCTTAATCCAATCTAATTGTGGTTTTCGATTACACCTATTGCACCAAAAAATTATTTAACTAACAATAAAATGGTTGCGAAATATGTTATGCTAAATAATCATTTAGAATAAATAGTTGACAATACGATTTTCTTGTAGAATTTATTGTAGAACATAAATCTAAACATCACATAATGACAGAAGAATTAGTAAATCATGACTTGGATGAAGTTGTCACAGAAGCTTTTATCCGAAACATAAGCATGGTTAATTTCGATCCCTTACCTGATAAATTAAATGGAATTTCAAATTTAGTGCTACTTGTAGATACAACTTTGAATGATGACTTTGACAATATTATGATTCCTGATATTCCTACTATTGGACAAATTTTATATCATAATGATAATGAAATTATGAACTATGAAGATTCTCTGCAGTTCTTCTTCGATAATGCTCATAAGTTTAAGAACCCTTTGCAGCCTTTAACAATTACTCTACAATTCAAGCTTGGAATCCATGATGATGGAAGTTCAATGATTGATTTATTATCGAAGGCTAATTATATCAAACGAATGGGATATTTCAACTTCAAATTGTATATCTTTCAAATTGTCACTGGTCAAGAGCCTGAAAATTTTAAGATTCCTCCCTTAGAACTCTTTGAGGATTTGAATTGCATTGAATTTAAATTTGACACCTCCCAGATATTTGTAATTGAACCAAGAAGTTCAACCGTTTGATAAAATTGAAAAATTGTGTTTAGATACCTCTATTAGGTTAATTGAGGTTAATTTCTTTCCGGGTATATCGAACTATATTCATATTTTCTGTGACCGACTTATTTAACTAATTTCTCAAATTAGTTGAATTCGAATTGCTCTTCTTTTAGTATCTACACTTGTCCTTTTTTCTATTTGTAAACAATGTAAACTTTATTTGTTATCTTACTTTTCAGAACAAGCAAATTACAGTAGGCAATATTGTAAAATGACAAATTGTACGCAACATTATTGTGTACTTGTATTACCATGTTATGCACATACAAAGATCCATCTGTATTAATCAAAGACAACAATAAGAGAACAAACAGACATGTTAACTTAGAGCAACAACAATAGTAGCTGTAAATTATAGTTGCAATATTATTACCACTGCGGACCACAAAAGGCAATTATTGTGGTGAAGTATTTTTGGTCTTTCGCACGCCCTCAAATGACCGTTTACAGCCTGGTTTGGATCTGATAGGAGTGAGGACTGACAAACAGGAAAGAAATGAGAAAAACGTTCAAATTATCAATTGATTGATTGATTGATTATTTAGATCGTTTTCAATTGTACTTGTCGAAGAGTCATCAATCTCTAGAATCATCATATCACAGATCCACTAGAAGTTAACGATGGCTATTGTCAAAAGAGGTGGTCGTACCAAGACCAAACAGCAACAAGCTCCTGCGAAATCTGGTATCAAGAAAGCAGAGTTTGATCTCCATAAAAAGAAGGAAGTGGGTGTATCGGACTTGACTTTATTGTCGAAAATCACTGATGATGAAATCAATAATAACTTGAACAAGAGATTTATGAACGATACTATCTATACTTATATCGGACATGTGTTGATTTCAGTTAACCCCTTTCAAGATTTAGGTATCTATACCGCAGAGACTTTGAATAAGTATAGAGGTAGAAATAGATTAGAAGTTCCTCCTCATGTGTTTGCTATTGCTGAAGCAATGTATTATCATTTAAAGTCATATGGTGAGAATCAATGTGTGATTATTTCTGGTGAATCTGGTGCTGGGAAAACTGAAGCTGCCAAACAAATTATGCAATATATTGCTAATGTCTCTGTTGATACTAATAATGCTGAAATATCGAAGATTAAAGATATGGTATTAGCTACTAATCCATTATTAGAATCATTCGGTTGTGCTAAAACATTAAGGAATAATAATTCATCAAGACATGGTAAATATCTTGAAATCCAATTCAGTGAAGGTACTTATCAACCTATTGCAGGTCATATTACCAATTACTTATTGGAAAAACAAAGAGTGGTATCTCAAATCACCAATGAACGTAATTTCCATATCTTTTATCAATTCACTAAAAATTGTCCTTCTCAATATAAACAACAATTTGGTATTCAAGGTCCAGAATCATATATTTATACTTCAGCTGCTAAATGTATTAATGTTGATGGTATGGATGATGCTAAGGATTTCCAAGATACTTTAAATGCCATGAAAATTATTGGTTTGGCTCAACAAGAACAAGATAATATCTTTAGAATGTTGGCCCTGATCTTATGGATTGGTAATATATCATTCGTAGAAGATGAAAGTGGTAATGCTGCTATAAGAGATGATAGTGTGACCCAATTTGTGGCATACTTATTAGATGTTGATCCTGAGCTATTAAAGAAATCTATTATTGAAAGAGTGGTTCAAACATCCCATGGTATGAAGAGAGGTTCTATCTATCATGTGCCCTTGAATATTGTTCAAGCAACATCAGTAAGAGATTCATTAGCAAAAGGTATTTATAATAACTTATTCGAATGGATTGTTCAAAGAGTTAATGTTTCATTAAAGGGTGTTCAAACATCTTCAAAGTCAATTGGTATTTTAGATATTTATGGTTTTGAAATTTTCGAACATAATTCATTTGAACAAATTTGTATTAATTATGTTAATGAAAAATTACAACAAATTTTTATTCAATTAACTTTAAAAGCTGAACAAGATGAATATGTTCAAGAACAAATTAAATGGACTCCGATTGATTATTTCAACAATAAAGTCGTTTGTGATTTGATTGAAGCTACCAGACCACAACCAGGTTTATTTGCTGCTTTGAATGATTCTATTAAGACTGCTCATGCTGATTCTGAAGCTGCAGATCAAGTGTTTGCTCAAAGATTAAGTATGGTTGGTGCCAGTAATCGTCATTTCGAAGATCGTAGAGGTAAATTTATTATTAAACATTATGCTGGTGATGTCACTTATGATGTTGCTGGTATGACAGATAAGAATAAAGATGCTTTATTGAAAGATTTATTGGAATTATTATCAACTTCCAAGAATCCATTTGTCAATAATACTTTATTCCCTCCTGAATTACTTGCTGCTGCTTCGGATGCCAAGAAACTGCAAACTGCTTCAGATAAAATTAAAACAAGTGCCAATTTATTAGTTGATACTTTATCAAAATGTCAACCATCATACATCAGAACCATTAAACCAAATCAAACAAAACGTCCAAAGGATTATGATAACCAACAAGTATTACATCAAATTAAATATTTAGGTTTGAAAGAAAATGTTCGTATTAGAAGAGCTGGTTTTGCTTATCGTACCACATTTGATAAATTCGTGCAAAGATTCTACTTATTATCATCAGCAACTGGTTATGCCGGTGATTATATATGGCGTGGTGATGATATTTCAGCCGTTAGAGAAATCTTAAGAGCTTGTCATATTCCAGCTACTGAATATCAATTAGGTACTACTAAAGTTTTTATTAAGACTCCAGAAACATTGTTCGGTTTGGAAGATATGAGAGATAAATATTGGCATAATATGGCTGCCAGAATTCAAAGAGCTTGGAGAAGACATCTTAAGAGACAAGAAGATGCTGCTAAGACTATGCAAAGAGCTTGGAGAATGAAAAAGCACGGTAATGAATTTGAAATTTTACGTGATTATGGTAATGGTTTATTACAAGGAAGAAAAGAACGTCGTAGAATGTCCATGTTAGGTTCACGTGCATTCATGGGAGATTATTTGGGTTGTAATCAAACTTCAGGTCAAGGAAGATTTATTCTTAGTCAAGCTGGTATTAGTGAAAAAGTTATCTTTTCCGCTCGTGGTGAGATTCTTCAAGCCAAATTTGGTAGATCTTCAAAGAGATTACCTAGAATATTCATTTTGACTAGTGCTAATCTTTATGTTGTTGCTGAAACTTTAATTGAAAGAAAATTACAAATACATAGGGAATACTCTATTCCAATTGGAGGAATTAATTATGTTGGATTATCTTCTTATGCTGATGGCTGGGTAGCTATTTCATTGCATACTCCAACACCAACTTTGCCTGATATCTTCATTTGTCTTGACTTTAAAACTGAATTGATTACTCATTTAAAGAAACTTAATGCTGGTTTAACTATTAATATAGGACCAACAGTTCAATATCAAAAGAAGCCAGGAAAATATCATACTGTGAAATTTGTGTCAAGTAATGCAGCTGAAGTTCCAGCCTATGGTGATGTTTATAAGTCGGGTACTATCTCCGTAAGACCAGGTTTACCAGGTAGTAGTAAGAATCCAAAGAGACCAAGGGGTCAACCTGGTAAAATTGACTATTCAAAATATTATAATAGAGGAGCTAACAAAAAGTCTGTTAGAGATTATGTACCTGCTGCTCAAGCTAATGCTCGTTCTTATCCAAACCCAGTGGTTCAACAGCAGCAATCATATCAACCAGTCGCTCAAGCTCCAGTCCAAGTCGCTCAACCTGTTCAAAGAAAAGCCCCTCCTCCGGCTCCTGTTTTACAGCAGCAACAACCAGTTGCTCAGGCACAACCAGCAGCTACAATTAGAGTCAAGAAATCAGCTCCATCACCACCAGTGAGAAAGACAGCTCCTCCTCCTCCACCACCTCCAGCAGCATTCACAGCCCCACCAAAACCAAAATTCCCTACTTATAAAGCCATGTATGATTATGATGGATCTGTTTCTGGAACTTTCGCTCTTGCAAAGGATACTGTCTATTACATTGCTGATATAAATGGTAAATGGGGTCTTGTTAAGACATTAGACGAAAAGTCTGAAGGATGGTCTCCTATTGATTATTTACAAAAATGTGAACCACCTGCCAGTTTATTTGGTGGAGTTTCTCAAGTGCCTACTCCCCCACCAGCACCTCAAGCTCTACAACCACAAGCCAGAGTTCAACAACAACAACCTGTATCTGTGTCCCCAACCCCAGTCCAACCTGCTGCTCAAAATGGAAGTTTAAGTAATGGTTTAGCTGATGCTTTAAGAGCCAAACAACAAGAAGAAACCACATTAGCTGGTTCATTAGCTGATGCGTTGAAAAAGAGACAAGGTGCCACTAGAGACGATAGCGATGAAGAAGAAGACGATGATGATTGGTGAGTTTTCTGTAAGGATTTGTATGTTATATCTGAACGTTTTATGATATATAGATAATGTAAAAATAAAAGATTTTTGTATTTTGTATTATTTTGTATCATGTGGCCGAAATTTAATTGATCGCAAAAATATAACCGATATTGAATTTTCGAGTGGAGGTCACTTTGAATATGGTCCATCAGCAATAGTGAAGAGCATTGATTATTGACCATAAGTTATAGTTCTATTTATGATAGTTATAGCTGGTGCAAGTCAATAGATAGTCAATATGTCAAAACCTCGAAGTAGAAATAGTTTGTTGTCGTCTCACAACAGATCTACGTTTGGAACCACTACTAAAGATGAACTACTAGCTCAGAAATTCCTGATGGAAAGACCAGATGCACCATTATATCCATTGAATGATGTTGATGGTCAAGCCGAAACATACAATGATCCATCCATCAAATCTAATTTTCAAGCTACTTTTCCTGACTTCAAACCATGGAAAGATCATACTAATTTATCGAATGATAAGAGAGAACAAGAGACTCTGAAATTGAACAATACATCATACTTGAATAAAGGTTATTTTGAAGCTCCAATGGTGGCCAATGAATATTATTCAGCAAGAACGTTGATTCAAGCTACAGTTTTCACTTCAACTGAGAATTGTAATGAAGTATTAAAAGAGTTGTCCCAACATTTAACGAACTCGTTTAAAGCTAGAAATGAGGTCATTAATAAGATCAAATACAATTCAAATAAGTTTAAAATCCCTCCCAGAGTGACATTAACAGCTTCAAAGAAAGAAGCATGGCTTCGTGATTTAGCTAATCCAGAAATTCCATTCCAGAAAATTGGTGAAAAAATTCCGCATGGTATTAGAAATAAAATATTGGTCGATGCTGTATGTACCAAGACAGTACCTATAAACAGAGCTCTATGGTTCACCAAATGTGTGCTATATGGGGAACTTATTGCATTAAGAAGAAAGCATCAAGCAAGATTATCGTTCGCTGGTACAGTGCTGCATACATCAGAAGCGTCAAGTCTAGAGAAATTTGAAGATCATTGGTTACAAGAATGGACGCAGCAGGTTAGTGATTACGTTTACAGATTTTCCAAAGAAATAACAAACTTTTCAACTCCAGAAAGAAAAGGAAATTACATGATCAGATTGAGATATTTACTAACATTGGTTGAATCATTGTATATTGAATGTTTGCTTGATAAAAACCTTTTCCTTTCTTTGATTATTAAATTCTTAAAGGAAGGACTTCCACTAGAACCTATGCATATATCAGAGTTGTTATCTTTATCTACAAATGATGGAGAGGATGTAGCAGTCGAAAGTTGGATGGATGAGGTTGATTTGAATTATGGTCAAAGGCTAGTTGCGTTAACCTTGATAAAAGTATTTTGGAAAGATATATTAAAGCTTGATTATTTGTGTAAAGAATTGAGTGAATCATTACTTTTGAATTATTATTTCATAGACACAATTGCAGGCAAACAAACTACATCAACAACCACTCCTAGGTCAATACTCCCTTCGGGATTAAAGCAAAGTATAATGACCATGATAGGTGATACCGTAAATTATTTATTCAAATTTAACACCAATATGTTTATTATACCCAACTATTGGATTTTGATCAATGGGGTGTTATTCAAGATATTACTTGAAGGAACTCAAAACAGTGGAGAAGAAGAAGCTGACGTACTGAAGCAACTTGAACTTGTGAAGTTTAGAAATGAGAGTTTAATATTAAGTATGAAGAATGTGCCTTCTGCACCTTTATCAGTTCCATCTCATGAAAGGCGTAGTTCATTACTTGGACCTCAAACTATAGTTTCACCAATACCAGTTGCAGGAATCCTCGATGAAGAACTGGTGGTTATTAATAGAAATTCAGACGATGTTTTTCAAATCATAAATCAATTAGATTTATTGAAATTAAATAATAATCTCGCCAATATTTTGAAACCTATTTCAGGTTCCACCGTCACAAAAGCTAATAATTGGAAGATAAATTTACGTGTAGTAGTATATTGGTGTATTACTAGATTTCGGTCAGAAAGAGAATCAAGTGAAGGTATATTGGTAATCTGTAACTTTTTAAAGAGAAAGGTATTTTCGGGATTGAATCCAAAAGCAAAAGGTAATCCAAAAGCTGAATTTGAAAATGAACTTCTTGAGATCATTTATTATATTGCTGAGAATGATATGGCTAAGATTGACAAATATAAATTATATGTGTTGATTAATGAACTTTGTCAATTGAAGGTTATTTCCATTGGATCGTATTTGAGAAAATTCATTGCTTCTGGTATCTTTTATTTATCACCTGGAGCTGATGAAAACATTATGGCTGATGATTACAATCCATTGGTTGAAACTCATTTATCGATCCTTCAAAATTTACCTATCATTAACAATAGGCAATTTGATAGTATCTTGAAGAAATTATCGTCATCGCCATCTGATTTGAAGGAAAAATTCGAGAAAGGGAAAGATATTTTGAAATATAATATCTTAGAAAAGGTTGCCAGTAATGATCCATCACCAGATTTTACTGAGAGTTTAACTTATGTTACTGGGTTGAACGTGGGAATAAAATTCTTATTAGTCAACTGGATTACAAATGAATTGAAAACAACTATTTTGAATTCACCTAAACTTGTGCATATCACACCACTTGTCATTGCCAACTTATACGACTTTTATTCCAACTGTGATAATTTAACCGTCTTCTTTAAGATAGTGGTTAAGTTCCTATTGAAAAATGAAGGAGGGGTGATTATTTTGTACCTTGATTCCCTTTACTTGATCTCAAGACTCCTCATTAGACATTTTAAATTGCTTAAGTTCGTGGCTGGTAACACTCACAATACATCTGATTCCACTTGCTACGATTTATTTAAATTGGTAATACAGACTTATAAAGATTTCCAATCCCGAGAGTTTGATTATTTTAGATTTGATCAAGTTTGGACATTCGTGGATGGTGTATTTGATAAAACCTTACAGAATGAAGTTGGACAAAATCAAATGAATAAGAAGAAAGCTTTTGCAAACATTTTTGAAAAGGATCTGATTGACTCGCCTATGAAAATCAATACACATGAGTTAGGTAATGGTAAAGGTGGTAGTGATAAATACACACCTGGTGATTTCAGATCGGATTTGGATTCTCTTCTTCAGAATAAATTCCGTCCTATGGATGTAACTGAGGTAAAAGAATTGTTGGGTTCTTTAAAATTGAATGTTGACATTACTAGTCCTCTTTCGTTAAAGAAAGCAGCTTTTACTTTAATTGAAAATTTATGGTCTTCTGGTAAGACTGGATCTGAAGAAGTTGACGTACAAAGCATTAAGCTCTTGGTTAATTTAAGAAATAGTTTGGGATTTGAAATGTTTTCTAGTTTCAATCTAGAGCTTACTAGTTATATTGAAAGCTTGATGCTTGATGATAAGGAAATCCCAGATATCTGTCACTTTTATAAGAAGTTGATTATTTATGAAGTCATCAAGGTTACTGATTTGATGAGTATTCTTGATAATGTTAAAGATAAAGTTCCTGAAAGGGTATCTAGGGTAGTATTAGATGTTTTGCTTCATGATTCTGTGGAATCATTTAGTAGTAATCAAACTTTATTGCTTAAGGTAATCCGACTTGGATATAGAGATCGTTCTAGTGCTTCATTTCATCATTATATACTTCGAAGCTTGAATAGGTTAGAAGGACCTATATCTGAAAATGAGACGTTCTTAGAACTTAAGACTGATATTTTAAAATATTTCAATCAAGTGTTGGTCACTTCGACAAGATTAATCTTAGATGAATTCATATCAAAGTTACAATTCGATGATGCTATCTTCATTCTCAATTCATCACTTATAAGACCATCAACTGATTTTGTGAAGTGTTTAAAAGATTTCAAAAATGTATCTAGTGAAGTTGATGAATTTAACATGCCTATATATCAACTATTATTAAGAGTCATATGTCAACAAGAAATATCCCGAGTTAATAAGGTTGAACAAAAGCAAAGTTTAAGCTTTATAGTGGAATCGTTTGTCCAAAATCTTAATTTCACATTTTCTTCATACAATTCTTACATTGGAGAATGTTTAAATTTCATGGTTTGGGATGATAAAGTCTGTATTTTAGAGATATTGGAGACGATGTTTTTAAGAGGAACTAAGTTTCTTCCTTCTGAAGATGCTATTTCACTGAATAAAGCGGTTGATTTAAGTAATATTTTAGAAACGGTTAATTTACTTCCAGTGTTTAATGATTTTTTTAAGAAATTCTCAGCATCTTCAACAAGTATAGTTGAATCACTGCATGATTTCTTTACTGATCTTTCTCGATTCCTAGTTAAATTGTTAGAATTGGTTAATGCAGAAGAATTGTTTGTTTTTGAAGAAGATATCAGTAATACTATATCAGTATTCTTGAGAATGTTGATTATTCACAAGATTACTTTAACAAATGCTATTATTGTATATGATGGCGATCAATTCACATTTATTAAAAACTTGATTGCTTTGTTGAATTCTAAATTCTTATCTGATGTTAATGAAAAGTTAAGGATTCTTCTATATGATTTATTACTTCTTATGAAGTTATCCATTACCCAAGAAATCAATCTGTTAGGTGATAATGCAGTGGTTGAGCCCACATCACCAGATTTCGTAGGTGGTGGGGCACAAGGAAGTCCACCAGCTGATGATCAAACTAAGATTTCAGGTGATAATTCTTCAGCTTTCAATCCATCTTCTATATCCAACATTTCCCAAGTTGCTTCATTATTCAATTTACCTGAACCAAATGCCAATAATCCATTGGAACTGTATATCGATGAGGCCAAGATTGAAAGTGTGTTAACTCTTGATGAAGATGAATTACAATGTGGAGGTGATATCCATAGTTTCAATGATCGTAACTTGATGCTTGTATCTTCCAGAACAGAATCGGTTAGTTTATCCAATGCATTTGGTATATTAGGGTCTACCCCAACTACAGTAAAATCTAAACGAGATTTCAAGCTTCGTAGTTTTGAAATCCTAGAAGATTCCAGTTCATCATTGAATGATGGATGTATCAATCTACAATTGTTTGATGCCTACACCACCAAAGAAAATCCAGCTTAAACTCTTCCTTGAACTCTATCTACATAGTAAATTTCAAATACATGTTGCACTTTTTTGCGTCTAAATAAATTCTTGTTGCGCGTTGTTATTAAAACCAGAAAAAAAAAATTCAATTTAACTCGAAACGGTTAAACTGACTTTAACGGTTATGGATTGGAATCAAAGTAATGTCTGAAGGGGAAGAAACATATGCAAACGTTGCTCTTAGCGACGTATCAGATAACGAAGAAATAGACGATAATATGGCTTTGTCGGGTGCCCCTATTGTATCTACTGTGTTGGATGTACCGTCTAACAAAGCCATGGGAAATGGTATACCATTGTTAATGCCCGATGGAAAGAAAGGAGGTTCTGACCTTAGGAACTTGGCTAGTGCTAATTTCTCATCTGATTCATTGTCAGGGAATCAGTCCCCTTATTTGAATAATGGTTTTACTCCAATGTCACCTGTGGGGAGTAATACTAATAATGGTGGTTTATTAAGTCCAGCCCAAGTTGCTACAAATTATCATTTCAGAAGATACTCCAATTCATCTATTAATGGATCTCCAGCTCCCCAACCTATGTATAATTCTCGTCCAAGACCAAAATCAGGTATGTTTACCATGGATACTAATCATTATACTATATCAGAGGATGATCATATGCCATTATCACCTGTCATAAATGTTACTGATTATCGTACGTCATTGCTGGCTAATGGTCTGCAATCATATTTATCAAAATCACCATCAAGATCATCATCACCAACCAGAGCTGGGCGACTGGTACGATCCAAGTCTCCAGTCAGACGTTCAGGATCACCAACTAAAGCACAACCATTTAATTTCAAGCCTCAAGAAATGTTTTTGAATCCAAATGGGTCATCTCATTCGATTCTGTCAAAACCAGCCCAAAGAAAAGGTCATAGATATAAGACATCTTCTGTTTCCATGAACTTATTCCAAGAACCTCCTCCAGCATTCACAAGTGATGCAGTAACTATTCCTGATCTGTATCCTATACCTACATTCAAAGAATCAATAGCATATATTAAAGGTAATCAAAAATTAAGATTAATCTGGTCATTATTTCATTTCGTAACTGCCTTGGTGGTATTCATTATTGGATTCAGATATAAATTATCATCATTATCAACATTAGCTCATCTTATATTTTATGATTCACTTGGATCCTCAGTTATTGTATTTGTTGATATCATGTCAAATTTCGAAGTATGGAATAAATCATCAATAACTTATCCCTTTGGATTAGGTAGAGTCGAAGTATTAGCTGGGTTTGCATTAAGTTCATCCCTTATAATGGTTGGATTTGATCTTTTAAGTCATTTTATTGAAGAATTCATGGCATTATTGGTGGTTGATGATCCCGAAACAGTTGAACATCTGTCACATCATGTCCATGGTGATCATGGTAGTGAAGTGAATTGGTTTGTTTATAATTTCACGTTAATAGCTGTGATTGGAATCACACTTATCAGTTCAAGTTATATACTAGCCTACGATAAAATTAATGATATGATATCATCATCAGATGATATAAATACATCTAAAAGTAGTATTTCAATCGAAGAAAAATATGATAAAAATACCAATTCCAAATTATATAAATATCTCAGAATATGGACCAAAAATCCAACTCATTTCCTAACCCTTTGCTATTCACTTTATTTATTCATATCACCTTTGGTCCCAGATGGTGCCTTGGAAGCAGTATCATTTGATCTTAATGAATTAGCCACGTTGGTGGTTGCTTCCATGTTAAGTTACACTGGTTGGAAGCTTGTTAAATCATTAGGTGGGATATTATTATGTTCATATCCCTATTCTGATTACGATTATCGTGTGCTTAAATCAGTGGTTACAGATAGAATATTATCCCTGGATGCTTACAAATTCACATATTCAATCGATTCGTTATTTGTGACTAAATTTAATTATGAATTATTTGTAGTAGGTGTACGAATCACTATGAAAGGAGCTGATGTGGATGAAGAATCGAGACTTCGTTTTCAAATAAATAAAATCATAAAAGAAGAAATCCATACGTTAGATCTTAGTGGGTCTAGAAATGAAATTGAAATCACAGTAGATATAAATAGATAGGGTAAATAAAATAAAAATGTACGTAAGTAGCTACCAATAGAAATTAGTTCTTCCCAATTAGGTAATTGAGAAATGAGTCAACCGCGATGTGAAATCTAAGAATTCTCTCTTTTTACGAACATAAAAATTTTTTTTTCACTTTTTGATAATTTTTCATATCAACAAATAGAGATCAAGATATTAGTTAAGAGACTATCATAATGCTTAGACAATTAGCTACTAGACAAGTTAGATTGACTTCTAAGGGAGGAGTCTCCTTTGCTAGAAATATCCGTCACATATCTAATATTGTTTCCCAAAAGGATGCTTCAGAAGATTCTCAAACTGGTAAATTCATCAATACTTTGAATAAACCTTATTCTGTCACTACTTATGCTCGTCCTAATTTGGTGTTAACCCATGGTAAAGGATCACTCTTATATGATTTAGAGAATAGACAATATGTTGATTTCACCAGTGGGATTGCTGTTACTTGTTTAGGACATGCTAATAAAGAATTAGCTGAAATAATACATGATCAATCTACTAAACTTCTTCATTGTTCAAATTTATATTATAATCTTCCAGCTGGTGAATTAGCTAATAAATTAGTTTCCAAGACCAAAGAATCAGGTGGTATGAAAGATGCTCAAAGAGTGTTTTTATGTAATTCTGGTACTGAAGCAAATGAAGCTGCTTTGAAATTTGCTAGAAAATATGGTAAATCAATCAATGAAAATAAAATAGAGATTATTACTTTCAATAACTCATTCCATGGTAGATCTATGGGTGCCTTGTCGGTGACTCCTAATCCAAAATATCAAGCTCCTTTCGCTCCATTAATTCCAGGTGTTCAAGTTGCTGATACTGCTGATATTGAAAGTGTTAAAAGTTTAATCCATAAAGATAAGACATGTGCCGTGATTATTGAACCAATTCAAGGTGAAGGTGGTATTAATGTGGTTAGTGAAAAGTTCTTAACTGAACTTAGAAAGTTATGTGATGATAATGAAGTATTATTAATCTTTGATGAAATACAGTGTGGTTTAGGTCGTACTGGTAAATTATGGGCTCATTCTAATTTAGAACAAGCTGTTCATCCTGATATTCTTACTATGGCCAAAGCTTTAGGTAATGGATTCCCAATTGGAGCTACTATGATTACTGAAAAAGTCGAAAATTCATTAGCTGTAGGTGATCATGGTACAACTTATGGTGGTAATGCTTTAGGAGCTAGAATTGGTTCATTTGTGGTTGATAAGATCACTGACGAAACATTCTCTGAAGGGGTAAATGAAAAATCAGCTATATTCGTATCTCTTCTTTCTAAAATCGTTGAAAAATACCCTGACCATGTTGAATCAGTCAAAGGTAAAGGGTTATTATTAGGTTTACAATTTAAAGATAATCTTACTAACTCTGCTGTGGTTGATAAATGTAGAGAAAATGGTTTATTAGCTATCACTGCTGCTTTAAACGTGTTAAGAATCGTTCCAGCCTTAAATATTCCAAATGACTTGATCCGTGAAGGTGTAGAGATCTTAGACTTTAGTATCAAACAAGTTATTGAAGAAAGTAAATAGATTTATGATAGATTTTATAGTACTTTAAAATTTAAAATTGCCCGTCGTCAAACACGCTAAAAAAAATAATCGAAGTCAAAAATTTGGTGAGAGAGCCCTTTAATAAAAAAAAAATACAGCACCAACTGATAAGTAACAGGTCAATTCTTGATCTTAAAGGATAGACAAGGAGCCAGAACTTTAGATACACAACAACTTGCTACAACAGTTGGTTCGAAGCATAGCATAGATAAATAGAACATACCATTCATGGGCATATACATACATTCATAATCATCATAAACAATGACTGTTCCGTTTAGTATACCCACCACGGATCTTGATTATTGTTTGGAACAATTATTAGATCATAAACCTCCCAAGATCTTACCCCCAGAGACAATACAACAACTATGTCATACGTTGAAGACACAGTTGTTGTCAGCCCCTAATATCATGCAACTTCAATCACCGATATCGGTGGTGGGTGATATTCATGGTCAATATCATGATCTTTTAGAAATCTTTCAAATTGGAGGTTCGCCTCCTGATACCAATTATTTATTCTTAGGAGATTATGTGGATAGAGGATATTATTCAGTAGAGACTATATCATTATTGATTGCCTTGAAATTGAGATATCCTGATCGGATTTATTTAATAAGAGGAAATCATGAATCAAGAACAATTACCACAAATTATGGATTCTATACTGAAGTATTAACCAAATATAATGGATCATCAGAAGTTTGGACTTATTTCACTGATCTATTCGATTATTTACCATTAGGAGCTACGATTGATGGCAAGATATTTGCAGCTCATGGAGGTTTATCACCAAGTTGTCAACAATTAGATCAAATTAGGGCTCTTGATCGATTTAGAGAGATACCTCATGATGGAATAATGGCTGATTTAGTATGGTCAGATCCGGATACAGAAATAATGGATTTTAAATTATCACCAAGAGGGGCTGGTTACCTATTTGGTTTAGATGTTATTAATAAATTTTGTCATGATAATGATTTAGTGCAAATGATTCGAGCTCATCAATTATGTAATGAAGGTTATACAAGTTATTGGAAGGGGAAATGTTTAACAGTATGGTCAGCACCTAATTATTGCTACAGATGTGGTAATAAAGCAAGTGTATTAGAAATTTTACATTCAAATTATGGATCTAAAGAACAACAACGACTGAATACAGAGGAAGATATAATTGAAGATGATGGGAATTTCTTATCTTATGAAGATTATGAAAATCGATTCAATAGTTTGAAAGTTCGTCAACGTCAAGGTGTCCTTGCAGGTCAATTCTTTAATGTATTCGAGGCATCCCCTGAAAATAATGAAGATACAAGTCAAGGTAAAAGTGTTAATGGAATCAATTCAAATGAAAACTTTACTGGAAATGGTGATTTCTTCTCATCTTTCTTTCAAGAAAGACCTGCTAAACAATATGTGGAATATTTCCTTTAACATCAATTTAACGATTTGTATCATAGATTCTTTTTCATTGTATTATTCTTATTATTACTTCTCTTTTCTTTAATGACATGACATGGCATAACCCATATATATAGTTAATGTACCTTTATTTATTCTTAATGCATAGATTAAACACCCAACTTACCTAACCGTAATACAATTCAAAATTAAACCCATCATGAACTTCATAATCATCAAGACTAATATGGTCTTTGTAAACACTATTACCCTTCTTAAGAATCAACTTATCATACGGAGTTCCAATCTGTAACGATATAATCTTCTTCAAATCCCCAATGGAGTCAGAAGGCAAGCATTTCACTTTGATCTTCTTCCCCAATCTATCGTTAGCCAACACCTCTATCATGCTTTGATGAATTTACTTAGTTATCAACTTTGGCTGCCATTTTCAAAACAGCAAATCAAAAAAATTTGTTGATATTTTTTCTGAGAGAGATAATTTTTTTGATAATCAAAAAATTTGGAGTAATTTATCAATTATAATTGAAACTTCATTTTAAAACCATATTCAATTGATCATTGACTTTGTTCAACACCAGGGATAATGACGGGTCAGAATTCAAATACCTCGTCTGGATCGAGTAATGGCAAAGACCAGGGTCAATCATCATCCCATACATCCACTAATTCAACACATCGTCATAATCTTTCAGCTACACAAAGGCGGCCCTCATTATTAAGAAACACTTCAGCCAATTCTAATCCATCAGTGGCAGCTGCTTTGGCAGCAGTATCGAATACTAATGCAGCTCCCCTTCATTCCAGTCACCTTAAACGATCCACCAATAGTACTTCATCTACATCTTCTAATTCATCTACTAATAGCAATAATAATGGCAACAACAACAGTACCACGTCTCCATCATCAACCATCAATAACTCATCGTCTAATCAATCATCCATTGCAATCGCAACATCAAATAGAAATCGTCCTCGTTCCTTATCTCAGACATTGTCTCAGAATATAAATATACTGCCACATAATAATAATCCTCAATATCTTGCTCAAGAACGAGCATATCTTAAAAAGATTCGTAATCAGTTAGTGGATGATTATTATACCAAGGGTATTTCAGGAGCAGATGATGAAAGTAAGGATGGAGATGTTAATGAAGATGATGAGGATGATGATGATGATAGTAATGATTCTAGTGGAAATGCTAACTTTTTGGAAGATTTAGATGATGATAAATATCAAATTGATTTTAGTTTAGCTTATTCCATGATGAAGAATGGTAATGCAAATGTGAATATGAATCCTAATAAGAATATAACCCAATTAAATAAAGATGACACTGATGATCCAGCTGTCATAGAAAGATTGGAATGGCAATCAATGTTAACATCAGTATTAACTGGTGATGTTGTCACTTCTGAAAAAACTAAAATCATTAATAATAATAATCCAGATAATCCTCAAGAGTCATTTTTACATGCTACATATAAGGAAAGTTTATGGTTTGGTATTAGAGCTAAATTATTCAATAGAACTGAAGATGATCAAAGAAAAATCATATCGTACAGAAGAACATTGACGGATCAATTAATTGAAGATATTTTAAAATTTGAAATTAATTATGAAGATGCCGCCAATAATCCTACTAGAAATCAAGTTATGGATATATTGGATCGTTATGAATTGGCATGCTCTAATTGGAGAACATTAGAAGATATGAAAACAGATAAACCACTTTGTCGAAGTGAAGAATTTGAAAATAGGATCGATGCTTTAAATGCCTGGTTTACAATCACAGAAGCAATTGCTAGAGAAACTCGATCTTTAAGATCTTGGATCGGTAATGATGAATTGGATATAACTAAAAGTCCAGTAGAAACTCCTTCACTGACTTCCTCTTCGTTGACAAGTAGTAAAGTGATTCGAAAAATATTCGATGAAGATAATAAATCATTAGCTGAAAGACTTATGAAAGAAAAGGATGTTCATACTATCTTTCTGAAACGTATCTTTATACCGATGTCTCCCTGGATAATGAAATCAAAAGAGACATATATACGATTGGGTCATATGTTTGAACAAATGAAGTTACCTGATTATATTCATGATTTAATTCAAATTTGTATTATTCCAATGAAATTAATTAAAGAAATTATCAAGGTTAGACTTGGTTATGCTATGAAATTACAAAATCCAACCTTAATGATGATTGATCAAATGATTGAAGATTTTAAAACATATATCACTATCGCCTTGGAAGTTAAAATGGGTCTTCAACAATATTGTAAGCCTGTTGCTGGTGATACTTGGGTGATTGGTGATTTATTTGAAGGAGAAAATCTGGATTTCGATCAAGTTGTTTTAAGTTGTGCTAAATATTATTTGGTTTTATTAAATAGAAAATTATTGGATAGTTCGAGATCTACTACCAATTTCAGAACTTTTAAAGAACCAGAAGAATTAGAAGAGGCATGGTCGTTCTTAAGATGGTTAGGAAACTTTATTGATGGTGGTAGTGTTTTAGTTTCAGAACAAATAACATTATTGGCGCTGAAATTAATTCACAGACTATTAGCTTATTTTAATAGTCAATTAAGATCACCACCTTCGGCTATCACTTCAGATCTAGTAAGATGGTATAGTTCTACCACTGAAAACTTTGGTCAATTACGTCGTAAGCTTGCGAGATTCACTGGAGAAATGTCTCGTGAATTCACAAATTCATTAGTATTTGATCTCCCTTCAACTCCAACTAATCTAACTAAGAATTTGTTAGAAATCTTGAAATCTAGGAATCATTTCTTGGTTTATACAAATACTGTGGAAGCTCAAGGTATTTACTTTTTTGCCAGTCCTGAACTTGCTGGTAATGAACAAGAAATTCTTAAAATCATTAACGGTTCTTATGTTGGTTTAGATTCTAATAATTCAAATCTTGAATTTACAGATTTATTAGATTTAATGCAATCTAGTGAAAGTGATGAAGATTATATACCGCATGCATTACCATCCCATTCAAGTGATTTTGCTTACGTGTTAGCTTTATGTCCTCCTAAACCAATAGTTTGGGAAGGTAATATTGTTACAGTTAATATCAATCAAGTACCAATTAGTGACGTTAAGGCCGGCCAAATGATCCTAATTACAAAATTACCTTACTACAGTTTACATATCGTTAGAGAAAAGTTCCTTGACATTGTTAGTGACATTATGCCTGCTGCACCAATTGATCAAAGATGTTCTTTAACCAATGTCCATCAAGAGTTAATTAAAATCAATAGGGCGTTTTTTAAAATGTGTATATCGGTGCTTGATTCAGTGAAAATAGTAAGGGATAAATGTAAAGAGCTCTCTCCTGATGGTGAATATCAAGCATTAATCAATAATTATTTCATTTATGCCAGGGATTACGGAAAAAACTCGATTAGGAACTTGGATAGTTCTAGAAAATCTGCTGTTATAATGAAATTGATTCAATTATCGATTGATTGGGTTAGTTTTATTTGTGATGATTGTATGCCTACTGATAGAAAAACATTCAGATGGTGTGTGTTGGCATTGGAATTTGCTATGGATATGACTAGAGGGTTCAATGTGTTGGTGTTAAATGATGAACAATTTTATAAATTGAAATTAAAAGTTGCACGTTGTATGTCATTACTTATTTCTCATTTCGATATTATGGGTGCTAGATCAAGTGAAGCTGAAAGAAATACATTGCTTAAGTGGTCTTCAACTAGACATAGAATTGAGAATTCGTCAGATGACAATTATATTATCAAGGCTTATAGAGATGACTTGATGAATCAAATTGAAGAGATTGAAGATTATAGAACTGATCTTCAAGAAGATTTACATTCGGTGGGTAGAGTTTTGGATATCACTGATCTGGAATATCAATTCGTTACATTGTTGGCATCATCATTTTCTAGTGTTTCTATTAGATGGCAAAAGGGTAAGTTTATCGGTGGTGGTACTTTTGGTCAAGTATTTGCATCGGTGAATTTAGACACTGGTGGAGTGATGGCAGTTAAAGAAATCAGATTCCATGATAGTCAATCTATAAAAAATATTGTTCCATCCATTAAAGAAGAAATGACAGTATTGGAAATGCTTAATCATCCTAATGTGGTGCAATATTTTGGAGTTGAAGTTCATAGAGATAAGGTTTATATTTTTATGGAATTTTGTGAAGGTGGTTCATTATCCGGTTTATTAACGCATGGTAGAATTGAAGATGAAGTTGTCATACAAGTCTATACTTTACAAATGTTAGAAGGTTTAGCATACTTGCATCAATCAGGAGTTGTTCATCGTGATATTAAGCCTGAAAATATTTTATTAGATCATAATGGGGTTATAAAGTTTGTTGATTTTGGTGCTGCCAAAGTCATCGCTACTAGTGGTAGAACCAGAAATCCAGGAAGTATTGGTTCAAGACAAGTCAATGGGAATCCAAATTCCATGACCGGTACCCCAATGTACATGTCACCAGAAGTTATTACTGGTTCTTCTTCCGATAGAAGTGGAGTGATTGATATTTGGTCTCTTGGTTGTTGTGTTTTAGAAATGGCAACAGGTCGTAGACCATGGGCTAATCTTGATAATGAATGGGCCATTATGTATCATATTGCGGCTGGCCATAAGCCACAATTACCATCTGCTGATCAATTAAGTGAAGCAGGAAGAAAGTTCATTTCCAGGTGTTTGGAACATGATCCAAAGAAGAGACCAAGTGCAGTGGAATTATTGAATGATCCGTGGATTGTTGCAATTAGACAAGCTGCGTTTGGAGCTGTCTCTGAAGTCAATACTACTCCAGTTTCTGAATCAACTAGTGAAGTATTTCCTGTTGCAACGTCTGCTGCAACTTGATTTCTTCGTTTCGTTTTAGTTTTAGTTTGTTTTATTCTATTTTTTTTTCTTATGGTTATTTCTTTCATTTTTATTAATGGTATTGCATTATCGTTTATTTTCGGACTTTTTAATTAACTTTTCTTTGTTTCCATAGTTTTTAGGTATAATATTTAACGATGCTACAAAAATATATGTTTAGTATATATAGCTAATATTGGACATTAAATTTCATATATTAATATACTTGAAATAGATGTGGTATATACAAGAGTGAATGATGAATTATAATACTATTTATATGTCGGTTTTGATTCCATTATCAAAGTATTGTTTTATTTCATCAACAACATTTCCTTTAATATTGGCATATCCATAAGTTTGATTAACTGTTATTTTAAGATCAGGATTGATTGACAAGAGATCAGTTTTGAATTGTGCTAAGTCTCCCTTTATCCTCTTTACTTCGGTGGTTAACTTTGTATTTTGTACTTTTAAATAAACTGGCCAGTGTTTGAATTTAGTCTTTTCAATGGAATAGTTCTTGATTCCAAATCCATTATTAGGTAAGTCTGTGTAATTTATGGATGATAATGCAGGTATTTCGTAGTTGACGACTGCTGGTTTAGGAGTAGGTATTCTCACTGCTTTAAGTGAAATCAATGAAGGTCTCATCTTTGTAGTTGTATAGTTATATGAACAGCTTAAACATTCATGGAGCAAACTACCTTCACAGAAGTGAAAAAAAAAATTATCAAAATTGAATGGTGATGTCGCAAAAAATGTGAAATTATAGCAACGACATTAAAACATCCGTAACGCAATAATATATACATTGGCTATATAAATAAATATCAATCTATAAACCCTACACACCTAATATGTTTTCAACTTTAAGATTCATGGGTAAAATTGGATCATCTGATCCATCAACCTTGTGAGATTTATAATGTTTGGTAAAATCAGGCTTTTTATCGAATTCTTCCCCACAAATATCACATTTAAAACTCTTTAAATGAATTTTCATATGTTTGGTTAAATTTGAACTTTCACTAAATCGTTTATTACATCCTGGCCATTTACATATTAATGGTTTTTCACCTGTATGAACACGATTATGAATCGATAATGAAGAACTAGTGGCGAATTTCTTATTACAAATTGAACAAGTGAATGGCTTTTCTCCACTATGAGTACGTAAATGTTGTTTTAACATTGTTTCGACTGCAAAACAAGCTCCACAAACCTTACATTCGCATGGCTTATGATTAGTATGGATATGGATATGTCTTAATAATTTCTGTCTTTGAGTGAAAATCTTACCATTATGTCTTTCACAATCGATCCAATTACATGTATAAATAGACTTACCTGATCCAATATGAACATTGATTAAATGATCTTGTAAATCTCCTTCTGAATCATGACATTTGTTACATGGAATAGGTATACCATTACTATCTACTCCAATTTGCCATTTACAAGTATGGGTTGGATCTACTGCACTATCTGATGAATGATTTCTCCTCTTTGGTAAGATCTTCATGGATGTAATTTGTAACTCATTAGCTGATATTTTCTCATATTCTTCAGTCTTAATCTTCATCTCTGGTGAACGTGGAGATGAATCAACTGATTTATCCACTGAGTTAGGAGTCAAGATTTGACTTTGTAAAGTTGGCACATGACTATTATAACCATTAAAGCCACTATTATCTTGTTCATTTTTATGAGTTACTAAATGACTTAATAATGAATTCAAATCTGTATTAGCATAAGTACAATCATTCCATTCACAATGAAAATTTGGATTAATGGTTTCATAATTCGGATTCTTATCGGCATCATTCAATCCATATTCTGTACTTATATGTTGACCCATTATATGTTTTAAAAGGGTATCATCATTAACTTTCTTAAAACAATTATCCCATTTACATGAGTACAGTGATGATTCTAATGGAAATTGATCTGAATTGTTGTTGGTAGTTGTGGTATTTGAATTTAATAGTTGAGATAACGAAGGTGTATTAGAATCATGAGTAATGACTTCTTCCACGGTAGAAGTAGATGTTGAAGGTTGTTTTGAATTCAAAAGTTGATTGAAATTATTAAATTGGATATAAAAATCAAAATCAGAAAGTAATTGATCTGGATCATTAACGGCATTACCATTGATATCATTGGTATTATTAGTATTGGTAGAGTTAAACGTGTCGACATTAGGGATAGTTGTGTGAAAACAGGATTGATGGAAATGATGATGATCAGATTCATATTTCACTTTTGAATTAGTGATAGTTTCAGGATGCAGATGACATTCATGAGGAAAATGAACTTCAAACTGCTTATTGTTTGTTGAAGTATTTGGTTTTCTTTTCTTTAAGTTTGGTTCACTATACTCTGTCAAATTCTTGTGAACATTATTAATCAAATCTTCAAAAAGAGGTTTCTTAGATAGTTGTAATTCACATAAATTATTTTGATGATGAGGATGGTTTTGTTGTTGTGGTAAACAACAATTATAAGAATCAAAAACATCATTTGTAGTAGTATTAATTGGATATGTATTGTTATTATTGGCCTGGTTTGAATGGTTACAAATAGAATAACTCAAACAATTTGGATTACCACAACAGTCGACAGCAGGAGTCTTGTTAGTTGAAGTTGAAGCAGTTGGTGTTGATGTGGTTGTAGTTGCCACTGGACATGGACTCAAGATATCTTGACAGTTCTCATCTTCACAACAAACCTCTTCACAATCACTACTCGATATTTCACTATCATTACAACACGTTGAATTTTCACATTCAACACATTTTGAAGTATCAGTCTTAACAGAATCTTCACAAGTTGAAAAGAAACAATCATCTAATTCATCACAGAAGATATCATTACATAAATCAATATTATCATAATCCTTACAAGAATCATGAAAAGCAGTAGTTAGTTGAGCATTATCACTGTTGATGTTAGTAATATTCTTATCAGATACCTCCGTGATACCAGTTATTGAATTATTGTTATCTACATCAGCAAAATGATGATCATGATCATGATTATGAATATGACCATGAATATGGGTATGATCCTTATGTCTATGGATATGGCCATGGACATAACCATGAGTTTTTAAACCCAAATTCGCATTAGTAAGTAAGTCAGATTTTGATAACGTTTGATATAAAGACTCCGGTATCATTATTTCATTTGACTTATTTGGACCACTCATTCTTTAAACCAAATGTAATCCTATATACTCACCAGAAGAATATCCTTGATGATGCTTCAAAATGATATTTAATTAAAATTTTTTTTCAAATAAGTTGAAAAACCACCAAAACCAAAAAAAAAACTATGATGATGACACAATTATAATTAGCCTTTTCTAATTATGGTTATTGTTTTATTATATGAATGTTGCAGTTTATTTTACTTTCAACATATATCTATACCTAGCCTGGGTAATTATTATCAATTACTGTAACCAATCTACCACCAAATTCAATACCGAACCTAAATCAGCAATAAAGGGTACACATACAAATAATCACGGTATGGTAATTACTGATGTGCGGCAGCAAATTGTTCACCTTTATTATTCAAAATTTGATTTCCCAAGTAAATGGCTAAGCGCTATCTTTAAAAAAAAATTGTTGCAGTTTGCAATACCTTGGTGGTTACAGTTGGAGGAAGAGGAAGATATCGCTATAATTTTCTGTTTTTAAATTTTTCGATTGTGCCCTCCACTGAGTTGCCCCTCGTTTGGTCATGTGAAGAGTATCATGTGACTTTTATGGGGTGTAATTTATCTTAACTGGCAGCAACAAAGATGTGCAACTTCAAGAGTAATCCCCTTACTTAATTCGTTTAAGCTTATGAATAAGTTACTTTCTCTTCACTACATGTGAGTAGTTTGGATTATTTTGTCAGATTGGTGTTAATGTTTAACTTTTTCTATATTATTATTAATTTCCAATTTTAGCAACATTTTCTGTTGAATGCAAATTCACATTTTTTTTACAAATAACTATAGTTTGTATTCAGACCTTTAGATTTAGTCTAATTACATCATCTAATCCTTTACATCTATACAGTGGTTAACGTGCTTACTGATCTTTATGCTCTTGAAAATCTAGAAGTCTATTGAAATCCCTATCTGTCAATTATTTAAGTTTACATGATACATTATGCAACAGGCGCATAAATCAAAATGTAAATAAAAAATAATTTCATTTTTAATTTCGCACCTTTTCCTAATTTGGAACACTTATAAACAAATCATATCTGCGACTTCAACAATGTTCAAACCTTCATTCAAGCTTTCCAAGTATACAAATGTATACATTTTGGAATATTTATGCGGGTCAAAGGGAAGTAAAAGGGTAGGTTTGTGCTCCAGTTCCTGATTGTTATAGAAACCTGCTTCTTTCAGTAACAAGCCACATATGAAGTTTGTGAAACTTGATATCATTTCAGGTTATCATCAACGAAGGTTACAGATTAACAGTTTTAAAAAACCGGTTTAAGGAGGTATAATGATCATTGAACTAGATAATATTTAATCAAAACATTACTAAAAGTTCCTTTAAATGGTAATTACACTTAATATGGTCCCCACTTCAAGTGTAACAAACTTTTCGAGCATACTCTGAAGAAAAAGATCTAAAAAGCTTATTTGTATCTTTTAGTAAATTATTTTTATGTTTCTAACTCGCCTGATTTATTCATTGCTTCATGAACGAAGGATCTAATTACTCTCCCAAAAGTCGGCAAATGTTGTCGCCGGAATACCCTCCTCTTTCTACCAACCAGTGCACAAAATTATTTTTGGCACTTGCCCCATCAAACCTTTATAACAACAATTCTCATGTTTGAATTACGGTTTAACCTATTGTTACCTACGTTCAATAAAGATTGTCTTTACTAGTTTTGTCCATATCAGAAACAAACACTAACCACATTAATGATTAGAGAAACATAGACAATTGTATTGTTAAGTGAATGTGTAGTATTGTTCGCTATTCTTTGAGTTAACTTTTAACGCATATCAATTCCAGATTAGGAAAGTGTACAAATATAGATCGAATTATACATTTAAGTTTAATTAATTATTCTATTATTTGCTGTGAAGAAAACCTATATAATATTATATTATATATATCGAAAGAATGTGTTAAATTTAATTCTTCTCTTATTTGTGGTGATTTAATTTTAAATTTTTGGTCTTTCAAATCTATATCACTTTTCTTATATATCCACATAACCCTACATACCGCAACTTATCATAAAAATCCCTGTTTTTGAAGATCAATATAGAGAAGTGATTGAAATTCGGCATTAAACTACATGACTATAGGACAAATACTATCAAGATCCTTAGGGAAACCTCAATTTCCTGAGGAAAGTAAGTCGCTTGATAATGATCATAAAACCAAATCAAATGAAAAGGGTATAAAGAAAAGCCCATCTATGAGATTAATAACGGCATCAAGAAGCATCATTAACAAACTTACGGTAAAGAATCAGACTAAATTAGCATCTCCAGCAATAATATCAAAATCAACTTTCCCCGCTCAATCAGCTTTAACCCCCAAGAATAACTCCAAATCATCCATTAACAATTCATCATCGCAAGATTCAGATGATCTAATACAAAATATAATAATGCCATATTACAATTACAAAGTCAATGATACTTCCAATCCTGAAATTTATGAGAAATCACGTAGTAATTCAATAAAGACTTCCAACACCCTCAAAGATATGATTCGAGAATCATCAATTTATAAATTTGAAGAATCTGAAAGCATAATGCCACAGAAGCAAGCAACAGTTGAATTACCATCCACACCAAAATCTAACTTATTACCAAACTTATCCAGTATATCACCAATTCAAAATTCAAACGCGTATAGTAATAACTCAATATTTGGGAATTTGGATGCGGTATCGTTTGATGAGAATATCTTGAGTAGAAGCACTTCAAGACATGAATCGTTATTCTATAGAACAGACATGGTAACTGATGTCAGTTCAGTCAAAGACGCGAATATTCAAATTTATAAACCATACAACATTCCATCTCTTAAAATTATAAAACAACAAGAGGATTTAGCAAATTCTCTAAGAAATGAAGGCGGTGAAGATATCAATGACCATGAGTCTAATAGAGCCACTTTTAGACTACTGAGTATCTACAATCTTGAGAATGAAATAGAGTACAAAGATCAAGGCAATACTGATTACGATATAATAGCCAATTATGGTAACCTTGATACTACTAAAAAGGAAGAAGAAAATGAGAATGGTGAAGCCGAAGATGATGAATTTCACTTTAGTAATGATGCTGATTCGTCATATGTATATAAGAAAGAGTTGCAACTATTAGCAGAAAGACACAAATTAATAGTGGAGAAACAACAATGTGAAATTCAATATTTAAAACAGCTTTTGTTTGAGGAAAGGAAACTAAACAATTATTTAGCATCCCAGAGTACTAGTACCATTGTATCTCCAGTAAGTAATAGTTCAGCTAACTCTTCACCAAGTGAATTTCAAAGTATTAAAGTCAAAAAAGTCAGATCCAAATTTATACCATTAGATATAATCTCCCATCAAAACATAAAGCAATTTCATTTGCAACCGCCCAACCTTGAATTTGCTAAACCTAGACCTTCTCCCATATATCATTCATCACAAACTGATTCAGAATTCGATAAAACAAGCTTTGATATTAATGAATTATCAGAAGAATCCATACGAAAGCCATCATTTTCTTCATCAATATTCTCAGAAGCAGATTATAAAAAAATGCAATCAAGAAATAAAGACATGGTTCCGTCTATTTCTTCTTCTTATACCATCCATTCAAGTCCCGGTTCATTTGTTTTCAACTCAGATCATGCTAAAGCATCGATCAATACTTAATATTTAATATCTTAATTCGTAAATTTTCTATTTTTAATTTATATCTAATTTAATACAATGGGTTTTCATTTAAAATAAAAAAAAAGTGATTTATTTATTATTATAGTACACAGAGTTATATATATGTATTTTTGCCTATTTGAAAATCAAGTTTGTAATTCCTTGATTTCATTTTCATCAGCAACTAATCCCATCACGACTAAATACATGTTCAAGTTATTTAACAAGTTTTGTTTCTTTGGTAAGTTAACGAGATCAGTATTTTCTATAGCCTTAGCACGGCTAATGACACCAAAGATTTCATCACGAACTTCATCGACAATGATTCTTTGATGACTTAATTTACCACCTAATGATAAAGTTGCTAAGAATTGCCAGACGTAATTTTCTCTTGATGATCCATCATCGACATCTTCTGGATGTGGTGGGAAAATAGCTGCGATTCTTGATTCTAAGTTTTGGAATAATTGATCATAACATGATGACCATTCAGAAAGATCAGTGGCTGAAATAGATCCTTCACCAAGAATCAACTCAGCACGAGATAATAAAGTGGTTAAAATGGTTAAACCAATCTTGGTAGTTGAAACGAATGAAACATTATTATGTTCGATCAAGATAAATAATAAACCAGTAATGTCAGTGAATTTGAATTCTAAAACAGCATTCATTAAAACTTTTGAGAAGGTTAATGAATATGATTCAACTAATTTAACTATTGATTCAGGAACTTTTTTAGATTCATAAGTGGTATAGGATCCATTTTTAATGACTGACAAGTTTTCCAAGTTAGAAATGATTAAAGTAACGATAGTTAAAACTTGTGTAGTTGATAAAAACTTGAATAAACGAGGTAAGATCTTTAATGCCTTGTGATAATTTAAACATTGAATAAAAGGATTGACTTCAGCTTCTTCATCTCCAGAGAGAGAGGATTGTTCCAAAACTTTTAAAGATTCCCATAAATTAGAATTATCAACATCACTATTGGTTCTTGATTCACTTTCAATATTCATAAGTTCAGTGATTATATTCTCTAAGATACTCATAATATCTCTATTAGAATACTTATGTTTGTCAGAGCTTCCACCAACTTCACCCTTCTGTTCAGCTTCAAGCTTTCTTTGTTGGGCTTTACTAATGATTTCTAGTTGTTGTCTAGGTTTCTTACCTGAACCAAAAGAAATTTTACCTAAGGCACCTTCTCTAGCATATTGGGTCAACTTTGGTCTTTCTTTGGCAACAGTAACAGCTCTTTGAACTTGTTGTTGCATTCTTTGTAAAGCAACATCTGCTCTCTTAAAACGACCACCTAATCTATGACCACTTTGATCTAAATAAGCTTGAGCAATAGAGTTATTTTGATGACTGTGATCAATAGCTGCGTTGTTTACTTTTGGATGAATAACTTTAAAAACTTGAGCATAGAAATCTTCATTATAAGGATCCTCAGTGACAATTTGGGATAATTGGAAACGAGTAACGAAATCTTTATCCTTTGGATTCATAATACCTGAATATTTCATGATTCTGGCAACTTTTTCTTGTCTTCTTGAAAGTTTTTCTTCTTCTGCAGGAGTTAATTCAACTTGTGGTTGTTGGTGTTGATGTTGAGCTCTACGTTGATTTCTATCGTATCCACGATGGTAGTTATCGTTTTGACGGTATTGATTTTGTTGTTGCTGCTGTTGTTGATGTTGATGTTGTTGATGTTGAACATGATGAACAGGAGCTTGAGCTTGAAGTTGAGCTTCTTTGGATCCTAACACAGGAAATTGGGACAAATCAGCAGATCTGTCTGATTGAGGTGCAACATTAGGAACGATATTAACAGGTTGAGATACTTGGGGTTCAGCTTCTACCTTTTGAACTTGTTGAGGTTGTGGAGGTTGTTGTTGAACTTGTTGAACTTGTTGAGGTGGAGGAGGTAATTGTTGCTGTTGTTGCATTGGAGGAGCTTGTTGCAATGGCTGTTGGAATTGAGGTGGTAATTGTCCTGGTTGAAGACCTTGAGGTTGTAATTGTTGAGGATAAGGAACACCTGGGAATTGACCATACTGTTGAGGCATGAATCCAGCTGGTGGTAACATATAACCTCCAAATTGGGGTGGTGGAGGTAACATACCTGGCATACCATAAGGTTGAGGAGGATATTGAGGCATATGTTGTTGTTGAGGTTGTTGACGATCTATAGCAGTAAGTTGAGCTTCAATTTCTTCTAATGATAAAATCTTCTTTTCTGGTTTTGGAGCACTAGTTTCTGATTTAGTTGGTGGAACATCAGCTCCCCACAAATCTTGCATGAAATCATCATCATTAGTTGGTTGAGCAGCTGCTTGAGCGTAACTAATGGTTTGAACTGGAGGTTGAAGAGCTGGTTTGACTGGAGCAATGCCTGAAGCAGCACCAAAATCAAAATCTTTACCAATATTATCAGCATTACCAAAGGTATCAGTATTGAACGCATCATCGCCTTCGTCTAACTGATCACCTAATCCATCATAGGTTTCTTCAAAGTCGTAAGCCTCATTCTGGCCCCTGTTTGAAGGGGGAGCTGAAGGATCGAATCCGAAGAATGACATACTTTTGATAGTCTTTGGGATTTGTTAATTTGAATTCAAAAGAGTCGTAGTTATGCCAGTTTTCAATTATCCTTTTTGAGCAAATCGAAAAAAAAAAAAAAGTTCGACAAAAATTTCAAAAATATAAAATCACGTGAGTCTATATATGCAGGAACGATTTCTTTATTTCTATTTACAGTATGATTTACTTCTATATATGTACATAATAATTATATGAATTGCAAAACTTAGGTTGCAACTGTTTTCTATTTAAAGGCTTGTAAAGCACTAACCAATTTAAGTTCCATTTCATCCCATTCATCTTCAGAATTACTAAGAACTGTTATAGCTCCTCCTGCTCCTATTCTCCAAAGTTTTGTTTTGGTGGTGTTTTCTTTATCGTCAGTATAATGAAACACAGATCTGATAATGACAGACCAATCTGCTTCATCAGTTACAGACCAATAACCAACCACACCACTGTATATTCCTCTTCTCCCACCAGGATGTCCATTTTCTTGCATTGCTTCTATATCATGTAACAATTCAATCGATCTTTTCTTTGGGGCACCAGTCATAGATCCTGGAGGTAATGAGTTATGTAAGACATCAATCCCATGATAACCTTCTTTTTCTAATTGACCACGAATAACACTGACTAATTGATAAACTGTTTTATATTCTTCAACGGCCATTAATTGTGATACTTCAACTACATCGGTGAATTGATACAAGTCATGTCTGATAAGATCAACAATCATTAAATTCTCACCCATCTCCTTTGGAGTCTTTAAGATCTTAGTGGCCAATTCAATATCAACATCGGGAGTATTTCTGACTGTTCCTTTGATTGGTCTGAGTTCGATCTCTTTGTTACCAGCTTGATTATCTTTCCAAGATAAAAATCTTTCTGGAGAAGAGGAAATAATCACACAATCATCAAATTCCATAAAGCATGAAAATGGAGATGGATTCTTTTTAAGGGTTAATACTTATATATATCCCATGGCTTTATATAAGCTGGTAAGGTAATTTTCAGTTGAGTTGTCAAACAAAGCTCATATGAATCACCGGAATGTAAGTACTCTTGACAACGAGTAAACTGCTTTTCATAAGTCTCTCTGGAGGGAAAATCGAAATTAACTAAATCTTCATCCTGTGAATCCACATACCCTTTAATTGAGCTGGGGATATCGTTTATAGAAATCTTTAATTTCTCTTTGGATGCACCGATGATATTATTATATAAATTATCACACCATTGACCATCTTCACCAAGAATAGACACCAAAAACCATTCACAAGTAACATGATCGTATACAATGAATCTCTCGATGAATATTAACTTTAAATCTGGAGTGCTTTCTTTACAAATCGATTCCATTTTATCCAAGACGATATGTTGACCTTCTTCATAAGAGATTAATCCCATATACCCACCAACAAATGGTAAATCTCGAGAATGGTATGCACCTAATTGAGACTTGATTTCTTCTCTTGAAATGTATTTATCTTTCATTTTAATACCAATTGACTTCCATAACTCAGTTGAATTGTCCAACACTTGGGTACTTTTAAAACCATCCGACTCTACCGTGACTGTTGAATTGTCCACAGAATGAGTAATTATTTCACTTTTACCAGTAATAGGCAAACCTATAATAGACCATTCTCCTGGAAGTGAAGCTGAATTCAATAATAAAAATGACTTTTCTTCATTATGGAAGAAATTACATAAATCGGTAGGAAAGATATCATCATCCAAGACAAATTTCTTCAAATAGATATCATGGGATCCCCGGGTTCCAGCCTTTATAGATCCATCTGGAATCAAATATCCTTCATGGACAGTATGTGATTTAAATGCAGAGGGTAATTTATCAACATGATGAGCCACTATTTCACGCTTTGATGATTGATTGTATTCATTAGCAATGTTGGAAAAGGTCTTTACAAGATTAGCACCTTCATGAGAACAAATTGACTCGGGATGATATTGAACCCCATAAAATGGAAGTGATTTATGTTTACCTGCCATTAACACTTTTGATTTTTCATCCGAGGAATCATTATTCTCGAAACAGTATGCCAATGGTTCAATCTCATCGTTTATTCCATCCACAAATAAGGAATGATACCTTACACTACCGAATTGTTTAAGGACATTCCCCGTAAATAGGTCGGACCCAGTCTCAATGGGATATATATCATATACTTGACCATGCTTTACATTTTCCAATTTATTGATCTGATTACCAAATGAATAACACATGCATTGAAATCCAAGACATATACCCAATACCGGTATAACTGGAGATGTAGATTGTTTGAATTTCTGGAATAAAAATTTGATGATCCCAACATCTTTCTCATTGGAAGGACTTCCTGGACCAGGACCAATGACTAAGAAATCGAAATATGGCAAATATTCATTATAGAACTGTTCGTATTCATGTTCTGCAAATGAATCATTATGAATGGTTATGACCTCTCGATTGACATTTTCTTTGAGTAAATGAGCTAGATTATTCGTGAACGAGTCATACGAATCAATGAGAAGAATCATTAAAGCTGAATTGGTATAGAACTCTTACTGGCAAACAGCATAAATTTCCAACAATGAACTTTTTATGGGTTGAAATTTTTTTTACGAGAGCCAAATCGATCGCCGATTATACGCATCGTTACAAAAAAATACAATTAGACGTTAACAGTAAGTTATTTTTACATATATTTATACAAGTTTAATTATGTAATATTAGCATTATTCTACTCTTCGTCAGATTCGTCGTCATCATCATCGGATTCGTCATCACTGGAAACTTCTCCTCCTAAGGCTTTGACTTGATCCTTGTACTTTTTATTGGTTTCATCCATATCTGTCATTAATAACATTAACTCATCTAACTCAGATTTAGGTACCGTGCTGGATTTTAACTTCTTAAGTTGAGCCTTGAGATCTTCAATCTCTTTAAGTTGTTTCTCTTCCTTGGATTTTTGTTCAGCAGCTAATGCATCAGATTCTTTACTATTGGAATCTACACTCTTTTCTAATTCTTGCTTAGATTTTTCTAATTCAGCTTTTGAACTTTCAAGTTCTTTATGTTCAGTCTTTAATTGGTCCAATTCTTTCTTCAAAGCTTCCTCAGAAGTTTGGAATTTGGCTTTCTCTTCAGCAAGGCTCTTTGAACTTTCTTCAGTTGAAGTAAGCTTAAGTTTCAAATCAATAATTTCTTTAGATATAGAATCCTTCTCTGTTTTATGTTTATCAGATTCAGACTTCACTTCACCAATTTGCTTTTTCAAATCAGTTAATTCCTTTGACAATGTTTCCTTTTCTTTCTTATGATTATCTGATTCAGATTTTTGGCTATCTACTTGCTTTTCTAACTCAGCCAATTTCTTAGAAATTGAATCCTTTTCATTCTTATGATTGTCAGATTGAGATGTCACATCAACAACTTGCTTCTTCAAGTCAGTTATTTCCTTAGCTAAGTTATCCTTTTCACTCTTGTGAACATCTGAGTCAGACTTTGCCTCTGTTATTTGTTTCTTCAAGTCATCTAATTCTTTAGAAATTACTACCTTCTCTTTCTTATGATTGTCTGTTTCAGATTGTATTTGAACTAGTTGTTTCTCTAATTCAGATACTTTCGAAAGATGTTGATCTCTTTCAGCCACAAACGATGAAATTTCACTGTTTGCACCTTCTAATTTCTTTTGAATGCCAGCATGTTCTGAAAGCTGCTTCTCCAATTCAGCCTTTTCCTTTTCAGAATCAGCAAGACTCAGTTGTATTTTACTCTTTTCCGATTCTAATGCTTCTAACAACACTTTTGTTTCTGATAAATCTTTCTCGTTACTATCAACTAAAGCAATCTTCTGTTTTAATTCTGTCTCAGCGTCATGCAACTTAGATTCAAGATTTGATTTTTCTGATTTTAAGGTATCTAATTCTGAATTTGTATTAGTCAAATTACTTTCAACATTAGAAAGGGCAGCAAGTTTTGTTTCCAATTCAGTACTTTTTGATTTTTCAGACGACAATTCTTTCTCTATTCTAGCAACGGTAGCTTCCAATGTGGTGATGGATTCTTTTAACTTCTTAGAGGCATCGTCAACAGACTTAGAAATCTTTGATTGATTACCAATCTCTGTAGTTTTACTAATGATTTCGGCTTTCAAATTTTCAATTTCAGTAGAATATTTAGTGGTGGAGGATTCAAATTCTCCTTTTAATTTCGCAATCTCTTGCTCAAGGCGTTCTTTTTCTGAAGTCATCGTTATTAACTTCTTCTTATTGCCTTCATCCTTTTCTGAAGAAGACACGGAGAGATCTTCACTTTCCTTTATTAATTTTTCAATCTTTTCCTGTAACTTAGATTTCTCAGTGGTATGTTCAGATTTAGCTGAAGTAATCTGTTTCTCTAAATCGTTCTTAGAAGTCTTTAAAGAGTCGAGTAACTTTTGCTGAACATCCAACTTCTTTTTTAATCCTTCCAACTCTTTACTTTGAGTCGATAATTCTGTTTGCTTGCTACTGCTATCAGCTTTGCAAGTTTCCAATGATTTTTCCAACTTAGCAATAAGCTCGATCTTTTCCCGTAATAAGCTTTCTGCTTCAGCTTTGCTGCTGTTCGTGCTATCTAACAGCTTGACCAATTCATCATTCTTTGCAGTTGCACTCACATGTGACTTTTTGTGATCTTCAATCTCAGATTTTAATGTTTCTATTTCAGCAGTAGACGTATCAATCAATGATTGTAAGACTGATTTTTCTTCCTTAATCTTGGAAACTGTAGCTTCATGTGCTTCCTTAGCTGCCGATAAAGAATTTTCAAGAGAAGTTATCTTTTCTTTACTCTCCTTAACAATAGTTTCTGAGCTTTCACTAAGCATGCTTCTTTCTTTCTCAATCTCTTGAGCCTTTTCCTTAAGTTCATTCTTTAAATCATTAATGGTATTAGTCTTTTCTTCAACTTGCTGTTTCAAATTTTCGATATCTTTGGCCAATTTAGTTTCCAAATTCAGCTTTTCCTTGGCGAGAGTTTTCAACTTGTTAGTAGATTCAAGATTAACTTTTTCTAATTCTTCTATCTTCTTATTTAGCACAGTCCTATCCTTCTCAAGTTCAACAACTTTTCCAGAATTGTTAGCATTTTCTTTTTCGATTTTCTTGATATCTTCTTCCAAAGATAATCTAGATTCGTCAGATATCCTCAACTTTTCAACAAAAGCAGCACTAGCTTCTTCCAACTTTTGTATTTTCTCTTGCAAAGTTGAGTTCTCCGTAACAACTTTCGAGTGAGCCTCTTTGGATGTCTTAATATCAGCATTCAATGTAGATAATTCTGAAACACGCTTTTCAATATTCTTTTTCAAACTTTCAATCTCAACTTCATGTTGCTGAATAATTGTTTCCTTTTCAGATTTTTGGTCGTCAAGAGCTTTTGTCAAAGTACTGACTTTATCAGCATGAGCCAGAATCATAGTTTCCTTTTCCAACTTGTACTTTTCGATATCATTCTTCAAAGAATCTATCACCTTTGCATGATCCAGGATAACCGATTCGCTTTCCAACTTTTGCTTGTCGAGGTCTTTCTTCAAAGCATCAATTTCTTCCTCATGACTTTTAATAGAAGCTTCCTTTTCTGACTTATGATTGTCAAGATCTTTCTTCAAGGTGGCAATCTCTTTGATATGACCCAGGATAATGGTTTCCTTTTCAGCTTTGTGCTTGTCAAAATCTTTCTGCAAGGTAGTAACTTCTGCTTTATGACTTTTAATAGCAGCTTCCTTTTCTGACTTGTGATTCTCGAGATCTTTCTTTAAGGCGGCAATCTCTTTGACATGACCCAGAATAATGGTTTCCTTTTCTGAGTTGTGCTTGTCAAAATCTTTCTTTAAGGTGCTAACTTCTGCCTCACGAATTTGAATAGCAGCTTCTTTATCAGATATGTGCTTGTCGATGTCTTTTTTCAAGATACCAACCTTATCAGCATGACTCAGTATAAGTGAGTTATTTTCAGCCTTTTGCTTTTCAAGTTCGTTGCTTAAGGTATCAAGGTCAGCTTTATGCTTCTGAATAGCTGTTTCTTTCTCCGATTGATGCTTCTCTATATCATTTTTCAAAGCATTGACTGTGTCCTCATGCTTTTGAACAAAAGCTTCCGATTCCGATTTATGTTTTGCAATTTCTTTTTTCAAAGCCTCAATCTCATTTTCATGGTTTTGGATAGAAATTTCCTTTTCCTTAACAGAAGTGTCAGACTTTGAAAGATTAGATTTAAGATCTGCTAATTCCTTTTCTAATTCCTTCGTATTACTCAAACTGGAATTTAAATCTGCCTTGAGCAGCTTTATAGTTTCTTCGTGCTCGGATTTAGCTTGACTAAGAGACAGCTCAACTCCAGCTTTCTCTTCAGTAATCTTTTCAATATTATCGTTTAGATTTTTTGATTTACTAGTCAATTCATCAATCTTGATATTCAATTCATCAAGAGACTTACCGTGAGCGCTGATTAGATCTTCCTTCTCAGCTTCATGTGTATCTTTGATTGAGCCTAAAGCCTTATCATGATCAGTTTTAGCAGCTGATAGCTCTGATTCTTTGGCCGACAAGTCTTCTGTCAAAGTCTTTAACTTATCTTTTAAGTTCGACAATTCTTCGCTTAATGCTTTTTCTGAATTGTTAAGTTTAGACTCTAATTCCTTGAAAGATGCTTCAGACTTTTCTAAAGCAACATTAGAACTGCTGAGGTTTGCTTCGGATTCAGATAATTTTGCATTCACAATTTCCAACTCAGATTTCACTTGAGCAATGCTTGTATTCAACTCTTCCTTTTCAACGGCTAGGCGTTCCAATTCTTGAGAATGTTCACCCTGTAAGGTCTCGAGGTATTTCTCCTTAGATTGTAAACTTTCAATACTCTTTGCATGGTCATCTTCTTTCACCTTTAAGCTGTCTTGCAAGGAAGTAATTTTTCCTTCATAGTCACTCTTGAGAGTATCAACTGTAGCTTGTAATAAATCATGCTTCAGAGACACTTCGGCATGTGCCAGTTGTGCATCCTTTAATTGACGGGATAGTGCAGTATTCTTGTTAGTTACATCTTGCAAGGCAGTATCATTATCTTCTGAAAATAACTCAAATTTAAGAACTTCATTAGATAAATTCTCCTTCAATTTTTGAACTTCAACTTGGAGACCCTTGTTATCGGATGATAATTGGCTATTTGAAGCATTAAGCTCATCCACTTTCTTTTTCAATAATTCAACTTCGCTATTAGAATTTTCTTTTATTGAAACTAATTCTTTTTCAATTACATCTTTGGCCGCTTTAAGCTCAGATATTTCGTTGATAAAGTTTTGAATACTTGATTCTTTTTCAGAAAGTTGTATTTTGAACTCTTCAACTTGACTATCTGATGCACTTTGATTTTGTTTTAATTCTTGGAAAGCAACAGAAGCGGATCTTAACTTATCCATCAAATGTTCATTGGTAGCTTCAGCATCTTGAAGTTTATCCTGCAAGTCCTTAGAAGCTGCGCTATTCTGAGCATTTATCGCATTTATCTTTTTATTCAAGGAGTCTATTGAAGTAGTCAAATCCTTATTTGATTTTGATAACTTTTCAATTTCTTGTTCATGTGACCTCTTCAATCTAGCCACCTCACTCTTAGTGTTTGCCAATTCTCTTTCTAAAGCTTTAATAGAATTTTCACCATCACTTTTCTGTTTTTTAAGTTGGAATAAATCACGAGTCATATTGTTAATACCATCTTCTAATTTTTTCTTTGCAGATTCAGTACTTTCTAATTTTTGTTCCAATTGCCTAAGAGCATCACCCGAAATATTTGCACGTTTCAGAGTATCTTGAAGTTCTTTTTGATATTTCATTGATATGCTTTCAAACTCATCTTTAGATTGTTGCATTGTTTCAAGACTTTTTCGAGTGTTATCATATGTTGTTGAAAGAGTTGAGTGTTCAGATTTCAAAGATTCAAGTTCCGAAGTAGCATTTTTCATGTTCTCTTGTAAGGAAGAATAAGATGTGGTCAATTCCTCGAGTTTTCCACTAAGATCAGTTCTATTTGCAAGAGCCTTTTCCTTTTCATCTAAAAGTTCCCTCTTTAAACTTGAAACCTTTTCTTCAACCTCTTCAAATGCCTCATAAGTTATCTGAGCTTTTGGTTCAGCAAGTGGATCATGGAACAATGCTCTTCTAATTCTGGAAAAATTTTCTCTGATTAGATTAATATAGATTCTATCAAAATAGACTTCCGGTAAACCTGTTCCATCGTGACGGTCTTGAACAGACATGTCTTCAAAATTTTTGAAAATTGGATTATCTCTGAATTGTTTAACCTTTAATGTGTAGTTGTCCTTACCCAATGACTTCACTAAAATTGCATGCAAATCAGCTCTTGAAGTAGGAGAGTCTTTAGTTGAAAATTCATAAGTAATACCCAAAAGAATAGTTACCATTCCTTGCACTAAAACTTTCAGTTCGGATGAATTGTTAGAAACAAATGCCAACAATGATCTAACGATAGACGAATCACTTAAAAAGTCATTAACAGCTTCAAAGTCTTCATATAACCAAACAGAAAGTAACATCAAATATCCTATGGAAATTCTTGAATCCATATCATCTAAAGTAGTAATTAATAAACCTGAAATGGCTTGAATGCTTTTCATTACTTCTTCTCCACGTTCTTCATCTCCAGTTTTAACATTGGCAGAAATCCTCTTGTTGCCTTCCTCATCTTCAAACAAGTATAACATTATTAAAGATGCGAACCAAACTTTATATGGATTAAGTTTCGTGTCTGCATCATAATCCATCAAAACTGTAAATATGTTTCCGAATTGTGGTAAAGTGAGATGTTCGACTCCATTACCATTTCCATTTCTATGAGCATCGTCGAATTCACCATTTCCATTTGCTTCTTCTGATTCCGCTATACTAGTGTAATAATCTGGGATGGTGTATGCCTTAATTTGATCAGTGAGAAAAGCTGATTTTGATTCGAGATTGTTCTTGAAAAATGCTTGTAAACACTTTGCAGCACCTACTCTAATGTCAAAGTTATGAACTGAATTAATGAATAATGCCCAGTTAAGCAATGCTATGGTAACCGGAATAGCTTTATAATTTTGGAGTTGACTTGGCAAAGATGGATCTAAGTAAGGTACATCTATTTGAGAAAATTGAAGTTGAATAGTAGCATTACCTGCTATTAGTTCAGCAGCTGTCAATAAAGATATTGATCTTATGGTATTGTTTGTGATGGATGAGAATACTAATTTCAAAACAATAAATAAAACTCCACTATTGAATAATTGTTCTTGATTTTGAAGAACAAATTCATTATCTTCTGACACGAATGTTTTGCAAATTTCTAAAGCAATGGTCATATTTTGTAATCTTTGTTCAGTCCAAACAATGGGTGGAACTAATACTGGGAATCCATTTTCATCAAATACTCCTTCTTCATAGATCTCGTCTACTGGTTCACCTAAAAGTCTTGCAAGTTTGGGAACACATTGAGTTTCAAGGAATAATTTTTGATTAGATGCGTTATATTGTAATAAATTGGTGATTAATGTGAGACAATCTTGAACTAAGATAGATCCTCTAATACCTCCTTCTTCCTCTATTATATCAAATAAGGAATCAAATGTGTTTTCAAATGCCACTAACTTTTGAATATTGAAATTATTATTGACAACTGCCATTAGTAATAAGATAGCTTCATTTCTGATTGGATCATTGCTGTCATTTAATAGGGACACTAATGTAGATAATGAAGTTGGAATACTTAAAAGACAATCTTTGGTTCTATTGGGTCTACTAGATACTAAACCTTCTAATAATTGAAGGGTATATAGTTTTATATGAAAATCTTCATTTTCTTGAACTATTTCAAGTAATAAACTTAAGACATCTTCACCTTTGGTTAATTCATCTGCTATCCAAATTGAAATTTGATCCATTGATAAATCATCTATCAATAATGGTGATGGATATTTACCATTAAGTATACGTGATTGTTGAGAAATGAATCCTCTTGTTAAATCTTCATCACCTTCACCTCGTATCAATAATATTAATAAGGTTTCAAGAATGGCTTTCACAACCACTGGATTCAGACTATCCTTCGAAAGAGTTGATACCAACGGCCTCAAACCATATTCCACAACTGTTTCACGGTATTGACGACTAAAACTTTTCAATCCAAGTATCGCACTACGTCTATCTGATGACAACGTAGCATGTTCAAGTCTGTTGCATAGAGTAGGTATAGCTTCCTCGACCAGCTGCACTTGATTCTGCTGATTCAATATACTATTCAAGTAATCCATATACTAATGCAATTTATGTTTGGCAATTGAAATGTGTAGCCTTCCAATATTTGACTACTATGATCTAAAGAACAACGTTGGCCATAATCGAGCAGAAAAATCGTATCAACAAAAAAAAATATCACGAACCTTTTTTTAATGGCGCTACCACCAAAGATCAAAAATAATTAATTAGTTAATTAGATATAATCGTTAATGCTTAACTAACAACGAAAAATTGTTTCAAGTATAAATACAATTGTCGAACGATCTTTAGATTAGAGAGATATTTATTAGGTACAGAAAGAAGATATTTTTAATATAATAATAGACGTTAAAGCTTGTAGAGTTACCAACCACCTGTAAAATTAACCACACTTTGTGCTTTTGAGATGTAACGTAAAAAATAGCTATTGCTCTTAGGAACAAATTGATGTTGAGGCAAGAAAGGAACTTCAACCAATTTAATCAGGTACCTGGATTTCAACTCTTCTAGTTGTTCGAGAGATATCTCTGTCGTCCACGAGGACCATTCAGGGTTCAACAGATAATATATAGCTTCAGTGGTTACAGGATATCGGTCAAGATTCATTTTGTAAAGAATTCTTTGCAGCAGAAAGTTCTAACTGAAATATTTTGTCGACTTCTAACAGCATTATGTCTATGTTGTGTAATAAAAATATTCAAACTTCACAATTGTTACGAATTATCACATATTTATACTAAGTACAAAGATAGCATAACATAAATACATCACATCGGAGGCAAAGAGACCGTAGCATAACGAAAATATTTGGCAATAACAATAATACTTTTATTATTTCCTATTTAGTCGACGCAAAACATTTCCCAAAATGGATTTAGGTTTTGTCTTAAGAAGGTGCGAAAGCCGTTCCCCGATTTTAGATCCTTCTTCTCTCTCTCCTTCGTATAATCTATTTTTTATCAGTCGTTTACAATTATTTTTGAATTGTCGTGTTTTGTTCAAGAAAATTCAATTGATCAATTTTTTACTTATAGATCACAGGCCCTTTAATAACTACTACCAATCCTAAGAAGGTAAGATCTAACACAAACTTTAACCAATCCATCTATATGGTTACATGTTGTGGTAAATGGTCAAGAGAGTAAATCGTTACAAGCACTAGTTTAGATCATTTATGTAGAAACATAAGAGATATAGTAACTCCAAAATTCTGGCTACCTTTTAATGAAAGATGTAAAAAGCGTCCTTTAATATCAATATATCCTTATTCTAAATAGATTAATAGCTATATCTCGATACATTCTCTTTATATAAAGCGTTTAAACAACCAATAAATTAAAATTGGTGATTGATTAAGGCTTGTAAGTATTTACAACAAATTTTTAAAATTTAGCCGCCAAAAGATTTATTTACTATATAAACCACAAAATTTGACCTCCTTTAATTTAATTATTATGTATCACTTTTTCTTTCTTTCTTTCTTTCTTGAATTCATTACCATAATACATCGACTACTGAATTTATATTCATGTCATAATAAAGAATTTAGAATTTTAGGAAATACTTACTGTCAATTCAATATTTGATATATTTAATTTGTTATAGTTGATATCATCAATAGAATAATTTTCATTTTCATATTCTTTATCCCATAATAAGTTTAATCATTTAAAGTTGTAAAATGAATTCCGAGAATTTGACGAATATGATATTACAAGCTAATGGCCCGCTGACTTCAACAACCATTTTAAATTTAAAATACGAAATCTTGTGTAAGATCTACACAACTAAAATTGATCAAATTCAAGTGGTTGAAGATCAGTTACCTTATATTCAAATAGATCAAGATCAGTTAGATCAAATCGAAAGAGAAAATATTCAATTAGGTCAAAGGCAATTAGCTATTAATGGATTTGACATTATTATAAACCAAGAATTGGTATTTGAAATCATAGATCAGATCAATGAAGTAAAATCAATGCGTGTACCAATTATTCACGATGAAGAAATCACCATTAACACTCCTAACTTTATCATTGTTCCTACTGAAAATCCTCTATTTATTTTTGAAAGCTGTCATAAGTATTTGAAAAGATTTATAATCGCTTATATGGCTATTAATGAAGTTGAAGAAGGAGATAAGGTTAAAGTTGAACTCGGTAAATATTTAAAGACAGGATCGAGGTGCGAAAGCCGTGTCTCATTTTTAGACCTTCATCTATCATCTACATAGCTTCGTGTTTGGATCCAGAAAATGCCATTAACGCTTTAGCATTTACATTGAGAGTCCCCTTGATTACATCCATCAGTCTGAGAAATACAAGATTTAGTACTGTGAATAAGTTTTCTCTCTAATATTATAGAAAAAGCTAGACTGCCTATACAAATAAATCTATTCGTCATATTTAAATTCAGCAGGTTTTATTTCTCCAGCTAAATAATCACCATAATGTAAAGTATTATGGAAATCATCACTCTTGAATGTCATTTGATGATGAGGTAAAAATGGAACTTCACATATATTAATATTAAACTTTAACCTCAAACGCATGATACTGTAGTATATCTTCATTTTAAAGTCTGAAGACCAATCTGGATTCATCAGGTAATATATGGCTTCTGTCTTGATAGGAAAAGCTGTGACAAATGGATTTAGAGCATACCATTCACCAAATTGGAAAGGAACACCATAAAAATATAATGTTTTTGTCAGGAACAAATATTCCATTAGCAATCTGTCTTTAATTGACCTTTCGAATCCAATGAGTGTAACCTTATCAAATGAACTCGAAAAGACTTGATAATAAGCAGTTTGAAAATTTCGTAAGGTTAAGCACTTGATTGTAACATTCTTAGAAAAGAATACAGGCCAATTATGACTGGTGACAAGATCGTAACATTCAAAGCTATGATTAACTAACTTTGGAAATTTGAGATCTAAATAATCTGTACCAATTAATCTAACTTTTTGACCTAGATGTAACTCTTCGAGATCTTTTCCTAACCAGGAAATTGTAATTGGTATGTGTGTGTTCACATTCTTATGATATTTTATTCCCAGTTCTTCATCCGAAATGAATGGAATACTTGGCATAATATCTGTATCAAATCGGAAGCCAATGGGATTCAAATTAATGAAGTATTCTAAGGCAGGAATCTTAAAAGGATCAGGCTTTTGATGAGATACGATCTTAAAAATATAAATTTTAAACTTAAAATTTCCCAAAGTTCTCAAATCATTTGCCTTCAATAATAGTTCGATCATTGAACTTCCATTATCTTCAAGTCCTAATCTGAATTGCAAAGTAATTGTCACAGGACTCAACTGATTTTTGAACTTATGTGCATTATCGAATAACAAATTCAGGTGGTGTTCATAATCAACAGTATAATTGTTATGGAGCAAAATTGGACCAACTGTGGGAATGTCAGGAATTATAACTCTTTCTAAGTCATCATCCAAAGTGGTATCAACAACAAGCACCAAGTCAGTAATTCCCCTAAGTTCGTTTGGGATCGAATGAGCCCCAGAGTTTTGAGAAAAATTGTTATTCGAAACGTGATTCAGTTCAATATACATTGCGTTGATGGTAAACCTAAGATAAAAAGATATTTTAAAAATTTTGCTAAATGTATCAGGACTATTCTCTATTTATTCTAATTCTAAAGTGTGCATAACAAGATTCATTTGTATTCAGATCATCAATTTTTTATACTCATTTAAAATAGGGAAAGTTTAATCATACTAAAATCGATCAATGGTGCAAAAATGCTGATTTTTTAATAACTTCCTATTTAGTCGACGCAAATTAATTAAAAGTGTTCATTTTTTCGGAACTGATAACCGTTCAATTTCATAGATAGTCGTGCGTGGACCAGGAAAGTTTTATTTGCAAGACCTGATAAAGCTTTGTAACGTTGTTTCGAATTTGTTTTACATGAATTATATAATTTATCTTATATTTCAAAAAGCCTTATATAAAACGCAAAAGCTTTCCTTTCTATTCAAATTGTATTTGAGTCTTATTAATTTTAATGGATTTTCGTTGATAACACTTGTTATTTGATATTTCTAACCGTCTGATCCAATAATAAAAAATATGTCATGTCTATTTGAGAATTCCTTACTTTGGTTGTTCCTTTGTACTCGATGGTAATTATACTCTATTGAGCTAAAATTTACTATTTATTTTGAACCAACTGATTTTGTTACCATTAAAATGAAAAAGTTCGGAGATATTTATTCGCAATCATTATTTTTTAAATTTTAATTCCTTTTTTGTTCATTTCCAATGTGACCTATATCAATTCGCTTTACATCTATTTAAAGTTAAGGTGTTTCATCTCTATCAAGTTAAAAACTTTTCACTATCTGGTATTCTTACTAATTTTAGGTTGCTAACAAGATTGAAAGGGGTATCATTGTCTCATATACTAACTAAACTTAGGTTAATTACAAAAACATCATGATATCCTCAGGAGAGTTCACTTACCATGTTCAAACCAAATTTTGGCCAACTATTTTAGATTATCGTCAAATCAACAGCCAAAAAGTTCATTATATTTGTTCAAGATGGCTCAAGACTTGTCAGAACGTTATCGTCATCAACAGTTCCAATTTCCTTAACGAGGAAACAAATGGTCGGATAGACCATATAATCAATATTCTAGGCTCTCCAGAGATTTACCACGGTGATTATTTCGGACCTGCAATGAATCAAATTGAAAGGTTTCGTCCACGTTACAGAGAGGTAATTGAAGATGAGGCAAGAGATATCCCAATCACGTTAGAAATTCACTTACGTGATTTTGTACTCTTGTACACGAAGTTAAGTCTTGTACAAAGATTATCGGTGAAGCTAAGACTCAAGATGTACTTAATGTGTAATAGGCGTTTTAGATTACTGGATAGAGATGTTTACAATGCTTTTGTTGACTATGACCAAAGCGTCCTTCAATTAAATCCAAAAAACTATTTAATACGTATTCATAACTTGGTTTCTGCTAATGGTGCTACAATGTCATCCTACATCGGCTTGCTTAAAGCTATTGAGATTTTGACATTATAGTGATTCCAGCATCACTTCTGTTAATTTTGTTTCTTCTGTTGCTTCTGTTGCTTCTGCTGTTTCTATTATTTTTTACATTTTTAATATTTCGGCTATATTTTACATATTTCATATTTCTGTCCTTTCCTAACTTTAATTATTAATATATAATAGTTCGTGATCTTCTTTTCCTTCTGTTATTTCTGTAAAAATCTTGCATATTTGCAAGTCTTTATATTTCTTAAAACAAAATCAATTGAATTTGTAAACTAAATAAGCTTTATGTAAGATATAGAATTATATTTCTCAACTTGACTCATAGTCACTCTCTTCAAGCTGAATTTGAGGAATTTCAAAGTCGGACGAATCACTTTCATCTTCAACATCTTGTTTCAATAATGAACTTGAGGTAGTTGCTGAGATTGGAGCCACAGAAGATGAATCAGTTGTACTGTTCGATATAGTTTCAGTTATTCTTGATTCCAGTTGAGTCATTGTAAAAGTAACATGATTACCAGGTACAGATTCGACTTTTTGGCGTTTAGGAACTGATTCTTCTTCAATATGTTCTCTAGATTTGACTTGAGGTGTTATCTCTTCCCTTTCTAAATTTTCAATGATTGAAGCAGTAGCCAATTGAAATTCACTTTCATTTTCATCATCCTCATCATCGTCTTCGGAATCAAGTTCCATATCATTAGTTTCTTCTACTTCTACCTTTTTGATGAATATAGGTAATGGTGGGAAACGAGGATTAATAAAAACACTAATTAGTGGATCATTACTTAACAATGATGAAATTATAGGCAATAATGAGACCTTTTCATATCCAGGGAATAAAACAGCATTTCTTAACAATACAACTAAATCTTCTGGAATAATGTTTTCATTATTGTAATACTTTGCATTTACAGTTTCAATAATTAAGTACCTCATAAGTTTGTAGTGTTGGGTTGGAGGTAAGCTAACAATAGGAATGACGGAGTTGAAAAATTGACGAACAATCTTAATAGTCAAGGAAGGAATCGATTGTGAAAATAAATGTTGATGTGACAATATATCTGATAATGGAGTTGATTGTGAATTGTTCTTCTTCCTCTGCTTTTTTGAGCCTCCGTTGTTTTGATTAACTTTCTTATTAGCAGTAGCTTCCTGATCCAAAACTCTTGGTTCGACCAAAATGAGAGCGACGTCAATGAATCTTAACAATGTTGAGGAATCACCTAAGTTGGAAATTAGTGACAATAATGAAGTAAGAGAGGAAATTAATTCACGATAAACCATTTCGTTGTTTAAGATATGATCGACATCAATCTTCTTATTTTTGAATGGGATTAAAGTTTCCAAGAATGCAACAATATTGAGGAAATGAGGTAATAAACTTCCTCTATAAACAAGAGTGATGTGTTTTAACGTTTTAATAGCATTCAAATGATTTAATAAAATGGTGGATGTAACAATATTCTTAATGTTATTATCACGAATATCGTTTCTGAATGAAGTAAACCTTACATTAATGGAGCAAACGATTTCAATGGCTATTAAGACTAATCCCAATGGAACTCTGACTCCATATGAAGTTTTTGTACTGAGATATGCTTCAAGTAAACCTAATAATAATTCAACTCTTGCGGAAATTTGGAAAATTGATTTAGGATCATTGACATCAATCGACAAATCAGTTAAAAGTTTATCATCTGATCCTGTAGATGCAATCTTTTCCACTAACTTCTTTAATTGTGAATCATCATTAAGATTTAAGAATTCACCATACACAACCATGACAGATCTTAATTCAGATACAATATGTTTAACATCATTTTCCCATTTAACTTCTGGCTCAGTCTTCTCAATAATTGGTAATGATGCTAATGTCTTAAATATAATCTTCTTTAATTTATCAGGGAAAGTAATGAAATCATTCAAGTTTAAGAATTCAAGTAATCTGGCTCTTAATTTATTACCAAATGGTCTAAACGTAGTTGGATGTAATTTTATCAACTTATGTAATGATTTAATAAGTAAATATGGATTGTAATGTAATTTCTCCATGTACAAAGTGATAATAGGAGCCAATCTTGGAGTTAATATCTCTCTAGTTAAAGTTGGTTTACCTCTAATGTTATCACATAAATGATTCAAAGTATCCACCGTAGTATTCAAGATTTTGATATCAATAGTTTCATTATATGATTCTAAATTTTTCATCAATTGAGAAAAGAAATTAACACCTTCTTGAGATAATATAGTGAAATTATCACCCAATACTCTAATAAGAGAAGTTCCTGCCCATTTGTTGTATAAATTAGGTGATCTAGCAAGGTTCAATGTTCTTGATACTAAATGTTTGATATCAGGTTTAGAAATATCATTCAATACACTCTTGTCATAGTGTAAAGTGGATAAAATAGGAATAATGGAGGATGGAGATGATTCCAACTCCTTCAAAATGACATTAAAAGGTAACGACATTTTATTCTTCAAAGTATTGATTTCAATAAAGGATTGAATAAATATATGATGGCTGCCTTTCTGATTTTAATTGTCAATGTGAGATGAGGACTGGAGAAAAATTATTTTTTGTTTGCACCTAAATGTACGTCTACACAAAAAATGAGTATAGCAAAAATATTAAAATGGAATTAAATATATATAAAGTTATAATTTTAAAGTATAAAAAGAAGTCTGTGAAACACTTTAAACGTATCTAAAAGTTGGGATTGTAATGTCTGTCCATAATGCAAGTATGTGGATGAATAAAAGAAAAAAAGACGAAGGAATGGTAAGGCTTAAACAACATTAGCTAATAAACCTTCAAAACCAAATGGTTCATATAAGGCACCTTCACCTTCAAAATATTTAGACATGGATTCAACCCAATGCAATCTCAATGAATGTAACATGGCTGAAGTACCTTCCATGACAACTAAGATAACAACGGTTAACGAAAGCCACATAGCGAATAAACAAACAATCATTATCACTCCGACAATTCCTGGAGTACCGAAACTGATACCAATAGTCATAGACCATAAAACGGAGGATAATTGAGCATGAGCTAATGATAAAGCCCACAATCTCAAGTAGGAGGCTGTGTGGGACACACAATTCAAACAGAATTCAATAGTATGGATAACTTGATGAATCATAATATCACCAAAATTATGAGCTTCATGTTCTTCATCATCATCATGAGCGGTATCTTGTTCATCAGCATCATCAGAAGTTAATTCATCTTCAGTGGCTAATTGTTGATATTGATGTTCTCTTTCTTCCTTTTCAATTTGACCCTTAAGGTATAATGGTTTAACTAATAATAAACATGGAACACAAATTAATGCAATGACTAAAAGCACAGTTTGAACTTTTGCTTGACCTGAATATAATGGTTCAGCAACAACACCAGGAGATAAGAACATAGAAATCAACATATTTAATAAACCAGGTGGTTGTTGTTGTATAGCGTACCAATCAACTGTCCATTTATAAACAATACATAAGGCCAAATATCCGAAAATACCTTGCATAAAGAATAAACCAGGAATAAAGTTACCAATAATATCGATTGGACTCTTGAAATAGACGTAATTGACCAATGAAAAGATAAATGAATATGACATATGAGTATAACCCATTAACACTGATAACTTCATCTTATAAGAATTGGAAAACAATAAGGCATTTTCAGTACCGTGCCATGCTGAATCTAAACCAAAAATATAAGTTCCCACTTTTTTAGCATAAACAGTTTCATGAAGTTCAAATTCACTTGGCCAAACCCATCCTGATGTGAATAAAGTCATGGATTTGGAGAAAAGATCATTATACAATAAACCGGTATACATGGAGAAAATACCCATGAGCAATAAGATATAACGACCTGTGAAAGCCATTTCCGAAATTTCATCTAATTTAGAAGCACCAATTTTCTTTTCATTTAATACTAACATTGCAGCTACTAAAGTTAAAATAAAACCATGACCTAAATCACCAAACATAATGGCGAACATAAATGGGAAAGTAATAATGGTTGGTAAACCTGGATTAACTTCTCTGTAAGTAGCAATACCATAGGCATCACAAATATTTTGGAAAGCTGAGGTGAATTTGTTATTACGATGGAAAGTTGGAGGAGTTCTGGTGGTGTCCAAAACATTGACAATAGTTGGAATGGTTTGAGAATTATCCGATTCTTTGATAGTAGTAGTTAAATTAGTAATTTCATCTGTTGGAATCCAACCTTCAGCAATTAAAGATTTTCTAGAATCATCATAATCACAAAGATTCATAGTTTGGTAAACTGCTTTTTCTCTGGCAATAACTTCCCAAAATTTAACTAAATCTCTTGAAATAGCAACTAATTCGGAGGTTAAAGCATTTTCAGACTCATTCAAGACGGTAGCTAAATCAACTAATTTAATATTGGTTTCATTTAATTGATTGGCTCTGAATTCAGCCGTTGAATCAACATTATAAAGATCAGCATCTAAGGATTCACAAATTTTCTTTATACGTTCATAAATAATAGTACCATGAGAAAAGATGATGAAAGAATTCTTACGAACATAAGTTTTAGATTTTGAATCATAAACTTCTTCAGCTAATTCTTCACTATGATAATATAAATTACCTCTTAAAACTCTCCATAAGATTTGTTGTAAAGTACCAACTTTTTCACGATTGATAACACCACTAATGAAATTAGATGAATGACTATCAGACACAGCTTGTGATTCTAATTGAGAAAGGAGAGCTGTTTCATCATTACTATCACCAGCAGGACCAGCATTAGAAGCAAAAAAGTGATCAACAGCTTGAATGGTGAATTTTAATTGTTTTAAATCTTTTTGTTTTTCATACAACGATTCAGTAGCATCAATCAATTGAACTAATCTGTCTTCTAAGATTTGAGCATTTTCAACATGTTCATCAATTTCTGATTCAGCAACAATAGGTTGTAATTCATAAGGATAAGTCTTAATTGGGATACCTCTTTCATCTAATTCCTTTTTAAAAAAGTTGAATTGACGTTCGACATTATCAAGACGACGCAATTCTTTAACAAAGGAACGTTGAAACTCATTGACTTTAGAGTTTAAATCTCTGAATTGGATTAAGTTTAATTGGCCAATTCTATAAATGATGGATCTGGCAACTTCATTTGGGGCAAAGAGTTGAATTAAACTCATTTCCGCCGAACCTAAAAAGAACAACAGTTAGTAAACCATATTAATTGACAGGGGAAAACGTCTCAATGGCGATACATACGAAAGATAGCCTCGTCCTTCTCCAGCATGATTGTTTAGTTTGGTATTATGCTAGAAGTTTGAACAGCTATTGCTAATTTATAACTACTTTTCGTTATCACTCATGGCTGTTTTCGACTAATTAAAATTAGATGCTCATTCGTTTGTCGCTCTTCGAAATGCCAATTTAGCAATATTGCACGACCAGGCTCAATTCGGTACACCGTATTTACAGGGGTAAATATAAAAATTAGTATAGATATTTTATTAGTATAGTAGTTAACATAGAATAGACGTTAGACTAAACAAATATGATTATAAGGAATAAGAATGTATTCTACTTTACAATTTTTCATCTTGATGCACGAAAGCTGTAATCAGTTGAATAAATATCGTAGTTTCTTATTGTCCGTTTCTACCATACTTCTCTCATTTCTGCCAAGCATGAAATATGTTATACATTTACGAGTATAAACCATCCAGGCATATCATACCATGCTTCAGTCCAGTTATACATTCAGAAGGTACTATCTCATGAAGGTGAAATGAAACTTTTAGATAGATTCGTGGTTTAGATGGAGAAAGATTCTATATTTCAGTAAAGATCGGCTTTAATGTTTTAACTAATACAGACGAAATTCATCTCTATATAATGTCTAAAACTATGATTAATTTAAAACTTTAGATTGAATACACCCAAAACGAATTTCGACTTATATAGAGATAAGTCGAGGTGGTTCCTGAAAGGGAAAAAGTTTAAAAAATTCATTGTAATAACCTGCAAACTCTAAAAAAAAGGTTTTACAGTTTTCAAATTTCATCTCACATCTTGTTTCACAAAACATGAAATTTTATTTGAATTATGGGTAAGATTAAGATTATTTACACCAGGATAAGTAGAAAACGTCTTATAGCGCCGTCTATTTAACAACTTGATCGCCAAATTGGATAATTGTTAACTATATTTGGTTCTTTTAGTTTGTAAGTTTTACCACAAAGACAAGGTAGAAAAATATTTGAATGTGTAAGTGTGTTAGTTTAAGATACTCCTCATTATTAAAAAATATATGGGTATGTATGTTGGGGATTTTCATAGTAATAATAATAATAATACGAATAATCCCTAGCCTCATAAAAGAAGAAAATGTTACATGTATTCTCTTTTAAAATAGTACTTACTTCTTCATACTATTGAATGCACTGAAAGCTTATTGAAGTGATAGTGTGCACGTTTGTGCACACCATTAAAGGACTGGCTCTAACCGTAAAACCCCAAATAATCCGTAATGTCAAAGTAGAAGTAAACAACTCGATCAGACAATATAAGAGTCAGGCATGGCACCTCCTCAGTTAAATAAAATTTGAAATTTGAAAATAAATTATAATGAACCTCTCGCATTTTTGGTTTATTGTTTTAATGAAGTAATTGAAGATATAAAATTATCCGTAAAAAGACGAAGTCTGGAATGTCCCACATTTTGCTCCCACTAAAACTTGATCAAAAAATTATACTTTTTTATCTTAGATAGATGACCCCATTAAAAAGCAACTACTGATCATCATATCCAACAGGTATAAGCCATTCTGGAGCGGTATTTTCTGATGAACTAGACTATCCGATTTGACAGATGACGGGGGTCAAGATCCTTGTCTGGTACAGATCGTATGACGTTTAGCTGTAGCGCAAAAAAGTGTAATTTATTAAAAAAAGGAAAGCGATATTTTTGAAAAATTTGCTACTGTTTTATGTCATTCAATGTTTTAAAAAGTTTTTTCAAAAGTTCGGTAATTACTGCTATCTAAGATATATGACCATCAAATTTGATCGAACAGACCTATTAATATAACCAAGTCATTTAGATAAATCAGCAAACAATTTGAAAAATAAACAGCAAAAATTAGTTAAGTTAACAGATTGTCTGTTAGGCGAGGCTTGCTCGAGCACAATAAAGCACAACGCTCAAACTTTGGCTAACACAATGATACATGACATTATACATAACTAAATGACGCTTTCAACCAAAACTTAAGGAGCACTTGGTAGCAAAATAAAATTCTTATCATACACTTTAATAGGGGGTATTTCATACTCAACTAACTAACTCCTTGCCATGCCCACTTTCTTCCTCCACTTCCAAAAACGGATATGATATGATAAATTGATATGATGATATGCAGAATGGAACAATATAAAATAATAATTTATTTTTTTATTTTGTTCCTTTAGCCTGCATATATGTAAATTTAAACATGAATGGAATCCATCACTGGTTCATCTCTCCATCCTCTTTTAATCAAAACTTAACTTTTGGTAAAATAATTTTTTAATAGTACCTTTGCCCTATATGCGTTTACATCCACCCCACTTAACATGCAGTGAGGTTTTATTATTTCACCTTTTTCATATATAAAATCTAACTCTATTCCCCTTATTTTTCTATTACTGTAGATTTTATTTTATTTTCGCTACTTTGCACCCCTCTCTTATTATTATTGATTATATTGGAAAAAAAAACAAATTAACATAATTCACAGTTATGGACTTCTTCACAAAGCTCTGTACTTTGACTTCAACATCAGGTCTGGATGCTAAACAACAACAAAAGCAAGTACCGCCTCCGAAGATTACTGGTAGTCCAGAGTTGATAGCGCAATATGTCTATAACGATATTCTAGCTGTTAAAACTCAAATCAAGAAGTATAATGAAGTCACTGGTATACTAGCTTCAAACAACCTTTACTATAAATTATTCAAATTGGTCGAGTCTGACCATTCTAAAGATTTGGATGATTTGAAAAAGAAGTTCGAATATGACATAACCTCAACTCAATATAAACGTCAATTAGTTCAGTTATACAAATCACAGTTGAATGATTATTCCAACTTGTTGGATATATTTAAGAATAATTATAATCATGGAATCTTTGAATCTAATATTGTCAAGTATAGAAAATCATCAATACGTAGTAGAACAAGTAGTGTTAACGAAGGGTTCAAAAATAACCATAACAATAATATCAACGATCAAGCAAGTTCGATCTTTTCAGTTCCATCCATAGATTCTTCATCTTCATCCATTAGCAACTTCTCCATATCAAACTCTCCCAAGCTTATGTCAAGAAAACTGCTGTTAAAGAAGGTTTGTGAAGAAGAAACTGATTATGATGTTATAACCGATGAAGCTCCAGATACGTTATTAGATCCTATTTCCTTTTCATTATTCAGTGATCCAGTCATAACACCAAGTGGAATAACATATGAAAAGTCTCATTTGATTGATCATTTGAATAAAACTGGTAAATTTGATCCTCTTACGAGAACTCCGTTATACGAAAACCAGCTATATCCGAATCTTGTGGTGAAAGATACAGTAGAGGAGTACATCAGAATAAAGGAAGAAGAACTTTCACAAAGAGGTTAATCAAATCTTCATGTAATATAGTGTATGTTTAAATATTGTTTTGGTTTCTGGTAGTTTAGTTTTGGTTAATATGTATTATTAAATATTAAATTGTATTATTATTATTATTTGAGATAAACCATGTTTTGTGCGCTACCAATATTATATGCAGTACAGTCCTCGTGATGAGCATTATGAAAAAAAATTTGTAGTACAAGCTTAAAACAGATTACAGCAATTGATAGATAAAGATAGAGATATCGACGCAAGCATATCATGAGAAACTTGATTGTTCTTAATAGAGGTCATATTTCGGCTGAGTCGAGGACTTATCCTGACTTACAGCTCATTGATTCTGTTTTCGATAGTGTTTCGGACAGTATATCATATGTATTATATTCAGATGAATCAGGTATTATAGAAGTTCAACAATTCATGAAAAATGGAGAAATCTTAGTACTTGCTAGTTTCCCACTTAATGATCCTGAATCACAATTGTTAAGTTTTCTTCATATTGTGGAAGTAGCTCAATTAGTTTTCGTGTTCTCAAATGGTGATATTATAACTGCTTCATATGATTCTAATCAACCAGATGAATCAACAACTATGGTTGAAATAGTAGGATCAATTGATTCTGGACTTAAAGCAGCATGTTGGTCTCCTGATGAAGAAACATTAGCATTATTAACTGGAGAGCACAAGTTATTATTATTATCAAGAATCTTTGAACCAATTTCAGAAAGAGAATTAGATTTCAATGATATCAAAATTAGTGATTCTAAACATGTATCAGTAGGTTGGGGTAAAAAAGAAACTCAATTCAAAGGTAAGGGGTTCAAAGCTTTAGAGCGTGAAAAGGAAGCCTTGAAGTATGCTGGACTTGACCTTAAAGAAGATACATCATTAAGAGATCCAACTGTTGCTGAGATTGAAAGAGGTGAAATTTCCCAATTCGATAATGAAAAAGTTAAAATCAGTTGGAGAGGAGATTGTGAATATTTCTCCATCAGTACCGTAGAATCAGTCTTAGTTGAAGATACTGCTGAAATGTATGATAGAAGAGTTATCAGAGTCTTCACTAGAGAAGGTGAATTAGATAGTGTAAATGAAGCAGTTGATGGTTTGGAACATAATTTAGCTTGGAAACCTCAAGGTTCATTAATCGCTTCCACTCAAAGACATATGGATGAAGATGGAGATCAAGTTTTAGATTTAGTCTTTTATGAAAGAAATGGGTTAAGACATGGTCAATTCAATACCAGATTAGATCCATCAGCTGAACTCATTCAGAATTTACAATGGTCATCTGATAGTGAAGTATTATTATTTCAATTATATGATCGTGTTCAATTATGGACTTCTAAGAACTATCACTGGTATTTAAAACAAGAATTATTCATAAATTTAGAAAATCCTTCTAATCAAATCATTTTTGCAAAATTCCATCCTGAAAAGCCATTACATTTAATGATAGGTACATCTGAAGATGGTATCCAAATAGTTGATTTAGCTTATAAGATTGTAACTGGACCAACCCAAATAGGTGAAGATATCGGTATGAATTTAGTTACTGATGGTATGACAGCCAAAATAACACCATTAGCTGTAGCCAATGTTCCTCCGCCAATCAGTTTCAGAGAACTTGAACTTGAAGATAATATTACCGACTTAGCAGTTAGTCAATCGAATGAAAAATATGCTTTCTTAACTAGTACAAATAATATTTATATCAGTCATCTTTCCATTGAATCAATGAAAAAGGGTGGTAACCTTAAAGTCAATGGTGCTATCGAAAGTAATTTGATAGTGACAGAACCAAATGAATCAGCTAAACAGGTTGCTTTCATTAAGGATTTGTTTGTTGCTGTTATTGTCGATGGACCTACTTATTCTAAACTTATTTTATTTGATGTTGAAGATCCAGCTAATCCATCATTCAACGATTCTTTTCAATTCACTCCAAAGGTTGTTATCTTAAAATCCACTGCTGATTTCAATGAAGTTGCTGTGGAATGTATTGACGGTAGAGTGATAAAAGTAAGTGGTTCATTAGACCTTACTGAAGTTGCACAATTTCCTCAATTATGTCGTGATTTTGAATTAGTTACTGGCCCAGAATCTGAATTTGAAGAACCAGTTTCTACTGCTTTTGGTATTTCGGTTAATGGTAAATTGTTTGCTAATAATAAGCAAATTGCTAATGCTGTTACCTCATTGAAAGTAACTGAATCACATTTACTTTTCACAACCGCACAATCACAATTATGTTTCGTTCATTTGAAGTTTGACAATGATAGTGAATATGCGGTATTCCAAACAGATTCAACAAGCTCTAATATCGATGAAAGAATACGACAAATCGAAAGAGGTTCATGGTTAGTCAATGCCATGCCATCAAAATACTCAGTCATATTGGAAGCTCCAAGAGGTAATCTTGAAACTATCTGTCCAAGAATTATGGTTTTATCTGGGGTTCGTAAGTTCATAAAACAACTTAGATATAAAGAAGCATTCTTAGCTTGTAGAACTCATAGAATTGATTTGGATTTGCTTCATGATTATGATCCTGAATTGTTTTTGAATAATGTTGAACTTTTTGTTAATCAAATTAAGAAAGTAGAACATTTAGATTTATTTGTTTCCTGTTTACATGAAGAAGATACCACCAAAACTAAGTATAGAGATACAATTCATGAAATAGAGGAAGATGAAAAAGACTTGAATATAGCTAATTTACAAATTGCATCACCTTCTCCTCAACCAACTCAAGAATTAAAAAGAATCATCAAGAACAAAGAAGAGAAATTTGATTCCAAGAATTCAAAAGTCAACAAGATCTGTGAAGCTATTTTATCAGTCTTATTGAAGAAGGAGTATTTCGAAAATTACTTACAAACCATCATTACTGCATACGCCTGTGAGAAACCTCCAAATTTGGTAGATTCCTTAAAATTGATTGGTGAATTTAAAAATGTTGAACAAATTGAACTGTCAGTTACACATTTATGCTTCTTACAAGATGTTAACAAGTTATATAATACTGCATTAGGTTTATATGATGTCAAGTTGACTTTAGCTATTGCTCAACAATCCCAAAAAGATCCAAAGGAATACTTACCATTCTTACAAAACTTATATGGTCAAACTGAGTTGCGTAGAAAGTTCTTGATTGATGATTTCTTGAAGAATTATGAGAAAGCGTTAGATTGGTTACATGAAATTGGAACCGACACCGATGAAGAGTTTGATGCATACGTTGTTCAACATGATTTGTTTAAGAAAGCCTTAAATATTTACAAGTACAACGATAGTAGATCTAACACCATTTTAAGACTTTATGCCGATGATTTACATGAAAAACAAGAATATGCTGAATCTGCTCTTGCTTATGAATACTTGGGTGATTTCTCCAATGCTGTGGAAAACTACGTTCTGTGTAAGAGATGGAAAGAATGTCTTGCTTTGGTCCAAAAGGAAGAATTTTCATCTCAAGCTGAAGACATTGCTGAAAGACTTATTTCATTATTGACTGAAGAACACAAATATGCTGAAGCTGCTGAGATTTCATTCTATTTCTTAGGTAAGATCGAAGATGCTGTCACTTTATATTCTAAGAATTATTTCTATGATCAAGCTATTTTATTAGCCACCAAAGAAAAGAGAACCGATTTATTGGATACCTTAGTTGATAACCAATTGAATGAAGGGTTTGGTACTATCGCTGAACTACTTGCTGATTGTAAATCTCAAATAAATTCACAATTAAGAAGATTGAGGGAATTAAGAACCAAGAAAGCCGAAGATCCATATTCCTTCTACGGAGCAGCTGATGATTTAGATACTCCAGATAATGTTTCCGTAGCAGCATCTGAAACTTCAACCACTCCATCATTTTTCACAAGATATACTGGTAAGACTTCTGGTACCGCAAAGACTGGAGCTTCTAGAAGAACAGCCAAGAATAGAAAACGTGAAGAAAGGAAAAAAGCAAAGGGTAGAAAAGGTACGATTTATGAAGAAGAATATCTTATTAGATCTGTTGGTCGTTTGCTTGAAAGATTAGAGCAAACTGAAGCTGATGCCACTAGATTAATTGAAGGTTTGATTAGAAGACATATGAAAGAAAAGGCGTATCTAATTCAAAATAATTGGATTGATTTATTAGAATTCATCAATGAGAATATCGAAGAAATACATGATATGAGTGAAAGAGATAGAGAAAGAATAGACGACAATGGTGAAGTCTACTTAATACCTGAAATCCCTTGTCCAACGATTAAACCATTCCCTAAGAAAAATATATTAGATTTCTAGACATTTAAGTAGCAATTTAAATAATGTATATACAATAATAATACTCAATATCTGTTTTTGACAAAATCTGACTTTAATTGAGCATCTAATTTAGCCATTTCATATTCAATTAACACCTCACGTAATCGTATAATAGCATTCTTCTTTGCATCCGTAATAGCTTGTTTTGTAGCTACACTATAGCACATATATTTATAAGGTAAATTCTTCCCATCTCCATAGCCGTATTCATCAACATAGGTACCATCACCCAAAGTGACCCGCACTAAGGCTGAATATGAAGCTGAGAATTTGCCATTAGTCTCATCAAAATCACTGAATGTCATACCACATTCAATAACACGACTGGACCAACCATTATAACCAAAACATTCATTGGCTAATGCAAATATTAAAGATGCCCGAAATGAAAATAATGAAGATGTACCCGTCTTACGTCTACCAAATGATGATGATTCAATAGCTTCTAGTTTACTTTGAAATAACCCAAGCTGTCTAAGGATAGAATCTGGAATTGTTATTATGTTATCTTGCTCTTCTTCTATCTCATCTTCAAATTGAGAAATATCTGGAAAGAATTCAGTGGTGGAAGCTAAATTTGTCAGATCAATACCATCATGTAACGCTTCAGTACCAACAGCCATGTTCCAAGATCTTCTTCTCTTGTTATATCATGTTACTCTATAGAAGTCAAGTATTATTAACATCACCAAAACAAAGTAAACAGAAATAATTTAGCGCGTTTCAAATTTTTGTAAGAAAATTGGCAGAGCATAATTTTTTTCAAAGGCCTTGGTTGCAAAATGTTCTGCTATAATTTAAATAAATGAAAATGTTTAATCTTTCTCTTGAAGATAACAAACCAGCAGTATTTATCATTATTACAATGATCAGGGTACCAAGATTTGCTAAAACATATGAAGGAAATGAATTTTCATTTGACGAACTCTTCATCTTTAATCAAACAACATTACCAGATACATTTAAGTTTATCACTGATTTGGTCCTTCTTGTGGATACTACCAAGAGTGATAATTTTGATAATTTACTTATTCCTGATATCCCAATAAAAGGTCAAGTTTTGCATCATAACGATAGAAAAGTGGATTATGAAGACTCACTGAAGTTATTCTTTGATAATGCAAAGAATTTTGATAATAAAAGCTTTCCTTTAACTATCACTTTGCAATTCAAACTTGGACTTGAAGATGATGGAATGTCAATGAGAGATTTATTATTTAAAGCAATAGAACTTGTTCCAATGGGATTTAAGTTCAAAGTGTACATATTTAAAATTGTATCTCATCAAGGTCCTGATACATTCAGAATGCCACCAGCAGACTTTCTTAGACTTTTGAATTGTATTGGATTCAGATTTGACACTGATTTTATTCCCAATGCAGCTTTCACATCCCAACAACTATGGAAGAGAGACTACCACAGAAATGTGAACCATCATATTCCAATTACAATTTCTTGGTTAGGAAAAGATCTTGAAGAACTACATCTAGGTCAGAAAGTTAGATTAGCTAGTACAGATTATATATACCTAGAATTTCAAAAGCTAATAGATCACAGCTATGAATGTTATGACGTTGCTCTGATTCAGAATTGGTCTGGATTTCTAGTCAATAATAACTCATCATTTAAATATTTGAAATTAAGAGATTTTCAAACTGGATATTATTGTCCTTTTGTTGGGCTTGATAAGCTTGTTTTGATTGGGTTTGAGTTACCCATAGAAGTTCATAAAATGTTTACATATTTGTTGTCAAGTAAGGAAATACATCTATGTGGTGTTGCAATCCAACAATGTCCAAAATATTTTGAAAATGTTAATAGTTCATGTATAACTGAAATGATTTATTTCCTGTGTGATCCTGCTTGGTCTGATGAAATTACACAGACTTCAATCGAAAGTCTTCAATTCATCTCTTTGAAGTTTCAAATAAATTTATTCGAAGTCCCATTCTTGCCTCAACACCAAGCATCTTGTAAAACTGGAGCTATTTACAATCAGTTACACAGAAGAGTTAGATTAGGTGAATTCGAATGTAAATAATTTTTTATGTTAAAAGTTCATTATTATCATATATTTCTAAACGATGATTCAAACCAATCCATATACATCATTTTAAGCTAAATTCGTAGTATAAAACACTTCATATGATCATAACTATATAAACTTGCAGCCATTATCAGCTTGGTAAATGATTTTTAAAACTATCGCGTGTATGGAACAAAATGTAAACAAAATTTAATTTCTGTAAATTTGATTTTTACAACCAACTTGATTTGAAGTAACTAAGTGATCACAACCATCATCAATCGATCAACAATCGATCATCATAGTTTAAGATCAGGGATCAGATCAACTCACTGAGATGTCGTTGACGGGAAGCAATGTCCAACTTCTACTAACAGAAGATTTATCACCTCATAAGATTTCATTATTGTTTTTGATCCAATTATACTGTAAGAACAAGATTCCTCCCCAGAGAATAAAATCAGTATTAACAGTGTTGATCAAGTTAATTGATAATAGATCATATAAAGAAGGAGATGAAAAGATTATCATACCGTCGTTACAAGACTTGATTGATTCGATAAAGGATATTATTCTTGAAAATAGTGGTCCTAATGATGAAAATATTGATAGTGATATATTACAAATACAAATGATTATATTGAAGTCATTATGGGATATAACATCAGTTAAAGAAATGGATAATAATCTTTTAAACTTTTATGAGATATTAGTTCCAGTTGAGACCATCTATACAATCAAGGAATCACCCTATAAGAAGATATCATCACGATCCTTATTAGGATCTTTCATTTATAAAATCACTAGTGCATTTAATGTTCTTAAGTTTGATGAGATATTCTTATTATATGAAGCATTAGTTGGGTATAGAGAGCCATCACGACAATTTTATATTGATAATGGAGGAATTATAGAATCCAATGTCCCCTTAATGCAAAGAAAACAAGAAAATGATGTGATAGATGATAATGATGAATTGTTTTATAAAGCATTAAATAATCAATTAGCAGATATGATGGATACTGTTATACCCACCACCTCAGAATCAATCATCCAACAAAATACGAAATATCTTGCTGTGCCAAAACATGATTTACAAATTTTGTTAGATAAACAAATTCAATTATTGGAAACTAATGGTACTCCAACTCCTATGATTCTTAAAGATATAATGACCCTAATGACTTCCCCTAATTCCAATACTTCCCTGATTCAAAATGCCAACTTTAACAATTTACCATCATATTATTATATTCGATATTTAGAGAATTTGCATCAATGTGATTATAATGAAGCGTTTAAATCATTACATCAATATTTTGATTATATGGTATCATCAAATTCGAAATATTTTTATCATTTTGCGTTAATTTCAAAAGCATCATTACATGAATTCTTTGGTGAAGATGAACAAGCAATAGATTCTATAGAGGAAGCGATGTCAGTGGCTAGAGAACATAAAGATAATTCTGCTTTAACCTATATATTATCATGGTTATTTAATTTCATGAAGAACAAACCTCAATTATGGAATAAACAAACGTTTTTTAATAATAATGATGAAACTCAATTATTGAATTTCTTAATTGAAAAATCAAAACTGGTTTCATTATCATTATATTCTATGAGTTATAATTTTGAAACTTTACAAATCATGAATAATGGAGGATTAATGAATCAATATTTGGAAAGTATTATCAAATCGACTTATATTGCTATTAATGATCAGATTTCTACATTCACCAAATCAAGTGAAACCATGGCTATGGTATGGAGTAGGATTGGTAATAGTCAATTAAGTAATGTTTATACTGAGATATCGATTGATTCAACTGATGATGTTCGAGCCAAGATTCCTATTTTGATTCGACTTAATTTTTTAAAGTTTTATCGAGGAGAAACAGAGATTGGATTTAAGAATTTAACTAAATTAAAACTGGAAATCAATCAACAAGAAGATTATTCATTATATAAGACTGTTTATATTCGATGGATGATATTATTAATTCAATTGAATTTATTTAAGGGGAAATATCGGATCAGTAATGAATTAGTTGAGATTTTAATGGATAGTGAGATTAAAGATCTTGAATTAAAACATGAATTATATTTATTAAATATTGAAACTCAAATCAGTTTAAAGAACTATGCTAAAGCTATGAAATTAATTTGTGATAAATTGGATGGGAATTTAATTAACCAAAATGTTTATCTTAGTATTAAGTTGAATCTTATGAAATGTAAGTTATTCAATCAAAGTGAGAATTATTCCAAAAGTTTAATATTGTTGATTCAACAGATCCAATTAGGGAAGAAGATTGGATTTACTACGATTGTTGTGGAAGGATTTGCTTTATTTATTTCAACCTTGAATAATCTTGGTCATTATCAAGATTCATATGAATTAATGAATCAAGTCATGCCGATGGTGATTTCGATTGGGGATAAATTAGTCATATCCCAATGTTATTTTGAATTAGCTAAGATTCATTTTAAATTCTATCAAGATAGAAAGGATCAAGCAGAAGAGGATGAGGAGAATAATGAAAAGTTGTTTCATAAGGTTTTACAATATTTGAATTTAAGTATCTTAGGATTTAAAGATTGTTGTCATTTGATTGAATTACAATCATGTTTTAAATTTGAATTAGAGATTGCTCAATTTAAACAAGATCAATTATTAATTGAACATGCTCAAGATTCAATTGATAAGTTAAAGGTTAGATTTCTTGAAGAGCATAATTATGGATATGCTTGAAATGATGAAAAAGCGGTGATTATATTATATTTAGGAAAGTACAAAATAAACTATTATAAAAGATATACATAGGAGGGAGGATGGGGGAAGAGATTCTTCCAATTTTTATTCATAACGCTGATAGATATTATAGCAAGGGAAGTAAGGAGGGCATTGATTGAAATGATAACTATGAAAGATGATTAGATGGTAATAAATAAGTTAAATAAAATAAAAATGTTTTGTGAGGCCCTTCAAAGAAATTTCAGATTCAAAATTAAATCTATTTTGATTTATCGTCAGCATCCATTCTTGCTAAGATAAGAGAAGCTCCATTCAATTGAATTACATTAGCAAATTGTTTAAATAACCATACTGGAGCGGATAACCATGCTAATAACGTCCCTAACCAAAAATAATTATAATAATGTAAATAAATAGCGACATAAAATAATTCATTTAATAAACAAACCACGAAAAGAACAGTACGATTAGTATAATATAATGATAATACATAAGATTGTTTTGAATCGACATTTTTATGAGATGTTGAACCACTACTTTGCATAGCATACATATGCATATAATGAGAAGCCAAATCCAATGATACTAATAATTGCCATAATATAGTATAATTAGGATATATGGTAGCTAAATAAACAATCAATGAAGAAGTGGCACATCTATCAGTAACCATATCCAACACAGCACCGAATCTTGTACCTTGATTATATTTACGAGCAGCATATCCATCAAAGGCATCGAGGAATCCGGATATACCGTAAAAGAATAACGTTAATACAGGATGATTATTCATGAATAGGAAGGAAAGAATGGCAGTTATGATTCTGAAGTATCCAATCAAGTTGGGGATATAGAAGAAGATTTCTCTAACTTCTACTTTCTTCTTGATCGAAGTAGAAGATGATGATTTAGTAGTTGTTGGTTCTTGATCTATGGACATGGTGGGTAATAATTATTATGATATTGAAAAATGAAGATATGATGATTAATCCCAGGTATGAGTCTATAACTTTAGCCGATATAAGTAAAAGGAATTGAACAATTGGTGGTAAATGGATAACTTGAGTTGTTGAAAGTGTTCAAATCACAAGCTAAATGTAGCAAAACTTAAAAAAAAGAAGAAGTATATATATGAATGGGTAGGTAAGTGAGTACTGATGAATCCAATTAGAATGAACAAGAGCAGTGGAGTGGAGCTGAACAATGGATGAATCAAACCTATATGAGATCCAATAGTTTATATCATCAAATAGTTGAAGAGAGATTAACTATTGTTGACAGAGTGCTAACAAATATTGATTTGTCCTCAAAATATTTATTTTATTTCTGTTGTTTCCTCCTTTTTTTTTCACTGTTGATTTAGTCGTGTGAAATGGTTCAAATCGTTAAGTATGGTTATGATTATACCGGGTTATTAATGGCATATGAATGAAGGTTATAAGGTATGTAGTTGAGTAGAATATGTAGGCTGAGTGGTAAGTGATGTAATGATAACCAAATAAGGGAAAGCAATAGAGGAAGTGTGATATTTATAGTTGATCTGTACCATACATTGTACACTTATCTATCTATCTATGGTATATACGTCAATTTTATCCATAACTATACTAAATTGAATGGTAACTTAATAGTGATAATTGTAGATACAGATTACACCTAACTATACTCTACAACGCATCAGACCTTTCCCTTTTAACCCATGTAAGGTCATCCACTGTAACAAATTTTTGCACTCATTTCCAGTTACCAAACCTGCCACCAACGAAAAATTGAGTATCAAAAAATTTCTGCTTAAACTCTGGAGACGACTACAATTGATCCCTGTTCATTATATATCCTTTCATTATATCACCACAATGACAGACTATCTCAACTATAAGGTCAATCTAACATTGAAAGATGGTAGCAAACCAACTGGTGTCATCACTCATGTTGATAAAAATGGTATCACTCTTGGTAATGTTCTTGATCATCAACAACAATCGATACCAAATATTGATATCTTAAGTAATCAAATATCTGATTTGAAAGTGATCCAATTACCTCCTGAATTGTATAGATCGACTAAAAAGAACAATGGTAATAAGAAATCAAGACAATCGAACAACATCAATCCATTGGATGATGCTATTATATTCTCATCAAAAGATAGTGATTCTGATCAAACTCCAAAATCAACTATCAATAGATCAAATACTCCAAAATTAAAATCTCAAAAAGGTTCATACCACAATCAAGAAAATGATCCTGATTGGAATGGTGAAGGTGATGGTAATGTCAAATCCTTAACTGAATTTGATTTTGCGGCCAGTAATAAAATGTTTGATAAATCAACCGTATTTGCTGATTTTAAAAAGAAAGATACTATAAACCCTCATGATAGATTAGTAGGTCATAATAAACTTGAAAATGTTTTGAAATCAGCTGCTTCGAAATCAAAGAAGGATAAATATGAAATTGATGAAATGGTTCTTGATTCAAATAAAAAGGATAATTGGGATAATATTGGTAATACTAGTTCAAGAAGACAATCTAAATTTGAAAGATCAAAATCTCCTAATCCTGCTAAAGATAATACAGTATCCCATACTAATCTTAAACTTGTCGATTCATTATCTTTAAATCCAATTAATCTTGCTTCTCCAGTTCAATTATTAGAAGTTGAAAGATTAAGTTCAATCTCTTATGGTATTACTCCATCTATAACTTCAGAAATTGCCGCCTCAAACTTATCTCAATTAATAACTAATACCATCTTAGGTGGTTCAACTCGTTTAAGTAATAAAAAGAATCATAATTTACCTCCTTTAGTCCTTTTATTAATTGGATCATCAAGAGTTGGAAGTCGTGCCTTTGCAACCGGTCGTCATTTAACTAATCATGGAGTTAGAGTATTAGCCTATGTTATTAATGATGAAATAACAGATGAAGATCAACCTGAAGAAGATTCAACCAAAGAACTTTTATTACAATGGAATCTTTTCGAACATACCGGTGGAAAAATCATTACTAGTGATTTCACTGATCTTTTGGATATTATAAATAATCAATTAGATACTCCTGTTGAATTAATCATCGATGCATTACAAGGTTATGATGATCATTTAGAAGATTTATTCTATGCTGAAAATGATACCAACAATCTTAATCATCTTATAAAATGGTGTCATGAATCATACCAACAATCAAGAATAATGTCCTTAGAAATCCCCTCCGGTATAGATGGTGGATCAGGTACTCTCACCAACGAAGCATGGAGTATCACATGTCATTGGTGTATTTCATTCGGTATACCTGTTACAGGATTATTATTAGCTTATAAAAATGGTCAATTGGATGTTGAAAATGATGATATTTCGCATTATCTTATTGATATCGGTATTCCGAATAAAGTATATAATTCCAAGAGTAATCTTAGAAAGTTTGATAAGTTCTGGTATAGTGCTGATTCAATTATCAAACTTGATATCACTGATGTATAAAACCTTGTGTATAAAATTGAATTTAATTAATTGTAAACTAGCATCCATATATATATATAATTAGACATGGTTGGTAATTTTGGCCATGATCCCGCGTAGTTTTGAGCACTAACTGTCTTTTTTTTTTCAACTGGTTTTTGTTGTGTGCGAGTTTTTTTAACAACATCAACAGAGACAGTAATTAAGAGATCAACCATAATAATCATCGTCGTCAATTCCATTTAGAAAAGGTATAGACTTGTCATAGAGATTGATCGATATGTTTGGATCATCTAATCAACCCACAGCAGGTGCGACGAATAACAGTTGGGGTGCATCGAGTGGATTTGGTGGTACTTCAAATTCTCTCTTTGGCAACTCAGCTACTAATAATAATAATAACAATGCATCAGCAACAACTGCCAGTGGTGGATTATTTGGCAAACCAATTGGAGGTACAACTAATGCTCCTAATGGTTCTACCTTAGGTGGGAGTTTGTTTGGAAATTCAAATAATGCTGGTCCTACAGCTGGAGGTGGATTATTTGGTAATTCTCAACCTCAACAATCATCTACATTAAATACCAATACTGGAGGAGGATTATTTGGTAAACCTTCAGCATCATCAGGATTATTTGGTTCCTCTATTACACCAAATCAACCACAGCAAAACACCACTGGTGGATTATTCGGTAACACCTCATCTCAACAACAACAACAACCATCTGGAGGTTTATTTGGAAATTCAACCCAACCAGGTCAACAACAACAACAACAACAACAACAACAACCATCGTCAGGTTTATTTGGAACTAAACCAGCAGGTTCTTCATCATTATTTGGAGCATCGACAAACCCAGCTCCATCAGGAGGATTGTTTGGATCAAGTCAACCGTCAGGGGGATTGTTTGGAAGTTCAGGTCAAAGTTCAGGTGGACTCTTTTCAAATTCCAATCAAATAAATCAAACCCAACAGAGTCAATTACCTTCTGTTAATACCATAAATCCATATAATTATAATAATGTCATCACTAATATTCAAAACACTTTGAATTCCATGCCAGAGTCTATCACCAGTAATATATTTCTTGAATCAGATAAGAAAGATTCTCAAATAAAGAGACGTTTCTCATATTTAGAAAAGAAACCAGAAAGTACCCTTGCATCAAATTCTTCAAATTCATCACCATCTATATTAACCAAACTTGGAAGAACGTTTAGAATCTTTCGTAATCCAACCTCATCATTAGCATCCATTGGACAATCCTTCAGAGGTATATTTTCTGATTCTGATCCAAAAAAGAGCATAAATTCCATCACTAATACTGCTACAAGTGCTGCAACTCAGCAAAGTAGAGTATCTAAACCTGTATTCGCTAGATCTTCTAATACCAGACACGCAGGAAGTATGAAACGATTAATTATAAAATCCAAACCTATGAAATTTTATTTAATCGATGCTAATAAAGTCATATCCTCCAAAAAGAGAAAGGTCATTCCAAATGTGGTTCTGTCTGATAAATTATTATCAGAGAAGTATTATTCAAGTGACGATGAATCAGATGAGGAAATTGATTCATCTCAAAAGACATTTAATAGATTTCCTTATAATATCTCTTCCAAAGAAGATGGTGAAAGTAGTAAATCAAAACCAATTTTGGGAGAAAGTGTTAAACTGCCGGAGCCAAAAGCAAATAATATCATTAATGAAGAAATAAATGGCTATTGGAGTACTCCAACCATACAGGAATTATCCTCAATGTCATTAGCACAACTTGCTGGAATTGAAAACTTTATTATTGGTAGAGTTGGGTATGGTCAAGTTGCTTATAATTATCCTGTTGATTTATCTCAAATTGCTACCAATGCCAAATCCAAAAATATTTCCTTTGAGGAAGAATTATTTGAAAATACAGTACTGATCAGACATAAACATGTGATTGCCTACCACAATGATGAAGCCAATAAACCTGCTCTTGGGTTTGGATTAAATATACCAGCAACCATAACATTGGAAGGAGTATCTCCTACCGAAAGTGAATCAGCTGCTGATTTCATCAGATACTTACAACAAAGAAAAGGAATGGAATATGTCACTTACGATCCAATAACTCATGTTTGGATTTTTAAAGTTAAACATTTCAGTATATGGGGGTTAGTAGATGATTCAGAAGCTTTACTTGAAATGAAACGAAAGCAAGATATTCAGGAGGATCAACATGATATTGAATATTCTAAATTATATTCAAATGAATCATATCTTAAAGAAATCAAAAAGCAAAAGATTGAGAACGAAACCAAAGATTTACCAGGAGGTTGGAATTTAAATACTAATAACAATAATAATCCATTAAATATAAAAAGAGGATTAGTTGCCCAAGAAATTGAAAGTCAAATTGATCAATTCAATAATAGCGATGCTATTGCTTTAAGTAAGATTGTTAATGATATCACCATACAGGATAATTATGAAAACGCACTGCCATTAGAAGAACAAGAAAGTATTCTTGATGATATTCTGTTTGATGAAAATGAAAATAAATTGGATTATTTAAAACAACTCGTTAGTTTCCTTCCTCGTGATGTTAATTTTAATGAGATCGTTAACGAAAAAGTTTATGAACCCGAAATCACTAATGATGCTATTTTTGATAGTATTCAAACTAAACCTAATTTACCAGTATCAGATGATTGGTTAGTTCAATTAGAATTGGCTAATGATTTAAATTCATCTTTGACTCCATTTGCAGCGGCTACTGAAAATGTTGGTGGTAAAGGTGGTAAAATTTCAATCAATGCCGTGGATGACTTTTTGTTTTCTGATTTCAATAAATCTTTAATTGGTAAAGATCAAGTTTCAACTCCAAATAATTTTTCAGCTAAAGTTAAAAGCATTGATACAAAGTTAAATTTATCAGTAAGTTCAATCGTATCTATATTGTTAGCAAAATCATCCGTATCAACGAGATCAAATACTTTCCCAATAATTAAAAAGTCAAGTCCTATTAAGATTTCGGAATTTTCAAATATTGATAGGTCATCTCCTAGTGAATCGCAATTAATTTCACTTGCTTCAGCTCTTTTTGACGAACAAACTGGTGAATACGAGAAACAAGTTTCAAAAGATGATTCAGAGTTATTAGCACATGCTTCTGAATTATCAAAGAAGAAAGTATTTGGAAATTGGTTAAAGTCATTCAACTCTAAAGCCATTAAATTGTTGATAGAACAAAATCAAAATGATCCATTAGAATTAGCATTCACTTATATCTGTGCAGGAGAAATCAAATCTGCTATTCAAACTGCTTTAAATTCTGATAATCCTCATTTATCAGTGATATTGACTTTGGTTGATTCCAATGATGAAAATATTCAAAATATCGCTGCTAGTCAGATTGAAAGTTGGATTGAAAGTGATAGTTTAGAGTTAATTCCATCTTCTATTGTTAAAATATATCAAGTGATAGCGGGATTGCTCGATGAAGTAGTGGAAGAATTACCTTGGAATATTGCCTTAGCTATCAAATTATTCTATGGTGATTCCAGTTTGAAACTTGAGGAAGTCATTAAGGAAGTTTATGATAGTAATCTTTCTGGATCCAAATTTGGTGAACTGACTGAAGTTATTGATATTTTACAGTTATTTTATCAACAACAAACTGAAGGCAAAGATAAGGCACTTGAAACCATTAGAAATTCATCTTTAAGTAAGTTATTAAAATGGTTATTTTATGATATACTTTCCACTGATGATTCAAGTTCTGATTTTGATGAATTAACTTACGATCTTGGTAATTATTTACAAGAACAAGGATTATGGAAAGATTCATTATATGTTCTTGCTCATTTATCCAATGATGTAAGAGCAAAAGATGCTATTAGAAATGTGATTATCTCTAATACTGGATCTATCAAAGGATCAAACTATGATGAAGAACCATATTTGGTTGGAACTTTAAAAATTCCTCATACTTTAATCTATGAAGCTATCGGAATAAAGAACCATAGTGAGAAGAAATATTGGGAAGAATGTGAAGCTTATATTACTGCTAAATTATGGGATAATGCTCATGATACCATCATTAAACAATTAGGTCCTGCTACTGTTATTGCTAATAGTGATGAATTAAAATCAAGATTCTTACAAGTATTAACTCAATTTCCACAATCAGGATTAATTATATCAGATTGGAATAAAGGGGCAGGTATTTATCAAAATTATTTCAATATCATAAATAATCCAAACGATATAACTAGTTTGAAATTCCTTCTTGCTAATATTCCAGTGGTTAAAGAAAGTTCAAGTTTCCAAACCAAATGTGCGCTAAAGATAATATCGAAAAAAATAGGTGATCTCGCTATAATTAATGCTTCTAACATTGAAGACCCCGAACGAAAAGTTAAAGCCTTATTCTTAGGCTCTACAGAACGTAAATACTTTGATATTCGTTTACAACTGATATGTATATAGAGCAAGTTAAATATTTAATATAAAATTTTGTATTATACTACACACGTGACTTTAAATTTTGTCCTGTACATAAAATTTTGTTAAGAAATTTTTACAAAAAGAAATCAAATATTAGTCAGATATAACAAAGCCCGATATTTAAATTATAATAATACGATATTAGATACTATCAACATATAGGAGATGGCGCCTGTTAAAGATATATCGAAGACACAGTTACAAGCACCCGAGCCTGAGCATTGTCCAGGACCTGAATCTGAACAAGCTGGGAAAGAAGATGCTTGTAATGGATGTGCTAATCAAGAAATATGTGCATCACAAATACCCAAGGGACCGGATCCTGATTTACCATTAATTAATAAACGACTTTCACAGATCGATCATAAGATCTTGGTGTTGTCTGGTAAAGGGGGAGTAGGGAAATCTACTTTCACCTCGATGTTATCATGGGCCTTGGCTGCTGATGAAGATATAGAAGTTGGAGCTATGGATTTAGATATTTGTGGACCATCATTACCCCGAATGTTAGGAGCAGAAGGGGAATCTGTTCATCAATCGAATTCAGGATTATCACCTGTCTATGTGGCGGATAATCTTGGATTAATGAGTATATCATTTATGTTACCTGATCCTGATTCGGCTATTATTTGGAGAGGAGCTAAAAAGAATGGATTAATTAAACAATTTTTAAAAGATGTGAATTGGGGAGATCATCTTGATTATTTAGTGGTTGATACTCCCCCTGGTACATCTGATGAACATCTTTCAGTAACGTCATATATGAAAGAAGTTGGGATAGATGGTGCCTTAATTGTTACTACTCCACAAGAAGTTGCACTTTTGGATGTACGAAAAGAAATTGATTTTTGTCGTAAAGCAGGAATAAAGATATTAGGATTAGTTGAAAATATGTCAGGATTTGTTTGTCCTAATTGTAAAGGAGAATCACAAATATTCAGAGCTACAACTGGTGGTGGTAAGAAATTATGTGAAGATTTGAATATTCCATTTTTAGGAGCTGTACCATTAGATCCTAGAATTGGAAGATCTTGTGATATGGGAGAAAGTTTCTTTGATAGTTATGCTGATTCTCCTGCTGCTACTGCTATTTTAGATGTAGTTGATGCATTAAGGGATCTGGTTGAATTAAATATTAATAATTTAAGCATTTAGAGATGAAAGGTTTACCTTGTTTCTCGTTATATATATAAATTTGGTTTATCATTAGGTAGTATTATAGGTATAGAGTTAATTAATACAAAGTTTTGCATTAAATAGTATTATGATATTTGCTTAGCAATGTAGACCTCACACTCCCTCGCGTAAAAAAATAAAGTATATACAGATGAGGGTTGATGTTTACAAAAATAGCTTCTCCACGATTCAACTAGAGTTTAAGGGATGAATCATGGGTGGAACAGATATAGAAAAGTTCATTAGATCGAATCATAACTTTCGAGAATCAAGACTACGATCATTATATTCTAATTTCGATAGACAGAAACAATTAAATCCTGAAGGATTTGATGCTAATATCATCGCTTGGAAACATCTCTTACATGATTTATTAAAATCCCATCAATATCATGATTCATCATTAGTATCATTTCCAGTTATTAATCCTAACTTGAGTCAGTATTTGAGTTTACCTATCTATGGACGTCCATTGAGTCTTGGAACTGTGCTTGATGAATTAGTCTCCAGTTTTATTCTTATTCCTTATTCGGAATATTCGAGGGTTAATCAATCATATTTTGATATTATCAGTTCGAATCATTCATTATTGGAGTATATATCACCTAAGCATTGGATTCAATGGGGATTGGAGAATTTCGGATTATCTAGTCATTTTACATCTATCAATAGTAAAGGAGAACTTTATGATGAACGATATATTTCATGGGAGATATTAACTAAACTTGGAAATGATTTATTAAAGTATGTGGAACAAGAAGAGATCAATAATCATGGCAGTTATTCAAGTAAGTTATATGATAATCAACGATTATATGATTTGGTTAAGAAGAAAGAACCCAAGTTATCAACCCTTGATTTTGATATTATATTGATATACTTCTCACGAGATTTACAAAAATGTAAGATAAAAAGAGTGAATGAGAAAGTATATATTAAATTCATTATGAATGAGATAACGGATAGTGATATGGGGATTATAGATTTAGAAACATCATTATTTAATATTGATAAGAGAAATCGATCGTTAAAACGTAAGATTGAAGATATTGATCAACAAATTCAAGAATTGATAAGTAATAAGAAGATCAAATTAGATGATGTAAGGGATAGATTAAGACATTTTCTTCAATTGAAGAAAATATTCAATCAATCATTGAATAAAGGGATTAGTTCATATAGTGAGTTACAATTAATCTTAATTAAGATTAATGATTCTAATCAAAATATTGATATTTATCAACAATTAGTTACTAGTAATCAAATTTTAAAGCAATTAAATTCGCGGATTAATTTTAGTGATATAACCGATGTGAAGGAAGAATTAGGGCAAGAATTTGTTAAATCGGATGAGATATCGGATAGGTTGAATATGGAATTGATTGTTGATGATTCTAGTATTGAAGAAGAATTACAAGAATTATATAGAGAAGTTGAAGTAAGGGATGATAAAGATAGGGAGAGTTTAAATAGGGATCATGCAGAAGTGGTGAATAAATTAGGGGCCCTAACAATAGATGCGACTTCCCTCCCTAAAATAAGTACCCGTACTGAGAGTGATAATGAACAGGGAAAACAAGCAGTAAAAGTGGGCGGAGAACCTAACAAGAAAGTGCAATTGGAAACGACGTGATTATATGTGTTATATATATATAGTATTACAAGTTATAATATACGAAAGGGAATGGGATATGTGATACTAAGCAGTTTGTTCGTGTATGTATGTATGCTCGGTGTTACTCGTAGTTTGACGACGATAACAATAAAACGGGGAATATACCTAACAATACACCAATATTATTTTAAGTTTGATTCAATGAATATTATGAATGGTTTGACTTTAGCTGTTATATATATATAGTTTCATCAATAAGACGCGTTAATGGTATCAATAACTACAGTATGATTCTTTTACATTGTTAGTGAAGAGTCTAGAGCCTAAAATTAGATTTCTTACACAAAATTATCGTAATTTCACAATGAAAAAAATAGCCGTTCCTGTATATACGCCATTTCATTTTTCTCTCCCGCCTTTAAAAAAAAAATAAATAATTACGATCAGTAAATTATTTTACAGCACATAGTTAAGACTTCTTGGCTTAATTAGGGAGAATTAATCAATTAGTGAAGAAGAGGAGGAAGGAGGAGTTTTACAGCACATCAAATAAATAAATAAATAACGGTTAAATTCATCAACAATCCGTTCATTCATCATATCATTCATCATATCATCATTAACTGAACTTCAATCCATCAATCTATCGCACCATATAAATTCTAGATTGTCTCAACCGTGGAATTCCTGATCTAGCCCTCTGATCTCAATCGTACCATAATAAATAAATAAAAATCTATTTATACATACCATCCCATTTACTTGGCTGTCATTTTACTTCGTTATTTATTTCCAAGGTATTATCTAAATACCTTCGTGTCCAAATCTGATTTACATTCACTAAGATATTTCTTATCAAGTTAAGTTAATTAAGAGTATCCCCCCAATCCATCTCTCCCTTACTTCTCAAGAGGACACATCACTACCACATTTTTAATTCATCCCCATTAAAATAATTTGTTTAACTTTCAACCAAGTAAGATCAAATTAAGTAAGGATAATTCACACATTCTTCCTTTCATAACCCTTTTTCACACATATCACCTCAATTGTTTTCCCAAATCTCCCCCATTCTTATTTCCCATTACAGTTATAGATTGAATTACCACTAGGAAGATCCTGATCCTCATTACATCATCCCTATAATATAAGACCCTTTCCTTACCTTACCTTACTACTTATATTATTTACGGGCACAGAGATTTATTTTTTAACGTGTTCCCTTGTCTCCTCCCTAAATTATTTCTTTCCAATTATATTGAAAAGTTACTATATATAATATCCATTACCCACCACATCAATTAATCAACTAACTATCAAGTTAATCTTATTATTTATTATCAATCCCTTTATTACGAATTAATGAATCTTCATATATAGAATATACTCCCAAAAGATGACAAAAATAAAGATATTTCAAAGACTTAAATATCTTTTCAAACTGAATCGAAAATTCACTTATTTCATTATTTTAACCCTTAATATCTTTGGAATATATTACTTATTCTATAGTTCAATATCATCAATTACAACCACCACTTTCTCCATCTTAGGTTTCCCTCCTAATTCTTTAACTTCATCCATTTATAATTCAAATAATTTAAATTTAGCTTATTTTGGAGCTGATTTCGCTCCTGCTCTTTTAAATTCAAAAATTTCCGATATAGAAGTTCAAAAATGTTTTATGGATAAACATTGTTCAATCCCAAAGGGGTATAAACGTCTTTTACCTCCCATCAATTATCATGATCGATCAACCGCTTCCGAATTGAAATCAACTACCATGTCAAATGAATATATCTTAGTGAAAGTAGTACCATTAACAGAAAAGAATTCACGAGCTTTAGTAGAAGTATCATTTTCCCCATTTAATGTTGAAGTTGGAAATGATTATGAAGTTAAAGTAGTCCCTATGAATGATGGTAAATATGTTTTATATACCAAATATTTTAAAACTGAAAATATTCCTTCTGATTTACCGTTAGTTTTGAATATTGATTTATTATTTGGAACTCATGATATGAATGATCCAAGACCTCATTATTATTCAATCCATCCTCCAAATGATAATCAACTGTTTAAAAGTAAAAGAGCTGACATTAATGATCTTGAGGTTGATCAACCAGTTGCTCCTGCTGCTCCTGCTGCTCCTGCTGCTCCTGCTGCTGCTGCCGCACCTGCTGCTGCTGCCGCACCTGCTGAACCTCAGAAGAATGTTGTGGTTAAACCTGGTATTTTAGGTGCTCCCGAACCACAAGGTGAAGTTAAAGCTGCTGTTCAACCTCAAGGTGAAGTCAAGGCTGCTGTTGAACCTCAAAATCCTCCAGCCGGTCATGCCCCTGCTCCTGCTGCAGCAGCTGCTAATCAAAACGATGACGTGGCTGCTGCTGTTGAACCAGCTGCTGCTGCTGCTCCTGCTCCTGCTATCAAACATGCCAAGCCTCAACCAGGTCAACCTAAAGCTGCTGCTGTTGTTCCTGCTGCCGCTGTTGCTGGAGACCAACAAGATGATGATGGAGAACTTAAATTCGTTGATCCGCCAAAGTTACCAGAAGTTCCAAAAGCCCCAGAAGCTCCAAAGGCTGCAGCCGCTGCTGATGCTGCTGGTAATCAACCTGAAGGTGCTAAAGAAGCAGAAGCCCCAAAACCACCTGCTGCTCCTGCACCTGCTAAAGAAGATGCTCCCAATCCTCCTGTTGCAGCTAAACAACCAGAAGCCGCAAAAGTACCAGAAGCTGCAAAAGTACCAGAAGCTGCAAAGGCTCCAGAAGCTGCAAAGGCTCCAGAAGCTGCAAAGGCTCCAGAAGCTGCAAAGGCTCCAGAAGCTCCAAAATCTCCAGAAGCTCCAAAATCTCCAGAAGCTCCTAAACAACCGGAACCACCAGTTGAAGAAAAGGGTGATGGCAACCCACCACCGCCAGCTACTGAAGAAACTAAACAAGAAGAAGATGATGATGAAGCTAAATTCTTTGGATTTTTCGGATCAAGTGGAAAACCTCAAACAGATGCTAAACCAGCTATTGAAGCTTTACATCCTATAATTTCATTATTTAAATTATCAGTGAATCAACATCAACATTTCCTTAATGATTTCAAACAATTGGCTTATCAACAACAAAATCAAGTTGTTTATACTCAAGATTCTAAATTTAAAATCTTACAATTATCCGATTTACATTTTGGTCAAACTTCAGGAAGATTAAAGTGTTTAGATTGTGAACCCCCTGTTTTATCAAGTGATTATAAAACTTTAAATTTTATTGAAAATTCAATTCAACAAGAAAATCCGCAATTTATAGTTATTACTGGTGATTTAATTGATTTAAGTCGAAGTTTAGATTATAAATCGATTATTTTGAAATCTTTACAACCGATTATACTGAAAAATATTAAATTCGTATATACTTTTGGGGATGAATTTGAAGATAAAACGGATAAGAAAGAAATTAAAGAAATTAAAAATTCAATTGTGACGTTTTTAAGTTCAATTCCAACTTGTTATAATATATTAGTTAATCAAGATTTACATGGGGTAACGAATTATAATATTAAAGTTATGAGAGATGAAAAAGAAGTGGGATTCATGACAACTTTAGATTCTGAAAAACAAATCATTAAAGATAATCAAATTAATTATCTTTATAGAATAAATCAAAATTCAATTAAAGATAGTCGAATTTTTAAATTATTATTTTTCCATTATCCAATTCCTCAATTTAGACCCCCAGGTAAATTTAAAATCATTGGTGAATATAATGAAAAACATCCATTAGATTCTAAAACCAATGTGAAATTCCATAATGATATAGTTAATTGTGGATATAATGTGGTCTCAGTAGGTCATGAACATGAAAATGATGCTTGTATTCAAAGTGATTTGAATGATAAGGATGTTTGGTTATGTTATAATGCTATCACGGGAGATTCTGGACTTACTAATATAAATGCAGATTATGATCGTAAATTAAGAGTATTTGAAATGGATTTTGATTTAGTAAGATTATTAAGTTGGAAGAGAAGTGAACGTGAAAACAAGGCGTTTGATCATCAATTGATTCATCAATTTTAGTGTATAAAGAGGAAATAATTAATTAAATAAATAAATAAATAAATTGTGTTTATATGTACCAAATAAATATTAGTCACCAAAGGATTTAAATAGATCAGAATATGATTTTATATTGAAAGATAGTTAAATCTTTAAAAGGAACATAGAACGGGAAATAACTAACTAATTTAATTAACTAAATATCTCTTTTCAGCTTCTTTCCAATTGATAACATTCCAAATAGCTTTGAAATAATCAACTTTAACATTTTGATATTGTAAGTAATAAGCATGTTCCCAAGCATCAATAGCAACTAATGGGACTAGTGGACCAGTAACAGTATCTTGATTGGCAGTAGTGACAACATCAAGAGAACCACCATTTTCTTTATTTTTAACGATAAAAGCCCAACCTGAACCTTGAATACCAGCTAATTTAGCATTGGTAATAGTTTTTAAATTATCTAAAGAACCATATTGTTCAATGATTCTTTTAGCAAATTCACTATCATCAGTTGGAGGTTCACCACCACCTTGCTTTTCAGGAGTTAAATTTTTCCAGAATAAACAATGATTAGTATAACCTCCACCATGGAAATTAATTAATTTTTGTAATTCAATGGTTTTTTTAACTTCACCTTTAGCCTTGGCTTCAGCATGTTGTTCAATGGCTTGATTATAACCAGCAACATAAGTAGCATGATGCTTAGTATAATGAAGTTCATTAATTTGACTTGAAATATGTGGTTCTAAAGCACCAAAATCCCAATCTAAATCAGGTAAGGAGACTTTAGTTCTAATGGCTCCAATGGAGGAACCAATTGAACGAGCAGTGATTGAACGTTTGACGTTGGATCTTAAAGTAGATGAAAGCATGTCTATAACGAGTCAATTGATGATAAAGAAGTGAAATCAAATATTGTTGATAATTATAAAACGTGATTTATATTTGGTTGGTTGGTTGGTTGGGTTAAAAAATAGCAATTTTGAAATTGGGGGATGGATGAGAATTCGAGATTTGTTAGTGAGAGAGAGAGATAAACGCATACTATAATATTACAGTACTTTACGCTAGCTATATATATATACTATATTTTATAACTGATATCGTTACAATTACATAGGCAGATCATCTACAATGATAGTATAATTTAACTTTATATTAGTAAATTTGTGAAAAGGATAGAGATCTAGACTCTAACTGTGGAGGGATAAGAAGGAGGGAGTCATCTAGTTGTAGTGCGGCAGGGATGTTTTTACTAAATAATCAAATTCAATTGGCTCAATCAGATTTTAGGTATAAATCTGATCTCGGATCCTGAAAAATTGGTAAAAGTTATAAAATTGTAAAGTAAGGGAGATCAAGAACGGTAATTCTGGATGTGTGATATGAATGAATATGTAAGGGAATGATTATATGCTGTGGTCTTGAGGGTGAAGCTTAAACCGTAAAATTATTGCTTGGCTCGTCTAATAATAATTTATCATCGAATGTGCTCAGCAAATGATTATAGCAATGGAAGAATGGGGTAAATAATAATGAGCTAGTGTTGCTCTTTCTTGGTCTATTGTCAATAACTTAAGTTGGTCTGGTGTTTTTATGGCCTTAACTCGTACTCTTCATCCTTATCAGGACAAATCAGTAACAACCTACCGCTAATACTTCTACTTGCCCATTTTGCAGCTGATGTTTGAATTCGCGCCCAATCACATTGATTATACTAAAACAACTATGATTTATTAACTATACATGCAATACTATCTATTTATAAAGTAATAAGAAAGTATAACTCTTCTACATTCTATCTACTGGAGTTAAACCTAATAAAGTCATACCATTATATAATACTTGTTTGGCACTGGCATATAAGGCTAATCTTGCTAACGCAAGTTCCTTCTCTTGACCTGCAACCCATAAAATATCATAACATTGAGATACAATATGAGTTAAATTGAATAAATAAGTCACAACAGTTGAAGGTTCATGAGTCTTTAAAGCCTTTTTAATAATATCAGGATATTGAGCAATGGTTCTAACTAAATTAACCGCAGATGGTTCAGTTAATAAACTTAAATCAGCTTTTAATAATTCTGATTCTTCAATACCTGATTTTCTTTGGACTGAACTTAATCTTGAATGGGCATATTGTAAATATGGTCCAGTATCACCTTCAAATGATGTCATTCTATCCCATTTAAATTCATAATTATTAATACGTTTCGATTGCATATCTTGAATCATAACAGCACTAATACCAACTAAATCAGCAATCTTATCAGGATCTTCAATTTGAGCATATTTAGCTTCATTCTTTTTCATAACTTCATGCATTTTTTCTTTAGTTTCTTGTAAAATATTATCTAAGAAAACAACAGTACCTTTTCTAGTTGACATACCTAAGACCATACCGAAATTAACATGTTCTAATTTATTAGCCCAATCGAAACCCATTTGTTTTAAAATTTCAAAAAATTGTTGACAATGTAAATCTTGTTGAGATGCAACCACATAAATCATTTTATCAAATTTAAAATTATTATATCTTTTAATAGCTTCACCCACATCTCTAGTTAAATAAAGTGAAGTACCATCAGATTTTTCAATAAGACATTTACCTAATTTTTTATTAAATTTAGTTAAATCAATTAATTTAGCACCTCTATCAACATGAACTAAACCCTTTTCTTCAAATAATTTAACAGCATCTTTCATTGATTCTTGAGAAACTTGTGATTCTCCACTATAAATATCATAAATAATATTAAGACGTTTATAAGTATCAATATATTTATCAATGGATAATTTTCTAAATCTGGCCCAAATCTTTAAAGCTTCTTCATCACCATCTTCCATTCTTCTGAAATAAGCTTTAGCAGCTTCATTAGTTGGAGATTCATCTCCTTCTTCAGTAATATCCTTATTGATCTTAACATAAACTTCAAATAAATGATTAATTGGATCATTGGTTAATTGTTCTTCACTACCATATCTATCGAATCCAACGGCTAAAATACCAAATTGTTTACCCCAATCACCAAGATAATTAATTCTAGTAACTTTATAACCGGCTTTTTCATAAAGATTACTTAAAAACCCTCCAATAATAGTTGATCTTAAATGTCCAGCATGGAAAGGTTTAGCAATATTTGGGGATGAAAATTCAACAATAATCGATTTATTTTGTCCAATACCGGGTAAACTACCAAAATTAGTTTTATTAGCTAAAGTATCATTAATAGTTAAACTTAATAAAGTTGATTGATTAAAATAAAATTGTAAAAATACACCTTGAGGTTTAATTTCTTCAATATATTTCCCTTTAATGAATTGTTGGGAAATTTCTTCAGCCTTTTCCTTTGGATTACCCTTTAATTTCAATTGAGGTAATGGTAAGATTAAATCCCCTTTATCTAAAGTAGCTGGAGTATTTAAAGCATTATAAATAACTTGAACATCAATTGAAGTTAATTTATGTAATTCTTGAACAATATAGTTTCTAAAGATATCAACCACGTTATTTTCAGGGTTTGAGCCTGGGATTTCAAGTTCAGGCTTTTCTAATCCTAATGAAGTTAAGCTAGAAGTAATTGAATCAACAGTAGTCATGGTGGAAGTTGGATAATGATTTATAAATGATAATCTAGAAGTGATGGATAATTGTCGAACGAGTAAACTTGATGATATGTTTGAACTATACGAGACGAATTTGAATTTGGGAACAATTGAATGAATGGATTTCAATAATAATCTCATCAACTAACTTATAGTTAACTTGTTCCTGACTTTATACAAGAAGATTCAAGTATATATATCTATCTACTGATGGTTGACTATGATCAGAAATTACTCATTTGGTGAAATAAAAATTTTTAGCAGCGATGGTGGTAAATGTCCTGTATACAAGGTATCACTATCATTAGCATTGATACAGATATGATTTGAGTTATACAAGGTTGGAAGATGTTAGTCATAATAAAGACGGAATGGGTAGCTGACCAATAAGTAGAGTTAAGATGAAAAAAATCAATTAGAAGTGTCTAGAAGAGTAGAAAAGACTGTTGTAATCGAATGACACAATTCGATCGTACACCGGTGATTGATAAATATTACATTCAAAATGGATCAGTTGTGGCATAAAGTCAATGACTAATTACATTCTAACTGTTACTACTCCAAACCATCTTCAATGATACCATTTATAGTTATTTAAACCATTAAATCTATATCGACCTAAAATGGCTGTAAAAAGGGACCTTACAAAAACCAATTCCTGCATATACTCCCAAATCATGACAACATTTTAAAGATCCCACAAATAGGATTTGGAAATGGCAACCAATCCACCCTCCCACCAATCCCTTTGATCAACCATCGTTATAGAGCCATCAATAGATATCAATCCAACTCATAGATCCAACTCATAGGTACCGTTAATGAAGATGGATGATTTGAACATAGCTCGATTGATGGAGATGGGATTCTCTAGAGAGAATGCCATTGATGCTTTACATCAATCTCAAAATGATTTAGAAAAGGCTATTTCATTTTTATTTGGTGATCATACTATTGTAGGAGATAATTTCCCTCCTGATGAAAATGATGAAAATACCGGTATGGATAATAATCATGCTTTAGTTCTTTATGATGAAGATACTGTTAATATTCGAAATCCAGAAGATATCCCTATAAGTAAATTACAGCAATATAGTCATAATAGTAATCATGAATCAAAGGCTTTACCACGTCCTCCTCCTCCTCCTCCTCCACCACCTCCTCCACAACCACCAGCTGGTCCACCTTCAGCTGGTCCACCATCACGTGGAGGCGGAGAAGCTAAATTATATGCCACTACGATATTGAAGAATAAAAAGCAATTCATTGATGATATTGAAACCAATTCCGCTGATAATTATGATATTCATTCAGGAATGAATGAAGAATTAGATGATGAAGATGATGAAGATGAAGAAGATTCCATATATGAAAAAGTTCAAAATTATGCAAGAATTGATAATTTCCCTCCTGTAATTTTAAATCAAACTGCCACATATCTTGAAAATTATATTATCCCATTAATTGTAATATTATCTCAATATGATAAATTCAAATATCAATTATTAAAACCTGACCATACTCATTTCAATTATGGATATTCAAAACAATGGTTTCAACATGATAGTGATTTGTCAATTGATATTCCCGATCAATTTAAAACGGGTGAATCATCCTTATCATATCGATTTATGATTGAAATTCAACGATTATTTGCATTTTTATTACCCGATTATAGTAAACGATCATTCATGTCAGGACAGATCTTATTAAATCAATTACCTACTGAATTTAATTATGAACTTAATAATGATCGAATTGAAGATATAGAAGATTTAATTAAGAAATTTTATCATATTTTAAATTCAGAATATGATAAAGTATTCAAATCAGAAACTGATCAAGGGTTCATGCATGATTTATTCACATCTACAATTGAAAGTATTCGAGATGATGATATAGAAGAAGGTGGAGGTGGTGAAGGTAGTTCAAGAAGTGGGATTTCAGTTATTCCTATTGATTATGATACCAGATCTCGAGATTTATTTAGTACGATAAGTTCAATGTTTTGGAATGATGAAATTATGGATGATGAATCGATTGGAAGTGTTCGATTTGATGATATTTCTCCGATTATAACTTTCCAATTAAGTGGAGATGATGAAGGATTCCAAACTCAACCCTTTAAAATCGATGAATATTTTTATCCTGAATTATTTAGTTCGAAATATATTCGATTAATTAGAGAAATGAATTTTAAAAAGAAGAAATTAGTTGAACTGAGAAATTCATTAACTCAGAATATTCTTAGTTTTAATTCATTTGAAGGGAAACCCATAAAGAAAATTTTGAATCATTCCTTAGAATTTTTAAAAACGATTCATCAAGATGAATCAGATGAAGGTGAGATTGTTCAAGATTTAACTAATTTAACCGATTCGATACGACATATCACTACTGATTTAACTACTGAATTACATTCCTTAAGCTCAAAGAATTTACAATATGATATTAAGAATTGTGATCAAATCTTGAAATATATTGAATCAAATTTAGATGATCATTTAAGTGAGATGCCAAAGAGGTATATTTTAACGGGAGTGATTACCTCCGATACGGAATATTTCTATAAAGTGAAGACCAAGAAGTCACAAGAAGAGGAGGATGTTGAGGTTGAAGTTGCAACTTTGTTTGATTGGGTTCATGTTACTTGCTTTACGAATGGAATGAAGAAAGTGATTGATTTTACGATTGATTATATTGAATTTAGTAGTGTTCAACAAGCTATTCTTCAATTTTCCAAGGATAAAAGACGACAATTTGTGTTTATTTATATTGATGAAGAATCATTTAATGAGAGTTATGAGTTTAAATTATCGGATGAATTGAATCAATTTTTCAAACAAGATAATGAGAATTTAGAAGAGTTATTAAAGTTGAATAAAGTATTTAATGATGATGAGGAGGGGGAAGATGATGACGATGAGAAAGCTGTGGCTAAGAATGATGAAGTTGATGATTTGATTGATCTTGAATCATCACATGTTGAAAATAAAGAAAACAAACCAGAATCAAGTAATGTTAATGTTAATGCTAATGCTAATACAAATACTAATGATGAAGATCAACAATATGGGGTTGAGATTGAAGAAGTTGAATATAATAGATCTAATTAAATAGGAATATATGTATGTACCCCATAAAAAATTGCAAAATTAAATTAAAACAGTTAGGGTGCTGCTTAAATCCCGTACGTAGCTGGTAAGAAAGTTTAATTTAGCCGCTAAAAAAGAATTGATTTTAAGGGCAAGGCAAGGCAGGCGCGCACTAATTGACGGTCGGATACAACTTTTTTTTTATTTACTGAGGGGGGAGAGAGACAGTTCTCAGAAAAGAAAAGCCGTTGAGAAATAAATTTTGATAAAAGTGGAGTCCAAAATCCGAAGTGAAAATTATATCGAATGGTTTGATTTTATAGTTGATATATGAGACTATAGTAATAAGGGTTATGGATATGTATAAGATCGGATTTTTGATCCATTAAGAGAGATTCACCATCTATAGTATAATCATATAGTGAGTATCTTAAGTTCGTCCCCCCTGAATTGAATCCCTGATCACTGTGTGTGTAGTGAGTAAAAATAAAAAGTAGACCAAACCTGCATGTAAACAAGTTGTTTCCTGAATCAACCGAAAGCCAATGACTTTTAGTTTGTCTACCCCTCCCCCACCCCATACTTTTAGAGAGTAGCCATTTTATTATAAGGATAATTAAACTCAACCCAACCAAATCAAATCAAATCAAATCAAAGCCAATTCAATCTTAAACGGTATAACATACACATCTCTATAGTTAAGGATATGATATACTGGATTGACCTTACACGTTAAGTAAATAAACCATGATTCCTAACTAAATAGATAATTACATACATTAAACGGTCTGAGTATATTATATTATGGGTTACCCCATAAAAAGAGTAAATAAATCATATGAAATGAGGTAATATTATTCAATCCATTTACCGATGTTTAGTTAAGTAGATCATTTTGTACTACTAATGATAATGATAATGAAGGTGAAGGTGATGATGATTGATTAAATGGTAATCATAGTGATGATGATGATGGATGGGATTACGGGCCAATGGAAGTTTTTCATTTTTAAAGTGCGAATGAAATTTAATTTCTTTTTTGAAGTCTTGTGAGAAAAATCAATCTGTTTACAATTTAAACCATTTAAGTTAATCATTATGATAGGATAATAATGTAGAGAGTAGAGTAGAATAAACAACGTAAGAGCATATCAAAGATAGAGAAGAGAATGAGACAATCATCGGAATAATCATTAAATGTAAACCAGCCAAGACAAGTTGTAGAAATGCCGAAAAATAAAAACGAAGAATGAACTTTCCTCGTTAGTTACTGATAACAATATTTTCAGTGCCAGTGCCAGTGCCAGTTTAGCTTAACTTAGCGTAACCAAACAAATAAACAGTAAAATCCGGAGTGGTTAAAGTTTAAGGTCTATCTTTCTTCCTTCCTTCCTTCCTTTCTATGATTATATAACTTTGTTAATTTCCATAATCTCTGAATATTTATTCTTATACACTTTCTTCTTACTAGTTATTACTTACAACCTTTATTTGTTGTTGTTGTTATTCATATATTCATTTAACTGTTTGTTAGTTAGTTGATAATTTAGCGTATACCTTCCCAGCTCTCACTAACAAATTAACAAAAAAAGTTACCGCTCCTCTTAACCGAGCATATTTTAAAAATCATAAACAAAAATTAAAATCACTCACTCAGTCAGATTTTATTTATTTATTTACAGCACAACAACTTTCTACTTCATCAATCAATCAGTATCAAATCAATCATCAATCGATCCTGAATCATCATCATCATCATAATCACTATCATCCACTATCATCAACAATTGCTATTCATTCGTTGTTTCTTTTCAATCATATCAATTTTAAGTAAGTGATACCTCCTCCTCCTCCTCCTGTACAGTAATGAACTTTTAGTTAGTCATTTGACTCATTTTTTTTACAGCACAACAGAACAGGCCCTATTTAATATAACACAAATTTGATTCAACCATTAAGTTCAATCAATCAATCAATCAATCATAGAGTTACGTTGCATTGATCAATCGATCGCATCATATCACATCATATCATAGCTTTATACTATCTATCTATCCTATCTTAACTAACTATACGCTGTTCATTCCTAACTTAAGATCCCTCCCTTCATAGTTAAGCTTTCTACAGTCTGTCAGTTCCACAAATTGTTCCGGTTTTAAACATACAGAAAAATAGTCGTTTCTTTTTTTTTGTTTAACACGCCAAAAAAAAAAAAGAGTCCACAAAAAAAATTTTCAACACTCTACCCCACCACCGAAATTTGTATACAGACAGTGAAGTTATTTCTGATATATAATTAAACCATAACGCAACACAAGACAACGTCAATTTAAATTCAAAATTAAAATTGATTTACTTAATTAGTTTTCCCATCGAATCTAGTTTTCAACTTTGACAGGAATACATTCATTTCAACCAAATATCTTTATTTAGATATTACCCATTTTTTTTTGCATTTCTAACTTTATTCCATTCATCCATTTTATCCCATCAGACGTGGTTTGGTGATTCATTTATTTCTTTTTCCACTCCATTCCATTAAATTCATCTTTACTTGTTTTTATCAACGTTTATTATTCAAAATCATCCATTATAGACTATAGATTTTATTCATTCCCTAATAATCATCATTTCTCATTCTAATATCACTCATTAACTCAATATGACTACTGAATTAAAAGCAAAAGAAATTTTTAATCAATTTGCAACTGTTGGTGCAAATAATCAAAAAATTATTACTTTACCTGATTTCGTCAATATAATATCTCCTTTCCAAACTGATATATCAAAACCTTCATTTTCTTTATTATATCTTATAGCTGATAAAGAAAGAAAAGGGTTTGTTAATGAACAAGATTGGGTTACTTTTATTACTACTTTAACTTCTATTGATGGAGAATTTAAATTAATTTATAATTTCTTAAGTTCAGGTATTAATAATAAATCTCCTCCTCCAAAAAAAATTACTTATAATGATTGTATTGAAATTTTAAATAAATTAAATCGTTCAATCGATCCAAATTATCAACAAAATTTAATTAAATTAAATTGGACTTATTTCCCAAAATTCTTTGAACCAAATGGTACTATTAATTTTAATGATTTTATAACTTTAATTAATTATTTACCAGTTACAAAATTAATTGGTGGTTTTGAAATTTTAGCTTCAAAAAAGAGAACTATTAATGAACAACAATTAGTGGATTTATTATCAACAAATTTAAATCATAAATTATCCACTAAATTAAAACAAAATTTAAAAAATATTACCGGTTTCTTCCAAGATGAAAATAATGAATTTATTCAAGAATTTAATTTATCAAATCTTTTATTTGTTTATGATACTTTAAATAAAGTGGATTTAATTAATGAAGTCATTGCTAATACTCCTCCAACCACTAAAGATAAAAATGATGTTTTAATTAATAAATTGGATTTATATAATCATTTAAATGATCATTTATTAAAAAGTTCCAATTTTAAACCCATCTCAATCTATGAAATTGATCTTTTATATTATTTAATTAATCAAAAATCAGATGATAATGTCCCAAGACGAGAATTAATTTCATTTTTAAATCCAAATTTTAATAATAATTTACCAACTTTAAATCCAATTTTCGATCATCCAAAATCAAAATATTCTACTAAAGTAAATGATAATTTCTCATTATGGCCGATTTATGATTCATTGTATTCATTCTTTTTAGGTTCAATTGCAGGATGTATTGGGGCAACAGTAGTATATCCTATTGATTTAGTGAAAACTAGAATGCAAGCTCAAAAACATAAATCTTATTATAATAATTCCTTTGATTGTTTTAAGAAAATCATTACTCATGAAGGATTTAAAGGGTTATATAGTGGTTTAGGAGCTCAATTAGTTGGAGTGGCTCCTGAAAAAGCTATTAAATTAACTGTTAATGATTTGGTTCGTAAAATCGGTACTGATGAAGCTGGTAAAATTACTATGAGATGGGAAATTTTAGCAGGTATGTCAGCTGGTGCTTGTCAAGTTATCTTTACTAATCCTTTAGAAATTGTTAAAATTAGATTACAAATGCAAGGAAAAGCTAAAACTGTTGTCGGTGAAATTCCTCATAAACAATTGACTGCTTCTTCAATCATAAAACAATTAGGGTTAAAAGGTCTTTATAAAGGGGCCAGTGCATGTTTATTAAGAGATGTACCATTTTCAGCTATTTATTTCCCAACTTATGCTAATTTAAAGAAATATATGTTTGGATTCGATCCAAATTCATCTAGTAGTAAATCAAAACGTTTAAATACGTGGCAATTATTAGTTAGTGGTGCTTTAGCTGGTGCTCCATCTGCATTCTTTACAACTCCTGCTGATGTTATAAAAACAAGATTACAAGTTGAAAGTAAAACTCATGATATTAAATATAGAGGTATTGTTCATGCTGGTAAAGTGATTCTTATGGAAGAAGGTCTTGGTGCATTCTTTAAAGGTTCATTAGCCAGAGTTTTCAGATCATCTCCTCAATTTGGTTTTACTTTAGCTTCTTATGAACTTTTACAAAATTTATTCCCATTAACTCCTCCTCAAACTAAAGAATCTAATTTTAAAAGTATTACTGGTTATCCTGGTCTTTATAATTTAAGTAATGATCAAGTTTATAATAGTCAATCTAAAACCGATAGATTATTATACTTATCGAAAGCTGAATTATCAGGAACTTCAACTGTTGGTGCTAAACTTAATGATACTTTAGTTAAAGTCCCCGCTGAATACGTTTATAAATCTCATGATACTATCAAATTATTATTAGATATAGATTATAAATTTGGTAATTTCAGTTATGATTCCTATTTGAATTTCATTCATAAGAAGTAAGTGATATAGATTACTTCCTATGATTCCCTCATCCCGCTCCCATCCCATCCCATCCCATCTTTTAAAATTTTTGAAAAAAATGTGTATGAATTTACGAAATGTCATATTTCTTGATTTTTTTTTATATATTATTTGTTTAATTTTGTTGAAGTTTAATTTTGTTTATTTTTGTTATTATTATTATCTAATTCTAATTAGTTTGTTTTTTATCATTCCTATCTCCTCTCTTTTTAAAAGATGTCTTTTTATCTATTTAGTTTATAAAGTTAGAATACAAATTCATATTATTATTATTATATTTGTGGTTAGGACTAATTTTAGTAATTGGGTGCGAAAATTATAATTTCGGTAACAAAACTTTTGGATATTATTTATAATTGCCAAAATATATATCGTCACTTATTTACTGGAAATAGATCAGATCACTGATTAATCAAACGCAGATATATGTCTAGAATGATCGTTATGCTAAATAAACCCAGAAGATTTTTAAATCTGTTTTGTGTCAAGATTTTGTTGTGAAAATGCAACTATAACTTTCATTAACTATCCCTATCAGTATGTTACGCTTATTTGATATTCTTTTTCAAAATAGGCAATTACTATAGATTATACTTCATATGAAGATCCTTGTTATGGTAGAATTTGTGTATAAAGGTAGACTTTGTCAGAGATTTTAGAACTATTCTATACTTTTTCTTTTCTTTTCTGTTCTTTTCTTCTTTGCTTCATTATCACCCAATAATGCCCTCAAATAGAGACTACTATTACGAAGACGGTATATTTTTCAGCAAAGGTTCATCCTCAAAAGATATGCTTGAAGATAATGAAGCAGTTCCACTTCCCAAATACCCCATTGGAGTGAGTTTCAGAAAAGCTGATCAAATACACTTCCGTGAACTTCGAACTGAACATGGAAGAGTTATCTTAACTCAAATTAAACAAAAATGCTTGGTTGATTATTTATCAAGTTTCTATTCTGTTCTACCTGAAGAAAAAGATGATGAATATAGCATGAGTCATTCTGATTTACTTAAATACTCTCAGAGAAGATTAAGAGATAAAACATTTACTGAAGGAACTAATTTGGTAACCAAATTTGGTTTACCAAGGAGGAATCTTGGTTATGGTGGTTTTGCAACTACTTATAAATTCATAACCATTGATAAAACCTATCATGTTGTGAAATATATCACGTTAGATCCTAGACGATTTACTACTTTTGAAAAGATTCATGAGGAATATCTTATCACTCGTGATTTAGATCCAAAATTATTTGGAGTTGGACTTGACATATTTGCATCATTAAAAGATCCTTATCATATTATGTTTGTTCAAAAATTTATTGAAGGTAAAGATTTAATACTGAGTATTGAACTGAATCCAAGATTTCAAAATCCTGAGTTTTCGTTTCAAGTATTTAAGACTATCGCCAACAGTGTTCATATCCTTCATGAACAATATAACATTTGTCATAGTGATTTAAAGCCAGAAAATATCATGTTTGACTCAGATACAGACAAAATTAAAATCATTGATTTTGGTATGAGTTTCAGAATGGATTTACCTATTACAAGTTATACAAATGTCGTTAATTTAAATTGTGGTACTCCCGGTTATTATCAAAGAATTCGTTCCAATGATCTTGAATATGAATTAGATTATAATTATATTGGTAGAGCAAAAGATATGTTTTCTTTAGGACACACTTTCTTCAATATGCTTTCCTATAATAATCTTTGGGATAATTGTTCAATGAAAGATGTTGCTTATGCAAAATATTACAAAACTGGAAGATTACTAGAGTATGAGAATTTAAAAAGAAGATATTATGAAACAGGTCAAAAGGAGAAACTACAACAAGTTGTAAAAGTTGAAATTTGGTTAAGGTATATGATGCAACTAAACGTATCCGCCAGACTTACTTTTTATCAAATGATAACTGATGAATGGTTTAGACGTATACCAACTTTACATAAAAAGCTTCCTGGTGGACTTTATTAAGGTTATTGAAATGCCGATGGGGGTTGGAATTTAGAACTTCTTGTATTATAGTTAGACTCATCTTGTACTTTAGTTAAAATCTTCTTGTATAATAGTAACATCATTCTTGTATAATTAATAGAAATATCTTTAAATAAATGAAAAGGGTGTAGACTGTATCAACACTTCATTCATTCGTAGAATTTCCCAATTAAGTTATTTCAAATTAGCAGAACATACTAAACAAAATTATTACTTGCTACGGTACCATGTTATGCAAAATGTTTGAATGATATAAGAATATTCTATTCAACTTATAAAGTAGCTAGCCAGATTTATTTCATTATTCCTTAAGGAACTAATGTCACCGAAATCACCCAATCTCTATAAGAAAACACAAATCATATTTGACGGACTTTCACCAGATGAAATAAAGAAATCATTAAAATATTTATATGAGTTAAAAAAGGAAACCTTACTTGCTACTTTCCATTCAGTTTTACCTGAAGAAAGGACAAAAAACTTTCAAGATACGAGGGAATTTGTTAAGAATGCCCTTAACAATTTTAAATCTCATGACAGCAAAGATTTAATAGAACATTATTCATTGAAAGGTCCATTAATTCCCATAAATCAATCAAAGTGTACCTTCAAAGCTATTAGTTTAGATAAAACCCAATACTGTATTAGAAAGATTAAATTAAAAAAAGCTCAAACATATCAGCAAATTCTCAGTTATGTTAAAAAATATTGGTATTCTGTCAAACTTGATCCTTATTATTTTCGTGTTATCGATAATATTTTCGTTTCAAAATTACATCGTAATCGCATGATCATCGTTCTGAAATTCATTCCTGGAGAGAACTTGGAAATAGCCTTGAAAACATACAGAGAGTTCCAGGATATCAATTTTTGTTTAGGGATATTTAAGGAAATTGCTAAGATTGTAGATTCACTCCATATACGATATGGTATTTGTCATGGGGATTTAAGGCCACAAAATATTATATATAATAGGAAGACAAAAAGAATCACGATTATTGGTTTTAAGTTTCAATTTTCTTTATATGACAGCTATAATAGCCCCTTTGCTCTTGGTGTTATGAGAAGGAAATGTCCAGGTTACGTTAGAAAGCATAACGAAACTTTTTTTAAATATGTTTCAGATTATCGTCAAATTGGATGTGCTGAAGATATGTTTGCTTTGGGACATATTCTCTTTAATCTAATTTCTTCTGGTGATATGCTTTGGACAACTTGTCATAAGAGAGATAAAAACTTTTACTATTATAAGTGTTACTCAGATGGTTTATTAAGATATGATGAAAAACTTCTTAAATTACTTTCATCAAGAACATATCCAATAGATCAAACCCTATCATACATAAGAGCTTTACCAACGTTAAAGAAAATGATTAAGCTCAGAGATAGTAACAGATTAGACTTTTTCACATTATTAAGTTCTCCTTGGTTTAATGAATTACAAGATGTATGTCATCCAAATGCAAGCCGTTTCAAAATAGAAAAACAAATTCCAAGAGTGGTTTATAAAACAAACTATTCGATCAAAAAATTACATGATAATTTGAAAATGGTAGCGCCTGTGATATTTGTATTATATGGAATTGTATTTTTACTGTGGATTTGTATTATAGTAAAAAGATGTATAGCTCATTTTTTATCCAAGTAGGTAAACTAATTCTATATTAAAGAGATTATATATTGACATAGGTAGAAGTGGAGTATTTTTGTATTTTATTCTTTGTTTTTTATTTGTTTTATGTATAATATATAATGTCAAAACAATACCGAAACTTTAAATACATAGACTCTTGGTCCATTTGAGTTCATGTCTAATCTTAAAAGTTTGTAGCTCATACATATGAAAGCGCTCAGTGGGGTTATTAAGATATGAATAAATTTAGGCTTATTCGTTCTGCGGTCTGCAACCGCTCTAAATTAGGAAATTCAGATTCCATTAGAGTTTCCTGATACAGTTTTATTTTAGATATGTTAATAAAGTCATCCATGTTATGCATATATGTAATTGTATAGAACTTCAAATCTGTTTATCAACTGAAAATAGTAAAATAACTACACTCTTTCAGGGACAACAGACTTCTGAAATTTCAACTACTGATAATATCACACCAAAAAATACTGCAGTATCAGACGACTCAATGGAAATTCCTGTTGAAATCCAAGCAAAAATCGACAAACTCTCTCCCAAACAATTGAAACATTTGGTTAAACAATATCGTAAGAAAGAACACCAAACTACATTTGAATCTTTTTACTCGATACTTCCTCCTCAAGATCATTCAAATTTAACTTTATCTGAACTAGTCAACTATGCTGAAAACTCAATTAAAACTAAAGAATATCTCAAGCATAGAAATTTAGTTCAATGTTATGGATTGCCTCTGTTTAAAAGATCTGGAAAAGGAGGTTTTGGTCTGATCTATAAATCTACTAGTCCAGATAAAAAGAAGACTTATGCCATTAAATTAGTGCCGATGGCCCCTTTAGCTGATGTTACTTCAGAACAAATCATGAATGAATACTTCATTTCTCTGAAATTAGATCCTCGTTATTTTTCAGTTGGCATTGATATTTTAGCTTCTACTATTGATGAACGGTTTTTTATTATAGTTCAAAACTTTATCAGTGGAATTGACTTATCGAAAGCCATCAGTACATGCAAGAGATTTCGTGATATTAATTTTACATTGGGAATATTTAAACAAATAACAATTGCTTTGTATTACCTTAACATTGGTTATGATATCTGTCATGCAGACTTAAGCTTAAGGAATATTATGTATAATAGAAAAACAAAAAGGATTAAGATTATTGATTTTGGCATGAGTCTTAATATGAAAACGACACCTAATCATGAAAATCTCAAACGTCTATTGACTCGTGGTTCTCCAGGTTATGTTATTCGTAATAGCTATACCAATTTTGAAGATCAGAAAGACTATATTGATATTGGTAGCAGTAAAGATATATTTTCTTTAGGACATATACTTTTCAATCTTATATCAGCAGGGGAATTACTTTGGCTCGATTGTGAAAAGGATATCAGATTTAACAAATACCGAAAGTGTTCGGACAATTTAATAAGTTATTGGGATAGGGCTCAAAAATTAGTTTGTTCAAAGACCTATCCCATTAAGAAAGTTATGATTTATTTAAGAGTCTTGCCAACCTTAAAGAAAATGATTGATTTGGATGATACAATGAGAATTGATTTCATAACATTAGTGGATTCTCTATGGTTTAAGGAATTGCCTATTTATCTTACTCCTAAACCAACCCCAGTAGAAACTGTCCAATCAAGACCTTATTCCATTAAGCAATCAATTAAAGATGCTCTTGATATTTTGAGTATGGTAGCACTGGTGGGGTTTGTGTTATATGCAGTCGGATATATATTTTGAACTTTTTATTTTGATTGTGTTAGTATTCTTTTATACAATTAAGTAGACTTAAATACATAGTAAGAGTACATGTCTTCAAGGTCTGATTATCTATCAAAGTATCTTTCCAAGGGTGATGATAGTAAAGAGAAAAAGAAATCCAAAAAGCATAAGAAACCAAAACTTTCTGCTGGTTCTAATATAATAATATCGCATGCCACAAATTGGAACTCATCTACTGCCAACGATGATGATCCTATTGCAGAAGATGATCAAGAGGAACTGGTGAATGAAGAAGCACCTGTCAAGGTTGAAGTCAAGAATTCAACTCAATTCAAGGGGTTTAAAAGAATAGATAATGGAAATGAGGTGAGTTTGGATCCCGTGCCGACAAGGCCATCACAAGATGAGATAGATGGATCACAACAAGAGACAGTGTATAGAGATTCAAAGGGAAGAGTTATAGATATCAATGCTCGGAAACAGCAATTCGAAGCAGATAAGAAAGATAAAGAGAATGAACGTACGTTTGAGGAAATACGAACAACTAAAGAAAGTCAACTTCAACAAGAGATCAATTTAAAGAATGCAAAATCAATCATTAATGATGAGTTTGAAGATCCATTAAATATATTCCAATCTGAAAAATCACAGAAGAAAGAGGTTTCTACATCATCATCTCAATATGTATACAATAAAGGAATGATCCCACTTAATAGATTTGATATTAAACCGGGATATTTTTGGGATGGTATTGATAGATCAAATGGATTTGAAGAACTTGCATTACGAAAACAGAATGAAAAGAAATTCAAAAAGCTTGAATCAAGAATTAATGAAAGTTATGGCGATTTAGATTATGATTAGATATCACTTGTAGGTGGTATGTGTACAATTTTTTATTAATTTCTATATGTGTAATAATAATATATATAATAATACAGAATTATATTTCTACTTTTTAGAAAGTTTATTAGTTTCATTATGTAATTGAGCCATTATTTCACATAATTCCATGAATAAACCATATTGAGATTTTATAACTTGGACGATATTAAATAAATTCCCAAACCCTTCAATACACAGTCTTTCCAAACCTGATAAAATTTGATTTAATTCATTAGCTAAAATTTCATATTGATTTAAAATCTCATGATATTTCTTAATCTTCTTAATGAAAAATTCATTCAATTGAAATGATGATGATAATTTGGTACCTGGAGTAGATAACTGCAAGATCAATTGCATTATTTTAGATATATCATCCGTTAATTCATTATTTAATTCTTTAAGGAAAGCTAATTGATTGGTATCAAATTTAAGGGCTTGTTTAGTGGATACGATTTTGTTATGTAAGTAATTTATATCTTTCGGTATGGAATTGATTAAATCATCATGTTTAGAATAATCTGATTGTAAGGAGGTTGAGATTAAATGCTGGGTATTTATATATTTATCGAACTGTTCCAATTGTTGTTTGATATTAGGTGGTAAATCTCCTACTCTAGTCATGGCAGTTAATTGTGGTTGTTGTTGCTGTTGCTGTATTTGTTGTTGTTGTTGAGGTTGTGATGATCCAAATAATCCTCCGGTAGTAGTTCCAGTATTTGATGAACCAAAAAGACCGCCTCCAGTGGTTGTGTTTGATGTATTTCCTCCAAAGAGACCTCCCGTAGTATTGGTATTTCCTGTATTACTACCACCAAAGAGACCACCAGATGGAGCAGCTGTATTTGTATTACTACCAAATAATCCTGTACTGGTTGTGCCAGCAGGTTTGCCTCCAAAGAGACCACCTGTAGTTCCGGTATTAACAGTATTACCAAAGAGTCCACCACTTGTAGTTGTATTTGATGCAGTTGGATTAGTATTTGAACTTCCAAATAATCCTCCACTTGGAGCTGATGTAGCTGGTTTATTTCCAAATAATCCACCAGAAGTTGGACCAGTAGCAGTATTATTAGAAGCACCACCGAATAAACCACCAGCAGTATTTGTACTTGAAGTATTTGTCGTACTTGCAGATCCAAACAATCCAGTTCCACCAGTAGTATTTGAATTAGTAGTATTTGAAGTAGCAGATCCAAAGAGACCTCCAGGAGCAGGAACTGAATTTGAATTTCCAAAAAGTCCTCCACTACCACTTATACCAGCCACACCTGTACCTGATGTAGGAGCAGCTGGTTTACTTCCAAACAATCCACCACTGGCACTGTTTGTTGTGTTGTTATTGGCTCCAAATCCAAATGATGGAGTTGATGCTGATGTATTTGCTTGTCCAAACATTGGAGATTATTATTATTATGAATGAAAATTGAAATGAATTGAAATGAAATGAATTGCTTTGATTGATTGATTTATATGTGATGCCAGATGGATTAGTCTCTGATGGGTTAATAATACAAGGAAAGGATAAGTTGATGTAAATTCAATTTGGATTAAAGGTTGTTGATGTTTATTTAGACATCTAAAATTTTTCGATTCAAAGTCAAAAAAAAAAGGTAGAAATTATCTGCAGGTTGTTGACAATTTTTATAATTCAACCTTTACCATATTATAGATAGAAACCCATTTCATTCATATTGTTTCAATAGAAGGGACTAGATCCAGGATCAGTGTATGATAGATGAATTATTCAAGTCAAGGGAGGAATATTTAATATACGTAAATAATGGCATCACCACAATTCATTGAATCTCTAACGAGATTGATTAATGAAGAAATGAATCAACAAATGCATCAATTGAAAGAAGAGAATAAACAATTAAAGGTAGAATTGAATACGATGAAGTTTGAATTGAATAGTGTGGTTAAACTCTACTCCAAAGTCAAGTCTGAATATGAAAGATTAGTGAAAACTACTCAATCAACGAATACAACTATAACGACTGATAAGATTAATAAACCTTTACAAATATCAAAATTAAAGAATATAGGTTTGCCTAATCTAACTAAATCATTTAAAGAGATTGCAAGTTATGAAAATAATGAAGATGATAGATTAAAGAATGTGCGGCAATTTCAATCGCTTTATGAATCAAATGCTACAGTGTTACCACCACCAAAGAAGAAACAAAAATCGAATGAAGAAACTCCAAGATCTGATGATGAGTTTCGATTATTACCTACACAATATTCCGATGATGAAGAAGATCCGGTATTAAAATCATCACCGGTGAAGATTTCACCTTATAAGCCCCATGATAATGGATTTGTATCTCCCAAGAAACCAACGAGAACGCTCCCGAATGAATCTAATCGAGATATTCATTTAATGTCAACTCAATATACTGCTAGTTCATCAGTTCCTAATTCGCAAACAGAAATCCCATCTTCATCACCTCAAAAAGTGGAAGAAATAGTAGAAGATTCTCAACAACAAGAAGAAGAAATAACATTGAGTGCTAAAGTTGTTGATGATGAATTAACTAAATTCATTGCTGAATTTAAACCCAAGACTAAATTAAAGAGAATTCAATGTGTGATTAATTTTTATGATAAGAAATATCAAACTGAAGAAACATTTATGATTAATTTAAAGATAAATCCTATTCATGAACAAGGATGGAAATTATCTGATTTTAAACCAAATCCGATCTGGATTAAAAAGAGAAATGTGAGTTATGTAAAAACACCAGGAGGGAAGACATTTGAAAGGAGGATTGGGATAACTAAACTGGAAGAAAATAAAATTCGGAAATTTTATCAAGTTGTGAATCGACAAGGAGAAGATAATGACGCATATGAAGGGATTACATCTGAAGAAGAAGACGATGGTAATGATGATGATGAATATGAAGATCAAATTAGTCAGATATTTGATAAATTAGCCTCACCACCAGGATTTATGCAAAGTGAATTTCCTGATAGTGAAGAAAGAATTAGACGCCGAGAAATTATTAATGCTCGACAAATAAGACGATTAAAAAGAAGAATTAAAGCATGTATACAAGTTAATAAATTTAAAGAGCAAATGGGAGAATTTGTGTTTAGTTTAGAAATTTTAAATAAGTATGTTAAAGCTAATCGATTCACATTATGATAGTGAAAGGGAAAGGTTGAAAGGTGCAAAAAGATTTTTAAATATCACAAAGATAATAAATTTAATGAAATGAATTTTAAAGTAATTGTATGTAAGTAAGTCTGATCTGTAAAATGAAATGAAACGATCAGAATAGAGTAAAAAGGAAGAAAAGTAATTATGATGATGGTAAATGACATGTAAAAGTGTAAGCCAATAAAAGGGTATAAGGAAACTGCGATAATAGGCAAGGGTTATAAATGTATGAACAGTGATGTATATGTCTGTCTGTCTGATTTTGATTTTCAGAAAATCAGACAAAAAAGGTACGATGATGAACAATGATAAGTAATTTATATTATTTTTAGATTACGTTAAAGGTAGTTGAGATAAAGTTTATGATAATTGTGTGGAAAGGGGGGGAGTGAGAGAGAGGAGGAGGTGGTGGTGGTGAGAATTAAAGACATAATAAATAGAATTAATGTCAGACCATAAATAAATAAATAAAAACATGGGGTGTAAGACAGTTATTTAGAAACTGTAAAACGTTAAAAGTAAAAGTTTTTGACTAAAATTCTTAAACGATAAGGAGTTCTAAAGAAACAGAAGAAATGAAATAGCAAAAATAAATATGACAAAAATCTGACAATACATAGTTAGAGATAATAGCAACCAACCAACTTGTAAAAATAAAAAAAAAAAGTAAAACCAAAAAAAAATAAAAATAAAAAAATTGTCAATCTGTAACCTGTATAGTCTCGAACATTCCTTTTTATTTAGTGAGTGAGTGAGTGAGTGATTGCAAGTTGTCAGTAACAGCAGCTGTTGGTACCATTACCGCAATTGCGAACAGATTAACGAGTTGTACTTTGTAACAATAAATCACTAAACCAGGAAATAAGTAAATACAAAGGGGGTGTTTATATTAACCCTATTACGTATTCAACAAATTTTTATTAACTATCTAAGGCTTATATTGATTAGTATTATCTTTATTCTTGTTAGCTTCAAATCTATAATCGCCAAATATTAACCGGGATCTATTTATAGATTGATGATGATAATTTTTAAATTTTAACAGAGAATCGATCACATGACGTATCATGTGATTTATTTTTCAACTTTATTTCGAAACAAATTGCAAAAAGTTGCATTAAAAATGTAAAAACAAAAAAACAAAAAAAAGATTCCATAAAGCGAAAAAAATTCCCTAAAACAGTAAACTACAACAACCAAAAAATAAAGATTCATTTAATTTTTTTTATTTTCTTTTTGGTTTCTTGCGACATTTACCCTCTGAAACAAAAATATAGTTAAACCTCTCTTAAATTGGCAGCCAAAACGCAAAATAAATGAATGTCTGATTTCTGATTATTTTGCATGTTTGATTAAGATTTTGCAGTTTTAAAATCTCCAATCCATAGATTATAGTCTAACTTTATTCTCCAATGTATAATTTATATTCATATTCATATTCATATTCATATTCATATTCATATTCAATAATTAATTTACAATATAGTCAAATAGGATTATGTCAATTTGTTGTAAATTAATAATGTAAACGTTGTGGTTCATTACTACCAATCCAGTATAATCGGTGAAATCATCCATATCTCCCAGGGTTTCCTTTTTCTGGTTAGAATTTCTCATTTGTCATCCCGCAATAAAATTTATTTTTATGGGTAATGAAAATCTTCTATACAGTCTGTTGGCTCAGCTCAATTGAGATTAGGGGAGGGAGTGCTCACTAAAATAAAACATTTAGTTGAGTAAACTGCTCCTCCTCCTCCTCCTCCTCATTCTCATTCTCATTCTTCCCTATTTAATTGTCTCGTCATTTTAGGATTGCTCGGATGATGATGGTTATTATTATAATCAAGGAGGGACACAAATTTATATATTTATACTTATTATCCGTATTTTATTTTGAGTCATTTCTAATAATTAATTAAATGTACACTTTTAAATCAATCAATGAATTATAAGTTTAAGTTTTAATTTCAAATTCAACTTCTATCGTCTAGTCAAAAACTAAATAATTAAATTGTCTGTTTGGAACTTTCTACTCTCATATGTAATCGGCTATTTTAGTCCTGTCACTATCAACCCAATTCTAACTTAACCCTGGACGAGACTTTTTTTATTTTTCTGGTTTTGGTTCTGGTGGTCTTTTTTTTTTAGCCACCTTTGACTCTATCCGCCTAAGTTTATAGATACCATATGATTCTAGAAATTGAACTAAACATGTAAATAAATAAATAAGATTGTTATGCAATTAGTTAGTTGGTTAATTGATGTGCATGTCTAGACCATTACCCCTTTTTTTATTATTGTCATTATTATCATTAATTATTATTTTTATTATGGTTTATATTTTACAAGTTGTATAAATTTGATTAAGGGATTATCATTTAATGTTTTATATTGGTGGTGGGATTTAAAAAGACAGAAAAATATTATTTTATATTGAATTAAATGTCGTTTATTATCTCATAAAAATCATTCCTTCTCTTGCTCTCTGTCTGTCTGTCTGTTTAATTGTTCTATTTCTCTGTCTGAGTGTAATTATTATTTTATAATTTGATGATCTCGTGTTTCACACTAATTGGGTTACCGTTTTAGATTTATGTTAACTTATCTAAGAGTCACAGATTAACTATGGATTGTAAATGTTCATAATCATTCTATGTTCGATGACTACAGTTACTCGTCCATTTAGAATTCTACAACTTAACTAAATGTAAGAAAAAGTATCAAGTCTTGTTTTAAAACTTATCGTGTAATTGATATTGCATTCTTGTGCTTTGTAGCAACTTTCATTCACCTTATAGTTATTGAATTTAACCATTTTAGTTAGTTTTATTTATTTTGTTTCATTCGTTTGTGTCTCGTTATTCGTTTCTTATTATAATTTTATTGATATCATCATTATCGTTCCTTGTCGCTCCTTCTTTCATCCCCATCCCATTCCATCAATTACACACTCACACACCCCTCTACTGTCTGGCACATTACTCTTTTCTTTTCTTTTCTTTTCTTTTCTTTTTCTTTTTCCCTTTTCGACATTTTCCTGATATTACAGTTGGCATACTGTATACTATTTATTTTTATGTACTCACTTTTTTTTTTTAATTGATTTCATCATTCATTTCTTTTTTTTATTTATTTATTTATTTATTTATTATTATCATTATTTTTTTTTTTTTTGGTTTATTTATTTATTTTTGGTTAATTTTGATTCGGTTTTAACTTTTTGTCGTTAAGCATAGCTCTTAAGATATTGGTATAATAACCCCTTCCCGTATAAACCTGCAACATCAAGGCTTGTCCAACCCAAACCCAACCAAACTATTATTAAACCTATTTGTTGTAACTTGTAAAAAAATTGAAGGTTGTGATTAATAATAGTAATAATTAAAAATGGATCAGACAGACAGACACATCAGACAGACACAGAAATTAAAAATAGTTAAAGCCAAAAAAAAAAAAAAAAAATTTACATCGTTATATACCATACAGACACAACAGACACTACAGTTTAAAACAGACAGAACAGACAGACATATACTGTTACTGTTACTACATACACTCACTCACTAATAATTTAATTTCTCTCACAGTAATTTTAAAGATTAATAATTTAAATACAATTTGATTTCCACTTTATTTAAATAATTCAAGTTTCTGTTTCTTCTTATTTATTCATCTTCAATCTAATTCACATTCATTATAGTCTCCCCTTAACCCTTATCATATCATATACCATATTTTCTAATACTACTGGGGTGTTAATATATGTTTCATTTGTTCCTTGCTAACCAATTTTTTATATCCGCTTAACTAAGGAGATCTTTTTCACTTACTACGGTATTACTATTAGATAGGATTCGTTTTATCAATTCCAATTGTATTATTCCTTGCCACTTTCAACCAGACCTCTTGATAGAGTATTACACCACGGTCGTTTATTATCTTTATTGGAGTGGTTTTTTTCAAAATATTTATTCATTTTTAAAATTTATAAAAGTCTGTATCCATCCTCCATCCAATTATAAATTTTTATTTTTTAAATTTAAAATTTAAAATTTAAAATTTAAATTCTTTTTTATCAGTCTTTTTTTTTTTAGTGATCTCATTCCCCCTAAGGAACCACTAATTCAGAAGAAGAATTCTCCCTAGAGATTTACTCCTCCCTCACCAGAAAAAAAGAATCAATTTTAAGATACCGAGCCCCAACGGAGCGGAGCACAGAGAACTACGAAAAAAATCCCCAAAAATAAAAAAGAAAAAGGATTCACATCGTGTCACAGTGTCTAAGAAAAATAAAAACGAGAAATTTTAAGACAATTTTTAATTATTTTTTTTTAGATTTATTTGTCTGATCCTAATTGAGATAGTGTGTGTTGTGTCAGTTAGTGAATCTGTCCTAAATTAAAAATTACCTGTCTGTATTTATTTGTGGGTATCATTAGTGTCTGTTCAGTGTGAGTGATTATTTCTGATTGTTGCCTCAGACTTTTATTTTTATTTTAAATTTCATTCCACTAGTTTTGTCCAAGCACTTTTCCAGTTGGTTAATTAGGATTGTTAAGTCAATTACTAATAATAATAATAATAGAAGTATTGTGGTAAAAGTTTTTCCATTTTCATCGTTTAGTTTGGTGTTAAAAATAAATTTGGATTACTTTATTGTACTCTGAATTTTCTCATCGTTCCCTTTCCCCCTTAGCTCCATTTTTGGTCTGTACCCTCAGACAAAAAAAATTATAGTTACATCAGACAGACAGTTAAAATCAGACAGACAAAATGTCTCATAACCATAATTTATCAGTCAATTCAATCAATTCCATCATTGAACCAACCACCCCTCCAAATCATTTGAATGGTACAGGTTATCTATCAGGTGCCAATGGATCGTTAAGAACAGTTAGTGGTGGTGCTGTCAATGTTAACCAGACCAATAATAATAATAATGGAAATATCAATAATAATCTTCATCAAAATCAATCCACTCCTATATTAAATCATCATCATGGTAAATCAGGTTCAATATCGTCTAATATCTTTAATCAAAATATCAACTTTGTTACTCCTCCTTCCAGTAATGGGATTAATAATAAGTCTGGATTATGGGATTCTTCCAATAAATTGAATCATAACTTGAATCTCCCAAATTTCAATATTGATGGTAATAATACCAATAATCAACTTCATCAACATCAACAACAGCAATCTAATGTCAATGACGTGGCTGTGGTAACCCCACCTCACGAAGATGATCAACAATCTCAACATCAAGCTAATAAATCATTATCAACATCTCCTGTACCTCCTATCAATGGTTTAACTTCTTCATCTACATCTACTTCAACTACTCCAGCTCCAGCTAAAATTGATAAAGAATATCTTGCTTCTATTAATAAGATCCCCTTGATTCAAATAAAATCAGAAATTCTTAAACTATCGAAGGATCAATATGGGTGTCGATTTTTACAAAAGAAGATTGATGAGAATTTAATCCCAAATTTCCAAACTAGACAAGCTAATTTTGAAATCATCTTTGAACAAATCAATCCTTATCTTTATGAATTAATCATTGATCCATTTGGCAACTATCTTATTCAAAAATTGATTGGATATTGTAGTCAAACCAATCTTAATCTTTGTTTGGAAATTTTACAATTTAATTTATTTCAAATTTCAATCAATCAACATGGTACCAGAGCTTTACAAAAGATTATTGATAATTTAACCTTACCTTATCAATTAAGTTTGTTAATTAAAGGTCTAAAACCATTTATTATTAAATTAATTAAAGATTTGAATGGGAATCATGTGATTCAAAAGATTTTAAATAAATATAATCCACAAGATTGTCAATTCATCTATGATTCAATCATTGATGATTTATATATCGTGGCCACTCATAAACATGGTTGTTGTGTGTTACAAAAATGTTTGAATCATGTTGATATCACTCAATTGAATCAATTTAGTAATGCCATTTTGAACTTTAATAATTTCACTAGTCTTATTAATGATCAATTTGGTAATTATGTCTTACAATACTTGATCCTGCTTAATATTATTGATATTAATTTACAAATCTATGGTAACTTTTTGAAATTTGGGATTGAAAATCTTTGCAATTTAAAATTTAGTTCGAATGTGATTGAAAAATTTTTAAAGAATTGTTATAATCGTGAAATTTACCTGCAAGAATTTTCTAAATTGAAATTGAATTTATGTCATCAGATTTTAATTCAAGATTTGAATAAATTGATTAATGATCCTTATGGAAATTATGTGATTCAAACTTTAATTGATATTATTATTCATTCTCAAGTTGATTATATTTATAATTCTCAATTGGTTGAACAATTACATAAATTATTACCTCCTCAATCACCATCAATGGAGAATGATTATTCAAAATTATCCAATTTAGATTTACAAATTTTAATTATCAAGTATTGGTTTTTAAATTGTAAGATTATTTCAAGTTTTGGTAAACGTATTCAATCAAAGATTAATAATGTTATAAATGAAACTTCACCATCTTCAAATGCGTCTTCATCTTCTTCCATTAAAAATAATAGATCTTCATCTTCATCATCTTTGGATTCTTCAGGAAAATTTGCTCCAAACCCACTTCAACAACATCAACATCAAGGTTCAACTTCATCTACTTCTTCAGCTGCATCTTCATCATCTCAACAACATTATAGAAATTCTAGAACTATGTCAAATGATAGTGTTTTAAAACCATCTGTGAATAGAAACTTATCCTTACCGGTAAACATGTATAACTACGAACAATCTAAGCAACAACAACAGCAACAGCAAGCTCTTCTTCAACAACAACAGCAGCAACAACATTTACAGCAAGGTCAACCGTCTAATGTTGCTGCTTATAATGACTTTACGATCAATGAATTTCCTTTTGGATTTCCGCCCCAACAACAACAACAGCAACATCAACAGCAGCAGCAATTTTATACCCCACTTCCATCTGCTTCTGGATCTCATCAACATAAAATGTCATTATCAGATAATGTCATCAACCAACCTCAACCCATGACTCATTATACTACTACTAAACCTCAAAGTGGTGGTCAATACCCAACTCCTCCACCAATGAACTATCAGTACCAACAATCTGTTAATGGTATGCCACAACAGCAACAACAGCAACAAGCGCCCCCACAACAACAACAACAACAACAATTGGGCCCTTCTGCTATTCCAAATCGTCCGAACCACAATCAATATGCTACTTATAATGGTCCAGTTGGTAATAATAATGGTGCAAGCTATTACTATAATGCTAGAACTCCATCATTTTCAGCTGGCAGTTCAAACAATGCATATCCACAAGTTGGTGCACCAGGACAAGGACCAAATGGGTCTAATCACTTAAATTCGAATAATTCTACTCCAGGTGGACCAATTCTTGAAAGTGCTGGTGGCAATGTTCATGGTGGTTGGATGTAGATCAAGAGATTAGATTGAGGTTTCTTCTTCTTCTTCTTCTTCTATTTTGTATTTTGTCCTTTTGCTTATGCTTTTTTTGCATTCCTCCTTCCCACGATTTTATTTTTTTTATTTTGTATTATTCCTCCTCCCTGGTGGTGGATATTATGTGTGATATTTGATGTTATTATTCATTAATTTATTTACTATATTAGGTTTTTATTACACCAAAGTGTTGTTCTACTAAAAAAAAGAGATATTTAAAATAATAGAACCAAGGATTTATAAATATAGGGATTTTCAATCAGTTTTGCCAAATTTTTAAAAGAAAACAAAAAAAAAGATAGTAATAAAACAAATTATAAGAATAGAGAGTCTGTGAGTATCATTTGATATCTCTTTTCTTATTGTTATGTATGGTTTTAGTTTAATTTAGCTTGTGTATTTATTTAGTTTAATTTTTGTATATATATTATTAATTATTATTATAATTAAATCTAGCCAATGTAGTAAGCTAGTGGGGAGCAAATTCTATTTTTTTTGCAACAATTAGGCGACTTTGACGCTAATTGCCGCTAAAAGTTGTCGCGAAATGGTTGCCTAAATTACTGAGACAAGACAAAATTATTTCGTCCTAGGGATAACAGCAGCCTACAAAAATTTTGAATCTGAAATAATTCAATTATTGACATTTCATATTAGGTAAAAATAATGTTAAACTATCAAAGTGAACTTAAAACACCATATTATATCCACTGACTATCAAAAAAGTAAAAAAAATAAAATTGAAACTTTAGGTTATCCGAGGTTCGAACTCGGGGCCTTTTCGGTGCTTACTGCAATAGCTTGTAAACGAAACGTGATAACCGCTACACTAATAACCTCAAATTTCCTGGCGTTGAAAAAAATAATACCTCCAAATGGTGCGCATCCCAGTTGCAAAATCCTGTATATAAAAATTTAAAATGTTTGACCAAAGATCAAATTCGATCGTGTTCAACTTTAATTATACGCTGCTTCTTGATTCATTTTAAAGCAACAATCCATCTTCAATTGAATTGAAATCTTTCATATATCACTTGATTCATCATGGAGAAGTTTGGATTTCATAAAGTTAGTAATGCTAATGCCAATCCTGGCCAACCGACTATAAGTCATAGCCGTCCTAATGTTGATACGAGGGCAATCACGTCTCAACATCAACAGCAACCAACTAATTATAAAAGACAATTCATAGTTGAGCAATGTCCTAACAATGCTATTGCCTTATCTAATTGTATAGGTGTTCATCCTGATGATTTCAATCAATTTGCTAATCATTCTCCTATTTTATTAGATGGACATTATGTGGTGACCATTGAAAAATCCGAATTATCAAAACCAGGAACTATTGGATTAGCAGGTGATTCAAGAAAATGGGGTAAATGGTCACTTGGACAAACTGTTCAGGTTGAATCATATAATATATTTCAAAACAAACTGGCTAATCAATACTTAGGAGCCGTTGAATTATTAGTTGATTTTAGATCAAAAGCAAAAGCTAAAAGTATGAATATTAGTCATGACGAATTAGTTGAAGCTTTTAAATATATATGTGAAAATCAAATCTTACAACCTACTCAACCTATTGTATTGGATTTCCAAGGTCTGGTCCTCCAATTATTAGTTAATAATGTTCAAGTGGTTGATGTTAATAAAGATGATAATTTACCTACTATTAAGGAATCAATCGATTTATCAACAAAGGGAATATTATTAAGACAAACTGATGTTATATTTTATCCTAATGAAAAATCACTAATTAATCTTGTTAAGCCTGCATCTATCTTAGGTTTAAAATTTGGAACTTCCCCTCATCATAGACCAAAACCAAGAAAACAAATTATAAATCCTGATTTCAAATTAGAAGATTTAGGGATTGGTGGTTTAGATAATGAATTTCAAGATATTTTTAGAAGAGCTTTTAATAGTAGAATCTTACCTCCTGAAATTGCTGAAAAATTAGAAATTAAACATTGTAAAGGGTTATTACTTTTTGGTCCACCAGGGACTGGTAAAACTTTAATTGCCAGAAAATTGAGTAAAATGTTAAATGGAAGAGACCCAAAGATTGTAAATGGTCCTGAAATGTTAAGTAAGTATGTGGGTGAATCAGAAAATAATATTCGTAAATTATTCAAAGAAGCTGAGGATGAATTTAAACAAAAGGGGGATGATTCAGATTTACATGTCATTATTTTTGATGAATTAGATTCTGTTTTCAAACAAAGAGGGTCAGCTAGATCTGATGGTACAGGTGTTGGGGATAATGTGGTTAATCAATTATTATCAAAAATGGATGGGGTTGATCAATTAAATAATATTTTGGTAATTGGTATGACTAATAGATTAGATTTAATCGATAGTGCATTATTAAGACCTGGTAGATTTGAAATTCAAATTGAAATTTCCTTACCAGATGAAAAGGGTAGAAGAGATATCTTTTTAATTCATACTGCTAAATTAAGAGAAAACAAGATCTTAACTTCAGATGTTGATTTTGATGAGTTAAGTACTTTATCAAAGAATTTCACGGGTGCTGAAATTGAAGGGTTATGTAATTCGGCTAAATCATTTGCTATTAGTAGACATACTAAATCAGGAGCTCTTGCAAAGATTGACGAAAAGACAATTAATGAAATGAAAATCACTAGAAATGATTTCTTATTAGCTTTAAATGAAATCAAACCTGCATTTGGAACTGATGAAGAAGATTTGAATTTAGCTGCTAGACATGGTATTATTCAATTCAATGAAAGTATCACTAATATCTTTGATAAAGGCAGATCTATTGTTGATTTAGTTAAGAACAATGAAACTGAAACTTTAAGATCAATATTATTATATGGTTCAAGTGGAGTTGGTAAGACTGCCATTGCAAGTACCATAGCTTTAGGTTCAGATTTCCCATTTATTAAAATGCTTTCAGCAGAAAGTGTAGTGGGTAGAAGTGAAGCACAAAAGATTCAATACATCGATACTGTTTTCAGAGATGTTTATAAATCTCCATTAAGTGTATTAGTGATTGATAAAATCGAAACTTTAATTAATTTCGTTAATATCGGTCCTAGATTTTCTAATGATATTTTACAATTAATTTTAGTTTATTTAACTAAACTTCCACCAAAGGGTCGTCGTTTATTGATTATTGGTACTACAAGTGAATATTCCGTGTTAGAGAGAATGAGTTTAGTTAAAGCTTTTACTGATTTAATTGCTGTACCATCACTTAAGACAGTTGAAGAAATAAGTAAAGTTATGGATAAGATTTCATTCAAGTCAATTGAAGAAAGAAAACAAATCTTGAATGCAATTTCAAGTTATGAAATTAATATTGGGGTTAAGAAATTAATTGAAGAGTTAATGGTTAATAATTCAAGCGATTATAGTGTCGATGATGTTGTTCTTAATTTAGTACCCAAGTTAACTCAAATTTAGATAGGGCTTTACCGGTTATATGTTATGATATTTAGTTATCGCATTTATATAAACATTCTTTAGGTAGATTTTTAATAATAATAAATTTATCTATTGCAGCACATGTCATAAGAAGAGGTGAGATAAGATAAGGTAATAGTGTGACGACCTGTAGAATAGGGGTGAGGTTTAATGAGGTAACATGGTATCAGAGATTATTTTCTTGATAATCCAACAATTACCACATTTGCTTAACCCACGAGATCGTCGTCAAGATGTGTGACAGGTATAAACGTATGATTTTATTCGTTGAAAAGGAAGGTATGATATATCACTCTTGTTTAATTTCATATTTAACCATATACTAAAGCATGGATAGTAGTAAGTATCTGAAAGCAAAGAAAATAAAAGAACGGTAAAGGCTTGGGAAAATTTAGTGAATAAGCCGACCATAAAGTCAAAATTTTAGGGAGAAGAAAGATTTAAGTTCGGCTAATGATCTAAAAATAAATTTTTTTTTTACGAACTTTTATATTTTATTTTCTTGGGAGAGAGGGGGTAAAATTGATGAGGAGTAATCAAAACTGGATTTAGCGCAAATTTCCTGTTAGTGATAAGACCAAAGGATAAGGATTGAACTTTATTATTATTATTATTATTATTATTATTATTATAAAATAATTATGATCAACGATCATGTGTAATTACATTCCTCGTTATGTGGTTATTGATTGTTATAATTAAATGTGTAGTTGACTACCATTCAATTATCAACTGATAATGATATTTTCGGTTAGTTAGACTAGCTTATCTTTAGATTAGGGTGATAGATGAATTCAAAGTTCAGGGAGATTAAATCTAGAACAGCGAAGAATGGTTTACAGGTGTGTTGTACATTCAATTGCATATTAACGGATTAATTAAATATGCAACGCATGCAATAAATTATTATTATTTGTTGTGATATAAATTTTAAAAAGAATGATATTGAGGAGTAATCAGAAAACAATTTGTGTTGTCTCAGCCTTGTTACATCAATCAGTGAATCAATCAAAGTTGTATTTAATTACATTGTTCGTAGTATACGATTATAACAATCAATGGTAAGGATGATTACCCCGTAACAAAGTTAAACCAACTTCTACGATTAAATAATAGATGAGGGAATAAATTTGTAATATCATACTAAAATGATTACACCCCCAAAATCTACAAATCTGTATCCTTATTGCACTTAAATCCCCTCTATTGCAAACGTTTAAAGATAATAAATTATTTTCTAGAATGAACAATAAATTAAAATGATCCAGAAAATAATTATCTTTTTATTAGGTGCATAAATATGTATACAGTACACAATCTCAAGTCTTGTTATATAATAGACCCCTCGTACGTCAAACTAAAAAGAAAAAAAAACCATACACCCCTCAAAAGTGGCATTAACTTTTATTTTGCATCTAGTTCTTCTACATATATTTTTTTTGTCATAATTTGAAGATCATCAGCCCCACTTTTAAGACACAGACAAACAAACAGACAGAAAGTTAATGTATAATGATAAACCTCTATTAAATAGATTCATGCAAGTGTATCATAAAAAAGAAATTTTAAAGTTCAAAATATTCACGAAACTTTTCCATTTCCATTTCCATTTATTTATTTTTTTGTCATTGATCTCCACCATTTCATTTGAATCATCATCAACTCTTACCGAAACAGGAACTAAGATAACACCTCCTTCTTTTTCATCCCTTAATTTCAATTTCGTATATCAATCCCTTTCTTTCTTTCCTTTGTTCAATTGATTTTAACCAGAGCTATCTGCTTTCACTATTACATTCAGATCTCTTCAAGTTATACCTACCATAGCGCAGTTGAATAACCATACATAGATGGTAACAACACTATGGAAACAATTGAATTGGAACTTGGTCAATTCCATCAATCTTTACCCTTACCTTCTGCTTCACCATTACCACCACCATCACCACTTCGTCTTAAATCTGGTTTTAGTTTAGACTTAAATATTCAGAAAAGTGATGATATATCTCAGGATGAATTAGAACTCGCCAGAGTTAGACATCTTACTTATAATGATATCGATAGTGAGATTGATGATATTGACAATAGTTTGGATTTGTTTGAACAAGATCTTTCGATAATTTCTACTCCCATGTCTTGTTCAACTAGTAATTCTTCAATCTCATCTCTAAACAATTCCAATAACTCTAAATATATTCCTTTAAATGCTATTGATTTTATATTCGATAGCTTTTTCATTCATGAACATAAGATTCAAGCTTTAAATCCTGCCATGGTTAATGATTCTCCACTACATCCAACTTTTATAACAAGAAGTAATTCTGAATGTACCACCACTTCTCATTCTACCATCTCTTCCAGAAAAGGATCAACCAGTTCTTCAATCTTCTCTAACAGGATTGATGACGATTACGTTCACGATGATGACGACGATGACGATGAAAGCCCCTTCAATAAGTATGTTGATCTTGATCATAGATGTTTATCTCCACTCCCTGTTCCACCATCCTCATCAGATTCTGTCTTTACGGATGATTCAAATGATACACGATCTGAAACCTCTTCCAACCCTATTAATTCTCGTCTTCAAGAATTGAAACAAAATTTAGATATATTAAGAGAAGTAGACACTCCTACTAAACCAGAAAAACCAACTGAATCAAAAGTTGATTTTTCCACTCCTAGGAAAACTAGACTGGGAAGACAACTCTCATTTACATTAGCTGATACAGATGATATTTTAATTGAAACTCCAACCACTGGTGCTAGTAAATATGCTACAATTGCTAACCTGAATATTAGATCTACCATTGAAACACCCCCTGTAACACCCACAAACACTAATAAATCTGGAAATAAGCCAACTATAAATACACCTAAGAGAACCACTAAACCAATTAAATCCGAATATGGTGCTACAATCAATTCTCCAGTTACAAGAAGCAGAACAGCTGCATTTGAAAGAGTCATTGCTGAATCGATTAAAGATAGCTTGAGGGTATCACCAAGACCTGCATCCCCTCCCACACATGTCATTGTCTCTCCTGTTGCCTCAGTGTCTGCAGCTGCCCCTGTTTCGCCTCCTGTTATTGTTAAGAAAACCAAATCATTTTCATTTGTTCATAAAGTAAGACAAGCAGAAAAAGTCATTCCTAAACTTAAGCCCAATAATAGAGTTAGATTATTACTTCCTGTTGAAGCAATTAATGAGTGTGAAGTATTTTCAATACCCCAAACTTCATTTGTTGATGCTTTACTATCTAACCCAATGAAACGGAAACGTGTATCTATCCCATCACTTTCAGATCATCCATTCATTTCTAATCTTAGTTTAGTTCCCAAACCGTGGATTGATCTAAATTCTGATAGGCTGGAATCAAAACCTCCACGTTCTAATGTTAAGAAATATGCTGATGTTACTGTTAAGAAGAAGCGTGGGATTGAAGTTGATAAAAGTGACGATGAATTATTGGTCTCATTTAAATTCAAGAGAAAGAAGGAAAAAGAAATATATAGAAGGTATGTTAATAATAAGATTAAAAAGAATAAATTGAAGAAAGAGATTCCACTGGATAAGGTTTTTGAACAGGAAGATGAGATTGAAATGAATTTAAAAGAAATACTTAGAAGCTCCGATCCTATCAATAAAACTTCTAAACCATTTAAATTGCCTGATCCTTTCACTAAGGCATTTTATGATTTAACAAAAACTAGAATAATTCCTTTAGCAGTCAGGAAGAAAGATCAAAGGTATCTTTTGAAAAGAGGTCGAACAAATTTTTATGAACATCGTAAGCCAAAGAATATCACCAAACCAGATCGTGTTCCTTTACCCAAGATTTTTCCTGGATCTTCAGAATTAGATAACATCACCACCACCTCCAGAAAGAAGAATAACTCTGTACCTGAGGAAATTCCCAAACTTGAATCTGATTACGATGATGATGATGAGGAGGATGAAGGTAATTTCGACGATGATGATATTCGAAGTTTAACTAAATTCCAAAGTGATCGTTATTATTCCCGACTTAATATATTTGAACTTTCCAGAATCATAGGGTTACATAAATATGACATAGCTCTCACCAAAGAAGTTGAGATCAATGTTCTTGAATTATTTAAAAATTACTGTAATTTCAAATTAGGCTATCAAACGTGGATAAGAGGTACCACCAAAGAGTATCGGAGTAAATTGATTGAAAGATTATTTGATTTAAGCCAGCCTTTTTATCCTGAGTTAACAAGGTTTGAATTAGAAGTGATTGTAAGGAGGGGTGCTTACAGTTTGATGCAGACCAGATTAAGAAAGGAAAGAAGATTGCATGGATGAAATGGCTGGAAAGTCTCATGTTTGGTGGTATTTTTTATTTTTCGCAACAAATTTTGGATTTTTGTTTTTTGGATATCCCTATTTATTTTCTATCTATCATTTTTCTATTAGACACATTTATTTTATGGGTTTATTTCTACAATTAGCTTATTTATGATTTATTTATTTTGGGATTACTTCGCTGGGTTATGGTATTATTTTTCAGATTGGTTTAGGTTCTTTGGGTCCATCGGGTTCGTTTATTTATTTATTTATTTATTTATTTATTTATTTATTTATTTATTTATTTATTTATTTATTTATGGGGGAGTTATCAATAGAGTAATAGAATATGATTTTTACACATAAATCATACTAATATAATTAATATACGTAATTTATTTATTTATTTATTCATTTATATATTTATTTATTTATTTGTTTATTAGTACATACAACTACAATATTCATTTATCAGCTGGAGAATGCATTATTTGAGTGACGAATTTCCCTGAATATCTCGTAATACAAGCTACCGTCAACACATCATTTCTTATCGATGTGGTCATAAGATGATTTAAAATAACATGGTTAGGGATTGATAAATGGAAAGACTCTTGATTGGAGGCATAATATGAACTATCTGCTCTTCTCAAGGGTGGTCTTTTATGATGATGGATACTATTTAAACTTGAACTTTGACCTATGTTGGTAGGTGATTGGTTTGGAATCGATTGAGCGATATTAGACGATGATAATTGGGAATTGGATTGGGATGAGGATGAATTTGAGATTTTATTTAATAATACATTATTTAAATGAGCGGGTAATTGAGGTGGTTCAGGTAATTCATAATTTGCTGATTTATGCTTGAAAAATTCATAATTAACAAACATTTCGGGAATTTCATTGGAATATTCTAATTTAGGTGGTTTAATATTGATCTTCAATGATGAGATTGAATTTGTCAAGGGTAAATATTTCGAACTATCATGATGACCACCCGGTGGGATCATTGACGAAGAAGTATTTGATGGATGATGAGATTGATGATTTCCATAAGGGTAATTCTCTGATTGTTTTTGTAATTCTTCATGCAATTTCACATCTTTCATATCTTCATCATCTTCAATAATATTATTATTCCCCTCCACGTATTCAACATGTTCGAAATTTGATGATTCTTTTGAAATCTTTGCCAAAAAACTATTTGATTTCCGATTGATTCTCTCCACTTCATTCCTCCCTGCCACCACACTTGTTGAAGAATTAAAACTCCTATTGAAATTAGCATTGGATGGAACATTACTAGGAGTGACACTATGACTTACGGGACTTATAATATTGGCATCATAATCAGTTGAAGCACCGATATGATTCGGTTGATTTATAGAATGATTGAATAAATGAGATTCATCAATCACTTCAAACCAATTAAAGAAAATCCCTTCTTGATCGGTGGCGGTGGGTAATTGATCACTTACTCGATATTCATTGTTTATGATGTATAATAATTTATGAACTCCCAAGGGAAGGTTTATCGTAGTGATATATTCATTAGGATGTTGATATGAGGAAGAAAGTTTGATAACATCTCTCCAATTTGAGAACGATCCAATGATGGAGATTTTATTGATAGGTTCTTTATTGGTATTAACCCACTTTATTTCTACGGGGATTAATAAAGTTGAACTTGAAGTATGAGAATGATTGATTTGAGGATGAACGTAGGTATCATCAACCTTGACTTCGATCTGAGGGTTAGCATTATGATTATTAGTTATCTTTGTGAAATCAACTTTGGTTAAATCAGGAGTTGGAGTATGATGTCTATCGATTGGGATTTGTTGTTGTTGAGATTGTTGTTGAATGATGGTGGAATTATTACTATCAAAAGTTTCATCAATTTCCATGGCAGTATGAGAATCAGGGATATCCTTTGCATTTTCTTCTTCATTAAGTAAGATATTTCTTGCCACTTCTTGAACATCAGTATCTAATAATCCATCATTTAATTCATTGAATTCATCTTCGATTAAATCATTGGAGAATTGATTATAAGATATAGGATAATCATCATGGGATATAGGATGTAGTATATTATGAGATTGTCCTTCCTTCAGTTGTTGTTCTTGATGTTCTTGTTGAATGGAAGGATCAATATCAGTTCGTTGTTGATAAGTATAATTTGTAATTTCATTGGCATTATCACCTTTAACTTTTCTTAAAATCAAATCACTGAATTCTTCATCTAAATTATGTTGATCATTTTGAGCATTTGATTTTCTATAAGTTTCTGGAGCTATTGATTTCCTAGTTACAGTTGAAGGATTATTTCCCATTATGAAGTGATATGATATGATATGAATGATAATAAATAAGGATGTATAACAGACAATATAAGTACAAGGAATGCTAGTGTAATAAATAAGTATCAAGATATTCAAATGAAGGTTTATGAGATCTAATAATGGTATATTTCCGAGTAGCAGTAACTGTGTGGGTGTGAAAGTAAGGAGATTCTTCGTGTAACTCGGCTGATTCAAGGGAGGAGGAAGGATGCAGAAAGGGTAAGGAGAAGGGGAATGGGATATATGAATTAATGGAATGCGGGTAATGAGATGAACTAGGGAGATTCTAGATACTGGTTGGATGAATCAAGATGGTAATAGTTAAGAATCAAATTCAAACGGTGAATCAACAATGATGAAACTTCACTAAGAAATTTAAAAGAAAAAAAATTAGTAGTGGGGTTGCTCACTAAATGGATGGAAGGAAAGAGGGAAGGATGAAGACGTGTTTGGTGCCAGTTAAATGGACGTATTCTTCTACTCAATACAAATACCAATGATAAAGAAGGTAGATAGATATACTGGATCAAATAGCAACCTTTTAAAAAGGATAAAATGGTATAAATAAAATGAAAAATAAAAAAATAAATAATAAAGTGTTGGTGGTGGTGGAGTGGAAATTTAGAACAATAGCAAACAACCGAATTAGACAATATACACACACACAAAAGTTAAAAAAACTTTATATATAAACACACACCATATCTTACAACTTCTACATTTACAATTTACATTCACTGTTGTGGTTTATAGTTATGTTATTGTTAATATGGGTGTACAATGGTTATAGTAAAACATGGAGTTCATTCTTCGTCTCAATCAATTTAAGGCTCGAGGAATGTTTCATTGTTTATAATGAGAATTGAAGTTAATGGCTTCTAACATTTAAGAATAAAAGACAAGTAATAATTGTAACTAAGTACTGTTAACTAGTTGTACTAATTATAATTAGTCGTTTACACTATATAAATATAAATTATTTAACCATAATCCTATTACATCATAGTTTTCTTATCTCTGCAAATATTATTTTATATTTACTTTTCTTGTTTACCTCTTTGTTTAAAACAACAAATTTCTACACCACCATTTTTCTATACAAATATTGTCTTGGAATAAAACATCGTTACTAATAAAATTATCATCTTACTAAATCAGTTAATCTTATAGAAATCACTAAAATCAACTAATTAAATCAAAATCTCTAACTTTAAAATAAGAGCTTTATTAACTTTAGTGTTATGGGAGTTAGATTATATGCAGGATACACACTCCCCTCTCTCTCCTTACTTTTCCCTCAATTGTTTTATCTTGTGGGGTGATCTTTCGTTATATACAGGTTAGTAATGTATAATAAATAATTACTGATTATGTAATTAGTTATATAATCATACAACAACGTATAAAGTAATTACATAGTTAACCACAACCATTCTAATAATTATGATGGTATTACTACAATTAAGTTATCTCATATTATTCAGATATGTATAATCTGCAAGGTATAATTCATTTCATAATTATTTAATAGAATATGACGTAATTACAGTATACTCTCATCTCCACATATACACACACACTAAATGCTGGGGATAATACCAAGACTTTCAAGTCACTAGACAAGCTACCCATGTAAGTTCATGTCAGTTTGAAAGAAGACAAATCTTATAATTCAGTTAGATGAAATGTATAATTCTATTTAACTTAAAATTTCATCTATCAAAATTATGAAGATATTTGACAATAGAGATTTTCATTTATTAGAAATGGATTTGACGGATTTACAAACATTTCCATTTCCATTTTATGTTCGTAATTCTCAATTCTGTTTTTCTTCGCTGGGGGAAATGGAAATAATTATGCTCCCCTTCTCCCTAAAAATGTCTCATCAATCCCCCTGTCGGTGTGATTTTTTCTCTCTTAATTCTTTCACGCTTTCTTCTTTTTTTTTTTTAGCGTAATCAGTTCGTATTATTTTTGTCACCTAAGTAAACCGGTTTTTAATTTATTTTCGCTCGCTGGTTGACGCCCCTAAAAATTATCCCAAAGGTAATTAATGCCTAATTTGTAAATACAAATATATGTTTCTTATAAGTTGTCGTCATGGTACGATTTATTATGTATATACATACATAACTGTCAGGTAAACTCAACTTTTACACCGTTTCTTAGCATTTTCGGTTCTACTATTTTGTGATTTATACCTACTTACTTAAATAAACTTTACGTTGTTACATTTTTACCACTAATCTCGGATTAGTAAGATATTTATCTCGAGTAGCATGGAGGGATAAGGTTAACTAGATGTACCTGTTGTCCTTCTTCCATGATACAACTCTATGGAATTAATGTTGCATTTGAAATTGGTGTTGTAGTTCAAGTTGAATCTGAAGTTGAAATTATTACCCTTTTTATAAAATAAAAAAGCCTGAAAGTGAAATTGATAACTTTTGAAATTGACAACGGATATGATTTATCAAATTACAGCTGATTTTTGATTCATATTATATATGCTCTATATAACTTATTCTATAGATACATTCTAATAAAACTACAACTAGATCACATAAATAAATATTCGTCTAACTGGTAACAGTATATAAATCATATCATCATCGTCATCATCAATCATAACCTAAATTTCAAATAGAGTAACCTCACAAAATTTACGTCGTCGCCAGCCGCTTCACACTAAAAAATAAAAAATTTAAATTTAAAAATTTAAAAATTTCTCATTTTTAATTATTTTTTATGCCGCTAAAAACCAAAGACAAAACTGGCTGTCTCCTTAAAATTTAGCGTAAGCTTTAAACTGTCACTGACTTTAACTGCCGGCCTTTCTGTCCTTTCTTTCAGCCTATTTCTAGACTGTACCGTTTCTGTCTAGCTAGTTTAACTAAACTTCAATTTACCTCATGTTCGTCAATTTTCAATTTTGATTCTTGTTTTGATTTTAATCAACTTTACTGTTTATTATCAATCAATCTATCTAAATAGTAATATCATCCATGTATCCTCAAATCTAACCTTTCCTTAAAACATACATACAAGCTATAGAATATATCAATTTATCATAACTATGGCTAAAAGGAAAAGAGATCCAGCATCTCCACCTCAACCACCACCTCAACAGTCTTCACCTCCTTTAATACATTCATCAAATTCATCCCCTATAGATCCGATCGATCCTATTACTTCTACTACTAAAAAACGTCAACGTCAACCTATATCGTGTAACCTTTGTCGTACCATTAAACGGAAATGTGATGGGAAAAATCCTTGTGGAAATTGTATTAAAAAGAATCAAGAATGTATTTATCCTGCTATTGATAAAAGAAGAAATCGTTATTCCACAGAATATATCCAATTATTAGAAGATGGGTATAATAAATATCGTGAAACTTTACAGTTTGTCATTAATAATAAACAAAATCCAAATTTAATCATTAATAAATTAAATGAATTACCGAATGATTTACCCACTTTATTAATCGAAAGTACTAGTCAAGGGTCTATAAAAGATGAAAAAAGTATCAGCTTCTCAGATCCTCAACAACAATCACTACAACCTCCTGCTCAAGTTCAACCATTTCCTCTTAATCAACAACAATCTGTAAGTGTTTATGGACCAAGTAGTATCTACGATGGAGCATTATTAAATACTGATTCTCAAAATTCAAATAGTTCACCTCCAGGTCCTCCATCAAATCCATCAACTGGTTTATCAAATCCAAGTCCTACAAATTATCTCACTAAAATTAATTCAGCACCTCCACCAGTACCGTCATCATCAAATGCTCCTGCCACCACGGCATCTTCAAACAGTGCTCGGAATACATCATCTCCACAATCAATTGGAGGTAATTCACCTGCTTCAAATCTAGCTCAATTAAATCCATTAAGCCCCTCCGTATTAACCTCGCCAAAAGTTCAAGAATTATTATCTACATCATTCAAATTCTTACATGGAAGATTCATAACGTTTATAATGTATGAAAAGAAAACTCATGATTTATATCAACAATTATGTCAATTGAATACTCCTAATAATCCTAACGTTTATGATAAATTCAATAATCTATTATATACATACCCCAACAATCAATTCTTATCCCCTGAATTAATCTACGCCTTATGTTTATTCGGAGCCACAGTGTTGAATAGAGTCAATGAAGCTAATTATTATTATGATTTACTGAAAAGGTTAACATTCTGTGATAGTTATAATATCGGCGGCGTAGGTAATTCACCATCATCACCATTATCATCATCTTCAAGTGAATCTCAATCGAGCAAAATCTCTTTCGGAACATCTTCATTCGCCAGAATTCAAACATTGGTGACTTTGGCCATTCATGATTTAAGTAAGGGGAATTTAACCACCGCTTGGCAATTAACAGGGATGGCATTTCGAATGGGGTCAGATGTAGGGTTTGATAATTCATTTAAGATTGTTAATGATGAAGATTTATCAAAATTAAAGAATAAATTATATTGGGGATGTTATATTATCGATGCATTTTTGGCCATAATTTATGGGAGAAATAAAATGATGTTTTATCAACCTCATTATCCCGTATTTAAAAATGATGTCAATAATCGAAATTTAAGAAAAATCATTGATGTATTTGTGTTTTCTGATTCTATGTTTACCGTGATTTATCATTCAATACCATACACCACTTTAGAAGAATCGAAAAAGAATTTCATTGAGAAATTTAATAAAGTGAAGGAATTCAATCAACAATTATCTGATTGGAAACAAAATCTCGCTCCAGAATCATATTGGAATATCGAAATCATAAGACAATCATCTCAAGGTGGACAGAAGGATTTCGGACTTTCATTGGTGTTTTTCGTAGTGATCTTAATTCTTAATAAACCATTCTTACATATTAGTCAGGGAAATGATTTGAAATTAGTAAGGGATTCTATAAATGAATTTGAATTGATTTTATCTCAATTTCAAAATTTCGATAGTTATCAAAGTATCATTGTCATTTATACATTGATTCTAATGACTAATTCTTTATTTGCTATTTTAAATCAAGTTAATGTGAAGGAAAGATCGGTATTGATAAATCAGTTGAATTTCTTTGTTAGTTTTTTAATTAACAAATTCGATTCAGATACTTGGATTATCGTTAAGAATCCAATTCAAGTATTATCCGAGAGATTAAGCAAATTATTAGAATCAGAAAAGAATAATAATAAACAACAATCAAACTTACAAGTATCTCAACAACCACAACAATCATCTCAATTTCAACCTCCACCTCCTCAACCTCCACAAACACAAGTTCAATTCCAACATGAGTATTATGAATCAAAACCTTCTCCATATGATAAAAGATCACCTACTACTCCTATACTTGAAAATTTAGTTCATGGTCATACTCCTAAACCTCAGAATTCTCCTTATAATCAACTTCCACCTCCTCAAGAAGAAGAAATCCAGAATTATCAACAACAACAGCCACAACTTCAACCACAACCACCTCGAGATGATGAACCCTTTAAGAATATGATTGATTCGTTGTTTAATCAACATGGTAATGAACGTAATTTCGGTACTGGAGAATTCATGAACGATAATAATCAATTTAATCATTATAATAATTTCAATAATGTTAATAATAATCAATTTGATATGTTTGCCCAACCACCATCTCAACCCCAACCACAACCACAACCAGCAGCAACAACTTCAACCAGTAAAAGACTGAGCAAGAGTAGGAAAAAGAGCAGCAGTCTTAAAAACCAACACCCAGAGGCACAAGAATCATCATCATCATCATCAAATCCCCAACCGACAAATCCTGATGGTAGTAATCCACCGCCACCCAAGAAACAAAATAAAAGAACCATATCGATCAATCCATTAAATGATACTGATATGTTTAATAATTTCTTAAATTTTGAATATTTGGATATCAATTGGGACAGTTATTTCCCTCAGTTTCCTCAATAAAACACCGTATGAACTTTCTTCTCGTATATAAAACGAACCCCTGTATTATTCTTGATATAATTATAAAATATATATTCATGTACTATTTTTCTTAAATTGCAACCATATTTTTTAGCGTCCTGGTAGCGTTTGATCGATCCTGCGGCATGGATGTGACCCTTTTTTAAAAATTAGATTAGTCTTTTAGAGAGCGGTTAAATCGGTTTGAGGCTATTACAAATCTAAAACAAGTTTAACACAAGTAGTCAATTGACATCAACAGTGAAGTATTATAGATATCAAGTGATATTGATAGACTGGTATTCATAAATTAGAAACACCATCCCCATTTAAATTGTTAAGAAATTGTTTTCTCATCATCATTTTCATCATCATCACCATCATATAAAGAACACAGTATTATATAAATCATGTCTTGGACTGGGATAAAGAAAGCTATAAATAGAGCTGGTACTCAAGTTTTACTTAAAACAGGTCAAATGGATCAGACTGTTGATAAAGAATTTGAATTTGAAGAGAAAAGATATCGTAATATGGAAACCACTTCAAATAAATTACAAAAGGAATTAAGACATTATTTAGAATCATTAAGAATTTTAACTAATAGTCAAGTTAATATTGGAGAAAGTTTAAGTACATATTATGGAATACTACCTTCTCAAGTCATACCGAGACTGTCAACTAGTTCAAATGGGAATAATGAAGAAAGTCATAATACCGCTGATGAAGAGGAGGAGAAATTTAATTCATTATCTCAACAATATTATTCTGTGATGAAGAGTTTAAGTGATAAATGTCTTTCAGAATTAGAGTATCCTTATAATCAAACCGTTTTAAATCCTATATCGAGATTCAATTCTTATTATATCGAAATCAATGAAGCTATTAAGAAACGAGCTAATAAACAATTAGATTATGATGCTATGAAGAATAAAGTTAAGAAATTAATTGAAAAACCTCCTACCAATGGTGAGTATGAAACCAAATTAAGTAATTATCAAGAACAATTGGTTGATTTAGAAAAGACTTATGAAACATTAAATCAACAATTAAAAACGGAAATACCCAAATTAATTAATTTAAGAATTCCATTTTTAGATCCATCATTTGAAGCATTTGTGAAGATTCAATTAAGATTCTTTAATGAAAATTATCAACAATTAAATAGTCTACAAGCTAAATTAGATGCTAAAACCAGAGAAGATTATATTCATGGTCGTCTTGATAAAAGATTGGATGATATTTTAGGGAAAATGAGAGAACTAAATATTACTGGTTAAGGAATTGGTTTAATAATAGCCATGTTTAAAGACTGTTTATGAGATAAGATTAGAAGTTATGATAATATTGAAAGTGTGGTAATGTAACCCATCATATAGTAAATAAATAAATATATAATATTTTAATTCTAGCTGAAAATAATGGTAGAGGTTTCCAAAGATGATTATAATTATCAGAACTTAAGGATAGAGTCATTGGTAAGAGTATAGATTAGGAGATTATGTCCAACAATATCAAAAAATCGGTATATTGATCTGATTTTATTGTCCTTATCGGTGATGATGAAGATAAATTTGAGGATAGTGATGAAAATTTGGAATAGATTATATGATCTGTTGAAGGTTCAAAAAATGAAAAATGCAAAGGTTACCAGAAGGAGATAGAACTTCGATTACGTTGTTTCCATCACTATGTTGGTAATGAGAACCTATCATTAAGTGAATTTTGAATTACCCTATCAACCTTTAAAGTTTCTCCAAAAATATTTAAGTTCTTTTGCAAGAAGATTTTTTGAAGCTGCGGAAGCTGCTGGTATTGATGATATGGGCATCGATCAACTTGTCGATAAAGTGGAAATTATCCTTGCTTATTCTCAACTCTTTGTCTTACCCTTTCCAGCTCCAATTTTTAGAGTACCAAACTACCAAGTAGAAGAAGTGAGAGTATCAAAAAGACGAAAAGATTCATATTATAGAGGCTCAATAGTAGTAGTTCCTTTTTACTTACAGGAGAGAATTCTCAGTCACATCATCAGATAGAAGTTAATGTTGTTGATGAAAATGATCATGATATAGAACCCATACATTTAAGACTTTTTGCATTAATTTTTCTACCTACAATTGTTTACCCATATAATCAGATTCGCAACAAGTGGTATATCAGGTATAATGTTCACAATAGTCTCTTAGAACCAGTAAGAGATTTATTAGCGTATCACTTTGACACGGTCAATGTATTACCACAGTTCTGCTGTGACGGTGTAGTTTCTGAGTATTGTATTCAAGTTGGAATTGATAAATCAGTGTTTAATATTCCCGTTGAATTGAAGATATATGACTCTTTTAAAAGTAATTTTTCAAATAAACGAATCCCAGATGCTAGAATTCAAATCTTCAATTGGGTATATGTTTGATAAAGAGTGTATTATGATTATAAAATTGGTTAACAATGAAATACCTGAATTTGCAGTTGAAGAACTAAGTCATATTAGGATAGCCAGAGTGAAATGTAACATTCAGTGTGTTAGATATAGCGATATCAATCCTGCATTTTATAAACTGTTATTAAGTTATCTTCCATATGTCACGGAAGTGATAAAAGCTGAGCTGGTTCCACATATGATGCCATGAAATTGACTTCCGACGATTAGAGATATGTGGCTACAGTGTGATTTTGGGAGATACGAATGGCTCAATAAATACAGCGAATACAGTCCCAGATAGTCTAAGATAGTGTAGATAATAAGATCTAGCTATATACTTTCACTATATAAAAATTTCCTTTCTCTTCAACCCTTACCTCAGAACATTACTATATATATTATTACCTCTCATTATATTCTACTTTCAGTATTATTTATCGGTTTTTAATAACTTTTATGTAATGAAAACTTCAAAATCAGCCAAAAATATATCAACTAGAATTTTCACTGCGAAAAAATATCTTGATAAAACAATAAAAGTTAATGTGTTAAAAAGATATCAGTAGAGAAATAAACAAAATTCATAATTCAGTTAGAATACAAGCTTCAACTCAGATATACATACTGTTGAATCACCTTCTGATTTCCAAGTATATGTGTCACTGCTTGATCATTTATTTGTCATCTGAAATTTGATAATGACCTAATTTATAATTAAAGCTACCAGAGTAAGGTATAGGTCACAACCATGGAATATCAATTCAACATAGATGATGGTCTTTTAAGAAGGAGTATTCAATTACTTCGAATTAGTCTCCAAGATACAAATCATGATTATTTGAGCTTTGGAAAGATTCCTACTTATAGAGAAAAACGTCGGAATAATGAGGTAGATTTTGTTTCTGATGAAGATTCCAAAAATGAAGATTTTAAAGGTTTACGAAAAGAGATAGCTCTTCGCTTACGTTGCTTTCACTATTATGTTGGTAATGCAGACATTTCTCAGGCAAATAGAGAGTATCATGAAGTGCATTTGGAGACAGACGATATTTTAGAGTTTCTTCAAAAGTATATAGTATCTTATGCAAGAATATATCTTCATGATTCTGGTACTGATGATCAAAGAACCCTCGACCAGTTTGGTTATGACGTGGAAAAAATTTTCAATTATTCTCAACTATTTGTCGTACCTTTTCCACCTCCCATTTATCTAGTGCCACACAAAGAAGACAACTTGAGACCAACAAAGAGGCAAAAAGGCACATCTGACGCTTCACACCATAGCGTTTCGTTCACACGTACCAGAGGGTTTTTCGAATCATTTCGTCAAATACAAGCTGATGTGATTGATGAAAATGATCAAGACATAAATGATGTGACTGAAGTAGATGCTCAAGACATACAACAAGTAAGGCTGGCTAAGCTATGCTTTATAAGACAATGTGGGCCACTCCAAACTGATTTTCCTCCTGAACAGATTGATAACGAGTCGGTTATAAGCGGTATTGTGCACAATGGTATCTTAAAACCCGTGAATCGTTTATTGAAGCATCGCTTTAGAGGGATAGAAGTAAAGAAACATGTATACCGTGACTACATGTCGATACCTGATTATTGCTTTAGAGTTGAAATTGGGAATGCACACATTTATGTTCCAATTGAGTTGAAGTTATCAGGTGTTTATAACTCATTTAAAAAGAGAAATTCTTATTTTACAGATTTAATAAATCAGTCTCTGTATCAACTACTTACATGTAAATCAAAGCTCAGTTTTGTTTTTGATAAAGATTGTATTATGATTATAAAATTGCCTGGGGAAGGAATGCCTGAATTGTTAGTTGAAGAATCAACTCAAATAAGATTAGCTAAAATGAAATTTTCAATGTTTTAAATATAAAGATATTAGCCCTGCATTAATATTGTATAGACTGATTCTTAGCTATCTTCAAGGTGTGACTGAAGCTGATGAAGTTTATGTTCAATCTATATTTGATGCCATGAAATTGAGTGATGTTGATAAGAGAGCTGTGACCACAGGTAAATACAATTTTATGCGAAATGAGTGGCGTAATCAGTTCCCTCATTATAAGTTAATAGGGGACTATTATATCAAACATCATCAAAGAAAGCAAACTAATATTAGGATCCACAAAGGTTTATTCAGAAGAAAATTATTCAATTTTGTCACTACTATTAATCGAGAGGATTTTGATGATATAACACCAATTCAAGATAATGGGAGAGACAATAGAAAGTATCATGCAAATGTTTTTCGTTTAAGATACAACAAGGAACCAAACGAAAACAATAGAATGATACTAAAAATTTATGACCCTGTGTCTGCTCCCATTAAGGTCTCTCATACTAATGGTAATTCCTTTCAGAGAACATTTGCATTTTCATTATCCATGTTTTTGAATGAATTACGTTGTTACAAAAAATTGAGAAAAGTTAATAGCAGGGGCTCACAAGTAGAAAGGCCACCATCACTCGTTGGGGCAACATCAACTTTGCATTATACTCCTTATTTGTGCGAGTCAGGATTTATAGATTGGCCAAGTGAAATAATTGCTGAAAATGAAGAGTCAACGACATTTTCAGGCTTTTTCCTTCTCATGGAAGAAATATCGCAAGATTTCCCTGACACAGAAGAGGAATATCAACGAGCAGCAGCTCAAGCGTTGCAAAGCATTCATGCCAAAGGTTTACTCCATGGGGATGTAAAAGATCGGAATTTCCGATATGATGCTTCCAGGCAGAGAGTTATTTTTTTCGATTTCGGTCTATCTACCAACACCAAAATAAAATCGAATGCTTTGATTGTTCTGAGTGATATACAAAAGGTCGCTGAACTTAATGACTTAAGAGTTGAAGTGTCAAAGGCATTTAGAAATAGGCACATTAGACCTATTATAGCTCATAATTAAATAGTTTAATAGATATTTGCAACTTAATATTAGTGCGGCTCATTTACTGAACTATTGATTTCTCAATCACATGGTGTTTGTTTGATTTGAATTGCCTTAGTTTTGAATATGTAAAATCATCCTTAAAGAGATTTGTTTTGATGAACATAAATATCACTTTCCACTGTTAGACTTCGGGGAATTTTTGAAATTAGAATCCATTTATCTAGAAGACTGCAATATGGAAAATTTAAATAATCTAAATTGCCTCCAAGCCTAAGACTGTTGAAATTTGATGGGATTCATTTTAGATCAATCGATCACATGTGTCCCTTACTCAGTAATCCAATGAAATATCCCAATTTAACTATTCTTTCTTTTGAGCATTGTCGTATGGATTTTATTTCTTCAGAGTTACAGTTACCAAAACATCTTCAAATGTTATCAATGCTGTTTTACAAGAATATACCACTATTTTCAAACATTGTTAAACATGAATGCTTAACCTATTTAGGAATATTTAGAATGACTTCTTTAGATTATTTTGATGAGTTTGAAGATTTTACCATTTCGGATGACTGCAAAAGCAGTAGAATCAAAACATTGGAGTTCACTTTAAGTTACGGTATTTTTGATATTAATCTTATGGATAATTTGTATGATAATATTGAAAGGACATTTGGAAAGAAAATTAAGAGAAGATATGCATCGAATACTGCCAAATTTATTCTTAATCTATTGTAAATTTCAAGGGGAACCGCAGCAGTGCTTATGCCATGAATAATCACTTGTTCAGCACCATTTGTAATTTGATTGTTTAAATAGTACATATACAATTACACTTATATATATTCCTGTTAGGTATATAACAAACACTGCCTTTGTCACTGTCACTGCGACGACTTCTAATTTGGGTTACTGGTTACGAGGAAAGATCGTTAGTGCGCCTAATTTCTCGGCGGGTCGGCCATCTTCGCTCCCCCCCCCTCCGTCACTACCATCACACTAAATAAAATCACCTTAGCACACACGCACTGGGTCTTCCTCCTAACAAATGCTGTCACCCCCACCCTTCTGTCCCTAAGAAAAATGACATTTCTCACTAAACATAAAATTTAAATTAAGCATCAGCAGGGAAAGATTTAAGCACTAACAAGAAAATGCCAAAGAAAAAGAAACTGTCAGAAGAAATTCTATTTAGGGGAAAAAAAGCATCAAATCAAATCAAATCAAAAACAATCAAACTTTAATCACCAAATAGGCAGATAACGGGCTGATCACTACATAGACAATCAATTCATCCATTCGACATAGAAACGACGAGGTCGAAGATTTGAAAAGTGAAATCAAACATATACGATTGTATTTCTCATTTCAATATACCTGTCTTCTTCTCTTATCACGGCATAAATATAGCAACAAAACAACAGCAGGGGTGAATGTTTGGGAAAGACAAGAAATTACAACCTGTATTTGACAGCCATTTCTGGCATTGGTATATTGACAGTTATGCTAGAATACCGGTGGGTCAATTAGGTGATCCAACACCGTATAACAAGACTAAATACTATCCTGCATCAACTTCAGTAGTTACGGTTCAAAAGTATTTTGATTATTTGAAATTACCTATACCCTCAGCTCATCAAGTTATTGCTCTTTTAAAATCGCCTTTCACCCAAGGAGATCTTGTTAAGACTTTCCATTTAGTACGATTCTTCCAATTAAGTTCAGATGGATTATTCTTAACTAATTCTGGAGCAGATAAATTAGGTGGTGTAATCACTTATGTGGGGGCTGAGAATTGGGAAAATGTAATGTGTTATTTAGATGCTTTGTTATTTTCCATGTTTGCTAATTTAGAAAGTTTCGAACCTATTTTATTCATATCCAATCAAACGTCAGATCATCTAGTATGTCAATTGGCTTCATTAATTCGATTATACGTTAATTTATTAAGATCAGGAAATTTAATCACTACAGATTTAACTACCAGAATATGTGAAGTATTAGAAAAATTAGGATTTAGAGAAGCCATGTCTCATAAACAACAAGATTCAGCAGCTATATTTGATTTCTTAACTGAAACTCTTTCCATGCCATTATTAACTTTTAAAATTGATATCAAACATGGTGGGAAATTTAATAAAGAAGATGATCAAAAAATATCAAAGGAAAGAATTTTATTCGTAAGTATACCCGATGAAGAAGGAGAATCATATGTTCAAGTCGATAAAGATCAAGGTTCAACTGAAATAACTGAACATCAAATAGATCAAGATCAAGAACATGATGGGATACTTTTAGAAGAATGTCTTGAACAATATTTTAATAATTCCATTAGTGTTAAACGTGAACTTGAACGAAGGGCTACTTTAGAGAGTTTACGTGAAAGTGGTGCTATGATGCCTGCCACAAGTATTTCTAACCCTGGAGGTGAAATACTTTATTATGGAGCTACCATTCCTGAAGAAAATAGTATTCAATCATTTAGTGCATCAGAAGCAACCTTAAAAAGAAATTCAGGTTCCAATCAAATAGATAATTTAGACGAAGCTATAAGTTTAAGAAGCCTGACTCCTATTTCAAGAGCTAGATCTGATAGTTATAAAGGAACTCAAGTAAGATATGCCACTAGAACTAGATCTTCAACTGTTTCATTATGGTCTAGTAATGATAATGATCCAAGTAGATCTAAAGAAGTTAGTTTACCAGCATGGATGTTTTTAACACTTTTACCATTTTATACCGATGATAATAATATGGTTGGTCCTGAAAGCATTGCTCGAAATTCAAAAGAATTCGTTAATAGAAGACCAATATTACCTATATGTTTAAAGAGATATTCATATGATTCATCAAGTTCACTGGCCACAAGATCGAAAAAGAGAATTATAATCCCGCCATTTATAGATTTGCCTCAATTTGTGGCTGATGACGTTGACGATGAAACTCCAGGAAATTATAGATTAATTTTAGAAAGTGCGGTTTGTCATCGTGGTAATTCAATAAATCTGGGTCATTTCATATCAGTAGTAAGAAAGGATTCCGATAATGTGAATATGACAGAAGAAGAAGGTCATACTGCCACATGGTATTTATATGATGATATGAAGAAAAAATCCAGAATTGTTGAAAAGTCATTTGCTGAAATCTTTAATACAGAATGGCCATACATGTTATTTTATAGATTAGTAACATCACAAGAGAATTTCACTGCTAATAAATCAAGTCCAGTTACAGTTCCTCATGGTTCAAAACCAAAATATTGGGCTGAAGAGACTTTATCACCTATTATTTCAGCGTCAAATACAGATGATGAATCTCGATCATTGAAAAGATTAGAAAGTGCCGTAAGTTCTACATCTAGTATTCCTATTCCTGATATACCTCCCACGGATCCAAGATCAATTGATATCAGACAAAGATATTATTGGTATGTGGTTGATAAAGATAAGAATTATTATAAGGAATTACCAAGTGTATCAAAATATGGTAATAGTAATGGTTCAGTTACTTTGAGTCCTCAATTCCGTCGTAATAGTCAATGGAGTGAGAAATCTGCCGTTAGCAGTATTCATAATTTAATGCATTCCAATGTTAATGATGTGGTGATTGAGAAAAGTAGTGCTGATGCCGTTAATGAAAAATTGAAAGAAGTTAATATATCTTCTCCAAAGGAAGATCTGAAATCCAAGAAGTCTCCTCTTACTTCATTCTTATCACCAACCTCTTCTCATAAGGTCAAACCTACCAAGAGTCCAAAAACCTTAGAGAAGCCAAATAGCAGTACAACCACTTCAAATACTACATCACCTAGAAGATCACCAACCACCACTACTACTAAACCTACTTCCACCGCGCCTCCAAAGAAACATCATCACTTCCATAGAAAGTCAAAAAAGAGTGAAGAGTATAAAAAAGATAAATGCATAATTACATAGATTTTGTTTTCATAAAAGAAAAACATTTGTTTTCAATTCTTCTAATATTAATATGTTACAACATTTTATAGATAATTTAATTTAATAATAATACACAATATACCGATTTATTTTCATTTTCTAATCACCATAGTAGATTTCACCACTTACACCAGCCATCACCACTTTACTTTTCTCTTGAGGATGGAATTTTATACAATTGATAGGTTTATTATTATTACCGAGTTTAATTTTGTTAATTAATTTACACGTTTTCCAATCCCAAAAATATGCCGACCCTTTAGAATCACCACTTAAGATAATTTTACCATCAGGAGAAATATCAATCCCAATCGCAAATCCAGCCAGATGATGACTTGTGAATACCTTCTTTTTATTGAATTTATATTTTCCGTGACCTTGAATCACACGAATCGAATTATCCATACTTTGTAAGGCAATGTAACTACCACCAGGGTAAACTACCGGAGAATTCATCGCTTGTTGTGATGGGTCAGATATGAATTTGACAGGGATATTCACTTGCCAATCCCAGAATCGAACCGTTTTATCATCAGCGGTTGACATGAATCGATTTCCATCATCCACAATCGTTAATGAATTGATTGATCCTAAATGATGATCATAAGATTGAACTGGGGTTTGATAATGAATGGCACTTAAATCATAATGTTCAATCTTATTATTACTTAATCCAACAATGAATTCATTTTCATTATTGGGATTGAACTTTATAGCGTTCGGGATAGCATTCACTTTAATAGTTTTCTTTATATCACCAGTTTCAGTATTCCATAATCTTATTTGTTTATCAAACCCACACAGAAGAAATTCATCCCCTTTATTATTAAATGAAACATCCTTTACTGATCGTGAATGACCGTAATATACTCGAAGTAATTCTCGTTTATGATACATATCCCAAAGCTTAATTCTACCATCATTTCCAGCTGATAATAATAAATGACCTGATTTGGGGAAGAATTCAAGTTTAGTAACTCCTTTAGCATGCCCTTCAAACTTATGCATGATAACTTTTGGAACGAAACATTCTTGCAGACCTGATTCTTTCATCAAATTAATATCCAAATCTCGTGGTATATGCATATATGTTCTTCCCAAGTAATCAAATTCAGATGATCCAACAAATTCAGTATGGATCTGAGTAGACTCTTCTTTATCAGATTCATATGGTTCAATGGTTACTTCTTCTTCCTTCTCCTCGAGTACTATTTCATTACCGTTATTATGTTTGTGCTGTGGTTCATTATCACTTGATTCTTCATATTCTGCCCATGGATCAATCACAGAATCATAGTCATCCACATCTTTCGCTACCTTCTTCCGTTTGCGTTTTAATGATTTCTGTAGTTCCTTAGATCTCTTAGATGTAACATTGGGAGATCCTTGATTAAGATCATCAACATAGGCTTTCTCTATACTACCTCCCAATACAGCTTGTTTATTGTTCTCGACCGTTACTGTCTTTGAATGTTCATTTTCTTCATTAATATCTGCATAAGTCTTCAATTGATAAACAGGTAGTTTCGGTATGTTATCGACTATATGATCTTCATCTTCACTAGAACTATATCCTTGTACGATAGACATTGGTTATCATTTGACAGTAAGTGATAATGAAGTGAACCGCTATGAGTTTTGATTTTTAGCTGGGGTTGCATTTTGAGCACATCGCAAAATTAAAAAAAAAATTATTCAATTTTGACAATCTGAATGTTTCAACCCTTTTAAAAGTAATTCAATCATTGCATACATAGATCATGAGTAAAAGAAGAGTAGACGAAGACGAAGTCGAAGAAGATTCAGACATTGATCTCAGTTCTACTGATGATGAAAATGAAGAAGAAGTGAATGAAGAAGGAGACGAAGAAGGAGATGATGAAGATGAAGAAGTTGTTAATGTTGATTTTGATTATTTTGATTTAAATCCTGAAGTTGATTTCCATGCTACCAAGACATTCCTTCGTCAATTATTTGGTGATGATGAAGCTAAGATTGATATTTCTGGTTTAGCAGATCTTTTACTTAAAAAAGGTAGTGCTGGTACTACTATTAAAACTGAAGGTATAGAAAGTGATCCATTTGCTTTATTATCAGTAATTAACTTAAATGATAATTTAACTAAACCAGCTATAAAAAGTGTATTAAATTATGTATATGAAAAGACATCTACTCAATTACAATTCAATTTATTTTTAAAAAAGTTACTATCAACAGGTAAAACCACTAAAGATTCTACTAAACAATTAAAAGTTGGATTAATTATTAGTGAAAGAATGATAAATATGCCAGTTGAAGTGGTACCACCAATGTATAAAATGTTATTAGAAGAAATGGAAAAGGCAGAAGATGCTCATGAAAAATATGAATTTGATTACTTTTTAATCATATCAAAAGTATATAAATTAGTTCATGCTAATATTCAAGATGACGATGAAGATGAAGGTAATAAATCAAAGAAAAAGAAGAAGACTAATCAAGAACCGCAAGTTGAAATGGATTATTTCCATTATGAAGATATGATATTGGAAGATGATTGTAAATTCAAGGGTATTTATGATTATTCAACCGTTAAGCAAGATACTGATTCAAGAAGAGTATTTACTGATTATGGTATTGATCCTAAATTGAGTTTAATCTTCCTTGATAAAGAACAGTTGGCCAAGTCTGTTCCAATCATGGCTGAAAAATTCCCACCTTTCTAACCCTTTGTATACTACCTTAGAATATTAATAAACATTTAATCACCTCCCATTATAGTCCGTGTTATAATTTCAGTATTATTTATCTTTTGTTAGTATCATTTATCTAATAATCAGCCTAAAAGCCTTATCAAAGTAGAACTAAAAAATATGTGTGACCCTATTTCGCTGCAAAATAATAATTTCGATAAACAAATAAAAGTATTTGTTAAAAAGATTATTAAAATTAACAAATTCATAATTCAATTTGAGCCCAAGACATTTATACTGTTGAATTATACCACCTTCTGATTCACAAATATAAGGCTTTATCAATTATTTGTCATCCCAGATTAAAGAGTAACTGAATCTAATTTATAATTTAAACTATATCAAACTACTTGAAGTCAAGCAGCCATGGAATTTCAATTCAATATAAATGAAAGTCTTTTAAGAAGAAGTATTCAATTAGTTCAGGCCAGACTTAATGATTCAACTCATAATTATTTAGAATTTAACAAACTTCCTAGATCTAAAGAGAGTAATCTAGTACGTGAGGTAAATATTGGTTCTAGAGACTATGTCAATGACGATCGTTTTAAAGGTTACCGAAATGAGATAGCACTTCGTTTGCGTTGTTTTCATCACTATGTTGGTAATAGGGATAAATTGAAGAGAAGTCGAAGTCTTAATGCAGTGACGCTCAAGCCACCCTATAGTGGTTTACTACTTGTTCATGGTATTATAAGCTCTTGTGCAGTAGAACTCTTTAATGAAGATGGTATTGTTAATAATAAGGTGGTGAAAGGTCTTGTTGCTAACGTGATGGCTATTTTTGATTATTCTCAACTATTTATATTACCTTTTCCGTTTCCCTTTTATAAACAAATCACTAACCGAGAAGAAGAATTGAGATCATTAAAGAAGCGGAAGCTTCAGGCTGACGCTCAAGATAATTCCTCCATAAAAGCTTCAAAAGCTGCTTCATTCACAGTCACTAGAGTATTCTTTGAATCATTTCGTCAAATAGAAGCTGACGTGATAACTGAAGTTGATCAAGGTATAGAAGCAGTACACATTCGCTTTGTAACAGCTATTTATTTACCTCCTTTGGGCTTTTCGCATAATCAGATTAATAATGAGTCCAGAATTAGCGAGATTGTGAACTTTGGTCTCTTAGAACCAGTGAGACATTTATTATTGCATGATTTTGATACGATAGATTTATTATCACAGTTCTACACTGATAAAATGTCGATTACTGATTATTGCTTTACCGTTGATATTAATAATTCATCCTATAAAATTCCTGTTGAATTGAAGCTAGAAGGTGTTTATAATTCGTTTAAAAAGAGGAATTCTGATTTTTCTGATATAATAAATCAGCTAACTTACCAGATGTTAACAAATTCATCATCAATCGGCTTTGTTTTCGATAGAGAATGCATTATGATTGTGAAATTGTTGGATAATGCAACACCTCAATTAAAAGTTGAAAATTCTACTCAAATAAGACTAGCTAAATTGAGATGCAACATTCAATGTATTAGATACATAGATAAAAATCCTGCATTATTAATGTATAAGCAGATGCTTAGATATCTACAACAAGCCACTGAAACTGAAAAACTTCGAGTTGCATCTATATTTGCAGCCATGAAATTAACTGATGCTGATAAGAAAGATGTGATTAGAGGGAAATATGCATTTATACGAAGTGAGTGGCGTAATAAATTCAAGGGATATAATCCAGTTAATGATTATTATATAAAATTTATCGGAAAAGAGCCAACTAATATTAGGATTCCTCGTGGATTTTTTGATAGGTCCTTATTCAAATATGTTACTAATATCCAACGAGAGAATTTTGAGGATATAATTTCTATTCAAAACAATTATAAAGAAAATAAAACAAAGTATCATTCAAATGTTTTTCGTTTAAAATACAGCAAAGCCCCACATAAAGGCAAACAAATGATACTTAAGATCTATGACCCGGTGTCTGGGCCAATACTTCGGGCGCGTACTCAAGGTACTTCCTTTCAGAAGACATTTGCTTTTTCATTATCCATGTTTTTGAATGAGTTACGTTGTTACAACATATTGAGAGGAGTTATTCGTAATGGTCTACAACTAAGAAGGCCACCATCACTACAAGGAGAAGCATCTACTTTGAATTACACTCCTTATGTGTATGGGAAAGGTTTTATAGACTGGCCAAGTGATATAATTATCGGAAATTCAAATCCATCAAATTTTTGTGGTTTCTTTTTGTTAATGGAAGAAATTCCTCAAGATTATCCAGATACAGAAGAAGAATATCAACAAGCAGCAGAAATAGCATTGAGAAGCATTCATGCCAAAGGATTACTACACGGAGATGTAAAAAAGAGGAATTTCCGATATGACGGTTCGAGAGGGAGAGTAATCTTTTTTGATTTTGGATTATCAAGGTATAGCAAAGATAGAGCTGATGTTTTGATTGCTCTGAGTGATCAAGAAAAGTTGGCCGAGCTTAGTAAGTTAAGGGAGCAAGTGACAGAGGCATTTAGTGAAAAACCTAGTTTAAGTATTAATTAAAATAGTTTAATATATTTGCAAATTAATTATGAATCTCAAAATCGCTGATATGATATTATAATCACATGACGAAAACCCTTTCACTTCCCTCCTATCTAACCTAATATATACCTTGTAATATTAATAAACACGTCCCATTATAGTCCGTGTTATAATTTCAGTATTATTTATCGGGTTTTTATAAGTTTTATGCAATTTCAAGTGGAATTAAGTAAGAAATAAACAAAATTCATAATTAAGTTAGAATGCAAGCTTCAACTTAGATATACATACTGTTGAATCGCCTTCTGATTCCAAGTATATGTTGATCATTTCTTTGTCATCTGGAATTCAATAGTGACCTAATTTATAATTAAAGCAACCAGAGTAAGGTGTACGTTACAACCATGGAATATCAATTCAACATAGATGATGGTCTTTTAAGAAGGAGTATTGAATTACTTAGAATTAGTCTCCAAGATACAAATCATGATTATTTGAGCTTTGAAAAGATTCCTACTTATAGAGAAAAACGTCGGAATAATGAGGTAGATTTTGTTTCTGATGAAGATTCCAAAAATGAAGATTTTAAAGGTTTACGAAAAGAGATAGCACTTCGCTTACGCTACTTTCATCATTATGTTGGTAATGCAGGCATTTCTCAGGCAAATAGAGAGTATCATGAAGTGACTTTGGAGACAGACGATGTTTTAGAATTTCTTCAAAAGTATATAGTATCTTGTGCAAGAAGATATCTTCATGATTCTGGCACTGATGATCAAAGAACCCTCGACCAGTTTGGTTATGACGTGGAAAAAATTTTCAATTATTCTCAACTATTTGTCGTACCTTTTCCACCTCCCATTTATCTAGTGCCACACAAAGAAGACAACTTGAGACCAACAAAGAGGCAAAAAGGCACATCTGACGCTTCACACCATAGCGTTTCGTTCACACGTACCAGAGGGTTTTTCGAATCATTTCGTCAAATACAAGCTGATGTGATTGATGAAAATGAAGACATGCAACAAGTAAAACTACGCTTTGTAAGACAATGTGGACCAATCCAAACTGATTACTCTCCTGAACTGATTTATGACAAGTCGGGTATAAGCACAATTGTGTACAATGGTATCTTGCAACCTGTGAGGCGTTTATTACAGCGTGACTTCCATGGGATACACCTAATGCCAGACTTCTACAATAACAGCATGTCGATTCCTGATTATTGTTTTATAGTTAAGATTGGAAATTCCAAATTTAATATTCCAATTGAATTAAAGTTATCAGGTGTATATAACTCCTTTGAAAAAAAGGATTCTAGCTTTTCATATTTAATAAATGAATCCATGTATCAGATGCTAGAATTCAAATCTTCAATGGGGTATGTGTTTGATAAAGAATGTATTATGATTATAAAATTGATTAATAATGAAATGTCTGAATTTGCAGTTGAAGAATCAAGTCATATTCGGATAGCCAGAGTGAAATGCAATATTCAATGTATTAGATACAACGATTTAAATCCTGCATTAATGTTTTACAAACTGATATTAAATTATCTTCTATATGTCACTAAAGATGATAAAAATCGAGTTGAATCCATATTTAACTCCATAAAATAGACTTCTGATGATAAGAGATATGTGGTTACAATGTGGTTTTAGGAGATAAGAAAGGCTCACTAAATACAACGAATACAGTCCAAGATTGCAGAACTAAATTCGATATATATTTGCAACTAAAATAAAATAAATAGTTATGACTGAGACAGTAATGGTCTATTCTTTCACTATATAAAAACTTGCCTCCTTTCTGATCTAATATACACGATCTTGGAATATCAATAAACATAAAATTACATCGCATTATAGTCCGTGTTATAATTTCAGTATAATTTATCGGTTTTTAATAAGTTTTATGCAAAGAAAACTTCAAAATCAGCCAAAAAACTAGAATTAAGAAATATTTCGCTGCAAAAAATTTTTGATAAAAAAAAAAAGTTATACTATCTTGTGATTCCTAAATGTAAATGACGCTGCTTGATCATTTATTTGTCATCTGAAATTTAATAGTGACTCAATCTAATTCATAATTTAAATATCAGGAGTAAGATATATGTTACAACCATGGTATTTCAATTCATCATAAATGATAGTCTTTTAAGAAGGAGTATTCAATTAGTTCAAAATAATCTCCAGAATGCAAATCATGATTATTTACAAGTTGAGACACTTCCTAGTTTTAGAGAAAACCGACAACTTTATGAAGTGGATTTTGGTTCTGTTGAAGATTCCAGAAATGAAGACTTTAAAGGTTTACGAAAGGAGATAGCTCTTCGCTTACGCTGCTTTCATCATTATGTTGGTAATAGGGATATATTACAGGCCAATGGAAACCACTATGAAGTGATTTTAGAGCCCCCCTTTACGCCTTCATTTCTTCTTGAAGACTTCATATCCGAGTTTTCAAGAGAACTTATTCTGGAATCTGGTATTGTTGATGGTATCAATGATATTATTAAAAATGTGAAAAGCGTTTTTGATTATTCACAACTATTTGTCTTACCCTTTCCACCTCCCATTTATCAAGTGGGTGGTGACCACGACTCGAGGCCAACGAAGAAGCAAAGAACAACCAATCAACTCAATACAAACGACCCAGTACGAAGCAATTCTTTCACACTCACTAGAGGAGCTTTTGAATCATTTCGTCAAATTCAAGCTGTTGTGATAGATGAAAATAACCAAGACATACAAGGTGATGTGATAGATGAAAATAACCAAGACATACAACCAGTAGGGATACACTTTGTAGCGCAAATTGGTTCAATCCAAACTGGAATCATGCCTCATATGATTCGAAACGAGTCAGATGTTACTCGACTTGTGAAAACTGCTATTTTAAATCCCGTGCGTAAATTATTATCGCAAGACTATTCGGGATTGGCATTAAGGCCACAGAGGTACGGTATGAAATTATCCATTCCTGATTACAGTTTTAAAGTTAAAATTGGTGAATCAATCTTTTTAATTCCAGTTGAATTAAAGCTGTCAGGTGTATATAACTCCTTCAAAAGAAAGGATACTAGATTTTCTGATTTAATGAATCAATCAATTTACCAGATGCTTACTTGCAAGTCATCAATCAGCTTTGTTTTTGATAAAGATTGTATTATGGTTATAAAATTGGTTCATGAAATACCTGAATTCGCAGTTGAAGAATTAACTCAAATAAGATTAGCCAAAATTAAATGCAATATTCAATGTGTTAAATACAAAGATAGTAGTCCTGCGGTAATATTTTATAAACTGATGTTTAGTTATCTTCTGGGTGCGACTGTAGCTGCCGAAGCTCAAGTTGAATCTATATTTGAAGCCATGAGATTGACAGATGATGATAAGACCGCTGTAACCCAAGCTAAATATGTGTTTATGCGAAATGAGTGGCTCAGTCAATTCAGTCGTTATAAGCTAACACGGGGCTATTATATCAGATATCATGAAAGAAAGCAAACTGACATTAGGATCCTCGAAGGGGTTTTCAAAAAATCCTTACTCAATTTTGATACTACTATTAATCGAGAGGATTTTGAGGATATAACACCCATTCAAGGTGGGAGAGACAATACAAGGTATAATTCAAATGTTTTTCGTTTAAAATACAACAAGGCCCCAAATGAAAACAGAAGAATGATACTCAAAGTGTATGACCCAGTGTCTGCCACCATTAAGCCCTCTCATACCCACAGTTGGTCATTTCAGAGAGCATTTGCATTTTCATTATTATTGTTTTTGAATGAATTACGTTGTTACAAAAAATTGAGAGAAGTTAATAGTAGAGGGTCACAAGTAGATAGGCCATCGTCACTCATTGGAGCATCAGAAGCTTTGAATTATACTCCATATTTGTACCTGTCAGGATTTATAGATTGGCCAAGTGAAATAATTGCCGGAAATAAACAGCCAACGAGATTTTCAGGCTTTTTCCTTCTCATGGAAGAAATATCACGAGATTTTCCTGAGACAGAAGAGGAATATCAACGAGCAGCAGCTCAAGCGTTGCAAAGCATTCATGCCATAGGATTGCTACATGGGGATGTAATAGCTCGGAATTTCCGATATGATGCTTCCAGGCAGAGAGTTATTTTCTTCGATTTTGGTCTGTCTAGCTACACCAATAGAAAACCGAATGCTTTGATTGCTGTGAGTGATAAACAAAAGATTTATGAACTTGATAAGTTAAGATTTGAAGTGTCAAAGGCATTTAGAAAGAGGCCTATTAGACCTGTTAGAGATAATAATTTAATAGTCTAATATATATTTGCAACTTAATATTAGTGCGGCTCATTTACTGAACTAATCACATGATTCATCATGTGATTGTTTTTTTTAAAATTTTTTTGGAGTCTTCTGCGAGTTTGAAAATTTTTTTAAGTTTCAACAAAACTCAAGATCTTGATCTGATACATTCAATTATATATTTCATATAGTATCTAGTGGATCATTACATTGCTATAAAACTAAAGATGGCTCCACCTCATAAACATAACAACTTCCGTCCGGAAAATGTGTTAAAGCGTGCTGAGGATTTGATTGCCGTTGGCCAAAGAGAAGCTGCTTTAGATACTTTATATGATTTAATTACTTCTAAAAGAATTCGTTATTTACAAGTTGAAGACTTAGAACCTATTGCTTTATTACTTATTGAATTAGCAGTTGATTTAAGAAAGGGTAAATTAGCAAAGGATGCTTTACATCAGTATAAGAAAAATATCCAATTATCTGAAAATGGGTTAGAATCAGTTCAAGTTATTGTTCGTAAATTCATTGAATTAGCTGAAAAGAAATTAGATGAAGCTCAAGCTAAAGCTGATATTAGAATCGATCAAGAAGAAGATGAAGATTTAGAAGCTGCCCAAACTCCAGAAAGTATTTTATTATCAGCTGTTTCTAATACTGATGCTGCCGATAGAACTGAAAGAGAGTTAGTTACTCCATGGTTAAGATTCTTATGGGAAGCATTTAGAGCTGTCTTGGATATCTTAAGAAATAATTCTAAATTAGAAGTTACTTATTCTGCTATTGTTAATCAAGCTTTTAAATTCTGTTTAAATTTTAATAGAAAAGCTGAATTTAGAAGATTATGTGAATTATTAAGAGCTCATATTCAATCAGTTACTACTCAAACCAAAACTGCTAATAATAATGCTATTGATTTATCTGATTTTGAAACTGTTCAACGTTATTTAGAACAAAGATTTTCTCAATTAAATATTTCTGTTAAATTAGAATTATGGCAAGAATCTTTCCGTTCAGTTGATGATGTTCATACTTTAATTACTGCCTCCAAGAAAGCTCCAAAAGCTACAATGATGGCTAATTATTATGAAAATTTAGCTAGAATCTTTGCTGTTTCTGATAATTCTTTATTCCATGCTGCTGCTTGGAATAAATTTTTTAATTTATATTCTCAATCACCAAATGCTTCTGATGCTGAATTAACTCATTTTGCTTCTATTTTTGTGTTATCAACTTTAGCTATTCCTCAAAAAGCTTTAAATACCAATGAAACTGTCGTTGATGAACATAGAACCAAGAATTCTAAATTAACTTCATTATTAAACCTGACTCAAATCCCAACTAAAGATGGTTTAATTAAATCTATCATTAGTAAATCTATTTTATCTTATGTTGATGAACCAATCAAACAATTATTCCAACTTTTAGAAGGAGGTGATTTCCATCCATTAGCTATTAAAGATGATATTGTTGAAGTTTTCAAATTCATTGAAGCTGATAAAGATTATAAACCTTATATTTCAACTTTAACTGAAGTTATTTTAATTAGAGTTTATCAACAAGTTTCTCAAGTTTATGAAACTGTTAAATTAGATTTCTTAATTTCTTTAGGTATTTTTGAAGGGGTTGAAAATAGTTTATCACCATTAGAAGTTGAAGATTTAATTGTTAATGCTACTAAGGATGGACATTTGAATTTAACTATTGATCACGAAGCTGATGTTGTTTCATTCAAATCCAATCCATTTGAGGAATCTTTTGATGATTACACCATTGATAAATTACAAATCTCTCCAGCTGATTTCATTAGAACTCAAATTTCAAAATTAGCTGCTACTTTATCATCATCAGTTAAAATCATTGATCCAAACTATGAATCTAATATCGAAAAGAGAAAACATGTTGCTTTACAAAGAGCTGTTAGTGATTTAGTTAGAGAACAACAAGAATTAGCTGCTAGACTGGAAGTTATTGAAGAAAGAAAGAGAATCACTGAACAAATCAAACGTGAAGAAGAAGAAAAAGCTGCCAAATTAAGAAAAGAAAAATTAATTGCTGATCAAGATGCTGAAAGACAAAGATTAGCTGATGAATTAGAAAGAAAACAAGCTGAAAGACTTGCTAAAGAAAAAGAAATCATTTTACAAAATGAAAAGAGAAAGATTGCTGAAGAAATTAATGCTAAGGGTATTATTAAAGTTGATTTAGATGATTTAGCTAATCTTGATACTCAAAAATTACAATTGATGCAAATTGAACAATTAAATAAAGATAAGAAAGAATTAGATGATAAATTAAAAGCAGTTTCTAAAAAGAATGATTACTTAGAAAGAGCATATAGAAGATATGAATTACAATATTTAGAAAAAGATGCTATTACTCAAGCTGAGCAAGAAAAGAAAAATTATGAAGAAATTAAACAAGCTAAAATTGCCAGAGCTAGAAAAGAATTTGAAGAATCAGTTAAATTACATGAAAGACTTCAAAGAATTGTTCCTGATTATACTGTTATTAAATCTGAGATTGATGCTAAGAATGCCATTAAATTAGCTAAATTAAGAAAAGAAGCTGCTATTAAATTAGATCAAGCTAAGAAAGAACGTATTGAAAGAATCAAACATCAAAGAATTGAAGAATTAAGAGTTAGAAAGGAAAGAGAAAGAAAAGCTGAAGAAGAAGAACAAAAGAGAGCTTCTAGAGAAGCTGAATTGGCTAAATTCAAAGAAGAATTAGCTAGACAAAGAGAAAAGGAAGCTGAAATTGAAGCTAAGAGAGAAGCTGCTGCTGCTGCTGCCGCTGCTGAAGTTGCTGCTGAAGCCGCTGCCGCTGCTGCTCCTGCTAAACCTTTAACTTTCGCTGAAAAGATGAGATTAAAGAGACAAGGTAAGGCTTAAGTGTTTATAACTTGATCATTTTATAGTCTTTTACATTAGTACTTTAGAAATAAACATCTATTACTTTAAAGTTTATACTCGTAGTATGTTATCACCCTCACTAGCTTTCATCCCCCTTAGAATTTGTTTTTTTTAGTGTGTGTGTGTGAGAGTGTGTGTAAATTGCACTGAAGATTTCTCGAACCCCAGAAAATAAACATTGACCAAACATCAGACCTATAACCAACCATAAATAACATCAACAATTGAAACATTAAAGGATGGCTAGAATCACTGTCATTGGGTCATTGAATTACGATTTGGTGACATTCACCGATAAAGTCCCTGCTGGTGGAGAAACGTACCAAGCCCTTTCATTTGAGACTCATCTTGGTGGGAAGGGACTTAATGAATCCTTAGCGATTGCTAAATTATCCCCACCACGGTCTAAAGCATCTTCACCTACTAAGAAGGAGAAAGCGAATAAGACCGAGATCACAAATGCGGATGAGAATGATTTTCCTGTTCGGATGATTGGGAATGTGGGTGATGATGATTTTGGAGCTCAATTGAAACAAATCTTGATTGATAATAATGTCGATACGAAATATGTAAAGACTTTAAAGGGAGTACCAAGTGGTACGGCTACGATTTTAGTAGAGAAGACTAATGGTGAGAATCGAATTTTGATAGTTCCTGGTGCTAATGGAGAATTAAAACCTACTAATAAAGATTATGAAGAATATTTCCCCCAAAGTCATGAAGATGATGATATATCAGAGTTTGTTATCTTACAAAATGAATTCCCTGATACAGTCAAGACGATAAATTGGATCCATTCTAATCGATCCACCATTAATATCTGTTATAACCCTTCCCCTTTCCAAGCTAATATCATGAATCAAGAATTATTACAAAAGATTGATATTTTAATTGTGAATGAAGGAGAAGCAACTGATATTGCCAAGATCCTCTATACCAAGAAAGAATTCCATGAATTTGTGACTGCAGGCCGAGAAGGGTTAGATCAATTAGTGATTGATTTGTTTAATAGTATCAATTATCAAAATAATCAAACGGTGATCATCACATTAGGTTCTACTGGATGTATTTTCATGGACAGATCTGCTGATGATGTTCAATTCTTACCAGCGGAAAAGATTTCAAAGAGAGCTATCGTTGATACTACTGGTGCTGGTGATACCTTTTTCGGTGGGGTGGTTAGTAGTTTAGCTAATGGGTTAGGACTTATTGATGCGATTAAATTTGCAACTATTGCCAGTAGTATTGCAATTCAAACTAAAGGTGCGGCTGAGAGTATTCCAAGTTATAAGATTGTAAAGAAGTTAGCATAAAAGGGATTTATTAAATGTTTATATTAATTAGAAGTTGTTGTTGTTGATATAAAAAGAAAAAGTTTAATAATAAAGGGAGAAGATATCATAAATTAGAGAGACAAAAAAAAGAAGAAGGAAGAAATATGTAGTATACATATTTAAATTTTATAAATAAATATAATAATATAATAGACATGAAGAAGAAAGAAAGAAAATCAAACTAAATCTAAGCTTTTCTAGATCTTAAACCACCTAATTCAGTAGTTGGTTGAGGAGTTGGACTTAAAGTTCTACCACTAACATAAACATATTCATTAACTTGAGCAGCAACACCACCTTTAACTGATTTAACAATCTTTGATTTTTTAGAAGATTTTCTCTTATAAACATCAATATAAAAGGCAATGAATAAGACTAAATATGATGATAAAATACCACAACCACTATAAGCAGCCAACATAGTACCATTACAATCACCACAGATTAAAGGTAAAGTATCAACATAAGAAGGTAAATAAGTATAAATAATTTTTTGATAAGTTGCGAAATAAACAAATCCTAAATCCAACACGAATTGAATAATTTGGAAACGAGTAACCCATTCTTTCCACCAAACTCTAATACCTCTGGCAGCTAAGAAATAATACCAATACATAACGACATGAACCCCCAAGTTTAATAAGATTGGAACCCAACTGATTGGAGTTTCACCAATTAATTGAGTATAACATAATAAAGCAGTGGCACCATGATGATAAGTATGTAAAAACGTTAATTTTTTTTGTTTAACCACAAGAAAAACGGTATCAACGAATTCATAAAATTTAGCAAAATAATTTAAATAGTATAAGGTAACTAAAGGTTGATTCCAAGCATTTTGATTACAAATAGCATAGAATAAACCATGATGAATGATAATTGGGATTAATTGTTCTAACATGAGGAGAAATAAAGTTAATGATAAGATAGTTAACACTAAATTATGGATTTGGAATAAACCATTTAACACGAGAGGTTTTAATTTAAAAGTTTTAAAGATGAAGTTACCACCAAAGATAATGATATAATAGGTGGTGATGGCTAAAGCAACAGGAGGGAAAGTTGATAATGGTAATTCACCAGCTACGAATTCAAATTGAGAAGGAATGAATTTGCCGTTGGTGGCTAATGTGACTAAATGATCGAAGTTATCCCATAAACTGATACCAAAGGGGGTATCGATAGTTGGCCAAGGTAATGACATGATGATATGTTATGCTATTAAATTAGGGGTAAGGGTATGAGGGAAAAAGAGTGGAAATGGAGTGAAATGGAAGGTAGATGGTGGTAATAGTTGTATGAATAGATATGATATGTTTTCAAAGTGATAGCAACCAACCAGCAAAGAACTTAAACAAGAAGAAGGGAATATAAATAAACACTTCCAAAGACTAAATTGAACCAACTGTTGAATTGTTATTTGTGATCAATCGATCGATGATGAAAAAAAAAAAAAAAAAATAAATAAAAAATTTTTGTGTTTTTGTTTTGAGAATTACGCGCTTTCTTTTTTTTTCTTTGTTATTAATTAGTGAATGTGAAATTTTTTAGCGGACGGTAATGACTACTTCTCGGCTATACCCATCTTACGCTAACTAATTCATTTAGTGAGAGATTTTTATGTTTTTGTGGGGAGAGCACACTACAGGACAGGACGGGATAGCGAGGAAGATCTTTTAGGGGGAGGGGAAATAAATAATTAGGGGAAACAAACAAATAAAAGTTTACTGTACCCAGTAAGATTAATTATAATTGTAATTGCCTATTATAGAAAATGTTTACCATTAGCTTAGTACAATAATTAACCTGTTGTAATGGAATAATACTATGAATTGAAATAGACATATTTTACTATGAGATATAGGGGTAAAGTAAGTTGTATATTTTGTGTAGACTCTCTTACTTGTTCCATCATCATCGTACAATTAAAGGTTGCTATAAATAAAGGTGCACAAAACAGAAAGAGGCAATTAACCACCATTAATGATAGACAGTAATTAATAAGCTTTTGAACATCAACAAATGAAGTAAGTATTATACAATTAAGGAAGTTATCCAATGATAGTAATAATTAGTTAGTATTAAAATCGTGTAAAGTAATAACAATTACCAACAGAAAAATGAATTAGTGAGACTAAAAATTTGTAATTACCCAAAACCAAACCTTCAAATTAATCACAATCCAACAATTTGGAATAATACCAGTTACATATATATCACTTATCTGTTGAGTCAATTCTAAGCTCATCAATAGAACTGTCAAAAAAATAATCATGCATAATCATCCAACAAATGATGATCATGATTCAGAGTCATCTCGACGAGATGATCATAATGAATCATCATCTTCGTCAGAGTATGATTCCAATCAATCTTCTTCAGATGAAGATTCTTCTTCTAGTGAAGAAGAAGAAAAATTAATGTTAAAACCTATATTTGTATCTAAATCAAAACGACAATCACAAGATCAACTCACACCGACCACAAATAGTAAAGATATAACCATATCAAAATTAGATAATCTAACTCAAGATGATAAACTCGATGTATCTAATCTTAATGATGATAATAATTTCGATGGTATAGATGATACAGATGATATTGATCCTGAACAAGAGTATAATGCATGGAAACAACGAGAATTAAATCGATATAATCGGGATCAATTAATCCTTCAACAACAAGATTCAACCAAAGATGATCAATTAAGACGAAGTCAATTGAATGAAACTCAACTCATTAAAGAATTCAATAATAGGAAAATACAACCTAATGATGAAAGTATCAATACTACGAAATCAAATGATAAGTATCATAAAGGGGCATTTTATCATGATAATGATGATATTCAACAGAAATTCTTAAAACGGAATTATTCACCTAATGACAATGATAATGATGATAATGATAATGGGAAAGATCATTCAAGACCGACAAAGTTAAAATTTAAAAAGATTGTTTAGATATTTTTGGGAATGTATATATATAGATTAATAGACTTTACATGTAATACTACATTTTTAATGACACTTTTGATTGATTGATGTATGTTGTTTAATTGTAGATTGATCAACAGCTACATATACATGAACTGATTGGATTAGAGTAATTAAATAATTCAAAGTTGAAATGATTCAATTTGGCAGCATCAATAGTATCAAGTGCTGTAAAAAAAAAAAAGGACTCCATTTAAAAAATTTACAACCATATTTATACTTTACTTCATCAACCATGTCACTAATACCATTACCTCCATCCCTCATACCGTTTCTAAAGGATTATCTCCCTCAACCTCTTTCATCATGTCCTCATCGGCCCTTCATAACCTTAACGTACGCTCAATCATTAGATTCAAAAATCGCTTCTAAACCAGGTCAACAAACGAAAATATCTCATTTAGAAACTAAAACCATGACCCATTATCTTCGATCTAAACATGATGCGATATTAGTGGGAATTGGAACTGTCTTAGCTGATGATCCGAAATTGAATTGTCGATATCATGATCCAGGTTCAGATGTGATTAGTTCACCTCGTCCCATTATTATTGATCCTCATCATAAATGGAAATATTCAAAATCTCAATTATATAAAATCCATGAATCAAATCAAGGCTTATCACCATTCATCATCATAGATGAATCCATATCTATTGATCCTGTCGAACTTGAAGCATTGGATCATCATGGTGGGAAATTCATCCCATTACCACTCTTCAATAAATCAAAATCAGAAAGTTGGGAATCAATCTTATCATCTTTACTACAACTTAATTTAAAATCAATCATGATAGAAGGTGGGGCCATGATTATTAACGATTTATTATCTCTACAACATGATAAAAAGTTCATCGACCTGTTGATTATTACTATTGGTCCTGTATTTTTAGGGTCTGAGGGAGTTACGGTTCATCCTCATACCAATGTCGAATTAGACAATATCAATTGGTGGTCTGGTATACAAGACAGTATACTCTGTGCTAATGTATCTACAAAATAAAACGTAACGGGGATTGACGTTGTTAATTAACTATAATACATATATATGGGAAGAACTGACTGATTAGAAATAAAAAATGATACAAACAAAAAAGCTTATAAACAAATTCTGTATGATGCATAACGACCAGAAGTTTCTGATCTTCTAATGATTTTCACCACTTCACCTCTTTTCAAACCTAAGTAACTTGCTACTGGATCATCTCTTTGAACTCTTGGTAATTGAGATTCTTTTAATCTATATCTTTCTAATAATTGTTTCTTTTCATCTTTAGATAATCTAATATGTTTTGGAACTAATTCATGATGAGTGATATTAACAATCAAATTACTTTCTTGGAAAACTTCAATAGATGCTGGGGAAACAGTTGGAATCAATTTAGTAGCAGATGGAGTTAATGAAGTTTGATAAATGAATATACCAGTTTGAAAATTCTTTTCACTAATATGAATACAAAAATTTCTCATAGTTTTAATCCCAACTGATGCTTCATCACAGAATTCAACCCATAATGATCCTAAATCAGGGAATTTCTCTAATGATTCAGGAGTAGGAGTAGCTTGGAAACACATTAATTTACGTTGAGCGTTACCCATAGCATCACACATTTTAGCTCTGAATTCATCTAAAGTCATATCAAGTTCTTCTTGAGAGATATAGTATCCTCTATCTCTGACCATTTCCTTCACGGTCTTGAAACTTCTGAACAAACGAGATACACTTCTATCGTTTTCACTATCGTCCATGGTTGATTATTTTCTATTAGTTCAATGATGATTCAAGATGATCGATCAGTCTCTTTCAATAGTTTATGGAAACTGATTTTTCATTTTTAAATTTCTCATCGAAAAAAGGTTCAAAAAAAAAAAACCACTAAAAAAAAACTTGATCACGTGAAAAGCTACAAGTCAAAATTAACTTTGGTTTTAATAAATCTATTAATAACTATTTATATTTTATACATCAAATTTTCTTCTAAAGTATAATTCAATATCAGCACTTGACTTCCATATCTTGGTCTTAATCGTTTGTAAAGTCATATCAATTGGTAATTCTTGACCTTTACATTCCAACACAAGCCAATCTGTAGGAGTTATTTTCTTATCTTTCATTTCTGAAGTCTTGGATTCAAATTTCTCAGTTAAATATACTATTATCTTACCAACTCTTAACATACTATGACTAGTGAGTTTAATTGAACTTTCCAATACTGGTAATTTCTTGATTTTCCGTTGTGTTTTACCTCCAATTTTCTTATTAGCAGGTAAAGTACCATAATCACATTCAAATAATTGAAAGGCAATCTTTGGACTATCTTTAGTAGGATAACGATTATATAATAATGGATTACCTATCCATCTAGGTAAATGCATTCTGAGATCATTAACCAAGGGGGAATTGATATTTAATTTTTGTAAATCACTTAATTGGAAACTACATAAATCACGATAATTTCCTAATTCAGGTGAATGTTCAAACACAATGATTAATAAATGAGGAGGTAATCTTGATCCATTGATGATGGGACTATAAACAATTTCATTATTGTTGCTGCTTGCTTCTGGTGTTAAGGCTGGATCAATGGCATCGACATGTAATACTGTATCAATGGCTTTTCCTTTGGATGTGTTATAAGTTGGATGATTGTATTTATCCCAATATACTTTTCTATTCGTTTGTAATAATTTCATAATTGAGTTATCATAATTTTGTCTGGAATCTTCCACGAAATTAAGAAATTCACTAAGAGGATTTTCCGGAACATTGAATTCATTAATACTGGTATTGGTTGAAGGAGCAGGACTTCCTTGTAAAGATGTTGATGATAAATTTGATTTTGAAGATTTCCTTCCTAAGAATTTCAATCTTCTTAAACTACCTGACACAGAAGCCGTTTCAGCCATTGGTTCATCTGATATTGGAGTATTATTTAAATTACGATTATTCTTCTTTAATTGTCTCATTTCTTCACGAACTAATTTATCAAATTCCCATTCTAATAAAGCATATTGATAAAAGATTGAATTGAAAAAGATTGAACCAACATAGAATCTATCATCAATACTAACATTTACTTGAGATTTATAATTGTAAAACGTACTTTCAGGATGATCCAATGCTAAGAATGGATAACTTTTAACTAAATCATCATAATAAAGTTCGACATTCATAAATGATGATTCCTTAATAGTGACCAATAATTTCCCAGCTTTGATTTCAACATCACTCCAATTATTCAACGTATCGGATGATTGAAATTTTTGGAAAATAGCATCCATATCTTTCATTCTTAAATCAAGATCTTTACTATTAAGCATCAGTAAATTCAAACTTGGATCAATGGGGAAACTTCGAACTTCTTTACACATTAATACATCCCAGATTTTTATATCTCCATTAAGATACAATACCAACATTTCTCTTTTATTATTGTAGAATCGTTTCGATATGATTGATTTAGGAGTGATTTTGATTTCATTCAAGGGTTTGATATTGAATGGGACTAATGTGATATGTTCAGCTGGGATAGGATTTAAAAGTATTTCAACGGGGGTATCATCGACAAATTTATCATTTATACAAGGTTCAGTGGAATTTATCGTAGAGACATATTGAAGTTTTGGAAGATTAGTATTTGAATTTGAATTATTTCCATAGGGGATTTCTTCTTTGAAAGTATTGATGAATTCTTTGGAGGGACCTCCATTAACATTGAGGAATATTGAAGTATATTCGTCATCCATATCACTTAGATTACTTTCACTATCTGAATCCAAATATTTATCCATGGGAGGTGTACCCACATCAAAAAGATTATGATGAGAATGAGAATGTGAAAATGTAGATTGAAGATCATTGGTATAAGTATCCATTGATAAATGACTGATTAAATCATAAAAATCAGAATTTAAATCATCACCACCTGTACCACCACCACCTTGATTCACATTATCGTCAGCTACGAATCCCGACGCCATTTCATCATTGATTTGATTTTCTCGATTTATAGAATAATCCAAACATGTTCTTAAATATTGATATTTTGAAACTTGATCTATATCAGGATTAATATATCGATTCAAGGATTCATAATGGGAAGCAAATATAGTATCGTCTCTTGATTCATGACATAATGCTAAGATTGGTGAATTGGCTTTAGCTACTAATGTTGATACTCCTAATTTTTCATCAATGATGGAATTGTCATTAGCTGTGAAAGTTTCATACCCATGAAATAATTCGTCATCCGATACTAAATTACTTAAAAATGATATATCTGTCTTTAAGACATTACCTCCTTTATCACCACTATAGAATTTATGAACATTACCAGGAGTTTCCGATATTAATGACCATACGGGGAAATCATGAATATCGAAATTTTTATAAACTTTGAAATTTCTTAAATCCCAAAGTTTTATACTAGTATCAGATGATCCACTTAATATATAGTGATCATTCATTAATAAACATCGGATATTATCTTGATGACCGATTAATTTCCTCACATATGGATTAGAAGATCTTCTATCGAATAAATTAATGGTATTGTTTGAACCACCACTACTGATTAAATTCGATTCATTATTAGCCAATGCATAGATGGAAGATGGAAGACTTGTACTATCTGATAAACTTGAATTACTGATTTGTTGAATTGGTTTCAAGTTTAATAAATCCCAAATATAAATATTTCCATCCAACCCACCTGAAAGTAAATGATTTGATTCTTTAAAGTAAGATAATTTCTTGATATAATCGGTATGAGTGTTTGAGAATTTATGAACTGATGCATTTAAATTATGTGATCCGCTAGTACCATTACCATTATTACTACTATGAGTACGTTTATGAATTAAACTAGAAGTGGTAGGTAATGATACACCATCTGATTCATTAGGTAAATTGATTAATTTGATGGATAAATCAGATGAACAAGAGACTAAATCTCGATCATTATTGACCAATTTCAAATCATTTATCCAATCAAAATAGATATTATAACTATCTTGAATTGTGAATTTATTGACCGTATCAGATAATGAAAGTGTACTATTGGAATTATCTTTTGAAGATGATTTTAATCGATATGGAACTGGGTTGGAAGATATGGAAGTTTCTAATTTTAGAATCTTTTCATCAATACCTTGGTAATCATCATTATTATCGTCATCATTTTCATTATCAAATTCAAATTCAACTTCATGAGTGGTTCGAAGTGGCATATCTATACTATCTTTATTGGAAGAGACAGAGTTATTCTTATGACTGTTTCGCCATACTTTGACAGTACCATCTCTACCTGCAGTATAAACATCATTAGTATAGGAAGAATATTGAATGGCATTGATGGGTAAGATATGATTTTCAGTATTTATAGAATCCCCCAATACATAAGATAATCCTTTTTTAGTTTTAACATAACTTGATTTCTGATGTTGTTGAGTAGTAGATGATGAAGCTATACTAACCATTGTGATGGGGATGTTATGTTATGTGATATGATATATGATGATAGTGATTATATATGATTGAATCCCATATAAAGGTTGATTTGAAATGGTAGTTGTAGCAACGAGGTCAGTGGGGAAGGGAAGGCAAGGGAAAGAAAGGGGAAGAGAAGGACAAAACCAAAAGAAGTGATGAATTGATGTTGGTTATCTCTCAAGCACTATGAAGCTGAATGGTTTAAGGTGATCTTCCATATAATAATTGACTTATAATCCTTGATCAATTATAGAGAATGATAATGATTGAAATAATTCATTCCCTTTAAAACTGACAATCAATCAAATCTGGGACTGAACTGGAAAAATTGGATTAAAAATGTCTCTCTCTCTCTCTCTTTGTCTGCGGAGCTGTATAATTTCTCCCCTTTTTTATCAGGAAACAATGTCTCCTTCGGAACGAAAGAGACATATCTTATTTATGAATTATCCGAGACATTTTGTTCATTCACTGTAAACAAATCAAATCGTATACAAATATAATGATTACTATAGAGTGTATCATCATCATCTTTGTTCAAACAACAAATATCAATATTATATAGAGATAAAGTCATCTACTCGATAGACAGAAACAATTAGTAGGACGCTGCACAATCTCAAAACTTTAACTCATATTGATTAACAATAATACGGTAAACATATTAACTATTTTACCATGTCAGACAGTTCCGATATAACGAAAGAAGAATTGTCAGCTCAATTGAAATCTTCAGTATATTTAATGGTGGCTAAAATGGTAGAAGAAAGATTAAAAGATTTACAAACTCCTAATCAAAATGATGAAAATCCTATACTGGCTACGCCAACATTTATAGCTACATTAGTTGAATTAACTTTCAATCAAATCATTAATCTTGGAGAGGATTTAGAATTATTTGCTCGTCATGCTAATAGAACTACAGTTAAACCTAATGATTTATATATGGTTACTAGAAAGAATGATGTGTTGACTCAATATCTTAAAGAAATAGAACAAAAATTAACTACTAAAGAAGATTAACTATTAGTATCAACACACAAAACACCTAAAATAAAAATATTACGAAGAGACGACGATGCATTTAAAGGAATACATATACATAGATAGAAAGGGATAATGGGTTTCATGTATACTATTTAAATAATTAGTATATACTACAAGCCAGCCATTATAATAAATTTTCATTACATTTCCTAATTGGGAATAAATTAAAGAACAAAATATTTTTGTACGCGTTATTTTGAAAAAAAAACATATCGTGTAACTAAAACGAAGGAAGGAAGGGTTGTTAGATGGAATATATATAACGATCAATGTCTGTCTATCTATCAATGATTTCAAAAAAGTGTTAATTATCTAGTTCACTAGAGAAATGTCATCTATACCATCAACTCCTCACAAGAAACGTTTAAGAGATATATCAAATAGTTTATTAACTCCAAAGACATCCCCATCAAAACGTATAAAATCAACTAATTTCATCAATGAATCATTACATAACAAGAAGAAACTTGATTTTGGTGTGACAACTCAAACTCAATCACCCATCCAATTACTTACCACTCCTCCAACTACCCCTACTAAAAGACAAACCTCAATCTACTCCCAAGCAAAAGCTTTATTCCAAAGAAGTTCAGGTGGAACTATAATATCAAAAAACGGATTAAATCTAGTTGGAAGAGATCATGAAGGAGAATACTTGTACGATTTCTTCATGAAGAACTTAATAAGTGATAAATGTAATAGTTTATATGTTAGTGGTCCACCTGGTACTGGTAAAACTGCTCAATTACAAATCTCTTTCAATCATTTATTATCTAAATTTGGTAATAATAAGAATTCTAATCCATTTCAAGATCAAGATAAATCAGTCATAACTATTAATGGAAAGAAAATCAAATTGGTTAAAGTCAATTGTATGGCCATAAATAATCCTGAACATATTTATCATGAAATTTATTGTCAAATGGTTGATCAATTATCGATCTCATTTATAAAAAAGAAAACTTATGAAGATTTTCAACAATTAATGAATACCAATCCATATGATTCCATCGTGGTTGTATTGGATGAATTGGATTGTCTTGTCACTAAGAATCAACATGTTTTATTTGAATTGTTTTCCAATGCTTCACCTCAAAATTCTCATCAATATAAATCAAAATTAGTTTTGATTGGGATTTCAAATGCTTTGGATTTAACCGATAAATTCTTACCTCGATTAAAGAGAAATGGGTATAATCCTTTCACATTACAATTCTTACCATATACATCTGATCAAATCAAATCAGTCATCATCTTAAAGTTGAAATGTTTATCAAACAATGAAGAAGAAGAAGTTCCATTGTTTAATTCATCAGCTATACAATTATGTTGTAAGAAATCAGCAGCTATACTGGGAGACTTAAGAAAATCATTTGATATATGTTATAAAAGTATTGAACTTGTTGAACAAGCTATCATTACTAAAGGAGAAGTTGATATCCATACATTAACCATCGATAATTGTCCTAAGATACTTATCACTCATATAGCCAAAGTATGTGCTTCATCATTTGGGGAGAATTCAAGTACCAAATTATCCAACTTGAACTTATTACAAAAGGCAGTATTATGCTGTTTATTCCATTATCAAACTCAAAACTTACATTCATACAATGATTTAACCGTAAATAGATTTTACGATTATTACGTCAAACATTCGTTACAAAATGTGGATAAATTAATTGGGATACTAAAGAAAGGAGAATTTCTCGATATTGTTAACGCCTTAGAATCCACATCTGTCGTTGTCCTTTCTGACACTAAAGATATGAAAAAGCAAAAGATTGTCAATACTGATACTGATAATAAAATCATTAAACCTAATATCACTTATGATTTATTAATAAAAGGATTAGGTGATGTCATTGTATTGAAGAAAATATTATATGGAAACTAGTATATGTGATCGATATCATATATTTTCATTTCCAACTGTATTATTATTATTATTAATTAGACACTTTATAGACCCATAAATGTACAAATATATTAATTCAATTATAAATGCTACAAATCTATTTATATGGCTATTTGTAACCTGTAATTGCTGACATAATTATCAAATTTTTGTTCAGAGGCAGAGTGAGAGGAAAAAAAAAGTTATAAACTCAAAAATACAAAAAGAGATTTATTTAAACCATTATTGGTTATTTACAATTAAGGTAGAAACCATATAGATTTAACATATTGAATACATTGTTTGGAAGTGATAACTAGTGGATATTAGTATTAAGAGTGTATTTCAATCTGATTCTGTGATTGATTGTTTAAGAAAATCCGTATTTATACACCAGTTCAATCCCATTTTAACCAAACTTATTTCATGAAAGGGAATTATTAAACGTTTCAATACTATTACAACGTATCCCATCCATCATTCTGTTTATTCAATAGATACTACATCCATCAAAAGAGAGTGAATTACAAGTTAAACCAAGTTCAAACATCGAACCACCATCCATCCCCCCAATATAATCTATAAGATTAACCAGCATAATTAAATATATCTATCATGTCATCCTCTAATCCCAGAGGAGGACCACCATCACGGTATAATGATAGAAATGAATATACAGAGTATGGAAAATCACGAAGGAAAAACTTTTATTCTCCAAATACAACCACATCACGAAGAGATTATAAAAGTACAGGACCTGGTTCATCTTCATTATCCCATTCTTTAAATAGTGATAATAATAATAGTACCAACAGTATTAATGGTTCAGCGCCTCTTCCATCACAATCAAATATAAATCAACTACATCATCAACAACCACCTTCTTCAGCATCATCAAACTCATCAAATATATCTCTGTCTTCAGGTAGAGGTCCATATGGTACAGGACCAAATGTACGAGATAATCGAAATTCTTACCCTGGTGCAAATACAAAAGTAAATCAACCTTATACATCTTATTATCCAAGTTATGGTTCTTACAGCAATAAAAGTAATCCATCTGGTTCAAATGATTATGGTTCTCGAGAAACTTGGAGATCAGGAGATTCTCGATTATCCGCTAATAATAATTCTAACAAACCATTAAATTATTCATCTTCTTCATCATCATTCAATAAATATGATTCTTATGGAAGTGGGAATCATCAATCTTCATCCGCACAAGCTTCATCCATAGCGCCTTATGGATTAAAACGAAGTTCATTATCTGGTTCTGTCGGTAATCGATATTCTTCAAAAGAAAGAAGTAGAGGTTTATCTTATAGCGGAAGTAGTCTTAATCGAGGCGGTGGTGATACTTATTATCCATCTTCAGCTAAAGGTTACTCAGCCGCTTATAATTCCAATCCTAAATTAATTGATCGTTATTCTTCTATAAAGAGTAGTAGATTAACTCATTCAGTTGATTATGTTAAATTGAAACAACCAAGTACTTCACAACATCATATAACTACTCCTCATGAAAAGGATTTCACATCTTCATCTATACCAAGTGAAAGAGTATCAAATATTAAAAAGGATCAAAGTGAAGAATATTCCCTGTCTCCAGGTCCTGAAGATGAAAGTAAATTATCAGAAGATGAAGAGGAGGAAGAAGAAGAAGAGGAAGATGAAGAAATAGATACTAGTAAATTGGACTTATCTCGTGAAATTTCAAGAGACGAAAATGATGAAATACCAGAAGAAGAAGAGCAAGAGGAAGAAGAAGGTGATGAAGACGAAGAAGACGATGAAGAAGAAGAGGAAGAGATTAAAGAACCAGAAATAGAAGAAGAAATATCACAAAATAAGAAAGAAGAAACTGAAATAGATCAAGTTAAAACAAAGACACTGGAAAACAACGAAGTGAAGGCCACAGAAGTCATTGAAACCAAAGTCGAGGAAGTTAAAGTCAAACCAACAGTGGCTAAAGTCGATGTATCAAATGAAATATGTTATCCTGATGGATGTAAATTTCCATTAAATCGCCTTGAATATGAATTTGAGAAATTAGAATTAGAATTTAAAAAACAAACTAAACATGATGACGGCTTGAATTATTTACAATATACTTTAGCCAAACCTATACTAAATTTGAAAGACTATACATTTTACAATAGAAACTTTAAAATTTTTATGAGACGGAAAGGGAAACTTATAGATAGTATCAAACATAAAAATGATTTATTGTATCGGAAAAAACTTAGTTTATGGAATGAATATTCCAAAGGTTTACAAGAATGGGAAATTGAACGTGAAAAAATGGATCAACAATTGCGTATACTTCATCCTCCTGATGATGATATGAGAAGAGAAATAGATTCAAGTGATAATAAAAAATTATATTCTCAACAATATACCAATACTAATAATAGTTCAACTAATCTTCAGGAAGAAGCTGTCAATGAAGGTTCTCCAACAGGTACAGGTCGTCGTGCTAGAAGACATGGTGATTTAGTGACTACTGAAGCTGAATTTCAAGAAATTCTTAAATCATTAGAGAAAGAACAAGATGAGGATCCTATGATTAAAGCCAATCGTGTTTCTGCTTATATACCTGATTTAATTTTAGATCCAGTACAAAGAGATGTGGTGGCATTTATGGATGCAAATAATATTGTTAATGATAAAGCTGAATGGGCCACAAGAGTTAAAACTGATTTTGTCAGTAATTTCCTGGAATCTGAACATGAGTTATTCTGTGAAGGATTTTGTTTGCATCCTAAACGATTTGGAGCTATTTCTAGACATATGGGTGGTTTGAGAACTGCATCAGATTGTGTGATTCATTATTATATTACTAAAAAGGCAGTTAATTATAAACAATTGTTAGTTCAACATAAGAAGAAAAGTAGTAAAAAAGTTGGTCGTCGTGGTAAACCAGGAAGATCAAGAAATGTATCTCAAGTACAAATTCAACCTCCAGAAGCTGTATCGACTGAAGATACTCCAGTTGATGGTAAAGTTGAACAAGTTAATTCCGTTCCTGTTGTACTTCAACTTCCTGTAACTCTTCCCCTCCCTGTTCAACAAGTTCAACAAGAGCCAAATTCTGAAGAATTATTTACAGAAACTGGAAGAAGAAAGAGGGCTGCTGCTCCAGTGTTTGATGGTACAGTTAAGAAACCTGAAAATACACCAACTAATGAAGTTACTCCTACTTCTGACGAATTAGATCAAGCTGCTATTCCACTTAAAAAGAAACAAAGAAGAAAGAAGGAAGATTCTTTAGAAGCAGGTGAAGTTAATTTCAGTTCCAATGAATCGATTATTAAAGATGAAGACGAAACTGGCAATACTGATACAGCTCAAGAAGAACAAACCGATAGTCAAGTTAATACTCCTACCAATCCTAATATTGATCCAAAAGATCGTAAAAGAAATATTTCAAGTTATTGGAGTATTGTTGAAGCTAATTTCTTTCCTCTACTTTTGCAAAAACATGGTACAAAATGGACTACTATTGCAGATGAATTAAATACTAAGACAGCAACTATGGTTAGAAATTATTTCCAAAGAAATGCTGAAAAGAATGGTTGGAATGCTATAGCGGTTGAAGCAGATGCTAGATTAGAAGCCAAATTTGCTGCTGTTTTGCAAACTTCTGGTGGTTTAACTACTAATCCAGATGCTGTGAATAATGAAGCATCTAAAGAACCAAGAAAGATTGAAAGCTCAGGTTATATTCCATATCCACAACTTCCACAACAGCAACAACAACCAATACCACCTCAAGTTTCAGGTCCTCCAGTCGCCACCTTCATCCCAATGGGCACATTCCAACATGCTCAAGCTCCAATGGTAAATGTTATGCCGCCTAAGTTTAATGTGGGACCATCAATTAGTTCATTATTATCAGATAATCCAGCTCCTACACCCAGCAACAATATTACACAACATATTATGTCACGTCCACCTGAAATAATTCATAGACCTCCACCATTACCAACATTCATTCAACCTCGTACTGAACCAGTTCAAAGAGCTTCAATTATGAGTTTATTGAATTCAGATTCTAGTCCTGTTAAAGTAGAACCACAACCACCATTAAGACCTATTATTCACAATCCTATAACCCAAATTAGAAAGAATAGTTTACATGATTTATTAAATTCTCCATCTTCGGAACCATCAGTACCTAATCCATCAGTTCCAAATTTGTATCCTCCAAATGTTCCACCAAATGGGGTTAAAAGAAATGGAATTGCTAGTTTACTTTCGGCAGACCCTACCCCTTACAATAATGGCCATAACGATCACCAATAATATTGACGTATGTTTATATATATAATTATTTTCATTTCATCTCTTTTACTTCTTATTTAATTAATTGTATTATATATATCTATAATAATATTTTATACCTTTACCTTAATAATTATGTCTATATAGTTAGTTGAAGTCGTGCGCGCAGTTCAAAATGAAATCGTGAAAAGAAAACGAAAAATATTTTTAAATTTTTCACCACCATAAATCCATTCAGTATAATTGGATTAATCAAACAACTCGAAGTCAAACTACTATATAATGTCATCTGGACAATTATCTCGTCTTCTGGGGATGAAGATATCAAGTAGATTGTTCTCTCAAGTGACTGTGAGATTACAAGAACAATCAAGTGGAAGACCATTGATTCCTGAAGCTTTAAAGCTCAGAATAGAGAAATCGAAACAAAGACTTGTTATTCCAACTACCATTTCCAATGATAATTTAAAACAAAATGAATATGAAAGATTAAGAGTAGTACCTGCTTTAAAGACTTTCTTTGGTGGAAATCCAGTTCATGAAGAAAATATGAATCATTTGAATTCAATTTTAAGAAAACATATAAATTTACCAACTAGAAGTATATCAGATGAAGAACTTCGTAGGAAGAGATTCATTTCATTTGAAGCTTATAAAGAATCAATCCAATCCGGTACCAGATTTAAAGACATCCATCATAAAGAATTATTACATGTGTTGAATAGATTAAGAAGTATTGATGTTGAATTAACTCCAAAGGATGTGACACAAGCTTTAGCCAAATATTGGGTGAAGAGTGATATAGCCACTAGTGTTACTGCTAAAGTGAAAACATTAGATGAATTCGGTAGAGCTCATGGTAAAGCCAAAAGAAAAGTTTCACAAGCTGAAGTTTATTTATCAAAGGGTGATGGTGAAGCTATTATAAATGGTAAACCATTAATTGAATATTTCACTAAGGATACTGATCGTAAAAAGATTGCTTATCCATTCCAAGTCATTAGTCAAGAAGCTCAATATAATATATTTGCCACTGTCAATGGTGGTGGTGTCACTGGTCAAACTGAAGCTGTCATGTATGCTATTGCCAAAGCTTTGATTGTATTTAATCCATTACTTAAACCAAGATTATCCAAAGCAGGATTAGTGACTAGTGATGCTAGAAATGTTGAAAGAAAGAAACCTGGTAAAGTTAAAGCTAGAAAATCACCAACCTGGGTTAAGCGTTAGGATTTGGTTCATATATATATAAACTTATATTTCATGTACATATACGTAATATTTTAAAGAATATTCTATTAATTGCATCTAATCACGAAATGAATCTAAGTAAAGTAATACTGATTCTATTTCACCTTTTTCATATTTGGAAATCTTACCTTGGAAGGAAGAACCTTTACCACCACCTTTAATATTTGAAATTCTTTGTTTCAATTCAGATTGAATTTCTTCTGATTTTGGACCAAGAACTTTAACCATACCTCCTGTTCCAGAAGGATAATCACCATTTAATAACACAAGAGTTTGTTTATCAGATAAATTAACTCCCGAAGATTTATCACCATTGATTAAAGTGGTGATTTCCTTTTGAACAAGAGTTAAATATTCAGGACTATTATCAGCTCTATAAACATAGTCAACGAGTTTATCAGTTGAACTAAATTTAGTAAATATCTTAGTAGCTTCCATATTAGCGATTTCCTTCAATAAAGCAGATTCACGAGATACGGCTTTTCTATAATTAGTGTTTAAAGTAGCTACTTTTTCAACCACTTCTTCAATTTGACAAGATAATTGATTTCCAGATACATCTTTTAATAACTCATGTTGTTTTCTTAAATATTGAGAAACTCTCGATCCACAAATGAAATAAAGACGAGAATGACCCCCTCTAACACTAGTTTGATGTAATAATGACATCCCTTGGATTTGAGAAGTTGATGATAAATGAGTTCCACAACATGGATTTGAATCTAATTCTCCAATCTTAACGATTCTAATAATCCCCTTTGATAAATCATAATCATCAGGAATATGAGAAGTATCAATTTCTCCACCATGTTGATCGGGAGTAACTACTTGGATCGGTAAATCTTCCAATATCAAATCATTAACTTTAGCATTAACTTCATTAACGATCTCATCACTTACCTTTTCAGGCAATTCAATATAATTGATCAAATCACCCATTGACCAACTTAAAGTCTCCAAGTTATAAGTATCAAACACGGCTGATAATAAATGTTGACCCGTATGTTGTTGCATCAAATCAATACGTCTGGACCAATTCAACTTCAATGTCACTTCTGTCCCTGGTTCCAAAGGAGTTTCAGTCAAATGTAAGGCTTTAAGTTTATCCCTCAATACCGACTTGACGGCAATTGATTGTTCATCAGGTAAGATTATCGATCCAATATCATAAGGTTGACCACCACCTTCAGGGAAAAGAATGGTATCTTCTAATTCAACGGCATATTGGACATCTTTTTTGGATTCCGGTTCAGAGTCTGATCCTTTTGATTTCTTATTTTTATTTTGCTTATCCTTGGAAGTAGGAGGAGGAATGAATTCAAAACTTGATACAACGGTAGTTTTGAAAGTTTTCAAGTATGAGTTCTTCTGACATGCTAATGCACCGACTATAGCAGATGTGGAAGCAGTCATTATCGTATGTAGATGCTGATAGAGATACTGTTCTTATCTTTGTAAGATCTGATAAATAGCGAGTAAAATTTTCAGTATTTATAATCTCACCAAATCTGCCAAACATAATTTTTAGTGAGTGAGTGAGTAATTTCTTATCTTTATCTAGAACGTTCCATAAAAATACTGCGAAACTTCATTTTAGCAACCATTAATTCATGAGTCAGATCAATAAATAAATAACACGAATATATTGAAAAAAGCATATATAGAATATATATGTATATATAAGAACTATCACAACTATAACAGAAATAAAAACCAAAAGCAATCACATATAAAAATGGGAGGGGGTAATCAAAAAGATATTATCACTTATCTTCTACTTAAACTAACACCAACTACAATTGAAGAAGCTAAGAAAGCTAAAGCTCCTGGTATAAGGATTTCATTAGGAACACCACTAATGATAGTTGAAGATGAACTTGAATGTTTCTTATTATTTGAACTTTTTCTACTTGGACGAGTTGATGAATTAACCGCTGATTCATGAGGATTATGAAGGAATAAATCAGCTTTATCATTATCTAATTTTTGATTTATAGTAATACATTCTACTAAATCATTATCAGATGTAATAGATACAATATCACCTTCATCATCAATATAACTTATAGCATAACTTTCTCCATCTTCAAGTGAATTCTTAATTTTTAAAACTTGAAAATCTTTTTCACTTAATTTTTCATTAATTAAAATTCTTAATTTTTTAATACCTTCACTTGGTTTTAAACTAATTCTATGAACTCTACCTTCAATGGCTGGAGATTTAAATTTGAATGTAAATGGTAAATCAATTTGTTCTCTTAATAAACTAGAATTATTAGTTGATACTTTTTGACTTGATTTACTTGGAGATCCAGTATGAGAAATAGAATCTGATGGTTTAATATCAACATTAAAGGAATGGAATTCAGAAGCAGTAACATCAGGGACACTACCAGTAACTGAATCTGATGCAACAGATTCACTATCTTCATTATCTAATCCACTCCAAAATTTATTCCAAGCTGGTCCTTCGTGATTTGCTGGTGGTTGTCCCTGTTGTGATTGAGATGGTTGTTTTGAATTAAGACTTATGGTACTACCATTACCATGTTCAGATGATGATGATTCGATTTCTTTAATTTGATTTAAAGTAGCATAAGTTAATTTTAAAACTTCAACAATACCAATAATTTCATGTTGATCACCAATAACAGGTAAATTTAAATAATGACCATCAAACATTTGTCTTAAAGCTTGTTGAATTGGTAAAGTAACATTAGCAACATCAGGTTGAGGAGTCATAACTCTAACTAAAGAACATTTTTTTGGATTTAAACCAGCAGCAATTACTCTTAATACAACATCTTTAGAAGTAAAAATACCAGTAACATCATCATTATTATCTTTAACTAAAACAGCGGTAGTTCTATTTTGTTTCATTAAAACAGTGGCATCAAATACTGAAGTTTTAACATCAGCATAAACTGGGATAGTTGCAGAATCTAATACTGATTCTAAAGTTGGACCATTCATTTTATTTCTTAAATCTTCAAAATATTGAAATACTTGTAAAGGTTGTTCACTTAAACTACCCATTTCTGAATGAACTGAATCTAATGCATCATATAATTTCTTTGATGAAGCATGCATTCTTTCTAATTTTTCCATTTGTTGAGCATAACATTTAGTGATATCTAATACCCCCACAATATGATTATTTTCATCTAAAACAGGTAAATGTCTGAATCCTCTTTCAACCATTAAAGTTAAAGCTTCCAGAGCTGGAGCTGTTGAATTAGCACATAAAGGATTTGGAGACATGATTTTATCAATAGTAACAGTAGCAGCATTTAAATTTGAACCTACAACTCTAAAGGCTAAATCTTTGGCAGTAAATATTCCTAATAATTCCCCATTATCATTAACTACTAATACACAATTTTCACGTTTAGCAGACATTAATTGAGATACTTCATAAACGGTGGAAGAAGTTTTACAAATGATTGGATCACTTGGTCTTAATGAAGAGACTGTACCAGGAGTTATATGTTTCTGTTTAGATGATTTAGTACCAGTTTTCTTTTTCTTACTTAAATCATTTTCAATCTTTCTTCTAATAGCATCATCCTTTTTAGATTGTCTTTTTCTTGAATCTAAACTTTGTGAGTTGGCATTAGTGGTACCATTGGAGGTGGAAGTGGAGGCAGTAGTACTACTACCGTTAATATGTTTATGAGGAGTTTTAAACATGAATAACCGCTTTATGGAATGATTTAATTTATTCAATGATTTTGATTTCGATAAAGAAGGTTGTTGTTGGTGTTGTTTCAAATGATATTGATGAGGAGGAGGTGATGGTGAAGAAGGAAGTGATTTATGACGAACTGTAGTAGAACTAGCAATAGGGTCTGTTTCTTTATCATTCATGATGGGAAATAGTAATTAAAATTGAAATTAAAAATTTTATGATATTGTGAACTGTAGACGTTTTGAGCGAAAACGTAAACAAAACAAAATGGCACCAAAATTAATTTCCTAATTAGTTAAATTAAGGCGTGAGTAGTATTAATAAGTAGGAATAGGAATAGTTGAAGACGTTTAAAATAAAAGTGATAGAGATAAACTGAACTAAAGAAATAAAGCTGTAATTATATATAAAATTTTCCATAAACCTTATTTCTGGTAATTTATATAGTAATTATGTTATATCTATATACTATATATTACTGGTAGTTTCAATCGAACCACTCCATAAAAAAAAAAAAGTCGCTCCACAGAACACAGAGACAAAACAATTTTGAAACTAAAATGGACAGAAACGCACGACCTTTTTTTTTCTTACCTGAAATATGAACTTAGTTACGTATCAACCGATAATAAACAATATACGTTGCAATATCAACATCAATAATCATCATGTCCCTATACCATATAACACCCAAACTAAAGGAATGTATAGATAGTATAGACTCATTGGATACATCCCTAAAGGATAAACTCGTGTCAAAACCTTACATTTCTCGTCAAAATCTAATAAATCTATACACAACTTATAAGCCTACTAAATCATTATTACAATTATTATCAACCACATCATTATATATACCGAATAAAAATATTCAAGATGTTATCCCTAAATCGAAAGAATTCATTAAGTCAATGGAATTATTACGTCTAAAAGTTAAAGAAGAAGAATATCAGCGATTAGTTAATCCTGCTCCATCTTTCACAGCATTATATGAACAAGAATTAACCAACTCAGATTATATATCTCCTGCTAAAGCTCATAAAGAATTAAAAAGTCAAATCACCACCATATTCAATATCTTCATCAGTGTAGCCAGTGTGGTTTATGCTATTTGGTATTGGACGAAATCTTCCTGGAATTTACCTGATAGTTATAGAATCTTATTATGTATCTTCTTTGGATTATTGATTCTTGTGGCAGAAGTTGTGGTCTATATGGGGTATTTAAATAAAATAGAGGAAGCTAAATTAAAAGAACGTAGGAAAAAGGAAATTAAAACATTAGTTAAATCAGTTAAATTATCATAAAAGTTAATGTATATAGAATCCATATTACATAGTTCATTTCTATTAATAGACATTAAAAGTATTTATTTATGAAAACGCGTGTTGTAGTTGTTTATATGAATGTGTAACAAGTTTGTTTCAAATTATATTACAAGTTTTATCTACTTTGTAGAATTATGTGTTCGGCGCTACCAAAACTTTAATCATTTACTCCCTCCACCAAAATCAAGGGATCAATTAAAAAAAAAAGGATAAAGTTTGCACACATTGCATAATAAACTTTTAATATTATTTAGCTAAAATTTAAAATCTAGTTGTCAATTATAATTAATGTCTGAACTAGTTTAAATCAAGTAATTCTCATACCGGACAATTTGATATTTCGGGATTTGATCATATCTACTCTTAAATTGGAATGTAACACCGTTGAATATGATCGATTCATTTTCACTAGCATTGCCAATTTAGGTAATGACGGTCAAACAACATTTTTAATAATGACCACTTCTTCTTCTCATTCTTTTTCTTCAACTCCTGACCTTGAATCAATCCATTCAAGATGACATTTGGAATTGATACCAAAGGATCATATTCCATTAATTCAATCTTTAATATCTTATCCAATTTCCCCCTCTTAACTTATGTAATTAGTTTCTTTCAAGATTTTATGATTGAAATCTTAAAAACTGGTCCTATTCCTCAACATATTGCCATTATAATGGATGGTAATAGACGATATGCTAAACAAAAGAATATCCCTTTAAAAGAAGGACATACTGCTGGTGCAGAATCTTTAGTTAATGTATGATTTACCTTACCCCAATTTAGTACTTCTTAAGCTCTTTCAATATTAACCCAACTCTTAGGTTTTAGATGTTTGTTATAGAACTGGTGTTCAACATGTTACTATCTATGCATTTTCAATTGAGAATTTCAATCGATCCAAAGATGAAGTTGATACTTTATTTGGATTACTAAGAGATAAATTGAAAATGATTAGTGAACATGAAGATTCATATGCTAGATTTAATAAAATTAGAGTTAGAATCATTGGAAATCGAACTTATATCCCCCTTGATATCTTACACGATTTAGAAATCATCGAAGAAACTACCAAACATGCTACTAGTAAACGTACTTTAAACGTTTGTTTCCCTTATACTACTAGAGATGAAATTTCTCATTCCGTAAGAACAATCGTAAGTAAGGTTGAATCAGGTGAAATTGAATCTAAAAACTTGATTGATTCGAAATTAATTGAAGATAATTTTTATTTCGGATCTGATGTTCCACCGTTAGATATTTTAATTCGAACTAGTGGTCATTCAAGATTAAGTGATTTCATGCTTTGGCAATCGAATTTCAATTCAACCATTGAATTCGTTAATACTTTATGGCCTGAATTTAAATTCTTCTCAATGACATCTATCTTACTTAAATGGAGTTATTATAGAACTTTACAATTGGAAGAATTATCTATCATGGGGGTTAAAACTGATCAAGAACTTAAACAGAAAGTTAATGTTCTTAAAGAATTACCTAAACCTCCACCTTTTGTTTCTGTAACTCAGCGTTAAACCTAGGTTCTGTTTATTTCTGTTTGAATTGTAAAGTTCATATATTATTTTATTTATTTATTATATTGTGTTGTTAAGGTTAGACCTATTAGGTTCCTTTCTGTTTTGTTAAATCTCTTCTTCATTAGAATCTAGTTAACGATTAAATCTAAGATTTCTTTAACATAGTTTTCATTTTCTTATATTCTACGTATAAATCTCCTTTTAGTATTACTGAATCTTGTAGATAACTTATATATTGATAATCTCTACTTATATATATACATGGAATTATGGAAGAACAACAATCCTTTCATTTTATTTACACAGCCTTTTCAGCATCCTTATTACTATTAATTTCTTCAACGATAGATTCGAAAACCTTAGCTTGATCCTTTTCATTTAATTCTTGACTCAAATAAACATTTCCAGCTTTGAAATCATCATTTCTCAACACGATCCCATTAGGATTTCTTTCCCATACCCATCTTTGACTAATGACTTTGGATAATTCTTCATAAACTTGATTCAAATCATGAGTCTTAGAAATCACATAATCATTAATATCAAATCCTAAATTACTTTGTAATTGTTTGAAAAATTGAAATCTGAATGATAAATCATATAAATCAACACTTTTGAAGTCAGCTTCGTTAATATCTTGATCAACCAGTTTGGTTTGTTTATAAGTGGAATTAATAATATTAATTAAATCTTGATTGGTATAAGTGGATTCAATATCTTGAGTCTTAACCACTTTCGACTTCCATTGTTCGACTTTAAATCCCGCTAAATCAACTTCAGGATCAAATGGTTGGAACCCCTTAGAGTTTTCTTCATTCAATATCACTATATTGGCATTTGGATCAATTTCAAAATCATCTTGTTGTTTAACGATTTCTTCTCTCTTTTTAAGTTCCTTGGTACCGAAAAGATTCTCCAAGAACAATTTAGGTTGACTCGTTACGAACGACCTTATGTAGGGAGTAGAAGTAGGTCTTGACCTTACTACTTGTGATATAGTTGATCTGAACATGGTTTGTTATGGACTCTATTCACTTAAATCAGACGTAGTTCAATACTGTAGTTGAAAAAAAATTGAAAATTTTATGAAAGCTCTCACAAACAAAAATAGTACAAAAATATTGATTTACCCGGCTTTTGCACCTAACATACTTATCTATATATATAGACAATCTACAATAAACTCTTGATACTCTAAACGTGCAATTCATATTTCGTTAAAATCATATTATTATCTGAATAGTTTATTTACTTTTAAGGTAGCATAAGCTCCTTTTTTTTGTTCTAATGATCATGTCTTTTACTCTTTTTAATAAATGCAATCGTTAATAAGAAAAGAACAGCATAAAATGCGATTCCTACACCTTGATTATTTACAAATGCCTGATTTGTAGATGGATCCAATTGTTTGATTGATGGAGGTGGTGTTGGATCTTCGAATATGCCGAATTGTTGCATCACTTCATATTCTCCATTTCTTACTCTCACATATTCTTGACGTTTATTATTACTTCCATCATCATCATCTGGAGATGATGTATTTTCAATACTAGAAGGTAATGTAGTAGTAATCAAAACTTCAGAGGCAGAAGTTTCTACTGCTTGATTAGTAGCTTGAGATCCTGATGGTGCAGCAGAAGTAACAGGAGTAGTAGTGGTAGTCACTGATACTTGACCAATATCACACCAACCATGAACAGGTATACAATTAATATATTTACACCAATGACAAGTTGAACTACTTCCAGGACCATCTTTACCAGTAAAGAAATTCTTCACGAGGAATACGAAATAAACAATGATTAAAATCAAAGCTATTACTCGAACCGTTAACCATATCATAAATTTCATTGGTATTTTATAATCCCAGAATGCTTTTGGATTCCATTGATTTTTAAAATGCTGCCATTGAGTTAATTTACTATTATAAGGAATTAAACCATCTTCATAGACGAAAAATGGATCATTACATAATAAAACCGCCATAAGAATCCCCATGGCAAATCCACCAATATGACTGAAATTATCCATACCAGGTAATAAACCAAGCACCAACGATACGATGATTTCTCCTACCATGATTAAGATGAATAATCCATAATGACGAGTATTATAAATATTAGTATTTTTTTTCCCACAATAAACGAATAAAAGGATATTGGTAGCGACGATTCCGAATAATGCTCCTGATGCACCAGTTGAAGCGATACCTTCTGGAGTGAAATTTGCTCCTAATAAGAATCCTGAAATTCCCGATGCTATATATATTAAAGCAAATTTTATGAATCCAATACTACGTTCAATTGATGGCCCCATGGTAATTTGTAATAATAAATTGAATATAATATGTAAGAATCCGGCATGTAAGAATATGGGAGTGATGATTCTATACCATTGATCAGGAATGAATGCATTGTTAACCATTGGGATGGGTTGAAGACCACATAATTGACTTAAGGAACATACATTTGTTTCTACGGTGGTTGAATTAGCACAAGGGAATTGAATAGTGGTATCATCAGTTATATTTTGAATTTGTTGCATACAAGGGACATATCTTGCACCCATATTAATTAAAAGGTACGTTGAAGGTCCTAACATGGGATTAAAATAAGGTTGAGTTTGAAAAGCTGAACCGGTTAATATTGACATTCGAGCTAATTCAACTATGAATACAATGACTTGAAGTAAAGTTACTAAGATGGTGAAATAAGGTAAGTTTGTATAATGGAATCGAGGTTTTTGACGTAAAATTCTTAATCTTTCCTTTTCAAAGAAATGGAATTTCTGTTTGGATGAAGGATCTGAATCTATATTATTCTGATTGGTATTATTATGATTTAAAAATTGTTGATTATCATCATTAATGTTATTAGGTGTATTGGGATCATTTAATTCTAAATCTTCAAATGGACTTTGATGAGGTACTGAAGGTAATGGTACAAGATTATAATTTTCATGATAATAAGCATCATTATCATTTCTTTGAGATTTTTGTCTGAGATCATCTGAAGTTGAAGAGTCCGTGTTTGTAAGGTTACTTAATTCGAGTTCATTGGTTGAAGGTAGTTTTTTATCATGATAATAGGCAACATTATTATTATTATTGTTATTATTTTGGTTTGATTGAGGTCTGTAGTTGGTATTAACTGAATAAGGCGCGTTATTAATGACTGAATGTGGGTAAGTTATAGTTTGAGAATCGGGAGATGAATTATGATCATTATCAAAGAAGAATAAGGAAGAATTTGAATCATCTAGAACATCATTTTGATTATTATGATTATGAGGGAAAGGAGGTGAAGGAGTTAAATCTTGAGAATTTAAAAGGAATTCATTTCTTAAATTTCTTGATTGAGATGAAGAAGTGGGTGGAAGAAATGGTGTTCGTCTTGAGTTTTTCCGACCTTTACCAGAGGAGTTATTAAACATGGGGAACGGAAGGGTATTAAAGTGAAAGTGAAGATCTGAATAGATATAATAAAAAGAAAGAAAGTAGGTAGCTAAAATGAGGGGGTGAACAGATAAAGATCTTAGTTCATAGGAAAAAGCGAAGGGAAAGTATATGAGTAACTATCACTATGTGTTTGTTTGATCTTTTGCTATATCAGTACTTGCAAGGTCTGATTTGACTGTAGTTGATGATTATGATAATGATGACGATGATGAACAAGTTGACTTAAACAAAAGGTGAATAGAACTATCAAACCATACGATTATCACTTGATTCTTCTAGAGATTATAAATTTGAACGTTTTAGATTTAAATGTTTAAAGTTTCTCTCTTTTTTTTTTTTTTTTTTCTTTCTTTTCTTTCCACTCCAGTACGTGTTTGTCTCTGATGTAAATGTCTGATCTTTTTTTCTTTTTTGTCTGTTTAATGTCACCTCAAAAAAATTTAAATTTGTCTGTCTGTCTGTCTGTCTGTCTGTCTGGTCTTTGGCTTTGTCTGTCTGAATTTAAGGTACAGCAATTACATATAGTTTGAACTAATATACAACTTATAACTCGAGGCGTATATATAATCTGATAATGTAAATGTGTAAATGTGTAACTAATGCTATCAGGAAGGGGGGCCAGGAGGAGGCTCAGATATAATAACAGTCATAATAGTAATAATAATACCCCCTTATACTTTAAAATTTTCATGCCGTTGAAGATCGGAAACGAATAAAAAAAAAAAAAAAAAAAGAATTTAAGGAGGTTCAAGCAACAAAACTAAAAAAAAAAAACTCGTATCACAAACGGATAAATTAAATTGTTAGAGCTATGATGTAATCGCTTTTAACTAGAAACTAAGATAGAAAGGTATATCCATAATCATAATTATGCTTTACCTATCCAACAGGCTTTATTATTTATTTATTTATATGAATGTAACAACTGAGCCTTAATCTATTTTTAGACTCTAATTATGATGGTATGTGTTTGTTGCTTATCTGTCCCTTACTTACTAGGATAGTAAAATATCTCACAAACAGACAGACATAACCTACTAAATGAAGTTAAAGTTGAAACTAACTACGGTTAGTTTGTTTGTTCGGTATTCCTCCCTAAGAAATAGCGATATCTCCAATCGTAAATTCATATTGAGTGTTAAATGCTTACTTTCTGTTACACACCCCTCCCCTCCTCTACTACTGACAATTAGGGCGCGAAATTTACAGTACGAAATATACCCATACAAAATAATTCAAATGAATGCAAATTATAATTTATTATGATTATACCTCTATTATACAAAATTTACTACAACTATCATCGTATATATACTGCTAACTTTACTTAAATAATGCATCATTGGATAATGGATCAACTTTCAATACATTATTTCTTCTCTTTACTTTTTTATTTAAAGCAGCTTCAGCTCTTGATCTAGCTTGATCAGCAGATTGTTGTTTTAATTGAGCTCTAACGAAATTTGGTGAAACATATTGTTTATTTTCATACACTTTTGGACCTCCAAATGATCCTTCTAAAATAGTAATCAATGTTAAAACAAATCTTGGACCACATTCAACTAAATTTAATTCGTCTTCATTTTGAACATTCTTATCATCATTATTATCTTCAGCTTCTTTCACATCTTTGGATTCATTGATTTGATAGTTTCTAACCCAAATCTTATTATCAACAATAGAAAATGTCATAACATGATCAATAAATGGTTTTGATTTTCTAGCATTTGGTGGAACACCAAATGAATGAGTTAATAATTCTTTAATTAATTTATAATGATCATTTTCTAAAAATGATTTATCAAAACTTAAAATTGGTCTTGACCCTTTTAAACAATTCCCAATGAAATTTAATTCATCTAAAGTATGTAAATTTTGAACATGAAATTTTAATGTAGGACCATTAGGAGGTTTTGAAATCCATAAATATAAATCTTGATGTTTTCTAGCTTCAAAAAAGAAAATATTATTACAATTATATAATTCAGCAACTTCATTTAATTGATATAAATTCTTTTTAGAATCAAATTTTGGTTCTTTTCTAGCATGTGGTAATAATGATACTAAATCATTAATTAAATGACGATGTCTATAAGTTACACCTCTGGAGGATATCACTAATAATCTTTGTCTATTTATGTGTTTGGCCTTTTCAGATGTCTCCTTGGAACTCTTAGACTGTAATGCTTTATATATAGCTGACATGATGTAGTTTAGTTATTGATTGATCTAGGTGTATTGATAACTTACTTATTCTGGTTTAAATATTTTTTTTTTTTCAAACTCATCTTGAAATAATTTTTGTTACTCTAGAATGTTGGTAATTACTGCGGCGTGGATGTTTTGCGGTTTTGTTAACAAAATTTATTTACCCGGCTCATATATAGAGAGATTACTACTATGAAGATTGATATATAACAACTTCAATGGGATTAAAACATTTATAGATGAAGAGTAACTCTAGAGTATCATAGTGTCACTCATTGTACATCAGTAATAGATGTAACTACATTCAACAATATCCGGTTTATTTAAATGATTTTTATTGATATACATAAACTGTATCTAAATATCTATCAATGAGTTAAATAATGTACATGCAAGATTTTTTAATAATTTAGTTTGTTTTATCTAATTTTAAATGTTGTATTTTTGATCTAACTTTATCTAAAAGCTTTCACGTATTCCATTTCAACACAAGTTGAATCAAATTCATTCTGAAAAATTCTCCAATCATATTAGGATCAATGCGTAAATTTCAATCAATTCAACAACATCATACTATTTGACAATCTAACCTAATGCTTTTCAACTTCAGCATTCTTAGCTAACCATTCCTTAACGAATTTCTCTTCTTCAGGAGATGAAGCATTAATAGATGGATGTTTTGGACCGGCTGAACCCCATGGCTTTGGAGCAACAATGAAAGCAACAGCACCTAAAGTGGCAATAGATAATTGATGTGCTGGGACTGATCTACCTAATATAGTGTATGCAGCAGCCATTGTGAATAAATATGATTAAAGTAATAGAAGTTATCTGTATAAGATATCAGTTTAAATCAATTTCAATTTCAATTTCAATTTTCATAGTTTTTTTTTTTTCAGTGTTGTCTGTCTCGGTTCGTTTCGTTAAGCAATTTTTATTGGTCAACAAAATGATCACGTGAATGATTTTTAACTATGAGAACAAAACTTATTTTGGCTGCAATTTAAATTAATTATATACATAATTACAGTATACTATGACTAATGTTTCAGATCATAGATCCTCATACTATAGATTTAGGTACTTTGGATGAAATAAGAGATCCAAATTTCATTAATCGGTATCCTCCATTATATAAAAGGAAACCAAATTTAGTATCAATAGTTAGACGCCATAATAATCATAATTCATTGGATTCAACTAACGTTGACGATATTTTAAATCATCCATTTGATAATATATCACTTTTAAGAAGTTTAACTCCTATTCCTCCTTTATTACATAGTGATTCTGAACAGAGTAATAATGAATTGAATGATAAAAGAATTGGATTCAAGAAAAGACATATTATTAAGAATTTATTCAAAATGTTTACTCTTAAAAGAAGTAAAGCCATCACATTGAAACCAACCATTACTCATGTGACAAGTGATTTCAATCGTAGTGCACTTATTAATAGTACTACTCATCATTCAACTTCAACTTCAACTCCAACTGATCCTAATCTTTCAATTGTATCAGAAACTTCATCCCATTATTTAGATACTTTCTATCCCACCAATTTAAAACCATCATTCACCATTAAACAAGATTCTCCTGAGACTATATTAACTACAAGATCCAGACTTGATATTAGAAGTGAGGGAAGTAGAAGTGCAAGATTATTGAATATATTTCCTCCTTCACCAACCAATGCTATAATCCAATCGCCTACTTCATTACATTCTCCCATAAATAGTATTGTCATTCCTCCTATTAATCCTGAGTTTCAAAATAGTAATAATCCATGGGATTATACTAATACCATTGTTCATCCCAATTTAGATAGATCTCCTGAACTTAATGGAATAAATTATAATTCAGATTTAAGAAGAAGAATAATTGAACCAAGTCAAATTCCATTTTCTCATTTTGATTTCTATAATATAAATAGTGGTGGTTTATCTCCTATTGAAGATGATATGAATCATATTGATGATGAATTGCAAGATTCAGATGATTATACTGATGCTGAATCATATTCAGGTTCAAATGGGAGTTATTATTCATTTACAAAATCTCCTAATGAATATCTTTTAACTGTTCCTAAATCTCCAGTTTCATTCTTAATCAGTGGTACTAAAAGTCAACCAAGAAGTAAAGTAATTAGAAGGACGTAGTTGTTAAACATATAGAGGTTTATATATATAAGTTGTTTTTGCATCAAATTTTTGTCGTGTACTTTTAACCGATCAAATATTTAGTGTAGTGAAAAAAAAATTGTTTACAATTTACGTTTAGATGTAAAAACCTAGATCAAACGGTATCAAGATAATAGATCAATCCAATGGCTATAGCTCATTATATAGCTCTATTGGCAATAATAGTGGCTGGAATATTCTATCATTTATATTCCACCCAAGTAGAAGATCGGAAACTGATCATAAAGAAATTTGAACAACAATCAAAACAAACGAAACAAGATGTTGAAAGTATAAAACAACAATTAGTGGAAGCACAAGAGAAGATCAAAGTCAGTGATCTGGAATTACAGAGTCATAAGGATGCGTATGAATTGATAATTAAGAGATTTAATCTTTCTAATGATGTGTTGAGTAAAGAGAATAAGGATTATGAAGTTGATCATGAGAAATTGGTGCTGGAGATTAACGATTTAAAATTACAAATTAATCAATTTGAACAAAAGGAATTGTTGAATGGATACGAAGTGGTTGATAAGGTGAAAGAAGTGGAAGAAGAGGAAGATCAAGGTGAGAGTTTGAGTGAACTTAAGGAGAGACTTGAAAGAGAGTATGAATATAAATTGAATAGTCATATTGAAAGATTAATCACTGAGAAGGATTTGATTATTGCAAATCAACAGACTGAAATGGAAGGCATTGAAGTTAAATTCAAGAATGATATTGAGTTATTAACTAGTGATGGATCAAAATTAGAAAGAAGTATTAAACGATTAGAAAATGAATTGTTGGAAAGGAATAAAATAATAGATGAGAAGGATAATAAAGTATCTGAATTGGAAGCTACAAATAAATTGTTATCCGTTGAGAATGATAATTTTATAATTCAAATCAAAGAATCTGATGAATTATTGTTTAAGAAAGCTGAAGAATTAGAAGAGCAACTTGTTAAGAAAAAGAAACAAGCTGAAAAAGCTCGTCTCGAAACTTTATCGTGTAAAGAAACTATTGAAGAACAAGCTGGTAATGTTGCACGTTTAGAAAATGAGGTTGAAAATTTGAAACAAGAAGCAACCAAGGATAAACTTTCTATTGAAAAGTTAACTACTGAATTTAATAATAAGCAAAAGGAAATAGATGAGTTGAATAAACAATACGCAGTTGATTTAGATGTCCTTAAGAATAATCATGAAGGTGAATTATTGAATAAAGACAATCAAATAACGGCCGAACAAGAAAAATATCAAACCTTGGAATCTAAGTTACAAGAAACTATTAAATCCCATGAATCTGCCATTGAAGCCAAAGATAAAAACATTTCCGATATTGAAGATAAACTTACCAAACTTAAAGAATTTTATAATGATAAACAATTCACACCTGAAATATTTAATGAGAAGATTGCTCAAATCGAACAATTAACTCAACAACTTGCATCACTCAAAACTGAACTTGAAAAAACCAAATCTGATCATGAATCTCATATCAAACAATTAAAAGACACTCATTCCGAAGAAAAACAAGAATTGATAGAGAAATATGATGCCAAGATCTCTACTAAGGAAGACCAATTGAATAAATTAATATCCCAACTGGTGGCAGCTAGTGGTGTTAATGAATTAGCCATAAAACAACATGAAGCGGATATTAGAAGAGTTCGTAAGGAAGAAAGAGAAAAATCAAGTCAATTCCATAAGAAGAAGATTGCAGAATTGACCAAACAACTTAATTCTGAAATTGATACGGTTGGTAAGGATGAATATGAACAGAAGTTGAAAGAATTGGAAGTTTTGAATCAAGAATTGGATGAGTTTAAACTTACTAATGATGATTTAAGAAACAAGATTGCTGATTTTGAAGATACTAATCGTGGTCAAGAGAGTGAGATTGAAACTTTGACAGATAATTTGAATGAGAAAATAGAAGAATTACAACATTTAGAAGATGATTTGGATGAATTAAAATCAAAACATGAAGCTGAGTTTAATAAGTTGAAAGATGAGCACGACGATTTAGTTGTTGATATGTCAGATTTAACCATTGAGTATAATGAGTTACAGGATGAGCATGAAAAGATAAAGGTTGAATTAGCTGAAAAGTTAAATGAATTAGCCACTGTAACTAAAATCAATGAAACTAAAGCCGCTGTCTTAAGTGATACTATTACTAGATTGAAAGCTAAGGGAGAAGAATATGATTCACTTAAAGAAAGTTCTGATAAACTTATAGAGGAATATAAAACTGAAGTAACTACTTTAAAGAATGAAATAAATGAAGTGAAAGCTGAATTAGAAATAGCTACTAAGAAGGAATCCGATCAAAATAAGGAAATCACTGAGTTGAAAGCATCTATTGAATCAACTAAAGAAGAATATGAAACTAAATTAAAAGAATCTTCTAATTCTGATGATTTTGAAGAATTAGAAACTAAATATAAATTATTACAACAAGAATTTGATACATTAACTTCAACCCATGAGGAGAACCTCTCCATTAAAGAGAAAGAATTATCCGATATTAAAGCTGAAATTAAACAATTACAAGATGAAATCAAACAAAAAGATACACAAATAGATTCCTTAAAAGCAGATTCTCAAGAAAAAGTGAATCAATTATTCAATCAATTCCTTAAAATCAAAGGCATAGCCGCACCTCAAGATGAAAATAAAGATGATGGTGACCACGATAAGAATAAAGAATTTGATATATATAAGAAATTCGCTATGAATATCGATAGTATCAATAGTAGATTTCATGAATTTGAAGCTCAAGTGGTTACTAAAGAGCAAGAACTTGAAGAAGTCAATACTGCCTTGGATAAATTCAAGCATGATTTAATTAGTATTAAGAGTGAAAATGAAACAAAGAGTAATGAAATAAAGACACTATCTGAGAGGAAAGAGGAATTGTTGAAGGATATTGAAGATAGAGATGAACAAATTTCAAAACTAGAATCTTCAGTAAAGCATGATCCTATCAGTGAACAACTTTTAAATCATTTATCACATAACGATAATGATGTTAAGGAGGTGAGTGCTGATTCTAGTATGATTAAATCGCCATCATCGGAGCTTAGTATAGATTAGATACAAACGTACATGTAAAGCATAGTAACAATAATAATAAATAATAATATATATTAAAATTAAATACTAAAAATGGAGCCAATTAACAGTAGTTCTCGAAACGCTGGAAGATAGGTAAATTGGTCTTTCACTAAAAATGACCGTCAAGGTCATTGTTAATAAGTTGTTCCTATAATCATTCAAAATAGTTAGTATCAGAAACTCAGTCCCATTATCGACTTTCATTCTCACTTTTAAGTATGTGGTAATCTTCCCAAAACAATAAAAAAGGTTAGTAAGTTTGAAACCTAGAAAGTAATTGAAAGTATTAACAATGGTTCCACTTTCGTTAGTACAGATTTACTCTAGATCTAGGAGTAAACTTAAAATGGGATAAATAGTAATATGGCCAAACATTGATTGAAGCTTAGGTCTATAGTAAGGTGGTACTAGGTAAATATAGTAGATATTTGATCTAGATGAAATTTTGCTTCAGATCCATTTAGTTTACTACTAATACATTTGATTTAGTCTTTTATGAAGGGGTTAGGTTAAATATCTTGACTGCAAACAACCGAAAAGTGTGATTTTTTTTTTTTTTTATCTGTATATTAAGGACCAATAAACGTCGAGAAGTGAGGAAAAAAGTACTACATAACTATATAGAAAACTACATAATTACATAGACAAAAACCTCGAAATTAGAAAAAAAGTTGTAAAGAAGATAAGACAAGATATTGAAAAAACAGTCTGTGAAAGACTAAAGATATAAGGATATGTTAAATGACCTATATTTTGAACTTTTCACTGCAAATCCCGTACGACACCGACAACATCCTCTAACGTAAGAGCCGAAACTCTAGTTAAAGAATATCGTCGAGAGTGCCATAATCGAGAAATAAGTGAAAAGTAACCGTCATGTGATTGCTGAAGACAATCTAATCTGTAAAAACGTCAATGTGTAAAAATGAAGATCAAAAATTGATGTGTTTTTGTTTTTTGCAGATTCTCTCCAAACTTACAGATTAGATGCAGAAAATCGAAATAGACTCGAAAATTTCATGTTCAATATATTATGGGCTTTATATTACGTTACAGTACATTAAGTATTGTATGCTTTAGGATACATTATTTAAACTGAAATTAATGTTAATCTAACAATGTTTTGACTAAAAGTAAGATTAGCTGAAAAAAATAAAGAATGAGCACGAGGTGGGGGATGGGGATTATAAATGCGATTGAGAAGATTCACTTGCATTGTTTGAATAGTAAAAGATTGGGGAAGAAACTAAGGTCAAGTGAAAGCGACGAATAAGCCAAGTAAACTGTAATTAACTGTGGTAGTATATAGAGAATTACGAAATCGAAATCGAAATCGAAATCGAAAAATATTAAACATAAAACTTTTGGGCTTTAAATAATTTTTTATAGGGAGAGCGAGGAGTGTCTATTGTTCTCCATAAAATCTTAAAGATTGTCGATCTCGATTGAAGATTAGAGAGAGAGAGAAATAGGAAAGAAATAAGGCAATGATTCAAGATTTAAGATATAGAACAGAAGTTGGGGGAACATGATGGGTTAATAGTATATGTTTGTGGTGTCATAACATGATGTTTGTTCCCAGTTTATCCGTAAAGAATAATAATTGTGTGGATTGTTTATTAATTTATCTATTTGTGTGTAGGTGGCTGTCTTTTTGTGGTTAAGGGGGCACTAATTAGGACACACATTTACACAAGGGGTTCAACAATGAGAAAATTATGACTTTGTGTTAAAATCTCTCTCTCACTAATTTTTATTTATTGTTCTGTTTTTCTTTCTGTTACTGACAGAACAAAGTAAATTAGTGAGAAATTGATGGCATAAGATGAGTGGGATGGGATGGGATGGGACGAGTCAACAAACAAATAAATAACGACGATTCAATTTTTAGTGAGGGAGCTATAAAAAAAAAAAAGAAAAGAAATCTCAGTATAATTCCATTAAGGACAAATTATATCGATTCAGAGATGAGATGAGATGAGATGAATGGTTGAATGAGATGAGTTGATATGACAAAGTTATATGATTATTGATGATATCATATTTATCCATTTCTAAATCAATGTAGTATGTACAATTGTATGATAAAGTTTAGTGGATACGTTGTTATTTTACTTTAGCCTTACTTTACTTACATATGAAATTTAGTGTATGAGTCTCATCTCATTCTTTTACATTCCTTAAATTGTTTGTTTCCCTAAACTAATTAGCCTTTTTTGTTATGGTTGCTGAAATTTCAATCAAATATATATAAAAACCTTAACTTACAGTCTATTGAGCTTAAATAGATATGTGTTACTTTGGTAGGTAGAGGAGTAGAAACACCTCCTTGTAGATGTATTATTATACCAAATTAAACAAATCATCTTCACCACCACACAGAAACGAAGTGGGTTCATCATCACTTGGTTACTATCTCTAAGAGTGTAATTATAATTGTCTTATAATAATCATACAATATGATGTATATTGTTATATTCTTGCATTATTATTATTATTATACATTTATGATCATCACTATACCGAACAATCTAACTACGTATAATAATAATTACCGGTAAAAATCCAATCACATTGGTAAATTTATGTGTTAAATTTTTTATTTTAATTAAGGTCTCACTAATTCGGATTATTTTTGGCTGTTTGTTTGTCTCTATTTCATGTTCTGTGGTAATGGAATAGAATGGAATTGATTTTGATTATTTTTATTTTATAATTCCTTCTATTTCTATTTCCATCACTTCTTCTTCTTCTTGTTCTTGTTCTTCTGATTTGTTTCTTCTTGATCCTCTTCTTCCTTATAGTTGTGTTCTCAAATCAATATCACATCTAACTAACATTTTATCAGGGACATTTAGTGAAGCTTCTTTTTCTGTAAGGGTGTAACCAAAATTTCGCATAAAAGTTACATTCACCACTCAGTCACCACACGCTCATCCACTCCCTCTCCCTGCAAATCATAACATACTAAAAATCTATTTTTAACAGATTTTTAAAAAGGCAACAACAACAATAATAACAACAAACTCAGCCAATACTTCCCCACCACATTCGTTCATTCCTATCACTGTTCATTCAATCGATTAATCAATCATCTCCATCACCTTTCCATCCTATCCTATCCTATCATTTCCTCCCACCGTCTCTCTCTATCTCCTTGTAGATTGAATCTTACCTATCGTCAAAAATAGCAACCACTTCGTTTCAGTGAGATTTTTGTGTTATCATTGTTGCTATTGTTCCAACTGCACCAATTTTAATCGTTTTATATCATCATTTATCCCATTCATCTAGGTTGTTCTTTCTTTGTGAATCCCGTGTTTCATCCTCATAACAGTGAAAAAGGTACCGTCAAGAAAATTTTATCATAACTATAAGTGTTACTAATTAATCTACAATCGTACCATATAGATAATATTTCATCAAACGTCTATTTATCTATCTATCTTGTGCATCTTCATCTTCATCTTCATCATCATTATAGTTTCACTTTCCGGTTTGTCGACTACTTCGCTTATTGTTGTTTTAGTCCATTAATTTCCTTTCGTTATCGTTAATTTTTACACTTTTGCAAATTCCGTTAATAATATTAGCAACATTTTATTTAACAGACATTATTTATCACTATTTTATTATATCATATCAAATCTTTTTCAAAAAGTATCCAAAATTTGTCATCTAATCTGTTAATCATACTTCTTGTTTGCCCATCCATTCACTTATTGAATAAGCATAACAAATTATTATAAGCATAATAAAATATATCTCATAAAAAATTATATCAATATTACTTTTTTGTTACTTGTCATATTTTTCTTTTACTTCTTTACCATAATCATCAATAATCCATTATGGCAAAAGTACTAGCTAAAGCTTCAAGTCTTAATTATAAAAAACCATCATCAAATACATCAGAAACCAATTACAATGGAAATATAAGAAGTCAAACTCCTCCTATAAGATCAATTTCTTCTTCAAATTCAAATACAAGATTTGCTCTGTTAACTCCTCCTCCTCCACCACTTTCAACTTCAATGTTAAGAGCTGTCAGTACTCCACTGCCAGTTGGTAGATCTCCTATGACTTCTTCTCCATCATCGTCATCTTCATTAAACCTTTTGCATAATAATACTAATCTTAATAATAATTCTAATCATAATCATGTCAATACTAATAATAATTCATCACCAGAGAATGATAAGTTAATCAAATCTTTATTAAAACAATTTAAAAAGTTGGAAAATGAATTAAATAAGTTCAATTCAAAGAAATATAATCATTCAACTACAAGTCCATCATTAAAAGGAAATATTTTAAGAACTTCATTATTACCATTCTTGAGATCAAATAATAATCTTGATATTTATTTCTCCAAACATTCTCAAATTTATAAAAGTTTAAATACAGTGATAGTATCGATATTAATTAAATGGTGGTATTCATTGATTGGAAATTTAACCATGACTTCTAAAACTTCAACCACTTCAAATAGTGATAGTAATAATCGAAACTCACCTCAACCATCTTCTCCAGCAACTACTCCTGCATCAACTTCTCATACTGCTCCACCATTTCCTATTTTATATTCTTCCATTCCCGCCAGTGATAGAAATGCTTACCTTGAATGTATATCAAGAATCGTATCTAGAGATGAATGGAATTATGTCGATGTGGATATGTATAAAGAATATGAGAATTTATTGGTGATGACTTTGGATTATTCCATCGAGAGAATGTCAAATTTAAAGAATTTATCATTATCAGTATCAGCATTCATTGGGAAAATATTTGCTTATAGTTTTTTCAAATTACCAAATGTTAGTAATGCTCTTTTATTTTTATTGAATGTTAAACAAATCATGTTTGAAAATACGGTGAAATTATTAGATGATACTGATTCTGATAATCAAGAATTAATCCAACAATTATATTCTATCTTCCCAACTCATTTGCATTATTTAATTGATTTTAAAGGGATCTCAAATTTAGCTATGAAAGGTCAAAAGATTATGTTTAATTGTACTCCACCTCCAAAACATCCTGTTAATGGTATTAAAGATCCTAATGGAAGTTGGGTTAGAAGATGGTGTAATTGTGATTCTAATGTTTTCAATTCATTCTTTAGACATTATTTAACAATTGTAAGTGCTCAAATCACTCGTCAAAGTCAAGTCGAACCAGTTGATTTCAGAGTATTGTTGAATTGTCCTGGTTTTAATGTGATTATAAGTCATATATTTCATATTTTCCAAATGTCAATCTCAAGAATATCAAATAATAATTCAAAATTCCAACAACAAATGTCCATATCTTCACCTTTGAATCCAACCAATATGAAATCTTCATCCTCAAGATTATCTCCTCCATTACCAAATCCATCGCCATCTGGTGGTCCAACTTTGGCTCCTCCGCCTCCCCCTCCTCCATCAAACATTCCAATTAAGCAAACTGATATTTATTATAATTCATTAATTAAAATCTTTAAAACTTTAAGAGATGTCATTCATGCCAGTAAAGATGATGATGATATCATTACTATTGGGTTGATTAAGTATTTTGATACTTTGTTCATTTCAATTGCTCAAGAAACTAGTATTTATGATTTCAATAAGAATGGATTGATCCTTACTATCGCTTATGAATTTATTAATCATGTTACTAATAATAATGATATCCAATTAAATTCTAATCATAATAATGCTAATAATAATACTACCACCACTAATAATAATAATCAATCATCATCAGGTAAGAATTTTAATAATTTGATTGATTGGGAATTCTGGTTAAGTTGTAATTACATGATGATTCAAAATACTGATCATATTCAAATCTTATTAAAGAATATATCATTTTTATTTAATATTTGGGATATGATTCCTGAATCATTATCTAAATTTGCTTTCAATAAAGATGATAAGATTAATAAGAGTCATAAGAAACCTATCCATTATCATTGGTTAGTTGATTTAAATGAAAGTTTTAAATTTAATTTCATGAATTATTTGATTTCGAATAAAAGCTTTATAAGATTCATAACTCATTGGAATCCAATAATTAGATCTTACTATCTTCGTTTATTAACTTGGAGAATCATTGGAATTAATAATTATCAATCATCAATTATGATTCAAACTACTAAAAGAGTTCAAAAGAAATTGAATAAATGTTATGAGATCTTACATAAATTCACTCTTGAGTATCAAAATCTTACTGGTGAGGAATATAATTTTGAATTGAATTATAAGCCAGATAATCCTTTAGTTAATCGAAAATTTGGTATTTTACCTATCAGTGGTAAGAATGATTATTATTTATCTATTCAAGATGATATTACTCCTTCAGCTCCATTAACGTCTTCTGGTTCTGATATGTTGACTGCCACTTCATTCAAATCAAGTGAATTGAGAAAGACTCATGCTTATGAAATACTTGATGAAGCCATTTATACTTGTTCAACTTTAACTGATGAAAGTTCCACTACCAGTAAGAAATCGAGTTCATCTATTTCATTAAGATCTTCTTCATCTTCCAATTCAATTTCTAGTAATTCAAGTACTTCATCCTCGTCTAAATCCAAAAACCATTCCATTGTTAGTTCTATTGGAAAGTTATTTAAGATTTTATCCATTGATGAAAATGAAGTTTCTAAAGGTGGTAATGCTGATATTGATAATAATAATACTTCATCTTCAGATAATGAAGCTGAACCTCCAGTTACAAGAAATTCAGCTTCTTTAACTTCATTATCAACATCATTTTCTTCATTGAAATCAAGATCGTCAAGTCCAAGCTTAATGTCCTTTGTATCTACTCCAACTTCAATTACTGATTCTACATCTTCTTCCGTTAAGGATTCTGATTCTGAATCATTATCATCGAGTATTCAAACTATTGATATTAAAGGTAAATCATCATCTTCAAAGTCTTCTTCATCTTATACATCATTTTATAATGCTCAACCTACTGAATTAGTAAGAGTTCCACCTGAAATCATCAGACCAATTTATAAATTCGATATTATTGTTGATCATGAATCACTTAATGAAAAATTTACTTATGTAAATAATCAAAATCAACAAAAGTATAAGACTAAATCTGAACCAATTAATTATCAACAACCTAAGATTAGTTATTTTCCATTATGTCCTCGTATACCATTAATCTCCATCTTTATGAATAATGATAATTATGGATCTAAATTTTTCATTAATGATGAAGAAGAATTATTTATTGAAAACTTTGGTGAAGATGGTGATGAAGTTGTTGTTGGTGGTGGTAATAGATCATCATCATATAAAACTGAATTAGAATATGATGAGTTATTCAATTACTTCCAAGTATCGACTGCTTCCAGAAAGGACAGTAGTAAGATCATTAAATTGGTTAATTTAGGAAGAAGTCTTAATGAATTGAATTTATTAATTGAAGAATTTAAATTATTCTTGAATAAGAGAATTGAAGTTGATCAATTCAATCAAGATCTTTCAAGTATTAATGAATTCATTTATTTCAAAAAGATCATTCCATTCTTATCAGTTGATAGTTCTAATGAACTTAAATTATTGAATGCCAGTTAGTCCATTCACACTTTATTTTTATTTCTATTTATTTCATTTAATTTCATTTCATATCATATCTGCATATTAAAACGGTCAAACAAGCAGTTTCTATTACATTCCTTTGTTTATTTCTATTCATTTTACTTTTGGTTTCATTAATACATTATACAATTATACACATTACGTTTCATTAATTTCTCCATTCCTTTTCCTAAGATTTATTTTAATTTTATTTATTATCTACGATTGTTTTGTTTTATATAAATTAATAAACGAATTAAAACGGCATTATAAATATATTTCTAACTATTACGTAGTACTTTCATTGCTGAATCGTTGTCTAAATTCAGTTTCTTCACTCTCAGTTTCAATCTCTTCAGTTTCATCATAATCATCATCAGAATGATGATCGGTATTATTTTGAGCTTGAGGATCTTGTATTAATGGTCGAGCATATTTCGTCAGTAAATACATTGAAGTAAGGAAACTTGTTGAACAACTTATAGACCAGAACACCAATACTCCTATAAATAAACATTTGTAATAGTGCTTTACCAAATAATATCTAAATCCAGTATAAACAATTTCAAATTCTATAAATGAAGAATCTTGAACAATGATGAATGATTTATCAATCAAGATTTGAAACGATTCGAATGTTGAAGGTAAGGTCTTCCCATTCAATCTATAATTCGATAATTGAAATCCAATACTTCTCTTGATATTGACAACCATGGGAGGCACCCAAAATCGTAAATTATAAGGAACGAGATCATTATTATTATTATAGATATACCTTGAATCACAATCAACGTAGAATTCGTGATCGAAAAGGGGTTCACTTTGATCATTGATGATGCTATATGAGTTCTGATACACGTCTCCCTTCTTGACGGTATCACAAAGGATTTCAAAGTTTAAAGAAACTTTATAATCTAATAAAGGATCAAATTTAAATTTTCGAGGCAAATTAGACTGTAAATGAATCAAATCACTTGATAAATCGTAATCATATATCAGATTTGGTTTATAATGAATGGGAATCCTGGGACTGGCATAAGGTATCAATGTGTTATAAAATTTGACATAAGTTATGATTGAAAGTGGTAATAATATCACCATATACGTGAAGAAGAACGTCAGACCAAATAACGCTGTTCTTGTTACTGTTAAAGTAGTGAGTCCCACGAGCTCTATTAACCGTCTGCCGTATTTGTATAGCAAGTATAACGTTATCATTGTTGATGATGTTGATGGTGTTGTATGATGGTGTGGTTGGTGATGTTTTGATTTTGATTTAAGTTGCATTTTTGCTTTCTCTCCTTAAATTTTTGTGGAGAACATGATTTATTTTTAGGCTGTGAAAAGTTAAACTAATCACACTAAAAACTACAATTATGAATCAAGTCTAAACATATCATTAACAGAGATGAGATTAAATACTATCAAGGTAGATAGCAAAAGTAGAAGTTAACACTAACTAGGCTAGCATTAACCACTATAAAAAATAATAAATAGATAAATAATAATACTTAACAGAAGATTATATAAGATATAAATGTAGGTATAAATATGTATATATAATAACAAGTGGAACCCTTTTTAATAATGAGTATACTGAAGTATCACATTAATGACTAAAGGATCTATGACAAAATCTCTTCCGTTTGGAGAAGTGGTGGAAATAGTAGTTGTAGAAATAATAGTAAAACAAAAATAAGATAAAATAAAATAAAGAATAAACCTCCCAGACCTAATAAAAATATAATAAAACAATAATTAAGGAAAATTAATAATAATAAAAGAATGATATGATAAAATGATAATAAGTAATAATGCAAGATGACAAAACAAAAAGTTAACACAACAACAAGAATAAGTAATCAATGAGTAGTATGACCTCTATGATATTTCAAACCATTAAGATTTTTATATCTTTTACCACAAACTTCACAACGATAAGGTTTATCTTTTTCCATGGCGGCTCCATCAAGATATGGAGCATTTGATTCAGGATCAATGACAGAGATGGTACCATCGGGATTTTCTTTTAAAGTTTGACCTTGATGACCATGTAATCGATGATATTTCAAACCATTTTGATTTTTATAATTTTTATCACATCCAATTACAGGACATTTGAATGGTTTATGTTCATCACTCTCCATGACATAAAGATGACGAGCAGGATCATCAATATACATACCATCATCTTCTTCCATTGGAGTACCTGAACTTGGAGAGTTCATGATTGGTGATTGTTGTTGTTGCTGTTGATGTAATTGACTTGGATTAGTATTATTTGAATTACTATTATTATTATTATTATTATTACCCATATGACTATTATTATTATGTAAGGTATTTGATGGATTAGCATTTAAAGCTTGAGGTTGAATATTATAATGATTATTATGTAAATTTAAACTTGGATTTGAAATTTGTTGAGCTTGAGGACTATGAAGTTGATTATGAGATTGATTTGGTTGAAATTGATAATTATTAGTATGAGATGGATGACTTGATTGATTATTAGGATTGGTATTAGTATTATTTAAAAACACATCAGTAGTGGATACAGTTTCTAACACATTATGAATGTTATTAAAACTATTTCTATTATTTCTATTTATATTATGATCAGGTGGTGGTGATGGACTTATATGAGCTTCTTCATAATGTCTTAAAAGATCATGTAAAGTGGGTAATAATTCTCCACAACAACTATAATCCTTACAATAATCAGCTTCTAATTCAGGTAAATAAGATGTTTGTAATGGTGGCGACATCGAAATACTGGCTAAATTATTATTATGACGGAATGATCCTCTTCTTGGATTTATTAAATTTTGATTAGAAGCTTGATTAACTGTTAAGAATTGATTATTCTGTTGTGATTGTTGTTGCTGTTGTTGTTGTTGATGGGATTGTTGATGAGATTGTGGTTGAGTAAAATTATTCCCAAAATTACCTGAATTAGTCATGACTTCATCTTTAAGCCAAGATCCAATAGTAACTGATCCCCAGGAAACACCACCCATACCATGAGAATGGGCAATGGATTCTCTTCTGAATCTAGAGTTATTGAATATGGATTGTTGTCTTTGATAAGTGATATCTATAGGTTGGGAATTATTACTATTGCCACCACTACCATTATCACCTGGATTTGAGCCTGCACTCGGTATATTTATTGCGGGTGAGCCTGTGGGCGTTGTACCATCAAACATCTTTGTATTGAACATGGATATATATGGAGGGGTATAAGGAATAGTTGATGATATGTAAACGATGGATGGATGGATAAGACGGATAGAATGAAATGAAAGTTGATTCTTTCTTTGTGGATACTACTTAAGAAATAAATAATAAATAATTGGGGGGGATAAAACTGTAAAAGGTTAATCAGATGGTGAAGGGAGGGGGGGGTTTAACACTATGGGATGATAAAGATAAGTAACGGTTATTACAATATCGGATCTGATGTGACAGGATGGTATCGGCAGTTGATGGATGATAGATGGATGTCGTTGTTGTAGTGATATATATCTTAAAATATATAAATTAGTAATATTATTTTTCGGTATATGAAGTTAGACACAGAAAAAAAACGGCTCTGTTTTAAACGGATGGAAATTACTATTAGGTAGGAAAAAGTTATAGGGGTGGCAGTGAGACTAGTGGAACTCTATATATGATACACTGTCTAATAATAGAATAATGATGAGGTTGATGATGGACTTATAGTCTCTTTAATGATATTGATTAATAGAGTATAAAATGAATGAATGAACTCTGTAACTCTGTAACTATTCCCCTTTAATGATAAAAATCGTATACAAAAAAGTTTGGGAAATTCATACCATTTTTTTTTTTTTGTGAACAAGGGATAAAAATGTCGTATCGAATAATAGACACAGAAATTTTGAAATCAAATACGACAGTCAATCAATTAGACAGACAGACAAATATACAAAATCATCCAGACAGTTTGAATAATTTATTAAAACAGACAGACAGACAGACAGATACTTTTATTTTTCTAAAAGTTCGATAACTACATCTACATCTACAACTATGACCAACTAACTCTTCCTTTCATTAACACTGATGACTTGAGAATTATATCCCTCTTACTCATTATTACCACAAGATCAAAACTAATTCATACAATCACCTATAAGTAGTATGGTTGTAGATTAATTTTCAATGTTTTGATCCGGGTAAATTTGATAATGTCGCAAAATAGTCTGACATTTTCTACTTTATTTTGAGTAATAAAAATTGCGCTAAATAATTGACATTTCTGTTTTATTTATTTCATCTAACGACAATAAGTATATTTTGACCCAAAAATATGTATAGCATTTATTGTTTAATCTATCCTATTTAATTTTATAATTCTTGGTATAGTTGTAACCATACACGTAATGTATTTATCGAATCAGGTTTTCGATATATCAACAACATTACTCTCTAAATCTCTTACTGTTAAACTGTTAATTACTGCAAGTTATACCGAAAAAATGGGCTGGGGCTGGGCAATACTTTTGAAAAATTACATAACGCATTTTTGAACATTATTACACGACCTTACGATGATGTTGATGATGATGTACACACTAAGAAATTAATTAACCATTATAACACTTTCAAATGTAACCTAATTTAAGCAAAATATTATTGGTGACATTTAATTAATTATGCATATTTACGTTTTATTCGTTGTGTTATTGCAGGGGTAAAATAATTAAAATAAAATTAGTAAACACAAGACAGAGAGATGATGCAGTAGAAAGACAGACAGACTTGAAAAGTCGATGAGGTTTAGTTATCTTCATGTCGTATTACTTTGTGATTTGGATTATGCTTTTTTTTTGATTTATCCGAGTGTTTATAAGTATTTACTTTTATTCCATCTATTTATATATCCTCTCTTCTCTCCGCTTTCATATCCATTACATCCATCACTTTTGAAATTCTCAATAGGGGCTTTTTTAACCATGTCTCATATCGAAATAGTAAAGATTTGACATCTTTCTTTAACTTAGATGAAATTTTGAACAATGGACTGTGTATAATTTCAAAAAAAATCTAACGATGACATAGCAACTACATCATTTCTCTGTAACTGTATGTATATCTCGTCCTTATTATTACTTAATTCTAGAAATCTTATCTTCTGACTTTTAAGCTGTGGCAATATTAATTGCCCCACTACCCCCATTTCAACTTTATCTCTATCCTTAGAAAACGTGATCTGGTATCTGTTTCAAATTTTGAAATTAGTCTCTATTATTCATATATACTTTGCATTACAGTTTCGAATCTTCTTGATTACTTTATTTCCCATACTACCAACGTAATTATATCTATTGTTCTAATTATATTTTTTTAGAGTTCATAGTGACATCTTTTTTTTTCCGGTATCGTCTATCGGCATTTGTTTTTAATCGCCTTTGGTAAAGTATTAGAAATTAACTTTTCAGGGAACATGACCTATAAACGAATATATACACAAAGTATAGGTTCGTAAATGCTTATTAAAATATTGGTTATTGAATCAATTTAACGACATTTTTCTCAACCCTTCTCGGCCAATGAGAACCGTTGGAATGAAAAAGGCCCGCATTTGACCGAGCTCTCATAAAAATGTTGCAAAATTTATGTTTACTTCTACTTTTATACCGTAATCATGATAAATCAAATGGAATGCTTTAAGCCTAAGTTGTTATAACATTCTTGATATGCTTTTATAATCAGTTTGAGTTATTTCCAGAATGTGGATCCAAAGGCATGAATTCCTTCCTTTATATTCATTTTTGACTGAAAAGTGGCTGAAATAATAAATATATCCAAAAGAGAAAAGGAAGACCCCACACACAAAACTACAGAAGGATAATAAAATTAAAATAATTTTTATTAACAGTATAAACTAAAAAGAATTGAACTAATTATTTATAAAAGATATGGCGTAACAACCTAAAACACATTTTAATCAATAAAATATCTTTCTTAACACCAAAAATTCCAAACTCTAAAATAGAACGGTCTCGAAGCAATATATGCTTTCTCTTCAGCAATTTCTTGTCTTAAAATATCTAAATCAAGTTCTCTTCTACCTGTATCGATATCAATATCCTTAGCTCTAATAAATATTCTCCATTGTCTTTTCCATAATTTATGGAAAACATAAAACACAATAACAACTGGGAATCCTAAATATGCCATAAAGAAATCTGATACATTTGGTGAACCACCTAATGGGAACAACGCAATCCAGAATTGGGCAATTAAAACCACAACATTAATCGTAACACCATAAATAGCACCATAGACACCAACTTGTGACACGAAAGCGACTTCATCAGTAGTTCTACCTTGAACATATAAGGCCCTTCTAAATCTAAGTAAACACATGTTAATTGAACCCCAAGTGAATAAAGATGATAAACCTGATAAAGCCAATAACCAATCAAATACAGTTCCAGAATCATTAGAAGCAGTAATGAAACATAATAATCCAAAAGTACATTGAAGTAAGATTCCAAAAATTGGTCTACCTTCTTTATCAATATAACCTAAAATCTTTGGAGCTTGACCTGAAACAGCCAAAGCAGCTAAAGTTCTAGAAGAAGCATAAACTGATGAATTTCCCACAGACAACACAGAAATCATAATGACAACATTCATAACTGATGGTAATCCTGAAATACCAGCATCAACAATAGAAAGCACAAAAGGTGAAGCAGCAGCATCAACAGGACCATTAACGAGTAATCTTGGATCATTATATGGCACTAATAAACCAACTAAAGTTAAAGATATAATATAGAATAAAGCAATTCTCCAAAATACTTGTTTAGTAGCTTTTGGAACTGCTTTTCTAGGATTGTCAGTTTCAGCAGCAGCTAAACCACATAATTCAGTACCACCAAATGCAAATGCTGCAGTAACAAATACTGAACAAACTCCTTTAAACCCATTAGCAAAAGCACCTGGATTTTTGAAATATTTACCTCCGATATATCCCCCTTTTGGACCACCTCCTGCGACTAAAACTATACCCAAGATAATATAACCGAGAATGGCTAATACTTTAACTAATGAAAAGATGAATTCAGCTTCACCATAACCTCTAACTCCAAATAAATTAATGGAACAAATAATAACATAAAAGATAATCACAAATGCAGCCGAATTTGTAGTTGCATCCCAATATTTAATCGTAATGGCAGCAGCCACCAATTCTAATGGTAAAACAATTAACCAACCCATAGCATAATTCCAAGCCATTGTAAAACCCCAAGATGGATCAATGAATCTTGAATTATAAGTAATGAAAGCACCAGATACAGGGAAAGTAACAGCCAACTCACCTAAGGATTGAACGGTACAATAAATCATAGTTCCAATAATAGCATAAGCAATAATAACCCCAGCTGGACCACCAGTACCTAATGTAGAACCCGAACCAATGAAAAGACCAGTACCAATGGCACCACCAATAGCAATCATTTGCAAATGTCTACTCTTAAGAGATCTTGAAAGGGGAGAATTGGCCGTCATAATAGCAATCTTTTGAATATCACTTAAATTTGGATCAAGGCCTAACTCACCAGCATCTGCTCTTTTGAAACCATCAATGATTTTAGCAAATCCTTTCAATTCTGGCTTTTGATCGAAGGTATCGATATAAACACCACCATTTTTATCGATAGATGAATCATCACCAATGGCAGCTTCTTTAGTTCTAAGATACTCTAATTCCTTTTCTGGCATCTCTTTTTGTTATTTTGCTTATGGAAAGAGAAATAGTTGAATTAATTAACAATAATAATCAAGTTGAAAAATTTCTAAGGGAAAAATCCACTAACTAATATAAATATCAGGAAATCACCCATTGTCTACCAAAACAATCCTTAATCGTTCAAAATATGACAATGATATGAGGGAAATTATATGTATAGCGCCTCTTTTTAATACAACTTTCTTCTAATCTTTATCAAATTCAAACCCTTTATCCTTCTTCATACATACAATTACTTATTGTAAGTGCTTAGTCGTTCCTTATCAGTAGAAGTCTAAATTGGATAGATTATTTTTTGACAGTTATATATCTGTTTTGAGTTTAGCGGATCGAGGAAGCTACACATTTCTTTGCTTGACACGAGGATCGACATAAAAGGATTATTTTACACCCAAACAAACCCCTAATCACAAAATTAAATAACAAAAAGAGCCGCGCTGTTCGCCTTTAAATTTGGATATAATCGTTATCTCTTTATCTATAAATCTCAAAATATTTTTTTTTGTCTCTTTCTTTTGACAGTATCGGTAAATTTGCTCTTTTTGAGACATAGGACAAGATAAGGACGCAAAAAATATGTTAAAAACAGGGCCTGTACACCGGCTACCCATATATAGAAACAATCATCTCTTTGTTTCAAGATTTGAATACTATATAGCAAAAGCTGTAGTCCCAAAGGGGAAACGAAGAAAGCATTCTGCATAATTTAGACCAATTATATCCATAAGGAAAATTGCAATGCCGCCTGCTCTATCTGTTTTGTTGAAATGTATGGAATTAACTACTAATCAACAATACAAAATTTCTTAAATATATTATTAATGATTTTATATGAAAATTGGTGATATAAATATATAAATATAACTAGAAAAGATCATATAAAATAAAAAGAAATAAAAACCGAAGAATTCTTATAAATAACGAGAGACAAGAAAATAAAAGAACTCTTTTCAAACTAAAATAGAATCAAGCCTTTACTAAAAGCATTAAAAGTAAAGAATTGGTTCAACTGAATATAAAAGTCATCAAAAGACTTATGACTGATGCCACGAACATAAAGTTAGTAAGCAGATTATTTGAGGATGTATTTTCATACTTAGGAGAAATACTTGGGGCAGCAACAGTGGTAGAAGTCCCAGCTGGTGACCCAGGTGTAGCAGACCCAGAATAAGTCTCCGGACTGGCATTTTGAACAGTAATAGGTTCGGTAGTTGATTGAGCTGCAATAGTTTCAGTAACTGATTCACCAATTTCTGGACTTCCGGTAGGCTCGGAATCAACAACTACACCTCCTCCTATAATTGTAGTAACTAATGTTCCTGCCGAATTTGAAACAATAACTATCGCAGTTTCTGTGCATGGAACACCAATTGTGTCTGTAGTAATCACTGTGGTGGTATAAACAGTCGTTCCACCACCTCCTCTAACAGAAGTAATAGTATATAATTCACCTTCAGAACTTGACACAATTACAACTCCAGTTTCTGTGCATGGAACTCCAACGATATCTGTTGTAACAATAGTGGTGGTGTATTCAGTTGGTCCAGCAATTATTGATGTAGTAGTATAAAGACTTCCTCCAGAATTGGTCGAAATAATAACTTCTGCAGTTTCAGTAGTAACTTCCCCATTTAGAAGAGTTGTAATAATTGTGGTACCATATTGACTACATGGTTCAGTGACAGTAACAGTGATATCAGAAGTAACAACAACAACTGCAGTACCAGTAATAGTTGCACCCGCTGAATTAGTAGTAACAAATGTGCTAGAGCTGCCAGTAGATACAGCAGCACCACAAATATGTTCATCGCTGTAAGTAGCACCAATATTGAATCCATCAGGTGATCCAATAACATCTAAGAATACTCTGTATCCAGCTGGGACATTGGCGTAGTTGATAACAATTTCATTTCCACTGCAACTTTCTAAGCTGATAGATCCAAAGCTTTGAGCAGATTTTGGAAGATACCAATCATTGAGATCATTGGTGATTTTAGCTTCCCATGTATCACAGTTAAGAGTTCCATCATCAACAGTTAATGAAAGTTTACCGAATCCATATGAGGTAGGACAGTTACCACCAAGAAGATAGTAAGCATTAGTACTATCCCATTCCAATGTTCTAACAGCAAACACAACATCTTCTGGGTCGTCTGGAGATGGGGAACCAGCATCGAAGGTAACATCATACAGAAGAACTTTACCATCTTCAGTGGTGAATGATATACTTTGTGTTCCCGCACCTAAACTATTAGCGGCTTCAAGATCACTAGCACTTGATGAACCTCCAACGTTGAAAACAAGTGGAATTTCAATAGTACCAGTGGTAAAAGAGGTAGGTACCTCTAAGATAGTACATTGAAGTAAAGAGTCAACAGAATCCAATGAACCAGGAGCAGCAATACACTCTGCATAATTCACACCATCAGCTTCAAGATAAATAGAATTAATTATATCACGCTTCGTGGTACCGTAGTTTGCGTTGTATATGCCAAGGACATTTGGTAAGATCAATGAAAATGTATCACCAATATTATACTCATCAGATATCTGCCATGCAAGTGTGGCAGTCCATAATGGTGATAATGGAAGAGCTGCCAATATAGAACCAGCCTGTTTGAAATCAATGGAATCGATGGCAGTGAAAGGCAGAGGTGGTGTGGATGAAGGAGTGAACGACGTAACAGATGAACTTGACAGAGAAGATGTTGTTAATGATGAAGAAACTGTAGTTGCAGATGATTCTGATGACGAAGAAAAACTACTTCCTAAAGTAGAACTACTTAATAAAGTCGAATTACTCAATGAAGGGGAAGTCGATGACGATAAGCTTGTACCTGATGAAGAAGCAACTAAAGATGGAGATGTAGTTGTCGACGAAGAACTTACGGATTCATAGCTACTTATAAATGATGACGAAATAGTTAGTGAAGAAGAACTACTTGTCGAAGCAAAGGTGCCTGAGGAGGATGTCGTCGGTGATAAAGAAGTACTTGACAAAGAGGATGTAGTTGAAGTTGACAAAGTAGTTGACGCAGAAGACGTAGTTGACGTCGAATAATTACTTGATTGTGAAGCAATGTTTGATGTTGAAGAAGTATTTGATGTCGAATATGCGGAAGAAGACCCTGGTGACGAATTATTCGTCATCGAAGAAGTAGAAGAAGATCCTGTTGACAATGACTCTGGTGAAGCTGATGAAGTTACTAATGAAGAAGGACTCACAGAAGAATAACTGGATGACGAAGAGACGGATGACGACTCAGAACTACTTGTTGAAGAAGTTGCAGAAGATGAGGACGAAGTACTTGTTGTTGTGGAAATACTTGAAGACGAACTTGAAGTACTACTCGTTACCGAAATCGAAGACGAAATTGAAGTAGGGTATAAGGAAGTAGATGTGTACAAACTGCCATCGGAATAAGTACTAACTATGACCACTCCTGAATCAGTATCAATTGCACCATCCGATTCAGTGCTAGTGAAAGTAGTGGTATAATCAGTGAATGGATATCCAACAGAACTTGAACTATTAAAATAGTTTGATGAGAATGATGAAGAGGAACTTCCGGATGATGACACTCTTAAATCGATAGTTGGAATGCTACTAGATTCTGGGCCTGAAGTTGGGAACAATGAAGTAGAAGTAATAGTAGTGTCATTTTCTGCACCAACAAAGACGACTCCTGAATCGGTGGCAACATATCCGTTACTATCGGTGGCGGTGAAAGTCGTAGTGTATGTAGTATCTGGATCAGAAGATGTTGGGAACAAGGAGGTGCTAGTTTCAGTATCCGAAGAATCAACACTTACAACAACAACTCCTGAGTCTGTAGCGACATAGCCATTACTATCAGTGGTAGTGAAAGTGGTGGTGTATGTAGTGGCTGGATCACTTGAGGTAGGGAATAAGGAAGTACTAGTTCCAGTACCAGAAGAATCAACAGTGACAACAACGACACCGGAATCAGTAGCAACATATCCATTACCATCCGTGGTGGTGAAGGTTGTAGTATAAGTAGTATCTGGATCAGAAGATGTTGGGAACAAGGAGGTATTCGTTTCAGTACCAGAAGAATCAACAGTGACAACAACGACACCGGAATCAGTAGCAACATACCCATTAGTATCAGTGGTGGTAAAAGTAGTAGAATAAGTAGTTTCTGGATCAGATGATGTAGGGAATAAAGATGTTGAAGTGTAGATGTCACTTACATCAGAGTAACCAGTGACAATAACAATACCAGAATCTGTAGCCATATATCCATTACCATCTGTAGTAGTGAAGGTAGTTGTATAAAGAGTAAATGGATCATTTGGAGTTGGGAACAATGACGTCGTAGTTCCAGCTTCTTCTCCTGCATCATCAAAAGTAAGGAAGATAATCTCAGAATCTGTTTCGATAAAACCATCACTTAATGTAGTTGTTATAGTGGTAGTCACATTATAATCTCCAGGAATAGGAGGAACACCAGGGTAAGGTTGACAAATTGCAGGCACTGGATTTGGTGGTGGACCACTATAAGTTATTAAACCAGGCGACATGGAAAATAATGAAAGATCGTATCCTGGTCCAATATACATTTCTTGATTTGAAATACTACTGCTACTGCCTTCAATTGTTAAAATACCAGTATCGTTGATATATGAATACTTAACATAAATGCTATAAGTTACAATCAGGTTTCCATTACCGAAACCTGCCAAGGTGGGAGTACCAGAATGACTAAGAATTGTTATAGATGATGCACTATCTGCTAAATAGATTTGTTGACTTGATGAAATAACAGCTTCAGAACCGAAGATAGAACCATTATCTAAAATTATACATCCAGTACCAGAAATGATACCGTATTGAGATAGTTCAGTATTGAGTATATAGATTTGTTCTGAATTAGTAATTGCTGCATTAAAAAGCGCATATCCAAATAACCCTAAAGACGCATCAAATGACATTATACCGGTATTAGTCAATGAACCATCAAAGGTAATACTTGAACTTCCAGACGTTGCACCCGATACCAAATAAAAGTCACCATTATTGGTAAAAGTTGTACTTGATATCTCGTACGTCGGGGCCAGATTTGATAAAAAGGAATTAAAAATAATCAACCCATTATTAGTGAAAGATGAATCTGAACCTAAAGTAACTGTTAAATCAATGGTACTTTCAATACTTGAAATAAAGAATGAAGCATTTTCAGCTACACTTAAAAGACCAGTGATATCTGTATTTTCGTTATTAATTATGGACCAATAAGCATTTGAGTCGATGGTAATATTTCCAAAAGTAGAAAATGATGTATATGTTATAGTTGGGATAGTGATTGTGTAACTCGTCAGGATTCCAACACCTGCAATGATACCGGAAAGTAGAAGGAAAATACTTCCATACAATATATCAAACTTAAACATATTGACTTAGGGATGATAGAACCAGACGGAATTAATCAAAAGAATTTGAATTTTAGGAATTCGAATCATTTTATAAGCTTTGAATCAAAGTTCGTCAATGGTACATCTTAATCAAGTAAAGGGATAAGTTCATGTATGAAAGCAAATATTATAAAAATAATCACAAATTGAAATCAATACAAGAATCCACCTACCAAACTCATAATTGATGCAGATTAAATTAGGGTTTCATCCATATTCGTATATCATACGCCTTAGCAAGGAAATTAATATTCATTGACCGGTACTATCGTGGGCCTACTAGTAAACTGTATAAAAAATAAAAATAAAAATAATTAAAAATACATATGTGGTAAAAAAATATTTAATATTATGTGACACTTAAGCGGATGACATCCCCACTATGTTTACAAAAGTAAAGATAGTAAAATGTAAGAAAGTATTCAAACGAGGCGTTGATATCTATTATTTATAAGTAAAAGAGAAATTCAATCTAGTTCGTATTTAAGACAAAGTTTGAAGTTGTAAACAATGAGACTTAGACAACGACCAAACCTTAAATTTATAGATCTACAGAGGGAATTTTAATTGGTTGCGAATGTTATTACCACTAAAAAATATACTGGAATATGAGATGAATGATCATTCCCTTACTAATTTTATATGATTCAATTCCTATTGTGTTAATTTTTGTATAAATCGACAGCCCATTTATTGTGTATGTTGTTCCTATTTAGATATACTGGAATATGTGATGAATCATTATTCCCTTATTAATTTTATGTGATTTAATTCCTATTGTGTTAACCATTGCACAGATCTACAATCTATTTATTGTATATGTCTTTCGTATTACAATTCCCATCACTTCTTAACAGGGAATGATAATGTCAAAAAGATGTTTCTCTCTTCTCGAAAAATTGAACTTTTACGAAAATAATGTGAAATTTATGCAGAGATTTTTAATAAAAGCCGAATCTGCATCACAAAGCCCTCCTTTTAGAAAATGTTAAAAAAATATTTCTCGTATACTTAAGCTGATATTAAGTTGCCTTTTGGGAATAAGTATATAATTTTTAGGGAATTGTTGTGTTTGTGAAATGATCATTGGGGATGAAAAATTGGTTAAATGACTTACATTATTCTTTTTGAAAGTTCAAATATTGTGGTTTATCTGAAGCCTCTATATCCATAAATATGGTACCGTTGTAAACTAGAAGCCATTAGATCAAATAATTACAATTTTATGCGCGTAAAAATACAAACTGATAAAATTGATCTCGCTTGAAAGCCTTCAAATAATTTTAACTTAAATCAAATACTAATCAAATCTACAAAATTTTGCAGTTTTATTTTAAATGAAATATGCTGATAAAAATGTAATTGAAAGATCTATGAAGTAGAATGAAAGATCCAAACAGAAAATAAAATAATAGATGAACCAAAGAATGAAATATAAATAACCGAAGATAAACTTCATGAAATTGAAAGCATGAATTAATGATTTGTCGAAAGTGAAAAAATATGTAAGTTTTCAAAATTCGACACCAGAATACTAAATGAAAATAAAAGTCATCAAAAGACTTATTAAGGATATCACTAACATAAAACTATTAACCAGCTTATTTGAGGATGTATTTTCATACTTCGGAGAAACACTTGGTGTACCGGATTCAGTAGCAACCGTGTTTGCAGTTATAACTGGCGAACCAGGTGTAGCAGACCCAGCAGTAGTCTCTGGACTATTATTTTGACGATTAATAGCTTCAGTGGTTGATTGAGCAGCAACAGTTTCAGTAATTGATTCACCACCAATTTCGGGACTTCCAGAAAGCTCCGAACCAACAACTACACCTCCTCCAACAATTGTAGTAACTAATGATCCTTCCGAATTTGAAACAATAACAATAGCAGTTTCTGTGCATGGAACACCTACAGTATCTGTAGTAATCACTGTGGTGGTATAAACAGTCGTTCCACCACCTCCTCTAACCGAAGTAATAGTATATAATTCACCTTCAGAACTTGATACAATTACAACTCCAGTTTCTGTGCATGGAACTCCAACGATATCTGTTGTGACAATAGTGGTGGTGTATTCAGTTGGTCCAGCAATTATTGATGTAGTAGTATAAAGACTTCCTCCAGAATTGGTAGACACAATAACTTCAGCGGATTGAGTTGTAGCTTGTCCATTTGGAAGTGTGGTAACAACAGTAGTACCATATTGACTGCATGGTTCAGTCACTGTGACAGTGATGTCTGAAGTAACAACTACGACAGCAGTTCCTGTTACACTTTCACCGGCTGAATTGGTAGTGACAAAAGTACTAGAACTTCCACCAGATACAGCAGCACCACAAGTATGCTCGTCACTGTAAGTAGCACCAATATTGAATCCATCAGGTGATCCAATGACATCTAAGAATACTCTGTATCCAGCTGGGACATTGGCATAATTGACAACAATTTCATTTCCACTACAACTTTCTAAACTGATAGATCCAAAGCTTTGAGCGGATTTTGGAAGATACCAATCATTAAGATCATTGGTGATTTTAGCCTCCCATGTATCACAGTTAAGAGTACCATCATCAACAGTTAACGAAAGTTTACCGAATCCATATGAGGTAGGACAGTTACCACCAAGGAGATAGTAATCATTAGTACTATCCCATTCCAAACTTCTAGCTACAAACACAATATCATCTGGATCGTCTGGAGATGGGGACCCGGCATCAAAGGTTACATCATACAGAAGTATTGTACCATCACCAGAAGTGAAAGATATTGTCTGTATTCCAGCACTTAAACTTTTAGCTGCCTCAAGATCACTAGCACTCGACGAACCTCCAACATTAAACACAAATGGAAGTTCAACAGTTCCAGAGATATCTGAAGTGGCAACTTCCGAAATAGTACACTGTAGTATCGAGTCAAAAGCATCTAATGAACCTGCAACTGAAATACACTCAGCATAATTCATACCATCTGCCTCGAGATAAATAGCATTAATGGTATCACGCTTAGTAACACCGTAGTTGGGGTTATAGATACCAAGAACATTTGGTAACGTTAATGAAAATGTATCCCCAACACTGTAATCATCAGATATAAGCCATGCAAGCGTAGCTGTCCATTTTGGTGCAAACGGAAAAGCAGACGATATAGATCCAACTTGACTAAACGCAATATTGTCAATCGCGGTAAAAGGCAGGCTTGGGGCGGAAGGATAAATAGACAAAGATAATGATAAGGATGATGAAGACGTGATTGAAGTGGATGAAGTATTAAAGGAAGACAAGGATGTTGGTGTGGAAGCAGCAGTTGGCGACGAAGAATTGGGTGAGTTACTAGTTGATGAAGCAGAACTTGACTTCGAAGAACTAACTAAAGTTGAAGATGAAGATGTAACTGATGTTGAAAGATTTGAAATTGAAGAACTTGAAGCTGAAGAAGTACTTGGCACAGAAGAGGTAGACAGAGAATAAGAAAGACTTGAACTTGATACAGCACTTGAAGTTGATAAGCCTTCTGGAGATGCAGATATACTTGGTGTTAAGGAAGAACTCAGCAAAGAAGAACTTAACGATGAAATAGATGTCGTCGAAGACGAGGCTTCCGATGAATAACTATTTGATGTTGAAATATAAACCAGTGAAGACGAAGAACTTAACGATAAAAAAGTAGATGAAGTTGAAGATATACTAGGTGACGAAGAAGTAAATGACGTTAAAGATGAAGTACAAGAAAAAGAACTTGAAATTGTGAAAGAAACAGATGGAGATGAAAAGATACTTGAACTCGAAGAGGTACCCGTTGGCGAAGAACTTTCTAGTGTCGAAGATACAGAGTTGGTTGATGAAGAAATGGAGGAAGCCGTACTTGGAGTTGAAGAATAAACCGACGCCGGTGAACTACTTGATGCTAATACACTCAGTGATGAAGAAATGCTTGATGTTGATGTGCTTGGTGATGAAGAAGTAGCTGACAGCGAAGATACACTTTGAATTGAAGAACCAGAAGATGTAAAAGAAGCAGTAGTTGACGATGAACTAGAAGTAGGGTATAAGGACGTACATGTGTACAACCTACCATCAGAATTAGTACTAACTATGACCACTCCAGAATCAGTATCAATAACACCATTTGATTCAGTGCTAGTGAAAGTGGTGGTGTATTCTGTGAAAGTATCGCTAATAGAACTTGAACTATTGAAATAGTTAACAGATGAGAATGTCGAAGAACTTCCAGATGATGATACACGTAAATCAATAGATGAAGTAGTACTAGATGAAAGACCTGAAATAGAAAATAATGAAGTAGAAGTAACAGTAGTATCAGAACCAGCACTAACAACAACAACACCAGAATCAGTAGCAACAAAACCATCAGATTCGGTGATAGTGAAAGTAGTGGTATAAGTTGTGTCTGGATCACTTGAGGTAGGGAATAAGGAAGTACTAGCTTCAGTTCCAGAAGAATCAACACTGATAACAACAACTCCAGAATCAGTTGCAACATATTCATTACTATCAGTTGTGGTGAATGTAGTAGTGTAGGTAGTGTCTGGATCAGAAGATGTTGGGAATAAGGAAGTACTAGTTAAAGTACCTGAATGATTAATATTTATAACGACAACTCCTGAGTCTGTGGCGATATATCCATTTGAATCAGTGGTGGTGAAAGTAGTAGTGTAGGTAGTGTCTGGATCACTTGAGGTAGGGAATAAGGAAGTACTAGTTAAAGTACCTGAATGATTAACATTTATAACGACAACTCCTGAGTCTGTGGCGATATATCCATTTGAATCAGTGGTGGTGAAAGTAGTAGTGTAGGTAGTGTCTGGATCAGAAGATGTAGGGAATAATGAAGTATTGGTTTCAGTTCCAGAAGAATCAACACTTACGATAACGATACCAGAATCTGTGGCAACATATCCGTTGGAATCGGTAGTGGTGAATGTGGTAGTGTATGTGGTGTCTGGGTCAGAAGATGTAGGAAATAATGATGTAGTTGTTTCAGTTCTTGAAGAATCAACACTTACAATAACAACACCAGAATCAGTAGCAACATATCCGTTACTATCTGTAGTAGTGAATGTAGTAGTGTATGTAGTATCTGGATCAGAAGATGTTGGGAATAAGGAAGTAGATGTTTCTGTTACAGGAGAGTCTACACTCACTACAACAACGCCCGAGTCAGTTGCCACATAACCGTTTGAATCAGTTGTAGTGAAAGTTGTAGTATAAGTGGTAGCTGAGTCTGAAGTTGGAGACATTGTAATATAAGTATTGGTTTGCCTTGCCTTCAATGTAACGAAGATTTCTTGGGAAGTTTCATCACTTAAAGTATTTGAAACATTGGTTGTAGGGGAAGTTGAATTATAATCTACAATAATAGGAGACATGGGAATATAAGGTTTACAAATTGAGGGTACTGAATTTGGTGATGGGCCGTTATATGATATGACGGTATATGATAGATCCGATAATCCATACGGATTACTTGTTGCTTCCCAAAATAATGATGCTTCATAACCTGTTCCAATATAGAAATATATCGTTTTGCCATGGTAAGATGAAATTGATAATATACCAGTAGCACTAGAATAATGAAAGCCAGACACCAACCCATCAATACCAATATGGTTTCCATTACCAAAGCCTGCCACGTTGATGGTACTAGTGATTGAAGTAGAAACTGTTATTGATGATGAATTATCAGCTAAATAGAATTGTTGAGTTGATGAAATTGGATTAGAAGTGTTCGTTAAATAGAAGGAAGTATCATCAGCTAAAGTGATACAACCAGTACCTGAAATGGAACCTGCTTGTTCGTATAAACTATTTAAAATATGAATTTGTCCTGAATTGGTAATTGCAGCTTCAAAATTTATTATAGCAGCTTTACCTGCATTTGAATCAAATACAATTAAACCTGTATTGGACCAACTAGGTGGACTTGGGATTGATATAGTTGGAGATTCTGATGGATAATTGGATACTATATAAAAATTACCATCATTATCAATATACGAACTTGATATTGTATAAACTGGAGCCACAGCAGAGCTGAAAGAATTGAAAAAGGTTAATCTGTTATTAATGACAGTGGAAGCTGAGTTTAAACTAACTGATAAACCAACACTACTTTCGGCACCATATATGAAGAATCCGGTATTTTCAGACATGTTTAATAATTTACAAATATCTCTATTTTCATCATTAACAATCGAACCAACCACAACTTTGTCAGAATGAGCTATCAAACCGTTCGATATGTTTGGGGCGGTGATTTCAAGACCTCCAATGATTTTGAAAAAGAGAAGTAAGATACTCCCACCCAATATGTCGAATTTGAACATATGACGTTAGCAATTACAGAGCCATGTCATACTAATTCGATTATGATGATTTTAGGAATTGGAATCATTATATAATATTTAAGGTTGTCGAAGGTTACATCCCAAACAAGGTAATGTTTATGTGAGAGTGCAAATAATAAAAAATAAAATCTTTTTTAATATACGAAAATAAACAACAATGAAGGACAAAATAGGCTGCATGATTCGGATCCCAATCTTCATGCAGACTCTTATTTAGTGAGATTATGAGATTCAGGCGGTTGAGAGATTTTAAGCGGGTGAAATCTCCACTCTGATTACAACCGTGACAAAGCTAGCTTATGAGGCGACAAGATGAGCTGCTTATATATGAGGGTTAAATCGAGTCTAGATAGTACATCAAACACATGTTGAACTTGAATACATTCATTCAAGAAACAATCAAAATCGTATGCTTTCTCTCACGTAAACGCAGAGTAGGAACCCTTACTGAACATGTACTAGTAACGTCCAACCTCTGAAATTCTCGCAGTTGTACTTGTTGTTAATCGTTTATCTCAATATTGATGATTAATATCAAAATAGATTGATTTTACGAGAATCGAAAAATAATAATTTGAAATTTTATGTAGCAATAATAATAATAAATACCGGCTTGTTAAGTTTATATTTTGGAAATATATTTACTATTTTTACCAAAAAATTAAATAATTATTAATCTATAATAAAAATGTTTACTATTAATAAAATTGTTTTAAATTTATTTTATATTCTTTAGAGGGCAGACAAACAATCGGAATTACTTCGATTTATATTTTTGTTTCCATAGTCATTGAATAAAATAATATCTCTATTTGTTTAGTTCTTTGGCGTGGGGCTGTTTCGGCGAGAAAAATAAAGTTTTATGAGGACCCTAGGAAATAGCGCACTATCAACAAATATCTACTTACTTAATTTCACACATTTTTTATAATTTTAGTGTTAATATATTTAGATAAAAGATACAGAAAATTTAACATAGAAGTGAAGATTTAAATATAATTAAAAAGAATATACATCAGAAAGACCGAAAATAAATAGAAATAATAAGCCGAAGATTAAGAATAAATAAAAAAAGTAAAAACGTCTAAACTATTGCACACAAACCATTCGGGAATTAAAATTGGAGCATAAATAAAATGAAACATAAGACTTCGAAAAGACCAATGATTTTAACATTTAAAGAAAATATAATTTAAGAATAATCTTAAACGAAAACGAAAGCCATAAAAACGCTTATGACGGATATCATTAACATATAGTTGTTAACTTGTTTATTTGAAGATGAGCTTTCGTACGTTGGAGGAACACTTGGAGTAGATGATGTGGTAGAACCAGATTGTGCAGCTATGGTATTAGTAGTCACAACCGGTGCTGCTGGAGTAGTAGCTGTAGTTGGAACAGCAGGGGCAACAGGAGCAGTGGGGGTAGCAGCAGTGGCACCAGTTCCAGTAGGAGTAGATTCAGCAGCTTCACCTCCACCAATGATAGAAGTAACAGTATATAATGAACCTTCAGAACTTGAAATGATAATAGCGGCAGTCTCAGTACATGGAACACCAACAGTATCAGTAGTAACAACAGTAGTGGTGTATACAGTTGGTCCAGCTAATAATGATGTAGTAGTATAAAGACTTCCTTCATCATTAGTAGAAACAATAACTTCAGCGGATTGAGTTGTAGCTTGTCCATTTGGAAGTGTGGTAACAACAGTAGTACCATATTGACTGCATGGTTCAGTCACTGTGACAGTGATGTCTGAAGTAACAACTACGACAGCAGTTCCTGTTACACTTTCACCGGCTGAATTGGTAGTGACAAAAGTACTAGAACTTCCACCAGATACAGCAGCACCACAAGTATGCTCGTCACTGTAAGTAGCACCAATATTGAATCCATCAGGTGATCCAATGACATCTAAGAATACTCTGTATCCAGCTGGGACATTGGCATAATTGACAACAATTTCATTTCCACTACAACTTTCTAAACTGATAGATCCAAAGCTTTGAGCGGATTTTGGAAGATACCAATCATTAAGATCATTGGTGATTTTAGCCTCCCATGTATCACAGTTAAGAGTACCATCATCAACAGTTAACGAAAGTTTACCGAAACCATATGAAGTAGGACAGTTACCACCAAGGAGATAGTAAGCATTAGTGCTATCCCATTCCAAAGTTCTGACTGCAAACACAATATCTTCTGGATCATCTGGAGATGGAGAACCAGCATCGAAGGTAACATCATACAGGAGCACTCTACTGTCACCAGTTGTGAATGAAATAGTTTGTGTACCAGCACTTAAAATATTAGCAGCGTCAATATCACTTGCACTTGATGAACCACCAACATTGAACACAAGTGGAAGTTCAATAGTACCAGTGGTGAAAGAAGTAGCCACCTCTAAGATAGTACATTGTAAAGCAGAATTCACAGCTTCTAATGAACCTGGAGTGGCAATACATTCAGCATAATTCACACCATCGGCTTCAAGATAAATGGCGTTAATGGTATCACGTTTAGTAGTACCATAATTGGTATTGTAGATACCAAGAACATCAGGTAAGCTTAATGAAAACGCAGCACCAACAGTGTGATCGATGGTCATTTGCCATGCAACTGTAGCAGTCCATAATGGGGCTAAAGGAAGAGCAGATGAGATAGAACCCTCTTGACTGAAATCAATAGCATCAATAGCAGTGAAAATGAAACTTGGAGCTGACGAAGAAGTAGATGATGACGAAGATGTGGTCGAGGTTGAAGCAACACTTGGCGATGAAGAAGTAGTTGGAGATGAAGGAGGGAATAAGGAAGTAGTTGTATATAAGCTACCACCAGAGTTAGTTGTAACAATAACCACTCCAGAATCAGTATCAACAGCACCATTCGATTCTGTACTAGTGAAAGTGGTGGTGTATTCAGTGAAAGTATCGCTAATAGAACTTGAACTATTGAAATAGTTAACAGATGAGAATGTTGAAGAACTTCCAGATGATGATACTCGTAAATCAATCGTTGAAGTACTGCTGATTGAAGGACCTGAAGTTGGGAATAACGAAGTAGAAGTAATGGTAGTGTCACTTTCAGCACTGGCAACATAACCAGTTGAATATGTAGTAGTGAAGGTAGTAGTGTATGTGGTGTCAGGATCACTTTCGGTTGGGAATAATGAGGTGCTTGTAGTTAAAGAACCATCACTATTGGTAGTCACAACAACAATACCAGAATCAGTGGCGACAAAACCATCAGACTCAGTAGTAGTAAAAGTAGTAGTGTATTCGGTAAAAGGATCACTTTCAGTTGGAAATAATGAGGTACTGGTAACAGTGGTATCAGAACCAGCACTAACAACAACAACACCAGAATCAGTAGCAACAAAACCATCAGATTCGGTGGTAGTGAAAGTGGTAGTGTATGTAGTATCAGGATCACTTTCAGTTGGGAATAATGAAGTCGAAGTAACAGTGGTATCAGAACCAGCACTAACAACAACAACACCAGAATCAGTAGCAACAAAACCATCAGATTCGGTGGTAGTGAAAGTGGTGGTATAAGTTGTGTCAGGATCACTTTCAGTTGGGAATAACGAGGTACTGGTAACAGTAGTATCGGAACCAGCACTAACAACAACAACACCAGAATCAGTAGCAACAAAAAACCATCAGATTCGGTGGTAGTGAAAGTGGTAGTGTATGTAGTATCAGGATCACTTTCAGTTGGGAATAATGAAGTCGAAGTAACAGTGGTATCAGAACCAGCACTAACAACAACAACACCAGAATCAGTAGCAACAAAACCATCAGATTCGGTGGTAGTGAAAGTGGTAGTGTATGTAGTATCAGGATCACTTTCAGTTGGGAATAATGAAGTCGAAGTAACAGTGGTATCAGAACCAGCACTAACAACAACAACACCGGAATCAGTAGCAACAAAACCATCAGATTCGGTGGTAGTGAAAGTGGTGGTATAAGTTGTGTCAGGATCACTTTCAGTTGGGAATAACGAGGTACTGGTAACAGTGGTATCGGAACCAGCACTAACAACAACAACACCAGAATCAGTAGCAACAAAACCATCAGATTCGGTGGTAGTGAAAGTGGTGGTATAAGTTGTGTCAGGATCACTTTCAGTTGGGAATAACGAGGTACTAGTAACAGTGGTATCGGAACCAGCACTAACAACAACAACACCAGAATCAGTAGCAACAAAACCATCAGATTCGGTGGTAGTGAAAGTGGTAGTGTATGTAGTATCAGGATCACTTTCAGTTGGGAATAATGAAGTCGAAGTAACAGTGGTATCAGAACCAGCACTAACAACAACAACACCAGAATCAGTAGCAACAAAACCATCAGATTCGGTGGTAGTGAAAGTGGTGGTATAAGTTGTGTCTGGATCACTTGAGGTAGGGAATAAGGATGTACTAGTTTCAGTACCAGAAGAATCAACACTGACAACAACAACTCCGGAATCAGTTGCAACATAACCATTGGAATCTGTAGTAGTGAAAGTAGTAGTGTATGTAGTGTCTGGATCGGAAAATGTTGGGAACAAGGAAGTAGTGGTTTCAGTACCTGAAGAATCAACACTAATAACAACGACACCAGAGTCAGTTGCAACATAACCATTGGAGTCTGTAGTAGTGAAAGTAGTAGTGTATGTAGTGTCTGGATCAGAAGATGTTGGGAACAAGGAAGTACTAGTTTCAGTACCAGAAGAATCAACACTGACAACAACAACACCGGAATCAGTAGCAACAAAACCATCAGATTCGGTGGTAGTGAAAGTGGTGGTATAAGTTGTGTCTGGATCACTTGAGGTAGGGAATAAGGATGTACTAGTTTCAGTACCAGAAGAATCAACACTGACAACAACAACTCCGGAATCAGTTGCAACATATCCATTACTATCAGTTGTAGTAAAAGTAGTAGTGTAGGTAGTGTCTGGATCACTTGAGGTAGGGAATAAGGAAGTACTAGTTTCAGTACTAGAAGAATCAACACTGACAACAACAACTCCGGAATCAGTTGCAACATATCCATTACTATCAGTTGTAGTAAAAGTAGTAGTGTAGGTAGTGTCTGGATCACTTGAGGTAGGGAATAAGGAGGTAGTTGTTTCAGTGCCCGAAGAATCGACGCTAACAACAACAACACCAGAATCAGTAGCCACATAACCATTACTATCAGTTGTGGTGAAGGTCGTGGTATAAGTAGTGTCTGGATCAGAAGATGTTGGGAACAAGGAGGTTGTGGTTTCAGTACCCGATGAATCAACACTAATTACAACGACACCAGAATCAGTTGCAACATATCCATTGGAGTCTGTAGTGGTGAAAGTAGTAGTGTAAGTAGTGTCTGGATCACTCGAGGTAGGGAATAAGGAAGTACTAGTCTCGGTGCCTGATGAATCAACACTCACAACAACAACACCAGAATCAGTAGCCACGTAACCATTACTGTCTGTGGTGGTAAAGGTTGTAGTGTAAGTAGTGTCTGGATCACTTGAGGTTGGGAATAAAGATGTGGAAGTATAAATATCACTTATATCAGAATAACCTGTAACAACAACAATACCGGAGTCAGTGGCAACATATCCATTACTATCGGTAGTAGTGAAAGTGGTGGTATAAAGAGTGAATGGATCACTTGATGTAGGAAATAGAGATGTTGATGTATAAATATCACTTACATCTGAATAACCAGTGACAACTACAACACCAGAATCGGTAGCGACAAATCCATCAGATTCAGTGGTAGTGAAAGTGGTAGTATAAAGAGTGAATGGATCACTTGGAGATGGGAACCATGAGGTATTGCTTTCTACTTCGCCTCCTGAATCGATGGTTATAACGACAACTCCGGAATCAGTTTCAATAAAACCATCACTTAAAGTAGTTGTAATGGTAGTTGTGTAAGTAGTAGAATTGTAATCTCCAGGAATAGGTGGCACAGGTGTACAAGGTTGACAAATTGATGGTACTGGATTAGGCACTGGGCCAGAATATGTTACGGCATTATTAATTAAAGAAGATAATCCGCGTGGACTGTTTGAAACCATGGATAATAATGAAGAATTATAACCTGATCCAATATAGAAATTTTGAACTTCAGCAGCGGCAGTTAAAGTCAAAATACCAGTAGCATTGGTATAAGTAAAACTAGTAAGAGATACATCAAGTGCAATGAAATTACCATCACCATATCCAGCCACATTGAACGTTCTAGTGTTACTAGCAGCAGCAACTCTTACAGATGAGGAATTATCTGCTAAATAAAATTGTTGAGTTGATGAAATTGCTTCTGCAGAGGTAGATAAATATATGGCGGAATCATCATCTAAGGTCATACAACCAGTACCAGCAATGGAATTAGATTGTTGATATAAACCATTGATAATACAAATTTGACCTGAATTAGTGATTGGAGAACCAAATCCCACATTAGTTGTTGAACTATCGGAAGCATTAAACACAAGTAAACCGGTATTGGACCAAGAGGATGTACCTGTGATAGACATACTTGGAATTCCTGCTTGCGAATTTGCTACCAAATAAAAATCACCGGTATTATTAAAACTTGAACCTGATATAGTATAAATAGGAGCTTGTGCCGAGTCAAAAGAATTGAAAATAACTAACCCATTATTAATGACAGATGCAGCTGAAGCTAAAGTAACCGTTAAACCAACATTACTAGCAGTACTTGAAATAAAGAAACCGGCATTTTCGGCCACACTTAAAAGACCAGAAATGTCTGTATCTTCATTGTTAAGAATGGACCAGTAAGCATTTGAGAGAATAGTGATATCTTGAAGGGTAGAAATTGAACCGTCTGTTATAGTAGGTGAACTGATTACAATACCTTCAATGAAATTGAAAAGGAGAAGGAAGACGATCCCACGTAATACATCAAACTTAAACATAGGGAGAGCGTTTATAGGTCGAAATAAAACTAATTAAAATAAGCGAATTTTAGGAATTGCAATCATTATATAACATTTGAATCGGTTTAGAGCTCTTCCAAGGGTACATCCAAACGAAGTAAAGAGTTAATATTCAACGTTAATGGAAGAATGCAACTATTCTAAAAATAATCAGAAATTTAATTCAATACTATACCTAACGATAACCAAATGCAAAATGGCTGCTGCATAAATAAGATGTTGATGCATAATCCATATTAAAGTTTTGCCCACGAATCTCACTATGCCTTAGTAAGGAAATTAATATGCTTGAATGGTGCCATGATTGACCTATGGCAAAACAATACTTCCACCAAAATAAACTTCAATAGTGTATACTAAAAAGAAACTAAAAAAGAACTCTAAATAGGCAATGCTAAAGAAAGATTAGGGTACAGACTGCATAATTTCGGAATCAATACAGATGCAGCCCTGCTATGGTAAATAATATGTAGTGGCATGTAAGATTGAGGCGGATGAGATCCCCTCAATGGTCACAAAATTAAACCAAACTAGATTGTGAGGAGGGGATACAACTGAGGCGACGAGATCTTCAATTTGTATTAGAAAGCGAATTTCAGTTTAGCTAGGAGAAATTTGTCTCATTTTTTGGACTTCTATAGTTAACATTCAAGAGACGATCCAAAACATATGCAGATTTACGTTTGTTACGATTTTGGAGATTTACGAAAGGAATTTTTGATTTTCTTCCTACATTCTTTATGTTCGGATACTAGTTACCGCTAGGCAAAAAGAAAAGAAAAAGAAAAAGAAAGATTATGCAGGAGGATTACAGTATTACAGCAGATTGAAATGAAGGGAGCATCGTGCCCCCAATGATTATGCACTAATGTCATCGAAACCCCTAGCGTGTTAACCATCGCATAAACTAAAGTCATCAACTATTCATGGCGTTTGATGTTATTATGTCAGTATGAAGGATTTTGAAATGGTCTCAATTTATCATAACCCTTGTCAACAATCGTCACTAGAGTCAAAATAGCTTTTTTAGTGTGGTCTATTCCCCAATTAAATTTCTAAAATCGATATTACGAGAAATGGAAAATAATAAAGTGAAATTTATGCAGTAATATTTGTACATTTTGAATGGTGAGCCTGCAGCACAAAACCCTGTTTTTGGCAAAAAGAAATAATTCTCACTAAAAGTGATAGCTCCGTAAACAGGCATTTTTAAAAATCCAAAGTTTGACATTTTGGTTAGCACGGATATATTCACCAATGATCTGGTTGCGTTGTAAACTGAAATAAATATAGGCTTATCTTGAAATTTATCCGTGTCATCTATTAAAACTTTTAACTTCTATTCTATTCGTAAACTATTGCTAGTGAAGTATGACTTGTTTTGAGGTCCAAAAATATATAATAGGGCAAATAAAAAGAAAAGAATGAGAGAGAAAACAGAAATTTTTATCGCAATTTTCGCCTATCAAAAATCACAGGGCAAATAACTATAAACGATAATCCCTGGTTAAAATTATGCGGCTCGTCTAAATAGGCAATTTCATATTCTGTAAGAACATTTTAAAAAAAGAAACTTAGATAATATTTATCAATCATGTTTTGACTAATAATTTCCAAATATAACTAAAAGCGTTTATCAACAAGGCTTTCATGCGTATCAATTCAGAAATGTAATGGGCTAACTTAGTAAAAGGTTTTTAAACTTTTTTGGGACCAACCGTATGTGTTCAAGAATAGACTTGACTCATAAAACAATGGAATGTAATTCAACAAAGTAGTATAATTCCAGTATAGAATAAGGTTTTACAAGAATTTATTTTATAAATACGACTGCTAATAAACAATAGAACGCAATTATTTTTATAAATAGAAACATTAGCTTCTCCTCTATTGATACCAAGAAAATTGCGAGATAAATAGATAGTCACCTCAATTGTATATATCCAATGAACATTACATGGGAGTAGCAATAAATCATAATAACTTTTATCAGAAAAAGGAATTTCGTATAGTTGAATATATCTGTAATAAAGGAGGGAGCTACCCTTGCATGTACGTAATGTTAATCTCTTTCGATAACTAATTTCAATTGATTGATTTCTTTTGTTGGGAACCCTTCACTTCAATATTCAATCTTAGATTTATTTCCTACTTCAGTAAATCCTGATTTGAATGTCAACTTATATGCATAAAAATTATTTGGTTCTAGAAGAAATAATGAATAATTAATAAAAGAAATTACCCCGTCTTCGAAATATCAAGGTTGTACGAAAAATAATATTTGCAGCCTGTGAAAACATAAAGCAAATTCGTAAAGATCAGCATAATACATTTACATTTCGATCGGCAACATAAAAACCAAAATAAACTGAAAATCGTATGATAATCAGAATTTGTAATAATAATTTAACCAATTAAATACAATTTATACTCATAACTAATCTAACGTAAGAAATCATCATTGTAATAGATTTCCATGTCATATTCAGGTTGAAACTCTGTGTATAAAGTTTCTGGATCGGCAGCCAGAAATTCAGTATAAGCAGCTTCCTCATCCCCACAAATAATCAATTTTTCTCCAGGTCTTAAAGCACTTTCAGCTAAAATTTGAGTTTGACAACTTCTTTCAAATAAAGTAAATAAATAAGCTGCTTCATCCACGGTTTCTCCTACTGTTAATAAACCATGATTTTGTAATATAACACCTTTACCATTTCCTAAAGCTTTAGCAATATGTTTACCTTCTTCTAACTCTAATGCCACACCTCCAAAATCACTATACACTGAATGGGACTTATAAAAAGTACAAACATCTTGATTAATCATATCTAATTCACGACCCAATGAACTCCAAGCTTTACCATGGACAGAATGAGTATGACAAGCAGCGTTAACATTAGGTCTAGCTTGATGAATAGCACTATGAATGGCAAATCCGGCAGCATTTATGGCAATTTGGGAGCCATCAGGTAAAATTTCTCCTTGTTCATTTACATGAACAAAATCTGATTTCTTCATTAATCCAAAATGTTTACCTAATGGATTAATCCAAAAAGTTTGTGGATCAACTGGATCTCTTACACTTATATGTCCAGCAGTACCTTCAGTATATCCTTTTCTGGCAAATACTCTGAATGCAGCAGCCATGTGTTGTAAAATCCATTCCCTTTCAGCATATTTGTCAGTGAATTTAGGTAATGGATATGGGTGTTGACCTCCTTTAGCGATATTATGACTACCTCTTTCTCCAACTATATATCCTTTTGAGGTTGCAGTTTCAACTTTAAGAGTGGTATCTTCTGTTATGTGAGTTCTTGTTTCTGATGGGGCCATGTTGACGTATCTCCTATTCCTTCACTTGATGTCTTGGTGGATTATGCTGTAAACTGTGTGTGGTTTAAATGAGATGATTATTAAATGTATTTATACAAACCTTGATTGGTGTTAGTTACTCTTTACAGTCACTTTTCATAAATTTTTTTTGTGCTCTGCTTTTGCGGAGACATATTTTGTTATCGCATAAAATTCTGAATTGGGCTAATTAGCCGACACATTAACCACAAAGAACAAAACTTTTATTAAGCGGTAAACTTGAAGTATATTCTGCAAATACATTATATAATTACAAAGTAATATTTGTCGGATGATTTCTAGAAGGGTTAGAATAATCTCAATGTATTATAAGTTTTGAGTCTTGATTAAATCATCATTTTGTAAGAGTTCGATGATCGCTTTTTACCAATTCGAGTGAACTTAAAAGAAAAATGTATAGGCTATTTTAAATGCTTAATTTGGTCAAATACTGGATATTGAATGATCTCACTCACACTTTGGGCTTTAGCCAGTTCATTTAAGGCTTTTGCATCTTTTCAAATAACAGCCATAAGAAATATACATTTGAAACAAAAAAAGACTTTTATTAAACATGAGAGTTATTAGTGATTGCTGTGGATGCCATTGTTCAAACAGATCCAACATTTGTTGCACCTCAATTTTAATGATCTTGATTGATGAATTCCGTCTTTTCACAATAAAAATTTGAAAATTCCGCTTTTTAAAAACGACAGTTTTCACAATTGTAAATCTTCAATTGATGCAAATTCTTGCTCACTCAATACACGATCATTATCTCTGATTCCATTGACATCTTCGTAAATTTCTGGATTTCTCCATTTAAAAATTTGATTATATTGATTATTAACGTCACCATGCAAAAGATTTACCACAAACTTTCCTAAGTTTGGTAAGAATTTGAATCCATGACCAGATCCACCAGTCATAATAATCAAATTTGATTTATTGGGAACCCAATCTATGATAAAATCATTATTTATAACATCGGTATACCATAAAACTTCCGTTTTAGATATTTTTACACCATGTTCAATTAAATCTGGGAAAAATTCTTGTATAAATTGTTTTACCTTGGTAATTATAACTTTAGTCAACCTTGACTCATCGTGTAATGGAATAGAAGGTGCCTGTTGATCATTTACTGGTGTCGGATTTCTAAACTTTGGTTGTAATACAATGATTTTCATTATTCCTTCTGGTTTAGTAATGGGGAAAATTCCAATTCCACTTCTATATTTTGGATTTACTTTCCATAATAAAATCGGGAAGTTTTCTGGACTATACTTTGCTTGTAACGAAATTACTTGCGGAACTTTCAAATGAATAACATTTCCAGATTGACCCTCACTCAATCTGGTTAATTGAGGTAAAAGTTTAGCTGACCACGGTCCTGCTGCTAAAATAACCAAGTCCGAATAATGATGTTTCCCGTCAAACGTACTAATCCCTTTCACTTCCCCGTTATCATCTTCGAGAATTTGTTTAACTTGACCAGCTTCACTTCCAGTGATGAACTTTACTCCACGCAGTCTTAAAACATATTGAACGTAAGTGCAAGCTCTTGAAGCATAAATAATTCCACTGGTTGAATCTAAAACTCCCTTATATTTTAACGATGGAAACAAATCTAATTTATGACCCCACCCTTGTTGATTTGCCCGTTTGATATCTTGAAGATCATCTAGCACGAATTGAGTGTCTCGTAAACCCGATTTTGAAAACGTTTCAAGATTATTCAATTCGTAATCTGTAATTTCCGAGTCTAATCTAATTAATCCACAATCATCAATGATCTTCAATCTGGTTAATTTCTCGTTTAATTCAGAATTTTTTAAATTTTGTAAATCTTGATCCCATTTTTCAAATATTTTTCGGGATTCAATGGCTAACTTATGATAGTGATCCTTGGATTCATAAAATTCTCGGAATACCTTATTCAAATCTGAAGATGCTGTATTCCCACCTAAATAGCTTAGTGAATATAAATCTGTCTTATCAAATATAGTTATGTTTCTATAACCTTCATTGGATAAGTTATAAGCCGTTGATAAACCAAATACACCTGACCCGATAATAATAATAGACGAATCTTTATTATATTTTGACATGGCTAGACTAGGAAGGAAGGTCAAGTTGGACATATAACAAAAGAAGAGATTTACTAATTTCAAGTTATTCTGTCCTTTTTACACTTTCTCATTTAATGGCTTGCTTTGTTTGATAAGAAAAGAAAAAGCCTCACTACATATAATTTCAATAAATAATTGAAAAATTGGTATATTCAATTGAATTACTTAGTGGAAGCGGAATAATTAATGCAATTATTAATCAATTTATGGCCTGAAATAGGGATAATCAATTCAAACAAAGCCGTCAAATAATTTAATTGTTGCAGCCTCACTTGAAATTAATTACTTTTTAATTGCACATACATGTCTATCCTTGGTTCTATACTATTTATTATTGCTATAGATCGGCATTTTCCATAACTTTTCAAACAGAAATGCTAATTAAATTGAAGGTTTGTAGATCATAAATTCCACTTAAATTGACATAAACATAAATTAGATTCCAGAGCCACAGTGAAAAATACTCCAATCGGGGAGACCAAAACAGGCAAGAAAAAATATCAGCTTTACAAATTTTAAAGTTTGACTATGACAGAAACCTTATTGTTAAATTAAATCAAATCAAAAGTAACAATTAATCAAAGATTACGAATCCCTAATCCACAGAATCACATTAGGTCGCATCCACCACATTTTCATGATGAATGATATATAAAAAGATCTAGAAATAACAACAATGTTCAAGAAGAAGAAGTTGAAAAATGATGAAGCAGCATATCAACTCTTACCAATGTCACCCAAAACAGGAGAAGTTACAGAAGTTCCAGAGAGATCTTCACGAGAATCTTCATCATCGTCGGTTAAGGTACCCTTAGTCGGTGTTGTTGATGAAAAGAAAATCCCTGGCTTAGTTACTCAGCAGTCTATTGATAATCCACTGATAAGGGATAATGATAAAATTAAAGAGATTAAAGAAAAAGATGCTGATATTACTTTAAAGTTAATTGACCAATATGGAGACTCAGTTACTCCATTGACCCCACAACAAGAAAATGCCTTGGTTAAAAAAGTTTATTGGACTGTTGTTGTCATGGGTTTCTTGGTAAACTTTACCTTATTCTTAGATAAAAATGCTATGGGGTATGCCACATTATTGGGCCTTTTCCAAGATGCAAATTTAACTCAAGAAAGTTATAACAATTTACAAACTTTATTTTATGTTGGTTATTTAATCTCTCAAGTTCCAAGCCATATCTTATTTCAAAAGATTAAAATGTCGTATTATATTACAGGTGTTACGTTTATTTGGTCTTTCTTGGCCTTAATTCAATTGACAGTTAAGGACTTCCTGGGTTTAGCCGCACTTAGATTCTTGCTTGGAGTCACTGAAGCAGGTGTCACAGCTGCTATACAACATACTATTGCCATGTTTTTAAAACCTGATGAGCATGCGATTATTAATCAATATTGGTGGATCAGTTGTTTAGCAGCTGGTATTCCGGGAGGGTTGATTGCTTATGGTGTACAATTCGTTCACGGTGTTGCTCCATGGAAAATCTATTGGGCTGTAATTGGTATCTTCACATTCATTCTTTCTATTGTCAGCTTCTTTTTTTATCCTGATAATCCTGCTACATACAGGATTTTCACTATTGAAGAAAGAGTTCATATTATTCAAAGAGTTAAAGAAGCCACTAAATCATCTATTGAACAAAAAGTGGTTAAGAAATATCAAGTTATTGAGGCGCTCAGAGATCCAATTCTGTGGTTGTTTGCTTTACATGTTTTCTTTTTAATGTTTTCTAATAATATTACTTTTCAAGCGGCTATTATTTATCAAGATTTGGGACTAAGTAATATTAATTCTACTGTGGTTTCTGTGGTTAGTGCTCTTTGGAGTGTGGTCTTAGCTGCTTCTGGAGGAATATTGTTGTATTACTTCAGATCTCAATCTGCAAGGGTTGGTGAATTATATTGTTTGATTAGTTTATTAGGTGGGATATTAGCAGTTGCATTACCTTGGAAAGATAAGATTGGAATTTTAGCTGGTATTTTCTTGACTAATGGTACTGGTATAACATATACAGCTGCTTTGACTTGGTCACAATCATCGGCGGCCGGTTATACTAAGAAATTGATGAGAACTGTGTTATGGTTTATCTCCTATAGTGTGATTAATTTATTTGCTCCTCAGTTCTGGAGAAGTAAAGATAAACCAAGATATTATACAGCTTGGATTGTAACCATTATTGGTGGTTGGGTATTAGCTCCAATTGTTTTAGAAATCATTAGACATATATTGGTTAAAAGAAACAAGGAGAGAAGATTGTGGATCCAAAAAGTTGAATCTGGATTAATTGAAGATACAATTGGATATGTTGATGAAATTGATGATGAAGGAAATTTCATAAAGAAAAAAGTTGATATTTCCTATTTAGATTTGACTGATATTGAAAATAAGCATTTCATTTATCCACTTTAGAGTTAACATTTTTCTGTGTCTTGAATATAAAAGAAACCGTTAGGCGATTTGTGTTGACATTTGTACTACATTGCTTTTGCATCCTCTTTACCCCATACTTTCTCGGTATAGTGTTTTTTAAAGTTTTTGTTGCAGCCTTATCTTCTATGTTACATTTTTTTTTGGAGCGCAACATTTTCCCGAATCAGAATAAAACCTAATTTGATTTTGATTGGTATATAAATGATTGGTTATAACCATAATTCTGTAAAAAGTATGACCCTGTTCCTTAAATAACTGACTTTTTTGAAGTGAAGTAGATACCAAAATGCCTAGTCAAATAGCTCATAAATATCATGATGAAATTGATGAACAAGGATTCACTATAATTAGAGGATTTCTTACCCCAGACGAAGTTGAAAAATATTCAAAAGCTGCAGATGCTGTTGTTGAACTTGCTAGGAAAGGAGATTGGCCTGATGTAAGAACAAGAGGTAAACAATTCCCACCATGGCCTAAAAATTTTAGTCCTGACATTTGGGGAGTTAGTGGATTGTTACACCCAAACTTAAAGGAATTAGCATTACCATTTCATGAATGTTATGCAAGTGAAAAGATTTTAAATGTAGCTGAAGATATTTTACAAGCTGAGAGACTGGAGTTATCCATGGAATTGTTCAATATGTTGATCAATCCGTTGACTGATTTTGGATTAGATTGGCATAGAGATACCATCAAGCCAGAAGTTGACGCTGAAGAGGAAGCTAAAGCATTATTAGAAAACCCTTATGCAGGTACACAATTCAATTTGGCGTTAACTGAGGATGATTGTCTTATTGTGATTCCTAGATCTCATAATAGAATTAGAACTGAAGAGGAAAAAGCAAAATCCATTGCTGAAGATAGACAACAACATATAACAGGCGAAATCAGAGTCCCATTACATCCTGGAGATATTGTATTTTATAATAATAATATTTTACATCGTGGACAGTATTCATCGGCCAATGTTAGAATAACTCTACACGGATCATATGGGCATGTTAAACACGGAAAATCTAGAGCTAAGGGTATTTTACAACATGGAGTGGCAGAATGGTTACCGAGATTTAAACCAAATAATCAAAATTTAGTTGAATTAAAGGAGAAATTAGTTCTATTAGCTAAAGAATTCGAAGGAATAAATCTCGGTTATGCATTAGACGGTTGAAATTATCTGTCTATTTATATTTATATATATGCTAATTATGTATTACTTATGTGAGCCCTTTATTTTTACATTTATAAGGCAATGACTAAAATTAATAAAACACACAATGCAACTGTTAGTATTCCAATACACCAATTACTTGCTGTTTCACGATTTTTCTCCAATACATGATTGATTCTTTTTAATCCCCTTTGAACTTTACTCGATACATTATCAATTTCATGATCTAATTCATCCAACATTATGCCTTGTTCTTCTAATTCGTTACCCATCATCATTGCTTGTTGATTTAAATTCCTCATAGTATCGTGAATACTATCCAATTGTAAATCTTGTTCATCTATCAACTGTTGTTGTTGAAATTGATTTAATCCATTATCCAAGTTTGAAATTGAATCATTAAATGGATTTTCAGGATTACTACTATCACCATCTTGACTTATTCTATTTGACATTGTCGTTACATCTCTTGGTTTTCGATTCATTAACGGCGTTGATGACCTTGAATCAAATGAATTGTTCTGTATATGATTCCATTGTATTTGAATGTCTTTAATTTTACCATCTAATTCCTTTAAGATTAATTTTCTATTGTCAATGTCTTGATTTGATAAATGGAATTTATCTGGCTGTTGTTCACCAATTTTATGAGCTTGCTTCAAATCTTCGAAAATTTCTAATAACTCTTGATAATTATTATTAAAATCAAGAATTGTATCTGGAGTTATAATTTTGGTGGATAGTATGTTTTCTAAAGTACCCACTGTACTCCATGCATCTTCCTTAACTTCATTAAATGGATCCATTTTTTTACACTTTCTTTATGTTTCGTTCTATTCCTGGCGATTTCCAATAAATGACAATCTTTTATTATGATTTTATAGCTCTAAAGTATGCAAATTTGTCTTGTTTCGTGAGTTAAAGTATGGTCACTCTTATTACAACTTTGCCATTCTAAACAAAACAAGTTTTTATGAGGAAGGCTGAACTGATGGTATATGCAGGACATTCTAATTTTTGGGTGTATATACCAAATTTTTGAAATATACAACACAAGTTATCATATAGTTATTTAAGTCATAAACAATTAATAAACATAGGATATGGAACTGCAAGAACAAGGACAAGAACTGCAACCTATCAGCATAGCATCAGAAGACACTGCGGCAGCTTCAATTGCCACATCAGAACAAGATACACTTACAGTTGTCTCTGAATCAACAGGTCTGGAAATTGATAACCACAACAGATTTAACAACAATATAACGTCAAATGGGAAGCATGGTTCATCTACACCTACTCCATCGTCAATTAAGAAGTTAAAGACTGAATCACCACGTGAATCCTCCATCGATCCAGAACATGCGAATAGTTTTGCTTCTGTGCCTGATGGTCCACCAATTCATGAAATCGTAGGTGGATCTAGTGTTAGACAATATTTAAACAAGCATTTAACAGCTCATTTATTAGAAGGATTACGACAAATAGGAGCAGATAAACCAGAAGATCCTTTGCGTGTGTTAGGAGAGTATTTAATTGCTAAATCTGATGAATTGAAAGATCAAGATCAATCCTCATAAGCAGTAGTTATTGAAAGAGAAGCAAGTGAGCCAAGTGAGGAGCCTGTATTGTTAGATAATACGCTAACCTCTCTAGACTTAACAGTGAATCATTGAGGGAGGAGTCCTGATGAACTTCATGTTGTAATATTAGAAAAGATATTATGTTGCCATTACTGTCATTAATTCTAATGACAGATGTAATTTAAGTTATCATATGTAATCTTGTATAAATAGTTTGATTGGCAATGTATCACACCCAGTAATAATAATAATAATATATATTTACGTATAAAGATTAATTGTAGATAGTAGATATTTGTTAACTGACGATAAAATCTGGAGAGCAAAAAAGCTTCTTCCAGATCCGCAAATAAAAAAAGATGGCAATCAAAAAATATATAACGCCATCATACAAACAATAACAACAACAGTGACAATCATAACTAATAATCACAACATAAGATCCGATCAAGCTCAAACGAGATCTTGTAATCAGCAAATATAACTATAATCTGTTTATAATATGACATCTTCCAATAGACTTGGTGGTGGTGCTGGTGCTGGGAATAACGATGTCTCTCATCCTTTACGACCCTATTATGATCTGGATACATTTAATGCAGGGTATTCCGTTACATTCAAACAAGGAGTTGGGTTAATCGATAGTGATACTAATAAAGCATTGACCCCATCATTATCAAGTTCTATCATTGAACAATCTGTAAATGAAAACACTGGAATATTGAAGAAGGTTGGTGGTTCAGGAGGAGGTTATAATCCAGGGGTTGGTATTCATGCTAATCGTCGATTTGGAAATCGATCATCCATACTTAATGGTGGTAATAATGGAGATAAGAATTATATTTATGATTTAGAATTTCAAGAATACTTTGATTTAAATAATTTATCAGAATTATTTAAGAACTTGTTATGGAATTTTTTAAAAAATTATTGTAAAGTTTTACTAAGTCAACCATTAGAGATTGTAAGATTGGTATTACAAATTGGACAATTTGATTTTCCTGATTCAACTAAAAAGATAAAGAAATCAGATCCAATAACTGAAAAGAGATTATTAACTGAATCTGATACTTTAACTTTAACTGAAAATGAAGATTTATCTGATTATGAAATAAATTATTTCCAATCTCCAAGTGATAATTTATATAACTCAACAACATCACCTAAGAAGTTTAATTCATCTCCAAAGAAAAAAAGAGCTAATAATAGTACGAAACGTAAGAGAAGCAATAAGATTCAACCACTTTCAATGCATTCAATTGATATAATGTCTGCTATAGTTGGTAAGGATGGTCCATTTGCCTTATTCAAAGGGATAAATGCATCTTTTATTCATCAAACTTTATCTCATACTATTGAAGCATGGATTACTGGATTTATATCCCCATTTTTAGGTATACCCGATCCATTCTTTTTAGATTTAACTCATTCAAATGATCCATTAAGAAGTTTATGGTTAAGTGTATCGGCTTGTGTATTAACTGGTTTAATTTTAATGCCATTAGATATCATTAAGATTCGTTTAATGATTACTCAATTTAATAAACCATTATTAGAAGATAATAATACCAAAGAGAAGTTATTATTAGAAAAAGATAATAATAATAATACTGGATTTACATCATCTGAATCACTGGTTCATAATTTAGCTAATTCAACGCTTAATGTGAATGCTAATTTAAATAATCAATATGTTAGTACCCGATCAGTTCGTGAATCTATTCGAAATTTCCCAGTTCAATATTTAGTTAATCCTCCATCAAGTATTGTTTTATTAACTATATTATATCAATTTTCCACCAGTATATTTAGAAAGACAGCTCCATATATTTTATTAATTAGATTTAATATTGATTCATATTCATCACCAAATGTTTATACCATTATAAATTTAATTCTGTTAATAATGGAATTCTTTATAAAATTACCCGTGGAGAACTTATTGAGAAAGGAACAAATTAGATTTTTATTAAAACCAAAATCATTACTGGAAGATCCATATCGTGTTTTAACTATTGATAATCCTGATGAGAATTTAATTATTGAATTTAATTCTACTTGGGCTGATGTGATTGATGAAGAATATGAAGAAGGTGATAATGAAGAACAAAAAGAAAAGGAAAGATTAAGTTATTGGGGTACACTTAAGAGTCTTGGATTATTTAATGGTTGGAGAGTTGGTGTATTAAATGTGATTGGATTCTGGGGTTATAATATCTTTAAAAATAATGGAACTGAATTAAGAGAAGAACGATTTTAGTAGAGATCAAATATAAGATCATTTTCACTCAAATGTATATATAAAAATAGAAAATGACGATATTAAATTTAGAAAGGGGTTATTCTTTAAGTAAATATTTAATAATATAATACGATTATCAATGAAGATTTATCTCCATGTAAGTTAAACTTGTAAGGGGACTTTTAAGGGAATTTAGGTCTGTTAAACTCAATTGCAAAAAGGAGAATTGCAACAACACTTTAATAGTCATGCTAAAATCCGTAGTACAATCAAAATAAAAGCCGTATCTTCTATTATTTTGTAGTCTTATGACCCTTTGATAAAATCCATAGATAAGATCGTATGTGAATGGTGCTTAATTCCAAGAAAGACCAAAGGGAGTTTAGCATATTGATCGATATATTTCTGTTTTGGGTTTATATACAGGAGAGAGAGTTATGGTTATAGGCTAAAAAAAAGAAACAAAATTACCCCTCTCCATCCATCCGAATAAAAATAAAGAAAAAAAGAAAACACTTGTACGGAAAAATTAGGTGTCTCTTCTTCCTTAAATCCATTGTATGTAAACCAACAAAAGGAAGAAAGGAGGGGAGAGCCTTTTTGAGCCATTAATTATTATGGTGATGATTCACAATGGGTCAAATGGATGTATATGATTGTCTGTTTAATGGATTGACGATTAAGTCATTTCAATTGAACTAGAACTAGAACAAAAAGGCTTACAATGGATTTGGTAAGCTTCAATTAATGGCTATACCTTGTTTAACATCAATTCATGAGTTGTCCCATATTCAATTTCATTGATATTTTTTTTGCATCTATGAAAATGAAAATTTTATACACGCGATGAATCGAATTTGACCTTTAATTAATGAAATTAGCCATACATAGAAAAGGTGTGTAATTAGAGACCACAAAGCTATAAAAGGTAGTCCAACCTGAGTCACCTTGTAGAACAAATTGACAAAAGAAGATAGGATATGACTTTCCTATACTACAAAGATGTAAATACAACAGAAGGTCTAGTAAGTAGCCCTTGCTTACACATTTTCAATACACAACAGCTTCGACTTTCCCACTTACTCATTATAGAAACATTACCAAGAATAATCAACAAACAACTGGCTTTACAAATTTATTTTTACACACCATATTCTCCCGTTAAGGCGCTAACCAAAAAAAGAAAGAATGGAAAAAAAAAAAGACTCATTTTTTCTCTCTATTTTTTTTTGTTTTTAATTTTAAACATTTGTGGTGAAATTACCTCAAATAACCTTAATCGATAACTGTCTTTTATGTATGAAGGTTATGTCATCATCAATCAAATGAGCTAATGCCAACCTTGTAAATGAATGTAATATTGTTTAATCATAATCTCGTCGGTTCAATGGACAAATCCATTCAGAAATCGAAAGTTTTAAAGTCCATTTTCGGATTAATTATAAAAAAGAAATTTAAAATTTTTTGGGTGCGGACTAGCCATCAGTCCGAGAAATTTTTGTTGTTGTTGCAATTTGAATGTATCAAGAGATGTTCAATCAATTACTATATATATAGATGTAAATTTCAATCAATTTATGAATTTAAGATTGTTGTAAAAAACTATACTCAATAACAAATAACATTTGTCTTATCAAGTTTCATAGATTTATTTATCTATTCCCATATATTCCTCACACTTACTATTAATAATGATTGCTCAACCACAAAAACCAGTTGTTAGAACTGCTGCTGAAAAGGAAGCTCAAATTATGAAAGAAATTAGAGCTAACAATGCTAAATTCGAATCCAAATTCCAAGGTTCATTCTTAGGTGAAGTTTTCGGTTTTGCTATTAGAACCACCAACTAAATATAACTCACTACACTTTACTATTACAGGTTAATTTTTTATACGATTTTAATGATTTTAAATGTACTTCATGTACTACTACAACAACAATTAATTATTCTTATGGTCCATTTTATAGATCCAACACAAACTTAATATAACACAATGATGACGATTTCTCTCATCGATCTTTATACTATTATGATATCTTTATTGTAGACAATTTTCTATTTTACCGTTACTTTTGCATACACATTTTAATTTACACATACGGGTTTTGAATCCCGAGTACAGAAAAAAATATATTAAAAGAGGCTGCTCACTACGTGAGTTTCCTGCACACTAATCACCGTTTTATTATGTTGACCGGTGACACACAATATACATACATAGAGGGTCTATTTTGGGAATATGTCATTCTTAATTAACATAGTTCAGTTAAATTTGTTTAAATTGATGTTAATCGATTAATCAGTATTATACGAGAATAATTTGTGTGGAATATTATATCCTATTTTTAATGTGTTGTTGTTTAATCGTAAGTATTATCATTTTTACAGTTGTTTTCTCAATCAGTATTAATGAATCAATTATTTATTACCAAATTAAACCCATAATTAAAAACTATTAATCTAGTATTATATATCTATATATTATATAAAATGCAAAAAAATCCACACCAAAAACACTCTCTTTACTTATAATAAATAAAAAAATCAAACTTTAAATTTAAATCACTTTTTAACTTCATCTCCAGCATATTTCGATCTAGCCCTTAATTTTGGACCATTAAGATAGAATAAAATTGGAATAAGAAGCATTACAACTGTGATTGCTCCTAAAATAGTACAACCTAATGCAACAGGAAATCTTTCAGTCTTTAAGTTATCAAATAAATCTCTACCAAATAATGGAAAAACACCAGCAATGACTGATCTGAATAAATCATTACCTGCAAACACTGATGCTAAATATCTCCAGAATGACATACCCAAATAATTGAATAAAGTTTGGAAAATCAAAAATGCACCAGCAGCAAAAATAGCCGCTCCAATAGCAGGTAATATCCATGGAATGTCAGGAGCTGATGTCCAACCAAATACAAAGACACCTGTAATTAAACACATACCACCCACAATTGCCATAGGGATGAAAACTTCAGGAACCACATCATCTTTAGTACGTTTGTCAAGCATTGGTTTGGTATAAATACGAAGCACAACTGGGATATAAATACATGCTGCTATTCCAATACCAATAACAATGCATAAATAAGTAGCTCCCATTTCAATTAAAGTAAAATGATGAATATCAAAGAAGACAATAGGAAATGCTTCAAACCAAAGATACATAATTGAATAAACCAAAGTGATATAGGCATTAATCAATAAAACCACAGGTTCTATAATTGATATTTCAATTGGTCTCCATAAAGTTTCAATAATTAATTCACCCACACTTAATCTACTATTTTCAATTTCTCCTTCACTAGTGATATTTTGATTACCAGTAATAGCTCTTAATCTTTTGGCTTTTCTATAAAGTAAAGTTTTACCATAAGTTTCAGGTAAAAAGAAACTAAATAAAGTTAAAGCAAATCCACTAGTAATACATAATAACCAAAATGTCCATCTCCAACTTCCTTTAACTACTAAGATACTTCCAATGAACGGACCTAATGAAGGACCACAAGTTGCCCCTAAAGCCCACATTGCAATACCAACTGGACCATATGCCATATGTAAAACATCACAAACTGAAGCAGCACCAGTAGCCAAACAAGGTGATGCAAAGACGCCGCCTAAGAATCTTAAAATTGATAAGGAAACGATATCTTTAGCCAAAGCAGTCGGAATTTGTAATATGAAGAAGACAAATAAAGTAACAATATAAATGGATGTTCTACCAAAAATGGCATTTTCAGACATGGGTGATAGTACCATTGGACCAAGACCATAACCAATGACAAATAATGATAATGGTAAAGTGGCAGTAGTTTGTCCTACGTTGAAATCTGCCATAATTTGAGTAACACCAGGAGTATAAATTGCAGAACCCATATAAACGACGGTAGTTAAAAATGCAATTTCAAAAATAAAGAATCCCTTTTGGTAGAATGGCCAATTGACGGGATTTTCAGGATCATCATCACCTTCCCAATCAACTACAATCTTACCTTGTCTATTAATAGTATTGATACTTGAATCAGATGACGATTCACTACTATCTCTTGGGATTTCAATCTCTATATCTTCAGTTTTTTCAAATTCACGAGCCTTGAGGTCATCTGCTAAATACTTTTGAGGTATTACATACTCAGGATATTCTTCGGGATGAGCAAAGTATTTATGTTTAGATAGATGGTAAGTCATCCTACCTATGAAACTATCTCTTAAGAATCTATAATGCATTCTGTGTGTATAAAAATTTTATGTGATGGATGGATGGATGTACTAGAATTGTTATTGTTGTCGATAAATTAACAAAGACGGCGTGAAGATAATAAAAGATTTGGTCAATTAACAAACTCAACTTAAGCTTGCTTACTTCAAAGAGATGAAAGCAGCTAAGACTTTTACGTTGTATTTATATCAATCCTCAATTTCAGTGTCATTTTGAGGTTCAAAAATTTTAAATGCTGTAAAAATGAGTCCTTTTTGTGAACGTAAACAGAGTTAATCAGCCGTAGTGCTAAATTAAAAATTTGTGAAACATTTAACAACGAACTTGCTCCGGTAACTACCAGAAAGGGAAATTACGGATTTTACTTTTAGGGATTGTGGGCTCGTAGACCGAATCGTTTGTCATAAAGATTGAGAAGGGGGTGTAGGTATTGTTATATGCAGGTTTTGTTACGTACACTACACCACTTCAGAATATATAAATTGAAATAGTATTAAATTAAAGTAACTTATCAATGATTATAAAAACAGTAAAATGCCAAGTAAGTTGTACTACTACAGAAAAAGATGAATTATTGAAGTGAAGACAACTGGATTAGTATATATACCTAGTAACTGGTTAAAATCAGCATCACCATTTTATGTTTTATTATACAAATTACAAAAATGCTTATTAATTCTTGGTATCAACACGACCTCAGATCATAGCCCAATTCCGCTCATAGCTCAATTAGGAAATATGAACGTATTACCGACGAAGATTAATGGTTACATATAACATATATTTATAACTATAAAAAAGGCTATGAAAACGGAGTTGTGTGTGTAATAAATGTATATAATTACAAAATAATAAATCAGCAAAATGGGTTACACCACGGTACGATCCCTACCATTCATAGAAGCTGCCACTTTTTCTAAATATGATTTACGCCTATTATGTTCATAAATCAAATGTTTGTTTCTAATTTTATCTCCCCTAATTGCTAATTGTCCATATTCTTTTTCATATACTTCCTTTGATTTATTACTTCCTTCATCGCATAACCAATTTTCCTTTAAGGATAATAAACTTAGTAATTCTTGTTTCTCATTTTCATCAACCCAATTTTGATAAACTCCATCTAATTTCTCTCTGAAATCATAAATATATTCTTCAAGGGCATTTTTCATATTTTCATTCTCTAAAACTGATTCATCTTCTAAAATCAATTTCTTTTCAATATTTTTAAGCTCCTTTAGATTGGTTAATTCAAATGTCAGCGGAATCATTTCAAAAACATCAGGTTTTTCAAAACTAGGACATACTTCTACTGTATATAATCCTGATTCATTTATATTGAATTGAAGCCTAATAGTCCCAATATATTCTGGAGTAGTCCATTCACAAAAGCTAACATTATGTTGTTTTGCCTCTATAACTTTGTGTTCATTATCAATATCCATTTGTTTGAGATCTGCGACCGGTTTAATATCATGATCAGAAATGGCTTTAATACTAGCAAACTCTTGTTTACGTGATTGAAATGAAACATCGGTAAATGGTCCGTCTACTATTGTTATTTGTTGTTTCCTAGATGACATGCCAGCTATATAGGTATTACCAGTTGTAATGGCTTCATCTTGATTTAAGGTAGATGATAATGGTTTTCCAAAGAATTCTGTTAATTTCTTTCTTATATAAGGAATCCTAGCACTACCACCAATAACTTCAATAGATTGTACTTGTTCTCTTTTAAGACCAGCCATAGAAAGAGCTTGTACAATAGGATTTTCTAGTCTAGAACCTTGCAATACTTTACTCACTATTAACTCTTCGAAATCTTTCCTCTCCATAACTATATAAAGATCTTTACTACCATCAGAAGCTTCAATAGTTGTATTAGTACTGTTATTAGCTGATAATAACTTTTTCAATTTCTCAGCTGATTTCAAAGCTCTAAATAAAAATTTGACGTCACTGAAATCAGACTCTGGATGAAGACTCTTTATATATTCTACGATCTCATGATCAAAATCCCTTCCACCAAGATTCTTATCGTAAGCACAACCAAGAATATCGACTTTATCTTTACGAATAGCGGCAATAGCCACTTGATAAGAAGTATGACCCAAATCTATGAAAGCTACTATCTTGGGTTGGTTACCATTTGGAAATTCAGCCACATTAAATGCTGTATACCCAACCGCTGCTGCAGTAAGTTCATTGACTAATCTAACTCCTCTTATATCTGCAATAATACATGCGTTCAAAATTGCAGTTCTTTGCTTTTGAGTATACCACATGGGAACCGATATACAAACTTGAGTCATTGGCAGTCCAGTCTCTTTCAATGCATTTGTCTTTAATTTATTGAAATACATGGCACATAATTGAGTGGCTGAGAATATACGAACTTTACTACGATAATTAAAATGAACATCAATATCATCACCACCTGAATAACATTCCATCCAATTATCTTCTCCTCTCACAATTTTCAATTCCTCCGGCTCCAGTCCCAATAATCTTTTCAAATTACCAGCAGTATTAGTAAGATTAAACATTTGTTGAGCTTTAGCATTTTCACCAATTTGCCTGATTTCAGATCCAAATCCAACTAATGTAGGGGTAGCGCGGTGAGATACTTCATTTGGAACTACATGAACAGCACCATTTCTAAAACATGAAACAACTGTAGAACTATTACCGAAATCTATACCAAATGGAAACATCCTGTATAATTAATTAGAATAGATTGTAATATGTTATGGAAAACTAAGTCAATATGTGAAAGTGTTTGATAATGGCTGTTTTCTTTGATATATATAAATGGAGTGAAGATATAAATAGAAGCACAATAAATTCTATTTTTGGCTTTTTTTTTGCGCAGCCATTACAAAAAAAAATAAATAAGTAAAATAAATTGTTTCTAAAATTAATATTAATTTTTATTATAACATGTCTATAAACAGTCTATAAGGAATCTAATAAATACCGAAAAACAAACAACTCGAATGACAAGACTTAGGAAGCATATTTTGATCTAGCTCTTAATTTTGGTCCATTAATATAGAACAAAATTGGAATGAGAAGCATTAAAACAGTAATAACCCCTAAAATGGTTGAACCCCAAGCAACTGGAAATCTTTCAGTTTTTAAGTTTAAGAATAAAGATTTACCGAATAATGGGAATACACCAGCAATAACAGATCTAAACAAATCATTACCTGCGAAAACAGATGCTAAATATCTCCAGAATGACATACCCAAATAGTTAAATAAAGTTTGGAAAATTAAGAAAGCACCACCAGCGAAAATAGCAGCACCAATGATTGGACCCATCCAATGAATATCAGCAGCAGAAGTCCAGCCGAAGATAAAGATACCAATGATTAAACAAGAACCTCCAACTATAGCAATTGGAATGAACACTTCAGGAGCAACTTGTTCACCTCTAAGTAATGGTTTAGTGAAGATTCTGAAAACTACTGGAATGTATATAGCAGCAGTGATAACAATACCAGTAACGATACTCATATAAGTCAAACCCATTTCAATTAAAGTAAAGTGATGAGTATCGAAGAAGACAATTGGGAAAGCTTCGAACCAAAGGTACATGATAGTGTAAACTAAAGCAATGTAAAGATTGATTAACAAGACAACTGGTTCAACGAAGGAAATTTCAATTGGTCTCCATAAAGTTTCAATTGCCAATTCACTAACAGTTAACTTACTATTTTCAATTTCACCTTCACTTGTAATATTTTCATTTCCAGTTAAAGCTCTTAATCTCTTAGCTTTTCTATAAAGTAAAGTTTTACCATAAACTTCTGGTAAAAAGAAACTGAAAACAAATAAGACAGAACCACTTGAGATACATAATAACCAGAATGTCCATCTCCAATTACCTTTGACAACTAAGATACTACCAATGAATGGACCTAATGATGGACCACAGACTGCACCTAAACCCCATGAAGCGAGACCAACAGGACCGTAAGGTAAACTCAAAACATCACAAGCAGAAGCAGCACCAGTGGCTAAACAAGGAGAAGCGAATACACCACCTAAGAATCTTAATATTGATAATGAAACAATATCAGTAGCTAAAGCAGTTGGAATTTGTAAAATGAAGAAAATGAATAAAGTGACAATGTAAATTGAAGTTCTTCCGAATATAGCATTTTCAGACATTGGAGAGAAGACCATTGGACCAAGACCATAACCAATAACAAACATAGTTAAAGGTAAAGTAGCAGTAGTTTGACTGATATTGAATTCTTCCATGATTTGGGTAACACCAGGAGTATAAATAGCAGACCCCATATAAACAATTGTAGTTAAGAAAGATACTTGAAATATGAAGAATGCCTTTTGATAGGTTGGCCAGTTAATTGGATTTTCTGGATCATCTTCACCTTCCCAGCCGACAACTATTTGCTTTGTATCTTCAACTTTAGTAGCTTCAGAATTTAAACTTGAATCAGATGATGAGTTTCTAACTGGGACTTCTGTTTCTTCATCATTTTCTGATTTTTCTATTTCATGTCCTTTTAATTCATTAACTAAGTACTTTTCTGGAATAACGTAATCTTTATATTCTTCAGGATGAGCAAAGTATTTGTGTTGCGAGAGGTGGTAGACTAATCTACCAACAAAACTATCTCTGATAAATCTATAATGCATTGTATGAAATTTTAATTTGTTGCGAAAAAATAAGATCTATGAAATGCTAATTAAAATGCTAATTAAAATGCTGTGTATGAATATTTGTTAGTTTGATTTTATTAGTCTATTGACTTATGCTGTTGTTGTTATTGTTATTGTATTGATAAATCATTTTGGATAGTTGAAAATAGAGTTGGATCGATCGATATTTATATTAAAATCAGACTGATATTGATATTACATGATAAACCAATTTGTTACAAATTCAAATCATTAATATCTAATCCTGACAAATTTTGAGTTATCTCCACCATATTTACGAGCTAACGCTGACTTCTCACCCGCTGTAAGAGAAAAATAAAAAAGAAATTTTATTATGAAGGGTGCGAAATCAGTAAGGCTGATTTCTAATCTTACCAACATTCCCAATTGGGTAACACCGGACAAGTTCAGCCACCATTCAGTTTTACGCTAAACCCGAACGGCGGTAACAGCTGAAAGAATAGCAAGAGGCTTGTTGCAACCACTTCGCGGCTCAGAAGTTTCTAGAATATGATGATGATTCACCACTATCCCGAAATTGCTTGACTTTCAGCTATTGGTAATATTAGAAATGTTGAAACTATTATGACGTTTAAGAATCATTACTTAACAGCAATCAAATTTGCTAAGGGAATCATTTCCCAAAAGGGTTATAAGAATCTTTACGTGCTAAAAGAAATTTAAAATTTTCCGGAGAGTTGATGCCCCTTTTACTAATTAATAAGTATCAGCCGCTTTACAAACATGATTCACTACGGGCGTTAATGAATTTTGTGTGACTAGCCTCTGCTACTCCACCCCTCACTTTTACAATAACTTTGTTTAATAGTATAAAATTATATTAAATATTGGAATCTGGTATTAGTAAATATACACATATATAGATACAAACAGATAAAACAGAAAAGCAAATTCAAAAGCAATCAAAACCAACACTTCTATTAACCAGCACCAGCATATTTTGATCTAGCTCTTAATTTTGGTCCATTAAGATAGAACAAAATTGGAATGAGAAGCATTAAAACAGTAATAACCCCTAAAATAGTAGAACCCCAAGCAACAGGGAATCTCTTAGTTTTCAAATTTAAAAACAAGGATTTACCAAATAATGGGAAGACACCAGCAATAATGGATCTGAATAAATCATTACCTGCGAACACTGATGCTAAATATCTCCAGAATGACATACCTAAATAATTGAATAAAGTTTGGAAAATCAAAAATGCACCACCAGCGAAAATAGCAGCACCAATGATTGGACCCATCCAATGAATATCAGCAGCAGAAGTCCAGCCGAAGATAAAGATACCAATGATTAAACAAGAACCTCCAACTATAGCAATTGGAATGAACACTTCAGGAGCAACTTGTTCACCTCTAAGTAATGGTTTAGTGAAGATTCTGAAAACTACTGGAATGTATATAGCAGCAGTGATAACAATACCAGTAACGATACTCATATAAGTCAAACCCATTTCAATTAAAGTAAAGTGATGAGTATCGAAGAAGACAATTGGGAAAGCTTCAAACCAAAGGTACATGATAGTGTAAACTAAAGCAATATAAAGATTGATTAACAAGACAACTGGTTCCACAATAGAGATTTCAATTGGTCTCCATAAAGTTTCAATAGCTAATTCACTAACAGTCATTTTGCTGTTTTCGATTTCTCCAGCACTGGTGATGTTTTGGTTACCAGTAATAGATCTTAATCTTTTAGCTTTTCTATAAAGTAAAGTTTTACCATAAACTTCTGGTAAAAAGAAACTGAACACCAATAATGTTGAACCGCTTGAGATACATAAGAACCAGAATGTCCATCTCCAATCACCTTTAACAACTAAGATACTACCAATGAATGGACCTAATGATGGACCACATACTGCACCTAAACCCCATGAAGCGAGACCAACAGGACCGTAAGGTAAACTCAAAACATCACAAGCAGAAGCAGCACCAGTGGCTAAACAAGGAGAAGCGAATACACCACCTAAGAATCTTAAAATTGATAATGAGACAATATCGGTAGCTAAAGCAGTTGGAATTTGTAAAATGAAGAATATGAATAAAGTGACAATGTAAATTGAAGTTCTACCAAAGATAGCATTTTCAGACATTGGAGAGAAGACCATAGGTCCGAGACCATAACCGATCACAAACATAGTTAAAGGTAAAGTAGCAGTAGTTTGACTGATATTGAATTCTTCCATGATTTGAGTAACACCAGGAGTATAAATAGCAGACCCCATATAAACAATTGTAGTTAAGAAAGATACTTGAAATATGAAGAATGCCTTTTGATAGGTTGGCCAGTTAATTGGATTTTCTGGATCATTTTCACCTTCCCAATCCACCACAACTTGTTGTGATTCATCAACGTTATTGTTTGACGAGTTCTCACTTGATTCTGATGATGAATTTCTAACTGGTACTTCTTCCTGAAAACCATCTTCATTCTTTTCTACACCAATAGCTTTTAAGTCATTAACTAAATATTTTTCAGGTACAACATAATCTTTATACTCTTCAGGATGAGCAAAATACTTATGCTTTGAAAGATGGTAGACTAATCTACCAACAAAACTATCTCTGATAAACCTATAATGCATTGCATGAAATTTGAGACGTATTGCAAAAAACCAGAATAAAAAAAGAATTTTTGAACCAAGGCCCTCTATCAATCACTCTATATTAGGGTGAATTCGCTTTAGTGTTAAGAACAAGCAAAACTATTGATATTCTCATATTCGATACATGGGAATGAACCCTTATTTATAGTCAATCTCCCTCAAACTATCATGAAGTGGTAAAGGCAAAACTTGTTGGATTAGATATGACAAATTTTGTGTTATCTCCACTGGATTACAACCGTCGCTGATATATTGATGAACAATCGTAACTGAAGCTATTATCGTAACTATAATTATGATAATAACACAAAAGAGAAATCAATTTGGGGATTTTTAGGATTCCTAATTTGGTAAGACCGAAAATCATGTGATTCAATCAGATGCAAAAAAAAGATTCCTAGTAGTGTAAGTCAGAAGTTTCTGGAAGTTTGCTATGAATCACCACTGACATCCCTGTTGTCCGTTCTTCGCTCTTATCCGATCGTATTTACATTTGCTTAATTAGTTAGAACTGCTATATGTAAGGGGATTAATAATATATACTTACAATAAACATTCAAGAGAGGAAAAATAATTGATAACAAATATAAATCAAAATTAAACTAATCAAATATTATCCCTAAACATATAAATTTGAGTTTAAAATTTACAAGTAGTCGAAATCAGCCACTTCATATGAATTAGAATCGTCTGAACTTTTGGTGGTATCTTCAGTACTGGATAAAATTTCTGAGTTAATAGTACTTCTTTTTGGAACCAGTGATTGGTTTATTGATTCGCCAGTATTTCCTCTGGAAATGGTTTCCAGATCAGCAGTATTTTTCTTCGTTGTTGTTACACATTGGGCAAGATTGGACTCAAATGTATTACTTCTTGAATCCAGAAATACCGATTGGTCGTTGATTACACCTGTAGCGCTTCTAGAAAGCAGCTTATAACTGGACAATCCACTAGTACCATGTCTAGAGAGTGAAAATTGTTCATATTTAGAAGCAAATGTACTCCTTCTAGACTCCAGAGTCAAGTTTTGATTACTCAATACTCCTGTACTACTTCTCGACTCGAATGAGAATTGTTGAGTTTTGGTTTCAGTGTCCAGTGCAATTGGTTGATACTCCAATAATTCATCAGTACCATTTTTAGATTGCGGCGATGTCTGTTGCTTAACCAGATCAACGATAGGAGGTGTCTTCAAGTATTTTCTGTTAAGATATTCATTACGTTTTCGATCTTCTTCTTTCTTATAAGCTTCTTCAATGGGATTTGTTTGAACTTTTATACTAGCTAGTACTTCATCATAAACTTTTTTCGTGTTACCATAAGGTTCATTGTATAACCAATCTCGCTTTTCTTCCAACAAAGAAACCAATTTGTCCTTTTCGTTGTTGTCTGTTATAAATTCTTCATACTGGGAATCTAATTTATCACTAAATTCATTAATATAAGTTTCCAAATTATTTCTCAGATTCAATGTATCCACAATCACTTCATCATTTCTTACCATTTCCTGTTCTTTACTTAAATATTGATCTATATCGTCTCCATACACCTTTCTGTGAGTTTCAATCTTTAATTGTTGTTTAATATTGGTTGACTGTGATATATCTTTCATTGGCTTGTCTTCACTTTGTTTATCTTCTTCTTTATCATCATCTTGAATATTTCCTGATAACTGTGGGCCAATTAATTGACTAATCTTGTAGGAATCTATAAGATTATGAATACCCCAGCTGTCAATCCTTGTGACCAAAACGATATTAATTCGCTGTTGATTTTCCACAGGAGGGTTATTATCGACTACAAGCCAAGTCAACCGCTTGTTATTGATATCATAATCAAGCTTAATCAGTGCTTTTTCATCAGTTCTTTTCGTTGAAATTGGTTTATCACTTGGATATGGATGTCCCCTGGGAATTACATACCTAGCTGTTCCTTTTCCAGTTTCTGCTTTCCATTGATATTCGACATCCATCAGAGTAATATCCTCTACCTTGAAGGCTGATGACTTTTGTGAATACGTAGAACCAATAAATGCATTTCCCGTAGCTATAGATTCATCTTGATTTAATGTTGCTGACAATGGTTTTCCAAAGAATTCTGTTAATTTACTTCGTATGAAAGGGATTCTACCACTTCCACCAATGACTTCAATATTATCGATTTGAGATATATCAACATTAGCCATTTTAAGTGCTTCTTCAATAGGATTTTCAAGTTTTCCTCCTTTCAATAATGTCTCAAGTATATTCTCAAATTCATCCCTCTTTATGGTTTGATATACATCCTTCGCTTCAACAAGAGAGTCAATGGTAGTAGCTGCAGTATTATTTGCTGATAACACTTTCTTTAATTTTTCAGCCGCTAATAATGTTCGATATAAAACCTTTTGATTATTTTCATCAAATATAACCCCTCTTCTCTTTGCAATATAAAGTGCAAGTTGATAATCAAACACTCTACCTCCAAAATTCTTATCATAACCCGAACCTAATATCTTTACTCCATCTTTTCTTATTTCGGCAATAACTACTTGATAAGAAGAATGGCCAATATCGATAATAGCGACAGTTTTTGATTTAGTTAATAATTCTTCATATTTACTGTCGGCATAACATACCGCAGCAGCTGTCAACTCATTTATGATAGTTATTGGCTTCAATTGTGCAATAGAACAAGCATTGATAATAGCAACTCTTTGTCTCTGATTATACCACATTGGAACTGATACACAGACTTCAGTCATCGGGTATTGATCTGATTCCAATAAAGCGATAGATTTAAGTTTGTTAAAAAACATTCCCACCAATTGAAAGCCAATAAAATCATGAACAATACCCTCATATTGAACCTGAACGTTAACATCAGCGTAATCATCACCACTAAGTTGTACCATTAAATATTCTCGTTCTATTCCAAGCTGAGGATCATTGGTAGTTACTCCTAAAATTCTCTTTAGATTTCCCACTGTATTATTGAGATTGAATAATGCTTGAGTGCTTGCATTCTGACCGAAATATCTCGATTCCTTATCAAAGGCTACCAATGTTTTAGTAGATCTACTTGATTCTTCATTGATAACAATATCTACCACAGCATTTTTGAAGCACGATACCACAGTCTTGGAGTTACCTAAATCAATCCCAAAGGGAATACTGGAAGAAGTCATTTAGCGTTTGGAACTACTACTACCATCATATCTAAACACTCTAATCCAATAATCATTTTGGATATATATATCTATTTAAGTACACGTAACAATGCAAGTGTTTAAAAATAGAAACTCATTAAAATCTATTTTTAATTTTTTTTTTGGCGCTACAAGTTTATTTTTAATTGCACTATTAACATGTATTAAGTATTAGAAAAAAATAGTCATAATAAATAGATATTATAATATAGACGTATATATAAGAAAGAGGCTCCAAGACAATAACAGCTTAACCAGCACCAGCGTATTTTGATCTTGCTCTTAATTTAGGACCATTAAGATAGAACAAGATTGGAATAAGAATCATTACCACTGTAATGGCCCCTAATACTGTAGAACCTAAAGCAACGGGAAATCTATCTGTCTTTAAGTTTAAGAATAACGATTTACCAAATAATGGGAAAACACCAGCAATAGTTGATCTGAATAAATCATTACCAGCAAAAACAGAAGCTAAATATCTCCAGAATGACATACCCAAATAGTTAAATAAGGTTTGGAAAATTAAGAATGCACCAGCTGCGAAAATAGCAGCACCAACAAGAGGACCCATCCAATGAATATCAGCAGCTGAAGTCCAACCAAAAATGAATACACCGATGATTAAACAAGTACCACCAACGATGGCCATAGGAATGAAAACTTCTGGAGTAACTTGTTCACCTCTAAGTAATGGATTTGTAAATATTTTAAACACAATTGGAATATAGATAGCAGCAGCAATCACAATACCAATAACAATACTCATATAAGCTAAACCCATTTCAATTAATGTAAAGTGGTGAGTATCAAAGAAGACGATTGGGAAAGCTTCAAACCAAAGATACATAATGGAATAAACCAATGCGATATAAAGATTAATCAACAACACAACTGGTTCTACTATAGAGATCTCGATTGGTCTCCATAAAGTTTCAATAGCTAATTCACTTAATGTTAACTTACTATTTTCAATTTCACCTTCACTTGTAATATTTTGATTACCTGTAATAGCTCTTAATCTTTTAGCTTTTCTGTAAAGTAAAGTTTTACCATAACTTTCAGGTAAAAGTATACTTAACACCAATAAAGTTGTACCACTAGTAATACATAAAAACCAAAAAGTCCATCTCCAATCACCTTTTACCACTAAGATACTACCAAAGAAAGGACCAAACGAAGGACCACAGACGGCACCTAAGGCCCAACTAGCAATACCAACTGGACCATAAGCCATACTTAACACGTCACATACAGAAGCACCTCCAGTGGCTAAACAAGGGGAAGCAAATACTCCTGCTAAGAATCTTAAAATTGATAATGAAACTATATCTTTTGCTAAAGCAGTTGGAATTTGTAAAATGAAGAATATGAACAATGTAACAATATAAATGGAAGTTCTACCAAAGATAGCATTTTCAGACATTGGAGAGAAGACCATAGGTCCGAGACCATAACCGATCACAAACATAGTTAAAGGTATAGTAGCTTTAGTTTGATCTATATTAAATTCTTCCATGATTTGAGTTATACCTGGAGTGTAAATAGCAGATCCCATATATACGGCAGTTGTTAAGAAAGCAATTTCAAAAGTAAAGAATGCCTTTTGATAAGTTGGCCAGTTGACAGGATTTTCTGGATCATCATCACCTTCCCAACCGACAACAATTTTAGCATCAGGATCTTGATCAAGAGTTGAAGAAGAACTTGAATTTGCAGCTGTTTCAAGTTCTACACCTTCAACCTTTTCAAATTCACGCGTCTTTAAGTCATTAGGTAAGTATTTTTCAGGTATAACATAATCTATATGCTCTTCTGGATGTTTAAAGAATTTATGTTGGGTTAAATGGTAAACCATTCTACCCACAAAACTATCTCTAATGAATCTATAATGCATGGTTATTATGTATTATGTAAGTTAGTATTGGCAATCTAATTATCAAATATAAATAAACCTTCTAAATAAATTGTATGAAATCTGATAATAGAAGACAATTCTACGTACTTATATAGTAAAATGAAAGAATTAACGTAACAAAAATCCAACTTATTTAAGGTTATATCCCAAAATAACTATTGTTGTGGCAATTGACAGGGCTGATGTAAAAAAAATAAAAATTGATGCGAAAAAGAATTTTTGTTGGTGAGTCAACGTTCGTATTAGTAAACTTTTTCATTTTAGTAATGTTTCTACCCGAGATTGCCTAATTGGGCAGGGGCGAAATAGCAATATATTTAATCTCCAATTTTACTGAATCTATAGAGACTCGGTGTTATCATTATACTTTTCTGCTGTCATGTGGAATATAAGATCTTCTCGGTGTTTTATGCTCGTAGTTAAGCTATAGTTAAATGGTAGTTTATTATATTGACCTGTAGGGGAGGGGCGGTGTTAGAGTAAGCTTTTGCTGTTTGTTGAGTTCTACTTTTCGCTGTAACACCGAGTTGTTGGTGAACTTGTATCATTCATTTCATTTATGACTAGTACTGCATCCACGTCCAACATACCATTATTAATCTTACAAATATATCGTAATGGAAACATAAATGGTTGGTTTTGCTATTCGTAATTGTAGCATAGGTTAGTTCGGCATGGCTGATATCTTGAAACTTATATTATAGCCTCTTTGTTTGAATGGGATATTACGGCTTCTACAAGATGCTACCATATTCTCAATAATAATTAAAAAATTATGTAAACTCCTCCACCGTATAGATCCGTATTCATATATATTATGTCAGCTATAGTTTAATATTCAGCAATGGACCAGCGCAAGCCTTACGCACCTTTATTTTTCTGTTGGTGACAATCTCTCACGGTGTTACCTAATTAGGAAAGCATCCAATGTGCAGGTTATGATCTGAAATTGATATTCCGTTAGTTAAGTCAAACCCCCTTACCACTACCATTATGACAATGGCGTACATGTCAAGAAATAAGCATCATGGAACAGTTCGGAACCTTATTAAACTAGTTGTGGTTCTTCTTTATTCGATTTTCCCCTCCGCCGTCCTATTTGCGCATCGCCGTTTAGGTAAACTTCTTTTTGCCACCGAGTCAATTACTGGCTTCGGAAGTATGGGGTTTGTAGTTTCATAATATATTTGTTTGTTTGAATATTATATAATAAATAAATACGATATATAGAGAAGGAAACGTAGGATACACTTAAGATAATGACATATCATAGTATATTCTCAAAAGAATAGGGTGAAAAAGCAAAAAAAGCAAGGAAAACTCAAACTCAAGTGAATGTCCCCACTAGAATTTAATCATCATCGTTAAACTTCTCAGATTATCCAGAATCTGAATCGTTTAAAAGTTAGATATATGCATTTATAATTTTTCAGCAGCAACAGCTCTACCAAGAGTAGTGATTTCATCGTAAATTAAAGTAGTAACGAAATCACTATACTTTTCAGCGGCAGCTTCGGGAGCAAAGTAACTTAAAGCACGCTTGAATTTATTACCTGGTTTAGCTGCATTGGCTAATTTAGTATATTCTTCGTTTAATAATCTTTTAACATAATCTTTAGTGATGGTTACACCTTGATCAGTCTTGGCACCATGAGTAACCCATTGCCAAATTTGGGTTCTTGAAACTTCAGCAGTGGCAGCATCTTCCATTAAATAATTAATTGGAACACAACCAACATTTCTTAACCAAGCTTCAATATAAGATAAACCAATAATAATATTGGCTCTAATACCCTGTTCAGTAATCTTAGCTCCTGGAACAAATGGACTTAATAAATCACGAGCAGTGACTGGAGTATAAGGAACCTTTGGTGGAACATTGATTTGATTTGGACCTTTCATATGTTCATTAAAGACTTTTAAGACAACTGGGACTAAAGCAGGATGAGCAACCCAACAAGAATCACAACCAGCATTAACTTCTCTTAATTTATCTTTGGCAACATTTTCTAAAGCTAATCTGTTTCTTTCTTTATCATCTTTAATTGGAATTTGAGCAGCCATACCACCTAAAGCATGAACTTGTCTTTTATGACAGGTATTAACTAATAATTTAACATAAGATGACATGAATGGAGCAGACATGGTAACTTGAGATCTATCTGGTAAAATAAATTCAGGGTGATTTCTTAACGATTTAATATAAGAGAAAATATAATCCCATCTACCACAGTTTAATCCAGCAATATGTGTTCTTAATTGATAAATGATTTCATCCATTTGGAAAGCAGCTGGTAATGTTTCAATTAAAACTGAACCTCTAATGGAACCTCTTGGTAATCCAATATAATCTTGGGAATAGTTGAAAATATCATTCCATAATTTAGCTTCTAAATGATGTTCCATTTTTGGTAAATAGAAGTAAGGACCAAAACCTTGTTGAATAGCTTCAGCAGCATTATTATAGAAATAAAGGGCAAAATCAAAAATACCTCCACTAACTGGTTCACCATCAACTAAAACATGCTTTTCTTCTAAATGCCATCCTCTTGGTCTGACAATTAAAGTTGGAATATGTCTTTTTGGATCTAAATTTAATTTATATTTTTTACCATTAGTTTCAAATTCAAGATTTCTTCTAACAGCATCATATAAATTAACTTGACCTTCAACTAAATTAGTCCAAGCTGGAGTTAAAGAATCTTCAAAATCAGCCATATAAGTAGCAACATTTGAATTTAAAGCATTAATAACCATTTTTCTATCGGTTGGACCTGTGATTTCAACTCTTCTATCTTGTAAACCTTTGGCTAAAGGTGGACCAGTCCAAGTAGCATCATTTCTAATATAAGCGGTTTCAGGTAAGAAATCTGGTAAAACACCAGCATCTCTAGCTTTTTGAGCAACTTTTCTATTAGCTAATAATTGTTTTCTATGAGCATTGAATGAACGATGTAAAGTAGCAACTAAACCTAAAGCTTCAGCATTAAAAATATGCTTAGCTTCTTGAGGTACAGAACCTAAAATTTGAACACCTTTAAGTTTATCACTGGTTAATGGAAATGGACCTGACATGTTGATTAATATAATTGAAATAGTTTATATCTATATTAATTCAAATAGAGAAAAACTTTTTTAAAAACTATTATAAATTCTATTACTATAAATTTTCAAAAAGGGGGATATTTAAATATATTTATAACTTCAATATCCATTGGTGAAATCAGGTTTAACTTAAATTTTGATGTGAAAATAAGTTACCCCAGATTTGATTGCGGTTATTGAACAAATTATTATGGTTACCAGAGAAGTCACAAAACTTTCATGTTTAACTATGATCGTTTCGTTCCAGCGGAACTTTATTTTTCTTAACAACTTCGAACCAGAGTCAAATTAGACAGCTAAGACGACATGTGACTAACTATGGGCCAAGGTCGGTCCCGTTGTCTTTATCCAATAAGAGGTAACGATAACTATCCTAATTAGGAAATCATTTTTTTGACTTCACTTCGGGCCATCGGATGCTACCGACATCCATACCGCTGGCCATGGCCGAGGCAAACTTATACCCTCCATGTGAAACTCCGATCAACAATAACCGTATGTTTAGGAGTCAAAAAAACCGCTATGAGATAAGCTTTATCGTTGTCGTCTATTTGGGGTGGGTTTTATTGGGGGATACATAGTTTAAGGGATTTTTCAACGGAGAGATATATAAATGATAGAGAAAGTCCAGGAGTCATGAATGTAATTGACAGGTATGTATTTGGGGGAGACATTAGCAGTATCAACAATTGATTTAAAAAACAGACATATAGAAATCAATGTCAAGAAAGTACAATTACCCCGGACTGACACCTATTGAAAATATTGGTTAAGAAAATATAGAAAATATGGAAAATATCAATTTCATGACTCAAATAGATGCTAAAAAAGTCCGAGGAAAAATAAATCATTCCATATTTAATGGAATCATAAAAGGCTGGACTAAAGAATGGACTGGACTGGACTAGACTAGACTAATTGTTTACGATTGTTATACGATTGATCAAGTTTTTTTTATAAATAATATAACATATATTAATACTATTAAATGACCTTTTACGATCTTTTTATTTTTTTTTTTTTCAAAATTTGATTAGACTCAATGGCGGTAGTATAGTCTTAATGACTTTCAGAACCCAAATTGAGACATATAATTCTAGCTAAATCAAATATAAAAGGATGGGGGTTACTTATGGTTTAGCCCATTTGGTACCTTCTTCAAGAGGACCTAATAAACCCTTTTGTTTAGGAATATATTCAACTCTTCTATAAGAATTGATATTCTTTCTTAAGATGAATTGATAACAAGTAGCAGTACCATTTCTTGAAGCAATAACGGATGAAGATAAGAAATATTCCCAAATTCTAAACCATCTAATACCATATTTATTAACGACTTTATCTTTATTACCTAACCAGTTTCTATACCATTTCCAAAGAGTAGTAGAATAATGAACACCAATATTATCAACACTAACGATTTCAAATCCAACAGTTTCTAAACTTGAAGCAACAAAACTTAATGGAGTTGAAGCATCAGCACCAGGGAAAATATATTTATTCATAAATAAACCCCAGATTAAATCTTCATATTGCCAATTTTTTCTTAAACCAGCATATTGTAAAAAGAATAAACCATCATCTTCTAAGGATTCATGAACTTGTTCTAAAAAGGCAGAAAATCTTCTAATACCAACATGTTCAGCCATTTCTAAACAAGTGATTTTATCATATTTACCATTTTCCTTTTGAGATTTTGGAGCATCACGATAATCAACACAAACAATTCTTGATTGATCAGATTCAACACCATATTTATTTAATAAAGTATTACCCCATTTAGTTTGATTTTTACCTAAAGTAATACCAGTAACATTAGCACCATATTGAGATGAAGCATAAGTAGACCAAGTACCCCAACCACAACCTAAATCAAGAACATGTTCACCTTTTTTAAGATCAATTTTATCAGCCACAATTTTTAATTTATTATCTTGAATTTCTTCTAAACTTTCTTCTTTGGTAATATCACTAATAACACCAGAAGTATAAATCATTCTTGGACCTAAGAACCAAGTATAGAAATCATCACCTCTATCATAATGTTCTCTAACTTGTTCTTCATCTTGAGATTTAGAATGCATAATAACTTCCGGAATCATACCTAATAAAAAGAATCTAAATAATGAAAGGGTAAAACGGAAATTAGCCCAATCATGTTTATATTCCATAACATCTAAACAATCACCTTTGAAACTAACTTTACCTTCGAAATATAATTCTTGGAAAGTTTCAATTGGAATTTTAGTACCTTGACCATTATTTGAAGTTTCATATTGAGCTTTTAATTCAGGAGTATGATATTCTAAATAATGAGAAATCGGTTTATTTGGATATTTAGCCTTTTGATTGATTCTTGGAGAGAAAGTGGAAAATACAGTCCAAAATCCCATTAAGATTGGAAGGAATAATAATAAAGTAAAGAATATCCAAGTATAAAATCCTAAACCTAATTTTCTAGTAATATAATAAGGAATGACAGTAATAAGACCAATTAAAAGGAGATTACTGAAATGCTTGGAACCAGGACCATCGGCTGGTAAAGGAGCATTATGAATTGCTGGAGATGATGTGGTTAAAACACCAGTTTCATCAGTAGATGGTGGAGGTGGAGGAACCTCTGGAGTTTTAATGAATTCAACGTTATCCAACATTATTAATCAATCTAAACGGGGAAAATAGAATCGCAATACAGTCACCTAGAGGGAGATAACGAATGAGATTGACCTATTACTTGTAAAAGAATGAATCAATTGATTGTCAATTGAAGAAGAAAGAAGTAAGAAAAGGCTGTTGTAAAACTGAATTGTCACCGTATACCTTTTTTTATTTTTAATTTGGCTCTATTTTCCACTTTTGCTGCGACTCGACAAAAATAAAAAAAAAATTCTCGACGTGTTTTTATATTTTAGTGAGAGGCAGAGCGAGAGGCAGAGACAGTGATGAATTTTAGTGTAAGAATGCTAATAGATAACACAAGAGCAACGGCTGGATTACACAAATTGATATGAGATCAATGAAATTGTATACATTGTGTTTAGAGTAATTGGTCAAATAACATTGTGAATCGAAACAATTTTGGTTACTCTTTAATCGTATAGATCATGTCAAATTCTCAAAATCTTCCAGTAAAAATTATAAGGTTAGAGCGGAATAATATAGGGAGAAAAGGAGAAGGGGGGATAAGATCTCATATTTAGAAAATCAACTCATAAACTAGAAGTAATATATAACCAATTACCATTTCAGGAATGGTATTAAAGTGGTTACCTAATTGGCTCTATAATTGTCCAAAGTAAGATTAGTGTAGTGTTACATGTTATGTTTGTGTGTATTCTTTCTCTCGGTACGACCACTCAATTATTTGGTGCTCACTAAAATGTCTCCCCCAGTCCCTCATGGGCCCTTCCACTATTTATCTTACCATGCCATGCCATCATGCCGCACGCTAATTAAAAATGGATGGATGTGTTATCGCTAACTATTTACGCGTATTGTAAAGGAGAGTTGTTATAGATCTATTCTTAACTTCGTATATTGAATTATATCTTTAGGTAGATTAAAGTAAGATATCCAAAAGTTGACTTCACTTCATTTCATTTCATTGATTGATTGATATAAAGTGATTGTAACTGATCGTCACTGTCATCATCATCGTGATACAAAAGCCCACCGCCATTCTGTTTTGTACACTTATACAGAATTAACACTTTGATCAGAAACGTTCAAACAAAATCATAACAAAAATAAATTTAAAATTTCATTTATGGAAATTATTGCAAAAAATCCCTTCCAATTCCGTTCAATTTACGTTTATATATCTTATTCATCTTTCATTCTTAATCATAGTTTTGCAACTTAATTTGTCTATTAGACTGGATCTAATGTTACTTATTTATTAAATCTTTATTCATTACTCATTTATTATTTCCCCTCCATTATATATTAGTTCCCCCTCCACCCCACCCGTGTACTTTATACCTTTTGATTTTATATACATTTCAATTATTCATTTCAAAACAGAAACAATGTCAGATACTAAAAATGAAATTGTCTTAGTTGATTCCGATGATTCAAATGGTGAGGAGATACGAGATCATGAAGATGCATCCCATTATAATCAACCTCCTACTAAAAGACATAAACCATTGTCTGTTACTCCATTTAATGATAGATCATCATCTTCGTCTTTTATAAGTGAAAATGATGATTCAAGACAACATGGTGAAGAGGATGGAGATGATGATGGTCAAGAGGAAGATTCTGGAGAAGACTTTGAAGGAAAGGAAATACACACAGAAAATAGAGAAGATGATGATGATGACGATGAAGAAGATGAAGATGACGAAGAAGAAGATGCCGTAGAAGTACTATCATTACCATCATCCTTAGCACCTTCCTCACAGACCAATATTCAAATTATAAATCTGTCTGATAGCGACGAGGATGATGACTCACATGATCATGAACATCATCATGACCATCATGATCATGAACAAGACTATGATAGTGATGAAGATAGCGAATTGGATACAGTATCATTCGAACAAGTGGGGGCCATTTCACCTGCTTTAGTTGCTGAAACTAGAAAATATTTAAAACAAAATGGAACTCTCAAATTCTTGGAGAAATATTTACCAACTGCAGCTTCTAGTGAAGATATTTTAAAATTAATCTTAAAATTAGGATTCTTTCCAAGAGATTTGCCACGGTCATTACATAAAAAAGAAGAGAATAACGACAGCAACAGTAATAATGAAGATGTTGATAATGAAGATCTTATGAGATTAATTGGAATATTAAATCGAGCTATAATAAAAGTAAAATCAATCAGAAATAGATTAGATGAAGTTCAAACCATTGAAGATGCGTTGAAACTACTTAAAACTTCCAAAAAGATTCTTGTCATTACTGGAGCTGGAATTTCAACTAGTTTGGGTATACCTGATTTCCGGTCATCTCAAGGGTTTTATAATCAATTACAACATTTAGGATTAAGTGACCCTCAAGAAGTATTTGATTTACAATTATTTTTAACTGATCCATCATTATTTTATTCAATCGCATATATGATCTTACCCCCCGAAGAAATTTATAGTCCCTTACATTCATTCATTAAACTTTTACAATCAAGAGGGAAATTATTACGGAATTATACTCAAAATATCGATAATTTAGAAAGTTATGCTGGAATATCATCATCAAAATTAATTCAATGTCATGGATCGTTCGCCACAGCCACTTGTATCACTTGTAAATATCAAATCAAAGGGGAAGTAATCTTTGATAAAATCAGAAATAAAGAAATTCCTTATTGTCCGAAATGTACCAAAACTAGAAATCAATTATTAAGAGATGATGAAGAAGTATACATTGCTGAAAGCTTTGGGGTATTCAAACCAGATATAACTTTCTTTGGCGAACCTTTACCCAAGACATTCCATGATATGATTAATGAAGATTTGCACGAGTGTGATTTATTAATCAGTATTGGTACTTCATTAAAAGTTGCTCCTGTGGCGGACATAGTTGATAAAGTTCCCCCAGAAGTTCCTCAAATATTAATCAATAAGGATCCTATCGACCATTGTAATTTTGATATTAGTTTATTAGGTTATTGTGATGATGTGGCAAGTTATTTAGCTAATGAATTAGGTGAAGGTTGGGATTTACCTCATGAGAAATTTAATGAGATTAGAGGGTTGGATCCTGAAGGTAGTAATTTAGAGATTAGTCTTACTGATGAGGATCGTAGAGAATATGAGATTGTGAATTTAATCACTAGGGAGAAAGAGGATCTAGAAGCAGCTGCTATTGCAGCAGAAATTGCTGTAAACAGTAATGATGACGAAGATGATGAAGATGAAGAAGGAGAAAAGCAAGGTATCGACGATGGTGATGAGCAAGACATCAAACCTGCTGTAGAGATTATAGATTTGGACGTAGAGTCCTGAATCTTTTAGATGACTTATAACACTTTAGCTATTAGGCTTGGTATATAATATTTGTATAGATTAAAGATCGCATATGGGGCCAAAAAATGTTGCATCCTAAAAAAATATAAAAAATAAAAAAAAGTTTTCAAAATCAGTTTACAGATAATAACTATCGATTGCAATTAGATACAAACAGACGATATGCTTCGATTCACTGGTCGTATACCGAATGGGATACTATTAAAAGTGAGGACGAGTCGAACTTCATTCACATTATCCCAAATAAGTTCCCATATCCCCATCTCATCTATATGTTCATCTCCTTCATTTTTAACAACCAAATTTTATTCAACTTCCAAACCAGATGATTTAGAGAAATTACTTTCTGAAATAGAACACAATGTTAGTAAAACTACTAAAGACGACATTACTTCTAGTGAAGGTGAAGTGAAAGAAGAGGAGCTTGAGTTAGATATGAATAAAATAAACCTGTTATTAGATGATCATTTCAATTCATTACAAGATCAAAATAAACCAGATGAATCATCATCATCATCATCATCTCCAGAATCTCCAGAATCTCTTGGTGTTAAAGATAAAGTGAAAGAAATCGATATACTAGATAAATTCCTCCAAGATGAATATGCTCATACTTTGAAAGAACAAAATCAAGAAACCGAAACGAAAGATTATACTAAGGAGGATGCATTTCAAGATTTCTTTAAAGATTTAAATCTTGGTAATGACTTTGCACCAGTATCCAATTTTGAGAATGAATTATTCAATACCAGAAAGTTAATGGAAACCACTAATAACGATCATGAAACTGATTTAGATCATGATGAAACTTCCAATAGAGAGACTGATGATTTATTTGGTCATGATTTCTTGGATATGGGAAAGAAAAGACATGTTATAAATAGTAGAAATCAAGAAGAAAAGGAAACCTTAGCTAATTTATTCCAATCATTACAACGAGATGATGATTCATCAAGACCTAGTGTGGAAGAAAACCGTGCGTTATGGAGTCATAAACATGCCATGAGAGAAACAAGAGAACAATTCGATCGTACCTTAAGTAGTACTCGTATTGGTCTTTCCACCAGATATATGAAAGAATTAAATAAACAAGTTCAAGAAGCCTTAGATCCCACACTTCAATATATAAATGGGTTAGAATCATCTTCTGCCATTGTCGATTATTATAATCATCTTATAGAAGAATGGTATAACAATGCTGATAAAATCAAACATGATGAAACATTATTTGAAACTGTTTATCTTCATAAATTATTAAGAGAATCAACCTTAGATGAAAAACATCAATCCTTCATAAATGAAATTAAATTAAAAACCGAACAAGATGCTCAACAACCAATCTTAAACGCATTAACCTTTTCCGTCATATTCAATCATATTTTACGAACTTTAGCATTCAAACATCATGATGGTTTAACTGCCTTATCATTATACAATATCTTAAAGAAAGATTTGGAATTATATACTATCATATGTAATCAAGAGACTTATAATGAAATCCTTCGAATTCTTTGGATATTCAGAGGTAAAATAGACTTGTATGCCTTTGAAATGGCATACCTTGAAATGAAGCATTGTGGATTCATTGGAGATTATAAGACCTTCAACATCGTCAAACAAGTGTTATTAGATTATTATCAATTAAGATTTGGTAAAGCAGAAGGAATCAACGGTGAAAATAGAATTCCAATCTGGTCTTTAGAAGAGAATAACAGAAGTAAAGCCTTAGAAGGTCGTTTAAGACAATTATTTAATCGTCTTTCCATAGATACTTCGATGGTAAATCGTATATTATAAGTAAATAGATATAGTTGTATATAATTAATATCCTGTATATAAGAAAGCACTCCAAATTTAACTTTCCTGTAAAAACTATATTTAGCCAAAAAAATAAAAAAAAAAAAAAAACAGCCATAACTTTAAAAACCTATTTCAAAACTTATAATAGATAGAAAGATAACATCATGGCTCAATTTGGTGGTTTCAATAATACATATTTGGACTCAATGTCATCGTCCAATTCAGACACCATTCCTGCATCATCATCGAATTCAGAAATAACTCAGGGTGTACCCATAATAAAACATGAGAATGTGGATGATATATTCAATAGAAATGATGTTAGAAAACAACTTTCACAATCATTCCAGAATGCCGGGAGTGGTATCCATATAACAGGAGGGATAAATAAACCTCAATCAAGAAAGGGGTCGATCATTCCTAATATTAGATCCAATAACGCCAGTGATGATGAAGATGATAATGGTAATACTAAATCAAATGATAAGAAAGAAATACCAAAACCTGATATGGTTACTTTGAGAATTCAAGAGTTACTTACTTTGATACCTAATGATATGTTTCAAGATATGGTTAAGAATAAGAAATCTCCTATTAAAGATGAACCTAATGATGATGATTTAGATGATGAAGATGAGGATGGAAAGACCACTGGTACTAAAGATGGTAAACCAAATAAAGGTCAAATTTTAACTAAATCACTTGAATATATTGATATTTTACAGAAGCAGATTGATGATAATAATCATGCTGAAGCCACTTTAAAACTTAAATTACGTGATCTTGAAAAGAAAGCTAATCTTTTATCCCTGGATCTTGCTTTAAGACCAACTAGTGGTGAAAGAGCATTAGGAGAAATTGGTATTGGTAATAATCCTGCCTTAACCGATACTTACTATAAGAGAGTTTTAGTATCAAGTGCTAATACTAATAAAGCTGCTCAAAGAAGAGGTAGTACCACCCAATAGAGGAATAAGATGACTCTCTGAATATGTAAGAAAGGCTGGTCTTTTTGTCTGTATTTGTATCTGGTTACATCTTTTTTGTTGTTATTAATATGATATTTATTTCTATGCTTATATTATTAATGTATATTACTATATTAAAAATCTATACTGTCTTTTGTACATTTCTACCCATTCTTTCTCTTTCATCGGCTTTTTCAACTAAAGTATATGCGGGATAATAGTCATTTTCAGTTCCTTCTTTCTTTAAGAATGGATTAGGAATAGTATTATGTATCCCTCCTAAACTAGTATATCCATCATCATACATTGAACAATAATCTAAATCACATCCGATTAAGAAATCCCAAATATCGACATAATTCCAATGTAAAATAGGATGAATTCTTAAGAATTTAGGCCAATCATGATCGGTGGGATCTTCATATTGCAATTTACTACCATATGGATCATTATACCTTATTCCCACCACGATACATTTCACTTTCGTATTGACGTCATGAAGATAATATTCAAATCCTTCTTTTAATTTTGATTTTATAGTGATAGGATTTAAATTATAATGATTAGTTGATGATTCTATAAATGCTGATACTTCGGGAAAGGGGGTTTCTGAGTTTATATAAATTGAATCTAATTTATAATCTTTTGGAATATGTAGATGGGCATTTGCATTAGCCAAATGCTTTTTATGAATGGTGGCTAATATTAATATGAGCATTACTAAACAATCTTTCCCACCATTATATGAAATGGCAATTTCCTCCAAACTAAAAGTAACAATGTTAGTATTTCAAATCAGTGATATGAAGCTTTATAAGTGATACTTACCCATGTCTATCTATAGAAACAGATAACTTTTCTATACTTAGTAATACTTTGTCTTTAACAGATTGTCTTAATGCTTGATTATATATATATCCGACTCGCCTTTGTGACACCAACCCAGTTGGTAAAGTATCATTTAAAAACCCTTGAACGAGATTATATGCCTCCTCACACCGTACTAAGAATGCATGCTGCAGTTTAAAAGTCATAGTTGGTTATCTCTTGTTCGTATCTGAACAATATCTTGAAACAATCGCCTTGATCGGTGACTTACTGATAGATTTTTCAGCACCGTGAAAAAAAAATGATCTTTCAAAAATATCTGGGGGAGACCGAGTTACATACAGGAAAGTTACATATTTAGTATTACTTTATATGATTAGATTATTATTATTAATATTACATGAGTATCTATGATTTATATAAGAATTGAAGGAAGAACTCCTTGGAATCATTATCCCAGAACCACCAATAACTCTTAGACATTTCTGTTATCTCTATAGGTTTATCGATTTCTTTATCACTCGGTATGGCTAAACAAATATTATCATATGGTTCACCCGATATGACTAAATATTGATAGGAATTAGAATCTAATTTGTCATCTTCATTGGTAGTAGTGGTTGAATCTGACTCTCGATCGAGATATGATACTATTATATTTTGATTCTTAGTTGATAATTCATAATATGACATTATTCGAAATAATGGTTCTTCAATGGTTATATTTGGATATTTGATTTGAAGTAATAAACCTACTTGTAAAGTATCAGGATCTCGTATTTTAGTAAGGTTGAATTCTGGTTTACCTATCTTTTTCCAATTTCTCTTTTCAGTATTATTTATAGATACTAAATTAGCAACTTTGGCATTAATTTCTTTATTTTGATTATATTTTTCATCAAGCAATCGTCTTCGTTCAAGGTTTAACCCATGCTTTCGGCCTGATAAATGGGATATATATGATGATTCACTGACATGTGTAGTTAAACATAATTTACATTCTAATAATCCAAGATGATTTCGAAATACATAAGGATCGTGTTCTAAGTCTAGTACTTGAGTGGCTAATAAATCTTGAATTCGTCTCTTGGTATGAACATTGGCTTCTTCTGCACCAGCTATACCACCAGCCCCCTTCTTAGAATTCACCCGTTCAGAATAATCCATAATGATTGCGATATCTTATAAAAGAAGTATAATTACAGTCATATAACTGCCAGAGAAGAGTTGTGATAATTTTTTACATGTTCATACTCCAATTTACAGATTAATCATTCATATTTACAGTTTACATTAAAGTACACGTCTAAACTGTAATTTCCTAATTGGGATGAAATTTTAGAGACTGAACACAAAGAATAAAACCATTAAAAAAATTATCAAAGAAACTGATATAACAAGATATATATCAAAGCATCTCATTGTGATATATAGACTGATTGTAAGGATAATTAGATTCTGATATAATCCAGTGAAATCGAAGTATTATACAATTCAGGTGGGATATATACCTTTTTTTTTTTACAAAGCATAACTCAACACAACATAGGGGCCCCATTCATAATTGTCAACATCGATCCAAAAGTCATAAACCAATCATTCGTTCAACACAGAAATCGTATCATTAATAATGGAATCTCCTTTGAACATAGGAGATTTGACCACCAACTCCATACTGAATCGATTACATGATACTCATATAAGAACATCAAGTATATCAAGTGTTAGTTCAGCAGTTTATGCGGGTCAAAAATTCATTCAACTCGCGTTAACTTTACAACATAATGGTAAACCAGATGATACCATTATTATCTTAAGACGAGTGCAAGATTCATTTGTTAATATCACTCAATTACTTGCTATCTTACAGAAACTAAATCATTTCACCAGTGATCAAATCACAAAGTTTCTTAATAATGAAGTCATCACTAATATAGAGTATCATGGAAATTCTCAATATTTGGATTTTAGTAAGCATAATAATCACGCTTTAAGAGGATTATGGATACCTTATGATAAGGCCGTCAGTTTAGCATTAAGATTTGATGTTTATGAATTCACTAAGAAGTTATTTTTAGTTGATGTTCATGAATTTGATGAATTACCAAAACAAACAAAAAGATTTTACTCTGCTGATGACGATGAAGATGGTGAAAATGTGGATGCCAGTCTTATGGGATCACCTACTAAGAAACAAAAGTTGGCAGTGAAGGAAGATAGTACTGTTAAGACCACAAACAAAAAGATTAATCGATCTTTGGTGGATAAATTCGTATCTCTGAATAGTAATTATCCATTCACTTTACCAACCATTACTAATAATGATAGTAATGTTCAAATTGCTAATGAATTAAAATCTAAACTTGGTGAAGTATTCAAATTAGATTCCGAAGAAGAAAACAACGTTGGATTCGTTGAACTTAAAACAATCTTTCAACCTATTCTTGATAAATATTCTTCAACCTCAATCACCGATATTCCCTTAGATCAAAATGGTCAAACTGCTTTACATTTCGCAGCATCTTTAGCCTCCCTGAATTTAATATCTTCATTTATTGAATTAGGATTAAATTCTCCCATTAGAGGTAATATTCGTGGAGAATCACCTTTAATATCCGCTATTCAAGTTACCAATTCAATGGAAAAGGGAAATTTTAGTGAATTATTAACTAATTGGTTATTCCCCAATTTAGAATTATTTGATAACAAGAAATGGTCATTTTTACATCATTTAGCATTTCAATCTCAAAAGAAATTTGATAGTTCGAAATTTTATCTTATTAAGATTATTGAATATATCATTACTAAAGATAAATTATTTCATGAATTGATTTCAAATATTATAAACACTCAAGATCAAGAAAATGGTGATACTTGTTTACATTTAGCAGTTGAAAGTGAATCAAGTTGGTTTATAAAGATCTTTTTGGAACTTGGGGCTGATATTACTATTGCTAATAAACGAGGTATTAAACCTTCTGATTTAGATATTGTTAAACATGCCGCTGAAGATCAAGAAGAAACGAATGATCATATTTTTGAATTGATTCAAACTAGTGTTGAATTTTTAAATAAAAGACTTCAAATTAATGGAAATATACTGGATTTAGAAGAACCTAATGTTATAACGTCAACTGTTGCTGCTCCTGCTACTTCTAAAGATACAGCTGATAGTAATAGTTCTAGTAAGATATTCCAAAGTATTCAACAATTGTTAACTAATACCAATGTCGAATATGATTCCATACTTTCATCTAAGAAGCAACAAATAAAGAGTTTAAATGATGCTTTACATAATACAACCATAGTAACTGCCAATAATAGATTTCTTACTAAGAAAGTGGTTGAAAAATTAGTTCAACTTGATAATTTGAAATTAAAAATGGCTAATATCAATGATAGATTACTGTTAATTAAATCGGAAGGAAGTAGTGTGGTTGAAGAAGGTGATGAAGATGATCATAAACAATTTGATGCTGATGAACCATTCATTATAAGACCTATCTATGATAGATTAATTAAAAAGGAATCAGTTGAAGATCTTAAATCAAATGAAGAACTTTTAAGTCTGTTACAACCTGTTCCTATTTTAAAAGCCAGAATAAAAGCTTATAAACATATTAATGCCAAATTAGAACTGGATTTAAAAGAATTAATGGATTATAGTGAATTGGCAGCTAAATTTAAGAAGGTGGTTAGTATTTGTACTGGAGTTGATATTAATGAAGTTGATGAATTACTTGATGGATTATTAGAAGCGGTTGAAGGTCAACAATAAACAAACAATTAAGCAAACACAATTTGTTATATTTTGTATATTTTGTATAAATTTTATTTTGTTAATTTCCCATTTTTTAGTTCTTTCATAATTTGTTTTAATTTACAATTCATTTTAAATAAATTTATAATTTATGTATATGTATTTTTATTTTTATTTTATTTTCATAACCTAAACCTATAAGACATGCAATATTAATGATTAAAAAAGAAGAAGGAAGTGGGAGGAGAACGGAGTGATAATAATAAATAGTAAAAGAAACATTAGCAACTATGAATTAAGGATTAACCATGACAGCATCAAGCTTTCTTGGCATTTTACTAAACAAGACCTTCATATACCTTCAAAGCATTTGTAATTGAAGGATCTTTTTGCAGTAACTCTTTGAAATCTGCCAATGTTATGAAATCTTTATCTTTATCTTTATCTAACAATTTAAAGAATTTTTCAGTTCGTAGTTCTGGTGTTAGTTCATCTTGGGGTAACGCCACCATTGATCCAACCATTTTATAAATTGCTGTAACGATACATAACATATCTTGATAAGAGATCTTTCCCAATCGTTTATGATCGTATAATTTAAAACTCCAACTTAACTTTTGATCATCTGTACCTCGACTTGTTATAGAAAGAGCTATTATGAATTCTTTAAAATCAATATAATTTGAATTATCAACATCGAAAACCTGAAATAGATATCGACAATAATCCACCGGATCACCAAAGGGAAAGAATTGTTTAAACACTTTGACAAATTCTTCTTCTGATAATTGACCTGATGGACAATCTCTTATGAATCCCTTATACCATTGTTGCAACTCACGTTTATCGAAATAAGTTGCCTGTCGAAGTGATTTCAAATCATCTTTCGATAATTTAGATACAGCCTTACCCATTCCTGACTCAGTAACAGACTATATCAAACCCTCCAATAACCAAAAGAATACTAAATCTATGACAATGCTGAAGATACCAATCAATCAATGAAATCAAATATCGAAATGCAATGAGGGTTCAATCAAAATACAATAGTTAGCGGTGTTTATGGATATTATTTATTTTTTGGTGAGCTTTTTGTGCCCAAAAGTACACGACCAATTCTCAGCATTAATGGTCAATGGGAAGAAAAGGCTCTCTAGAATGAAAATTTATGATCTCTATTTGTGGAGAAGTAAGTAAGTAGTACTTTAAGGTCATTAATAATGTTGAAGTTTGGAAGTATAATACAAAAGAGAGGTGTGTCATCTAGTGTGAGGGTATTTGCTAATTACGGTAAACCCCAAAACCCACCTATTGATACTTCTATTCATATGAGAATTCAACCTATTGTTAGAGAAGGTGAAACTATTGATGTTAAAAGAGCTAGATTGGTTTATCAATCTAGAAAGAGAGGTATACTTGAAAGTGATTTATTATTATCTAGATTTGCTAAGAAGCATTTAAGTACCTTTAATGATGAGGAATTAGATGAATATGATAAATTATTGGATGAACCAGATTGGGATATTTATTATTGGGCTACAAAGAATTATACTGTGACTCCATTACCTGATAAATGGAAGAATTCAAAGATTTTACAATTATTACAACATGATGCTGAAAATAAAGACAGAGAAATACTAAGAATGCCTGAATTGGATTTGAAAAATACCAAATAGGTATATGCATTTGTCATTGATCATAAACCTATGAATTGAGGTTTTGTATATAGATATTATTAAACTAGAGATATTCATGATTTAACTACGTTTACAATTTACATATTCTTGATTTATAAATGTAATAAACTAAATATATTTAAAATTGCTATTATAATATGATGTCATAAATATTCAAGTGACCAAACAGAGTTTTATTCGGTATAATTAAAGGAAAACGTATCTATATGATATAGTTAATATAATGGTTTCCTAAATATACATACGGTTAGTTGAGTGGTATTATCACCATCTCATGGGAAATCATATGATTTAGTCGACTAAGGATGTCTTAGTGGCAGTTTCAACGGATTGAAAAAGATACTATAATTGTTAGTAAATTCATAACCTAGATACAAAACAATTTGTTTATAATTAATACCGAAATATCTCATGACTATCTTGCACCACACGCAGTCATACACAGCGGAGAACTCCTAAATCGAAGAATTCAGAGCACTATATGAGAAAGACTCCATATTATAATGTTTATAAATCAAAAATGTTTTTGATCCTGATGTTAAACCATTTCGTCATTAAATTTATATACAGGTCTTCTTCCCCATTAGGCACTGAATAAGCTAATAACTATATTATGATCTAAATTGACGTTAAAAGACATTGATGATAAACACTGAGTTACAACCTAGAAGGCTCTGATAACAATTAGATATAAACTAAAATCATTTATAATTAGTGTTGGTAGAAGGACAGTAGTTAATCTCCCATACAAAAATACTAATGTAAGGCAAAAAAGGCAGAAACTTTGAGACTGAGACAGAATTTGTGGGAGATCCACAAAAACTGTTTAAATCTAACATCACTATCAACTATCTACCACTTCTTCTACTCAATTGGTATTATACAGATCAATCAATCATATCTAGAATGAGTCAATTAATCACCTTGGATTCAATTCCTGAATCTTTGAAGTCAGATAAAAACATTACCCCCTATATCGCTCGATCATTAGAATTAGTATCAGTTAATCCAGTTGTAAGTTATTATTGTAAGATTTATGTATTAGAATATATCTTATCAAATAAATTACATACTACATCGAAAGAAGTTGAATTTTTCACTATCCAATTATTAGATGATACTGAATCAATCAAACAAAATAATGAAGATGAATCGATTCAAACTGCTTTAAATGATAAATCAACTTCCATAACTTTAGTATTATCATTTTCTTATAAATTGTTTAATTCATGTCTTGAAGATATATCTCAAATCACAAGAGCAACCAGTAAACCTGCATTAATTGGAAAATTCAGAGCTACATTGGTGTTTTTATCTTTATTATCGATCTTTACTAACGATAAAACTGCTAATACTTCGATTGATTGGGAAAAGATATCAGGTGGTAAAGCAGTTGAAGCTAAACAATTTGATGATTTAAATAAAGAAAAAATTAAGATTTTAAAGTATCAATTATCAAAGTTAATCAAAGGTGAAGTTACTTATAAGGATGAACCTGATGATAAAGAATTAGAAGCTGAATTGGATAAAGAATTGGAAGAGTTAACTGGTGGAGTACCAATTGATGACATTGATGACGATGGTGATAAGGACGATGATAATGATAATGGCGGTGCTAAAGAACTAGAATTACCTGGGGCTCCCACATTACTTCCTGACCTTGATAATAATGATAGTGGGTTATCTTTACCAGGAGCTCCTAAATTCATTCCTGATAGTACTGAATCAAATGCATTTGATGAACCACCAACTTTCATTGATGATGTGAATGGTAATTCTAATGACCATGATGAAGATAATGTTAAATTGCCTGGTGCACCTCATTATCCTCCTGAAGATAGTGATACTAATGAAGAATTTAAATTACCTGGGGCTCCAAAATATTTACCTGATTCAGATATTACTCATATTAATAAAAGTTCATCAATTCAAGTATTTCCTCCTGATCCAGATAGAAGAAGTTCAATTGGATCATCAAGAAAACCATCAGTAACTAATACGCCTCATAAAGATATTTCATCTCCGCCAACCGTTACTTCACCTCCAAAATCAGTAGCACCACCTCATACTCATGCTTCCCATCATATTGTCACTAGAGCTAATGTTCATGCTATATTAGATAAGACTGAACTGATAACGAAGATTCAAAAACATGCTAAATTCGCTATATCTGCATTGAATTATGAAGATATCGTAACTGCTGAAAAGGAATTGAATGAAGGGTTAGAATTACTTAAAAAGCTTAAATTACAACAAGATCAAGAATAGTAAGTAAGTAAGTAAGTAAATAGAATGATAAACAATACAACGTAATACGATAATGAATATTTAAATGTAACAATGTAACAACGTGAACCTTTCGGTGAAAGCTCTACTCGGAACATCGATTATAAACCATTTATCATCCGTATACATTTTCCCTTAGTGGAAAAGGACATTATCATAGTTAATTATGACTGGCGCTCGGTCTAGATAAAAAAATTCGATACCGAGTGAGATTTATTTCCTTCACTATTAAGTTTTGCGGCTTTCGCTCCAAATCGAAATAACGTTTAGGTGGGACAAGAGTATAAGTTTGCATCATATCTCTCCACTTTTGGATAATTGGTGATTATTTATATAGATATCATTATAATAAGTTTAATTATATTATCATATACCTTATATAACTCAAATTAGACATGTCTTCAGTAGTTCCTACCAAATTTAAGGGTTTCGCACCAAAGACTCAAGAAGCTTGGGAACATCCAAAATTAGTCGAATATGATCCTAAACCGTTTTTACCTACTGATATCACTATTAAAATCAAAGCTTGTGGTGTATGTGGTAGTGATTGTCATACATTAAGTGGAAGTTGGGGTCCCTACCAAAGACCAGATTTACTGGTTGGCCATGAAATTGTCGGAGAAGTTATTGAAGTGGGTGATAAAGTTACTGAACATAAACTTGGTGATATTGTTGCTGTTGGAGCTCAATCTGATAGTTGTTTACAATGTTCTCGTTGTGAATCCCATAATGAACAATATTGTCAAAAACAATTGGTACCTACTTATAATGGTAAATCCGTACAATCAAATGGATATATTACTCAAGGTGGTTATGCTAGTCATGTTAGACTTAATCAACATTTTGCCGTTAAAGTTCCTCATAATTTAGCTTATGAATACGCTGCTCCATTACTTTGTGCTGGTTTAACGGTTTACTCTCCTATTATTCGTAATTTAGGTCATGATTTAACTGGTAAAGTAGTTGGTATTGTTGGGATTGGAGGTTTAGGTGCTATGGGATTACAAATTTCTCGTGCTTTAGGAGCAAAGAAAGTTTATGCTTTTTCCCGTAGTGATAAAAAGAAACAAGATGCTATTAAATTAGGAGCTGATGAATTAATTGCCACGAAGGATGGTGAGTGGGTTGGTGAACATTTAGATGAATTTGATTTGATATTAAATTGTGCTTCAAGTGGTAAGGATGCTAATATTGGTCCATTTTTACAAGTATTAAAATTAGATGGTAAATTTGTAACTGTTTCTTCACCTCCATTAACTGAACTGTTATCGATTATGCCTTACTTATTATTAATGAATCAATCTACTATTAGAGGTTCAGGAGTTGGTTCGATTAAAGAAGCTAAAGAATTATTACAATTATATGCTGATAAAGGATTAAAACCATGGATTGAAAAGGTTCCTATTAGCGAAGAAGGGGTTCATCAAGTAGTTACTCGTTGTCATAAGAGTGATGTTAGATACAGATTTGTTTTAACTGATTATGATAAATTCTTCTCTTAGTTTTATTGATTTTGAATTTATAATGTTTTTGCAGTAATTAATTTGATTAATCTAAATTTTCAGTGTTACATGCCACAAAACAACGTGGTTACATGGCGTCAGTTTTTACAGATGTTTTTTTTCCTGTCTCACTAAATATTAGCATATGATTTAGGGAGAAAAGGCGGTAAATTATCTCACTAAATGAATAACAAAGAATGTAAGCTTTGCCTAATTATGTTACAGCTTGAGAACAATAGCTATAATTACATCATTTTGAAAGTATACTTTGATTGCTTGCTCTAGATTTCCATAGTTACATATGTTATCCATTTAACTGTGCTTACATTCACTAATTCAGCAAATAAATTACTTACTGAGATAATATTCTCTAATTAATGTATTTTTACGACTCATGGGTTGATATTTTTATTTATTTCCCCGTGGAACTCTGCCTCATTATATTGAAGTTAAATTGAAGATTTTCTTCTGTATATATCAAAGCAAGACGACGTCATATTGAGGTGGATATTGAACTGCCACCATTCCCAATTCTATCAAACCCTTGTCTCAAAGCCCACATCATCATCTTCATGTCCATTCTGTTTATTTGTTAATTTATAAAAAGCTTGTCTGTTATTAAAGTCTTGTCCCGTTGCTAAATATTTTACGTGTTGTTTATATTTTTTGTCCCTAAATATTAGTGAGTGAGAGAGAGTCGCCAAAAGTTTTTTTATTTTGTGATGGTTTAGGCTTATGCGCTGTTTAAAAATTAAAAATAAAAATAATAATAATAAACACCGAGACTGCATAGAGATGTTACCCATTATGGCAGTGATAAATTATTTTCATAAACCACAGTGTCAACTGTCTGTCTATCTATTGTACAATCTAAACAATAGATATATAGTTGAATTATGGTAATTGTTCTTATGACATGATTTGACAGCAAATCAAAGGTATAGAAATAGTTATGTTTCCATAAAGTTCATACGACTATATACCCCATGTTTAATCTATTTAAGCTTTTAAAGACGTGGATTTAACCAGATGACATAAATAAGATATAACTTCCCTTTAAAGTTTAAGAATTTATGTGAGGCTGCTTTCTGTAAACTTATCTGAAGTATTATTATAATCCTCACTTTCTCTTCCTATCTTCCTTCCTTCCTTTCCCCTACCCTTTCCTTAAACTCATTTGACTTGATAATTTTTGCCATTAAATATTTTTTTTCCCTCGTTGGCATCAGCTCCCCCGGACTAAATTAAATTAATCGTCGCTAAATTCCAATCATCTAAATCATACCCCAACTGAAGCTACATCTTCTTAATTGTTTTACCAATAATTCAACGGAAGTGACAAGAAAATAATAGTTACATCCAACTTAACGTCGAAGAAAATAATTACAACTAAAAAGTCAAACCGGAAAACAAAAACAAAAACAAAGTTGGCTTTTTATTTTCACGTAAATCTTTTTAAGCAACAAATCAAAAAAAAAAAAAAAATAATTACCAAAGAAAAAAATATTTAATTTTCATCAACAATCGCAGTATCTAAATCACAACAACAAAATCAAATCTAAAGGCAGCCAAAAAGGTTTATGTTCATTTCCTTTTCTAGATCATAATCTATCTCATATCATCCATACTGTAATACCCCCCTCGTTGTTGATCTAGAATAATGGAGGCTGTGAAAAAGCGGTTCTCTTCCAACAGTTCTCAGAATGTGTCCCCTAAGAAAAGAGATAATACCACATCACCCAGTTACTCGCCTGGTCCCACCACTGCCGGTGACTTTGATCCTGATACCTTATCACCAGAATTAGTCCCTATCGCTACTTTGATGTCAAGTCAGTCTCATCGTAGATATACTGAAGGTATCTTTATGTTATATTACGATTTGAATGGTGATGGGAAACCAGCAGATCGTGTTTGGAAAGAGGTTTATGGGATCTTAACAGGTAATCAATTAGCTTATTGGGATGCAGCCAACTTAGCTCAATATAGAAATAATCCAGAAGCTCTTTTAGAGACTTCTTCAAAACCAAACTATATCAACTTTACTGATGCCGTATACAATGCCATGAAAACTTTACCATCAGCCAATCAAAATTTAGAAAATATCATTATTGTATCAACTACTTTAAAAAATAGATATATCTTACAATTTAAATCGTATCCTGATTTAACTCAATGGTACGCTGCCTTAAGATTATCTAGTTTTGAATATTCCTCTTTACAAGAAGCTTATACAGGTGCATTATTATCCGCTAGAGGTTCAAGATTATCTGATATTAGAACTATTCTTGCTGAAAAAAGATTCGATCATGAAGATTGGGTAAGTATCAGATATGGAAGTGGTATGGCTTGGAAAAGATGTTTTGCCGTTATTGAACCTTCAGTAGCTAAAAAGAAATCATTTACTCCTGGTAGAATCTTATTCTATGAAACTGATCAAAAAAAGAAAAAACAATTAATGGCAGTAGTTTCTACGGCTGCTTCAGCAACGGCAATTTATCCTCAATCACCATTATTAATCGATCATAGTACGTTATTAAAAGTTGAAGCTTCTATAAATTTTAAATCACCTTCATTAAAAATATCCAAAAAATCAAATGATGATTTTAGAAACACTTCCATATTTATAATGCCTGAACCTCATTCAGCCGTTCCAGGTTTCGATACTTTAATTAGATTCTTGGTGCCATTAATGGATTCATTTGGTCTTTATGGTAGACCTCAACGGTTAAAGGCCAATAGAACTGATCCAACTTCTTTATTATTTGGGTTACCAACTTTACCTCACGTTCATTATTTACAATTAGAGGATGTGGCTCAATTAACTACTAGAAGTGATTTCTTAAGTTGGGATGTAAATGGTTGGACCAGCAATATTAAAGGATTATTAAGTTCAAAATTAGCTCGTGGTTATCTTGGTTGCGGATCTCAAAGAGGTGTGGCTGGTGCTGTTAATTCTTTACATAGTCCTTCATTAAGTAAACCAAATTCTCCAATGTTAGGAGCTACCAGATCATTTTCGAATTCTTCAGGTTCATTACCTATATCTTCACTTAATACCACCAATTCTAATGGTTCAAATTCAAATCTTCCACCTGCTCCACCATTGAAAACGACAGCACCAAATAAGAATTTCCAACCTAGAAATATCCATGATTTATCTATTAATACAGGTAAAGAACAACCTCAAATCCCTATTGCTACTCAAGCATTACCTAAATCAAGACTTCAACAATCACAAGCACAACAAGATTTAAGTAAACAAAATCATAAATCAGTTCAATTGGATGATATTTATCAAAAGTATTCTGCCATCCAAGCTCCATCAGATCAATATCATATTAATAGAAATGAAATGTTGAATATAGCTGAAGATGATTTACCTGCTGATATTAGAAAATTAGATATTGATCCTGAATATAATACTTATCCAAAGGGTAATGATGGTGTGTTCAGTGATGATTCAGAAGATGAAGATGAACCAGCTCAAAAGCAAATTGGATTGATTCCAAATGCTTCAAGTTCATCATCTGGTTTAAGTGGTCATAATCTTTTATCAGTTCCAGCCTATAACAATAGAAATAGTAGTTATTCGTCAGTCCAATCTCCTATGACTCAATATAATGAATTCAATGAACAATTCAATAGAACTTTGACTTTGAGTAAACAACCTCCAAGGAATTATACTGAATTACATCCTGCAAGTGATGATGAAAGTGAAAGTGGTACTGGTGATAAGGGTCCAACTCCTCCAACTCATTTCTCTAATGATTATAACTTTATTCAAAAATCAAAGCCTTCTTACAATTTGTCAGAGAATATAAATCATATAAGGCAAGGATCAACTACTCCTCAAAGCGAAGTTTTCCCTGAAAATCAATCCATACATTCTGAATCAGGTAGATTAAGTACGGGATCAAGTTCAAGTTCTCAAGATTCATTTAAAGCAGGTGAATCAGAAAGAATTGCACCATATCCTTTATCTCCAGAAAAACCAGTTGAAGCTCCAACCAGTGCCAATAAACCAAGATTTATTTCTTCACCTAATACTTCTCAAAATCAATTACCTCACTTCCGTTCTCCAGGTAGAAAACCTCCACCACTGGCTGATGAAATCAATACTGCTCCAATTCAACAACAAGCACCTCAACAACAATATAATCCACCTGTTCAACATTACCAAGCTCCTCCAGCACTACAATATCAACAATCGCCTGCTCAGCAGATGAAGATTCCAGTCTTACCTCCTCAACAAAGATCAGGTCCTTTGCCAGTTCATCCTCAGGCTCCACCTCAACAACCAGTATATCCACAATCTCTGAGTTATGGATATGTTCAACCACAAGCGCCCCCACAGCCACGTCATCAACCATCTCCTCCTCCACCTCAGATTTATGTAAATCAAGCTCCACCTCCACAACAACCACAATATGCTCAACCAGTTAATTATCGTCCTCAACAGCAACCTCAAGCTCCAATGAAACAATATGCTCCTCAACGTCCACTCCAACAAGGACCACCACCTCAACAAAAAGGATATCCTCCAGTGAATCAATATGGCCAACCTCAACAACAGGGATACCCACCTCAACAGCAAGGATATCCTCCACAACAACAACCTAGAGCACAAATTCCAAGAAGTACAGGTCAAGGAAATAGAGGCCCATATCCACAACCACCACAACAACAACAACAACAACAACAACAATCAAGACATCCTTATGCAAACATGGGAAGTGGGCCATACGCAGCCGCTAAACCAAGGGACAATACTGACCCAAACAGACGTTATTAGAGAATGGGGGGTTATATTTAAATATTGTATACTAGTTATGATTACGGACTTTATGTTATCTTTTTGTTTCACTTACTTTTCTTTTCTATTCTGATGTCAATTACTATTATTATTTTATATTTGTTTTTTTTTTATACTCAAAAACTATATGTATGTATGTATATCAATGTATTAAGAACTTTTTTATGGATTTATAGTTTTTTATATTCTTTGTAAACAAACTTTAGGAATCATACCTTCATCTGAACTAGCTAAATTCTTATAATAATCATCTCCCTTTCTAATCATCTTAACTTTACACCAACCATCAGAATGTTCATTCAATACCACTACTTTATCACCAATCTTGATTGTTAATTCATCATGTAGATTCTTGGTATATGGCTTTACAACCATATATAATTTATCCTTAAATTGCGGACTATTTGAAATACCACCTTGAGTAGGATCAAGACTTTGATCTTGTGATACTGGGACAACAACAGGAGGAATGGAATAGTTTCTTTTATGTTGTGGTTTAGATCTATTTGAACCGGCCACAATTTCAGGATATGGATAAGATACGAATTTAGATTCAATGGGAGTGGAGTCCGTACTTAATTGCCTGTTCTTTAAGACTACTGGTGGTGGTGGTTTACTTAAATTAAAACGTTTAAGAAACATAGGTGACATTATTGAATTTCTGAAATTAGATTTAGAAGGTTGAGATTGTTGCTGTTGTTGTCTTTGATAGTATGAGTTAATTTCATCTTCTTCTTGTTCTGGATTGTAATCACCAAAATTCATAACTCTACTGATTCTATCTCTAAGTTTATAACCAATTGATTTTCTATTATTAGCGTTTCTAGTTTGATGTTGTAAGTTTAATATTGGACTATTGGCAGAATAATTACCTCTGGTTGGGATAGTACTTGCATCATCATCTTTCTCTTCATCATCATTCCTATTACTATCTTTATTATAACTGAAGAATTCTGAACCATAAGGCATCATTTTTTGTTTCACATCTTTAAACTTATGCTTTTTAAGAAATATAAAAGCTAATATCAAAATTATGAATAAACTAACAATAGCAACAGGAAGTCCAATAGCTAAACCTAATCTCAAAGAACTTGAACCTGAACCCGATAATGAACTTGACAAATCTTCCATTGAACTTGAAGATGCTGAAGAACTCAGTTGAGTTGATGTAGTTGACACCGAATGTTTAGTAGTAGTTGAAGATACATATGATGTTGAAAATGTTGAAGATGGATCAGTAACACTTGGATATTCTATACTTTCGGGATCTGTGATTATCACTTGGCCAACTAGTGAAGCAGCTACTGTTGGAGCTTGTGAAACATATATTGTAGTTTCTTGAGGATCAGTTTCTTGAGCACCAGTTTCAACTATAACAATGCTAGCATCATTAAATAAATCTTGTGGTGCAGTAACTGACTTATTGGTAGTTTTAACTGAAGGTGCAGTGGTGGTAGGAGAAGTGCCAAGGGTATAGGTTGATGTTAAAGTCATCATTACTGTTTGATCAGTATTGGTATTTTGAATACCTTCAGTGATTGTTATAGCCATAATTGTTTTTCTCTAGTTGATATGATGAAGAATTAAAACTTGGAGAATAAAAAGGACTAGACATCTTTAGTTGCTTATATATTCTCTATAAGCTCTGGGTCTTGTATTACTAACGTTTCATGATATGTGATATATAGAATTGTATCAAAACAGTTATGAATTGGTTGCATATTACTGTTTTTTTTGCAGTTAATAGCCACAAAAAAGAGAAGCACTACAAAAATTTCAAAATTGTTTCAGATTATTCGAAGTGGAAACTATCATGAAACAGAACAATAATTCCCCCAAATACCAACTGAGTAAATAAATCTAGATACGGCTCAATGTAAACACTACTCTAGATAAGTTTTAATTAAGTTTTACATTTATTATAGTACAAAATTTCTAAATATAGAATATATTACAAAAAGATTGAAATATGCAAGATGATGACAGTTTACACTTAACGAGGTAATATTGGTTCACCATAAGCTGATTCAAGTTCATCATTTGTCTTTTCAGGATCAATTGACCACACAGATGGATAATATCTTAAATATGATGTAATAGCAAATCCAATCCCAATGACACTACCTAATGAAATATCAAAAAAATGATGTCTATAATCTTGAGTTCTACTTAAGGCAATATAACTTGCTAAAAGGATAGGTAAACCAGCGAATATATATTTATAAAGTGGTTGAGGTGCAAGTCCTGATGCAGTTGATGATGATAACCTGAGTTGACCATAAATCCAAAGTGATAAGTAAAACATGGCACTGAAACTAATAGATGAATGACCAGAAGGAGTTGATCTCATACCATCGATTAAAATAGTTTGACCATAAGGAGCTGTACATACTGATATATCCACTAAAGTATCTAACGGAGTATCATTTCTTGCTCCGCATCTTTCAAGGAAATCAGGTCTTGGATTAGCAATCCAATTCTTTAAGATATCAGTCACCACTCCATTAAAACTTAATGAAATAATCAATCCTAAGATTGATATTTGTAAATTATGAAGTACTTTTTGACCTGAATTGGATGATCTTAAAGATTTTATAAATGAAACTAATGTGATAGTTATGGCAGGGACCAAAAATGAAATGACAATACATGCTGGACCAGTGACTCTTTCTTTAGTAGCGAATGGATATGATATGGTCAAATCATTAAGACTGAATTGTCTTTCGAATGGTTTAGCATGTTCAGCAATAGAAAAGAAATAAATAACCAAAGTGATTGATACGATCCAATCGGGAAGAAATCTTTGGAATGAAGCACTTCTTAAGTAACTTATGACAGTGAAAGGATTAACGAACGCCATGTTGCTTCTATAAGTTTCATATCATTAAAAAAGGAACAAAGATGTAAAGGTGTCGTTTGATGGTTGATTTATATGGGGATTCACAATGCTTTATTTTTTCAATATTGATACGATTCTGACGTTTTTTTTCTTACCAGTTATCTGTTCATTCTATTTTGTGGTAACAAAAGCGCAAAAGAGCCCTTACCGTTTTAGGACAGCAGTCCATTATCATGTTTACAGAGTTATTCATAACAAGAGAAGTGTCTACAGATATGTAATAATGATCATGTCGTGTATAAAATGAACTGAATCTAAATGTGTACAGAGTACAGAAGAAATGAAATTGATAATCTAAGTTGAATGAATAGTTTGATAATTTTTATAATATATATATCCAAGAATTTGAATCATGGCTAATAAACATAAACCAGAAGTGATTTGAAATGTAGTATTATAACAGCCTGATCCTTTAGCACAGACATATTCATGAGTGGTATCATCCCATTTAGTAGTGTTTTTATCATACACATAACCAAAGATCTTGGTCATAAGGGTAAGACCAAAGGTGGTAGCGGTATACATTGCTCCCCATATAAAACTATAATTCTTCATATTGAAAAGATCAGATATGATGGCGGGATAACTGGTGAAACTTAATCCATAAGCATACCCAATTAAAGCAGAAACAACCATGAGATAAATGTTGACTTTTGATAAATCAAGACTTATAAGATCGATTACGAATGAATTTAACACATGACCAGTAAGCATAAATGATAATCCAATGATTAAGATCCAATGTCTTTGACTGTTTAATCTATGGACCAAGAAATCAGAAGCTGGACCTGAACTTAATCTTCCTAAGAATGAAGCAATAGCAATGATTGAAACATGTAATGCTTGTAATTGATTTAAAGTTGGAATGGTAGTATTAATATCAGGTGGGATAACTCTGGTGAAATAATAATGAATGGCTTTTAATACAAATCCAACTGAAAATATATAAACTTGTCCTAATCCTTGTACAATGGCAAATATGAAATAATGATACCAAAATACAGGATGAAGAAATGATTCTTTTAAAGATTTATGTTTTAAATCATTTAAGGAATTTTTACCCGCAGTTTCAATATCAGTACTTACACTATCTGACCTACCAAGTAATGGATCAGATTCAGTGGCAGCAACCTCTTCAACCGTAACTTCATCATCAGGATGAATAATATGATGATCGATATACCCATCTACTCTAATAAACACAAATCCAATGAAAATCAGTAATCCACAAGTAATAGATAAGAATTTCAAGAATGGACCAGCATCACCATGAAACACTCTAGTGGCAATATTCAGGAAAATCAAACTTGAAATGGCAAATGATGCAATCGTAATACTTTGAGCTGTACCTTTAAAATTTGGAAAATTAACCGTAACAGCTTTAATCGAACTAAAATATCCTGACACAGATCCAATCCCAATCAAAAGCATCGACAACAACAATTGAGTAATACTACTATCGGGACCTAAATTAAATTGCCAATACAACCATAAATATCCAAACCCAATACAAAATGAACTTATCAACATAGGTAATTGAGTTCCATAATAATCCGTCACCAATCCACCTAATATGGCTCCAAAGGCAGATCCAACCGTGGCGCTGATATTCAAATTGGCAGATTGAGAGACATCCAATTGACATCGTTCAGCCAATTGAGTGGAGAATACCGAATATGCAAATAACGTCCCACAAGCTAATGATACTGGGACGGAAGCTGCTAAAATCAACCAATGATTGGTGAAGGGTAAGAATTGATTGATATGTTTGACTCCTCTATGTAGTATGTACATGATGATGATAATTGGTGATGGTTATGACGAAGACAGTGTAGTATCATCTATAAAAGGAATGAAGGGGATCTGGTTTTAAAACTGGATATGGTGGGATAATATAGTTATCTTTCTTCCATTGTGTCAAGGTATGGAGATAAAGCCCCAAATGGAATGGCACAAAAAAACAACACGAGAACGGAATATTTGATCCACACTTAATCGGCAAAACGTTATTTCTTACCGACCTCAACCCATAACTTTTAATAACGAAAGCGATACTTTTATTGATAATAAATAAGTATATACAAAAGACATTAGAATAGAAAAGTACATAAAGGAAATGATAAGATATAATACGATTATTTTTTTTATTTTTCAATTAGGTGGTGATTTTTGCTTTTAATGAAGTTAAGAAATCTCTATATGAAGGTTCTGAACCTGTCTTATCTTCAACCAAACAACTAAAAATCCACATTCTTAAGGCTATTAAATCACGATTTTGAGAGATTTCAATAGGTTCATTTGATGAACCTCCAATCACCACATATAATGATTTCCAAGTTATAGAATCTTTTTGATTTCTTAATTTAGCAATGATTTGACGAACTCTATAATTAAATTCTGATTCTTCAAATCCAAATTCAGGTAATTCAGTTTTACCAGTTGGAATAGCATATAAATTATCGGTACCAAATAAATCATTTACTAAACCTGGAACCACATTACCTGATACCATTAAGAATAATTCGGTTGAATTATCAACTAAATATAATCCATAATTTTCCCATGAACTTTTAGATCCATTAATTGGTTCAGGTAATAATATTTCATTGGATATAAGTTCTAATTCATCACCTGTTTCTTCATCAATTTGAACTGAACGTTCAGGTAATCCACATTCATCCGGCATATCATGTAAACTATAAACTGTTGGATAAATATATTTAATCAATTGTTTAATAGGAAGTGATGTAAGGGCATTCATAGCTGAAGCTCGATGATCAGATGGAACTCTTTCACCTCTAAAACTTAAATTCTTTGCTAATGAAAATAATAATAATGGTAATAATCTTAAATTAGTTGACAATTGTAATGGTGAAGCTCCTGAAACATTACCTGCTACTAAATCTTTTCTATAAAGATTCAAAATTTCAACAACTTTTGAAGTTAAATATTCTCTGGCATCCGAAAATGAACTTGTTAATGCCTTTTCAACAGTTTTATGAGCATAATAATTTGTTATGGCTAATTGATCAGCAGAAGCATAAACATCATTTAATTTACTTGAAGTTGGAATAGCTAAATTAAGAAGTCTAACTCTTCTTTCTCCAAATGAAGTAGAATTTAATATAGCAGCTTGGAAATATACCACTGGTTGATTTATATTTTCATCAATAGCTACTTCAATAACATAACTTTGATCTCTTGAAAAAGTTGGGAATGAACAAATATCAGATGATCTATTAAAGAAATTACCATAAAATTCACTCATTCTAAATGCTTTTGAACCTCTAACTCTTAATACAGCTTCCATTGAAAAATCTTGAGATAAATGTTCACTAATTTCTTTAGATAATTTTTTAACATCTTCTATATTATTACCAGTCCAACCTGGATAAAAATGAGTTTGACCAGCAGTATAATGAGATAATTCAGATAAAGTTGCTACATCTTGATATGACGAACAAGTTAAAAAGAAATCAATCGTGATTTGATTTGAATTACAATCAATTGCAAATGATTTATAAAAATTATCAGCGGGAGTTAAAAGTATTTTAGCTTCTTTTGGTTTACCTGCCACACTTGATTCATCTCTTACTGATAATTTACCTTCACCAATAGTTGGTAATGAAGCTGAAAAACATATGATTTTACCACCGATATTATTGATTAATTTATGACCTGATTTTAAAGCTGGACCTAAAGCAAAACCTTGATTTGCTGCACCTTCAAAATAAGTTGGAAAATCAATTAAGAATTTTTCAATAGCAGTTCTATTTTCATTTAAATTAATTAATAACCCATCAGGTGTAGGTAAGAAAGGTTCATCAATATCAGATACAATTAAAGTATCCACATCTTCAAACCCTTCTTTGAAACGGAAATAATGTAAATTTGAATCAACCCCAATGAAAGCTACTTTAGCAGTTTGATTAACATTTGGAATTCGATCTAAACTTTCTAAAATAGTTCTTGAAATAGTTCCAGTTAAACCACTTTGAACTGCATTAACCGATATATCAATAAGAAAAGTGTAAACAATAGGAGGAGGAGTTCTTACCATATATTCTTTTGGAGCTAAGAATTCAACCACTGAATAATTTAATTCAACTCTATCGAATTTATTTTGAGCTTGACCTGTAATTTCATCATAATCGAAACCAGCTGGTATATCATTTAATAAATCACAAAAGTTACATTTCCATTTTCTACCATTTTCAGTAACAGTTATAAATGGATTAATATAACCTTTACATCGGCGGCATCTACCAATATTTGTATCTGAAGTGACGGGAATTTGTTCATCATCAACGGTTAATGAATTATAAGGATGAAGGATTAAAGCCAAAGGTAATTTTGATTTTTTCCATAATGCAGGAGTATTTGGTATGACATTTAAAGTTGATCTAAAATAATCAGGTGAAGCATTTGCTATTTCATTATTAGCGTTTAAAGAAGCATTTTGAGGTAATACTATAGGAGGAGGAGGTAATGATAAATCTGATATTGGAGGAGGTAATTCTCTTGATAAATCAGTAGTATATAATTGATTCAAAGGATTACCAAAAGCTTGAGCTTGATCTAAAAATGATGGATGTCTTTGAAGGGATGATTGAGAAAATTGACTAACCAAAGGACTGCTAGCATTTGATGGAGGTCTATTTTGAGAGAATTGATTAACTTGAGGGGAATAAGGAGAGTTAGGATTAGATCCTATACTTAAATTTCTAAAGTTTTGAGTGGTTTGATCTAGTGAAAGTTGAGGAGGGATTCCTAAACCTATGACTGGTTGCTGTTGTTGTTGGGATTGATTTGGGAAAGATGGGGAAGGAATACCAGTATCAATGGGAGTTGTAGCATATTGAGGTTGTGGATATGCCCTTCTTCTACTTGACATGATGGATTGATTGATGGATGGATGGATGGGGAGATCTCAAGCGATGGACTGACTGATTGTGACGAAGGGTGAAAGAATGAATGGTGTCTAAATGAACAGATATGCAACTAATTTAAAGTGATGTTTCGCAGCTGAAAATGAGACAGACCCTGTTTACCTTTTTTTTAGTTAACGACGTGGTCAAAACAGAAAAATATTTTGTTCTCAAAATATACGACACACTACAATACAAAGAAATACTATAAATCAATATAAGCAATTATTCAATTTGTTAAGAATATATAATATGGAGTATGAATGGAATATGATGGTGATGCAACGTTTGAATGAAGTTTACTGGTTTAAGTTTATAGAAATTGTAGAAAATGGTAGTTAGTGGGGTAGTTAGGGTGATAAGCTAAGCAAAGATAATAGAATGGTACGATTAATAAATTAACATAGTATAATGATATACGCTACTGATTGTTGATATTTTAACTAGCTAAAGCAAACATAATGCTACCTCTAAACTATATAAACCTAAGAAAATTTGAAACATTCAACTTATCTATACTAGTATTTGCAACAATATAAAATCTATTTAACTAATTTGATCACATGACATTTCGATCACATGATTCGTCGCGTGATCAAAATTACAAAATCCTACAAAAAACAAAGGTCGTGTGAAAATGTCCAATTTTTCTTTTTTGTCGACGATTTTTCAGTCAAAATTTTTTTTCAATTATAGCGTAAGACTTTTAGAATTAGAGGAAAAAAAATTCACTTTATATATATAAATTTCATTTCTAATATCTCCTTTCCTTTCCTTTCCTTTTGTTTAATATACAATTTATTAGATAAGATAGAACCATGCCTGTTGATCCAGAAAAATTAGCTAAATTACAAAAGGGAGCTGCCAAAAAAATTGGTGGTACCAGAGTTAAAGCTAAAAAGGTTGTTAAAGAACAAGATGATACTAAATTAATTGAAGCTTTAGCTAAATTAAAAGCTACTAAAGTTGAAGGAGTTGAAGAAGCCAATTTCTTTAAGGAAGATGGTACCGTTTTACATTTCAACAGAGTTGGTGTTCAAGGTGCTGCTGCCAATAATACTTTTGCTTTCACTGGTTATCCTCAAGAAAAGAAAGTTACTGATTTAATTCCTCAAATTTTACCTCAATTAGGTGCTGAAAATTTAGAAATTTTAAGACAATTAGCTGAACAATTACAAGCTGGAAAGACTCCTTCTGAATTACAAGCTCAAGCTGGTGGTATTGAAGAAGATATTCCAGATTTAATTGAAGGTCAATCTTTTGATGACGTTGAATAAATCAATTAATCAAATAAGATCAATCATATCAAATCAAATCAAATCATCTTTCCATCTATCTTCCCAATCTCAACTAATAAAAAACTGTAGACACTTCAGATTATGTAAATACCTATCCAATATGATTCATAAATGAAATTTTGAAAATATAACTGGTAATGAAATTCAATCAATATTATATTGTGTGGGGCAAACTAAAAAATTTCTTCATTCATTCATTATTAAACATCATTCTTGTTTTCCTATTTTTATTTCCATTAATCAATCATATTGATATTTAAAACTGTATATGAAAGTGTTAAATTATTTGAAAGTTGTATATATAAAGAATACACATATTTAATGCATAACGTTTCTTTTTAATAGTATAAAATAAGTGAGTAGATTTGAAAAATTCTGTATGTTTTGTCGCAAATTATGTCATAAATTGGATGGCAAAAAATGACAAACCACCAGTCATTTTCGACATTACTGAAAATTCTCCACAAAAGAAAAAATAGACTAGACCGAAATGGCAATTTAGGGAACTGTGGGTGGTGGTGGTATGAATGAATGAATAAATGAAACTCAATTTAACTTTCAATTGAGTTTACTGAATGGATTTCATCTATCCGATATTTGATCAGCTATTTTATTTTCTAAAGTTTAACAAAAATAATTCCAATTGCTATTTACAATTTAAAGAGGAGTAATATGTTCCCTCGTACTAAGCTCAGTAAAAAGCATTCCCACTACGATCGTCTCTGTTCCCTCTCTCCCACAAAATCCACCACCGCCACCACCAGATTCTCTGCCTAACTCTCACAAAATGGCAGGGGGAAAAAAAGGAATACAATTTTTATTTACGCCGACCGATTTAAAGATGTCAAAATAATATGACGTCAAATATACGATTAACTCTACAATTCAATTCAATTCAATTCAACACGTTTGTGGTTAACACGGAGCCATTAGTTGAATTGAATTGAATTGAATTCAAAGTTTTCACAAAGAGCTCAAAGTTTAGATCTGTAAATAAATGTGAAACAACTAGACTTTAATGTTAAAGAATGTAAGGTGTCGTCGTCGTCTTCGTCTTGCCCCTTTCTTTCCAACTGAAATTTGGTCTTTAACCGATTAAATCCCAAACCAAATATACACAAACATGAATAAAATATTAGTTATTGTTTTAAGTTTGCTCTACGTAAAATAGGCTTAGGTAAAACACAGTATTTTGAAAATTTTATGAAAAGGAAGGAAGGAAGGAGGGAATTAACTTCAAACCATGGCGTGGGTTGTGGAAACTATATTTAAAGGAGGGTTAATTCTCTATTTTGAAAAATTTAAATTCAGCTTGCTCTAAAAATATCTCATCCCCACAACTTAATTATACCCAATACTGAACTCAATTGAACTCAATTGACCTTTCTTTAATCATGACTTTAAGTAAACATATCGATGCTGAAGCTTTAGAACATAAATTATTAAAAAAACATAATGGTAAAAAGCTTTCCCATCATGAACAATATATTTCCAAATATGATAGTGATGAAAAAATCCCAAAGTATCAAATTCCAGAAGGTTCATCCGATAAAGAATTAGTTTATAAATATCTTACTGAAGAATTATCATTAGATGGTACTCCAACTTTAAATTTAGCTTCGTTTGTTAATACTGCCATTGATGAAGTTCAATTGAAATTAGTGGCTGATAATATCGTTAAGAATTTGGCTGATAATGATGAATATCCTTCTTTGATTGATTTCCAACAACGTTGTATTTCCATCATTAGTAACTTATGGCATGCTCCAACTACTCTTGATAAAACTACGGGAAGACAAAATGTTAATACTGTTGGTGCTGCCACCACTGGTTCATCAGAAGCTATTATGTTGGCTGGGTTAGCTTTCAAAAAGAGATGGCAAGAGAAACAAAAGGCTAAAGGTAAATCCATTGATAATCCAAATATTATTATGGCTACTTGTGCTCAAGTTGCTTTAGAAAAATTTGCCAGATATTTTGATGTTGAAAATCGTTTAGTTCCAATCACTGAAGATTCAGGTCATGTTATTGATAGTACAAGAATTAGAGAAAATATCGATGAAAATACCATTGGGATTTTTGTTATTGTTGGATCAACCTTTACTGGTGCTTTTGAACCAGTTGAACAAATTTCTAAGCTTTTAGATGAAGTTGAAGCTGAAACTGGGGTTGATGTTAGAATCCATGTTGATGGTGCTTCTGGAGGTTTTGTCGCTCCATTTGTCTATCCTCATTTAAAATGGGATTTTAGAGTTTCAAGAGTTGATTCTATTAATACTTCAGGTCATAAGTATGGTTTAACTACTGCTGGTTTAGGTTGGGTTATTTGGAGAGATCAAGATTTATTACCAAAAAGTTTGAAATTCTCTTTGGATTATTTAGGTGGAGTTGAAGAAACTTTTGGATTAAATTTCTCTAGAGCTGGTTTCCCTGTTATTTTACAATATTTCAATTTCCTTCATCTTGGAAGAGAAGGTTATACCAAAGTGTTTAACAGTTGTATTGAAAATGCTAGATTATTCAGTAACATTTTAGAAGAATCTGAATATTTTGAAGTTTTATCTGTGATTCATAAAAAGATTGAGAATGATACTATTAAAGCTGAAACTTATACTGCTCAACATCATTCAACTTCAAAACATTCTAAATTAAGTATTAGAAATGAAGAATTTTATCCTGGTTTACCTGTGGTTGCATTTAGATTTTCTAAAAAGATTAGAGAAGAATATCCTGAAATTCCTCAAAGAATCTTTTCAACTTTATTAAGAAATAAAGGTTTTATCGTTCCAAATTATCATTTAAGTCCTGATGAAAATGATAAAGAAATCTTACGTGTGGTTGTTCGTACTACTTTATCCTTAAACTTGTTGGAAAAATTAGTGGCTGATATCATTGATTCTATTGAATTATTAATTGAATCATGTATTACTGTCCGTGAAATGATTACTGCTAAAGAAAATACTGAAGAACAAAACAAGGAAGCTATTTATAGTTTATTATTATCAATTGCTTCAAATGGTGTGGAAGATGCTAAACAATTCCAACATAAGATTATTGATGCTGAAGGTACTGCTCATGGTAAAAATAAAAAATCTTATCGTGGTACTTGTTAAAACCACATTATAACTTTTAAAATATACTAAAAATTTTCGTCTTTGCTTTAACTAGGTTTATATAAAAATAAAATAAATGTGCTTTATGATTTTAAAACAGAACCGTATGGAAGCGCCAATTGTAGAACCCTCTCAGAACAAAATACGGAGCACATTCTTTTTTCTTTTGATTTACCGGTACTCCGATTTTTCGAAAAATCAGCAAACGAAAAAGGGGAGTAGCAACTTTAATTTTATATATAGTAAAGCTGTGGATTGAAGTGACTTTTACAACTATAGTTAGTTATCATTCACTTTGCTTATTACAATTTGTAGTCTTTTCAATTTATAAAAGATTCGTCAATTCCGTTTCATTGGTGTTTAAAGCTATATAAACATAATTACATTCGATTGCAAAAAAAACACCAACTATGTCTCAAGCTATTCCACCTCAAAGTCAACCATTCCCTCATTTATCAACTCCAGTGACAACTGTTAATTCAGATACTCATCGAGTATTCAATATTGGTAGTTATTTACTTTCAATATATGGAAGTTTTACCTTGTTATTCCATCATCATTCTCATAATGGTGGAGATTTCCAAAATGATGAAACTCCATTTTCAAGTAATATAATCATCGTGTTAACTTATTGGGGATTATTGTATATCTTACAATTAGGATATTTATATCAATTTGAAACAAATCTCGTTAATTCCCTTGCATTGAATTCTCATTTTGTTATTTTCAATATTGCTCATTTCATATGGACGTTATTTTATAAAAAACTGTGGTATTTCTTAAGTGAAGTTGTTATCCTTATAAATTTATTAAATCTTTTGATTGTTTATTTTAATCATCAAACTTATAAATTTAAAATCACTGATGGAGCATGGAATTGGTTTTTTATTCATTTACCTGTATCGGTATTCCCCTTAACTTGGTTATTATATGCTGTATTTTGGAATGGGGCAATCTTATTTGGGATTCATGAATTTATCGGAAGATTGATTTCAAATATTTTAATTTGGGATTTCTTAATTGTGCCAATCTTATTCCTTATTTTATTTAATGATTGGGCTATAGGTTTAACCTCAGCATATCTTACATTTGGAATTGGATTAGGACAATTATTTACCAAATTATTTGCTTTACAATGGATTTTTGCATTTGTAATTAGTGGTATTTTATTCATCTTAAGTATTTTGATAGCTGTTACTGGAGGTTTACCACCTCAACAAGCACCACCATCACAAATACTTCAAGGTGATCAAGCTCCATTATTAAGTTAGTTTTAACAAAAAGTAATAATAGGATAGTTTAGTATTTTTTTATTAGTCTTTTTCTGATCGTTTTTCTGTTCTTTTTATAGGTTGAACCATTTTTTTAATTAATGATTGTCTTAATAATTCTGGATTTTGATTTAAAATAATTGAATTGTATAATAATAATTGATGATTATGACTTAATGAAGCTAAAGTATCACGATGAATATTAGTAAGAAATTCTTGTCTTGAAGTATCGGCATTTCCTAACCCAATATATTTTGCCTTAAGTCGATTATAATCATTCTGTTCTCTTATTTTATCTGCCATTATGCTTAATGATGTGATGATATCTTAGTAGACTGTTATGTAGAAAGTTTTTGATGTAGTCAAGTTCATTTGAAGATAATGAAACATCACACACGACCTTTTCTTCGAAATTTAAAAGTATTAAATGTTACACTGCAATACACTACCGAAATAGGAAGTCTACCTCTCTTTATCCCTTAAAATAAAATAAATACTGTAAAAATAATCTAAAATTCTGTTTCAGTTTTTTTTGATTTCACGTTTCCTTTATTATTAAATATCTGTTATCTAAGTCATCATCTGTATTTATTAGCCATTTTATTAACAGTAGAGTAGTAATTAAATAATTAATGGAATGTAATATTTAAATATAAGGTTCGCTAATGTAGGCTTGGTTTGGGTCTTTTTTCCAGGACAGAGGTGGGCAAAAGGCGGTGATTGCGGTAACGGGACTAAAAATCGGTGAATGTAATCAAAAAAAAAAAAATTACTAAGATGAACACACTTTCAAAGAACAAATATGTCAATTTAACATTGTTTTAAAGTTTAATTGATGATATGGATGTGGAGTGATGGTTGTATTAATATTAAATTGTAAGCTGATGATAACCGACTATTTAGTTTGTATTATTATCTATGTAGCGCAGGTGATATAACAGTTAAATGTACTATAATAAATTACGACTGTCTGCTTCACCCCTCCTTTATTTTGGCGCCCCCACCCACCACGCAAACAAATAAAACAAACAAAATAAAATAAACTTACATACAGGTACTGTACATACATACATACATACATACATACATACATACATACAAATACCATAACTTAAAATAGTCATAGTTAAAGAGTCATCCATAAACAAACATATAGTCACACCAATTCAACAATTAAGCCGTAAAGAGATAATAAACTATATAGTAAGATGTAAACCAAACATTCTATGCGATGGATATGATCCCCTTATCCCCTCCATCGTTTATTATAAAAAAAGAAAGAAAAAGAAAGAAAGAAAAAAAAAGGATTAGATAAACACTTTATGAAAATCATTAAAAATTAAGGGACAGACAAAAAATAAAAAAATTAAAAATAAGAAAAACGGTAACTAGTCAGATCCGACAAAAAATATATATATTACAGGCAGACAGAAAGACAGTTAGACAGACAGACAATCTATTGCAAATCAGACAGCTTAAATGATTAATCCGATTTTGAAACAAACAGACAGACAGACAATTACTTTAATTTGTATTAATTATACAAATGCCATAATCAGTAGTTGATAACTCTCTTGCCCACTAGTAATAACTAACCTTACTTCACTCTCCACTGATCAGATTTACGATACTTGACCTCAGCCTGGACCTGAAAGAAAAATTAGATACTATATTTGAAAATGTAACATATAGAACAATCTAGTCTGAAGATCACAACTTGATGAATCACAATTGTCATTTTTGTCATTTGTCATTTTGTGATTTTTTAAAGACATTTTTTTTTAATTTAATTTAATTCTTTTTTTTTTTTTTTTTTTTTTTTGGTTTAAAGTGGAGAATCCTTTTTTTTTTAAAGAGTCAAGAAAATTAAAATTTGATGAAAGGAATTAGTTCAAATTTACTTGCTTTCCATCGTCAATATCAAACATTAACTCATAGTTCTCCTTATCAATCCGTCTTTATTCTGTATAGGTATCCAATCGTACAGTAACGTTCTGTTGTTCATAATTATTTCAAGTAAAACCATAACTTAGATACTGTACATAGACTCACATTTTCCCTGTTACACATACTCCTTCTCCTCCTTATTATCAACCTTATATCATTCTGTTTTACTACTACGTCATCATCTTTATCAATCAGTAGTAACATTTGCTATATATCATCACCTTTACTATATCCATCGTGATTCTCCCACTTTCATTTCATCTTATATGATTCCTACTTCAACTACCATCAATAAACCATCCAAAAATAAATCAAATCAAATCCTTAACTCCAGTATCAATAATAATAATAATAATAATATAAGTCGCTCATACGATCCATCAACCACTACTATTTCCTATAAACCAATCAAACAAGAACCAACCAACCAAAACAACCTCTTCACCTCCAACACCAACATCATAACCACCCCTAACTCCACATCTTCCAACATCGCCACCTCCAATAATAATAATATTACCAATACTAATATCAACAACAACAATAACAACAATAAAAACTTTACTGTAACAGATTTAATCTCTGATACAGATAATGCATCTATACAAATCTTTAAAATGTATCAACATAAGAACTATTTACCTCATAATCAACGAATCTCAAATATAGCTTGGAGAATTCAAAATAAAAAATTATTATCAACTAAATTATCTCCTTCAAATTCAGCTCCTGGTTCATCTACTTCATTAACTACTAATGGTATTGCTAAACCTTCTACAGGAATGGATAGAAGATCTAGTTCCATAAGTAATAAAGCAGGTCCAATAAAGGAATCATTCTCCAATTCGGGTAGTAACAATTTAAATGATCCAAATCTAGATGAATTTGATTATGTAGCTCATATCAGAAGAATAAGTCAAGAAGAATATAATCAAGCTAATAATCTTCCTTCTCAAAATCAAAATAATCCAACTTCTCAACCTGCCCCTTCATCTTCTTCATCAAATACTGCATCTACCTCAAATTCAAATACAACTAATACTACCTCACCTGATTCAAATAGTTTAAATTCAAACCTTTTCAGTACTAATATTAATAAATCTCAATCGTTGCCCGTAAACAATACTGTCAATAACAATAATAACAACAACAATAGTAATAATAATAACTTTTTATCATCATATATAAATTCGTTGGAGTCAACTTTAAAGCAAGATTATAAAATAGGGCCTAATATCAAAGCAGCAAGTACAGTATCATCAACCACCACACCATTCAACGAATCATTGTCATCATCACCCCCAAAGTTCAAAAAGACCAGTCCAACTTCAAATCCAACCATGCCATCAGCATTATCCACCAATACAAATTCAACATCAACTCCATTCGCAGGTCCAGGTGGGGTTAAACGGGTTTTACAATGTACTAATTGTCAAACTAAAACTACACCATTATGGAGAAAATCAAGTAATGGAGATTTATTATGTAACGCTTGTGGATTATTTTATAAATTACATGGTGTTTTAAGACCATTAAGTAATAATCATAATAATAACAATACCAATAACGTCAATAATAATAATAATAATAATAATAATAATAATAATAATAATAATAATAATAATAGTGCTACTATAACGTCAAATAATAATAATAATACTACGACGGCAAAGAGTAAACCTATCAAGTATCCTACTGATAGAGCTATACTGAATAATAATACTAATTTATTTAATGGTTTACTGGATACAACTCCTACTTCTGATTCAATTCCAATTAAATCTGAACCCATACTGCAAGCTTCATCCGCACCTAAATATAATAATAATATACTTCCAACCCAAAATCAATTCCATAATGGTGGTCATAGTTTGAATAGTGGAGGATTTATGCATGATCCTTCTAACGATGATATGATGAATTTAGATTCATTCTTAGATTTAACCACTTCTGGACCAAATTTTAATAATCATCCTTCATCATCAACTTCAGAAACTTCACCATCAGGCCTATCTAATAGTTTACCAAACCAACATAATCAATTCAATAATAATACTACCACCAACTCGAACAATAACAGTAATAATAACAATAATGATGAAATTGATAAATTATTGAATATTAATCTTTTCCAATCTGATTCATTCACTATCGGAGCTTCAACCAATCATAATCCACAAGGTAATAGTAATAATCATCATTACATAAATGGAGGTAGTGATGAGATATTATTACAGGATAATGGAGATATGTATAACATACCGGAACATCATCAAGATATAGATTATGATGATGATGGTCATAATCATGGAGGATATGCATCCCAACATCCTCCTGGAATCAATATTGGTATGAATTCCGCAAACAATAACAATAACAATAATGCTGGTGGTGATAATATCAATGGTGCTAATAATAATAATAATAATAATGGTGGTGGTAATAATTGGAATTGGTTAGATTTCAGCCCTGCAACTACTAGTGGCAATTGAAATTTTACGAATGGAAACTCTCATACTACTATATATATTTAACGATGTCATCAATTTACTTTCTTTTTCTATTAGTTTATTTCTTTTTTAACTTTTCTACGTGATATATTCCTTGTTCTTCTATAGTGTTAATTTATTCCGAATTATAATATTATAATACAAACGACAAACTACGAACTTCAAAAAAGCTACTACTTTTATTCATAAACGATGATTTGTTTACCATTGGTTTTGGATTTAACAATTCCTTGTAAAAACACTGATTTAATATCATCAACTCCAACTTTAACGATATTTTTCTCAAATGGGACATCTTTTAATTTTCCATCCTTATATAATTTCAATAAATCAACCACGGTTTTAACTTTCAGTTCGGGATCACGTTTAGTATTAGCAGTTAACCAGTATGCTTTAGTAGTGATATTCTTCTGTAATTGTTCACCACCGTTGTAACTGATAGGTTGACCACCAATCATACCAAATGTAACGAAATAACCATCTTGCAGAAGAGAGCTCACTAATTGAGCAGTGGTTGGACCACCAACACTATTGATGGCTAATCTGACATTACCCTTGGATCCAATCCAGGATGGTAAGGTTTCCTTGATGAATTCTGGTTTTAAGAATTCTGATTCAGTTATAACTTTCGTAGCACCTAAATCATATAATTCTTTAATTTCTTCATCTGATTTCCCATCTCTAATAACTGAAATTGACTTGATATTTTTCAAAGTGGTGAATTGAGTTAAATATTTAGCAACTTGGGAATTACCTGCATTTTGAATAACCCAATCATTACCATCATCCTTCCAATCATGAATGAATTGACCTAAGATTTGATAAGCAGTACATGGGTTAATCATAATAGTGGCACCTTGTTCAAGAGTGAATGAATCATCTTCATCATTAGATAATACAATTAAAGGAGTTTTATCTTCAGCAGTCAGGACTACGGCATGTGATCTCCATGAACCAAAACCAACATTCTTTGGAATAACCCAATCACCAACTTTATAATCCTTAATATCAGATCCAACATATTCAACTCTTAATAAAGTTTCATTACCTGGAATATGAACTGGTTCTGAAGTTTGTAAATCATGGAATAACTTAGGAGGAGCACCATAAGCTGCACCAATAATACCCAAGTCGGAAGGATTAATGGAAGTAGTTAAAGCTTTGACAATAAGTTCGTCTGATTTCAATTTTGTGGGGTCGATTGAATATTTAGTACTATGTAAGACATTAGCAAAATCAAATCCTCTTTCAGTAAAAGTCACAGCATTAGCTTCAATGATATTATCTGATTTAGTCATTATTGGTGAATTGACTTGATATGGTTGACTCAATGGTATATTATGAAAGTTTTCAATCGAGAGATCAAAGTGTCAATTTATATCAGAAAAATATGTCAAACAAAATCTCAAAAATCGTTCGTTTGAAGCGCCATAGTTTTTTCTCCATATACATAGTAAATCTACTCTACACTATACTACACTACATGTATTTATCAATTAATCAGCCGTCCTAGTATTTTATTCAGGAAATAAAGTCGGATATAATCGGCGTTTCGGGGCGATATGGGGTGTTAACGAAACAGTATAAATAGCTTTGATTACGGAATCACTGTTACCGAGATTTGTCAGTTGGATCCGTTGTTAAATCCGCCAACAAAATATTGAATTGATTAAGTAGGGGTTTTACGACCAGGATTGAAACTGTTATGTATTATTGAATCCCCTCTTGTATCCGTTAATTATAATGTTAGTGATTACTTATCAACAAAAGATTCAGGTACTAACAAGTTAATATGATTGATTGATTGATTCATTGATTGATTGACGGAAGAGCCTCTTTGAATTAGTAATCGTAATTATGATCGGTACTGTTTGTTCGCCGACTGCGATATTTGATTTTTGAGATGTTTTAAACACTTCCCATATTGAGAATATATTTACAATTAAGCTTTTCAGTAGGCTTATTTAGATTTACGATCTAGTTAAACATGTTTAATATTTGGAAAAAAAAATAAAAAAAACGGATAATCTTATAAATAATATCCATATTTGGTAGCGTCGTTCGACTATAATTAACATCCATACCTCTAAAATACATCATTCATCCTGTATATAATAATGTAAATCGTAAAACTTCCAGCACTACCAAGAAATAATTACAGGGAAAATAGAAATAAAAATTTTCAATATTTACCAATTTCCCAATTAGGCAATCTGATTAAATTTAGCATCAAGTTCGAGAAAACAAACTGATCCCTTTTATAACTAAAAACATGTACATAATATAACATATACTAAGGGGAACACATCATTCCATGTTATAATTAACCACAACAAACAAACATCACAGATATTCCTACATATATGTGGTGTTTACATCTTACACACGATGTCCATGTTTTGTAACTCAAAATGACAACGATGGAAGGAAGGATGGAAGGGGTTTATAGAGCAAACGTAAATATTATTATAAGGTTATAAATAGAAATTTAGTATATATTGTTTTAGTTTAACTTTTGTGGTTTATTATAACTGAATTTTTAACGACCACATTATTTATTATTATTATATACTATATGTACTTTACTGTATGTTCGACCCCTTCTTTAAATTTTAATTTTCATTTTCATAATCCTATTTCTTATAACTGAAATCTCCTCTTTTTCTTTATTCACTCTAATTTAAGATTTCATTTATAACAAACACTTATTCATTCGCTACCGCCACCATCCCCCTCCCCATCCTTTCTTTGATATTGTCACAAGATTGTATATATACACTTTTATAATAGCTCCATTAAATGATGGGCTTATTCTCAAAAGCAAACGTTGCATTCAAGTCAAACCATACACCTCAAAGTTCAATGGGTGAAACTGAATTCCTGACTGGTACTTCAGAATCTTCCTATACTTCCAATGAAAGTAATAGTAGCTACAATCCTCAACCAATATATCGTACTGCTGTTCCATTAAAACAAGACTCAACCACGGAAAGATCTTCATCACCAATGTATAGAAAGGCTCCACCACCAGCTACTAACTCATCACCACATTATTATCAACAGAATCCGTCATCTCCGATGCATCCTCCTCGTAAACCAATAGCTTCATCTAATCCTCTGACTCCACTGAGAAATCAACCACCAAATACGAACTATACATTGAATGCTAATTTATCACAACCAAACACTCCGTATATGCCGAGAGTTAATCATCCACCAAATAATCATAATAGTCATAGTAGGAATAATTCTGATAATAATAATTCATTTAATGATGATTCCTTCATGGTTCGACAACCTTCCAGATCTGCATATTATGTTCCCCAATCACAACAAGAAGAAGAAGAATCTGAAGACGACGATGAAGATGATGATGAAGATGAAGAGGACGACGACGAGGATGACGACGAGCAGTCTGTTTCAACATCTTCATCATTCCAACCTCAACAGCATCCGTATTACGAACAATATAAACAGTACTATGCTGCCATGGCTCAACAACAACAAATGTATGGTGGCCAATTCCCAATGTATGGTATGCCTCAAGGCTTTAATAATCAAATGTATCCAAACATGCCTTACAATCCATATTATTACGGTGGTATGCCTATGCAACAACAAATTCCACAACAATTCTCTGGCATGCCTTCCCAACCACAAACACAATTACAAGATCCTCAACCACAACCACAACATAGTATCACATCAAAGCAAAGAGTTGTTTCTAAATCTCAACCAGATTTACTCAATATAGTAGAAGAAAATACACAAGCAAGGAGTGGAAAGACTTCAAGATCAGTTTCTAGATCAGAACCAGATCTCTTAAATACTGTTGCTCAGCAAGACGAAGTTCACCAGGAAAATGTTAAACAAAATAACGATTTATATTTGAAATCATTAAAGGTAAGACAAAAGGAAACTAAAAATAACGATAATGAATTAATATCTAACTCCAGGAAATCATTAATTAGAGCTAATAGATATCCATCAGAACCAGTTTCATTAGCTCTGAGAGTTGAGTCTATGAGTTCTATCCAACCAAGTAATAGAATCTCATCATTAGCATCTAATTTCAAAGCTCAGGAAGTTCATGAACATGAACATGAAGATATTGATGATGGGTTTGAAGATACTACGCACGAGGAATCATTTGAAGAGGATCATACTGAACCACAAATCGAATCCGTCCCTCCAACTATGCCTGCTTCTCAATCGATTGCATTTAATTTACTGGAATTGAATCTTTCTGATAAGCAAAAAGGTAGATACGTTTCTGATTATATGCAATTATTCGATGCTTATGATGAAGAAGATGAATCTGTAGAAGTACAATGTAAAGAATTGAAACCTGAGGTTCAGCATACTCCAATTCAACATTCACATGAGTCTTTAACTGACTTACAACCGGTTTCCCATAAATTTAGTCAAGATAGTCAAATCGATCTTCACAGTTCACCTTATTCAGCACAGTCAAACGAAGACTTTTCTAGAAAACAATCATCAACCTCTAATTCATCATATGGTTCAATTCAAAGTGAATCTGATTTTAAAGTGGCTCCACCAAGTGAAGTATCTGAAATATTACATAAAGAACCACTGCCAGTACAACAACGTGTCAAAACCCCACCTGTTCAAGAGAAGAGTAAACCAAAAAAGAAAAAGAAAACACCACCACCTCCTCCAATGGCATATACTTCTAATTCTCAATCTCCACCACCAGGTATGATGTCTCCACCAATGGGACCGGTTGATCCTATGTTAATGAATCATATGATGTCTAATCCATTCATGAGTCAAAATCACGCCATGGGCGGTATGTATGATAGAAGAATGAGTATGGTGAGTCTTAATGGAGGTAATAATAGAAATTCAATGCTTATGCCAAATCAAATGATGAATGATAAAAGACATTCCATGGCATATTTACCCCAGCAGTTACTCCCTCCACCTCCACCACCTCCTCCTCAACCACAGTTTCATATTTCTGATAGTACTATTAATAAAAAAGTTCAAGAATTTATCAAGTTACGTGTTTCGATCAGATCAGGTAATAAATCAAATGAAAATAGAATCAAATGGGTTAAGAGTTTAATCACAGCTACAAATTATAAATTATATTCATTTATTAATATCAAGGGAGAACCAATTCCTCCAGAGTATTCAGCTACTAGTAAGGGTATATTTGTCAGTGAAGCTATGAAACATCTCACAAGATTATTAAGAGAGTATGAAAATGAAAACAACGATGCTTCAGAAGAATGTAAAAGGGAAGCATTCTATATGTATGGAAGTCTTCTTAAGCATGATTATGATTATTTGTATAATCAAAACTTCAACGTGCAAAAGAATATTCAAATTTCAATTGAATATTTTGAGAAGTGTTTAGAATTGAATCATAATGATCATGAATCAATGTATAAATTAGGTGAGATATTTGAATATGAATTTCCGGATGAATTCTCAAAAGCTCTTCGGTATTATAAAAAATCAGCAAAATTAGGTTATAATAGAGCTATTTACAAGATTGCCATGCTTTATTTAGAAGTTCCAAGTCTTAGATCAATCAAGTATTTCCGTTATTTAAGAGATTTGTCTTCGATTGATTTAAATGATATTGTTGAGAATGAAAAGGATGAATTCAGTGAAGTTATAGGGTTAGCCTCATATCAATTAGGTAAGATTTATGAAGGTAAATATCCTGGAGATTTGAAATTAGAAGATGAGTTCATTATCCAATCATTAGAATTGGCTCCTGTGAATTATTCGAAAGCTTTAACATACTATAATAAATCAGCTAAATTAAGCTGTTTATTATCCCAAGTAAAATTAGGTAATGTTTATGAATTCGGGGAATTGAATAGACAAAGAAATGCTGATAAATCAATTCAATGGTATTTAAAAGCAGCAACATCGCCATTGTCATTCAGAAGACATCCCGAAGCCATGGTAGGGTTAAGTAGATGGAGTTTAAGTGGATCACAAGGAGCATCAAAACATATACCAGGACCAAATCCTGAACGAGCCGTCATGTGGTGCGATAGAGCCATCCAAGAATTTGAATCTGCAGAAGCATATTATTTCATGGGAGAATTAAGTTCAATGGGATTCAGTACTATTGCTCCTGAAAGTTGGTATTCAAAAGCGTATGAATTGGGTTTTTTAGAAGCAGGTCATAAATTAGGTTATAAAGATGACGAAGAGGTTGAAGTCGAAGCTGAAGCCTAGACTTTTAAAAAGGAACATTAAAATCAAAACAAAATAATTTCATCATTAGCATCATATTTGCATTTCATTTTTATATACATATATTTTATTTATTAATAATTACGTTATCATTTAGAACTGATCTTAATGTTGTAGTATTTTAGCAACCAGTCAATCATACTTTATACCTAAATCGGGAAGTTCCGCCCTCTCATTTTTCTTTCTCCACCCCCACCCCTCCTTTAACGACAAATTCCGCTTCTAAAAATAAAGACAGAGACACCTTCCATAATGAAAACATCTCGAAATTATATACAGGCCCGGTTAGATTGTCCTGAGAAGGAATAAACAATCTCACACATCCATCACAGTAAACGGCCCTTTTACCATATAGAGATTAATAACCGTTAACTTATCTAGACTTAAGGGGCTTTTCTGTTGTGGGTATAGATTTTTATTGCTGTTACCAGTCTTGTGTTGTTAGATTATATTTACTTTTATATTTGTTGTTGCTAGTTTGCCTTTCCTTTTGAATACCTAATTTTAAAAAAGTTCTATTAAATTTGAGTCATTTGATCCCATAATGAGTCTGCCTCAAAACATACAGTCAAACAGCTCAAGGCGAAGATCCATTGCATTATTAACCAGGTCACCTTTATCTTCATCTCCTTTAATAGCCCATTCTCCTAAACGAGGAAATTCGGCCAATAACTCATATGTGGCCAACGTCCAGTTTTTAAGAACAGGTGGTGAATCAAGACAAAGCCTAGTTGAGAATGAAGAAGCTATTGATTCTCAAAGTTCAAATGAATCATCCACTCAAAATTTGATTCCTGAATCAGCTGGAATATCTATTCCTAGTATTACTGAGAATACAGATTATTCAGCTGGTATTGAAGATCCTAAATTATTAGCTCAAGTAGCGAAACATTTACATGATTCAGATTCTTTAAAAGCAGAAGGTGCAGATATCACTAGAGACTTGTATAGATTGAGTGTTGATAATAACCATCTTCCAAGAAGATCTCGTAGTTTTGATTCAGCAGAGTGGACTAGAGAAAGAAGAGAAAGTGGAGCTAGTTCCTTGAATGTTCCTGGAGGGTTCAGACGTGATTTCTTAAATCATAAATTTAACGTGGAAGAGATTCGTACAGTGCATCCAAATTTCCTTACCAGGAATTTTGTTGAATTCTTAAGTATTTATGGTCATTTTGCTGGTGAAGAATTAGAAGATGAAGAAGATATTGCATGCCATTATAAAATTCCAGAATATACTGGTGAAAGATCACCATTATTAGGTTCGAATGATCAAGAAGTAAACCCAAAAGGAACAGCCACTGATAGAAAAGCATATTTCCTATTACTTAAAGCATTTGTTGGTACTGGGGTTTTATTTTTACCAAGAGCATTTTCAAATGGTGGTTTAACATTTTCTATTTTAACCTTAGTATTCTTTGGTGCTTTATCATTATGGTGTTATTTAATCTTAGTTTATTCCAAGATTTCCACGAAACTTAGTGGTTTCGGTGAGATGGGGTCCAAACTTTATGGAAATTGGTTACAAAGATTGATTTTATCATCTATTGTTCTTTCTCAAATAGGATTTGTGGCAGCATATATTGTATTCACTTCGGAGAATTTAAGAGCATTCATAAGTAATGTAAGTGGTTATCCACCATCTGATTTTGAAATCATTTGGTTCATCATATTCCAAGTCATCATTTTATTACCATTATCATTAATTAGAGATATTACAAAGTTATCATTACTGGCAGTATTAGCCAACTTATTTATTTTATTCGGATTGGTCACCATCTTATATTATATCTTTTACGAATGGTTATATGAGAATAAAGGAACCTTAGGCCCTAATATTGAATACATATTCAATTCCAATGATTTTTCATTATTTATTGGTGTGGCTGTTTTTGCATTTGAAGGTATTGGATTAATCATTCCTATTCATGAATCTATGATTTATCCTAATAACTTTCCTAAAGTTTTATGTCAAGTTATATTCACTATTTCATTCATTTTCATATTGATCGGTAGTTTAGGTTATATCACATTTGGGGATCAAATTAAAACAGTGATTATCTTAAACTTACCTCAAACTTCACCAATGGTTATTTTAATCCAATTATTATACTCATTTGCTATTTTATTATCAACTCCATTACAATTATTCCCTGCTATTAGATTATTAGAATCAAAATTATTCTTTAGAAAGACAGGTAAAAATTCACTTCGAGTTAAATGGTATAAGAATGTGTTTAGATTCTTATTTGTAGTGATGGTTTCATATGTAGCTTTAATTGGTGGTCAGAATTTAGATAAGTTTGTTTCATTCGTTGGTTGTTTTGCTTGTATTCCATTGGTTTACATGTATCCTCCAATGTTACATTTGAAAAGTTGTTGTGTTATTCATGATGGATTAAGTGATTGGGAAAAGAGAAAGAGATTTTGGTTAGGTTTATTAGATTATGTTTTGGTTTTGATTGGATTTGTGGTTATGCTTTATACCACTTATCAAATCTTATTCACTTAATCCTTCATTTATAAATAAAAGTTTTGTTTATATTTTAATTGGTTTCTATTTATTAATATATGTTAGAGTCATATTATATTTTCATTTATCATCATCGGATATCAAATCAGTTATGTAGGATCTAGCATCATGAACTGAACTAGATATGATTTTATTAGCTTCATCTAAACTATTTTGAAATTCTTCTTTAAATGTACGTAAATTTTCAAAGATTAATTGATTCTTTTGATAATTAAATTCTTGAAAATGTTCCTTTTCATAATTTTCATATTTAGATGTTATAGTATGGAAAGTATTTGGCATGAAGTAAGCTAATGAAGAAGTACCGAATATTATAGGAGTTATGAATCTTAATGGTAAAGCTCTTCTGTTGACTAAAATAGATCCAGTTAATGTGAAAGTCAAAATGTATACTAAACTAGGTAATAAAGGTTCTTGAATAACAGAATCAATTTGACTTTTGATGGATGCAACTTCATTATTGAAAGCACTAACTTGAGTATTTAATTCAGCATCAGCGATAGATACCTTATCATGAATAAAAAGACGGAATTGATTAGCGTATTTCTCTAAGTATGGTGTAGTTCTAACTCCCATACCTTGGATGAATGATATATTACCATGAGCAGATTCTTTTTCTTGTAATTCAGGAGTTATTTCGGAATTTGTTCCTGGTTTGGTTATCACCAACTCATCGTCAGCATAGAAAGTTCTCTTTGACCCAGCCATTGCTCTTTAAGTCTATGTATTTGATGGTTGACAGCTGGATAAGTTCGATATTTGAGTTTTGTTTGTGAAATTTTCTGATCGATTTTTCTGTTGATACTTTTTTTCTATTGGCGCACCAAAATCTAAAATGCTACCACATAAAATACAGAATATGATAATAATATAATGATAATATAATAAAATAAACTAAATAACTAATTAATAAATAATATACATGTTGCCATACAGGGTTAAATAAAAATAATAAAGAGCGTTTTAAAATAGCAGACAAACTGGGAGGAGAAAAAAGCAATCTAAAAATACATAAAACTAAAAGTCATATAAAATGTAACCATTGAAAAGCAAACAAAACAAAACAAAACAAATAAACAACCCTTTAAAACCGATTTTATTTTTCATTTTTTTCATTCATAGGATTACTTTTTCTTACCGAAGAAACCAGATTTCTTCTTTTGTTGTTTATGATCTAAACCTGTACCACGATTCGAATCGGCAATTCCACCTAAAGGCTTACCCATTGGTTCAACATTAGGTTGATGATTACCATTAAGTTGAACAACTTGATCACCACCATTACTTTCATTACTACTGGATGTCTTAGGAGTATCATAAGTGTTGGTGGATGATTGGCTAGAAGTATTAGATGCTAAATTAGGAGGTTGGAGATAATTTGCTGATCCATTAGAACTGCCATTTTGCAGTTGAGGTTGTTGTTGTTGAGGAGGAGGTGGTGGAGGAGGACCACCGCTTGTATTCAAATTAAGATTGGTGAATTGTCCATTCAATGAATTACTTACTGATTTTCTTTGTTGTTGTTGTTGTTGTTGAGGACCAGGAGGAATTTGTAAAGAATTCATTGGACCTAATGATCTATGTTTTTGGTGAGCTGGCAATCCACTGGATCCACCAGGCATACCACCTCTACCACCCATATCTATACCTTCTAAAGCACCTGGAAATGCAGATCTACGATTTCCTTTCTTTGGATTAGCCTTGAATCTACCTTCTACAAATGGATCTATTGGAGCAGCTTGAGAATAATTAGGTCCTTGAGGAGGCATTCCATATTGTGGCTGTTGTTGAGTTTGAGTTTGAGAAGGATATTGTTGCATTGGAGGTGGATAATCATTATAAGCACTTACAGCATTTGAAATGGATCCAACTCTACGAATGGGATAACCATTTGGTGGTGGAGGTCCTTGTTGATATCTATTAACATTTGAAACCATTGAATTACTAGCTCTTAAATTTGGTGGTAAGGCATTAGGTGGTAAACCTTGATTTGGTAAACCATGAGGAGGAACTTGATCCATTGGTTGTGGTTGATATCCTTGATTGTAATATCCATTACCATTATTAACATTATTACTATAGTATTGTTGTTGAGATGGTGGACCATAATAAGGTTTTTGATATTGAGGTTGAGAATTATATGATTGATCTGAAAACAGTTGTTGCGGAGGATGAGATTGATAATTATCAGCAGAACCATTAGAAGATTGCATTTCACGAGCTAGTAAAGCTTGTTCGCGTTTTTGTAATTCAAGTTCCTTTTGATAAATGCGATTTGGAACATCACCATTAGATGATTTAGCGACTTCTTGTGGTTGTGGTTGCGGTTGCGGTTGTGGCTGTGGTTGAACAGGTTGAGCTTGTACAGGAGCTGACTCGCCATTAATGGCAGCTCCATATAATGCAATATGCGTTAAATCAGCTAGATTATCTCCAGGTTGAATAGAATCTCTTATATTCTTATGACCATTTTGAGAAGGTGGTGGTGAGGGAACAGCAGCAGCGGCAGCGGCAGCAGCACGTTCTTGTTCGATTAATGAATTTCTCTTCTTCTCGATCTCTTGTTCAACTTGTTGTCTTTTTAAATCCATTTCTTGTTGAGAACTTAATTGACGTTGTTTTAAATCAGATTCAAATTGAGAATAATTATCTGATAATATTTTTGATCTCATTGCATAATCTTTTTCTAATTTATCTAAACTTGCTTGATAATTGGTAATTTTATCTTGTAATTGATTCAAATTTGATTCATGATTTTGAATCTTGTAAGATAAATCTTGATGATATTTTTCAGATTTATTAATGGTATTTGATAAATCGATTGATTTTAATTCTAAATCATTTATTTTCTTCTGTTTAATATCTAATTCTTTACCATGATTAACATTAGAATTAGCATTGCCTCTGGTAAAGAAAATCGATTGTTTAGAATTGATTTTAACATATTGACACATTATTGAGTAAAGATTTTCCAAATAAGGAGTTTTAATACCATGATCATCACCTAATAAGATTGGTTGTAATAACAATAAATCAATTTCTAAAAATTCATTCAATTGATTATAAAAATTATAAAATAATGAATTAGTATTAATGTAAGAATCTTCTCCAACATTAGCTTTAGGTTGAGAATAATAACCTGACCAATGACTTAAAAGATTAGCTTCATTTTCAAACCCCTTCACTAATTTACAATCCATTTTTTTAATGATTTTAAATAACTCATTAATGACCCCTTTAATTAATGGCTGACATAAGATTTGTTGATGCAATAAAGCAGGATAGGGATATTCAAAAAGAACTGTTAATGGATTGAAAACAATTCTGGGTAAAGCTAATTTCCATTGATAAGTCATGAATTCTTTATTATTAAGGGATTTTAAAATACTTATGGCATTATTAGAATCTTGTTGAATTGAATGTAATAAGATATACATTCTTTGATAATTGATGGAATTTTTATATAAATCACTTGAAGTATTTGAAATAGATGAATTACCAAAATAAATTCTAGTATCATTATTTCTAACGGTATGAGAGAATTTTGATGATGAAATTTGTTTTATATCTGATTCATTCATGATTGACATTATAACTATTTTTGATTGTAAAGATTGGGGTAAACTTAATTTTATAAATGGTTCTAAATTGATATAACCTGTACTTTCAATTAAAAGGACAGTGTCTTCATTAATATAAGGTAATAAATCATTTGTTATCGATTGGAAATCTTGTAAAGAGTTAGAACTTAAGAGAACAATATCGAATTTATAAGATGATTGAGGGATTTGATTGATTGATTTATAATGATGATGAGGTTGAAATGATAAATTTGAGTTAAAATGAGATGAAGACCATAAGATTGGAGTTGTAAGGGATGAATTCACTATAGATAATTCTACTGAAGATTTAGCTTCTATTAATCTCCAACTATAGAACATCAAGTTTGGATTAGATCCAATGGTAAGGATTTGAACATCAGACATGACTGATGAAGAGGGCAAGAGTTATAAACACGATAATACAGAATCAAACAAGATAAAGAAATGATGATGTTAAAAAAGGATGCAATAACGAAGGGAAGAGTGGGTACAAATGACAACAATTAGCAAATACTAAAAATGAAATGGGACGAATGAAGAACAACTGAGGGATGTGCACAGGAACTAAAAACCAAAATAGTAAACGAATGTAAGGATGGATTTATGGTAGGTGGTTGATATGATATGATATAATATAATATGATATAAGATGTGTTGGATCAATTCTTGATAGATTTTGGTGTAAGAAAACAGGGGGGTTTTAAACCTCAATAAACACACTGGATTGAACAAGCTTTTTATAAACCAATTCAAAGGATGGCGGTTACAATAATGAGATCAAAAGGTAGGGTCGTCGTTCCGTTAAAAAAAATTAATATAGTTATAAAAAAAATCTGACTTAAATTGACATCAGATTGATTTTAAATATGTTTTATAAAAATTGTCTGGTTTGGTGTTTGTCTGTCTGTCTGTCTGTCTGTCTGTCTGTCTGAACCTATTTTTCTTTTTTATTTTTTTTTATTTTTTTTTTTACAGTTTAAGTATGTATATATTTTGTCTGTCTGTTTGACTGTCTGTGTGTCTGCGTCGGTGTGTGTGTTGAATTGAATCGATCCAATAAAAAAAAAAAAAAAAAAGAGAGAGCGAAAAAGAAATTTTGTGCTTTTTCTATATATAGTAATAAATTTTCTAACCTCTCCTGTCAGTAATTGAGGGTGTTCGAATTTGGTCTCTGTGTTGACATAGGTTGTCAACTGTAGAAGTCTTTACAGATACTTCGTAACTAGAATTACTATATTTAACTTAGCTTATCATGTAATTCCTTTTTTTTACACACCCTGAGTTTCATGGCCCATTTAGATTAGATAACTAAGAAATTTTTCCAATCCCACAGAGGACGTGTCGTAGTTTGCTATTGTTTGATTGTGTAATCCCAATTTCAGTACTGTATCAAAAAACAAAAAAAAAATTAAAAAACAAAAAAAAAATCCCCCTTTTTGTTATTAAAAAAATAAAATGAGTTAAACATGTGCCTACAATGAATGAATTTAGAAACCAGTTCTTTACTTACATGAAATTCGTTTAATAGTATAAAAAATTGATAGTCAAATTTATCATCATTCCATACATATAAATATTTAAAATGGTAGGATACAAAAATCATAACTAAAACAATTTAGCAACGATTACAAAATGTAAAATTAAAAAAAAAAAACCCTAATTTTTCGATTTTTTTTTTCGTGTATCACTGCCTCTTTATTTCAACCAACAATGATCCATATAAATCCTAGTTTTCTATAACATTTAAATCATGTTACCCGTGTTTAAATGGTTTGGGATAGATGTGGTATATCTATACAATGATATTTGTATTCAGTTACTAAGTAGTAATTACATATCTAACATTGTTGTGTTGTTGATGTATGTTTATGAAAGAAGATCATTTCAATAAAAATAATATCCAATTTACCCCTTTTAGTAATATTCGAATCCAAATTAGGAACATTTAGCTCTGATTTAAAAAACGAACAAACAAAAAAATATTATTTTGCTAAAGTTGGTTTTTTTTTTTTTACTGTGCCCTTTTTTTGTTTGATACTGCTAGTAATTTACATGATGATGATGAGTCGTATATAATCCGAAACTTCCTTCAAACGACCATATTCTAAATTAAGTCATCTCTAATTTAAACTATAGTTATATTACTAATTATTGTAGTTATGATTCCTTCAAATGAAAGGATTTATACTTTTCTACCAGATGCTTATGACATTATCCCCTCTAATCTCCATCCATCCATTTCCCCATGAACCGCTAAATCATACTATTATTTTTGGTAAAATATTTCTGATTTTGTACCTCAGTGTCAAACTAATACATTTGACAGAGAAACATTCTTCGTTAAAGGCTGGATGTGATCTGTGTTATGTTTCAAATGATTTAGTCGTCTGTTTTAACTAAGTGAAATGTTATAGATTTCTTAGGAAACATCTTATTATCATACATATATAAAACTTAACTATTACTATTTTCGGTTTTACATCATAGTCGGGATTCGACATAATGCCGATGACTTCTCGTTGATCTATTTCGATTTGTCTAAATTGATTTTTTTCGTCGTTTAAATGTTGTCATAGAATGTCGTACGTTGTCAGGCGAATGTCTCCCTAGATTCAAAAAATGTCTGTTTCTTCTTCAACTCTTCCAAAGAGAAATGAAAAGAAAAAATTTCATACTGGATCAATAACCCTCTTCTTCTTCTTCTTCTTTCTATAATTAATCCATCCCAATGACGTCGTTGATAGTATTTCCTCCATATAGTCAACTTGATAGTCGTTGGCTTATGAATCTACTTAGTTTCAATCCCATCTTTTCATTAATTGTGATGAAAGATACCTTTGAAACTTAATTGATTCTGGTATTAGTAGTATGGTATTATAGATTGATTATTTTATCCAGGGTGTATCTCCGGTTGATGAGTTTTCATGCAATGACTCTTTCGGTCATAATCCCTTATACATTTTTTCATATTGACCTATGTATGTTGTTGTTGGATCATGTATTTAGTTAACTTCTGACAATATATCGTTATTTTGATCAGAAGCTTGAGTGAACTCTAAGCCTGGTGCTAGTGTTTTCATTTAGTTGTTCCCACTAGTTTAATCGTTCTATATTGATCTTATGTGATAACCTATCTTATAGATTTGGTGTAGTTTTAAAGATTCACTTAACTTTAAATCTCTCTCGTAAATCTTTTTCTACAACGCGTTTTGGATGTTTTTAGTTTTTTAGAAATATCAAGTTTAACACTTTATTCCAAATACTAAACACATCATAACTACACAAATATTCCCATAAATGTCAAGTGGGAGAGGACAATTGATCCTTATAGAAGGGTTAGACCGAACTGGTAAATCAACGCAAGCTTCAATACTACTTGATAAATTTTCCAAATCAAAATTACTTAAATTTCCCGATAGATCAACTAAAATTGGATCGATCATTAATGAATATTTAACCAATAAATCATTCACATTGCCTGATCAATCAGCTCATTTATTATTCCTGGCTAACCGTTGGGAATTGAATAATGAAATTATAGATTTATTAAATGATGGTTATTTCATAGTATTGGATCGATATATATATAGTGGGATTGCGTATTCATTAGCCAAATTTGAATATGCCAAATTAAATAAGGAAGGTAATATTACCTCAACGGTGGATAAACAGATTGGAGATGTTAATTGGTTGATTGGTCCTGATGTCGGGTTGCCTAAACCTGATTTAACTTTATTTTTAACTATTGATTTACAAGAATTAGCTAATAGAAAAGGTTGGGGTGATGAAAGATATGAATTACAGGAATTTCAAACTATTGTAAAGAAAAGTTTCTTAAGTATATTTGAATTACAAAAAGATGATGATACTATTGAAATTGTTGATGTTAATAATAAAGATATTCCTGAAGTTACAGAATTAATTTGGAATTTAATTACAAAAAAAGGTATACATCAATTAACTAATAAACCTATAGAAAAAGTATTAAACCTTTCAAACTAATTTATCTAAATAAGTTAACCGTTCTAAAACTTTTGATTTCAGTATTTCTTGAATCTGACCTCCTAAATAGATTTCATCTAAGATATAATATAATTTATAGAAATTAAATACAAGATCTAATTCACAAACACTATTGAAATAATCATCAAGAATCTCCACAAAGAAATGTAAACTTTCTAAATAATTCAATTCATTATCTTTTAAATCAATCCCAAATATAAAGTATAATCCAGCATATCTACGATAAACTAATTTATGAGTTTGTTCATATTCAACGAAATTTGATTGATATTTCGATTCATCTCTTGAACTTATTAATCGATGGATTTCCAGTATGTATCGTTGTTTCTCATTTATCAGGTAATTATTATTAAACCATTTTACTAATCTTGTTTTACCTTGTCTATTAAGTATTAGAAGGAAATGTATTGACATTATGATGTGTTGTATTCAGGGGAAATATATCGGATGTTGTGGGTTGTTGTGCAATTGATCGTATCTAAGTAGCAGTAAAGTCTCTCGCTTATGATTAATTGATCTGGTATGACTTCAATGAGGTCTGATTGTCTATGTAATATATGTTATAGTTATGGTCTAATAAGATCAAACTGGCTATGGTGTAACTAAAAGTTCAATTTGTCCTCACTGCAACTTAATGTGCGAGCCAAACCAAAATTCAATTTTCAAATTTTTACAGTCAAACAGGAACGCTACACGTCTTTTTAAATATAGCAACAACCATCCACTTTAATCACAACATCATCATGAGTTATAATAATCCAGGTGATCTGGATAACGAAGATGAAGATAATGATTATAAACAATTTGAAATCAAAGATGGTCATATCTTTTTAATTGAGATCACTCCTGCATTATTAAAACCATTACCTGGATCAAGTGATTCCCAATTATTCTTAATCTTACAAAGTATCAATGATTTGATGATTGAATTGATTAAGACTATGAGAAGTACTGGTGTGGGGATATACTTTTATAATTGTGATACCTCTGGTTTAAGTAAATCATCATCTGTCCTCAAACCTGTCAGACACTCCACAAATGGATTTGTTAAATTGTTTAAATTGAATTTTGTCAACTTAGCTAATATGAAAGCATTGAATGATTTAATTAGTGATGATATAAAGTCAATCAGGTCGATTAATCATTATTTCAAATATTTGGAGAATCATGATACAGAGAATTTACCTACCATATTTAATAGATTATTAGATGAAATTAATAATAAACGAGAATTTAATCGGATAAAATTACATTGGATCACCAATAATTCAACTCCTTTCAAACAACCTGCTACTAAAGAGAAACTTTGGTTAATTATTAATGATATTTATAATTTTCGATATTTTATAAATCCCATATTTTTAAAGCCTTCGGCACAAGAAGAATTTGATGTTTCAATGTATAGAGATATCTTCATAAATACCAATTATTTGACTAAGACTACGCGTAACAATCACGAAGATGATAGTGAGTATGATGAAGCAGGTGAACATGGTAACGATGATGAAGATGGTTCCAAATTAGGTTCATTGAATAAACAATCAACTATTTTAAATAATCAAATTCGTCAAGAAATCTTAAGAATTAAAGAGATTAGAAGAATCCAATTCTCATGTGATTTAATCCTTAGTGATGGTCCTACTATTGGAGGTAATTTAGGTTGTTCTGTCAAAGGGTATACCTTGTATAATAAAGAAACCTATAAGAGTCAAATCATTTTACATAATGAGAACGATTCTCTTAAGAAAGTATTCCTTGAATCAAAGACTGTGAATGAATCAGGTGAAGTGATTGATTTAGATAATCCTAATAGTGAAGACTCTTCTGCTTATAAAGCGAAATCATTACGAGAAAAGAAAGCGGAGCATAATATATTCCGAGGTCATGAATTAGCAGGTGGTGACGTTATATATCTTAAACCAGAAGTTGAAGATTTCATGACTAATTATACATTTGATCATGGTATGGCAAAAAAGAAAGATAAAGATAATAATGAGATTGAAGATGAATTTGGATTTGGAATTCATGATGTGGATGAAGATGAAGATGAAACTAATGGTACCTCAAAATCTCTGGTTGAATATACCAAACCTCCATATCTTAAATTAATTGGATTTAGAGATATTGAAAATTTAGATATATCTTATAATTCCAAAGCACCAATATTTGTCACTGCTGATTTAAATAATGGACTTAAGAGTACATCAGGTGGTAGAGGAGGATATAATAATTCATTTAAGACTTTTTCATCATTATATCAATCATGTATTAAATTAAAGAAATATGCTATTTTATTTGGATGTATTAAAAAGAATTCCAAACCATTATTATTTTCATTTTACCCTACCCGAATTAAGTACTCAACAAGAAATGTTCCAGACGAAGAAGATTTTCCCGAAGGATTTTTATTACTTCGATTACCTTATATAAATGATATAAGAGTATTACCTGATTATGTTAAGAATTTTGGCTTTAAAGAAGGTAATGATGAAGATGAAAAATTCATTTCCGATGAATTAGTGAGTAAATATAAGAAATTATTTGGTCTGTTCTTTTATGATAATTATATTCCTAATGATTATCCTAATCCATCGTTAAATTATTTATACAAGATTTTACAAGCGGAATTATTACAGAATGATTTATCATCTGAAGATAAGAAATTGATTAAGAATGATATTACTAGTTTGAAAGTATCTGAGGTGAAGCAATATTTAGTGGGCAATCCTCAAAGAGTAGCATTAATGGATGAGATTAATAATAAATTACGTGAAATTGAAGATTCCAGTCATCAAAGTGAACTGAGACGTAGATTTGATGAACAATCAGGATTAGAATCAATGAAGAAGAGACAGAAAGTGGCTACTGCTAAATCTGCCGCCGCATCAGCATCATCAGCCCCAGTAATTGATGAAGAGGGGATTCTTCAAGCTTGGAAAAATGATGAGTTTAATAAATTTACTGTACCTCAATTAAAACAATTTCAACAAACTTATCGTGATAAAATTAAATCGGCTACAAAGAAACAAGATTTAATTGATAATATTAAACTGTTTTTGGATTCAAGGGAGAAAAGTTAATTAGTGTAAATAAAAAAAAAGGAAATCAGCAACGCTGCTGCAAGAGAATGTATTTTAATGTGATAACGACGGATAAACATTACAGGTTCCCATTGTAGAGTTCTTTCATTTGCGTTAGCTTTATTGAGATGATTTGTAAAGCGCAAATCAGGAACAATGTAATAGGAATGAATAATTCACTATTTGTTGAATATAATGATACATATCATTTAACATTCATTCTGATTTAAAAATTGAATGATACGTTTCTAAACGACATGAGCATACATAAATTAGAATGAAACGAAAGGCATAAATAACTCAACTAAAATAGCATTAGCTAATATATACAACGAATGTAGAAAGTTTATCCTCGACTCTGGGTATCGGATCGAGAGATAGCCAAAATTTATCCATACAAAGTTAGTAGGTTATTATTATTATTTATTATGAAAGTTGCAAATATTTTGCATGCACCTGCATATACACTTATCAAAAAATTGATAGTGAGCGCCTCAAGCCAATCATGAAAATGTCGAACGTAATCAAAGTGATACAAAAGAGAATGATATGAGTTACAGAAATGATTTAAATGTGTTTTGTGGATCTAGTGGCGGGGTTGGTGGAGTGTAAAGGTGGAAGCATTTAAACATAGTGTGACGATAAGTTTTGCAAGTGTTTTAAGAATAGTTGTTTGAATGTTTTAGATTAAGGATGTAACTAATCGGAGCTATAGGCAACGAAACAATACATATAGATGATTAAAATAAAATAATAATTACATGCTAAAAGTTGTAAGAGTAGAAATATTTTATAAATATAAAACTTGAAAAGTGAAGTTTCCAAAAATGAAGGATGATGGAGGGGAATGATGGGAAAAGGGTATACATGCACAAAGAGAAAATAACCACACATTTAAATATTATCGACGATACTGTAATATATAAAAAGGAGATTATCCTGGTTTACATTTAGGGGTAGGTTGAACTTTATTCAACTTTATACAACATAGTTTATCCATTTAGTTTTGACAAGAATTTATCATAAATTTGTTGTAATCAGGAGAGTTAGAAGTCAAGAAAATATCGATATTTTCTTACTATAAACGATCTCTCGTGATTTCCCCTTTCGCAACATTCATTCATTCATTCATTCATTTTGTATGTATATAAATATTTTTCCATTCCAACCGCTATTTACAACATAGCAACAATAAAAGAACAATAACAGGTGACATATTTATTATTATTATCCGGACCAATTCATATCTTTTACTTGCTTGCTTATCTTTGACTATATATCTATAGTTGTTTCCCACTGTTTCCTTCACATCACATTTAAGCATACTATAGTTCCTCAGCTTTGTTTTCTCGTGTGTCAGTTTATTTAAAGTCTACGCGATAAATCCGAATTAAGTCAAAAATCAAAAAGTCATTCCAAAACTTCGGAGAAAATATTCCATTTGTGTGGGGTACAAGACTTTTAAGAATAATAAATTATCCTGTTTCCAAGAACTTTATAGTAAGAAAATAGGAGGAGGGGTGGTATTTTCTGCTTATACTTATACTACTTGTTTTCCTCATTACTTCGTTGTTTATCGTTGTTATCGTTGTTATTAGTACCCATTTGATCATTCCACTAACTTATTTATAGATTTAGACACAATATTTATACATTCAGACGTGTTATATTTAACTTTTAACTTTCTTCATCATCTCAACCAAAATATATCATGCATGTTCATAAGACGCGTATACCGAAGCGTTCATCTAATTCAAACCCACCTTCATACCCAGATATAGATTTACCAAATTATACCAAACCAAATGATTCATTACCATTATATAAATCAAGTTTACAATTTTATGGATTAAGTTTAATTAAAACTGAATTTTTAACTCCTTATCAAGCTAATTTTGGACCTAGAAGTTGGAAACCGGTTATATTAGAATTAAATTCAAATCAATTAAATTTTTATAGTTTGAATGTTTCAGATAAATTATTAAAAATCATTGTTCATTTATATAATGAGAATAATAATCTTGAGACTGTATTCCAAGATTTAAAGAATAATGCCAGTGTATCAAGTCTTTTCAAAGGGAATAATAGTAGTAATGAGAGTGTGGGTGTTGATGTTGATGATGATGAAGATGATTCATCGGAGTTTGATTTATTCGATGCCTATGGAAATAATTCTTCAACTTCATCTTCAAGTTCAAGTAGTTGGAAATTCTCCAAATTTAAAACAAATTTAAAGAATTTAAAACATTCTAAAAAACAACTTCAATCCAAATTAGAAAAGTTTTATTCGATCATTAATGAAAATCAATTATTATTTGAACCAGTTGATAATCAAAAAACATACCTTAAATTCAAAAATCAATATCAAGGAGATTTATTATATTCCTATACGTTAATGCATTTACAACTTGGTCAAGCTCCAAGTTTACAACATTTAATTTCCATTATTTATAAACAATTATCCCTGGCTCAAGATCCCAATTTGAATTTACAAGATGAATTAAATTCTCGAAAATGTCAAAATTTAGTGAAATATAAAAATACGTTACGATTAAGAATTGAATATAAACAGATTTTATTACAATTTTGGTCATTTTATGGGATGATTCATTGGTTTAGAAAGTTGACGATTGGGAAAGATTTAAGTCGACCATTAGAATCAAGAACAATCACAAGATTAAAATCAATTCCATATCGATATTTAAGTCGGAATAATGAATTTTTAGCTGCTAATGCTGCGGCAGCAAATTTAAGAAGAAGAACAAGGGAAGAAGAAGGGGATGAAGAAGGAGATGAAGATGAACCTTATGAAGATGAATTTGAAATGTTTAGAGATGGGATGGAGATTTGTTTTAATGATTCATTTAGAAATGGATCGAGATCTACTACTTTTTATAAAGATAGTACAACAACTATTACTCCTGCTAGTAATATTTGTCGATGTGAATCACCATCATTAGATTCAACTTCTTCTTCATCATTAACTTCGAGTAGAGAATCCTTATTTGATAGAAGAGAATCAATATCTTCCACTAATACATCAATTCAATCATTAACTCCACCACCTCCATCATCATCACAAACACCATCAAAATCAAAATCAAAATCACAATCATCCTCATCAATATCATGTCGTTATACTATCAATTTACATAATCTTAAATTCATTTGTTATGAAAAATATTTTTCAAATTTGGAGAAACAATATATTGCCAATTGTATGCCTGATTTAAATTCATTTGATAAATGGGATGGAAGAAATGTGACGATAAGTAGTTTCAATCGATTTGCAAATGATGATGATTCCATGTTGAATGGCGAAGATTTATTCATTGGATATAATTCATTATCGCATTTAGTGTCAAGTTTTGATAAATTAACTTTAAAAACCATGAAACTTGGCAACAGTACCAATCATAATCATAATCATAATCATAATCATAATCATAATCATGATCATGATCATGATCGTGGTTGTCGTACATTTTTAATCCATCAAACTGGATTGGTTAGTGTGGCGTTAAAGTAAGAAGATACTTACTGTCTAGAGTTATATATAATATCTAGTTATTCAATTAGATTATACATACATTTGTATTGTGGTGGATAGGTTTGTTATAATTACTGTAGTTATAATCCCCTTTTTATATACCGGAGACCAAGATCTAAAAAGTAATTTCTTTTAGTTTGGCTGTTCTTTTTGATTGTTTGTTTACCTTTTTTTGGTGGTGAGGTGTCCATATGGCTTATATACAGTACAATCATATCAGAGAGATTTATTTATTCAGTATTTAGAAAGAGGGTAAGAGGTGAGATACCCCATATAAGGGGATGAATTGATCTATAACTAGTATAGTATAATTAGACATATACAGATAGAATGACTACATGAACTTAAGGGTAGATCCTAAGTATGACATTCCAGACCATCAAATAATCCGATGCCAAATACGTCACTTTGGTATCGTATAACCATTAGACCCTTTTTAGTTAGTATATAAGACAACTCACTCACTCACTGTTAATTACTGAGACGATTTCTGTACTGAGAAAAAAAAATTGTTTTGTGGAATAATTTAAAAATGGTGATCGTAATTTTTCATCCAAATTTCCAACATTTACAGCACCACCACCACCACCAATTCAAAAAATTTATTTGATTTCTGACTTTTTGATTTTTACAGCACATCCTCTTTCGTCTTCTTCTTTCCAATTCCATTCATCCCATTCCATCCATAGTTGTGTCGTGTGATAGTACCTAACTACTACTACTACAAATACCTTCTATCCCCTTGTTGCTATTGCTAATCGCTCTTGCTACTCGCTCTCCTGCTGTTTAATTATCTCTCTTTACTATAATCTTAACTTATTATAGTATCCATATATTTAAGCATTGCCATTTGGTTATACCCCCATTGTTATTATTATTATTACTATTTGTTCATTCAATCAATCAACTAATTAATCATGCCTACTCCTGCTGAAATCATTGCTGCTCGTCATAATAATGACAATCAACCTCCTGCTTCTGCTTCTTCCAATGATGATTCATATTTTTCAGATAATGAAGAATTCAATGATGTAACTACTGCTGCCACTACTTCAAGTACTGGTCGTTCAACTCCAAACATTGCTGATGAATCGGCTTTCCCTGCTTTAGGTGGTGGTAAGAAATCAACTTCAACCACTCCTATTCTTGGATCTTGGGGTCCAACCATGAAATCTCCTGTCTCATCATCAAATCCTACTACTTCTAAGCAACATGCTACTCCTGCTCTTAAATCAAAAAGTTCAACTCCAACTGGTTCTTCTTCTACTAATGGTAATGGTAAATCTAAAACTTCAACCGTTCAAGAAGCTTTCTCCTTAGATGCTGATGATCAATCAAATGTTAGTAAACCTGATTTTTTCAAAATTTTAAATAATGTTAAATTAGAAACAAATACTACCATTGAATGTACTACTTCTCAACATACTAAAAAGAGAACTTTTTTAATTACTGGTAAAGTTGGTGATGTTACTTTAGCTAAAAGATTAGTTATTAGACAATTAACTAAACCAGTTAAAATTACTTTTTCAGTTCCAGCTAAACTTAGATCAAGAATTATTGGTCCTCAAGGTAGTACTTTAAAACCAATTATTCAAACTTATGATGTTAAAGTTGATATTGGTAATCTTGAAAATGAAGATGCTGAAGAAGATAATGATAATGATGAAGATGATGATGAAGATGATCTTTCAAAAGTTATTAAAATCACTATTGAAGGTGATGTTGAAGGTAGTAAAAGTGCCAAAGCTCAAATTTTAGCCATTGTTAATGAAGAAACTAAAAATTTAGTTAGTAAAGTTAAACTTGATGATACTGTTAAACCATTTGCTCAAAATTCTTTAAGTAAAATTGTTGCAAAATATTCTAATTTAGATATTTCAATTCCAGATTATAAATCTGCTAGTTCAACTTTATTAATTTCCGGTGCAAGAGATTCAGTCATTGAATCTAAAGCTGAAATTAAATCTGTTTTGGATTCTTTATCATCAAAGATTATTACTGAAGAAGTTGCTATTCCAGTTTTAAAACATAGATTCTTACCAATTGATAAAATTTTACAAGAACATAATGTTTTAATTAAATTACCAACTGATGATTCCAACACTAATGTTAAATTCGTTGGTGAAAAGGCACAAATTTCTCTTGCTAAAGAAAGTGCTAGACAAACTTCATCTCAATTCAAAATTGAAATTCTTGATATGTCTAAAGCTCATAAAGGTAATTTAAAACATGTTAAAGCTGTGGCTGCTCTTTTAGATAAAAATGGTGTTTTTGCTGAAATTTCAAAGGAAAATGATATTACTATTCAAGTTCCTGATATTAAAGCTTTATCTGATAATTCAATAGTTTCAATTCCAATTGAATTAGTTACTAAAAATACTGATACTGAAAAAACTTTAAGTGCCAGAAAAGCCATTGTTCAAAAAGTTAATAAAATTACTCCTGATCAAACTAAAGTTATTGAAGATATTGATGTATTTTTATTACCTAAAGTTTCAGAAACTATTGATACTGTTGCTAAAGAACATAATATTAGTTATATTATCTTAGGTAATTCCATTACTTTATTCACTGAAGCTAAACCTGAACCTGCTGCTGATGATTTTGATTTTGTTGAATCTACTGAAGATGATGATTCATCGGTTGGTTTAACTAAAGTTAATGAAGCTTTAAATAAATTAAGAGAATTATCTTCAACTTTAGAATCGGTGGTTCTTTCTGTTCCATCTAAAGATCAATCTCAAATCTCTGGTGTTAGAGGTACTACTTTAAAATCTATTTTAAGTGATGTTGAACCAAATTCAGTTATTGTTAAATTACATTCTAATGGTTTAGATTCAAAATCTGATGATGAAGTTTATATTCATGGTATTAAAACTGAAGTTAAAAAAGTTAAACATGAAATTGAAACTGTTTTAGCTGATGCTATTGAACATAAAGATGGTTATTCATCAATTCTTGAAGTTCCATCTCATATTTTATCAAGATTAATTGGTAAAAATGGAGCTAATTTAAATTCTCTTAGAGATGAACATGGAGTTAAAATCGATGTTAGTGATGATGGTAAACCAGATCATAAAGATGAAGAAATTAAAGATAAAACTTTAAAAACTTCTCTTATTATTGCTGGTATTAAAAGAAATGTTGAACAATCAAAAGCTGAAATTCAAGCTTTAGCTAAAAGATGGGCTGATGAAACTACCGTTAGATTAAAGATTGAAAATCAATATCATAGAAAATTAATTGGTCAAAATGGTATCTACAGTAATAGATTACAAGATAAGTATAATGTTAAAATTAGATTCCCTCATCTTGCATCTGATAAATCTACTGGTAATGGTAATGGAAATGTTTCATCTGATGCTCCAAAGGGTAAAGATGAAGTTACTATTAGAGGTGCTTCTAAAAATGTTGCTAAAGCTCAAGAAGAATTATTAGAATTATATAATTATGAAAAAGAAAATGGTTTCCAACAATTAGTTCAAATTCCAACTAAAGCTATTGCCAGAGTTATTGGTAAAGCTGGTGAAACTATAAATGATATTGCTGCTGATACTGGTATTGAATATAAATTTAAAAGAGATAATGAAAGTGAAGAAAAAACTGGTTTTGCTGAAGTTGAATTAACTGGTTCAAGAACTGCTTTAAAACAAGCAAGTAAAAAGATTAGTGAAATCATCGAAGAAATTGAAAATTTCGTTACTGTTAAAATTAATGTTGATCCTAAATATCATCGTGATTTAATTGGTCAAGGTGGTTCAGTTATGAAACAAATTATTGCTAAAGCTGGTGGAGAAGATTTACCAAGAAATAAATATTTCAAATTATTAAATATTCCAAATGAAGGTACTGGATCTGATGAAGTTACATCTCAAGGTGATAAATCTATTGTTGATAAGATTGTGGCTGAAATTAAAAAGATTATTGGTCAAAAGGAATCTGAAGTTAGTTTTGATTATGAATTATCCAAGGAAAAGCATAGATTAGTAGTTGGTAGTAATGGATCTATTCGTCATGCTTTACAAGATGAATTTGGTGTATCTATTGATATTCCAAGACCAAATGATTCATCATCAATTATTAAATTAAGTGGTTTACCAGAAAAGATTGATGCATTAAAAGTTAAACTTGATGAATTAACTAAAGATGATTGGAATGAAAGTATTGATATTCCAGCTAAATATCATGCTTTGGTTAGTGAAAAGGGGGCTATCTTTAAAAAATTAAGAAGTGATTATAATGTTGAAGTTCAACATGGTACTTTAACCAGACAAGCTGCTAAATTATCCAATACTTCTATTCCAACTCCACCAGAAACTGCATTCCCAACTGAAGAAGTTACTACTTTATTTACTATTGTTCCAAATAGTGAAGAAGAAGCTACTACTGAAGAAACCATTATTCCATGGAGATTAAAAGGGGATGTTAAAAACACTGCTAAAGTTGCTGAATTAATTGAAAAGAGATTAAAATTAGCTGAAGAAGCTAATTCAACTGGATGGTATTATGCTAAAGATCCAAGTACATTTTCAAAAGTTGTTGGACCCCAAGGTTCAAAGATCAATCAAATTAGAAAGAAAACTAATACTTTTATTACCGTTCCAAGAAGTACTGATAAACATTCTAATTTCATTTATGTGGTTGGATCTGAAGATAATTTGAATGCAGCTAAAAAGGAAATTGAAATTGCCCTTAAATAAATTGGCTAATATCTAATTATTATTATTGATGAAATTTGTTTTGTTTGATTTTTATTTTATGATTAGGTTCCAATTCAATTCTATTCTATTCTATTGATATTTTGTAAATATTTCCATTGTACTTTAATTAAAAACACTACAAATATAAAAAAAGTTTAATTGAAAAGAAAAGAAAAGAAAAGAAAAGAAAAGAAAAGAAAAGAAAAGAAAAGAAAAGAAAAGAAAAGAAAAGAGAAAGACAATCTTTGTAGTTTCCATAACCAGGATGTTCGATACGATGAAGAAACGACAAAGACAATCTAATCGTTGTCATTGTGTAAACGGCCGGCTAGAAGACTCCACAATTGTGATGGACAGATTTGGACTGGTTTTCGGATATCTTGATCTTATTCGTAAACCTGAAACTCAAGTCATGAGATGAACTTCTTCTTCTTCTAACTCAAAATTATCGAACCAGGCAATAAATATTGAAACCCGCCTGGTTTGGAATTAAGCATTTTAATTAAATTAAAATTAATATTAATATTAATATTAAAAAGCCATTATTATCTAGTAGTTTGTAATTAGGTCCAATTAGGTTTGTAACAATTCGTAATTAAAAAGTAACCACCTCTTTTAAACCCAAATTAAACTATATCAAATGCCGTTGTAACACAGTTTAGGTATGTATACTTCATTGAAACATTTATTCCAGGTAGCGCCTTGAGCGCAAGTTAGCTAAAGTAGAGATGAGAAAAAAAAATTTTATGATCAGCCACAATTTGTTATAGTTTCTACATGAAAAGTTGCAACTCAACTAAGGAAAGGGGAAATATAATCGGAAGACACTTGGAGACCATTAAAGGCTTAGAGTTTCTAAAACTGGAGATAAGTTTTTGGTATGGTTTGGTATGGTTTGGTTTGGTTTAGATTTCTGCAGACAAGCTTCTATCACTGTCTCCACAGTTTTGCAATATTGGATCAGTGGATCGAATCTATATAGTGCCGAGAAATACGATTGAGTTCTGGTTGGTCCAAAACTCCAATCTTATCGTTAAGTCATAAGAGCTTCTTACTAATTTATGACAAGAAATCAAATGACGAGACATGACATATAATAATAATATCACCATTCGCTGATGTTTGCCATAATTAAAATGAACGCAAAATTGAAAAAGAAATTTTTAAGGCAATTCTGAAGTCACGTGAAATCACACACACATTAAAATTTTTCCTTTGTCTTTACTATTTGCAACTTCTTTTCCAGTATATATTTTAACACAGTTAAACCTGAATTAACTGATGATGTCTGTATTAATATATTTTTTAGTAAATTATCCGATGGATATTTGGTGGTAGTTCTGTGCATGAAAGGAGGAGGAAAATCTCCTTTCTTCCTTCCTTCCTTCCTTCCTTCACTCTATATACCATAAATTATCTTCTTCCCCCTGATTATCTATCTTGATCCAAACAAATAAGCCTAAATTTAAGGTAACCAAAAATCATGAACCCCTATGAAAACAGTAATGTAACTAGAAAAGTCTATCGTATATGATACTGATTATCAGACCGCCGAGATCTAATCACACTGCAGTCAAACAAACAAATTTTTATTTATTATTAATTTAAATTAAATTAATTAATTAACTTGGTAAAAATCATTACTTTCTTGACTGGTTAAAGGGCATTTAAACTGATAATTTTAACACAGTTTTCACCACTGTTAAAGGATGTACAGTAGTTTACAACGGCAAAATGCACATGCCGTGAAAAAAAGGCGCTTTAAAAGGACAAATTCCTGCATGTAACAAACAGGTTACAAAAAGTTTCTTTTTTTTTTATTTTTTTGTTTAGTTAACTGATGGCTGCTATTTATTTTTTATGGTTGTTCTGTGCTGCATTTTTTTTTATTTTCAATTTCTGTGGATGATGAAATAGATTTTTAAGGCCTTTTTCATTTTAAAGTTATTACCACAATATTCTTCTTGTATCAAAGGACTTCACTTTTAGTTTTGATACCCGGATGATTCATATATAATCCTCGTATCTTTCCCATCAACTTTTATCGTTTTTTTCATTTAATTTGTTTGTTTCAACATCAATTCATCTGTGTATTTTTCAATCAATCAATTGCAAAAATAATCCTTGTACACAATGGGTTTAACTGACTTCTATCAAAAGTCTCTGACTAATACTACTGCTGGTGAAAAGCTGGAAGATATCCCATCTGACTCTGCTAGTTTCTCTTCTGATTCTGAAAAAGATGTCGTGGTGGTTCAAATTGATAAAAATACTAAACAAATTGGGATAGTTTCTGCTACCTTTTTAATGATCAATAGAATGTTAGGTGCCGGTGTGTTCGCTACTGGTTCAACTATCTTTTCCTTATCTGGTTCAGTGGGTACTGCTTTAATGATGTGGTTTGCTGGTACTATTATTGCCTTATCTGGTTTATTAGTTTATATGGAATTAGGAAGTGCTTTGCCAAGAAATGGAGGTGAAAAAAATTATTTGGAATTTTTATTTAGAAAACCAAAATTTTTAGTTACTGCTATGTATGCATCTTATGTTTTCTTTTTAGGTTGGGCTGCCGGTAATTCTATTGTCGTTGGTGAATATCTTTTAAATGCTGCAGGTAAAGAAGTTACTCAATGGAATTCAAGAGCCATTGGTATTGCTGTTATTACTTTTGCCTTTTTAGTCAATGCTATCCATGTTAAAACTGGTTTATTCCTTGCTAATGCTTTAGGAACGTTTAAAATCATTATTGTTTTATTCATTACCGTTACTGGTTGGGTTGCCCTTGGTGGCGGTATTAAATCAAAGAATTTCCATCATACTGGTAATTTCAGAGATGCTTTTAAAGGTGAAACTCCATCTGGTTTTGGTATTGTTAATGCCTTATATAATGTTATTTGGTCTTATGTTGGTTATTCAAATGCCAATTATGCTTTAGGTGAAATTAAAAACCCAACTAGAGTTTTAAGAATTGCTGCTCCAGTTGCTTTTGTTTCATTAGGTATACTTTATATGTTTGTTAATATTGCTTATTTTGCTGTGGTTCCAAAGGAAGAAATTGAAAATTCAGGTACAATTTTAGCTGCTTTATTCTTTAGATATGCTTTTGGTGATTCTGCTGAAAAAGCTGCTTCAGTTTTCGTTGCTTTATCAGCTTGGGCTAATGTTATGTCAGTTATCTTTTCTCAAGGTAGAATTATTCAACAATTAGGTCGTGAAGGTGCTTTACCAATCTCAAGATTCTGGGCTACTTCAAAACCTTTCGGTACCCCATTCGTTGGTTTAATGGAACATTGGATTGTTTGTATTGTTACCATGGTTGCTCCTCCACCTGGTGATGCTTATAATTTCATTTTAAATTTAATTTCTTATCCATTAAATGTGGTTAATACTGTTTTAGCTGCTGGTTTATTATATGTTTATTATAAAAAATCAAGAGGTTTAATTCAATGGAATCCACCAATTAAAGCTTCATTGCCAGTTATTATTTTCTTCTTTTTAGCTTCCCTTTACTTAATTGTTGCTCCATATATTCCACCAGTTGATGGTCAAAAGGTTTACAATCATTTACCATATTGGATTCATGCAGTGGTTACTTGGGGAATCTTTGGTATTGGTTTAGTTTACTACTTTGTTTGGGTTAGAATCTTACCAAAATTAGGTAATTATACTTTAGTAACCAAAGAAATTGTTGGTGAAGATGGATTCTGGAGAAATAGAATTTACAGAATTTATAATGATGGATCAAATAAGGATATTCTTGAAAATGATCATACTGAACAACCAGAAGTTGAAGTTGTCAATTAGTTCAACTTGTTAACTTTACTATTCTCAAATTAATTTCAATCATACTTTTAATCATCTTCTTTTCAATCTAATACTTAATTTTTTATCAATCGGGTTTTCTTTTCTATGATCTTATTTTCTTTTTATATATAGAATCATTGCATATTCATTTCAACAATATCGTATATATACTACTATCTTCTTTTATTTATTCAATTATTTTATTTCAACAATAGTATTGATTAATAAATGACAAATTAATTTATTTATCTGTTTAAAAATATCTACATCTGTAAGTTTCTTTTTATTCTTAAATTTTGACGTTAAATTAAAAACTATGTACAAATAATCGTATGAACTTGATTCTTCATCCTATAATATTGTCGACAATATATGGAAGAAATCGGTTAAAATATGTATATTATAAAATGCAATGAAAAATATAGGTAAAAACACCTTATATTTTATGTCTGTGAGTCTTTGGAGTATGTAATGGAGACCAAACACCTCTGACGGAATCATTAATGGATAATACTCTATGATTGAATTTAAATAAATCATTACCTGATCTTTGACTATATTCATCTAATTTATTAACAATCTCATGAGCTTTTAAATTAGCAATATTAATATCTTGAACCACATCATTATTATAATGGAATTTTAAACTTGGATGACCAGTTCTCTTGATCACTTCAAAAATGATATTGGACTTCTCTTGAGCAATCTTATCAATCTTACCAGCATTTAATAATTCTCTTAATCCAGTTGATGATCCTCCCCAATTACAATAATTGACGGATATTTTATAACATGGTGAAACAAAAGCACCTACCCCATTACGGGAAATAGATGTCCTCGCTATGGCCTTCACTGGCATAATGTATATATAGATGTATGAATGATTATGTGTTCAATAGAACTTGATTGATTCAAGATTTGGTTATACTGTCTTTAAAGGTTTTGAAAATTTTTTTGTTCAAAATTATATATTTGAGGTCGTGCGCGTGTACTATTTAAATGTTAGTATGGAGGAGTATTAAATTTGGTAAATTAGTCATCATAAATGATTGTAAAAGGGTATTTAATAATGTCATGTAGTTTAACTCATATAGTGGTTGAATATAACACTAACTTTGGATTATAATGGAGTAATTTTATATATCAAAATTTAAAATTATTAACAAGTATAACTGTTAATATTTTTATTTCAATTCAAATTATTGTCAATTTTGAGTAAATTTGGACTATTTTAATGGATTAGTTTTATATTACTTTCGTTCTGTACAACTTAATCAAATGAACCTTTAAGACTTTAATAACAATCAAAGAGTAATTAAGTACATAGGTGATAAGATTTATAATAACTGACGATATTGTTTGTAGTCAATTAACTATTGATTGCAAAAATAAACCCTATACTGATAGAAATGTCACAAAATCCTACTAAAGTCAATCACATGACCAAAATCACAGTTTTACCGCACGCGACCAGAAACTGACTGACCAAAACGAGAAAAAACTGTAAGAGCCACTTGATTAAAAACGCCAAAAACTCGTGTGGACAAATATGGAAATGGAAAGTAGCCGCGATGTTGATTGCCATTTTTAAATAAAAGTTCGTTGTTGATTAACCGTTTCATCGCGCTTAACTCGAGTTAAGTTACTTCATTTGGAACGATTGAGTCAGTTGCAAATACAAATTATAATATATATGTAAAAAGGGATTTGCTATGACCCTCCAAGGGGATTTTAAAAAAAATTTTCATATTCCTTGTTTCTTCTTCTTGTTTAGTCAATATCATATAGAATATAACGGTTTCAAAGATGTCTACTTATAGATCATATCAACAAGTGCTAAATATAGCCATTCAACCAAAGATTGCAAAAAGTTCAATCTCAAAAAAGAGTACTATTGGGGTCTCTAAGAAAACTACTTCTATTACTAATAACAATAATCATAATAACAACGATCCAAATGTGAAAAGAAGAACTAAAACAGGTTGTTTAACTTGTAGAAAGAGAAAGAAGAAGTGTGATGAAGATAAAGTTAATGGTAAATGTCAAGGATGTACTAGAAACTTTTTAGAATGTTGTTGGCCTGAAGCTACTGTTAATGTATCATCATCCATTCCAAAAATTACAACTATTACCACTAAGATCTTGGAAAAGTGTACTCCACTTGTTATCAGATCATCTTCACCAACTTTACCATTATTAAAATCAACTAAATGTTCAATTAGTTCATTATTAATTCAAGAAACTGATGTTAAACCTGAAATTAAAGTTGAAGTTCCACCTCAACAAATCCTTAATCCATATCCATCTCCTTCACAATCACCACTTTCTGATGCTAAACATGAAATCAATGATATCAGTTTTATCTCATTACCTCCTTTATTAAATGTTCCACCATATAAAATCACTAATAAAGATAGTAATATTAGAGGCAGTGGTAATATTAAAATTGAAGAATCTAAACAAGATGACAGAGTGGTGGTTGCACCAGCATCTCCAGTTACTTCAACTAGAAGTAGTATTGTCGAAGCCAATACTGCTAAGTTTATCATTACATCTATCAATGAAAACAAGGATTTATGTCAAGTTCCAACCAACTAATTACATCAATTCATTTATTTACACATTTCAATTCTGGGTTCACTGGGGTCACTTTTAATAAGTCTTTTTAAAGTCTTACTACTTGATGATCATTTATCTTACTTATTTATTCTATACATTTCTTGGGTTTATAATGGCGCTTTAATACAATTTTCAATGAACATGGTATTTGTTCAATTTGTATAAATCATAATTTAACAGTGTAGTCTGTAGTTTATAAAAATTTTTCTTTATGGCTCTTTTGATTGTTACTCTTTTTTTTTTTTATTTTCGTCTTACGAGTTTCACTTTTCTTTTTTGCGGCTATTTATCGCTATCGGCAACTGACTGCGAGATGAAATATCAATCTTAAAAATAATCGCATAAAAGAAACTTAACCCCAAAAAGAAAACAGTAAAAAAAGCTTCTATCTCAACGTGATCAAAGTAACGTGATTTATAACTGGTCACGTCACTATTTACATGTGATATGTTTTCATTCTTTCTGTAATTGACGTATTTAATACCAAATTGAGAAAAGATAAACGGATTGGACAAAGCATTCCAAAGATAAGAGAGATTGCATTTGATATCCTTAGTTTCGGAAAGATTGAATAATAGAGTCTTATTGATGATACTTTATAGGGTTATAATGACCATGATAATCACCTTTTCATCGAGTAGACTTGACCAACGGGAAGATTATTAACGTTGTTTCGCAACTGTATTATAATGATATATAATTATTTATCAACTGTGGCTCTAATTGCGAAGGATTCGTAAATTAGTGCGCTTTCGGGTGAATTTGAAATTTTTGATACTGAAGATTCATTTTGCAATACAAACTATATAAACTGATAAATATTTCTCCAATTCAAAATAATTATCATTGTAATTGTTCTCATCTCTCAACTAACTATTATTCAAAGTTCTTTTTATATATATACCTACAATGTCTTCAAACGTTACTTATGGAAATTTCGATACTCATTTTTACAAAGGTAAAGATGAAGTTGATGATGATGGAGTTTTAGTGGTTAATAAAGTTAATAGAGCTAATGCTAAATATCCTGAATTCTTACCAACTTGGGATCCAACTCAAAAATATCCTCCTTTGAAATTCTTTAAACATGAAGATCCAGGTCGTAGAGCTGATCCAAATTTCCCAAATTTATTCCCAAAAGATTCTGATTTCAAAGTTAAAAGAATAACTCCAAAATTAGGTAGTGAAGTTAGAGGTGTTCAATTAAGTCAATTAGATGACCAAGGTAAAGATGAATTAGCTTTATTGATTGCTCAAAGAGGGGTTGTTGTGTTTAGAGATCAAGATTTTGCTTCCAAAGGTCCTGAATTCGTGGTTAATTACGCAAGACATTTTGGTAGATTACATATTCATCCAACTTCAGGAGCTCCAAGAGGTTTCCCAGAATTACATATTACTTACAGAAGACCTGATGCTGGTGAATTCGAAAGAGTATTTGCCAATAGTACAAATGCTGTCAGTTATCATTCTGATGTCTCATATGAATTACAACCACCTGGTGTAACATTCTTCTCTGTTTTAGAAGGTCCAGATGCAGGTGGTGATACCATCTTTGCCGATTCAGTCGAAGCTTATAATAGACTTTCTCCAGCCTTCCAAGAAAGATTAGCTGGTTTACATGTCTTACATACTTCTGAAGATCAAGCATCTAATTCCAGAGGTCAAGGTGGTATTGAAAGAAGAAAACCAGTTTCAAGTATTCATCCATTAATTAGAACTCATCCAGTTACTGGAGCTAAAAGTATCTTTATCAATAGACCATTCTCAAGAAGAATTGTTGAATTAAAAGATGAAGAATCCACTAATTTATTAAACTTTTTATATAATCACATTGAACAATCTCATGATTTACAATTAAGAGCAAGTTGGGAACCAAAGACCGTTGTTATCTGGGATAACAGAAGAACCCATCATTCTGCTATTATTGATTGGGATACTCCAGTTTCAAGACATGCTTTCAGAATCACTCCTCAAGCTGAACGACCAGTTGAAGATTTAGCTGATTTAAATAAAGAAGAAAATGATGTGGGTGATGTTGCTGAAGCTTTAAAGAAAGTTTTACCTGGATTAAATTAGTTTAGATTTACCTTGGCTTTTGCTTTTCTAAATAGTTTTTGTATAGTTTGAGACTAATATAAAATTTGTGATCTTTATATTCGAGATTACCAGAGAATAATAGATTATAGTCGTACAATTCATAATTAGTCTATAATTGCATCATAAGGTAAATATTTAAATTGATGTTCTTCGCAGCCAAAATTAAGGTGGTGTTTTTCAGGCACAAAACGTTCTATTTTATTCACGGTTCGGCTCGGGTGAAAAGCATTAATATTGAAGCGATAAATATGAATATTCGTTGCAATCGGCCCATCAGCCCCACAAAGATGACATAATATATCTAGTTACTAATTACAAATTGTTCTGGCTTTGCAAATGAACAAACATTTATCGTCTTGGGTTAGAACTGACTGAACCGATTGATATTCAATTATACTAAACCAAGTTATCACTATTTGGCTATCAATCGCTTAACCGCTATTAGTTTTGTCTATGTAGATTTTAAAATCAATAGGCGGGGCCTACTGACACAATATACTTTTAGTCGACATTAAATAATATTCGTTGCATCGATCAAACAGTTTTTTATCAGATATTGCTATTGTGGCTCCCTTGCTCATTCTTGCGTTTGGCTGTGAATGGTAGCGCCGATCACATGCAGGATAGTATATTTATTGCGTTTTCGGGTCGGGATCTTTTGATTGTGGCTCAAGATTCCTAATCAATTATTATTGCAAATTTTAGTCTCGTATTATGGGGAGACATGGGTTGTAAGGCTCTATATCAAATACTATATAAATATAGTACAATTATCATGATTTAGTTGATATTGCTGTTATTATTATTATTATAACCCTATAACATACGTTAAATATAAAAGTAATAAGATGTCTACAGGTCATAGATTTGGTAATTTTGATATTCATTTCTACAATGGTGTAGATGAAGTTGATAAAGATGGTGTATTAGTCATTAATAAAAAGAATAGAGATGCTTCTAATTTCCCAGATTTCTTACCAACTTGGGATCCAACTCAAAAATATCCTCCTTTAAAATTCTTTAAACACGAAGATCCAGGTGCTAGAGCTGATCCAAGTTTATCTACTTTGTTTCCAAAGAATGGTGATTATGAACTTAAAAAAGTTACTCCAAAATTTGGAACCCAAGTTACTGGTGTTCAATTAAGTCAATTAGATGATAAAGGTAAAGATGAATTAGCTTTATTTGTTGCTCAAAGAGGGGTTGTTATTTTCAGAGAACAAGATTTTGGTTCCAAAGGTCCAGAATTTGCTGTGAAATACGGTGAACACTTTGGTAGATTACATATTCACCCAACCTCAGGTGCTCCAAGAGGACATCCTGAATTACATATTACTTTCAGAAGACCTGATAAAAATGAGTTTGAAAGAGTCTTTTCTCAAAGAACTAGTAATGTGGGATGGCATTCTGATGTTTCTTATGAATTACAACCACCAGGTACCACTTTCTTTTCAGTCTTAGAAGGTCCTGATGCTGGTGGTGATACTATTTTCGCTGATACAGTTGAAGCTTATAAAAGACTTTCTCCAGCTTTTCAAGAAAGATTAGCAGGATTAAATGTTTTACATACTTCTAAAGATCAAGCTTCCAATTCAAGAGGTCAAGGTGGTATCGAAAGAAGAAAACCAGTTTCTAACATTCATCCTTTAATCAGAACTCACCCTGCTACAGGTGAAAAAGCCATATATTTAAACAAGCCTTTCGCTAGAAGAATTGTGGAATTAAAAGAAGAAGAATCAGATTATTTACTTAAATTCTTATTCGATCATATTGAACTGTCTCATGATTTACAATTGAGAGCTAATTGGGAACCAAATTCAGTTGTTATCTGGGATAACAGACGTACAGTTCACTCAGCTATTATTGATTGGGATACTCCAGTTTCAAGACATGCTTTCAGAATCACTCCTCAAGCCGAAAGACCTGTTGAAGATTTAAAAGACTTAAACAAGGAAGAACATGATGTTGGCGATCTTGAAGAAGCCTTAAAATCTGTTAAAACTTAATTTATCAATAAAAAGTTCTGAACGTTTAGTTATATATTAATAAAAACAAAAATTTATTTTAGAAGTAAAAAATTATAAAAAAAGCCGTAATCATTTTAAATTTGTTTAATTTACGCGTTATCTAATAGGTAATTGGTAGCTTCCTCTAAATTCCAATTCAGCTTTTCTAAAGCAGCTAAAGCAGTACTTTCAGAGAAACCCATACCAACTAATTCTTGTACAGCACCATCATTGCTTCCACTTAAACTTTCTGATGCAGTTGGAACACTCACGGTATCAGTTGCGTGTGATTCTGAATTTTCAACTGGGGCAGAATTTCCAAAACCAGCAAATAATTGTTCCCATTCATCGTTACCAGCAGAACTCTCATTAGCAGTAACTGGAGCACTAAAGTTCACAGCAGGAGATGGTCCGCCTGTGAAACCTTCATCAAAGCCAAAGTCTTTCTTACCAAACTCTTCATCGTCATTATCATCCTTAGCAGCCTCTAAATTGCTGAAGTCATCACCAAAGAGATCTGGTTGAGCCTGTTCTTGTGTAGTTGGTTCTAAATCATTAAAGAAATCATCAAATTTTGGAGCAGGTGCTGGTACAGATTCAGCCTCTGTAACTGGAGCTTTAACACGTTCTTCATATTTAGGAGGACTATCACTATGAGGTAAGTCTGTCACTGCATCATCAAAGTTTTCTTCTTGTGAAGCAGTTTCAGAGGAACTGTCACTCTCTTCGTAGTCCAATTCTTTAATAGCAGGAAATTCATCATTAGGGGCTTCATCAGTAGCACTTTCTTTTGCTGATTGTTCAGGAGCACTTTCTTCAATACTTTTATCTACTGAGTCTGATCCTCCTTGAGAAGCATATTGAGCTTCTTGGGCTCTTGCCTCATCAGCATTGACAATTTCAAAGGATTCAACTCCAGATGATAACTTATCACCATCACTGTTATCCTCATGGCCAACATGCAGAGGTTCTTGTAATTCATCTTCATTATCAATACCATAGCTTTCAGTAGCCACTGAATCTGGAACTGGATCTTCTGATTCTTCCAAGTTACTGTTTTCAATAGTATCACGATCGCTGATTTCATCAATGTTATCATCACGAACAGATAAAGCTGCATTATTTTGAACACTAGAAGTCAAAGAATCTGTTCTTTGTACACCAACTAAAACGCCTGGCATACCAACCATACCACCAACAATACCTGGATTGGCACCTTGCGGGAATTGGAAATCTGAATTGCTTGGAGAGGTAACTGGAGTTTCATTTTCTTCTGTGGCTTTATAATCAGTTGCTATAGATGAAGTTGCAGTTGCATTTGTTACATTATCAATACCACGTTCGTTGTTACTAATGTCAGGATATTTTTGATTAATGTCTTCAACATTGATTTCAGGGTAAGATTTATCTTCTTCAAGATCTCTGTTTGCATCTTCCTCATTTTCTTCATTAGTTGTTTCTGGTGCTTGTTCTTCTTCAACAGGAGCTTGTTCTGAAGCTGGTTCAGGAATTTGGCTTGTTGGTTGAGTTTCGGCTTCTTCTGAAGAAGTGTGATGTAAAACAGCTGCTGCAACCCCTCCAATAATAGAACCAGCTGCTGCACCACCAACAATGTTCTTAGCTGAAAGACCTGGGGTAGGTTGTGTTGGTTTTTTGCTAAGAGTTTCTTGAACCTTATCATTTAAGGTACTATGTTCAAGTTCCAATTCTTTACTCTTGATATGAGCTTGATCCAACTCAGCTTGAAGTTTTGAATGAGAATCTTCTATTTCCTTTATTTTATTCTTCAATTCTTCGCTCTTAACAATAGCAACTTGAACTTGTGATTTTTTCACAGAAACTTGATTATACAACCCTTGATGATCTGCTGATTTCTTAGTTACATCTTGTTCAAGTTGAACTATTTCTGCATTCATGTACCCCAACTTTTCCTTCAAAGAATTATTTTGCTTTTGTAATTCTTCAACTGCAAGTTGCTTAGAATTCAATTCTGACGATAACGCATTAAATTTAGCTTCTGAAATAGATGCTTGAGATCTGAGAGCTTCAGTTTCTTCCTTTGCAGCTGCTAAATTACTTTCCACTTGACTAACTTGTTTAACTTCGTTATCATATGAAGATCTTAATTGCTTGAGTTTATTTTCAATTTCCACTTTCGTGGTTAAGATTCTTTGCAATTCTTGCTCAGCCCTAATTTTCTTTTCATGTAAATTAGTAGTTTGAGTAGCCAATGACCTGATTTGATTAGACACATTCGCAATATCAGCATTGGCTTGAGATAATTGACCCGAGATTTCAGGATCAGTTTCAGCTAATAAATCCTCATTTGCATAAGTATCCACTGATCTACTCACAGGCTCAGAATATGTACTACTTGGCGTTGGACCAGACGATACTGATTGAGCATAAGAAGGAGCAGTGGGTGGAGGTACAGCTCTCTTAGAAGGTGGTGGTGGGACACTTCTCAATGCTTCGTAGTTAATTTGTTTGGTAGGAGAAGCAATAGGTGGAGTTTCGACTGGTGTACTAGTTTGAATTTGTTGTGGAACTGGAGCTGATTCAGGAATTTGTTTGTTATAAACATCATCACCCAATAAGTTATCATGCTTTACTTCAGTTTGCTTTTGAACTAAAGATTGACCAAATGTTGAAGTTGGTTTAAATGACCCAGTAAGAGCACTTCTAATTTTAGGAAGTTCAGTTGATGAAGTGAGATCACTACTGGATGTAGCACGTTGTTCTAATGTTGGTATACTAGTAGGAGCTAAAGCCACAGGGGCTGGTGCAGAAGTTCCAAAGATATCAACTAGGTCATCCATTGCAGTCTTTTGCTTCGATATTTGTTGAACTGGTTGTTGAACAGGAGGAATAGCTTTAGGTTCTGGGACAGCATTTGTTTGAGGTTGTAATGATTCTAATAAACTGGATGGAACAATGTTTGGTAATTTACCACCAGCCAACTTTTTATTAACCAAAAATAAAGCAATTGAGAATTCTACTTTTGTAAAGATTCCTGTGTTTTGAATATCGGATAAATCCCAAACAGTTGCTAAGTCCTGTTGATTTAATTTTGATGTCATTAAGAAGGAAGCTACTTGTTCTGCATTCAAATGACCAGTCTTTTCCTTATCTATATTATCGAAAATAGAATCATATTGTTGTTTCATAGTAGGAGTAATTACCCAATCAGAAGAACTTGGAGCTTGTTGAGATATTTGTGATGCACCTGAAGCATGCCTAACAGTAGTTTGTTGGGAATTAATTGAAGCTTGAGAGATTTGTCTATTTTGTTGAGCTGGAACACCCAAAGAAGATGTACCATGATTGACAGAATCCCAAACATCATTGCTTAAAATAGGAGGAAGCTGTTTGATATTACCGCTTAATAATCCTTGAATTAAATGCATTGCAACAACAAATGAAGGAAGATCAAGTTTACCTGAATTTTTAATATCAACCAAATACCAAATCTGTTCAAGAACATTACTAGATAATTTGGTTTTCAAAAAGATATTTCTAGCATCGACCCCATTTAATTCACCTTGTGGAGAACCCACAGTTTTTAAGAATAATTGACTAAAGTTGTTATAATCTTGTTGACCTACTGGAGCAACATAATCACTAAGAGTACCCTGTTGTTGAGTTGGAGATAATGGACCAGTTTGTGATTTCATAAATGAACTATTTGTAGATTGTGGTTGTAAAGATGGTGGAGGCAATGATAAGTTGATAAATTTGGGTAAAGGACCTGGATAGTCACCAAGACCTGGGGTTGGTTGATGACCAGCTTGGGTATACCCAATCAATCTCATAGCATAGCAAAAACTAAATTGATTTAAGAAACCTAAGTTCTGTTGATCTGCCAATTGCCAGATTTCACCTAAAGTAGTAGGAGGCAATCCTGACTTTTCAAACGTAGATCTAGCTTTCTCTCCAGTAATAATACCAGTCTTTTCAGTATCTAAAGATCTGAACAATTGTGAGAATAATTTCTTCTCATCGGGGGTAAGCCCAACCTTGAATTCAGACATTGTAACTTATGATCGAATCAAAATCAATGGTATTCAAAAGTTACTAAATTTATTATCTTACACAGCTTTGGCTAATGTTTATATATGTCCGACTGTGCCAATTGATGAAATATACGCACAGTTATTGAGGAGTCGTCTTTTTCGGAATCGGACACGACCAGATTCCATTACAGGTTATCATCCATTAACTATAAGAATATAGAGATAATAACCAATTGTTTATTCATATAATGGAAATGATTATTAATTAGATTTGTAGACTTTTAAAGAAAACAACAGTTAGTTGAACCATACCTTGTAAGACTGTTTAATGGTGATGAAATCTTCCAATTTTGATGTCTCCATACCACTATAAAGGTAAAATAAATGTCCTGCATGTACTTCGATGAGGTCTATATTTTTTTTCTGTATGTGAAAAATTTATCTAAGTCTTAAGATGCTTTATATATCAATATTATTATACCAGAATACACCAATATGAACAGAGGTAGAGGTGGATTTAGAGGAGGCCGTGGTGGCAGACCAGCACCATTCCAACAAGGCCCACCAGATTCAGTCTTAGAAATGGGTTCATTCATGCAAGCCTGTGAAGGTGACATAGTATGTCGTTCTATAAATGTTAAAATTCCTTATTTCAATGCTCCAATCTATTTAGAAAATAAAACCCAAGTTGGTAAAGTTGATGAAATATTGGGTCCTTTAAATGAAGTTTTCTTCACTATCAAACCTTCAGAAGGTGTTAAAGCTGATTCATTCAAAGAAGGTGACAAGTTTTTCATAGGTCCAGATAAGTTATTACCACTTGAAAGATTTTTACCAAAGCCAAAAGAAGTTGGTTCTAAACCAAAAAAGAAGTCTGCCGGTGGAGCTGCCAGAGGTGGATTCGGTGGCCGTGGTGGTGCTAGAGGTGGCTTTGGAGGCCGTGGTGGATCCAGAGGTGGATTCGGTGGTGACCGTGGTGGAAGAGGTGGATTCGGTGGCCGTGGTGGATCCAGAGGTGGATTCGGTGGTGACCGTGGTGGAAGAGGTGGATTCGGTGGCCGTGGTGGATCCAGAGGTGGATTTGGCGGTGACCGTGGTGGAAGAGGTGGATTCGGTGGAAGAGGTGGATTCGGTGGTGACCGTGGTGGAAGAGGTGGCCGTTTCTAAGTTGTGTTTGCACATTTTATCTATGTACCATATAATTTTTCATTAACAGTTTATTAGAAAAAGTGTATTTAAATTGTACTTTTTTTCCATATTAGATAGAGTAGTTACTTCTAATAAATCAAATATATCAAATACTTTATATTCAATTAAATTTATTGTAGACCTCTATATTTATTGTTATTTACAAGTTATATTACACTATATGCAGATGCTAATTAAAACTCCTCAGGAATTTGAAACTGGTTACAGTTTTGTAAAATGGCTACTCTTATTTGTTTGTAACCACTTAGAGTTTTAGTATATTTATTAGTCATTGAATTACTAAAGAATACCCTCTGTGAGTATGGTAGACTTTCTATGCTTTTCTCAAAATGGTTGATAATCCTATCATTATAGGATTTTGATATCTCCACAAAAGCTTCAAGGTCAAGAGAACCTTTTTGCAATTGATTCATCCTTGAATAATATTTACTTATCACACTATCGACCTTGGTAAAGATAACATCATGCTTGATTTCATTCTCTTGTAGATGCAGCAAAATGTTTATATCTTCTTCTCTTATCCCAGCTTCACTATCAATCAAAATCAAAGCTCCTGCAAGTCTCTCACGCTTCTGTATGTAGTCCAATACAAGTGTACCCTGATCTTCATCTCCAAACTCCCCATAACCAGGACTATCCACCAATCTAAGCTTACCACCTATATTAAAGCAGTTCAATGTTTTAGTGAAACCAGCTCTTTTTGAAACATAAGCATAATCTGCGATCTTGTTAGCATTCTTTTTAACTAACAAGTTGTTAATTAAAGTAGATTTCCCTGCATTGGTATTCCCAAGGAGCAAGACTTCAGGCAAGGTCCTTATTAAACCTGGTGCTATACCAAATGTCTTTCTAGATTTAGCTAGATTTTCATGATATTCTGTCTTACTAAAGGCATCTAGATTATCTAATGTACTCTTTCTTTTGGAGTCAAGTCTTTTATATTTCACATCTGGAATCTCTTCATAGTTACCAATTGTCCATTCCAACTCAACGTCTGCCGAATTGAAAAAAGCCTGTGCCTGATTCATTTCCTGAGGAGTGAAAACATCTTCTCCTTCTAACCAGAATTTGGTTTCTAGATCTTTAGTAGAAATAGCTAGACCTTCAATTTTATCACGTAATTGTTTTGCTAATGTAGATTTCTTCTTTTTCACATAGAGTGGAGCTTCTATAGGTTTACTATCCTTCGCAAGAGCTGCAGTTAAATAATTCACTGAACTATATCTCCGCTGAGACAGCACAACATTGCAAGACACAGTACGTCGAAGTATAGAAAGTACCATCACCTATAGTAATTTGCGTCCATTACAATGAGGTTAAAATTTAATATAGATCAAATATTTATTTTTTAGAGATGCTCACAAAAAGGATGTCCCTCCTTTTTTACACACTTGGTGTCTTTTTAACTTAATTGACAATCAATACCATCAAACAGGTACAATCCAATCTGAATTAGACTCTAGACGTCATAAGGTTCTTCAAAACATGGTAGCAATTCGAATTCCCGTTCTTATACGTAAGTAATTGTTTATTATGGGGTTATTGTAGATGCTTAACCATGTGCACAAGATAATGAACTAATCGTTTACATTCAGTAAATGTGTATATCGATTGTTTCCAGACAACTAACTTCCTAATCTATAGTTTTTATTTGTTCATTAATACTAGCAGGCTACCTAGGCTTTGCAAATATTCACTTACCATACGATAAACTCATACATTTCGTTACCTTTTTTGTATTAACCACGGAGTTCTATTTTGTATTTGATACCAAACTTAAATCGTTGAAAACTTTACGCTATATAACCTTAAGTATTTGTACAATAGCGGGTGGCATTGGACTGGAAATCATTCAAAGTTTAGTGAATCCAAATAGAATATTCGACCCATTGGATATTGCTTTCAATATAAGTGGAAGTTTACTTTCAGTTGGTTTAAGTTCATGGTATCAATCAAGCGCTATCAAAAAGTCAAAAGAGCAAAGAAATCGTTACAGACATGTTCCAGGCCAAGAACCTGATATTCCAACTCATACAACTGCTCATAATTCACTGGATGCTGACGAAGAAGGATATGTATCCATTCAATTGAATGATACAGCTGCAGATAAGTCATAGAAATTACTAAATATGACAAATAATCCTGCACACTGATGATTTTTAAATTTTTGATTAACCAAAATATGTGGAGCTATCTTTTCGATCATTATCATTATTTAGTATCATATAAAAGTTTATAATTAATATGATTTGATATTAGTTTTCTTCTTTCAAAGATATAATTAATTTAAAAATATTTTAAGAATAGAAGAGTGATAAAGATGTCCAAAGAACCAAGTAAATTTTATGGAGGTATAAAGTCCTATGATATTCACACATATTGGAACAATAACAATAAAGTTGATAGAGATTTCGCATTTCAGTTAAGGGAAAATGTATTGAAGGACTTTGCTAAAGAAATTGAAGATGGAGATATTAGAGTATATAAATTTTGGGACAAACCAATTGGACCTCATCCAATAAACATGTGGGAGCTTGATTTCAAAAGTCCTGAAATATTTAAAGTGATTTTACCATATTTCCAATTGCATCATGGTCGTTTATCAGTTTTGATTCATCCTAGGACAGGTCAAGGTGCTGTGAAAGATCATACATCCAATGCCTTATGGTTAGGACATAAATTAAGACTTGATACTGATATTTTACAAGGAGAAGATTAAAATCACATCAAGAGAAGTTTTTAGAGAAAATTTTCTAATTTGTTATAGCAACGTTGCATGCAGTTCATAATAAACAAAGCTTACCTATTATAGGTTTAATCCCATTACACATGTAGAAATCATTGACCCGAAAACGTTTTTTAAACATCTAGTTTACTACCCCGTCGTTTACTGTGTGATTTCATCGCCCTGCACATAAAAAATTATCAAAACAATATAACCAGGAGAGCGGCTGCTTAATTATTTTCAATCCGAAAGTTTACAGCTATATTTGATATTGATACCAAAGCAATCACCGGTTGAAGAAAGTGATATAAATTCATACAGACTTGAGAGTCACTGTTTAAAGAAGTTCGTAAATATTATCATTGAAAGGTGGTTTCTTGATTGCATTGAAATCGTGAAATTCCATAATTTCGAGCCCTTCTTTAGGCATGCCGCAAAGTAAATTTCTATCCATTGGAAGGGGTAATGGTTCATCTGCATCAAGTAGCATCCCTATGGCGAGTGTAGAAAATAATGGAAAGTCAAATGGTGGACAACATGGTGATTTGGTTGAAGCTGATGATACGCAAAAAGATGATACTAATATTGAAAAAGAGAATGGGCATGAACCTCCTAAAGCTCTAAGAGAAGATGAAGACTTCAATAAGATATATCATACTATTTCAGCAGGATCCAATGATGAGAGTGTAGATCCCAAAAGCAAAACACTTCCAATACCATTCAAAAGAAAGAAGTCTGTGTTTGGACCAGAGTCACCAAAAATCATTTCAAATCCATTAACATATTTCAACAAATTTAGTGATAGGGATGAACAAAGATACGTAGACGAAGAACAAGAACTGCGTGACCGAATGCCATTCCACAGATCGCAATCCATGTCAAGCGGTTTACAAATTCCTGATATACATATTGATGGTAACCAAATACCAGTTCATCCACATAGTCAATCATTTGCCAATTTTATGCCAACCATGTTTAGTCGTTCAGGTCAGCACGATACCACTCTTCAAGACGATGATTTTCACCATACAGAAGACTTAGGTAAGCAACAAACTTTAAAGAAAATGATTGCCAGGATAAATTTTAAGATGGGTGGTGGTCGTAAGAAGCAAAGTATAACTGCTTTTAATATTGTGAAAGAGCCTCTGGACCAAGACAAACAAACTGGTGAACGAGCTCAAAAGTTGGTAGGAAATCTTGCAGTAGGAATAACAGCAATAAACTTATTGGCTTCATGTTTACTAGAAGATGAACATGGGATAGCTCGTGCTCCACTTGTCTTGAATCTCATAGGGTTGAATATCGTTGATATATCGCCAAATACCAATACTAGAATCAGAAGATTTAGAATTGAGCTTGAATACGGTGTTGGAGAAAGTAGACAAAAATGGTTCGTAGATAAGAATGCCAGGGATTTATTATATTTGCATTCTAGATTTAAGTTTGAGAGATGGAAAAATGAAGTTGTAAGGAATAAAAATACCAACTTACCTAAATGTCCAATTCCACCATTACGTACTAAAGAAAACGCCAAATCTAGAGCTAAAAGTATCGCAAAAGCTGCCGAAGAAACTAAAACTGTTAATGAACAAGCCAATGCTGAAGATGAAGAGGAGCACTCTTTTAGAAATCAATTATCGAGATTGAGGCTGCATCTTAGTAGTATTTCCTCATTAGAAGAGTCATCACCAGAGCAACTTAGACAGAAAGCTCAAAAAAATCAAGAATATATTCGAGAAGTTCATAAATATTTGACTCGTTTAATTGCTTTAGTTGATCTTAACCCACAATCAAATAGATTATTTCACTTTTTCGAATTGTCTCCAATATCTTCTTTATTAAGTTATGAAACAGGGTTTCAAGGAAAGCAAGGTATTGTTCATGTAACAGGAACTGCTAGATCACAGGGATGGAGAGTGGGGCATTTCAGAGCTAATGATTTGAAAGGTATGATTGATAGAAGAGCTGAAAAATGGTTCCTAATCAGAAATACGTACGTTATGTATGTGTCTGATATAAATTCCACCATTCCGTTAGAAGTCTTTCTAGTTGATTCAGATTTTAAAGTTATATACAATAGAGATTATGAGCTTCAATTCCCAAAAGAAGATGATGAGTCTGACTTAGATGATTCATCTGTCACCCAGAAGAAAATAGCGGACACTGAAGGACAACAGGCCTCTCATAATCTTTTTAACCATTTTCAAATAACTTTAGAAAATTCAGAAAGAAAGTTACTGATAACCCCAAAATCTTTCAAGGAACATAAATTATGGGTGGAATCACTAGTTGCGATGAAAAATTCAACAATTTGGTCACAACCACATAACAGATTTGATTCATTTGCTCCAGTAAGAGAGAATTGCTTTGCTCAATGGTTCATAGATGCCAGAGATTATTTCTGGTCTATATCAGCTGCTTTAGAGTTGGCCAAGGATACTATTTTTATTCATGATTGGTGGTTGACTCCAGAAATGTATCTAAGAAGACCAGCAAATGGTAATCAACAATGGAGACTTGATAGAATCTTGCAAAGAAAAGCACAACAAGGAGTGAAAATCTTTGTTATTGTTTATCGTAATGTTGGATCTACAGTTGCTACAGATTCTTTATACACAAAACATTCCATATTATCACTTAACGAAGAGAATATTCATGTCATTAGATCACCAAATCAATTGTTACAAAATACATACTTTTGGGCTCATCATGAAAAGATATGTGTGATAGATCTGACTGTTGCCTATGTTGGTGGTATAGACATGTGTTATGGTAGATATGATACTCCAGACCATGTTCTAGTTGATGATTCCAATCTCAATTTTGATAGTTTTGTTGCTGAAGACAGGGTGACAACTGATGAATTTATCAAATTTCAAACCTTTACAGGAAAAGATTATTCTAATCCAAGAGTGAAGGATTTCTCATCGCTTGAAAGACCATATGAGACCATGTATGACAGAAATACCACCCCAAGAATGCCATGGCATGATGTTCACATGGTCACGGCTGGGCAAGTTGCAGTAGACTTGGGACGTCATTTTGTTCAACGTTGGAATTATTTATTAAGACAGAAGCGTCCGAGCAGATTTACACCATTACTTACGCCTCCTTCAGATATGAGTGACGAATATGCTAAAGAGTTAGGTTTAAATGGCACTTGTGAAATTCAAATAGTAAGATCTGCGGGAAGTTGGTCTTTGGGCTTAAAAGATCATGAACAAAGTGTTCAAAATGCCTACTTGAAGTTGATTGAAACGTCGGAGCATTTCGTGTATATAGAAAATCAATTCTTTGTTACATCCACTATAGTTGATGGAACTGAAATTCAGAATCGTATAGGTGATGCTTTAGTGGACAGAATTATAAGAGCACACTCTGAAAAGAAGGCTTGGAGAGCAGTCATTATTATTCCGTTAATGCCAGGTTTCGAATCGCAGGTTGACGAGCCTGATGGATCATCTGTTAGAGTAATCATGCAATGTCAATATAGATCCATTTCTAGAGGGAGATATTCAATTTTTGGAAAGCTTCAAGCACTTAATATCAATCCTGATGATTATATTCAATTCTTTTCCTTAAGAAAGTGGGGTCAAATTGGTCCTGATCGTAACCTTGTCACAGAGCAATTATATATACATGCCAAGATTATGATAGTCGATGATAAGTATGCCATCATTGGTAGTGCTAATATCAATGAAAGATCTATGAGGGGTGTTAGAGATTCTGAAGTAGCAGCAGTTGTGAAAGATACTGAAATGATTACAACTACCATGAATGGTGAACCTTACAAGGCAGGAAAGTTCGCACATACCATGAGAATGAGGTTAATGAGAGAACATCTTGGTATTAACGTTGATATACTTGAGATTGTCGAGAGAAGATTTAAGAGATTTGAAGAAATTGCCAATACCCGTGAAGGTATAAAGGCTTCAACTAGTAATTTTAGGAATATTGAAAATTTAGTATTGTCAGCTATGGTAGAACTTTCTTCGAGAGATATATTGAATGAACAACATGGTACCCAAAGATGGAAAAATTTCCAAAAGCATAGAGATATGGATGCAATTGCTGAGGAAATTCCTATGGGCGAAGATATAGAAGCAGATGATAAACTGGCTCCGGAACCAATGAACTTGCCAATCTCATTTAATAATAGAACAGGGTCACACGAAGCTAATAGTGGTATAAGAGACAAAAAGAAACATTCATACGATGTAAGAGTACAACATAGTGATATTCATAAAAAAGATGTCTATGGTGAAGGTTTAGATAAATATAGAAGTAAATTAGCTAAGAAGGCCAGGCAAAGTTGTGCAAGGTTTTTGAAAGAATTAGCTCATATCTCTATGGAGGAGAATCCTACAGAATCCTTTTTACCGGATTTAGATTCCGTTAAAGAATTTTTGGAAAGCGATGATCATGATATGTTTGACGAAATGGATGAGGCATCTGAGGAGATTATAAACGAAAGAAATAAAGAGAGATGGATGCTTTTAAAGAGAATATCTTATTTACAAAGAATATCAGCAAAGTCCAAACGTGAACAAGAGGAAGAGCTGAAAAAGAGGGTCCAAGCTGGTCTCAGCCCTACAATTATAAAAACATCAAAGAAGGAAAATTCGCCAAAACGCCAGAGTCCAGAAACTGTTACTGCAGAAGACATTATGGAGACAAATTTAACACCACAAGCATCGCCTCCTTTAGACGTGCCTGATACGAGTAAATCTGCTGAGCCTCCATTATCTGATGTTAGTGGTGGAGATGTTCCTATTGTTAGTCTTTCTGAATCAGAGGTACAAGATCTTTTAGATACTATTAATACGGACAGAAAAGTTGAGAAATTTATTGATCCTTATGGATTTGAAGATCCAATTAAGTCCGAGTTTTATGCTGATTTATGGTTTGAAAATGCTAGAAGAAATACAGAATTATTCAGAAAAGTATTTCATACTCAGCCAGATGATTTAGTATCAACATGGAAGCTGTATAAAGAATTCTCCAAATTGCAGAAGGCGTTCATTGTTTCTCAAAAGCGTGAAGCTGAACGGAGAAGAAAAAACCACGAACACAATAGTCTTTATGGTGGTTCTGAAACAGACGAAGAGTCAAATGAGCCAGATGAAGTTAATGGCAAAAATAATAGGCAATCAATTAATATCAGTAAGCTTGACCTGGAGGTAGGTTTATTAGGCCAAGCACCCCCATCAGCAAATAATGGCAATATTCATGAAAGAAAACAGAGTAAATTGTTGCGTCATTTAAGCTATGCCAGGCATCCTATACCAGAACATAATGAAGGTATAGATCCAGAATCGCCAGAATTTCAAAATGGAAACCTGTTACCACCACAGGATGAATCATTTTTAAGACTGGAACTCAACGGCCGCAAGAATGGGGGTTACGATGATACACAAGAGTACTTCCCTATTATGCCCGTAAATAATGATATAAAGAGAAATAAAAAGGAGGTTTCACCTCCAGCAGTACAAGGTCAAGCTAAAAGGAAACAAAAGGGTACCACAAATAGAAAAAGACCAATAGTTGATGAGCTTATATATGATCGAAGTACAGCGGAAAGAATTCTTCTGGAGATTCAAGGTAACTTGGTCTTCTTCCCAGCAGATTGGTTATGTACCGAGTTGGATGTCGATAACTGGTTCTACAGTACAGATAGAATTCCTCCCATTGAAATTTTTGATTAGTTTATTATAATTTAAGTGATATGAAAGAAATATACGTGTAAAATTTAATGTGTATGTATATATTTGTTTACACGTGTAAATTGTGGTCTTTTTTTAGATTCGTATACGCGACTTTTAAAAACGTCAAAAATCGAATTATAAAAAAAAAAAGATAGAAAGCAAAAGGAAGTAAATCTTAAGTTAACAAAGAGGATACATTACAGAATTAACTTTTACAATGTTCTTGCAATTGCTTTCGTATGCTGGTATTGTGATTGGATTTGTGTTCCTCGTGCTATCAATTGCTTCTGGTTTGTATTATATTTCAGAATTGGTGGAGGAGCATTCTGAGCCAACTAAAAGGTTCCTTAAAAGGTTAATTTATACTATTAGTGGAATATTCGTATTATTATGGTTATTTGATAGATTTCCATTCAAACTTACTGCATTCTCCATCTTTTCATATTATGTTTACTTACAAAACTTAAATAAATTTCCTTATGTGAATTTGACTTCCCCAATATTTTTAATTTCATGTGTGTTAGTGTTGGCAAATCATTTCTTCTGGTTTAATCATTTTCATAATCCTTATATTCCACCTTTAGAAGTTAGATTACTGCCAAACTATGAACCACCAAGAATCCCTACCTTTGTTGAAGTTTGTTCATTCTTTGGATTATTAGTTTGGTTTGTTCCATTTGCTTTGTTTGTCAGTTTAAGTGCTCATGATAACTTGTTGCCACATCATGTTCAATCTGAAATCGACAAGGATAAGAAGAAAAACAATGGATTGGCTAAAGTTGTGGTTGCCAATATTAGAGAATATGTTTACGCTATTACAAGAAGATGTGGATACGAATTAGATCCTCATCATGGTACTATTATTTAAAAGATAATATAATATTATTCCCCATATACCCAAAACCATATATTTTGCATTTTGTATTAATACATAAAACGTCTTTGTTTACGCCAAAAAGTTTATTTTGATTGTAAAAAGTCTTTCACTGGAGGTCCAATATGATCCAAACTTAATAAGAATGTATCATGTCCGTAATTACTAACATTAGTACCTAATTCAAAGTATCTAATATCACCACCCTTTTTATTGTGTTTAAGTACATCAGCAATTTCTCTCTGTTGCCAAACTGGAAATAAAATATCTGATTCAACACCAATAACAAGGATATCCTTGTGGGCAATCTTTGCCATACCGTGTTTCAAATCTTGTAAAGATTCCTCTGGTGTGGTGGTAGCAGATTCTGCTGTTTCTTTATAAGGTTCTTCAGGTACAGAGAATTCTTCACTAAGCTCTCTTTGTTCATTATACTTTTTCTCAGTTTCCTGCCTTATCTTTGCTGCTCTTGTTCTGCCGTTATGTCCCAAATCAAATAAATCCATAGCTTTCAGGACATACAATAACGAATTGGCATCATATTCCAAACAGAATTTTTCACCTGCATGATCCAAGTATGTTTCAACTAAGAAATCAGGACAGAATGCAGGTGGTTTAGAATCATCCGCTCTATTTCTACCAAATCTATACTCCCATTCTGGACCTGAACGATATGTCACAGTAGCAATTTCTCTAGCTAATTTCATACCAACATGAGGAGGGACACTATCATAATAGAAGCCTCTTTTCCAATTGGGATCACTCATCAATACTTGTCTTTGACAATGTCTTAATGCAATTGAATATGGGTGAGATCTAGCACAACCACTTATAGAAACAATTTTACCAACTTCTTCAGGAAATTCCATAGCATAAGCCAATGATTGCATTCCACCCATTGATGCACCTACTGAAGCATGAATTTTGGATACATTATATACAGTTTTGATTAATTCATGTTGAGCTCTAACCATATCATTTACAGTTATAACTGGGAACCTGGTACCAAAATAATTATTATCAGCTGGGTCCTTAGATGATGGACCCGTGGAACCATAACACCCTCCAATTACATTTGTACAAATAATGAAATATTTGTCAGTATCCAAGTATTTTCCTGAACCTATGAAACCTTCCCACCAACCAGGTTTAGAATTATCAGGTTGAGATTTGGCATGAGATGATGCTGAAAGACCAGTATGGACTAAGATTATATTATCTTTGGCTTCATTGAGTTCTCCCCATGTTTCATATGCTAACTCATATTCAGGTAAATATCCTCCATTATCAAAGAATATAGGTTTTTGTGACTTAAATACTTTGAATCCTGTTTGAACTTTAGAATATGAAGGTTCTGGACCAGCTTCCAATGAATTGACATTTGGATCATTAGTAGAACATGCATATGAATTGGTTAATTCCTCATTCTTCTTCTCTAATCTATCAAGACAAGGAAAAGCTAATTGAGGATTAGAACTTGCATTTGGAGATATAGTTGCAGTTGATTTGAACTTTATTAAGCGGGGATGAGCATTGGAAACTAAATAGATTGGATACCTTCTAGCTATGACACTGTATATGCTTCGTTTAGTAACTAACATCTTAACAGTAGACTTTAGCTATTTAATATGATAATAATAAAAGAATGGGGTTCTTAAACGGATTAGTAAATATATTTCACTAAATCATCTTAATTTCACATATATTAGAAATTTATCAATTTCACGTGACATTTTCATCCGGCATATAAATTACGGGGTCTAAAAAGTACAAACAGATAACGGTGTCTTCTAAAGGTTTGGCATTGATGAGGAGGAGTAGTTGGTATTGAAAGCATTGTGAATTAGAATGTTAAAACTTCGAGGCATAATAACAGGGAGTTATGTGGTAGTATTCTTGGCAACAATTCCTCTGTTCTTACTTTTGAAAATATATGCTCTGGTAGTTGGTTCAAATCCATTAGTTTCATTCTTTGAAGACTATATTATTAAACTGTACGGTTATGTATGGTTTACACTTGTTTATTTCAGTTTCTTATTTCTATATATCCAAACAGATTATAGAATAAGTAATAATAAAGTTCTAGAATTTGTAAGGAATTATAGTTTAAATACCTTAGTTTTCATCACTACTCAAGTTTGGTTTTTTGGATCACTGATATTTGAAAGAATAAATATAGCCACTGGTGGTTCTTGTGCAGATGATTCAATTCGTTCAGAATATTATTGTAAGTCAAGTGGATCAACTTGGACTAACGGATTTGATGCATCAGGTCACTTTTATTTCATACTATCAGTCAGTTTAATTGTGTGGAGAGAATTATTAAATCATTTAGGTATACAATCTAAAATACCCATGGCCAACGGAGATGAATTAGAATTTGACCAAGCTCCAGGAAATAATTCAGAAATAGCGTCAGCTTCATGGAATAATAATCCATACTTAACCATATACAAAGCAATAGTCATTGGGGTGGCGTTAACCTTCCTATCTATATGGTATTTCATGTATCTTATCACTTGCATATTCTTCCATACTATTCCAGAAAAGATCGTTGGCACAGCTGTAGGATTATTCATCCCATTACTAATAGCATATATAGATTCATACTAGATAAAATAAAGTAAAGTTATCAATTTTAAAATTAGTGATCAAATAGATAAGGTGTAGCAGCAACAGCACAAAGATCGCACCAGATTTTTTTTTTTTTTTTTTAATTTTTTGTAGCGTTAATATCTCATGAGCAGTTTTAGCTATACATTTTGGATGATGGAGTTGATAAATTTTCCAAACCTTATATAAATAAGACAATCTGACTTCATTTTACTTCTTATGATGATATAGAATACTTATAGACAATGACAATGGAACATTTACATATAACATTTTCAAACATACACTGTGAAAAGTGTGAAACTGGTTTATTCCAAGCATTTTCCCAGTATTTGAAAATTACTAATATAGGCAAACAGAAACCAACAGAGGCAAATTTGCAACAACTAGAAAGAGATCATGCCCTATTCTATTTAGATGATAATGATGTTGATATTTATTATAAATCTATAGTTGGTTCAACTAGTTCATTACACAAGCTTATCAAGAAATTGATTAAACAAGTTACCGTATCGGGATTCAAAGTATTATCATGGGAACTTTACACTGATGAGGAATTACAACTGACATCGAGTTCAAATGAGATTCGTAATCATTCTGATGTTGAAGAACATATTGGATTCTTTGATATATTAAATATCTATTCTAAATTTACTTCAGCTAGATCTAAGAGAAATCATATTAAAAACTGTATAGCATGTCAACAAGAAAGATTACAGAAACAACAAGAAGAAAAGGAATTATCAGAAACTGCTAGTGACTCAAGTACAGTTGAAACAGTAGTTAATCATCCAGATAAAGAATTTCGAGCTGTATTTGCTATAATTGGAATGACTTGTGTGGCTTGTGTTCAGTCTGTTTCTGAAGAATTGAAAAGAGTACTAGCAGTTCAAGATGATGGGAAGAAACCTCCAGAAGAACAGTCATATGCGGTAAATCTAATCAATAAAACAGCCGTTGTAATCATGCCAAATAAACAACTCATAAATCGGATTGTGGATGCCATCAATGATATCGGATTCGAATGTAAACTTTTAGAAGTTTTACCAGTGGAAAGAAGTATTAATACGAAAGCTACTGCTATAATTTCAGGTATGACTTGTGTGGCATGTGCCAATTCAATTCAAGCTGCAGTTAATGAGTTACCATTCGTATTGGATAGTGGTATCAATGTGGTAACTAAATCAGCTCAATTCGTTTTGGAAGATGAAGATCAAAAGAATCTTGCTAAATTAAAAGAAACCATTGAAGATTGTGGATTTGATTATGAATTAGTTAAATGTGAAAAGATCAATTATACTTCATCTAAAAAGAAATCAAGAACCATTAATATTAGTGTTGATGGTATGCATTGTGAACATTGTCCTAATTTAATTAATAATTATTTATCAAGTTATGGTGAAGCCATTGTAATCAATGATGAAATCAGTTTAAATCATCCATATATTAAATTCACCTATATTCCAAGTCAAAATTTAACTATTCGAAAACTTTTATTTGATTTAAATCATATTGAACCAACTGATGCTGAAGATGAATATAAAATCAATCCAGATAAAAAAGGATTGTTCAATTGTGAATTAGTAGAACCATTATCTATTGATGAACATGTCAAAAGATTACATAAAAAGGAATTATTGGCTATTACAGGAAGATTAATTTTGACATTTGTATTTGCCATTCCTACCTTTATATTCGGTATCGTTGCTATGTCATTATTACCATCTGAAAATAAATTTAGAAAATGGGTTGAAGAACCGTTATGGACAGGGAATGTATCAAGAGTTACTTGGATACTTTTCTTTTTAAGTACTCCTGTATATCTTTTTGCCGCTGATGTTTTCCACAGAAAAGCTATTAAAGAAGTGCTTTCATTATGGTTACATAAGAACTCATTTAAATCAAGAATCTTTAAATTTGGTTCTATGAATTTATTAATGTGTTTAGGTACATCAATTTCATATTTTGCCAGTATTGTATTATTAATATTGAGTGCTCAACAATCGGCAGATACTCATATGGGATTACATACCACTTATTTTGATTCGGTAGTATTCTTAACATTTTTCTTATTGATTGGTAGATTACTTGAAAGTTATTCCAAGGGTAAAACAGCTAATGCTATCGCTTCATTAAGTTCATTGAAAGTAAATGAAGCAACAGTAGTTGAAAATGATGGAGGTTCAAATTATTTCAATGATACAGTCGTTGATGTTAAATTCCTTGAATTTGGAGATTTTATTAAAATTGCATCAGGAGAATCACCCGCAGTAGATTGTGTGATAATTGAAGGTAGTTCAGAATTTGATGAATCAGCTTTAACCGGTGAATCAACTCCTGTGAAACATACACCCGGGCATCAAATTTTCTCCGGAACAGTCAATGTTGGAAATAATTCAATCGTGGCTAAAGTTATAAGTATTGGTGGAGATTCCCTTATTGATCAAATTGTCAGTACAGTTAGAGATGGTCAATTAAGAAAAGCTCCGATTGAAAGAACTGCCGATATTTTAACTGGATATTTCGTGCCTGTTATTACTGTATTAGCTATAATTACTTGGGTTATATGGTTGTCATTAGGTGAAAGTGGATCATTACCAGCACATTATTTAGATATTGATGTTGGTGGATGGATAGTTTGGTCATTAGAATTTTCTATTGCTGTATTTGTGATTGCATGCCCATGTGGAATTGGGTTAGCTGCTCCTACTGCATTATTTGTTGGTTCAGGATTAGCTGCTAAATATGGTATTTTAGCTAAAGGTGGAGGTGTAGCATTTCAAGATGGAGCCAATACTAATGTGGTTTGTTTTGATAAAACTGGTACTTTAACTAAAGGAGAACTTCAAATTACAGATTATTCATTTAATATTCCACATAAGGAACAATCTAGAGTTGTAAAATCATTCGCTTTACAAGTTGCTCGTGATTTAGAATTAGCCTCAAAACATCCATTAGCAAAATGTATGAAATTATTTTTAGATAATTATGCATTTAAGAAACATGATATTAAAATATCGCCTAACAAAGTTCCTCAAGTTGAGAATATTCCGGGTAAAGGATTAACAGGTGATATACTTATATCTGAAGACGATAAATCCGATACAAATGATGTGTGGATGGAATATAAACCCACTGCTGCTATCTTAGGTAATGAGAAATTATTTCAAGAATATGCCATTGGTATTAATCAAGACCAACAAGATTTATTACATCAATGGAAACAAGAATGTAAATCAATCATTTTAGTAGGTATAAAATGTGAAGCCCTTTATAAAGATGATAAATTCCATCTTGTATTGATGACTGCTGCTAGAGATGAAATCAGAGTTGAAACCAAAAAAGTGATTCAATATTTAACCAAAACTTTAGGTATTGAATGTTGGATGATTACTGGTGATAATAGAGGTACTGCTGAAGCCATTGGACAAGAAATTGGTATTACTAATATTGTTAGTGAAGTTTTACCTGATGAAAAACAAGCTCATATTAAACGAATTAGAAATTTAAAAGAGAATACTATAATTGCTATGATTGGGGATGGTATAAATGATGCTCCTGCATTGGCTACAGCTGATGTTGGTATTGCCTTATCAAGTGGAGCTGATTTAGCTGTTACCTCATCAGATTTCATATTATTAAATAAATCATATCCATTAATTTCATTATTAACCTTATTGGATTTATCAAGAGTTGTATTTAGAAGAGTTAAATTCAATTTTGCTTGGAGTTTGATATATAATGCCATTGGGATTCCTGTTGCAGCTGGGGTGATTTATCCTTATAATAACACTCGATTAAATCCAGTTTGGGCCAGTGTAGCTATGGCTGCATCATCAATTAGTGTGGTTTCAAGTAGTTTGGCATTGAAATTTTATAGACCAAAACTTAAGACTAAAGATTTTGAAAGTTTGATTAATGAAACTGTTGAAGGTGGAATTTATGAACCAAAGGAATATTAAATGATTTGTATATATATATTTAGGTGTTATTTCTTCCTTTATTGATTAAATATATCTTTATCGAATTTAACAATCATTACGGTTACATTATCCGTTGTAGAATGATCCATTGCTAATTGACATAATCTTTTAGCCACTGTTTGAGGATCATTTTTTTTAATTTCATTATTATCATTATTATTAGTGTCATTATTATTATTATTGTTGTTGTTAGTACTGTTATTGTTGGTGGAATTATTATTAAGACTGAATTGTTCTTTGACGAAATTACAAGCTTTTAAATCACTTAAAACATCCCATACTCCATCACAAGCTAAGATTAAGAAATCATCTTCATTAGTGATTTCAGTTGATGTCGTGAATGGTTTCCCAATCACTAAATCTTTCATATATGAATCACCTAAAGATCTTGTAACTGCCAATACCCCATTAACTCTATTTTTCATGATTAACCCATTTGAATCTTTGATTCGATTGATTTCATTTATATCGGTTGCTTTATGATCATAAGATAATCGATATGGTTGACCATTTCTACATAAAACTATTCTTGAATCACCGACATTGGAAGTATATAACATTCGTTTATGATTTGAAGTTGGGATGAAATCAAATTGAGAATTTAATTTGGATGATGATGATGAAGAAATACTGATTTGAGATTGATCAATGATTTTATTATCATTTGTTTCCCATCTTAAAACTGCTACTGCAGCAGTACTACCTGATGAACCTACCCCTTCTTTTTCGATCAATTCATCAGCTTTTAAGAATGATTTATAGAGACTTTCTTGCATGTCATAAACTGTTTCATCATTTTCATTTGATTTAATTTGATTTAATTCTTTATCAATTTCTTGTTCTAATAAAGTATGTAAATTATTTCCACACCATCTTGCGGTATCTTTTCCAGCATGACCATCAAAGATAGCAAAATAACCCCAATCGATTCTTTCAGCAAAGTTGGCTATATAAGTATGAACATCTTCCATTTTATTTCGGAAAGTAATGTTTTTATTTTCAGCAACCCCAACTTTAAACGATAGTCTATCGAATGGATCATTATTAGGGATGGTGGTATTTTTAGTAGTTGATTCATTGATTCTGGTGGAAGGAGAAGGTTCAGCAGTGGTGGTGGTAGTTGATGAAGATGATTGTGAGGAAGGTATTGGTGTTGATGATTGTAGATCAACATTCAATTGTTCGTTATGAGACAGCATTGGGTTAAAGATCAAATCTATAAAGAATGGGTATATGTTTGTTTTTTATTATCTAAGATACAAAATTTAATTAGTGATTTTTGATTAAGTAGTAGACTAGCCTTCACACAATAGATATATTCCACGACGTAAAGTCAATTGATTGATAGAATTATATGATATAACTTTGTTGTCATATATATAGAGTGATCAGTTTGACTTAAAAATGTTTCATGTTTGCGTTTTATAATTTGGCTTGAAACATCTGAGTTGTATGCAGGAGAGGCATGGATGTAGTTGTTGTAATAATAATATACACCACAATAATTATTACTACTGCAAACTAGTACTATGAAACTTAAACATGTGTTGTAAACTAGTAGAGATTGGATATTTTGTAGTGATGTTGGTTAACTCATGAGTTCTTATGGAAATCACTATATATACTTTTTTTTTAGATTATAATAATATATAATATCTGTTAGTTTAAAGTTAATAATTGCAAAAAAAAGTGAAAAATTATAACAATGACTACCACCACTACCAAGAAAATACCCAACACTTAACAATGGAAAGAAAGGATGTACCCTCACTATTGGATAGATAAAGTTATAATATCCCTATGTAGTATATAATCTACCGATAACTTTAAATAATGCCGATTTAACCCAGATCGATCCATAATTTAAGTCGCGTTTTATGATATGGAGACTTTTTCACTTTTTTTTCCCTTTCCGTTTGTGGCAATTTTTGCCTATTTTTGTTTGGCACCACTGTTTCCCCAACTATTTATAACATATGATAATTAGCAATTCCTGAATTTGTCATATATATATATATGTATAGATAGTTAGTTACAAACATAGATATATCAACTATAGTAGTATTCTATTGTCACCACTACATATCATTACTATCTTAATTACAATTTTCAACTACTTCATTCATTCACTAACTAATTAATCATGGTAGAAATAGAACCTCCATATAAAGCCATTAATACTCCAATATCTGCTACCATCAATTATAAAGGAGCTGATTTCAAAGCTCAAACTTGGAAAGTTCCTGAAGGTACTCCCTTAAAGGGAAAGATTGTTTATGTTCATGGATTTGCTGAACTGTCTGGTTTATACGTTAAATTGTTTGATCAATTAAGTACCTATGGTTATCAAGTATTTTTCTTTTCTCAAAGAGGAGCTCCAGAAACAAGTCCAGGTAAACAACTTGGAGTTACAAATGAGACTCTTATATTTGATGATTTAGATTATTTTATTAAATATAATTTAGATCAATCTCCCAAATCTGATAAATTATTCCTTTTAGGTCATTCAATGGGAGGTGGAATTATTTTAAATTATGCTATTAAAGGTACTTATCGTAATCAAATTAATGGAATTGTTTGTTCAGGTCCATTAGTTTTACTTCATCCAACTACTCAACCAAATATAATCGTTAGAACTTTTGCTGGTTATATTAATTATTTAGTTCCTCATTTAAAAGTTGATTCAAAATTAAATCATGATTTATTAACAAGTGATGAAGATTGGAAACAATATATTATTAAACATGATAAAAAACTTATTGGTACCGTTAGACAATTTCATCATATGTTTCAAAGAGGTGAAAAATTATTAGATAAAAGTTATACCAAGAATTTTAATACACCAGTTTTGGTTTTTCATGGTGAAATAGATGAAATTAATGATCCAGTGGGAACCAAGAAATTCTTTGAAACTCTTGATTATAAGGATAGTGAATTTGTTCCTGTTAAAGGAGCAAGACATTCATTATTTATTGAAAGTGAACCCATTTATAAAGATATCTACGGTAAACTTACTCAATTCTTAGACTCCCATTAGAAAAACTTTAGTTACTTAAAATTCTATTTACTTCCTTTTTATTATTCTATTTTCTCTTGGTTCTTTGATATAGAACCGTTTAGACTTCTGTTAGATTTGTTTCATATAGTTTAATTATATAGTTGTTACTCATAACCTTGCTTAATGTTATACGTACCATCTTGACACAAATTAAGCCTGGTGCATTTACGTTAATTGTAATTGTAAATTAAATAATTTTTTTTATATTTCCCTGTTCACGTGACCTCGGACATCAAAATCCATGCCTCTCTCCCACCCCCAAACAAAACAAAATGGATAAAAGAAGTATCACCAGATGGTTTTATATGTATACCTTGCCCAATTCACCCACCCTCCCACTTACCTACCTACGCCCACATTTAATTTATAAACTCGTTTATATTAGTAAATTTTATTTTTATTTATTATAATTAGATGAGCAATATTTCCTGAATTAGAGTAAAGTGAATTGCTCCACTATCGTTTTTTAACCCTATTTTTTATATTATTATTGTTATTTTTATGATTAATGAGTATGAATTTATAGAAGTAATAATAATATCAAAGCCAAAACCAAAACCAAAACCAAAACTAAATCAAATATCACATCAACATATATTATGGGGTATACTATAAAACAAAAGATTGAAATATGTTTGAAATCAGAATCAAATCCAGAAATGACTCAAGCTGACTTGGCTAAATGGGCTCAAGATAAATATGAATCAAGTAAACCTCCATCTCAAACTACCATATCAAGAATATTAAGTTCTAAAAATGATATTATAGGAGCTAAAGAAACAGATTATAAATTAATTCGAAGAAGAAAACAATCAAATCCTTTATTAAGAAAAATCTTAACGGAATGGATAACTCAAGCTATATGGGAAAATATCCCCATTACAACTCCAATCATTCAATCTACCGCTAATGCCATTTGGAATCGATTACCTAAAGATGAAAAAGATGGCAATGGGATCTTTAATCAGAAATGGTGTCATCATTTCATGAAGAAATTAAATATCAATCTTATTGGTGATCCTCAACCTTCAATATCAAATTCTTCTAATGCAAATACTCCAGCTTATAAATTGAATAAAGTTTGGCGATTGGATGAAAAAATCGAATTGAAAACTCATTTGATAAACCTTATTCGAGAAGAGAATTATTCTCCTCAAGATATATTCGTCATTGATGAATTTCAATTGTTTTATTCCTTACCGTTAGATCAAATCTTTGATGTAAGTTCAATTGATAAAGGATTAAAACAATCAAATTCTTCAACTGAAAAATCATTAACCATAATGTTAGGATGTAATATTGATGGATCAGAGAAATTAATCCCTTTAATTGTGGGAAAATATGATAAATTCGATGTATCAAAATCAAATCATATGGCTTTCAAGAATCATAGTACTTCTCATTTATCTCAACATACCCTTATGAATAAAATCACTGAAGTTCATCAAATCTATTATAAATCAAATATCAATAAATGGATCACATCTTCAATGTTTCAAAATTATTTATTAACTTTAGATCATAAAATTGAACAATTATCTCCTCATCGAAAGATTTTAATATTATTAGATGATTCTTCATCTCATAGAATTATAAATTTGAAATTTAATAATATAAAATTATGTTACTTGAAGAATAATATTAATCATAAGAATCCTACCAATTCAGTATTTAATGGTGTAGGAGGGATAGGAGGAGGACTTGGTGGAATTGGAGGTGGTTCAAGTGGTGGTTCAGGAGGAGGTAGATTTGATTATTTACCTATGAATTTTGGAATCATTGATGAATTCAGAATCTTATATAGATTACAACAATATTTGGAAATGATCAATTTACAACGAATAAATTCTAAAAAGGATCCAAACAATAATAACAGCAACAACAATAATAACAATAATAATGGTAATGAATCTGATCCCAATAACAGAAATCCAAATATGGATTTATCAAATTATAATAAAATCAATGCATCATCTGCCATGGAAGTTTTATCAGAAAAAGATTATCATATTCCCCTTATAAAAGTTATAGAATGGATCAAACGATCTTGGGATTCAATTTCATCCGAAAAGATTTATTTAGCCTGGAAAAGAACTTTCTTATTACCCTTATCTCAATCATCCATCGCATGGCCCGCTAGTAATCTTGAAATATCAAATCAAGGTCAACAAATCGTGGCGGAAATGTTAGCCAAATCAAATACTTATGATCCAAGTAAGAGTTATAATAAATTAGCCGAAATCATGGGATATTTAAATGTGGTTATACCTTGGGAGATTGATGAATTATTAGGATTAGTTAATGAAATGGGTAAAGTCACGTTAAGTTATGTATCAATTGAAGAAATTATTGGAAGTTGTTTACTGGAAAATTATGATTCAAGTGAAGATGAAGATAATAATCCTCCCACGGTTCCAAATGATGTTTCTGCTTTGGTTAATGATGATCAATGGTATCAACCATCAGCTAATGATAATGTTAATCCATTTGGTAATAATAAACTTTATGAAGATAGTCCTGGTTCATTACTTGATACGATGTCCAATAGTAAATCTCAACAACTGCAACAACCAGCGCCACCTGTACCATTACCACAACAACAACAACAACAATCACAACCAACACCATTGGATTTAGCATATGCCGATTTTGCATCTAGCCCAAGTGGTGGTGTTGCTACCAATTCCAATGCTAATCGAGCATTGAATACACTAATTGGGGTCACAGAAAGAGAAGTATCAACATTAGCAGATACTAATGTCGCCATAAATCTAATGGAAAGTAACAGTAATAAGAATGTGGCGACATCTTCCACAGCGGTGGATATAGCTACTCCAGGAAGAAAATTCGGGATGAGTCCTTCTTTACCATCTCCGACCACAACGAATCTTCTTAATAGTTTAACACAAGGAAGTAACAAACATAAAATTGATGATGGCGGTGGTGGTATCAATTGGTTAACAGATAAAAGAAGAGCTCCAGCATTAGGATCTTATAATCCCGGTTATTCGATTGTATCAGGTACTCCGTCACCCATGCTTGGAAATAATATGCCATTAAATACATCCCAAACTCCATTAGTGGTTCCAGATTTAAGTCAATCATATATGTCTAGTCAAGTCAAATCAACATACCCATCCATGCCACAATTCAGATCACCAATTAGAGGATATAGTGATTTAACTGCAGTTTCTGCTAGTTCTAGCACTTTATCAACCAATGCTACTCCAAATTTACCTAAACATATGAATGATTTTGAAGCTATGAAAGTGTTAAAGAATTTATTAACATTATCATCTATATCTGAATCAGTCAAATTATCCCCAGCTACCATCAACGAGTTAAATATGAATCTTAAGGAGTTACAATCAAGATCAGATTTAAATACAGGCAACCAACAATCACCTCCTAGTTAAAGAGAAAAAGATAAGGAACAAAAACACTCTTTAACATTTATAGATAATGTAAATAGAAATAGTATAATAAAAAGTACAGCGAAGTAACTATAATAGTGAAATTATTAACAACACTTGGTTTATGGTACATCTGTAGAGTATAATTCATTAAAAGTTTCATTTATTTTGTAGTTTTTCATGTTACTTATGGGATATATACAAGTTTTTTTTGGGAATTAATGTGACTATGTACTAAGGACCAAAGCTTCTTAAGATTGTTTATTGTCGTTGAGATCATCATCTTCCTCTATTCCTAACAATCTTGCTTTCTCTTCTAAACGTTTTCTCTTTTCAACTCTTTCTCTTCTAATTCTAGCTATTTCGGCTTGAATTTCATATGGTTCCTTAGGGATTTGATTTAACGTAGATGGATCAGGCCAGAAACCTGGTAAATTGAATTTCTCATCAGAATCTATACCAACGTAATACATCACACATATTGGAGTTAATAAATAGAATCCAAACTAAATCGATGGAAGTTAGTATTATTACATTCAATTGTCTTTCAACAAGTCAGTCAGTCAACGCTTTCACTTTAAAATTTTAACATACTTTTGCGGTTTCCAATTGGGTCCTGGTTATACCACCAATAAACCTTTTATAGTAAGCACCCCACATGTTTTGATTATTAAAGTAGATGAAGTAATGATATTAATGGGTATCTCATGAGACCATTTTCAATTTTTTTGTGGATGTTTTTTACCATCAAAATCAAACAGCGACAAGTTCCACAAAAATATTCAAAGTCCATTTAGTTACAACACACACTTATCACCAACCAGGCTATACCAATTACAAAGTAGAATCAACAATCACATCAAATTGAGGCCAATTAAGTGACTAAATACTGAATATGAGTCAATATACTGCTATAGAGCCTGATATCACAGCTGATGAACCGGTCAGCTCATTTCCATCGCTTCAGCCTCAAACACCAAGTGCACCACCAACGCAACCTCAATCTCAATCACAACAAGCTCCAGCTCAAACTCAAACAGGTCCAACTACTTGGGCTGAAAGATTAAGGGAATCATCTCATCCAGTTGCATTATTATTCTACATTTTCTTTAGATTATCATCCATATTCGTTTACATATTTGGTAATTTATTCTTAGGATTCATAACTCAAAAGAATAGATTTATCTTACATTTCATATCTATTATATTATTAGTTGCAGCTGATTTTTGGAATTTGAAAAACATAGCAGGGAGATTATTGGTTGGCTTAAGATGGTGGAATGAAACAAACCCTGTCGATGGTAAACCAGGTGAATTTGAGAATGTATGGGTATTTGAAAGTGCTGATCCAAATAGATATATAAATCCAATTGATTCCAGAGTATTTTGGGCTTTATTATACGGTGTTCCAATTGCATGGGGTGTATTAGGTGTATTGGCTGTTTTAAAACTTCAATTCTTATATCTTTTATTGATCATTATTTCATTTTCATTATCGTTAACTAATGGGTTAGCTTATACTAAATGTGATAAATTTGGTAAAGCAAACAATTTAGCTACTGATTTATTTTCAAGAGCCACTGGTAACATATTCAACAGAATGAATCCTTTTGGAAGAGCATAGTTTTGGAGATGTATACATATATAAACTTTCATCATTGATCTATTTATCTATAAATAAGTACATTATAAAATGAAATATTGTATGATCTATTCTAATTATTCCTCATCCTCTTTGTAAACTTTTCTCGATTTAATAATAGCCAGAGCTAATCGTTCTTCATCATTAGCTTCAAGAATTGCATCAATTGAAAAGTTATTTGAATTTCTATTTCTTTTAATAACTCGAGGATGACGAGATAATGTTGGGACAATTCTCTTTTGAGAGATTTCTTGAGATCCAATCTCATTCTTCCACCATTTAAATGATTTAAAATTGGAATAAACATATTGATTTTCTGGTTTTTGCTCTACATATTCTTCATCATTTTCATCAGCAATAATTGTCAGATTCAATTTATTAATTGATCGTTTAACAGAAGGTGGAGATGGAGGAAACAATGAACTTAAATTTAAATCATAACCTTTTGATTTTCTTGTTGTAATAGGTTCTAAATTAATAGTATGGAAATTCTCTGTACTTTTCTCTTTAGAATCAAATGATTCCATACTAGCGACATCATCACCAACCTCAATTTGTTCTAAATAATCTTTATATTGATCAGAATTATCAATTCTACTATCGTCACCATCAAATTTTAAATCAAGGAATAAATGTGTATCATAAATATCTTCAACTATATTATCAGCTTGAATTTCTGAATCAGTCCTTGATGATTGTCTATTATTTATTCTAACTTTTTCTGAAACATTGGCAACAACCCATTTAAAACTTTGTTTAATTATATTTGAAGTTGCCTTAGTAAGGATATTTGATCTTGACGGATGAGGTAAAGGATATTTCCTATAAATTGTAGGTTGTGAACTATCTAAACCACTATAGTATTTATCTGAATATGATTCATTATTGTAGACTTGAGAATTGAATAAGGCATTGAAATCATAAGATGTACCCAATACGGTTGATGGTATAACATCATTAATTATGTTATTGGATTGAATTTGCATTAGTGGAACCTTAATTGATTGATATAAGACCACTTTCTATAATTACCGCCAAGTGAAAGATATATAGTTGATTTAAATAAATTTGAGTTTATAGATATACTTTTTTTTTGCAGCTAGCGCTTAAAAGTTGTCTGAGGCAAAAAAAAATATGAAATAGAATAAATGATAAAATACGTTTATTTAGATAATATACTATATAATTAAAGAGTTGAATAAGTCATGTCTTACTTTCTGATTTTAGTTTGTAGTAGTAATGAAAGATAGCTCTAACTTGGGAAGGAGGATTGAAAAGACAAACTTTAATAAAATAAATAAATAGATGGATAAACCTGGAACATAAAGCATAGACAAAAGGAAAAGAAATACGAACATAAGAAAGCGATACCAATGATAAAATAAATCAATGATTTCTTATTTGCTAAGAACTAAAATTTATCAGCTAAGACATGGCATTCTTGCATGCATGCATGAAGAAAACAGTAATGACTTGCTGGTTTTTTTATTACACCGACATCAAGTTTATTCCATTTGGACAAAGACACCTTCTTGATGACACATGGTTAAATGAACCATCTTTCTTGGTGGGTATGGACCTTCATCCTTTGAATCTAACTTGGAGAATAATTGAAGCAATCTAACAACAACATATGAAGCTTCTGTTAAGGCAAATTGTTGACCTAAACAAATTCTTGGACCTCCATTAAATGGAACATAAGCCCAACCCAATTTAGGTGGGTTGATCCATCTATCTGGTTTGAAATCATCAGCATCTTTGCCGTAGTATTCAGGTAATCTATGGGTAACATAAGCAGCATAAGCGACAGTAGTACCTTTGGAAACATATAATGGTTCATTGTTTTCTTTACCACCACCTCTTGGTAAGACGGTATCTTTGGTAGCGACTCTGAAATTAATTGGGACAGAAGGATAAAGTCTTAAGATTTCATTTAAGACACATTTCAAGTATTCACATTTCTTTAATGATTCAAAAGTAATAAGAGAAAGATCAGCATCTTCACCAACACCAAAGTTTTCTTCAATTTCTTTTCTTAATTTGTTAAAAACATCAGGATTTCTAGCTAATTCATAAAAGGTGAATGACAATAAACCAGCAGTGGTATCTCTACCAGCAACTAAAATGTTTAATAATTGATCTTGTAAAACTTTTTTATCTTTAGTTTGTTTGGCTAATTCATATAAGAAAACATAACCATCTTTTGATTTTTCTTCTAATTCTTCAGGACTAAATTTCAAAGCTCTATTAACATAATAACGAGCAACTTTATGAACAACAGCAGTAACATCTCTAAATTCTTTTGGATTGATTAAAAAGTACATGAATTGAGAGTAAGCTCTTGAAGCTAAATAATGTTGAGCAGTATTGAAAGAATCAGCAAATTCATTTCTTCCATCGATATCATTTGGAGGTGGTAAACCAATAGATTCAGAGTATAAAGAATGGACAGATTCACCAAATAAGAATTCAGTAGATGTATCAACCGTTAATTGAAACATCAATTTTTGAAGATCAAAAGTAGAACCTTTAGAATATTTAATATGTTTAGCTAATACTTTGATATGAGGTTCTAAAGCTTGAACATGAGCAACTTGATCTCTAGCGAATTGAGGTCTTAACATTTGTCTTGAATGTTTCCAACCTTCACCATCTAAAGTAAAAATACCATCTCCTAAAAGTGGTTTAAAATGAGCATGTCTAGTACCTAAAGCAAAATCATTAAATTGAGTGGCTAAAACAGCTTTAATATTTTCAGGATCACTACTAAAGACAATTCTAACCCCAACCAATCTAATAATAAATGTTTGTAAACCAACTTTTTGGAATAAATCAAGAGCCATATCACATAAACCACCTTCACTTTTAACTTTTAATAAACGAAGTAAAAGTGGAATACATAAGAAACCAGTATCTTTTAAAACAGGAGCTTCAACACATCCATGTTTTCTAATAAATAATTGAGTTTTGACAGCATTGGAAACGAAATAAACGAGAATGGCACCAGCTAAAATGGTATACCATTTAGTTAAATAAGGCACGATAGCTTCAAAATCAATATGAGCAGTCATGGTTAGTTGTTTTTGTTGATGTTGTAATCAGTTGAGATGAGGTTGACAAATGAGATAAGTTGAGTTATTAAACTAACTTAAATGATTTTATATATATAATAAAATAAATAATAAAATGGATCCAAAAAAAGTGGAGATTTAAATCTTCGCAATAAGAATTTCAGAAGCAAAAATTACCCAATTAGGCAATGTTTCTCGATGATGATAAGAAACTAAAAGATCTTGTTTAATGGATTCAACAAGGATGAGTAAATGAATATATGAATATATATATATCTAAGTCTAAACAGATAACCAAAAATGAAAATCAGAGAAGAATAGAGTTAAAACTTTGAGGATATTAAATCATATTTATAAAGTAGTTAATTCCTCCTTCCAACCAATTTGAATGTGAAATAGAAACTGTCGTTTTTTTTGGGATCGCATTTTGGTTTATTTCCCCATAATTTTTTTTATTTTTTAAATTTTGTGTAAAGTCTCGCTTCAACGCATCAAACGCATGTGAAAGAAGGCAGTTGGCGCAACATTACTCATATTTACGGAGTCAGTATGGAATTTACGCCGATTTTCTTATGAAATTAGAAATAGTTATTAAAATAGTTATTTATTATCATTTGACATTCATACGATATGTCCGTCAACTTATCTTATAAAATCTTAGATAAAGGCACTAGGTAACTACTATTGGTACTGCCCTCCCTAGACGATAAGGGTATAAAATAAAATAGTGTTGAGTAACATGATTTAGTTACAAAATATAATTAACTAATCACAGGCTAGTTAAAACCATTACAGTATAATAAACTCCTCCGTCCATATGAAAAGTAAATGAAAGTTGATGGTGAGGTGAGGTTATGTTCACAGTGCACGGATAATCTCACACCAGAGGTAACAATATCACAAAATGTACGGAACGGAGTTCAAAGACTGATTTGTTGATTGTCATTAATATATATTTTTAAAATTGTTTTATTTAAAGCTTAAATTTTAGAGAACATGGTTCTGTTTTTTTTTTTTTTTTTTTTTTTGCATTACTTTCTATGATCAGCCCAATTATAGTAAAATCATGTTCAACAATACTTTATTAAACATCATGTGCAAATAGTATCATTGCTAATTTCCATAAATAAATAATTTCCCTATCCTATCTGAATCGATATGTACCTGCGATACTAATATTTTGTTGATTCTAAAACTTAGTTCGTATATATAATTAAAAACTGGAGATAATTGATTACTTCTATCAACTGCAGATGTGAATCAATATGTATAGTGAAATACTAGAAAAAATAATAATAAGCGCAATTGATTCAATCTTGAATGGACCAAAATTTAAAAATAAATAGATCAGTAAAGGCTTTTACCCAAGGAATATCATAACTCAACTTTTTTTATAGTTGGGTCTATTGGGTGATTACATAGTATTGCTCGAACCTGAATAGAGGGAGTGACTAATTGTTAATTTGATAGAAGCCTTTAAAACCGTTAAGTTATTGTTCTTTGCTTGAAGTTAAAAAACTCTTCTACCCCTCAATTTGCAATCCATCCAATTTCTATTTTTTTGTTCCATTCTTCACGATCACAAAAATAAGGGGCAGAATTATACAGCAGACATCGAAGTAGTGGGGGTACGAAGGAGGGGAGGGTGGGGTCAGAACGACGGAGTATAATGAATCAATGGAGTTGGTATGAATAGTTATATCTTCTTTTTATTTGTTATGAGCTTCTTAGACCTATACCCTAGGCTAACTTAATCATTAATCGTTATTTCTTACTTCTTTTCTATATATAGAACAATCAAAACACATATATTTGGAAATTTATTCAAAACTCAAACTAAGTTTTAATTAAAGAGGGTGATATTATTTTTTTCACATGCAAATATTACTTTTTTTGAGCAACCTTTAACTAGATTGGTATCACTATACGATACGATCTAAATTTTGCAATTTGGAATAACCGGACTACCAACTGTATCATTAGCCACTATTAATTGGTTTAGAATCATTTAATTCTAATTTCAATTCTTGTAAATGCAGCAACTTTTTCCCTAAATCATTAAAAAGATTGTTATTATGATCATTATTAATGTAATCACTCATAAGTTTATAATCTATAGAGGTTGAGTTCTTCAACACTAAAATTGTCTCAAATTGATTGATTAAAGTTTGTAAGTCATTTATATCAACTTCCCAACCTTTCAACAGCTGTGATCTAAACTCTAATGATGAATTTTCAGCTTGTCTATAAAATAACTTCAAAATCAATTGATTTAATAATAAATTCAAATCATTATTATTTGAATACTTAATAATCGACTTATTTAATCCTTTAATATTAATATCAGATGACATTCTCTTTAAGATAGTAATAGGATCATAATATAAATTAGTATTATCATCACTATTTTCAATCAATGATTTAACAAAATTTGATCGACTCATTGAATTATCTAATAATAAATTCCATAATTCCTTATCATTTTGTCGTTTTGTAAACTCAATAGCTTTAACAGGATCATCTAATTTATCAATAATCAACATCAAAGCTCGTTTATTCTCGCCAATCTCTCCTAATAAATAAACCAATTCTTCAATGAATTCATTCCTTTCGCATAACTCGATTGTTTTAAAAATATCGTAATTTGAATTCAGTTCATTGGTAGATCCATCACTACTATGAGAACTTTTAATTAAGAATGGTAACATTAAGGATCGATTATATTGAGCATATAATTCGATTCTTTCATTTCCAAAGGACTGTACTAAAAAGTCATCTGTTAAATTCAATTTCTCCAAATAAAAATAATTCATAAAGTTTAAATGATTCTTATTAAACAAGTCAATTATAGTCTTAGGTAATATCTCATGCCTATTTTCAACTAATACATCAACTATATCACTTAATCTGCTTTCAAGCTGGGTAATTGGTATTCTATTAATATCCTTTTGATGTTCATTACCTTTAAAGCGTAATTTAATTATTACCGGCAAATCATTCAAAAACGTATTCAAAATATGATTATCAGATAAATATTTGATTATATTTTCATCGTTTAATTTAATCAAATGCGGAACCGCTTTAATTGGTTGATATGATTTGGTGTATAAATTAGTCAAGCATCTTCTTAGTTTATCATTACTGACGATAACATTGTCATTAAGGCTGGTTTCACTTAACACAGTTTCAATGTTTGTTTCAATTAAATTATGATCATAAATTTCAATATCCCAATCATTTAGCAATTTATTGAAAATATCAACATCTGTTGTTAGCCAATGCAGTAAAATATCATTGAAAACTTTAGCTGATAAACTTAATCTTGCAGAAGTGGGTATTATTGATGTAAGCTCCTTGATATGATTACTATTAATAAAGATAGAAGCCCATGTTTGCCATTGACTGACAATTTCTTTGATATATTGATCGCGTTCTTCTTGACTTGAATTAGATCTAGCTGTAATTGTTGTACTTCTGGCATCACTATCAGGTAATTTATCGAGATCAATATATAATAACTGTTGTAAAAATATAGCAGCATTATCCCACTCATTATTCTGAATTAAATTATCAACGTATTGTACACCATAATTTAATCTTTTGATAGCACTGACCAAATGCTCACTTATATTCCAGGCTTCATAATAGTTCTCTCGTTCCAAATACCAATTTAATCGATCACTCAACTGTAATTCTTCCGCAATAACTGCATCTTTGGCACTTATAATATAATATTTAGGATTGGTTTCAATATGATGTCCTAATGTATAATCATTTAATCCTAGGTTATTGATGTTTTTCAATCCTAATTCTTCTTCGAATTCAATTTCTCCTGTTGAGGAATTGATTAATTTTATTTCTGGATTATGAAATATTCTTTTTTCATTTTCAGCTATCGTTGCAGGGAAATACGTTAAAACCATCCACAAATCGTCTTTAAAAGTAGAGATACCACTAATTAGAAAATCTAATTTGAATATATGTTCAATTTCCACTTTCTTTTCCTGTATGGCTCTAAATGAAATACTTGCAGTAGATGGTAATATTTTCCCCATAGTTGATGATGAAGGTGTACTTCCATCTTTATCTCCAGCAGTTTTAAGAGAAACTCTTAATGACCAGATATAATTACCCCATGCAATTATCACTCTATCGACTTCTGGATAGGTTACTCTTGGCCAGAACAAATCACTTCTGTGTGAATCTTCAGGCTTTTCAATTAACGAAATTATTTGTCGAGCAGTTAAATGGAAAACAGTTATACCTTTATCATTCATCCATATGACAATATCATCGATTAATTGAATACCTACTATAGGCCCATTATCTTCTTCTAGTATTACATCTGCTCTTTTCCCTATCCAACCTTTACTTGAATAAATTACTTTCCCACTCATACCTCCACTTATAAAGCTTCTTGTTTTATAATAATTTCTATCAAGAACAACACCATGGATTGGACGTTGGAAATCATATGCTATTATATCTTTCTCATCTTTGATTGATCCAATTACAACAGTACCATCCATTGAACCAGTAGCAAAATAAATACCATCAGTGTAAATAGAAAGTACTGAAGCTCTATGAGCTTTAAATGTTCGTACAGGAGTGAAATCTGGATTGCATATATGAATCACTCCTGAATGGGTAGCAAATATAAAGTATGAATCATGGAAGTTGCTGGCAGAAACAGGATCTTTACTAAAGAAGTTGGATGGTAATTGGTTTAGTCGGGTATATTTAAGTATTGGTGGATCTTCGTCGTCTTCATCTTCATCTTCATCTTCGTCATCCTGATCATCATCCTCCTCATTATGAACGTTTTCTTTGATATCTACTGCCTCATCAACAATGTCTTTGATGTCATTGGAGGCATCTCCATTTGTTGTCAGTGTTATGGTGTCTTTGTAAGTCGTTTCTATTTTATTATCGTTACTGGATTCTAGAATCAATTGAGGAGCCTTTTCCACTAATGAATCTATTATGGCAGATTCAACATCCTCTTCCTTTTCTAGCTGATCGTTTGATTCTTCTGACATTGGGCCAGTGCTTGATGAATATGTCAATCAGTAATAGCATAGTTTGAGTTATGACTGTAAATTTATAAATAGTTTTGTATGTGGGAAATATTTCTGTACAGTCCAACCAAAACTAGCACCAATATTTGAAAAAAAAGATGAATCAGCGTAATAAAATATTTAACCATATCTTCTTATTCCTTTGATACACTATAAAATGTTAAGAGCTTCAAGAGGTGTCTTGGTGCAGTGCGATCCATCAATCAGAGCGTTGATCTTACAAATAGATAATGAAAGACCTGGTATAGTTCTTGAAGAATTAGATGATAGTCATTTGTTAATCAAGCAAGACAAAATCGATGTGGTTAAAGATGAATTAAATAAATTGTTATCAAAGAATATCTACAACCCATTTGAAGAAGAATAATTGTATGACGTGGTACTTATTATTTTATATATTACATAAAACTACTTAATTATTGTCTGGTTGAATATCATGGCCATTATTTACTGGTGGTGGAGAAAGAGGTTCTGCCACAATCGTTGATTCAATCAAACTATCATCAGTGGGTGCGATGATTGGCAGTACAACTATTGGATCTAAAATATCTGGATCTGGAGTCCTGGTGTTATTACGAATATCATCAATAGTCAAATCATCCAAGATATCTTCATTGAATTGAATTGGACTTGATATAACTTGCTCCTGTAATGATGCTGGTTCATATAAGTTGATCACTAATTCATTTATAAATCCAAATAACGTATCAACTTCCATAATATCATCAATTTCATCCTTAATTTCTATTTTAGATAAACCATCTGTTATGATTTTATAGAAATCATTTTCATAAGTTAAAACAATCAAGTTAGTTAAACTATTCATCAAATATTCAATGATATTTGGATTATCAATATAAATTTTGGTTTGTTTATAAAGTTGAGGAATTTTAACCAAAAGATTATGTTTGAACTTTGAATTAATATCCTTGGCTTCTGTTAATATTTTATCTTTTGATGTAGATGATAATGGTTCACAAATATCACGAGAACAAGTATCAATAAAGAATGTTACAGCATTATTTAATTCCAATTCAATTTCATAATTGGCATCAATCATATTGCTTACCACTTTTGGTACTGTTTTATAGGCAACTTCTAATAAAGTATTTCTATCTAATGATTTCGATCTGAATATATGCCATATATCACTTAAACCACTTGTAAAATCAATTGTGTAATCATTTCTGGTATATTGAATATCAAAATTATTAATTTGAGTCTTCAACACTATTAAATTCTTTATGTATTCCAATTGAGCATCAATGGTACCTAAGAATGTGATTGAAAGTTTATAAAATTCGCCTTTCAATAATATAATACAAGCATGCACTATGTAATGTGCTAAATCATCAAATACAACTGAATTGATTAATTCGTAGATACTTGATAATAATGTTAATGCTTTTGCTAAAGGTAAATAGACATCAGGGAATAAATTATCAGGATAGTCTGCTTCCAAAGCATCGATTATTTCAACAGGAGTTTCAGTTGATTCAGAAACTTTTGAAGAACTCTTACTTTTCTTTCTATTACCCACTTTCAAATCTTCAGGCTTTGGTTTATATTTCATTAATTTATCATCAACATAAATTTGAGTTCTGAAAATCAATCTTTGTTGAACATCATCTAGGATAGGTTGGAATAATTCACCATAGTTTATAGATGGAAGAGTGGAAGAGTTGCCACCACCACCTCCACTATGTAAACTATCATTATCATCTTCAAATTCATAATACTTTTGTAATAAGGAAGTCAATTGACATAATTTTGATATGTTAATCTCACGAAGGATCAATTGCCTTAAATTATCATATAATGGTTCCAAGATATCCTTTAAATGGCTGTAAAATTCTTCAATCACAAAAGAAGGGACATGAGAGTTTTCAACAACGAAGAATCGTTTAAATAAGGTGAATTCACGTTCAATCACCTTTTTGAAAAATGAAATTTGATCTTGACATAATTGAACGATATTATCTTGACTCTTTTTGTTAAATGTTAAATGCTTGGGGATATATTGTCTTAATAAATTTGCTCTTATTCTGAAATAATTATTTAAAATATCATTCAATAATCCTTGATATTCACGATTGATTTGAATTCTTATGATGATTTCATTAATGAAATCTTTGAATCCATCATCATTAAACTTTAAATATTCATTAAATTCATTGAAGATTAATAAATCAATTGTTAAACGTTTTGAATCATCTTGTAATTTTTTATTTAATCCATCATAAATCCCTTTTAACTCTGAAATCAAATAATTTTTAATTAAAGTTAAACTTCTAGTCAAGCATTGATTAAATCTATTATCATATAATTCAATATCTTTGAATTTAGGATGTAATCTTATAAATTCTATAGATTCATCCAAGTCTCTTAAAATAGTATTTATAAAGAAATCTCGTCTTTGATTAAGTAAATGATTACCTGATTTGGATAAGTTTCTAGTTATAGCGTCGAGATTTTCAAAATGTCTTAAATAATTTTCAATTTGAGTATACTTTTGTTGATATGAATTTTGTTGATTTAATAAATGACTTGATTCTTGATCAAAATCAATGGTTTCATGTGAGATTTGATCATATTTGGTTAACAAAGAATGAATTTGATTTAAAATATCATCTGTTTCATCCATGAATCCTTTAATCTGGACTTGATTGATGGCACATGAGTTTTGAAAGTTAAGTACATTATCAATATGTAAGTTATTAATGCAATTTATATCTTGGAAACTTAATAAACAATCATAGTTATAACTATCAATATAAGTAGACCATATTTTGTCTGATTGTTGGGCATTCAAAGGATAATCAAGCAAAGTAGTTTGATCTTCTTCTTCGTCGTGCTTGATACCATTCAACTCTATTAATGATTTTGATTTGGTTAACTTATAAGTACTTGCGGTTGGAGTACTTGGTCTTGAATCACCTAGATTTAAATGATCTTCATTATATGACGGGACATCAGCAGCAATCTTCTGAACAATTGACTTACTTCTTCCTCTTGCCACCATTGTCTGATATACACCTAGTGGTCGGCGATTATGAAATGATTTGGTTTGATTTGATTTCAGTTTGTGGGTTTGATATACGTAGCTCAATGAATTTTTTCTTTGATCGCCAGTTTTGCTGTGAAAACCAAAAATGATGTAAAGGTCCAAAAAAATAATCCAAACTTTATAACGCGTTGCAAATTGTAGATAACGTTGAAGAGGAGACAGTATAGAGAATGGATGATCCAAGATATGAAGATGAGGTGAACTCAGAGGATGCATTGACTGAAGACGAAACAGATGCTTTAGCAGATCTCCAAAAGGAATTCGAATTGAGGGCACAGGATATACGAGAAAAGTATGAACAATCACGTAAACAAAAGACTCACAATCCAATGTTGTTTGAGAATGATGAAAAGAAACGTCGAGTTGAAGTATCAGGGACACCTCCACCTTCACCTAAGGGTAAAGAGAAACCAAAGCCCATATATAAAACTTCTGCTCATGATGATATAGATGATTCAACACCTATATCGATGCCTAAGAAACCAGAAGTTAAACCATCAAATTTTATTCAAAATTTAGAAGATATGAGTTTTAAGATGAGAGCTGCTAAGGCAATGTCAGTAGATTATTCATTAAGAAAGTTTTCATTTGAAGATTATCATACGATTGTACCTGGTAATTCCGAAGTTAATGAAATTGAACCTGTTTCTCATATCAAATTACGTAAACGATTTATACAGAATGATACCATGAAGTCCATTGTCAAAAAGACTGATCCAGCTATGAAATTTCTTAACGTTGCCAAATTCTTAGCTAAACTGAATAACACTAATAATTATGAAGAACCACCTTATAGTAATTGGTGTTTTATGGGGATAATAATCAATAAATCTGATCCCATGAATACTAAAGTACGTGAAGATGAATCTCACAAATATAAAAACCAACAATCTTCTAAATATATGAAACTTTCAGTAGGAGATTTCAATCATACTATAGATGTTTACTTATTTGGTAAATCCTTTGAAGAATATTGGAAATTGAGTGTTGGGAGTGTTGTATTCATTTTAAACCCCATAATTCTGAAAGTAGATAGTATAAAAGGTTATATGTCCAAAGTCAATGGAGTAGGATTTACATTGAAATTAGATGACAATTCGGTAGGAAGTATCTTAGAAATGGGTATCGCTAAGAGTCTTGGATATTGTACATATTCAACTCAAGAATGTCGAACTGTGATTGATATTTCTAAGACTGATGTATGCGATTTTCATTATGACTTGAAATTTAGGAAAAGTCTGAGTAAAAGAATGGAATTAAATGGGTCAGTTCAAATGAAATCTCCTCAAAAAGTTAAACAATCTGTATATATGGGAAAGGGAGGAACTTCAAATGATGCTTACAGGACATTTCTTGTTGATTCCACTCCTACTTATAAAAATGAAGGCGGTAAACTTGATAAGAGTCTTTATTTCGATTCAAATATTCTTGATTATCAAGGTAAGAAACGGAAATTTCAAGACGAGAGAGCTAATAAATCACTTGAGAAGAAACTTTCGAAATTAGGTCAGAGTAGTCAAATGATTTCTAATTTGAAATTATTCAAGAATGCTAAACCATCAGCTCCACCAACTATAGAGAAGGAAAAGGCATTTTCGAATGTTATGATTCAAGATCTTGGGTTTGATCCTACATATTCAGAATCTACAGAACTTCAAAGATCTAAAGGGAAGGAAGTTAAACGATTACAAGAGTTGAATCAAATCAGTTTGGATAAGTCTAAAGATCGGAATTTGACAAGTTCAACCGAAGACATCCAATCAAAGAAAATGAAATGGAAGGAGAATTTTCATACTTTGAAAGATTATAAACAAAGTATGACTAACAAGTTGGGTGGAAGGTATATCAATGCGGTGGATAATGTTAAGCTGAAGAAACAGTTTTTATTATCCCCAAAGCGACATAAGAAAAATAAAGTCCAAGATGATGAAGAGATGATTAATAGTGATGACGATGATGATGATATTGATATTGATTTTGGAAGTGAAGCTACCAGAAAGGCATATGAGAAGATCAAAGGGTGAAATTTATGACTAATTTCTTACGATAAAATAGTTTTAATATAGAATAGATATTATGGGAGTATTCATATTAACAATAAAAGAACGTAATAATACACACAAAAACATAAAGTTAACGAGAGTAAATGAAATGAAAATAAAAATGAATGCAAAAAATTAAGAAATAAACTAAATTATTCAAGTCCAACCCAAACATCACCATAGAATTTAAACATATCAGTTTGTTCTTCCGTAAATTCTATCAAATGACCTAGTTGAGTATTATCTTGTCCTCTTCTAGTTCTACCTCCGATAGAACTATGGGCACACCAAACATAACCTTTACAAAGATTAGTTTTATCCCAACCTGAACCCGGCTCATTGTCTTCGTTAGGACAATGTAATTCAGCTCTAGATTTGAAGGGTGGAACAACAGCATGTGTTATTTCTAATGGATTTGAATAATATCTTCTTAATTCAGTTTCGGTATTGAATGCAGCGTATCTTCTTTCCTTTTTCTCTACTTCTTCTTTATAATTAACACGCTCTGCTTGACCACAATATTTAAAACCAGAATTTATCCATAAAAGTGTTTTTTCATCTTCACCATTAATATGAGCAGGATGAGCACTACATAATTCTCTTGATCTTTCAAAAGTACCATCTTTCTTCTTACGAGGTTCCGATACAATCCCAGCCGAAGCAGCAAAAAGTGAATTAAACGCAAAATTTTCATCACCATTAAATACAAATGCCATCCAAAACAATTCTTTATCACCCCATGATCTACTTCTTACAGGATCCATGAAGTGTAATTCAGGTAACAAAAGCATTGAAGTATAATGTCTTGTACGATCAAGCATTACTACCCCTGATTCCATAAAATGATTCAATCCTTCAAAAAAGGCAAATGAGGTGGTCTTTTTTGTGATCATCTTAATATCAAATAAAGCATGATCTATGACTGAGGGACTTACCTTTTTAACAAAATAAGAATCTGAATCAGGTCTTGTTTCTTGAGTTGAACGATCTTTGAAAAAGTATGCTCCGGTGTCTTTATAACCTTTAAGTTCGAAGAATGATTTTGGATTTTGAAGAAGAACGGTATCAGCATCAACAAGAATGAATTCTTCAAATGAATTAAATAATGTAGCTAAGAATTTATTACCAAATTTGGAGAATTTCTTACGATATTGATCATTTAAGATGGAATAAACATTAACAAACCAAATATCTTGTTTAGGTAATCCATCAATAAGGTAATCATCGGGGAAATTATGTTTTACTTTTAAAAATGAATCAGGTAAAGTAAAGAAATCTTCTCTTGCAGCATTAACCACTCTTTGTTTTGATTCTGGGGATAAACTATCATAGAAAACAATTTGAATAGGTAATTCATTATTCAAAGCCCGTAAAGAATGAATTAAATGAATAGTATCATCCACATGACCATCATTTATAGAAAGAACAATACCTCTACCATTTGCTTTCTTTTTGAAATCATTTAAGAAACAATTATATTGTTTTGAAGAACCGATTTTAAAATCAAAAATACTTGAACCAAATGAAGGTGGAGTTAATTTTGGAGGTTCAATAAATGTCAGTCCATCCCATTTTTCATAAACAGGATAATTAAATGATAACCATGGATAAGATCTTTTTTCTAAATTATTACAATTTTCAAACATATTTAAAGTTTCTAAATTTTTTTCAAATCTTGTTGGTTCAAATTTTGGTATTTTTTGTTTAGTTTCAATTGAAATGAATGATTTTAAGAATTTAGCTTGTTCATTAACAAAGGTTGAAAATTTTGAATCTGATGATGATGGATAATAAGATTGAGAATTTGTATCATCATTTTGAATAAAACATTTATTGAATATTCTTAAATGAGTTAAATAATCCATAACTTCTTGTTCAACTCTTAAAGTTTGATCCCAAAATTCTTTATATTTAGCTCTTACCACATTTTCAAATTTTTCATCTTCATTAAAATCTTCAACTTTTTCAAGTTTAATATCATTGTCTTTAATATAATCATCTCTTAAACTATTAAATTTTGATTGTCTCCAACGTTGGAAAGTGAATTCTCTTAAACTATCGGCAGGTAAATGTTTATTGGGATCAATCATCCAATTATGATCAGTATAATATAAATTATTAAAATATAGTTGACATCTTTGATTAAAATCAAGATTACCTAAAACAGAATTAACATCATGATTTTCAAAGATTTGATCATAAATGGTGGAATGAATTGGAGTTATATCTCTTATATCAGATACCCCCATTTGTTTAAGATAAATTTGAAATGATATATTTTCATGTAATTTCTTATTAGGAGTTGAGGATTTTTGATTATCTTTATTATCTTTATTATCTTTATCAGTAGATTCAGGTTTATGATGGATAGGATAGAATGAATCTTCATTACTTATGATGGTTTTATACATTTCTGAATCTTGATTCATATAATATCGATAGATCCAAACATTTATGACTACCAACCATACTATGACTGCGCTATATACGACAAACTTTTGTTTGGGTCTGGGCATAGTTAAGAAAGGCATGATGATGATGATGATGATGTTATTGTTGTTGTTGATATGTTATATGGGGATGGGAGGAAGGGGATTGGTAATTGGCAAAGTAATGCGATTGATAGATAGGAATGGTTCAATGGTATGGGAAAGCAATGATGAATGGTAAAGCAAGGGCTCAGATAAGTGTCAACCAAGATCTGTCAAAAGAAAGAAAGAAAAAAAAAGGTGGGTGAAACAAATTATGATGGTGATGAAAATCAATCCAATCCAATCCTTGGTTAGGTGATGTTTGGAAGGAAGGAAGGAAGAAAGAAAGGGGGGGTAGGAACTGTCGGTCGATCGATGTATGGATTGACGATGATGACGTTGTTGCTAAATGATTGAAGAAAAGAAATAACTAAGAAATAAATAAATAAATAAATAAATAATTAATTAATTATAAACTTTTGAACACGAAACAAATTTAGGCTTACAAGATCGTAATATTTACTCCCACTTAGAAGTCAGACCCTTTTTCAATTCAATCGGGGCTCTATCAAAATTCAACTTCATTTAATACACCCACATTCACACATTCACACACAAATTTTAGTTTCCATTTTAATTTCTTTTTTTTTTGAAGGATGTAACACAATATTCGACAATAATAATTTAAATTTCGATTTAAATAGCTAATTCTAATTCTAATTCTAATTTATTTTATTCATTACGTAATTGTTTATCATAGAATATAAATATACGACCCACTATTTTCCAACATTTGGCTCTACAGCATTAAACAATAAAAAAATCATTAACAACTATAACTTGTTCTATCATATTAGAATATATAACTAGAGGTTCCAATTAAAGCATTAAAGTCTGTAGCACCTTTTACTACCATCCTCTCCTAAACTTGAACTTTTACAAAGTAACAAAAGGAGTAATCGTATTAAGTGTATTGTGAGTTATCTGAAATGTAAACGTGTATTAAAATAGAAAAAAAAAATGGTTTATTTCTGAGTTATTTTTTAACGTGATTTTATTTTTATCGGTTATCCTAATTTCACAATTAACCACTAACTAGACATCTATTGTTCGAACCATATCGTTATATAAAATATTCTATCATTGATCTTCTAGCTACTTAAACCAATCTATTCCTCAATTGTTTTGTTTGACTTGTTCCATTCATCATTCTCTTCACTGAAAAGAAAAATTTGTAGAAGCAAAAATCGATCCATAAAAAAAAAACATAACATTTTTTTTAAGCGTCAGTTTTGTGTCATTGTCATTATTTTAGACGTTAAATCTAATTTAAATCAAAAATAGAAACAACATTATTTTAATCTATGCTACTAATGAATTCTCCTATTCTGGATTGTCTTCATGAACAGTTGCGTATGATAAACTAAACCATATCTTAATTATAACCATTTAAAAATTATCAAGTTTATTATGGTTTTGACCTCCTGAATATCAAAGAAAACGTTGAGATCTCATTATTTACCATCTCCCACCTCATTGCTTCATTATTCTTCTCCTTGCTTCTTCTGCTTTTTTTTTCTTGGAACAAAATTATACTGCCAAGAGACATTAAACGTTTAGACCCAGACTCTTTTTTCAAATTCTGTTTCTATTTTTATAATTACACTTTAACCTTCGTTGGTCTGCTTCTTCGTCTGTTCTGGTGGGCTGCACTTTAAAGTGAGATTGGGAATAGACATGTTGAAGCTCTTATCTTACACCATCTTACACCGTGTCAAGTTCAGAACAACTGTACACTGAGAAAGTAGTGTACCATTACTACGCCTTATTTCGAAATTTTTTATTTTCAACCTCGCAAATAAACAGTAAATGAAAAGCTCGTATTGTACAAAGGAGACAAACAACCCTTAATTCGTTATAATTGCTACCTAATTGAGGCTTGCATGGGGCTGAATTTCACATTTCATATTTCATATTTCATAACTTTAGGAAAAATCGTTCTAAAAGCTGCACTGCACTTCCGGTCGCATAACTCAAGTTCCGATCACCCTTGGTTTTTTCGGTGCGCTATGCACATCTTAATGTAGATGTCAATTCCGCACTTTTACGCTACCAGATCATGATGTGACATTTAATTGATTCAAACATTGATTAATTAAACCAGAAAATTAGTACAAGTTCACTGGTTTTTAAGTTCTGCATTAAGTTAATTTCACAACGACTAACCACTATTGGAAAAGATAGGAGTGATCAATTCCCCTTAACTAATTTTAGAGACGTCACTCGCAAGCTAAATTTAGAACTTAGTATTGCTCAGAATAAAAACATAAGTATATATCATCACATAATTCTCTCATGATTCGATTTACCAATACACTTCTTCATCTACTTTGTGGTCATTATACTTGATCATTAAAATCATATTAATCTTAGTTTGCAAAAATGGATCTGGACCCAACTGTCATGGAACAAGCATTAATGCCTTTGATTGAAGAATCAGAATTAAATACTCTTCGATTTGCTTTGAATTTTCATCGAATGGATTTCTTTGATATAGCTTTTATTTTGAAACAATTAAGGTCAGATCAAATATTAGAGATCCTTCTTGGTTGTAAACCGTTAGCTCCATATACTCAAGATTTGATACATCAAGTTTTTAAGTCCAAGATTCTGTTCGGTTTTGTTACTCTGGAAATCTTTCATCCCGTTTATAATAGAATAGATCATATCGAAAATGCAGCACGACTATTATCAATTCCTGACATTAAATTCAAAGATCTAGAAATTTTGATTTCTTCAGAATATTATGAAGATTTCAATCAATTTATGATATCTTACTTTGATACGTTAAATTCCAAGTTCACAAATATTTCAGTAACATTTCTGGGAATGTTAAAGTTGAATAACGATGATAGGGTATTTCAATTGTCAAACTTAAGATCTGTTAGATTCAAAATCATTATTTGAACGGTCAATATGCTTTTCTTAGAAAGCTTTCCCTGTCAGTTAAATCAATTATCTTTGATAATGATCCTTACTTTGTTTTATCAACTAAATTTAACCTGTATCAAAATATTAGAACTTTGACAATTAGAAATAGGATATATTCCTTCGATTTGTTCCATAATATGTTACAGAAAACTTCTAATCCAACTACTCTTGAAATTATAAATGTTGGATTAAAAGCTTTAAATGTTGATAAATTGCCTCGCAATCTTCTTCGCCTTGATTTGTCACAGAACCCTTTGACACATTTCACATTTGATATTAATGAAGTTGAATCACAAAATTTAATTAGAACGTCTTGGCCCCCTCGTTTGAGATATTTAAATTTAAAAGATTGTCTTTTTGTTCAACATACTCCAATAAGAACCTTGCCAAATAGTTTGAAATGTTTGATGATTACATATACTGAGCAAATGCCTTTGGAACACAGAAATAGCGATCATACACTGATCTATCGAACTTAGAAAATACGAATTCTCTCGATATTTCTTACAACATTTTTCAAAGCTTACAAGATATAGTTTTACCCACCAATAATCTAGAGAACTTGAATGTCAGTCATAATAAAAATATCAGTTTGACCATAAATGATCAAATATTTAGCCCTTCAACCAGTTTAAAGTTCGAAAAATTGAGAATGATAGATATAAACTCTAACAGAATATCTTCAATTGACAATCTAATCTCCCTTCCTCCAAACTTAATCAAGGTTGATTTATCCAAAAATTGCTTGACTGCAGATTCCTTCAACATTACCGAAAGAATACTTCATCACAAAAGTTTGAAAAGATTTGATCTTTCGTATAATCTTATAGATTTGGATGATTTAACTTTCCAGGGTGTGGAAATTGACTCTGGACTTAGTAAATTTTTCAACATAAGTCAAGTTGAAGAATATTTAGAGGACTAATTTAAGTTTTTAGTAAGGAAGAGCAAACATAACTGATGGTACTGATCTTTTTTGTTTTGTCTTTACAGGGTGGATATTTATCTGATAATTTCACAAATATACACAATTTACTAAAAGAAAATATTGTAGAACTTCGTACGAACATTATTTAACTATAGATCAGTCTGATCTAATGCAATGAAGATTTGTATTGGTTGGCTGAGAGATGATACTATTGATTTGGAATGTTCTCCACAAAAATATACAATCGCTGCAAAAATGAAGTTCATCAGAAAAATTAAATATGACAACTGGTCTTATCACGTATCACATCATTATTCATTCTTTATCTATTCACATACACCCTACCAATCCATCACAGGCAAACATCTAATGGATGCTGTTCTCAATAATGAATTCATAAATCAATCTGATATCCAACCGATTGTTGCATTCATAAAGCATATCGATAGACTACCGTTGGAAATAATAGTTAACATATTTAAATCATTAGACCGTCAACAAATAGTACAATTCTTATGTTATTGTACACAATTATCATCATATACTCGTCAATTGATTGATTTAGTATTTGGTTCCAAGTTAGAATTCATCTTTGAATCTGAAAAGATCAAAGTTTTCCCTCATACTAATAATAAAATAACGGATATAGAATTAGCCAAACAATTCCTTTCCATACCAGATTCACATCTAAAACAGTTATTAATAGTTGTTTCGAATAAGAGCATAGAATCATGTAATCAATTAATAGAGGATCATCTTGAATCATTACAATCTTCCATCGATGAAATAATCATAGTGTTTGGTAATGCCCAAGTGAAGACTGGCTTTAAAGTCTTTGAATTATCTAATTTAAAGGCAATATCGTTTGCCGATTCTACCGTTGACAGTCTGTTATTTTCTACTCCAGAATTCATTAATCATCCTGGTATAACACGATTAACGTTTGATTTAATAAAAATATCTGATGATGGGCTTATTTCTAGTCTACCTAAAAACATTATATCTTTACAAGTGGTTACAGGATGGAATCGTCCCACAACATTAGCACAGACACCGTGGCCATTAGTTCCTCATATTGAACAGTTTAAGAATCTTCAAGATTTAAAAATCACATTTACTAATATATTTGATGAACAATTTTATCAATTAATAGAACAGACTATAAACCTATCAAAGTTAGAAATCATCAAAACTAACATATCAACTCTCAAACTAGCCAAATTGCCGAGAACATTAAAGCAATTCAATTTATCAGATAATCAAGATCTCAAATCTGTTGACATTAACAATAATGATGATTGGCCTGTCGAATTAGTACATATTAGTTTGAATAATTGTCAGATTAATAATGAAAGTTTTGTAAATATGTGTCAGTTCCAATGGCCCAAAAAATTGTCTGTATTGGAAATGGCTAATAACTTGATTACTGATTTTGATAAGTTAAAAAATATTCCGGAGAGTGTGGTCTCGCTAAAACTTGGTTGTTCGAGACAACATCCTTCACCAACTGAACCAACTGATAATAACAGATTAATTGAATCAATAGCGCCACGTTTAAGAGTATTTGAAGTTCAACGTTATACTTTCAAAGAGAATGATTCAATTGAATTTCCTGATTTAATTGTGGCACTTGCCATACAAGGTAGTGAGATTTATAATGGACAAATTTTTAAGAAGTATCCCAAAAATCTTACGGCGCTAAATTTGTCAGGATGTAATATTTCGACTATAGATTTGTGTTCTTTAGAGACATTGACGATACTTTTACTTATTGAAAATAAGATTCAATCATTAAATGATGTTAATTTTCCTACTAATATAAGACAATTGAATATGAATATGAATCATATTAGGAAACTCTCTAACCAAGACCAGTTTTTCAATCCTAATACGAGTATTCAGTTTAAACAATTAATGTCTTTTAGTCTTATTGGTAATAAAATAAGTGACATTGATTCTGATATATCTATTCCTCCAAATTTAGTTGAATTCAGATTAACCGGGAATCAGTTAACGAATATTACAATTCCTGATAGTATAACATATCATCAAAGATTACAATTATTGGATATTAGTAGGAATCAATTAAGGAATATTAATTTTAAAAATGATGGTCGGATAGGTAATGCAGTTAGATTGAAAGTATTTGATTTATCGTTTAATCTTATCGCTAAGATTGATCAAAATGGTCAACAAAGACCATCCTTTCCATTTGCATTATCGTACGAATACAATAAAAGAATTGAAAATGGTTTTGGGAGAAGATTACAAGTAGTTGATCCCAATGTTAATAGAGTACATACTTTTAAGTAGACCGTAAGAATAAAATAAATAGTTTCCGTATTCGAGTTTTAGACCTGCATGTAGTTCACTATGCAGGTATCAGATCAATACCCCTTAAGTTAAACATAGCAGAACAGATTTTCAACAATCAATCAAATATCAAAAGAAATTGAAAATTTCTTTAATTTGATTCAATCTATTGTTTGTTATTTTATATATAATGTTACTCAAACGAAAGAAAAAGCTGAATTTTTTAACTAGACCAGAGGTATGGCCACTTGTCCAATTTATTTGGCATATTATAGATTTGGACATCTATGATATTTGTCGAATATTTACTGATGTATATTCTGAACAATTTGTTGAATTTCTTCATGGTTGTAATCATTTAATACGATATAGACAACATGTGGTAGATATGATGTGTGGTAGGGCTTTTGGTTTCATTTTTGTTTTTGGAGATGAAGCCCGTTTTCTACCTTTCTTTAATGTAATAAAACAACCAAATGTTATGACAAAGTTATTATCGATACCTAACTTACACTTTCAAAATTTGAGTATTATCAATACTGATTCAAGCTCAAGGTTACTAGACATAATGGTTTGTAAGAATTTTGAACAATTGAGAGACTCGTTTGACGAAATTAGATTGGATTTCATTGATTCTGAATCAGATGGAACTAGCCTCGCACTTCGGTTGTCTAATTTAGTTAAATTGGGATATAATTCTACGAATTTGGTTGCACCATTGATTGAAACATCAGCTCCAAAGGTTGACAAATTAATAACTATTCCTAGAAATATAAAAGAGTTAAGTGCGATAGACACCATTGGGACGTTTTCTTATTCAACTGCTCAATTTCAGAATCTAACAGTTTTGCATTTTGAGAGGTTCGGAATTAAAGAATGGCATTTTTATCTTATGTTACGGTATGCTACTCAATTAACTACTTTAAAAGCGTTGAATATACATTTAAAACATCTTAAAGTTGGACTGCTTCCAAGAAAATTGGTTCATCTTAATGTATCAGATAATCCACTTCTGCTGATTGCAGTTGTTAAAAAATATGATTGGCCACAATCCTTAAGGGACATTTCTATAGAAAATTGCGGATTGACAAATACAATGTATTTTGAATTGTTTAATTTCGATTTACCTCCGAATTTAGTCACGTTGGATTTAAACTCAAATATGTTCATAGATTACTCAATGATGGGGAAGTTACCTCCAAAATTAGAATCTCTAAAACTTGGATATAGGCCTATGGAAGAAAATTTACAGTTTGGAGAACGGAACGAGGATCACAAAATATTTGAATATTTTTTACCAAATTTGAAAATATTTTACGTCAAAAATTACCGATTTAGAAAATATGAAGCGATTGAATTTCCTGATTCAATTACAGAAATTGGAATTCAATATAGTTATATTTTTGGAGGGCAGTTATTTGAAAAATTTCCTAACAATATCGTGTCTCTTAATTTTGAAGGTTGTAATATTTCTGCCATATATTTGGATAATCTATCAACATTACAATCACTTGATCTTTCTCATAATCTGATTGAATCTTTGCAAGATATAAAGCTACCAATAAATTTGAAATATTTGCAAATCAGCAATAATAATATTGTGAAGTTATCGGTCGCAGATCAAATATTTAACCCTAAGTCTTGTTTACAGTTTAAGAAATTAAAGATGATTGATTTAAGGAATAATTTTATAAGTTCAATTAATAAAAAGATAGGATTACCTCCAAACTTAAAAGATTTCTTATTATCAAATAATAAGTTATTTGCTATAGTGATTCCTCGTAGTATGTCTAATCATCAACAATTAACTAGGTTGGATCTATCTGAAAATCGATTAATAACCATCAGATTCAAAAATAACAGGAAAAAGGGAAACGCTGTTAATTTGAAGATATTAGATCTATCATTTAACTGGTTGAATAGACGATCTTTTCCATTAAAATATAAGATCAACATCCATAAGCGAATTGCAAAGGGATTTGGAAAGGAATCAATACGTAAAGCAGGAAATGTTAATTCGGTGCATTGCTTCAATTAAATTCCAAATCTCGTTGAAATCAACATAATTATCTGGCTCTTTACTTCTATATAGATTATTATAGAACTATATTGTCATAGTTAAATAGATTAATTGCAAAATTATAGTTGCTTCATATGCAGACTCTAATACCTTAATCTAAAAATTGCAAATGGTTTTGGGAGAAGATTACAAGTAGTTGATCCCAACTTTAATAGAGTACATACTTTTAAATAAGGAGGAATATACTCCTGATATATGAGTCTTAAATAGTTAGACCTGTATATGTTCAAATATTTTATTATGCTTGTGGCAGACCAAATACCCCTAAATTAAAATATAGCAGAACAGATTTTGAATAATGGATTAAATGACAAAATAAACTTTCATTTTCTTTAATCTGATTCCATATGTTCTTTTTTGCATTTCAAGTCATGCTATTAAAGTACAAAAGAAAGAAAAATCTAAAATATCTAACTAAACCTGAAATATTTCCACTTGCACAATTTATTTGGCATATTAAAGACTTGGATATCTATGATCTTGGTTGGATATTCTCATTGTTATCGTCTGCCCAACTTGTTGAATTTCTTCATGGTTGTAATCAATTAGCACCATATAGACAACATGTGGTAGATTTCATGTGTGGAAGGACTTCTGGATTCAACTTTCTTTTTGGAGACAAATACGATCGTTTATCTTCCTTCAATGTGATGAGAGATATAAATGGTATGGCAAAGCTATTGTCGATACCTAACTTACATTTTAGACACTTGAAAATTATAATTACTGCTCCAGATCTAAAATTATTAGATAAAATGGTTGGACAGAATTTTCAGCACTTGCAAGATTCTTTTGATGAGATAAGTTTAGAGTTCTTGAATTCTACTTCCGACGGCAGCTTCAAAGCACTTCAGTTGACTAATTTAGTTAAATTGAACTATACTTATACAAATCTAACCCAACAACTGATTGACGAGTTCAATTTAGAAAATAGCAAACTAGTAACTCTTCCGAATAATTTAACAGAGCTAACTAGAATAAACTCAGCTAATCGATTTATATATTTGTCTGCTCAGTACCAAAATCTAACAGTATTGCATTTTGAAAAATTGAACTTTAAAGAAAAAGGATATATTTATGAAATATTCGAGCAAGCTACTCAACTAATCACATTAAAAGCTTTAGATATAGGTTTGACACATCTCTATATTTCAAAATTGCCACGAAATCTACTATATCTTGATTTATCAAATAATACCGAAATATTAGAAATTGAAAATAATTATAGAACTGATTGGCCACAATCTTTAAAAGAGATTTCTATGGAAAGTTGTGGATTAACAAATACGATGTATTTTGATCTATTTAAATTTGATCTACCACCGACTTTAGTTTCTTTGAATTTAAACTCCAACATGTTTGAAGATTATTCAGTGATGGGAAAGATACCACAAACATTAGAATCTTTCCTGATTGGATATAAACTAATTGAACCAGATTCATATTATGGAGAACGACATGTTGACCATAAACTATTTGATTCTTTTCTACCAAGTTTGAAGTCAATACAAGTTAAAAATTATAGATTTGAAGAAAAAGATAGGATTGAATTTCCTGATTCTATTACCAAAATTGGAATTCAATATAGTTGTATTTTTGATGGGAAAATATTTCATAAATATCCGAATAATCTTACATCGCTAGATTTTGAAGGTTGTGAACTTTCCAGGATAGATTTGTCAAAATTTTCAGCTTTAGAATTCCTTGATCTTTCTCCTAACTTATTTAAATCCTTTAAAGATATAAAGTTACCAATAAATTTGGAATATTTGCAAATCAGTAATAACAAGATTTCTAAGTTAAAAACCACCGATCCATTATTTAGCCATAAGTCTTGTTTAAATTATGTGAAACTTAAAACTATTGATTTAAGTAGTAATTTAATTTCTTCAATTGATCAAAAAATCGAGTTGCCTCCAAACTTAAAAAAATTCTTATTATCAAATAACAATTTACTTGATATTGTTATTCCTCATAATATGTCTAATCATTCACGATTAACCGAATTAGACCTTTCAGAAAATGAATTAAAGATTATAGAATTCCAAAACAGTGGAAGTAACGGAAGTTGCTTTAGATTGAATAAATTAAATTTATCGCTTAATAAGATAAATATGACTTACTTCTCACTGAAGTATACCTTTAATATCCATAAACGAATTGAAAAGGGCTTTGGGAAGGCATTAGCATCTAAAAAGGAAAATATAAACTCAGTACATTACTTCTATTAAATAACTTGAGATTAACTTTCACGACCTATCTCTTGGAGTCTGTCTTGTCTATATATATATTGATATGTCGTAATTAAATAAATTAATTGCAAAATTATAGTTCCTTAATATGCAGAATCTGATATCCTGTATGTAGTGTTATCTCCAACATCCAAACCTCAATCGTTTTTGGTTTTGTGTAACAACTATACAAATTATAATTAATAAGAAAAAATTTGTATACATATATAAATAAATAAAGTATATAACCATATACCTAAACAATAAATAAGAGTTAATAAATAAGTCAAGTAATAAATAAGTGAATGAATAAATAAATAAGTAACGGATCGAAACAGTTAGATACAAAAGTGTAGCCTTAATCTATACCAAACAAAACATAATAAAAAGGCTGATCTATCACAAAACTATTAACTTTTAGCAAAAAACTAAAAACTAATATGAATTTTTCTATATTGTTTGTAAACTTAGAAAGTCCAGCTTTCTGTAGTTCTATCCTAGAATACCACTTACCAAGTGGTACTCAACCCACCCAACGCAACTAGCTTCAACCAAACTAATCAAAAACATGGGATGTTTTTTTTTAAAATATGAGCCCATGTGTAGGAGATCACTTCGAAGCTGTCCAAGATAACATAATGATTTTACTAAGAGGTTCATAAATCCTTTTGACACCAATATAGTATAATAAATCAATTAAGAATAAAATCACTAAAGGAGCAATAATAAGTAATAACAAATGATAAGATAAATTAATTAGCCATGATTCAATCAAATTAACAGTGGCTATAATGGAATAGAATAATGTATAAGCTAATGATGAATATGAGTATGAATAAGTAGGTAACTGTGTGGTACTAACTAATAAGGATATCATGTTGATCCTCTTATTCAATTTGCTTTGATTACTCTGATATGAAAAAACCTGTTTTGGATAAAATTATGGAATCGATATCTTTATTTATATATAACTGCAAAATGTATCCCTTTTATCCTTTATCCCTAAAGCCAGCAGTTACCCGGAAGTGAATTTTTATTTTTTTTTTTTTTTTTTTTTTTTTTTTGTGGTTTGCTCTTTGTTTTGATTTTATTTTTTATCTTTAAAATGAAAAATTTTTAAAATCTTGTCATTTTCAATGTGTAATCCTTGAAGAAAAGTTACTCATTACTGATAATTAACTCAAGTAAAGGTTATAAAATGACTTTGATAATGGATAGGGGTTACCCCGAATAGTGAAAACTAGACCCAGAACTAGAACTACAACTATAACTTGAACGACAAGTATGTCTCATTACAATCCCTATTGAAGTTAAAAGGTTAATCTTAAAGGATAATGAATTCAAGGAGGCAGGCAGTCCAACGAATGAAAGTCTCCTTAAAACTGAAAAAAAAACCCTATTTTGATCTAATCGCAGTAAAATATCATAAATGTGTATGTATGATTACTTCAACGAATATGCTTAAATAATAATTTTATTGATAGCCTATTTTATATTTATCTGGTTATTCGATTGTTTGTTTTTAATTTACTAATCTATAATTGCTACTCCTTAAAAGTTACTATGATGTTAAACAATCTTATACTTATCTACATTACTTGATAATATAACTCATGAAATAAAAAAGAAACTTACCTGATTAAAACCAATAATTACTTTAAGGAGTATTCAATATTATTGAAACAAATGATTACCGATTACCGATAAAACTTAAAAAAAAGAGAAGAGTTCAATTTACTAACTTTAATCTAGTTTAACTATGAGAAATATCCAGCGTAACTTTATAATTAAAGCTTTAGTTTGTACAGCAGGGAGAGATAATGTAATATGTATCCCCTCGATTTTACTCCACCTTTTTGCGTATTTTTTAAACAATAATTGAGGCTATTTTATCCCTTTATTCCTTCATTTGCTTTTGTAGGAGAAATGTGGTAGTTCTAAACTATAATCGACCGATATAAAGAATGTAAAACACCGAGAATAATAATTAAATAATAATATAGTAACCATACACACACACACATTTACATAATCTCGCTCAGAGTGAAAAATAATAATCAGGGTTAAACTTTCCCACAAAGCTTAAATCTATATATAACCTCGAAATATTATATTGATAATCATTGTTGTTTTTGCAAGAAGTAATATGGTGACAAGTAAAAGGTTATGAAGTTTATTACCGTAACTGGTATATGTCTTTACTTATTTGAGACTGATATCCATCAAGAAAATAAAACAATGTATATCCTATAATACTGAAGTAATTCTCTTGGCTATAGATAACGGAGTCATAATTATAACTCGGAGGCCCAGCCCATCCAACCCTTATCGATCGTAAACAACTATTCTTTTTCAAAATGTAAGTAAAATGGGCAACAATGCTAAGCATGAGCTAATTAAAATTAATTAAATACAAACAGAATCACTACAACTCTGCATGTCGCCTTTAAAATTTATGATTATTCCGCCGGGCTGCAACAATAGACACATATAAAGTAGCCACAACTTTGAAGGACCGCCCCCCTGCACAGTGATTATGTAGTTAATAATAATAATAAGAGCTATTTTATTGTCATATAACCTATATACTTATAGAGGAAACACTGCCTTACATACTTAACCTACGGTTGCTCCATAATCTCCACTACGGTTATTATGGCCATCACCACCTAATCTAGCATATCCTTCGCGATAAGGATACATTGAGATGATATAATAACTATGTAATAAACCTGGTAAAAATCCTAATAAACATAATAAAATATTAATCCAAAAGTCGGCCGATCTAATCCCTCTTTTAATGAAAACTGGTATTGGTGGAACTAAATTATTTGTTAGTAATGTGTTATAAATATAGATTTGAGTCGAGGGAATAATGGTGGAAAGGGAAGACTCGGTATATAAATTGGGGGAATACAAAACATCAATTCATGATATGCTGCCTCCTCCTTCTTCCTATCTCTCTTCAATTTCAATTCATTCCACTAACTATCAAATACATACTAAAAAATCCAATGAAAACTAAGAACCAATCTTGTGCATGCATCTTGTCTATCAAATTGATTTAACTTGTTATCTTGATAACTTGAAAAGAAATCCAATAAAGCAGTGTTATCTTGTACCTTTATATCATTTTAACCTCCCCTGAATTTGCATGATTCATTTTATTTTTAGCAATCATGATTTAGTGTTATATGCAGGTAACCAGAATAATGTCGTAATTTATTACGACATCAAATCCTCCCAGAAACGACATTTACAACTTGTTGTTTGAAAATTTAAACATTTTTGGCCTCTAAACGTTGGTTGTAAAAAACAGTGGCATCAATCAATTAATCATAGTAATGAAGCTCCTGTTGATACCTGTTGGTATTGTGTTGGGTTTATGGTCAGCATTGATCAATGCTGTCAGTTATGATAATGCATTCAACGTTAATAAGGAATTGATTCACTATAATTATTATAAATTCAGTCATAGTAATAGTTTTGAAGTGATTGATTCATCAAATATCATTGGGTATAACTTGTTGAATCAATTCATAAATATCAATGTGACTTCTGGTGACATCAATTGGTTGATTCAAGATACTACTGAATTCAATCAATTCGTAATCATTGGGTCCAATGTTTACTTATACTCTGATTTTTCACATACTATCAATATCGTTGAATTAAAGACAGGTATTTTAATTAGATCCATTGAAGTTATCCAACCTATAACGAAAGTGATTAATTTCTTTAATAAGGGATTATTAGTTGTACAATCTGATGGAACATTACATTTCATTAATGATCGTAGACAAAGTCAAATTCATCTTGATTATAGTATTAAATCGGAATTTGTATATCAACAATTGAATGGATTCATGTATATCATCACTTATAATGGACACTTGATAAAACTCAATTCAAACTATCAAATCGTTAATCAATTTGATTTATCCGCTAATAAGCTCAGTCAATTCAAAGATTTCATTTTAATTACTGACTCAAATCAAATTTATAAATTGGTTGAAAGTGGCGAAACATTTGACGTTAAATCAATTTCAAGTTCTTTCCAAAATGTGAAAATCATAAGTCCAACCTATTTTTATAATACTGAATCAAATAACAAAGTGAACATTTATACCATTAAGAATAATAAATTAGAATCAGTTTGGGATAATGAATTTAAAGGTTCGGAAATCACCAATGTTGAATTAACTCCATTCGCATTAAGTGATTATCTTATTGTTACCAAAGCTAATGGAAGTAAACAAGTTTTTGATTTAACAGATTTATTAATTATCGATGATCCATACAGCATCAAAGAAATTAAAGTTAAATCCGACTTGTTATCTATCCCAGGTACAGTTGATTTTATAATTTCTTCAAGTGATGATATTCCTCATTTAATCACCATAAATGATGCTCTTGATGGGGCAATTTATGACATTAACGATGGATCTCTTGTTCAAACAATAGTCCATTCAACTTCTCAATTCTTACCAATTGACGCTTCTACTGTTAGTTTGATTGTCGATAAACCAAGTTCTAAGCAAGCCATTAATCAAGTCAATCATTTATTAAATGAAGGCACGAACATTATTTTGTGGAATTGGGTTAAGAGGACTTACAGACATTTAGGAGAATTAGGTAAATACTTCACTTCCTTCGTATCCTCCTCTTCAACCCCCACTGGTTCTGAAGATGATATTGGTGATCTTGAAGATGATTTTGGATTTGTTAAATATGTTATTTTTTATGATCAAATTTCAAAAGCTTTATTAGCTATTAATTCCAAGAATGGAGAAGTAGAATGGAAATCATATACGAAAGATATTCCTCAAAAATTACTCCAAATCAATGGAAATATAATAGTGGTTTCGAATGATAGTGTACTTGAACTTGATCCATTAGATGGAATTGTTCTCTCCACTAAACCTATCACTGGTGGAAAGGAAGTTATCAAAGTCCAAGCTGGCGAGGAAGAGTCATACATCGTTGAAACTGAACAATCATTTGAATCTATCTCATCATATACTCAAGATATCTATTTGTTTAAATCAAATGAAGATAAAATTGAAGGTCATAAATTAATCAAGGGTAGTACTAAATCAATTGCAACTTGGAATTTCATTCCTCAACAAGATGAAACAATCATTACTGCCATTGCTAAAGATGTTGAATCTTCTACTGTATCAGTTGGTATTCCATTGGCTAATAAATCCATCTTGTATAAGTACTTGAATCCTAATGTGATCGCTGTTGTAACTAAGTCTCATGATCAAGTGTTAAAGATATACTTAATTGATGGTATTACTGGTAATTTACTTTCTGTATTCGAACATACTAATAATGAAATCATTGATTTTACATCTATAAATATCATTATTGATGATAATTGGGTTATTTATACTTATTTTATTAAATCTCCAAGATTAGAACAAAGAATTAATGTCATTGATTTATTTGATTCCAACAAATCAATTAAGAAAAGTGGTAATGATTTAATTTCTTCATTTACTCATAATTCAACCATTAATTCATATTCCAAGAAATCATTTGCATTCCCAGAGAGAATCATTAATTTATCATCAACAAAATCAGAATACGGAATAACCTTGAAATCCATCCTTGTATTAACTGAATCAGGATATTTAATGGAGATTCCAAAGTATATCTTAAACAGTAGAAGAATCGATAATAGACCTTTAGTTCCAGATGATTACATAAGTGATTTTAAAGTATCTCCTTATGAACCAATTATAAATTTAAATACCCTTGCTATTTTAAATCATAAACATAAATTAATTTTAAATCAAAATGAAAAAGGAACAATTTTAATCAAACCAACTCATTTCGAATCAACTTCAGTCCTTTGTTATTTAAATAAATTCAATTATTATTGTGGATTAGTTCAACCTTCAAAATCATTCGATACTTTAGGTCATGGTTTTGAAAGAGTCAAATTATTAGGTACCATAGTTGCTTTATTCGCAGTTTATATCGTTACAAAACCATTTGTTTCAAAGAAAAGATTAAATGATCAATGGTTATATAGTTAGTATTACTATGAATTGTCGTTAATATTTCATTACTTTTATATAGACTATTTTAATAATAAAAGAGTACATACTTATCGTTAATTAAAAATAGACTCATTGCTTTGAATGTAATCAATGAATTCTTTATTGGATGAGTCAATACCAAATACTTCCCAATTTAAGTCCCTTTTATAATCCTTTTGTTTATCGTTATTCGTTTCAAATTCATATATCAACCAAATCAATTCATATCCTAAACTTGATACTAAATATGATTTTAATTTGTTGATTAAGAAAAAACTAGGAACATCCTGATTGGTGTCATGATTGTGTGTAACCATTTTAGAAATGATGAATGAATTATCAACAGTATTAAACTTTTCCAATACTTTAAAGAATTTACTATGTAAGAATTTCCACTCTTCATTGTTTGATAATATTATACCTTTATAGAACTGATTAAACACTTGTTTGACTAATTTATAATCTTGAAGCATATTTAAAATTGGTGATTTAAATACCCTCAATAATATCATAGTAGACATTTCAATGGGGAATCTATAATGAATAGGTAATTGGTTGAAAGTCATTGGGTTTCCATCTGAAATATGATTTTGATATAATGATAAGATCTTGCAACAACTGTTGATTATCTTGGAAATATAACCTTTATACTCTTGTAAACTGATATCTGATTTTGAAAATGAACAAATGAATAATTGTAATTTTGAAAATTCAATTGAAATCTTAATAAGATTATTCAAGGTTAATGAATTTTCAGATTTAATTAATGACTTATTTAAATCTTCTAAAATGATTTCAAACATATTGAAATTAATTAATTTACATGTGTTGATTTGATTTGGTAATAAAGTTATATTTTCATGATTATGACCGATTAAATCATTCATATTTTCATTTAATTTTGATTGAATTATGGAAATCTTCAATAATGAATTAATAAATCTATCACTTTCACTACCAGGATTCAATAAATCTTTATTTGATGCTTTATTAATAACATAATCTTGAGTGAAACCATTATAATTATTGTTTGATAAACCTAAATTGATTAACCAATAGTTTGAATTGATATTCACGAATTTATAAATTCTTTCTCTGATTAAATTATTAAGATTTACTTCTTGAGTTATGTTCATTTTAGTTTTATGACTGAATTCATCAATAAATTCTAATTTGTGTAATCCAAATTGAAGAGATAATGATTTCATGGTAGATATGAATTTAACTGATAAGTTATCGGCAATTTTACTACCTAAATTAGGTAATGGCCAAGTTGTTAAAATTAATAAAGCAGATATAACATAAACTGATCTTGGAGTTTGAAACCAACATTTTTCAACCACTAATGACTTTATATGTTCTGATAAAACTGAGTAACTTGTAGCGGACAGTTCAATTGGATCATTTAATAATGAGGTTAATATTATACACCAAAATAATAATTCATTTTCAAGTCTGAAGGTTTCTAAATTTAATGAAGGAAAGAAATTATCAGGAAATATAGGAAGGAATTGATTGAAATTAGTTTCGTAATTAGAAAATAATTGATATGCTTGATCGTAACTTAAAGATATTGGTTGTTGATTAGGATGTGAAGAAATTGTGAAAGTATCAAATTGATTGTAGGTTAAATGCTGGGTATTATTAATTTGCTGATCTTCCGGAGAACTTATGCATGATTGAATTGAGGTTACTGAAGGAGTGATTGAATTTGATCTTGGTCTTTGTAATTTTGATAATGATGAAGAAGATGATGGTTTACTAGCTGTCGCTATTCTTTGGGTTGATTGGCCTCTTTGTATTAAAGCCTCTACAAGCTTATTTTTTCTAGTTATTATATTATCCAATACCTTGTTTAAATCATCAACTTCTGAACTTAATTTTTCAATCAAATCGATGGATGATCTATCAGCTGGAGCTTTAGTCATTAACTCCAAGGTACAGTTTAAATTCTTCTTTGAACAATGGGAACATGGATATGGATTGGTTAATAAAGCATCACACTTTGTTTTATGTTTACGACATCTTGAACATGTCTTTAGTACTTTAGCACCCCGTACTGGTTGGGGTATTATTAATTTTAAACGTTGTTTCAGATGCAGTGACATTGGCATAATCATTTGGAATGGTGATATTTAAATAGTAATAATATATATGATGGATGTATTAATTTAACTGTAGGTAATAGTTATAAATAATAGGAAAATTTCAATCAGAAATAAAAATGAATGAAAAATCCAGCTTATTTTATTACTATAATGGCTGTTAAAATAAAATACAAATGGTGAGTAGTATATAATTAATTTAAGTTGGTTGGAGAAGGCATACCCTCAAATCATTTGCCTAAAAATAATCAGATAATAAAAATATTGATGCTAGATAAGCCCGAGATTTGGGAATAGACTATTAATCAAGATGGTAATCACTGTTATACTCTATTTTATTGGATTAATGATATTTTGGTTGTGAAATCACACTAACCCGCTTATCGGTAAACAGAATCAAATATTAGTAATTGCAATTTAAGTGGTGATAATTGGTTCAAATTTTCTGACACCGAATTTCGGTACTGCGAAACAGAAAAATCAGAAAATACGCGACACAAAAATACGACGATTGGGTTTAAAGAGGGCCCAGTTAACCAATGAAGATCAGTTGTATGATAATCATAGTGAAGGGAAGTAATAGGGGGCGTAGTGAATTATGAGGTGGAGTGGGGTGATATAAGGGATGAATTATTATTATTTGAATGATAGATTGTACGATTTTCCTTTTTGTATGTTGTAATTATGTGTGGCTCGTGCCATTTCCCCCTACTATCCACCTTCAGAGTCTAAATATAGTAGTTTAATCAATCACTCTTTACAAACCTTAAGTTAAGGCTGATTGATTGTAATTGGAAAGATTGAACTAATCGTTTACCGATAAGTACGGCTGGCCATGTTTTATAATGCGATTTTGAAGAAGTTAGTTTATGTTATAGAAGAGCCAATCCTAAACAACAAAAAGAGGAATCACATACATATTGTTAGAGTGGGAGTTAAGTAGATCATATCACTAGTTTCCTCTTTATATGAAACACTTTAAAGATAGATGTATTGATTGGTTAGAAATGATAAAAAGGCAGCCAAAATAGGTGTTGCAAATAAATATTTGTTAGTGTGCTTAACTATGGGAAATGCATACATCGCACGACCCCAAAACATCTACAAAATTTATTCTATTACGCTTTCTTACAATGATATAGCTAAGAAGATGAATAGCTATAATCAAATGATAATATAACATCAACAAAAGGGAATGAGTAATCTAACAGCAAACCAAATCACAAGTTTGCATTTATACGACTTAGCTCATGCAGTTCCTTTGAACCCATTGAGTAAACAGTATTCATTATTATTCCATAAATTTAATCAAGAGAAATCAATCAATTTACCTAACAACCCAAATATAACACATCGAATCTGTAACTCGTGTGGAGGGGTGCTAATACATGGGTTGACTTTATCTATTCGAATCAAGCATGGGAAGGTGAATAAAAGGAAAAAGAAGAGGCTATCAAAAGTAGATGCATCTGATTCAAACACAAAGACAGCAAAACGATTCATGGAACTTAAATGCTTGCAATGCAATCATAAAGAATATAATAGAGATTTGATCCAACCGAAACAAAAAGAAATTCTGCAAGTATCAGAACCTGTGGAGACAAACCCACTAGTTGGCATTTCATCATCAGCGGTTACTGCTTTAACATTTTCTAGATCACAACTGCCATCATTCAAAGCTGAATGGACTCCAAAAAGTACAAATCAAGTACGGTCCAATAGTGATAAAGATAATAACAGTAACTCTAAGTCTAAAGAAAGATCAAAGAAAAGAAAACAGAATAATTTATCAAATCTTTTGCAACAAAAGAAACAACAGAAATTAAATGAATCAAAAGGTATTGGGTCATTAAGCTTGCTGGAATTTTTAAAGTAAATAGAAGGGTTTAATTTTATAGAGGTTTAAGAAATATACACACACATAATTTGGAATACCATTATTATATATTTGTAAAGATATTTATCCCTTATTAACTTAATCTATATATTTTGTTTTATTTTATTTTAAGTTTGCGCTAACGCTTTTTTATGAAACCTCCCATATCCTTTTATTATGTTTTGCATTAGAAATTAATTAGATTTTTGTTAGCTTTCTTGCTTAGTTCGAAGATCGTATCGTGAACAATATCGGACCCAACGTCTTCTACGATAAACTTCTTTAAATCCCAATTCATGACCTCCGTTGGAAGTATCTGTATCATCTCCATCATTTGCTATATTCTCATCATCAACGTGTAAATCATAAACCCACTTTTCATCATCATCAATATGAACTAAATCTTCAACTAATTTACTTTTCACCCACTTTTTACAATCAAGATCTAATTCCCATTTCTTTCCATCAACAAATTTCCAACTATTTGGAGCTGAAATATCATCAATCGATGATTTCTTATTTAATCTGATATATGAATTATTAATTTCTCGAATCAATTCCTCTTTCGATAAATGATTATATCTTAATCCCATATTTAATAAACTAACATTAAACTTCCTAGTAGCTGTATTGATAGTATAAATATTATTAGTAAATCCAATTGGTTTCCAAAACTTAGTCTTTCTATCCAATCTTTGTAATTCAAATATTTCCACTTCTCGTATTAAGCCTTTAGCAATAGCTTCAGCTTCATTATTTTGTATTAAACTTGGTTCATTTTCAGTGGCAATTAAATAACTTAATAATCTCACTTCCAATCTATTACTGATTTCTAATGCATTTAATCTAGTATCTTCATTATATATCCATTCCATGATTTTTGATTTCACAGATGGATGAAATAAAATCGTAAACCCCCACACAAATGATATAAGCATTATTTGTACAAGATAAATATTACGAAGGAAAAATGGAATGACACGAGGTAAGATTATAAGATTACCTGTGATTAAACCAATTATTAAAAGCAATACTATCGAAGTAACGTTTTCATCTTTGAAATATAAATAATCACTAGTCAACCATGTCATGAAATCAAAAGTATCTATATGAAACAGCATATGGTTTTGCATATCAGTGAAATTCATGACGAATTCTCTTGAAAATTCAGGTATAGGTTTAGGAATTTTATAATCATTCAATGGAACCTCGGATGGGATTGGATTGGATTTGAAATAAGTAGAATTATATGAAGTATCAGGTGGATAAACAATTAAATAATGTGGTATGATGACCCTTACAATTAACATCACCAATGGGAAAATGGAAAGAAAATACGGATTCAATATTAAATGAGTTATGATTGTTAAAACTCCTATAGTGTAGAATGGATTTGACCAACTAAAGTAAATAATACAATTATCAATGAATATAAATGTATCAGATAATCGTTGCGCCATTTGACGTGAGTTTTTAGACATGATATTAATGGATAATGGCGGACGCTCTTTCTGACACTCAATTCTAGCATTCAATACTCTACTGGTATGCAAATCATTCACATCTATAGGTAACATCATAGTGATTACTTTTTCCACTAATTTGTCCATCAAAATAGTGTTTGTATAAGAGCCTGAACCCGATCCTGCCTTCTTAGAATCATCACTCAATCCAAGCAAATTATACTTCCAGAATGAACTAAAATCAAGTTCTGATCTTCGTTTACTAGTGGAACTGAGACTGACATTGGTTGAAGAATCCCTTTTCATATTTGACCCGTAGTTATTGTTACTGATTGGATTGCTGGTAACATTGACTTCAGAAGCTACCGGCTTTGTAGGCGGACTCTTCGTAGGCTCTACAGCCTCAACCGTAAGGATATTTTCAAAGAAACTTGAAACCAGATCCATGGGATGGGAATGATATATTTCCTTACACCTCAATTTCCCCTATGGATGAATATGAAATGGTTCAAGATACCCAATTGATTGTGTTGTTGATATATGGTTTTGGTTCAACTGCTGTTCTAGATCACCGATTAAATGTGTTATTTTTTTCTGGTGCTTGGGGTAACTGAGACCAGACCGGTTGCCATTTGCGTGATGGTGTCCCAAAATAAATCTTTACGTCAATTTTTGTTGAGGAACAGCTACAACTAATTAGTTATTTAACTATGCAAAATATTTTATTAAATGAAGCTAATATACAATTAAAAAGATCGTAACAGATATGAAGTAAATATCTATATGGTTTAAAAAATGAGCAATATATTTTGAATTTATGCAAATTGATGAATTAAAGAGTAAAATTATTGAAAAATCGTAAAATCATTAGACACTTGTTCATGCGACTTCTTGCTTTAGGCGAGTTGAATTATAATGTTGATTCATTTCTGATCGAGTAAGGGTTCTTAATCCAGTAGAGTTAAAGTCTTCTGAAGCAATTTCTATTATATCGTCATTAAAACTTGATAATGGAGTTGGTAATTCATATTTAAGTTTCTTATTTGCCATATTGTCAACATTAGAAGTTTTACGCTTAAGAGCAGGCCTTTTCTTTATCTTTGTAGGTGTTATGGGAGGTGTTAAAGCTTCATCCAAGTCTGATTCAGATGAAGATGATAATGCTGATTCAATATTTTCCTTTTTGATCTCTTGTTTAATTTTTGTAACTTTCTTTTCTTGTTTTATGATTTTATTTGATGTAGATGATGATTCTTTTTTAATTGGTTTTTCTTTCTTTATTACTGGTAATGATTCTTTAATAGAATTCTTTAATTTCTTAGAATCTAATTGTTCTTGAGTTAAGAATAAATCGGGTATTTCTTTCTTTAGTATCTTAACAAAATTATCACAATCACTTAAGATTTCATAATCAATATAAGAATCCCATTGTTTTGATAATGGAGTTTTATTAACAAATATTACTTTACCTCCTTTACTATGAATAGATGCACTTAATGATTTAACTAATTTCTTAACTCCATCAACTTTTAATGAAGTTCCCATTACGATTAATAAATCGGGTCTAGCTCTTAAATCAACATTTAAACCTTGAGCTAAGATATCAGCTTGTGGGTGATGCTCACCATATAATACTATATCTGGTCTTAAAATACCAATATTACCAGTTAAACGTTTACCAGAATATAATCTTTCTTCATATTTTCTATAACATTCAGCACATTCTGGATTTAAACCATTAGCTAATTGATGTCTATATTTTTCATTCCAATCGAAATTAGTAAAACAATTAGTACAAGATAATTTATGTAAATTACCATGTAATTGAATCACATCCAAGTTCTTCCAACTTTGATTGAAAGTCTTTGAATCATTGAATTCATTCAAGTTAATTCCCATATTTAAATCAATTGATTTTTCTAATGAATCAATGTTTTGAGTATAACATCTTAAAAGTTTATTCTTTTCCTTTAAAAGTTTAATAAATTTATGAGTTTCAGTAGCTTCTGCTTTTAAACTTGATTGATATAATGATTCCATAAATGTACAGAATAATGATAAGGATAACTCATCCCTAAACAATGAAATATCAAATAAATCTTGACCTCTTACTATATTCTTAGGATATTTTGATTTAACAAGGTTATATAACCCATCAGAAGATCTAAAATCAGGTATCCCGGCATTACAGGATATCCCTGCTCCTGTTAACACAGTTGCTTTCTTAGCTTTGAAGATGAATTTGATAGCTTCATTCAAGTTAATCGATACTTCCGATGGAATATCGCTATGAGACTTATGATTCAATAAGTCTATAGTGATCATCTTGCTATCTGTATGTTGTTGGTATCGTTGTTGTCGACGGTAGTTCTGATCTATCTGTCCTGTTTCGTCTCGTTTCAACTATAAAAGAAGTATATGGATCGTGCTTATTTGCTATAACCACACACTTATTTGTACTAAGAGATGTTGATAACGTATACGAAGCGTAATGACTTTGATCCTAATCCTTATTGATATGACCGTTCCTTAACAAATAATCTCAAGTTCTTACCGATGACTGCAATTGCTGTAATTTAAATATATTCCGTTACACTTAGCATCCTATTTTTTCTTCTACTTTAAAGGAACCTTTTTTTCATTTTTGTGCCCCTACCAGAAAAATGTCTCCTTTCGTTAAATGGTCTGCGACACAAAAATACACCAAATGTTTAATTGTTTACATATTCTGTTATAATTTTACCTAATTAGGAAGGAGGTGTCTATCGATAAATCAAAACACGAATTTGTTTAATATGTAATTAATATATAATATACGTTTTTATAAATTAGTTCGATGATATGCAATTACTCAAAACAATCGAATTGTAAACAAAAGGGATTCATGGTTTGTGAGACATAGATTTGGCGTTGGTGTTGAACTACATTATTCCTTCAATTAGATGGAAGTATCAATGAATCAATGAATGAATGTGTGTATGTATGTATTTAAAAAATATATATGTATATAACCCCAAACTCTACGCTATGTAAAATATAAAGAAAAGAAAAGAAAAGAAAGAAAGAAAGAAACGTAAATCATCTTCATTAAGCACTTTGACTGTTGACTGCTAATTCCATAATTAATCTTGTAGATAAATGTAAGAATGGATAAGCTGAGAATGAACTGACTTCATCAGCATCTTGAGTAGAAAATTCATTGGCAATACCATCTTCAGAAGTAGTTTCCCATCCATCAAATTTAAAATCAACTAAATAATTATTTGGCTCTAATTGAAACAATTGAATTTGCATCTTCATTAAATCTGGTGCATTTTCAACTTCACAAATATCATATTTCCATCTTACTCTTATAGTCCATAATTCTTCTTCAGTTGGTTTAGCCCATTCAGCTCCAAGATTCTTAAGTGCACGATAAATTTCTCCCATAACGTCTAATGGATAAGATCTTGATCTTATACCAAAATGCCATCTTGTTTTCAGTTTCTTATTTGATACTGGATTTATAGCAGCTTGACTATTGGTTTCCATCATAAATGCACGATGGATACTTGGTAATGACGATGGTAAAATCGCAATGGTAGAATTTGGTAACGTAGATAAATCATGAACGGTAGCTAAGGTTTGATAAGTTACTGATTGCTGAACACCAGGAGCTGAACTGGTGGAATTAGAAGTAAATGCTGGGGTAGGAGATCTAGATAAAAATGAATCAATCTTATCATTATTTGATTTCTTTAAATCTTTCACTAAAGTATGATTCTCTTTCATTAATAAATAAGCATCAAGAATTTCATTATTTTGTTCCAGTGGAGAATTACTCTTATTACATCTTTCAATATTACTTATAATTTCATCACGATCATAACCCATAGCCATTGTCAAAGCATTGATAACATCTTCATCAATTTCAACTTTTTTATGCTTGGTTTTGGATAAATCAGGTGGTAATAAATAATCTTCCATACCTTGTTTGAACCATTCATCTTCCATAACTTCATGAATAGTTATTCTATTTAATGGATTAACAACCAACATTCTGGTTAATAAATGTTTAGCACCAGCACTTAAATAATTAGGTAAAGTATAAACCCCATTACTAATCTTTTTGAATAATGCTGGAATGAATTCATCATCAAATGGTAATCTACCACAAAGCATAACATATAAAATAACTCCTGATGACCAAACATCAACTTCTGGACCAGCATATAATTTACCACTAATAACTTCAGGGGCAGCATAATTTGGTGAACCACAACTTGTCTTTAAGAAATTACCATCAGTCATAATATTAGATAACCCAAAATCAGCAATTTTAACATTTAATTGATCATCTAATAATAAATTCTCTGGTTTTAAATCACGATGAACAATCTTATGTCTATGACAATATTCAACAGCAGCAATAATTTGTTGGAAAAATCTTCTAGCTTCATCTTCAGGCATTTTACCTCTTTGAACAATATAATCAAACAATTCTTTACCAGCAAATTCAATAACCATAATAATCTCATCCTTTGATTTGATTACATCGTATAATTTAATAATATGAGGATGTCTTAATAATCTTAAGTATGAAATTTCTCTTTCAACTCTACCTTGCATATCAGATTTAGCTAATGTCTTACGATTAATGATTTTAAGAGCAACTTTTTGACCTGTAACTAAATGTTGAGCCAATTTGACTTTACCAAATGAACCTTCACCTAAGGTCTTTATAACTTGATATTTCCCAATTCTGTTGGCTGGATTAGCAGCTGGGTCTATTGGAATTACCGGTTGTTGCTGTTGTTGGTCATGATGATGATGGTGGTGATGATGATGATGATGCTCACTAGCAGATTCTGTAGCGGACATTTTATCAATTTATATGTATATATGAACTTTATTATCTGTAAGGTTTGGTATCAATGTGTATCAGTTTTGAATTCAAGTCCTCATACATTGTATCGAAGAAGATATTGAGTTGGTCTTTTTCTCTCCGTGACTAATTTAGTGGAGGAGATATGACACGAATTGTGGCATGCACGACAGAACCCAAATAGAATTTATTTACTGGTCTCTCTATATATAATGTCCTATGATAAGTTATATATCCAATTATTATAGCCTACGACTATCTCTACTTCTATTTCTCTTGTTATGATTATTTGAACCTCTATCTCTACTTCTGCTTCTATCTCTTTCTCTTTCTCTGTTTTCATTGGAAGATTTCTTTGCAGCATTGTAAACTGTACGACTCCTTCGCTCAGATGTATATAGTTCAGAAATATCTTCAACTTGAACCTTGTTCATGGTCGACAGCTTTGATTCATTCTTAGTATTATGATTATTACTTTGTTTGGCGGTCTTTTGATCAACTAGGCCTTTGTCTGACTGACTTCTATTGTAATTTGTCTTTCTAGCTAGCGATTCAACTGCTTTTGATTCAACTGCTTTTGCTGATTCAGCCAACTTCTTCTTCACCTCTAATTGAAACTTTTCAACTTCATCTTTATGCTTTTGTCTTTCATCTAATATCTGTTTCGGTATCCCATCTTTGTTATCTTGGGCACTTATTAGTAAATTCCATAACTTTTCACAGAACTTTCTTGCTTCATCTGCACCTAAAAACTCTTGAACTTGTAACTGTAGTGCCTTTATATCGGGATTTGATTCACCAGATTGAAGCAACTCATATATGTAATCTATAACTATGTCATCGTCTTCTAGTTGTTCATTTATGGTTTTCAGTATCCATTCTTTTATAACTTCAAGATTAACTTTCCCAATATTCACTTTTACTTTATAACATTTAGGAAATTTCTTTGAGCTTGATTCTTTTAAATTCTGTCTTTCTATGTAATCCAGATCTACCTTACTTACTCTATATGACATTGAATGAGTTGATCTCTTATCAGAAGGTATATAGTTAATCCTTTTATCTACTCTTCCTTTGGAAATATGGAGCCAAAAATAAATTTTGTATGTGATTTACATGTTATTGGTTGCTTTTACAGGTTATTTTGTTGCAAAACTAATGTGGGAAAAGTTGGGAAATTTAGGGAAAATGAAAAGGAGGAGAACAATTCCAGCGGTTAGTATAAAATGTCGGTCAAATCTTGTTTGAAGATGTGTTTGATCTACCTCTTCTTCTTCTTGTTCTTCTTGTTCTTCACTGATCTGAATTAAACTTGGCTACAACAACATGTTTAATTCATCATTCACAGGCGAATCATTTTCAAGTTCAGCATATTCTGATACGTATTCAAACTCACTGATTAGATTAGAAAATTCGAATTTAAATTACACATTATCAACAGGCTTCACTAATCACAAATACTGTACTCCACGAACAATTTCAACAGTTGAATCCATTAAATTTGATGATGATGATATATTTGATCTCCTTCCAAGTGTTTCCAGAGCCAATATCTGGTGTACATCTTCAGATCCTGATATGAATGAATCATTATTTACCCCATTTTCCAATTCTTACAGACTCACCAATACTAATTTAAATTTGAATACCAATGGATATAGAGAAAGAGAAAAGAGTGTATCATCAATGTCAGGTTCTGTTTCTCCTATCTTCAACCAAAATCAAAATCAAAATCAATTTACATACTCAGCTGCTGCTAGACAAGGTTTATCATTTGTTTCACCACGTCAACATTCTGATCTGGTATCTGGAACCAATTTTCTTACCTTTAGAAATTATAAGGGAGCAATCTTTACTGTTCCTAAGAATTCAAAATTTTTTGTTATAAAGTCTTATAATATTCTTGATGTTACATCATCTTTTACCCATAATATTTGGACTTCTACTGAATTAGGTAATAGACGTTTAGATAGAGCATTTCATGAATTGAAATCTAATGGAAATTATGAAGCTGAAGGTAAAATATTCTTATTATTTCTGGTCAATTCATCAGGTAAGTTTTGTGGGGTTGCAGAAATGAAAGAAAATATTGATTTCAATAAAAGTAGTGATATTTGGGTTGAACAAACTAGATGGAAAGGAATATTTCCGGTTGAATGGTTATTAATTAAAGATGTTCCAAATAGATACTTTCAACATCTTAAAATTCCATCTAATGAGTATAAACCAGTAACAAATTCTAAAGATACCCAAGAGATTCCATTTGAAGTTGGTATTTCTATGTTAAAGATTATTTGTTCATTTAGAACTAATTCGCAATGAAAAATCAGAAATTATGGTTCACTTTATTTACAAATTAGTTTCAATTTTGCAAATTATTTATAAAATGAGTCTTCTTAACCTTCTCAATGATGAAAATCTAATCAAATAATCTTTTACTGTTTGGGAAGTAATACAAACTCATCTTGATCTATCGCAAATGCCCATTGTATCTAAGCCAGATTCTTCTATTTAGTTAATTTATTTATTATATATTTAATTTGTTATGAGTGCAAAAAAAATATTGTAAACGAGCATCAAGAAAAAAAATTGGTGTGAAATAAAGTGGTGTCATGAAAGTTGTTATAGATAAGTTTCCACGGGATAGATTTCAATTGTCAATTAGCAATACGTTTCTTCTTCACCAGACTCAGTCATGTTAGCAAGATCAACTAAGAGTAGTTTGGTTTTATCCAAAACAAGTGCTTTAGTCAGAAAGTTTAGTACAAGATCAATTGTATCACAAGCTGCCTCAGTTGAAGATTTAGCTAAAGAATACCATGGTGATAATGTTAATTATGGAGAATTATCCAAAGCTCAAAAGGCATTTCTTGATAGGGTTATTCGTGTTGATCAAGCAGGTGAATTAGGGGCCAATTATATATATATGGGTCAATATGCTGTCTTAGCATCTAAATATCCCCATTTGAAACCAATTTTACAACATATGTGGGATCAAGAGATTCATCATCATAATACTTTTAATAAGTTACAGACTCAAAGAAGAGTAAGACCATCGATAATAACTCCATTGTGGAAAGTAGGAGCTGTTGCTCTTGGAGCAGGTACAGCTCTTATTGGTAAAGAAGCTGCCATGGCATGTACTGTTGCTGTTGAAACAGTGATTGGAGGACATTATAATCAACAATTAAGAGTATTAATGAATCAATATGATACCCCAATTTATGACAAGGAAACTGGTGTCAAGTTAACTGAAGACAGTATAAATAAAGATATTGAAACATCTCCAGAAATTGAAGAATTAAAGCATACCATTAAAGAATTCAGAGATGAAGAATTAGAACATTTAGATACTGCTCTTGAACATGATGCTGAAAAGGCGGTTCCTTATATCTTATTAACAGAAGGGATTAAATTAATCTGTAGAGGTGCTATTTGGACAGCTGAAAGAATCTGATAGTTATATACCCTTCAGAACATACTTATGACATCACTCACGACGTTGAAACTGACATCAACACACTTATTCTTATTTATAGATATACCTTTTCTTATAAAATATATGACAACTATTCGTTTTCAACTAAAAACCATAGAATTTCCCATAATAAAAATCTGTATAGATTTTACACGTGATCGAACTTTCGCTATTTTTTTGTGTGCCATATTTATTTTTGATTGTATGTTTACATTTTGAGAACATAAAAATACAGGTTAAAAAATCCTAATATTGTGTTTATCATAACTTAGCAGCATCAAGCTTGGTCATTGCCCTGAAGAAACATGTCTCGTCGAAGTACGATATATAGGACAGGAATACTGACCAATCGTCGGATCAATCAGATCTCACTGCAACTGGATGCGTTCCCATTGTTGGATTCTAAAGAAATAACGATATGTTTACAAAGTTGTGATTTCATAGCATCAGAAGAATTAGTATCAAAACCAACTAGTTTGTTTATTAGGTCGTTGTTTGAACAGTTCCTTGATACATTCATGGGGTTGTCTCCCGATTCAATAGAAAAGAAAGTTAAAAGCTTGGGGAAAACAGGAATACCACCTCCTTCAGATCATAATAATGGTGGTTCATCTCAATTAAATGGGCATACAAGTAATGGTAATGGGATTCATATAGAAGGGGAACAAGGACAAGAAGAACCCAATGAAAATGATGACGATGACACTTCTCCAGCCCTTCACTTGATTGTACTTCATAGAGCTGCATACAAATTTTTACAAGGATGTGGAATATATGATTTAACATTAATGGATATAATCAGACCTGATGCAAGTAAAATAAGAAGAATCTTAAGTGCTGTGGTCAACTTTGCTCGATTTAGAGAACAACATTCTCAAGAATGTGAACAATTAGTGTTGGATAGTGAAGCAAATTTAGAAAATGTACGAAAAGTTCAAAATGAAAATGATAAAATAGTCAATCAAATTCAAGGTATTAAACGAAAAATAGAACAAGATTCAAGTCAACCTGAAAAGAAAGCCACATTAAGTCAAGTCAATTTATTCAATTCCAAGTTAGAAGCAGAATTAAAGAAACTTAAGAAACAACAAGAAATAGTAACCCTCGAACATAAACAGTATAAAGATGAAAAATCACGATTAATTGAGAAGTTAGATGACGTTCAATATTTATATTTTGAATCCTCCAAAGAATTAGAAAGATTTAAAGCATATTCCGAAACTGATTTAAATGTACTTAATAAGATCTTAAATGATTTAAGATTACAATTACAAGAATTACAATCTACATATAATGATTTTGATAAACGAGATCAGAATTTATTAATCACTATTGATTCAATTCAAGTCATTGAAAGTGAATTAAAGAATTTATTCCGAATCCTAGAAGAAATAACGAATGATATTAATAAAGAACGAACTTCATTAGTTAGATTAACTGAAAGTCAAGAATATTTAGAACAATTGAATTTACAAACCAATGATTTATCAAGACAAATACATCAAGTTGAAAGACAGTTGACTAATATGCAAGAGAAAACAGATAAATTAAAAGTCCAAGCTGATGAAAGAGTTACCAAAAGTCAACAACAATTGAGTAAATATCGTGATGATTATACTAAATTGATTGAACAAAGGAATTTAAAAGAAGAAGAATATAATAAAAAGAAAGAATTAATCAGTGAAATTGAAAATAATATCAATAAAAAGAAATCAGAACATCAATTAGAGATTAGGAATACTGAATTAAAAGTTACTAGATTAAATGCTCAAATTAAATTATATTTAGATGAAGTTGGCAAAAAAATATTAAGTTAATTGATAAAGATTAATTATGTATGTATATTAGTGTATTCTATCACCGTGTATAACAAACTATGTATAATATATGTTAAAGTTAAGATTAAATTTATTTTTGAACTTCAATGTTTTCATCATTGGAGGCATGGTTTTGAACTTTTTCATCAAGATCATCAGAAACCACTTCAGCATCTTCTTCTTCTTCTTCTTCTACTGCTTTTATATCTTTTTTATTATCTTTAATATCGTCATGTTTTGGAATCATTTTGTTGGTAGTGAAAATAGCTGCAATTAAACTACAAGCACCACAAGCAATACCTAAATAGAATACATTCTTAATAGCTTTCATGAATGCATCCAATACTAATTCTCTGACAGAATTAGGTAATTCGTTAATAAGACTTGGAGATGATAATAAATCACCTGGATTAATTGAACTTAAAGCTTGGAAATCAGATGAACTAGTATCTAATTGAGCCAATAATTCATTAATATAACGAGATCCACTAGTTCTAAAGATTAATTGAGCAATAGTAACTGAAATAGCAGCTCCTGATGATCTAACGAAATTTAAGAAAATAGTAGTTAAAATAATTGACCCTTCAACATCCTTTGGAGCTTCTAATTGACTTGATAACATTGAACTTTGGAATTGTAAACCAATTGAAATACCATTAAGAATCAATAAACCAACTCTTAAACCAACTGATGAATTCTTACCTAATAATAATAATAAAGAACAACTAAGTGGAGATAATATACCAGATATAATCATAGTTATTTTGACTCTTCTAGTTAATCTAATAAACATACCATTTGTAACTGATGATAAAGCAACAGAAATAACTAAGGGGATTAAATCAACCCCTGATCTCCAAGCAGTAGCATTAAAGATAACTTGGAAATAAATAGCCAAATACATAATATTTGCCATAAAGTAAGAAAATGTAAATGTACCACAAAGAACAGCGGCTAAAATCTTACCATTAGAAACGATTTTATAAATGATGATTGGATTTTTAGAAAGTTTAAAGTTGTAGTAACAGAAGGCAATTAACGTTACACCACCAATAATAAAACAACATATAACAGCAGCTGATTTCCAAGGGAAATCAACACCACCAAAGGTTAAACCTAATAAAAGTAACACTAAACCAACTGTCATTAAAAATGTACCGGTATAATCGATTTTAGTTAATTTTTGACGTAAGTTACCGGTTGGTTTTGGAGGATTGAAACCAAAGAATAATAAAGTTAAAGCTAAACCACCAATTGGTAAATTGATATAGAAACACCATCTCCAACTGACTTTAGTAGCAAAGGCACCACCAATGAATGGACCTAACACAGAAGCAGCTGAGAATGTTACTCCTAATAAGATGAATGAAAGAGATCTTCTTGAGATTGGAACTGATTCGGTAAGAATGACAATAACCATAGATTGAACACAACCACCACCAATACCTTGAATAACTCTACCTCCGATTAACATATCCATTGATCTTGATAAACCCGAGATCAATGAACCAAGTTCAAAGATGACAATACCTACCATAAGAGTATACTTTCTACCGAAAGCAATAGAAACTTTACCATAAGATGGAGCTAAAGTAGCCATTGGTAATAAGAAACCAGAAGTTAACCAACCAATCTTTTCAAATTCTTTGAATTTATTACCCACTTGAGTTAAGATGGTAGACACAATAGTTTGATCTAAAGCCACTAAGAATAAACTGGCAACACAACTGATTAAAGTTACTACCAATCTTATACCAGTGACATATTGATCACTTGCTTTAGTACCATCCCCAGCATTACTTTCGAAATATTTTTCCTCTTTCTTTACTGGTTCTTCATAGTCTTTCAGACTATTGGCCACTACTACATTATCATTAGATAACTCGGTAGAGCTAGTTGATTTCGGTGATTTTGACATGATAGATGATTATTTATGGTGATATGCGATGTGAAAAATGATAATGCAATTGGTATCTTGGATTGACTTGATATGAATCTCTAAAACTCTATAGTGTCTATGGATGAATGTAAGTTATAACGTAATACGAATCCCTGCCTTAGCTCTTCGTTATATCTGTTGAATCAAGTTTGTTATAAATAGCTGTCAAACCGGAAAAAGAACTTCTGGAAAATATGAAAAATTACCGATGATCTTGAACTAGGGAAACTTCAATGATTATCAAGGATAAATTTGAAACTCAACAATGATAATGAAGACACTGTAATTATATCTTGTTCAAAGGATCAATATCGAACTTCTGAACTAACAGTCGTTTCAATTTTTTTAGAAATGTCTCCTCTTCTCTTTATATGTGATATTTAAATTTATTTATACCAAATGGGTAATTATCTCCGCTGTGTCTTACTAATAAGCATTTGTTACGAAAAAAAAATAATTAAAATTTTTTGTCTGTTTTTCGTCATCGGAAGCGGACCGGCCACAGATATTTATCTGATGCGAGATCCGGTCTTTTTTGTCTGATTTAAAGTTTTGCAGCTAGATTTAAATAGGTTATAAATTAATTTATATTACATTATTATAGAAGATATACATAGTCCGCATGTCGGACTCTACATAGATATATATATATATATATAACGAAAGGCCTCTTATTGGATAAATTATTCTACTCTTATACTGGAGGTCCCTTTTTTAAGAATTCTAAGAAATCAATTTCATCATCATCTCCAATATCATCATCTTCATTGGGTGATGGTTTATCAAGGAAATAATCAAGATTAGAAGTAGATGAAATTGATGTACCACTATTGGTATTGCCATTTCCATTTGGAATTGAAACTGATTGATGTGAGGTTGATTTTCTATTGGAGAATGGAGATCCTGAAGCAGTTGAAGTTGAAGAATTCTTCTTAACTTCTCCATTACCAGATTTACTTGATTTATTAGTAGATGATATCACACTTGGTTTTCGACCATTACTAATCGATTCTCTTTGTAAATAATTCAAATCGGCCTCATGAGGATGTAAATTGATCGATCTCTTCTTCAAAGTAGTATTATTAACACTAAGATTGTTATTGTTATTATTATTATTATTATTATTATTATTATTATTATTATTATTATTGTCCTTATTGGCATCAAAATTTAAGGTGAAATTACCTAATGAACTAGTGAATTCTGATTCACCAAGATCTCCACTTAAAATATTGGAATAATCATGAGGCTTTTTATTGGTAATGCCCGCATTACCATTACTATTACTATTGTCTCTATTGAATGGATTGCCATTGATACTATTATGACCATTGAAATTACTATTATATGAACCACTCCGAGGGGTTTGTCTAAAGCTATTATTACTATGACTGTTGTTGTTGTTGTTAAGATTGTTATTATGGTTCTCATTGATAGTCTTGATTTTTTTGGTGATATAATTGGTTTGAAATTTATCTATATTTTCTTCAGTTGGTAATTGAAAGAAAGGTAATCCTAACCAATTTAATACATGTCTCCAAGTAGGGAATTCTCGATCAGATGCCATACTTGCACTTAAAGAATTCTTTGCTAATTTTGAACTTGTAGTAATTGATTCATCTGTACCATAAAAGAATTTTTCTTGATTTAAATTTAAAAAATTATCTAATTTTGATTTATGTTCCTTTTCAAAATTCTTCATAATAGTATATTGCCAAGGACGTTCACGATAAAAGAATACTAATGTATCAACAAACCCATTAAATGGTTGCATGAATGCTCCCATACAATTGATCCAATAAATAGGTCCATGATGTTCTTCATAATTGACTTGAGTGACTTGTAAGATGAAGGGGAATACCCATACGAAAATATATGCAAATGGATAAATGAAAATTGATTTCATTTGTTTTTCAATTATACGTTGTCTTTTTCTAAAATTTGCTAGATTGGCAGCATGGATTTCAGGATCAACTAAATTTTCTTGATCATTGGAATGTATTTGGGTGGCAGTTGGCAATCGACGTAAATCAACATCATCTTCATCATCGTCTTCCTCATCATCTATTTCATTATCTTCTTCAGAAGCGTCAGGTTTATTATTGACATTTAAACGATTACCAGCGTTCAATTCTGATCCGTTCAAAACTTCAACATTTTCATTATTATCTCCATCTTGACTTGATCTATCAGGTAAAGTCAATTTCACGAAACAACGATCCCTTAAATTTATTAAGAAATATTGAATAGAAGACCAGAATCCTAATTTATCACCATTGCTTATATTAGGATGAAGATTATGACCTTTTGAATTATGAATAGTAGTGAATACCCCACCTAAAGTTCTAAATTCTTTAATAACATGATAATAAATCAATCCATAAAATGTAAAGATAATAATCACTATACAATATCTTGGAACCCAACTTAATACAAATCTATACCATAATGGTCTTTCAGGTAAATAACACCAACAAACCAATGATACATAACCTGTTCCATTGACAAATGCTAAACTTGCCAATATAACAGGGATCAAGATTGATAATCCGTAGACGTAAAATCTGAATTTATATAAACCACCTTCATTTCTAGATGAATTTTTAACTCTGGTGGTTAAATTTGGTTTAAAGATTAATAAATAAGTATGAACTGCGAATGATAAGATAGCAATATCAGCTCCTTCAATAGCGGTGGCGGTAAAGAATCCCACAACTTGACAAAACCTATCATTGTAATAAGATGAAGAATGAGTTAAAACACGTGTAGGATATAATAATAAGATGATAGCTTTGATTAAATCAAAGAATAATAAAAAGAAGATTAATTGATGACGGAATATAAGTCTTTTAGGATCAATACTGAGAAACATATACATTCCACATACACATAACAGAATTGAAGCACATGATGAACTAGTGGCTAATACTCTTTGAACTAAAGCTTGACGATCAGTGAATTCGTCAATTTGATTATGGACATCGATCAACGATCGTGGTGAAAGATAATTTGATGCCACTGAGTATAGTAATTTAGGGATGAGTTTATGAATAGATGATGCTGGTGATGAAGTTGAATGAGAATTTAAATTTGAATTAGATAGTACGGTTGACGCTGAAGGTACCAGCAGTAGTAGTAGGGAAACCAAAGTTGGTGTCACTGATGATGTTGATAGTACCATGTTAAACTATGTGAAGTTATTATCTTGTTGAATGATAATATACTAGTATGGTTTGGTTTTGGGTTGGGATTGTATTTGTGTTATATATAGAATACCATGAATGGTAGTGCTGAGATTACAATGTATGGAAAGGGTAATGTAGTTGATGTAAAGTAGTAGATTGAACTACGTAGATAAGTTATGAATGGGTATAACGTCTAACAAATGAAATAGTGATATGATATTTATGTATATATTTAACCAACCTCTGTTTGGTGAATGATGTAGATTTATTGTTATTTTTGGGACAGGTTGTGAAATAATTAGGAATAGGAAGTGGGACGTGTGGGCGACTGTAAATGAATAGACGTATTACACCAACCAATACCTAGCTTGAATCTTATAACTATGACTTTAGATAAAAAGAAACGAAACGTCAAACAATATTGTTGAAAATTGAAATGAAATTTTAAATTAGGATTTATTTATTTATGTATGTTTGTCTCCTTCTCTCCCTTCCCTATAGTGTAATAAATAATTATCAGTTTATTATGAGTGAGAGAAGAAAAAAAAAAGATTGAAGGAAAATGTCGTATGGCATGGGAAGAACAAAAAGATAAAGTGTTTAATGTCGCATCTTCTTTATAATTGTTCAGCCATTTATGGGTGATCAATTTGTAACAAATGGATGTATACCAAGGCAATGAATTTCTTAGGGTTTTCACCGATTAACATTAACGTTAACGTTAATGTTAGGTACATACAGTTACTTACTTATAAAGTTATCGAAATATACATAATAAATAGTCTTAGAGAAAATCTTCCAAGAAAAAACTCCCAACACGAAGAAAGAAATAGAAAACTGGTTACTTTGTTAACAAAGAGAAGTAGCTCAAGTAACGAGAGAAATGTCGTGAGATATATTTATTATTAGTTATGGTTATTAATCAGTGGCTTGAGGTGGTATCATGCATTGTAGTAAAGATCTTAATTGTGGATTATAAACAAGTCATTTATATTGATAATGTGGGTGGATGGCTATAGCTTATAGTTCATTTTACGTATCTGCGTCATCTCAAATTTACTGGATGCGTATTTTGTGCAACCAAATTTTTGATTTTTTTTCCACGTCGGCTTTTCCCTCGCGGTGATCACCGTTAACTCTCTCTTTAGTGACTATAATTGTAGATGAACAAGAGTATCAATTGATGATGATGAAATCAACGATCATGATGGAGTGAAAGGAATTGTTCGGATATATTCAATACCCCTTTAACCCCATCCCTAACACTTTATAATTACTATAATTATATTCCAAGACAGTTCCTGATCTTCCACAGAATGGTCACGAATGGTCTTTTGTGATCCATCTAATTTAGTGTATTAACCACTCCACATTATGAATGACTTTTAAATTTGATTCTGAGCTATATTACTTTCTTTCTTTCTTTCTTTCTTTCTTTCTTTCTTTCTCGGCATTATAGCGGATGATTCTTTGTTTCTAACCCTTTACCTCTTTTCTTATGTCGGTAATTTCTTGTACCGTTGACCAATTACTACAAATACTTATTAACCAATTTTTTAAACACATTTTTATATTATTAGTTGATATATAAAAGGTATAACTATATATATAATACAATAGATATTAGATTAGAAACATGAAAAAATTAATACTTTTAATATTATATAAAATGACGACATAAAGATTTAATGATAAACCGAAAATAAATTAAATAAAGTTCTAATAAACTTATAATAAAAGAGCAGCAGCGGCAATTAAAGCAGCACCATTAGCAACGTTTCTAGCAGCACCACCTTGGTATTCAGAAGTGATAGAAGCAGCAGATGAAGTAGCTGGAGCAGCACTAGTTGAAGTAGAGTTGGTGTAGAAAGTTTCAATGGTTGAAGAAGCTGGTTCAACAGTAGTAACAGTGGAAGTTGGAGCTGGAGCTGGAGCTTCAGAAGTGGTTTCAGTGGTGGTTGGTTCTGGAGCTGGAGCTTCAGAAGAAGTTTCTGGAGCAGCAGTAGTGGTTTCTTGTTCAGTGGTATCAGCTGGACCGGTAACATCACCAGCGAAAATTTGAACTTGGGTACATCCTGATCTTTGGAAGTTATATAAAGTATAACCAGTATCAGCTGGACAAGCCCAGAAGTTAGTGTTACCAGTACCAACATTGAATCTTAATTGATTGTTGTTAATTAAACCCCAATCTTTAGAAGCAGTACCAGTAGAACCAGTTAAAACAATACCATTTTCAGAGTTGGTAACGTATTGAGTAGCAGAAACTGAAAGGTAACCTGATGGTTCATTTAAAGTGAAAGTACCAACTTGACCATTGTTTAAAGTGACAGCAGAATCAGTGAAAGTAACTGGAGTGTTGATACCATTACCTTGAGCAGTTAATTGGAAGGTTTGGTCAGCAACGACAACGTAAGCTGAGATGACTAAGAAAGTGAAAGTGTTAAATAATTGCATAGCGAATGTGTGTGTAATATGAGTTTGTTGTTATGAGTAGTTGTTATTAATGAAGTATTAATGATGATATAAAAAAGAATATAAAAACTGAAAACCAGAACCAATATAGGATATTTACACCTCTATTTATATTAAAAATAAAATCATTATTTGCAACTATCATCCATGCTTAAATTTCCCAAAGCCCATGCGGATTAAACGAAAAGGTACAAACCAAATAATATTATTTTCTCCCCTAAATTAAAGTTTCCTGTGCTGGAACAATACCTACATTAGCTGATCATTAGCTTAATTTTCTAAATATAGCAAATTGTACTATATTATTGTTAATATTATTTTTGGGTAATTTTAAACTTTGACATGATGATGATATAAGACAAGAAAAAAAGCAACGAAAGACGCAAAAAACTAAAAGCAAAAAAAAAAGAAATTTATTATTTTTTTAAAAGCGAATATTACATGACTCAATTAGGAAATCCGTCGAAGGTGAGATTTATGGGGGTTGCATAAAAATAAAATAATTATTTAATGCCAAAACCTATACGTGAAAGATGAACAAGATGAGGTTTGATGAACATTATGGTAACATCATGGTATGGTATTAATTATGTAGGTTCATTTAGCTTCTTTCTTTTATCTCATATCGATATGATTTACTTTTTAAGTTCGTTTCTGATATGGCTGGATAACTAATTGGTAACTGATCATGTTTTTATTTTTTTTTTCTTAGCTAATTTAACCGTAACCATAACCAGGAGTACCAAATTTCGTCAAACCATTTTCTTGGTTAACTGCTAAAAATAACTACCATTTATATGGGTTCTTGGTACTTTCCCCTTTTTTTAAACCACTTTAACGTTCACAACCAGGATGTTGAATGACGTTTATAATTGGTTTTGTTTTGATTTTCAACTTTATGTTCTAAATACAGAAAAAGTAGAGCAATTATCAACAATGAACTGGACAAGAGTTTAAGTTAAGTTAAGTTAAAATTGAAATCTACTAAAATATTACTGGGTTTGAAAAGAATTCTACCTAGAAACAGTTCTTTATACCCAGCCATCATTGTATTATCCAGGATGTTCGTAAAACGTGGATAATAACCTATTATTATTAAGAAGTATATTATATTATTTTAAGAGATTGACACAATGAATGGAATAATATAATTGTAACCTAATAGAAAGTGTAACTAAACAACACATTAAGAATGTTTGTAAGTCAGAAAATAACTTAAAATTTGGGTATTAGAATATTTTTCAAAGAAAAGACCAAATTTGGATTTTAAAACAAATAATGCAATAGTTAATAAGATGCATTAAAAATCATGCCAACTCACAATGAAAAAATATAGCTACGGCTATGAAAGAATGAGATGGAACGGCAAAGAATGGCGATGAATTAGTGATACAGGGGATACAACTTGCAGATGGCGCACTAATTCGTTATGTTTTTTCTCAGTCATTATTTAATTTTTCACTTACGCACAAGGTCATTTAGGGGGAGCAGCACCTGTAGGACCACCGATTTCTCCCTAAAAACAATCTTGCAATTTTGTACTTCCTTCTATGTTCTACGTAGCTAATTTTTCATATTTTAGTGACCGATAAATCGTTTGGAGTTTTTCCAGTGACGTATAGATTATAGATTGTCAAGTCAATATATGGCAGAATTATCCGAAGTACTCTATCATGATTCCCCATAACAGACCCCGATAGCGTTTTATAAGACTTCTAAATGATTCTTTTTCCAATTTGATCTACTACATACATAAAACTTTTCATCATCTCATCTCGCACATTTTTCAATAAATTTGAAATGTGGTTGTTGTGGTGGTAGTGATGGGTTGTGGAGGTGGTCGAATCGCAAATCTATTGTATGCATTTTAGGGAGGGACCCTTTTTTCTTTTCATCTCTTCTCATTTTCTCCTCTCTCCCACGTTTAATTACCAGCACTACCACCACCACCAATGTTTTTTTCTTACCCACTCACTCACTAATTAATATTCACATATTTCCTTGTCACTAAAAAATATTAAACATCTTGAAAGCGCATTGAATAAGCTTTTTGCAGACTTACATTGTGCTGGATATATTGTTTGTAATAGGGCCGTATGTAGAACACAAACCATCGAAAACTTTATACTTTTCTACAAATAGAAGATTAAGTACCCCATTAGGTTTCCTAAAACGTGAACCTTAGTTCCAATCTTATCCAAACTGAAATTTTGAGCTATATGTATATTGTTGATATTTCATACATATGTGGATACGTATGTATGTATGTATGTATGTAATGTAGGTGATTAAACCCTAAATAGTTTGATAAAACAATCATAATCGTCGTAAATGGAAGTGGAAATGTGGACCATACTCATGTATGTGCAAAGGACAAGATTCGAAAACTAAGGCGGTTTCAATTCATACTCAATTGTACGAATATATAACTGGTTTGAAGTATGCATTACCACATTAAATAATCAAATTGTTCATAACTCTCTTTCGTAATAATGTAATTGAATCATAACTAAAATAACCATCACCACCATCACCACACAAACTGACCTATGCTCTTCACACATACAGAATTGATAACATGGAACGATAAGCGTATTGACAATCTAATGAGGATTAGAGTACAAAACTTTAATTCTGAAAAACCAGCAAAAATTCAATGTTTCAAAAGAGAAGGGGAAATCCTTTACCCCTTTCAATTACGATGGCTAGAATTGAATTGAATTGAATAGAATGGGGAAATCAAATTGTGACCTTCTCATTCTTTACTTTTACAGGGTTTTAAAACTTACAAATTGGAGAACTCACTTATTATTAGTTACTAAAATGAAAATATTATTAAATTAATTAAAGAATTATGAACTAGAATAAAAAAACAAATGAAATCAAATATTATTATATAAAATCATTAAACTTGAAATAAATAGATAAATAACATAAAAATAAATTAAAAATTAAAACTCAGTTAGTTAAATAAAAATTTCGAAAAAAGGGTGAAACAACCTAAGAATAAGGTAAAAAACACACTCAAACCTAAATGGATTTAGATAAAAAAAAAAAAGCTCTCTCTAGAATTGACAATATACACAAGTGACAGAACTATTCACAATTATCGATGGATGGATGATGGGGGGATTTTGAAAAATTATTAAATCGAATTGAGGGTGTGCGTTTGTTTGTGTGTGATATTGCTTGATTTATAAATTGTAAGATATTTTATTAAATGAGCATATTATGTTATTAGTTGTAATATTAGTTATTATTATTATTATTATTATTATTATTATTATTATGATTGTTGTTTTTATTAGTTATTATTAATATTATGGAGGAAAAAGGATGGGATAGGATAGGAAGATCGAATTAACGAAATATTTTCTTTGTATATACACTTTATTATTATGGTTTCATTAACTCATGAATTTAACGATTCTTTTTTGTAGATGTAATTGGAGGAATTGAGGCAGTTGTATCTAATTCATCTAATGAAGTAGTTGAAGTTGCAGAACTAATTTGACGAACATGATCATCTTCAAATACAGATGGAGTGGCACTATTTTCTAAAGATGAATTATCTTCGTGAACAATTTCTTCATGTTTATCATCATCTTCTTCATCATCTTCTTCATTATGAGCAGGTAAATTCAATGAACTTCCATGAGCCATGGTTCCAAGATAACTTCTTGAAGATTGTCTTGATCTTGGAATTGCCATTGATGACATTTCAAATTCTTCAGCTTGTTGTTGAGATTGAAGAGTAGGTGGTACTATAGATGGTTGTTGTTGTAAATATGGATAATTCACAAATCTTGTAACATTATCATCAAATTGAGATTGAGAAGATGATTGCATTTCAATATCATTTGGAATATTAATATAATTCGATGATAATGGATCAATTAATGCCACATTTATTTTAGAAACTTCCAGATAAGACCAACGACAAAATTTATTAGCATCAACAATTGGTAAATGATTATATTTAGTATATTCAAATACAATTAAACTTAATATAGCACCACCAATTAAATCAATAAAATAATGATGAGTTAAATACATAGTACTCCACCAAAGATAAGTACCATAACTCCACCAAACATATTTATATTTTGGAAATAACCAACATAAAAAGAATACATCCATTATAGCACAACCAGAATGTAATGAAGGGAAAGCACCAAAAATAACGGGAGAAGTTGAAAAAGCAGTGGTATACATATCGAAACCTAATAATTCATCAATTCTACCTAAACCACCTGGAGAACCTTTCATAGTATAATTAGCTGGTTGTAAATCATATAAATTTTTATACCAAGGAGCAGCAGCTGGAAATAAAATTTGAGTTAAAACTCCTAATAAATTCATATAACCAAAGGCAAATCCAAAAGATCTTAAAGAAGTTGGAGGAGCAAATAAAAAGATAAAGATAGCCACTACGAATGGAGCACTGAAATGTAAAATCCCATAAGGTAACCAAGCTAAGATATCTAAAAGTGGAGTTGTAATAGTTGCCAAAACATTTGATAAATTATCCCCATAAAGGATAGTTTCCATAGCTGGTAACACTTTAACAGATATAGCAGGTTTCCATTCGGTAGGGATTTTTCCGGCACTAAAGAATAAAGCTAACCAAGTAAAGATTGGTAAAGCATGAACAAAGAATTGAGAAGTTAAAGGAATTAAGAAACATAGTATGAATGAAGCTAAGATAGGGATTTTAGTAAGGAAAGATGCTGGGAATATTATAAATACAAATAAAATGATGGAAGATAAGAAACCATAATGACAAACTTCTTTTATGGTCCAAGTATGATTTTTAAATTTATTTATGGAGATGGAAATATTAGTATCAAATTGTAAATCAGATAAAGTTGAATTAGGGGATTTTTCTAATAAGAAATAATAATGAAATAGTTGATAAGGTTTTTGAATTATTCTTGATCTTAGAATGGTTGAAGTAATACCCATGATGAATGATTGATTGATTGATTATTAGTTTGATATAAGGTTTGAATCAATAATGAATATGAGGGAAAGAATAATGAATATGCGAGGTAAAAGTGTGGAAATGGATAGATCAGACTTTGATTTGAGAGGGACAGATAACAATAAAAGTTATGGATGCAAAGAGGAGAGTGGTTGATTGATTTGTTAGATTAAGATGAGATCGATCCTGTTGAAATGATCAAATGAATAAGAACAGTTGATGATGGAGGGTTGGATGATTAGTGTTGATGATGTTGAATTATCACTTGGTTTATTTTTGTTTTTCTTTTGTTTGCTAAAAGAGATATTCTGCTTGAGTGAGACGCTGCGTTGCTGCGGATGGATGGGAGGCGAGGTGATGATGATGGTAGTAAGCAGTAGGATGGATAGTTTAGTTATTATCTAATCTAATCTAAATGGTGATACTTAAAATGAAATGAAAGTGATGAATGAATGAATTTAACTTAAAAGGAATGAGATTAATTGAATGAATGATGAATTATAAAAATTTGAATTTTGAAGTTTTTTGAAAATAGAGATGTTTGGTCTTTGCCCTTTACAGAGTGTGTGTCACTGTAGTTAACTGAAGAAAGAAAGAAAGAACGAAAAAAAAAAAAAAAATAAGTGTGATGTAAAAAATAAGACTTTTACTCCTATTTTTATGGCTTATGTATTGGGGTATGGATGTATGTGTTGGATCCCTTTCTCTTTTGTCTTTTTTTGCGTCTTTAAAAGAGTCTTGACTACTGATGTTAAACAGACAATGATGATGATGATTTATGATGACTTCAGAGATGATGATTACGGCTGTATATTTATTTATTCTACTTTTTACTACTTATTTCTTCCATTTATAACTGAAGAATGATACTAATGATGATGACTGATGAATGATGAATGATGATGACTTCTTACTTTAAATTTCTTTTTTTTTTTGTTGCTTCTTTTTTCTCTGGAGTTATTAATTCCGACAGCCGGACAAAAAACATTCGAAATTTTTTTAATTGCCGATGTATCCATCTCTAGACTATTCACTATAGTATACAATAGATATTGACATGTCTTCATTCACAACTGTACTTGCCGACCGACAATCGAAATGACCTTAAACTTAACTAACAACTATTATCAATTTTTACATAATTACCCTTATTTTAATTAACTTTACTATTAACTATGTTACCGTTTATCATTTAATCAGATGATGTAAACCACGTGACTAACTGATCACGTTCTTGTTTCATAATGTAACCCGCAAGTTCACTGTCCGATGTCGTATATACAGGAATCATTGTATAATATAGAGTGTACACTGTGGTATCGACTATCAATTTTCAGTTGCCATTACTGATCAAACATAGAACACGTCTCCCCCCTTCAATTGACTTGACAATAAACTTTCTCCCAATCTAATCTATTCTAATCCTTAACCATGCCAGTGGAAGAAACTGATACTCAAGTCATTGTCACTTTACCTTCTGATCCAACTACTAAAGTTACCATTTTAAAATATGGTGGTACTGTTATTTCTTGGTTAAATAAAGGTAATGAACAATTATGGGTTAGTGAAGGAGCATTTTTAGATGGTTCTAAACCAGTTAGAGGAGGTATTCCATTGGTTTTCCCTATCTTTGGTAAACAAAAAGATGAATCTCATCCCACTTATCCTTTACCTCAACATGGATTTGTTAGAAATTCAACTTGGGAATTTTTAGGTCAAACTACTGCTAATCCTCCTACTGTTCAATTTGGTTTAGGACCTGAACAAATTAATTCAGATTTATTAAAATTATGGGATAATGGTTCAAATGATTTTACTTTAATCTTAACTGTTAAATTAGAAGCTGAAAAATTAACAACTGAAATTGAAGTTGAAAATACAGGTTCAAAGAAATTCGAATTTAATTGGTTATTCCATACTTATTTTAAAATCCCTGATATTACCGATACTTTAATCAATAATTTAATTGATCAAAAATGTTATGATCAATTATTAAAAGAACATTATACTGAAAAATCTCCTATTATCAGTTTTCATGAAGAATTTGATCGTATTTATCAATCAATCCCATTGGATAAAATCTTTCAAATCATTGAATTCGGTAAAGTCCTCATTAACGTTCGTAGATTGAATTTACCTGATGCAGTAGTTTGGAATCCTTGGATTAAAAAATCAGAAGCTACAGCTGATTTTTTCCCAAAAACAGGTTATCTTAATATGGTTTGTGTTGAACCTGGTAATGTTTCTTCATTTATAAATTTAAATGCTGGTGAAAAATGGAAAGGTGGTCAAGAATTAAGTATTGGTGGTGAAATTAAAGTTCAAACTAACATTTATTAAATCGAAACATTTTCTGTTTTCTCTATATAAATCTATATAAACAAATATAAACTTTTTAATCCATATTCTTTAATGAAATTGTTGTTTAAATCGAGCAAATTTACTTAGGGACTTTTGTGATGAATTAATATTAGTTTTATTATCAGGTAAGGATTTTTGCGATGATGATATAGTTGGTTTATTATATAATGAAAATGGTTGGGGAATCGTTACTTTCAGATTTGGATTAATTTTATAATGTGATGGTTCATTAATTTTGCTAGATTTCGATAAGATTTTATCATGAGTTGTAGTGGTGGTTGACACTGATGATATTGATCGATTTGAATAACTTCGACTTGGAGATGTCATTCGTGAATCATTATGAGATGTTATATGTGCTGCAGGTTGTAATTGTGGTATAGAAGATTTCCTTTGTAAAGTAGGTATGGATGGTTTATGTTGTAAAGTTGGTATGGATGGTTTATTATGCAATTGTGGAATAGAAGGTTTATGTTGTAATTGTGGAATGGAAGGTTTCTTTTGTAATTGTGGGATTGATGATTTTCTTTGTAATTGAGGAATTGATGGTTTCTTAGTTAATGTAACATTACTATTAATACTTGAATTTGATGCTTTCTTTTGTAATTGAGGTATCGAACTCTTCTTATGTAAAGTTTGACTTGAAACATTACCAACCCCTGCCATTTGTAATGAACTTGGTCGTAATTTATTACTAGGTGGAAATGGTTTTAAAAATTTATCTTTATTAGGTGAACCATTCAACATATCAACTTCACTTGGTTCTTCATCTCCAGTTAATAATGCATTTAAATTCATGAATTTCTTAGATGGAGAAATCTTTCGTAATGGACTACTTTTATTATCAGTATTATTGTTATCTTTAGTTGTATTGTGTAAGGTTGGTATAGTGGAAGATGTCATGGTTAAATTTGGTTTATGTATTAGTTTTTCTTTTGGTAATTGATCTGATTGATTGGATGATTCAGGTGACAATTGAAATGTAGGTATATATCTTAACACTTCATCAGGACCATTTAATGTTCTTCTTCTTTTCACACTAGCTTCTTGATCTCCATCAACCATTCCGATCTGCTTTTCCGGAGATACATTATTATCGATATTATGGACAATATTTACATCACCATCTTCATTAACCGTATTAGTCTTTACTGAATAATGACTCGATATAGATTCCATACCATTATACAATCCCCGATGAATTCCACTATATCTCTTTTTCCGATTTGAATTAAGTTTAGCTGAATTTTTTATAGTATTAGAAGATGTAGTAGGAGGAGATTTAAGCATCATTGAAGATGATAATTGATTAGCTCGATTATTCAATTCCATCAACACGTTATTAGTAAGTTTTTGAGAATATCCTTTATTAGTCATGATTGAACTAACATTATGATTATTGGTATTGAAATCTATCGGAGTTGATTTAACTATGATATCATTTAAAGTAGGATAAACAGGAGATGAATTTAATATAGGAGATGAAGGGGATTGGAAGGGGGAATTTAAACTTAATTGATTAATCTTTTTTATGGGAGTATTCAATGATATGTGATTATTATTATTAGTATAGCTATTGTTGTGATAGTTTCTTGGAGGAGACGATGATTGCCTCATTTCAAAATCCATGATGATTGATTATGAGTAGATCTAGTTGTAGATGAAGTTAATTGAATAACTCCTTGATATATGGTTTAAAGGAATGGATGAAGTGAGTTTTCACTATCAAATGGTTTTTTTTGATTTGATATATTCGTTTATTATTGTATCCTTTAAAGAAAAAATTGAAAGTGTGTATATATCCATCTTTAATCGTATTCTTTCATTTTTTTTGTCCCTGTTCAAAGTCCCAATTAGGTCAATATGTAAATAATTGTTATATCCAGTATATTGTAAAAAAACAAGATCAGGTGCAATTTGTCAGGTGACTATTTTTGTCTGAATTGTTTTGAGACAAGACCGTTTCTCGCTAAAGATATCATTTAAAAAAAATTAAAATTAAATTCAAAAGATTTTTTTTATCAGAGGTTGCACCCGAAATCATCCATATGGAAGGGAATGCCTGTATATAAACTAGAATAAAAAAAAAATGGGTTTGGTGTTAGCCTCACTATTCGTTATTGATGGCAAATAAATTCTCCGAGATTAATCATTTTCAATGCTTAATTATTTCTCCTATGTATGTTAATAAAATGTTACCCATTAATTATTTTTTCTTCATACTTAATTTAGGGCATCGATTCTCCGAGGTGAACTTAAACAATGTTACCTTGCTAATTAGTAGTAGCGTTATTTCGAATGGGGTTAAATCTAAAGGTTATTCTATTCTATTCCGAAGAATCTATCTACAAATAGAAACTAACCATCAATGTCATGTGCTTTTCTAGTTATAATAATCTTCTACCGTTGCTATAATGAAATTTAACTTTAACTAGAGCTTGTAATTCACAGGTTTAAACGCCATGGTTTGACATCACGAGAGAAAGAAATACAAGGTTAAAAGTGTAACAACCAAATTTGGAAATCAGAAATGATTGTGGCCCGGGGGAAAGGATAGACCTGTATGTAAGAAGTCCGTCAAATTTCTAAACACCTTTCTTAAATCAGGATTTTTGTTTTTGGTTAGTCTTGAACCCCTCTCTTAAATATACTCCGAAATCTTTGACTTATAGCCAGACTAAAATAAATATGAAAGCTCCAAAAAAAAAAAAAAGAATTTAAGTCGACTGTTATAATGAGCTGAAATGTTCAAGCAAGGTGAATGTAAGGTCTATACGAAAATTTATCGATTCATCGTTCCTTTATGGGATGTTTCTCTTAAGTTATAAACGACGTTAATAAATTGTAGTAATAGTAATGATAATTAATCTTATCAATGGCAAAATTATAAGTCATCTCATTCTATGATAGACATGATGATTCACAAAAAGTTATAACAGTAAAGAAGAGGTGGGGAGTGACTAAAAAAGAAAAAAAAAAGATTGTGGAGGAGGGGAGTGAAAGAAGGAAAACCAAAACTGCCAAACCAAAATAAAAATATTGAAAAAAAAAAAAAAAAAGAAACGTAACTGTGTAGGTAAGACAACAAGAATTATTAATTGAGTTGGAGTAATTATGATGATGAAATGATAACCCATGAATTCCATTACAACTGTTTAAAATCCATGTATTAAGGATATATGCAAATGTGGAGATGTCAATCAAGAAGAATATGCTGTTTAGTAGTCCTAGGCTGCTTAATCTAAGCCTAGGACTTTTACCGCGGATTCAAATGTCCGAATTAATGGGCCTTTTTTCGGACTACGATAAATGCAAAAAAAAAAATCAAAACAGTTAGCTAAAATCAACAGTACTTGGAAGATAGTTTTCGGAGTAGAGGAAGATACTTGTGACAAAGATGAATATGATATTTTGTAAACCTTAATGAATAGATAAACATCTGAAGTTTAAAATAAAGTAAACAAAGAAGTTTAAAAAGGACAATATAAGACTGGATAGTTTTGAAATGAGGAGAGGATACCTGTGAAAATGTAAATGAGAAACGAAAATCCAAACCGTAGAGGGAAACAAAAGCAAAAAAGCCAAAAAAAGTATTCAGAAAATTGCGATTACGATACCCCCTCATAATACAACCTATGAGTAAATAGTTTTTCGTTATTGGTTAAAATTTCATATTTCTTTTCAAATTGTAATTCAATGATGAAATCGCAAAGAGGAGTAAAGTAAAATGGCGTAACTTTTGTATAAAAGCAGGTAAAATATTAAAGTGGGGAGAAGTATTACGTAAATGGTGATGGTTTTTACTGAGTCACTGAGATTGAGGTAAAAAAAAAATCATTCTAGACCTTAACGGCTATTCCCAGGGAGAGATGGAGAGCGAGGGAGGGAGGAGAAAAAAAACAAATAGCGACTCAAATTACCATTTACCCAGTAAAATTTTAAGTAAAGTTATTTTTAAAGGCTAAAAAAAAAGAAATTTTGAAGATGATGGAAAAAACTCAAAAAAAAGAGGGGATGTTCTATACAGGAGGGATTCTTTTAACCATCTAAGAGAGTATAAACTGCAACCAAAAATAAAAATAAGTTGCGTAGTCTGATGGTATACAAATGATAAAGGAAGTGGAAATGATTGAAGTTGTAAAGATAACAATTTGAGTTAATAATGTAAAGTTTGGTCCAGACTTACCTCTCATCCAAGAAATCAAGAACAACCGCTGTAACTAAATTTAGAGCTTATCATATTTAAAAACATTCTTTACAGTTAACAAAACGAAACCCCGCTAAGCATTACCATTAGTAGAATTACAAATTAAATTGAAATCATTTTATTTGAGTGAAAATAACTCGGTTCAATTTACTTTTGCTTAGCCCTGCTTAACAAAAAGTCATACAATAAATTAATAGTATAGTCTGATAATTTAATTGTCGTGTGTAAAGTTAATTCATATTGTACCAAGTTTAAAAGCGACGAAGGAAGGAGGAGACAAACAAGCTAGATTCCATAAATAAAAAAAAATGGCATCTTTATTGTCTGTTCCGTTATTTTCCGCCGGAAAATTGTCTGCCCTTCCTGTCTTATCAGGAAGACTCACTTTTTTTTTGTTTTTTATTTTTTTTTTGTTTTAGCAACTTGTTTTTTTTGGTATGCCTCTCTCGTTTAGGAACTCCTCGGGATAGACTAGACTTTTGGTATTTGAACAGACAAAAAAAAAGAAATCTGACTCTAAAATCAGAAGAGGAGAATTTTTGAATTGACCAAGGATGTAATTCATTGATTTTATACTATGATTAACTATCATCATCAACATATGAAGATGTCATGGGAAACTTTCTACCGGTTGGAGTGGAGACATGTGTTGTGTTTACCATACCATTACCCAGATGGCATTCTTTTAACTATACAACAGATAATACTGTTTCCCTATATTAATAGAATATAGCCAGTGGCATACAATTCCAAACTTCGGAGTGTTACCGGACTTTAAACAAACACACCAAAAATAAAAAATCATTTTCTCTTTTTTTTTTTTTTTGTTTTTTTTGAACATTATATATTTTTACCCCTCCCTTACCTGGAACCCCAGAGAAAAATTGCAAATTTTTTTTTTTTTTTTAATTTTTTTAAATATATATATAAAGGTAAAGTAAAATAATCAGACATCAGTTTCGAATATCCATTTCTAGTTTTGATACTTTTGTTATAATTTTGGAAAGAATTGGAATATCTTATTTATTTCATTTGACAAAGTTTACCATCATAGATTTATATATATATATTCAAAGCGTACTACTAAAGTACTCTAACCATTACAACTACACTATCCACTTGCAGTCATGTCGTCACACGATTTATTAAATTATTCGATTATGCATAATAATACGAAAACCAATCATTATTATCATAATAATACAAATATTGTATCTTTACCACCTTTAACTCCTATAATAAAACAATTGTCTGAGAATCATGATCATTCATCCATAGTTTTACCTCCTTTAACTAGATTACCATCTAATTCAAACTTGAATTATATTACTTCTACTACATCAATAGTATCAAATTCATCTACTGGAACCACTACTCCAACCAATACTAATAGATTAACTGAACATAATTTGTTACATTTAAGTGATTCATTCAACAAACAAACTCCAACCACTTCTTCCACTTTCAGTAACAGTTCAAATAATCATCATGGTTTAGGATTATTATCCTCGGCTATCTCCTCCCTTCAAAGACTTCCAGCATCTTATCATCACATAAAACAAGTTGATGAACCAAAAACCAATCCTCCATCATTAACATCAGCTAGTTCTGTTGGATCTTTATCTCCAGTATCATCACCATCTATGACTTCAGCTAGTTTAACTTCTAAAATTACTAAATCTCATTCGAATACTAGTAATAGTTCTACTAATAAAAGAAGACAAAGATTAGGTCCATCATGTGATTCATGTCGTTTAAGAAAAGTTAAATGTAATGCTGAGATTATAATATTGGCTAAATCTATGGAAGATATCAATCAAAATCAATTAATTTATCAATATAATCTTTCATCGGTTGAACTTGAAAGATTATTAAATCAATCTCAAGTGATTACAAAAGTTGATCAAGTTGATAATAATGAAGAAATCCATTTATTAATTTCCAATTCAAAATTGATTAAATATAAATTCTGTAATAGCTGTAATTCAAAGGGATTAAATTGTTGTTTCTCCAAGGGTTTTACTAAAGAAGATATTATGGTTAATAATAAGAAATCTAATACCAATGCCAACATCTCATCTTCTAATAATGTCACTACTATTCCAATTATTACTTCTCCTGTTATTAAAAAGGAAAAACCAATTAAAATTGCTAAAAAGGTAAACTCTTCCCCAGTTATCAATAATACCAAAACTATTTCTTCGTTGACTGCTGCTTTAACTAAATCCTTAACTGAATCTTCTCCAATCACTAATATCATCAATCATCTTGAACCTCAACCAATCATTGAAGAAAAGGCTGTGTTGATACCCGCATCCCATTCACCAACTATTAGTTCAATCTTAACTGACAATAACTCAAATCAATCTTCAAATAATAATACTACTAGAAAATCATCATGTATTTCTTGTAGAAAGAGAAAAGTTAAATGTGTCTACAGTTCTGTGTTGAATAAATGTGAAGGATGTTATAAAAAGAATCATGATTGTAAATTCGATGTTAACACAGTCAAACAATTAATCAACTAATCATCATAATCATAACTACTGCTACTACTAATTATAAACTAATAAAAAATGACACTAATAATATTTAATTCTCTTAATAATTTATTTTCCTCTTTAACTTTGTTTTCTTTCTTTTCTTTTCACTTCTTGGGTTTTTTCATATTTAAATATATAGGTTTAAAAGTCACGTATTATTCTTAATATACTATTTCATAGTTTCAAATAGATTTGAATTTGTAGAATGATAAAGAAATGAGCGAAGGGGAAGTTGAACTTACATGGTTAAAGAAACAAATTGCTCTACAATTTGACTTCATCGAAGAATCTCTTGGGGACCAGTAGCTGTATGCTTCCGTCCTCCTCCTAAAAGTTTTGCAACTACCAACCATAAATTGAGCAGTACACTACGTCTGTTTTTTCCGGGCCAAAGAAAGTGGTCAAAACATCATCACACAACCTCCACTGGTTATTGTCAATCTTTGTTTTATATACTCTTATGACTTTTCATTACTAGCATTTAAGAGCAGGATGACAATGACCATAATGATGATGATGACCTCAAATTAAGCTTTTCTGATATAACAGGTGTGAAGATTATTTTTATTTATCATATGAAATTGAAAACTAATTTGGATTTAGCGCTAGATGTTCTAGCTTCACATTTTGTATCCTCGGCGCTTAAAGCCTCACACAAATTCTATTTTTTTTTTTTTTTTTCTGCCAGTCCGAGAATTGAGTCTCGGAATATTTGCCCGACGTTTACTCTAAATTAAGCTTCCTATTTGGCTTTAAAAATAAAACGGCGGCAAAAAAATTTGATGGTCAATTTCGGAATCTATTGCCATCGATGACAATACTTTTTAGTTATAATACTGGCCTGGCCTAGAATATATTCCTAGTTTACAAATATAATATGTAAGGCATATTCTAGTGACGATCCATTCTTCCGTCTGGGGATGGAACTTCTATTGCTATGCTGCATTTGGGGTTTTTACGGGTGACTTTATAAATGACTGTTTACTTTATATAGGTTAAATCAATTCTTGATAGCACAAGTTTATGCAGTTAAACCGGGGTATTCTATTTACTTCTTTCTTTCTCTCATTCATTCTTCCCTCAATGCTACTTCATTCACCGAAATATTATTATAATATATTAGAAATTTATATTTAGCTTTAAATTTTAATTTTTTGACTTTTACTATACATAAGATTATAAATTAAAGAACTGAAGAATTAGATATCGTTATAACTTTAACAACTAATCACTTTAATTAGTAGATATATTTTTTAACATCATTATTAATTTCATTATTAATTATTATTGGTAGTAATATTATTTACTTTCGTAACCTTTTTCTATATCACCTTCTCTTTTACTTTACTTTTTTTATTTTTCCATGACATTAACGTAATTCCGTCTTGGTCCCCTCTTAGCTCTTCTACTTCCTCCTACTGATGATGTACCTCCTAATGATAATAACTCATCTAAACCCGCATTTGCTAAACTTGGAGCACTAGATGATGGTGGAGCTGGGGTATTACCTGTAGTTGGAGGTAAAGATGAAGAAATTCCCGGTGGTGGACCTGCTCCAATTGGTGGCGTTGATAATGTTGAACCTCCAGCCTTTGGTGGAGCACCTGAACTACCAATCTTAGCCTTTTTAGAAACTGGTGGTGGTGGTGGACCAGCTTGTTGCAGTTGTTCTTCAATTGGTCTTGACTTATCAATCCATCTCTTTAACTTCTCATCATAATAAAATGGATTTTGAGTCTTCCCCATTTTAGCTCTGATAGGTTTTGGTTTACCATCATCTTTACCTAACCATCCAAACCAACCACTTTGATTATGATCTCCTCCCGCAGATGGCTGTCTTTTAGCTGCAGCTTCATCCGCCTTTTTCTTAGCTTCTTCCGACGCCAATTTTGCTTTCTTCTCTGCTTCTTCTTTTTCTTTTTGTAATTTAGCAGCTTGAGCATCTCCATCTTCTTCATCTTCTTCATCTTCCTCAATCATAGCTACATACTCTTTAACAGTATCATCCTCAACTTCATATTGTTGATATAACACAGATTGTTGTGATTGTGATAATCTCGATGAAAATAATCCTGGTTGTCCAACTACTGAGTTAGCTCTAGTAGTATAATCTGGAGATCCTGGAATAGGGAAATCTAAGAATTTACTATTACTATTAGTATTCGAAGACTCGCCTTGTTGATAAGGATTAAACAATGATTCCCTAATTTCAGATTTATTATCTCTATTATTCAACATTAACGGATGTCTACTCTTTGGACTCTTTGTATACTCACCACTATTGTTTATACCCGAATCATTGGCTTCTTGATCAAAACTATCATCAATATTTGGAATATTCTTGGTAGGTGGTCTGAATTGTGGAGCAGTATATGGCGAGAAGTTTCTTTGTTGAGGTGGTTGATTGTGAGATGGTTCGACAATTGAAGTCTGATCAAGTTTATGAGGCTGAGATGGTTCATACCCAGTTGAATTGTTTCTAACGGTTGGTTGAACAGATACTTGCTCTTGTTCTTGATCTGGTTCATCGTTATTGGCACCCTTGTTTTCAGTTACAGGAGCTTTATATCCGCCAAAACTATACATATCAACATAATTTGAATTAGAAGTCTCCGGTACTGGCTCTTCGATAGATGTAGAAGCTCCAGCTGGTGCAGCATATTTAGAAGTAGAACCAGCTGGTGGACCATATTTACTCTTCCTAGCAGTCGAACTCTTTGAAGCTCCTGGGGCATATGGATTGGCCTTTACTGCAGGTTTTCTTACCGTAGATGCCTTTGGAGGTGGAGCTGGTGGAGCTGGAGTAGTAGCATCGCCAGAATGTTGTGATCTAGAAGCATCAAGATTAGCTGGAACATCTTCAACTGTAGTTTGGGCAAGAATCTCAGCAGAAACTGATGAAAGATGAGGAACAGGAGGATGTGCAGCACTTGTTGCGTTACCTTCATAACTATTTCTATGATCATTGCTACTTGTACTAGCTTTAAGTTCCGGTGACTCTTTGATAGTTTCAGGAATATCTTTCTCCGGTGAAGTTAAAGTTGCTGGTTCCACAAAAGTTCTCCTTGGAGTTGATTTGAATTCCTGAGGATAATCTATACTGATATCACTTTGAACTGATGGAGAACGAACATGTTCAGGACCACGTATTTGCTCATTGTGATTAACATTAGTATGCGCAAAACTATCCGTAGATAATACACTTGTAACTGATGGTCTTTTTGCATAATTAGTCGGAGTTTGACTGATTGATGGATTAGCAAGCTGTGAACCGATTGATGAAGATGAGATATGACCAGCTTGATTCAAATATGGATAATTGGCATTAGATGCAACACTTTGTCTTACTTGACCTGGAATACCTGGAGTATATCTACCCGATCCTCTCTTTATTGGTGGAGTAGAGACTATCGATTCACTTCCTTCTATGTTATTATTATATTGGGGAATCGGAGGAGCACTTGCCGGAGCAAATACTTGATTTGAAAGATGACCTAATTGTGGACTAACAGCTGCTGATGCATGTTTTGGGGCATATTTGGATACACTTGCAGAAGACGGCAATGGCACCATAGGAGGAGGAACTGCGTTTCTCATTTCTTGAGTAACACTTCCTCTAGAAGGTGCTACAAATGAAGTATCACCAAATGAAGTTGAAGGAGCAGACGTAAAATTTGATGGTGCATGAATTTGAGGCAGCTGATATTTCCCGTTCAAAACACCAAAATCCAAGGTAGATGCAGTTCTTGAAACTGATGGACTGAACTTACTGAATACTCCATTTTCGCCACCCTTTGGTTTAGCTTCTTCTCCGCCGATGAATTTATCAATTTGAAACCATAATTTATCAAGATTAACTTTACTGATTTTAGCACCAAACCATCCCAGGTCTTCAGCACCAGCTTCTGAAAGTCTAAGAATCAAATTTTGAAATTCATGTATAAGATTCTCATTAATGAATGAAGATCTATTGCCAATTGATTTTATTATATTATTAATTGCATCAGTATAACGCTGAGAATCTCCGTAAAATCCCAAGTCTGCTAAAATTGTAGCATGCTTAAGTTTTGCTTGTAGTAAATGTGGGAATCCAACTGGCGCGATATTAGTGTTTGGACTGATCGTTAAAATATATTCATAAACCTCAGTATACATCGAATTACTGCATTCTGAACCAAGATATGAAAAAGTAATGTTACTATTTGGAATTGGAACATGTGATAATGGTAAACCCGCTAAAGCAAAACATATTTCAGCTGCCCAGTTGTTTCCAGTCAGACCAATGAATTTACCAAACTCAGCTAAAAATTCCTGGGTCTTCGAAGTACCTCCAACCAAAACAGCTGCTACAAATTCACGCCAATGAATATTTGCATATTCGCCTTCTGTTGGTACAGCCGACAAATCCTCAATTACACCCTTAATATTACCAGCAGCAACTTTTAATAATAATGGCATTAAATGCTGAACTTTATTATTTGATTTTTGGAAGGGGAAATTGTTTCTAGCAAAATCTCCTGCAACTTTTGCAAATCTTTCGGGTCCCATGAAGTTAGCGAGAACCAAAGCAAGCGCCCAATCACCACGAGAAATAGTAAATTCAATCGCTTTTTCAATATTACCAGCTTGAATAAGACTGAATGCAGTATTAATTCCAGATGTATCTAATTTATAAGCGTTGGCAGTAATTTTCATAGATGGTTGAAATTCAGTACTAGCATTATAATCAACGATTGGATTCAAAGATTGACTTAATTCTCTCTTTAAAGCTGGAGAATGATAATCACCGTCGAATCTTACTAAGCTTAAAAGAATCTTATTCAAAAGCAATTCAGGTGAAGTCTGATTATTAAATAGCACTTCTATGTTTTTCTCTAACCATTTTTCAAGATCCTTCTTCTTGGTTCTACCTTTGATTAATGGACCAGGGAAAGTAGAATATGAATCAGGATGTCTTATGACTGCAGCAGATCTTACAACTTTAATAGTATCTCCAAGATGGTGTTCATAAGCACTAGTAGACACATTCGGAATCAAAAGACAAACATTTTGAGAATGACTCCAATTAAAAATTGGAAATTGTCTTTGATTCAATAATTCAGGGTTGATAACCTTAGCAGCTGGTTGTTGAGGTTTTGTATAAATACTTCCTCTGCCACTTGACCCAACACGGACTCTACCAACACCAGGAACAGTTGGGTGAACTTGAGCTTGAGCTTGATGATGAAGAGCACCACTAACCGGGGCTAATGCAGGCGCATATGGATTGACTTCTTTACCTTTAGCACCAACCAAAGAGCTAGCTCTTGAATGAGTTTTAACTTGCAGGCTTGGTCCATAAGGTCCAGCATTTGGAACATATGGACTTGTAGCCGTACCACCTTGAGATCTTGGGACATTGGTATTTAAAGTTGGCATCACATGCGTACCAAAACTAGAAGATGTCGGTGGTTGAGTTTGGATAATTGGAACAGGTTGAGCAGGCACGCCTGGAAATGGTTGCATTTGTTGTGGCTTAGGTGGCACTTGAGGTAAAGGAGGTGGAGCCAAGCCCGATTGAGTTGGAGGAATGAACCTTGACTGAGCTGTTGATGCTTGATATCCTTGACTGATTGGGGGTTGTTCTTGCGATGGAGGAGCATAGTGACTACTTTGTGGTTTCCGAGCTGGATAAGCTGAAGTGGTAGTAGTATTTGCAAGGGTTGGTGTCTGACCACTTGGTTTATAAGGATTAACTGGTGGTGGCTTGGCTGGTTGAGTTTGAAGTGCAACGGGGGATTTTTGAATATGAGGAACATTCACTGCCTTGACTGGAGCAGCTCTTGCGGCAGGTTTGGGCATTACAATTGGTAACTCTTCAAAAAACGATTTGGCTGGTGCAGGCTTAACAAGAGGGGGTGACATTGAAGTTGAAGATGGTAAGTCTTGTTTTGCAGGAGCGACAATACGAACCTGTGGTGGGGGTAAGGTAGCTGCTTGTGAATTGGACTTAGTAGCCGGTGGTAGAACTCCTGTATTGGCCGGAGCAGTATTAGTAGGAGCGGCATATTTATTAGTGAGTTGATGTCTTGGGGCTGGTTTGACTGACGTTGAAATCATTTCACCAGGGAAATCATAAGCATCGTGCTTCCTTTTATTAGTTTCTAACAGCTTCAAATATTTAGAACTATCTGGACCAGTGACTGGAGCTTCATACAAATTATGATGTTGGGAATGTTGTTGAGTAGATGGAGCGTAAGAATGTTTAGCGGCTGGAGCTTGAGCAGGTTGCTTCGCAACTTCATTATGAATCACTGTATCATCTTCTAAAAGATCATCATCTAACAATAAATCGTCATCTAAATCAAGTTTTGCAAAAATATCTTCTAGTTTGTTTTCTAATGGTGGAGCTGATCCAGATTTTGGAGCTTGAACTAAATCTTGCAAGAAATCTTGATCATCATCAAATAAGTCTTCTAGACTTTTTGCGGCTGTTGGTTCTGGTTGAGATGGAGCTTCAAGTTCAGTTTCAATGACAGGTTCAGCTTCAGATGGTTGGGGATCTGATTCTTGAATTTGGTTAAAGAAGTCTTCATCGGCCACAGACTCCTGTGCTTGTGGCTGTTGAATTTGATTATAAAAATCTTCATTGATCTTTGATTCTTCAACATGATCTCGTTTCTGGTCAAATAATTCATCATTGAAAGTTGGTTGTACAACCTTATCTTGTTGGATTTGATTAAAGAAGTCATCTTCGTGTCCAGATGGGGGAATGGTTAAGGCTTCTTGATTTTGTTGTTCAACTTTATTGAAAAAGTCATCATTAAGTACTTCATCAACTTCAGGTTTTTCTTCGTGGATAAAATAACGATTTTGTTCAGCATTCTCAGTTTCATGATTATGATTAACCTCTACTTCATTTCCATATGGATCTTGGTTGTTTGAGTGAGATTGATGGAAATTATTAAAGAAATCATCATTTTCATCACCTTGATTTTCCCACGGTAAAGGACTGTTTTTAATGTCTGCAGATGGAAGTTGCTGGTTTAATTGTAATGGCTCTTCATCCTCTTCTCTTAATGGATCAAATTCATTATTTAAAAGATCTTCAGTATTGACATTTTCCGGTATGTATTGTTGTAATTCACTTGTTCTTTTGTCTTCTACTAAAGTAATGGGATCTTCTGATTGATCAATCACACTTTCTTGCACATACGCCTCTTGTGACTCTTGTTGATATATTGGATGTTCTTCATTCTCATAATGAATTTCCGTTTCATCGAATTCACTCAGTTCAGCCAAAGGAGCATCATTATCCAAAAGTTGATGATGTTGAGGGGTCTCTTCATCGTTTTGAATTGATTCGGTTTCAGATTCAGGAGGTACTATTCTAGATATTAAGGCATCAATAGAAGACATTCTCTTATGACCATTATGATCAACATTTGAATTGGTAGTATCCGAATTGTTGTTTCCATAATCTGCATTAGGGTTTTGTATGAATGAGCCACTACTAGCATAAGTCAGATTATTTATGGGTTGAATATCTAAAGTATCATTGGTGTCTGATCTATGGATAGGGTATTGTTCATCATTTATATTCTGATGGACAATGGGAGAACCAAATGCATTAATATGGGTTTGAGGAGGAGTATAACTGATGGTTTCAGGTACAGAAGCAACAGGTGGAGCTTGGAGATCAGAATTGTCATCACTATGATCTATAGCAGTGTGAATTGCGTTGTTTTCTGCCAAATCACTCATTGTTTTCAAATTCTACTATCAATAACAATCCATTTAAGAATCAAAAGATGATCCAATTGATCTATTCGATTACTATGACTTATAAATGACTATAATTGATAGTTGAAACTATTCTGTTGGACACGAACTCGTTCTTTTTTTTTCATGTTTTTGTTTTGGGGTTTATTGTTGAGGTTCTGATCTGGAGTTCAAAGTATTGCAGTTTGGATGTTTGCATCACGCTTGTTAAGAAGTTATAAATTTACATGTGTTCAAGGGGTATATGAAGTAATGATGTTACAGAAACATTGAATAAGGTGTCAAAACTTCTGAATACATTTGCTCTCAAAGAATGGATAAATTTGGTTATTTTATTTCTGTAAAATATTGATTATATACATCATTTCAAAGTTTTGATTGCAAAATTTTAAAATAAGTAATTAATTTGAAATTTATTAATATCATGATCTTAAGCTAATAATTTATCTTTCAGAATGATTATTTCATCCATTCTAAGAAACTTTAAGGTCAATACCTATTGATAAAATCAAATTGTATACTGTTATTAACCCTAATGCAAAATATTTACTTCAGTTGCTGGCTGATTCCTGCACACAACCAACAAAATGGCTTACAATTTCCCTGTCGTTATCTTCAAATTATCATTTAGACTAATAAAAGGTTAACTTAATTATAAATAGGTTAATAATGCATAAATTTTCTTCGACTATTCAAATCAAATCAAATTCATATATCAGTGTGTAGAATTTCCATAAATTAGTTTCAATTTCAATTGTCGAGTTGACTCATCTTATTTCTCTCCCTAGACAGATAATTCTCCCCACGTTAATATTTCCCAATATCTTTTTTTTTTTTTTTCACTAAAGACGGACTAAAATAACCTCATTGTTGTTTTGCTTTTACGAAATACATTTCATCTTCATCATCTTGGCTTAATAATTACAATCTTTTTTATTAAGCAGTGGGTATAATGACAAACATAGAGCAGCAGTCCTCTACCAAGGCTGCTACTTCATCGTCCGACTCAACAACCACTAGTACCACCAGCACCGCAACAACATCAACAACAACATCAACTCCACTGTCAGCATCTCAGTCAATACATACAAATTCGATCCAAGATGATGTTTTAATAAGCAATTTTAATAGTCCGTTACCCCCTGATCATCTTCCTAGAGTTGATAATCCTCATCTTCGGATTCAAATTCCTTCATCAAGTGATCACTTATCTAATATATCAGTTAATCAAGGTCATGCCGCACCACCCCCACAACAACATTCATCGGATGTATTCAAACAACCACATGGCTTAGGGGCACCATTATCATTCTCATCTCCAACTGCTGCATTCAGCGATTCTCCTTCTAAAGCTTCATTTGATAAAATAACAGAACTACCAACTCCAGTTCTTAATAATGGTTCTTTTGATGGAAATTTTAATCTATCATCATCTCCACAAGAAGTCCTTCTACCAGAAGCAACATCTCCTTTAAAAATTGAGAAGAATAGAAGTCCTAAATATGTTCATACTAATAATAATAATCATCATAATAAATTGGATTTAATATCTTCTCCGCAAAGAATATTATCTGAATATAAACCAATTCCTGCTTTAGGAAGAAAAAATTCATTGATAGATCATTCTGGTCCTTTGATGGCTCCAAAAAGAATCATATCAAATCCAATACGAACATCACCAAGACCTGGTTCTTCTTCTGGTACGACCCCAACACCTCCTCCTTCAACTCCACCTTCATATTTAAAAACATTCCCTACTCCCATCCAAGGTCATGAGGAAGATGTAGAACTTCATCATCGCAATGAAACGGAAACTACTGTTCCTGCAATTGATCATAAATATTCAGACAGATCTTTTTATTCCCCTAGATTGAATAAATCCTTCAAATTTGTAAAAGAAGTTGGTTCAGGAAACTTCAGTACTGTAATCTTAACTCAAGATACTTCTGATGAAAATAATTTATTAGCCATAAAAGTCATATCAATCCCTACAGATAATGAAAATCAAGTACCTAATTTCAAATCGTTTTTAAAGAGAGAGTTGAATATCTTATACCAAGTCTCACATCATCCATGTATTACTCAACTAATCGATTATGATGTTACATTTAAAATATCCCCTCAAGAAGTTGAATCCACTTTAAATATTGATAGTGAAGATATTGAAAATGATGGTTTTGAATTCAATAAACTCATGGAAAACAATAATCAATTAATATTTTTGAAATACTGTCCTGGAGGCAATTTACTACAATATTTTATGAATCATAGGCAATCAGACCACATCAATGAGTTATCTTACTGGGTAATTGTAAAACGTATCATTTGTGAATTAATCGTTACAGTATGCCATTTGCACCTGGTGAATATCATCCATCGTGATATCAAATTAGAAAATATTCTTTTGAATTTCACAGCTGAAGAAATGATTCAGTTAATTAATACCAATGAAAATTTACCTAGTTTTATAAATCTTTCTGATTTTGGATTATCTAAGAAACTAAAATACCCAGATCAGTTATTATCGACTAGATGTGGTTCTCAGGACTATATATCTCCTGAAATCTTGATGGGATTGAAATATAATGGGAAGTTAACTGATTCTTGGTCAGTAGGAGTTTTAATCTACGCTATCTTAGAAGAACGATTACCGTTTGATTTACCTTCATTGGACGTATTGACTGCGTCTGGTATATCGCCATCAGTGATCAAACGAAGAAGATCTAAGAATAGTTCTGCTCATAGAATTGCAATGATTGATTGGGATTGGTTTAAGGTTAATGAATATCTTAATGATGATTCTAATATAAATGCTGATATTAAACAAATAATCACTCAATTGAAATCGATTGTACAGGTTTTGTTAGTTAGAAGGGATAAACGGATAACTGTAACCGACATCTGTACCAACAATGAGTTTCATTGGATTAAGGATTTCTTACCACCAGCATTGTATGAATCTATACAAGTGTAAAAATGTACACACTATAGAGAATAAGGGTTGGTTCTTTGTTCAAAGATTTAATGACAATTAATAATATAATAAAACAAAATAAATAGAAAAAATGACATGCTAGAATGTAACATTACAATTAATAAACGTATTATGAAAATAAAAAGCAGTTAAATAAGAAAGTATGTAGTGTCGAGAAATGTAGAGTGAGTGAATTTATGATAAATCTACGATAATCGATTATTTAAAATGTTCAACTATGTTAATTTATTCATATACATCATTAATTCATAAATAATATACCTAACTACCTTGCTTTCTTGATCCAAGAACGTGGCAAATAATAACGGGACCAGCCCCAAATACTGCAACCAAACCACACATTAAACCTGCTGAACCAGAAAATCCAAGTGTGTCAAACATGTATGGGAAATAGAATGGTCCAATAAATGCATAAGTTTGTCTAAATAAAGTGATTAATAAACCTGCTTCAGTAGCTCTACCAGGAGCACTTTCAATAGCAAAGGTAGTTAATACTGTCATGACAATATTGTTACCACAAGCAGCGATGGCACCACCGATAAGTGGAGTTATAATCCAATGACCTGGAACTGCTCTATCTAAGTATACACCCCAAACAACTAACCCAACAACAACACAAATAAATCCATTGTAAGATACCCATAATCTATCTGAGATAACTCTTACACCTCCTCTTCTAGCAACAGATTTTTTCATCCACCAATCTGAAAGTGGACCAGCTAAAAATTCACCAATAGCAGAACCAATAATAAGAGCAATAAATTGATAAGATAAATGCTGCGGATCTAATTGAAATAATACACCCATAGCTTGGGGTAATTCAACAACAAGAACAATGTTAGCATAACAAAAGACAATCGACAAAGTAAGAATAGACATCATGACGTTGAAGTTTGTAATCAAACTGAATGGTCTCATAAATAATGAAAATGACAATTGTTGATCGGGATTTCTACTTATTCTTAAAACTTTACTATTAAACCAATTTCCTGGTTGAGGGGTTTCATGATGTCTAACATAAACTGTTTCATCTGCAATTGTCCACAAAATAAAAAGGGCAAAACACATAAATGAAAAGGTAAAATAGATCCATCTTGTTCCAGCATGTTGTTCAATAAATCCACAAACGAAAGGACCTGCAGTGGTACCAGTAACTAATGCAACAGACCACCAACCATTCTTTTTTCCTCTTTCATGAGCAAAAGATAAATCAGCAACAATGGAACTACCAGCAGCATAACCTGTAGAGAAAAAAGCAGCAATAACAGCTCTAAGTGCCATGGATCCAGCATAAGATTCACTGAAAGCACTACCGATGTTTAAAGCACAACAGACTAAACACGAAATAGCAGCAATACCATTTCTTCCATATGCATTCATTATTGGAAGCCAAAAGAAGGGCATAGCACCGACAACCATAATTTGAACAGAAGTTAAATAAGATGCATTTGCCAATGGAACATCTAATTTAACAGCAACAGTTTGAAATGCTGGGATAAGACCTGAAGCCATAAACGCAGTAGTAAAGGTATGGAAGGCAACAATAAGAATTTCAGCATTTTTTTTCCAAATTGGCCAATTTAAAGGATCCTTTGGGTCACTTGAAGGAAGAGGGTCTAAAAATGCTGTACCATGTCTTTCTATAAGATAAGCTTCATGTTCTGGACTTAAGTCGAGTTCAACTTGACTGCTATCTTCAATATTTTCGATATGATCATGAGATCCTTTTTCAATATCACCTGAGAAGGACATTTTTAAATTATTAAACTTTGGTTGATGATTTAATTTATAACTAAAGCTAATGATTGAAATAGAAAAGAATAGTGATGAACAAGAACAGACTCTTGTATATATATTTATATTTTTAAAACTATCAACATTGTTCTTAAACGATTGCAAAAATTCGACGTTGTTAATGAACAGTGAGGAGACGTAATACTTTTCTATACAGATAATACAGAATCATTGCTATAGGAACATGCATCCGCTCTCAATAAAATATTCTCTCCTCCTTTCACTCCGATAGTGGGGGACCATTCTAGAATGTACAATTACCCCAGATTTTACGACAAGATTTTGCATATCCGAAAAAAAAAACTTTACACCCCCTTTTTTTATGACACTAAAAAGAGAAGAAGAAGGTCCATAACTACTTGACACAAAAGTTTGTTGAAGTATGAATGGAATGCTTAATATCTATTAGTTGATCGACTCATCAAAAGGTTAAGTTGTTTAACATTAACACGATAGACAGGGACCTACCAGAGATTGATTGCAAAAGCATAATAGTTGATGAGGAAATTAAAGTAGTTTAAAAAGCTTAAAGGAAATCATATCCGCATTCAAATTTCTCCACCTTTTAGTTCGATGGTGGGGAGGGGTTTCCGTATTCATTCATTTATAGATTGGAGTTAGATGAAATGATTATCCGCAGTATGCAAACAGTACGTTACTCCCCCATCTACAGATGGCTGAGTTTAGTTCCTTATACAGTTCGAAACTCTTATTTTGTATCAAATAAGGTGGATCTGTTTGTTGGGTTATGAAACACTTTAAAATTAGTATCAGCCCCACATCGAATATATTACTTGAAGACCATCGCTCACCGGGGGTGGGGCCAAGATATACTTCTTTGATGGACATATGTGGATCTATGGTCCGATGCAATTCTTCATATATAGTATTTTAATCAAAGATGACTTATTACATATTGTTATTTGTTCGATAACGTTCAAAACAACAACCAATCTTTGTCCCCACAATAGCTTAATAAGCTTCCTAAGCGGTACTTACTTCATCTCGTAATCCAATTTTAGTTTATATGGCTTCCATCTAACCGTTGGGCTTATTAATATCAACTCCAAACTAACTTTTGGCGACGTTTCAACTTTAAAATTACAATATTTGATGACTTTTACTTTTTAATTATATACTACCATACGATGATCAATTACAAGAAAATCCATGCAACCATATAGAATGTCGCAAAAGTAAAGATGCGACAAATGGCGACATTACATAGTTTTTGTTTTTTGTCGTTCTGAAAAAAAGTGAGAGTAAAACCAAAGTCGGTATAGAACTTTGAACCAGACTATTATCATCAGCGTGACAAGCTTGTGTTGTGTTGTGTTGTTCGTTACCTAGTTGATCTTGCCGATTGAACATCATTAAACAGATTTGATACAATCTGATCAATCAAGGTTTATTTTACTATTCAAATCAGAAAGCCATCCGGTAGCGTACTGTGATCTTTTGTTTCTGGAAGTAACTTTGGAGTTGCTTAATTCTTCTTGTGGAGAGGATTGTGAAAAGTTAGTTGTTATTCACTGTTTAATTCTGTTTGATATATCAATAACAAACCTGTATAAAATCCATCATTAGAAGTTTCATCAACAAATCAAGTTGATTGGACATTACAAGTCTTGCTTAAAGATCCGACTACCATTTACCATTTAGCCTAATTTCAACAAGCATATCAATCATATTTTACCACATAATATACGTGTTTTCATACTTTAGTTAACCTAAGATGTCGGATTCAGTCATAGAGATAGATAGTCCGATTGGACATTCTAATGGTACCCAGACCAAAACTAAAATAACAAATGGTTCTGTGATAGAGAAGCGCAGTACAACTGTACCACCTGAAATACCTCATATACTGAATAATATAATACCTTTATCAAATATTCTCAAGTTCTACACTCAAGAGGCATTCAAACAATTAAGTACTGTCATAGAAAATCTATCGTCAACCCAAGATTCTGAAAACGATTCCACTAGAAAGAAAAAATTCTTAGAAACAATAATTTCTTTAAGGCAAGATTTTGTAAAGATTTATACCCTTGTCAAATGGTCTGCAAGCTCAAAAGATGTATCTAAATTGATTGATTTATTGAATTGGTGTAGAATGCAAGAATTTCATTTTGATCAACTAGCTATTCAATTGAATGGCTTAACAGGTTATAGTGGAGCCAAATTACCTAATTCAGATCTAATCACTAGTTTAGAAGTGTTTTTTAAAGGCAGACCCCAATTACCATCATATAATTATATACCAATCAAAAAGATCAGTCCAGAAAAGACGCTAGAGGTTTTAAGTGATTTGAATTTAATTCTAATAACGAGATTGGCCTTGATTGACATACCGAAGAGATTAAGTAATAATTATATCATTAAAGATGGAAGAGTCTATTTTTCAGTTCCAAATGAATTTGAAGTATCAATCACAGTGGCCAATGATCTCATCATAGATACAGATGAAGAATATTACAAGTCACCATTCTATTTCATTGATTTTAAATTTTTATTTGGTATTAATCCTGAAACTTCATTAATCACTCATACTGATAATAAGATCGTTACAAAATTACCTAAATCATCCCATCAAAAACTTGAGAAAACTGTAAATAATATATTATTAAATCAAGGATTATATGGATTGTATGATGTTTTACATAAATATTCAATTTCGTTTAAATTATACTTGATTGCAAAACAACTAAAGGAATTATTAATCAATACGAGATGGAGAAATAACTTGCAAGTGAATTATCAAACTGGTAAGTCATTAGTAATTGTAAATTATTGGTCTACTCACTTCTTATCTAAGAATTGGAGATCTTTCTTGGAACTTGGAATTGATAAGAGTTATAATTTAAATTTTAGATGGTTTAAGAATGGGAAATATAATATTAATCAAGAATTGATCGATGCACTTAGTTCACAGTTAAAAAATTCATCATCTTCAAGTAATGATAATTCCGAAAACAACGATAGATCCTTATCCCAATCCGATAGAAACGATGATGACTCACAACAAGACTTGCTTGAAAATAATGAAGAACATGAAGATTTAAACGTCGATTTAATCTTGAATGTGATAGTTAACAAACATTCTGCATTAATTATGGAAAAAGTGTTTAATATATTAGATGAAAAGTTAAATACCATTGAAAACCCAGATCAAGTTTCATATTTGAGTCCTCAACAATTGTTATTGAAATTATCTCCAAATAAATCAACCATCTTTTGTATCAATCCCTTAACTGGATTCTTCTACTTTATTGATCCAAGTCCATTACAAAATGTACTCACTAAAAGAATTAATTCACCACCTACTGTTGTTAAAAATAAAAACTTTATTAGTGAAGCAGATATGGTCAATAATATAATCGATAATTTGATACAATTAAGATTAGAAGTATACAATAAAGAAATCAACAATAAGTTGTTAACTACTGAGTGGATTAATAATGATATTATTGTGTTGGGAGAATATGAAGTATCCAAATTATCTAACTTTCTCGTTAATGGCCTTAACTTTACAAAAGGTATTCATAATATAAAATTTTATCGTCGGAAGAATTGGCCATCAAGTTGGTTTTTAATCAGTTTAATCAGTGGGATTTCTTCAACTTCTTATTGGTGGGTTGCAAGATTGAAATCAATTAGTGGAGAATGGAAAATTCAATGGATTCAAAAATTAAAGTTTCAAAAGAATAATCATTATGTTGAAGATACTTCTGAGAATCAATTGAGTCTTAATGATGGAGTTGAACCTTCCTCGTTTAATTATGAATTTTTTAGTAGCTTGTCAACCTCATGTTCAAATATGATTATAGATCATATGATTTTGGAAGAATTACAAGCTAGAAACATAAGATTCTTGAAAACAGATTCAGTTAAACAAATTCTTGAAAAGTTCAATATTTCTGAAATTCCTGAAGATGAAGAAAAGAAGCATTACAATGGGGATCTTAAATTAGAAGAAATCAAAGATAATGAAGATGAAGAAGCCGAAGCAGAAAAGACAAAGCCACTCGTATATGAATCAATAATCTTGATCTACAATCATAATGATTTATTACCAATCTATAATTCATCTACCAGTTTATTTTTAAAGATCAAATTAATTAATGCGAATAACGTTACTCAAATGAAATTGAAATTATTTGGAAATTTAAGGAATTTGTCGATAAAGAATTCCCCGGAAAGTTTCTTACAATTGAATTTAAAGATTGATGAAGTTAAGAATTATTTTGAGATTTATGATTTGATTAACTTATCAAGTAGATTAAATGAAACTGGTACAAGAGCTAGTTCCGCTGTTTCAAGCAGTGGTGATTCTTCTTCCAATGACTCTAAGAATGGATTATTAGACAAGGTATTCAATAATTTGAATAAGTTGAACAAGTTAATTAAGATTCTTGATCAATTAAACAAGGGAAAAATAAAAGTTGTGGAAAATACCGTTAATGATATAACAATCAGCTTACATGAAAACTTGAATAATTTAATTATTAAATTACCTGAAAAATCAACTGAAGGAATCCAAATAGTGAGTGATCAAAATCTGAAACGAGAAGTTAGTCCTGAGTTTTCTTTGGTTCTTACTTATTTGAATCGTTATTTAAGTGCTCATGTTGGAGATCAAATCCCTGAAAGTGAGAATGCAAACATTGAAGATGCAGAAGCCAAGGATAGTGCTTCTATTATTGGTATAATAGCCTGTGTTAAAGAACTTGATCCTGTATTACAATCAATTCTTAAGATTCGATCTGATATTGCCAAATCAGAAAGTACGTTTAAAATGGCGAATGGATTATCAAAATTAAACTTTGATGTTAAGATTCCAAATCTTAATAACATTCAATACATCTTCTATTTGTATTATGTGACAGTTAATTCTGCTAAGAAGATATTCAAAGATAAACTTGTTATCAATTTAAGTTTTAAACGAAATAAATTTGATGTTATAAATAGAAATTTGATTAAAATTTCGTTAAAGGATAATCTTAATTCCAAAAACATCAAGCATAAGAAGTTATTTGAATTAATATTTAAATCAATTAATGATTATGATTTGGAATATCAAAGTTCAAAAGATTCGAATCCAACTCAAATCCATACCCCATCATCAGTATCATCAAGCAATGGCGATTCCAACTCTCGTTTATTAATTAAATTGAATTATGACTTTTTGGTTAGTTCAAATGTGGTGGAAGAGTTAATGGTTAGAATCGGCAATTGTTTCATTCAATATTTACAAGCTGAAACAAGATAATTCTACACTGTGTTGTATTATAAATGGTTTGCTTTAAATGTTAAAGTTTTTACAAACAGAAAACCCCTTCAAAAAATTAATAATAATAATAGTTGTTTTAATAATGTTTATAGATATATATTGTATTACATTAAACACCTTCAATATAAACTAGATGTAAAACAAAAAGAGACTCACAAATGATAAAGTAGTAGATAATTAAACCTACTAATAAATAATATACACCAAAAGAATAAAAAAAACATGCTACATGAAACCTTCCAAAACTCTGAGAGCCTTTTCTAATCTTTGAATACCAATATCGTATCTATTCTTATCAATAACCATATCCAGGGTTAATCTTGATAAAGAATCAACGATTTTTTCAATCAATTGTTTTTCCTTGATGGGTAAATTCAATTGACTAAATTCTTCACCAATAATTGTACCATTCATACTTTCTAATAAATTAATTAAAGTATGATAACTGAATGGTTTTAATTCAGATGAATCACGAGATTTCTTCTTTTTGGTTTTAATTGATTTTGATTTCTTTTCATGATAATGATCTTTGGTAGAATCCTTAACTGATTTGACTCTCGATGGTTGATGTACCAATTTAGGTGGTTCAATATCGTAATAATCATCATCATTATGATTGGATACTGGTACTGGGACATAAGCATTTTGGGTTGTGATAGGTGATTTCCCAGTACCATGAGGAGGTGGAAGTGGAGGTGTTGGAAGAGTTGATTCAGATTCCATGGATGGATTTGCTTGAAGTTGGTCTTGATTTTGATATTGTAAACTTTCTGAAACTTCACGAGCTTTTATTAAATTTTCAGTTGACGGACGGGGTGGAACACCTCTGATTTTAGGTAATGCGTCAGTTTCAGATGGTGATGGTTGTGATGGTGGTGCTGAGGCGACACGATGGGAAACTAATGGTTCGGTAGTATTATCAGCATTATATTCTTTTGATCTATTTGATTTTATTGATTTTGAATCCATATGATCAAGGTTCGAAAGTGCATCATCGGAAAATGAGGTGGATTCACGTCTAAGACTTTTCATTAATTGATCTAAATCATCAGATATTTGAGCAGAATTTCTTTTATTATGAGAAACTTGTTGTTTATTCTTATTAAATTCATTAATTTCTTTAGCTAATTCATTTTGTTGTATAGCAGATAAGATTTCTGATTTCGGTCTTCTTGGAGATCTAGGTGGAACAGAACCTTCAATAGTTGTATTATAACTGACATCTGGTTTTAATTTATTAGATGATGCATCACTTTTTGGACTTGATCTAGCAGTTGAAGTTGAACCTCTTATAGTGGGTAATTTACCAATTTTAATAGTTTCTGAATCAAATTCAGATGCTTCACTTTGTGGTTTACTTGGAATGTTAGTTGTTTCACTTTCATCTGGAAGGTCTGGATTGATTAATACTAATTTACTCTTTTCAGTAGCTTTACCACTATCATGTCTTGTAATGGTAACTGGAATAGCATGAGCCCCTGGATCAGCTGGTACCCCTGAATATTGAGAAATGGTTGATAAATAAGATTCTCTATAATCATTAGGTAATGGGGGTAAATGAGGAGGTTGGAAAGCTTTAAAGTCAGGAGAAGAATGGATGGAACTGAAAGGAGAATCCTTTATGATTGGAGTTAATTCTGGTTTAACAATAGCAGGAGGTTGTTGAAGAGAATATTGATCTTGGGATGAAGATGATGGAACTTGATGATGATCTTGATCCTTTATGGAACTTAAAGTCAATGGATCATTCTTTCTTAATAGAGCCAGTTCAATGTTTCGTTTAGCTTCTTCAATGGTTAAGTTCTGCATGGTTTCAGAAGGAACATAGGAGAATTCAGATAATGCTTCCTCATCCAAATGATCATTGTGATTCTCATCCATGGTGATTTGATCAGTTAACTGTCAGTAAGCAAATGTGAAAGAGATCAATTGATAGTTGTAAATACATATCTCTTGAATCAAAATTTCAATAAAGGGTGTCATTTTCAAATTTGATATCAATTTTAAAAATTGTTATTGATTCGTCCCAATTAGGAAATGTAATTAAAACTTAAGTCTGGTGATTCACCATGTTCATTTTTGGTTCTATTTTGTTTTTGTCTGTCTGATTTTTGTTTTGAGTCGTCATTTCTGTGTCTGATGTAATAAAGTACGAGGCAAACAAACAGGACGACTCACGGATATTATACCCCGGGGTCTCAAATTAGAGTTAGCTAAGAATTAATTCGAATATGGCAACCAGTTTATTGGACTATCTCATGTTAACAGGTTATGAATTTGAAGTTGTCAGTTTATACCATTTGTTTCTCCTACTTCATCATATATATAGTTATACAGTGTACAAGTGTACATCAAGTCCTTCATCTATTAGGTCATTGCATTCATTCATACCCCACTATTTCATGTATAGACCATAGACCATAGCCATATATACAAAATAATACCACTATTATCATCATGAAGTTATCTATGATAAATCAAATACCATTCAAAGCAAAAAACTATTTCAGTCAACCTCCTTTGAACTATGAATTATATCTTAAACGAATTAGAAGATTTCCTAAACTATTCAAACCATTACAAGATGCTAATCAAGATAAAGACCGGGATACCATTGATTTAGCTTTAATCAATGCTATCAAAGCCAATAGAACTTTACAAACCAATAATAACACTTTCCCTCATGAATATCGTCATACTCATGATTATTATATCAATGATGAAGTTTTAAATTTGAAATTGAATCCAACAAACTTGAAATTAGAACAAATGTTATGGAATTTCCTATATAATAGTCCCACCAATAAATCATATTTCATTACTAATTCAAGTACTATTCGAACTTATTTAACTACTAAACCCTTACCTTCCAACCCAAAACGTTTGTTTGATGTCACTGTATCAAACTTTAATAGCATAGTACCCAAATTATATTCTATATTCAAAAAAATTCCTCCTGTTGATACCTCCCTTACATTCACAGCATTACAAGTATTATTAGAAAAGAAAGATTATTATAATTCGATAAAGTTAATTGATTTAACTTTAAATTCCCCTTCATACCTCACTTATTTAGATAAAAAATTCAAATATTCAATCATTTATTCAACTACAGTTTTATCAACTATCACTTTACTTCAAGCTATTTATTTGCCATTATTAGCTCCTTGGATATGGTTATTAATCAATTCAGTGGGATTTTCAGGATTATTCTATGGATTATTCAAATTGAAAGTAGTTCAAAGTGTTGGAAGATTAAGTTGGAGACCTTATAATTCAATCTATTATAATTATTTACATAGTGATGAAATCTTAGCTATTAATAAAGTTATCACTCATTTAGAAGAACATAATGAAATCAATATTAAGAATTATCATCATAGTAAAGTGAGAAAGTTTCCTAATCTTAATATCTTTGAACTGAATGATTATATCTTAGAATTACCCTCTGAGAAAGATCAAAAAAATGATGAGATTGAATTAGCTAATTTTCCTCCTTCAACTCCACAACTTCCTACATCATTCAAAATCGATCCTGAATCAACAAATCTACAACAATTCTTTAAACAAGAACTAAACAAACGGAAAATCACTTTAAATGATTTACCTGAAGAATTAGATTTCTTACAATTTTGGTTAACTCATGGTGAAAATTTTGAATGGATTGAACCTGATCAAGATCCAGCAGAGATTATAAAGCTTGATATTAAAAATAAAACCACTCTTGAACATTAGAAAACAAAAAGTACACTGCATTAGTCTAGCATCAACCTATATATGTATATATCCCTCATTTATTTATTTATTTATTAAACCTAAAATATTTATCGTTCATGAATCGTCTATACCTTACAGCCCCACGGTGATTAATGATTGCAAATTTAAAATTATGTTGCCGACTTTATATGCAGGAAATAATAACCCAAAGGTTAAATGAGCATCATAAATTGATGGGGTGACGAAATATATATTACAGATTTATTCATATCGTTCAACAACATTGATTTAAACAATTCCATTCCTTACTTTTCCCATTCATTGTGAATAGAGTATACATCACCAACTACAGAGACACTTTTGTATTATAATTATCTTACACTATTACTATGACTAGTTCAAATAAATTTGTGGAGTTGATAACTCCCAAAGATCTTGATATTGTATCAGATGTTAAATTCAGTCCTTCCCCATTAAATCAACAATTATTAGTATCATCGTGGGATAATCAAATCTTATTATATGATTGTTCAACTATACTGCTGAACGCTAATAATCCACCTCAAATATCTCCCACCAACGTTTTTAAACTTTATGATACTCCATTATCCGTCACTTACAAATCCGATAACTTGGCATATGTGGGGTTATTAGATGGTAGTATACGACAACTTGATTTCACTACTTTAGGAGTAAGTGATGTGAATCTTGGAGGTTCCTTAAATGAATCAATGATAGGTGGAGGGATAAATAATTTAATTCTGATCAAGAATGATCCTAATTTATTATGTGCAAGTTCATTTAATGGGAAATTACAATTAATCGATACCAGAACTAATCAATCAAGTTATATTGCAAATGAAATCCATCACCAAGGTGGATCCCCCTCATTAAAACGAAAAATATTCAATATGGATTCAAGTTCACAATATTTAACTTTAGCATTAAATGGGAATAATATTGAAATTTATGATTTAAAGAATTTAAAAACTCCTTTTGAAACAAGACAAGTGGGGTTGAATTATCAAATTCGAGATTTGAAATGTTTCCCAAATGATGAAGGATTTGCCTTATCTACCATTGATGGTAGAGTTCTGATTGAATATTTCGATTCATCACCTGAAGTCCAAGCTACGAAAAGATTCACTTATAAATGTCATCGTTCATATGATAAGTTAACTGATACTGATGTGGTTTATCCTGTGAATACAATTGGATTCACCAATTATGGTACGTTGTTTACTGGTGGTGCAGATGGAGCTCTTTGTTTATGGGATTTAGAAAAGAGAAAGAGAATGAGAGCATATCCTAAATTTGTGAGTGAAGATGAAGAAGAAGTCCCAGAGAGTATATCCAAGATTGATTTATCGAACAACAGTGATGAAAATGATCAACAATTGATAGCTGTAGCTACCAGTGATGATACTTATAAACGGAGAAGAAGATTATCCGAAAGTGAAGGTCAAAGAGTTCCAAGTAGAGTATATGTTAGAGTACTTAGTGATGGAGAATGTGCTCCAAAGGCATAAACTTTCAAACACAATTGAAAAACTAAGACATATATGCCAAGTAAATTTACCTTATCTAAAGATATGTACCAATAGTAGTTATCCCAATAATCACTTATATCAGTACAAATAAACCCCTCTATATAAACTGTTAGTTATTGTGGTATAGATGTTTCTATTATTTAAACCATTTCGGTAACTCCGAGAAATGAATGCACGTGTCATACATAAATCCGACCAACAAAATTAAGCGCGCAAATCAACCACATCCAAATTTCGCCGGGTCTGTTTATGATTATTATTAAGAGATGAGATAAACGAGATCACAACAGTATAACATAGAGACTGATGATGTATTGTTTGTAAGGGTTGCAACGGATACATCTGGTGGCGTTGAATGTTAACAGCGTGCCCTGATGTTTTGTTTAAAGGGTGTCAATTGAACTTGAGCTTGGGAAATACACCCCTGGTTCCGTCATCATCGCTGTTATGTCGGAACCACAAAAATGAAGTCGAGGAAAACGTCAATTTTAAGCATTTTTCACTTTTCTTTTTATTTTTAATTTCTACAATTGTGATGAATTAATATCAATCTATAATAAAATAAGCTAGTAATATTACTATTAAATGTCTCCCTAGAGGAGGATAATTATAAACATGAAGAATATACCCATTTTTGTAACAAATAAAATGGATAAAGAGAGAGATATAGAGATTGTATATAGAGATGGAATCACTTTCTTTTTAAAATGGATAAAAAAAACAATATAATTATAGTTAAAATAATAATAATAATAATAAACAGCTATAAAAGCCAGGGGGAAGCAAACAAACAAACAAGAAAGTGTGAAATTATGTTATTCTTTTTTGGTGAGATTAAACCATCTATAAATCAACAGCTGGTGGACAGTTTAAGGTTTTCTTTAATGAACCATAAATGGTGAATTGTAATGAGGTTAAAGTACCAACCATAATCAATCTGGTTGGTAAACCAGCGAATGAACCAGTAACACCTAATTGTTTAGCTAATTGGATTAATAAACCAACAGTAGATTGACCTGGAGCTTTCTTAGTTTTATTAACCTTTGATAATAAAGTATCAGCAGGTTGAGAAACAAAAGCAGCGGCACAACCAGCAATAATACCAGAACCTAAATTAACAACAGTGACAGTAGTATTAGATAAATCTTTCTTTGGAGTAGAGATGGTACCATAAATGGCTTCAGCAGCTCTTTCATAAACTAAAAACTTGGCAATATTATAAGGAATTTGTTTAAATAAAATTGGAGTAAAACCATTATAGAATGAACCAACACCTTCTTCCTTTAAGATTCTTGAGAAACCACCAACTAAACCATTAGCAAAAGTTGGTTGAGAAACTAATCTAATTCTAGTAGCTTCTAAAGGACATAAAGCAATATCAGCAAAAAATTCAGCTAAAGCAGCAGAACCAATGAAAACACCATTCTTGTAAGCTTTGGCAGTATCATAACCTAATTGTTCAATAAAGGTCTTTTTGAATAATTCATAACCACCGAATTTGAAAGCACCTTGTAAAGAATAACCTAAGATGGTTGGACCTAAACCAGTTAATAAAGCACCAGCACCTTCACTAGCAACAACTTGTCTAAAAGAACCAATCATACCTTTGTTGTAAACAGTTGGTTCTAATTGAATTCTAGTTTTGACGACATCAATTGGGGTCATAGCACCGTGGGTAACACCACAACCCATGGCACCAGCTAAGGCAAATGAAGCATAATCACCAATGGTGAATTGAGGAATGACAGGAGTAGACATTATGATATAAGATATGAATTATGTAAGGGGGTTTTTTTTTATGATCTATTAAAAATGAATAAATAAATAATGAATTGCTAGAGAACTAAAGAACCAGTCTAAGTATGTGATTGGATTGGATCGAAGGATAGAATCTATAGAGCAATAAGAACAAGAATCAAGAATCAAGAAGAAGAGGAAGAAATAAAGGAATTTCCAAAAAAAAAAAGAAAAAGAAAATTTTGTTGATTGAATTGTAAATTGATTCCGTCGCAGCTTTTAATTGGGAGTTCACACGCTCTACACACTTACACTTTAAAAACTTAAACTGTAATTAATTTCTTTTTTTTTTTAGGCTGTCAACGTTGAGTTGAGATTCGGGACAAGTCGGATTACAGTGAGGGAATTAAGTCACATGACTAAAGACCGAATCATATTTGAAGACCGGGACTATACATATTTAATGTAAATTAATCATAACACATGTTTTGCAGCAATCATTTATAATTTCATTAGCTACTATTATTACAATTACATTAACTAACTAACTAATTAATGAATTAACTTTTTGACTAATATTGCATACCACCTAATCCTGATCCTAATCCTAATGCTTCCAATACAGATCTATTATTTAATGCTTCCATAGCTGCTTTTTGACCCGCTAATTTCTTATTACTTTCAACTCCACTACCTAATATAACTCTTCCCATTCCCTTAGCATGAGCATCAGTGAATACAGTAGCTTGGCATCCATTGGGAATAACTCCATATTCATACATAGGTTGTAATTTAACTCTACCCAATAATGCATACAATGTATTTTTAGCATCTTTATCAACTTTAAGACTTAAATCTTGTTGAGTATAAGGTAAATTATATGGAATAGTAGAATTAGTTAGATTTGAACCATAGGGTTGTAAAGCTCCAAATTTAGGTGATATAATACTTTGAGGTGGAGATGTAGAACGATATGAAGTTGGAGCTAATTGATTTTGTGGAGCTAATGGTTGAGTATGATGCATTAATGAATTATGTTTAGGTGGACTTACACTATGAGTTCTATAATATTCTTCTTTTTCCTGTTGTGTAAATGGATGTATGGTATGACTATTATCAAATGGATCATCTCGTTGATTTTCTTTATTCAGTTGATGACTTATACTATTAGGATCTGAACCTAATAAAATTCTTGATATATTGGTTTTATGAACCTCACTATTTAATATTTCATTAGCAGCTTTTAATTTAGCATCTTCAAAACTAATACTACTAGTACCCAGAGAAAATGGTTCGTCATTAATTAAAACTTGAGCAACATATGGATCTGATTCGACTTGAACGAATTTTAATGATGCCAAATTCGTTGGAAATGCCGTGAAATTGGTGATTTCTGTAAATAACATTTGTAATTGTGCCAATACGATATCAGTTCTGGATTCAATAGCTAATGTTTCCTTTAATTCTTGAATTATTGGTAAATATAATTTTTTAATCCATAATTTCATATAATATGGACTATAATTATCCAATGAAACTCCACCCACATAAGCTAAAAATAATCGACTAAACATTTCCAATTTAGCTTCAATATCAATTTGTTTAGAAAAGTTATATTTACAATTTTCATTCAAATTATATGCAAAAGCCAATTTGGTTAAAATTTGATTAGATAATAACTTATAACGGAAAACTTCAATTTCATTACCTGATAAACCAGGAAATGTTTCATCCAAAATCTCAAAAAGATAAAGTTCCATAATTGATCTACCTTTAATGGCTAATTTTCCATTATGTGATTGATTATAATCTTTTAAACCAGCTTCCAGCTCTATAAAATCAGATGGTTGTCTATACGAAACATCGGTCTGCATTCTTATTAAAAGTGAGTCATTCATTATTACTGGTAAAGTTGGTGGATATGGCATTAAACCAATTTTACGTTCATCTTCTAAATATGATCTATCACCACCTTCTTCACGTCTTAAAGTTTCTTTTAATTCCTTATTTGATCTTGATGGGACATAATCTATGAAATGATTAACGTATCTATCAGTAGTGGAATTGGCTTTAAAACTGATTTTGGTTAACATTTGTAGTAATGGTAACTCATCAAAATCAAATAATTGCTTTAATCTCACTGCCACTTTAATTTGAGGTGAAACCATAGTTGCTCTTACTCTTTCTGATAATATTTTCAAATTGTCATCTGCTGCACTAGTAGGACTTGTACGTAATTGATTCGCCAACTCTCTAAACTCATCAATGGTGGGCGTCTTCGCCAATATTTGATTAAGTGTAGCCTGTAGTTGAGATACAAATCCCTTTACCAGATTCATATCCTCACCCCAAGCAAACAACTCCTTATTAGACATCTTGTTATTATTTTCCAATGATCAAGTATAGAGATATAGCACGGCTACAAATAACGATGATTGGTTGATGTATGGGTTGAATTGAATTGAATATAGCTCTTTTGGGTATGGTTGGTTCAAAAGGTTTTGACTGCCAAGTTTTTAGGCTTTCGATTTTTTTTCTATCTCTCAATGATTTCCTGACGTTACAAAAATGGTTTAGCCATGCCTAATTGGGAAAGAAGAGATGAAAAAATTTTAAAGCTTAATCCTTAACATTTAGCAATCAGTTTTATATATTTCTTATGTTATATTCTTCTTTCTTCATCTATAGGTTCTTATCTCATCTCTACTGTTAGGATTATTTATTAAAAAAAAATCATTGATTATTAGTAAATTTGGTTCCAAAATTACAAGTTCTATTTGTCTACTCATAATCCCCATATATCATAGAACCATGGCCAACTGACAGCCCATTAGCCATCATAATTTAATTTTCCTTTAGTATAGTCCATTCATCGCTTACACATATATATCCACTATACAGAGGAGGACCTTAAAGATCATATAAAACATAATCCTATAATATATTACACCATTAATTACATATATTTAACAACCACTAACGCAACCTTTTAATTTTTCACTAAAATTACTCACACGAGATGGAAGTTGCTGCAAATTATTATGATGAAGATTATGTACCTGGTACTATTAATATCTTCTCCAATCATAAAGATAATGAATCTTCATCATCTGATAAACAATTAAAGAAAACTAAAACTGGCATTATTTTAATGCCTCAACCATCTAACGATCCAAATGATCCTTTAAATTGGTCATTTACAAGAAAATTTGCGCATTTTGCTTTAGTATCGTTCATTACTGCCTTGACTGCTGCAACTTCAAATGATGCTGGAGCCACTCAAGATTCTTTGAATGAAATTTATGGTATCAGTTATGATGCTATGAATACTGGTGCTGGAGTCTTATTCCTTTTTATAGGTTGGTCCTGTATCTTTTTTGCTCCAGCCGCATCCCTATACGGAAGACGTATAACCTATATTCTTTGTCTTTTAGCAGGTACATTAGGTTCTATTTGGTTTGCTACGGCTAGAAAAACTTCTGATACTATCTGGTCTCAAGCATTTGTTGGAATGTCAGAAGCATGTGCTGAAGCTCAGGTACAACAATCATTATCAGATATTTTCTTTCAACATCAATTAGGTTCAGTCTTAACTGTCTATATTTTAGCTACGTCTGTTGGTAGTTTCTTAGGTCCATTGATTGCAGGTTTCATTGCCCAAGCTCAACTGTTCAGGTGGGTTGGTTGGTGGGGTGCCATCATTTGTGGATTAACATTAATTCTCATCATTTTTGGCTGCGAAGAAACTGTTTATGATAGAACTGGTTACAATCAAGTATGCCCACCATCGGATTCTGAAGATGAAAAAGAAACTGAGATTCATAGTAACTCTTTAGAAGATGAAAAATCACTTGATAAAGAAAATGATATCGCGAATGTGAAAACTTTCCCAGACGTGTCCAATAATGAAGATGACACTAAACTTATCCCATATTATAAAAGAATAGCCATCATAACACCTTCACCTTACTTAATTGGCTACGGTTTTAAACAGTACATTGTTAGATTTCTTAACAACTTTAGAGTATTTACATTACCAGCAGTATGGTTATCAGGATTATTATGGGGACTTCAAGATGCTTATATGACATTTTTCTTAACTACTCAAGATACCTATTTTTCAGAACCACCTTGGAATTATTCTCAGAATGGGGTGGCTATCATGAACGTGGCTACTTTAATTGGAGCAGTTATTGGATGTTTCATGTCGGGTATTCTCTCTGATAAACATGTGTTGTGGCTTTCCAAACGTAATAACAATGTATTTGAACCTGAAATGAGATTATGGTTATTATTTGTAACATTGATCATTTCACCATTAGGTTTGATTATGTTTGGGGTTGGTGCTGCTAGACAATGGCCATGGCAAGCGATTTACGTTGGTTTGGGATTCATTGGATTTGGTTGGGGTTCAATTGGTGATACTGCCATGTCATACTTAATGGATGCTTATCCATCTATAGTTATCCAAGGTATGGTTGGTGTTTCAATTATCAACAATACTTTGGCCTGTGTATTTACCTTTGTATGTTCTTATTGGTTAGATGCTTCTGGTACAGATAATACCTATATTGTGTTGGCGGTCATTGATTTTGTTTCAATTGCATTTATTATCCCAACCCTTATCTACGGTAAATCATGGAGAAAAATGACGAAGAAACTTTACCTCGACATGGTTGAATTAACCAATGGATCAGCTTAAACACCTTTCGATGTTCACACTCTTGCATTATTTTTATTGTTCAATCCTGTTATTATTTATTTATTTATTTACTAGTACAATATACAATTATTTAAAAATTCGATTATCTTTTTGATTACAACATAACCTCGTCTTCTGCAGGAGCAGCAGAGTGATCTTCTTGTGGTTCAAGACTACTTGGATCAAATGATGGTTCTGGTAAAGTATGTTCTTCTTGTTGTTGTTCTGTAGTTGTTCCATTCATATAAGCATTTAATTCATCATCTAAATCAGTAAGTGATTTCTTACTTGGCTTTGGTTTTACTTTTCTTTCTCTTGAAATTGGTCTTGAAGTTCCTCTGTAAGTATCTCTTTCCTTTGGAGCAGAAGCTGGTCTAATACGTTCGTTGACAGGAAGGATCTTGATTCTTTCAGCTAATGATTGAGCATTTTCAACAATTAAAGTTTGACCCATGGCTTTCTTACCATTAAATTTATCAATGGCTTCGGAGTTGCTTCTAGCATTATCATTGTGAAAGCATACATAAGCAATGTCATCATTTCTATTATCAAACTTTACAAAGTCTACTGGAGAAACATTTCCAAATAAATTAGATAAATCTTCCCCATTCAAATCAGGATGAATATTTTTAACCCTTAAAACTGGACGATTACCAGCCAACCCTTGAATGTCTTTAGATAATGATGAATTGGCACGAGCACCAGGAAGTGGAGCTGAAGATGGTCGACTGGAATTTCTGTCATATGGTCTGTATGTTCTTGAACTTGACAAGTATTTTGATCTATATGCATGAGTTGGGCCCCCTCTACGGTACGATGAGCCTCCTTGACTTCTTCTTTGGTGAGATGGTTTGTTTTCACCTATAATATCGTCTAGTGACTTTTCTAATATATCAGACATGGTTGGTACGGGATAGTTTAAACTTGATTAATGAAGAATTAAAAATAGTGATTGAAATTTAAAGTTCGTTGTTGTTCAAAATTTGTTCTTTTGCTGTTTTTTTTTTTTTTTCCTCACCAGCTGCGGGTTATAAATCGATCAAAAGTTTACGATATCTACAATATCAATCTTAAGTTTACAATACGTAAGAAGTAACGTATATTTTTATAAAATCTAACACAATTCTGAAGTGATTAATATATTAATATTGACGAAATAAAAAATAATTTAGTTTTGTTTTTTACCAATTGATTTGTAATTTTCTTGTTCTTCGTATTTAATACCAAGAACTTTACCATCACTACCAAACACATCAACTTTCTTAAGTGAATCAATTGGTAATAATTTTGGCCAGTTAACAAACTGATATCCATCTCTATTAACATAGGCAATACTTCTTAAGTTGAAAAAGATACATCCACCGATAATTATCAAATTATTAAGACTAGTTATGGAACCTCTTGGATATAATAAGATAGCTAATAACACCAATAAGGAAGTACCCATAAGATAAGGAAGTAATTGAACGTATGGTGGTCTTTTATCAATGAATGGTGAAGTTAAAGAATCTTGATATGGTTTATATTCTCCTAAGAATAAATCATAAGAATCTTGTCTTGCACCATCTCTATAATTGTTTTTAATATATCTTGTGATGGAATTTTGTAAATCAGCCAAAGCCCCTCTTTTAGTTCTTCTACCAGTTCTTGTAAAATCAGTCTTTAAAGCACCAGTACCTGAATAAGCACATGAAACAGCATCAGCATTATCAGCCCAAAAATCTTGAAAGAATAAATTGAAATGAGGATCAAGAAGTTCCCATGGAGTTAAGTTTTCTTGAGGTAAATAACCAGTTTGAGTGAAAATATTTTGTAAAACCCAACGAGCAATAGTTGATTGAACCACATTGGTTCTATCTAAACAATCCATACAATTTGTTCTAACCACTTTATTTTGTAAATGGATGATTTTGGATGAATTTAAATCATAATGGAAAAAGTTATCACTAGTATAACCTAAACTGATTAAACGTTCTAATAATAATTTGATTCTATCCCATCTCATCTTTCTACATTCATGATGGAAATCAAAGTAGATATAATGAACTTTAGAAGCAATTTGGGGTGGTAAATTCTCAACAATAGTTTCATAACTATCTTTAACTGGTTTTTCATAACCGGATTGATTAACTAAATTAACAAGATAATTTTCTCCATAAAGCTTGGTTTGTTCATCAAAATGTTTCGAGGTTGCATCAATTGATGTTTGAGATCCAATGACTAAATTTGGTTTATATTTTAAATTATTAATTTCTGACCAATAAACAGGGACTGAACCTCTAGTTTGTAAGAAGGAATAAATATGTTTATCTTTAGAAGTAAATATTTGTTCTGTTTCATTGAAATTAGCCACATTACCTTCTGAATCAATCCCACGACGGAAGTATCTGGTACCGGCTCTTCTAACTGAACGACGAGTTAATACAGCAAAATCTAATGGATGGTTTGGACCATTGAATGAAGCAGAATGAGATTTGAAATAACCATAAATGATGGGAGTAACAAAGCTTTGAGCATTATTTTGAATTAATTCTTCTGATAAGTATGAATTCCACCAAAATCTTCTATCATATTCTAAATTCTCAACAGTATATTGTCTTTGTAATGAGTTTGTTAAATCATACTTGTTATCGACAGAATAATACAACGTAGCATTGGTTAAATGTTGATTTAATAAGTCTAAATAAGTAGTTTCTTCACTACTCTTCTTTAAGCTATTACTTAAAGGAATAATCTTGAACGTATCGATCTTTGCAATATCATTACCCAATATATTACCAGTAACAGTATGTTTATCAGCAACAATGATATATTTATTGATTTTCAATCTAATAACCCCAATAATACAAGCATAAGTCGTGGTTGATAAAGTTAATTTGCTATAAATTGTTGGTAACGTGTCAGTGACCTCAGACACACCATTATGATCCAAAAAAAGGTACTTTTGAAGTTTATCATTATAGAAGATATGAGTACCATCATTGGATATGAAGTGAGAGACACCCATTGTTCAAGTAAGATACCAAAAGATGTATAATAATGAATCAAATATGAATTGAAATTGATGTCGTTGTCAATTAATCATAAATCCCCAACTTTGTTTTAGTTCAAAGGGCTATGATATTTTTTTTTAGTTAAGGGTAAAAACAATTGGGGTTTACAACATCCAAACTGCAATAGTTAAAAAAGATAATCAGTATATGATGAGTCCTGTCCTCGGCCACGATTAATCCATGACGATTTTTAAAGTTTTGCAGCCTAGATTAGATTATAATTAATTAGATGATTATATCTTTGATTATATTTATCTGTTGAATAGTTCAATACATGTGAAGATTATTTTGTTTCTAGTTGCAAATCGACAATCTTTTATTTTACGATAGTTGGAGAACAACGTTAGGATAACGTCAAAAGAAGACTTTCAATGTGAAAGTCTTAATGGAGAGTATCTTATTTAACTTAGTTTCTATCACTTCTCATATATATGGTTAATAGTTCAAATACATATTATTCTTCCTTATAATACCCTATTTTACTATGATGAAACTATTCAATTATGCTCACAATACAAAAATTAAATTTTACAGTATCAAATTTGAAAACAGGAAAAAAAGCATAACAATGAGATCAAACTGAGTTATCAAAAGTTAAAGTCAAGTTAAAAGACATCACAAACTTAATGATATATTCCATATAGAATAATCACATTTGATTTCAATACACTAATAACGTCGAAGAGGGTGAAGGAAGGACTTGAAACAACAATAATTGACTATGTCCTCCTCATCACAAGATTTTTACGCAGTGTTGGAGCTATCACGAACGGCAACCACTGAAGAAATAAAGAAATCATTCAAAAGGCTTTCATTGAAATATCATCCTGATAAAACACATGTGAAGGAACATCATGATAAATTCCTTCAAATAAGTAGTGCTTATGAAACATTGAAGAATGATGATACAAAAAGAGCTTATGATATACAATTAGGTGCTATACCTCAATTTACACCATCCCATACTACTTATTCTTCAAGGTACCAATCATATCGTTCTCCCTTTGGATCAGGCTATTCTGATTTGCATGGATTTTTCAATCGAAAGGAAGATACTCAAAGAAAAGCTGATGATGAAAGAGCTAAATATGAAGCTCAAAGATTAAGAGAAGAAATCCTTGCCAGACAAAGAAAGGAAGAAGAAGATAGAAAAAGACGACATCTAGAAGAAAAGATCATAAAAGAAAGAGAAGAAGCTGAAAGAGCTCAAAAAGAAGCAAGTGCTGCCAAAGTTCAATCTGTAAAGGACAAACTAGATGCCATGTCAAAAAATCCCAAAAAGCAAGAGTCAGTGATGGCTGATTTATTAAAGAAGAAAGAAGAGGATGAGAGGGAAAAAATTTTAAAGGAAAGAATGGATGAAAATTTAAGATATAAAGAAGGTAAAGCATCAGCTGAGAAAAAGGCAAGACAACAACGACCTACTGATTTCATAAGTCAAGATGAATTTGATGAACTCTTGAAAGGTGCTCGGTTGGATAAGAATGAACCCGTGAAGAATAATATAAGAGTACCATCACAGGTACCTACAAATGGAACAACAAAGAAACCATCCAAAAAGGGAGATTCTGCAAATGATCAAGATGATGATTATTTCGTAGAATATCTTCCGGGTCAAACTCCTCCTGCCACTCCGGTTTCTTCTTCACAAATGCATGGAGAAGATTCAGCTGATCCAATTGTATTAGATGATGATGAATCTAATGAACATAGTCGTGCTAAAAAAGCTGCAGCTGCGGCAGCAGCTTCTGCTGCTGATATAGTGGTTGATGTGGATGAAGAAATACCCGATTTACCATATCAACCAGGAGGAAAACTTTCAGATGATGTATTTACAAATGGTTCTGGTCCTATTCCTATTCCAAGAACTGAGCCAAGAATGTATAAAAGGGCTACATCTCCTAAGAGAACTACCTACCCTAATCAAAGTTATGTTCGTAGTACAAGTATTCCTACCTCATTTGAAGCTGGTAATGCTTCTGTTAAGAGAGGAAATACAGCATTCTCATACGTTTCAATAAATGAAGTGTTACGAGAAAATAATATAGAACAAACAGATTATGCTGATATGCTTAATAGCTTACCTCATTTGAATGGGAGAAGAAAACCCAGTGGAGAAGTATCTTCATCTCAATCCAAAAAAGCTAAGGTTGCTGAATTTTATGATGGATCATCTCAAGCAGAAACTCTTTCAACCCCCATTAATAAAAATACAGTTAGAGGTTATAATCCTGGAACCCCTGCTAAACCAAAATCACTTACAGTATTTGATTTACATGCTTCACCATCTATTCTTGAATGCGAACCTCCCGCCACTCCAAATGCAAGTATAGATCCATACATCACTCGAAATGGCTGGGAAAGATACGTAACGCAAATGAATAATTATCATCGAGAATTCTTATCATATAAAAAGCTTATTGTTCAATATCAATTGGAGAGAGCTTCTAAAGATGAAGAATTATTTGATGAGGTCAATAAACAAATAAATCATGAAGTATATCAACAATGTTTGCGAAGAGATTTACAAGTCAATCAAGAATATACTGAGCAATTACGAATCTTTACGAATGTCATGAGTATTTATAAACAGAATTGTGGATGGATAAATATGAAGAAAACTGAAAGTAACTGGTAGTTACTCTAACTCCTCCCCTGTATTATATAGAGAAATCTTCTGATTATATAGAGTCTATATTTTACTTTAATAAAAAGAGAAACCAAAAAACACGTTGTAGTGGTTGCTAACAACCTTAGTAGACTTTTTCAGACTATTACGCGCGTTTGTTGACACTATTTTTATTTTTATATTTTTCGATCTGAAGAAGAGGAAGAAGGACAACGATACCTATTTGCAACAACTAGAATACATAGTTAAAGTCACCGCCAGTCATGAACAGGAATCGTCAATTGTTACTCTTCATAGGGTTGGCATTCCATTTCTTTTATTTATGGTCGATCTTTGATATTTATTTTGTCCTGCCGTTAGTTCATGGAATGGATCATCATATTTCAACTGCGAAACCACCAGCTAAGAGATTGTTTTTAATAGTTGGGGATGGTTTAAGAGCAGATAAGACTTTCCAAAAGTTAACACATCCAGGTACAGGTGAATACAAATACTTGGCTCCTTATTTAAGGAGCATTGTCGAAAATGAAGGTACATGGGGTATTTCAAATACTCGTATGCCTACTGAATCAAGACCAGGTCATGTTGCCATGATTGCTGGGTTTTATGAAGATGTTTCTGCCGTCACTAAGGGTTGGAAAGAAAATCCTGTTGATTTTGATTCATTCTTTAACCAATCAAAACATACATACTCCTTTGGGTCTCCTGATATTTTACCAATGTTTGCCTATGGTGAAGGAGTGGTTCCAGGTAGAATTGATGTTTGTATGTATGGTCATGAATTTGAAGATTTCACTCAAAGCTCAATTGAATTAGATGCATTTGTTTTCAAACATTTGGATGAATTAATGACTGAACTGAAAACTAATCAGACTTTACATGATGAATTAACTCAAGATGGTAATGTGTTCTTCTTACATTTACTTGGACCTGATACTGCTGGTCATTCTTATCGTCCGTACTCGGCTGAATATTATGATAATATTGAATATATCGATGAAAAATTATCCAAATTAATTCCAAAGATTCATGAATTCTTTGGTGATGATGAAACTGCCTTTGTGTTTACTGCTGATCATGGTATGTCAGATTTCGGTTCTCATGGTGATGGACATCCAGATAATACAAGAACACCTTTAATTGCTTGGGGTGCAGGTGTAAATAAACCTAAGTTAATCAAGGATTTATCGAGTCCAGAACAACAACTTTTAAAACAAGATCCAATTGCCAGTGGCTTCGAAGATACTTATTTTGATACATGGGAATTTGATCATTTAGCTAGAAATGATGTTAAGCAAGCTGATATTGCCTCATTAATGGCTTACTTAATTGGGGCAAATTATCCAGCTAATTCAGTTGGTGAATTACCCTTGAGTTATCTTGATACCGATTCTGTTACGAAGATTAAAGCCTTATATGCCAATGCATTGGCCATTGTTGAACAATATTTTGTCAAAGAACAGGAAGTTTATGAACATCAGCTTAAGTTCAAGCCTTACAGACCATTTGAAGAAAAGTCAATTGCTCATTATAGATCTGAAATCATTAATTTAATTGATCAATTAGAAACCAATTATGACGCTGCTATTGAAGCGGAGGCAATCCAACTCGCTGAAGAATTAATGAAAACTGCTTTAGATGGATTGAACTATTTACAAACCTATAATTGGCTATTATTGAGATCTATTGTCACATTAGGATTCTTTGGATGGATTGTTTTCTCGTTCAACATTTTCTTGAAGTTATTCATCTTATCTGAGAAGGAGGTAAAACACTTTTCTAGTAACAGTAGTTTGTTATTACAATCATTCTTTGTTATATTGGGTGCTGGAATCAACTCATTGTTGTTTTTCCAAGACTCTCCTTTCAACTACTATATGTATGCTGCATTCCCATTATACTTTTGGTACGATATCTTAAGTGAAAAGGTTATCTTAGTAAAGGGATGGAACAAATTATTCTATGGTATTTCCAACACAACCAAAGCTGTGGTGGCGTTTTCTTTTATTGCTATGTATGAGGGTATAGCTTATGGTTTCTTTGAAAGATTCATGTTCTCAATTATTTTTGCATTCATTGGATTATATCCAACTTTGATTGATAGTTTCGAAAAAATATCAACTCCTGTTAAAGTATTCTGGTTTTTCAATTGTTTGTTGATGTGTATTTTCACAAACTTAGATCCTGTTAAAGTAGAAAGTTTGGTTCAAATAAATGTGGGGGCTGCATTTGCTACTGTTGTAGCTCTTGCAGGAGTTTACAAAGTGTTCAATCAGAAGATTGAATCCATCCATAAAACATTGGTCCTTGCCCAATTATCAACTATTCCTGTGATCTTATTTGCCACAAATGTCTCTGTTTTATCATTACAAGCTAGAACTGGTTTACCATTATATTCACAGGTTATCGGGTGGGTCGGTTTTGTTGTTTCATTAGTGGTTTGGCCAACATGGCACTCATTCTATCCATCAAAGAATTATCAACTTAGACTCTTGATTATATTTATTGCTTTTATTCCAACCTTTATTATTTTGACTATTTCATTTGAATTATTATTTTATGTTGGTTATTCATTGATTTTACTCCAATGGTTAAATATTGAAGAATTATTAAAGGTTGACATTTCTATTCTTGACAAACAATCAGGTACTGTGCCTAAAGGTTATTGGTTGCAAGTTATTAGAATATCTATCGTTGGGTTCTTTTTCTTACAATTGGCATTCTTTGGTACAGGTAACATTGCATCTATTTCATCATTTTCATTAGATTCGGTATACAGATTGATTCCTATTTTTGATCCATTCCCAATGGGAGCATTATTAATGCTTAAATTAATAATTCCTTATGTTTTATTATCTACTTGTTTAGGTATAATGAATCATAGATTGGATATTAAAAAGTTTACTATTTCAACTTTAATTATTTCTACAAGTGATTTCCTTTCTTTGAATTTCTTCTTCTTGGTAAGAACTGAAGGTTCATGGTTAGACATTGGGGTAAGTATTTCAAATTATTGTCTTGCCATATTATCATCATTATTCATGCTTATTTTAGAATTGGTTAGTTCAATAGTTTTACATGGTGTAGACATTGAAGATCCCCATGAAATTGAAAACGCAAAGATAAAAGGTGAATCAATAGGTGCAAGGGTAAGAAATAGAAGGAAGATCGATTAAAAAGACTATATCCTTAACTTCTTAGGAAAAGTATATTATAATAATAATTAGGTTAATAAAAAAAAAGTACATGTTAGATAATCTGTAAATTTTATGTAAACTGTAGAAACTTTGAAAAGTGACATAAACTGTAAAATTCTTGTAAAGCGTAAAATGAGTCAGGTCGTACTGAAAAAAAAATTAATATTAGTGAAAATGAATTGAATTTGATATATCTATAGTTTGTAGTTAACGATCCCAGATCAAGATGGTCCTTTCATTGGAGAAGAAACATGTGTTGATGATAGATAATTACGATTCCTTCACTTGGAATTTGTATCAATACTTATATCAATCACCATTATGTTCCAAAGTGGATGTTATAAGAAATGATCAAACCGATATTGAAACCATTGAAAATAGGATTAAACCAGATGTTATATTCATTTCTCCTGGTCCTGGTCATCCTAAGACTGATTCCGGTATTTCCAGAGAAGTGATTGATTACTTTAAAGGAAAATTACCAATATTTGGTGTTTGTATGGGTCTTCAATGTATGTTTGAAGTATTTGGAGGAGATGTATTATATGCTGGAGAAATCGTTCATGGGAAAACTACGACTATAAAACATGATGGGAAGGGTATGTTTGCCAATGTTCCTCAATCTGTTGCTGTCACCAGATATCATTCATTAGCTGGTAGTCCACAAACTTTACCTGAATGTTTAGAAGTTACTGCAAGAACTGAAACATCACCTGAAATTATTATGGGTGTAAGACATAAAGAATATACTATTGAAGGAGTTCAATTCCATCCTGAATCGATTTTAACTGAATCTGGTCAATTAATGATAAACAATTTATTAGCCATTAATGGTGGTACTTGGGAAGAAAATGGAAATACCTTGAAAAGAGTTAAGAGTAAGCAAGAAAATATCTTAACTAAAATCTATAAACAACGTGAATTAGATTATGAGATTATTGAAAAAATACCTGGTAAATCAATTAAAGATTTAGAAACTTCTTATGCATTAGGTTTAGCCCCTCCATTAATCAATTTCTATGATAGATTAAAGTATACTCAATCAGATTTAAAACAATCTATCATTTTATCAGAATTTAAAAGAGCATCACCATCCAAAGGAAATATCAATATTGCTGCCCATCCAGCTAATCAAGCTTTGACATACGCGACTAATGGATGTTCTACTATTTCAGTATTAACCGAACCAAAATGGTTCAAAGGTTCTTTGGATGATTTATCATTAATCAGAAAAGTCATTGACTTACCTACTACCAGTGGATATAAAAGACCAGCTGTATTAAGAAAAGAATTCATCTTCAACAAATATCAAATCTTGGAAGCCAGATTAGCTGGTGCTGATACTGTGCTATTAATTGTCAAGATGTTAGACAATTTCACTTTATTACAAGAATTATATGAATATTCTTTATCTTTAGGAATGGTTCCTTTAGTGGAAGTGAATGATAAACCAGAATTAGACCAGGCATTAAAATTGACATACAACGGGTCTAATGAAGAACCATTAATCATTGGTGTCAATAATAGAAATCTTACTACATTCAACGTAGACCTTAATACCACAACTTCTTTAGTTAAAGATGCAAAATCTTCAGCTAGAAAAGGTGATGTATTGGTATTGGCATTATCAGGTATAACTTCTGTAGACGATGTCAAACATTACAAATATAATGATAACGTAGATGGATTCTTGATTGGTGAAAGCTTAATGAGAGCTGAAGAAAAGGGTCAAGCTGGTGAATTCTTACATGAATTGTGTAACTGTTAAAACTTAGACTTTATATAAATTTAATAAATTACTGTATATAACAATTATCATCATCATTTTTTTTGGTGGTGCAAACAAACGCGTACTTTGAAATCAAAAACTGAAAGTTGAAATTTATATCTCTAACTTCAACTTCAACTACAACAGATCAAAACATATACAAGATGGAAGCTAGTCAAATAAGGATAGATGCAACATTGTTAGAAACACACAAGGGTCAACTTGTGCGTTTGATAGGGAAAGTTCAAAGTTACGATACATCTAGAGCTGCTGGTGTTGTCGATAGTAATGGTGAAGTGAGAATACAAATTCAAGATTCAAACGAATACCCAAGTGTTGGTAAGATTTATGAATTCATAGGAAAAGTGAGTTCTAATAGTTTGGATGTAACTGTTTATTCCATAGTAGAATTGTCAGATAATACCAATTTAGATGTGGCTCAAAAGTTGGTGCATTATGTTCATAAAGTTCCAGAATTATATTATTGAGAGAGTTATTGATCATTCTATACGTGTATATTTCTAAGTTAATGGATGAAATTTAAAGAATCTATATAACAGAATCAAATATTTTGTAGATCTTCAAATATATTAGCAAATCTAGCTTCTTTTGCATGCTTTTGTTTGATACTATTTAACCAACTTGGTTTACTATCAAATACTTTAGCATATCTGTAATTTCCATAACCTACAACTAATCTGTAAGCAGCTTCTTCATTGTTTGTGGCAGATATAATATCACCTACCAATAAACTTAATTTCACCACAGGCAATGCTGATTTGGGATTTTCAGAAAACCCTTCCAAATAAAGATGATATGCTGATAAATTGTAGATTAAGGTAGCCAACGTTGTAATGGATGCATTATAAAGTTTATGTTGTTTTCCCACTTCAGAACTAGATAATAACACCGCTTTTGAACTAATAGACTTTAATAATTCTTTAAAGTAGTCATTGAACTTGTATTTCCTATCTTGACCATTTTCAATGCCTTCGGGATCAACAAATAACTGTATGAACAAAGTAGTATCAATCAAATTATTCAAAGCTTTTAAAATCATCATAAATAATGGAACCGATTTCTCATCAACAAGATCTATACCCACATTAAGAATAAGTAATACAGTTTCTTGAGCTTCAGTATTGCTTAAAAACTCTTCTGATGAAATTTTAGGAATAGCTAATCTCAATAAATCATATCCAATTAATCTGGTCTCTTGAAGCCATTCAGTAGTGATTTTTGGAATATATTTCAACAACAATTCCATGGCTCCTTCTGAGGTCAAATCTTCTAAGACAATCTTTATCAAATCTAAATCTTCAGTGCTGAATTTATTTTCAACTTGTTCTTCATTTAATTTCTTTATACCATTAAGTATTTGTGGTGGCTTATAATCCACAAATGATATGTATGTTTGTTCAGGAATTACCTTGAGCTTTTGATGAGATCTTATATAATTGTCAGCGTAAGGATTTTCCACCTCTATGTTTCCTGACAGTTCTTGGATGTTAAATCCTGAACTATTGGTATTAATAAATTGTACCACTTCTTCAGTATAACTAGCAGGTAATTCATTTTCAGCTAAAAATCTTTCTGCGGCAACATATGGATTTTCATTAATATTATATGGCAACTTCAAAGGCGGAGCTCCATCTTCGATATCAACATCAAACACATAATCATATTCTTGACCATTATGAACTTTTTTGGATTCAGATTTTGAAGATCCTACAACATCTCCAATTTTATGCCATTCACCTCCAGACCATTGATGGGCTTCAATGCCTCCTTCTACATTTTTGACCATTAATGTGGCACCTTCATGCTTTCCAGGACGTGTTAATGCATCTAATCCTGGAATATCAGTCTTCTTTAATTCATCTAACGATTGTTCAGCAATACTCGATTGTTCTAGCTCTGCCTTAAACTGTTTCAACTCATCTTCACCAGCAAATCTAGAAGGATCTTTAGTAAATACTCTTATCAAATTGTCTGATCCACCTACAGCGAAATCACCATTTGGAAAAACACCAATTGTCCAAACAGAGATACATGGCAATGTAATAACTTGAGAAATAGAACCATTCTTCCAAACTCTCACTGTTCTATCTTCACCAACAGAAACTAAGTCTCCATTGGGTAACTCTGAAACGTCATACACAAATGATTCATGTCCATATAAAGTCTGTAATACTTTTCCGCTGGTTATATCCCAAACCTTAATGGTTCCATCATTAGAAGTAGATGCAAATTGATTCTTATCTTTCAAGACATGTAACTTTCTAATCACATCTTTATGACCATTGTCAAAACGGGCAACCTCATGAGAACCGTCCCAAATTCTGATAGTTTTATCAGCAGAACAGGTGATAAACTTAGTTCCACCAATAATTTTAGCATCCAAGACAGAATATTCGTGACCCTTTAAATTGAACTTGATTTCAAATGTGTTGAGATCCCACACTTTAGCTGTTGCGTCCCAAGACGATGATATCAATTGACCATCATTATAAGATAACGAACAAACATTACCCTCGTGTCCTATCAATTGATATTTACCAGTATCATCATTCGGTTTACTGTCTGAAGCAATCAATTCAGATAAATAAATCATAGCATCTTGAGAACCTGCAGCTATTAAAGGTTCATTGGTTCTGGAATCTATGAATGCAATTGAGTTAATGAAGCTTGCTGTAGGTGAAGTGAATGATATTATATTTGAAGCTGATGATTCTACACTATTCCATTTGCCGTTATGACTGGACCATATTCTAACCGTTCCATCTCTCAGACCCGATATTATCGTATCGTCAGAAGGTACAGCTAAGCTTTTAACATCTTGCTCATGGCCATTGAGAGTAGCACTTAACTTGAAAGAACTCATATCTTTTGCTGAACTAAAAGTAATTGGTGGCAAGATATTAAAGTTATTAGTAACTTTTCAGATTTGTTGATTACACTAAACTATTTTCCTCTGCACGACCAGTTCAGAGTGCAAAAACTACAATACCCACACATAATATTACATCAACCACTAATTTTACTACTACAATCAGCTGTTCAATTTAATTGGGTATTTATAATCTACAAGTATGAAGTGAATTGTTTATATGCAATAAAAAATTATATCTATTACCTCGAAATTAAATAAGCAATGATAACCGAAACGTTTGTTAATCTAATAACCGAAAATGAAGAAAACTAACCAATACTAATATGTAAAAATAATAATAAATTAAATGAAGAAGATGATGAAATGGATATTTTGCTAAAACAATTTTATGAACAAAAGAAATCTAATCGATTTAATCCTAGTTTCGAAATGCTAAATTGGCAATGAGCTACTTAAAATAAGTAAGAGGCTAATAAAACGACTAATAAGGAGAATGAGTATTGAGCTCTGTTAGAACCAGCTTCATAAGTGGATACAGCAGCACTTCCAGTAGCAGCAGCTGAGGCTGAAGCACCAGTAGAAGCAGCAGCAGGAGTTCCTTCACTGAGAGTTGAAGTGATGTTAACAACTTCAGTTTCGGTACCTTCAGCAGCTGGGGCAGTAGAAGCACCAGTAGTGGTAGCAGCAACACCGGTAGTGGTAGCGGCAACTTCTTCACCGGCAGCTTTGGTGGTAGCAGCAGCAGCAGCTTCAGCTTCAGCTTCAGCAGCAGCACTAGCTGCAGCTTCTTCTGGACAGTAAGTGGTTTGAATAGTTGTAACTAAAACTTCAGTGGTGGTAAGAGTAGTGTCTTGACCTTCTGGACAGTAAGTAGTAGTGAGGGTAGTAGTAATAACAGTTTCTTCGGTGGTGTAAGATTTGCTGGAAGTTTCAGCAGCTTCTTCTGGACAGTAAGTAGTTTCAATTGTTGTAACTAAAACTTCAGTAGTGGTGATAGTGTTATCTTGACCTTCTGGACAGTAGGTGGTGGTAATGGTAGTGGTAAGAACAACATCGGTAGTGATGTATGATTTACTAGCACCGGTACCAGTGGTTTCAGTGGTAGTAGCAGTTTCAGTAGTAACTGGAACAAGTTCAGTGAAACTGGTGGTAATGGTTTCTTCTGAAGTAACTGGGACAACAGTAGTAATAACTTCGGTGGTTCCATCAATAACAGTGGTGTAAGTTTCAGTTGAACTGAAAATAGTTTCAGTTGTGTAAGTTTCAGTGGTAACAGTAGAACCAACACTAATAGTTGCACCTTCAGAAGCTGAAGAACCAGAAAGTGGTAAAGCAATACAAGAGTGAGTATCATTAAAGGTGGCAGCAATAGCGCCATCGGTTGAAGCATCAACACTGAAGAATGGTCTGTAACCAGTTGGAACACCCCAGTATGAAATAACAATAGAATCAGCTGAACATGAAGCAACAGTGATACTGCTTAAAGTTTCAAAAGTGGTTGGGAAGTACCAAGCATTAAGACTGTTGGTAATACCAGCAGACCAAGAATCACAATCAATTGAACCATCGGTAACAGAAATAGTAAGCTCACCAGAACCGTATAATGAAGAACAGTTTCCACCTAAAATGTAGAAATTTTCAGCATTATCCCATGTTTCTGGTCTAGAAGCATAAACAAGAACATCTGGATCACCAGGAGATGGAGCACCAGCGGCGAAATCAACTTCAGTAGAAATATCATTAAGACCATCGTTGAAAGCGATAACTTGGGAACCTGGAACAAAAGCGTTGGCAGCTTGAATATCAGAAGCAGAGGTCGAACCACCAATATTGAAGACTAATGGTAAGACAATGAAACCACTGGCATTAGGATTAGTAAGAATGGCATCAGTGACAGTACAATCTAAAGTAGTTTCATCATTAGTAGAACCAGCCATAGTGATAAGACAATCAGCGTAATCAACACCACCAATAGTTAAAGATAATGTAGCATCAGCTCTCTTCTTGATACCACCAGCACCTTGGTAAAGGTTGAAGACATTTGGTAAACCAAGATGTAAAACATCACCTGGTTGAGTGTCATTTGGGAAAGTGAAACCAATTGAAGCTTCGAAGGCTGGGGCCATTGGGATTGGTTGAGAGTGAGCTGAATCTAAAGGAACAAAAGCTAATGGAGCAATGGAAGTTTCGAAAGCACCATAAACAGTTGGAGCAGCAGTAGATGATTCACCAGATGAAGCAGAGGTTGGAGGAACTTCACCGCCGGTAGTTGGAGAAGTTGGAGCTTCACCACCAGTAGTTGGAGAGGTTGGAGTTTCACCGCCAGTAGTTGGAGAAGTTTCTTCGGTAGCAGAACTGGAAGATTCTTCGGAACTTGGAGCTTCACTACCAGTAGTTGGAGAAGTTGGAGCTTCACCGCCGGTAGTTGGAGAAGTTGGAGCTTCACCACCAGTGGTTGGAGAAGTTTCTTCGGTAGCAGAACTGGAAGATTCTTCGGAACTAGGAGCTTCACCACCAGTGGTTGGAGAGGTTGGAGTTTCACCGCCAGTAGTTGGAGAAGTTTCTTCGGTAGCAGAACTGGAAGATTCTTCGGAACTAGGAGCTTCACCACCAGTGGTTGGACCAGTAGTACCTTCAGTAGCAGAACTTGATGATTCTTCGGTAGCAGAAGATTCACCTGATGTTGGAGCAGTGGTACCTTCAGTTGCTGAAGTAGATGATTCTTCAGTAGATGATGATTCTTGGGTTGAGATTAATTCAGAAGAAGTACCTTCAGAAGATTCAAGAAGAGTACTTGAAGATTCAATGTATGAACTTGAAGAATTGGCATATGAAGAAAGGAAGAAAATGGATGATGATGAAGTTAATTCACCAGTAGAAGCAGAACTAAGAACGATAGTTGGGAACGCACTACTTGAAGATTCAGTAGTTGATTCAGTAGTAGATTCTTCTGATGAGATAAGAGTTGATGAAGACGATTCGTAAATACTCAGTGAGTTGGAATAGGAAAGAGTATAACCATAAGCCTTAGCAGCCATAGCTAAGGCTGCGACACAGTATTTAGCTTGAACCATTACTTCTTGATAAATTCGTTATGGTAAAAGAAAGAAGATCAGAAAAGAAGAAAAGAAATTCATAAACATGAAGAATCAAAATTTACAGGGGGAATGGATATAGTATATATATATGATCCCTAAGGGATTTCTGGTTACTGGTAAAAAGAATCAAAAAAGAAATCAGAAAGGAGTCGTTACTGCGAAAAAAAAATTTCATTGAAATCAAACAAGCACATCAAAAGCACTTTAGTACTACCACGCTGCAAAAAGTAGCTGAAGCTGTTAAAAAATATTAGACAAATATAGTCGCGATAGAGGAATAAGTAAAGAAAAGATAAAAAATAACGCTTCTAATTTCTTTAAAATTGTAATTCCTTCCAGATCGAGAAAGCTAATTTCTTAAAGGAGGATATTATCAGTTGAAATCGTAACATCCTGTCATATAATAATAATTAAAATTTCGTAAAATGTACAAAGCTTGCATGCAGAATATGCCAAAAAAAAGATTTTTTAAATCTTGCACACAATGCAGTTGCATAAAAAATATTCTCGTTCAGAAGTCAAAGCGTCTATTAAAAGAGAAAATGAATGCAGGAATAACCATCAAGAAGACCTATCATATAACAAATTGAAAGTGGAGAAAGGGTATCATATAAAGTATGGCTAACAATGATCATAGCAATAATTCGTTGATAAGATTATTCTAAAGAAGACTATGAATGTACCAATAATCCTGAAGTAACTTGTACAGTAAACTCGATTTCTTCTTACGCGACCTTTTTACGAGAAAATACAAATAGCCAGAAACAACTCACAAAAAAATTAATTGGTGCGTTTTTTTTGTTTATTGATTTGAAGCTGGAGAAAAGGGGGGCGTAAATATAGATAAACGAAAGGTATAAAAGATCTAAATTTGAACGTTGCATTCCTAAATTGGACTAGATGCACAGCAATACAGAATTATTTTTTTTTAAAGTTTAGTTGATGAACCAATTAAATTATTGAACTAAAATTAAAATGCAAGCAAATCTAAATTTCCGCCTTTAGGAGGAAATTGGTAATGTTAACCTTATTTAAGGTTTCATAATTTGAATGATTTGTAGTACAATCGAAAAGTGTGGACTGCAGAACTACAGATGATTAGCTTCCGTTCTAGTTTCGGTTCAGATCTTTAAATAAACTTACATTAAATATACAAATTTGTGACATCGGAAGAAAATTCTGGCGGTAGGCAGATAATTCCTCGTGGACAAACTTGAATTCACAAAAATTTTTCTCAACGCGCTGGATTTATTCTTAGTATACATGAGATTTCTACATACTTATTCTAGCTAGCAGATACCACTTGACTCATTTTACTTCATGTTTGAGCAATGAGATGAACATGTGTGAGTAGGTTGAAATAATTTCTATTGTATTACACTTAGCGAAAATATTCTTCAAAATGCTTGTAATTAATATAGAGTGTAATTATAATAGTAGTGTTTAGAAAGATCCTCGCAACGCACCGAGAACAAAGGAATCCAAATAATAGGAAATACGAAAGTTCACAACGGTATAATTGCTATGAATACAATGGGATTTTCTTCTTGTTGAATGTTGAATCTTAAAAATAATTGAAGCAATAATTTTAATAAGAAAAAAATAAAAATTATTTTTTATATTTTATTTTTATTTTTTTTTAATTCTTCTTTGTTTTGTGATTAGTTTTTTTTATTTTGAGCCTTCAATGAACGTCAATTTTCAACGTAAACTATAGTTCTACTTAATAAATTCGTAATTATCAGATGATAGCAATCACGTGTAGTGTATTCTTCTAATTTAACTACTAATTTCAGTTAGATGAAGTTATAACATTTCATTTAACTGAGTGAGAATAACCTTGATAAGTGAGTTGCAAAGGATTGACCTGGTGAAATATAGTACTCAATACATTTTATGAACATGAGCTTTCCAGTATTTCGAAAGAGTTTATTAATAAATAAATAAATAACTAGTCAGACATCCTGTTCTAATAGGAGACTGAATATTATGCTATGAGATAGGAACTAATGAGACACGGCGAAAAGTTTTAAAATTGTTTATTCTTAATCTTATAAATCATTTAGTAAAATTTAAAGATTATTGAATGTATTCTGTATTATGTATGACAAAGTGGGGAACCATTTATTCGCTCCTGGATCCAGTACATATTTTAGACTATGAACGGCTCTTATTCTATATTAAGTAATATTAGGTAATTGGTCTTCTGACCCTTGGGCAAGTCAATAAGTTTCTTACTTCCATTATCTTATTTGTAAGACTAACCGGAAATTACAAAGTTATCATAAAACATAATATATAAATTCGACGTTTACATAAAACCAAAGTAAGTTGGTATGAATCTTGGGAAACATTAAGATAAAAATATTTTAAAAAATAAATCGAGTGTTAAAAATAACCTAAAAATAAATTTATAAAAATCTGAGGCGTTCATATTGAGTCCATAATATTTCAAAAATCTTTTTATAATACACCAAATCAGTGGCTATCCTGCTCTCTTATGCTTATTTCCCAGTATTATAAATAATAATTATAATAATTTAAAAATAAAAGTTGAAAAATAATACCGAAATAAATATTTTCGGAAAACTTCAAAGTATTTTAGGGTTGGCCATTGAACTTTTTTCTTTAAAATATCATGGAATGGGTATGTCATAAACTTAATATCTGTTGCTCAGTAAGATGTTCAGGTTTAATACTAGCATGTTTACATTTATCATAGCTACCGATCAATTTAAGCTTGACGCTAAAATTGAAAATGATCCAAAAGATTTGTTTTTTTCTCCTCTATTTTTTTCCCATAGATTATTTTTATCGCACAAAGTTTAGCAGCCACTAAAAGTAAATACGAAATATACCCCCTAACCATTGGATGAGGATAGTATTCCCTAAAGTATAATTTTTATCCCGAGCAAGAGCGCAATCAAAGTAGTCAGTATACGAATGCTTAAGCATACATTCAATGTTGTGATTTCTTATATCTTAATCCAATTCTACATATCAGTAGCTTCAACATACGCATAGCAAAGCTCATGTTTGTTCATTAAAGCACATAAGCATAAGATGAAATTTTCCGCTACTTCGTTTATTATAACGCAATAGTGGTGACATGATGATGCTACTGAAGATAATAATGATAAATCGATAAAAGTTCGTATCTATAGATTTGTTGATATTTTGAATTTGTAAAGGGAATAGCGAAGGGGCAATGAGAGGGGTGGTGTTCAGATAGATGATCAAAGTTTGAGCTTCATTGGTGCGCTATATTCAAAACTATGTTTAAAAATAAAACCAAGAAATGGAAATTCGCCGTCTATTTTCTGGAAGGTTTCATTTTATAGAAGTACATATATAATCTATAATAATTTTTTTTTATTTTTTAATAGTTTAAGCACTATGCAACTATTTGAAATTAACATCAACACAGAAATATGTAATATGAGCAAATTCAGTAGGGCCGGAGGTTTCCTTCGATTTCTTTTTGAAAAGATGTATTTCCTGATTTTGCCTTACATTGCTTAATCAGCTTATTATTTATTAAGTACAATTGATTTTGATTGGTTCATTACGACGGCAAGGGTGTGCTTTATGAGAAAGGTTGTTCCCTATGTAATCTCATGGGAAGCCCATCGCCTAGTGATAGAAGTTTATCGAAGAAAATGTTTTGTAGAATTGCATGCCCTCGATTTTAAAATTCTAAAGCCATCAATCTAACAGTGAGTTAGTTCAAAAGGTCTTCCATAGACCAATAATTAAGTAACAAGTTTTTATATATTAAAAGATATATCATCTAATTAAAGGTCTCTTTCTATAGTCTTAAACATATTTAACCTTCTTATTGGCATTTTCAAGCTTATCGCTGTCGTAATTATTATTAGTATCATCGTCATTATCATTAACATTAGTTTCATCATTATCACTATTATTATCTTTATTGTTATTACCATTATCATGAACGCTATCATTAGTTTGTAATCTTTCTAATTCACTACCCTCCTTATGGTCATTTATATTGCCATCATTATCCTTATGACCAAATAAAGCTTGTATTGATTTGTAATTATTATTCAATATACAAAAATTGGATATAATTGAATCTAATTGGAAATCAAGTACCAACTCCCACGAATTATTAGCATAAAGTTTATGAATTATTATCGAATTCTCTAATGTTGAAGTTATCAAATATATAGGACTAACGAAATTCAAATGAGGAGCCGTCATATTCATAGCTTGAGGTAATATACATTCGAATTTTAGCATAGGACCTAATTTCAAGTTATCATAAAACTTTATAATTTTAAACCCATCAATACTAACATTGATTCGAATGATTCCAACTTTACATAATGAATCAGTGAATAAGAAATGATTATAATTAAGTTTGACAAGATTAATAATGGGGAATGATGATATTTTGATACTTTTATACATATTATTACCAATATTATTTGAAGTGACTGTATTTGGTTTCGTAATATCATAATACAATAGGTTTCCAAATTGAGTTCCACAAATAACACAAGTTTCAAACAAAAGGATGGATATAATACAATTAGAAAACTTTTCTTGTTTGATGGCATTAATGGAATTCATATAGGATCTCCAAATGGGCATTAATACTAAGTTTGAACTAGAATTAAGCATTTCATTAGGACTACTTGAACTCATATTTCGAAGAGTTCGTTGTAAAAATGGTATTCGACTAGCATCATCCCATGGGATATAACCCTCTTGATTAAATGCCTCTGGGTTTAAAATCACACTTAATGAGGTGAAAACTCTTCGTAAATGTCTTGGGTTTTCAAATCGAGGAATGCTTTGAATGTATCTTGTATCTTGTAAGAATTCATAATCTTCAGTGGGGAGTACCATACTTGTATTGTTGTTGTTGTTACTACTGGGTGGGTTACTGGCACTGAATTGTCTTTGATGATGATGTTGATGTTGATGTTGATGATGGGGACTATTTTGATATTTTGATAATAAATCAATTTGAAACAATTTCAATTCATTATGATTATTAACAATGATAATTTTAATGATATCTTGAAAACTTCTTGACATAACATAAATGGATGAAACTTGTCCAATCCAATATACTTTATAACCGAATTTTGAATCATCATTGATTAAATCTCGAATGATTAACTTACCAGCTTTAGAGCAACTATAAAGATATTTATCATTGATGATTCCTACTTTTATAATCCCATCCATTTGAGAAGAATTTGAATCTGCTGGACTGGTATTGGAAATACCATTACTATTCTTCCATTCTTTGATTAATTCATAAACCTTGAACGATTTTGAATCGATTTTATAGTTGACAAGTTGTTCTTTATATAGTTGAATGATATTTCTATTCAATATCAAGATAATATGATTCTTATTACCAATTTTAAAGTTATAAATCTTTTGAATTTTATCTGATTTAGAATGATCAATGATATCACCAAGAAGACTACTTTCATTGTCTGATCGGTGAGTTTTATTCTCAAGAAACATCTTCTTGAACGTTATATCCAACGCATTATGAGCATACCTTGATATTTTAAGAGCTAAACATATGATGTTAATACTTTGGCCATAAACTAATGACAGATAAACATCAAACCACAAATCCTGTAACACATACCTTTTAGATCACTTTGATCTTCATTAGTTAGTAATATATCCATTACTAATACTTTGCTCTCACTATCTCTACCATACAACCATGTAAATATATCAACTTGTCATAAACAATACTGGTAAACCTGAAACTTGTTTGGTGGGGATTTAATTTGTATGATTTCGGTGTAATAAGGAAAATGTGTGGGGAGACGAGACGAGACAAATCGGAAACCGGAAAACATGAGAATGTCGAAAATAAACAAAAATGACAAAACTGATTTGCGACATGGATCAGAAGAAAATGCGACAAGAAATAATGGCATACAATCATTATTTTACAGTATAATGATAACAACATCTAGAAATTATCGATTATAATGAATGTGTACAAAATAATTTATTGAAAAGTATATAGATATATTAAATAAAACAATTTTTTTTTTGAAGGAAGAGTGTTTTCTAAATTTTAACAAAGAATTTCAACTTAGATAGCTTTTTCTAACATTGATTCACGAGCTGGACCAGTTCCAACCCATTGAATTGGGACACCAACGAAATCTTCAATGAATTTAAGATAAAGTTTAGCATTAGTTGGTAATTCATCATAAGTTTTTATTTTTGTTATATCTGATTCCCAACCTGGTAAAGTTTTATATTCAACTTCAACTTTACCTAATTTAATTAAATCTTCTGGGAATGATTTTAAGGTTTCACCATTTAATTTATATGATACACCAATTTTAATTTCTTTAAATGAATCTAAAACATCTAATTTAGTAATGTTTAATGAAGTATAACCATTAATTAAAGTAGAATATTTTAATACCACTAAATCTAACCAACCACATCTTCTCTTTCTACCAGTTGTAACCCCAAATTCAGCTCCAATGGTTTGTAAAGCTTCACCATCTTCATTCAATTGTTCAGTTGGGAATGGACCTTCACCAACTCTAGTAGTATAAGCTTTCACAACCCCATAAACATTTCTAATGGTTTTTGGAGGAATACCTAATCCAGTTAAAACACCACCAATACCAGTTGATGAGGAAGTAACATAAGGATAAGTACCAAAATCAATATCTAACATAAGAGCATTTGCACCTTCAACTAAGATTTTTTTCTTATTTTCAATCGCAGTATGCATGAAATCAATTGAATCAACCACAAATGGTCTTAATTGTTCACGATATAATTCATATTGTTTTAATTCAGCTTCAGTATCATAATCAAATTCACCATATCTTTTTAATCTTGATTCAATTAAACGATTATATCTAACTTTGAATTCTTCCCAAGCTTCTGGATCTTCACTAACTAAATGATGAACTCTTATACCTGATCTTGAAGCTTTAGTAGAATAAGTTGGACCAATACCTTTACCAGTAGTACCAATGGCAGTTTTATTGATTGATAATTCAGCTTCTTTCAATTTATCAGTTCTTTGATGGAAATCAAATACTAAATGAGCTCTTGAACTTATAAATAATCTATCACGACAATGTAATCCTTTCTTTTCTAAATTTTCTAATTCTTGGAAAAATGATGGAACATGAATAACGACACCTGATCCAACTAAATTAAGACAGTTTGGATTAACTAAACCAGAAGGTAACATATGGAAATCATATTTAGTCTTACCAACCACAATAGTATGACCAGCATTATTACCACCTTGACATCTTGCACAAACATCAATGTCATCACATAACACATCGACTAATTTACCTTTACCTTCATCCCCCCATTGAGAACCTAAAACAACGTCACACATGATGAATTATTTTTTGTTTGAACACTAATTTTAACTTTATTAATGATGAACGAAATCGAATTCGTTAGAAGCAAAACCAAACCAAACGAAACAAGAAAAGAATTACTGGGAATCAATTGTTATTTTATATGAAATTAATTTTCCATTTTAAAGTTTGGGGAGTAACTCATTTCATCACCATATACGTTAGTGTATAAACCAAATCTCAGAGTCAACAAAAAAAGAAGAATTAGTGAGAAATGAGTCAGTAATGAATTAGTGAGGGGTCTCCCTAACTCAGTTAGAAGTTAGCGACTCTTCTCACTAAAATCATTTTTTCTTCGCAAGGCTAAAGCACTAATTGTTTAATTAGCGTTTGATTTGACTCTGAAATAAATTAATTATTTACATAATGGTCATTACTTTTAAGGTGTTACAAAGAAGTAGTCCGACGGAAGAGATTGTTAAAGCATTATGGCAATTATCACATCATAACTCCACTGTTCAATTGTATCTATATCCCTTGATGATACTGTGATAAGTATTGATATTTCACATCCATCATGGATGCATCACAAACGTGCGGGTAAGTAAATTTTAATTAAATTGATATTTTTCAATTGGTTGAGAAATAATCATGACATCAATAACTGTAAATTTTGCAATTGAAGAGGAAGTTATCTAGTTGGAATACTGATAATGATTTAAAATGTTTCTATTTTTCTTATATTAACATAAAGAAAGGTGGTTTCATTGTATAGAAAGAATTGTAACAGTTATAAGAGGTAACAAAATAAACAAAAAAGGTTATATATGTAAGAAGTAGTTGTATGAATTAATTAAATGAACTTTTAATTAAATTAAGCATTTAATTTATCAACAATAGCATCAGTGAATTCAGTAGTTGAAGAAGTACCACCAATATCTTTAGTTCTAATAGAACCTTCAGCAATAACTTCATAAGTAGCAGCACTAATTTTATCAGCATGATCATTTAAACCTAAATGTCTTAATAACATAGCAGAAGATAAAATCATAGCAGTTGGATTAGCAGTGTTTTGACCTTTAATATCTAAACCAACATGTCTACAACCTGGTTCGAAAACAGCATATTCTCTACCGAAATTGGCACCTGGAACTAAACCTGGACCACCAATTAAAGCAGCACCAATATTTGATAAAATGGAACCATATAAATTTGGAGTAACTAAAACATCAAATTGTTGAGGTTTGGCAACAGCTTGCATAGAAGCATTATCAACGATTAAATCATTAACTTCAATACCACTATAATCTTGACCAACATCTTTAACAGTTTGTCTAAAAAGACCATCACCTAATTTCATAATATTAGCTTTATGAATAGCAGTAACTAATTTTCTATTATTCTTTTTAGCAAAATCAAAAGCGAATTTTGCAATTCTTTCAGATTTAAATCTAGTCATAATTTTTAATGATTCAACAACACCAGGATAAGATTGATGTTCTAAACCAGAATATTCCCCTTCAGTATTTTCTCTAACTAAAGCAAAATCAATACCATCTAATCTTGATTTAACTCCTGGAATATTTTTAATTAAAACTAATGAAGCATAAATATCTAATTCTTTTCTTAATGCAACATTTAATGATTTACCAGTTGAACCAACTGGAGTGAAAAGAATCCCTTTTAAACCAACTTTATTTCTTTTTAATGATTCAACAGCTTCACTAACACTATGACCAGTTTCATCAACCCCACTAACATCAACGATTTCCCAATCAATTGGAACATTTTGAGATTTAAAGATGGTTTTAACAGAATCAGTGATTTCTTTACCAATACCATCTCCTGGAATTAAAGTAACAGTATATCTACCACCGTATTTCTTTGGTAAAACGGCTTCTGGAGATGCATAAGTTGCTAATGAACGAATGGCAGACTATAATTGGATAATGTTAGTAATGATGTTTGAATTTGGGAAAGTTCCCCCCTTTTTCCATGACATGTCTTTCTTTTTTTTCAGTTTTGATCGACATGAACGGAATGATCAATGGTGAAGACATATGATACTTGGAACGATTGGAATTGATGGTTGTGAATCCATCCTATTGAATAATCTCGGGAGATATTCCAATCGATATTGATCAACCTGAAAAGAAAAGATAAACATATGTTTGAAATGGAAGGAACGACGGGGACCATGTCGATGATTTCAACTAAGAAGAAGAAGAAGAAATCAATGAGAATTGGAATAAAATGAGATACATACACTTTGAGCAATGGCTGATCTTCTTAACATTGTGATGATGATATGATTATGGATACGAAATGCAATGCAATGAAAGAATTGAAAATAACCAAAAGAATAGAATACAATTAGAATTGATTGAATATTAATTGATTCCAATTTTTCTAATAAGGAGTTGACACTGTGAGAGATGGTAATAAAATTAAAAATTTGGACCGACATTTTTTATATGATGTAAAACGACATAATTTGTTCATTCAACGTTGGACATTTCTTTTTTTTTTTCACTCATTCCAATGAGGTGGTCATTATACTATTAGTTCTAGTTATATATTCACTTCAATTGCAGGTTATATATAGTATTTAGGTTGACTGATGAAGGTATTGATCAATTGATGATGGTTATAGTACAACCATAGATCAAGCCATAATAAGAAATCTTCCATAGATTCAATAATAGTTGAGGGTAGGCCTTAAAGTCATCGGCCAGTTGAATTTAATTTAGCAGCCTAATATTTAAATTCTCGGTACCGAGACATTTTATTCAAAATTATATTAACCGTTAATAAAAAATGGTAACTATTAAGGAAATGCTTAATTTTAATTGGCTGAAACTATGTCCTGTATATAACATGGGTCTCCGACGGAGTTCTTATTATCAAAGAAATCAAAAAAAAAATCTCTCAAAAAAATGTGCACGTGTAATATCATGTGCTTTTAGTATCGTGATCACATTTTCATGATTCAGTCTCCTCCTCCTCCATGACAAATTTTTCTAAAGCGTTAAGGAGGATACAGTTATAGTTAAGTACAGTAACTCATATAATATCATAATATATACTATCATTAAAGATGACTAGAATAGGTAGTAAAGTTTTCCCTGCTTTCAAAACTTTACATCATGCTTTAAAACAAGAATTATCCATAATTGAACATAAATCATCTATAGTTCATTTCCAAAAGACATTTGAAAAACAAATTACATTATTAAATTATAATCGAATAAATGCATTAAAGGAATCAAATCAATCTAAAGTTCAAGACATTGATGAAAAAATCACTCAACTTCAAAAAACCAAACAAGATATCGATAATGCGAATGTGGAAGAAGTTAAGCCTGAATTAAAGGATGAATCATTATTACATGAATTAACTCATGATATAAATCATGATGATAAATATAAATTAAATCATTTATCGAATATATCGAATTTTTTAAGTAGTCAAAGAGTTTATAATGAGTTATTAGAGAGATATAATCCTGGATTAACTATGAATCAAGAAGATAAAGTTAAACGAACTGCCAATCATGTTGGTTTACAAGTTCCAGAATAATGAAATTTTACATAGTTTTGATTTTAGACGTATAAATATATGATTAATGTACATAAAGAGATTTCAAAGGGATTTATATAACACTATTATACAAATCTTCTTTTCCGTTCAGGATATTGATGATCATAAGAATTAATAGTTAATGAAGAATCATCAATCATTGAAGTTTCATCATCTGTAAATGATAAATCTTGATCATTAATAGGGGTGGTTTGGGTTGGGGTTTCTTCTTCATCACGACATCTTCTTTTTAATTTATAATTCTTTGTTAATAAATCAGGTTTCATAGCTTTAATTTGATTATTCTCTAATTGAAATTTCTTTAAATTTTCAAAGATTAATAAATCATCATAATAATTGAAATTAAAATTATGTAAATTTGATTGACCTGTTTTTAAAGTAATGAATTTAAAACAAGCTTGGAAATTAAAATTATAACAATCCATTAAATAAGCAATCAATAAACCTGTTGATAATTTTGATGATCCAAATTCTGAAACAATCAATATTTCAACTTTTGAATTAATCAATTTAATTAAATTTATAAATCTTATGATATTAAAGAATTGATTTTTTAAATTCCCCGTTAAGATTGGATTATTTAATTGTAATTGATTATTAGCAGCTGCATTATCACCATTAGGTAATTTATGAATTAAATTATTTATATCGGAATTATTATAATAAAAATAATGTAAATAATTCTGTAAGATTTTTTTAAATTGTTTAATAAAATCATGAACCAATTCTGAATCATCTTGATTCAAATGATTTATATCGAAAGATGGATCAAGACTTAAGATTATTACATCACTTGACACCACAATATCATTTCTTTGATGTAATAATTTAAGAAATTGAAGTGATGTACCACAATTTATAATGATTTTGATATTTTTTGAAGTTAAGAATTCCAGATTCGTTAATGATTGATAAGATCCTAACCATATGGAAGGACTTATTTCTTGAGGGATGGGGAAATTATCATTATCATTAGTAGTATTCGTACTATCATTACTGGTAGATGTACTTGGTGCTGTACCGTCATTATTATTATTACCACCATTATAAAATGGTTCATCATTAGAAGTTAGAAACATGGGAGGATTAATTTGATTTTCTTCAATACTATACATCATTCTTAAACTTTAATAGTCGATATTAGTTGGAATATGAATGATTGATGATGATAATTTAGGGATAAATTATGGTTGTTGCAAAGTTTTTTGTTAGTGAGAAGCACCAAAAAAAAAAAAAAGATAGCAGCAGCAGCAGCAACAGCAGCAATAAATTTTTATGGTGGCTAAATTTAATTAGTGATTGTAAAAAAGAGGGAGATGAATGATTGAGGATAGTAAACGCGACAGTGTTTACTATGGAGTGATAGGATGGGATAGGATGGGATGAAGTAAATAGTAATGATATAAACTTAGGTGAATATTCAGGGTCTATAATTGCTGAGGTACCGGTACCGTTTGAGATGCAAAAATATATATAGTAATGATTAACTAATTGTTGAATATAGTTAATGGATGGATGGTTAGATAGGATGAGGTATAGGATATTGTTGAGAATATACAATAGTGAATGAAAGAAAGAATAAGTATATAATGAAATACACCAATTAAATTATTCAACCACTTGAAAAATTATTGCAGAGATAAATAAATAAATAAATAAATAACAAGAGGAAAGAAAAGAAAAGAAGAAGAATTAATTTAAAAAAAAGAAAAAGAAGCAGACATAATTAAAATTATATATAATTTAATTAAGTTAAGTAGTTAGTAGTTAGTAGTTAGTAGTTAATAGTTAATAGTATTTGTAACTATAAATATAATTCTAGGTACTTCTTAACATAACCTATTTTAGTCAAAAATAAAAAAATTTGTAAAATGGAAAATGGAAAATGTAAAAATGTAAAAATGGACGGGGGGGCAGACAGCATACACAGACACAGACCCCATAGAGAGTACATAGTTAACACACAGTTTATAGTGAGAGACAGAGCTGTGATTGTCTTAAAATGGATTTTGTGATTTTAAATTAAAAAATTGCTGGTATATTTGGCGGTATGGATGTTCATTACGGGAAATTATTTTGATGCATCTCACACGACCCTTTTTTTGGCTGGAATTTATGGGTCAACTTTTAACTGTGGGAGGTGACGTCGTGTCCCCTTGATCAATTTCAATTTTCTGTGTGGGTCTAAATTTGTAAAGTACACGACCTGTTTTTCATTATTACTAAAAACTTTTCTCCTCTTTTTATTTCCCTCCAATCGCATTCTAGACCTTATTATATACAGGTTTCAATCCCTACGATTATTTTGTGTAATATTCTGTTAGGTTTTTCATTTTAATTATTCTTAGTAAGAGATTATGTAATCAGAGAAGAAAATGAGGAGAATCATTAACCTGTAAACACAGTTTACATTAATTTTACATGTTTTAAGTAACCTGTAAACATATGAATATTTTACAGTTTAATATTCATTTCATTTTTGTAACCATATTTCAGGCCTGTATATAGTGTACCACTATAGCCAAAGCAACTCAACCAGATGAAATAAACCTTCCCCAAGAAATGGTGTAATTATGACGTTAAAACTTATACATATACGATATCATATACTTTAACTCATCTAATCATACTTCCAAAATGTTATTATTAAATCAATCCTTTAAACGATTATCTTGGAAATCCTTATCAAATCCATCCACTATTTCATCATCCTTCAAGACTTATTCCCCACGATTCATAAGTTCATTACCAACCAAACCATCACCATCATCGTTATCAACTAATTTAAAACTCTTGATTGGGTGTACTACAGGGGGATCTATCTTATACTTCACTTCATCGCCATTTTTCAAAAAATCAATCTTGAATGATTCTCCCATCTCATATCAAAATAATACCATATCTATATCGTTACCACATCATCAAAAACATAAAACTAGATTGAATGGATACTTAAATTATGAAGAATTAACCATCGGATCTATAATTGGATTATTCTTAGGTGTCATCATTGGTAAATTAAGTACCATCTTAATCTACTTATCATTATCATCATACCTTTTAGTAGAATATTTACAAACTAAACAAATCATAAATATACCTTGGAATTATATCATCGTCATAGGAAAGGAAAGAATCGATGTTAAACAATGGTTATTTGAAAAACCAAGTTTTAAAATTGCTTTCATTGCCAGTTTTATCTTAACTGCTTACAATATCTAGACAACCTTGTTAATATATACTATAATTTTTATTTTAATGTAACTTTTTCTATACAACTATTTTATTAATTTACACTTGTGGCATACGAGCAAAAAGATCAAATGATCCAGTACCAACCTTTGATAATTTACCAACCACAATTCTAGCTGATGGAGAATCTAATTCTTCTCTTTCATTATCCAATACCGCTTTAGTTAAAAATTGACAGGTGGTTTCATAAGACATCTTCATAAATGATGATGTTGATGAATCAATCCCTTGTCTATTGAAAGCTAAATAACTACCTTCTCTTGTCATCATATCACCTAATAAATCTAAATGACGACTTGAAACACTAATACCATAAGTATCGAACACACGATAAATTTCATTAACAATAGTATTTCTAGCAGCTTCAACCCCATAAGTTTTTAAAACAGCAGCAATATCATTCGAAGTAATATTATTAACATTAATGAAATCATCTTGTTCCCACATAGCTTGGAAATTAACCCCTTCAGTAGTTAATACTCTCTTATTATCAGCACCAACTGGTGGATGAATACATCTTCCAATCTTTGGAATTTCACGAACCACAAATTTACGACATAATTCTTCAATAATATTAACCATTAATAATTTTTGAGTTTCATTACCATTTAATTCTAATTTAAATTCACACCATTCACCATTTTCATCATCAAAATCAAATTTAGTAATCATATTATGTGAAGTAATAACATCAGCTTGACGATCTTTAGCTAATTTAGATAATTGTTTAGGAGTATCTTTCTTTTCTTCTTCTTCATCTTCCGACTCTTCAGAATCTTCAGAGTCGTCAGAATCACTATCATCATCATCATCGGCCATTTCTTCATCACTGGTTTCTTCAGCTTTTCTCATGGTTTCAATTTCATCATCATCTGGTCCATCATATGAAACTGCTTGTTTTTCACTAGTCTTTTCACCATCATCTTCTTCTAAGGCATCAGCATTCTTGGCTGATATACTTTCAAAATCAGTCTTACCAGCTGATTTACCAATATTTGGTAATGAATCTGGTTTCTTTTGTTTCTTAACTTCTTTAACAATTTGTGATTCTAATTCATGTAAGAATTGTTCAGTTATAATGTTTTCTAAATGTTCTTGGGAAACATCATATTCATGTTCATATTCTTCCTTTGAATAAAATCTTAAATTAATACCATAAGATCTAGTATTTAATCCATCAGATGAAGTTGATGTGGTTTCAGTAACAATAATCTTATCAATAAATTCCGATAATACCACTCTAGCCACAGATTTACAGAAAGCATCAGCTTGTTTATCAGTAACATCATCTAAAATAGGTAAGGTCATTTGTGGAGTTTTAATATTTGATGAAGCAGTCATAATGATTTCTCTCATACGGGGTATACCTAATGTCACATTAGCAGCACCATGACCAGCGAAATGGAAAGTATTTAATGTCATTTGAGTTGATGGTTCCCCAATCGATTGAGATGCAATAATACCCACAGCTTCACCAGGATTAACTAATGATCTCATATATTTCAATTGCATTAAAGCTCTGAATTTCTTTTCAGTAATCTTACCCGTTGATTTAGCTTCATCCTTGGATTTAGCAAATACTTCTGGTTTTTCAGTAACGAATTTATCTAATTTTTCTTGGAATTTTTCAGATACTGATCCTAAATATTTACTTGGATTGAAAACATTTAATACTGGATCATATTTAAGATTTTGTTCATAATGAGGTAATTTACCTTGTTTCTTTGAATTCTTACGAGCTTTCTTAGCATAATGTAAAGCAGTTTCTGTATCTAAATGATGAGTTAAATCACCTGGATTATATTTCGATAATAAAGCATCATAATTCTCAGCACAAAATTCAAATTGATTCATATGGGATTGTTTAGTGGTATCAATAGCATCTCCACCATATAAAAATTGAATTAATTTACCATCACCATCTCTAACTGAATTATCATAACTAACATGAACACCTTCCAATTGTTTGGTTAAACAACGTTGTAAATAACCAGATCTAGAAGTCTTAACAGCAGTATCAATTAACCCTTCACGACCAGCCATACAATGGAAATAATATTCTTGAGGTCTAATACCAGAGTAGAAACGTTGTTTAATATATCCACCAGCTCTAGCATCAGTTTCAAATGGTTTAAATGATGGTAAGGTTTTACCAGAGACCATAACTGGTACTCTTCTACCTTCTAAAGCTTGTTGCCCTAAAAGACACATAATTTGGGACACATTAACATTAGAACCTTTAGCCCCTGATAAAGCCATAGCTTGCATAGAATTATAAGGAAATCTTTTCATAGTACCATCTGGAACACATTTAGAAACAACTTGAGATGTAATGGTATTAACTTTAGATTGAGTAACAGCATCTAATATACCTAATTTATTATCATCTCTTAAAATTTCTTCTAATCTTCTTAATAATTCTTTATCACTATTTGAAGTAGTTTCTGAATCTAAATTAGTAACTTCAGTAGCTGCAACTCTACCAATATCAACAGATTGTTTCAAAATATCATTTCTCCAGGCATTACCTTCATCAGTTAATCTTAAATCATCCATACCACAAGTAAAAGCAGTCATCATAATATAATTGGTAAATAATCTACCTAAAATACTTAAAGCTTTACCGGCAACAGATGGTCCATAAACTTCATGTAAAGAATGAACTATACCAAATTGAGTGGCACCATATTGAGATTTATCTAAAATACCACATAATAATTCCCCATTCTTGAATATAACATCATTTTCAGTTGATCCTTCATTCCAATATTCATTTTTAACTTTATTTTTGGAAATTAAATTAATACCTGGAACATCTTCTGGTTTAATATTTAACAAAATAGTAGTAATGATTTGTTTACCAGTCCATAATTGTTCTGGTTTAAAAATAGCTGGTGGAACAGTTATAATTCTATTTTTAGTAGTATGACCATCTTCAGGTCTAATACATCCATAAATTAATTGTTGATAAGTTTCACGATTAAAATAAGCATCTTTACTGGTTAACCAAACCCCAGCAGAAATATGATCTTGAATTAACCCTCTTAATGGTGAACCAGATGTTGGAGTAATATATTGGGAATCCGTGTTAGCTAAATTTAAAGCTTCAGCTTTAGCATTTTCATTTTGAGGAAAATGCATATTCATTTCATCACCATCAAAATCAGCATTATAAGCACCAGTATTGGCATAATGTAATCTTAAAGTTTTCTCACCTGGTAAGACTCTGACTTTATGACCCATCATAGAAGCTTTATGTAAGGTTGGTTGACGATTCATAATAACCACATCTTTATTTTTAATATGTCTATAAACTTTTTTATTAAGAACAGTGGCACCATTTGAAGGAGTTAATAATTGATTAGCAAGAGCTTTACGTTGTTCTAAAGTCATACCAATTAATGAAACTAACGAACCATCTTCATTTTGAACTTGAACTGCACCTGGCCACTTATCAGGACCATTTATAACAGCTTTTCTTAATTCAGATGCATTATAAGCGGTAACTGGTTCAGGATAAGTTAATTTAACGGCAAACACTGGTGGAACCCCAATTTCATTGGTTTCCAACATTGGATCTGGAGAAATAACTGAACGAGCAGCATAATTGACTCTCTTACCCATCATATGTTTTCTAAATAAACCTTCTTTCTTTTCTAAGGCTTGTTTAATACCTGGAGTTGGAAGTTTACCAGCTGGGGCATTTTGATTCTTGGTTGAATCAATAAATGCATTAACGTCATTTTGTATAGTGACGAATGAATTCATTAATCTATTAAATATTATTTTTCTTTCTTCAACAGTTAATTTACCCTTTTCAAGATTAATAGTTGAAATTTGATCATTTAAATCTCTGATCAATAATGAAGTTCTTAAAATATTGGATAATAATTCATTTTGAGAATTTTCATGAATTTCATCACCTAATTTAGATGGTAATCTAAATCTAGTTGGAGGAACTAACAATGATTGTCTGAAGAAAATATCACCACTAACAATATCATGTTGATAAGGTCTGGAATGGAATACAGTTTGAATTATAGGTTGTTCAGCTTCGAAGACAGATCTTAATACATTTCTGATTTCAGTTGATAAAACGTATTTTGATCCACCTTTATGTTTAATATTTGGCATATTTTCACTTGATGAAGTAGATTTGGTTGATCCACCATTTTTAACCATATCTGGACGTTGTAAACCTTTAACTCTATTATTGGTGATTTGTTTATCTGTTAAAGAATTTTCGAAAACCTTAGCAAATCCATCCTTTCTGAAACCTGGTGAATACATACCACAGTTATCGCATCTTGGTCTACTTAATAATCTTTTATAGAATTCTTGAATAGTTATTTTTCTTTCTTCGGCAACAGTAGCAGTAACAATACCTTGTTCGCTGGTTCTTCCTTCACTTAAAGCCTTAGCAATGGATGTATTAACGAAAAGTTCACGACGTTCAATTAACTCTTTCTTAGCACTATGATCTAAAGCATTATTTGAATTATCATCTTCGTCATCATCTTCATCAGCATCTTGAGCTCCTTCAGCTAACATGTTGTCCAACTCAATACATTCTAATAATAAACCATATTGAATCAAACGTAATTTACATTTAAATCTGTGGACTTCGACAGCATTCAATTTAAACTTATGACAATAGAGACATGATGCTCTTAAAAAGATGTATAATTGACTGAAAAATAATGGATTATAAACAGGGACTGGCAATTCAATGTGACCCAAATGTCCAGGACAGAACTTTTCATCTAATCCACAAGTTGTACACACATTTCTAAGAAAAGCTCCTAATGCTAAATCGTACAAACCTGAATTGATTGGATGTCCTAAGTTATCAAACACTGTTGGATTGGTGATTTGCTTAGCTGATAATCTTCTAATTTCAGCATCTGACAAAACACCAAAATCAACAGAGACAATCTCAGAACCCACTGGCTTAGAAATATCCATGACTGACTGTTGTAATGACTTTGGCTTTGGCTATCAGGAAGACCTTTTCAAGATCCATTTCAGATTTTGATACTTTTTTTTTTCAGAAAAGCTCATCCCAGCAGGCACCAAAAAAAAAATTGCAAAAAAATGATCACGTGAACAGAGATATACCCAAAAACATTTAAAAACATGATAGAAATTAATAGATAAGCATTTTATTTGAAAATACACAATATGATTTTAAAAAGTGATATATAAAGTTACATGAAAAGAAAAGAGAAATGGAAAAAATTAGTGGTTTATGGGATAAGTTTAGGATTTACTTCCGATGTTTAAACCTTTCTTAAAAGCACCACCGATTCCTTTACCAACAGAACCAACTCCCTTGACGACACCTTTACCAGCATCGAGACCAACATTTCCGACAGCACCTACTGCTCCTAACGGATTAATGGTTGTGCTTCCTTTTCTTACGTTCAAGAGGAATTCTGGTTTGAAACTAAGACTCAAGTAAACGTTACCTGCATTACCACCAGTTTCACCGACTAATGGAAGGGTAACTTCGAATGGTTCCTTCGCCAGGACATCTTTCAATGGAATTTTACCAATACCTAATAAGTCATCCTTTTCTGGACCCATATCCCAATCGTTACAAACAAGCTTAATAAAAGAATCGTGCTTATTGATAATTTGAACAGTGGTTGTTTCATTCCAGGTAGGGTCTAACGTCTTTTTAATCTTCTTCGATTTAAAGAATGACTCTTTATCAGTATTCAAGTATAACTCAACATATGGATCAGATTTACCGTTTCTGTCAGCGGCTGGTAAGTTTTCAGCACGAAGAACGTTAATGGTTAAAATACCAGTATTGGTAATAGAATCTGCTGGTGGAATACCATTTTGATAAATAAGGGGAATCCATTGACATTGAATGGTGAATGCTGCTTCTCCTGCACCACTTAATTTTATCTTACTTGGTTTTCCATAAGTTTCCTTCAATAATTGGAGAGTTGGAACGTTATATTCAGCAATTGGAGTTTCGGCTCTATTGTCACCCTTCTTCTTAACAATTCTGAATGATGCTTTAGAGAAACCTAATTCCTTAATAACAACATCACCAGTAGTACCAATATTGGCTTTTTTAGACTTGATGTGTTGAGAAACGAAATCATGATATCCATGATTATCAAAGAAAGCTTGTAAGTAAACATCATCTTTACTCAATGAACCATCAAAAATTTCATAGATGAAAATACCACTGTTATATCCAACTAATTCTTCCAAAGATAATTTTAACTTAGAAGAAGTATTGCTATCGACATCTTCTTCGACATCTTCTTCGGTCTTGTGATCTGGAGCAACAGATTCGTCCACTTTCTTGACAGCTTCCTCTGCTTTGGTTCCATTTGCTGCAGTCTTTTCAGCGGCTTCTTTGGCAGCTTTTTCATCTGTTTCTTTCTTAGCAGCAGCTTTTTCTTCAGCTTCTTCTTTAAGATCTTCAATAGTCATAACAGGCAAAATCGGATAGAAAGAAAGGGAGTAAGTAACAACACCCTTTGGACCCTTTTTATGGATTAATCTACCGGTTCTCTTATTCTTATCAACATATTCAGCATATTGCCCCTTTTCATTCTTAGTGATGATATCACTTAATCTCACATCAAAGGAACCTAAAGTACGATCAGCTTGAGTTCTTTCAACATCCATAACTTCAATAGTAAGTCTTTGGTTGGATGAAGATACGGTAACATAATGGATTTCATTCCAAGTTGGATTGGTAGTTGAATCAGCAGCAACAGTTCTGGCTCTTTCAAATCCATTAACTAAAAGTCTTGCGTATGGATCAACGGTACCTAAGGCTTCCAAGTTACGTAAATCTTCACCTCTTTCAATACTGACTCTAACAGCACCAATTGGTGGAGTGTAACCACCAGATCCAGTGGCGTAAACAAGATCAACTGGTTTCCAAGCAGCGGCAATTCTAACTTCACCACCTCTAGCTAATGGATGCCAATTACTTTCAGTTTGAGTAGCATCAATGAGTTCACTTAATGATTGTTGAATGGTACCAATGACTTTATCGTGACTGTTTTTAATGACAACCTTAACTTTAGCCTTGGCTTTGTTATCAACAATTTCTTCTTTAGAGGCACCCCAACCTGGGTTGTTTGTTTTCTTTTGAACTCCAGTCTTTAAGATATTCTTACCGTTAACATATAATTCAGCATAAGTGGAAGCAGCCTTTTCACCATCTTTCAAGTGTCTACCTTCAGCAATTTCAATTCTAGCAATACCAGTGTTCAATTCAGGTGGTGGAGCAACAGCACCATCGGCACCCTTTTGAGCTTGTAATACTGGCATATATTGTAATCCAAATAATAATTCACCAACAGGTTTATTGTTTCTTATGAATGGAGCAGTAAGGTTTGATTGTTTAGCTTCACCAAGTAATGGTTCCAAATCAAATTGAATAGAACCCACCTCTCTATCCTTTCTGAATTCATTATAATCAACAACAGTAATATTCAAAGGTTCAGATAATGAATTGACAGTAATATAAATAGTTTCGTTCCAAACTGGTTTGTTTGTGTCACTAATAGCCTTGGTTCTTGCAGAAACTTCCTTCTTAAATCCAAAAGTTAAGTAAGGATCTAAAGTATTACCAATATTAGAGAAACCCTTTAAACCTCTTGCGGAACTTGCTGTGATAGCTAAAACACCAATAGCAGAATCGAAAGCATAACCTGATAACAATTGTTGAACATTTAATTGGAAAGATACGGGGGAGAAAAACATAGCACCGGCATACTTTTTGACCATTTCATTAATAAAAGGATAAAGACCTGGAATTGCTAGAACTTCCCAAATCCAAGGAGCATCACTAACGATTTTCGAATTGAAATCAAATTGAGGTGGTTCTAAAAATGAAATATTAATAGTTTCAACATGAGGGAATGAACTCATCATTCTTAATCTAACTCTGGCAATGCCTCTACCAGCAATGTCTGATACTGCAACTTGGAATGGGAAACCAAAGATAGAAGCTTTAACAATGGTCTTTTGATTGATTTTATTTTTCAATTGTTTGGTACTAGCATCAGCTAAAGCATTTGGAGTGAATGAAAAACCCCAATCCATAACCACAACATCATCATTAGTCCCTTGTAAAGTTTTAACACAATCAATACGAGGTGGTTTAGTACCAGCGCTGAATGAATCGATCCATAAGGCTTTAATGAAACCAGGAGCAGGAGATGAAGCTAAGATTGGATTAACTTGTTCACAAACAATATTTGAAATTGATGGTTCCAAAAAAAACCAAAACTTTTCTAAAAAGTTATTTAACCAATCCATAGTTTCATAATCAGTTTCAATAGATTTGATGGAAAATTCTCTTTGAACTTGTTCTCTCAAAGTGGTTCTGTACTTTTTGATAGACGAACGGTAAAGTATAGCAAATACAACAATAACAAAGAATAATGGTGCAACGGAGAATCTGAACCACCCAATAAACCAAGATAATAATCCACCAACAACAAGATAACCAACATTGTGGTACCAATCACCATAAATAACAGGAGGTAAGTAAGTATCAACAACAGAAGTTTTAGATAATAAATCAACAGTTTCATCTTCTTGAGTCAAGACATCATCTTGACCCCAACCACCAACTTCTTTCCAACCTCTAAATGTTGGAGCAACAGATTTTCTTGGTGGTGGTTTACTTTTAACGTTACTAAGATCGAAATCTTCACTTGGGACAAGTAAAGATGGAACAGGAGCAGTTTCAGCTTTTGAAGTGGGGGTAGCAGTCCCGTTGGTAGCTACAGATGGTGCAGTAGCAATTGGAGCTGCTTTTGGTTTATCTCCAATCACTGCTCCATTGTCTATAAGAGGAGCCTGCTTTACTTCCACCTGTTCGGTTGCAGCAACAGCTTCGTTGGGCTATAAAATTTGAAAAATGTTAGTTCCTGTTTCACGATGATAAGATTGAGAATGATATAACAAAGTATACATACATTAGTTGCCATATTCTATTTGATCAAATAAAATTGAAGCAATTGAGTCGTGCAAGCTATTTGGAAGGCTAATATAACTCAATAATATTAGTTACTTTTGAAAGAATTAAGCAATTGACTTGATAGTATCACCAATGTTTGATTAATACATTGTTTCTTTCAAAGTTTCCCCTTCCCTGATTTTCAAGATGAAATTTCTGAAGTCGCGACTCACAAATGTACACCCCTTTTTACCCTCGTCAGCGAAGGTCGGAACTGCACTTTACTGTACCTAGCTAACCACTAAATTTTCATGTCAAAAGTTATATCTAAAAAAGATTAATATTTAAACTTTGATTATTGAATAGGAACACTGGTTTGCAATAGTAGATGATTATTAAATTACCAATTATGTTATCGTGATTGGTAGCTGGGGAGTCTATCGTTTCGGAGTACCATCTCATCACTTCCTGACTCCATAATATACAGGATATTTGATAATGCCAATTAACTTGGTTAAATAAAGGATACTTACACATCTATTATCAGTAGTAGAAGATAGTTTGGTTGAAGTACAAGTTATTATTCACTTGGAATGAACAAATTGTCTATTTTTATGTATATTCAGTTGATTATCAATTAAAACCATTTGTTGACAAGTTTTTTAATAAATATATGCTAAAAAGTAATGATTTTATCCTCCATTTTCTCTAAATTAAAGAGCTCTTATTTGTACTTCGCTAATTCCTTCTGCTCCTAGTAACTTGCTTAAGTAGTAAGATCAACCCATAACTAGTCTTGTAATTGTGTTAAAAGTGTAGGTGTCCCAAACAGTTTTGGTTGTAAAATGCTGCAACCGAAAAAAAAGAAGGTTATGAGGCGTCCCACAATAGCAAAATACAAACTTCACCTTATTTCAAAAATAATCTTGGTATATAACTACGAGATTTTGTAGTATTTCAATCAAATTTCTTTCTATTTTTATTTTAGGTATGATAAAACATATTTAAACATGTCGAAAAGGTCTAAAAGTTCAGACGATGACACTTCTGGTGATGGTTTCAATGATGTTTTAGGTGCAAATCAAGATGAAACTGTATCTGACGATCAAGAGCAAAACGGCGGGGTCGAAGAAGTTGTGGCACTTCCAATGGGAGATGACGTGTTAACAGATTCCGAAGATGATGCTTCCTTCATTCATCGGTATGGTGAAATACAATTCCAATATATTCGTAAACCAAAAGATCGAGTTTGGTTCATCAAGCCCCATGCGTTAAATTACTTTAGAGATGGGGTACTTTATCGTACTAAGGGTGAAAGATCATCTGAAAAATTGGAATTGTTTTTGGATTTAATGTATGTGGGGATCATTGCAAACCTTGCTGGTGCTGCTACTGAAGAGGCTAGTGGAGCAGCTTTATTGAAATATATCATGTTGTTTATACCAGCTTATATGGTCTGGTCTGATGTAAAAGATGCCACAAATTATTACTATAACGAAGATTTAAGTCAAAAGACTTATATGTTTTGGATTCTTTGCTTGTTAACGTTGTTCGCCAATAGTCATTACGATATCACCACTGATAGAAATGGTGCTGCTTATACGATTGCTCCATATATTTTATGTCGCTTATCATTAGCAGTATTCCTCCTATTTTATTCCTTTTTTATACCAGAATTAAGATTTCAACAACGAGTTTATGCAAGTTTGATCTTTATAACATGTTGTTTGTGGATTCCAGTTATATTTATTCCCACAAGAGCTAAAATTGGATTAGGGTTTACCATTATGTCTATAGAAAACTTATCATTCGTCATCCCACATCATCCTTGGTTCAAAAAGAAATTTAAATTGAGAACTTCAACTGCTTTAAATATAGAACACGAAGTAGAACGTTATGGAACTTTTGTAACTATTGCTATTGGCGAATTCCTTATGAAAATTGGTTCTGATGGAGCCTTGGGAGTTGGATTCTCATTAAAATTTCTTAGAGGAATATTTTTATTAGTTATAGCCTATGCGTTGTTTTGGCTTTATAACTATGGTTCAACAACAAAGAAAGCAGTTCATGCATTTAGAAGAAGTGGATTAACTGCTTGTTTATTTATTTATGGTCATTTACCTTTGATTGCCTCAATTGTTTTAGCAGCTGATGCTGGTGGAGAATTAACCGCCATGGAAAATACCAGAATTGTTACTTCTGAAGAAGTAGCAATTGGAGGTGAAGAAGGACCAAATATGTATGCTCTTACATTCTTCTTCTCTGGTGGATTAGGAGTAGCATTGGCCTCACTTTTCCTTCTTGGAATATTAGATACGGACTTGGACCCTCCGGAAATGCATTTGATATCACGATTTTGGAGAGTCTTTTGGAGATTACCAATTGGAATTATAATTATTATGTTAAGTTTTGCTAAATTAAATACCACCCTATTTATGGGTATCATAGCAGCATTAATTTTTGTGTTATTGGTATTTGAAAGTGTGGTTTCTACCCCAGTAGACTGTTTAAGAAACCCAGGAAAGCAAATCGTTGAATGTGAATAATTGGATCATTAATTGTTTATATATTTACGTTATTTATTATATGTACAAGTATTAATTAATTATCGAGTATGTCGACTAAATCTATTAAGAACCCCTTTTTTACATAGGCAATCTCATCTATTTTATGAAGTTGTTTGGATTCGTTTGAATAATGACTCCAGTTGATTGAGTTTAATTTTTGATCAAGTTGCAACTTTTGAGAATGAATCTTCTCAATCAAACCGCTGTTTTGGGCAGCGTTGTGTGATAGATTGACTATGATTGCATTATAAATCAAATCTATTAAAATATTGGGTAATTTAATAAAATTACCATTGCTATATGACAAATTACTCAAAGTATTATTAGGGATTTCCAAATGATTATTGATGAAATGTTTCAATTGTGGTGATAATGCTATCTTATTTAATTTTGAATATTTCAAATCGCTGGAGAAAATGGAAGTATCCTGGGTGATATTAAATCCATAATCATGTAAATTGATTAATTTAATGATAAAATTGATCAATTCTTGTAAATCTTTCCATTCCTCATTATTGGTGGTGCCTACAGTGGTTGATTTGAACTTTTTGAATATAATCTTGAACAACTTCGTGCTGGTTGGCAATTGATAATAAGTTTCCATAATACTTAACAAATATCGAACTTTATTAAAACTATTATTCACTTCTTTATCTGAACAATATTGTTCAATTAAATTCAGGAATGTTTTTTCAATTGGTTTGATGTTAAATTGAATTTCTTGATCATTAGTTAATCGTTTTAGATTTTTGAATATTAATAATAGCTTCTTATAAGTAGTCTTATCTTCATTAGTTAGTTGGTATTGATACGTATCTTCATCTTGTTCTAGTTCCAGATCTATCTCTTTTGGCTGTTTATTAACATTATTCAAAAATAATTGTGATAGCAATTGTTCGGATAAGTCCAACCTATTCAACATAATCAAAGATTTCATGATAGTATTTATTAACTTTATATCCATTATAATTGAACGATCCTGGTTAATTATATAATCCAAGATATTTTCAAAATATGATTGATATTTGACATCACCAAAATAATTAAGCAACAACACAAGCGTCTTATTATCGATTGATTTAGGATATTGTGAAGTTGGGTCATTAAGAATGAATGTCAATTGTAGGTCTTTTATTATTTCCTCAACAATATCTAATTTATCATGTCTTATGGCAAGGAATAAAAATGTATTGTAAGTGTTAATATGAAGATCGATGTTCTTATCATCAAACCTGAATTCTGAGTTATTTAAGATCGACTGTTTTAAACTGTGATAAATATTAAGATTAAAGTCTTGATATTCTAGAGTATCATTCTCAATAGTCCTCGTATTCGAGTTAAGATTTGTGATTAAATTTGAGTTTGAATTTGAATTATGTGAAGTTAATTGTTGATACTTGTCGATTAACGATGATGGGTCCTTATAAAAAATATAACTTATCAATTTATTCTCTTCATTAATATTGATAGGAATACCCCAATTCTTCAAATCATTTAATAATTTCGTTATCATTCTAACATATTCTAGTCTTTCCTTGAACATTTCAACCCATTTCTTTTCTGCAAAACCAATATAGTGATTAGTGCTATCGTTATTATAACTTAGAAAGATATCAAGATTGATTTCTGATATGGTATTGACTTTCTTAAAGTTTCGCTTATTGAATAAGAATCGTTCAATGAAATCATTTAGTTCATTATCCTTTAGATAAAATGGCTGAGGGGATGGTAAATCATGCAATGAATGGAATAATTGTTTATGATTGATTAATTGGTATTTCATTAGATTTACTGGTATATTAAGTTGTTTCTGGATTCGAGTATTGGTGGTGAAGGGTACATTTTCTTGATTCTTCAATGGATAAAGCTGATCAACGAATCGATTATGGAGTCCAACTTGATCTATCTGTAGTTTATGCTTATTAATCTCGTCTCTTCGTATCTTGTAAACTTTCTGATAATGATTGTAAAGATCATGATCACAAATAGAAAGTCGATCCCATATTTGTTGTTTGAGTTGGATATATTCTTGATTTTGATCGGTAGAGATATTAAGTTGATCAACCAAAGTCGATTGATACTTGTCAATCAATCTATCAATAGCTGCTAATAAAGGATAAGATCCTTGTTGTTGTACCTTCACCTTGTCAGTAAACTTTGTCAACAAGAATTGTAATCTTGTCGCATCCCCACTTGCAACATCATGGCTATTGGTGCTATAATTGAACCGCGACAACGGTATGAATCGTCGTATTCGTATTCTTATTCCCCTATACATCCTTGTTATATCATCTCTTTTGATTCCCCTGGTTATTGATCAATGTAATTGTATCTTCTCCTTGTATAATGGCAGCCTTTACTTACACTGCTGCTGTAAAAAAATTTACAGTCAAATGCTGAATCAGCTGTTATGTAATCAAAGATTTTTGTCTGTTGAAATAAATTGAAAAAAAAATTTCTGATTGAGTTAACATCTAACTGTAGAAGTATACAGCATTAACGATATAATGAAACCACAAGTGAGGGCCTCTACGGTGTTGGAAAGAACCTCACATTACTTGAAAGTGGGTGTGTTAAAAGAAAAGCCAGCTTGGTTTGATGTGGTAGGTGCCCATCCTCCTATACTAGACTTGAGTAAGAAACCAAAGAAGATTGATTTAAAACAAACTGATATAGATCCTTCCTTAAAGTTAGATAATGATAAGGGTAGTGTCGAAGGTAAGTTCTTCAAAACTAGAATGAATTCTACTGATAGAAAACAACAACATAATGCTATATCAAGAATTCCTAAATTACAATTCTTAGAAGATGAATTAAGAGATGTATTTTATCATCAACATCCATGGGAATTTTCAAGACCAAAGAATTTAATTGAAAATCAAGGTGATGAATATAAAAACTTAGATTGGTCCCATATGTTACAATTTACAAAACCCCTTGATGGTGAGTCTGTGGTTCAAAGAACTCTTTGGATATTAACCAATCAAAATAATGAAATCAATATCAACAATAATAATAATAATAACGAATCCCCTAAAATAACATTATTTGAAGCATATGATAAAGCCAGATTTGAATTCTATAGATTAAGAATGGAAGAAGAAATGAATAGTGCGGTATCAAGAGAAGAATCAACCATGTATGGTGCCATTTATCCATCTACTAACTTAGAATGGGGTGTTAAGAATGAACAAGAATACATTGATTTATGGGCTAAGATTGCTGAAGAAAAGACTAGAGTTCTTGAAGCTTCAAGAGAAAGAAATAATAGTACAGCCAGTGGTAAATCTACTAAAGGTGGAGAAACTGGATTAGAAGATTTAATTGATTCAAGTTCAATTTGGGAACAAAATTTTAGTAGTGACATTGCTGGAGCCAAAGCTAAATCTAAGCTCAATGATAGTAAATAAATTATAAGTTATTTGTAAATAACCCAACCAACCAACCAACCAATTCCATTTGTAAATAGTTTACCAGAAAGCTACATATATACATATAATTTATACTGAAACCTTTCTTTGCATAATCTATATTTTGTAAATTAAAATGTACACAAATACCTATATAATATTTAAAGATCAACCAACTACTTTTATGTTAATCGTCTTATAATTGATAAGATATATGAATAAAACCCATAAAGGGCAAAAAAAATTGATACGTAAAATTCTAATGAATCTGAATGATTTGTTGTAGGAGTACGTGGAATGAAATAAATGCAATAAATAACGTTAAGATCCATTGACTCATTGTCGTTTCAAAAGTAAACTGAGTATGTTTCCTAATGATGTTCTTCATGATGACTATCTTTGGTTAAGAATATCTTTTCATAAGCTAAATAACCGGAGAATGCAACAATAGCAATTCCAAGACCAGGGAATGCATTCTTAAATCTATTTATTCTGGTGAATTGTCCTTCGTATCTCCAAGCATCTCTCTTGGCCCATGGGTTTCCGCCACTCATTATGTTAATAGTATGATATTGGTATTGGTATTGATCAAACCCTTCACTTTGTGATTTCTGTAAAATGGGTCTTGATATTTTTTTTTTGTTGTATCTCAATTGGGTGGTGAAATGAAAAGCAGTTTTGAACAAAGTACACGTCCAAATAGATTCTTATTCTCTCTGATTCTTTTTACAGCCAAAACAATTATTATAAAACGAAACTATTCATATACATATATATATGGTATATAAAAATGTAGTTAAACAAGGGTACGATAATAAAAGGAAATCAAATCGATGAAGATGAAAAAAAAAATAAAAAACAGAATAAGAAGAGTAATAGACCAGCTATACAAGTATATAAAAAGTACGAAAACGGCGTACTTTAAACAAAAATAAAATAATATAAAATAAAAAAAAACAATGATAAAAAATGATTTAAACAAATAAGTATTTATTATCTTTACTTCTTCTTAGTCAGCAGCAGCAGCAGCAGTAATGGTTTGGTAGTGGTGGAAGATGAAGGATTATTTCCATAAACAATATTAGTATGACCCTCATTATCAATTCTATAATGGGTTTTCAAATGTTGAGCCAAATTATCTGATCTTGAGAATTTCTTATCACAAAATTTACAATGGAACGGTCTAATATTTGAATGAACCGATCTTATATGACGTTTCAAATGTTCTGACCGTTTGAATTGTTTATCACATTCCAGACATGGGAAAGAACCTTGAGCATTGGGTTGAACAGAATTATTACCACCATTTGAAGTGGTTGGTGATAAATTCTTTAAACTTGGGTTTTCTTCGATAGTAGTAGTAGGAGAAATATTTGGAGATGAAGATGATTTAATAGGATGAATATCATCTATGGCACTTGCATTCAAACTAGTCAATGAAGTAGTTGAACCTAAGATTCCAATTGAAATCAATTCATTGGCATTAGATGATTTTCTTCTCTTCTTTTTAGAATCAACTTTAACATCATCAGTTAATGGAGGTGTAGTACCAGTATGGATACCTAATCCAGAAACAGCTTCATTATTTCCATTGGAATTGATATCATTATTGGCTCCATTCAAATTCAAGCCTAATCCGGGTGAAGATGATCCATTGGCAGTCGATGATAATGATGTAGTTGAAGACATTAATTGAATTGAATTACGACGTCTATTAACGGCTGGTTTCTTAGCAGCAAGAAGAGGTTTGATGATATCCTTTTGTTTAGGTTGTTTTGGTTTAGCTTTTGATTTACCTTTACCTTTAATAGCATTACCATCATCAACGTTAACTGGTGCAGGAACTTCTTCTTCAAGATCTTCATCTCCATCTTCTTTATCTTCATCTTCTTCATCTTCTTCATCATCTTCGAGCACCACTCCATTATCTTTGGTTTCTTTATGATTATTCAACCAATAACTTATGGCACTATAACATTCATCATTCATTTTAAAATCAAATACAGCAGTACCATTATTCATATTTATAGATGTAACATTGGTAGCTGAATTTTGATTAGGTAATTTTGGAATGTTTGATAAATTTAAATATTTCTGTTGCACATTCTGTTGGAAATTACTCTGTTGAGCATAATATTGTTGTTGTTGCTGATGTTGTTGTTGTTGATGCTGTTGTTGTTGTTGTTGTTGCTGTTGTTGGTTGGTGGTCGAATGCGTTTGGAAAAATGTATTAAAGTTGTTAAGATTGTTGGTGGTGTTTGAATTTATGTTTGCATAAGATGATTTTGAATTGAACACAGTTGATAAGGATGGTGAAGAATAACTCAGAGTGATTTTATTAACTCCTGGATTACCACTACTATTCAAAGTAAACAATTTTTGAGGATTAATGGTACCTTCAAATTCATCCAATTGATCAAGTTTGGTATTCCCACCTTGACCTGAGATTGAAGTTGCTCCAGTCGATGCACTTGAAATACTTGAATTTGTTGAATAATAATCAGGACTTGGAGATTTAGATATATGTTTTTGTTGCTGTTGTTGTTTTTGTTGTTGTTGAGCAAGTTGTTGTGGAAGTTGAGTTCGAGCTAGAAACTGTTGTTGGAGTTGTTGTTGTTGTTGTTGTTGATATTGTTGCAATTTACCTGGCTGTTGCAGTTCAAGTTGGAATTGAGGTTGAATGAATTGTACTGGAACTTGTTGTTGTTGGGATATTGGAATTTGAGATAAGGAATTATCAGTATTTGGAGTAGGACCGGTTCCATTAATAGTATCAGTTAAATTCTTCAATGTTAATAAAGTTAATTGATCAATTGGAATAGAAGCTGAATGATGTCTTATTTGTCTTGATAATTGAGGACTTGCAAAAGCAGATGTATTGGAAGATGAACTTGGTGATTGCTGTTGAGGTGCTGAAGATGGGGCAATTTTAGGAGGATTCATGCCTGGTGTATTCATGATTTGGAATGATGATAATTGATTCATGATTGGAGTAGTTAATGATTGTTGAGATTGTGATGATTGTCTTTGACTAGAAGATGGAGCTGAAAATGAGGAGCTATTACTTGAGTTATTACTGACTGCATTGGCTGAAAGTGATGGATTTGAAAAGAATGTGTTCAAAGAATTTGAAGAAGATGTAGGGATTATATTTTCATCCTGATGAATATAATTGGTATTGTTGTAAAATTGAGTAGTATTGGTAGTGGTATTGGTTATAGTATTATTATTATTCTTACTGTTATTATTATTATTATTGTTGAAGAAGATTTCATCATTCAATTGTAATGAATCAATATTCGATGATAAAAATGGTGGTTGTGATTGTAGTTGCAGTTGATTTTGTTGTTGGTTTATATATGCTAAGTCATCAAGAGATATGCCCATACTATTATTAGTTGAATTTACCGAAGTATTTAAATTATTAGAGCCAATTAAGCTCACAAATGGTTGAGATTGAGGTGATGATGAAGGTTGATCAAAGGAAGGAAAGAATTGATTATTGGTGGTACTATTAAATGGAGTATTTGAGTTCATGGTGGTACTCGTGGGATTGTTGCTATTCGAATTATTCAAATTATTAGAATTAGCGGTATTTGAATTATTTGAGAATAGACTATTTTGATTAATAAGTGGGAAAGTGTCAAACACTGAGGGTGGGTAATCCAGCAGCGACATCACAATCGTATTTGTTAGATGCAATAAACGACAGTGTTATACTTTTTGATAGTGATGATACCAGGTGGTGGTAAGTTGGAGGTTTGTTGCTTGATTAGATTAGAAGGGTGGATGGGTGGTGTTACTTTTTTAGATTATCAGAAAGAGTTACAAAGCTTATTATATAAATTTTGAATTTTTTGTCTTTTTTGAATTTTTTGAATTTTTTCTGTGGTTCACCTTCTCTGTCTGTCTGTCTGTCTGATATAACTGTCTGTTCTGTTCTGTCTGTTCTGTTCTGTTCTGTCTGTCTGCTTTAGTCTGTAATTGTGTGTCCGAGTGAGATAATAAAAAAAAAGACTGTATGAGATCAGATGACGATAAGAAATTTTATGACTAACGAACAGCAACACAAGCTAATTGAATATACCTCCACAAGATAAATTCAATATCCCAAGTTAATCAATGATGTCTTGATGAAGTTGGTTATTACTTTCAATTAGAGATTCAAAAGGAAAAGTGATTGATAAAGTATCAAAAATTGATAAACTTATTAAAAATGAAATTGAAATTACAAAAAAAGTCTGGAAATTCGAAAATAAAAATAAAAAAAAATAAAAAAAATAAAAAAAAAATGAATTTAAATTTAAATAAAAAAAAAAAAGTCTAAAAAATAATTGTTTTTTTATGGCTATTTTAACTTCATATAATAGCAAAATCCGAACACCTGGGTCTCACCCACTATAATCCGCAGCTTTATAAGTTAGCTTTATGATATTTAATACAGTGGCTCATTACTTATCTATTTCTATAGGTGTGCTTATAGGAGTCATTTTAATGATAACTCCACAGATAGATTATGTGTGTGAACATTATCAAAGAACAGAAAATCCGAAAATAGATAAGAAAAAAAAAAAAAAAGAATTAGAAATTAAAAATTAAATTAAAACCAAAAAAAAAAAAAAAAAAAAGCTGCACCAAACTGTGCAGACAGACAGACACGACCTGGCTCCATGGGTATAAAACTTGGATTGATTGACCTTTGATAGTGGTTATCCACAGTTTTAAATCATTCGTAGAGGAAGAAGTTTGATTAAACTAAAAGTAATTGTATAGATCAAGTGAGAACTAATAGTATCATTATCACCAATTATTTCAATTCTGGTTAAATATTGACCATAAATGATAATCAAATAAAAATAATTTATAGAGATTACAAATGTAAAAATATGTAATGAAATGAATTTTGACTTTTGACTTTTGTTTTCGTTTTAGGCAAATCAAAATCAACCATAGCCAAAACCATATGGCAAAAAAAAAGAGACCAGACAAAAATTAAAACAAAAAAAACTAAAAATAAAAAGTAAAAAATAAAAAATATAAAAAAAAAAGTAAATTAAAATAAATTAAAAAATAAAAAAAAAAGTCATAATAATGGTAATAACATTACTCAATTAAGATATTATACCGAATAATCAATGAAACCTTTGAGTTATTTTCGATTTTTAAAACTACATAGTTTAGATTTATATCATTTATACTATTTGCATGTGGATCCATATAGTATATAGGGTAGACTATAGTAATGTTGTATAAATATCCAACCCTGAGATCAGTTATACATATACTTACATTATGTTTCAAGCCAAACTTTTTTTGATTTAAGATTTAGATTTAAATTTAAATTTGATACAAAGCAGAACTAAAAGTAGTATATAATGACCATATCATGACAAGACTTCTAGATTTGACAATCATCCAAGATAATTATATATATGCCTTTGTACCGATCTAAATGGATAAAGACTGAGTTTTAACCCGAATTTCGCACCATAATAAATATTTTATTCCATTCATCCAACCAACCAACCATTTATTAACACTTTATGGTTTCAATCTAGTTCTTTATGTGGTCATATTAACATTCTAATATAATCAACTTAATACGGATATTCAATTAATTGCTCCTCCACTTATACTAACTCACCATTGTAATTCATTTTTTTAAACCAGTAATTAGTAATTATTATTTAATTAAATGTGGGTGGGTGAGGTCTCATTGTTAAAGTTTTTTTTTTTACTGACAGTTCCCAATTTGGAATCATTATCTTTTTGTTTGATTATGTCATCAACTCGCTATTGACTTCTGAAATCAAATCATTTTATTTATTTATTTATTTATCTAAATCCTTTTACCAATTGATAGCTATAGATTATGGTTTGATTAGATAAGACTATCAGTGAATAATACATATATGCATCTCGGTATGTTTGGATAATTTATTGATTCATACTAAATTAGATAGTATACTAAAGATTATAATCCTGAAAGTCTGTTATATTTACAAATGTAAAATTGATTTCTAGATGTAATTAACAATTTGATTATATAATTCCCTGATTAATCTATTAAGTGAATGCAGCCACTGTTCAAGATTTTCTGTTTCAGTCCGTAAGTCTTAACAATTCAGACTTTTCAGAATTGATAATGGCTGATGCATCCAAATTACTCTCCATATTCTTGTAGGACTTATTCCAGTCTGTTTGATTTTTATCAAGAAACTGTAATATTGACAGTTTGTGATATGGTGATAATTCTTCAATAGTCTGATCCACCATCAATTTACCAGGATTGAATCCACATACCATAAATATAGCTACAATAACCTAACTTTCTTCATTTCTTTCAATATATTCAATTTCGATTTAAATTTTTGAAAACTATTTTTGATCGACTCAAAGCTTGATTAAGTTGGCCATGAAATCACACCAACCAAAATGTCTGTCCCCCAAGCACCCATCTTTCAGATAGGTAAATATAGATTCATGGTCTTTAATAATGATTGCAAGATAGACGTTGTAAATAGAGGAATCTGTTACTTTTCAAATGAGAATTGAAGAGGTAATGGAGACGATTTATAACATCTTTGTTAATACTAGGAGGACAATTGAGTTGAAAACCACATTCCATTGGATATAGATAAAATGTAGTGATTATCTATGCCCTAGGTAAATCAACTAAATGAACAAACATTAACTGGTCTATATTACTACAATTATAAATTGAATTATATACTTTATGATGTGTATTAATAAGAGGGTTTTATTTTTTTATATATGTAGAATGGTTTTAACTCAAACAAAAAGTAGTCTTCCTTTCTCTTTTTTTAAACTAGTTCATGATATTATATTTATATTATGTATATGAAATAATAATAAGGTACAAATGAATGAACAAAAAGAGAATTTGATTGGAATACTTTTTGATAATGGGGTAAGGTAAGATTAACGATAAGATTTTTGGAATCTAGCTCTGGCACCACGACCACCGAATTTCTTTGGTTCCATTCTTCTTGAATCAGCAACTAATAAAGTTTTATCATATTTAGTGAATAATTTTTTTAATTCATTTTTTGAAGCTTCATCAACAAATTTTTGATGATAAGCAATTAAACCTTTAGCAATAGCTTGTCTAATAGCGTAAACTTGAGAAACGTGACCACCACCAGTAACTTTAACTCTAATATCAATAGATTGAAATTTATCTAAACCAACAATGGTTAATGGTTCATAAACTTTAAATCTTAAGATTTCTGGTTGAACTAAAGTGATTGGAGAACCATTAATTTTAATTAAACCTTTACCGGCTTTAACGTGAGCAACGGCAGTAGCGGTCTTCTTTTTACCAAAAGTCTAGAAAAGAGTTAGTTAGTATTTAAAGTTTTGGGAGATGATATTTGATTGAGTTAAATAGAATGATTGATTTAAAGGTTATGGAAGGGGTGTTAAGTGAGTGTGGTGTTGGTGATGATGGAATGTGTTTGGGAAGGATAATGGTAGGATGATTTTTGATGAAGGAATATAATTATTGAATATGGAATGAATATGATAGGATGATGGTTATAATAAATAGGATTGAATAATGAATTATAAAACGTACTAGTATGAACTACTAGTAAGTTGTTAAGTTCATAATGTGGTTGATTGGATGGGGATTACTAGTCTTTGAAAATTTATTTGATTCATGGAAGAACTTGTATATATATTAATGGATGGACATTTATTCTAGTGATTAAATTCTCTTGTTGAATATGATTATAGTCGATTGAATGATTATAACTGGTATGTTATACTACATGTTTGACGGTATAGTAATGTTGAAAACTTTTGATTTAATGATTGATGAATGAATGGATGGATTAATAAATACTGACTTCAACTATTGACACTTCCATAACGAACCTGTTTAATTAAATCGTACATTGTATAATAACTCTTTGATCGTGATATGATCTATTACATACTTGAACTGATTGGGATGACATTATGTGCTTTGGTTAAAACTATAAGAATATGATTAAATTCAGTAATAATAAAAATTTTTTATTTAGTGAAGCTTTTTTTTTTTTCACCACACTGTTTGGTAAGAGAGAATTTGTTAGTGAGTGAGTAGTTAGTAGTGAGAGTGAGTGAGAGTGAGTGAGTGGAAAAGAGATCAATAATAATAAGCGACATTAACTGAGTGCGACATCTCACATAGAATTGTTAGACATTTTCTCTTGAGTGTTCATAGTTAAAGTTGACTACTCATAGTTAATGGTATGTCCTGCACATACTATACAGTACTCATATTTACAGTGACATACCAGAAGTTACCTAACTAAATCTCGTGCGCACTGTGACTTCTTTCGTCCTAGTTAAAATGAGAGAATATGTCGCATTACTAGTTAAACTATGCGACATTACCCTCAGACATTTCCTCATAGTTAATTTCTCACTCACAGTTAACTTCTCTCCTTCACCCTTCACACTACAGACCTCACTGCTCACACTTCACTTCACTCAGTTCAGAAAATTTTTTTGAATGAGAGTGAATGGAAAGAAAAAAAATATAACTGTAAATTAAAAAAATTCTTTCATTCTTGATAGCTTTTTAACTTATACTTATTGATATCACTTTAAACCAACAATGGCTATCTCAAAGAACTTACCATTATTAAAGAACCATTTCAGAAAGCACTGGCAAGAAAGAGTCAAGGTTCACTTTGACCAAGCTGGTAAAAAGGCTTCTAGAAGACAAGCTAGATTATCTAAAGCTGCTCAAATTGCTCCAAAACCAATCGATAGTTTAAGACCAGTGGTTAGAGCTCCAACCATTAGATATAACAGAAAAGTTAGAGCTGGTAGAGGTTTCACTTTAGCTGAATTAAAAGCTGTTGGTTTAACTGCCAAATATGCTAGAACCATTGGTATTTCTGTTGATCATAGAAGACAAAATAAAGCTCAAGAAACTTTTGATTCAAATGTTGCTAGATTACAAGAATATAAATCTAAATTAGTATTATTAGATACCAAATCTAAAGATTCTTTTGCTCAAGTTTCAACTGCTGCTACTTTCCCTGTTGTTCAACCTGCTCCAGAATCAGCTCCAAGAGCTGTTGTTGTTCCAGAACAATCTGCTTATAGAACTTTAAGATTAGCTAGATCTGAAAAGAGATATAAAGGTACTAGAGAAAAACGTGCTAAAGAATTAGCTGAAGCTGAAGCTGAAAAGAAGAAATAAGCTAATTAATTAGTTATTTCATTCATTCATTCATCATCATTATTCATCATTTTTTCACACATCCTTTTTCCTTTTATATAATAATATTTTCATTTTTTTTAATTTGGTCTTTCTTGGGTAATGGATTAATCAAATTTTAGAGTATCAAGAGATTATCAATTTTAAAAAAGAAATATTAAATATCATCAAATCAAATCAAATCAAATCAACCCTTTTCCATATATAAATGAATGATTATTCATTCATTATTATTTCATAGTTTTTTTTAAAGTTTTTTTTTGAAAAAAATAATTTATATATATATGTATAACAATAAAAAAAACCATATTATCGTTTAATCAAATGTTATCGTTGTACTTGTAGTTGTAGTTGTAAGTGGATGTACTATGGTCATTATGTGTGTTTAGAGTGGGGAGAATGTTTCTACGGTAAATACTCCTGGTAAGTTTGACTACTACTACAGACAAGATCTTCGTAAACTCTTCTCCGAGTCATGTCAGGTTCCTTGAAGACCCAAAGACACCAAATCATCCACACATACTTACCTACCTACCTACTGTAACTAATCTACATTGACAAATGTCATCACCATTTTTAATCTTTTTTTGTTGTTATTCAATTTTTAAAAGCCAATATAATTTATAAAAGTATGTAAAAATAAGTATATATAAAGTTTTAACCCCAACTAATAATAATAATAATGATAATTCAGTCCTTATAACAAGATACAAGGGAATATAATATACTACAAATGATTCATTCAAATTGATAATTATGATACAATGTATTAACCAATTTACAAAATGATTTTGATTGAAAAATAGACATTCTCTTATAATAATGATAAATGATTGATAAAACCACAATATTATTATTAAAGTTGTTAAATGATATTAAAATATAATAAATATTCTCTTCTTAAATGATTAATGAATGACTTGTTTAATCGAATAAACCGAAACCCATATCATCATCAGATTCTTCTTTAGCTTCTTCAACTTCTTCTTCAGCAGCTTCTTCAGTGGCAGCAGCACCACCGGCAGCAGCACCAGAAGAGGCAACACCAGCAGCTGGGGAAGCATTGATGTTGAAGAAGTAATCCTTCAAGTTCTTACCATCTAAAGCTTTGGCAAATAAATCAGCCCAAATACCATCAACTTCAATTTTAGCATTTTGAGTTAAAGCTAATAATTTTTCAGAAGTGATTTCGGTTTCGGAATCAGCTAAGATTAAAGCAGCGTATGATAAAGCAGTTTCAACAGACATTATGTGATGTATTATATTAACTAGAAGTAATCAATTTAAGCTTTGGCAGACTATTTCTTAGTTTAGTTATAGAAAGGGTATATTAAAATTACGTTAACTTCGTGATACTATCCTACTTTTTTTTCATATAGTGTTCCTTCAGGCTTGGAAGAAAAAAAAAACTTTTTTGGGGGTGTGAGTGGGCGTGTGTAACTCAAACACTAGGGTTGTAGCCCTAGGAAGTTGTTGTATAATACTAAACTAATAATTATAAATGAAATTAAGTATATAATGATCTATATGACATGTGAATAACATTGTTAGATATTATCCATACCTCGATGTTACAGGATGGGGTTCTTAATTGCTTTGTATACTAAGATAGATACTGTGTTAAATGTAAATAGTTTTACCATTTTTGTAACGCTGACATTTAGCTGCGAAAATAGCCATACATTCAAATAATGAATTTTATAATAGTAATTTATATTAGAAATAAGGTATTAAATAAAGTAAGTACGAAATGAAGGATATAATGACAGAGTACAAGAGAAAGTAAGAATATATATAACACTCTAAAATAATCTAAAGACCATCACGTAATTGAAGGAATTCAAGATACCAATTTCTAGTTCTTCTTCTAATTCCTTTACCGTAATAAATCATTGGAGCTGCACCCATCATAATAAGGAATTGAATAACAGCTAAAATGATAAATGTATTAGTATTACCCATAGCTGCTAACCATGGAGAACAAGCAAAAGTAAACACACAACCAATCATATTATTAATCACAGAAACACCACACATCATTTCAATAACCATACCAGGATAAGATTCCATAAGATAAGACATTGAAACATCACCGGAACAACCGAAACCAAAACCAATGAAACCAAGACCAACATAAGTTGGTGGCCAACTCCAATCATTATCAGTACCATAAGCGAATAAAATAAGACCAACTGGAGCAATTAAAGCAGGAAGGAATAAAAACCAAAGACGGAATTCAGCTTCTTGAATACCATTATTTCTTTTAGCCATCCAAATCGAAAACCAATCAGATAATTTACCAGCAAAGAAACACCCAATCACAGCCCCAATTAAAGTAGGAATATTCATTAAAGCAACACCAACATTACCATAATTATAGGGTGGATCATACCACTCATCATCTTCTACGGTTAAATAGAAAGTTAAAAGAGCACTTTGAATACCCCAAACACAACCAGAATAAATCACAGGAGGATATAAGAAAACTTTAAATAATAATAATAATTGAGAAATATATTGTTTAATACCCCAACCTTTTAAATTCTTTGCCGGAGTAATTAATTGAATTGATTTCCAATAAGATTTTGGTGGATCATTAGCTCCATAAGTTATAGCTTTATTTAAAGTTAACTTTTCATCAGCTTTTTGAGCATCTTCAAATGAAATTTCTTCATTAGTTAATTCTTTAGAATCTTGTTTTTTATCATCATAAGTTAAACTTGGAGCTGAATTAGCTTCACCTGCAGTTGGAGCAAAACCTTGAATAACACCTCTAAAAGTAGTTCTATCGAAAACAGTTTCTTCTAAAGCGAAAACAATGACAATTAATAAACCAATGGAGATGAAAACAGCAATCCAACCTACAAATCTGAAACCAGCATATTGAACAATAAAACCAGCAATTAATGGACCTAAAAAGGTACCAACGGATGTAGCCAAGATATAAACGGTTAAAACGGAACCTAATTGATGTTGGAAATATAAATCACTTAAACTTAATTGAACTTGAGCTTCAGCACAAGATTCAGAAATACCGACAAATAATTGAGACCAAATTGTATCTGAAGTACGACGAGCAACAGCAAACCAAACAGCTCCTAATAACCCTAAGAAAATACAAACATAATAACAAAATTTACGACCATAAAGAGATGCAGAAGGAGCGAGGAAAAATGTTCCCCAACCAATACCAATAAAAAGAACCCCAGCACCAGTATTCATAGCATCATAAGAAATACCATAAATTTCATTAAAAGAATCTTGAACGGCACCAGCATCATTTGAAGTAGCAGCAGTAAAACCTGTTATGAAAGCAATAATAGCAAAACATAACCCTTTTCTCCATGGAGACCAATTTAATGGATCATTTGGTGAATCACTTGGTTGAGGAATTAAAATAATATTACCCACTGTTTTTATTCTATGAAAATTTGGATCTCTATCATGAAGATGTTCTTCATCTTTATCGACTTCAAAGGAATAGATATTAAGAGTACCTGGAATGAACTCTTCATTATTCTTATCATTCAATTCAACTGGAGCGTTGGAAGTTATAGTTTCAACGGGATGCAGCATCTTGATGAATTAGAAGGTGATATATGATATGATATAATGCAAATGTAAAGCTGAACAAATTGACTTTATCTATGGATCAATGATATGATATGATAACAATAACAATAGTCGATGAGGATGAGTACGACAAGACCTATCAAATGTACCTTAAAAAAAAAGCTTAACCCTAAAACCAAAAAATGACAAAAGGGAAAGATGTCTTTTTTTTTACAAAACTAAATTGACAAATGGGTTTGGTTATATCTGAAGTATATATACCGATATATATATATGTAGATATATAAACTCCAATCCTAAGACTAAAATAAATTTTTATCTATCTATCTCTAAAATGAATGAATAAATTTGTAGCAGAGCCATCCAAAAAAAAATAAAAAAAAGAAACGACAAAAGAAATTTTTCTATAGGGCTAATCGCTGTTTATAATAGTTTATCTTAAATTGCAAATGTAAACTGTAAAAGGGTCAATTTGATTTAATATGACACATTGCCTAATGAGGTTAATCTGCAAAATAGATAAGCCAATTTACAGTAATAAATTATTTTCAAACTGTAAAAAAAATAAGTTTGAAACGAAAAAAAAGAAATTCCACATTTTGAATTTAATTTAGCCGCCGTTTACCACCTTTGTCGCTCAATTGCCCAATTGAGAAACTCGAACGCATATAACCTGTAAAAGCCTAAACCTAGATATAATGAATTCCAATGAGATTAGATACATGAATCTCCACTTTGTTTTGATCATAGATAGGGTGAATCCTTATATGAAGGAATGAAGCAGCCGCCGTTCATAGCAATGTATTTCGTCGGTTATATGTTTATGGACCCACTTTAGCCTCTTTCATACTTAAACATGTTTTTAACTAGTTTACGAAACTTCAAGGACCAAATCGTCGGACAATGACAACCTATAATTAACCGCTCTATTCATTTAATAAGTTTAGCGGTTTACTATTATTGATCTAGTTTGGTCAGGAGAGAGGGAGGGGTGGCAACGAGGGGATATTCTACTCTATTCACCAACCACTTTTGTTAATGCTCTACAATAGCAATATTTTATTTTATTTTTACATGATCATCATTAGTTGCTTGATGAACTAGGTCCTGTAATCACTAATTAATAAATTAATTAGCTAAATCAAATAAATGCCGTATACAACTAATATAATGGAAATATAACATTTATTATTTATTTTATCTATATATTTAATTTCTTTTTTTTTTATTATTTTTATTTTTTTTTGGTAGGGGTGGGGAGAGAATCGGTTCAATCTCCCAGTCTGGAAAATATAAATTTAATCCCGATGGTAGAAATAAAGTGTAAATTGAATCTAACTTTAATTTTAAAGCAAAGAGTGGAGAGATTATTATCTAAATCAAATTATTTAACATCTATGTATCCTAATTTGGTATCCTGTCTTAAGGACATTCGAAAAAAAGAATGGGAACATGGAGTTATAAGCCAAAGTTAAACAGTGAAAGGAAAACTCTCCCAGTTATGAATAGGCATAAATCTAACTTTATAAGTGTTTTTAAGAAATGCCTTTAAATTAGGTTGTGGATTATGCTCAGCAATAACTATGTTGGAATAGTCTTTATCTCTACCAGCAGCTATACATTCATAAACGACAGCTTTCATTGCTCCCTGTCCTTTAATAATCAACTTCATTTCTCGTTCCATCAAGTATTGCAAAGGGTAGAAATTATAAGAATTAAGTCCAATCAATTCCAATGTTTCTAATTTCTCCATTGATCGATAGTTATACATTCCTAGATAATGTCTTAAACTTAAGGTTTTTATTACTTCGCTATGTCTGAATATGAACTCTTTCCAAGGATCAACTGAACTTTTATCAAAACTTTCAAATTTAACTCTTTTTAATTTCTCAAAATATAAATCATTAATGTTATTTTCAATTTTAAACTTTTCTCCAATACGAATAACTCTTAAATCATCACTATTCTTAAGCCATGAAAGTGAAATCGTTGGAATATTTTCAACGTATTTTTCAAGTGGTGGATCACAATCCAGAAAATTAGGTGAGGTGATTAATACTTGCGACCACAGAAATTTTTCTAATGCAGATGTTGGAAGTTGAAATGGTGATTTTTCAGTAACGGAAACAAGTTTGAATATTGATAATCTAAACTTAAAATCATAACCTAATAACTCTTCGCATTTGATTAATAATTCATTGATATAACTCATATCATCTTTTTCATTCAGTTCAAAACGTAGTATTACTGATCGTTTAGCTTTTTGATTAAAGTACTTTAAAGTGTCAAAGAAAATGGCCAGGGAATCTTCATACGGAATAGATATACGATTGCAAGATGAATGAAGTAATGTTGTTTCTCTAAATAAAGTTTTTGGACCTATGTACTCAATTTCATTTGGAATTGTTTCAACCTTCAATACCACTGGCTGTGGCTGGATTTGTGACAATGCAAATCGTAACTCACCCAGGAATTTGGCAAGACTCCCAAGAATCAATAATTCTCTGGTATCAACAAATTGAAGTAAGTTTGTTAACAACTCTAATGGTAAATCTAATAAGTTCATTCTTGTTTAATAAACCAATAATGTAGCGCTTGATATAATTATTAATCTGATTGTATCATATTTATGGTAGCGTAAAATTTATTTTTCCCTCTCAAATAGGCAAGAGACAAATACTGCGCTTTTTGAATTTGTATTTACTAAACTAACTAACTAACTAAGCAAGACATTAATCATTTAAATAAGATGCATATAGGAAATCTTCCCATGGATTAAGAGGAATGAAATTGATTTGAAATCGTCTTTCGAGAAATTGCATCACATTAATATTTGGTTGAAACTCTGCCAAATAAGTATTTGGAAATGTTTTATTGCCAGCCTCACTTAGACAAGTGAATAGAACACATTTTAAAGGTCTTCCTTTGATAATTAGAGTTATCTTGCTATTCATTAATTGTGAAAGTATCGGAAAGGAATGATAATTGAATCGTACTAGTTCTAATACTTTTAGATTCTTCATTGCAGCATAATCATAAATATGTAAATAATACATCAACTGTAAGCTTTCAACCACGTCTTTATGCTTAAGGAGAAAATGTCTCCAATTTTCACAAGTCTCCTTATGGCAACTGTTAAATTTCACTGTGATTAGCTTGCTGAAATATAAATCATTCAAATTATCTTCAATCTTAATTAGTTCACCGATATAAATGTAAGATAAATCTGGGCTATTCTTAAGCCAATACAATGAGATGGTGGAAATTTTCTCTGAACTCACCTTTGAAGCAGTACCAATGGAAACACTCGACCAATTGAATTTTTCTAAATGTTGACTAGGAAGTGTAAATATTGATGTCTCAATAAAGCTAATATTCCCGAATAATGCTAGCCGAAATATAATATTGTAAGATAGTAGTACTTCACATTTAACTAGTAAGTCAATCATACAATTCAAATCTTCTTCTGTTCTCAAATCAAAAAACAATATAATCAGACTTTGTTTCTTATGTTTGAACCATTTCAAAGTGTCGAAGTAAATAGCCAGTGAATTTTGGTATGGAATGATATCGTTGATAGTCGAAGCATGGAACAAGGTCAATCTATTAAATGAATCTGAAGTTTCTAGATAATTAGGAGGCCCTTCAAGTGAATCAACTTTTAATATTATTGACCTTACATCAACTTCACTCAATGCATGTTGTAATTTATTCAGGTATTTAGCAAAGCTAGCAATGACTAATAACTCACGGGTATCAATATTATGTAGAATTTGGATAACCAAATCATCCGACAAATCTAGGAGATGCATGTTGTATCCCAGTTCAATTAACAAACTTCTGATATCTGATAGTTGCTTTCAGCTAGAAATAAGTATGGTAGCAAATTGTATGCTTAACTGCGAACTTAAAATTTTGAGCTACCAATTGGACCAAAGGAAATTCTACAGATGCGAAATTCTTGTTGTAAAACTCACTATGAGTGCACTATAAAATCAAAAAAATAAATATATAAAAACAATAAATTTATACAACTCTTTTTTTATAAGGGCGGCTCTTCAATAGTGGGAAAACTGTTTCAAAGGAACCTATAATCATTTAAAACTTTCCAAACCATGAGTAAATATTACCATTATGAGTCGTTTTAAGACTATGAAGATCTACTAACTCCATAAGAAAAGTGCACTACTTGCAAAAGTGAAGTTACACTTAATGGTAAGTGCCAAACATGTGAAAGAAATGGTGATCAATTAGTCAATGATGATAAATATGTCACGAATCAATCAAGACAGAAAAAAATGTCTGCTGCTGCTGAAGCTAAGTTTGACACTGATCTAAATGAGTTAAACGCTAAGCTCTCATTCAAAGATGAACAAATCATTGGAACAATTAGTGGTGGCAAACCTATTTATCACAATCCAAAATATCATTCCAACAACAATACTAAAATTGATGATGTTTCTTCTGCCGGTGCCAAGGTTGTTTTTGATAGGCCATTGGTTGACATACAAAACAAAACTTCTGCTTACGAAGATAAATTTGGCAAAGATGGTCATGGTACTTATTCTGTTGGTGATGGTAATATTGGTGAAAGTGTTGGTGATGATAAAAAAGACTTAAGTGAAGAAAATAATATTAGTGATGATGATCCTGATGAACACTTAAGTGAAGAATATAATATTAGTGATGATGATCTTGATGAAGATTAAAATCATGAATTGTGATAATCTCTGAAGTATTGTTTGTATATTACAATTATTAATATAAATTTGAAGTATATAGTAATCAACTTATTCATCAGTAGAATTTCTTAAATTATTTATACGTTACCGCTTTTTATGAATGATGCTGCTAACTAAATTTAATCCATCTTGATATTTACAACATCCAATAAATCCATATAGCTAATCACCTCAATTGAACATAAATTTATGATGAATTCATTTGATTTGGATCGTTAGTACTAGTTCTGTCAGTAGAAATAAAATCATACATACTGTGACTTTTAATGGAAAAAGCAGCTTTAATCCATCAAATAAAAGTATCTGATTTATCAATCAATGTGATCCCAAACTTCTTGAATGGTTATTAGCTTGTTTATGTCACTTTGTGATGTCATTAAGATGCTATAATGATTGTTTTGATGGTGCTGCCAAATTTTTGAAATTGGTGACAAGGTTGGTAGATCTGTCCTGTATATGAACCCTCATACAAAATTCCATTTTGTAAAATATCGGTAAACCCCATAGACGATGAAATAACGATATTATTAACAATTTACAACTTACAGTTTAGATAGATTCTCTAGGTACTCCATTCCTAAACAATAGATTGACTGTCATCATATCAAAAAGGATTATTTAGTCCTTTTTTTTCTTTTTTTAAATTACAGATTTCCGAATCTCCATCTCATCTCTATTTAAACAACCCAAATTTTTCAAATTTTTCAATTTAACATTGATAATCAGTTTCGAAATTGTTTAACGATGATTGAAATTATTTTCTTCATTACAATGAACTGATAATTTTACCACATCTGATCCGAAATAATAAATTTGGAACAGATAAGGAACAAAGAGAAAGAAAAATAATGAATGCCGTTGTATAGATAAAATCATGTCATGAGTCGGTAAAGTAAAAATTTTAGAAACTAGTTATAACGAGATATAGACAACTATATCACTTGTCAATAAAAGCAACGTAGTATGAATCCTAGGTTGTTAAAGTTAAGTTGTTTAAGATTGTTTTTTGGAAATCATGGCTTTATTTCTGTTGACGGTGTACAAAACCATCAGGCTTCTAGAATAGAAGAAGTCGCACCATCGAACAAGTAACAAAACTCCATATAGAATGTTAATTAATGTATGTATGTATGTATGTATGTATGTAGTGTATGTAAGTATGGAGATGGTTTTGAGCTATTGACACAAAATAATGATTTGACTAACCCTATATTTCACCAATATCTGTTAAGTCTAGTTTGAATAGAGTTTTATATCGGTTGTTATAAAGAGGTCTAATTAGATGGTGAGTGTGGGTACTGTATGTAAACATGGTTATTTCTTAATTAGGAATAATTGACACTTAATTAAGCCAGTAACAAAATGCAGCAGCAGCAGCAGCAGCAGCAATAATTGTGATGGATCAGAGTGGGGCGGGGAGAACAATTGAAATAAAAATGGACACAAAACCCGATAATTACTGAGACCATTTCTGACTGTCCCTCATCGCTCGCTGATGCTCAATTAGTGCTGTACTGTGGTACTGCCTGCTTACAGGCTAATTCTGTTAAATAGTGCCCACACCCTCCCTTCTCCTTCAGTTAATTAGGGGATGATAATTAATTATTATTTAAATAAGATTGATTGACATCATATTATTCAATTAGATCATCATAATAATAATCTCTCGTAGAACAATTTCATAAATACGATTTAGTTTAACTTAATTCTAATTCTTCAACCAGTATTTATTACTCTATTTTTAGTCAATTGACAAGTAGTTAATCATAAATGGTTATAAACCCTAACGATAATCGGTAAATCTTCTAAACTTGTTCTATACTCGATTCATCCATTGTATAACTCCATTGAAGAATCCAAAGTCGATCTTTTCATACCGTCTATCCCCCAACAAAAATAATAACTAAATAATAAATAAATAAATAAATAAATAAATAAATAAATAAAAAAAAAAAAAAAAGTACCATCACCTCATACAATTTTATTTTTATTATGGGTTTATCTGGGTACATACACATTTATTACACAGAAATGAAAAGCAAGTGAATGTTTTAAAAGGGGAATTGGTAAGTAGAAGAGAACAGAATAGAACAGAACAGAATCACTATACTACGGAACAATTAAAACTCTATATTTAAAGCATTAGTGATGATGTTATGGTATATGATGATGGTTGTGCAGGTATCAACAGCAAGTAAGTAATTTATACAGGGATTATCTATTTAATATTATTTATATATATAGTGTGTTTGTTTACCCAATGCTTACATATCTATCTTGATCTATTCCGAGTCAATGGATAACGTATATTTCTTACGTCTATCCCATCCATTCATATATGTAATGCTACTGATGATGATGATGATGATGGTGGTGGTTTGAGTCCAATTTTTTTTTTATTTTTCCAATTTTGTGATATATTTTTTATTTTTACTTCTCCCTCCCTCTCCCTCTCTCTCCCTCCCTGTCCCTGGTGCTCAATAAATTTCCCCCTAGATGATTTTCACTATAATCGATTTAACGGGAACAGAGGGATTAATTTGTAATTTTAAAATTGGTATAAATTTATTCCAAAATTTACCATTTTTTAATTAATTTCGTAATTTCTTCTTCTTCTTATTTCTTCTATTCTTCAATCTTTAGTTTATTGAATTCATATTATATCAATTGAGTTATCCAATTGATTTAATCTTTAATTTCAATTCAATCTAATCTCGTCCCACCACCCCCCATCTCACCCGCACTTTTTTTGTTCACTCCCTCATTGCACCACATTTTTCAAGAATTTACGTGTATTGTTTGACTGTCATTTATTAACCTTGTTTGATCAACCTCAATTACATCTTAAACTAAATCAATTGTCATCATGGGTGATTACTTAACTCCTTCTGAGTTACCTCAACCAAAATTAAAGAGAACCAATACCGGTTTTACCCCTAATCAAATTATTGCTTTAGATGCTTCTATCCCTGAAACTGCTAAACATATTTGGTTTAAGTATTCCCAATTAAAGGTTTTAGATTCTGGTAAAAGAGGTACCCACGCTCCAGATTCAGCTGCTGTCTTATCTACTAAGGATGCTTTTGAAGAATCATTTGTTAGACATGTTGAAACCACCCTTGCTCGTAACATGTATAATTGTGATTCTTTAGCTGCTTATCAAGCTGCTTCAAACACTATTAGAGATGGTTTATTAATTGATTGGGCTAATACTCAACAAAAACAAACCATTCAAGATGGTAAAAGAGTTTATTATTTATCCTTGGAATTTCTTATGGGTAGAGCTATGGATAATGCTTTAATTAATTTAAAATCAAGAGATAATACTAAACAATCTTTAAATGAATTAGGTTTCAACTTGGAAGATGTCATTCATCAAGAACCAGATGCTGCCTTAGGTAATGGTGGTTTAGGTAGATTGGCTGCTTGTTTTGTTGATTCGCTTTCCTCAAAGAATTATTCTGGTTGGGGTTATGGTTTAAATTATCAATATGGTATCTTTAAACAAAAAATCATCGATGGTTATCAAGTTGAAGTTCCTGATTATTGGTTAAAATACTCCAATCCTTGGGAAATCACTAGACATGAAATTCAAATCCCAGTTGATTTCTATGGTTATGTTTATGAAGATCATGATCCAAATACTGGTATTGCTAAAAAAGTTTGGAGTGGAGGTGAAAGAGTTTTGGCTGTTGCCGTTGATTTCCCAATCCCAGGTTATAATACTCCAAATACCAATAATTTAAGATTATGGAATGCTAAACCAACTGAAGAATTTGATTTCACTAAATTTAATGCTGGTGATTATCAACAATCTGTTGGTGCTCAACAAAGAGCTGAAGCCATTACTTCTGTGTTATATCCAAATGATAATTTCGAAAGTGGTAAAGAATTAAGATTAAAACAACAATATTTCTGGGTTGCTGCTTCTTTACATGATATTGTTCGTAGATTTAAAAAACAACACAAAAACAATTGGACTAAATTCCCTGATCAAATTGCTATTCAATTAAATGATACTCATCCAACTTTAGCTGTCGTTGAATTACAAAGAATTCTTGTTGATTTAGAAGGTTTAGAATGGGAAAAGGCTTGGTCTATTGTTACTAAAGTTTTTGCTTATACCAATCATACTGTTTTACCTGAAGCTTTAGAAAAATGGCCAGTTGATGTGTTGGGTAGATTATTACCAAGACATTTAGAAATTATTTATGATATTAATTTCTTCTTCTTAAAAGAAGTTGAAAAGAAATTCCCTGGTGATCGTGATGTCTTAGGTAAAGTTTCTATTATTGAAGAAAGTACTCCAAAACAAATTAGAATGGCTTCATTGGCCATTGTTGGATCTCATAAAGTTAATGGGGTTGCTGAATTACATTCTGAATTAATTAAAACTACTATTTTCAAAGATTTTGTTAAAGTTTTCGGTGAAGATAAATTCACTAATGTTACTAATGGTGTTACTCCAAGACGTTGGTTAAGACAAGCTAATCCATTATTAGCTGAATTAATTGCTGAAAAATTAGAAGATCCAGAATATGATTATTTAACTAATTTAGGTAATTTAAAGAAATTGGAAAAATTTGTTAATGATGATGAATTTTTAAAGAAATGGGATTCTATTAAATTCCATAACAAAAAGAGATTAGCTGACTTAGTTAAAGAAGAAACTGGAATTGTATTAGATCCAACTGTTTTATTTGATGTTCAAGTTAAGAGAATCCATGAATATAAAAGACAACAATTGAATATTTTTGCTGTTATTTATAGATACTTGAGAATTAAGCAATTATTAGCTGAAGGTGTTTCTCTTGAAGAAATTAAATTAAAACATTATATTCCAAAAGCTTCTATTTTCGGTGGTAAAGCTGCTCCAGGTTATTACATGGCTAAGACTATTATTCATTTAGTTAATAAAGTTGGTGATGTTGTTAATAATGATCCTGCCATTGGTAACTTATTAAAAGTTGTTTTCATTCCAGATTATAATGTTTCTAAAGCTGAAATCATTACTCCAGCTTCTGATTTATCTAATCATATTTCAACTGCTGGTACTGAAGCTTCAGGTACTTCTAATATGAAATTTGCATTAAATGGTGGTTTAGTTATTGGTACTGTTGATGGTGCTAATGTTGAAATCACTAGAGAAATTGGTGAAGAAAACATTTTCTTATTTGGTAATTTAGCTGAATCAGTTGAAGAATTAAGACACAAGCATATTTATGAAGGTGTTAAGATTCCAGCTGCTTTAGGTGAAGTATTTGGTGCTATTGAATCAGGACTTTTCGGTAATCCAGATGAATATAGAGCTTTAGTCGATGGTATTAGATACCATGGTGATTACTATTTAGTTACTGATGATTTTGATTTATTCTTACAAACTCACGTTAAATTAGAAAAAGTTTTCGGTCATCATGGTGGGGATGCTAATGATAGTGATCATTTACACAGTTGGGTTAAAAAATCCGTTCTTAGTGTTGCTAACATGGGTTTCTTCAGTAGTGATAGAGCTATTGATGAATATGCTGAAAATATCTGGGATATTGAACCAACTAATCAATAAATGGATAATATCTAATCACTTTCGCTGTGTTTGATATTTTACTTTTGTTCCCTTTTTCAATTCTCTCTTTCCATCCTCCACACTTTTTTATTCAAATATCTCTTTCGTCCTTTTTATTTTTATATTTAATTAATTAGTTCTACAAACAAATGAAGTTTCTTTATAAATAAAATAAATAAATATTATGAGCTTGCCTTTTAACATATTCCATATTTAGTCATATCAATATACACTTGACATTATATTATACAATGATAATACCCTCATATTATCATACCTATCTATTCTTACTCTTTAAAGTTGCTAAAAAGTTTAACTTTATTGATTTAATGTCAATCGTTAATATAGTTACTATAAATAGTACATGATAGTGGCTTAATCTGGTAGCGTGATGTTCTCCTTTTTTGAGAGGGGATTTTATGTGCAGTACGGTCGGTATTTCTTTTTTCTGTTCGAAACAAAATGAAAGTGTAAGGCAAAGCTGATAGACAGTATAGTTAAGGAACAAAAGGAAACCGTTCAACCGTGTAACTTAGTTAGTGAACCACGGAAAGTATCATATCAAGCATCATAGGTGGTAGGAATAAGTACCAGATCTTTACTATTTTGGTTGTGTTGATAAGTATTTGAACGTTATTACAGAACCATTGTTTGTGCCCCCACCTGTCTCAAATCATATCACTTTCATTTCAAATCTGCCGCAGTAACCATTTTATAATTTGGCAAATTGATATCATATAACTCACCAAATCAATTCATTCATCATAGTTTAACTCATCATATCTGGATATGCGGTTCATAACTTACTATTTGCTAGTGTTATCACAGCTAATATTCACCACTTTGGCGTTGCCCCCAAAGTTGGGTCAAGAAAATGATCTTCAGAAACAATATTTAGTAACTACCCTTCCTGGATTATATGATAATCTTAAAGCAAATGAGATTCCATTGATGTTTTCTGGTCAATTGGAATTATATCCAGAGACTAATACCCATTATTTCTTTTGGAAGTTTTCTGATGTGGATAAAATCCCTGAAAATAATAAAAGAACTATATTTTGGCTTAATGGTGGTCCTGGATGTTCATCTATGGATGGGGCCTTATTAGAAGCTGGTCCATTTAGAATCGATAAAGATAAAAAAGTCATTTATAATTCCGGTTCTTGGCATAAAGCTGGAGATATTATCTTTGTGGATCAACCCGGTGGAACTGGATTTAGTTTTACTGATTCTTATGATCATGAATTAGGCCAAATTTCAGATCATTTCTTAAAATTTTTAGAAAAATACTTTGAAGTTTTCCCTGATGAAATTGATAATGAAATCTATTTTGCTGGTGAAAGTTATGCAGGTCAATATATTCCTTATATTGGTGATGGAATCTTAAAATATAATAAATTAGAAACCACTGAAAAACCTTATAATTTAAAGGGTTTATTAATTGGTAATGGTTGGATTTCACCTGATGAACAAAGTTTATCATATATTCCTTATGCAGTCCACGCCGGTTTTATAAAACCCAGTAATCCACATTGGCAAGAACTTTTAGTTCAACATCAATTATGTCAAAAAGTAGTTGATAGAGTTGATAATTATAATGATGATAAAATTCATCAAGATGAAATTTCAAATGTTGATTGTGATCGAATTTTACAATTTATTTTACAATATACTAGAGATACTAGTGGACCAAAGAATGAACAATGTATCAATATGTATGATTACACTAAAAAGGATAGTTATCCATCATGTGGTATGAATTGGCCAGCAGAATTAAAATATGTTACCCCATTTTTAAGAGAAGAAGAAGTTATGGGTGATTTAAATTTAATAAATCATAAACAATGGCATGAATGTGATGGTAGAGTTGGAGGAAATTTGAATGCTCGTAATTCTCAACCAGCAGTTCATTTATTACCTGGGATTTTAGAACAAATTCCAATTGTTTTATTTAATGGTAATTTAGATATTATTTGTAATTATATTGGTACCGAAAATTTCATTAAAAAATTAACTTGGAATGGTGAAAAGGGGTTTTCAGAAGATGTTGAACCTATTAATTGGATTTATGATGATGAAACTGCTGGTTATATCAAGACAGAAAGAAATTTAACTTTTGTTAATGTATTTGATGCATCTCATATGGTTCCATATGATAAACCAGAAATTTCAAGAGCATTATTAGATTTAATTACGGGAAATTATGATGATACTACAAATAAAGGTGATAAAAGGGCATTTATTACATATCCTCTTGGTGTAAGACAAGCAAAGATTGCTGATGAAGAAGCTGAAGCCCAAAAAGAAGCAGCAGCTTCAAGTATTAGTGAATCTATTGCTAATACTGCCAGTGAAAGTGAATCCGATGTTACTGAAACTAAACCAACTGAAACTGATGATGATGATGAAGTTATTACTACTTCATCTAGTACCGTTGAAGAATCAGAATCATCAGAAGCAGAATATCATTCATCTCCATCCACGAGTCGTATCACTAGATTAATTCAATTACTTGTAATTCTTGTGTTAATCTGGGGTGTTTATGTACTTTATTCATCATATAAATCAAGACCATCAAGTATAATTAAATCAGGTTCAAACTCAGGTAAGAAAAAGAATGTCCAATGGGCAGATCAATTAAGAAGATTTCAAGAAGATGATGAAGAAGCTCAAGATCATCAACCTCAAAATCAAGGATTTCTCACTAAGACTTTTAATAGATTAACCGGAGTAGTAGGTGGAGATGATAGAGGGAATTATACTGCTACTAAAACATATGAAGATATAGAATTAGGAGAAGGTATAGCGATGCATGATAATGATGATCAAAATTCTGAACCTAATTTAGATGATTTCATAATTGATAGTGAAGATGATGAAGCAGAAGAACAAGAAGGACAAGAATTAGAAAGTGCTGGTACTTCTAATGAACAAATAGATAGTCTCATAACTCATAAAAATGATGATTGAACCATAAGGTTTAATCGTACATAGTACTTTTAAAATATAATAAAACAAGTTACGATATTTGCAACCAATAGTAATAAATATGTTTGTGTAAGTCGTGCGATATCCAAAATTAAAAATTCATCAAATATGGTGATGAAAAAAAAATAGACCAATATACTATGATTTGTATAATAGTGTGAGATAATCATTAACGATTTAAATATAGAAGATAGCTGTTAGGTGATAATAATTTGTACATAGGAAGGAAACCCCTCATAGCATATTCAAAAAATAATATAAATCAATCCATTTACATTGCATAAAAATACTACAAATATACCCAAATAGAGAGATGTTTAAACAATCAATTCGTAAGTTGGCTACTGAAGCTACATCATCCATACCATCATTCAACATTGCATCAGCTCCCAAATATACCTTAGCATCATTACGTACATTTCCATCATTAGAACCTCATACATTTGTTCCATTACCTCATCAATTTTTCAATGGATCAACTAGAAGAGATTTATTATGGAGTGCAGTAGTATATGAAGCTGATAAAGCTAGAGTTGGATCTGGTTATGTACCCACCAAGGGGGATAAACCATTTTCAAATAGAAAGTTATATAAACAAAAGGGTACTGGTAGAGCCAGAACTGGGGATGCTAATTCACCTCATAAAGATAATGGATTAAAGGCTCATGGGATTAAAGCTCCCCATGATTGGTCTACTGAATTACCATTCAAGATATATAGTAAAGCATTCCAAGCTGCACTTTCTGAACAATATAAGAATGGGAAATTATTTATAATTGGAGGTGATAAAGATATTAGTAATGAATTTGATACTAATGTATTAGATTTTGAATATAATCATGAATCAGTAACTAATCAATTTGTGGAAAAGCATAATTTAGAGAAATTGAATTTATTATTCATAACTGATAATCAAAGAGATAATTTAATAACTTCGACTGAAGCCATTGGATCTAAAGCTAGTGTGATAATTAAAGATGCCGTTGAAGTAAGAGATATTTTAAGAGCCAATCGTATTTATATTGAATTGCCAGCATTACAATGGTTTATTGGTAAGTATGCTGTGGTGTAGGTTCTTACTATTGGTATGATTATAGTTTAAATAGAATATAAAATACATGTACATAATATTAATGAACTAAGATAGATAGATAGATAGATATCTATATGATATTCATAGTTAACAGATTAATTACATAATAAACTAAATCACGTGTGTGTTGTTAGGGCTCTGGCCCTTGTTGTTACATGCAGTATTCACTGTAAATTAATGGTTAATGCACTTCCCAGCACTCAATAGTTAACTGCGAATTATGAGCCGCATTCATAGTTAATTATATTTTGTTACCGGACTGTAATAATTTTGTTAGGGAGCGAGAGGGAAAGCAGTGAGAACAAACCAATTTGAAAAAAAAAGCTAAAATTTTTTTATATAATCATAAACCTTTCGAAAGTCTTTTCAGAATACTACGTAAACCATCATCAAAGGAAATTAAGTCAAGATGCCATTAGTTGTCCAAGAAGCAGGTTCATTCCAACACATTTTACGGTATGTTATCCTCCATCCTTGTTGAAGTGAAGTGGTTGTTCCCATCATTATTTACAATCTATGAAAGAATATTCATCAATCATTAGGAATCATCAACAATCATGAAAAATTATTATGAAAAGGAGTTAATCCATTAGATTCAAGTAGTTATAGTCTATCATAAGAAGTCAAGTAATCAGATACAAATCTGTAGAATCACGAATGATTCAGTGTAATGTCATATTTATCAGATATATTCAAATAATCAACAAAATTTTCAACTACAGTATAACCATCAATCAAATAAACTAGTTGAATGTAGTACCAGTATCAACAGTTTTAATAGAATCTCCATATCAAACTAAACAGAAACCATCCCTTCAATCCATCATTCCCTAATATATCATTCAAGATGAGAAATTTTTCTTACCATTGTAAAATCATGAAATATCAAACACTTTAACTTTCCCCAATCTTAACAAAACAAGTATACTAACTTTTTAATCTTATAGTTTATTAAACACCAACATTGATGGTAGAATCAAAATCATGTACGCCTTAACCAAAATTAGAGGTGTCGGTAGAAGATATGCCAATTTAGTTTGTAAAAAAGCTGATGTTGAATTAACCAAAAGAGCTGGTGAATTAACTCAAGAAGAATTAGAAAGAATTGTTACTATCATGCAAAACCCAACCAACTATAAAATCCCAGCTTGGTTCTTAAACAGACAAAAAGATCATGGTGATGGTAAAGATTACCATGTCTTAGCTAACAACTTAGAATCCAAATTAAGAGATGATTTAGAAAGATTAAAGAAAATCAGAGCTCACAGAGGTATCAGACATTTCTGGGGTTTAAAAGTCAGAGGTCAACATACCAAAACTACTTCTCGTGGTCGTTAAATTCATTTGAATTACTAAATTAATTTTCATAAAAATATAATTATAATTTTATTTAATTAACTAATTTTATAATTTATCTCATAAAATAATCATGTAATTTAACCTAGTTTTTATTCATTTCCATATACAAAAACAAAAATATACATTATATAATATTAATTATTACTTCAAGTTTTAATCAGTAGTAAGTCCTTGCTTGTAGTTTTATATCATTAGGAAATACTATGCCATTTTTCAAAAAAAAAATCATACGCGTGACTTTGCACGTGATTTGAATTTTAAGTAAAAACAATCTTCTATCAAAAGTAACTTTAATGCAAAATTTGGGTGAAAATAATTGAAATCAATCTACATTTTGACGTAAACTTTAAATAAAGTTGAATATGAAGAGTAATTAGAAGAAGTATCCCTGATGAAGCGTTTTACAGTAGCTGAAAAGTATCTTCAATCTTATTACAATGGGTTGGTATGACTCCATATAGTATATAAGTCAGAGTTAGACACCCAAGCAATAACTATTGAACTATTACATAATTTACAATGTAGTCTAAGGTTCTTTCTCCATCTTTTTTGTTTCCGAAATTTCTGGGATGGGTGATATAGAACGTATATTATGACCCTTAACTAACACTATCAAACTTTATTCCACGACGAGGTAACTCCTTTTATTACGCCTTCCTCCTATTTAGACCAATTCATGAATACCATCATCCAACCAATATGTACCCCCTTCCAATGAACATTAAAAAATAATCTCTATCTTTATTACTTACTTATTCTCAGTTGTTAACTCAACATTAATAGTCAAACATCGTCTAAATAAAAAGTTACGCGAATTTAACCGATTTTGGAAATTTTTCAGTCTTTTTTTAATTTATTTATAGAAGGAAGGAGGCTGCGAAAAACGGACAAACCCTACACAATTTGGAAACACGATAATTTATTTAATTAAACAATGGGCAAGATGACAAGTGGGAAAACGCATTCAATTTACAGGTTCATGTCAATTTAATTTTACAATGCTGGTCTTAACTAATTCTTAAAAATTAAAATATAATCATGCATTAATTGTGAAAGTGTAAAATGGGTATCTTAATATACAAGAAGAGAACTAAACTAATAAATATTTTTAAATAGAAACCAACTGATTCATTAATTGGCTAATCTTAATGATAATAAATTCTCAGCACATTCTTTATTCTCCATAACGTTGCTGCTTTCATTATGAGGTTTTAAAGATTTTTGATGATCACCTCTTTGAACTGTATTTAAACGATTCAAAACTTTTGAATTCAATTGTCCTAATGGTTTTCTAACCTCATTACTATTTAAAATATTATGAATATTAGATGCTTTAGATGTAGTTGTAGTGGTGGTGGTGGTTGTTGGTGATGGTTTTAAACTTGAAACTGGTGGTAATGTAGCACCAGGCACATGAACAGTTGTAGTTGGAGATGTTATAGAAGGAATTAATTTAAATGTCATTGTACTTGAATTAATCGAATTCAATTGTAATGGTTGTTTCTTTTTAGTTTCATTTAAGACAAACATAGTTCCCATTCTTTGAGTTTGATGATGATTATGAAGTATCATGGAATCATCAATCGAAGAATTGGCTTCATCATCATCATTGGATTGTATAGGATTAACAGTTGTAGGAGGATGAGAAAGAACTGGAATAGAACTTGATCTTTGTTTAATAGGGGAAGAAGTTGGTAATCTTGAATTTGGACTATCAACATATGAATGAGATTTAGCTATCACAGGTTTAGTTGGAGTAGAAGATATTAAAGCATGAGTTGACATGGTAGCAGATGGAGGAGGAGGTAAATGAGCTAAATGATGATGAGGATGTTGATGAATTGGAATGGAAGGTAATTCAGTAACTTCTCTTTCATTATTCAGTTGTTTCCTTATACTTTGTCTTCTATTTTGAAACCAAATTTGAACTGCTTTTTCAGTCATATGAACTTTAGCAGCAATTTCAAGTCTTCTAGCTTTATTTGGAGTTGTACCTAAATCAAATTCTTGATTTAAAATTGATAATTCATTAGGAGAAGTTCTTCTTCTTTTTCTTCTAGCCAAGGGAGCATTATCAATTGATGGTTCTTGCAGAGGGTAAGTTGCAGGAGAATGAGAAATGAATGCATATGACTTGTCAATGGAATTATTAGTTGTAGTATGATGATTTGAGAAACTATTATGTTTAGTAATAGTTGGAGTTATAAAAGCAGTAGTTGGACTTGTATGAGATGAAGAAGTAGTTGAAGCAGTAGATGATGAAGATGAAATAGCAGTAGTTGAAGAATTTCTACTTAAATTAATGATTTCCCTTTGATTTGATTCAATATGAGAAGGGATATCAATTGGTAAACTTTTATTACGATTGATAGTGGTTGGAGTTGGTAAAGTTGGAGGTAAATAATATTTAGAATTAGTTGATAAATATTTTGAACTTAAAGGCGTTGAAGTAAAAGAATCAATGGAAGGTAATTTAGTTTTTAAATAAGGAGTTGAAGTAGTAGGACTTGAAGAAGTAGATGTATTATTTAAAATCGATGATAATGGAGGTAAAGTAGCAGTTGAAGATTTTGGATGACTAAAAGGAGTTGGAGCAGAAGGTATGCTTGCTCTCTTTGGGGTCTGAATCATTTTTTTTTAGTTATGTATAGCGATAGTATGATAGTAATGGGATGTATAAAATGCAAAAGAAGTAGAAATAAGGAAATGACAAAGCTAAGAAGTTAATTAAATATAGTAGGACTCAACCCTGTTGGAAAAGATCAAGGGAGATCTTCTGCAATATATATATGTATGAGTAATATGGAGAAAATATCAATTTTTTTTAAAAAAATTACAATATAACAATTCAATTTGTTTTGATATTTGAAGGGTTGAAGATACACGCTTAAAATGAAAATAAATGTAAAAAAATAAATAATAAATAATAAATAAAATAAAAACTGAAACAAAGCTGAATTTAATTAATAAAAATTAATTGAATACATAAATAGAATCCAACGTAGAAACTGAAGGAAACGTAAAAACTTTCAAATGTAAACAATCAACGAAGTTAATAATCCCTGTATGTGATTAATTTTCAAAAACCAGAAACAGAAAAAACGACTTTATTGTGTAACTGATTGAGGTACCAGAAAGACACGATATTTAGGAATAATTAATTTAATTTAATTTAATTTAACTTACATATCATCATCAATGAAGGAAATCAGATTTTGTAAACAGCGCCACAAAGAAGGAATAGAAAAGGATCACAGGGCAAGGACAAGGGCAAACTTAAAAGTAAAGTAAAAGAAAAGGACAAAACTAACCTACTTTAGGATATAAAATATATAGATTGATGTTAATTAAATGCATTGGCTGTAGCAGAATTATCCTAATTAGGAAGGGGGTAAATCATGTAAAATTTGAAAGCGCATTTTGTGTTAATATTTACATTTTAAAATTATTTTTTATGTTCCGATCGTGTCATTTTTTCAATTTCGCTTTTTAAAAGAATTCGCGTCTTTTCGAAGTGGTAGTTAAATTACTTAATTAGGACAATTAGTTACAATTATAGAGGTAATTAATTATCACAAAATTAACTAAATGATGGTTAATTTCAATTCCAATTAACAACGCATATGATTTCGATATTAATTAGGGAACGATACAGTTTATTTATTTAGGTTAGTCTTTCTTGACTTATTGTTTACATTGCTCTGTGGCTGATATTATTAAGTTGACTTTGCTTTGCCCAGCAGCAATGATCAACCATCAGTGAATCATCAAATTAAATTATAGTAAACAAAATTGTTGATAAACTAATAATACAATTAAACACGAAATGTAATTTAGACAATGTCTAATGTCAATGTCAATAAATAAGACAGATACCAACATTAATAGATAGCAATTGATTATATTAACCAGGTTTCTATACTGAAAAAATGTAAACCTCTTAATAACAGTTAAAAATTCTTATAATTATCTTAACCTTAGATCAAAATAGAACAATGCACCCTCCACCTCCTTTTGATCCCTTTTTCATCGTTACTTTTCGTTCTCTCTTCATCATTTTTAAGGGGAACCACAAAAACCAATTATGAAAATAGCCACATGACTAAAGGCACATGACCAAAACAATGTCTATCTATCTCGGTTTTGAGCCAAAGTACACTCCACGATCGTATTTAAAATTAATTTAAAGTTATATTTTGGTAGCGGCGCACGTTCCAGTTAGGGACTGCATACAACCCGTCCTAAATAGGAAATAGAAGATGAAAAAGAAACAAGAAGAAAGAACGAAAGAAAATATGACCAAAATCATCAATTTAAACCCCATTTACAACCAGTTGCAATAACTATAATCAACTCATCATTTGCTCATCAGAGAACCATAGTCTAGACTCATCTATTAAAGCGTCTAGTCTGGTCAACTTGTTTTAACGTTCCTTTCACTTTACAAATAGTACCCAGCCACGAATATCATCATTATCACTAATCTCATCTCTATACCACAGTTATATATTCAATATCAAGATGGTTGCAAATGATGAAAAACACCTAATAGATCTTCATCGTGCTCCATCATCAAAATCATCTTTTAAAAGAGTTATCACTACCACCCTTCTTTTAACCTTTGGTCTCTTTGGTTCCTCATATTTCTTATATTCATCGCATTATTTACCATCATCATCATCATCATCAAATATCATACCTTGGTGGTCAACCATTTATAACACTTATACCAATACTTCCAATGATAATGCAAATACCAATCAAATACTAATCCCTCTTAATAATCAAATCTTATCTGTCGAATCTATAGACTTGGACGATATTCAAATTGATGGTATTAAAAAATTAGGGTTAACTCCAAAAAAACCTATAAAGGTAATTTCAACTGAAAAGGGAGAACAAATCATTCATGGTAGATTCTTACATTTAACTGATTTCCATCCTGATCCTTATTATAAAGTAGGTTCAAAAACTGATGAACTGTGTCATTCTGGTAAAGGTAAAGCTGGGAAATATGGTGATGCAATTTTAGGTTGTGATGCTCCTATGATTTTAATGGAAGATACTATTAAATGGATTGAAGAGAATTTAAAAGATAAAATTGATTTTATTGTTTGGACTGGTGATAATATCAGACATGATAATGATAGAGAATATCCTAGAACTGAATTAAATATCTTTGAAATGAATGAACAAGTTAGTGATTTAATGTATAAAACTTTTAAACATGAAAATGATCCAAATTTATTAGTTGATTTAATTCCTTCCTTAGGTAATAATGATGTTTATCCTCATAATTTATTTAGTCCAGGTCCAACTTTACAAACTAGAGAATTATTTAAAATTTGGAAGAATTTCATTCCTCAATCTCAATTACATATCTTTAATAGAGGAGCTTATTTCTTTCAAGAAGTTATTCCTAATCAATTAGCAGTTTTATCCATCAATACCCTTTATTTATTTCAATCAAATCCTTTAGTGGATAATTGTGATAAAAAGAAAGAACCAGGATATAAATTATTTGAATGGTTAGGTTATGTTTTAAAAGAAATGAGATCTAGAAATATGAAAGTTTGGTTAACTGGCCATGTTCCTCCTAATGAAAAAAATTATGATATCTCATGTTTAAGAAAATATATTGTTTGGTCTTATGAATATAGAGATGTTATAATTGGTGGTTTATATGGTCATATGAATATGGATCATTTTATTCCATTAGATTCTGTGGCTGCTTATAAATCAATTAAAAAATCATTAAAGAAAAAGAAGAAGAGTAAAAGTAAGAGTAAAGACATTAAAAAGAAGGCTCATGGTAAAGAATTCGATTTAATGGATCTTAATGATGATGAGGATTATTCTGATTATGAAAATGATACTGATTTCGAAGATCATTTTATCATCAGTGATTCTGAATCTGATTCTGAATTTGAATCTGATTCTGATGATGAAGATGAAATAACTCACCCATTAGAAGAATCCAACATCTTTAAAGTATTGGATAAAAACTTTGATGAAGATTTCTTTAGAATTCAAGGTGGTGTACCATTAAAGAAAGTTAAATATATGGAATCTTTAAGAGAAGGATTATATGCTGGTATTAAAGGTAAAAAGAAGAGTGGTATTTCTGCTGAACGTTATTCCTTAGCCTTTGTTACTGCTAGTGTGGTACCAACTTTTAATCCTGGTTTAAGAGTTTGGGAATATAATATTACTGGTTTACAAGAAAGTTTACAATCAAAAGTTACTTTTGCACCTTGGGATGAATTCTTTACTGGGTTAGATACTATGTTACAAAGTTTTGATAAATATGATCAAGAACATGAAAATGATGAAGAAGATGATGATTTCAATATTGAAGCTAATGATGATGTTTATACCATTTTAAAGAAAAAGAAAGATAAGACTTTCCCACCTGAAAAACCAGATTCATTAGGGTTAGGTCCAGGTTATGTTCCTCAAACTTTCACTCCAGAAAGATATGTTCAATATTTCGCTGATTTAGCTGCTATAAATAAAGATAAGAAACCATTTGGATATGAAATTGAATATTCAACTGATGATAAATTAATCAAAATGGATACTTTATTAACTGAAGAATGGATTAAATTTGGTAGAACCTTAGGTAAACCAATCAAAGATGAAAAGAAGAAAGAAAAGAAAGCAGGTGAAGAAGATGATAAAAAGAAGAAAAAGAAGAAGAAGAAGAAGAATAGTAAGAGTAAACCATTCACCAATCAATTGAAAGAAGAAGAATTACAATTGATTTGGATGAATTATTTAAAGAATACATTTGTTAGTTCTGATTATGAAAACAGAGGTTATGGTTAAAACCATGTTTGCTTTATTTAACGACGATATTATATAACAAAATAACACTGCATTTTAATACATTTACATAAACATATATATTATTCCAATTACGAAATATATAATACAGACGACCCCATAATCCAATCCCCATACATCTCAGCGCGTGATCTGGATCACATGACTCGATAGGGCTCCAACCCCCAAAACTCAAAAATAATTTTTGAACATTTAGCACACAAAAAAAATTTCACCTCACTTTCAACCAGTACCACTGTGAGGACCGTAGTATTTTTCAAATTTGAACCAATCTACTCTTTTAACTATCAATTGATTTTAAAAGAACTATCTTTGGAACCATTAAATATTCCTATCGTCAAATAAATACAAGTCGAAATGGGTGGTACTCGTGAAAAGAAAGCTGAATATTTCTCTAAATTAAGAGAATTATTAGAAGAATACAAATCTATCTTCATCGTTGGTGTCGATAATGTTTCTTCCCAACAAATGCATGAAGTCAGAAAATCCTTAAGAGGTGAAGGTGTTGTTTTAATGGGTAAAAACACCATGGTTAGAAGAGCCATCAGAGGTTTCTTAGCTGACTTACCTGAATTTGAAAAATTATTACCTTATGTTAAAGGTAATGTTGGTTTCATTTTCACTAACAGTGATTTAAAAAACATTAGAGAAGTTATTACTTCTAATGTTGTTGCTGCTCCAGCTAGAGCTGGTGCCGTTGCTCCAGCTGATGTTTGGATTCCAGCTGGTAACACTGGTATGGAACCAGGTAAGACCTCTTTCTTCCAAGCTTTAGGTGTCCCAACCAAGATTGCTAGAGGTACTATTGAAATTGTTTCCGATGTTAAGGTTGTTGACAAAAACGGTAAAGTTGGTCCTTCTGAAGCTACCTTATTAAACATGTTAAACATTTCTCCATTCACTTATGGTTTAACTATTGTTCAAGTTTACGATAACGGTCAAGTCTTCCCATCTAACATCTTAGATATTACTGATGATGAATTACTCGGTCACTTCGTTTCTGCCATTAACGTTATTGCTTCCGTTTCTTTAGCTGTTGGTTACCCAACCTTACCATCTGTTGGTCACTCTGTTATCAACCACTATAAGAACGTTTTAGCTTTATCTATTGCTACTGATTACACCTTTGAAGGTTCAGAAGCTATCAAAGATAGATTAGCTAACCCAGATGCTTATGCTGCTGCTGCTCCAGTTGCTGCCGCTACCGGTGCTGCTGCTGAAGAAGCTGCTGAAGAAGAAGCTGAAGAAGAAAAGGAAGAATCCGATGATGACATGGGTTTCGGTTTATTCGATTAAACTGATGGGAATTTAAATTTATAAATAAATACTTCTTTATGTAAAACTTTTAATTTCTTAACACTTATGTAAAATAGAAAAAAAATTCTTTCTAATAAATCATTTCAAATGTTGTAGATATATTATCGATGTTGCACAAGTTATAGTAGTTAAATATTTTTTTTTGAACCATCATGTTAATTTTTTTGCAGTAAAAAGGGTTTGACCATAGAATCAAGCATAATCAACTACCACGCCTTGACAAGACATTTAAACCATCCTTCACATATTTCAAATGGATGTATCAGATTTCGATACTAATTTCTCTTCTACTAATGGCAGTAATATTAAATTTCTAAGCCAGCGTCTAAATCAATATGGAGATCAAGGGCTACATTTCAATTTGGTTAGAATAGACTGGATTTTAGATGAAGGTCCATATAATTACCCAGGAGAGGTTACTGCTGAAGATTTAACCAAGATCTTCCAAGATGTGATTGATTTAATTACTAATCTGATGAATGTTATCAAGTTGGATGAAGATAATCAAAATACACTCATTAATTTTTTCAACAATGGTCGTTTAGATAAGTTAATGTCAATTTTAGTGATTGACTCATTATTTAAGAATGTTCATATTGATCAAACTACCACTGAACAAATCATTGGTTTAAATATATTGCTACTGACTGCAAAGTATTTTATTGAATTCATTTATGAATTTGCATCAACTTCTCATTATAATTTAACGATCGGTTGCAGCCATACCATATCAGTGTTACAATATGTTTCTGACATTCAAAGCAATATAGAAGAAGAATATTTTAAAGAAGCTAGTTGCTTATTTAATGAATTAGAGGAATCCTCCTTTGATGGAAATGTTTTTAGATCTTTATCAATTGAAATATTTAAGAATTGTTACCCATGCCTGGAAATATTCAATTATTTGAACTATAGAATTCAATTTTATCACAATGATAACAACGATATTATTTATGATTACGTTGATCAACTATATTTCCTAACTAAGAACTTGCAGACTCAGTCCCAAATTAGTGCAAATATTTACCATGGATTAGATATCTATAAAGAAATATTGAAATCTTCCATATTAACGTTATCAAAAACTTCACAAATATCAGAAAGTGCATATGGAACCAATTTCAATCAATTAATATTGATATTTAATGAAATATATGATGAAGATCTTATACTTTCACAAATAATACCTAATAAAACCATTATTAAAAATAGTGATGCTGAAGATGATTATGGAACAAGCAACTACAAATATTATTTAGCTAGTGAAATTGACAAGAGAAAACCGGAATGGGTTGATCTTTATTACAAGACTACATACACTGATAGTAATGTGATGAATACTAATGAAGAAGAGATTGAACATACAGAAGAGGTAGAAGATGAAAATATTGAAAATTGCCAATCTAGTATTCTAGTACCGAAATTTGGATTTAGATACAAATTAAAAGGCTATCTAGGACTAGATATATCCACACGAGGTAATTGGCATAGTTTTTTCCGAAAATTTAAACTTACTAGGTGATAATAATTAAAATTAATTTGTTATATGTACATTCGTAGATATTATATACAAGATGATTGTAACGTAAAGTTCTTTATAAAATGAAAATGCAAGGATAGTTTTAATTTCTGCTTCTGATGAATTCTCTTGGTTCTTCATGAACCTTTGTGGATTGTTTAACAGTAGGTTTTTGAATATGTTGACTTAATTTATTTGGAGCAGGCCATTCTTCTGGAAGTAATCCAGATCTTTTGAATAAAAATGTAACACGATCTGACACATCTGCACCAACACCTAGCCAATATTTGGATCTGACAAAGTCTAACTCTATATGCTTGAATGGTTTGACTCCATTAGCCTTTTCAGTTGGAGTTAATGGTACTGGATTTGGATTATAAGTTCCTAATACTTCGATTGGTAAACTATCACGAGCTGAGGCTTTCTTGGCCACCACTATATTATAAAAGGGACTGTGCTTTCTTCCGAAACGAGCCAATCTTATCTTTATAGGACTCTTAACCTTCTGAAGTACCTGTGACATCTGATATACTGTTATTATTATGGTTGAACTATCAGTTGTTCAAATCTTTAATTGACTTTTGATATTTACTACCAATTTTTTTTTTTCAAAAATGACATTGAAAAAAAAAATGCAAACTCGCACGACTTTCAGATTTTATAGAAATTAATTTTGCGACTATAATTTGTATTGTTTATATACTAATATACATTGATTAAAACTTCTTTCTAGCTTTAAATTTTTGTTTTGGCTTGGCGATTCTAGCCTTTCCTAAAGCATTGGATGATGGTTTTGGTTTTGGAGCTTCTGGTTCATCGTCATCTGACCAGTTGTCTTCTTGTCTGTTCTTCTTGTTATATTTCAATTTATTCTTTTGACCTCTGATAGGAGCTTGTTTAACAGCTTCCAAATAAGCATCAATACCAGGTCCTTTGTTGGCTAACGGATCTTCTTCATTGTCATTAGATTCATTAAATACAAGCTTACCATTCTTGGTTTTGAATTGAGATTGTTTAACATCCTTCTTTGAGAATTTACTTGGTTTAGAAGATGAAATATGGGCTAAAGTTTGACGATCCAATAAATTCAATGGATCTTCTCCGTTTTCTAAAATGAATTGAGATGGAGCTTTCTTTCCTCCCTTACCTTGATCAGCTTCATCATCTTCATCGTCATCGGAATCAGAATCATAGACGGCTTCTTCATAAGCAGAAACGAATTTCTTTTCACCAGTAGCACCAGATTTACCTTCTTCTTCAGCTTCTTCTTGTTGCTTTCTCTTAGCTCTATTTCTTGACTTTCTGATATTAACAATAAGTTTTTTGTCATCTTCAGGAATGGCATTTTCAATTTCTTCAATACCAAATTTCCTTATTAATCTTTCTAAGATATGTTTAACTTTAGATTTAAAGTGACCCTTATGTTCATGAGACCATTTCATTAATTTTTCCAATAATTCACTAAGGTTAGCTTTAACTAATTCTTCTGGTAAAGATAAAACTTCAACTTTAACGAATCCAATGGCAGACTTAGCAATTTCTCTTGAATTATGGGTTAAGAATAATTCAACAGTGGAAGCAATTTCTAATAAAACATCGGTTGGTAATTTATCTTTAAATTCAAATACAAGACAAGAAATAGCAGTAATGGTAGCTGAAATCATATGAGGGGCTTGAGCAGCTAAACCAGCACTGACCATGGTAATATATTCAGTAAGATTAGCTTCTGAAGGTGGAGCATCTTCACCAAAACCTGGAACTTTGGAGTTTTCTATTATACCTCCATTTATCATAATATTACCCATTTTAATTAAAATAGCATAAGATAATTCACGGGTTCTTTCATTAACATCTTTGGTAGATATGATGATTTCTTGTAAAGTAGCTGGAATGAAGTAAAGATCAGTTTCTGGAATTAATTCCAAAATTTCAAGAATAGCATTTAATCTTGAAGCACGAGCAGAACTGTGAGTACCTTCAGTGGTTTCAATAAAAACCTTTTCAATTTCTTGCATGAAGCCTTTAACTGATTCTTTACCACTTTCAGTTTCACATAATTTAGAAATAATTCTATAAGCTCTCTTTTGCATTAAAGCATCTTGATGAGAGACAACACCAGAAAAGATAGTAAATAAAGCATTATATGAAGTTGAAGGAACGTATTTAGCCATAGCAACAACTAAATCCATCATAGTGATAGTTAATTTGGCACCCTTTGGAGCTTTAGTTTGTTCAGCTTCCTGGTCCATTGAAGATTTTAATAATCCACAAACCTTATTGAAAGTTGATTCTAAATCTTCATTGCTCATAACTTGTAAATAACTATCAATGGTTTCTAAAACGAAACCTCTAGCATCTGGTAAGGTTGATGAAAATACATTAAACAACACTGATAAGATATTGGAAGCCTTTGCGGAAAGGTATTTGACATTGATTTCAGCTTGTGCTATTGAGAATTGTTGAAGACTTAATAAATCATCTTCTAAGGCACCATCTCTATAAGCAAGATTGGACTCCACTAATAATCTCAAAGCATGACAGATTGGAACTCTTAATTCGACCTTGGAATACATCAAATCGGACAATTGTGCTGCATATGAATCATCAAAAGCAGTTATTAAATCTTTTGGTAAATCACAGAAATGTGGTAATAAACTCCAAATTTGATCAATAATAGTTTGGAAAACTTTAGCATTAAGAGATTCTTTATTTGCCGATTCAATGATTTTGTTTTGGAAAAATTCAGCAACTTGTAAAATGGATTTTTTATAATATTCCAATTCAGTAAATCTGACATTGTCTCTTAATAAAGGTAAGAGCCAAGCTCTACCTTGCAGGTCTCCATTAGTTAAATTCAAAGGTAAGACACTTAAAACAACTTCTGGACCCATGGTAGTTATAGATGCTGCAATTAAATTTTCAGCTTCGGTATTGTAAGGGAATTGATCAGTTTCATTAGTTCTCCATTCTCCGACAACACCAACGATACCTAAAAAGTCTGGATTACAACGACTTCTTAATTTTAAGATAGCAGCAGTAATGAATTCAAGAATGTCTTTGGTTGCAAATTGGAATCTAATGGAAAGTAATTCTTTTTCAATGAATTCACTTAAGAAGGTTATGGTTTCATCAACCAAGTCATAGATATCTTCGGTGACATTAAGTTCCTTTGATGGCTCTAAAAGATATTTATCTGGAATAACTTGGGAAACAATGGCAATAAGACATTGTGATGCTGAACTATATATATCTTTTGATTCACTTGATAAGAATTGTGAAATAATAGGAACATAAGTAGGAATACGACGAATAGCATCTTCTGGAGAAGCTCTACCATAACATTCTAAAGCTTTTGCAACCACAGCTAACCAAGATGCAGCTAAATGAGTATCATTAACAGATGGCTTTAAATCAAAGATGATATTTAATACACTAGCGAATTTTTCAGAATATATGAAATCAGTCATGGAGTTGAATAAAGCTTCAAAAGCAGAAAATGCAGAAGAAACTAAATATTGATCTGAAGTCTTTGAGATATCTAATAAGACATCACATAAAGCTTCAATCTGAGTATTTGGCCATGAGTTAGCAGATGCAATAGAACTGATTAATTGTAAACAATGAATTATTTGAGAATTAAGTTCTTTACTTGATGATTTATTCTTTTTAGATTGGCCAACTAAAGAGGTTAATTTAGCTAATGATATTTCAGCTGCTAATATGGAAACAGCGTGTGATGGAGATGGAGAAGCTGGAGGGTTGGATAAAATCTTATTGACTGATTCTTGAGCTCTTCTTCTAACTTTTGGACGAGGATCAAAAGATAATTCTAATAAACCAACAAATGCTCTCTTTGGAGAGATGTTTCCACTAGATTGCCATTGTTGATAATCTTGAGCCAATAATAATGATTCTAAAGCACCAATACTTGATCTGATTAAAGCCGCTTCAGAATCTGCATGAGTAAGTGAAGGAGCTAACTTTGTTAAGATTTCACCAAATTTTGATTTTAAAAGTGGTTTTGGAGTAAATGGAAGTACAATATCTAAAAAGTAAGCAGTAGTGGCAGCCAATTTAGCATCAACTATTCCATTATCATTAATAGATTGATTCAATAAGGATAAGAAGGATACGAAATATGCCACAGGAGTCTTTTCATTCTTTTGTTCTTCAATATTTTCTTCAACTGCTGATAAAATTACTGCTAAATGCTTTTGATTTTCTAATTTGGAAGTTATCTGAGCTCTGATTTTAGCTAACCTATCGTCTAAGGCGAAAAAGTCTGAAGATAAACCTCCATCAGGATTCAAATCAGACATTATAACTTTGTTGCTTTAGGTTATTTCAACTTCTAATGATATGCTGCCTTTTGATCTCTTTAGATATTTAATTTTTTTTTCAAGCAGAGATGGGCTTCACTTACTTTTTTTTTTAAAGTGGTGAAAAATCAGTCACGTGATTTTAGTTTTTGCAATTTTTGCAATTGTTTATATTTACTTCTATTTAAACATGATATAAAAGTTTAAGCATCTAATTGCAAGTTATCCAATAGAGTATCGATTCTTTCAATATCTCTCTCGTAATTCATTCTTGCATTCTTATAAATTCTTAATTCTTCTCTGGGGAATGGTTCAATCATTTCTTCAACTCCCTCTCCTTTTGATTTCTGTTGGGCTTTATATAACACACGAACAGGATCAAGATCTTCAAATTCATCTCCTAAAGCATACTTCTTAGATAAATAGTATCTAATATCATCAATAAGTTCGATTGTATCAGTTTCATGTCTTTCTTTGATTCTATTAGCACTTTCTCTCACCAAATCAGCGAATAGATATCTTTCTTTGTCATTCTGGTAAATGTATTCCAAATTATGAGCAATCATTTTTGATGCATGATGTTCTAATTTATCACTTCTTGTTTTCCATGATACCCTAACCAAATCATATATATTATATCCCACACTGTCTTTAATACTTACAAATTGTTCTTGATTGAATTTATCAAAGCTGGAAGAAATATTAACAGCACACATAGTCTTTAATCTATCAAGGAATAACTCATCCGCCACAAATAATAATTCAACAGTTAGATTAAGCGGAATATTAGGAATATTATCATGATATAAATAAGAAAGAATCATTTCTGCCACTTCAGAATTAGCTGATGTAGTTGAAATTCGAATTATCGGTACATCTTCATCAACCAACGAAGCACGATTAATTACATCGTCAAATTCAAGCTTCTCGTCCTTTAATAAAGGTAATTCTCTATTAGACTCTAAGAATATTTCTGATTTCAACATTGTATCATAGTATTCCGAACGAGCAAGAATAGACTTATTAACAGGATAATATGCAATTGATTCGGTATCATAATCAATTGAAGCTACTATGATATCTGGAATTGAAGAAGCAGTCATTAGATTTTGCTTTTGTTCTATGGTGATGAATTTAGAACAATCCAAATCTTCAAGCTCCTCTTCGTCAGGAAGTTCAACTTCTATAACTAGCTTCTCACCGAGAATATTTCTCTGTAAGAAAGTATCTAAATCCTTTCTAGCCTTTTCAACTTTTCTCAATCCCATATCATGTTTTAATTTTGATTTACTTTTATTATCTCGTACAAGTTTTAAAAGTTTTATATTATCTGCTAGATCATTCAATCCAAATTCAGTAGCCATTTGAATAAGCTTATCTTGAATTTCCTCGGTTTCAATATCGGCGGTTCTTAAATATAGATGATTAACAATCGATTTCAATACTGAATAATCTTCTGGTGTCATGTTTATAATTGACTTTTCTTTCCATTCAGTTGATAACTTATTTTGAAAATATTGACTTCTTGCTGCTAATAAGAACCGATTTAATTTCAAATTTTCAGCACCAACTTGGAATATAATATCCTTAGTAATGATCTCATTGGTTATGTTAAGTAAGGATGAAATATGACTTGCGAATGGTTGATTCAAATCAACTGCTTTAGACACATCAAAACTTATTAATACATCCCTGATTTCATCGGTTAGAGCTCCATATATGCAACGAGCTCCTTCAAATGTATCTCTATCACAAACTGCTCCTCGAGATAGTAACAATTCCACTACTTTCAAATGACCACAAAGAGACAGAAGAATCAATGGAGAATAATCAAACTTATCCACTTGATTAACATCTAAATTGGGGATGGATAATAATGTCTCAACTACTTCAATATCTCCAGTACGACAGGCATTACAAAGATCATTGAACGCTTTCTCCAAAGAATCACTATTCTGAGTAAGCGTAGTATCACCGTTTAGTCGTTCGACTTGTACTGACATGGTCTCGTCTTCTTCTTCTTCCAATTGATGGAGTGAATTACAGCCTAAGATTGATTTGAAATTACGAAATCTTTATCGGTAACAAATTTAAATATGAATTACATGCAGGACATCCGTTTTCTTTGATGTTTGTGGCTCCTGTCACAAAATAAAATTTAATTGCAGCAAAAAAAGTTAAAGTTAATTATTTATATTAATACAAAGTAGAGGATATTATTATTTAGAAATGAAACATTAACGATATTAATTTACCTAACGATCATAGGATTTTATAAAATATTTATAAATATTTTGTTTAAATTTGCTGGTTTTCTTAGCACGTTTTTCTTTAACTACTACATCAGTTTGATTAGGTGTAGATTCATGCTTGGGAAGTTTTGATTCTAAATCATTCTTTAAATTATGTTGGGATGTATTATCGACAATGGTTTCATCAGATTGTGATGCATCTTGACGATCCTTTTCAATAATTTCATCGTTATTGGACACACCATTTCCATTGTAAGCAATGACATCACCGTTGGGATGAATCTCATCATGAATTGGACTACTTTGAAGTGAGTCTTCATGTTGGTAATTAATGGCTTTCTCAGCTTCATGAACAACTGGAGGCTCTTGTACCTGTTGTTGAATTGGCTGTTCAACTTGTTGGACAACTGGAGCTTCCACTTGATGGACTATTGGTTCTTCCACGACTGGCTCTTCCACTTGTTTCAATTCTGGTTCTTCAATTGTAGTTTCAGTTGGCCTCTTGATATCTTGTTCAGCCTGTTGAACAACTGCTGGTACTTGATGATCAACTTCTTTAGCTACTGGAACAGTAGGAGCAATAGGCCCAACAGCAATATTTTCATCTTTTCTTTCAGAAACATCTTCTTCCTCTTCATCACCCGAAAATTCTTCATCATGAGGATCAATCGTACTTAATTTTGGAACTGGAATTGGTTCGGAATCATCAGACACAAGAGGTTCAGCTTGCTTTTCAACCGAATCTTGTTTAGTAACAAAACTACCCACCGCAGCTTGAATCAGTTCTTTTGGTGGAGATCCAGATGTACTAGCAATAACTCCTCCAAATCCACCTGGAGTCAAGTTTCTAAAAGCATGAGCCGTTTTTGGAGTTTCTGCTTGTACTTCAGTTTCAGTTGGAATTGAATCATCATGAATAATTTCCGGCGCTGTTGGTTGTATGAATTCCTTTGCCTTTAACGTAGGAACTGCTGGTACAGATGGTGTTTCAACCTTTGGGGTAATTGGAGAAGCTACTGGTTGCACTTGCGGTGGTTGTAAGACTGGTTGACGATAAACTGGAGCAACTACTGGAGCCGTTGCTTGTGGTTGTGATGGTGGAGGCTGTGAAACTGGTTCTTGATAAACTGGTTTTGATGCTTGTGGCGCTACTTGTTGAGGTACTTCTTCAGTCACTGGAGCACTTATGAAAGGTTGTTCACGAATTTGAGATGGAGGTTCATTAATACTAGCATTTGATCTGAAACTCTTATTATCCTTTTCAGCTTTATTCTTCTTACTTCTGCTGAAAAATCCAAATCGCTTCTTCTTACCTGGTGAACTTTCAGTTGATGGTGGTTGAGCTTCAATAACTTCAGGTACTGGTTCAGGAATAGGTTCCGGTTCTTGTTTTCTCTCTCTTCTCGTTGATTTCTTGACTGGATCATTTCTCATAGAATGAGATGAAAAGCTTTTGTAATGATTTTCATATTTATAATTACCATCGATTGCTTCAACTTCATGTTTGGAAAGTGTTGGAGTTTTAATCACTGGAGCATTGGCGGTTGATTTTCTCTTATCACTCTTATGAAATATGGAATGTTCTTGTTTTGAAGATTGAACTGGTTGAGTAGGTGCTGCAGCAGGTGGAGGAGGACCAGCTTCTCCATAAACTCTCTTATAGGCAGCTTGCATTGCAGCAGCATAAAAATCAGCATCGTAATTAGGTTGAATAGGTTTAGCTTTCTTAGGAGATTGATGTTCTTGAGGATGATGATATATTGGAATAGTTTCAACTTTATCCACAAATTTGATGGAACTTGGAGGTGAAGCAGTTGTACTTGCAGTTGATCTTAAATCTTCACTTTCTTGTCTTGAAGTTTTTGGAGAAAATAATTTAGTTGCATGTCTTGGAGGATCTAAGATAACTGGACCAATAGGTACTTTGAATTGAGGTGGTTGAGATAAGCTTTTTGGTTGATCCATAACATGAATTGCATTTGCAGGTAAATCTGGTGATGGTAATTCTTGATCTTGTTGATATTGAGTTTCTTCATCTTCAAATTTTGGACGAGCACTATTTTTCAAAATGGAACGAAGTGGTTTGGTAGGTGATGAGTCTTGAGAAAGTGTCTTTTGTATAGGTCTATCAATAACTGGAGTGATTAATTCTTTATTGTGATTTGGAGAATCTTCTTGGAAAGCAGCTTGAGCTTCTTGAAATGGAGATCCAAGGTTATTATTATTATTATTATTGACTACTGGTTGTGAGACATTATTATGGTTAGGAATATTTAATCTTAAATCTTGATGATCTTGTTTATTATCGAGTTGATAATCATATTCAAAGTTTTGTAAATCTTCTTCAATTTTAGTTAAGGCTGGATTAGGATTATTAATTGATGATGAAAGAATTGAATTATGTCTTAAATTATTTGAATTTAAAGAATTTGCTCTTGAATTACTTCTTGATATATTCTTACTGGTGGTTTCGATAATATTTGATCCATCAGGCAATGTCTTTATAGTTTGAGTAGTAATGGATTGAGTTCTACCTTGAGAATCAACAACTCTAGTTGTTTTGGTTGTAATTATCATATCATCATCAGCCAAATCGATATTTTCATCGATATCATCATTTAATTCATTAATGACATTATGAGGATTCTGAGCATAAGGTGAACGTTTCGCTACTGAAGTAGGTCTTGATGATGTGTTAGGGACTGAATTTATACTTGAATTGGTTAAACTATTAAATCTTCTTGCATTATTGATATTGGCAGGTTGACCCGGGGTATAGGAACCCTTAGGGTGATAAGTATATGATCTTAAAGAGTTTGTTCTTTGGGCTTGTATATAACTACTTGAAGTTAATGAATTAGTTCTTCTTGCAGGTTGTTGTGGTTGTCTTATAGGTTGAGGATTATTAGCTTGTTGCTGTTGTTGTTGATGAATTCGAAGAGCAGCAACGGCAGCTTGGCCTGCACCATTAGCAAACGATTGATTTCGATTTGCACTTGAATTAGGTAAACCTGCCACTGTGTTTTGAGATGATTGATAATTGTTGATTTCAGTATTATACTTTGCAAAGCCTTGATAGGCTGTATCTTGTTTCCGCCTACGATTAAATAAGTTAACCATGTTTTGATATGATAAGGATGTGAGAAAAAAATAAAGACTAGTAACGAGTAAGAATGTCTAATTGAACACTACTTAAGTAGGGGTATGAAGGATATTGAATCGATAACACTAGAATAAATGAATAGATAGTGAAGTATAGCTAATACTGAACAAGGAATAGATATAAATTAAATAAATAAATAAGTAAATAAATAATAGATAAATTGGTTATTTATAAGTCATTCCTCGAATTCTATGACAACTGAATTTCATACAAATAAATGAAGCAAGTCAGAAAATCAGACAGACAAAAAATGAGAAAGAAGAATTCAGACACAACCTGAAATTGTGTGATTGAAAAGGGAAGAGGGAAAAATTGAGAACAACAAAAACAGACAGACAGAAAACAACAATTTAAGGTACCCACCCATACATACATATAAACACCACCACCACCATCCCTAGAAACATGGGATATACTATATATGTATGTATGTATATATGTGGATTCGTGCATATAGCAACTTTAAAATAAACAAACATTACATTACTAAAACTTAATTAATCTAGGTCTCATTCTTGGAAATAACGGCAAGTAAAAATTTGGTGAACAAAGCATACAAAAGGCTGAAACGGTTCTAAGTTTTTTTTCTTTTTAAGGTTCTAACCCCCATGTGAACTTTGATAAATTTAATAAACTCCATTGAAAAGCTGAACTATCTTCCCTGAACTGAAATTAATTGAAATGAGCTAGACTTTTTTAATTTCATTGTATTGTTCCACAGTCATTCATATTTATTTTTCCTTTGTATTAATATAATACTCTCCACTGGATATCTTCTCATTAGTAGTTAACTACCATTGGATGATAATTTTACTGTGGATTACCTTTCAGATAGATTTATTTTCATATCTATATTCTGTTATAACTAACCATTGTAATTATCATCTACATGTCTACTATGATTTCTAACTTAATAAGCTACTTTGACCATGATTGAATTATAAACTACTTACAAACTTACCCCATGTGATCAGCGATCCATACCAAATCAATCAACTAGATCAAACTTACGTAAACTTCGCCATCCTCTTCAAACACTATTTTGCATTCGTACACTTCTCCTTACACATCCATACAGTGTGTAGTTGAGAAAAATCCCAGACATTAAATTAAATACTAAAAAAAATTTGTCCTTTACCACAAAACCAAATTTTGGCCCTCCTTCCTAATTAGGCAAAACGTACACAACAAAATTTTTATAATACCAATAGATCAATCATCATCAAATTTATATGTACAAAACATTTAATTATAATGTTAAGTTGTATGATAAACTGTTACAAACCTCTTTCTTTCACAATTAAAGAAAAATCAAAAATCACTTGGTAGATAATATCGTATTTGAGTCAATCATATATCTAATTCAAAACTGAACAAGCAACATTCGTATAGTTGCAACCATTTTAATAAACCATATCACAACAATCAAAGTAATAGACCAAGTCAAGTCATCATTTAATATCACATAATATCAGATGACAACGAAGATGTTGCTGCGAGATTCACATCCACATCCACATTCACAGTATCAATCGGAAGATGTCAACCTTGTTAATAGCTTTTGGGGACCCGATTTCAACGGTTATAATGTTGTGTGTGATAAATTGGATCATTCAATTCAAACCATGGAAGAAATTTTACATTATTATCAAGAACGAATCAATATCGAACAAGATTATTGTAAGAAATTAGATAAATTGAATTCAAAAATATCGATTGGATCTAAAGAAATTGGATCTTTGAAAGTTGGATTAGAAAAATTTAAAATTGAAAATCAACAAATGATTCAATATAATCATAAATTCATCAAATCGGTTAATGTATTAAATTATGATACTTTAAATCAATTCTTTAAAACATATGTTAAACGAATCAATAAAATCAAAACTCATATCAATAAATTAATTTCAAAATTAACATCTTCCCACAAACATTTAAATCATAGTAAACAATTATATTTTGAAACTTGTTCATCATTAAAATCATTAAAATTAAGTGTTAAAACTACTTGGGGTAAAGAAGGGGAAAAGAATCAAGCTAATTTAATGAAACTTCAATCCAATATTTCCAAAATCGAACATGAATATCAATCATCCATAACGAATTATAATGAATTATTATCGATCTTTAATCATGATTGGTCATTAGCTTTGAATGATATTTATAAATTAGAAATTGAACGAATTCAATTATGTAAAGTGAATTGTTTCAATTTTTGTAATAATGTCGCCACTTTATGTGTTGATAATGATCAATCGGTTGATAGTGTAAGATCAGTACTTGCTAAAGTTCAACCTCAAGTAGATTTACAAGATTTTACTAAATATTATGGAACGGGGAATAAAATGGTTAAACATTATAAATTCATTGATTTCTTAAATGGATATGATGAATCATCGGTTAATGAAGTTGAATTTCAATCAGCTCAATTCATTGATCCTGATTTTGAACCTATATTATCCAGAAATTATTCAACTTATTCTCAAGCTTCAGAAGCTGTTAATGGATCCCAATCATCTTCAAATCATAAAATTAATCAAAATCATATTTTCAATCTGTCACCATTAAAGTATAAACCAGTACCAAAATTACCTCCATCAACTCCATCACCTCAAAAATCTCAAAGTATACCAATACATACCAATAGTCATCGATCTAATTCAATTTATAGTTCAAGTCCAGAAGATACTAAAGCTGATGTATTTTCCATTCATAAAACCAAGAATTCAATCACCAGTAATGGATATACCAATTCTAACTATTCGAATCCAACCAATTATTCATCAGGAAATACCAATACTAATCAAGTAAATATTGCCACTTCCACCACCGGATCTAATTATTCAACTGAGAATAGAAATTGGTCATCACCAAGACGGAAAGAGAAACAATTGAATCAATTCCAAGAACAAATTAATAAAATGTCTCAAGATCGAAGTCCATCAAAGAATAGTAAATCAAATAGTAATAATACTACTAATACTCAAAAAGTACCGATTATGAAAGATTTTTCAATTGATTTTATAGCTAAAGCATTAGAAGATTTAAATTCAGGAGGTAATGGAGATGTTAATCAATATAGAAGATCAGTAAGGTTAGCTAAAGAACATGAAGATAAATATGTTAATCAAAGACAAAGTAAAACAGAACCAAATACTCCATTTAAACAACCAACCTCTGATTTTATTGATGATCACAATGAAATAGCGACCAGATATAATTCGATCAATTTCAATTCACCATCAAAGACTACAACCAACACTAAAGTATTACATCAGAGACCAAAATCAATGCTTATTGATGAATCTCATAAATCATTATCGAGTTCGCACCATAGACGTTCATTACTGAAATTACCAAGTACATCATACAACGACTTATATTCCATGATAAATAATAATGAAAATAATAACAATACTACACCTATAACCAAAAGTCCATTCATCACCAAGGCCAAAGCCAAATATAGTTATAAACCTCAACAAGAGGGAGAATTGCTTTTTAAGAAGAATTGGAATATGTATATATTACACAAGCAAGAGGATAATTGGTTTATATGTGAATTAGGTAATAATTGTGGGGATAATATTGGTATGGTAGGGTTAGTACCCGGTAATTATTTACAAGAAGGTTCAAATATATTTTAAGTAATTAAATAGTTCTGATTGTTTAGATAATATATCGTTATCTATGAATTGTGGATGCCTGTAAATTGTCGCAATATTTTCACAGAATTTTGTCACACAAAAATAGGTCAAAATTTCTTTTTCATTTTCTTCTGATGTAAAAAAATACATAACGATCTAAATACGTTAATAATCATCAAATATTGGTTTAAACTATTGGTCTCTTCATTAACGCGTGTATAAGTTTAGTTGGCAACTAGTTAAAGATGACAGTGACGAATCCTATTGGTGAGTTTGAGGTTAAGTTGCCTCATTCTATTGAAAATTTACCGCCATTAATCATAGGAGGGGCGGTGTTTAATAATCAATATTCAGATAATCCTCATAAATTACCAGCTAAAGATATTTTAGAAGCCGCTTTCATGTTAGGATTGAATGCTATTGATACTTCACCTTATTATGGTCCTTCTGAAGAAATCTTAGGTCAAGCGTTGAAAGAACTTGCTCATATTGATAGACAATCGTTTTATATTTGTTCAAAAGCCGGGAGAGTGAAATTAGATGACTTTGATTATTCTCGTGAAAGCGTTAGAAATTCAATTAAACGATCATTAAAAAGATTAGGAACCACCTACTTAGATCTTGTTTATATGCATGATATTGAGTTTGTTGAAGAATCCCAAATTTATGAAGCTTTGAAAGAATTGAAACTTTTAAAAGATGAAGGATTAATTTTAAATTTCGGGGTTTCTGGTTATCCAGTTAAATTCTTATATAAAGTAGCTTTACAAGCTAAGAATGATAAGGAGATTGGTCCATTAGATGCTATATTATCTTATTCCAATGGTTGTCTTCAAAATACTACTTTATTTCAATATTATGATAAATTCTTTTCTGATTGTGGTATTAAGAAATTAATGAATGGATCGATTTTAAGTATGTCATTATTAAGATCAGATATAACTCATTCATTTCATCCTGCTCCTCAAGCTCTTAAGGATAAAGTTCAAGAAATTGCCCGGATTTTAAAACAAGATTATAATGGATTAGAATTAGCTGATTTATCGACCAGATTTGCCATTAAGAATTGGTTATTTAATACTGGAAATGAAAGTGATGATGAATTTGAAGAGTCTTATCCCTGGAATAGTAAAACATCGATTGTTTTAGGAGTTTCAAACTTGGATGAATTACGAATTGCTGTTGAAAGTTATTGGCAAGTTAAAAACAATGAAAATAATATTAATGTTAAGGATAAACCAGTAGTTGATTTAGTCCAAAGGTTATTAGGTGAAAAACATTTGAATGAAACTTGGGAAAGTGGTATTGAAGGAAGATAGATGAAAGGATGGGATATATATAGAAACAAAAAAACATTGTCTTCTTTTTCTTTTATTTTATTTTATTTTATTTTATATTTATTAAATTATGTTATTGTGTTGTTTAGCAAAATCAACTGACGTGTATCTTTGGGGATTGTAGATTAGAACATAAATCAGTAGATCCAAAATACCTATAATCTATCGAACTTGTTGTTAATTAATACTTTTTAAGATCCATTTTTGGAAATTGGCTGAAAATACCATATTCTATTCTTAGCAACCAGAAAAGCAGCAGCAGCAGCAATACAGCGGCGCGTAACCCTTCACGTTCACGTTAAAAAAAAAAAAAAAAAGACTGAACAATTTGAAATATCATAAATAAATTTACTATGAATTATCGTTAGTTATAACTATAATTGATCAAGTAAGGGATATATCTAATCATCGTCATAATGTCATATAACAAGAGATCATTCTCTAATAGAAACAATAATAATGCTAGCAACAGTTCATCTCAAGAAGTGACAATTGAATTGGATAAAAAGAAGCAAGTCACGATTAGAAAATTTAATAATATAAATTTGGTTGATATACGAGAATTCTATATTGATAAAGATTCAAATGAAAAGAGACCTGGTAAGAAGGGGATTTCATTGACAGAGGATACTTGGTATAAATTGTTGGAAGCTACTAATAAGATTCAAAATGCATTGGATACCTTGAATGGTAGACCAGCTGGATCTTCTACTACTACAACAGCAGCTGCAACTCCAGCAATAAAGAAAGCTAAAATTGACGAACCAAAACCAAAACCAGCAAAGGCCCCTCAACCTGAAGAAGAAGAAAGTGATGAAGATGCTGATTGATTCGAGTAATATTACTCATCAGATCAAAATGATCTAGGTATAGATATCAATTTGGGTTGATCTTAAAGGTTAATTTCATTATTTTATAGCATATAGTACTATGTATAAGTTATGTACTTGTCATTATTTATATTTATAGCTCAATTCAGCAATAGATTGGTTAAAAATGATTTGAATTGAATCTTTTTAAAATAACGCAATTTTATACACAAAGCTAACCATTGAACTTTAATTATACCATTTCAACTTTTACTAGTAATGAAGTCATGAATGCTATTTATAGTAATGTTGTCAGTTTGATGTTCCTTGTTTGTGTAAATCATGTTCTATCGTATTGTAAATTCAAAAGTGGCTGATAAAGCGCAATAGTTACTTTTATTCTGCTTAACCTTATTCTATAATGATGACCAATGATTTAGCATACCAATTTGATATATATGCTAGAAGTTGTACTTATAAGAGCCATTAGTCCTTTCAATCGAAACATTTCCTCTTCATAGTCATTATCTTCTTCTTAATCCATTCAAATCATCCCCAATTTCATAATTAATTCTTATCTTTAAATTTAATTTATTCAATTCTTTTTTTAAGCTCACAAATCCAAATCGATTTTTTGTGCTAAAATTGTTGAACTTTAAAATTTTAGTGGTTGCTTTCAGTTTATATTGTGTTGGAAAAGTGTATTGTGGTTGTTATATTGGATTCATATTGCTAATTCATTCAACTTAATCTCATCAGCATCCATTGTTGATTATCCTAGCCTTCCTATCCATCAAAAACCAAAAATAATTAGAGCGAGATGTCTGGAAAAGGTAAGGGGAAGAGAAGAACTTTAACTTTCCCAACGGCTAATTACCTTCCTGTGACTCCATCAGAACAAGGATCGTCATCCACAACGTCATCTCAAGTCAACTTAAACAATCATTCAGCTCAAATAACATCTGCCAAGGGCAATGATTCTGCCTCGGATCCAAAAGATAATAATGATAATGATCCAAAATCAAAGGATAAAGTTAATCCAAATTTGAATTCAGGTTCTTATATTGATCATAGACAATATAATGATCTTGCCCATTTACATTCATCTCCTGCAAGAGCTAGAAGAAGAAGCAGTCAACAACAATTATATACTCAAGGACAAGGTAACATTGTTAAACCAAGTAGAAGACAAACGGATATTTCAGATCATTCTGATGACTTTGTTAGAACTCCATTAGCAAGAAAATCAACTTTACCATTGACAAATCGAAATCTTCAAAATTTATTAACTCAAAGTAATGGCAATAACTCAACTCAAGATCCACAACAGCAGCAGCAACATCAACAACAACATCATCATCAACCATCTATTTTAAATCAAAATTCTCGTGTTAATAACAATAATGGTCCTATTATTGGTAGTAGTTCAAATGGAAAGTTTGGTTCCGTGGCTTTGGATATGGAAGAATATACCAAAGAACAAAGAAGATTGGCTCTGTCTCAATCTTGGAATACTGACCATTATGATGATACCTTTCATAGAGATGATAGTGATAAATATTCCTTAAATTCAATGGAATTTGGTGGTTCCAATCCTTCATCAGATCATTCTAGTGATTCAACATCTTTGGATGATGTATGTTTCCCCGATTACTATGATCATATTGCATCCATTAATAATAAAGAAAACACTTATCAATGGCCCGATATTAAAGTTTTGGAAGAATTTGTAAGAGAAGAAATTGATAATGAAACTCAAGAATTACAAAGAATGACAACTCCTCCATCACCTCCATTAGTTAATTTCCATCATCCTATAAGAAATCCTGTCTCTGAATCAATCCTGCCATTAGAGAGAAACTCTCCAAAACCAACAGAAGGAACTCCTTTATTAGACAATTATCATATTGATGAAATAGCATCATTAAGTCTGGTTCAAGAATCATTTAGAGTAAGACCAACCCCAATTCAACCTTGGGAAAAATCAAAAGAACAAATACCAACTATTTTAAATCGTCCTTACCAAAGTCCTCATAAAAAGTATAATCTGAAAACTGGTAAAATGGATGGAAAATTATGTAGATATACTTATTTCAGAGAAAACTTGGATAAAACCATTCATTCACCATCCATAAGTGGGTTATTAGTGGATGAAGCTGATAGTTATGAAGAAAGAATTGAAAATCAAAAGAAATTATGGGAAAATAATAATAATGATAATATCTTAAATATGGATGATATTGAAGATAATTTAGAAGATGAAGAACTTGAAGAAGATGAAGAAGAAAAATCCATCTTTGACAAATTACAAATGTTATTTCAACCATCTCATTATTCTCTGCCATTATCCAGTTTCCCTTCAAGTACAAGTGTTGGAAATATAGTATCTCCTTCAGTTACAAACACCAATAATGTTGCTCCTTCAATTATGACTACAGGTATTGCCCTTTCTACTTCAAATGGAAACAACACTCCTCATGTCCCATCCAGTTTACATGTTTCGAATATAGTTGAACCTATAAACGTATCATCCAGTAATCTTCCTGGTAGTATCAACTTGAGAGTAGGTCAATCGTCGAAAGGAACCGATACGCCCGTGGTTGGGACCATTGGCTCGGTTTCAGAAGAACTTTCAAATGTGTCACCATTTTGGCTTGATGTGTTAGATCCAACTGAAGAAGAAATGAAAGTTTTATCAAAGACATTTGGTATTCATCCTTTAACTACTGAAGATATTTTCTTAGGTGAAACTCGTGAAAAGGTTGAATTATTCAAAACATATTATTTCATTTGTTTCACTTCATTTGATGTTGTTTATGAAAGACGGAAAGCAAGAAAGAAGGAACATGAAAAGAAATTCAGTAAACTTCAAGAAATGTATGATAATGCCAGTGATGATAATAGTATATTTGGATCTCAAGAACGTAAATCTGCTATTTGGTCTTTTTTCCTGAATTTAGTAGGTAAAAAATCATCCAAACCCAGATCAAGGGAACCATCATTAATGCATCCTCCTACTAAGGACTCATCTTATAAATCAAGAGGTAAAAAGATAAGAGAAGGCGAATTACTGCCATTAAATATGTATATGATTGTCTTTAAAGATGCTGTCATTACATTTCATTTTTCTGCCACTCCTCATCCTATTAATGTCAGAAGAAGAGCTCGTTTATTAAGAGAATATCTTAATGTTACATCTGATTGGATCTCTTATGCATTGATTGATGATATCACTGATTCATTTGCTCCTATGATTGAGAGTATAGAAGAAGAAGTGAATGCGATTGAAGATGCAATCTTAAAAATGCATTCAGGTGAAGATTCTGATACTGATGATTCTGACTCTGATGATTCAGATGTTGAAGAAAAGCTACATAAACCGCCCTTGCATCAACTGATGAGAAGAACTAAAAGAGCTGCAGAAGTACAAGATACTTCTAATAATGTATTCATTTGGAGAAAAAGATCTAAGTCAACAGTCGATCATAATGTTGGAGCTGGATTCAAAAAGCTTGCATCAGAATCTAGTAGTAGCTCCAAGAAGAGTTCTGCTAGTACTTCATCTAAAATTTTAGGTTGGAAGCGTAAAGGTGATATGTTACGTAGAATTGGTGAATGTCGTAAGAGGGTGATGTCAGTATTGAGACTTTTAGGTTCAAAAGCTGATGTTATTAAAGGCTTTAGTAAACGATTTTCTGAAGCAATGGCAGAAAGTAATAAAACTCCGAAAGCTGAAATTGGAATGTATTTAGGAGATATTCAAGATCATATAGTTACGATGGTTCAATCTTTGAATCATTATGAAAAGTTACTTGCTAGATTCCATTCCAATTATTTAGCTCAAATCAATATTGATATGACAAAAGTTAATAATGATACCAATGATGTTTTAGGTAAGATTACTATTTTAGGTACGATTGTCTTACCTATTAATGTTGTAACTGGTTTGTGGGGTATGAACTGTGTGGTTCCAGGTCAAGAGTATGACGGATTGGAATGGTTTTGGGGAATTGTAGGAGCAATGTTATTATTCAGTTTCCTTGCTTTCAACTATGCCCGTAAGGTAACCGGTTTATAGTGAGATTGCTTTTAATTTGAATTTGTAAATTATAATTTTAATAAATATAGTATATAATAAGTCCAAATATAGAAGTCCAGTATATGCAGGAAATAAATTTCACATCCCATGTTCCTGTTTGACAACCTTTTTCCAAATTGAAACGATCAATTCGTCTGAAGTTAATACTTTCAGTGTTGCAACGAATTGGATCATAGTTCATATTCCATTACGTATCAGAAGAGTATAGTTCAATCATGAGTATTCAATTGTCATTAGTGTTTGGTGCCATGGTCATTCAAATGATCACTTTATTGGTATTACTTTTACCGTTACCATACCCTGTAAGAGCTAAAATCATTGATTTTACATTTGTATTACAAAAATCCCAAAATTTCAAAGTTGGAGTTATATTCGCTGTGTTGTTGTTGATTCTTCAATTTTTAGATTGTGTTAATAGATTAAAGAAGATTGGTGATTATTCAGGTCTGCCTTATTTCACTACTGGCGTTGCCACAGAAACTAACAGAACTTTATCATATGATCAATTGGCCACCAAATTCTATTCACAAAGAAATCTCTACTTAAGTGGAGCTGTGTTATATTTGATGGTTGCTATTGGTACGGTTATTACTATCGTCAGAAAATTGGTTAAGAAGGAAACTGAATATAGAACCTTACTTTCCCTGGAAGATAATGAAGGCGAAGTTGAAAAATATAAGCAACTTATTAAATTAAAGGAGAAAGATATTGCCACTTTTAAAAAGCAATTGTCAGGTTTACAAACCGCCTACAATGACTTAACTCCTACTGGTGGTGTTAAAAAGGATGAATAAGTCAATTGATATTGATTTCATCATCAGTCATAATTTTAGTTAGTCGTTATTTATTTTTATTGTAGAAAAGAAATATTTTTTTTGTAACCATAAATAGGGTTCAAATATAAAAGATATAAAGAGAAATGTTATCTATAAATCAATTTTTTTTTAAATGTAAAATGTAATTTCAAATATGACCACTATAATTACCACTAATTAAATTCCTTACTAGTGGGATTTCTTCAGAAGTATTGGCAAAGTAAATGTTAGTGAAATTTACAGCGCTATCTTCAATTTCAAATTTGATTTGCACCCCTGATTCATGTTCAGCGGCTAAACCATTAGTAACAAACCTAGCAATCAACCTTTCTTCAGTTGGTCTACTACCTCCCAATAACAATGGTTGATCATATCTCCAAGTGATTCTATTCTTTTCTCTATTGAAAGCACCTTGAGGCTTAGATAAAGCACTTGAAGCTTGAGCAGAGCCATCTAAAGCAACAGAAACAATGAAGTTTTTCAATACAACAGGAGCTGAATAAGCTGAATTCAAAGTAAGATTGATGACAAGACTAGCTTGATGATTTTCAAACTTCCAAATTTGTTGAATTAAAATAGGTACTTGAGATTGATCAATTGATTTTAAATATTTGAATCCACCTAAAGTTTTGGAGAATATATATGAAGGTAAAACTTTAAATTCATTGCTGTCCCCCACCTTTTCAACAAAAGAATTATTCAAAATCAATTTGTCGTATGAATTTGGAATAGAAAGTAAAATTGGTTCACTTGGAATTGAAGTTTCTGTTTCATTTTGTTTATAAGTAAATGCAACTTCCCCAATAACTTGTGATTTGGTTAAAGTACCATCTTTAAAAGTCGCATTAACGACCTCAGCCACTGAAGCATTTAAACCATAAGCCTCTTCTACTTTAGAAGCATCAAAATGTTTAAAGATATCGTTATTCTTAGATAATGACATTCCTGTATCTTGAGGAACCAAAGCCGATATACCAGTTTGATTTGGTTGTAACGAACTAGGAACAGATTGAGGAGCATTAGTAAACATTTGTGAAGTTATTCTTCTTGCTGCTTGAGGTGGTTGTGGTGGTTGTGGTTGATCATCAGTTTGATGGTGAGCAACTACTTTTCTTGATGGAGGAGGACGAGGAGGAGCTGCTTGACTTTGTACTGAAGCTTGTGAAGGAATCGAACGACTTTGTGGATCTAATGAATTGTGTTCTATTCCTACAGCAGCAGCAGCAACCCCAACAGCACCAACAGCGGCACCAGTCACGACATTACGCAATGACGAAGATTCAATTGTTGGTTCGGGCAATTCTTTTTCTTGAGGATCTTCAAATACATTTGGTTGTTCTTGTCTTGGAGTCGATTGAATTGGTTTTTGATCATCACCCACCTCAAAGCTATATTTACCAGCACTACTTTGTCTTGATCTTGGTAATGACAAAAGAGCATCCGATGAAGTAGTGGTTCCATTGGTATGATGACTAATGAAAGCATTTGTTGGAGGTGGAAGAATCTTTGAAAGTTTTTCTGGTTCAGCAGCAGTTGGAGCCAAATCATGTCTTTGTAACATAGAAAGTCTATTATTGTTAACATCAACTACATCTTCATCATCTGAAGAATCGGAATCGTTATACTTAACGACATTTGGTGAGTCTAACGCATTATCATCAACTGGTTGAGGTGGAAGTTTTGGAGTTGATGGTTCAGCTTTTGGTTTGGTATAATATTGAGGAGCTTGTGAGGGAAACGAATCTTGTCTTTCTTTAGGAGTAGCTGGAAGCGGTTGATTATATTGAGGTTTTGGAATGTCATCCACTACAGGTTGTTTTGGTGCTGATGATGAAGGCCCAACTCCTGATCCACCCATTGAGATGACTGATGAAGTTCTAGTTTGAGATTTTGATAAATCGTTTCGTAATGGAGCAGAAGAAGTGGTTGTTATTGATTCTGTTTCGGGAATAGTATCATTAGGTTGTAATTTCGAAGCTCTCTTATTCTTATTTCTACCAAACATTGAACCAACTCTACTTAATCTTGAACCCTTTTTGCTTTTTGTTGAAGCTATATCCTTTTCATCATCAAATGTATTGTTACTACTAGTAGCGGTAGCTTGGCTACTATGACTTGCTGATCTAAAGGTGCTGAATCTTTTAGAAGCTTTTGGAGTGGTAGTGGTGTTATTGTTTTGATGATGAGAAGGTTTTGAATTTAATTGAGATTGCTGTTGTAATAATTGTTGTTTAAAAAATCCATCATTAACAGGTTTAAAGTCAGTTGAAATAATATGATTCAAATAATTATTCATTTCATTTTTCAATTTGAAACTTCCTAATAAATAATTAGTTGAATTTTCATTATTAGATAAATTTTTGGTTAATTTTGCATTATGAAATTGAAAGAAATTCAAGATTGAATCGAATAATAATTGAATTTCAAACAGTTTAAAGTTTTCAAAGTTTTCAAATATATGAGGAGCTTTATAATTCCATTGAAATTCAGCATTTTGATCATTTTTAGATAATCCATGACTAAGTTCTTGTAATTCTTGACTATTAACTAATAATTCGGATAATCTGACATCATTCTCCATTAAATCACGTAAAGGAGCAATTATTTCACGTTTAACCCCTTTATGAATAGATTCATTTGATTCCAATTCTGTCTTCAATGAAGTTAATAAGCAATTCCAATTTCTTGAAAAATTACTATCTGAATTTTCATCATTAGCAACAAAACTTGAACCAGTATCAATTAATCCTTTTAATCCTTGATTATAATTGTGAAGAGTAGCATTGTAATCCTGAAACCAACGCAATAACCTATCATTGATTAAACTTGAGGTCTCATTAAGTCCATTAGGTATTATTAACGCAGCTTGATTAGGAGTCTTTGACGTCAAAATATGAGTGGGGTAATTGAACTCTTGAGAACTCATCCTATCTTTTTTATTTTTGACGATATGACTAATAACAACAAATCAATATAACCAATCGATCAATTTGATGATATGAGCAGTTAATTGTTTAATTACAATTGATTATAGTAATAATAGGAGTCGAATGGATGCATTTTGACCGATTTAACCGTTTATTTTTCGTGTTTTGGTTTTGGGTTTGTCATGGTTCAATCTATGTGAAAGGTCGTGTAAAAGTGTCACATTTCATCTTACCATTTTTACACCCAAACCATCCCCCACGCAGTCAGAAAGTGATACCTCTGAAAGCAGTGTTATAATTGATTATGAAATATACAAAATTATTGAATAGAAGTTTGATAGGAAATGTGAGGATATCAATTCTGATCAATTGAATGAGTCATCCGGTCAAAACTTGATATAATTAAAGATAGAGAGATAACATAAGTGAAAAGTTTGAAAAAAACCTGAAAATTTTTCATAGGTTTAATCAAACCATTACCTCTTTTTTGAATTAAACTTTGTAATTAAACTTCTTTGAAATAATACGTAAACTAGATACTTAAAAGTATTTTTATGTGATTACAGGACCGTTAACGCTTTTGATTTAAAAGAATTATAATAAAAATAATAAACTTACACACAGATAATACGGAAAATAATTAGAGTTCTTAAAAAATAGGATCGGTCAATCATAGATGGGGGCTTTAAATGACATCATAAACATCCAACTTTTCAATCAAAGATTATCGGAAACCATTCATTGTATGAACGATACGAAATAATATTTGTTTAACCAATTCAATTGAAGAGTTGAAAAAAAATTTCACTTATTCAAACAAATAAAATAATATTGATAAACTACTTCTCCACATTTTGAAATTGTAATCTTGAGTCTCCTGTTTTCCAATTGCATAAAGCATGATGAAAAATGATGGGGAAATTGAGAGATAAGAAAGCTTATATTAATGAATACATTGACAAAGGATTAACGAATGATATAATGTAAATTTTTTCTTGGTATTTTATTTATGGTTAAAGCTTCTGATTGTGATGTGACTTAACTATACTAAAAGGTTAATTAATTTTATGAATTGCTATCAGGGATTATAAAATAATTACTTCAATTACAATAATTACGACTCTTTAAAATAAATTGGAGGGAAATAAAATGAAGGATGCACAGAAAAAGGTAATAGGTGGTAAAGAAAAATGGTTTTAAGTGTTCCAGTAATAATTTTTGTTGATAACGGGAAAGAGGAACTAAGCACTACTCCTCTTCTCACCCCCACCCCTTTCTTTTCTCACAACTCTTTATTTAAGTAAATTTTTAAAAGTTTAAATTAGGTTGTTGTTGTTGTTGTTAATTGATTGCATTTTTAGTTATCTAAAGAATGTTACAAAACTTAGGCAACTATTAATTTATAAATTAAACGTTTCTATACATCAAAACAGTTGAAATCCACTTTATAAATCCTTAGTATAAAAGGAATTAATTAATTTTAAATTGATTTGATAAGGATAACGCAAAATGGTTCAGAGAAAAAAGGATTATTAATTGCCCATGCTTACTTTCATAAATATTGTACCATGCACCCCTCCTCCCTCCTGCTTTAATAATAGCCATTAACTTACTGGGTTAATTGCGTACCAGACGAATACTAGACCAGAACCTAACTAATCCATAATATTTTTAAGCCTTCTCTAAATTAACTGATGTTGACTCATTTTAATCGTTTTATTGTTTTTTTTTCTGCTGCTTTGTTTTTAATTTTATTAATATATACTTCTTATCTATATAATTTGCTTCATAGGGTTTTGGCTTTGTTTTGATGGTTATACTTGATTTGTTACATAAATAGAAATAATGCCGTTTTACGGCATTTTTTATTCCTTTTGCTTTTTGTGCGTTGACAATTTTGTGATCACAATCTTTAGACTACTATATTTTGTTTTGTTTTGTTTCACCTTCCATTTTCTGATTTAAGACCGTTCGTGGATAGTGAAATGATTATCGTTAACGGTAAGGAACTAATCTAATCTAATTAATTGGTTATGGGATTTGGTTATTTAATTTTAATCAATTGCGTCAGTTTATTCGTATAGTTTTGGTTTAATGTATGTAAGTATGTAATGGTGGAACAATTTTGCCGAGCTTACCATAACAGCCTTCCCCCCCTAGTCCCCCACTACTCTCCCTAAAGTTCCAGATACGAACTTTTTTCTTTTTTTTTTTGTAATTAATATTTTAAGGAAACGCTATTTTTAATTGATTAGGTAAATCAATCAATCAATTAGATTGAGATAAACTAATTATTTCCTAATAAACCTAAACCAATTGAATTGAACGGTCTGAAGTTGTTATTTATCACATTACTACAGAATTAGTTAGATTAAAAATGAAATACAGGATCTTGCAAATAGTTAAATTCTAAACTCTTAGGCTGTCAAAGTAGTAATATTATTTTTAGATTTAAAATTGGGTTATATGCTTGATGGGGAGAAAAAACCAAGAAAAAAAGAAAACCATTAAAGCGTTAAAATCTGATAGTGAGAGTTATCTATAAGTTGTTGTTGTTTTGTTTTGATTTGTTTTGATTTGATATTTGTCTTTCATTTAATTGATAATACTTAGTAATTGTAATACGAATTGTCAATGATTTGAGAAACAAACATAAAAGACATTAGTTAGAATTGAGTTTTTTGAACTCAATTGCAATTGAGTTGCTAAATTTCATTGCAACAAGCTTTATTGATTGATTCACTCGCTCAGTTATTACTTGATTACTAACCATCATTAATGATTAGTAGTAATGGCAATCAAATAATGATTTAAAGTCGGATGTGATACTAGTTAGCCAACTCTAAACTGTAAAAAGAAAATCATAAAAAGCAAACAAAATTGCGCGAAACCGGTGAAAACAAAAATACAGTTTAATTAAAAAATAAAATTGTTTGGTGTTTTTCCCAATCTTACAAGTGCATCCTGCATACACCTTATCAATTGAATTTTTGTATTAGCCGATGGTAGACAAGATTCATAATTAAAAAATAATGCGATAACTGATTTTTATTGGCTGATGATAACGGGTGTGCGTATAACTATCTTTATAATGGTAGCAGGATATTAATTTCAATTCGTCCTCCTGTTAATTTCACTCTAATTTAAATTCTTTCTTTTTTTTTCTATACATGGTTGGTTGGTTGGTTGGGTTTATTTAGATTAATTGATCTGACTTATGTGTGGTGGTTTGGTTGTAATAATATTAACGGCTTCTTTTACAGCCTTGTTTTTTTTTTATTTAGTTATTTTTTTTTTTTTTTTTTTTTTTAGTGGTAATCTACTTTCACTTTCTTGGGTCAATTACTCAATCAAGTCACATATTAAGATTACTGATAACCTGTAAACTTCAATTAAGGAGTTATACATATCGTATGTGCATCCAACTATTTTGTACATTACACCTTCATTTGGAAACATATTATTTAAAACATTAATTATTTTATTTTATTTTATTTAATCTTTTTTTTTTTTTTTTTTTTAATTATTGGCTTTTTTTGCATATGGTAGATTAACGTATTATCAAATTTTCTTTTTGTTTGATACCTACCATTTCTACTACTTCTAACAAGTATATATATACCAACAGATATCTCCAATTTTAATCTTATGAAATCTAATTTGAAATTTTATTTATTTTAAATCTTTCTTTATTTTACTTTCTTCTTTTCATTCTTAATTTTTGTCTTTTGTATATTATATCTTCACTTCCCATCTTTAGAAATTAAAGGATCCTTATAATTATTTAATATAATAAGAATTCCAATATGTCTAATACCCCAGGTGGTGATGTATTCACTTTTGATTTAAATGGTCAATTCGATAAAGGTGATATGGCCTGGATCGGTGTTGCTGGAGCCTTGGTGTGGATTATGATTCCAGGTGTCGGTCTTTTATATAGTGGTTTAGCAAGAAAAAAGCATGCTTTATCATTATTGTGGGCTTCTATAATGGCCTGTTGTTTAACCACCTTCCAGTGGTTCTTTTGGGGTTATTCTTTGGCATTTGCGAAAGGTTCATCTCAATTTTTAGGTAACTTGGATTTCTTTGCCTTAAAAAATGTGTTGGGTTCTCCATCTGCTGTTACCACACTTCCAGATATGTTATTCTGTTTCTATCAAGGTATGTTCGCCGCCACTACCGCTATTTTAATGGTTGGTGCTGGTTGTGAAAGAGCTAGATTAGGTCCAATGATGGTTTTCTTATTTATATGGTTAACTGTTGTCTATTGTCCAATTGCTTCTTGGACTTGGGGTTCTAATGGTTGGTTATACAACTTAGGTGCTTATGATTTCGCTGGTGGAGGTCCTGTCCATCAAAACTCTGGTTTTGCTGCTTTAGCTTATTCCTTAGTTTTAGGTAAAAGACATGATCCATTAGCCACTGGTAAAGTTCCAAAATATAAACCACATTCAGTATTTTATATTGTTTTAGGTACGGTTTTACTTTGGTTTGGATGGTTTGGTTTCAATGGTGGTTCCACCGGTAATGCTTCCATTAGATCTTGGTATGCATGTGTTAACACCAATACTGCCGCTGCTAGTGGTGGTTTAGCTTGGATGATTCTTGATTGGTTCAGATTAGGTGGTAAATGGTCCACCGTTGGTTTATGTACTGGTGCCATTGCTGGTTTAGTTGGTATTACTCCAGCTGCTGGTTTTGTTCCAATTTATACCGCTCCACTTTTCGGTGTTATTCCAGCCATTGTTTGTAATTATGCTGTTGATATTAAAGAATTATTACACATTGATGATGGTTTAGATGTTTTCGCTTTACATGGTGTTGGTGGTGCTTGTGGTTCATTTTTAACCGGTATTTTCGCTGCTGATTATGTTGCTGCTTCAGATGGTTCAGTTTATGCTGACCCATCTGCTAGAATTGCTGGTGGATGGATGAATCATCATTATGAACAATTAGGTTATCAATTAGCTGAAATTTGTGCCATTGGTTCTTGGTCATTTATTGTAACTGCTATTTTATTATTAGCTATGGATAGAGTTCCCTTCTTAAGACTTAGATTACATGAAGATGAAGAAATGTTAGGTACTGATTTAGCTCAAATTGGTGAATTTGCCTATTATGACAGTGATGTTGAAGAACATTACAAAAACCCAGAAGAAAGTCCATATGTCATTGAACCAATCAGATCCACTGAAGCTAGACTTGCTAAATTAAAAGCTGTTACTTCTTCCAAACAAGCTGATGAAATCGATGGTATTACTGCAGATGGTAAAGGTTCTTTAAGTCCAGATAATGGAACTGTTAGTGATGCTTCTAAAAAGTAATTTAATTAATAATAACAAAAATATTATATTATATTAAGTTATATACTGTTTTTTAAAGCCTTCAATTCTATTTTTAAATTTTTCAATTCTTTCTTAGTTATTTTTAATTTTTGATTTACCTATTTTTAGTTATACTTCATATGATTACTTTACATTATATTAATAAAAAAATGATCATAAAATTGTTTAATTACAAAGTAGAATTCTTATCATAGTAACAAGTTGGATTACAAATAGGCCTCTGCGAAATCTAATTACTCGGAATTTTTATTCAAAATCATAGACGTTTTTTTATTTTATAATTTTCCACAAGGCGGCAGAATTATTTTTCCTAAGATTTTTTAGTACCAGTTTATTTTCTCCAGCTTTCGGGAAGATTAACAAAAACGGTCGAATTTATATCGATGACATTCATATTTAAGGGCTATACATATAATTAATTATGGATCATTTAAGTATACTTGAATCGCTGTTCAATTGAGTTTGATACAAGCATTTTCATTTGGAAAACTGGAAGAAAAATCATAGGAACTGTTTAATGCTGGTTTTAACTGATAATAAGATCAGATCACCTTCTAAGGATATTAGTTATTCACTTGACATTACTGAAATTGATCCGTTTGAACGCCAAAACTCAAACACAAATGATCAAGTTTTAGATAAAAGGCCTCCTTTGGAGTATAGACCAACTGAAACTGATGAAATTGCATTTGAACATCATGAACCTGCTTCTGAAGATGAGATCGAACTGGGTTTAGAAATGGAAGAAGAAATAGGTCCATTATCTTTTACCAATCCACCAGGGAATCTTCATCGAGTCATAACTGCTTGCATTTGGGTATTTACTTTAGGTTGTTCTGATGGTTCTGTGGGAGTTTTATTGAATTATATCGAACTTCAATATAATATATCCTATAGTGTTTCTTCATTATTATGGTTGAGTAATGCTGTGGGCTATATATTAGTTGCAGCCCTTGCAAGTAAGATTCAAACCCATTTAGGAAGAAAATCAACCACTATTGGTTGTGTTTTCTCTGTTATAATGTATTCAATTGTTCTGTCGGGACTGAAATTTCCTTTGATAGTAGCTGGGTTTTTCTTTGGAGGGATCGGAGTCGGAATTTGTGTATCACAGTTTAATGTATTTGTTAGTAGATTGGAAAAATCATCTACTGCGTTAGGTTATTTTCATGGTTGTTATGGGTTAGGTGCATCTGTATCTCCTTTGATTGCTACTGCACTTGTTGAAGCTGGCATTAAATGGCATTATTATTATTTGATTTTAATCGGCTTAATGGTATTTAATACAGGTAATACTTACTATGCATTTATTTATAAAGGAGATGAATTAAAACCATGGGATGCTGAAGAATCTAAAGAAGGCGAACAAGATCTTATGAAAGAAGCTATCAAAAATAAATTAACCTGGATGACTTCCTTTTTTGTATTGGTTTATCAGGGAGCTGAAGTTGCAATTGGTGGTTGGGTCACAACATATTTAAGGGAATATCGTAAACATAATGAGGCTTCTATTGGTTATGTTGCTTCAGGGTATTGGTTTGGTGTTACATTTGGAAGATTAGTTCTTACTAGATTGATTCATAAGCTTATAGGTGCGAGAAGAGGTAATTCAATATTGGGTGTCTTGGCAATTATTTTTATCTTGCTAACATGGTTGATTCCAAGTTTACCTATAGAGATTTTAACAATTACCTTAAGTGGTATTTGTATTGGCCCAATTTATCCATTATTAATGACTTATGTTGTTCTGGAAGGGCTACTTCCGAGAAAAATTCAGGTTGTGTCCTTGACTATTACGACGGCATTTGGATCTTCTGGTGGTGCTATTTTCCCATTTATTGTTGGATTAATTTCTCAATTTACAGGCACTTTCGTGGTTTTTCCACTGTGTATAGCTTTGTTTTCAGCTATGTTGGTTCTTTGGTTGTCTATGCCCAATACTAGATACAGAAATATTGCTAAAGGCAAGTTAGGAAGATTTAAACAAGTATGGTAAATCGTTTTCGTATTTAAAGCAATTTTTATTAATAGAAAGTAACATTTAATAATATTTATATCGGGATTTTTTGAAATTTTCCGTACATCTCATTGCTTCCATTGAAGCCATAAATAATCTATTTACAAAACACATAGTAAGTAACTGTCTAGAGCCTAGACAGTTATAAAAATAAATAACAAAATAAATAAGTAAATAAATAAAAACTAAAATGATTCTGTATAACAATATACATCTGGAGGGTTTTTAAGCTTTCTATTTGCTTGACAAGAAACTTTGATCTCGTTGGTGAATCTAGGAGGTCCACATGAACATACAGCTAAAGCCTTGAAAGTATTACCATTTTCATTAACTAACAGTCTAGCTACTTTACCAATTATCGTTGGAATATTTGGTCTACTATAAATTGATTTGACTCCTGGTAAGTCTAATATAGATACCTCAGATATGGAACTTGAAGTAGTAGATATATCAGCAAATAATTCTTTAGACTCGTGACTAGTATGTGGACTACTGTCTACTTCTATGTAATTCGATTTTATTTCATGCTTAGTACGTGGGCTGCTTTCTTCTTCAATATAAGTAGATTCTGTAGTAATAGTACTTTGTTCTTGTGTCATATACAAATCCATAGTCAATTTTCCACTGCGTATGAATTCTGATAACTCTTCATGCAAATGTTTAATCCAGGAGACATTTTCTTTCTTCTTTATAGCCCATACTATATGAACTTTTGCATTTTCAGGTCTATGAAGATAATCATTTTGCTCTTCTCTTTCTTTAATTTTTCTCAACAAGTCCAAAGTAACTGGAAATATGAAAGCACATCCTGAACCAGCTCCGAAGAATAGACTTGTATCAAATGGTAATAATGATTGAAAGTGACCACCGTAAGGGCCATGAAAAGTAGCTTTCAATTTTACTATTGGTCCCTCTTCTTCATCTTCCTCTTGCAATTTCACCATCTTTTTCATTAACCTCTTAGTAAATCCTTTTTGCATTCTGATTATTAATTTAATGTGCTTAGAATCTGGTAAACTAGCAATAGTGAATGGATGCATTTGAAAAAAATTCACTTTTGGCACATTCAAGACTATATGTTGACCTGGCTTCCAATAACCAATTTTGGGCAAGAGCTTCGAATACCATGAATCATAAGTAAACTTCAATAACTTTACAGGAATGGTAACAGCTATAGTTTCATCGTCAAGCTTTTCAAAGCTACATTTTGCCTTTGTGGGTGATTTCCTCTTGTGAATAAAGGCTACTACCTTGGACAATATTCTATCCACTACAATCAAGTGGACTGAAATAAGCACTGCTGCAGCGTTCCCTTTATTATGGAAATAAGCCAAAAGTAGCATAATGAATGAAAATATCTTATGTTGAACAATGAAGAAATCATATGATAACTTTCTGATAAGTTTTAAACTTCCAAAAGTCAATACTAACAAGCTACCATAAGCAATAAAACCGAAAATTTGAGGTGGTATCATAAGCATAATAGGAAAATCCAATCCAAGCCAGTAAACACAAGCCATAGCAAAATGTAGAGAAATCATTGCAAACATATACCTTCCCAACCATTTGTGTAAAAAGGCTAATCTGTCATGTTGAAGACCAGAAATAGCACCAAGCAAATCATTCTTACTGGTCATCAACATTAATGTAAGTAAATTTCCTAAAGCCACCTTCAGAATTCTTTTGCTAACAACATAATATCTTGGTTGATAATCTATGTCTTCTGTTTGGACCAAACAGAATACAGCATTAATTATCATAAATATCATACTCAATAATACCACACTAGGCTGAAAGTAAAATACTTTTTTGTAGAAAGGAAGTCTAATCCCAATACAGCTTGTCCAGTAATTCCAATTGTTTAGGA